TATTACTGGATCTGCTATACTTAAAGTTTTTTTTATTAAAAATTTTAATATTAAGTTATTAATTAAATATACTTTATTAGTAGACTTGGCAGTAGTTTTATATTATTTTTATAATATAGTAAGCTAAGTTGCTTTTACTAATACCTTTACTTTATACTTAGTTATATACTAAGCTTTATATTAAAAAAAACTAGTTTTTTTTCTTTAAATAGCGTAGCCTTTTTTCTACTTATACTTATTTTTTATAAAAGTATAAATTTTATTTAAATTATATAGTAATATGCTGTTATTAGTATTTATTTTAACTTAAGTATATTAAACATTACTTAGTATTAGTGCTCTAGCTTAAAGCTTTTTATAAACTACTATTTTAAAAAGTTTATAGTAATTTACTTTTTATTAATATATATATTAAAATAAATATAAAACTAAGTATAATTAAGTTTAAATAGTAATTTGCTATATAAGCTTTTTTTTATAATTATATATAAATAGCTTTAGTTTCTATTTACTATTTTAAGTTTAAGTCTTTTTAGTACTTCTTTATTACTTTTTATAAGTTTTTTTTATAACTTATTTTTAAATATAAAAAGTTACTTTAGTAGTAGCTCTAGCTTTTAATTATACTACTTAAAAAGTGTATATAGCTTTACTAAGTTAGTATACTTAGTATTATTATAAATTTAAATGTAATTATTTAAAAAAATAGTTTTTTTTAAAGTAATTATAACTAAAAAAAGCTTTTTAAGTACTTTTTTTTATTAAAATAGTCTTTTGCGCTGCGCGCGTTAAACTAGCATTTATATTAAATAAATATAATACTTAGTAGTTAATAGTTATTTTTATTTAGTACTATATTAGAGTTATTGTTAAATAGTAAGTTTTAAAAGAACTTATTTAAACTATTTTTTTTTTTAGTATTTATTTATTATATTATAGTTAAAGATAGTAAAAACAAAAGTTTTACTTTTATTATTAAAACTTAAGCTATACTATAAATGTTTTCTAAATTATAAGCTATTAATAAGTTTACTTACTTACTTACTTAGAATACTTTTTTAAAGCTATCTTTTAATAAGTTTATAGTAATAAGGAAACTAAGTAAGCTAATAGCTTTTATTACTATACTACGTAAATAAAAAGTAAAAACTATAACTAGTATTATAATAAATTTTAAATATAAAATAGTTTTTTATACTATTTATATTTAACATTTTTTATGCTAAGTGCTCTTTTTTTTAATATACTATATAAAAAGCAGCTATTTTAAGTTTTTTCATACTTTAGCTGCTTTAGTTTATTAAGCTAAAACTAAAAAAAGCTTTTATTTTATTTTAATACTTAGCTTTTTTTTTATATATAGAAAAAGTAAGAATAATAGCTAAGTAAGTATCTACTAGTACATATAACTATTAATTAGTATACTTAAATAATTAATTTATTTAATAGCAACTAAGTGCCTATAAAGTAATAAAAAAAATTTTTTATAATAAGTATTTTACTATAGCATATTACTACTTTTAAGTACTTAGCTTTTTTATTTTACACTTAAGTATTTAAATCTAAAAGCTTTAAAGTTATTTTTTAAGCTTTAGCTTACTTATTTATTTATTTTTTATTTTTTAAGTTAGAGTTTAGGTAATTCTACACACAGCAATAAGTAATAATAATAGATAAACTAAAATAATAAGTAATAACTAAAAAAATAAAAAAGTTCGCCTTTACTTAAGCTTAATAAGCTTAAAATTAAAGAGTAGCTTACTTATAATATACTATTTTTTAGTTATAGTTAAATCTTTTATTATTACTTTTTATTACTTTTAAAGTAATTTTAAACTATTATAATAAAAAAGTAATAAACTATTAGTAAAGTAATAGTTTTAGACTAGTTCTAAAAATTAATTAGTAATTATCCTGATACTTTAAACTTTAGTTTTATTACTATTTTCAAAGTTATAAAAATTTATAGCTACTCTTTGTTAAAGCTTTTTTAACTTTAGTAAAAAGTTTTTGAAATATAGCATTTTACTTTAGCAAATTTATTTATTAATCTATTTATTTATTTATTTAAGCTTACTTTTTAAGTAGTTCTTAGCACTTAGCAATAAACACAATAATTTAATTATAAAATTTAGAATTTTATTCTTTTAACAATAAAGACAGGTAATTTTTTATTATATAGCTTTTAAAGTGTACTTTTTATAAAGCTATAAAAGCTACTTTTACTTTAGTAACTATTTTGCGTTAAAGTTAATTCTTTTTTAAACTTTAAAAGTTAAAGTATAAAATAACTTAATTTTCAAAGTTGCTAATAAAGTTTTTTTAAATTTTTAAATTACTTTTTAAAAAGTAAAGTTATTATTAATTTTATAACTTGTAAATTTTACTTACTTTTTATATACTTACTAGTTTCTAAAGCTTTATTTAAAAATATATAATAATAGTTTATAAGTGTGTAATATATAGTATATACTAAATACTTTTTATTATTATTTATATTTAATTAGTATAAGCTTTTTACTTTTAACTACTTTTTTTACTTATATAGTATAAAAGCATCTTACTTATTTAGTATAAACAACTAAGCTTTTTTTAAGTACTTAAAAAAGTTTATTTAAATAGCTTATTTTTTTTATTAGTAGAGCTTTTAGTAGCTAATAAAGTTTTTTATTTAATATAAAAAGTATTTTTTTTAGTACTTTAAGTTAGTTTTCTAGCTGCAAATACAGACTTAAATATAAACTTTATTAAATAGTATTTTTTTTATATAATTATAAATTAGCTTTATAGCGTTTTACTTATTTATATATGTATTACTTTATATTTTTATTTTAAAAGTTGTAGTATACACATTATTTAAAAATATAATTATATTAGTAAAATTATTAAGTATTAGTACTTAGTTTATCACTTTAAAGCAATTATTTTATTTAGCAATTATAATTACTTTATTGTATTTTATAAGCTAAATTGTGTAACGACACAGGCACAGTACAGCTCTAATACAGCTATAAATTAACTTAATAGAAAGATTATATAAGGATAAAAAGTGCTAGAGAAAAATAACTAAATTTCTATAAGTTTTATATAGTAGGATAATTAAAACTATTTAACTAAAGTTAGACTATTTACAGTTCTTATACTTATAGTTGCTAGTAAGCATTTAAGTAGCATTTATTAATTATTATAAGTATTTATAGTGTTTTAAATATAAGTAAAAGATAAATTAATTTTTTATATATACATTTAAAAGTAGTATGTAAAGTGCTTTTATTAAAAAGCTAAGCTATTACTAAATAGTACTTAAGTAGAGTATAGCTAAGTTAGGACTTAACTTAAATATAGCTAGTAGCAGGTTAAGCTATTGTTGCAATAACCTAAAGTGCCTTTAAGTATAGCTTAAGTATATAGTGTCGCGTTACAAATTATTTACTTTATTTTTTTTTAAATACTTATAATAGTTTATTTATTATTATTTTTTACTTAAAGCTTTACTTTTTCTTTATTTATTTCTACTTTCTTAGTAATTTAAATTAATTATTTATATAAAAATAAGTTAGGGAAGCAGTAAAAGCTAATAATAAATAAAAAAACTATTTTTTATATATACTTTATAATTTTTTAAATTACTTAGCGCTAGTTGTAGTATAAAGTAAATTTAAATTATATACTATTTAGTTTAAGTTTATAACATTTAACTTAATAATTTTATAGCTTTTTTTAAGCAGTACTAAAAGTATGCATTTTTAAAAGCTTATTTTTATTATTTTTAATAAACTAGCTTAGTAATAGTAGTTCTAGTATTACTAGTTTAAAAAAAAGTTAGTTTTTTTTTTAAAAAATTAAAAAAATACTATATATTAGTAGTTATTACTTAAGTTTAAAGAGCAGCTAGCTACTTTATATACTTTTTAAGTTTTAAAGTATAGCTTAAAACTAGTTTCTTATTATTACTAAAGTAAAGTAGTTATTATTTTTTTTATTACTATTTTACTTTTTAGATATAAAATAGTTTATAAAATATTTTTTTATTACTACTATTTTGCTCTTTAAAAGTAGTATAGTCTATTATATTTATTTAATAAAGTAGTAAGACTCTTAATTATTAAGTTTTAAATTTAAAAATAATAAATATGTTTTTATTTTATTTATTTATATGCCTTAATTAGTTATTAATATTAGTAATTAATTTAAGCTATTTATCAGCTTAGTAAAAAATATTACTTTTTAAGTAAGTTATATATACTTTTTCTAGTTCTTTTTTAGCTTACCTATTATTTTTTTAAAAGCTTTTTTAAAGTTTTTTTTTTTTTACTTTAAATTTACTTTTTAGAGAGTAATTACTTTTTTAAAACTTTTTTTAAAGTTGTTCTTTTTAGTACTCTAATTTAACATTATTATAAACTTATTACTATATATAAAATTATCTAAACTTTAACTTAAAAAAATAAAACTATTTTTTATTCTTTTTATTTTAAATTACTTTTTCAAAAGTAATTACTTTTTTAAAACTTTTTTTAAAGTAATTACTTTTTTAAAACTTTTCCTAAAGTTATTCTTTTTAGTACTTTAATTTAATAATAAAAAATACTTTAACTTTATTTTAAAAGAATAAAGTAAAAAATATATAAACAAGTTATTTATTTTATTTTTTAAGTTAGAGTTAAGGTAATTCTATACATAGTAATAGTTTAAAATAGTAAATAAGTTATAACTAAAAAAATCTTATATAAGTAGTTAGTATTACTTATTATTTATTACTAAGATTTATTATAGATTTTAAATATTTTAATATTATTATTAGCTTTTAAGTTTAAAAATTACTATAGTTTTTAATTAAAGATTATTTTCTTAAATAAATACTAATGCTTTTATTATTATTATTTCTAACTTATTAGTATACAATTAAAGAGTAAGCAAAAGTTTTTTTAGAGCTAAGCTTTTTATATCTTGCTTAAATTACACTGCTTTATACATGTTTTCTTCTAAGCTACACTAGAAGCATGAGCAACCTTACAAACTTTCCATACCTTAACGCATCTGAGTTTTCATTTGCAATATCCTCTTTATGCCGTCTCTTCCACCAAGTTCAATCTCTATCGTCTTCTCCACGCCTTGCCTGGACGTCAGTTGAGATCATCCTAGACTCCGGGGCTCCTCATCTCCGCATCACCAAGCCACTCCACATTCGCACATTATCCTCTTCTACTAGCTCTATAGATATAGAAGCTGAAGATGAGAAGCCGCAGCAATATTCAGGCCAGGACAAAGACGACGTTACTGTCAGCGAAGAGGATGACGATCTGGAAGCCCTACCAAAGCACAACAAAGATCTAGATGCAATGGTGATTTACGACATTATTCTGTCGTCCACCTATTCTGTCCCCGTGTTCTACTTTGCGATTAAAGACATAGCATACAGATACCCGCCGACAATGCGTGTGCTATATGAATGCATTATCCCGCCCCGGTATGTAGAGCAGACCGAGGCTGTTGGTGTGCTAGGCGGGGTTACCGTCACTGTGAGTGCCTAGATTCGTCCCACAAGTTCAACACCAGAAGGGAGTGACTGATTAGTTTTGATAATTAGGATCACCCTACGGCAAACACCCCAGTGTACTTTCTGCATCCGTGCAAGACGGTCGAGGTTTTGCGGGCTTCTACATCCTCCAGCAGCGATGGTGAAAGTGATCCATTGTCCTATCTCTTATTGTGGATTAGTACGATGGGTAAAAGCATCGGAGTGGATGTTCCCCTTGCATTAATGTTAGCAATGCGCAAAGAGAAGCAGGAAAGCAACCAACGAACATGATTGGTAAAGATAAGGTCTTGTAAGGAAAGAGACGAAAACTGCCATTGAACTTGTCAACGTGGTTGGCGGAGCCTTTTCGCAGCAATGATGAAGACGAAGTCATCGCAAAAATGTCACAGCCGCTACTGGCTTGATAGAACTCTTGGAATGACAACTACCTGAAATTAACTAAGTGTGGATTTGACTTGTACGTAGCCCCTAAACCCAAAAGCGTTATATTTAAACTATGTTGTGAACCCTCTTGTATCTGACTGACCTCTTAAATACTCTTCTTCAATGAGCTACTCTCTTCAGCGATAGTCGCCGTCGTGCTCGAATCGCCGTTCCCACCACTCAATAGTCTCTCACGCTCTGCGACCTTCCTCTTCTTCTAAACCTCCTCCTTCACAAAACCCAAGCTCACAAGCTCTCTATTATGTTCCTAGATTTCAATTACTCTCTCCTCAATGCCACTCTCGACTACCGACCTAAACACATTTCTACTACCACTTGATCTTCTATAGCGGGCGCCCACCAGCTGTCACTTAGAACGACCTGGTTAACCGCAACAAGATTCAATAATGTTAAGAAACGAAATGCATTGGCTGAACATGATCTTTTTGTCAGACTGGTCTTTGGCGCTGACGGAGAGAATGGACAAAAGTGCCACTTATTTACTTGCCTTCTCGTCCTGCATGTTGCCCACATCGACACTTTCCCCTTGAGTTGGCAGTGGAGGTGTACTGAAGTTGTCTCCTTTACAGTCGTAGAGTTCAATTTTTTGAGTTTCTTCCGGCAGACGGGGCAGGTCCTTTGATTTTCGACCATGTGCTCGATGCAAGCTTTGAAAACGATATGTGCCCATTTGAATGATGATTGGATCATCAACAGTTCTCGTATTGACACGAACATTCTTCTGGTGATTTAGTTGGAGCTTCTAACATGTTCTAAAGCGCAATCTAATCCCTTTTGTCTTTGGCACCCACTATGCCTTCTGCTTTCAATTGCTTCATGGTGATCAGTTTTAGCTAATCTTTGCTGACCAATTTCTAGTAGTTGCACAGTTTTCCCATGCGTAGGAGGATTTCTAGCATGTGGTTCTACACCCTAGTCTCCACCGCTACCTCTACGATAGTTATCCAGAACCACTTTTGCTTGTGCATCAAGAGCGCTGAATGTATCTTGCTCTCGAGGAAATATGGTGAATGAACGAACATATTTAGAAAGGTCAGAAATGCGAGAATCTCCAAACGCCATTTTCTTCTTGCGATCTCTGGCGTTCACTTTCTATGTTATTAGTCTTCACGGTTTGAGGCGGCACAGACGCACATACAACACCATGAGTGTGAACTGATTTTTTTATTCAACCATCCTAATTCTATTAACCGTCAAATTCGTTGGTCATCTCTAGGGCAGCATAAACAAGCGATTGCACTAAATACAGTGCATGCTCCACCTAGCCTTGCTTGCTCGCCTGCAACAGCTCGTATTCGCGTGCGTCTTGAAATACATCAATGATACAAGCTGCTGACCAGGCCTGCGTCGGGCACGAATCGCCGCAGAAAGCACCGTCCTTCTGTGTAAGCTCTGTCAGACCAGCCCAAGGGCTCTCCTGAATCGCCTTCATCATTCCTGCCATGCGGCGTGTCACTTGTTGGTAGCTCTCAACTCTCTCTTCGGCCGTCTTGCGACGCGGGAGGTCGAATTTTAGAAACGCTCTGTAGAAATAGCCAGCTGGCCATAACCACTCAGGACCCTGGTGATAGTTCCGGCCCTTGCTAGTGTGGAAGTCATCAGAATCCTCGCTGTTGATATAAAATCCGCGGTAGTTGTAGTCGGAAGGATCAAGAGTTCTCATACCCTGCGGACCGAGTAAATTCTGATCTACCATCTGCAGAGCGTACAAGGCGTGTTCCGGATCGAACAGGTCGGGAGCCACAGTCATGGCCACGGGGAAGTTGGGTCGCAATTGGTAATCTTCATACTCTTTGCCCGACCTGTAGAGATCCTTGTAGATGCCTCGTCGATTCACTATCTGGGAATTGACATCGTAATTACCATCTTCCTCCGGGCTGCGGGGAACGTAAAATGTCCGTTCAAAGTTGGCCTTTATGCGCTCCCCCCAAGATTTGAAGGATATATTTTGCTTTCCATCGTTGATTGTGACGCCTCCATACGGGTAGACACCCTGTTCATGAAGTCGACATACCCACAGAAGACAGCTGTACAGCAAACCGATCATTTCGACAGGGGCGCCATCGCGGGGGGTGCCGGGAACTCCTTTGCTGCCCGCCTTTTCGCTTTCACCCATTTTGTCCATCCAGGTCCCACAGTTCCACTGGTTGCCACCAAAGATCATACCGGTTTCCCAGTCCGTCCATATCTTGATATTGAAACCCTCATCTTTCATTTGACTGTCGATGTTGGGGCCAGCGTCGTATTCGCGAAATTCCAGACCAGTAGCATGACGCTGCAATGCCTCCTGTATCACCTCTGCTATCGTAGAAGACTGGGAAAAGGCCCGTTTGTCATCGTGCGGGAACCAGGTATCGTCGTAGGGGAGGAACCTACGTTTCACGGGCTGCTGAAGAAGATCCAGACCGTCTGGAACCATGTTGCAATAATCCTGTATGTTCTGCAGGAACCACCAGACAGAGTCTCTGGAATTATATCGAGGCAATTTGCCGCCGCTGAGCAGATTGGGAACCATGCCGTGCTTCAACACGCTTGCAAATGCCATGATGTGCTCTCTGGCATCGTCATACCGACCCGTACACATAAGAAGACCGCGAGCTGAAATGCAAATGTCACGCCCCCAGCAACGAGCCCAGTCGTGTGCAAAGTGCGGGAGACCGGCGGCCAAGCTCGGCACGCTCTTTTCCGGCCATAGTGAAGCACTGTTGGTATAGCCTGTAACTTGAACGCTGACTAGGGCAAGACTTTTTAGAAATGTTTGCCCATTGCGGATGCTGTCAGACATGAGCTGTATACTTCGGTCAATGGCAGCGTTGTAAGCAGTCTGTATTACCATGGCGAAGTACCGGGGGAGAAGGTAACTCGGAAGTTTGCGGATGGCGTCAAACCTCTCTTTGAGCCATTTTGCCGGACCCCGGATGTGCTGATACTTCTCCTTAGAGATACGCTCCAATCGACCCACACAGTAATCAAGAGCCCACTGTCCTTCCCGCAAATGGTTACAGAGTGGATGACCAAGGTTATTTTCGTTGGTGATGTCACGTAGGACACTCCACCACCCCTGAAGACCAGCATACACGAGGGTGCCATGTCCGGGTATGTTATATGTGCCGTCTTTGTTGTTGGATATATCGTGCTCCTCTGGATCGCAGCGGTATAGTATGATGTTGAGGTCCGGGAGCGCACATTCGCGGAACGCATCGCGCGCTCCAGTAGTGACAAATTTGTCGAGGCCATCGCTGTGTTCCGCAGTCTCGACGGAAGTCTCAAAGAGTGCAATACTACCCGGAGGGAAACATTCGGGAATTTCGATTGTGGCACCATCGCCTGTTGACTCGACGACAATGCCTGGCAAATCTTTTGTATGACTGGGTAGGCCCCGCAATATCGTCTTATCGCTCCTGACTGCTTTGCGAGTCTCTGGGCTGTTGTCAACCTCTAGACTCCAACTACCAATGAGCTTGGCTTGATTGCCAGGAAGTTTCGTGGGACCAAATCCTGCATTACCATTGCCGTAACCGGGGAAAGCCGTATGCGCAATCAAGAAGATGCCTTTCCTGGTGCGTGGGTTCACCCGATGGACAGTGATGTACTCGTTTTCGTGATGAATGTACGTCTCGCTGTACCCTTTCTTGCCCATATCCACGTGAATCTCGTTGAGAATCTTGCGGATGCCACCAATGCCGCCTTGACCCGCCTGCGCTCGCACCGATTCTGTTGAGTTAATCGATGAGTATGACCGCTTTTCATGAACCAGATCAACAAGCTCTGGATAGACCTCGTCAAAGCCGAAAACGCTGCCGGTGGCGCAAGCACACATTGCGACCAAGGCGGCACTTGGAAGGGTGTCGCGTGCGTCACGCTTCTGTGCCGGTGTCTCATTATCATGTGTGCAGTCCATGAACAGAGCGTGAACAGGGCTTTGCTTGATCTTTTTGACAACTTGGCGCACTCCATCAGAAGTCGTGAGTGCAGTGGAGGAGTCAGCATTGAGGACCGCATCTGTATCAAAGCTGCCAATGGGCACACCACCGTGGCGATGTACCAATCTGCTTAACTCTTGAGTGCTCCAAGCTTGCATACCTTCTCGAATCAGTGCAGAAATACCTAGTTTCTTAACGAAATGGAAGTCCATCTCCTCAGAGCCAGAAAATAGTTCAGCAACGACAAAGACATTGGGGTTGACAATTCTTGCTTGATCCAGCATAAATTCGGCAAGGTGGATTGGCGTCGAGTGGCAGTTATCGATGCGGAACCCTTGAAAGTGTTTTGCCATCAACCGAGTATATTGAGCCATCCGATCCCAGAGGTAAGGGTTGTCTGCAGGGCCGCTTCCATAGCGAAGCTTCACGCAATCCCCCCAAACAATGACCTCTCGTCTCAAGTAAGCCCGAGACTTGGGCCCAGCGTTGTCTTTCATGGCATCAGCGGCCCAAACCCATCCGTTGTTTACCAGCGCAAGTGCCTCAGGATTGTGATGCTTTGTGGTTTCATTGAGTGGAAGACGTGTAAAATATGGCTCGACAAGCGGACTCTGTTCGGTGATCTCGCCCATCTTGGGTCCATGATCGTCGATACGGCAGTACTTAATTCTGTTGAAGAGTTGCTCCTGGATCTCTGCGGCGTCGCCATCATATTCGCGATAGAACTTCACATTGATCTCGTCGAGAATGTGACTCATGGCTTGTTGGGCTGCGTTTTGATCGGGAGAACCGCCAGCACGGGTATCAAATCGACCGAAAAGAGCGCAAAGAAGAGCAGCACCAGAGGAAGGGTCAACACGGCGTTGATAGCGGATGCCGAAACCGTCGCCATCGTGAAAAGCATGTTCGAGAACCCAGTCGGCTTTTTGCTTCAGGGACCAGCCCTTGACCGCATCGAGGCCCTGAAGACCAGCGTCGCTAAAATTGTTGTCCGGGAAGGTCACATGCCCAGCAACCCAAGCTTCAACAGTGTCTTTCGCATTCTGTGCCACATCAATTACGTAGTATTCCCAAAGTTTGGCCCCACCAAGCACACGAGATTTAACTCCCTCCATGAGTTTCAGCAAGTCGGCAACACTATTGAGCTTAGTAGGAAGACCCAAGGAGTTCAGGCTCCGGCTGTATTCGAGAAGTGCCGTATCGAGATCGAGTGCCGGTCGTAGCCATGGTGATGTTTCGACATTGTAACCAGCTTCGGGATGCTCTTCGAGCCATTTGCTATTGTTTGCCGTATGGTTCCACACCACATCCGTCATGGCCAGCATGTCGTACTCCTGCTGCATCTTGTTCACTAAACGACCTATGTCCTCTTCGCCATTTGGAAAGAGATCCTTGTCGAACTGTAACTGGTCGTAGATGCTGTAGGGTGAGTTGGAGTCACCGCGAATCGACAGCGGGGTGAAGTGCACCATGTTGTAGCCGCGCTGACTGATGCCTCTCAAGTGATGGTCCCAATCATCGGGATACTTTCCCATGAACTTGGACAGACACGAGAAGACAATGATGGATTCGATGGGCAATTGCTGGCCCTTGAGGGTGAGCAGAGGGCAGACGTCGACGTAGTATACGGGTGTTTGTGTGGGTTTCGTTGGGGTGACGGCAGTGAAGGACCATTGCGGTAGTGGCGAGTACGTTGTGTAGAACGAGTACGCATTGGCTTCGTAGATGGGAATGTCGATCTCGGAGCGACCGTTGAAGTCTGGCTTGAGCCTGGAGCGTGAATCAGTCCGTGTCGGAGTTTGTGGGGTGTGGGGTGTGGAGCTCCACATACTTGTACTCGCGATAGTGATCCCGCTTGAACTTATCGCCCTTGGCGGGGACGTTCACCCACAAACTGCCTTCGCGGCATATAGAGCTAGTGCCCTCGATCTGAAAGCGCAGGATGTACGACGGATCCGGAGGCGGCAGATACAGGTATTGGCCAGGCACATCGGGAGCACCGGCGTCGGTCAATGGCAGCAGGTAGACGGCCTGCGTTTGCTGCGGGGCAGACATTGCGTGTGAAAATGGGGTGGACGGATCGGAACGAAATATGTATAGTAGTAGTAGGAGGAAGATTTACAGGTGGAAGAATGTTTGGCGTGGCTGTAAAAATAGCTGCGTGCGTATAGGACTCGAGGACTGGAAGCAGTGGGGAAAAAAAAACAAGAGTTCCGAGGACGAAGGACACACTCCGAGTGCAGTTAATAAGTGCGGTGACCAGCCAACAACAAGTCGCAAAACGAGAGGGCGTGAACGGGAATGGGGACGCAATTGCGATCCAAAAGACCAGAGTCGCAGCGCAGGTGGCAGTAGTTATGTGTGAATGATGGGAAGGGCACGGGAAGTACGAAGTAGTCATTCACTTCCTAGGAGGTACCTGCCTCCAGTCCTTGTGCGTCTGTTCCTGGATTCGGAGGTGACGTCACCCTTGGCACCCGCACAGCTAGCTCCTAGCTACGCTTCATGTGTACTAGGGAGGAGAGTAAACAATGGGTATTCCAAGTAAACAGCGCGCCCATGCCCTTCACTACTATCGGAACGACCAAGCTTGCCTGCTGCAGCAGCTCCTATATCCTTCTAATTACTTATTATACAATGTTTCCTGTCTCTCTCACAAGCATAAGAAAGTCGTTTAATGCAAAAAAAAAAAAACACAATGGCGAGAAAGGAAGGGTCAGGTTTGCAAAACTGAGGGCGGGAAGAAGTGGAATTTTGAAGCGGTGATTCATGGGGGCAATAGAGGAAGAGAGGTAAAACATGCTAAGTCGTGCCCGATCGATGATGGACAACTCCCGAGATCAAACTCCGCCGCTGGACAGCTAACTCGACCGCAACTGCTACCACGAGCCCAAAAGGAACTAGAACGGGTATCGCGGCGTCGTGGCAGCTCAAACTGAGAAGCAAACATGCAAAAGTGGAATAGCAAATTCAAAACCAAACACCATTTTTTTTTTCATCCAACACGCATCTGTCCCTCATCTCATTCATTAAGGTACGGTTCATTAGAACTTGATGTCAAAGGGAGAGCTGGGCGGATTGTTCAGGTCCAGCCGAAACTGACCAGTGGTGGACGATTGACCTCGCGCGTGCTGAGCCTGTGTAGGCGTCGCAAGCGAATCATCGTCTACTGACTCGGCCCTTATACGCGGCGGTTCGCGATTGTCTGGAGAAGATAATGCTCGATCAGAAGAGTGGTCTCTCTGGTTTGCGCCACGTTGAGCAACGACCGATTTCTCCGGACCACCTCCAGCAGAGTTATTGGGTGGTGTAGTGCGTCCCGAAGTGAGGCTGCGATCTGAAGAGACGCCGCGAGAAGAGGGACTTTTGGCTCGGTCCGCGGAACTGCTCCGCCCAGAAGATGACTTGAGAGTTTCCCCAAGATAGTTCGAAGATTGTGATCCCTTGCTTTTTACTGCGCCGTGTCCATTACGAGAAGGAGTGGCTTGAGGTTTATGAGGGTTTTCCTGGGCTTCCAGCAACCGGACCTCTTCCACCAGATATTCTTTCTCAGTCCAGCACCCCTGCCAACAATTACGCCAATCCAAAATCAAGAATTGGAAGCAGAAGGCATCGATCTTGATGGCCGGTTGGAAACAAATGCACAGATTGTTGTAATTCATTTTGTTGAACTCTGAACAAGAATGAAGCAGGCTGATGTGACAAGTGATGGCAAACAGGAGGTAGTAGTTAAACGGCGGCAATCGGGAGAGCTCATCCTTCAACATCTGCGGTGTAGTCTTGGCACCCTGACACTCTTGTTGAATACGCGCTTGTGTTGCTTTGGGGAAGATCTCATCAGGGAGCTGGCGTAGCCAATTTTTGAAAAGGGAGCCAATGACATTGGGGTCATTGAGGTCTTCTTCGGCAATTAGATCAATATCTCGCACTTTACGGCGGGTCAGCTGCAGAAAACAATCGATCCATGTCCGCGAGGCCTACCTTGATCAAATTTTTGTTCGTAGTATCGGATCTGATGGGCGGCACCAGGCACTCGATAGAGACCCTCTTCTTCGCATCCTCTCATATTCAAGTAACTAAAGATTACATGTTAGTGTCGACGTCCGGGAAGCTCTTCACAGCCAAAAGGGCCAGCTTACTCTATGCACCGCCAGGGCAGCGCGGGCATCCAAAACTCCGTCTTGTCTTTGGAGTGCTCCAATCTCCTCGAGATCCGCGTCAAGCGTGTCTGCTCTACTAGTGGCGTATGGATGATTTTGAATCGATATGGCTCTTTTGGAAGTTGAGGTTGGGTTTCATGATTACTGGAACTGCGGCCCAATTTTCCAAAGACACCCTTGCGAGCAGAATCGAACTTCTCCCCCATCTTCCGTGCCCCAACTCCAAGATTGGACATCAATTGAGCACCACGACTTTCATTGAAGGATCCCGAGGCAACGGAACCTTGGTCTGCCCGATCTTTGCGCAGATGGCTATCATCGATGTTGCGGTGAGGGTGATTCGAATTGTCGTGGCGGTCAGCGGAATGCGTTCGTAGCTTGCCAAAAGCCATATTTCCGCGCCAGGATTTATCCTTATCCAGAGGCGCAGTCTTAAGTGGAGGGTTATCGCCATTGCGGGTCCATGTTGCCGTGACCTCGGGGGAAAGTTGGGGGGTCTGGTTCTTGCTGAGTTTTGATCGGCCATTCTCTTCGTGTTTTATCGATCTAGATCGACCCATACCGCCTGCGTGTTTTTGTGGCTTAGAGTTACCATGCCGAGATGTGGAATCTTCGGAGCCGTTTTCCAAGTTGCTATGAGATGCGCTGACTCCGTTGGAATGATCAAAGCCGCCGGATTCGGATCGCACATCTAAATATTTTAGCGTGCATACTGTCACAGCAATTCCATGGTGCTTACCATCAGAGTTGGGCGTGTAGACGGGGCGTTTGAGATCAGGTGTTGATGCACCACCACGACCGTTGGAGTAGATAGCACTGTGATCAGATCTTGCTAGGTCTGCGTTGACCAAGCGTGAGGAGGACTTGGTGGCTGTGAAGTTGGAGAAGATATTTTTGGAGTCCTTGCGAGGTTTTATCGATGCGGGTGACTGAGGCAAGTCCTGATGAGGAACGTCGGCGGCGCCGTGGCTCGCAGGCGGTGACCTTGGACTTAGCGGACTCTGAGGGGAATTGCCATTTTCCTTATTCGCTTTGGGACGCATGTTCAAAGAAAGAGAAGACGCTTTGGGCATCGTTTTGATAGGTTTCCCGGGCGTGTTTAAAGACAGCAGGAAGGCGGATGGAGAAGACCGATGTTTATTGGCAGGGCCACATAGGGCGTGGGAGGAAGACGACAGTGGTCGGACGTGGGGTGGGATGGGGCGCGACTCTGTTTGCTCAAAGTGTCAATTCATAGAATTTATAGTGAACCGAGAGCAGGCTGTACGAACCGTGACAGGCCTGCTGGATCAGAGTGAAGAGGTGCCCTGGCAGCAGGCTCTGCGGCAGACGACCGTCTCAGGAGGCTGAACAGGCAGGAAGCTGAGTGTAGTGCTGTTTGGGATTTACTGTGTAGAGGATTGCAGGGAGAGTGTGCTGCGAGGCTGCAGGAACCCGGTGATGGGCCGGGCGCGCGCTCGTGCGACGGGCAGGAGGGAGTAGAAGGTATCTGTGGCGGCAGAGGTTGACGCAAGGCGACGGCGAACGGTGCCCAGAACAGGGCAAAGAGAGAAATTGTCTGCGTCAGGCGATCGAGACTGTTGGAAGAAATAGGGTCAGCGTGGGCAAAGGAGGAACGGGCGGGATGGCGTACGAATCTGACCTGGCACGATATTGAAACAAAGAAGAGGGGTGAGGGGGGGCGTGGAGCAAGCAACACTCACCCAGTCAACGACGCACACAGATAGGCAGGCAGGCAGGCAGGCAGACGGAGATGGGACGTGGCCCGGCAGGACGAGGACGAAGGCAGGCAAAGAAGCGAAGGGCGGCAAGGGGTACTTACTATGGGGAAAAGGAAAAGCCAAAGGGTAGGAGAAGAAGACGGAGAAGGAAAAGAGGCGGGTTCAAGAAGGGAGGGATATGCGCAGTAGGCAAAATGCAATGCAGGGCAGGGCAGGGTAGGGCAGGGCACCAACGACTTCTGGCTGGCGGAGGAACTAGTGCGGGTTATGGAGAACAACCGTCCAGGCGGGCGTCTTGGGAAAGTCGAGAGAGACGTCGGACGTCGGGGTGGGTGGTGGAGAGGGAGGGGAGAGGAAAGGGGCCAGGCGAGAAGAGGGAAGACGACGGAGTAAGAAAGGGTAGGGAAAGAAAGAAAGGAAGAAAGAAAGGGGATGTGCACGCAGCGGTGACGATCAACAAGCGGCGGCGGCAGCAGCAGCAGCAGCAGCAAGGGCACCAAAGGCAATCAAGCAGGACGAAAAATGTGAATGCTGTATATAAGTAGGTACTTGTCTGGGTGTGTGGTAATAACATGCGTGTATACCTCCGTGTGGTGTGTAAGCAATGCATGTGTGTACGTATGCTCAGTACATACATGCATCTGGCTATGCGTTGGTAATCCGGTGTTCGCGTGCCCCTCCATACCGCCGTGTCCAGTATCTATGTCCTTGGCTAGGTATATGTAGGTACATGGTATTACTCTGTACTTGGCCAAGTACATATGTACCTAGGTACATACATGTGTACATGCAGTATGTACTTGGCTGGGTAGTGCTGCCTCAGGCTCGGTAGGCTGACATTTGGCGCTTTCTGTCCCGCGACGCCCGTTTCAGACCCCGGCAGTACCCTACCTCAAACACCACACCACCACCATCAATACCACCACCCACCCTCCCACGCACTTTGTTCCATCTCTTTTTTCCACCCATCCGCACCTCCGCCGTCAGTCACTCATGTCACTCGTCTCTGGCCCTGGTCGCGCCATGGCCACCATGCCATCCGAGATCCATCTCTATGTTGAGAAGCACGTGAGCTATATTCAGAGCCTCGACAGCGTGCGTCCCGACTTTTATATTTGATTCTTGCTTGCTCTTTTTGCCCGCCTGCTTGCCTGTAATGGGCTGCACTGACCTGCCCAGCGCAAGCATGAGCTCGAATACTGGCTCACCGAGCACCTCCGCCTCAACGGCCTGTACTGGGGATTGACCGCTTTGCATCTCCTAGGTCATCCACATGCTTTGCCACGCGCCCAAGTCCTGGAATTCGTCTTTTCTTGCCTGCATGGCAACGGCGGCTTTGGTGCCGCTCCCGGCCACGATCCACACATGCTGTACACCGTCAGTGCTGTACAGATCCTGGCAACTCTGGATGCTTTCAGTGACCTCGATGCTCATACCAACCATGGCTGTGAGAAGGTGGCTCAGTGTACGTGTATTCGCTCTCGCAAATCTCTCATCTTCGTCAGACTGACAATCTCGTGAGACATTGCCAACCTCCAAGACGCCGACTCCGGCACGTTTTCGGGCGATGAATGGGGGGAGAAGGATACTCGCTTTCTGTACGGCGCACTAAATGCCCTGTCGCTCATGGGGTTTATGCATCTGGTCAATGTCGACAAGGCTGTCCAGCACGTACATTCCTGTGCTAATTTTGACGGTGCATATGGCACCAGCCCCGGTGCTGAATCCCACTCGGGCCAGGTCTTCACCTGTCTAGGTGCTCTTACTATTGCGGGGAGACTTGACCTCGTTGACCAGGATAAGCTAGGGGCCTGGCTCAGCGAGCGCCAACTCAAGAGTGGAGGCTTGAATGGGAGACCCGAGAAGACCGAGGATGTTTGCTATAGCTGGTGGGTCATGAGTAGTCTAGCTATGCTAGACAGATTACACTGGATAGATGGCGAAAAACTTTCATCCTTCATCCTCCAGTGCCAGGTGAGCTTACGTCGGGATCATGCAAGACGGTGTGGATACTGATGCATTTTGGCGTGCAGGACCCTGACCACGGCGGCCTTGCAGACAGTCCGGGCAACATGGTGGATGTTTTCCATACCGTCTTCGGGCTTGCTGGACTTAGTTTGCTGAAATATCCAAGTCTTGTAGAGGTTGACCCCGTATAGTAAGTGGCCGGCAAAGTCATCGCAGATGAGACTAACATGGAATGCAGTTGCATGCCGCGTGAGATCACGCGACGGTGCCTGGGGAAGTGATTCCAGTATTGGGGATCCAAAGCATAGCTGCAACATTTACATGCCTAGGTACACACATGTACAAACATCAGTTGTATACATACATGAATGACTACTTATCTATGTATACATCTGGCGACATGCGTAAGGGTAATTGTAGATGTGCAGGTCACGCAATGCCGTTTCACAAGACTTGTTGCTGTGTATATGTAGGGGCCACATATACTGTGTGAGGCAAGAGGTGAATGCTATATGAAAGATGAACTGAGAGAGCCGTGATAGATGGCTGGTGGTGGTGGTGGCCGCGTCTGAGCCAGGCCATCCCACGTGGCTCAACTGGGTAAAGTGGCACCTACGTGAACTCACCTTCTGTCCATTGTGCAATTCTTTCCTCTCGTTTCCTCTCCATCTAGCAATTGGTCCTGTCTATTCCTGCTGCAGACTTCCCTTTCTTCCTCGTCATCAATGCTGTGGTTGCCGTGACTCGGCGGTCCGCCGAGCACTCTTCCACCCTTCTCCTCACCTTCTTCGTTTCCAGTGCGCTCCTTTCACCTCTCACTTTTCCTTCTTCCGACGTGCTGCAGGGACAGCTCTTCACCCACATAAGCCGACTGCATTGCACTGCACTGGATTGCACTGGGTTGCACGGCACTGCCAACCACGCTTCACCGCCATCATGGCAGCCATTCCCCTCATATGCACAATCTGTCCCAAGAAGCCCAACTTCAGCGATGTGTCTCACCTTCTTACGCATATCGCCAGCAAAGGGCACCTGTCCAATTACTACAAACTCAAGGTCCGTTCGTCAAACGAAGATGCCTCCCGCCGCTCGATCGAAGCCTACGATCGTTGGTACAGCGAGTGGAATGTCGAAGAGCTTATGTCGGATCGGATGGTACAAAAAGATAAACGCCGCTCTCGGGGAAAGCCTGCTGGTGCTGGTATCGCCTTCACCTTGACCCCCCCGCTAAACCAACAACTACTAACATGACGTGACGCAGCCACGGGGCGGGCCGCACCGACTCCTCAGCCCAAGATTGAAGCCCCAGTTCCTCGCCAATCGCGATCTCGTGCCTCCGGCAACCTGCTTGATCCTCGTCTCTACGAGCAGCAAATGATGATCAAGGTCGAGAACTCCACGCCCGTCTCCACTCCGAGAGCTCTCCTCCGGCACCGTCCATTTGTTCCCTACATGCAGTACTGGGCTTCCGAGTCTCGCGCAAGCTCCCGCACCGGCAGTTATACCAACCCGGACTACGACACGTCTAGCGAGTACTCGGATCCGAGTGAGCGAAGACGCTACCAGTATCCTGCCGATAATTCCTGTGCAATTGAGGACGACAACGCCGACACACCCTTGCCAGTGCCTGTGCCTGACCCAATGGCAGTAAGCGAGAGTACCAAATTAAAGGGTGTCTACTGGCCAGGCATGGATATCTTCGACTCTGCTACGCCCGAGATGCGGCGTAAACGCAACCAGAAGAAAGATAGTTCTGTTGTCGAACAGCTGGAGCTGAACTCACAGGAGGTTGAAGCAACTGAACTCATATTCACTCCGCAAGGTTCTTTCAAAAGACAACGCAGAATCTCCAGCTCCGACCTGGATGATGAAGATGATATTCCGGTCAAGACGGAAAGCCCGAAGTCCTTGCCACCACGGGCACCCTTGGCCGACCTGGACGTGAACACCCTTTCCCGCGGTCAGCAGCTTCCGCGCTCGCAGTTTTCGTACTCGTTCCACAACGGATACGAAACTGAGCACCGGGGCCTTGGCTCCAGTTATACACATGCAGAACAAGCACAAAAGCGCAAACGATCATTCGATGTTTTTCAGGAGGAGGAGGAGGAGGTCTCTTTCACCCAGCCTGCGACATTCAACTACCTTACGGCGGCCCTCCACCAGCAAGCGTCCCCAACACTAGCCCCTATGCTTCCTAATCACAAAGCTTACGGCAACTCCTTTCATGCTGATAATAAGGAGAACACTCTGCCAATGCCTCACCAATCGAATTACGAGCACATCTACCCATGTGCAGCTCCAAGCTACCATTACCACGCATATAGCTATGGTCTTGACCAGGATCTCAATACGTTCTCATATCACAATCCCGTCTACAATTACAATGCCTACCAGCAACAGAGTATCCAGGAGGATGACCAACGCACGATTACCGCTCCGCCATCCCCTTCCACTACGTAGATGGGGGTGACGCGATTTTCTGTATCCTACCGTGCAATAGTGTTGCCTGAAGAACTACAATCACAAGGCCATTATTTGCTAAAAACGCCAGTGACATTCGCGGACCCTTCTGTCTATGTCCTACCATTCCATTGTGCAAGACGGTTTGACCTTCTTGGAGATGGGCTAGGACGCCATCGCACACATCTTAGCGTTTCACGGCATATGCTCTTGTTTCCCGGATGCATGCAAAAGCAGAGAGAGTGGGCTGAATTATGATCGGATAACCTCTGAGTTGAACTCTGCCGCAGAGGCATCTGTTTTATTAGCTCCAAGCCATACATTCGGATGCACTGCCAGTGCCTGGAAATGTGGTCATGGCTCAACTTACTTCTTTCATTTCTCATTCCGGTTCTCTTCAAGTACCTGGTTGGTCTTCCTTTTCATCTTTCTGATTGCTCTCCACCTTCATCCTTTATTTTGGTTGCGATTCGAGTGGTGGGTTCATGTTTCATGGCTATTGTTGGGGGCATTGAGATATAGCTGGGTATGTACTATGGCCGTAACCCCGAAGGCAGGAGGCTGGGATGCGGGCCCCCATGTACCTATATCGGTGCGGGGTACAACTTGCTTCATATGTTTTATACCCATTGATGCGCAGGAAGCACGGCGAGGAGTTTGTATGATATGACTCAAGGCGAGAGCATATCAGTAGATCCATGATCCGAAACAAATCAATGTACACTATTAAGTCTCTGATGAACTGTGACATCGAGTTGCGATATTATTAGAGCCAGCAGTGTGTTGCTGGCAAACCTGGAAGTCTATACCATACAATCAGGGACCAAGTCTATCTATTCGGGCTCGTCGAGTTGGCCTAGTGGTCTTCATGAGGACGATAGTTGACAACAGCGATATTTCGACGTTGCTGTGGCCACGGTACCTCATGCAAAATGGGCCAAATCTCAACAGATCAAGTATGAACAATCTACATCTGCAGCCAAGATACTGCCACACCATGTTGCACTCCAAACGACACTGAATTCCAAGCCCCAGTCTTCTCCCTCGTCGCCAAACTCCGGTCAATGTGCCTCAGTGTTATCCCTTCGAATTTCATCATACCAACTTCTTCTCAATAGCCTGCAGTCTTTCCTCCCCGTTCAATCCACGGTAGGCGCGTCTTAGTGCGGCACCAATAACCCACATGATAGCACCGCTTGCGACAAACAAAGCGGTGCGCTGCGAGGTGGTGAGGACGGCAAAGATGGGATACGGATAGAAGCCGTTGTGGGAGTAACAGAGCTCGATCCAGAACCAGTAGAGGAAGGCGATTGTCGTGGAAGTTAGGAGAGAAAGAAGAGACGCGCGGGGGTTGATTGGTTGGGTAGGCCCTGTATGAGAGCGAGCGAGGGTTTAGTACAGTAAAACGAGAGTACTAGCAGCAACGTAGTGTCCCTTTTCTCTGATGAAATCAGACAAGGTTCAGACTTACAGGGTGGAGAAAGAAAGAGGTTGTCGATGGTTAAGACAATGGCTGGGAACACTAATCGCACATCAGTCACGTTTTAATGGCGTTTGAGCCAATGCACATGTCATGGAATTGAGGAAATATGTTATCCAAACATACAATGGAAACCCAAGTCTGCAAGAATGGGAGGTTTGAGTAGACCGGGTGGAATCACAAGGGTCTCGTCAATCTACACAGAACGCACAGGTCAATCAGGAGGCTCAACGGAGAGACATTTTCTCCTCGGTGGGGTCTTTCGACATACAGCTCGGAGACCCCAGTACAGGATGCTAATGACAATCTCGATAGGAGCGGCTATGAGAGCGCAATAGTTCTTGGCCACAAAGAAAGTATGTGAGTTGGTGATGTCGGCTAACAGTCCGAAAGCAAAACACGCTGTCGAAATGGAGATTCCGAGCATGGTGAGATACTGGAGATGCCATCCGAAAGACTCGTTCTAGAAGCATACCGCATGATTATTTGCCACTATCGGGACTCGGAGACGTCGAGACGTATGCGAATTTTACGTACCATAATACTGGGGTTGTCTACCAGACTGGTGGTGACGACATCAGCACATGGAAGAATTTTATGGACATGTCAGAACAAGGGGTGAGTCGGCATACAACTTGAAGGAGTTATAGAAACTGATGAGCCCAAGGACCTTCGCACAACTGTTAGCTTTAGAGGATCATCGAGCCCGGTGCTTGTTGTAGGTACATGAATGGCGCCCGAGAAGCCTTTTGATGGTGAGTCGAGCCGCTGAAGGGGATGCCGCCGGCTCTTGTCGGCTTTGGAAGAGGGGTCCATTTTGAAAAATATGTCGAATGCAGCATGCGAAGCAAACAGATGCTCGTACAACGGGCGCTCGGTTCAAACGAAGGGGACCAAGAAGCACGACGAGTGCAGTACGTGAAGACGCCCGCTAGATTGTTTGATTTGGAGCACAGGCGAGTACATCCTGACATGTATCCAAGTACTTGGCTAAGTAGGTAACCGACTAGCCGAGAAGTACCTACGCATGTAGGTGAGAGACGTGACTCGAGGCCACCACCGCAATGCTCTCCCTCGTGCTCACTCAGTGCCGGAGAGCCATGAGGCCTCCCAGCACCGGACCAAAAACAGCAACCATAAGCGTGCCCCAGAGCCAGCATCTTGGAGTGTTGTCCTTGCCATCAATGTCCCCATCCACGGCAACACCTCGGGACCAGCAGCCCACATCAAGCCAATCGGACATGGGACGGGTGAACAGCGGCAGATATTCGGTTGCGTCGAGCATGCACAACCAATCAACGCGGGCTTGCGTTCCCCAGGATTCTCCACACCCTTTGGTTATGGAGTCGCCGTGGTCGGAAAACCGGGCAATTGTTCCGGGAGGTCAGTCGCGGCATGAGTACATGTAGTTGGGCAGGTATATAAGCAATGGAGGGACCAGGACTTTCCGAGGTCGTCATGATACGGCCGATTCCATCCATTCATTCAAAGTCTTTGCATTATCTGGATACATACCTGAGGTAGTCTACTTATCCGACTGCCGCTCAGTCATTTCCAGGAGCATCATTGGTGTATAGGAAGGATGGCTCTCAACGCCAGCCCAGATCTCGATGCGATAGTACAGTCATTGTCGTTGGAAGAAAAAGCTTCTCTTCTCGCAGGCAGAGACTTCTGGGAGACGGTCCCAATTCCTTCCAAAGGCGTTCCAGCGATCAAGGTACTGCGCCTGCTTACCCGTGAGACTTTGATCATCCTCTACAACTGACTGGGCTCGACTGATTTAGACCTCGGACGGACCCAATGGCGCTCGCGGTGCTGAATTCGTTGGAGGCACAAGAGCCGCTTGCTTTCCTGCTGCGGTTTGTTCGGCTGCGACTTGGAATCCCCATTTATCTAGGCGCATAGGGAATGCTTTGGCCGAAGAAACCCAGTCCAAGGGCGCCCGGGTACTGTGAGTAGAATCTCTACACCTGCGCTGCTGTAAACAAGCTGATCGACCCTCCTTCAGCTTGGGACCCACCATGTGCAACCATCGACATCCACTTGGGGGCCGCAACTTTGAGAGCTTCTCTGAGGACCCCTTACTTGCTGGCAAGCTCGCCGCGCAGGTTGTCAACGGTCTTCAGGAAAAGGGCATTGCAGCCACAATCAAACACTTCGCCGCGGTAGTTCATCATCAATTCATACCATGCCTGACCATGTCTCTGACCTTGGGCAATAGAATGAACAAGAAACTGAACGGTTGTCTGTCGATGAGATAATTTCCGAGCGTGCCTTGAGAGAGATCTACATGAAGCCGTTTGAGATTGCTATCAAGGAAGCCAATCCTTGGGCTGTTATGACAGCGTGAGTTGGACTTCCTATTTCACGAAATTCTCGAGGCGCGAATGCCTGCCCACAAACCCCAAAATGCCCCATTCTAATAGCGATTCCCATTTCCCAGTTATAACAAAATCAATGGATGCCATGCCGATGCTCACGATTTCCTCCTGAAGAAGGTGCTTCGTGGCGAATGGGGCTGGAAAGGGCTTGTCATGAGTGATTGGGGAGGAACCAACTCAACTGCAGCTGCCTTGAACGCAGGGCTTGATCTCGAGATGCCAGGTCCCACTCAACACCGACAGTTCAAGGCCATCAAGGATGCGATCGACAATGGGGAGCTCTTAGAAGTCACCGTTGACGCTCGCGTTCGAAATATATTAGAATTGATCGAGAAAGTGGGCGCATTTGAGCATCCTGAAATTCCTCCGGAGAAGTCTATAGACAATCCTGAGCATCGTCTGCTCATCAGGGAAGTGGCCGGACAGGGCTTGGTGTTACTCAAAAACACTAGTAATACCCTACCGTTGAAGCGAGAGAATCTGAAGGGCAAGAAGGTTGCGCTCCTTGGTCTTGCAAAGGAGGCGCTGATACACGGAGGTGGAAGCGCATCTTTGAACGCGCATTACCGCATATCACCGTGGGATGGGATGCGTAGCACTTACGGCGAGGACGTTGAGTTTGCATTTGCCAAAGGTAGACATCTGGATCTTTGCGTATCTTTAGCCTGGACAACCCACTAATCATAATCGCAGGTGCTCATACGTACCGGCAGCTCCCCCCATTGTCGTCTCACTGCACAGACTCTTCCGGTAAACCTGGCTGGTCTCTCGAGTTGTTCGAGCGCGGCAAGCCCGAAAAGCCTGTCCACACAGAGTACGGTTATAAAGAAGCTGCCTTCAACCCAATCGGCGGATTTGATTCCAAATGGAAGAACGTCCGGTTATCTACCACTTTTGTACCCACTGAAACCGGTCAGCATTACCTGGCGAGTTCTGGGATGGGACCAACAAGCATCACCATCAACGACACACTAGTCTTTGAGCAAAAGGGGGATATCGATGATCCGATGGCATTTCTACTTGGAGGCGTTGCCGAAAAAGAGTTCCAGTATCCTTTCACTCAAGGCGTGTCCTACCAGATCACTATTCGATCCAGCCCCCCTGGTGGTGGCGATGATCACGGAGGGATTCTTGCCGGCCTTCAAGGCTTCCGAATGGGCTTCATGTATAGAGACGAGCACAACAAGGATTTGGTTTCCCAAGCTGTCGACATTGCAAAGGAGTGCGATTACGCGATTGTGTTCACCGGCCACCTTCCAGTTTGGGAGACAGAAGGGCAAGATCAACTCAGCTTTCACCTTCCAAAGGAGGGGTCACAGGACGACCTTGTCGAAGCCGTGGCATCTGTCAACTCGAGGACTGTCGTAGTCAATTCTACAGGTGTAGCCGTGGCGATGCCGTGGCTCTCAAAAGTGGCTGGTGTGATTCAAGCTTGGTTCCCAGGGCAGGAAGCTGGCAACGCTATCGCAGACGTCATCTCAGGAGCAGTCAATCCCTCTGGTAGACTACCAATTTCGTGGCCTAAGAACATCGAAGATGCCCCCGCATACGGGAACTTCCCAGGAACCAAGAAAAATGGACAACTCACGGTTCATTATGAGGAAGGCGTCTTTGTAGGTTACCGTCACTACGATCGCATCCCACAAGAGAAGTTACAGTTTCCTTTCGGTTTTGGTCTTTCGTACACCACATTCTCCTTCAGTAATGCTAGCGTCTCGCCTGGGTCACATGGTAAATTCAAAAGTACGGTTACAGTATCCAACACCGGGGAGCAGCCCGGGGCTACAGTTGTTCAATTGTATATTGGCAGAATTGGAGCATCTGAAAAGCATCCGATCAAGACGTTGGCTGCTTTCCAAAAGGTATTTGTAGGGATTGGCCAGGACCAGACCGTTAAACTAGAAGTGGGACACCGGGATTTCGCATACTTCGATGAGGCGAGTGGATATTGGAAGGTTGATGAGGGGCGGTACTGGTTCTCCTTTGGACAATCTACTTCTGACATACAAGCCAGAGTGGAGGTCACAATTGGGAGTGGTAAACATATGACTTGGTAGGTCAGGGTCACGGGATCTTACGTACTATGTGGGCGAAAACACTGTAAAAAATTGATTGTTATCGGATGCGCAAGAGGTCCAGAACTGTGTCGAAGCGATGACATTGAGATTTTGTTTGAACGATTGATATACTGTAGAGTTGCGCAGGTAATAGGCACACCGCCATTCTTCGCTGCATACTAGAGTAACTAAACAAACGTTCAAAACACTGATCAATGGGCGAGACTTGATCCTTTTCGGATCGTTTTTTATCCAGCCTCCAGTGTCACGGTCCAAAGGTCTTGGCGCCCGATGCGCCGGGTTTAGCAACGTAGCAGGGCGGAGACATCAGGACCCATCGAACAAACAAACGCACACGGCTGACGCTTGCTTTCGTTGTTGCGCTAGATGGAGTTCAATACGATTACTGACATCCTGAGGTTTGTTGACCAATACGCAACGGGTGCTTGCTGAGCTGTGATGCTGCTCCGTTGTCGGTTGTCGGAGCTCACCGCGTAGATGCCTATCGTTCGCGTCTCCACCTAGGCATTTGCCATCCCCCACTTTCGCATATAGCACGCTCGCTACTTTGCACATGTGCCCATTCAACCTAAAGCTTCCCTCCTTTCATGCCTCTTTCTTCTTTCCGAATGATGATGGATAATTCGAGAGAGAAAACAACTAATCATCCAATGACGGGGGAGGCGGACCGTCTTAGATATGACGAAGCAGTCCAAGGGTTTCGACAAATTGAATATCCCATGCTTGAAGGTGAGCCGATTGGGGAACACAGACAAACCCAAGCTGATATCAAAGAGGGACTACCTATTTCGACCATGCCGGTACCACTCTCTATGCGAAGTCGCTGATTCAGCGCTTCTCCGCCGATATGATGTCTCATTTGTACGGGAATCCACATTCAGCCTCCAACTCATCGCAGTTGACCACGCGTCGGATAGAAGATATCAGACTACGACTGCTGGGGTTGTTTAATGCCGACCCCGCTGAATTTGAGGTGGTTTTTGTCGCCAACGCCACTGCAGGCATCAAGCTTGTCATGGAAGCCTTCTGTGGACTGGAAGAAGGGTTTTGGTACGGGTACCACCGGGATGCACATACGAGTTTGGTAGGAGTGCGCGAATCTGCTTCCAGTCACCACTGCTTTGCTTCAGATGCCGAAGTTGAAGATTGGCTACAAGACCAAGACAGTTTGACGGCAAGCTCAACATCTTCGCTCTTTGCATATCCAGCGCAGTCCAATATGAACGGGCGCCGCTTGCCTCTGGATTGGCTACGCCGCTTACGTACAAACCATCATGGCCAAGTATACAGTCTACTCGACGCTGCTGCTCTAGTCTCGACTGCGCCACTGGATCTCAGCGACCCGGAGAGCGCACCCGATTTCACAGTTTTGAGCTTGTACAAGATATTCGGCTTTCCAGACCTAGGTGCACTGATTGTGCGGAAGCGGTCAGACTCCATATTTGACAAGCGCCGTTATTTTGGTGGGGGGACTGTAGAGTCCGTGGTCTGCCTCCAAGAAAGGTGGCATGCGAAGAAAGAAACACTTCACGAGAGACTGGAAGACGGGACATTGCCAATACATAGCATCATGGCTCTAGACGTCGCGATTAGTGTTCACCAAGAGCTGTATAAATCTTTCGAGGAGATATCGAGTCACACCACTTTTCTTACTGTCAAGCTGTATAGCGACTTGAAAGCACTAACTCACGGAAACGGCGTCCAGGTATGCCATATCTACGAGGACGCGTCTTCGACGTATGGAGTATCTGATACGCAGGGGCCAGTCATTGCGTTCAATTTACAGAATCAATACGGGGGCTGGGTCAGCAATGCAGAGGTGGAAAAACTCGCAGCGATCAAAAACTTCCAACTACGCACTGGTGGTCTTTGCAACCCTGGCGGTGTTGCATCGTCACTGGATTTGGCGCCGTGGGAAATGAGAGCCAATTTCTCGGCCGGGCAGCGATGTGGAAACGACAATGACATTATTCGGTCGAAGCCGACTGGTATGATTCGGATCAGCCTTGGGGCAATGAGTACACTCCAAGACGTATCGCTATTCATCCAATTCGTGCGAGAGTTCTTCGTCCAAGACGTGCCATCAGCAGTGTCGCTACCAGTCATACCTGCGCCTACCGAGCCACCAACATGGAGCCGCCTACACGTGGAGAGTATATCCGTATACCCCATCAAAAGCTGCGCTGCATTCAGCGTACCGCCAGGCAAGTCGTGGGAGGTGCGGCGCGAGGGTCTCGCTTGGGATAGGGAGTGGTGCTTAGTCCACCAAGGTACAGGAGCGGCGTTAAGTCAGAAGCGCTATCCCAACATGACTCTGATTCGTCCAAGTATAGACTTGGATCATGGTGTGTTACGTGTGCGTCTGGTAGGGCATCTGCAGGAGAAGTCGACGATGGACGAGATTACCGTGCCTCTCTCTGCTGACCCACGACTATATTCGGATCAAAGCGTGTACAAGGAGGCGAATGCAAAGGTATGCGGGGACGAGATCAAGGCGAAGACATACAAGTCACACGAGATATCATCATTTTTCACCCAGGCGCTCGGGGTGGCTTGCCATCTTGCTCGTTTCCCCGCGGTCGGTAACGGAAGTGGCCCATTGGCTTGCTCCCGACATTCCAAGACCCATCTTCAGAAGAAACAGCAGTCCGGTGATATGCACATACCCGGCGCTTTCCCTGAACTGACGACGAGCTTTCCTGGGCAAACGGTTTCGAATCCCATACTCTTGTCGAATGAGAGCCCGATCCTCACGATTTCACGATCTAGTCTCAATCGCCTGAACGAGCAAATCAAGGCGGAAGGCGGCAAGGCGGCACAGGCAGAGGTATTCCGAGCCAACATTGTGATTGCAGAGAATTTCGAGTGGCCGCCAGGCACAGAACAGGCGTACGCAGAGGACGAGTGGCGTTACCTCCAGATCGGGCAACAATACTTTGAGATGCTTGGGCCATGTCGCAGGTGCCAAATGGTATGCGTGGATCAGCAAACTGCGGAGCGCAACCAGGAACCGTTTGTCACGCTTTCCAAAACGAGACGGTTCAATGGCCGTGTGTATTTCGGCGAACACACGCGCCATTTGGCAATGGATGGCGATGTAGCTCTGGCAGCGCAGAACCCCAGCATCACTGTGGGGGACGCTGTTCGAGCGTTCCTGGTGGAAGAGATGCACGACGATGAGAGACTCGGAGCGCTGACTAGCTGAAAGCGTCTAGGGACTATGTTTCAGTGCTCCATTTGCGAAGGCAAGGTGCTAAACATAGATGTGTTTGTTTGCGAGATGGAGTCGCTGTGCCTCAAGCTCGCTGTGATAAAATCTCCGCATGTGGCTTCGTATCGCATGCAACATCAGTCAGGTACAGTACTGGGCATCGGGGGTCGAATGTTAGCGCCTCGATGTCTCGAATGCGGATGGGAATGGGAGCGGAGGGAGATGAGCCTGTCAAGGGCGGTGGACGATGATTCCTCGCACAGGCACGGGGTGAACAGGGGAGTGGGCGGCGATGGATGGTGTGGTGAGGCGCGCGCTCACGAGACTGAGGGAGCAGAGAGCATGGCAACGGGTGGTCTGTGGATGGAGGGCAAGCTGGAAGCGCGCGCGCGACCAGAGGGGATGGGAGGACACACAGCGGCTGCAGAGCAGATAAATGGCGATGCAAGTCCACGAGGACAGATGGTCGTCTGGCTGATTGATTGCGCGCTCGCATCATTCATTCATTCATTCATTCATCCATCCATTCACTCATCCTGTTGCGCATCATCAGCGTTATTATCAGCTTCATCGTTTCGGCAAGAATCCTTCTTCGCTGTTTGTCGGGATACCACGCACCTTGTTTCGAGTCGTCTCGTCCCGCGTCGACGTGCGTGATCGTGCGAACACGTTGTGGCCCTGCTCTCCCCGGGCTGCCAGGCCGTCTCCGCTCCTGCGCTGCTCGCTCATTGGCGCTCGCGACGTGTTTGGGCGCTTGGAGAGGGCCCTGTGATTGGCGGCCAGGACCCAGGCGGCGGCGGCTGTTTTGCAGCGCACACGCAGCACAGCAAGCACCACACACACTACACGGCGAGGCCCGAGCGGCGGAACCACTGGCCACTGCCTGCCATACACCCCCCGCTACCGCCCTAGACAGACGTTTGTCTACGCGCCCGCCTTTATTTAGCATCCGAGCTCAACATCCCAATCCGTCACCACCCATACGCTCCACGCCTACTTGCCTCTACACTCACCCATTTCTCCAGAGTACTTACATACCTACATACTCGTCCTGCCCTGCCCTGCTTTCCCTCGTCTTGCTTCCCCTGCCTCGCCGAGCCCGTCCACTTCCTCGTGGGAAGCAGCCGCACTCCTCCTAATAATATCCCTCCCTCTCCCTCCCTCTCTCTCTCCCCCTACTTTCCCCTCCCCCTCCCTCTCTTCTTCTTCTTCTCTGCTACGCCGCCCGCCAACACCATGGCCACCACGGATTCAAAGCCCGCCCTGTCGGCCCTCAAAACGCCTCTCTCTGCGACCTACCCTTCCGAGCTGCGGTCGCCCATGGTCACCTCGGCCTCCACGCCTACTTTTGTCTCCATCAAGAAGGAAGAGTCACTAAAGACACCCATCACCCCTCCTACTGCCTACCTCGACTTTCTCAAGACCATGTCTCCTGTCGTCATGAGTCCAATGTCGGCCGGCCCCAGTCCCAAGTTCATCTTTGAAGCCAATCGGCCCACATCTCATGCATCCATGACTTCAGCTGCCTCATCCACGTCCTTTACTTCAACATCAGGCCCCGCCGACAAGACTGCCGCCTCCACTCCGGCTTCGTCACGCTCCAACAGCTGCTGCAATTGCGACACTGTAAAGCAGGAACCTCCCAAAACTGCTCCCCTCATGAAAGACACTGTCGTCACCATCCCTCCGCCATCTCCCTTCACGCGCCCGCAGTCGGCCCGTACACCGCGACTTTATATCCCGCAATCTCCCTACTCTCCAGCCACAGTACGATCACCCGCAAGCGCAAATTCTATCAACTCACCATACTCTGCAGTATCGCCGAAAACGTGGGACCTCGACAAAAAGACGGGCCGAACTCGACGCGTGAGCGTGCGAGAGGTCGTCACTCGCACAGTGACCTACAGCAGTACCCCTGTGGACACCAAAGCACCTAGCTTTCCCCAGATCGACCCCGCCCCGCGCGGCAAAAGGAGGAAACTCGAATAAATCCAATTTTTGGGGCGCGGCCCAGTCTTGGGTTCGGTACTTTGTACCCTTTTACGCTAATGACCATGACATGTTTCTGATTCAGCACTTCCTCTTGCTCTTTACTCGGAGCGTATACCACCCTCGAAATCGGGCGCGCGCACACACACACACGCCACGTAATCGACTGGATTCTCTACATTCTGTATATCTTTCCACCATGGCCGACTTGGCTTCTACTACATTAGCAGACCACCCAACCGCAACCCGCACATGCATCAACCCACCGACCTACCAACCGATCACGCTCGGGTCCCGGCGACTCTATCGCATTTTTCCATGGATGGGTTCGATTGGGCCATTGGCGCAAGGGTGGTGAGCGGCAGCGTGGGCTGGGCCGTGCCAACTGGCATTCACTGCCATTCATTTCTTTTGTTCGGAATCGACCGTGGGAACAACGAGGCCATGAATTCCTTTTCTCTTGTCTTTTTCATCTTTGACCAATTCACACAATACCATTTTCAGCGGCGGAAAACTTTGGCGCCTTCTTCTGGATCGGATGGGACTGGAATGTTGCTTCTGCGCGATGTATGACTTTGTTACCCATGGCTGCAGAGGAATGCTAGTCTATGTATGTATGGACGTTCTGTTTGGCGGCAAAAGCGGGGGGGGGAGGGGCGTCGATTAGCGCCCATTGGCTCTTGTCGCCCAATGCGCGATGAGAGACGACGAAGCATGTTGGAGCAAGTACCCTGATATCTGTTGGCCGGTTGCTCAATATCTTTCTCACTGGGCAATGGGATCATGGACGTGGAGTATGAAGAAGATTTGGAAAGGGGTCTATTGCGACTACATAGAACAAGTGTAGGCAGCATGTTATCTTCACCTTGTTTCACACCAGACGTCTCTGGCACCAAGCCACTTGCATAAGCAGCAGCATACGAGGATCACGATAATTGTTGTTCCAGTTGTGAATGAATATGCAAGAAGCATCTGATGATGGGATACCGAGGATCTGAATGGAGGTGCCGGGGTACTGAGGCGGCGTACATGAAGTATAGTTGGGTGTACTATATAGTAGGTGATAACAGCATGGTTCTGCCAGGTTGCAGCCCCAGACGACGCGGACTGCAATCAAACGGGGGACTCAATCAATCCATCTATCCATCAATGGAGAAGGAAATGGATATCCACATGCATCCAATACTTTATCCAATACACAGGCGACGTGCCTTGTTCTGACCAGGTGCCATGGGGTCTGTTCGAGGTATGTACGTACATAGGCTTCCCGCCGGTGGCTGGCCAATCAGTCGCCCTGCATCCCGCTCACTCAGTAGTTGCGAGCGGGGTGGCGGAGCCCGGGCCAATGGCTAAGCGCCCGCTGACTGTGCTCTGCACTCTCCATGTACACTCTACCCTCTACACTTTACTGTACCGCACTGCTGCCTGCTGACCGTCCGATCCACTCCATCTCTCTCTCTCTCATTCATTCACTCACTCATGCGTGGACACAGCAGGCCGGGGCAAAATGAAATCAACATCTGTTGCCCGGACAGTGCCAGTGGGACTTGCGATATGCTCCAGCAGCCGTACATGGATGGAATCGAAGAGTCCGTATGCAAGATTGCCCTCTGCCGCACACCGCTGATTATCCATAGGTACCTGTGTATCCATCCATGTACTGTCTGTGCCTGTTACGTTTGAACCCAATTGCTGCAGGGAAGCCATGTGTCAAGACCCATGTCCGGAACCATCTACACAGCGGAGACTACCAGCTTGATTGTATAACAGGCCTTATGGAATATCCACTTGTGTTTGTGCACGCACTATACATACAGTGCAGTACAGTATAGACACTGTAGTCCTGGATGGCTTGCCCCCACTCTTGCCTACAGGGCTACCCCACCTCCGCTTGCTCTCTTGTTTCGCCATGGTCTACTTCGCTTGTGAACTTGAAAGAACTCACAACACCAAATCACCCAAAACAGCAAAACTCCCAATCGACGCGAGCCTTGGTATTATTCTTCGCATTCCCTTTCAACTCTTCATCCTGGTGCTTGCAAATCTTCATATTGTTCTTCTACACGCTCCACGCCACTTACGTTTCACGGCTGCCTATCAAATTCTTTGTATCTTCAGCATCCAGGTTGACACATGCGTTGGCATAAGAGACCGACCATGGACAGCCCCAACTGTCGTCTTCTGTGTGGTGATAGGCTTGACGAATTGCCAAATAGATACAACTCTCAGCCTTCATTACGATTGGAAAATGACCAACATCTTCCGGGACCCTCCAGCTCCCACCGACACTGACAACCAGGCCCGACGAATCCATGGGCTTCATCAAAATTGTCACCTGTCACCCCCTCCCCCTGCGCGTCAACGCAAGTATTCCACCAGCCCCAGCGGCTTCGTCTCCATCGGTACACCAAGTGTGAGCCCTTATTCTAGCCCTACCTTGAACACTCATGGAGGGGGAGGTGATGAGTACTTTGTTTCTTCAGAAGAGCCGGGCGTGTCTATTGAGCTACAGCCAGTGACTGCTGAGGATGCCGAACCCTTAGCTATACTTTTTGAGCGCTGCTTTGCGACCGATGTCCTCAATCTTGTTGCCAAGCCGCCTCACCGCATCGACCCTTCGCACCCTCTTGAGGAGCGTGAATGGCGCATCTTGCAGTATCAGCTGGCATCACAAGTTCCCACTAGCCACCTCGTGAAGGCCATAGATGTAAAGAATGGTGGGAAAATCATCGGAGCAGCTGGGTTCTTTGGACCGGGTGGGATTCAGTGGTCTATGAAGGGTAGTGATGGTAAGGGCGGGAACATCGATATTCCTAGTCATTGGGATCGCAATTTCAGGGCTTTCTTTGACAAGTGTCAGGAAGAGGCGAGGGAGAGTGTGCTACGGGGTAATCATCATGTTTGGGGTAGGTTTGCTTCAACCATTATTCCTTTCTGTCCGCCAACAGCAGGTACCGGTACCATGCTAACGAGACTACAGAACTTGTGCAGTTGTATGTTGACCCGGTCTATCAACGTAAAGGAGTCGGTCGAATGTTGGTCGATTGGGGCTTGAAGCAATCAGATGAAGATCACTGTCCTACTTATGTCGAAGCATCGCCTGATTCGAAGCCTTTCTACGAAAAAAAAGGCTTTCGAGTCAGGGCTGAAGCCATTATCCCAGGCGTAGCGCCTGAAAACGCTGAGCCTTACAAGTTGTATTATATGTTGAGAAGTGCTGGTGGAGTCTAGTGGAACATGCGGGAGTCAGACTTCATCTCCTTCTAATTGAGATCACGCGGAAATAGCTGCAATTGGTTTTTTTTTTCCGTTTCGCAGTATAATGGTAATTTCAAACGCTAATGCAATGTGCCCAAGTCTTGAGCTTCTCCGGTTGAGGAGACTATTGTGGGGTATGTTTGAAATAACGCCACCATGTTCGTGACGAGAGAAAGAAATCTAAGGGACCTTCTCACACTGCAAGTCAATGTGTAGTATCTATTCATTACCCGGCTTGAACCCCGAATTCGTTGGTTCATCCCATAATCGTCGTGACGCCGTTCATGCCCATGCCCGAATCTGCCAGTTCATTTCTGCAGTGCTTGCTTAATCCTCCAGGAACTCCACCATTACACTCGCGTTTTTCAGTCCAGCATCCGAGATCGACACATCCAACTGCTCAATTAAGTTCTTCCCGGTAAATGTCAGGTCAAAAACTGCACCCTCTTTACCCTCCCATGGGTGGTCAGCCTTGATCCACTCGAAGATCGTCCGCACGGGATCAGCAAGATTGAAACGGCGAACGATGGGACGGCCCGGGCCACCACGGAATTGAATGCGCGTAGTCACCTTGGGATCGGTGACGGTTGGCTCTACATGCGAGTTGGCTGAAGAGATTTGGTCGAAAGGGGACGTGGCGCTCGATGAAGATCCCGCAGCTTCTTCCTCAGCCTTGCCTTTGCCCTTCTCGTGTTCGCTACCCTTTGTCAGTGCGTCTGGGTCTTCGTCCTTCGGCCCCTGGTTGTTGTCTAGGCTGTTTTGTAGTGCCATTGCCATCTGCTCTTCCTCTGTCATACGGCCTACATCCACGCTCTTCTTCTCTGATTTTCGCATGGCTATAGGGTTCTTCGCAGTAGCACTGAGGCTGTAACGATCGAGGAATTCGTGAAGTTGAGCATGGAATTCTACAGGCTCAGGGACAGGTGGGCCTGACCAAACTTTTACTTGCTCGCCGGTTCGGGGGTCCACAATTGCGATATGTGGGTAAGCATCTGGGCTATCGCGTGCGTGGAAGTAGTAGTTGATGTAATCTTGTCCCCGTGGGTCGTCTTTGGCATACTGCATGAAGATGAAGTTCTCCCGTACAGTGGCCTTGATGTCGTCGTTCTTCCAAATGTCCCTGTTCAGACGTTGGCAGTCAAAGATGGGGGGATCTTGGATGTTAACCAGAATCCATTTCTCATCGGCCTTTCCATCATCGCGGGCTTTCTCCCACGGCTGCTGGTACATGATCTCAAACGGGGGTCGGAAAAGCTCGGCAAGTCTATTATTTTTGGAGGATGTCTCGGAAGCCCCGCCAGTGGCCGTGGCAAGCTCACGACGTCGAGCACTTGAATCAGCCGACGAGTTCTCCCATACCGACGATTGTGCCTGTGGCGTCCGCTGTGTGAAGATACCTGGCCGTGCAGCAGGATTCCGCCGACGGGCGATCTGTTCCTGGACCATAGCATCGACGTCATCATCTTCGGGGAGCCAGTCTGCTCCAGGACCAACCAGCGTCTCGGTTCGGCGATCGATGGGTGCTCGAACTTGGTCCTGATCTAGCCCACCGCCGCCGCCACCACCTCCGCTACCATACATTTCTTCTTGTAGACGACGAGCCATGGCCTCATCGTCGTCCACATTCGGCTGGAAGGCCGTTGGTAGGGTCTCTTGAGGATCGGAGTCGACATCCATATCATCATCGTCCGAGGGGACTTGGATAGGGTTATTCGCATTGGAGGCATTGGGAACCGCGGGGTGGGGTGTGGAAGAGCTGCCCAGGTCGAGGTTCGGACTATCGAAGAAGAGTTGTATTGCTTGCTCCAAATTGTTGTCGGTCAGGCGAAGGTATTGGGCGGCCTTGGTGGGGTCGCATGAGGTGATGGCCACGAAGTTTGAGATGGCCTCGTCATCCATGACTGGCGACTGTCAAGGATGCGATGTCGGGGTAACTGACCGCGCGAGTCGGTGAAGTTGACGTTGTACGTGGACGATACGAGGAGAGCTTTGTTGGTGTCGAGGTTTTATCGAGGAAAGTGAAGGGATGTAGAAGAGGTAGGGGCAGGATACGGGTTGCCCGCTATCGCACGCACGCAACTAGGTGGGTGAGTAGGTGCTCGGGGAGATGGTGTGCAGTGAGCTGATGGAGATATGCTCGGACCTTGACGCCCGACCGAGATGGAGAGAATTGTGGTGAATCAGAAAGGAATAGAGTAGCAGCTGGACCTTGTATGGATATACTTGTGTATGTAGTGGTTGTGCTGGTGGCGGGGGGCGTTTGTTTGCTCTGAGTGGGTAGGTAGTTAGGTAATGGAGAGCTGCGTCACTCAGTGCGTCAACTTTGTTCCGATGCCGACGCCTAGCGTCCCCTACAACCAACCATCATTGAACAGTTACATGTCCAGGTACATACATAAGAAACAAGCACTCTGCCTCAGTAGAGAGTGAGGGCACGGGCGAAATGCCAGTAGACATCGAACAGAACGTCTGACCAGCTTTCTTGATTTCTCAGCTCACAAACAAGCCGTGTGTGGCCCGACTTGCCTGGGAGGCAAACACGCCACGCACCCCAATTGAAGCCTGCCCTGCCCAAGTTTGCTGCTCCCACCCGTACACCCGTACACCTGCTACATCTACTGCATCCATCCATCCATCCATCCATCCATTCGTCCTTCAAAGCGCACCATCGGTTGGCTACAAACTGCTTGCTCCCAGCTTCCACCAACCATGGCGTCGGCTCAGACACCAGAGGCACGAGAGTTGGCCTTGGTTGGAAAGGTGGAGATGCGCATAGCCCTGGCTGATTCCGATAAGAAGTTGGAAGACCTCTTGAAGCTCTACCTATCCCCTCTGCTTCTCAAACTCAACTCGGATAGCAGATCTGTGAGAGACAAGGTCATTTCCATCTGCCAACATGTCAACACCCGCATAAAGCCGCAGTACGCGTCCACCAATTTCAATTGCTTCGCGTATCGTGTCGGCTGACATGTGCACAGTGAAATCAAACTTCCCGTCGCCGCGCTCCTCAAACAGTTCAAAGAGAATGCAAACGTACCCCTCATTCGTCACTTCGATATTTTGTACATCCAGCAAGGAGTTTCCAGGCTTCCCGTCACGGAACGACTCGAGTTGCTGCCAGTCTTGGTACAGGGCATCTCCATCGACTACGAAAAGTCGCCGCAGCATGCTTCACAGCTGTTCCATCTTACTCTGCGGCTGTTGATGCACTTCAAGCTTCCTTTAAGGGGAAGCAAGGATGATGATAATTTGAGGTCGACCCTTAACCTTGATGACAGGGACGCCCTCTTCTTGTCCGAGTGGTTTGGAAAATTACTTCTTCTGACCGTTGTCCACCAGGGTGCCCCCGACACTACGAGCTCCCAAAAGTGTCCTGGACTCTCTAGCGAAGACTACAAGCTCCTGACCTTACAAGGAAAACCCGATGCTTGGGATTCCAGTGCTGATTCTGGCCTCAACTTGAATGAAACAAAGGCCCTTGTTGCCCGTTTTCTTGCCAGTGGTTTGTTCACAGATGACGAGAAATTCCTGCCGGCGCTCTTCGCGTCTGCCGATACAAACTCACGCATATCCGAAGTGGGCGAAGATACCTACAAACGGACGGTTATTTCCAAGGATCTAGAGGACAACAGCGTGATCGATGCACTCCTCAAGTTGTATCTTGGAACGGATAAACCAGAGGGCCCCCTGCCGGTCAAGACACCTCTACGAATCAGAATACTGGGCGTGTTATCCAAGTCGGTGGCATTCACAGCGCATCCTAAAGAAATAGCCAGAATAGTCGAGGAAGGATTACTATCTGTTCAATTTAACCCGATAGGCAAATCGACAGCGGGAAGGGAAGCTTCAAAATTTCGATCGGCTATCTTTGCCATGGTCAACTTCGTTGCCCGAAGAGGCTCCCCTGAACACCTATCACGCATTGCTGAAGGTCTTGTCGGTAACTTGCGAGCATTCCTTCAAGACCAAGGTTGGCCCACGCCGGATCGAGACCAAGACATGGAACTGCGCGGATATGGATACGAGACGATTGGTTTGCTTGCCAAAGCTGTACCGGAAAAAATATTACTCGAGCCTACTCTAGACCTCCTCAGTTGGCTGTTCCGTTCGTTGCGTGAAGATGCGTCTGGCAAAGATGTTGCCGTTAGTATAGAAGAAGCTCTCTCTTCTGTCTTGAGTGTGTTCACTAAGCCGTTCAACGAAGCCCTGAAGCCCAAGTTTCGACAACTACTACTCAAGTACTCGGCTTCTAGTCAATCTGCACAGAACAACAGTTCTCCAGCAGCCATCCGAAATACAAACTACGTTGCAACTAGATTCGCTAATCGATGTCTCCCATACGATGACGTCCTGGCACGTTGGATCGACATCCTAGCCGCCAGTGGTGGCACGAGGGAGCGGCACGAGGTCGTAGAAGAAGGCAAGAAAGGTTTGGATCCATATTGGTTTGATATATCAAACTCAATACCCGGATCTAGGAGTGATCATAACCCATTGTCGTTTCCGAACTTCGATGAATTAGTAGAGTTTGTTTTTGTTCGACAAGGAGATGAAAACGACGATGTCATGATGGATGATTATGACGCGGTCAAGCAAACTCACCGGTTCCACCAACGCTATCCCAATGCACTTACCACTGTAATCAAGTTTACTTCCGAGGTCGCTATACACACTGCCTTACAAAGTAAAGAAATACCCGAACAGCTGTCAGAAGACTGGGACCGAAAATTGCACACTCGTATTGCAACAGATCTCCGCGCTCGTCAAGCTTTCCGGTCCTTTGCGGCTCTCGAGGCTCATGAACTTTCGCTTGCCACTGTTATTCGAGCTAGCTTCGACAAAATCACAAGAGACGAACTAAGTGACATTGGAGACGTTGGAAGCAACTTCGTTCGCTTGCTATCGTTATGCTCCGGTAGTGTCTGGAAAACCGCCAAGTTACTGCAAGAAGTGCGTGCATTGGAGCCTTCTATATTGGCCAATGACCCCAGTCGGCGCGAAGCTGCTGCGCATGCTTTTGGTATACTTGCCTCTCATCCAGATTGCAGCCCTGAGCTCGTCGAACAATCCAAATCTTCATTGTTTAGCAAGGTCAAGGCATGGTCGTCTGCCGTGGGTGGCGATATCAACTCAATTCACGGTGCCATCATTGCGTTAGGCCACTACTTCAGTCGACTACATTGGAGACAAACCAATGATGTTGCTGAGACGGATCAAGTTCTTCCACTGCTGCAAATCATACTTGATATCTTACGCGATTCAAAAGATTCTACCTTGAAAGAAGCAGCTCTGGTTTGTATTGATTTATTGAGTCTCTTCCACGTTATCACGCCTTCAATCATATCCAAATTCTCCAAATTCGAGAGTGTTGTGTCGCACGTGTATGAGTCTGCCAAGGGAGGCTCGATTCATGCCATAACAGCTCTCGGTCATTTGTCTATGATTGTCGATGAAAGCGCAGAGATCGAAACAACCGACTATACAATTGTTGCTGATAAGCTCTACGATCTTCACGAAGTAAGACAGCCTGAAGTCCAATTTTCTATCGGCGAAGCATTAAGCTGCTTCGCATGCGGTTGGGAATCAAAAGCTCTGACGGCACAACTTGATGTTGAGCATCCGGAACAGCAACACGAGCCATGGGACACGCTTCCTTTGACGCCTACCTCGGCGAAGCGTGACAAGACTCTGGCAGTCATTCTCGAGAAGACACTCAAAGGCTGTCGGCAAACCAAACCGTCGCTTAAAAAGGCATCTGCTATATGGCTTCTCTGTTTGTTGCAGTACTGCGGGCAGAAACCTGAGATCCAGCAGTATTTGCCGCAGTGTCAAACAGCGTTCAAGCTTTGCCTGTCAGACAGAGACGAAGTCGTTCAAGAAGCTGCATCTCGGGGGCTTGGCCTTGTATATGAAAAAGGCGACCGCCAGCTCAAAGATGACTTGGTCCGTGACCTTGTTGGGTCGTTCTCTGACAACAAGTCGAAGATGTCTGGTACAGTCACAGAAGATACACAGCTTTTTGAGCCTGGAGCCTTACCTACAGGCGATGGCTCAATAACTACCTACAAAGACATTCTCAGCCTGGCATCCGAGGTAGGAGATTCAAGTCTCGTCTATCGCTTCATGTCACTTGCATCAAACAATTCAATATGGTCCAGTCGAGCAGCATTCGGGCGTTTTGGCCTGAGCAATATATTCTCTGATTCCAGTGTGGACGGATATCTTGCAGAAAACCCAAAATTGTATCCAAAGCTTTTCCGCTACAGGTAAGTTGTCCAATTTCGGTAGATTACATTGACATTGACGTTGGAGTAGATTCGACCCCAATCCGAACGTCCAGAGGTCGATGAATGATATTTGGAATGCCTTGGTGAAAGATTCATCAGCAACCATTGACAGGTATTTTGATGCTATCATGGATGATTTGTTGACCAGCATTTTGACCAAGGAATGGCGTGTCCGTCAAGCCTCTTGTGCCGCCATTGCTGATCTAGTGCAAGGGAGGAACGTTGACAAGTATGAAAAGTACCTAGGCGATATCTGGGACAAATGCTTCAAGGTGCTCGATGACATCAAGGAATCTGTCAGAGCTGGCGCATCTTCCCTTGCCCGCGTACTTACTGGTACCCTCACTCGCTCACTTGAAGCTGGAGATTCAGCATCGAAGACTGCAAACGCCATGCTGTCACGTGTTTTGCCTTTTCTCTTCTCATCTTCCGGTCTTGAGTCCAGCGCAGAGGAAGTCCGGTTATTCGCCGTTCAAACACTTCTTAAGATTGTCAAGAAAAGCAATGCTAAGACGTTGAACCCTCATGTCCCCGAGCTCATCGAACGTTTGCTAGGCCTATTGAGCTCGCTTGAACCGGAGGCTGTCAACTACATCCACCTGAACGCATCAAAATACAACTTAACCGAGCAGAAAATAGACGACATGCGTCTACAGAGCGTTCGGTCGTCGCCGTTGACAGAATCTATCGAACGATGTCTTGATCTTGCGGATGCGGAGACCATGCAGAAACTCGTACCTTGTATAGAATCTGCGATGAAGAATGCCGTTGGCTTACCGTCCAAAGTCGGTTGCTCGAGAATTCTCGTAACGCTCAGCACAAGGCATAATTTTGTGTTCAAACCTTACGCAGATTCTTTTCTCAAGCTTGTCCAAAAATACGTTCACGACCGAAACAATACGGTTTCCTCATCGTACGCGGCAGCGGCAGGATACATCGCACGACTTGCATCTGACAAGCAGCTTCTTGCTACTGCCGCCTTTTGTCAGAAACTGTATTTTGAATCCGACGATGACAAAAGCAGACTCACTGCCGGAGACATTGTACTTTCCATCTCGAAGAACGCCACCGACCGCTTTACGTCACTGTCTTCGGATCTCCTACCTTTCATCTTTCTAGCCAAGCACGACACGAACGATCAGGTGAAACAGCTTTTCAAGGATACATGGTCTGACAACGTCGCTGGTAGTCGCGCGGTGCTACTGTATCTGAAAGAGATTATAGGACTCGCCGAGAAGCACCTTGAGAGCCAACGATGGGTCCTCAAACACACAGCCGCCAAAACTATTGCTGATACCATCATGTCTACGACCACGGATAGCAGTAGTAGCGCGTCTCTCAGTAAGGCGGATGCTGAAACCATCTGGCCAGCGCTAGACAAAGCGATGGGCGGCAAAACCTGGGACGGCAAAGAATTTGTGCTTGAAGCGTTTGTGCGATTTGTAGACAAGGGCGATGATCTGTGGAAAGAGGAGCCCAAGGTCGCCAAGCAGATTGAGAAGGTAGCTGTGCGCGAGGCGAAGAGACAGAACCAAACGTACCGACCTTTTGCGCTTGATGCTCTCGGGCAAATATGTGTCCTGAGGACTGATTTGGAACTTTCGAATACGGTACTTGACTTGGGCAAGAGCATTTTGGATGATGTACTTGCCGGAGATGAAGATGGTAGCGAAAAAATGGACGTGGATGGCGGGGAAATCATGAAGGATGTGACGTTGTAAGTTCCCCCTTCCCATGTCTTCCCCAAGTGACTGTTTCACGTCGATTAACTCCATGGGTCTTTGGTCAACACAGAAAGGAAAAAACCCTCTCTTCCGTCGTTACCCTTCTCTTGTCGTCGCTAAACCCCACGAAATTGTCGTCGCCAAACCTGACCGCCCACCTCCGCAACGCTCTCGCGCTTGCCGTACGGGCGAACTCGACCCGCGCGCGAAACGTACACCTTGCAACATTCACCTCTCTACACGCTCTCTTTGCGCGCTTGAGTGCACAGGCGACAGCAGCAGAGGGAAACAAGACTGTTTCTGTAGGCGACGACGTGAAAGCTAAGGAGAGTCTGGAGAAGCTGTTGTTTGATGCGAGCTTCGAGGGGCTTCCCGAGGCGATGCGGATGAAAAGGGCAGAAGCGATTGTTGAAACTAGCAAGGTGGATGGATGCGGATGGCTTGTGGAGAAGGTGAAGCCCGAGATGGACGGTGGGGAGAGGAGCGCTGGGGTCCGAGCAGTGTTGGGCAAGGCTGGGGGGAAATGATGACGGCAGTGTTGATACATGCATACATATGTATCTACATGGGTATATGTAGATAGCAGAGAGCATGGAGAAATCAGCGACTGGGATGTGGGTGCATTGATTTTGATTTTGGATTGTTCGCCTCCCAGTCAGCAGCTGCATCTTAATTTACACGCGATGATGTCAGTGACAAAGGTGCGTGTGTTGTCTAGCATGGCTTGGGCGTCGGTGTGCTCTCTTCCATCACTGCGGTGGGACGGGAAAGGACTCGGCCGAGTCCTGTCCCGAATTGCCGTGTACCTGCCTCGCCGAACGTGCGCGGCGGCAAGATAACGCAGGCTAGCAAGGTCCGCTGGCGGGCCATGGTGCAGATTTGGGGAGCCTTCCTTCATGCTTTTCGTTTCCTTTTCAACGTATATTGGGGCAAAGACGAAGTCAAGTGGTCATCAAGTGCAGGTTGAAGCGGGTGTATTGATGCTAATATCATCTATGATTAACCCTCCAAACGTCCAGATTCCAGGCGGTCCAATAGCTATGGCCTCGAAATCATAACAATAAGCATTAACGTGGTATACAGAACAAAGTGAAAACTATACACATCGTTCGAGGAAGGTGAAGATAGGTAGAAAGGAAAGCGACTGCCGGATATCGAAAGGTAGTGGTAGTAGGTCCCCTCCATATTCCCATCTCTTTGGTTCTTGATTTTTGCTTTTTCCTCGTACAGGTCACACGCCCTCACAATTGCATGTGGACAAAAGCCTCGTCGTCGTGCTCATTCCACACGGCTCTACTGCATCTCCGGACACTGGCCCAATTCCGCTTCGTTCTCTTGCATCACGGGGTATCTCTATGCGGCGGCGGGTTTGCGAGCGGCGAGCTAAGAGAGCAAGGTCAATAGGCAAGGTCATGGAAGAGCGAAAAGAGTGGATAACATACCCTCTTCGAGATGAAGAGACCAATCAACAGAATGGCAACGGCACCGACAATGGCGAAGACAAGGATGACACCGGGTTCCCGGGCAGCCCAGTTCTTGCGCTTGATGAGGTGAGAGACGGCAGCTTCGCTGCGTGCGACGAGAGACATGTCGATGGCGGCCATTGCGAATGATTGCTACGGTTGCACGGTCAGCTGGGATTCGTCAATTGGTGCTCGAGGCACGTGTTTCATGAGGCGAAAATGTTTGGTGGCCATGGACGGTCTACGCAAGCGGGTGGGAGGATTGGCAAAGGCTTGTCTCGTGGGGAAACGGGCCAATGCGCAAAACCAAGCGATTGGCGAATGGCAGCTCCATGGCACGGGCAAAGAGCGATTGCGGCATACCTTTGCGACGGGCGAGGATGCAAGAAATCGAGTGTGTTGAGCAGAAGGTAGCTGTCGAGGAGGGTAGGCTGGTCAGCACGACGGAACCAGCACTTCACGGTCGCAGGAGAAACAGAGCAGAAGACTGAGGAATGGGGTGCAGCATCGAACAGGAGCGAAGAAGGGCGAGCAGTGCACTGGGAGGCGGCGCGTGGAGTTTATAAAGGAAACAAACGACATTGGCCGAAAACTCTGCGGTAGTGAGGCATTTGTTTTCGGTCGTGTCTGGTGGGCGCGCGCGCGGGACCGGCGGGTCACCCGGCACGAGCTTCTCAGTGGAGCGCAATCTCGAGGCCGGGCCAGGCAAGAGCGTGTAGGAGACGATGGCTACTTACAATGGAGAAGGCTGGCGCTAAAGGCGAGAGCTGGGGAGGAGTGGAGAAGGGGGTAAAGCGAGGTGTGGACAGGAGGGTGGAAGAGGAAGAGGAGGAGGAGGAGGAGGAAGAAGAAAGAAGAAGAAGACGAAGAGGAAGCAGAGAGGAGCAGAAACTTGTACTGGGCGGGTCGGGTTGGGAGCTGTTAGGTACAGGTACCTAAGAAACCAGGGCTAAGCCAATCCAAGACGGTAAATAAGGTACACAAGTTATGGATGGGGAGATACGGTAACTAAGGACGTCGTCCAGCCAGCGAGGCTCCAAGATGATGACCGAGGCGGTATTGTATCGTGTACTGTACTGTACTGTATTTGTGGCGTGGACCGGCCGAGCGATGAGCGCATTCTGCAGATCTTGCAGGCTCCTCCCTGCCCGCCCGCCTCGCCTGCCTGCCACCCCCCCGCGTCGGTCCGTGCTTACACCAAGCAGCAGTACAATCACTCTTCCAATGGCTAACATGGCTAACAAAGCTTCACCGACGCTGCCCGTCTTCAGACGCCATTGACGAGCTTGCTGATCCTCAACGGCTTCACCGCCGTCTGCGCTCTTGACGCACGCCAGCAATACGTGAGTTTGAACAAGACTAATGCACAGCACACTCCATGTGGTGGATGGGATACAGTGTGTAGTACTTGGGCTGATGAGATGCAGTTGCCCGCCAACGTCCGGCTCCGCTCTGGCACCCCTGCCTAGCGCCCCTCGTCACGCTTGCCTTTGTTCGCTCCCAGCCGACCTGACAAATGCCATGAACAAATCTCTCTGCATCATCATCTATCTACCTACCTAACCACCTAGCCATCTCTTCATCGTCACCAAATCAACACGCCTGAACCCTACCTCAGCCATTGCTTCTTCTGCTGGCCTCCTTCGTCGTCCATGCCCTTTCTCATCTGCCGCCCTTCGCATGACAGACATTGACTTCCCGCCGCGACGTAATCATGACCCACTCCCACCACAAACACACAGCAAGCACATCACCCAAGCTTTTCGCGCAATCGTATGCCAAGTCTGGGGCTCTGTGCTACCCTTTCACAACTCTTATCGGTCAAGCTACCCTGATCCGACGCTTGCTGCCAACCGGCTCCCCTGGCACGCCTTTTTGGTCTTTTTTCTCTTTTTTTTTTCTCTCTCTCTCTCTCTCTCTCTCGTCCAAAATTTGATAGTCCGCCTTAAACCAAGCCGACCCACATGCTTAATTTCCTGCCAACTGACTATCGTGTGCTAATTGCGGCCCCAGCTCCTCTCCTGCATTGGTCGTTGCTGCCCTGAGTCGCTTTTGCTTGCAGTCCGCCCCTCCCCCCCGGCTAGTCATCGCCGTACATAATATAGTACTGTTTCCAGCCCACAATCGTGCCGTCCACTCACTGTAAACAAACACGACGATGCCCCCAAGCTGCACAAGAATGCACCTTCTCAATTCCTCCAGATTCTGACCTGCTTGTCTGCTCCTCCGCTCCCCACTTTCTCCCCGTCGGGACTCCAGTCTAGCGCAAAGACTTGGTCCTTGTGCCCTGGCAAGTCTTCCTTGAGTTTGCCAGTTCGCATGTCCCATACCTTCAACGTCGTGTCCTTGCTGCAGCTTGCCAGTAGCCGACTGTCTGCCGAGAAACTCGCCATATACACTGGCCCCACGTGCGCCCTCAATGTAAACAGAAACTTGCCATCCCGCGCCGACCACAGTTTGACATGATTGTCCCATGCCGTAGATGCTAGCAGCGTGCCATCGGGCGAGAAGCACACCTGGTTGATCTGTTTCTGATGACCCGTCATGCGTGTGACTGGCTTCGGGCTGGAGAGCGGCGTCCAAAGGAATATGGTACAGTCTTCTGATGCTGTGGCCAGGCGTTCCACTACCTCGCCGTTGATGGTCGCCGCCTTCTCGAACCGGCTCCGCGCTTTGGCAAGCTTGTCCTCGGGGGACGCGGGAGCCTTTCGTGTATGATCGTGGTAGGCAGTTCGGAGCACAAAGTCCGTCGAGAGGGCGAGGTGGTTCACCCAATGCGCGTGACCAGATAGGGTATGCACGAGCGTGCCAGTTGTACTATCCCACACCTTTATGCTCTTGTCGTGTGAGGATGTGTAGATGCGACCTGTCCCACCCCATTTCACGCACGTTACGCTGCTCTTGTGACCCGTCAATGCAAAATCTTGACGTCCGCTTACGGCATCCCAGATGCGGGCTGTGCCATCTTTACTCGACGAAGCCACGCGCGGTCGTCCCTGCTGCTGCAAGTGGAATGGTTCCCAGCAAAGACTTGTTATAAAGTTCGTGTGCCCCTTCAACGCACCGCCTACTTGTGTTCCCTTCTCCGGATCCCATATTCTGACTTCGTTGTCATAACCTCCCGAGGCCAGAAACGACCCATCCGGTGAGTAGCTCACTGCGAGCACCCACCGAGAATGTCCCTTGAGAGTGTGGGCTGGGGTCCCGGTATCACAATCCCATATCCGAACCGTCTTGTCACCGCTCCCACTTGCCATTCTGCCAGAATCTTTGGGTGAAAACTGCACAGCAAGAATATTGTCACCGTGTCCGCTAACAGCTGCTGCGCATCGACTGACTGCCTTGACCCGAAAGACTGCCTGTGGCGCGTACTGTAGCACAACCTCCTCTTCACTCGTAACCTTTCCAGGCTTCACTAGACTAGTCCATACATCTTCTTTGTCGCCTAGCGCCTCGGTGGAGCTCGAGTGGTAAAAGCGGTACGGGATTCGGTCGTCAGACTGGTCCTTTAGTTCGTTCAGTAGGAGGTTGAGGTTCGAGGTTGTAGCTTGCGAAAGGGGGACCGTGAGAACAGGCAGATCGGAAGAGGTGCCAGTAGATTGATCCACAAATCGGATGCGTATGCTGCCATCTGGGATTGTTACAGGCGCCGTCTGTGTGCGGGTCGTTTCCAGGGCTTCGCGCTTTTGACGCTTCGACGGGGGCGGAAATTGAGTCGCCATGTTTTCAATCAAGCGCGCGCGAGGTATATCACTGCTGCAAAACGTTGGGTTGGAGAATGGCGCGGGGTGGATGAGCAGACAATATCCAGAAAAAAAAAGTGAGCTATCGATAAGAAAATACCCAGTAGCAGAAAACTGTGGAATGGCCCACCAAGCCTGCCACTGTGCCACTTCCAGCTTGCTACTCGCAACACGCGGAATTCGCAAGATGGAATTCGCAAGACATCACTTTTCAGCCCAAAATCACTACCCGAAATGAACATTGCGTGCTGTTTTGGTGCCTGTGTTACTGATTGGGGTCTTGATGCTTACTCAGCAAGGATGGCGCGCTAAACCTAGGCAGCCATGAACCGATCTTGCAGATTCACACCTCTCACATTTGTGCGTCTGGAGGACGGATCTACCATATCCCGATATATACAAACAGACCATTGCTTTCTGTTCAAATGATAAACAACTAACTCTCCACCAACACTAACAAGCAATGTCTCGTCGTACTAGACCACCAACCTGCAACAGCACTTCAGCAGAACCCTCGTATCCGACTCATTCCTACAGTTATGGCGACTACAACACGACCGGCGGTTCTCGTCCGGAAACTCGCCGTGGCACCGGGAGACCATCAACAGCTCGCCCGAGAACGGGTGCATCTACTATTGCGCGCGTCGAAAGACAGGAAGTCGTTTGTGCTGTCGCCGAGTCCAGGGGCATCTCACCGGCTGTTGGCTTGTCATTCATCAATATTGACACGGGAGAAGCTGTGATCTGTCAGATATGTGACAGCCAAACATATGTGAAGACTTTACACAAACTTCTAGTCTACGGACCTACTGAAATTCTTTGCATGGCTACCGCAGCAAGCCCGAAATCAAAATTGTTCTCTATCATCGAGGAAAACCTCCTTGAATTGGGAAGCAAGCTGACACTTCTTGATCGTCGTTTTTGGTCCGAAAGCTCGGGCATGGATTATATCCAAGATCTGGCTTTTGCTGATGACGTGGAAGCCATTAAACTATCAGTGACTGGAAGCTACTACGCTGTATGCTGCATCGCAGCAGTATGTGCTTCGCCCCAGGCACAGGATATCTATCTAACGCATGTTTAGATCCTGAAACACCTTGACCTGGGATCCGGATTAACATTTGCTGGCCGTTCTCTCAGAATCAAGTATGAATCCAGCCAAGGTTCGATGCTAATTGACGTGTCCACAATCTACTCGCTCGAACTAGTACAGAATCTTCAGAGCCCAAAATCGCGCGACTGTCTTTTTGGGCTTCTCAATGAGACTCAGACTCCTATGGGGTCAAGAATGCTCCGCAGTAACGTCCTTCAGCCACTTACCGATGCCGAAACAATCAACAGACGATACGATGCGGTAGACGAGCTGCAGGTCAAAGAACACATGTTCTATGCCACTCGTGGAGCCATGAAAAACTTTGTAGATGCTGATAAAGTCCTGACAGCTGTATGAGACAAATCATGTATGCGGGATGGCCCGTCTTTGCTAATCTGATTCAGCTGATCATTATCCCGAGGAAGCCCTCCATTCACACCACGGAGCAAAGCATCAACCACATCATAATGCTCAAAGCATTCATGTTGTCTATAGCGACGGTTTATGAGGCTTTGAGCGGAGCAAGATCCTCGATGCTCGCAACCATTCGTGATGTTTGCAGACTCTACGGGTCAGTATGACATGGTGAAGCTAATCTTTACCCAGATTTGTGCGCCAGGGAATAGTTTGCCAATTCAAGAACTAATCGAGGAATCAATCAATGAGGACGTTACGTTCGCTAAACAACCCCTCGAGCTCAGAAATCAACGCACGTGGGCTGTCAAGACCAGTGTCCATGGTTTGCTTGATGTTGCTCGCCAAACGTACAAGGAGAACATGGCAGATGCATACCAATACGTTAATGAACTTGAAGGTGCGCTCACTTCAAGGCGGTACGTCTAAGATTCTTCCCTTCGACTAATTCGCAATGTAGAAGAACATGGTATAAAAATGGAACTCAAGTACGAACCTGCACGAGGATTCTATATTCGCATCTCGACGGACGAAGTAGAGACTCGCGAAGGCAGACATCTCCCTGCAGTCTTCACCAACGTTGTTCGCAAAAAGAAGTTCATCGAGTGTCAAACTCTGGTATTGATGAAGAGGAACCAAAAAGTTGTATAGTATGTCATCCATTTTGAAGCAAACCTAACGGGCGCACAGGTCTTGAACGCTTACCAGGAGGTTGTTCTTTGTAGTTAGTCTCCGATTCTCTTTTATCATCAATGAAAAATCACACGTCTAACATTATAGGCGATGCTTTCATTGTGGATTTTATTGAAAAAGTTCGTTGCCACATGTCTGCTTTATTCAAAATGAGCGAGGCCGTAGCAATGCTTGATATGGTATCCATCTCACATCAGCGCAGACACATTACTTGCTTACTGCTTTCAGATATCTGCTTTCGCGCATCTCGTCACCATTCATGATTACAGTAAGTATATATCTGATTAAATTTGCAGTCCCAAAACCTCATATCAGCCTAGTCAAGCCTCGTATCAGCGACACGCTTGCCCTCAAGGACGCTCGACATCCAATCTGCGAGAAGATTATGCAAACGAAGTTTATCCCCAATGATGTATATGCCACCCGGCAATGCCGATTTCAAGTTATCACGGGTTGCAATATGAGTGGCAAAAGCACTTTCGTCCGCTCTATCGCCCTTTTGTCAGTCATGGCCCAGATTGGCAGCTTGTGAGTGCTCGCGATCGTCGCGCCCAGAATTGCATTCTAATCAGCAAAAGTGTTCCAGCGCGTAGTGCTTCATTCCCGATTCTAAATCAGCTTTTTGCCAGAGTTGGTATGGATGATAGTATCGAGTGCAACGTATCAACTTTTGCTGCCGAAATGAGAGAAATGGCATTCATACTCCGGAACATCGACGAACATAGCATGTAAGGGTCAATGCGCGACCAAAAATGAAAGTATTAATCAGGTCAGAGCTATCGTCGACGAACTTGGAAGGGGTACAAGTACTCGAGACGGCCTGGCAATTGCTCTTGCCATTGCAGAGGCATTGGTTGATAGCAAAGTAAACTCGCCTCGACGTTCGATTTTCGTTGGTTATTAACCCCGTAAAAGGCACTTGTATGGTTCGCAACTCATTTCAAAGATATTGCGACCATACTTTCGGAACGAAATGGTGTGGTTTCGCTTCATTTGGCAGTCGAGGTGCGCGCCAAAATTCCCTTTCCCTTCTTGTGACAACCGCACGTCACTAACATCTACTAACTATAGATCGATGAGAACGAAACTATGACCATGCTGTACAAAGCGGTTGGTGGCATTGTCCAACAGGCGCACTATGGTCTCGCTTTGGCCAGTGTAGTTCCTCTCCCACCAGCAGTCCTCGACGACGCTACCCAGTTCGCACATCTGCTAGAGCGCCGCATGGTCCACAAGAAGAAGATATCCCCCAACATTCTCAATGAGCGCCGACGCAAACTCATTCTCGACCTCAAGGAACATTTGATACAGGCGTACAACGGAGCATTGGAGGGGGAGCTACTTACATCGTGGTTGGTGGAATTGCAGAAGGAATTCGTGAAGCGCATGACAGCGATAAACTCATCATATCAAAAGGAAGAAGGCGATGGCGATCAACTCGAGGACATGGAATTTGAAAGGGTAGGTGAAGTAGATGAGGATCAAAAGCAGCACGAAGGCCGGTCTACTAGTGTCATGACGACCACATCGGAGAGTTTGTCTTCGGCACGGGCAATTTCGGAGAATGGGCGTTAAAGATCCATACGTGCTATCTTCAGAGCACCTGAACACAGAAGGATATCCCAATATGTTTCTACCAGACCGAGTTCCGGCGGCTTTTACGCGTGATGTTCGTCCAGGTATTATAGGTAGTCCGAGTTGTTACGTTACTTACCGCGTACCCTTGAACACTCTATTTATAGGTTGGAAGAAATCAGGTATAGCGAATCAGACCAAGTGACAGAGCAAAACACCACTCTTTATTGCCATCTATGATATACTAGCTTAGTCCTAACTGCTCCCCATCTCATTCACGCTGGCACAAATTTCAGAGTGATGGGCTCGACACCCCAATCCTTGATCTTGGCCTGAACGTCTTGATATACCTCTTCTGGAGACTTGATCGCCTCGACCTTGACTACCCTCCCCTGACTCTCAAACTCGTTGACTACAGGCATACTGGTCTCTTCGAAAGTACGAAAGCGTTTCTTGATAGACTCGATATTGTCATCAGCCCGACCAGATGTCTTGCCGCGGTTGAGCAAGCGCTCTTCCATGACAGATTCAGGGCAGTCGAAGAAGAGTGTAAACTTGGAGGGTACAACGGACCGTTCGAAAGCATGGGCTTGGTCGAGTTTGCGGGGGAAGCCTTGGATCACATAGTTAGCTGAAATGCCCCCTCAATCTGATCAATTGCATCTAGATGATGCAGACTTACCATCGATCAAGAACAGTTTCTTGTTCTCCTTCTCCATGGCTGTCTTCATGGCATTCTCTAGCAGCTGTATAGTGACTTCCATGGGCACTATGGTCCCCTCCTTGATGTACGTCTTGATCATTTCGCCGAATTCGCTGCCAGGTCGATCCTGCTCTTCGCGCAGCAAGTCGCCCGCACTCAAGTGCTTGAAACCATAGTCGGTGACCAGATTCGAGCACTGAGTTCCCTTGCCTGCACCAGGGCCGCCGAGCACAAAAATCACAGTTACGTCGGAGGGCGAGAAGATAGGCGACGAGCGCGACGAGGCGCCAAGTGATTCAATGGCCGGCATGGTGGTAGTCGAGGTACGAGAGGAGTTAGGGTGTGCTCAAGGACGGCTGGGCGAGTGACCGGCTACAGGGCCTGGGGCTTTATACTCCCCCTTTCTCTGATCGACGATTTTTTTGAAGCCGAAGCTGCCCGCGGCGAAGATGAAAACGAAGGGCCAGACTTTGAGCGGGGACTTGGAGGGGGGTGAGGAGGTGTGGGCCGGGGGTTCGTTCGGGCCAGAGGGCTCTCCCGGTTGGCGGAGGCGGGATCTAAACTTGGAGGAGGTGGTGAACCGGCAGTGGGACAAAGAGGCGGAGCGGAGGACGATGGAACTGCGAGAGACTTGCTTCAAGGTGGTGATAGGCATGCTGAGGTTTCCTCTTTCCCAGGTTATGACGATGTAGGAATGGTGTTTATGCAGGTGCCTTTTTTCGATGGGCGCTAGTGCTGCTTTTGGCTAGTGTGGAAGTGGTGAGTTAAGTTATGTACCTAGGTAGGTATACACCTTCACCTTCACCACGACACCGCTTACTCTGGAGTCACCTCGAGCTCTTCGAGACCCTCAATAAGAGCGAGGGCCAATCTTTTGCTCCTAAATGATACAGGGCCGCTAAATTGACGTAGAGCTAACTACACTGCAACCACTTTTCCACATCACCAAAAAAGTACACTCGACCTTGACTTTGATTCTCCACTCTCTCTGCATCCATTCTACAGCCCATCATGGGTGGTAAGACCGTATTCTCTCATCGGCCCAAGCCTGAAATGAGGTGCGGCTTTCTGCTCCTCCCAGGCGAGGTAAGAAACCAGATATACCAGTACTACTTTCAAGATGATTTCCGCTGCGAGATTGCCGCCAATCACCCTAGCTTCGACCAACTCGCGAGAACGTCGTCCACAAAGATCAAGCTATGCGTCGGGATCGCCAAGACAGCTGTGAATGACCTTTACCGGACAAAAACTGATCTGGACCGCTTGAACCCAACAACTATCCGTGTATCGAAACGCCTGGCAAATCGACACCAGCGTGTACGGAGAGAAACTACAAGATGGGAAACTTCACTATGCCCTCTCATTCTTGTTTGTAAGCTTATCTACAATGAAACGGTTTCGTTCTTGTATCGGAGCACTGCATTCGTTTTCGATGCCCCGAAGCGATTCTTGAATTTTTTCGATGCCATTCGACTACGGCACATGTCGTGCATTACTAAGTTGGAACTTCACTACACTCCTTACCTCGCCCCCAAAAGGATCGAAGGGGGGAAAGACTTCACCAAAGCTCACCATACGGCGTGGACTGGCATGTGCAAGACTGCATCCAGAAAGCTGGTCAATTTACAGAACCTCAAGATATACATATTCGGTGGTTCTCCACACAGGTTCTTCGATCTTCGACAAGAGAGTGAGCGATGCTGCAGGTACACACTATTGACATGTACTAATTGCATATAGTTGTCCAACCTTTTCTGCAATTTCGACGGTTGTCCATGCCTAGCCAGCAAACCAAATATCCACCAACTCTCAAAATGGTCAAGGTAGAGTTCACTTCGTATTGGTCGCGCGAACGGGCCTTCATAGGCAACAAAGCTTTGGTGGAAGCCTCGAAAAATCTACACAAACTCTACGGAGATGCAATCGCCAAAGCAGTAATGGGGGCAACCGAGAGCGATGCTATGGCGGAACTCATGGAAGCCTGGGAGGGGGAGTATGCACGATTTCGACATCACCTGGGCTTTCTAGAAACAGGCTGGTGAGGGTTCTGCTCACAGAGCTATACGGGCGGATTCTGGTCACCCGACGACATGTGATGTCTATGGAGAGCTTCATATAAGGTGTCTGCACTTTGTGTAAGATCGGGATCCTGGTGGCCTTTTGAATGTCAAATCTCTCTCACTCAGCACGTCTCGGCATACTAGTTAGGCGTGCATAGCATAGACTTGACCAAGAATCGTGAATGTCGAGTCAGGGCAATGGGAGCTCAGATTTAAATAAGTGACGACCGGAAAGCAGATCCGGTTCATGTGGGAATTGCCGGGCCAGTGCGCTCTTGCTATTCCGGGACATGGGCACGACTTGGCTCGATTGCTCTCAACCGGGCTAGAATGTGAGGTTTGGAATTCCTGATAGTGGTGTGACGTGACGTGCGTCGAGGACGATTCGCTCCCCATGGCTAAGTGGTGGAACAGAATGCTGATGTGTTTACCAAGTTCTAGAAGGCTGATGAAGTACGATGGCCCAAAGCTTGAGAGCCCCAACTCAGTTGCAACAGCAGCCATGCTTGTCTGTTTCAGCTGGACGGTAGGATGGGTACCCAGCGAAGCAACAAGGCAAGCAAGCAGGCACACAACAGTACACAAGTAGCTACAGTATGTAGTCTACCAGAGTGAAGCTGTGCAAACGGCAACTGACGGCATGGCCTTGTGCACAAAACGTCGTCACGATGCGCCACCACGATGCAATCGCGCAGCAGGCGATGAAGCCAGTGCACACAGGCTTCATCCAAGGTTTGCCGTCATGTATCGCATCGTACCGTACAGTGGGGCGGCGCTAAATGTCGTGCGTCAGGCATGTGGGTTCTCCAGTTTCAAGTCTTGCACATCAAAACCTTATTCCCAATCAGGGCTGCTAGCATCACTGCAATTCGAAAACTTGTGACGAGCGAAGAGCGGCCGCCAGTCTCAGGTGCGTCTCTGAGGCCCAGCGTTGCGTGGAATCATCAATCTCTCCATACGTCCAGGGCCCAGCACAGCTTTGCTTTCCGTCGTCCAATGTCCATGGTAATCAAAACTCCCTCAGTTGATGCAGCAGCATCAAGTCCAATTGCCAGCCACAACAACAAAGACTTGATCGCTCCACCCCCGTACAGAACCACGTGCACATTCCCCTCAAATAAACTAGTCAATCGCGCCGATCCTCAGCCCAACGCAGCAACGCTTTGTTTCTACTCATATCTGCTCAACCGACCGCCTTTGGCTGACTCGTGAAACCTCGCTCTACGACAGTTCCTCCTCCTTCCCACCTCGCACCCACACTACGACATGCTGGACATGCTCCATGCTTGCTCGCTCTGCCCCCAACTTATAATCCGTGACCAGCGTATCTCGACACTACAAGGAAGACTCCTGCACAGCGGGCAAGACACCTTTTTCGAATCAACGACCTGATTGCGATCCCCTCCCTCTTTGAGAAACTGTTGGATAGCTGGCTATACCGACGGTAACCCACCACCGATGTCTGTCGAGCATCCTCTCGCTCTTTGCTCGCCCCAGTGATGGCTCTATAGCTGATTAGCCGTCTTTCCCTTCCTCTTCTCTTCTCACCCTTTGGTACCCAAACGTCGTTGGATACAGATACATTCAAACCATTTGAAAAAGGTTATTGTCGTGGTCTTGGCCTCGATATCGCTCACTCCATATTCAATCCGGGTCGATTATCTCATTCCTCCATCAACATCCGTTGTGCACAGCTGGCTGGCCTTCCACCCCTTTGCTACCAGTCCTGTTCTATATACCCCATGTACTGTGTATACCTAATCACATGGTACCACACATAAGAGGGCTGCTCGTGGAGCGGCAGTTCTCTCATGTATTACCATCGGTACGGCCTTCCCATTACAGTCGCTCGTGTCTTTTTAACCAAGCAACGAGCAACTTCTCTCCTCTCTCCCAAAAACAGTTCCGACGTAAGCTGACAGGAGCTTCATTCTCTAGGGTGCCGTTACACCTATTGCGCATGAGTCTCGGGGTGCAGCAATCATAATCGGCAACGCAACATGCCAAATAGTAGGGACGTTGTTCTTCCTCGCACGAGTATATTCTCGCGGTGTAATTATTAATTCGTGGAAGGCTGAAGACACCACTCTGGCAGTGGCTTGGGTGAGTCTACAACTGCAACCCATCTTTCCCTGTGCACCACTAACCGCTCTATGACGAATAGCTCTTCGCTACGGGATTCAGCATATGTCAATATGCCCAAGTCTATCTGGGCTACGGTCATCACCTGACCTACATTTTCCGGCACTTGGGAGCTTACCACAGCAGCGTATCGCAGCAATACGCTTTCGCCTCGCAAATTCTCGTGCTCTTCGCGCTGGCGGCACCGAAACTCAGCATCTGTCTGACGTATCTACGGCTTGTTTCTTCCGACACGTGGGGGAGACGCCTGATCAAACTCCTCATCGTCGTTGTGGTCGCGCCAACCATCCCCTTCATCTTCGGTTCCATTTTCCAGTGCCGGCCCATCAGCGCGTACTGGACCGAAGGCCGACCAGCGTCGAAATGCGCCGAAGACATCTCCGGCCTGTGGATCTCGGGCGGAATGAGTATATTCGTGGACCTGGCGCTCGTAGTCATAGTCCTACCGCAAGTGCTGAGGTTGCATCTTAATACGCGCCAGAGATGGTCTCTTATCTCCATCGTCATGCTGGGCTTGCTGGCCGCAGGCGCGGGCTTGACGCGGATCGTACGTGTGAATACGACGCTGCGCAAGCAGGACTTCGACCCTAGCTGGGATATGTACGACCTCTCCATCTGGACAGCTACAGAGATCTATGTCAGCTTAATATGCGCGGCTGCGCCTGGAATGAAGCCTCTGGTGTCGAAAATATTGCCGAAATTGTTGGGATCGACGCTGGCGAGCGACAAGCATACTGCCACTACCGGCTACAAGAGTACACATCCGCCTGATTCGGTGGAATTGAGTTTGTCTAGGCAGCGGCGAGGGACGATTGGGAGCACGCGAGTCCGGAGGAATACGCATGATTCGATTTTGGAGGAAGGAGACGGTCCATATACTGAGGTGGGAAGGGGCGTGGATGGGAGGGACGATGATGAAGTGAGTGTGGAGAGTAAATGGAGTGCCACCGTAGTTGCGGAGAGACTTCCTAGGATAGAGGAAGTGGAGGCGACGAGAGATGTTCCTTGATTTCCTAGAAACAGAATTTAGAATATAAATCAAATCTTGTCTCATTTCCGTATGTACGTGTGAATGGGTGATGTCTGCATTCCGGTGCGGTACCGAATCTATGATAGCCCCGTTAATTCGGCTGCATGATCACCGTCACTTCCTTCCTTCCACAATTCGCTCCAAGGGCACTCCACCCTCTCCTCTCCCTTGTTGACATCGTCGTCCAAACCTTCAGTCCTTTCGCCATCGCCAAAAACTCGCCTGAAAGCCACATCGTAGCTTATCCACATAGCCTGGAAGACCCATCCTAGAAGTAAGCCCAACCACCCAGGGACCCTGCCCTGCGGGTCCGCAAACTTCTTCCCTAGCTGCATCAGGAAGACCACGAACGGCATCCAGGCACCCAGAAAGAGCATCTTGCCTAGCTTCTGTCTCTGCGTCGTGATTGTATAAGGGCGGATATCGTTCAAATATTCTTGATACTCAGTCGGGAGGTCAAGTTCAGCAGCGCCGTCGGTCAGAAGCTTAAGGTAGCGCGCAGAAGGCTGTGCGTAGGAAGGATCGGGACGATGGAAGCGCGATGTCGAGGAGGCTGAAGGATTGACTGGTGCAAATAGGGTATGTGCTTTGAAGGGCATGGTGGAGGGGTGGTCGGGTACCGTATCGGCGCGTGCCAAGGGATAGCAGTCGACAAGAATGTCCTCATAAGATGCACCGCCGCCCTCAGTCGCGATGATATGAGCGTAATCGCTTGCCGTAACTTCATACACGCATCCGACCATACCCTTGTGCCATCGGTCTTTGTGGTAAGGAGGCGCGTTCGAGGAGGGCTTCGGCATGGAACCAGGCGCGGTCGGTCGGATGGCAGAATTCGCGAAGCACGGCTCATTGTACGGTATACTAGGTAAGTCGAAGGTCAAACGTAAAGAGGGAACGAGCACGTTGATCTGGCTCAGCGGTTTAATTCCTCTAGCTTCCAATCAATCGAAAGAAGTTGTAGTGTGATATACATTCTCACCTCACGCCGCGAAAAGTCTCATTGCAGAGGTTCGACCCGTACGCTAGGTATAGGAACGTTTTACCCTTCTCCTCTGCGTTCTGAATTTCTGACCACGAAAGCGCACCTACGCGCAAAGGCAGTTCAGCCAAGGAGGCATCGAGTCGTTCCCGTGAAGTCTGGGGAATGGGAGCAAGATCAACCCGCTTCGGGAGACGTGAAGCTTGGAGTCGACCCGCTAATCTTCTGGCATAGCATGCCGGTTCCTCTTCGAGTTTCGTATTCGTAGTTGATTGTAAGATTGAGGTCATGGTAAGGCTTAATTGCGTGCTGTCTGTGCTTGGCATGTTATTGGACAACTCAGTCATTGTCAAACTGATTGCATGTGCAGGTGGGTACATACATTAACAGTCGGACAAAGCTTTTTATAGCACATTTATTTGTATGGTCTTGTATTTGATACTGTGCTAATTGTTCCCTGTCGGGTCTGCAATTTATACACGTCGTGTTTTGATGTTTGACTTTCGGACGAATAATTCCCGAACTAAGGATCAATGACGTTGATTTATAATCCTGCTGTTAGCACTTGAGAGCTACTAAAGGTCACGTGGTACAGGCGCAATCGTTCAAATCAATCTTGATCCCGGTCCAGTCTGAGAGTTGAAATCAGACGAATGATTTGGTGTCGTCGCCATTTGAAATGGATATCTGCTGTTGGGAAACCAGTAAACACATACCCGGTATGTTCATTTATTCTCTTACTGCAACTTCCTTGGTGGAATACAAATCCCATCAAAATATCCTGACTACATAGGTAACCAGATAATAAAAGCATAGATTCATCTTTCATGTACAATTAATATTTCCTCGAGTATGTCCTTGGACGAGCCTGAAAGAGAATGAGCATTTCAATTCTACCTTTGAGCCAGTCTAATTTGCATAGGACATCCATCAAAGGGCTTTGCAGTAATGACAAGGGTCTATGTCGCTGTCAGCATTATCTCGATAATGATCTTCACTTAGCGCACTTACACTGAACAGCTCCCCGTTCGTCTTGTATCGGCCTCCCTCATCAACTATCGGCTGCCCTTTCTCGTCATTCAATACAGCACCTGCACCAAGTTTGATGAAGTCAAACTTTCTTATCACACAGGCGAGTATGACTCGCGCTTCCAAGTTCGCCAGCTCCTGTCCAATGCAGTTCCTTGGTCCTCTCTCAAATGGTCTCCAAGCACTTATAGGAATCTTTTGATCATCTGTTTCAACACAGTGCTCGCCTTCATCTGCTGCCGCCGTAGACGTGTTCCCCAGCCAACGTTCTGGCACAAATTTACAAGCCGTATCGCCGTACACTCTAGGGTCGCGCTGGATGAGGAAGTGATTATGGTACAGAATGGTCCCATCAACGCACACTTCGGATCCATCCTCGAGTCGCACTTTGAATCCCTTTTCTGGAACAGACAGACGCGCTGTACCAGCTGGCGGCCAGAGACGAAGCGCTTCTTTAATACAAGCCGAGGTGTAGGTGAGCTGCTTCATAGTATGCTCTGGCTCGGAGAGAAGGACGCTGCGCGGATCCTCTTCGCCAAACACAGCGTCGTGCTCGGCACGTAAAGCCTCGAGACACTTGGGGTTGCACGAAAGCTCGTGAAAGAGTCGCTGAAGCAGGATCGACGTCGTGTCATGGCCAGCGAAGAAGAATGACTTGACTTGATCAGCTGCGATTTGAAGATCTTCGCTAGTCAAGTCATTGGTATCTTTCAGAGCGAGAGACAGCACGGAGCGGTTTCTGGAGTCCTTAACCCCTGTTTCTTGGGCGATTTTAACGTCAGCGAAGCTGTTCTTGATGCATTTTTTGATGGATGCATCCGCCTTGGTCGCATAGTACCTCCGACGAATCCTCAGCATAAGATTGGTCAATGACGGTAGCCTGCTTTGCCCGGCATAGGTCGCGAGAAGTCTCTTAAAGAAATACACAACTTCATGGCCACCCGAGTCTGTATCTTGTGCTTTCAAGTCCAAATTACAGATAACGTCACCGATGATGTCGAAAGTCAAGTTGGTGCATAATGGTTCCATTTCTGCTTCGGCTCCTGAGATAGCCAGAGCGTCCAATTTCGCGACGAACCTGTCCACTTTCTGTAATATCACAGGCATTAACGTCATCAAGTGCTGTGGCGCAAACCCAGCATTGAAACGCCTGCGCAGAGCTCTCCATGTGTCACCCTTCAGAAAAAAGTTATTGGCTGCTCCAGAGCCCATCCTCTCGGGAAACTTACCTCGGCGACCAGAATTGATTTTTTGCCTATCATATCTAGCAAAGCTCCCATAGTGGGACTCTTGGTCACGCTCCATGTGTGCTCCTTGGATGCCTTGGATATCTGCTCTGCTACCTCATGGGACGCCACGAGAAGCAGTGGGGGATTCAACGGTCGCAGATCTAACAGCGTGATCTGTGGATATCCGGCATCTTTCCACAGCTTCTCGAAAGCGTAATCTAAGTGTTCCCGTCAGTACACGCTTCCAGAGAGCAGCAGGTTGGACTTGGGCTTACCCGTATGACGACGTGGATCTTTCAACTGAGCAACGGCAGTACCGATAGTGGCCAGATTACCCATGAACAAAGACGGTGGATAATAGCTGGGAATATGTTTGTACGTCCTGAAGCGCCAGTTGTAAAGCCAGCCATAGGCCAGCCAAGCGAATGCAAGGAGCAGGGCTGAAATGCTGTAAGTGAGGGTCATCATGATGCTCCTTGGAGTTGTTATCGTAAGACTGCCTATGAGGCCTTTTGCAGAGAAGTATCACGGCGCAGGCAGGCGCTACAGTACCATGCAGGGAACGTTTGTGCCGTGGAGGTGCGGGTGGCCCAGGGCAAGTACACACAAGCTAAGTTGTAAACAGGCCCGGAAACTGGCCGGTTTATAGAATCCGCGATCCCGTGTCGATTCAGCACGTACATACATATGTACATTTGTCTCAAGGAGAGCCAATCAATGTCTTGCCTTGATTAGCTACATAGGTACTCACTTTATTCATAACACCTCCATGACGACGCGAAAAATACTAGACCAACCCACTAGCGACTACTACATCGGGAAGGCACTTATGAACGTGTCCGTGAATCTTAATGTGGTCGGGAGCAAGGGTGTTCTTGACTCTAGCCTATGAGAGTGAGAGGAGAGCATTGTTTCGATGTTGGATTAGTTAGCACGCGGCCCTTCGACGAGGCCGAACAACTTGATCACCCGGCTCCAGCTGTATACGGCGAATACGACCTATGACCCTGCTGTGCACATGGTCTGGTCGAAGCGAGGTTCCATAACCCCCAACACCACCACTAAGCGCTGTTTACTGGGCCTGGGGTCATGGCAAAAACTGCATTGATGATTGATGATACACACTCTCTCCACCAACAGGACGCGGCCCACATACATACCCGTGCACAAATAACGAACGCAAGGAAACAACGTCTATACCAACTTCACAGGTCAAGGAAATCTTTGAGTCTCGTTCTTTTGAGCAAATAGCTGTCAATGTACAAGTATAAAACACAATTCGCTAGCTCTGTCTTCACCCAACTTCCCACGGCGTCCGCGTTCGCCTATGACTTGTGGGTTGGCTCAGAGAACTTCTTTGGGCCCGCGTTCTTGATAGGCGGGTTGTAGATGATCTTTCTCGTCTTGACTGGAGCCCACTTGTACCTGTTCGTAGCTTGTCAGCGATCCGAGCAAAGGACATGTTAGGATATACGGTTATCTTACCTCTTAACCCAGACACTGAGAGCGAAAAGCACGCTGGAGACGGCCAAAACCTTCCAGCCCATCTTCTTTCGGTCGTCCATTTCAGGCTCGGCGGTCCAGTTCAGGAACTCAACCACGTCCTTGGCCATCTGGGATGTGGAGGCAGGTGTCTCGTCCTCGTATTCAACCAGATCGTCGTAAAGCACGCGGGCCATAGCAATTCCAGTACCAGGAAAATAAGGGTTGAAGTTGAGACCATCTGCAACAACGGCTCCCGCAGGAGGCTCCTCGGGATACCCTGTCAACAAGCTGAAGATGTAGTCACAGCCACCGTGGCGAGCCTTGACCATAAGGGATAGATCCGGAGGAAGGGCGCCGTTGTTGGCAGCACGAGCAGCTTCGTCGTTCTTGTAGGGGGAGGGAAGGTAATCGGACAATTTTCCGGGGCGCTTCTCGATTTCGCCCTCGTCGTTGGGCTCGGTGTCGTATTCGTTCTCCTCGGCCAGGGCCTTGGCCTCATCGACGGTCATGATGGTGCCGACAAGTGAACGGTAGGGAACACGAGAAATGGAGTGGCAAGATGCGCAGACTTCGCGATAAACCTGGAAACCACGGCGGAGGCTGTACGTTTGGTTCAGTTCATCTCTCCAGACAACAAAGACTAGGTAGACTCACGCCTGGTGATCAAATGTCTTGTGCCATTTGGTGTGCTCCCATGGGTAGGAAGTCGGGTGGAGACTGTTGAGATGATCGAGTTAGCCGCATGCCCATGCCTAATCCGTTGCCCAACTTCGTAATTTACGGGTTCTCCCAGCCCCAGGAAATATCGATCACTCACCCTTCTTCAGCCGGAGTCATAGCATCGACGTTGCGCCCATACAGGTGCATGTACCAGGCGGTGGTACCGATCGCGAAGGCCGTGGCGCCGGCAGGGAGAGCGTTTGTCTTCCAGGACGAGGTAGTTCCCTCGGCTGATGAGCTGGACGTCGAGGCAGCGCGCTATACCACTCAATGCATTAGCAGCGTATCCAATTGACACGATGGAGCCCCGCAGCGATGAAATCTGGACAGATGGATACGGGGGAAGCTTGCGGGAGCTGTGGGTGTGGATGGCATGATCGGGAGTCGTACCGAAGACGTTTTGCTGGCAGCATTGCGAGCCGCAGCGCCGGCGGAGCGCGCCGAGCGAAGAGCCGATCGAGCCAACATGGTGACCAGAACTGGCTCTCGTAGCAGCGGAGAGAGAGGAGAGGTGTGATTGGGGTGGTGTTAGGTGGTGATGGGGGTGTAGGAACTCTCTAGGGTTGCTCCTTCCACAAAGCCTCTGCGAGCGAAAGACTAGCTGATTACCTAACCTGCTTTTGTCTGCTGTGTGATTGGCTGGAGAACGAAACAAGAATGCAGACCACTACACGATGCATTGCAGCACAGGGCAGAGAAGAGTATTATTCACGGCGATTTCTGCGCGGTCATGAGAGAAATGAAATCTTCTAGTCGTCGTGGCTTGTTACAAGAATCAGACGCATACCCGAAAGAACGGATGAAGTCGGTTCAGCACTCCATCAGCCCGCTACAAGATAAGGGACTGATTGTCCAAGAACAGCTCTGATAAAAGACATGTATCCCAGCACAGGTGCATGTGCTGGGAAAGTTCCGACTTTGCAAACGAGTTAGGAGTGCTTCACCACATCTTCGAACGTGACTTTCGGCTACTGTTTTCACGATAGTGAACAAAAATGAACATTGCATTTCAAGGGCATGGTATGAGTGATTTGGTCAAACCAATGCTTGTTGACCCAAAGCACGCTATTTATATAAAGAAAATGAGTTTGGGTATGTTGTTACAAGAGGTCTGAAAGAGTCAATCTCTCTGTCTCAGAGCTCCCTGTCACCAGCCTTCACAGGCTTCTCTTCGTCCTTTGCTTTCTCAGAGGTGATCTTCTTGTCGCCTACCCATCCCATGGCCTTTAAACGCTCCGTCAAAATGGGGTGAGAGTGGTGGAAACTCGAGTAGAACCAGTCTGCATCCATGCTGGAAAGGTTTTGAATCTGGAGCTTGATCAACGAGGCACCCAACTCAGTGGCATAACCGAGCTTCACAGCGAAAGCATCTGTCAATGTTAGCATGATGGTCGTGCTTGAAGGTAGATGATCCACAAACCGGCTTCGTATTCCATGCTGCGCGTCCAGATATTAAGTAGAAGCTTGATGATGGAATCCGTTGGTGACAAGATCTCGTTGAACAGAAGGAAGCCAATCATGACGGGCCTCTCTTTGATGAAACCGAAGTCGGCATACAGGGATTTGTTGTTGATAAAGACTGAGAAGAGGGCGAAGATGTAGAACATGTGCGCTTGGCTGATGAACAGAAGCCTAGAGGTATGGTTCATCTGCCAATGCCCAAGTTCATGGGCAAGAACAGCCTCGACCTCCTTTTCCGTGCTCTTTTCGAGGAGCGTGTCGTAAATGACAATCTTCTTCTTTCCGATCCAGGGCAGACCAGTGAAGTAGGCATTGCTGTGAGCACTGCGCTTGCTTCCGTCAATGACTTGAAGTTCGCTGAGGGGAAATTGAAGCTTCGATGCAAGAGCCTCAACCGAATCCTTAAGCTTTCCGGGCTTAAGGGGTTCAAGTTTGTTGAACAAAGGAACAATGAGGATGGGATAGATGGTCATGGCCGAGATCTGGACAACAAGCATAAAGACCCAGAGGTAATAGAAGAAGCTCTGTCCCGTCTTCTTGATGATGGCCAGGAACGCGCTACCGATGGGGAGACCGAAGGCAATCGCAAGAGCTTGTCCCTTGATCATATCCGTAACCCAAAGTTTGACAGTCATCTTGTTGAAGCCGAACTTTTCTTCCAAGACAAAGCTATGGTAGTATGCAAACGGCAGGCCGAGTACGGTATCGATTAGACCGAAAAGGTAAACGAACAGCAAAGACTGCACGATTTCGCCGGAGAAGCGAGCCGGGCCATAACGAGCGAGGATGGTGCCAGCGACGCCCCACACAATGGGATAGACGTTGAAGTAGAGAACGGCGAGAGATTTGAGTTGGTTGAAAAGGCCAGAGACGAAACCGAACTTTGCTTTTGCGCGACCGTATGCCTGAGTATCCATATGTCAGCGGCGCAAAGATGGGGGCGGGGTGGGCAGAGCTCTGTACCTGAGATTTGTCGAATGTAGATTGATCAATTTCCTTTTCCAAGGCCTTTGGTACGGCTGTCTTGTTCAGGACGCGGTATTGGCGGAACAGGAGCCAGTTCTCGAGCGCGAATTCAGCAAGACTGAAGCCGAAGACGAGCTTCTTCCACGGGAACAGCGGGCGGTCGAGCCACCGGGCCAGACGCTTTAACACAAGTCAGCCTGGAGTATAGAAACACAGCGTAGATGCAAGGGTATTTTACCTGGAGGATGCCCTGAATCATTGTTCGGGCAGATGAGGGTTGAGGTGTTGGTGTGGTTGTTAGGACAGCTTGAGGACACCTAGTTTGGATTTGGAGCCGCAAGGCTGAGCTAACTACATGTGTAACACGTAAGAACATCTGAATCTCACTCTACTGCATGGATTTGAAGAATAGTATAAGCAACCTACATTATACACACGACATGGTACATAGCCAAGCACACGAGCACCTGATTTTTCGAGACTTGCCATAGCTCATGATGTATCATATTAGTGTGACAGCATACAAACTCGAATGTTCGATCTGGCTACGGTTTCCCCCGCCACAGGTCACATAACAAGTCATGATTCGTACATGATGAACAGTGCATAGTTGACGGTACCGCTCGTGATGCAGGGCAGCATTATATAAGAGAATAACAGACCTGCCCATGCAGATGTGTGTACAAGACGGATGAATGTAGCAGCAACCCTATACCTCAGCACCCCATGTGTAAATCGTGTAGAGGCTCAAACGTGTGCAGAATCAGTCTGGCAAGCGGCCGAGAGTATCGGCAGAACAGCCAGAGCCTCCATGGACCTATCCGGAGACAAGTCGCGGAGGGCTGAGAGGTTTCCTTGCGTTGAATGTGAAGAAGAAAAAGAAGATGGACAAAGCGGAGGAGAAGAAAAAAGCCATGGGGCGCGGGCTTGGCACACGGCGGCTGGCCTAAGCTTCCTCTCTCCCCTTGGGCGACATGGCTGGTGTTGCTGCTGCTGCTGCTGCTGAAGAGCCCCCGAATCAATCCGCCATCTTCCTCTTCATCATCATCATCATCATCATCGTTCTCGCCCATCGGCAGCCATCTTCATCAATCGCAACGGCACGGACTGTGTGCTGCGCAAGAGGGTCTTGTGTAGATGCGCTCCTTCAGGCACCATGGCGCGCTGCAGCAGCATCTTGCTCGGCGAGGTTTGCCGTCATTGGGACAGAGCAGGCCCAGCTTGAAGGCTTTGTGTGCCAGGGGGGAGCTACCTTTTCCTGCCCGCCGCCGCTCCTACGCCAGTCCCAGTATAATGTACCCCGCCTTTTCGAGTCGTCTAAACAACACCACCACCACCACCACCACCGCCACGACATTCACAACATTCACAACATCTCTCCCACCCCGTCGGTCCCCCATACGACCCAATCATCTCACCACGGTTCCTGTCCGATATTGCTCCCACCGCAGAAACATGTGCAAACAATTCGGCCAAGACGGCGTGGGCGCGTCCATGGACATTACCCAGGCCCGCGAGGTGCTGCCCACCAATGTGAAACCCCTCCATTACAACCTGACGTTGGAGCCAGAATTCCAAAACTTCACCTACAAAGGTTCCGTGACCATTGAGTATGCAATTGCTCCCCGCAGTCCCTCTATCGTGAGCTCCGTGCTGACCGAGCCAGCTTGGATGTGGTAGAGGATACCACTTCAATTACCCTCAATACCCTCGACCTCGACGTTCACTCTGCAAAGGTCGAGTCCGACGGTCAAACCGTGTCCGCTTCTCCCTCCCTCACCCACGATGAATCCGCTCAGACGACCAAAGTCACCTTCGACCAGACCATCTCTAGTGGCGCAAAAGCCTCTCTCACCATGACCTTCACCGGCACACTAAACGATAACATGGCAGGCTTCTACCGCTCCTCCTTCAAAGCCGCCGACGGCTCCACCACATGGATGGCCACCACCCAGATGGAGCCCACCGATGCCCGACGCGCATTCCCCTGCTTCGATGAGCCCGCGCTCAAGGCAGAGTTCACTGTCACTCTAGTGGCAGACGACAAGATGACATGTCTCAGCAACATGGATGTAGCATCGGAGAAGACGGTTGACTCTCAATTGGGAGCTGGAAAGCGCAAAGCCGTCACATTCAACAAGTCGCCTCCCATGTCCACATACCTGCTGGCTTTCATCGTAGGCGAGCTCAACTATATCGAGACAAGCAACTTCCGCGTGCCGGTGAGAGTCTATGCTCCCAAGGATAGGGACATTGAGCACGGGCGCTTCTCGCTCGAGCTGGCTGCCAGGACACTTGACTTCTACGAAAAGACGTTTGCCAGCCCTTTCCCATTGCCCAAGATGGACATGGTTGCCATTCCCGACTTCAGTGCTGGCGCCATGGAGAATTGGGGTCTCATCACGTACCGTGTCGTTGATGTACTCATCGATGAGAAGACAAGTGGTGCGTCTGTCAAGCAACGCGTAGCCGAGACTGTGCAACACGAACTCGCCCACCAATGGTTTGGGAACTTGGTGACCATGGATTTTTGGGACGGTTTGTGGCTAAACGAGGGCTTTGCGACTTGGATGTCCTGGTATTCGTGCAACGTTTTTTATCCCGACTGGAAGGTCTGGGAAGGATACGTCACCGATACCCTTGCCTCTGCCCTCTCACTCGACTCCCTCCGCAGTAGCCACCCCATTGAAGTTCCCGTCAAACGCGCCGACGAGATCAATCAGATCTTCGATGCCATTTCATACTCCAAGGGCTCCTGCGTACTGCGTATGATTTCCAAGTATCTCGGAGAAGAAACTTTCATGGAGGGTATCCGCAGGTATCTCAAGAAGCATGCCTATGGGAACACGCAAACGGGCGATCTCTGGGCTGCCTTGAGCGATGCCAGCGGTAAGGATGTTGAGAAGGTCATGGATATCTGGACTAAGCATGTTGGGTTCCCTGTCATCACTGTCACAGAGAACTCCGATTCCATCCACGTGAAGCAAAACCGCTTCCTGAGAACAGCCGATGTGAAGCCAGAAGAGGATCAAACACTATGGCCAGTGTTCCTTGAGCTACGAACCAAAGATGGCGTTGACAAGGACTTGGCGCTTACTACCCGTGAATCTGACTTCAAGCTCAAGGATACTGACTTTTTCAAACTCAACGCCGACCATTCGGGTATCTACCGAACATCATATACCCCAGAGCGATTAGCGAAGCTAGGAGAAGCCGCTCGAGCCGGCTTGCTCTCGGTAGAGGATAGGGCAGGTATGATCGCTGACGCTGGAGCTCTGGCTTCTTCGGGTTACCAGAAAACCTCCGGAATTCTGGCACTTCTTGACAGCTTCAAGAGCGAACAAGAATTCGTAGTGTGGCAGGAAATCATCAGCCGCATCAGTGTGCTGCGTTCTGCCTGGACGTTTGAGGATCAAGCGGTCCAGGATGCACTGAAGAAATTCGCCCTCGAATTAACACAGGACAAAGCACACGAGCTTGGATGGTCATTTTCCGAGAAAGATGGGCACATTGAGCAACAGTTCAAAGCAATGATGTTTGGTACTGCTGGTGTTACGAAAGACGAGGCCATCGTGAAGGCTTCGTTTGACATGTTCAACAAGTTCAAGGCTGGTGATAGCGAGGCTATTCACCCCAACCTTCGCGGCAGTGTTTATGCCATTGTCTTGTCCAATGGCGGCAAAGAAGAGGTTGGTAGTTGTCATTTCATCAAGAAGGATTCTACTAACGTTCCACAGTACGATGTTGTTCTCGAACAAGCAATTCACGCAAAGACGAGCGATGAGCGTAACACTGCAATGCGTTCATTGGGCCGCGCTAAATCGCCAGAACTCATTCAACGCACCCTTGCACTCAGCATGAGCGAAGACGTCAAGGCTCAGGATATATACCTGCCCATCTCTGCATTGCGCACCCACACCGAAGGAATCAACGCACTGTGGAACTGGGTGAAGGAGAATTGGTCTACACTCGAGAAGAAGCTTCCTCCTAGTCTGAGCATGCTGAGTTCTGTCGTTTCGATCACAACCTCCAGCTTCACCAGACGTGAACATATCAAAGACATCGAGGCCTTCTTCGCTGACAAAAGCACCAAAGGTTTCGACAAAGCCCTGGCCCAGAGTCTGGACGCCATCAGCGCAAAAGCAGCATGGATTGAACGTGATTCGGACGATGTGAAGGCATGGCTCAAGGAGCACAAGTATCTATAGGTTGTGATCCGTGCAGCTTTGACAATGGATGACAGGTTATCTACTTTCCATGTTTATCATTTTAATAAATCTGTAGAATATACTAGCATTCAGGGGGATGGCGCGGTCCACCCCGTCCGTTAGAAAAAGACACTGTACAAATAGCGGCAATGGAAAAAACTTGCTTATATGATTCGACATCATGTACAGTCTTGGCTCGGAGCCACTCACTACATGAAGATTGACTGTGCTCATGATACAGATTTCTCTGCATACCGTAAAACTATGCGAGATCACACCCTTTTTCATGTGCTTCGATTTTTGCAAAGCTGATTACATGTACATATGTATACATAACTGTAGCGCAAGGTGATCTAAACGTTCCCAAATGGCTTTCGCGTTTGGAAGCGAGCTATCATCTCGCGCTAAGCAAGGGTCACGTCACGGTCAGCATCGAGAAGTTGCCGGGACATGTGAATCCCACATACCCTCCTCATAGCTCAACACTTCGCCCGACTTACCCGGACATGTGGAAACAAGACAATCTGCTTGAGCCCAGAATTCGCCAACCCCCACTTCCACGTCATTGGGGTTGAATACTCTGCATTGCGAGTTGCAATTGCTCCCTCACACCTTATACGTTGCCATGGCGGCGCACGACACAGGGCCTCAAGACTTGGAACTCGAACCACCCACAGCTTCCGATCTGGAGTCACTCGAGCTGTTCCGCCGGTCTCCTCACCCCTACCATCGCCGACAAAGCCATCACATCGAGACACCCTCCGAGTTCTCAAGCAATGATTTCTTACGAACAAGCCTACAACCGTCCAGCTATACCATATCCGACCAAGGCGGGAACAACTACAGCAATACTATACAGTCACCAAGCGAAAGTGGGACGGAAGCCGATGATGAGGGCTATGGTTTCATCAAGGCTCTTCCTGCTCCTCCGTTGAGGCCGCGCAAAGGACTGCGTATCCCGCGAGGGGTAGGCTTGGATGGCGGGGCAAGCCCTCTTCTCACGCCTTCGCAGATCGACGAAGAGGGGCTTGAAGAAAGAAAGAAACTATCTCGCAGTCAAGGATCGTCTCCGATCGATGATGAGGCGCAAAGATTACGGCAGAGGTATCTGAAGAGGCGGCGTAATGAAGTAATGCGGAGGACGGTCGAGGCGGCACTACTTGCCGCGATCAGTGTACTAGCTATACATGGGAGCGATTCCTGGGCCACGCTGCTTCAGCAATACCGAGTTGAAATCTCCGCGCATACCGCTATTATACTTAGCCTTCTGGCCATATACCCTATCCGGCTCATATTTTATTCTCTAGGGAGAACTTCGTCCTCGAACCAACGAATCGGACAACGCATACGTATACCAGCGACTTTTGATCCAGCGCCCATATTATACCCAGCTGTGATTCCCGTTCTAATTTCTATTTCCCTTTTTGCAACAAACCATGCTTTCCTGGTACCAAATATCATCCTGGGCTTAGCAGCATTACCCCCTCAGTTAATACCAGACGAGAGCCCGGCATCTGGTTATTCTACCATCCACTGGGTTATTTCCATATTGCCCCTGATAGCGTCTCAGAATCTGCGTGGCACCCCCGCCTCCATCATGCCATATCATGGCATAGATTCCGAATTGCTTGTCGCCTTGTTCCCTCTACATCAAGCTCTGCTTCCCCCTTTGCACTACCTCACTACAACAAGTCTGCTAATAACTGAACTTCATCTTCTCTCGGTCGGACTCATCAATCTACTGCTATTCGCCAACTCCCCGCAATCAGGCATCTTGGCCATTCTGCTGTGGCTTGGGGGTGTTGGTGTTTTCGTGCTTTGCGGGAGAGTGCTTAAATGGGGCGTGGCGCTAGCCCGTATACCCCGGTGGAAATTCAGGCGTGCAGGGCAAATCATCAAAGCCCGACAGTCATTTCTGCATGCGCTCAACGAGCGCTTGAGATCGCGCTGGTCAAAAAGCCCGAGCAGAGCCATTGCTGACAGTGACGCCGACGAGGATAATCCTCTGATCAAAATGCCGACCAAGCGAACCAAAAGCTTGAAACTCAAAATCATAGATTCACTCAAACACGGCCATCATTCCGCTCCTAGCGACGAGGTTCAGTCTGCAGTGGAAGCCAAAAAGAAAGATTTTGAGCAGAACATGCTTGAACATCAAGCCGCACTGTCTAAACGACGAAATACACTGCCTTCGCTACCATCACAAATAAATGCATCTCCGGGTGCCCACGAGCACCAGCACCGACGACGAGCCAGATCGATTGCGCAGTCATTCCTCGCTCTTACACCAACGCAGGCGCTGATCCGGAAATGGACATATGCCATGTATTTCTATCTTATCGTGGTGACTCTAATCATCGGGCCAATCCGTTACGTCATCGGTCAATACACTCTTCAAGCCCACGAGCCTTTTGGGTGGGCGATCGGCTACTTGTTCGGAAACATCCAACGGCTACGCTTCCAAGTCTTCAATTGGGATTTGGAGCGGTGGATCGCACTTCCTCCACTGCGAGACACGACCGAGATGGCATGGGCGCAGAGCCTCGGTCCAGCTGAATACCTGAGGCGTGTCTCGATTGGTGAAGCCAATGTACGCCTCTTCCTTTGCGTTTACTGCGTCGTCGTCATTGCTCTCGGTCTCGTGGTCGTCTTCAGCCTCAGCGCCCTTGTAGAAGTCGACACACGTCGAAAAGTCTTCCATGGCACCATGGTAGCTATGCTCCTCCCCACCATCTATATCGACCCGTGCTTCGTATCTCTTGCGCTTGCTCTGGTCCTCGCCATCTTCCTCCTTCTCGACCTTATTCGAGCTTCCCAGCTTCCCCCGCTCTCAGGACCCATTGCCACCTTCCTTACTCCCTACGTGGACGGCCGCGATCTCCGCGGACCTGTAGTTGTCTCGCACATTTTTCTTCTCATTGGGTGCGCGATCCCGCTCTGGCTCTCCCTGGCTGGTGTGCAGCGCTCAGGCGAGGAACCGTGGAGTGGGTGGAACGTCGTGTCCCGTGACGTGAGCATGGTGTCGGGAGTAGTGTGTGTGGGCATGGGCGATGCGGCGGCTTCGTTGGTGGGACGGAGGTTCGGGCGTCGCAAGTGGGCTTGGGCCGGGGGCAAGTCGCTGGAAGGGTCACTGGCATTTGCCGTTGCTGTGATGGTTGGGCTACTATTTGGCAAAGCCTGGCTCGAAGTAGGCTGGGGGCTATCTGGCGGCTTCCCTCTCCCATCACGGTATCACGGCATTGATAATGACAACGCACCAAGGAGTTTCTCCCAGTTGGCGATGGATGCCGCGATTGTGGTGGGGAAAGCAGCGGTCTGCGCGGTGGGGGCAAGCCTGGAAGAAGCTGTTTTGACGGGTGGGAACGACAATGTGATTGTGCCTGTGGTACTTTGGGTGTTGGTACGGGGTGTTGGGTTATAGCTTGCCTTGGCTTGCACCTCCTCTACTTCCTTTCTTCTCCTTTAGATACCCTAGAATCATCTCTGCTCGAGTGTACTTCAAGTCATATTTCCAACCAATTCTTAGGAACAAACAATGCAATATCTGTTGTCATGGAATACTGACGGCGTTGTTTGGCTCGAAGTCTGAATTGTTCCAAAAGGCGAGCATGTGATGGACTGATTGTGTGCACATGTAACCTTTTAAGTGGCTGGCTGGTCATATGATTTTTCTTGGGCTAACATCTAGGGTGACCCTTTGCGCGTGAGCCCACGGTGAAGGCTTATGAGGCTCTTCGGGATGACGTAGCGTAGCGTCCTTGGGTTGCTTGTATATCTTCTTCCAAGTTTGTGAAAAGGGTTGAGACGGTGAGTCACTGAGCGCATGTGAATAAGGAAGAGTATACGCTTACACATGTACCAAACAAAAGGCGTGACCCGGGCGGCGAAGAACATCAATGGATGTACGCCAGAGAGACAAGAATAGAAAGTGTGATGGAATCAAGCGAACATGATGGAAACCGGGATTCGATTATAAAAAAAAACTGATGGGAAATGCAAACAGAATGTGATGTGCATCGAGATTTGAGAGAAGAAAGGCGATGGTGTTAGTCTCGGGGTATATAGATGGTGGAGATGGTGGTTGGTGAGTGACTTTGTCACCCGCCGAGGCTGAGTGAGATGTCTTGGGAGTTGACGGTTGCACAGTAGGTATTCGAATAGCAGCAAAAAGAACGACGTCATGGCTGGAGTGCAAGTTGATGTCGTTTGCCTGCAGGGCTGCAGCCGAGAGGCAGAAAAGGAGTGGGTAGGGGTCAGGTCAGGGGGTACTTGGGTATCTACCTAGGTAGCTTATCGATTACGCAGCCATCTACCGAGTCATTGGCTGAGTACCCGAGTCACGTATAGACAGATATGTAGAATGGAGAGATGGGAGCAGGCAAGCGACGGAAAAGAAGACCAGTCGTTCTTTGGCCCGGCGAGACGCTGCAGGTCATGGGTGGAGGGGATTGTATGTTGCCGGAACAAAGAAAGCATCGCATGTCTAGAGGTTTCGTGGGCTTCGCCAGGGTCGTGATTGGCTGCACGGGATGCCTCAGTCGGCTGGGGCGGGCGACGAGATGCAGCAGTCATGTCTGTCGTCAACGTGTTGAGCGGCACCTGTGCGGGGACGGCCGTGGTGGTTGGTGGTGGTGATCATGTCCATCGTGGTCAGATGACTAAGTATACCCAGTCGCTGATCGAACCAGGTGCCCACCAAAGGCTGAGTACAGCCAGCTGCTTCCTGGAATCAAGACAAGAAGACGCTGTAGAGGAGGAAAGAAAACCAGAAGAAAAAAAAAATACGGCACTCGCATCCTCGATTTGTGGCTCGCGTCCAGGTAATGATCCAAACAGTCACCCATCATACCGTCAGTCACTCACTCACTCACTCAGTCGCGTACATCCATACATACCTACCTACATGGATACAGTAGGCATTCGCGATAACGTTATCACATCCCCGCTAATCCCTTTACAGTTGCGACCTACCTCTTAACTGTCTCTCCTCCCATGTCGCCCCGTCTCCATCCTTTCCATCTACACATTAACTACATAACCTATTCGTTGCTTATTTCACTTCTCTTCTCTTCTTCGTCCTCTTCTCCTCCACCTATAATCCTTCCCCCCACCCCTTGTTCTCCCGCCCCTCCCCATCACCACCATTACCGCCGCCACCTCACCCCAACCCGTCTCTCCGCGTCCGTTGGTTCTGACTCTCGCCCCACGATATACAGCTATCTAGGTGCTCGTCGTCGGTTGCCTGCCTGCCTGCCTGCCAATACCTGCGCTTCCCCGTCAACCTATCAGCCTGACCCTCGACTACTTTCGCGAGGCCGCCTTCTTACCGCTTCGCCTCTCCCACAACTCGCCCACTATATAACCTCTTGTCGCAGCCGCCTCTGCAACCTCCTCACCTATCCACGCTACACCCGCAGCCATACCCTTGCCTGCAGCCTTACCGCCTAGCCACCTCGCATAAACAACAAAAACATCCTTCAGCTCTCCTCTTCCCTTGCCGTGTCGAGCAAGCCCATGTGCAACACGCTCCCCTCTACGCTCTACTCACATCGGTGCTGGTAGCGTAGCTGCATTACTCCACAACACTGCTACAGGGCTGGCCATCCAGCGCCGACATGGCAGCACCCACCCCACACCACCAGCGCCCGCGCAGGCCGTCTGGCTCCACTGAACAAATCATCGGCCAGTACAAACGCATGGATCACATCGGAAAGGGAAGCTTTGCTGAAGTGTACCGTGGAATTCACATCGTATGCATCCCCTTTCTATGGCGCCTTTGCAACCCCCGCTAACATGACTCTACTGCTAGGAAAAACGGCAATCCGTAGCCATCAAGTCTGTCAACATGAGCAAGCTGAACAAGAAACTCAAGGACAATCTCGTCTCGGAGATCACCATTCTACGGAGTCTTCACCACCCTCACATTGTGGCCTTGATGGACTGTCATGAGGCGCCCTCACGAATGCACATCATCATGGAATTCTGCGAGCTCGGCGATCTATCAGGCTTCATCAAGAAACGTGCAGATCTCGAAAATCACCCTCAAACGCAACGCATGATCGAGAAGTACCCGAACCCGACTGTCGGTGGTCTGAACGAAGTCATCGTTCGTCACTTCGCAAAGCAAATGGCCAGCGCGCTTGAATTTCTGCGGTCCAAGAATTACATCCATCGGGATCTCAAGCCTCAAAACCTCCTCTTGAATCCTTCGTCACTCTACTATTCACAGAGCAATTCCGTGGACCGGATGCCGCTGGCCGCCGATGCCAACTCACTCATTCCAGCGACTGGCATCGAATCTCTTCCCATGCTTAAGATCGCCGATTTCGGATTTGCGAGGGTCTTGCCAACAACCTCCCTAGCCGAGACGCTTTGCGGTTCGCCCTTGTACATGGCCCCAGAGATTCTGCGATACGAGAAGTATGATGCGAAGGCCGATCTGTGGTCTGTTGGCACAGTTCTCTACGAAATGGTGTGCGCTCGGCCACCGTTTAGAGCAAATAACCATGTTGAACTTCTCCGCAAGATCGAAGACCGCAACGATCAGATACGGTTCACAGAAGGATCTGTCACTAGTAGGGCTATGAAGAACCTTATCCGCGCCCTTTTGAAGCGCAAACCAACGGAGCGCATGTCCTATGACAATTTCTTCTCAGATCCCGTCATCCGAGAAGACATCCCAGGTCTTGTAGACGAGGACGCTCCTCAGATTTTAGAGCCGGAGCCCATCGGTCAATCTAGGCGAATGCAGAAGATGCCCGTTGACATGGATCGTCGAGCTTCAGAAAGCCCTATTTCCCAATCGCCGCGAGAGAAGACACCGTACGGAACGACACCTCCGTCAAGGCCATCCTCTCGTCCTATCTCGCGCCAGCTCTCGGGAACCCCGCCTCAAGCCTCGACAAATCGGCGGTTGAGCAACACTCCACTGCCGCCGATCGAGCAGTACTCTCAGCGTGAGCGTCGCCCAGTGCTCACCAACGCCAATACCGCTCCCGCCCGGCCAACTGCTGTCCCGGATCAGGAGTCAGCTTCTACTGGTAGGCGCCGCACATCCCGAGATGAGCAGTTGCCTTCGGCAGGGCCTGGGCTCAAAGAACACCTTGCAAGGGAGCGTATACCGCAGCGGCCAGAGGTGGCAATGCGTGAGGCAGCAGAGCGAGCGGCCCAGGATACTGCGCTCGACGAAGGGTTTGTGTTCGTGGAGAAACGGCGAGTGGAGATCGACGCTCTGGCCGACGAGATTGCTGCAAGCCCTCAAAACACAAGGGAGCGTCCAGTCACCAGAGAAACTACCATGAAGCGGCGCGCAACCACGCAAGGGTCACCCACATCTGTTACTGGTGCGACTGTTCCATCTAGAGCCATTCAAATCCAACAAAAGCAGACCAATGTACATCAGCGCAACAACTCGTACGAACGCAAATACCGCCCAAGTTTCGAAACGGCAACATCAGCACTTTCCAAAGCAATGAACATGGTCAATATTCGCGGTCTGGGTCTTTCACCGCCCACGATGAAAGGTATGTCTCCACCTCAAGGCCACGCTGGCTTTCCTGTCTACCCGACGGCGCAAAGCAGCCTACTGTTAGTAGGCGATGGTGGCAAGATCATGAGCAAAGACGAGGATGCCGCTGCTGTCAGGCAGATCGAGCAGCTTGCCGAATTAAGCCACGTCGTGTACGGCTTTGCCGAAGTCAAGTACAAACAACTTGTTCCGGTGCCGCCCAGTGACCAAGGCCTCGGAATTGGTCCCACTGGCCTTCGGAAGCCAAATCAAGATGATACGGATGATGAGGATGACGACTTGACCCCCGAGACTGTGCTGGTCATTGCAGAGGAAGCTTTGGTCCTCTATGTCAAAGCCCTCACCATGCTCAACAAGGCTACAGATGTCACAGGGCGCGCTTGGAATCGTATAAAACACGGCCACGCTTCCGATGGATTACGGGACCGCATGGAAAATGTAGTCAATTGGGTGCGAGACCGCTTCAATGAGTGCTGCACCAAATCCGAGATGGTTGCACGCAAATTGAAACAAGCGCAGCTCCTACTTCCTTTGGATCATCCAAGCCATCCCAGCAACATATCACAAGAGTCCGGATCGGCGACAACGATTGGCTCTGCAGAGAACATCTTGTTGACAACTGGGGTTACAGCCGAGAAACTCATGTACGAACGATCTTTGGAGATGAGTAGACTGGCTGCAGTCAATGAGCTTGTAGGTACCGACCTGGAAGGCTGCGACCTCAATTATTGGACCGCACGAAGATTGCTAGAAGCTATCTTGGAAGACGAAGAAGACTCAACTCTTCGCAGGCCTGATGGCGAAGAGATCAATGGGTTAGAGACTGAGGATCGCAAGTCAATACAGATGCGTAAGTGCCTTGACGAAATGATGTTCTGCGAATGTCTTCTAATATATACTGTAGTTCTAGAGGGTATGAATGGGCGTCACTCTACTCTGAAGAGGAAGTTGAACGCACAGAAGGCCCAGAAAGCTCAAAAACGTACTTCGATTTCCGGCGCTCCTGTACCTCACCCATCTACGCGTAGCTCGCCTTCTTCGCACGGCACTGCGAGGTAATTGTCGCATCGGCATCCACGTTCAAGGACTGCCTCCCACCTCATAGCATAATTATCGTTATCATTCGCGGCTCATGCATTGCATCTTTTCGGCGTTTTCAAGAGGATGGCGTCAAGGTGATTGGCGCAGCTCCTATCCTCTTTCCTGTTCTATTGCGCGCAATCTATCTATCGCATATCTTGTTTTACTCGTTTCATTGCTTGGGCGTTTACTTTCATCTTTTATGGTTATTGCTCTCTGGTTAGCAAGTGGTCTGTGGCATGAGCACTTCTTTTGTCTTGCAATGATACCAGAATTTCATAGTGCGTAGGAACCTCGCGACATACACGGCGTTTTGAGCATTCTTTGTTTCTGCACATTTCTTATGGGTTGTTTTCATGTTTGGTAATTTTGCCTTCGTAACAGGTTGGGGGCACGGGCATAGATATGGGCGCTGGGGGTGTCCTGTATCATGAGCATCATCGACTGGCTGAGCCCTCCGCTGTACACACACTGGGTGGGTGTTGGAGTATACCAATGGCATTAGATTGAATCCCTCGACGAAATAAACGGGCGGCACTTGATGGGTTGGCTAGGACGCAAAGGATCAGACTGCATCATGATATAGGAGGTATAGCTGAAGGTTAAATAAATCGCATTGTTGTGTCACCCATGGGCTGCTGTGGTGAGAAGTGAGAAGTGCTCTTCAATCACAGGGAAAGCTCAAGAAACTTGCACGTACAGATGCAAACACAGAGAGTCATCTGTGGTGGGGCAGTTATGATACTGAAGCGAAATGAATCAGAGCCATACTGAAAACACGGTTGTCTCCCTTCTGAAAATACTACAACAATCAAATCTGAATATGATGATATTGTAAGTCTTTCAAACTTAACAACACGATAGATGCACACCTTGATGTCAAAGCTATGTCAACATTAATTGATATCAATGCAAATACAAGTGAATTTCAGACCGCCAACATCTAGATATTTGAAGCAGGAATGAGAGGGTGATGGAAGAGGTGCACGTGGTCAGCTGTGATTTCCGACTGCCTTGTGACATCCGGTTATCTCACACGTATGCGCGGGCTTATATCGCGGAATCGGTGCTTATCGAGACCCAACCATTGCTGCCAGACTCGCTGTTCTGTTCATGACAGCAAATATGGATAGCTGTATCCCAACGGGAGTCGATATCAGCACTCGTTTGCGCAACTTGTTCGCCGATACATAGGGTGTTTGGATGGTTCAAGAACTCCTGACATCTCAACCGAAGATTGCTTGGATTCTTCCAATGATGTAGCGTGTACGTGGATGGTCAATCGAAGTTGTCGTTGGAGCTCGCTATATATAATCGATGTGCAGCAGGCTGTGTTAGTGAGAATCACATGTATAGGGTTAGCGTACTGCCGAATTGGACATATCGGATAGAAGCCTTGGAGTACAATCGAATGCTATACATTTCCACGTACATTATCGGTAGCAATAGGAAATGTACTCTAGATTAGTAAAGCGGGCGATGCGGAGGCACGGATAAGACTCGGAGTGGAAAGTGGATAAAGTGACAAGTGACACAGCAACCCTGATGAAGAGCATATTCCCTGCGTTATAACCTGTGTCTGTACAGGATCGGGGGAAACGCCGGGTTCGGATGGAAACACGATGCATGAGCTGGTGTGGTGAGGCCTGAGACCGAATGTTATTTCATGAGAAGCCAAAGATGCTGACTACCGCGCCTCTGCCGTGCCGTGAAAGAGATTCCCATAGAATGCAAATGACCGGGCCGCGCCTGGACCTTTTTCCCGCTTCGGTATCTTCGTTCATATTCCACCCATCGTCGTCACCGTAACTCATACATGGCTTATCGCAGCCTCCTGGCCTCACGCTCGGACTCGAGCAAGCAGAGAATGTCGTTCTCACGGACTGCCGAAACATTAGCCTCCCTGTAAACAGATATCCGGTCATGTTAGACAGTGCGCTGTCGTACCTGGGCCCTTGACGTTGCGGATGATGCTTCGGGTTGTGTCGTCCATGAATTCGACGCGGCACTGGGTAACACCACCACGGGAGCCTGGCCACTTGTCAGATATCTCCTCAAAAATCACAACGTATCCCACGCCTTTCCCATCGGATCGCGCGAATGTGTCGGGGATGCGGTGGACGTACCGGTGCGGCCGAGAACGCGGGTGACCTTGACGAGCTTGACGGGGACCTTGGCGGAATCCATGTTGGCAGTCTAGTAGAGTACGATCAGTTGCTGTGGAGGAGGTCTGGAGAATTTGGGCGGAAGGCGTACGTTTTGGAGTCGGGTGGACTGGAATGTGTGGGAGTGGCCGGTGTCGTGGAGAATTGAGCGTGCAGGTGACTTGGGCAACGGCGCTGAGGAATTGGTGATCAAAATGGCGCTGTGCGTGCAAGCGAAGTTTTGTGCCGCTCCACGCCGCCTTTGCGATGGCGCTAGCCCGTGGCGGCTAGGCTGCTGGATGGCGGGGCTGGACAGGGACTGATTGGTGCGTCATGGTCAGAAAATTGAATGCGGATATCGGAGCATTCAGTCGCATCTTTTTACATGCGAGACTGACTAGCGGTGGTGGCCTGCGTTCAAGTCGATTGTTGACCTACCTCCCTCGGCGAGTGGAAGCCCCACCAATCATTCGTACAATCTCTCTCACGTACTCACCCAACTCGCTCGCTCAGTCATCGATTCACCAACGTGTCTGCTGGATTGCTGTCCCTACTCGTCTCCACAAGCAGCTCCTGTTCCGAACAAAGAAGCCCTCTCTCTGACTCACCTCAATTGACTCAAAAGTAGACGCGCCACCTCCCGTCACCACCCCTCAGTCATTGTCCGCACAGCAAGATGGATCTTGTCCCCAGGTACGTCAAGACCCGTTCAGAGTGCCATTGCGACACTGCGACAGTACGACTCGGATGCCAGACGTGTGCTCTTGATATCTGACTTGCTGTTCCAGTTTGAATGACAAGTTGCTGTTCGCCGTACCCAAGAGTATGTCATATCCCTTCGTCTATCATGGTATACATGACACTCCTGTAGCTAATCCAATATGTAGAGGGCAGACTACACCAGGCTTGCTTGGATTTACTTCACGGCTCCGACATTCAATTCCACCGCCACTCCCGACTCGATATCGCACTTGTCAAGAACCTTCCCCTCGCACTCATCTTTCTCCCTGCAGCTGACATCCCCACCTTTGTTGGGGAGGGAAGGGTGGGCTTGGGCATAACCGGGCGCGACCAAGTGGCCGAACATGAGTGCATGGTCCCTCCCACAGCTACAACGGGTGTGGACGAAGTTCTAGATCTTGAGTTTGGCAAATGCAAACTTCAAGTCCAAACACCTCGGGATGGTAACTTGGCAAAGCCCGAAGATCTCATCGGCAAAAACGTTGTCACGAGCTTCACCGAGCTCACCCAGAAGTACTTTCGAGCATTGGAGGCGCAACAATCTGGTAGCACCGAGCAAACTGAGCTCAAGACCAACATCAAGTTCGTGGGTGGCAGCGTGGAAGCAGCTTGTGCCCTTGGTGTAGCTGATGGCATCGTCGACCTCGTTGAATCCGGCGAAACCATGCGCGCGGCAGGCCTTGCTGCTATTTCGACCGTGGTCGAATCAAGCGCCATCCTCATCAAAAGCAAGAAACCGTCTGACCCTGCTCTGGTACGTATTATGCCAATAGTACAAAGTAGAACGGGACATCACGTTTTGGAGTTTTTGTCAACTCTGTGAACGGACTTTACTGACCAAATTGCATTCTCTAGGTCGACTTGATTACTGCTCGAATCAGGGGTGTTATCAGTAAGTGACTGTCTGATTTTCTACATGATTGCACCAAATGTTGACGAGTTGCAGCTGCCAAGAAGTATGTGCTCTGCGCATATAATATCGAACGCAGCAAGCTCGACGAAGCCCGAAAGATCACTCCAGGACGACGTTCACCCACAATCATTTCCCTTGGAGAAGACTGGGTGGCAGTTTCTGTGATGGTGCTGGCTAAGCAGATATCGCTTGTGATGGACAGGCTTACTGAAGCCGGTGCTTGCGATATATTAGTCAACAAGATCGAGAACTGTCGCGTTGATGCATAGATAGACATTCCGCACCCTGCATGGGTGCAGGCATCTTTTATAACACCATTACACCTGGAATTCCGGGAATCATCCAACCTCGCCTACCTTGCTTGTTTTCATGCAATGGAGTATTCCTCGTTCCTGTTTTACTGATTAGATTTTTGTATAATTTGTTCCTGTCGGTGCACATTGCACCACCCTGATAATACCCGGATACGGCAAAGTATCATAAGTCGCAACGATTTGAGCAATTTCACTACTGGATGAGTTTCAATTTGTATATGCAGTTTGATAAAATGAACAACATTGATTACAATCTAATACGCTGCGCTATGTTGTACGCTACAAAGCCAAAATGCAATAACAATACGGAAACCCCCCATCATAAACTTCTGCAGGCTTTAAACCCTATTCCTCATATTCCACAGACACTTGATCATCCTCCAGAAAGTATCGAAGCTCTGCAGTCTCCTCAGCTGAAAATATCCCTCACCATCTACTGAATTTCCACCTTCCTCGGAACCGCCTGCTTTGCCTTGGGCACCACAACGCTCAGGATTCCATTCTTCAGGCTCGCCTTAACGGCGTCCTGGTCAACACGACTTGGGAAGCTGAAGCTGCGATGGAACTCTCCAACGCTACGCTCGCTAACCCAATATTTTGGCTGGTTGCTTTCTTCCCCATTCCTGTCCTTGCTAGCATCCGCAGATTTGGTGATACTCTGCTCCTGGTTGTTGCTAGGGGCGTCGGCATCTTCGACGGTAGGCTGTTTGCTTGGTTCACCGGCTTCTTTGATAGCACCAGCGTTGTTGTTGTTGTTGTTGTTGTTGTTGTTGTTGTTCTCGAGCAAGGCGGTTGGCTTCGTGCCTTCCTCCCTCACGACTTCGTGACGACCAGACACAGTCAAAGTGTTCGTGTCGGTCCATTCGATGTTGATGTCCTTTTGTTCCACCCCTGGGAATTCACCGTGAAGCTCATAGGCGTTGTCGACTTCCTTGACGTCGAACTTGGGCGTGAAGGAGCGCAGCTCGCGGAATGCGGATGAGTGATTGGAGTTGGAAGAGGACGGCAGGTCGCGGAGGACGCGACGGTCGTAGTCGTCCATAAGGCGGAAGAGAGGTGCAAATTCCTGGGTGAAGCGTGGGAAGAGGGACATTTTGGATGTAGTGGATGAAAGTGCTCGTGAAGAAACCGTTGGTGCAGTTGCTCTAGGTGACTTGTTGATGCGGAAGATTTGCTGCGGAACTCGTCGCAGGGTAGTACGGGATGTTTGCATAAAGTGTTTCGAGTGTAGTGTCTTTGTGAGTGTTGTTTTGATTCTGGTGAGAGGGTTTGAGATGAGATATGAGTGGTATTTATATTGTTGCGTGAGGGCTGTCGGGAAGCTTTACTGGTGTCCAGAACGTGCTGGATTGCACCTCGAAGCTTCGCGAGGGTTTCCTAAAGAGGCGAATGGAAACTTGAGGATGTTCGGAGAAAGCTCGGTATAGCTCTAGAAATGTCTAGATGGTCGCATGTCGTCAGGTTGACATCAACGATGGCGTGACATTATGTATCTTTACGATCAAGGAATCATCTAGTTTCTTCCACCATGCCACCTCTCTTGGTTCTCCCCTTGGATCATCTATATTCGGTGGCTCGCTGGCTGCACACATGCAAGTACATGCGGATAGAGATGATCACGTGACATAGTTATCAGTTCCAATGCTCGTGTGGATGGAGCCTAGGAAGATGGCAGAAAGCATTGGAAGATTGTGGCATGGAAGATGCAGGATGATTGGGAAGTTGATGAGAAGCTCTCTCTTGATTAACCATTTTTAGCACTTGCCCACCTACAGACGTAGGTACCTACCTACCTAGGTAGGTACCTAGGTATGCTTCTTTCATGTTCTAGTCGATGCGTTCGACCTTTGCTCGTTATCGCGAAACATTCTTGATTCCCGGATCCTGGTATGTCTCAAGCTGTCTCCGTCCTCTTCTTAGAAGATACTCAATCGTACCGAAGTCCTTCTTATTAACCTGTATATTCTTGCGGAACTCTTGCCTATACAGTGGCACTCATCAGCTTAGCACTTGTAGCGGATACAGAGTTTGGTTCTTGGTATCCATGTACCTCATGAGCTCGCGAAAATTGATTTGTGTTTCCTAGGCCATGTTAATGAGATGCACCATACGCGTGTGAAGGGAAGAACAGAAAGCTTACAGCAGGTTTCTCTCGCAAAGCTCTCAAACACTGCCGGTAAAGCGCCAGCACATCTTTCTGCAACCCAGACAATCTGACCATGATTCCCTTATGCACTCGTCTATTCCCACGCTAGAAATAGAACGAAGAAAAACATTCGATGATGGCAATGGAGAATAAGCGCTGATGATGACGGGAGGACGATTGATGCTTTCAACGGCATCGACAATGGACTAGCTCTGCCCTGCCAATGTAAAGGCCCCAGCCACCGCCATCCGATCCGGATGGGACCGTGCTGGTCGGGAACTAGTGGCGTCTGCTTCAAGTCAATTACAACCTCCAACGTTCCTTGCGGCTTACCCTAAAACCTTGAACTCAGTATCTCGTACAAAACGCTACAATGTAGGGGCTTCGCGTGGTTTTCAATGTGGGCGGCACGGTAGGCGGCACGGCATTGGCATCGCTGCACCTACATGCACACCCCGCTTCCGTTGACGATGGACCGGCTGTTGCGGCAATAGGAGGCCATACCGCACTATATAAGTAGTATGAGCCCTTTGTCCCACCACATACTCTTTACGTTCTACGCTTGTCAGATGTGCGCCTTTGATTCTGTACTTGCATCAGTATGCGAGCTATTGCCCACCACTCCCTGGACGCTGCGACTGTATTAGAAGAGTTCCACGGATGCAAGCTTGTTGACGGTTGACTGAGAGTTGATATCTGGCAATTGACGACGATTTTTCTCAAACTTACAGAACAACATTCCGTTGTGCAAGCCTGGTAACAAGAAGATGCCGCGAAACGACCAGCGGTAACACGGACGACTAACCGAACAAGCGAACATGTAATCATACAATTCAAAAGCAGCAACAACAGCAGTACAAAGCAGTCCCTCCCGATAGTCGACATAAGAGTGAATTGAAATAGAGATGCTTCGGCAATGCAGATGATTTCTGACATGGCCCATACAATATTGTATGAAAATATAAAGTCCCCGACAAGCTGGCATGCGTGTGTAGTCGACCCAAGAGACGATCATTCACGACTGGAGAATTGTTCTTCGAGGCCGCTTAAAGTGATCCTCCAACGGTCAGGGTTATAACGGTCGTATTCAGAAAAAGGATGTGGTGACTGGGGCTCTGCTCCTCGCGCCCCATCTTCATCTGTTTCTCTAGAATGGTGGGATGGAGTGCGACTAGGAGAGAACGCCGGTGTTGGTGTCGTGCCACAATTATTTTCGTTGTTTCTCCCGCGCTCGGGGGAATAGCCAATGGTCAGGTCCGATCGAGGGTTTTCATCACTCTCTCTTGAGCTTTGACTGCGCTGCCCTGTTGTTGAGTTAGCACATTCTCTTTTAAATGGTTGCAGGCTTCAATCGGGTGCGTCGGCAAAAGGTTCTCCCAGACTACCCCGATCACTGGAGGATTACAATATCCATGAACGCGGCGTTTGGACCGGTAGTGTCCACTCCGAGAGCCCATAGGATATAAGTCGTTGCCGTATTCTTCCTGGATGGCTTCTCGGGAGTATCGATGAAAGAGTCAGGTGTGGTAACAAGGCTGTGCTTCGCCAAGGTTAAAAGAGAACACACTCACTGGAACGAAGTCTTCTTCTCTGTTGACTGCGTCTCTCTGATCTGGAACGTCGATACTCAGAAGAGTGTATGTAAGGGCCCAAATGGGATCGAATAAGGGTCCGAGGTGGGAGTGTGGACGAAACCCGAGGCGGAGGTCGACTGTCGTCCGTGGAGTACGCGTTGATCGGGGGCTGATTTCCCGTATGTAGGGTCGTCTGTGGGTCGTTGGACTCGCTCTCACTAAGCTCCAGATGATAAGGATATGGCTCCCACTCAGTTCCCCCAAACTGGCCCCCAACTTCCATGAAGTCGTTATCCGTGGCATGGTCCGATCCGGCTTCAGGAGATGAGTATCGTGCAGTATGCTGAACTCGTGCGCTCAATCGATCGTAATTGACTTGAGAATTCTCTGAGTCCGACGACATGTTTGAGCAGTTGGTGTTTGGGGAGAACTGAGGTAGACACGGACAGGCGAGGCCAGCAAGGGTACAGTTCAGTGCATTCACTTATCTGGTATGGGTAGTTGGACTGAGACGACGTCGACCGTTGACCGGAGACCTTGATCAATAGAAGTAAGGGGAAAAAAACGGACACCCCCTTTCGCGGTTATGTATGGAACAGAAGGTGTTCACAGCCAGAAAGAAACGAAATGCCGTGGAAAGCAAGCTCTAGTCGAAAGCTAGTGTTTGGTCAGACGGGGCTCTTCGTATTAGGGGACTTGCCCGCTAGGGACATACACTTTGGCGAATGGGATCCGCTAACCGTCAAGGGACGTTGAAGGCGTGGCTTGCCCTACGAGGAAAAGTTATTGAACATCGAGGCTAGCTTCCGTCTGATGCAATTCACAAGAGACGGGGGCGGCCTCATGGTTGCATACAAGGGTCCTTCCATGGATGATTCGCGCAGGTTAGAGCGATCCTCCATTGCGCGCAGCAAAGAGCCAAAAGGATTATTAAAGGGAGCGGTACACAACCACGAAGACTCGCAAATCCATGGCCTGTCAGCGATTCGGCAGTTGGCTAGATGATAGATGCTTCCTACCAATCACTTGTACGCCGCCTTTCAGCCCAACCTTACGAATCCTAGAAACAAGAAACCCGACAATATGGAATGTTCGACAAGAGAGTGTTTCATGTGATGAAGATGGGTAGCTTCATGTCACCTTGTCCCTTGGTGAATGCATGTGTCCCAGGATTATACGAGAGTCATTCAAAGGTCTTGACGAGACGTAGCGGCAGCAGGCATGGTAGCCTGAGCCCCTGACCTTGTTTTTCCTGGTGCCGGCAGGTGTTGATTGCCATTGGGCTTTTCCCAGGAGCCTGTACGGTGGGTCGATTAGCAGCCGCTGAAGAGTGAGGCTAGCCGATCTGAGAACGAGTTGAACAGATATACGAGGAGGCGTGAAGCTAGAAGCAGAAGGTCTCGGCGAAGTGATCAGGGGGTGTCTGGGCTTGGAAGGGGATGGAGTCAATCAACGGACCGTTGCGTGCTGGGGTAGGTCAAAACAGACCCGAGGCTGTTGACATGACAGGGACAGGTGAAGATGACAAGCACGGCTTATCACATCGCTAGCCAATTGACCTGACTCTACAGCATTTGCCTTTTGAGATGGATTTTGTAGTGACCTACTGTGCCTGCTTACCATACAAAACCATGGCATCAATTGAATATACAAGATTTTGTTTGCATGCTGATGGACCAAGCAAGTTCAACTTGGCTGTGATGGCGAGTGCAAAGACGGAGAAGTGCGAGGTGGAGAGATGTACTCGATGAGATGTGCATTTCTAGGCTGTGCGCTCACCGGAATTACGACCATGGGTGGGTGTTAATGATGGTTGCATACTATCAAGATTGGTGCCAAGCGTATACAGTGTGACATGGGCAAGTCATCATTGCAGACAAGGACAGACACAAGCATACCAGCCTACTCGGAGAAGCGGTGTATGGTCTACACGGAAGAATGGAAAGTTGGCTGTTGGGCAGGGTTGGCGCAATGAACAACCGAAAGGGGAAATTTATCTGTGCTCGCATGGATCCAGGATTCGAGGTCCAAAGCAGTCCAATGTGCGGGTTCTGGCATTTGTGTGGATCGAAGGCATGCAAGGCGGTGGTGACGATGGAAGGTGTGGCACAGTCAAGTGGTGCGCCACAGTGTAGTGGTGCGCCACAGGTGAATGTAGATCTTCAGGGGACGGCTGGCATGTCTCTTGCCATGATCAACAGGATGCTGCGCAGAACTGTTGATGGGCGCCCTTCTGCCACACCAGAAGCATGCTGCTGTACGAGAAGATGTTGCGAATATGCCGGAGGCCCCGATACGACCTGACTAGACTCGAAACGCTGGCTGGCAGGCAGGCAGGCAGCGGTACGGAGGTCGCGTTGAATGAAGGTACATGGCAGATGAACAGATGCTCGACTCGATGCGCCGCCCTGCATGAGGGATTAGAATAGCGGGCCAGGGTCGTGTTCGTTGCTGTTCGCTTAACGTTCCAATTTGGACAGCGATGTGGCAATTGTCCATGTACTTGAACGTGGGGTGAGCAAAATAGAGATATACCTGGCTAGCAGGATGAGTTGCTTGTATGTAATCCGCCTCGCAATCCCAAGTGGCACGTGGATTGGATCCATGTATGTACCTAGGTATGTACCTAATGTATGTCTGCAAGTTCCTCAGCCACAACTGCAGTGGCAACTCTCCGTCGAGGTTCAAACGAGCCTGAGGAACAAAACATCAATACATAGACTTGCAAGTGGGGTGGATGGTTTGCTGGTCACTGCCCAATCCAACGGTTTGCATGACAGCAAACGCAATCCTCGGAGACTCCGTGTTCCCCACAGAGCCTGCTTGCACTATCACGGCCTCTACCATTTTCTAGTGTGCTTAGGTGCAGAAGAGCAACACGCCCATCCTGATACTCCATGACCAACATCGGACCCACAATTGCTTTCGCAAACCCTCTCACCCGACATGGACTTCAATCAAGATTGGCATACACGCCGTACAGATATGGACTTGGAAACGTAATTCTGTATGCACACGTTTGTTTGTGTGTGCGCGCCTGTCTATGGTGACGAGGCTGACCTATGCAAACAGCCTGATTAGAAGCTTGGGTGGAAAATTCTATGTCGCCGGAAACGCCGAACCGTCCCAATGCCATGCCCCTGGATAACAGCCGTTACAATCATCGAAGCAAATTTGTCAGAACTTTTGATCCTTCCTTCACTATGCGCTGTTGACGCCCAAAAGAGACCTCCTCTTCTCTACCGCCGTCGCGAGCTCCTGCAACACCGTCTCGGTATCCTCCCAGCTAATGCAGGCATCTGTAATGCTCACACCGTATTTGAGACCTTCCTTGCCCTCGGCCGGAACCTTTTGGGAACCTGCAATGGGTATGATTAGTATGCGTCGACAACCATGTACCGTCATGTCTTACCCTCGTGGATATGGCTTTCAATCATGACCCCCATCACAGCCGTCTCGCCGGCGGCAATCTGCTCAGCGAGCGCGTGGGCGACCTTGGGCTGATTCTTGTGCTGCTTCTCGGAATTGCCGTGGCTGCAATCCACCATCAAGCGGGCATTGAGACCCTTCGCTTCGAGCATCTCGCGGGCTGCCTTGACGCTCTTTGCATCGTAGTTTGTACCCTTATTTCCACCGCGCAGGATAACAAAGCAATCCTCATTACCCGTCGTTCCCACAATGGCAACAACTCCGGGTTTCGTGACGGAGAGGAAATGATGGGGGTGCTTGACAGAACCGATGGCATCAATAGCAACGCCCAACGTGCCGTCGGTTCCATTCTTGAAACCTACAGGGAAGGACAAGCCAGAAGCCAGTTCACGATGAAGCTGGGATTCGGTGGTCCTGGCGCCAATGGCTCCCACACTCAGCATGTCGGCAAGGAATTGAGGGGAAATGGTATCCAACATCTCGCTTGCTAGAGGCATTCCCTTCTCGGTCAAATCGACAAACAGCTGCCTTGAGACGCGCAATCCCTTGTTGATCTTGAAGCTGTTGTCGATGTCTGGGTCATTGATCAGGCCCTTCCAGCCCACAGTTGTTCGCGGTTTCTCCAGGTAAGAGCGCATGACAATGAGCAGCTCGTTCTTGTACTTTTCCTTCATCTTGAGCAACCGGTCGCAGTATTCGAGCGCGGCTTTGGGATCGTGGATGGAACATGGGCCAATGACGACAAGCAGGCGCTGCTGAGGGTCCTCGCCTCGTACCACTTGAACGGCCTCATTGCGGCCCTTGAGAACAGTCTCCTTTGATTTGGCGGACTGGGGAATCTCGTGTTGGAGCAGATCCGGCGGGGTGAGCGGGTTGTAGCCTCGAATTCGCCAGTCCTCGGAGTTTTGCGAATCGCCCACCGACTTGTTCTCAATGAAGAACTAAACACACACGCACGCACGGTCAGTCGGTCTTGTACACAAGGCAAGCGGCGGGGTCGCTGCTTACAGAAGACATGTCTACCTCGTGGCTGGCGATTGACTTGGGCGGAGTTGTGTTCTTCTCTCTTCAAATGTTTGCAGCATAACAGCGAAGGGACGTGGGGCTACTTATGTAGGTATGAGTCGAGGTGGTGGGCGGAGTCGGAGAGCTTCTGATTGGCTGTTGACTTATTATTGCCCAGAGCGGTCAACCTGTCACTTTGTGTCGTCCGTCTGGCTGCGTCGTCTTTTCGCCGCTTGCATTCCTCACCACCTGCACTGATCGTCCCGGTCCCTGTTAACGTTTAGCCTATTGACGGAAACGCGCCCGCTGCCGAAGCGTCATGGCCGCCCACGAATTGCCTCGCTCCTCGTCTTTGGCGCTGGTAGGGCGTGCGACTTCGGAGGACCCTTGTTTCCACTCGTCGTCATCCACAGACCAGAAACCAGCATTGCAACTTCATCATGCTTCGTGCCATCGTTTACTTTGCAGCTTCGACGCTGCGGTCAACTCTCCTCGAGCGCAGCAATGTTTGACCCGTGCTAAAAATGTACATATGCTAAGACGAGATGATCCCCCCGCTACTGACCATAGCTTATAACCCACCGCTACGTCACAAAGATGGAACATTATTATTACACATCTTCACCACCAACCATCTCCTCGCCCGCTCAACTTCTACTCCCCTCCTGCAAAACCATTCACCCGCCTAATCATCTCAACAACAGCCAAGTTCAAAACTACCGTCATGTCTCTCGATTGGACCTCCCTGCAAACTATTCCCAGAAGCTATGCCTCCTGCTCGTTAGGGAACCCCACGAACCCTCCTCCCCTCCTCGACCGCCTTGATGCCATTTCCGCTGCAGGCTTCACAGCCATTGAACTGTCCTTCCCAGACATCTTGTCCTACGGCGCGACTGTGCTCGGCCGCAGTCCAGACCCCAAGAACTATGACCAACTCTGTGATGTCGCCTCGGCCATCAAGTCGGAATGCGACAAACGAAACATGCACGTCATGATGCTACAACCCTTCTCCAACTTCGAGGGCTGGAAGGACGGCGCACAAAACGCTGATGGCGTTGACGGCAGGGCCGATGCGTTTGAGCGTGTCAACGGCTGGTTGCGCATCATGAAGGCAGCTGGAACTGATATGCTGCAGGTCGGCAGCTCGGATACCCCACTCGAGAAGCTGGACCTGAATCGCGTCGTCCCCGACCTACAGCAACTATGCGACATGTTGAAGGAGCACGGCTTCAAAGTCGCCTACGAGAATTGGTGTTGGTCAACCCATGCACCCGACTGGAAAGACGTATGGAGGATCGTGAAGGAGGTGGACAGGGATAATATCGGGCTGTGTTTGGATACTTTCCAAACAGCGGGAGGCGAGTGGGCGGATCCCACCACGGAATCTGGTCTCCTGGAAGACGTATCCAAGATTGAGTTGATTGAAAGGTTCCAGCAGAGTTTGGACGATCTCAAATTCACGATACCGGGCGATAAGATTTACCTCTTGCAGATCAGCGATGGTTACCAGGTCCCGGAACCGCTCTCAAAGGGACCGGATGAATCTGGCACAAATCCTAGGGGTAGGTGGAGTTCCGATCGGAGGCCTCTACCTTACAACGGCGGATACCTACCAGTTGTTGATGTCACAACTGCAGTATTGCGTACTGGCTTCAGAGGTTGGTTCAGTTACGAGGTTTTCGATGCAGGTGCAGAAGGTAAAGGCAGAAATGTCGACATAGTGGCTTATGCGAAAGCTGCCAGTAACGTCCACAATAGACTGCTGGCCGAGTGCTCTGGCAAAAAGTTTCCCGTAACCCACGACCATGGCACAAGGATCACAGATAGAGAATAATTCGAGCATCATATGATTATCGCTTCACTGCGTGATTAACAATGGGAAAGTTGATATGTATTTTGAGGTACAGAAGTAGAATAAAGTGAAATCAATAATGACGGAAACCAATCAGGGAATCTTGAGCATGGCTTGGCCGAGCACGCTCACTTATGTTGAATGTTATGGATGACCTCTGAGACTTTAACATCGGCAACTCTTTGTCAAAGTAAGATGCGGTACAGGTGTCAGAAAGGTCATAGTCTCAGTCTCCAACCGCAATGTATTTTCCGTAATCGGTGTCAAGATTGCTTCTCCACTCAGAACAACAACGATTGTCTGCTTCCATGTCAATCTCTGCGGTCCCCTTCGCACGAACAGAAGTCAGCATTTCAATTCATAATAAACTCTCCATTCACCCAGCAGCCTTTCTGACCGGGGTAGAGAAAAGGGCATGCAGACTCTGTCTTCTCGGGCTTCTTTCTCTCGGCTATCGTTGTGTATGTCGGTTCAACCTTGGTTGTCTCCGTCATCATCGTTGTCTTGTCCGGGCCGCAGTAGACCCCTGGGTAGGGGTACGGGCAACGTGGATCGGCCGAAATTACCGTGTTTACAAGATTGGCATGATTTGAGGATGGCGTTGACGGCGTTGATGGCGAGAGCAGCGCGGATTGCGTGGTCATAGGTGCAGATCTCTGTGGAGAAGTGGTGGATGTCGGCTCAGAGGACGGTGATGATGAGAGCGAGGGCAGCGCGGATCGTGTAGCTCTGGAAGGAGTACTCGTGAGCGACACCGTGGACTCGAAGATGGTGGTTGTTGAGAACTCCGTCGAGGTAATGATAACAGCGTCTTGAGATGAAGAACAGGGTCGGGAACCGTGTCTATTATCTTCGTGCTCTTGAAGTTCTGTCTTGGCAGTAGGGTTCACATCTTTTGTACTAGCAGGAGCCTCGAATTGTTTTCCAGATTCCGTCACTTCCTCGTTCTCGTGACCGTCTTTGGCGAGAGCCGAGACTTCCACGGGTTCCGAGATGGTGGGCTGGGGAGTCGGTCCTAGTTGAGTGACTGTTCCGGGAATGAATGGTAGGGTAAACGGAGCTGAAGTCGCAACTGCAGTCTTGTTCGAAGTAGCAAGGACGGATGAGTTGCCTACGGAAGGCTTCATTGTGACGGTCACTCGGACGAAGGAAGTCACATCGCTCTCTTCAGAAGTGGCATTAACACTCGGTTTTGACGTTGGCACCACAGTGGTATAGTCTGTGATAGTAGTGAATACCATATTCACATGACTAGTTGCTTCAGCGGTTGTTTCCGAAGAAGATACGTTGACCTTCATCTCGGGAGCTATAAAGACGGGGGTCCGAACTGGCTCCATACGGTGGGCAAACTTTGTTACGGTCATGTCAGTATCAACGATGAGGCGTCCGGAAACGAGTTGAGCGCCGAGAATGGCGCCTGTGTAGAGACCGCGCATCATGGCTTTTGGGGGGTTGCTAATGTTTTGGGTTGTGATGAATGTGATTGTTGTCAATGTGAATCTCCTTTTCGGTAGTATCGTATGTAAGGGGTTGTTGAATTCAAGGTGCGAAGATCATGGCGACAAAAGACTTATATGCCCAATGAGAACGTTTTGCTAACATTGTGTTTTAACAATGCGTTGAAGAAAGATAGTGAGATCGTCCCTATCGATATAAAAGCGCATAATGAGTGGCAGTGCTATATCAGGATACAGTGTGTCGTATGCCTCATTAGTGAGCACCACGAGAACAAAGAGAGCAATGTGAAAGTCAAATTTGGTCTTCTCCATTCCTATTTTTGGATCGGCTGGCTACATTGTGATCCATGAATTTTATTGTAGGGCTACTTACCCTTCTTCTTCCATGTGCATGATATTGTGTGGTATAATTGATAAATTAAAGACTTTTAGGATCAGATGAGCATACTCATGATGTACGTGTATGTGTAGAGCCATGGATCTATGGTATTATCTTCCCTTTTTTTCCTGGTGAATGTTCTTACATGTCCTACCCCTCAAACTGTTGCTACTGGAGAAACCCTGCGCATATCCTCAATCTCCACAGTATTACTGAAGGTGCGCATTATTCCGTGTTGCATGATTTTTTCAGTACCATCTTCCTGTACCTCTGAACTGCGATGAAATCCTCGTTTCCTCTCAATCCAATTGATTGTCTTTTCACTCCACGATAACGATCTGTTGCGATCTGTAGAGCCCGCTCCTTCCTGTCCGCTGAGCATAACTGACAGTTGCTGCATAGGGCGCTCAGGAAGAAACGCTTCCAGAACAGGACAACAAGCAGCCAATAGGCCCACGGTAACTTCGGTGATCATCCATATTATTGGTCCCGTGTAGTCCCAGGTAATATTAAAGTCTTTGAGATTCCAGAGTTCAACGATTCGGACGATACAAAAGCATATCTTACTATCGGGTATGAGTGTCAGTATGCTAAGATGGGTTCCCCGATTGAATAGTGTATGATTACCTGACTGCTAGGATGACTGTACAAAGGAGTATCGTCTTCTTCCCTATGCACATGCTGAAATGCCAGATAGGCTGGACGATGATGAAGAGGATTACCGCGTCAACACAAACACCCACGACGCTCATGCTGATAAAATATTCTTGCAAGCCCGTACATTTACTCCGTTCACCTTTGGACTTCCAGAATTCCTGGACGTGGTGACATTGAAGTACGGACAGAACAAACATAGCCAAAGCCCATAGTACAGTTGTAGTCAACAGACTGTAGCCGAACCACCTGAGAGATTTGATATGGCCCAACTTCCGTAGGTACGACCAGCAGATGCTTGCCTTGATCAATCCCGATATGCAAGGGTAGAGAAGTTTAAAACCGTAAACGAATTGTAAATATTTTTCCAGTTTACCAGGGTCTGTTTGTAGGATATATTGTTTGTGACGTCCTGCTCCATTCAACACGCCGAACACGGTGAGGCCACATAAAGCCCCAAAAAGAATCTTTGGATTTGTGAGCCGTAGTTTGCCTATTTGCATTGAAGCATATACACCTACCCACGCCACGAGAATGAGCCAGTCATCCAAACCCAGTCGTGATCCCGCATGCCTACGCGCGATGAAACGAACCGCGACTCCTGTGGTTCCGACCATCACGAGAGTTATGTTAGTAGTCATGATAGCCGGAGCACGCGTCTCATCGAGATCCCTAGAAGACAACATTGTGAGGAGGGATTCGTACCACCTTTGACGATTAGAGGACGGAAAGAAGGAGCGTGAAAGGGCAATCATACTCGACTGAAAAAAGATCATTCGGCCCAGTTGATAATGGGCATGTGTTTCTTCCATCCTTTGATTTTGTTGAGTTAACTTTTTGCGGGGCATTTGGTCTTCCGTGGTTTTGACCTCTGGTTGGTCTCGAACTGTTAAAGCTACGAGTCGAGACCGTCGCTACCACGTAGAGTTAGGACACCCGTCATAAACATATGCTATTTCACTGTCTACGGCTGTCATATATATATATGTGTGTTTATTTGATTTTCGAATTGCAAGAATCATTTGGTAAAGATGACGAGGAGCGAATCAACAATGCCTGAACACAGAATAATGGATCATTGAATAGTTTGAGCATGCAATCTCGTTATGAAAATATTCAGTCGGGGTAGCATGAGTAACGTTGATGGTCAAAAGTCTATACACATACACGTGCTCGCCTAGGACGTGAGTCACTCCAAGGACTTCAGAAGATCGAGCAGGCCTCGTGAAACAAGAGTACCTTAACTTAAATGTACTTGAATCGCACACTGTTGCACATTGTTCATCAATTGCCGAGTCGACGAAGCAACAATATCACTTATGAAATATAGTCACCTACCAGGATTACACGAGTGACTATCAAGATACTTCCACATAGGGTACTGTAACCTTTTCGCATGCTCTCGAAGGTCTTCTCTTACTTGAAACATTCATGGAAAAGTTGGTTCTTGAGTGATAGCTCCGGAGAGCGTGGAAGCTTGGGTAAAATCCACGTGTAGCAGCATTCGACAGCGATAGCCATTATTTCCCTAATCAAGCAGGTTGAGATTACCACCAAGGAATGGGTACCCAATTGCTTTGTAGAATCATGTGGCCTATGAGTTCAAACGGCTGGCTTCCCAACTAGCACAATTCAATGAGAGGACCTGTAGATGTAAAGAATGTACAGTAGACGTACGCTTTAAGTGGCACCCAACCAAGAGTGACGTCATCTGTAGCGAGTTCAGGAATCGCCCAAGACATGAAAACCTCCCACCACTACCACCAACTTCTGGCAACTTACGACCTATATCGGCGCTCTCTTTTTCATACAGAATCCCCTAAACTCTCCATACATATACTAGACTTGCTGAAATGGCGGGTGAGTGCTACGGTTTATCCACTGAAGAGCTCAAGGCTGACATATCTCAGGTCCTGTTGACTACTGTAATTTCCAAACTTCTCCAGTTCCGACTTAACATCGCTCACTGTACCCTTACAGACAAGGTTCTCGAGGTTGACTCAAAGGCAACCCAGCAGCAAATCCGCGATGCATACAAGAAGTACGACGGCGCCCGCAGTCCCCCTACCTTCACGCACGATCGCTACATCATACTGACAGCGGCCTCAGAGCGGCCTTAAAGCACCACCCTGACCGTGTGCCCGCCGAATCACCCGAACGTATTGCGCGAACCAAGCGCTTCCAACAGATCAACGATGCTTACTACACGCTCTCCGACCCAACACGCCGTAGGGAGTACGACTCCACGCGCACGTATTCAAGCTTCACCGGCTCAACCGCTACCCCCGAAAGCGAATTCGAAGAAGAGATCCCCCGCGCTTCAGGTGGTGGGTTCCCTTGGTCCGCCTTCGGCTTCGGCGGCGCGCCTGCAGGCAACACCGAGGAGTCGCACGATCGCTTCTCGTCGGATCAATTTGGCAGTGTGTTCGAGGAGATGCTTCGCGAGGAGGGGATGGCGGAGGGCGAGAATGCATCTCCTACGGGCAAGTTCTGGAGTCTGGTGGGCGGACTGAGTGGGGGCGCTATGGGTTTCATTGTCGCTAATTTCCCGGGTGCTGTGGCTGGCGCCGTCGCAGGAAACAGGCTCGGTGCTGTGAGAGATGCGCGGGGGAAGAGCGTATACTCTGTCTTTCAAGAATTGCCGCAGGCAGATAAGGCAAGGATGCTGAGCGATCTGGCGGCAAAGGTGTTTGCCCATGCGGTAGGCTCGTAATGGCTGGAAGAAGATCTTACGTGGTGGGGCCTTTTTGGAGTTTGGCGTTTGCTGGATGCTAGTAATGCGGTCTGGGTTGCAGTCCTATCTTCGGCTCGGCATGAGTCTTGTGTTCTTCACTATGCTGGGGTTCATGATAACAATGTTTCAAAAGCGGAAGCCAACTGATACCGCGATAACGTCGTCGTCAAAGTCCACAGCATAGCAACTGGCTTATGCCTAGGCTCATTGTCTGCTGGGAGAAGGGGCTGCGCTCTTCAGAAGCAGCCCAGGGACTGGTGGGAACCTGTATTGATACCCTTCTAATATTTTACGGGCCTCACGATATGTACTGTTTTGTACTTGTTTTAGTTGGCAACGAAGGGTGATTGGATGCACGATAACGGATACACATAGAGGCAGCTTACCGAATGAATTTTGTCACAACTACATGCGATACTGTGAGACACATCAGCACATATTGATCAGAATTGAGTTCTCATGTTATCTTACGGTGTAGTACAAATATCTGAACATCTTGATCCCGACAGGGTTGACAGGGTAAGGAGAGAACGTATGTAAGGAGAGAATGATTGAGAAAATCTATCTAACAGGAGCAAAGGAGAACAAGATACATGTCTTACTTGGTCAGCTCCTTACTAGACCTCGATACGGAAAGGAACAGAAGGATATCGTACTTTGGAAACCAAATAAACGCCAAAAACAAAACAGCAAGAAGACAAGCAAGCTTTCTCTTGACAAGAAGAGAAATCAAGCATACATGTTTCGCAAACGTACCAGCATCAGTGTGTCCTCATATCCGCATATCATCAAAACGACAACGAAACAACCATTCCTTTTCTTCATCAACCATAGCAAACCAGCCGCTCTCACACAAAACTCTGCGCCATTTTGGCCAAACTAGCGAGCCCACCGATTCCACTCGCGACACTCTGGATACTCAATCCATTTCCTTCACCACCACCGCCGCCGCTCTGGCCATCATAGCCGGAACTCCCATAATACCCTCCGTCACGCGAGCCACCCGACATGCCCCCTCGAGACGCCCCGCCACCAGCACCGCCACCCATATCAGGAAGGTTGACACCAAACTGCCTGGCGAGCTTGTGCAGCATGCCACCGCTGATCAAGGGCATGATGACCATGAAGAAGATCTTGAAAGGGTGTCTGCGGGCATAGGCGTACAGCTGACGCATCAAATGCTTGAACTTGTGCCAAAGGTGCTGGATGTAGCCGTCGCGGGGGGAGCGCTTGTAGCGCGACGTCGAGCTGTGGTGGCGCGAGGAGGACGAGTAGGATGACCCCGCCCAGGAGCGTGCGTAGCCCGGTCGCGAGGACGAGTGGTGTCTGGAGGATGACGATGATCCGAACCACCCCATTATGTGTGTATGCCCGGGTGTTTTCTTTAATGCTTTTTTATTCCCGGCGAGATTGAACGTGGGGTTGGGTGTGGGCTATACTATGGAGTGGTGCGCTAATGGGTGGACAGTTGGCTGGCGTTGAGATGGAAGGTGTGTAGGGGGACTGAGGATGTTGAATCTGTGCGATTTGGTGGATGGAGAAGGTCGGCGCAATTGGGGTTGGTAGCTTGGGTTTTGGGTGAAACGGACAATTGTGTGCTGTTGTCTGTTGAGATGCACAGCTGTCAATCGGGCAGCAATTGCGGGTTACTCCAGTCTCTTCGGGTCAAAGTGGAGTCGCCAGGGGAAGTGGTCTTTCTCTTGCCAAAGCTCCGGCTAGCTCCAGCTACCTCGCCAAGCAGCTTCAACAGCTCGGTCGTGCAGTCGGCGCTCCGAGATGTGGAAGATGAAGAGAAGGGGCGCTGGACGGAACGATGAGGTGGAGCTGGAGTGGGATGAGCAGCGTTCGGCTGATGGGTTGCGGGAGATTGACGGCGAGGGAGCTCGCAGAGAGCGAACGTGTGGAGTATGGGAATGAAGGTAGCAGAGCAGCGTTAGGTCCGCGACGATCGTCCTGGCAGCTTTGACCGCTCTTTGGTGGTTGGTGCGTCCCCTGCAGCTCTCTTCTTCCAGCCTCTTCGCCAAGAGGGCAGGACGGCTGACACAGCCAACGTGCATCGTCGACTTGCATGAACTGTGGACCCTGCGTGGGTGCACGCATGGTTACTCAAGTAGGCGAGGTAGCCAGCACATCAAATTGTTAAGTACATACTGAGGTACTTGGCCAGTGCTGTCCATCTGCACTCCACCCAGGCAGGGCACAAAACATGTCAAACAAAAGAGAGATTAAACAAGACGGTACCGACATTACATCCCCTCTGACATCTCCCTCTCTCCTCCCACGTCGTTAAAAAGAATATTTTACATGCATCGCTCCACGTTCCATACCTTGATATCCTTCTCAACTTGACCGAGTCTTCGTCGTTGCAACCAGGGGAAAAGTAAAAGAGCATGAGACGAAACGTTGCATCGCTAAACAACATGCCAACACCAAAATGCATCATGTATATGCAAGATACTCCTAGACGTATGCAATGATTCTCAACGTCGGAAGCTGGAGCTTAACCCGGAAAATGCATCGGGCGAATGCCGTCCACCCATCAAACCCGTGAAATCCACGCTCTCGTTGCTAGCATGCCTGGCACCCTGCACCTGAGTGGGCACTGCAGACATGGCTTGTTGTTGTGGTGGTGCCGGAGCGCCCTGAGCTGCGGCAAAAGGGTTATTGTTTTGCCCTGAGTTGGCACCCGTCGCTGTTGGCATTGCATTGGGCGTCTGTGCTTGAGCTTGCGCGGTGGGGCTTTGTGCTTGTTCAGGTCGTTGTGGGGCTAATTGAGGATAATTGTATAGTGCTAGAATCGAATTCTTTTGGTACGCTCCCTGCGTCGGTTGAGGGTTGGATTGCTGCTGAAAATTCTGATACGTAGGTTGCTGCTGCTGCTGCTGCTGCCCGAAAGGGTTAGGACCTTGAACAGGTGCGCTCTGGGTTTGCTGATGTTGTTGTGTCATGAAAGGATTGGGTGTCTGCTGTTGTTGCTGCTGCTGCTGGCCGGAAACTCCGAATGGATTCGAGTTCATCGGGTTCAGAGGCGAGAACATTTGGCTGCGCGCTGATTTCAAGAAAGGGTTTCCAGGACTTGTAGGAGATGAGGGCGACTGAAACGGTTGCTGGGTCGGCGGTTGGCTTTGGTAAAACGAACTGTACTGTTGAGACATTTGCGGCATAGGCGGGGGCGTGAAAGATTGGGTGAATGGATTAGACTGCGCGAAAGGAGCGGATACCTGGCCATAACCTCCAGTTCTATTAGGAAAAAGCTCTTGTTGAGGCTGCTGAGTGGAAAGCTGTAATCCCTGGAAAGATTGTTCCAAGCCTTGCTGTGGCCCAAAAGGATTGTGGCTTTGTATTGAATTAGGTTGTTGGGATGCAAAGGTCTGTTGCTGGTACTGTACACCCTGTACTTGCGGAAGAAACGGATTGTATGAATTGGATGGCGATGTGGGTTGAGTTATAGAGCCCCCATATGGGACTTGTTGAGTCTGCAATGATGGAACTGAAGCTTGTTGTTGTAGGGCAGGTGCAGGTGCCACGGCATCTAGAGCATCGAAAGGGTTCGTCGAAGAGAGAGCTGCAGGTGCAGTATTCGTCCGATCAAACGAAAGTCCACCAAGGTCGGGTTTCACTGGAGGGGTGGGTGTGCTTCCTCTTGACTTTCCGTTATTCTCCCCTAATCTTATCAAGGTCTCTACTGCTCGGTCCAGGTTACCATTCAGGCCTTTCAGCACCGTGGAATTGCGTTTCTCGTCTGGAAACCCCATATCCCTCAGCGTAGCAAGCTTAGATTCTAGCCCATCTCCCGATGTATTCACATTGGATCCGAAAATCCTAGATGGTTTATTGAGCATGGGCGGGGAGCCTTCCTGGCCATTGAACCCGCCGAGACCGGGAGACAGAGGTGGTGTTACATTGCTAGCCGCGTTTGAAGTTTTTTGTAGACCGAACCCAAATCTTTTGGTGGGCTTTGGGGGCAAAGGAGGTGGGCGGTCTTCGACAGAGCTCGAGCTTCCGGTATTTGATCGCGTGCCGGGACGAGAGTCGGCCATAAAGACACGCTGTTCGTACTTTTGCCGTATATATCTTTCCATGGCACTGTCTGCCTCGTCGGCATCGATTGGAATCTGCGGTTTTACATTGCGGGGATTATATGCTTTATTCGACTCGACATTTCCTATGCGCCTCATGTTCTAGGCATGTCAGTTTCCACTCGGCCAAAGTGCAGGGCAGACGGAAGCCTACATCTACTTGGTTGTTGTCCCATTTGTCCATGCTCAGCGACTTGACTTTGGAGATGTGGGTGCCCAGCTTGCGATGGAGGGTAGCGCAGCGCATGCACAAAAAGACACCGACCTGTATGCATGTGAGCAGGGTGAAGTAGGAAGGGCCGGCACACGAGTGCGGCGTCTGGTAAGGAGGGGAGGTGGCGTACGCTCCAGCTTGCCCATGCTACAGTGTACGTGGTCAGCGAACTGGGTGTGCAATTTTTGGCATGATATGTACGGAGGAGGGTATACGGGCGCTGGCGTCACTCACAAGGGTTGCGTGTTGTGCAGTCGGCGCAAACGGCATTGCCAGGAACCGTGGTGATCAACTCCTGCAGTGCTCGCTCGTTGCGCGCCTGCTGGCGCTTGTTCAGGGCGGAAGCCATGTATGGATGGAGTGGATCGCTGGTCGAAGGAGTCGCGGGAGGCTCGCACGAACGGGAAAGAATGGAAGGGTACAGCAAGAACGTGCGCGCGTGGAACCTCGGGCCTAGAGCAGGGTGTCGCAAAACAAACTCGAAGGTTTCAAACGTCGCATGAGAGTGTGGCACGGTTATGGAGCGGAGAAGAGCTCCATGACGATTGAGACGGCGGACGGGAAGGGGTAAGTAACTAAAGGGGAGTTGATGTCGAAGACCGCCAGCCCGTCATTAGTTAGGCCGGGGAAGGATCGCCTGGCGCGCCACGAGGTCCCCCCAGCGAGCGCACGCACGCACGCACGCGCTCGCTTTGGTTGCCCTCCCCGCGTGCGCCGCGTTTCCGACGACGAGGCCATCTGCGAGTGATGCTGCTCCGCCGTCAGATAGATGATGGGATAGATGGATATCCAGGTACGTTTTGCGCAGAGATGAAGGACGTAGATGAGCCAAGCTTCATGGGTCATGGCCGTTCGCGGATCTCGTTGAGAAAAGCTCCAGTTCTTCTACAACCAACTTCGTCCTCTACCACCATCACCGCAACCTAATGGCTCCATTTCAAGCCATACATGTCGGTATAGCATACATCGATATATATGATCAAGAAGCCTGGAAGAATCGAGATATTTCCGGTTATCATCACATCATCATCAGATCCATCACTCCCATTGCGCACAAAACAACGACGCAAAATCAAATCATCAAAGCCTCGCCCGAGTCAGAACAGTAATGTATGGAATGCAGGTACACCTTGATCCCATGGAAGAGAGGTCATCAAAGCCTAAATATGCCATTGATTCAATCTAGTACGACAATATGACAGACCATTCTATCGCATGAGCAATGGGAGTTGATTATTCGTACAATTTGATATGAAATGTGTGTGGAAGAAAAAAAAAGACGCTCAGGGGCCGCGTTCCAATGTTCATTTAAACTCGGCTCTGCCAAGCCCCCGGCCCGTCTTCCCTTCCGAGAAAATCTCGCTCCTCAAAAACCTATTTTTCTCGAAGCACTCACCACCAGACTTCCCCCCTTCACCATCATTCAACCGCAGCCAACAATCGCGACTCGGTGCTTTTGCTCTGCTGCGGCATGCTCTGACTCTTCTGTAGTAAACTTGCGCATCCAGAGAACGATTCATGTCTCGTCGTTCGCACCGCTCCGTGTGCTAGCTACACGCGTTTTGTCATCGCAACACAACCCCACGTTTGCCTGCTTCAGGGTTCAGCTTTCTATGGCCTTGGAGCAACATATTTAATTCTATGTGGGAGATTGAAATAGGTTTTTAGCAGGACCGTGTCTACTCCACCCTACTCATTGCTGTCTCCTAAATGAGTAGGACTAAATCAAAGACAAACATTTTTCTTCTTCTTGGTGCATCTGCTTACTTCCGGATACTTGTGACGCATCTGGCCCTGTTCGCGCATTGTTCCTTGCGGTGTTGATTTGAATTAGATGGTCAACCGTCGTTTTGCGACCTACGCCGATGCTGGTTGCGGGTGCTGGAAGTCGTTCTGGTCGCCCTCAGAGCCTTGTCCTTCATCGACTTCATCGATACATCTGGTTCCAGGCCACCGTGATGAATATGAAGCATGGGACCATCAATTCACATCTCAGACGCTTGTTGAATGTCTCAATCTCTTGCCGAACAAGGCTCACTCGCATGTTGCGCACAATGGTGGTAAGCAGTACTGCGATGACTGGTTTCGACGCCGCAGTGGCTGTGGCTTTCGTTGATGGATAGTCACAGTGCAGGATGAACGTTAGCTCGAGACTCGCGGCACTGGCGGCGTAACGGAAGCGAATGACCGAAGTCGCGGAAGCCGAAGAAGGGCGCATGCGGCATGGCACTTATTTCGTGATACACATCTTGGAAGGATGTGCGATAGAGGTAATGACCAGCCAGCTACACCTTGAGCGATCCATCATATCGCATCTTGTAGCTATTTTGGGACCCTTCATGAATCTCTACTTCTCGGAGTTTCCTATTGGCAAGTCGATCTATAACCCTGAAGGGATTCTAGTCTACAGGTCTCTATGTCTCTTGTCGGGGCATAGTCTGACCGAGCTTACTTTTTCAACACCCTCCTCGAACACCCTTTGTTATAACACGATTGTGCTGGTACACTCAGCGCACATCCCCATGAAATAATTATTGCTGTAGGACTACGAAACTCATATGCGATTGTATAGTAATCACTCAGCGCAATTGCTTGCCCGTGAGTCACGCGTGGCAGACATGCTCGTGAACTCAATTGCATTTTTGCAAGGAACATCAGCAGCCGAGGTTGCCTTGGGTAGGGTGGTATACAAAGCTGATTTCAAGGGCACATCGACACTCTCCAGGCTCAGACTTCATTCCCAGCTGTTCAGGTGAAATCAATGTCTGATAACCATCGGTGGTTGTTACAAAGCCATGTTTGGTGAAGCTTGACTTATTCATTCAACAGTGCAGATTGTACCGATAAGCTGTATAGACTTTCCCTATGAACCCACTCTCCCCTTTTATGGCTTGAAGTAATTGATGTCCGTTTCGGTGATGGCATGATATCTTTTCGAGCCGTTATTCCCATGCTATTCCCGGAAACAGATGTTACGACAATATGTATGTTGAGACATGGTTCGAAATTGGCACCGCGTTGTCTCAGAAATAGTCTCAAATATCGTCGAGTCGGAAATCCATCATGGCTCCTTCGCAAGGAATCCACCGAGGCGTTATCTATAACATCTAATTGAATCGAATCCCTTCGCTACTTGATTATACACAATTAAACTACCATTAGATCCTACCTAACAGAAATTAGCCGCCCTCGAGAGAGAACCGTGCTTCGGGGACTGTGAGCCACTTTCGGGGAGGAGTATGATCCTACATCCCGAAGGAATGCATGAACACTGAAGCCCTTCTTTGAGAAGACACGCAACTTTCCATGAGGGGAGTTTAGTCGCTAGCTCTTCTTCGCATGCATCTCCTCCAGAACCTCGCCGGCACCGGTCTATTCACCGGTCGAAACTCTTGGACCTACACACTCTTCTTTTATATTAGAGGTGCCACGGTGGCATACATATGTACATAGGTGGATGCTGCACTTGCATGCCGGTTGATTCCTAACAACATATGTGATAACGGCAGAGAAATTGAGATAACGGGCACCACTTGGTTGTGCGCATCTGATTCATTGAGTCCAATTCGGGGGTGAAGATTGCTGCCGCACCCACCACCTTGTGCTGATTAGGACTGGAGGCAGCTACTTGCATGCTCGCAGCAAAGAAAAAGTACATGAACTGTGTGGGACTGGCGGCAGGGACGGCCAAAAGATGGGTGGCAGTGTCTAGAAACAAGGTCATGGACAGAACATGATTTGAGCCTACGTCTCCAGAGGCATGATATAAACCCGTACCCACTCAATGAAATAGCGGTATAGCGAATACAAGGCTTCTACCAGCGGTTGATTTGATTGGCTTCTGGCGCAACAAGGTACACGCTATACTCGAAAAAGCGACGGCTTTGCCACATCTGCATCTGGCGTGCTCAATGCTCACCGAGATTCATCCTTTGACACAACGGCATCTGGCGGTCTCAGTGCTACCGATTCATCATGCATCCCGCACTTGCGCTCCATCATATTGCAGTGCATCATGCCATGCAGTCGCTGTTGGACAGACCATCTGTTGTCGGGGAATACCGCCTTGTTTGTTCCTCCCGCTCGTACCGGCCAGTAACCCAGTTGACCCATTTGCGAACTTCGACGCCGAGATGAGCAGGCGTAGCTTCATCAATGCGTGCCCGGGTTTATTTCCCACGTCATTATTGTTCTTCCACATGTACTGATCCGGGTTCCAGTCATCTGAGCGAGTCTTGAGGTTGTTGACGACGGATGTTCAAGAAAAGTGACTTTGAGATACAGCTGAAGGCTGAAGCACAGCCACATCTCACTTCCGTTCTGTCAACACCATGTTGCTCGTTAGTGAACAGGCTCCACACCAATTATATCCCTACAACGTAGCGGGGCGCACACGATTCGCGGCTGAAGGTCATGATCCAGCGGTCTTTCCGAGCTGTCGCGCCGATCCAGTGGTAACGACCGATGCAGGTACCTCCCTGGTAAGTCTGCTGGTATGGAGGAGCATCTCTTCCGTGTGAAGCGAATCCAATCACTACGCCTCTTAAGATCTTACTCACAGACCTCATGGCATCATGCCGGGGTTGCCATACAAGATTAGAACGCTTTCGGCACGGGTGCGAGCTTTGACCGGTGCACTGATAGACATCAGGGACGTCATGGTAATTCATCGACTGCTCGTGTCACGGCACAGCCGAACTACCACATCTGATCTCTACTTCTCACCCATTCTTTTTATGCTTCCCATGTGTATGCTCGGCGTATTTTCACCCTGTCCGGATGCCTAATGCTCATGTAGGCAAGCTCGACGCAGTGACACCCGTTGATGCCTTGGTCGATCACCATGGGCGACTGGGATGCTTCGCAGCTAGTCCATCGCCCTGTAGCATGGATGCCTCACCTTTACATGGTCTTTCTCGTCCATCTCCGAGCTAAGCAAGTCGAATATAGTCTTTAAGGCTAGTATTTTACTTAGCCCTAATCCCATCACACGACAATATGTATAATTCGCAGTAGCACCACCCTAGCTAAAGTTGTTCTTATCATTTTACGCATGTCCATTCGTTTGTCTCTGGCCCATTCCTTCCTTTCACTCGTTTCCTTCCTTCAGACTCTTCACTGAGCTCAGGTTTAGAGTGCTACATCATACCGATATTGCCCTGGCTGTGACCGGCCGACCACTCAGCAAGTAATCGTACTTCGATATCCGCTTGGCCTGGTGCTGAGTTGGCTCAGAGTTAATGAGATAATCATCAACGCAGTGCAACATCTTGCAGCCACATCATACTGTATTCCAATGCCACGCGAATGGTCAACAGCAAGTCCATTGCCATCTCCTCCTTCCAATCACATTAGCTTCCAACAATTGCTTCCACTTTACAAAAGCAACTCTCTCGATATGGCAGGCGACCAACAAATCAACACCCAACGAGGTACATCCTCGCGAAGCATCAATTCAGCGCCGTCAAAGAACCCGAGCAAATCAGGGTCTGAAGAATGGTCAGAAATCAAAGATCCAGAAGAGCGGAGAAGGATCCAAAACAGAATAGCCCAACGGCGATTCAGTGAGTATCAAATGACAGCATCAATCTTTGCTCCATCTAATTCATGAAGGGGGTAATAAACGAGAACAAAAAGAAGAAGCAGAACGGGAAGCTGATAATCAACGGCGGGCCGCTAGCTCGTACTCCACACCCGAACCTGGTGACATGGAGCAAAATCACGACCTATCCGGCTTGCCGTGGGGAGGAATCTCGATGAAGTACATCGTCGAGGCGGGGAAGACGAAGGAACAAAACTCCCAACGCAGCTCCAGAGAAAGTTCAGTGTACGCTGCGGCTTCTCGAACAGGAGGTAGCAGTAGGTGAGATGACCCAGGAGTGAGTCGCGTTTCTGTTTCTTTCGACGCGGTTATTGACTTGCTCGCAGAGTCGGCCTCCACTTAACCGATCAATTCGCGCGAGGCTATCCTGCGTGGACATTCTTTCGCAACCGTTCTTCGGGCTGGGGTCCAAGTTGACATTGATTCGACCGACCGGTCGGCTCCACCTTTTTGGCCCCCCCATCGCACGCGCGGTAACGGTCAAGACTTGCATCGCGGTTATTGTATATGTTTGAGTTTCACGGGTTCCGGGTCTGTCACTTTGATTTTTCGTGTTTGGAGGTGATGCACGTGTCATGCCTCAGGGCTCAGGCTGCTGGTTAGCCTTTCTGAGTGGGAGGATTGTGGTGTATTTCGGAGTTAATGTTGAGGATGTATTGCATTACGCTTTGACATGATCGAAGCGGTCTCCTTTGGGAAAAGGAGAAATGAGCTTGCGGAGCAGCTCAGAGTTCATTCGTTGTTCTGTCTTGATTTATTTTTCCTCGATGAATACACGGTTTCGCTTCAAACAGTATGTACCTTGGGACCCTGGTAAATGCGCCACGTCATATCCGGTCTCATCACAATCACCACGGGAATACCGCAGTACAAACAACCATCAACTTTGCAAAGAAGTCAAAACCATGTGGAATGCATATTTTTAGTAAACGGCCGTTTCTACAGTCACCAACATATGAGCAAAGCTTGGCTGTGCACATGACCATATGTCCAATGTGCTGCTCCACCAACATGTAAACTGACCCAGTGATGATGATGAAGAGAAGATGATTTCAACGGCTCTGTGAATGCCTCAGCGCTTGTGAATCTGCCGTGTGTTCCAATCAATTGATCGAACTGTGCTCGGCTCGTGTGATTCGGAGGGCTTTGAGCGCATATCCATCCATGCATAGCAGTACTTCTGCGGCGCTGTACAATTTCCCGGGAAATCATCATCGTGGGCGGTGGTTGTGAAACACCAGTGTAGCCAGGAACTTGTGTCCCAAATGGCCCCCAACGACACTCGAGAGCTGGAGATGACTCAGCTGGCCTAGGGTGTAGGAAGCAATTGAACGTGTTTCAAAGTGACCTCTGTGATTTAGGTGCTGACTAGTCAATAGTGTAGTTTGCTAAAATTGATTGTTTTCCTATAATTCGCAGGGCGCAGTACGGGTGGAAGACGTCCAGGAATTCCGTTGTGGGGTGCGTCGGAACCACGCTTGGGCGCTCGATCGAGGGATTCATAGTCAGTATGCCTCGCCGTCTTTGGCGATGCTTAGCGACATGTGAATGCCATGATTCGTCAAGCGAATGGCGCATGCAAGGTGTAGAAATAAACGTGCATGACCCCGGTACAGCACCAGGGCGGGCGAGGCTGAGAGCACAGCCGGAGTGGCTCGCGAGTCTCTGACAACATCGCACATGCTCGTCGACATCACACACTCTTCACCCCTCGAACACTAATCAATATTCCTGCACAGTCCACAGTGTACGAGATGGTGAGCGTGCAAAACGACTGTGCCGCTAAGCGGGCAATCGTCCGGGTGCAATCACACAGCATCTGGAAAATGAATCGGAGAGCCATGGTGGTAGCCATTGGTCTGAACGTCCGATGGCTGCTGGGGCCTGTACAGAATTCTGGGTTCACGGCAAAGCTCTACACCATTGCCGGAGACTAGACGGCGAGCCCATTTTGACGTCAACGATGGATGAACCGCCGCCATACGGCACGCCCCGTCACGCCGTGGCCGCAAGTGCTAGCCGTGTACTTCTCTCTCCAAGGCAGTTTGTCGATGCCCAGCACGGGATACGGTAAGCATAACGCACTATCTTGTATATCAGCCTTGAACTTTTCTGCCAGGTGGAGAGCAGAATAGGCAGGCCTGGCTAGTTCGCTTTGTACACCTTGCTATTCCGTCTCTGCCATTGGTTCGACACCACCATTTGCTTTTTGCAGATTCTCATGCCCTGCTTAGTCTAGGTAGGTCCTCAGTGTGTTCTGCGAATCTTTTGTCCTTTCGGTCAAGCGGCCCCATCCGCATTGGCAACCTTTCTGGCTTCTGCGGCGTCTCAGGCCAAAAAAGAATTCACCATTCGAGCGATTGCTTCGAGGCTGAGAGGTAGTGGAGCTCATCGATGAACGAGCTGGGCTGCGGCACAGAAGTTGCTGTTGGATATAAATCTTGCAGATACCAAGAAGAGAAATGCAACAAAGATCATCCACCATCCTCCACCCTCATGTCCGCAGAAGCCCTTTCCAAACTATCACTTGGTGATAAAATGGTGACGACTCGGTCGGGGGCTGCTCGAGCGCGGACTGCACCTCTCCAACAAGCGGATAGAGATCCCTCGTCCAGCCCGGAATCATCTCCTACACCTTCGCTGATCGAATCGGCTGATGGACATGTCTATGATGTGTCTACCTTCGATGATGATCTGCGAAGGCGTGCCAAGAGAGGGTTGATGGGCGACAACGAGATCTCCATGAAGCTCTGCAAGGAAATCGAAGACGAGCCGAAGCGATATGTTTTCCACCTGGAAGATGATATCACGGTAGCGATGCACGAAAATAGAGCACCCAAGTGCAGCTGCGGAGCCAACGAAGCTGGCAAAGCTTGCAAGGTGAGTCGTGCTGAATGCATGAGTAATTCAAGCGGTTTACTGACAATATGGCAAAGCATATCTTCTGGATGTTGGGCCAGTTGGCGTCGGCTACACCAAAAGCACAACCTCTCCAAATCAACAAGGACGGATCCAGTGTGCGGAACCTGCACCCCGCAGCGATTATCGAGAGATTCTCCCTCGATACCATTGCAACCAATCTTGACTGGACTTTCCAAGAGGATGTCATGCCAGAGGAAGACGAGATGCTGGATGAAATTGCCAACATGCTATCTGTCTTTGACCCCACCGAAGCCCTTCCCTTTGAGTTCAAGCGCGGAGAAACATCGGATCTCTCGGTGCGATCACGAAAGTACCGCGAGCTCAGAAGTCTGTTGAGTCAGCACGCAATCAAGAACCCGGCATTTTTTATCCAACTGCAGGAAATCATCCACCCAGTGTTCCAGGCCCAAACCTTCTTCGACAAGATCAACCGTCGAATCGATCGGGTTTTCAAGGCGTTGGATGAATATGTCGCTCGCGGGCCGACCAACACGCAGTCGGAGGCTCTCGATGTCAAAACCTGTGCCGTCCGGCTCGAAAGGCTAGTAGGAGCCATAGACGACTACTACAACGAACAGTTCGACGAGGAGCAGACGGACGAAGAAGCAAGCACTACTGTTGCCGTGCTGGCGACGGCCTCGTTGATTCGAATTTTGGACGAGGTGACACGACGCGACTACGACGCTTATGCAGGGATTGCTTGGGGACCTATGCCGCCCACGGATTCCCAGGACAACAACCTGCTGGATTGCGTGATGCGCACCACGCCCAAGAGCGAGGGGCTCTTTGTGCTGAGGACGCTGCTGAATCTGCCGCAAGATATCATGCTCGGGCACCATGCGGAACTTTTGGACATTGAGGACAGGCTTGCGGGGTCGCCACATACATCACCGACCTACATGGATACGCTGCGCACGTTTCTCCACGATAACAGGAAAAGAGCAGCTTCAGTCAGTGTCGGCGGTTCTGCGAAAAGGACCATGACTTGACGGGGACGCTGATTTGGGAGCAACAGTCTTTGACTTGATTTCGTAATGTTTTTTGCCTTGCATTGTTTTGATTCCTTTTTTTTTCTTTCGCTTCTTGTTTTTTGCGGACTACCCTTAGACTTGACTTGTATACTTTGATTTTATTGCTTCATAGAGGAATGGGTACTATCTGTGGCTGTTTGTGTTTTGCTGGTTGCTTTGCTGGGTTTAGAAGCGCTGTTCCTGGGCCAGGTCATGTTTTGTTGAGGCCAAGGTTTCGGTGTGCTCACTGCATCAAGGCTTGATATGTAGAGAATATGTTTGGGAATATCACGCTGTACTGATTGGCTATTGACGTGGTGTGCGAGCAGATGGCGTGTTGCAATCAAGGCTGAGCGGGGCCACTGAGTAAGTAGTTGGGCAACTAGCGAGGTGGAGCTCCTGACATGACATGGGATTGGCAAGGGATGCAAAACAGGAAGAAAAGTCAAAGGGGGATGATACGGGGACGTGGTCAAGCACAAAGACAAGGTGCAGTGGAGGTCGAGATAGATGACGGAGCGGACGAGATGGGCAGAGGTGGCCGACCGAAGTAGGGCCTGGCCATGTAGGCGGGTGGGTCCTGGTGTCGGGCCGTTGCATCGCTAGTGCAGCCCGAGTGGGACGGCCTCGGCGGCATCAATCCATGGGGTGACCTGTTGGGTGATGATGGGACGTCTGAAGGTTGTCATGTATGTGCAATGTGGCTCTTTCGGAACGACGTTTGATAGCAACCGGGAGTGTTCAAGTTGGTGGGCTCGGGTATGAGCAAGCAAGCAAGCAAGCAAGCTGGGGGACATGGCGTCCTGCTGGAGGCATCGAGGGAGCTGTAGCCAGGTCAAGCTCAAGCTAAGCAACGGCGGACTGGTATGATTCGACGTGGCGAAGAGGGCGGCGTGCTGACTAGAGGTAGTTGGTTGATAGAGGGTGGACTGGATGTGGAATGGGATGGGATGGGATGGAAGATGGATTGAGGATGCATGGGATGCATGGGCTGCTGCTGCTGCTGCTTTGTTTCCTGGAGAATGCGGGGAAACAGCGATGCCGCCTTAGCGCGCCTGCGTGCGTGCCAATGATCGCCCTTTCCAGATTACACACATCCCTATAGTAAGTATACATTACATACATCGCCCGCCCGGTCTTGCTTGGCTGCCTGGCCCAATCCGTCCATCCATCCTTCAAAGATAGATGATATCCTCTTCTTCTTCTCCTCCTCCTCTTACTCCTCCTCCTCTGCATTCCTTCTCCAATCTCTCTTGGATTAGCTTGTGTGTCACCCATCCTGCCTCGTGTGTCACCCCCCTCGCTCCCCGTCACGCTATCGTCTTTCCACCCACCCACAGCCCCACGCCACCACCCCCTGCTGACGTTTCTGGTGAGTGAGTGAGTGGACCGTAGATTCCACCATGTACTCTACTTACCCACCCCTCGATCGCCCGTCCGTGCTCACTCCACTACATGTACAACCCTCCGGCCCCTCCGCTCTTCTTCTGTCCTCCATCCATCCATCCATTCTTCTTCCCTCTGCACCCAACAATTGTCTCTCTTCTTTGCACACCCCCAATTGACCTTCTGACCAGCTCACCACTTTAATCTCCGCCTTCTTTGTCCGTCCCCTACACCCTACCTCATCACAGGGCAATGGCCTCGGACCGCAACTCACCTCCGCTCCCCAGTCCCAGTGCAACCGATCGGAGACGCGCCTCCGTCACCGGCCAGACTTTCCAAGATCTCATGGCCCGCCAGCCCAGCATGTCGGCCCAACCCAACTCTCAGCCGTACCCCGGCCCCATCACCACGGCCGCTGTCAACGCTCAGCGTCGCCGCTTGTCTCTGACCACTGTCGGCCTTTCCGCCTCGCCCCAGCAGCCCTCCTTCCAATCCCGCCCACGCACCGAGAGCCTCTCCAGCGCCAACTCGGGTTCTGTCGACGAGAGTCCCTTTGAAGATGACTTGGGTCCCGCTGCTTCTGCTTCGGGCAGCAACCCGGCTACACCCTTTGCTCGCCGTTTGAGCTTCGGTGCGCGTGCCATGCGGGACGTTAGGCAGAGCAATGGGAACGTTGGGAACTCCAATGGTAGACCCTCCATCCATAAAGCCTCCTCTCCCCCGACTGCTAGAACTGCTAGAGGTCGAGGTCTGTCTTCATCCATGCCCCAACCCACCTCCCCAGAGCCACCTCATGTCTTTTACTTCCCCCCTCCCCATCTTTCACTTCAAACGTCACCCCGACCAAGTACGAGTTGAGCACAAGCTGACCACTATTCCTTGTACTACAGGTGAAGGCTACAATTTTGCCGAAAACATGCGCAACCGTGCCGAGCGCAACTCCATGTCCGGTACACACCCCATGCATAGGCCCGAGACGCACGCACGTGCCAAATCCGTTGCCATCATGGAACCGCCTGTCCAAGAGATGCCTAAGCAGCCCAAGGTGCCCGATGCGATGCAAGAGCGGATCCTCAAGGGAGACTTCTACATGGACTAGTGATTGGTCACGCTTTGCACGAGCAAGGTTTCTATTCATGTTCATGTCCAATCAGCACCTCGACTGCCTCGTATGGCTGGAAATCAGTCAAGAGTTTATTTCCTATATTGAGCGTTTACGGATCTGGATCATCTGCCAGGATCATGGTTGCTCAGGCTTCATCACGACGCCCTCATCACACACCGTTTGCAGGTGAACCGTAGCAGTACCTACCCGTCATCGACTTTCTCAGAGTATTAGAGGACAGCTGGATGTTATCCAATCTTGCAACCATGGCAGCTTGGGAACTTTATCCTTTATTACCTATTTGGATCACCTGCCCAATTCAACGTCATACCTGATTTCGGATGACATGCACGGGACGGGAGGGTTCACAATCGCTGAAACGATTTTCTTTGATCTTTTGTATCACGCAAGATATGCGGAGGGATATATGTATGTGTTTTTTTGTGTTTGTTATACAGCGAGGATGGGCTGATGGGATGATGCTTATCTACTCGTTGGCCACATGTATGCATTTTGTTAGCCAGAACCTCGGATAGGTATGGCTATTTTCCTTTCATATCCTCATCAACGGCCGCGGAACAGGTGTTTGCATGAGGAACAGACTGCCAGATGGCCACGATGAAGGCAAATCAAGGACAGGCGCACAACTCCGGATCTGGGTTATGGGTACATCAAAGACTGGATAGCCGATGTAGCTCTATGAAACAAACTTGCACGAATAAAGCTCAAGTATGGATTCTATCCCGCAAGCGAAGACCCCCCACACCACAGTCTCCCGCCCCTGATGTTCGTGTTACCATGACTAAATGGACCCTTGTTTGGGCTGGCGTAACACAAATCCCCAATCCCATGGTATTACTACACCTTGTGTGTGTGTGTGTGTGTGTGTGTGCGTGCGCTGCAGATAAGGGGGGTGGCGGTGATGTCATGCCGCGTGGAATGCGTCCGTTTCATATCGAGGGTGACGATGGGCATGCAGATCTTCGTTACGCTCGGCGGTATGCGGTAGGTACGTTTGCACATCTCAATTCCTTAACAAGGCAATCCTTATGCCGGTCCCTCCCCGAGCCGCCCCTCACTTCGGGGGGGACTTTGACTTGAAACTACTGATGCATTCTTTGCAATTGCTTGCACACATATTGGGGGGTTGGGGGGTTGGGGGGAAGGGGATCCGTGTGGTACGTGAGCAGACAATACAACAATGGGGATAGATGTACTTGCAGTGGTTGAAAACAAGGGGTTCCAGCAGGCATACACCAGAACAGAAACACGTTGGTCAGTTGATCGATTGCTTGCTTGATCTTGCATCATCTTTCCCTTCTCCGATTTGCAGTTGTCGAGTGAGAGGTTTCTCTCCCCACGAAGATCATGGCTGTACACAGAGCCATTGCCCGTGGGAACTCAAGAGCAGCACTCCACCTCCAAGACCCTTCCTTGTATACTACCACGATACACAGTTGGTGTGAATTGTCTGAATAAGCTCCAGTAGGCTACACCAGAGTGTCCAATCGCTGCGTTACCTGGTGTCCCGGCACCATATGATTTTCATACTCAGGGTACAATCCATCTTTCATAATACAATTTGCTTTTTCGAGATCAATTGTCTTCATTCTTGTTCATCGCCCTTGCTCTCCCTCGACATCACCCCCTCTCCTCTCTGCAGATCCCTAAAGCATTGGTGTAGAGTGGGTCGCATACCATGGCATAGGTAGACACGTCACTCTGAAGCGAGCCGATTTTATACGGTGCTCGCTCATATTCCAAATCACGGTTTTTCTTTTTTAGACTTCTTGTTTTGCCTGCTTGTTTTTTTTTCGGGTGGAGGGGCGGGATCAGGAGCAAGCTGATGAATAAAACTTCCAAGTGAACAAATCATTGTCCAGCTTGTGCAAAGGCAAAGGAATGGAAGGAGGCAGCGAAGTAGATATTGGGGAAACAAAGAGAGAGACAGAGAAAAGCGTTGTTGATGCACATATTCCCCGAAAAGATATCTCTGCAATACCGTATAGTCAGCTTTACCATATGCACATGTACATGTTGAATACTCTCATATGCCTTGTGTATCGTATCTGCACGGTTTAATCAGATTGCACGAATACCAATCAATCGTCCCGGCGTTGTGATGCGGAGATACGTACGTATCGCGCTTTCCGACGTAGTACGTACCACGGAAGCACAGCAGGGCAGCCTCTTCTCTCTCATTAGTAGGCTGAACAACGACAGCCCCTTCCGATTAGCCACTGAACGATGAGCTATTAGATGGACCTAGTATTTTCAGATGTATTCTATCCAAGAATATGACAATAAAGTTTATATCATAGAAAGGTGAATTGTCTACGAAAGTGTTTTGCTCGCAGAATAGTATACTTGGAGAGTCATCTTCTGCTCTTCCTCACAACCCTCATATGCTCGCCTTGTTACCTACCTACATACATGTAATCTCGTATGCAGGAGACTCTGTACCAGGCACATTACATGTACATGGGTTCTTATTGGCATTAAGTACTAATTCATTCTCCTCACACACGCCATCTTCTTGCGTCTTATCCTACTCTCTGTCGGCCTCATCCCTACTATTTACACCCACACCTGCTCCCGTCATCCCCCATGCTCCTATTTACAAACCCATCCCCAAGCCAGATCCTCACGCCCGCACTCGCTCGGAGAAACGCTCTCGAATACAGACTTTTCAACCAGCCAAACAAAATAAAAAGCAAGCAAAAGTACCCGGGGGTAAACAAGGAACAAGATCGGATATCCCCATGCCCACAACACCAACTCGCAGATTGTAGCCGAGGAAAAAAAAGGAAAAAGACCAATGATCGGGATGGATGGTTGCCGGCTTATTCGCTTTTCGCCAAGCAAGGCCCCAGACAAATGAGAGCGTTGGTGCTACAACATTACAAGATATAGAAAGCGGGAGAACAAGGAACAAGAAAAAGTACACTAGTAGGTTTGAGTGTGGAAACCAGAGTTACACGGGTACCAAGCAACGGAACAGATGCAACCACGACACGACAATTGACACCAAAACACGAGGGGGGAGTGCAACGATTAAAAGCCGATCGACATGCCATGGGAAGGACAAAACATCCTGCACAGTAATCAAACACCGGAATTTTCTCCCCGTGGTCGCGCCTTGCTTTTTTCCGCCTCTGTCAGTCATGATATCGTGCATCTGTTCGTCAATGGATTCATCTTTTCTTCTCAAACCAGGGAAACAGGACTGGGAGTGCTACGACTCATGACGCCGCCGACACTCCACACTCTCTTCCGCACAGGCGTAGGAATTCGAAGGGTATCGTGCTTCTAAACTCTATCCCTGGGCCCATTGCCGTGGTTCTCGAAGAGATCTTCCAGATACGCGCTGGGTGCTCGACCTCCTGGAACATTTGTGCCTCCAGGTACGTTCAAAGAAAGCTGGCTAGGATTGCTGTTGTCTTGCTGATACACACTTTGCTGTGACGGTCTGCCGAGAGTCGCAACACTATTACGGTACCCAGTAGTGCCGTCCCTAGAAGGAGGGGCTCGGTCATAACCACGAGATGGAGGAAGAGAAGGAGACACTGGAGGAGAGATACCGGAGCGTGCACTGAAGCGGTTGCCAGGTGCATGAGCCGAGTAGGTGGATAGGTGACCAGGATTTTGTCCGCCTACATGCGTAACCGGAGAGCCTTGGGCGGGCTGAGCGTTTCCGGAAGCATAGTAGCCCGCTGGGAGATATGTCGACGAACGGTTTACCATGGAGTCGCGCAAGCCAGTGCTGCCACCTGCAGTAGGCGAAAAGAAAAGTGAGGAGGCTGCCTTGGGTGGTGTGTTCGTATTGCCCGAGGCAAATGGCTTGGGTGGCCTCGAGGTACCGGTTGGGGCTGCAGCAAGGTGATCGAGGGACATGTTGGAGGAGGCGCCAACGACGTTGTACATGCCTCGCTTCTTGCCTGGCACTGCCGACATGGCTTTGAGGTCGGCCATGTTCTGAGCTCTGGCTGCTTGCTTGACCGAACGGTGCAACGACCAGGCGACGAGGCCTCTCCAGGCAAGCACAGCCGCGCCCAAAAACGCGAGTATCGCACCTACGCAAATGAAGACGGTTCCGTCTGGCAAACTTGACTTTTGCATGTAGGGGGCAGCAGCGGTGTCTGGGACTTTCATCGGCGGCACACCCACACCAGCGATGGTTGCTGCATCTGAGAAGCGGTTGTTGGCAGCAGTGGTTGCTGGATTTGGTGCCTGAGTCATCGATTCACTGCTGCTGCTGCTGCTACTGCTGCTACTCTGGCTGCTGGTCAACTGCGGAGCATCAGAAACCCTGTTAGGAGGTTGGGAGGACGAGGCTGGTGGACTCGAAGACTCGGCTGGTCTCGAAGACTCGGGCGGCTTTGAGGAGTCGGCCGGCCTGTCTGTGTTTGATGGTTGTGGAGCATTACTGCTTGCTGGAGGCGGAGGCGGTGGGTTATTGCCCTGAGCGAGAACGACGGGCGCCACAACGAGAAGAAGGCCAACGAGGCCGGTGGAGGGACGCATGACGGTGAAGTGGTTGTGAAGAGGAGGTTACGGGAGGGAGGCAAGGCGGCAGGGCCAAAGGGCCAAAGGGGAGCAGTGAGGCTGAAAGGGATGGTCGGGCGCAAGATGTGTAGGCACCGAGTCGACGTCTTTAGAGAGAGGTGACGACGAGCAGACTACATGAAACGAGTGGGTATTGCAAAAGGCGGAGGAGAGGGCCTTGCTGGGACGGCGAGCGAGCGGGAGAAGGAAAGGGTTCAGGAGGAGATGGAGGAATGGGGTTGGAGGATCTGCGCGTCAGCAGGGGTGCTGTAATTGTAGCGGGTCGAGTCGAGTAGGCCTTAGCTGTTGTCCGGGAGCGAGCGGAATGGGCAAGTGACTTGGGCCGTGACTCTTGGGCAGTGCAGAGCCGTGCAGTGCGATTGAATAGCTATGGGGAACAATAGAGATTTGTGGCTTCTTAACGATGGGAAGAATAACGACACGTCTTGCATGCAGATGGAGATGCAGACGGTTGTTGTCTGTGTATTATTCTACATGCATATGTATGGTTGATTAGGTACTTGGGGACTGGGTAGGGTGAGGACCCACCGACTACTGCTACAACGGGCGGCGGTACCTGCCTGCCTTGCGCACACACACATATTGCGAAATACGTGCAGCGCATGGATGGATGATACGTCGATATATTGAATCAGAAAGAATACAAGTAAGCGCAATACGCAACCAAGCTGCTGCAGGGGACTCATCACAGGGTCTCTCTGGTTTGCCATCGTCCCACGGTTCGGCACAGCAATTGCGAATAACTAGTGATGTTATTAATAGCCACGGCCTGGCGGTACTGAGTTTCCCCCCACGTGATCATGGCTCGTCCCCGGCTCTTCTCCGGAAGAACGAAGGCTGACCTTGGCAGCATCAGTGCTTCGAGTCTGCTCCACCAAAAAAAAGTTCCATAGCGAACAGCCTCGCAACCCACTTCGACACCGCAACCTAACCACCTCAACTGTCCATCATGGGTGTCGCCAAGAAGACGCGCAAATTCGCGCAAATGAAGCGCGTCATAGGTAATTGCGAACAATCCTCTGTCAGGCTCAAATGCTGATTTATCTTTCCCAGGACAACGCGATGCACGATTGTATGCTCACGTATCCCCACCATCACCGCAAGCCTCAAGTCACTGACCACCGTAATTTCCCCCCACAACAGAAAGAAGAATCAAATGGCCGGCGAAATAGAAGCAAAGAAGAAGGAAGAAGCCAAGAAAGCCAAGAGAGAAATGTATGCTTTCACTCTCCATTCTTTCTATCCCAAGTGTTGCAAGACTGACCAATCTGTTGCGATTAGCCCGCAAGCACCCTCTTCCATGTTCTTCATGGCCAACGAAGCTCTTGGTCCTCCCTACCGCGTCCTCATCGATACCAATTTCCTTTCCCATACCGTCCGCGGCAAGCTCGAATTGCAAGAATCCCTCATGAACTTGCTTTACGCAAAAGCCACGCCTATAATCACTTCCTGCGTTGTACGTTCACTTCTCTCACGCAATCCGTGTGCAATCTCAAGAAGACCATTGGCATGTTTTGGTGCATAACTAACAACATGTTGTACAATAGATGGCCGAACTCGAGAAGCTGGGACCCAAATACAGAATCGCCCTGCGCATCGCGCGAGACGAGCGCTGGGAGCGCATCACCTGCGATCACAAGGGCACATATGCCGATGACTGTCTCGTCGAGAACGTCACCAAACACCGTATTTACCTCGTGGGCACCAACGATGTGGACTTGAAGAGAAGGCTGAGGAAGATACCCGGTGTGCCCATCGTCAGTGTGGCCAAGGGCAAATATGTGATTGAGAGACTACCGGACGCGCCTGATAGTCGATAAAAAAATAAAAGGGGATATGGTGATGTCTTACTTTGGATTGGCATAGCGAACGGCGTTATTTGGGCTGCATGTCTACTTTGACCAGACATCTTGGGTTCTTCATCTTGGGCAGGGATGGATCAAACCAAAAATTCTTCGTATGGTTTCAACGGTTTTCAAGAACATCTATCGTTGATCATACCACATCATTTACAATATTGAAATACAAATGCTCGTACATGTTGACCCGATTTTTCCAATTCTTTTTCCCAAACGAAACCATACCATACCATACAGATTCAGCCATGCCCCCTTTGTTTCTCTTCTCCCTCAAATCCCCACGAGCCCATCCAAAAGCGCCGTCAACCCCGCAACCCCCATCATGGCCTTGGTAGCCCCGCTATGCCCCTCTTTCCTCCTACTCCTACCACTCCTCATCCCGTTATCCTCCACTCTCCTCCGACTCTTGCTTCTCCTTCTACTGCTCTTCGATCGCCCTGCTGCGCTGTCCGAGTCCGACGACATGGACGAGTAGTACTCGTACCTTCGGTTCTGCGTGTACCGAGACGGATCTTGCGGTGGGAAGGCTTGTCGGTAGGGGGAGTGTTGGGCTGATGAAGGGTGGGGCGGGTGCTCGGATTGGAATGGAGCGTGGGTATCTAACGGTTGCAGGTTGGCTGTCATTGGGCGGTGGGGGAGCGTTGGTGGATAGAGAGTGTGTGGGGAGCTGTATATGGAATTTTGCTGCTGCTGCTGCTGTTGCAGGTGAGTGTTGTATATGTGTGGTTGTGGGATCTGCCCTGCCACTGGTTGTGGTTGTAGTGGGGGTTGAGGAGGAGGAATGGAAATTGGTGCCGCGCCGTTTGGCAAAGGAAGATACAGATTCGACGACCTAGGGTTCTCGGGGTACCGTGGTGCAGGACTGGGCATGGAAATCGAGCGATCGAGTGGAGGAGGCGGGGGATAAGAAGTATGCGGTTTCTGGGGTTGTTGGTACTTGTTCGGCTTAGGAGTGCGGTTGCGATCGAAAGAAACTTGTGGTGAGACGGTTGGACGGGAACCGCGCTCGAATGAAGAGCGTCGCGGATTCGCATGAGATGGAGGATTAGGAGGCGGCGAGGGTCCTTGTGTCTTTCTGTAGATATCGACTGTCCTTTCCACAAGCTCCTCTACTTGACGAAACGTGAGCGGATGTTCGATGCAAAAGCATGTCTCAAATCTCGTGCGTCTACCATCTCGGACCTCCTTTTGCATGCGTGTGAACTTGTACCCAGCTTCTCGAATGGCTTCCTTGCATACCCATGATGCCAAAATCTCCACCCAGCAATTTCGGTCAGATAGGGCCTCTGATGGTGCTGCGTCGGTATTGGAGTCGTGCATCTTGTTGTCGATGTACTTCCAGTAATGACGCCTGGTATTTAATGTCCATGGGATTCCGAGGTCGACATCGTCATCCTTGTCTTTTGCCTCAACTGCTGCTGCTGCTTCTACTGGAAGCGTACTAGCAGAGGAGCGCGGGGCAGTTTCAGTATATCTAGAGTCAACTGGTATCGGAAGATAATTCCCCGCTGAGCTGACCGAGCCACCGTACGAAGATGAGGGCGTCATGGGTGAAGCGGGCCTATTCCCATTCCTGATCGGTATAGGAAGTGTCTGTGTCTCGGCAAAAAGCGGTTGGACAGTGTCTGGGCGCTGAGGGACTGGCGTAGGACCAGTAGACATATCGTCGTCCTCACTGTCTGACTCTACAGACGGTTGCTGAGTTTCTCTCTTCTGCGCTCGAGCCTTCTGTTCTTCATGTTGTAGAATTTCCTCGAACCGGCGCAAGCGAGTCCATCGATCCAACAGGCGCTCTAGCTGTGACCTGGATACACTGCAAACTGCAGGTAACCATTGCTCTTCACTTGAATCATGGATATCGAGAGTTGCCAGGAACTTATCTTGATACTTGAAAAGGCTGGCTGGCTGCAGCAGATCATGATCCACAGCGGCGAGACTTTGCGAACTGTCACGGTCCATCAACAGTTTTGCGTCTGATCTCGACATTTCGTTGAGTTTTGATGCAAGCAAAATAGTCATTTGTTGTTCGATGACGAGTGCTTCTAACCTGCATAGGAGTGAGCCAACAGTTAAATTGACGTGGGTATTCATGGGGAGATGATCCACATACTGTTGCTTCTCGTTCGCGACTGCGCGAGCACATTCGGTCGGCGATACGGTCGGACGCTCTCTACAGTTTATGGATTAGACATTGCCACCTTCCAAGAGCTTTTCTCTTCTCTTTTTGATGAGCTACTTGCCTCGCCCACATAACACTTTGAGCTGTGTTCAAGGTCTGCAGCATGACAGCCAAGGTTGCTCGCAGGGAAGCTAGGTGGCTCAAGAGATAGTGCAGCCTTGCCACCACAGCAGCATCAAGTGGCAACCTTGATGTGTTATCACCATGTTTCGTGCCATACCCCTCAGTATCAGCAAGATGAGGAAACAGGCGCTCTACTTCGCTCAACAAGGTAGTACACTGATCAAGCACATCTTCCAGCGTCTCAAGAGCCTATGTCATCGGGTCAGTGTAGCCCAGGCATCATCGAGTGAAGGAGACGACTACGTACTTCAGCAGATGGTATTCGGTCATCTTCCTTTATAACGGTACCAAGCTGCTTCACAACGAGTGCTAAACTGTTGATTGACTTTGCAGTTTTTAGTATGTTACTGGCGGCCTTGGTCTGGGTAGCAAGCCGATACAAGCCATGTGTGATGGCTGAGCATCGAGAAACGAAAGGAAGGATCGCAGTGAGTGCCGACATGAAGTCTTATTCCCAAGCGGGAGAAAAGGTAAGTTTTTATGTGACAGTCAAACGTGCTTGGAAGATGGCGAGAAAGAGTCTTGGTGGAGAAGTGTGTTGATGGCGAGATGGTGGATAGGAGCGGTCTGTAAGTTCATGTTGTTGGGTTCATGGCACATCATAGTGCAGACTGACCGGGAGGCACAGAAGGGCATGCCATTGGTTGAATAGGCGAAGAAGGCAAAATATTGGTCTCCTCTATAGCACAAGGTGCAAGGCGGTACAGTGTCAAGATGAACGATTCGCAAACAATACATAGTCAGGTGGACGGTTCAGGTTTCCGACATGTCAGCGTAGCAAATGGATTACGAGTCCAAGGCTAAGGCGAGCGTGGCTCGGCTCGGCTGTACTAGAGCTAAGGGTGAGATGGCTGAGAGTTGGTGAGGTTTGTACGTTGGAAGAAAGTACAGCAAGCACGTTCAATGGGTATACCAGAATCCGGTGAGCGCGGTCAAGACTAGTGTTGCAGAGGTGCACGCAATGTAGCCTTGTTCTACCGACGATTGAATTGCCTTGATGGGACAAAGTAGGCGATGGCCGTCAACAGCACAGCATGTCAGTAGTGGGTGATGATGAGGCTTCAAAGCGACGGACAGTTGGGGGGCAAGGCATAGCGAGGGCACAGAAGACCAAGAATGCGACGGTTTGTTTGCTTTCTCTATGTTCGCAGAGACGGAAGAAGATTGCTGGGAGGTGGTTGGAAGAGAGTTGAGCATGACACGATGGGCGCTTGTCTCGTGCTTCGCCAAGGTAGACAAAGAGCCGTCGCATGCGGGATCAGAGACGATGGGAACTGTCAAGGTCGAGACAGCCAACAGCTTTTGGTTAGATAAGCGCGTAGATGATTAAACAGGAATCTTTCGCGGTATCATGTTCACGGGTTCCATTGCGAATTGGTGGTGACATGCAGTAACTACTACTCGGCCGCCATTTACATGGCGGATGGAGTCGCCTCGTTTCTCGAGCACCGGGATCCTAACACGGAGAGTATGTCTGACGGCAAGAAGCATTGTTCATTCTCTTCGGGGGTGGTGGTGCATCATCGATACATTCGTATGTACCCATGTAGATGTGTAGATTACATATGTAGGCACTCGAGGATGCAGGGACCACGCACACCACAAGTCCCCTAAAGTTGCCGCACTTCCACTGCGGGGATTCCCTCACCCACCGCCATTGGCCCGCGCCGAGAAAATATCTCACCTGGGCCGAGGAGCCAAGCAAGGTTCCAAACAATTCATCGTCGCTCATTCTCCCAATTACCCTTCAAAAACAATCTCCCTCCTTAACCTGCCGTCTTTTCCACCTGCGTCATTCTCTCTCTCGCTCCTTCAACCTCGTTACCCTACCCGCCTGTTTTCCGGGAGTCACGGCTACTTGCTTGTACATATCCACTTATATACCTACATCCATACATCCATCCTCTTGTCTGTCTATCTGTACATCCCTCCCTCGGTCCATTGCCGCGCATTCGTTCCTTGTCCTGTCTGCATGTAGCCCCGTCTGCTCTCTCCGCCAATCGTTCCGTTTCCGGAACCCACGCCCAACACCACACCCTCCCAATTCGCAATCCTCAATTGGAACTCAACACCCTCCCCGTCCGCCTGACACACGTATCCCTCGCCTGTCCACAATACAAGAAGGCCCCTCATGTCTTCCTCTCCCGACCCCCACCATGCCTCCGCGCATTCCACCGCCGTCATGCCCACCCACGACGATCCCTCCTCGCTTGCCCAGCGCCCACCCTACAGAAGAAGTTACGGCACTTTCCCCTTCACCAACAGCGAACGCCGCAGGTTGTCTACGGATTCTCAGCACTCGCGCCCATGTTTGGATTCGGAGAATTTCCATGCTCTGGTAGGACCCTCACTCCCACCAATCCAAAGTTGTATCCCATGCGACCAGCCCGTACTAATTCCTTTCACAGCTGGGAAACTTTCTCGCAGACCTCAACTGTCGCATGGATGCCATTGATTCCTCCTACGGTCACCTGCGCCTCGATACCGGCGTCGAATACGCATACTCCACCCTGGTAGCCGTTCGCGAATCGTGCTCCAAGATTTCCGACGGCGCAATCGAAGCTGGTCGCCGACAAGCCTCCGTGTTCGTTGAGACTCTGGAAAGCAGATACCAGGATGCGCTCGAGACCAAGGAAACTCTCGCAGAGAAAGTCGTCGAAGGAATCGAGTTGATGGAAGACTGGGTCACGGATCTCGAATCGAGGGTCTATGCAATTCGCGACGCCGGCTTGGAGACAGTCAACCACGAATATACCCGTGCAAAAGGAGTCGTCGACGCTGGATTCGACAAAGCGAGCCGAGCAAAACAATCCATGGGCATCAAGATCGACCTTGCTGTGGAACGAGCCCTCTCGCGCGCACAAGAGCACGGCCTCATCCACTTTGAAGATCTACCCGAGCCCTGGCAAATGAATCCCTACGTCGTCAGTGGTTATCGTTTCTGCGAGGGCCACTGGGCCTGCATCAAGTCCATTATCGCCGTACACAACGAGTCCACAAACATCTGGTCGCACCTCATCGGTTTTGTTCTCGTCCTCGGCGTGGCCTTTTACCTGTATCCGACTCACGTCAACTTCCAATTGAGCACAAAATCCGACGTCTTCATTGCAGCTCTGTTCTTCTTTGCCGCGTGCAAATGTCTCTTGTGTTCATGCGTCATGCACACCATGAACAGCATATCGCACCAAAAGCTACTGGAGCGCTACTCATGCATCGATTACACCGGCATTTCGCTTCTGGTCGGCGCCTCCATCATGACGCTAGAGTACACGGCCTTCTACTGCGAGCCTACGTCCCGAACAGCATACATGTCCCTTACTGCCCTCCTCAGTATCGGTGGTGTGTACCTCCCCTGGAACTCGACCTTCAACCGTAACGACTTGTCCTGGCTGCGTGTTGTCTTCTACGTCACTATGGCCATGACGGGCTTCATCCCGTTCGGCCAGCTCGTCGCTACACATGGCCTCGAGTACACGGCCGCTTTTTATTCGCCACCTGTCAAGAGCATGCTGGTCTACTTCTTCGGCGCTCTCATCTACGCTGCCAGAGTTCCCGAGCGCTGGCTCCCTGGCCGCTTCGACTACCTGGGTGCCTCCCACAACATCTGGCACGTGGCCGTCCTGGGTGGTATTATCCTCCACTACTTCGCCATGCAGGAGATGTTCTCCCAGGCCCATGACTGGTCACACATCCACTGTCCCATCACCAACTAACGCGCTCTCGCCCCTTTTATCCGACTTTACGACCGTTATCCAGCCGCGATTAAATTCTCATGTTCTTCAATTATTTCTCCTTTTTGGCGACACATTGCACGAGCTTTACTTTCTTTTTCCCTGTTTCATCTCTTCTACTTTTTTTCCTTCACTCTTCTATATTACCTACTACTGCATTGGCTCATCTAAACAAGCCACCATCTTGAAGATATTTGCATCGAGTTTTGAAAAAAGCGGCATGTGTGAGGGGAATACTGCATCTAGACAACTCTTTTGGTTTCTTGTCATATGTTGATGGAAAGAAAGCATTTCCCATGATCTGGGACAATCTGCGGCATGCATGGGTTTGGTGTATCCTTGTTGTGTTTCTGTCCTCTCTCTTTCCTATGATCTTTTTTTCGTGTGGCGAGGAGGAGCAGCATGATGACCAATGAATTGAGCTACCGCTGTGAGAGGAGGCATTTTCATCGATTTGTTCTCTTGCGCAAAAAATCTAGAATAGAAAACGAAGAAAAAATAAAGAAAGTATCATTCAACCTATACCGATCAACAAGCTAAAGTTGCACATGCTCAGTTAATCATGCTACCAGCCACTGCAACAAAACACGTCTAAATGTAAGCAAGTTAAAAAATGGTATTGATAAGGATATCCAAGAAGAGTATAACACCGCGTCCGGACACATGGACACACAACCCAAAAAAACAACAACGCATCATTACGAAACGACATAGACTAGGGCAAGTAGGACCAGAGACACATTAGACAATCCCAGAGACAGTAGCACACATGACGCAGACAGTAGACATTCGCCCCACCGACAGGAAACTAGTTGTTCCTCTTTTTGCTTTTCCCTCCCTTTCTCTTCCCGCTCGACTTCTTGGGCGTCCTGGCCTCCCCCTCATCGTCACTCCCACCAGCCCTTGTATTGCGCTGTGTGAGTACAGGGTCTGAATAGCTATGTTGAACATCCGGTTGTGAGCCAGTTGTGCGCTGAGCCTGCTGGGATGGAACCGGAACGCGGCGCGGCATGCTCATCTGCACGCTCTCCGTAGGACTGGATGCGACCTTGCGCCCGTACTGAGGCTGGGAAGCAACCGAAGAGGCAGAAGATGTAGCCAGCTGACCTGCAACCTGGTATTGGAAAGGCTCGGGCGTGAAGTGCTGATATTCGGGCGTTGGAAAGGGAACGAGTTTGGGTGCTGGTTGAACAGGAGATAGCGGAGATAGCTGCCCATGATGGCTACTTGTAGATTGACGCCGTTCGGACCGATCGTGTGCTGAGTGTCGGGAAGAGGACGAAGAAGGTCGAGCAGCAAGGACAGGACTCTCTGCAATGTAACTTACGGGTGAGCCTGGAAAAGCCCCAGGTATGTCCCTTGTGCGTGTTGGAGTTTGAGCAAGGCGTAAGCCTAGGCCCAATCCCAATCCTCGCGAATGAGATACATGACCTTCCTTGAGAGGGGGCAAGTCACTGCTCATAGAAGCGGAACGGGAACTTCTCGGTGAGCCGGAGGGGCGTCTGGGGGCGTCCCTGGCGGTTCGACCTTGATGCCCGTTGATAGGCGTAAATGTTGGCTGTCCGTTCGGCCCTGGGACTACGAATCCTGGCGGAAGTGGTTGGTTTGCCGCATCGGAAACGTTTGTGGCATTCGAAGCAGCACGAGAGCGGTTGCTGGGCTTCTTTTCTTTAGATTTGCCACCAAAAAGCGACGAACGCTTGTCCTTCTTCTTGGATCGTGAAGAACTTGGGTTGCCAGAAGAAGAAGCAGCAGTTCCTGCCGCATGAGCGGTTCCAGGTCTAGACCGAGGTGCTTGAGACGGCGCTGCAGGCCCCCTCGAACGCCACATCCTGGATTGATAGGCCTCTAGCTCTTCTGATGAAAGTTGTACGTCTGCCTCCCCAGTCGCTCTGGCGAGTCGCACCTTGTCCAGAACCCTCTGAAAGAGAAGCTCCTCGTACTCACTTACAGTCATAGTGATATCAGCACCATCATCGTAATAACCCTCGTCCTCTTGAAGGCCGTAATCATCGCCATACGCCAGCCCGTCAATGTCAGCTGTCCTCTGTTCCCAAGCTCTTATGTCCGTGTCGTTGAAATATAATGCATCTGGATTGAAATCCTGCTTGCCATTTGAAACCTTGGGAAACCCCGAATCTAACAAAACGCCGTTCTTTTCGTCATCACTGTCCAACTCCTGAAACCTATGCACCTGTTCCTCCTCCTCTAGATATTTCCCCACACTACCTGCCCCTCGTTCCCCTGGCGGTCTTCCCCATGGGGGCATAGTGTAAGGAGTTCGCGGCCGACCGGCTAGACCGCCTCCTCTGAAAAAGCTGACTCGATTGGTTTGTCGAGCATAGTGGCGTGACCAAGGATGGTGACACCAGAGGCTCCTACGAGCCAAACAAAAGTGTAGAAGGGTGAACCCAAGAAAACAAGGGGAATGGCTACGATGAACAGACCGGTGTAGAGCTGAGACGTGGTAGCGCGCCAGTTGCCAATGACAAGATCATTGCCTTGAAGCTTGCCAATACCGAACATGCCACCAACGATGAAGACGATGGCGAAGAGCAGCTGAAGATTCGAGATCAGACTGTAGATGCTGAGCATTACAAAGATGGCGGCATAGTTGCTCGAGAAGTAACTCAGGTTGTGGTTGATTCTTCCTTGAGCCTCGCCAAAATTGGCGGGTTTGGAGATGCGCTTGAAGTCGAAGAACTCGCCGATGGGTCGCAGGTTGGCAAAGCGCGAGGTGAGAGACTGGGAACCCATGCCCTCAAAGCGGCCAGAGAGGTTCATCCTCGAGGTGATGGCATCGATGGGAATGCTGATTCGCGACATGGTTGATGATGGGTTTGGGCGGTTGTAGGTGGTGGCGGTGGTGGTTGTAAGGGTTGGTAGGGTTCAAGATGGTTTGCGTGGAAATGTGTCCTTTGCGACTCAGTGGAGAACAACGGTGGTATTTGAAGTCGAGTGAGTGGTGGTGTACGGGAGCGGGTGGACAGCAGGAAGCGGGCTGTTGGGGATGACGCGCGTGTGCAAAGGAGGCTTGGGAGTGGGTGTCGTAAGTGTTCGCACGCTGAGGGCAATGAAGAAGCTCGGAGCTGGAAATTGTTTTTGGAGCGTGGTGCTCGAAATGATTTGGGAGGAAGGAGTTAGGTGGCCCCTGCCCCGGCTCCGTTGACTGACGGCAAGCACGATTGGTCCCCTTACTAAAATAGAAGTGGCTGTGCGTAGAACTGGCGAGTTTCACGTGCTGGACCCTGAGCTTTCCGCCCCAAGAGGCCACATTTTGGAGAAGGCCAAAGAGCCCGAACGAGGAGATGGAGGGAGAAACAGAGAGCGAGCGAGAGGAAGACGCGGAAGACGAGCGCGAGGGAGTGAGGGCATGCTAGTCTTCTTGTTGTGTTCAGGACGACGCCGCTGCGGTATCCCGGCAGGCGGTTGCTTGATTGGTCCACGTCGGTGTGTGTGTTCTTCCGAATCGAATGCATTGCCGGCGCAAAGTGGGCCTGGGGACGGTGTACTCACTCCCATCACCACCGGCTGCTGCCAGTCGTCCCCCCGACCTCCAGTACCACTCCTCCCTCCTCGACTAGCACACCGCATCTCCACCTCCCACCACGATGAGGTCCCCGGCGGTCTTTGCACTGCTCGTATGCCTGTTGGCCGCCTTTGCTGCTGCCTGGTCCAAGGAAGGTGCGTAATCCAATGCCCCTGCATCATCCTTCGAGCAGTCCTCGTGCAACTTTTCTTTTGGCATACATGTCCACTTTGCATGCGACTTGATGATGTGCACACATGCACTCCACACCGCCCTATCCTGCCCTTGCTGATTACCAATGCCCAATTGATAGACCACGAGATTTTCCGATTGCGCGATGAAGTCGCTAAGCACAGCGGCCCCAATGTTACCTTCTACGACTTGCTCGACGTGAAGCCCTCCGTCTCCCAAGATGCCCTCCTCAAAGCCTATCGCAAGAAGTCAAAGGAGATCCACCCCGATAGAGCCCGCCGGTCTCTTGAAGCAAAGCGTGTCCAGGAGAACAAGAAGAAAGGCATAACCGTCACGAAGCCCGCCACCAAAAAGGAAATCGATGCCTTCGTCAAGGATGCTACCGCCGCCTACCAAAGGCTCACTGTAGTCGCCAAGTTGCTCCAGGGCCCTGACCGAGACCGTTATGACCACTTCTTGCGAAACGGCTTCCCCAAATGGAGGGGTAGTGGTTATTACTACACGCGCTTCCGCCCTGGTCTCGGCTCCGTCATGTTCGGTATGTTGGTCGTCTTCGGTGGAGGCATGCACTACTTCTACCTTGTCATGACCTGGAAACGTCAGCGCGAATTTGTGGAGCGATACATCCGCCATGCTCGTAAGACTGCTTGGGGCGATGATGTTGGCATTCAAGGTATTCCTGGTATCGACACCCCTCCAGCAGCCAATGCCCAGCAGTGGGAGGAGCCCGAGGAAGAAGAGCAGCAGGAGATGCAGACTATGAACCGCAAGCAGAAGCGTGCCATGGAGAAGGAGAACAAGAAGGACAAGAAGGTTCAGGCAGTCAAGAAGGCACGAACCTCTGGCATCAGCACCCCAGTGGAGGCGGAGATCACCTCTGGCCCTCAGGGTGCTAAGAGACGTATCGTCGCTCAGAACGGCAAAGTTCTGATTGTCGATTCCGTTGGCAATGTCTTCCTCGAGGAGACGACCGCAGATGGGGTCAAGGGCGAATTTTTGCTCGACGTGAGTTTTCTCTTGATTTGCGATTGGTATGCCACGTCCACTAACAGTAATAACAGCCCAATGAGGAGCCCATGCCTACCATCTTCAACACCATGTTGTTCCGCCTCCCCAAGTTCTTGTTCAACCAATCTGTCGGCCGACTTCTCGGCAACAAGGCCGCTGTCGAAGAATCTCTCATTGAAGGATCCGATCTTCCCGAAGACGAAGCCGCTCTGCAGTCCGCGACCGCTGCTAACCTCAATGGCGAATCCAGGAAGCGCAGAGCCAAGGCCAGGGGAAAGAATGGCAGATAACTGCCCATCTACAGATTCCTTGATCATATGTTATAGGTGGTAAAAGTTATGTCCTTTGATATTTCCCAGTACGGTGCTTTATCTGTGTGGCATTGTGGTCAAGCGGGAGTTGTATTTTCACACTTGGTAGATAAAAATTATGGACAAGGAATGTAGGATTGGATCTGATTAGACCAAAAAGCAAGTCTTAGATGTTGCCCTGAACCGCACGTGTGGTTCGGTGGCTGACACTTGTAAATTCTCTATATATTGTTTGGTATATCGTTTCGAAGCAATTGCAGGGGAGAAAATGCAAGTCATCAAGAAGCCTCGCCGTCCTCGGTCTCGACGGATTTTTTATCTTGCCGTAATGTGCTCGTAGGCACCTCGCTCTGGTTCTCGCTCTCGTCTCCCGCTTTGCGGAATACAGCCTGCATCCAACAGCGGTACATTTTGAGTCGTCTCTGGCGGTTTACCAGCATTCGCCTGTCCACACCGAAGTGGACGACTTCGAACGCCGGACGGGGGGTTCTTGGTTCTTCTTTATCGATTCCCACTGCTTCTGTAGTGGTGCTGGCGTCGTTGACTGATAAATGTGCCACTTTCTCTTCTACTGTCTCGTGCTCCGCTCTTTTTTCCACCTCCGCACCCTCTTTCGTTGATTCAGGTTCAGGCTCGCGCTGAGGTTCCCGCGTCTTCCCTCCCCAGATCTCTTCCAGCTCCTCCTTCTCGAAGAAGTAGACACGCGTTCCATCACCCCTCACGTAAAAGTTCTCCTCCATATACCGTCCCTTCTTGAACCGAACCTGTGCCAAATCGCCCCTTCCGTAGTCGCGAAACAGCACTTGGCCTCCAGGCTTTAGCACCCTCCATATGTTCCGTACGGCCTGATCCCATTGCCGTGGGTTGAGCGCTGAAAAAATGAAAATCATGAGCACGACATCGACACTGCCTTCGCTCAAGCCCGGCGGCAAGCCTCCGTTCTCGGAGTCGGGAGAAGCAGCAACGTCCCATACATCAGCCTGGATGCGCTCTGGGTCGTACAGTTCGTGTCCGCGGATCAGCTCTACCGCCTTCTTTGAGAAATCGCAAGCGTGAATCTTCAGGCCCTTATTCTGGCTCTTCTGCAAGATAGGAAACGCGCTGTTCCCCGCGCCAGCACCAACCTCGAGCACCACTGCCGGAGCGGCGCCCTCGCGCGCGACCTCATCCAGCACGGGGAACTCCTGCGCCAACCACTTGCGGTTCTTGAAAAAATTGGTCTTGTTGTTTTTGTAAAAGATATTCCACCACTTCTCCGGGTTGTCGTTGAAGCGCTTGCGGTCAAAGTCGTTGACGGGATCGTTACGTTGCTTCTCGTATTGCTGTTCCGAGAATTCGCGGTATGTCGAGTCGACTTGGACGTGGTCCCACGCGTTGAACTCGAAGATATCATCCCCTTCTTCCAATAAGCGGCTGCCGAAGGCGAAGGGGTCGGTACGTTTTTGGTTGTTGGTGGGAGAGTGCGAACGGTGGGGTGCGTGACGAAGCGGGGCGATGGAGGCGGGCACGCCGTAGGCATCGGACTCGGGGAGCGGCTCGGCGGTAGGAGGGGCTGTAGATGTGGCTGTGGGCGTGGGAGATGTGGTAGAAGTAGAGCGCGCGGGATCGACGGTCACGGCGAATCGCATGTGTTCCATGCCTTTGGAGAGTTGCGACTTAGGCGTCGGTTTGGTGGCTAGAGAGTCGTTGGTTTGGGAACGTGAGTCCGCTCCCATGTCGGCTGAGGAATCCATATCGCTGAAATGCCTACGGCGTAAGAATCCTTCTGTTTTGGAATGAATATGCAAAAGTTACGAGAAGAAAGAAATGTGAAGATGTGGGGGCGGGGCTGCATCTCCTATGGCTCGGTCCATCAAAAATTATTGGTATCGATAAAGAGCCTGGCACTAAGCTCGTTTCGCTCTGACGTCCTGCCCTGTCCTGTCGTCACCTTCGAGTTCGACTTCAAGTTCTGGACAGCAGCTCCCAAGGACCCCGACCAAAACTCTCAGACCATGTTTCAAAGGTGACAATAATTCTGAAAATCTTCGCCGTCTATCCCACCACTTTCGTTTCTCCAACATCCGCAATGGCGACCCCACGAACCCTCCTCCGGCCTCTCCTCCGCGGGCCATCACCGATATCATCAATCCGCCAACAACGCCGTGCCTTCCTGCCCAATCCCTTCCAATCCGCTCTCAACCCTCTCGCGAGTAGTTCTACTACTCCGCAAACCCTCACTGCGACCCGCACCCTGCCCTACCCATCGCAACCAATCTACTCCATCGTCTCAGACGTGCAAAGCTACTCGCTCTTCCTCCCATACTGCCAATCCTCAGCTGTGACGCAGTGGTCCTCACCCGACGCAGCCTACGCCCGCCGCTGGCCATCCGAAGCCTCACTCGTCATTGGTTTTGGGAACCTTACTGAACACTTCACCTCGCGCGTCTTCTGCGTACCGGGTCGCATCGTCGAGAGTATAGGTGGAGCGACCGAGACGGATCTCCCGCGCGTGGATATCGCGCACCATCTAGACGGTGCCAGAGATGCGGAGAAGGTCGGGGCCAAGGGTGCGAGTAATGGGTTGATGACGCATTTGAAGAGTCGCTGGACGATTGAAGGCGTTGGAGAGAGGAGCACAAGGGTTAGATTGGATTTGGAGTTTGCCTTTGCAAATCCGCTCTATGCTACGTTGAGTGCCGGGGCTGCGCCCAAGGTTGCGGATATAATGATTAGAGCCTTTGAGGAGAGGGTGGGGTCCTTGTTGGAGGGAGATCTCGAGATGGCAAAGGCAGAATTGGGAGAGCTGGATGGGAGTCGAGTGAAGAAATAACTCTGGTGGATATGGGCTTGAGATGCAAAGGTGTACACTAAAACATTGTCGTTGCCATTTAAGCGGAGCGCTTGTCTGATCGAAGACTCAGCATATAGACTTTTAATGTAGGAAATAGGTCACACCTTTCTTAGCGAAAAAAAAGTGCGTGAGTACTTAAGTACTCGTCATATAATGCAATACGTAGAAGTAGATTTGCATGTCGAAGTTACTTCACCAGAGACGGTCATGACAAACAACGCTTCAAGATAATGATATAACAGTCGTTATGATTCCATGCTATGCAACGCTATGCAGTGTGATGATACGCTACGCTAAAGGTACACCAAAACTTCTCATCTAGAAGAGAGAAAGTGATCATTGTTTCGGGCCCTCAAAGTACGGTCGGAAACGAGGCTCATTCTGCAGCCCGCACTCAACGACACAGTCATAGCAGCTCATGAGTAGCTTGGGGAACTTGATCGTCCAGTACCTCAGATAGCCATCAGGAAGTGGGCCGACCTTGGCCTTTACACTCTCATCCATGTCTTCATAGTGGTTCTTCTTGTTGCGAAGTGCTCGCAGAAGATCTAACATCCGGTCACCAGTGTACTTGCGCTGCTTCCCAAGAGACTGGATGAAGGCGTGATCGAGCTTGGCGAGGAAGTTCCGTTTCTTATCGAGCACCTGGCCACTGTAATCTTCCAAAATCTCGAGATATTCCGATGGAGGATCACGCGGCTCACGCTCCCAGTGGTCCGAACAGTCACAAAGGAAGGCAAGGCGCTTTTCGGCATTCCAAAAGAAGGGATGATTCATGACTTGGGCGGCTGTTGGTCGTTCCTCAGGCCGGTTGGCAAGCATCCAGGAAATGAGATGAATGGGTTCCTCGGAATCATCGCCGAGACTGAGCTGAGCGAAACTAGCCTGTAAAGGGGATTAGAAAAAAAAAATTGATTGTGTTTGACAAAGATGATATACCTTGTTCTTCTTGATGTTATACTCGCGCATCTGAGCCCAGCCTTCATCGTCATCGAATGGGTGTGAACCATTAGTGAGGACGTAGAAGAAAACACAGCCAAGCGAGAAAATGTCCACAGCCCGCTTAACGCCTTGAGAGACGGGGTCAGTAGAGGCTGATGAATCACGCGAGTGGCCGGTAGAACTGCCCATGCCGATGTCTTTAGGCTGCAGAATGAGCTCCGGAGCCTTCCAGCCCACAGTGCCGGCATTTGCGGTTGTCCCAATGAGCGTGCTCATGTTGTCTGGTAAAGTTTTGCAGAGACCGAAGTCAGAAATCACTAAACGCGGTCCACTAGTTTGGTTGCGCTTAGGATAGGCAATTAAGATATTCTGAGGCTTGATGTCGCGATGAATGATTCGCAAGCTGTGAAGGTGATTGACACCTTCAGCTAATTGATGCAACGCTCTGGCAACATTGCCGTTGATTTCGTTGATAAGGCGCTGCTGGACGTCGGTCATATCATCGCAAGCTCGTCCATCGCGATAGAGATCAAACAAACTCGCTTGGCAGAGCTCGACAGCGATGTACAGGAAATTTTCATCCTTCTCATCGTCGAAGTACCGGATGACGTTGGAGTGCTGGTCGCTTTCGCGCAACAGCTTGACTTCCTGCTCCGCAAGCCCAAAGTATTGGGGTAACATCCGTTTCACCGCCACATCTCGGTCGTTCCATCTGCCTTCGAAGACAAAGGTGCCGCCACTCCCATTACCTAGAACCCGGTCGAAATCGATGGTCAGTTTTCCGATTTTCTTGGTGTTGGAGACGTCCTGCATGTCATTGCCGTTGGCAGTCAATTCGTCGGGGTGCAGAGAAGAGACGGGTACAAGCTGTTTAGCAGCATCTACGATTTGATCTACCTCGTCACCTTCCTTTGGCTTCTTGTTCTTGCCTTTAGCACCTCCGCGTTTCCCTCTATGGGTCTTCTTCTTCTTGACAGGGGTGGACGGTGTGGTTGCAGGGTCTTGGGAAGCTGCTTCAGTCTTTTCACTTGAAGATTGGGATGTTTCGTCAACCAGCGGTAGTGTCTCACTGCTATCGCCATTCTCAAGCGAAGGCGACTGTTCAGCGGTGGTTGTGCGGGAGAGAGAAAGATCATCGTCCTCCTCATCATCTGGTACATCAAACTTGACCTTCTTCTCTTTGGGTTCACGGGAGAGTATAGGCTCCGCCGGGGGCAAGGTTTGTTCAACAATGATTTCTTTGGCCTTTTTGGACTCGGCAGATTGCAACTCATCAGATTCATTGGCAGCCACAAAAGTTTCTGGCACCACTGTCTCGGACACTTCCTTCGACGCTTCGGAGAGCATGGGAAGTGGCTTTTGTCGCGAAAGATTTTGGTGGAATATTGACCTGAGTTTTTCGGTTATATTGGGTGTGGAAGAGGTCTTGGTATAATATCCAAGACCCGAAATGCTACAAACAATAAAAGCCAGAACAATGGTCCACAGGTGGCCGTAACTCCTCGTTTCCATGGTAGGCGGGGGATCAATAGCCGGTACCCCACTTGGTACGATCGAGTGGCTCCGAGGGGGGATTGCCGGAGCATTATTCGCGTTTTCGCTCGATATAGGGGCATCAATTGCACTGTAAGTTGGAGAGCGTTCCACTTTATGATCAACTAGATGTACGCCAACCAAACGTCGTCGTTCCGGAAAAGCATGTGGACGATCCCAAGCCAGCGGGTCAATTGGTTTGTAACATTGGGCCTTGGGTGCACCCTCGGTGACGGCGGGGTAATTGACCTCGGAAAGTGCAAACCAGCTCCCAGTATCCGTGGTATTGAGCCAGACGTTTTTGGCTCTATCCTCAAGCATTGCGGGTCCAGTTGGTTGCGGGAGTATCATGAGCGACGGCATTGCGTCATCATCGTCGCGTGCTCTTACGACATCAAAGACCCTACATACAGGATACGGCAACTTCTTCTCGAAAACGGGGCGAGACTGCCATTTGGCTCGTTTATAATCATAAGCAGCGACGTCGCCATTGAACTTGGTGTAGATGTATTGTTGATCTTTGGGGGTATGGTATTGGGATTGCAGGTCCCTGTCTCTGCTGTTGGGTACCCATTCCCTGTATCGGATGATGCTCATGAGCTCTCCGGTGTTTCTGTTGTGAATGTGGATGGTATATTCATTCTGGCCCAACTTAAGGATGCCTTTGCATTCTCGCTCCTTTGTAGAGAAGGGGTCGGATGAATGGGTGGTGCACCTATCAGGAGTACCAATGTTACTGGAGCCACCGCTTGTGCTAAACACTTTGATGGCATTGCCAGTGCGTGCGTCGACGCTAATCATGATGCTCTTCTTCTCGGCGGTGTAGACGACAGGCGGGTCATCAAAAGAGTATGGGCTCAACTCGGTGAGCTCTTTGACGGTCGTCCCCAAGCGTTTGAGTTCGGGATAGGGGCCAGGCACCAGGAAATACAGGGCGCCATTTTCGGTGGGCTCCACTATCCAGCGTCCGGAGAGATCGTCCAACTCGTTGTCGGCATTGTTGATCGTCTCGAGCATGGGCTGGTCGAGCTTGAGCTCCCAAATGTGTTCTCCGGTGTAACGGTCGCGTGCGTGTATGTGGCCATCGACAGTCGCCAAAAGAACAAAGTCCTCAACGTCCAAATCCTGAATGGAGCGCGCGCTCGGCTGGAGAGAACCCTCAGACGAGGCAGCGTTCTGGTCAGGAAGGGCTCTGACAGCGGAGGAAACCGCTGGAGCAGATGAGGCTTTGATTGCTACGGCGCGCTCGTTCTGGGCGTGGTGTTGTTCTGGGGCATTGGGCAGTCGTGCTCCGTCGGGCTTGGGCTGGCGGTGGGGGGTGACGGTGTGGACGTGATGGTCGTCTTCGCGGGGAGAGCGACCGTGTCGGAGGGACTGCTGGTGCGGTTGCTGCTGCTGAGCGGCCGCGGTAACCCAAGGGAAGACGAGGATTAGCAATAGGGCAGTGGTGGTGAGGGCCGGGCGGGCTCCAGGCGGGCGCCGGCGTTGAGGCATATTGGCAGAGGATGTCAGTCTTAGGTGCAGGTGACAGCCTTGGGCAGGCTCGACAAGGAGAGATTAAGCATGGGATGATGGAGGATGGGAGAGAGGATGGAGAGGGGAGGAGGAGGTCGGACGACGGCGGACGGCGGGCTGACAGGAAATATTAACGGGGTGGGAAAGATGGCGGGGATAGCTGAGTGCGTGGTTCCTCGATGGGTGGTCCCATCCATCCCCCAAGTCCCCCAAAGGGGCGTGCAGAGGCGACAGGGTTTCGGATTGGGTGGCAGCGGCTGTGTCCGCTTATTCTTCCCTCACTCCCTGTAACTTACTGAGCGGGTTAGTTACAGTACTCAGTCAACCAGCCGGAGGTACCTTTTTTATGGTATCTCTATATTTTTTCGTGGAGAATCTACATAGGGTACCTACCTAGGTAAGTACGATATACACTGTTACATCCCTCACATCTGTCTAGCCTATCTTTACAATGCCACCGCCATCAACCACGCCAACAATAAATCTCGTACAGACAAAGAGCAAGGACGTGATATCGACGGGATGAGGTGTGTGAAGAATTCATTATACAAACTTTGGCCAGGGAGGGGGCATTCACCAGGTCCATGGCGAGGGACGGTTGGTTGTCAGTACCGCAGCATGGATGGATACATGGGTTTCTTACTCAGTTAGATACTCTACACACTGGTTAGTTACTGACTGTGTGCCGAAGGGACCGCGCCGCTTACGCAAAGGGCTAGCTACTCAAGCGATGCCCACCTTGCATGGCCTCGCCCACTCACGTCGCCGTGGTGCGTCGGGCCTTGCATGAGGATGAGTGAGATGGTGACGACGGGCGCAAGAGCAGAAAAGCGCCATCGCAGCCGGGCCTTGGTGGGAATCCAGTCGGTGGCCATCATCCCTTATTGCAATGACGACAGATGCAATCAAGTCCGTATGTGTCGATACGGCAGGCTGGAATGCGTCAACCGCCTGTTTGCACCACGTATCCCCAACCGGCTGTGGGAGGGAGTGAGAGACAGAAAAACGACCAAAAAATCCTCTCGAGTTCCACCTATCGGCTCTTTTGGACTGCATGCAACCCCCGGGACGTCTTCAGTGTCTCCGAGACTGGCCTCAGCAACCAAGCGAGTACAGTACAGTATTACATCTGACTGAGTACGCACACAGGCAGCCAGATGAAACGCCAACAGGGCAAAAGGCCAACACTAGGCGCAAATCCACCCTGAAACCGCTCGCTGTCTGGCCTCGGCCTGCACCAAACTAACTCCCTCCTACCCCGGCCAGCGCCTATCCCATCACTACCTGCACATGCATATTGCAGAACATCGTAGTCAGTGCTGACATGCCATGCCCCACAGTCTCACTCATGTTCGTTTTCTTCTTTCGTCTCTTCTTCTTCTTCTTCTTCTTCTTCTTGAGCACTTTTCCTCTCGTCTCGTGTGTTGCTACCTCAAGTGCTAATGCGTCCTTGCGGCCATTTGGCCGCATACTCATGTGATTCCCTACCATCTATTATAAAATCATCACAGGGGAGAGAGAGCCCACCCAAGGACAGGGTGTCAACTGCTCTTTCTACTTCAATATCCTGTTAAATAGCATCTTGACATGGTTTTAAAATGCTGTCAATAGGATCTAGACATAGCATCAAGCCTTGAATGAGTATTGATAGCTGATCCTAGGGTGGGCCCGCCCTTGTAATGATCATTGTACATGTAGAACCAGTTTTGCAGCACCCTCGCACGACCGGTACTGCATCCTCCGTTGATCTTGTGTATACTGAAACCGCGGTACCTGCCTACCAAGCACCACAACAAGGTTACTGTACCTGTCGGTGCATGTACACCTACATGATCAACCAAGTACACACATGTACATATGTACCCATGTTGCACTCCATCGGATGATACAATCCGGACTCGAACCTGCATCAAAGACGTGATAGGGGGACAAACTCTTCTTTGGAGCTTTGGAGGGGTAACTTCAACAGAGTTTGGGCCCCATGCCCTACTAGACGCATATTTCCCCTTTTGCCATGGGATTATTTTGCTTGTTTCACGTCAATTCATCTGCTCCTGGTACCTTTGCTTCACTGCCAATGCCAATATCATCGTGACTCAAAATGCTTTTGCCCAGAGTTTCCGTTGCTGTATCCACATGTCGTATCCTCGACGTCTCACTCTATGCAACAATGTCACAGTGTATCATGGCACCATTCAATTAGGACAATATATGTTGTTTACCAACTATCATCTCTAGTTTGTTCGTGCAGCAACCCATACATTACGCAATGCATCTGGTTATCTTGTGCACATGATTTTGTTATCGAGTGCACAAGTCCCATTACTTTTGTCGTCTGCTGCTTTTCTTTTGTTCACCATCGAATGCCATCACCATTTACATCCGTTCCCGCCTCCTCGGGGCGCTGCGGATGATGTTGTCTACGCGAAGCAATAACTGTGCACTGTTAGCGTCTTTGCATTTGACTCAAAAGAAACCATGTAGACGTACCTCAGCCGCCTCTGAAGCAGACGAAACAACCGCCTTCTTCAACTTGTAGCTCTCGATAACACCCAACTCCCGCATGTCAGCGATGCCTCCGCCCGGCGTCAGCAGGTCAAGACCTGAGCTCGTTAATCCAGAGTAGACGGACTTTCGCAGTCTAGTGACGAGGTCGCTCGAGTCCAGACCGGCGTTGTCTGCAAGAATGGTGGGCAATTGCTGTAGAGCTTTAGCAAAAGACTCGACCGCGATAGCCTTCTTGCCATCGACGTTCTGTGCCGCCTCGGCCACGGCCTTGGCCATGACCATCTCTGCACATCCACCACCAAGAGTCATCTTGGGCTCCTTGACTGTCTGGGACAGGACAGCCAAAGCATCGTGGAGCGAACGTTCAGCTTCGTCAAGAAGCTGCTCAGTCGCACCGCGGAGGACGACGGTACACGCCCTTCCAGCTGCAACACCCGAAAATCTAATCAAAGCATCCTCTCCGATGATGACCTCTTCAATCAGATCGCAGTGTCCAAGTTTAACGTTCTCCGGGTGGTCGAAAGTAGAGGTAATCTCTCCTCCGGTGACCAACGCTAACCGTTCAACTCCATCGAAATCGGCATGCTCGATGGAGCTAATGCCTGAATCCGCAAACAGCTGCTCGGGCCAGTTGTAGATCAATTGTCGGTTAACGAAGCAGTTGATACCGTGTGCCTTGATGCGCTCGACCTTGGCCTTCATCTTTTCCCGCTCTGCCTTCTCGAGCTCTGCAAGCTTTCCGGTCGAGTCGACCTTCACCCTTGCGCCGAATATCTTGATCTTATCCGTGTCCATAGCTGTGTTCGCAACAAGGATTTTGGCGTTCTCTATCCGCTTGGGCTGATTGACACCAAACTTCTTGTCGAGAATGAAACCGTCATCCAGATATGAGTCCTTCAGTTTGCCTCCTGCTTTCTTGATGATTTGAATGTGCGTGAGGTCGGTAGAGCCCTTCATTCGCAGAACTGCATCCACAGCAAGCTTCGCGAATTGTGTCCGGTCCTGGCTAAGTACCTTGGAGCTCAGCGTCGTCCGCGCAATAGCCTCGAGGCCTTGTCTAAAAGCCTTCTCGTCACCACTGTTATCGACCGCCGTCTTCGCCAGAGCTTGTAGGGCAGCTTGACTTGCTATCCGGTAGCCCTCGATGACCGTTTGTGGGTGGATCTTCTGTTCGACGAGTTTCTCTGCTTCTCGGAGGAGCTCTGCGGCTAGTACAGTGACCGATGTTGTGCCATCACCGACCTCGTCATCCTGTACTTTCGAAATGTTGACCAAGACCTTTGCGGCGGCGTTGTCGAGGGCGATGGCTTTGAGAATAGTAGCTCCGTCGTTGGTGACCATGATCTCGCCGGTCGAGCTTGAGGTGACAATGTTAGCCTGGGGAGCAGTGTGGTATGTATGGAACTTACGCCGACTGTAATATCTTGTCCATTCCCTTGGGCCCCAGAGTGCTCTTCACAAGGTCGCCAACAGCGATAGCACCCACGAAGGCCGACAGGCGCGCGTTTTCTCCTCTCTCTGTTTGATGATTAATTAGTTATGTTTGTAGGAGAAGAAGGTGTAGGTGTTTGTAGGATGAGAAGGTGTAGGTGTTTGTGCAATTTACGGATCAGTCCGCTGGTCCCTCAAAGACGACAGAGGAGAAGTAGCTCAAAGGAAAAACACTTACCTTCGCTCACATCCTCAGCAAATATTTGGGTTGGGTTTTGGGAAGACATGTTGTGATTAAGGACGGGGTGGGGGAGGCGGAGGCGGGGAGTTTAGAAGCACGGTGGTGCCTGTATTTTTTTGAACATTGGAGTTGCACGCGACCAGCCAATCAGCGCTCAGGTCCGAGTTAAGCTAAGAGCTGCATCACGTTTTACGGGCGCTGCCTGGCTGGAGCTCCATTCACATTTAATCTCAACAATCCACACATTTGACACCAGCACGACTCCCGATACCTTTAGCTGAACCTCCATTGCGTCCGCACTCTCTATATCTACTCGAATCGGAGGAGAACAACCAAAGAGGCGATTATCATGACGAAGCGGCAGGCGTTCGAACCATTGGAGGACGCTATAGATGCGCCATCACCCGCTTCCAAACGAGCGCGCGTCGAGGATGAGCCCTTGTCAGGATCCGAACCCGAGAATGGCGTACCTACAAATGGCAGGGCTACCTCATTCCAAGTAGATGCGCCAGACACAGAAACTCAGGACGACAGCGAGGATGAATCTGCAATCGCAGCGCCCACACGACAGAAGGCACCCGAAGCCGCTTATACCGATCTCTACCTTGACACAATAGACCGCAAAGTTTTGGATTTCGACTTCGAGAAGCTGTGCTCCATAACGCTATCGAACATCAACGTATACGCATGTCTTGTTTGCGGCAAGTATTTCCAGGGACGTGGACCCAAGTCACAAGCCTACTTCCACGCACTGGACGAAAACCATCATGTGTACATCAACATGGAAACAAAAAAGGTCTATGTTCTCCCAGAAGGTTACGAGGTCTCGTCCAAGTCGCTGGATGACATACGCTTTGTAGTGGATCCACGAATGACCAAGACGGAAGTCGCGCGTTTGGACAAGGAACCAAAGGTGTCTTGGGACTTGACAAATAAGGAATATGTACCTGGTTTCGTAGGCATGAACAATATCAAGGCAAACGATTACTTCAACGTAGTAGTCCAAGCTTTGTCGCATGTCGTCCCGCTGCGCAATTACTTCATGCTCGAAGACTTGTCGAGCCGACCGCAGTTGGCCCAACGATTCAGTACACTGGTCCGCAAGATCTGGAATCCCCGGGCTTTCAAAAGCCATGTATCACCACATGAACTCTTGCAAGAAATTGCCCTCCGGTCGAGCAAACGATACTCGTTGTCTGAGCAATCCGATCCGGTGGAGTTCTTGTCGTGGTTTCTCAATCATTTGCATTTGGCTGTTGGGGGATCAGCTACAAAGCCGGGCTCCAGTATCGTTCACAAAGTCTTCCAGGGTACCCTTAAAATTGAATCGCAGGAGATAACGGCGCGTGCAGACGCAGATGATCGCCTACGCTTTGAAGATGCCGCCGTCAATACGAAGGTCTCCAAATTCCTGGTCCTCACACTCGACCTGCCTGCGGCACCTCTCTTCCAGGATGCCATCAAGGAGAACGCCATTCCCCAAGTTCCGCTCATCAACATCTTGAGCAAATACAATGGCATCCAACCCCAAGAGAAGATGAGAGATCGTGTCCGATATCGTCTCCTTCATCCACTTCCCCCGTGCCTTCTATTTAACATCAAGCGATTCAGCAAAAACAAATTTGTGTCAGAACGAAACCCCACAATTGTCATGTTTCCCGTGACGTCTTTAGACATGTCTCCGTACGTTGAGCCCAACCCGAAACTGTATCCGCCGGGAGAGCCTATATGGTACGATTTGGTGGCCAATGTCACCCATGAGGCTGTGAAACAAAAGGACGATAGCGTTGAGGGGGAGCAAGAGAGAAAAGTCTGGAGAGTACAACTCAAGGATCGCAGTCGGAATGAGTGGTATGGTATCCAAGATCTGTTTGTGGAAAAAGAAAGGGCGGAGACGATCTTCTTGAAGGAAAGCTATCTTCAGGTCTGGGAGAGGCGGAAAGGACAGCCTGGTGTTGCAGCCACTTCGAATGGGAAGGGAAAGGGGAGAGCATAATACGCATTCGGTCGTTACTCGGTACGAAGACAGTTCTTGGCTTTCAAAAAGTGAGATCGATATTCTATGGTTGGTTGATGGCTATTTGCAGTGCGCTCGGCCTGAAACCCCAAAGCATATCAATAATCAGATAGTGTTTGGTTATAAAAAGTTGTAGGAAAATGATTTTGGTGTTTTCGCGTCGTGGTTCATCCTCGTCATATCAGCTGCAGAATAGCCTCGGCTCGGCTATATCGTGAAGCTGCCATCCCTACTTACATATGTACATCATCATCGCTCGATTCATATAACTGCAGCACGCTGTTAACAACACCGAGCATTACTCCTCCATACAAATCTATCAAAACTACTCGGAACTAGCAGGCACAATGTCCAAGCCCACAATCACTCTTTATGTAGATATCGTGAGTCCATTCGCATGGATTGCTTTCCATGTATTGCAGGTACGGTCATCGCTATTATCAGCACCCCGTCTACAAGTATAAGATGGTACTAACTGCGTCCTAGAATTCTCCAGTCTTTAAAGGGTGTGAAGTCACCTATATACCGATCTTCCTAGGAGGGCTGATGCATGCGTGTGGAAACACTCCACCAGTTCAAGTCAAGAGTAAGCCTTGAGCAGCGTAATCATTCTATCTCAGTCTCGCATTGCATCGCTGCCATAATTATCAGCCCCATGCCTCACACTCACTTGGCTAACCTATTCCGCTTCATCTGTAGACAAGGACAAATGGATCAACGCCGAGCGTCTCCGATGGGCGAAGTACTTCAACGTCCCCGTCTCTACAACCTCACCCCCAAACTTCCCTATCAACACCCTTCCCGTTCAGCGCGCGCTCACCGCCATCTCGCTCTCGCACCCACAGTCCCTCGGCAGTGCGCTCGCTCTCGTCTGGCAGAATTTCTGGGTTCACTGTACGTATATCCTGAATTCTAAGTAATCTCGAAACCATGATGACCCATTAACGCTTTTCTGGACGCTTTTCACTAATCGTATACCTCCCATACAGACAATGAGCCCACAAAGCCCGAGAATCTGTTCGCCATTGTGCAGACAATCTTGGGGTCTGAGGAGGAAGCGAAGAAGGTGCTCGAAGCCACTCGTGGGGATGTGGTAAAGAAGACATTGGCGGCCAACACGGATAGAGCGTTCAAAGAGGGAGCTTTCGGATTGCCGTGGTTCGTTGGTAAGTTCAACTGTTTCCGAGATGAAGGTGGACTACACAATTCTGACGCTGCTTTGTAGCAACGAATAGCAAGGGCGAGACAGAGGGCTTTTGGGGCGTCGATCATATCGGACAGATGGTGGATCATTTGGGGTTGGAGAGACCAGATGGCAAGGTTTGGAAAGCTTTGTTGTGAGTGTGGGAAGGGCTGGTTTGACAATGCAACGAATTTGCTAGTCGAACGTCGCACTTGGTGTAGTTAGATATGGTGAGTGATTTGACAGCTATCATTAAGTCATGAGTATGACAAATTCTATATGGTAGATGGGAAGTTTCATGGCAAACATCAAAACTCTACTCAGTTATGAGACAACGTCTACATGAATAGTATCTATAGTCTTCCAAGCTAGTTTCTGTTAGATAATGTCGAGAGATATAAAAGATAGTACATTGCAGCTAGCATTGAAGAACGGCACGCCAACTGAGGTCATGTAACGCCTCATAATGAGTCACGTCCGATTAACACGACCTTCTTTTTCCTATGAAGCTGGCCGATTGTATATCACTCATTATATCATCCTCACTTCGCGAACAAGAAAGTGCCCTGAGGCCCATTCGGTGCGACAGCCAGCATCTTTGCTCCTTCAACCTCCTTCTTTTTAACAGGTTTCTCGCTTCTGACATAACATTCTCCAACCGCATGTCCCTCCTCACAAACAACCTTCCACTTCCCCGTGCCCATCTCAGGAGGCGCCTTCCTCACACCTCTTCCCCCACCACCGACAATCAAGTTTCCAGGTCGATAGTTTGGATCGGCTTCCATGCGTTTGATGACGCTACGGTGAATTATAGCGTCCTCGGGGATATCACGGACCTCCCCTTTAGGAAGCGGCCACACGATGGCTTTCCAGGACCCATCATCTTGTAGATCCATGCGGCGGAAGGGAAGGTATTCCATGATGTTCCAGGATAGTACTGAGAGAGCAGGAACGCCGTTGCGTAATTGGAGGACATCGTGAATCCTGCCCTGCGTTGCCGCGGTATGGAGATGTGTGTGGAACTTGGAATGGGCGTGGAAATGGTGGTGAGAAGACGAGGGTGGCTGGGGAAATTGGTAGTCATTCCCCATCGGTGGGGATCGCAGTGACTTTTCTGGATCGGCGGTTTGGGGTCGCGTTCTAGGGGACAGAGGGGGTTGAGATACAGCTGGTGGACTAGCAGGATCGACCTCAATAGTCGGAATGGGAATGGATGGTACATTCTCGTGGGCTGTTGAAAGATCTGGTTCAGGGTCGGAGGCGGGTGTACAATTCAGGGCGTGCACTTTGATCTCATCAAACTGAAGGCCAGCACGTTGGGCTTCTTGAACCATCCATACATGTTTGGTTCGTCAGCTTTCACATCATGTTGGTAGTGGGAGAAAGTACGTACTAGAGGCACATGTGATAGTGCTACATCTTCACCCGAGTCTAATGGCCATCCTCCTCCAATGTCCTGGGATTTATCAGACGGGACAAGTGCCATTTGGGAGTAGATAACTTACCGCGTGACATCCAGGAAACCACACCTCCTTGATGTCTTGAGGTCCTTCATCGTCCGTATCATCGGCTCGAATGTTCCGAAGCGCATCCAACGAAAGATTTGATACTGAAGAAGCAGGCGAGTAATGTCCTGATCTCTCAGAGTAACCAGGGCTCCGACTGCGTACTCCAGCCGTCTCTGAGCGGCTGCGATAGCGTTCAGGAACTGCCAATGTATCCCTTCGACCGCTAGGTATAGTAGGGTTACGACCCCTATGTTGTTCTGTGCTTTCCTCGGTCTGTTGGTGATGGCCATTGATCGAATGCCGCATGTGCAGGTGTTTTCGTCGATGTTTGTACTGGTTAGATTGCTTCGGCTTGGGACCGGAAATCAGATCTTGTCTGAATTTCGCTCGACGCTCGTCAATGGAGACAGCGTGTCGGATAACCTTAGCAGAGCTTCGTGCGGTGTATGGGAACTTGCCTGTAATAATGGGCAGTTAGAAAGAGTTGAGCAACCGCCGATACCCGAGAACACTCTCAGATTTAAAATCCATCTGATCTTCCAAGAACACTGGTGATCTTCCAGATCAGGGGTACGCATTTTGGGTACGAGAGACTTACTGCGCTGCATCCACGCACTCTCAAACCTCGGGACACTGTTAACAGTGTCGAACAAACCCAGGAACCGAATGGCTGCCACTGGACGACTGAATGTCTCCCGAAAGGCGCACATGAACTCCAGAAGAGACTTCTTTTCCTGTTTCTCATCTGAATTTCGCTCCTGCCGACACTGCCAGCGTTGAAATGTTTTCCAAGCGAAATGACACATTTCTTCATTACCTGCCTACAACATTCATCGTTAGTCTGATGGACGAGTTGTGGAGAGACAATGTTTACTGAAAGCAGCCCGACATGGTCCAGCATCTCCGCGAGAAATCGAGCAGTGTATGCGCCTCTCGAAAACCCGAAAAAGTAAATTTCGTCTCCTGCATTGTAGTATCGCATGAGAAACCGATAGCCGCCCATTACATGTTCATCGAAGGACGTTCCTGGCGGTGTGTCAGTAATTCGTAGACTGAGTGATATCTTGCTTCATGTACTAACCTACAGCAGAGTCCTTCGCTTTCTTATACCACGATTTGATCCGATCGAGCCTACTGCCTTGAGATCCCGCGCTCATAGAGCTTGCAGTTACATAGGTTCCAATCTGTGTCACTTAGAAAGAACTCACGAATAGCTAAAAGGAACGGTTATGGCTTACCCCAGGCTGGTAGTAGTGGAACTGGTCGTCTTCATTACGGTCAAGCATACGATATATTTTCAAGATATTAGAATCGGAATCGGTGCCAGAAAATTTGTTCCCCGTGCCATCGAAACACAGGATAAACTTCTTTTTCCGGCGGGAGATCTGTGTATCAATGGCATTGGTAGAAAGTTTTGAATTCTCGCGGAAGGAGTTCAGTTGTTCCTGCAGTGGGACAGCTGAATGGGATTCAACCCCATGGGATTCCATATTGAAAGAAAATAGGGTGATCAGACCTTTTCCGCAACCAAGTCAAAGGATGGATGAAATTCAGCGCATCTCCTTCGTGTCGCGGGGATGGGAAAAGGCTGGGTTTCTATGAATACGCAAGCCTATGTGATCGACCTTTTCTAGTTCCCGGATAGGCGATACCGATAATTCCAAGATATGCTGTGGTTGCAAAGGCCCGTAGGCTTTGGCTGCCCACCTCTTCTACTGGGACCGACACATGAGGACACGCCATCATCTTTTTGGACGAGTACTCGAACTGGCATTGGCTCGGAGAAAGCAATCTACACTGAGCCAGCCACTGATCATCAATCATTGCTGTTCAAGGTAAATATACGCGAAGTCCAGATCTCTTTGGCGAATTGAGTACATTGCCGGCCCCTACCTAGTCTACAATAGGCGATTCAAACTATAATGTCGATGTCGATGCACAGAAATGTCATAAAGCAAACCTTGTGGCGTTCCTTCCCACCGCCGAGCTCTGGGTTGAACTGCGGTTGGCAGATGCTGTCCGCTGCTTGGACAGTACAATTGGTGAACCTTGAATAACCCGTCATTTCGCTCTAGAGCATGTGATAGTTTGTCAATACTGCAGTATCACACCATGAAGGTAAGACAGATAGGAATATTGTGAACCAGTCATGAACTGAGAAAAGGAGTCGGCGATCGACATTGGCAATGCCCAAGCTCCGGCCCGCTCCGCGTACATGTACGCGAATGTCGAGAGTGACGAAATAAAACATGTACGACCCGACTAGGTAAGCTTCGGATTTGATGTTTCTATGAGTGTAGCAGTATGCCCTCCGTGAGTGGACGGATTTCTTGGAAGAGGCGCAAATCCGTAGACCGAGCTACCAAACAGTTGAACTACCGCGAAGGTCAAAATGTCCAGTGGTATCTACACTTGATGGCCGAATTACTTGAAAGACCAGCGAAAGCGGCGCGCAGATAGCAGGTATTCATCACACATATCGCTCGCAGCATACACAAGCCAGTGTATTTCCCAAGGCCTGTAGGAGTTCCTGCAAGCATGTCATCTCGCATATACCCACGTGTACGACTGTAATTTGTTATTGTTCCTCTCATTGTTTGCTACCAACACTTAGAAGTCCTGTGGACAGTAGAATCGTAAGCATTGTTGGATCAGACCAACTCCAATGGGGTTGGTATTAGTGTCATGATATGTTATTCATACAGCTCGATCGCTTGACAGACTTGGCTGTGGTTTTGAGTCCGTAGTGCAAGTGCTCCTCCGGTCTCCCTTCTCTAGTCCTTTTTCAGTGACGTGTATGTCTCCTGTATGCCGTCCTTTGTCAGAATCATCATCTGCAAGCCATCGCCGACCTCGATATGCCGCTCAACCGCGCTGGTGAACGCATCCCGCACCAAGTCCTCCACATGACCACGTGACAAGGGTGTCGCCTCCTTCGTCTTCAAGTTGTGTCCCGTGCCACTGCCAGGCATATATTGGTTCTTGAAGTTGACCTGGTTGTCCAAGAAAGGCATGATGAGCGACGATGCTGCACCAGCCGCCCTACACTGTTCCCTCTCGTAGCTCCCCACAGGGTCGTAGGAGTATAATGCGCCCTTGCCCTCCTCATCCAAACCTCCGAGAATGGCGTGTACGTAGTATGGGAAGAATCGTTTGTTATATAGGATGTGGCTCAATCGTTGAGCGCAAGCGGTCACCGTCATTGGCTTTCCGTGCTGATACTTGTACATCTTTACGATGGTATCCAAGCGCTCCTTCAACGCATCGCCATCAGCAGCGAACCCGACGACCGATAACACTATCCGTGCACCTTTGTTGTCTGGACCCTCGCCGCCAATCTTGAAGAGCTTTGGTGCGTACCGTGTGTTGATGTTGTAGCCGCTAGTTGATCGAGTGTCGCCCGCGAGGATGGTGAAGTCCGCACCGGAGATACCAAGTGTTGAGCCGCCATTATCAGTATATCTACAGAATATTAATATCGATTGAGTGGCTAGAGACGGGATTCATACGGGTAGAAGCCATGCTGTCGTTCGCCTGACGGAACAGCTGTGGGGGTTTGGGTGAACGAATAGCCGGGTCCGCCTTGCGGAGGTGCGCCACTGAAGATTGCAGCCATCTTGAATATTTCAGGAAGCTGTGAGATTCGGAGTTTGAGTTCGAGATCGGTTTGTATGGGTTTCGAGAGAAGAGAGACTGTTTAGAGGTACGTCGTCGCTGACGACGAGAGCTTGACGCGGACCTAAGCTGCCTGTAGGCTTGGCATTAGCTGAGCTATCTTTCACGTGATCTCCATCCCCACCACATGCACTCAAGTGCTGGATTAGTTATCGAAGTAAGATCGGGTAACACGCAACTGTATGTAATGTGTAAGTAGTCACCGAGAGGGAAGTAATGGACGAGAGTGAGACACCGAACCCACATCCTGATTAAAGCATGACGCATTGTTGCATGCAAAATTCGGCTCATATATAGGTATGTAGGTATCTACAATGTACATAGGCATGCATTTGAAGACTCGCTGATCCATAGCCAGTAGACAGTTGGAACTTGTTATCAAGCATGCACACGAATCTGGGCCACTGATCGATATGAAACGATTCGTAAGAGATAGTATGAAATTCCCGATGATTGTCCCCTTCATGCGCAAATGTTCGGTCAATAAATATTATGCGCAGCTGACATATATTGTGTGCCAGCTACTCAAACTTGCGCTGCCTTCAATCCACACCCTTTCTCTTCCTGGAATTCTGGGTACCTTCTTGGGCAGCTCTGACAGACAGCGTGCTTTTGGTATCAGCTGAGCCGGACTTTGCCGGGGCGAACGCTGGTGGGCCGCGAGGAGCATTCCCTCTCATCTTCTTCTGTGTTGCATTCAGTTCATCGCCATAGGCCCATACAGGCCATATTGCCGGAACGCCGACTTCATCAGGCAACACGGAATTGTATTGGTCAGATTCTTCGATTCCGGCAAAACTGTTAAGCTTCTGAAGATGATTGGGATCCCGAAGTACAGAGGACGTCTCCAATCTACTGTTGAAGTGCTGTCCCTTCTTCTTCAATTCGAGGAACTGCGTGAACTTTTTCGTAGCCTTTTGTGGTGGTGATCCTGGAGGGGATGGTGGTATGTTCCAATTGGGGATAACAGGTAGAGTCAGGTTTTGAATAGTCAGACGACTTGAAGTATATGGAGAACCAGGGGGAGCATCTTCAACTGTATCATCCTGATCCTGATCCTGTGGTATTGAAGGTCCTTGTGAAGGACCATCGATTGAATCTGGGAGCGACGTGTTGGTTTCGGGCGCGGACGGATTTGTTGTCACGGGCGCATTTGTTGCAGGAGTAGATTTAGGCAACTTGATATTAGTAGCTATCGCGTCCTCATGGGGCGCATTTACGTGACCTACCTCAAATTGCTTTGGTAGGACCGGCTCCTCTTCGTCGCTGCTTTCGTAGTTTATTCCGAGCATGTTTGAAAAGTTGGGATTGATCGACGGCCAGTTTGCGACGAGGCAAAGGAATTGGACTACCTACTAGATGGGAGCTTGGGCCATCTGCGGTGTCGTCGCCGCCAAGACAGGCACCCGCAGCTGCGCGTACTCTCCAACCTCCACCTACCGCTGCACATCCGAACCCCACTGCCAGCTTCAAAACATCCCTTTTTCTCTCTATAACTTTGTGAAAGACACAATCAAACACTATGAACCACCTTCCGCAAGCTTGGGGCCGTGTAAGTTCGCTCTCTCGTTGTGTGCTGGAATATGGCTGACTATCATGTAGCCCAGAGACGACGTATACGGAGCCTACGACAACTCTCACTTCCAGACCGCTGGGCCAAATCAACACACACAAAGTCCGATTGTTACTGGTACCTCTGTTGTTGCAGCCAAGTTCAAGGACGGCGTGGTCATTGCATCAGATAACTTGGGTAGGACATGAAGCGGGAGCATTTGAACTTAGCATGGCGGGCTGACGATGAATTGCAGCATCATATGGCTCCCTCGCTCGATTCACCGATGTTAAGCGTCTCCGGAAATTCAACGAGAATGTAGTGGTTGGCTTTGGTGGCGACGTTTCAGACATGCAATATCTCGACCGTCTACTCAACTCACTCGATATCCGTGAGAACTACGCCTCCGCCGACGACCCCCTCAATGCGAAGAATCTACACACATACCTCGCCAAAGTCATGTACAAGCGACGATCCGACTTCAACCCGCTGTGGAATCACCTCTTGATTGCGGGTTTAGACGGGGAGGCAAAGCCATTCCTTGCAAGCGCCGATCTTCTCGGTACAACTTTCTCATCACCCACACTTGCCACCGGATTCGGCGCACATCTGGCACAACCGATAATGAGGAGGACTATTCCAGATGAAGCGTCGGTTGAGAAAGTGAGCAAGGACGAGGCTGTGAAGTTGGTCAAGGAGTGCATGAAGGTGCTTTTCTACAGGGATGCTCGGAGTATGGACAAATACTCAATTGCTGTCATCACGAAGGAAGGTGTCGAGTTGAGTGAGGACGAGAAGCTCGAGAACCAGAGCTGGGCATTCGCAGAGCAAATTAGGGGCTATGGTACGCAGACTGCGTAAATACTCTACAACCATAGAATCCTGGAAGGTTTACACCAAGTTTAACCCTACATCCCCATGGCGGGATTGGCAGGCTGAATGATAGACATGACTGTATCAACACAACCTGTTAATGAAAGCTTGAATCGTGCTCCAACTGTCCACTCCATCCCTCGAATAGCTGAATGACCACCATGTGAGGAATACTCACCACAAAGTATTTTGTTGTGCAGGGTTGGGATTAAAAGTAGATAATGTCACAAGACATTGTAGAGTAATGTATCCAGGCGTGCCTCGCCATAACGAACTCATTACTTGCTTGTCGTTCGACGTAATCATGGCATGTTTAACACGGCACGAACGCTTTGAATACTGAAACACAGTGAAGTGTGTCGGAAAGGCCTAGGCAGGAACAGAGAACTCGTCACTACAATGTAAGCAAGCTCGAGAGCCCAATTAGCTGCCAAATGTGATTTGCAGCAACTCTCCATGTATATACGATTTAATCATCCGATTAGAGTAACTAAAATTTCGCCTTTTGGCAAAAAATCTGATAATGCACTGTCATATGTTAGGGTGCGTCACACCGATTATGCTGAGTCGCAAAAAAGTGATGGAACTTGCATTTGACAACCACTGGTTTTGAGCCTGACGCTCCTTGTCATGTTAAAAATGCAGTGTGATCGATGGCTCTCGGGAATTGCCTAATTAGGTAGGTTGGGAAATCGTCTCAAGGTCGATAGGTCTGGTATGTATGTAGTCTTCTGGATCTGAGTAAAGGTGTATAGTTTTGGATAGTATTCCAGCACCATCGCACGGGAAACTGATCTATAAATCTCTTTTTTACAAAGATATTGCTAAACTGCCTGGTCTCGGGAGTTTGCTGAGGGTATCATACACCTACACGACGCTGTCTATACTCGATCCATCCTCGAACGATACTGAACGCTCATGCCCTATGACCCCGGCGCAACGACACCAATCTCCACCAGTTCCACCTCCAAACTCTCCATATCCACCAGGACAACCTGTCCGGTCTCCTTGAACTTGGGCACTGAGATGAGAAGCACCTTCTCGCCTGCTGGGCCTTCCACCACCTTTCTATCAAACTTGTTCATATTCCCTGCAAAGTAAACATGCGGACATACTTTCAAGAGCAAAGGATCGTCTTCTTGGAACGGGTAGCAGGACAGCGTATCTGGCGCTGTGGGCGCTATACACCGCCATCGCAGCATCATCTCCATAGCTTCTAGGGGGTCCACGTCATCCACATAGCGAAGAAGATCTTCCACGGTTTGGCCACTAGCGCCCAGTATGCGCCATCCTTCTATATAACCATCCCAAGGGTTTGTCACTGCATCGAAGCCCTCAAGGGTGTCTTTGGATTGTGAAGGTGGAATCACGTAAGCTCTGCTTTGGGGAAACAGCGCAGGATGAAGGGGTTGTTGAGGGAGGGCTACGTTGGCGGGGTCGGTGTTTCCAGGTAATATCGTTATTGGGATAGTCGGGAGAATTTGCGAGAGGAATGCATCGAGTTTCTCTGCAGGCGATGCGTTGTACGAGGATGCGTCGTATCCGTAGTTCTTCTTCTGGCTTTTTTTGGCGGCGAAATCTTCGCGCGAGAGAATTGGCGAAGAATGGGATAGCGAGTTACCGGCAATCACTAAGCGATTGAGTTGTAGGGCTTCGGCTTGATCTTGAGGACCTAAGGCCTCGCCCGTTAGATATTCCACAAGAAGATCCAAGGTAAGATCGTCGTCTTCTGTCCCTGTGATGCCCAACCCCGACACGATCGCCATCTTACTGGCCTTGCTTTTGGGCTTTTTTGGGTTGGGATTTTCACCATCCCACCGTTCTGGTTGCTTGGGTAGATCTGCGTAGGTCGTTGCAACAACCTGGAAAGATCCGTCTGCCTGTTCGGTCCCAAGTGCGGCAAGAATACAACCCGTCACATAATGCGAGCTCACTGTCTCGCCTGTGATTCGGAGACGTCCAGACTCGTCTTCAAGCATCATATCGTCTTGGCCCGAGGGGTTCACGTAAGTCTCGCGTGGTGGAGGAGCAGCTATCCAGTGCTATTCTTGGTCAGTTTTCTCCCAGTTTTGGGTATGATCATGCACACCTCTTTCGATATATCGTCCAGCACGTTGGGTTTCAGGCTCATTTCCATGTATACTGTGCCCACCACCCAGCAAAGCTCCCCTTGCCTAACATCTAGCACTCGTTCGACATATTTCGCCTTCTCACCACCTAACTTGTTCTCATGTCAGCCTGCTTGTCTGTCATAATAGACCCTACATTAGGTAGTTGTTGTGTGTCTCGGCTTCCCTACCTCGAAGTCGTCCCAAGCCTCTGCTGCTTTCTGTTTCACGGCATTCTTCAATTGTGCTAGCCGAACAAAGTACATGTCGGCATATTGTTGTGAGTACTGTTTCTCGGTACCCTTGGGCAGCTCGAACGTGTGGAGGGGTTTGTATGCGGAGGCATTTCGCGGGGATGTGTTGGTGGGGGCATCGCTGTGGAATCATTAGGAAGACTCGCATTGAACAGCGAATAAGTGAAACTTACAAGGGTTCGCCTTTCAAGAGACTGATGTCTGTCAAAGCCATTCTCGAAGAAAGAGATAGGAACTGAGAGACGATTATATATTGGGGGTTACGAACGATGAATGAAAAAGTTACCAGGGTATGCTTCGCAAGTCGAGGTTCGAAGGATGCGCGCATCTCGCGTTCGCGTCGCGCTTTACCTAAATAGGCTCGGCTTCTCCAACATTACTTCTTGCCGTCCCAAGTCGCTAGGCGCGAACCGATTCTGACAGACGAGGATCAATATGATCGAACCCAAATTCATGTTGTTCAACACAAGTTAAACACGCTGATCAATAGATGTAACGCAGTTAACTCAAACCACGCAATGTAATATGGATTTTTATTGTGTAATCAAGTAATCAATGCTAAAGCTCGGCTTCAAGTATGCTGCATGCTCCGGGTATCATCAAACCTATAATCGACGTGAAGCCTCGTCCTCGTATACATATGCCATCGTACCTCTCATTACACCCATTCAGGCATGTCCGCGGTGATCTTGGGACTCGTGATACGCATCGTCTTCCTAAACTCCTTCAACAATGCATTTAGTTCCGGATCTGGCCTACCATAGACCTCTCTTAACTTCCCTCTTCCTCTGATCCACTTCTCCTCGCCGCCAGTCCCGAGCATCTTTCGCATATCTTTATTGAACTCCGATCCGTGCCGTATCATCTTCCGGTCTGCTGTCTTCACCTTGATTCGTATATAGCCGGAAAGATTGAGCCATACTGCGATATCGAAGAACGAAGAGATGGTGACATTGTGGGTGCAAGGAAGATCGAGTGAGGAAATGGGGTTGCTGAAAAGATAATGATCAAGGGTAGCTGAGACCTCGTCCAAGTATGACAATCGGACGCGTTTCGTAGATGCTTCAAGGCGAAGCGCAAATTCGATGCAGTCAGCCAAAGCCTCCCATATCTTGATCTTACCACCTTTAGTCAATACTGTCTTCAAGCTCCATAGATGTGCATTGGCCCAGTGTTCGTCCGTATTAAACGCATCATGGCCGGTGGCGGCGTATATCTTTTGTTTCGGAGCCTCGGATTGTACAAAGTCTTTGATACATCTATGTGTATAGTTGACTCGGAAGTGTACAAGGTCTGAAGCAGTTGCATCGGCAATCAAGCTACCTTCGGGGGCTTGAGCTTCGAAGATACTGAGCAGCGTTTTGCACGTTGATTTCAACTGAGTGCGCATCACCGATGTACGACTGAGTATCTCGGACATAGTCAGCGGTTGGGGTTCGCTGTTCAAGCCGGATTTTGTGTCTTGGTCCGTGGCGAAGCAGAGAGGTAGCAGTGAAGGATATCCATGCGTATCGACCAACCGAAAAAGGCGAGATGCTTGTTCAAGGGCTCTGGCATCCATGCTATTGATGATGTACGGAAGGAGAGCATCAAGAGTGGGCGGTAAAGCGGCGACTCGGTCGCTTATGGTCTGAACATCGTCCGTTGCTTTTGTGGTTTGTATGAGTAGCTCGGTTCCCAAAGAAGCCCACAGATAAGTGCCTCCAGCCTTATCCACCAGTGTGTTGATGATCGCGCGTTCTCGCGTCCCATCAGATTCTTCATCGGGTATCCCAAACATTACATCATTCTGGTCGAACGCATACAAGACATATGACAAAATGCCTGATCTAGTCCATCTATCGACTTCCAGTCTGGCTATATCTTGAAAAGCTCGCTCGAGCACTGGCGTTGAACGACTGGACACACATATCTTTACATTCTCCCGGTACGATGCGCTTAAGACTAGATCCAAAGCATTGCTGGGATTTTCCTCGAGCTCGTCTAGGCCATCGATCATGAAGAAGAATTTCTTGGATGTATCAGAGATCAAGCTGTCAAAGGATTTCCGGAGTTCAGGGAGCGAGAAAGGATGCAAGCCTGCTCCATAGGATTTGAATTGTTGCCAACGATCCTCGAACAGATTCTGCACAATGTCGGGGTCTTGCTCCAAAGGTCCATAAATGATATCCTGCAGGGTCTCGTATAGGAGTGCTCGTAATAAACCTGTCGTTGTGCTCTGAAGCGTGGTTCCGCAGTTCCAAATAAAAAAGCCCGCCAGGATTCCAGGTGTATGACCAGACCAATCTTCCAGCTTTGGGAACAAATGTTCATTGCGAAATAGGTATTTCATTAGTGTACTTTTGCCCGATCCTGGCTTTCCTGTTGTATAGTCAGAGGACGAGTCGATTGTGATCAGTGGTTCGGCTAGTGAAATTACCAGTCAGCCAAAATAGGTTCTGTCCGTTGGTTGCTCCCAACCATTCCAGCATTTTGGTATCCTTCTGATAATTCGGTTCAAGTATCCACTGGAGAGTATTGTCGTAGGGCGCGTTGATACTGTGCAATCGGTCATCCTGTTCAGCAAAGTGGAGGTTCGCAAATATCTCATTTCGAAAATGGGCTTCGTTTTCTGCGGCGATGAAAGAGTTTACAATCTTGGAAAACTCTTCCACGTGTTGCTTGTTCTTCGGTGTCCATCCATTGGTATTAATTGAGTTAATGGCCTTGTTCTGCCATTGCCCCCAGTGCTGCGTGCGATGGTCGTCCATATCAAACGAAGCCAAACCTTTCTCATTTGACTGATCCAATGACTGCCTGGTACTTGTCAAAAAAACGACGATTGCAGTTGAACGTTCCATCACTACCTACCGTAGAATGAGCAGCAACGTTGCATCTACCTCGGTTCTAATGGTCCCAAGACTTTTCTTCATAAAGGTCATCTCCTTCTCTTTCATAACCGTGCCAAGCGCATCTCTAGGGGTTGGGTAATTTGGCTCTTCATAGTTGAGTTTTGCTTGCGCCTGCAGCACAACATCGGTAAGTGTAGTGGTAAAGTCTTTTGTCTGCTGAGCAAGCTTGAAGAGAGTAGCTTCGTTGACCTTTGTAGACTTCCTGTCCGGGCTTGATCGGTTGGAGAGACCATGGACAATCCTGGCATTAAGTCTGTAGAGGTTGTTGGAGATATTGTTTAAGATGGCAAAACTCCCAGGGCTGGCGCCTTTAGTGCTGCGATGGATGGCATGTTCCTTTGACAGCAGCTTGTCGGCAAAATCAATGGCCTGGACGATGGCTAATGCCAGCGTAATCAGCTGTGGCATGTTGGCGGCTATGAACAAGTGTCCATGTCCCCTGAAGGATGTCGGGTGGTGGAGCGGTTTTTGATGTCGACGGCGGAGTCCGGACGTGGTGTGGGAGCCAGTAAGACGTTGGCAGCCCCTGTCGCTTGGCCCTTCGATAGTCACAAAGCGGCGGCGGCAGCCTTATTTAGATCGTCGCGAGCAAAGTCAACTTTGAGGTCTCTACTTACTCGCGCCTTAGCATTTGTCCCCGCCAATACATTGCCAACTGCAGTTTCAAGGTCTGCTTGCATGGATTTGGCCCCAGCGGCCAATCTACCTGTCGCCAGTAGTCTGGTTGCCCTTGCCGGCGACCCGACCCATCAAGCGCCATCGTTTTACCGAGCAACTCTTTGTACCTACCTAGGTACCTAGGTAAGTAGGTAAGTAGATATTGCATGTCATTCCTACTACCACCACCACCTGACAGACCCGCACCCGTGACCGTCATGATCGCTACCACCGATTATCGTAGGACTACCTCTCTGACAAGGTCAAAACGTAATGTCGAGGCCCAGTAATGCGTGTCCGTCTTCCATCCAGGCGGAAACAAACCTACATCGTGCGAATCTATCAGTATCTACTACGTGAACGTAAACATGACTTACCAGACATATCATTCATCTCCACGAGGAGTGTTTCCGTGTGCTATCAGCTACATGCTGCTGCTTCGAATGACCAGTATATTCACATGATGTATGCGGGAAGCAGGCACTCAAGGGATTGCCACTGCATTGCACTTTCCCTTCCGCTCAAGAAAGCCTTTTACTAGAGCACCTGTCGCGATGCACTTTTTGCCGCCCATTCAATTGCTATACTGCATCCATTATCTTCCTGGCAACCGGTCTCGTTTTCCTATCCCGATCAGATCTTTACAGCTGCTATCAAGCAATTCGTCATGTCAGCAGCTACCCTTGAATCGGATCTCGAGCGCGGCATCATGCCTGTGGGTCGCAAACCTATAAAGATGCACCGTCATTGATGCTAATAACCCTAGACGCCTCGGGGTTACACCACGCTGAGAGACTCGGAATATGCATTCATACATGTGTTTAGGTGCGTGCGAGGCAGCTGCGCTCCGAATACCAAGGAGCTGAAAGCCGACTGATGGCGCGCAGCGGGAGAGACAAAGCATCCGAGGCGCGCAGAAAACTCCAGATCGAATGGGACTCGTCGGCCCTTGTCAACCCCAAATTTGACGAATACGAAGGTGACAGAAGCGATCCGATGCAACGGCTTGTTCTCGTTTTCATCTCAGGCTTCTTCACGGATGGCACCGACTTTATCTATATGATTGAAGGCGCAGACGACATGTCCAAATTCTGGCTCGGGACTTTCAGTGGAAAGAGCTACAACCGACCGTGTTGGGCTTCACCTGTTACAGTGTATGAATTCGATGAGATATTTTCGAGTCCTGGTCTCGAGGCGGAGTTTTCGGGGGAGGTATCGAAGACGGAAACCAAGGGTCTGAGATGGAAATATCACTACGAATCGGGCCTAGAAGCATGGTCTTCATTGGTTTTCAGCCAAGAAAGATATGAACAAATCAAGCAAGCGGACGAGGATCATGTTCGAGAGTTGAGTTTGCAAGCGCAGAAGACAAGTGAGGAGAAGGGAAAACAGGGAGAAAAACAAGACGGAAAAGAAGAGGAAAAGAAAGAAGAAGAAGAAGGAAGTAAAGAAGGCGAAGTGCGAATACCGGAACAAGGGGACAGCGGCAGATCAGAAGAGGGTACGGACGATGGACATGGCGACGACGGCAGCGATGCCACGACTTGAGCTGCGGCAGGGTCGGTGCGGCACGGACTGGGCAGGGTATGCAACGTGCTGGGTCACTGACGGTGCATCATGTCCGGGACGCACGATGGAGGATTGGATACACGGATGGAGATTCCAGTGATGGATAAGTATTATTCAACAGTATGCACGTAATGAGGTCGGAATGCCACCCTTTGATGACGTTGGTGCCGTCGAATGCAGCCAGCCACAGCGGTGACTGACTGCCCTCTGATGGCGTCAACCGGGTGATGTGCACATGGCTAAGTACTTATAGTCAACGCAGGTACTGTACAGGCCCAGGACTAACTCGCGGTAGTTCTACACAGGACGACGTGGTCCATGGACTAAGCAGCTAGCTGTGCCCAAAGGAGACGGAGAGCGCTGTTCCTTGGCAGGAGCTTGTCGAAGCTTGTTTTGTTTATTGTGAGGCATTGCGTATGATCGCTAAAGGCGCAGGGCCTCACCCAGCCACCCTCAGCCTCACCTACCCGCTCCCTCCCATCCATGTCCGACCAAGACCAGCAGAGACGCAGCCAGAGACTTTTGCGATACTCGACCTTTGTCCCTCTACCTCTCCGCCTATATACCCACTCACTCGCCCTCGTATCCCGCTGCGACACACCGTCCAGACTGCCTGCATACATCGCCTGCCCGCCGCCCTGCCTGCGCGCCCGTGCCTTGTTTTCTACTTGCGCCTGTGCTGCGCTTCCGCATAACTGCGCGGGAAGCATCCACCACCCTTCGCGACCGGCCGCGCCTGTCTTACGTTACCTCTCCCCGTTTTCTTCTTCCTTTTCTCCCCTCCCCTTCTCTCCGTGCGCTCGATCCCATCCACAATGGCAGACCAATCACTCCCCCATCCAGAGCAGCTTTCCCGAGGAGACTCGCCAGCCGGGAACCCCTCGGGCACTGCGGAGAAGCATGGGGGGGAAGCTGACGGCCAAGAGGACCCGCCGCCAAAGCCGCTCAAAACCAGAACCAGCTCCAGCAAGAAGGAGAAACAGCCCGAGGGAGGCTTCGATGACACGCCCGTTCCCCATGCGCCCCCGGGCTACACCATCAGAGTCACTTTCCACCGCGCTACCAACCTGCCTCTCGCCGACATCAACACCCTCTCCGCTGACCCCTTCATCGTCGCCGAGCTCATCACTGCCCTTCCCACCCGCCACAAGGAAGACCCTCCGCTACAGCTGCGCACCCCCACCGTCCGCCAGAATACCGACCCAGAGTGGAATACACAATGGATAATAGCCAACGTGCCCGCCTCCGGTTTCAGGCTCAAATGCCGCCTCTACGACGAGGACCCCGCTGATCACGATGATCGTCTCGGCAACGCACATGTCGTAGTGGATTCGTTGAGCGAGCACTGGCCGGGTATCAAGGAACAGCGCTACTCGATCAAGAAGCGCATGGGCAGCAAGCGCGCATACTTGCTGAGAGCTGTCGCTGTGTGCTTCAACAAGGTCCAGCACATGAGCGGCTCTCTATATGTCAGCGTCGAGCTTTTGGGCAGAACCCAAGGCGAGCACGGAGGTCGTGTCTACACAGTCGGACCCCAGTTTTGGATACGGCATTACTCTCCCATGCTAGGGCGTCTACTGGGTCAAAAGGAGCCCAACACCGAGTCATCCTCTTCATCACATTCCAAGGGGAGATCGAAGGCGCAGCGCTATAACTTCCAGGCAAATGAAATGCAACTGAGGGGTCCTGTACCCGAGGCCATGTATCATCGCTATGTTGAGTTCAAGCCTTTTGTGAAATCCATGTTCACAGCAAAGGGTGTACGAGGCTTCATCCTCTCCAAAGCTCTCCATCATCAGCATGCGCGTGTTTATAACTTTGACCGCGAAACCGAATACCAAACATTGCCAGAGCCATGCAAAGAGTTCACCCAAAAGTTCTTGGAGCTCGTGCACTACGACCAGGGTGGCCGCATCTTCACCTACGTCCTGACCCTAGACGCCCTTTTTCGTTTTACCGAGACTGGCAAAGAGTTTGGCATCGATATGTTATCCAAGCATACTATGCACAGCAATGTCGCCGCATACACCGCCTTTTCCGGTGAGTTCTTCATACGTCGACTCAAGTACCCCTACTTGGATCCGCCCGAGACAGGCGGTCACAACGTGTCACATCCACCAGATGCTATCTCAGGCGAGCCTTCGAATGATGAACCTGCCAAGGATCCTGCGTACTATGAGTTGATTATCGACAACGACTCCGGTACATACCGTCCAAATGCCAAACTACTTCCAGAACTTAAATCATTCTTCGAAGAGAATTTTCCGGGTTTGCGGATCGTGACTCTCGACTGCCAGAGCGAGGCAGAGAAGATGGAGAAGTTGAAAGAGGAGCAGCGCGAACGTAAGAAGGCAGAGGGTGACCATATTGTGTTTGCACAGGCTAGCAGGAGCAGCAGTATGAGTTCAAGCGATATCGAGGAGCTCGATCGTCTGGAAGAGCTAGGCGAACGGCCCGAACCCCATTTGAGGCATCAAATCATCGGAGCGGTGGACGAGAGGGTGGACGCGGCTATGCTACACGCAAAAGCTTATAAGCCCGGTAGAAACAGGCAGGGCAAGGTACAAGAAGCCCCTCAAGCCAAGCAAACCGATGCGTCTCAAGCGACGGCTCGCGAAGAGGCGATTCGAGATCAGGCTACTCAAGAACAGCCCAGGTAGCGCCAGGCCTTTTTTTCTTCACTATATCCAGCGTTCTTGTACATTCGACACCGATACCACCCTCGCTGTAGTTTCCTTTGTTTTGGCATCGTTCAAGTTCACTCCGTTCTGCATGGTTATCGATCAGGGCATCGTCAAGCGCAATAGACACAAAAGCGGTGCTGGTGAGGTCTGTGCTAGAGATGGGCCTGGCTCGCTCACGATGGAAGCCGAAAGAGATACCCACATCATTTCCTTTTTTTCCTTTTTTTTCTGTTCACCTTTTGCTTTGGCAAATTCTCATCTGCTATGTTTCGGGGCTCTCTCTGTTCGTGGGACTGTTCTTCTTTTACTGTGTCCCTTAATTGTCTAATCCAACGATCAACAAATCAGCTTACACGATGGTCTAATCCGTGATATTTCGAGTGTGGTCGTTCAGTTCGTCGTCTTTTGCTACACACCAACATGAGATAATCCTCCGCGTAAATGCCTTATCTGTCTTCCCTCAGTCCTTTCCCAAACTCTCGAAAGTTACCTTGCCCCCTTTCAAACCTAGTTAAAATTCTTCCATAATCCTCTCATCACCAATCCTCTTCGTGAAACCAACCGTCCTCTTAGCGATCCTCCACACACCACTGGCGCCGGCAACCCCTTCACCCTCCCTATCCGCGCTGTTTCGATCCAAGCAGATGAGCTCGTCGCTGTATTGGCCCCACGCCTGCAGCACTTTGCCTTCGTGCGGCCCTTGCCCGAAGTGGCAGCCCACGAAGTAGGTCACGGCGTGTGCGGTGCGGCTGTCGTGTCCGAACGTGATGCGCTGTGTTGTGAGGGAGTGGTGGGTTAGGATGGGTCCGAGTCTGAGATGTTTTTCTCTGGTCAGTGATTGATCTCTTCACGAGTATCTTTCCTTTTTTTCAATATCATCATCCTTTATTCCTGCGTTGGCCCAATGTGACCCATCTCTTGATGATGTTGTGTGACCATCGCGGTCAATCTACTCATTGCCAGCCCCACAGAGTGTATATACTTATCCATACATACATCTTTCATGGAATACGAAAAGAAAACGACATACCTATTCACAATAGCCTCCCTCACACCTTTGACCCCTTCCAACTTATTATTGAACGGATAATTCGCCACGACTTCTTCAGCAAACACTTGATCAAGCAGCTTGAAATCCTTGGTATCAAGCGCTTCGCAGTACCGCGCGATCGTGTTTTGGATGGCGAGGTGATCGTGCGGATTGACAATGGGGTTGAGGTGATTCATCTTGTAGCTTGTTTCGTCACTGATACACCTTCTTTTTCCGCTGTTTGGTTTCTTTTGGTGGACGCCGCTCCTGTGTTTTCTTCTTGTTTATTGTTCACGTTGTTCTTTTGAGCTTATGATTGAAATACCCCTCTTTTATCGCTGACTTCCTTGCTTTTCCTGTTGGTGGCTGACCGAATCGAGATGACGAGGTTGGCGAGCGAGACAAACAAGGTGGTTGGACGATGGCGGGGAAAGAGGCGTTTCCGCTCGTAATCAGCTGGACGAATGGGAAAGAATGGGAGGATTTGACTGTTTATCGATGATGTACGATGATGTACTGTAGGTATGTTTACCTTTTAGTCCATGGGGCGGTCCCACGCGATTGTCATCATAGCTTGAACTTGTATGCCGGAACACCGCGTCGGAACCCCACGCCGGACGAATTGACGCTGCATGTACAGGTGTCAGATGGGAGCTGTGATGAGACTTAGTCTGAAGTCAGGGATATTGATCCAGCATGTGTTTGAGAAATGATTGTTGTGCTGAGCATCTTATGATTTTCGACGATGATTATCTCCGAGCTGATAGGTAGATGTATCAAGATGTTCAAAGTGTCCCTTTGCCACAAAAAGAAAGCAGTTGTAGAGCAACATAACGAAATGCAAACTTCATAGCTATAGTATACACTCCTTCCTCTATCTAGATCTGTCCAAAGACTACACATGCAGGTTATCCAACGGATTTCGAACACGTTGTAATCGATCAATCCGTTTCACCGTGCTCACCACCCAACATGTGTACCGAAAGCAGGCTACATAGTATGCGCCCTCGTCTTTTGCCACCATCTCTGCTTGAGCGCTGCTCTCTATCCCTACATCTCTCTGCTTGTTTGCTTGCGCATCCCACGCATGCATCGATCCGCAGAGCACAGTGACCATCACCAACAAACTAATCACAATGACATGATCACGGGAGAACTTGAGCGAGTATATATATATACAAGTATAATTTGAGAGCTCACCGCCGAATTTCCCAAACCCAGATTACATCGCAATGCCAACAGAGCGCTTCGGGGAGCCACCAATAGTGTTGCCGTCCCAAGCTACGGTTTGCGAATCGTGGGCATGATTACCTGCTGCAGAGAAGAAATTGCCCAGGTACTCGAGCTTCGGGAAGGCAAGAGTCGGAGGGCGGGAAAGCTGATGTTGTCAAGGCAAGGTTAGACCATGTGCTATGTCTGGGTACATAGAAGGAGAAACAGGAAAACGTGGTCGGTAACACAGGTGTGTAGAAAGAGAGTAAGTGGGACGCTTCGATTGGGAGAGCTTCCAAAGGATCAGTAGCACACTGATAGCTGGATGCGTGGCGTTGGTCTATGGGGTACACTGCATTGCAAGGATGATATTGGAAGTAACGTTACGACATGCAACTGCTGCGATCAGTCTAAATTGAAGATAACAACTGACTGCACATCTCAGCCTACGACTGCGAGGGCTTGGTGAACTTGCAGGAGTAGAAGCTCAACAGATATATGAAGGGAAGACAACGAAAGAGGGGTAATCTTATGCAAGAATGTTACAGACGATCATTTATACACCACGTTGATTGTCTATCAGCCAACTCACCCACTTTGATGCAGAGAATGCAGGCAACTGATTAATGTAGGAACTTTATGAACTGTGCTTTCTCGTCTTGGTAATACATATTAGAGATCACAGTGAGAAGGAGTGTACCGCGGAGGATATACCTCGAATACAATGAGCATTTTTACCGGTATTTCCAGTTCTTTAACGCTTCGCACATTACTTCGCTTTGACGCTATTTTCTAGAGACCCTCTATCAGCTTCGAAATGTCGCTGCACTTCGCGTCGGCCGTTGGGCGTCAAGAACTCTGCAGTGTCATGGTAATCGTGCATGACAGCATACGCGATGAGTGCTGCAGAGTTTTGGTGAGTTTGTAGACGCCGAGTGGTTGTATATCGTATTATATGAGGAACAGCATAGAAACACAAAAGCAACCACTGCGCTACAAATCACTGTCAGTGCAATGACCGCCACGAACAATATACCGAGAAAACACTTACCGGCCACAATGATTATGATGAAGATTCATGACCAAGCTCCGAGGCCTCGTGGATGATCCAGTTGTATCATTAGATTGGACGGTAGCTCTGAAAACAAACGAAAGGGGAATGAAATTGCAGGATCGTTATTGTACTGTAGCGATTCCGGGTCCATACAAAGCTTGCGTGCGGATGCTGCGCTCATCGCGTCCAAAGCCATATTGATGTCGATCTCATCGATAGTAAAGTCTAGTTGGGTAAAGTGAGGAGATTGGATATCCATATTGGAGTTAGTTAACATGATTGATGATGAGAACGGTTGAGATCTGGAGTGTACAAGCGGAGATGAGGGCGTCGTCAGTTGGCGACTGCCATTAATTGTAATTACGAGTCTCACGGCCAGCGGGTAAGACTTTTGAAGGGTAGTAACATTGCAGTATACCTTTGAACGTTGTAGCACCGTTTTTGACGGAAACATTTGAAAATTTGAAGACCTATCTGGTCATATGGCACACTTGATTGCCTTTCAAACATTCATTCAATATTCGAATGTTTGCTGAGGCTGGATCCATCACATCCCAGTGCCTAGGTATATATGGCACGTATTCTCGTCCTTGCTTGTGGTTTCTCGTAGACGCTCGCAGTGACTGCTGTGTCCGCCCAAGAAGTTATATCGGCCGTAGTTATTCTCTGTCACCCCCACAAAACAATAGCGCAGTCTATATGTGTGATACATAATTTTTTCAAATCAGTCCTCGAAGGTTAGGTGTGCATCCAATACTTTTGCTAATGAAAAATCCCTTGTCAAACAATACGATTGTGTTGTGGGTTGAAGAATGGCGATGAAGATATTGAACAACTGGGCACGCATTCTAATCGCATAGACGCGTTCTGAAATTGTACTGCCTCAGCAACTTCTAGACTAAGGGATCGTACTGTACAAAGGCAACGTACCATGTGTCGATGGAATGTCGTTGGTGACACCCCAACTGACACTGGGAGCGTGTACGATCGAATCGGACCGATATGCGCTGTCAACTTCCGTCACTCCTTGTACGGATCGAAGCTGTTCTGAAGAAGTTCTTGCCAGATCGAATAACTCTTTCCGGATTGACTTGCATTGTGGAACATCCGGAAGTCAAGTGTCAACGGCATCATAGTTGCACACGTGCACCGTAGTGATACAGACGGCGTGAGAATGCCACTTCGGATCGCCATGGCTGTCTGTTGAATGAGATAAAATTTTGTATCAATCGGCGCACCGACTTGCGTCATATGCGCCGATCGGCTCGCAATCTCTGTTTTCCTCAACGTTCACGTATCAATAAAGTGATGGTATGCATTCCACGGTACGGGCCGATGTGACAATTATGGATTTTGGTCCATAAACCTGATTTTGACTCCCCGCAGCACGAACAAGCTGTCAACCAATTTGCAAGCCGCGGCCCATGGGGTATCTCATTCGGCGTAATAGCTAAGAAAAAAAAAGTCAAATTAGCCAAAGGGTTGATGTCGCTAGTAGCGCGATAGCGCACTCATCAAAAACCAGGATTTTGGCACCAGCGAACCCCAGTCCACGAAACATTGGCAGCCGTCCTGCCAATCTGTTTACCAAAAATTTCCGATTCGCCAGACGAGGTTGATTTGTTGTGAGGCGGCCTTTTGCTATTTTTACAAGTACGACCGGTCAAACTGGATATGCAACAAGCTTGTTGCTGGTGTGTGTGTTTTGCTCTTCAACTTGCACCCAGGATCCACGAAGCAGTGGTGCGGGTGGGCCTCGAGCAAGTGCGGATTGTCCGAGATGGTGAGTTACAGGATGAGGATAGCGTCATCTGAGTGATTTAAAGCAAATCGCAGGTTACGAGTTTTTAGATTAAGCTTCATTCTGGCAGGCTCCGAAATCGACTCGGGGTCGTACTATTGTTCATAATGGTAATTGGTAGGATCTCGCCTCACCTGTGCGTAATCGGTATTCTTCTCGCAGGAGCTCGTCCTCACTGGCTGACCGCCATCACCTACTAGTTTTGCTGGTAGGATGCGTACCCCGAGTTGCGGACGGAGGCAAAGGATCACCGTTTCCCTGCCATCGTTCACAGATGCTTTTGAAAAAAACCTTGATGGTTTAGGTTGAGCGCACTACTATACTGACTTGTTGGTAACGGATGTTGGGAGTATTGCCAATGTTTCGATTATAGACATGATCACAGTGCTGTCTCATGAGCTCGTATGTGTGCCCTCGTGTGATAAGTGTGGCTGCGTTCAATCAGAGTTTGCCAAGCACAGATAAGGACGAAGGATGGCAAGGCTGTCGGGTCAGGACATAGCAGAATGCGATGCCTCGACACTACCTGGCCAGGAGAAGCAGGTATGATTAAAAGGTGGCATGAACTCATATACCTCCCCCCAAGGAGTATGCTACATGTACGATGACACGTAGGCCATGGACGCAGTGCGGATAAATGATGGTATGATTCAATAATTGCAGGAGACTGGATAAGAAGGCTGGATGGGGTTGGGCAGGGAGGTGTTGCTACGGAATCTGGTTGATTGATTAACGTTGTTTTATTGCATCGACGCATTTAGGCTTTGATCATGCATCGGGTGAGGCTGGTACATGCATGCCCAGCGGTACGGCTTGGGGGCACGCAACCATGCAAACATTGCCGTCGAGATGGAAACGGAGCGTGGGAGCAAAACAAACAAGCCATCTAGCGCCATCTGTTGACAGATGAGTGGCCACGGGTGGCAGGTGAAGTGGAACATGTTCTGCAAGGTCCCGAGACGAAAAGACAGGTTCCGGACATGTCCGCTGGGAATCGCCACGCCCAGCATAGCGAAACACGAAACGGAGGCACAACTCGAGCACAGCGCAAGCACAGCGAGAAGAGCGATATGCATAGCCTTCCGCTATCGATTGAAAAATTTGCAGTAATACTGGAGCATAGCGCATCGAGACCCCCATACAGTGACGCAGTGATTGCTCGACCTTCCGGATCGACTTCCCAGGAGAATAAAAAAAAAACCCCTCCAAGGAGGCGGAGTTTGTTGCTAAATACAACCGCCTCGTCAACAATCCACGCGGCTGAACAACAAGCACCACAGCCAGTGTGCATGATGTGAAGGGTGGGCCGCCATGCCATGCTTCCGCCAATTTAGCGATGGCTGGTCTGGATGACCAGGCCCCATGCCGCATGGCTGGCCATCTGCATCTTTTCGCTAGTAGGGCTTCCAGATGTGGAATACCGTGTGCAGCCTGTCAAGCTCGACTGGCCTCGCTGATTTTGCTCGCTGGGTCTCGCCATCATTGGTCTCACTGGTCTCACTGGCCAGAGTGATAGACAGGAGGCAGGGGAGGCGGGCACCGCATGTGGGTCCTGAGTTTCGGCTTGACATTTTATGTGGATCGTCTGTTGGGGGAGGCCGGTGGTGTTGCGTACACCTTGTGGGATGGTTGGGGGCAACCAACTCTTGGTCTTGTGCTCTGTGCTTATGGGCTGGTGGCCATAGCATACCTCCTATGCAGAAGGTATATATAAATCAGTCTTGATGGCTCTACTCCGTTTCTCTCCATCCAACAACTCACTCTCGCTTCCACCAAACAGTACTTAATACAATCCCGTCAATCGTTGTCGAATACTCGCACCTTTAACTCTACACCGAATTTTCGATCTCAACCCACAACCACCAACACCATCAAAATGCAGTTCTCCCTCATCACCGTCGTCGCTGCTTTCGCCGCTGTCTCCTCGGCCCAGTACGCCAACGGCACTGCCCCTGCCCCCTCCGGCACCGGTGCTCCTTCTCCCTCCGGCTCTGGAGCTGCTCCCTCTGCTCCCTTCAACCGTAAGTCCGCCGAGACATGTATCGTCAAGCTTCCGGATTCTAACTTGCCTTAGCCAACGCCGCTGCCCCTACCGGTGCTGCCTCCGCCATGGCTATGCTCGTCGCCGCTGGTGGTGCCGCTTTGTTGATCTAAACATCTTCACTGCTTCATCACTCTGTCAATCCAAATCTTAGACTCTCGACGTCTGCAATAGCATTTCACCGGCGTTTTTGCGTATTCAATTCCCAAACAATCTCATTATTGGAATGAACCTTATCGTAGCCTTGGTTGGCCCACGATGGTCCATTTCTGGAGGAACGGTGTAGATAGATCTCTTTGAGACATCACATTAATAATACCACATTTCTTCATCACCACGACTGCCTGTTTTTGACCACCGCTTGTGATCTCAAGTGCATTTTGTGATTTCGTAGTCACTATCTGAATCGTTACGATTAGGCATTGACCACAACGACTGGAACGTTTTGACCGTTTTTCTCCCACTAAACCTCGGACAGAATTACGAGAATAGTCATGTCCAATTTCTTCCAGGACATGAGTTGGGTAAATTGATTTGATCGAGCCATTTTAATGCAACGGCCACGGCGAATAACCCCCAATCTCGATTCTTCAGATCTAGCGGACGGTACATGATCTGCTAATCTCCGTTCGAAAGTCTGTCTAGTCTGTTTCTTGTCGGTTGCCGAGTCTATTTGAGCTCTGACATGAACCTTCTTGAAACGGCAACCTTAGAGATTCAAGGAGTATTATTTGATAGGGGACTGTCGCGGCCATCCAATAGCAGGAGTGACATCTACTAGAACTGAGCCCAACGGATCGCAGAGTCACAGTCAACAAACATAGATTTTGTTCGCATCTGGGGACGTGTGTCCTTTTCATAATTTTCGAATCGTCCCATTAGTAGATGAATGTCCGTTTGTTGGCGGGAAATGGTTAAGTGTAAACACGTCCAAAAAGGACACTGCATCGCCATCGAGTGAGCACTATAGGGGCGTTCGTCGAAATCTACAAATCTTCGAATTTCTACCACGGTCTGGGCCCACCTACATGTATGCTTGCGAGCCCTGCGGTGCCCTGCAGTGCGCAGAGCCGCAGCGCGCTTAAGTAATCGTCGCTTGGAACATTGGCAAGGCCGCGGCGGAGTCGTCGTCGTCAGTCTCCACATCATAGATGTGAATACCTCTGTAATGAGCGACAAACCGTAGTACGACACTCAGCCCCTCTTCTCCGTGCTCTGTGTTCCGCTATGCCATCTTTCCCGTGTTGTTAACCATTTTATTTCTTCTTGTTTCCACCTTCGCGTACGCCTGATGATCCCCGGATAATATGCAGTCGAAAACGGTACCTCCGCATGCAGTGGACGTTGAGCATGGCAGTAGAATAGAGCTAGGCTCTTCAAGAGTATGGAGTGGAGAAGACAATTCGATCAATGCATCGCCGCAAAACTACGGGAACGGCGAAGGCGTGAGTCCGCGAGCGCAACAAGATCAATGGTATAACACTCCGCGCTGGAGAGCATTTAAGAGCAAGATACCCTCGCCTCTCACTCGTTGCACTCGCACTATATCGAATTGGATGAAAGGTCCCCAGCCTTCTAGACGACATCGCATAACTCCTTTGTGGGAGCCCGTGCAGACCTTTCACATCCGTTTAGTTCGGCTTCCCCGGCTCTTCAAGGTGTGCATCTTCGTCTGCGCATTTATGCTATGGCTCGTGGTATTCGGCGTCTTGTTGGATACCCACGGCCTTCCGGATGACATTGCTGGATTCGGAGCACCTGTCAAGCTGTCCTGTACGAACAAATTATGGTACGTGTTCTGTGTACCTATTCAACTTGTTGACTGGCTAACTCGACCAGGTCCGATGCACCGAGCTGCGGCATCGACGGTACAAATTGTTTGCCATTTGATAACTCGACCTTTGCGTTTAGCTGTCCTGCCGGTTGCAGTGGAACAATTGTACTGAATCCAAAAACTATCGGAGACGAATCTATCGTATACCGCCCCTTCATTGTCGGTGGCGGAACGCCCCAAACGCCAGGAGATAATGATTTTGTGTATCGTGGAGACTCTTTTATATGCGGGGCAGCTGTGCATTCTGGTGCACTACAGGATAGCCGTGGAGGCTGTGGCGTTCTCAGCCTCGTAGGGGAGAGGAACGAATACGATGGAGTGGACAGGAATGGCCTCACCAGCGTGGGATTCAATTCAAGCTTTCCACTTTCATTCGACTTCGACCGCAGCGCGCAGGTCGAAAGAGATGCAGGAAAGTGCACTGATCCTCGGTGGGACCTGTTAATTCTGTCCATAATCTTCTCCGTCGCCTTCTCCCTCTTCACAACCCACCCTGCCACGTTCTTTGGACCCATTTTCGTCATCGCCTACTGGCAAGTCGCCATGGCATCAGACCCACAGCCCTACAATGATTACCCTTCACTGGCATCCGACGCACTCGCAAATTTCCTCCCCGCAGCTTTCATCGCTGTGATCATCTACCAGATCAGTGTCCGCAAATCGCTTCTCCATCTCACCGCTCAGTACGAGAAAACCATCCTCTGGGTCGGCGGCCTCTGGGTGGGCGCCCTCAACAATCTAACGCTGGACCACATCCCCATCTCCCGTCTAACCCCACACGACTTGAATCAACAACCAGGCGCCATGACAGCCCTCGTAATCATCATCTTGGTTCTTGTTGCAATCGTTCTCTACCAAGCTTGGTGTTTCCGCAGTGAAGGCCGCTTACCGCGTTATCTAGGACTCTACCTTATACTGGCGCTCTGTCTTGTCATTCTCCTGGGTGTTCCTTCACTCAGTCTTCGTATCCACCACTATATCCTCGCGCTGCTCCTCCTCCCCGGAACGGCGTTACAAACCCGCCCCAGTCTTCTTTTCCAGGGCCTCCTCGTCGGTCTCTTCATCAATGGGATCGCACGTTGGGGCTTTGCATCGATCCTTCAAACCGCCGGCGCCCTCCGCGGCGACGCACAGCTCGGAAGCGAACTCGTCTCGATCCTCCCACCAAACATCACCAACGCGACTTCCATTGCGTTCGCATGGAAAGGCCTTGCGCGTGGCTACGAAGGCGTCAGTGTGCTTGTCAACGACGTGGAGAGGTTCCGTGGCTTTCGAGACGATGGCCAGAACAACTTCACTTGGGCGAAGAGGGTCCAGGATCGGCCCGAGTACTTCCGCTTTGGATTCGTGAGTTATGCGCCGTTTGGTGGCGTGGCGTACAGTGATTTCACGAGGGCGGGCATCTGGTGGCCGAATGGGACTTGGAGTGATATACCCGAGGGTAGGACTTCTGGTTAGACTGCGATGGACTTGCTTCTACTGTATATTGGTGTAGACGGAGTTTTGGTGTCATTATAAAGAGTTGAATTGTTTTGCATCTTGTGAGCGCGTTGGATTATAATACTTTTCCTCTCGTAGATAGATGTAGATATATCATATATGTAAGCACGATGATCGAGCCAGGAAACAATTCATCACAATCCTTCCTTGTATAAGCATAGCGCAATCTGTCTCCCAATAATCGTTCTTCTCAGTCGCTCATGGCATATTAAATTTCCAAAGGAATAGGGGGATTGAATCATATATCTTGCTTCAAGATCATCACGTATTGGCGACATGGCACAGAGGCAGTCCGATTGAACCAAGCATCGCATACTAAGCACTGGATGCAGACCTCACTTCCAATCTAGAAAACCTGGAACCTGAGCACTGTTTCTCTGACTACCAGCACTTTCCAAAACTTACACTTATAAACCAATGTATAGGGTACAGAAGCTACTGGACGATACACTATTCATACATGTGCTACATAGGATGTACGGACATAGAAAACCCGCAAACCCATCTTTGATGATCAGACCAGAGAGATGGAAATGAGAAGGGGAAAAAAAAAAGGAAAAAGCCAAGTTTGGGTAACATCAAGACTTTGATGATGAGGGTTGACTGTTCTGTCCAACACGGTAAAATGAAAGCAAACCCTCCTCTCCACACTGTGGGAAAACACCAAATCTGAACGCCAGGCAGCCATTGATTTTTCCGTGATAAGATGGAAAGTTCCCATGGACAGCGGAATTGACATAATGAAAAAGAATAAAGAAAGTGATAGTCCTGGCTACACATATAAGCGCCTCTATGACGCTATTTACTCAAGAAGTCGGTGGTCGAATCAAAGACTTCTAGCCGATGAGGGAGGGCAGCGGGGGAAGTGTATGTGGATCATAGACCCTCTCCTCGTCCTCGTCGCTGTCAACGTCTTCGTCATCCCGTCGTTCCAATGCGTCATCGGCGTCGGCCATTTCTTCGTCCTCGTCTGCAAACTCCTCTTCCCGATCCAAGCGTACCCCATTCGTTCCGTTCTGGGTGGAGTGTTGTGAATCTTTGGGTTTCGTGCGAGTAATGGCTTTGTTTTCTTCCCAGCGATCTATACGGCGCATAGCACGGGTCAGCATTTTATGGCGGTAATATGCTTCCTCGCCTTTGTCGTCAACTTCGTCGGCAAAGTTGATGGGAACAAGGCCGGCAGGAATTGGTGGATTCGCCTTATTTCCCGCGTCGGTATCTTGCTGTACGCTAGTTTCCTCGTCCGTGTCATATCCGTCTTGCATACCCTTGCAGCGAATCCATGCCCGCAAAAAGCTGGACTGCTTCTTGCGGCGCGCGGCGGCAGCCTGATATTCTTTCCTGATGACGCGGTCAAGTATGACCTCCACGCGCCGTCGTCGGTATTGCTCTACAGCCAGTTGATGTTGAGTAAGTGGGCGCGTGCGCTTATGCGATGGATCAGATCCATTCAAAGGTAAATAGAATCCATGAGGCCCAGCAAAAGTTGCGGCGTTGCCGGAAGGCGACTGTCCATCCTGGGAATTCGCTTGATCGAGTTTCGACTTGAATGCCCGGACACCAGACGTGCGACTCCGTGACCAATTGCCACGACCGGGTCCTTTCGGCGCAGGCGTTGAGGAGGGAGTGTCTTCATTGAGTAGCGTGTTGATTCGCATATTGGGAGTGGCTTTTTTACCAGTATTGTAAACACTTCCTGGCGGTGACGCAGACCGAGTGCTGTCAAGGTCTGAAGGGTAGTCACGTTCGATAAGGGACTTTGCAAGTTTTCCTCGGCCTCTAGCTGAGCCTGTATATTGTAAGTTTGCTGTGGAAACATGAAATAGGTCATTTGTATTACTTTGGGAGGGTGATTGACGATCCCGGCCTGGGGTAGATGAGCCGTCCTCTGCCAATACAGAGAAGACCGGGTTCTGATTGAATGCTATCGCGATGTCAGTGACATGTGGTCCGTATCCAAGGAAAAGTCGATTACATACCCTTCTTGTTTGGCCGTTTGGGGCCGGTCACAATGGGAGCCATGTCACTCTGCAGTATTGCTGTAATTGTATTTAGCGAAAGGCCATGTGATTGGGAACTAAAGCGACTCACCTGTCCGCTCTTTGCGTTTGATCTCCCCAAAGTTTTTCTCGTCGACCGTATCCACATTTTCAAGTGCTTCCTGTTCAGGCGTCAAGAATTCGAATGCGGGGCATTTGATGGGCATCGATGGAGCGGAGCCTTCATCAGAAGGGCCATGTTGCCCCGCCCCGAAAGGATTATTCAGTGCTGCCTCGTTGGAGAAGTCGCTTTCAAGGTACCACCACATGAGCCATAGGAAGGCGGTAGCCCTGCTTTTACTGCTCAGATTGGGTCGCATGACTAGATCGAAGAAGTCGCGGGGCGGTAGGAAATGGAGCTCGGAGATCTTGGGGGCGTATTGTGACAACACGAAGATGAGATTGACGGGGTTCGTGCGGGGCACAGTCTTTTCTCTTATGTCTTCGATTGTGCTAGGTTGCTCATGATCTTCTGTTGCTCCTTTGAGGATAGACTTCAGTCGCGGCGCATCTTGAAGTTGTTTGTATGCATTGGGATCTTGGTGGGCCTGAAGGGACGGGATCGAATGATAGGTACGCAGTTGCGCTCGCATTTCCGGGAAGACTGCAGATCGTCAGTATACTCCAATATCGCAGAAGGTTGGCCATGTACAATTGAGTGTAGTGTTCATTCTCCCTACGTTGACCAGCAAGCACACCATAGCCATGTTGATGGCAGCCGGTCGCTCCGTCAATAGCTTGTCCTTCAATATTTTGCTACATTTGCTGCTCTTTGCCATAGCATCCAGGTAGATATCTGCAAATGTATGGCCTTTGGATCCGTCCGGTTTCGTGAAGACTTTCTGGTCGTCCTCGAAAACCTGCTTCAGAAAATCATACTGAATGTCTTTGCGCCACAGCGGAACGCCGTCTTCTTTCTTAAGATGGCGTATTTTGTTGCCCGAATAAACTGAGGAGACGCTGCCGTTTGCATTGCGACGTACGGTAGTCGAATTCGCGGTGTAGTATGCCTTGTTCGACTTGCCAGCTTCTTCCGAGTCGCCCTGCATCATGTCTGGCTCGTCGGGGCCAGGCGTGTTGGCTTGTGAGTTGGTGGAGGCCTTGGTGTCGTCCATAGTTGAAGGTTCGGCGGCCAGAATATGCCGCAGGCTGTTTCTGGAGTCTGGCTCGTCGTTGCGCACAGGAGGTGCGGCCGGTGCTGATTCCGCGTCCATGCTTAGGTTGGTGCTGTGTAATGTTCCGCAGGGGCGAATGCCAACAAAGCGGTGCTCAAGAACTGGAAAGCATTGAACACAGGTTGAAGCAGGGAAAGCAAGGATATATGAAATGGAACAGATGCGAGTAGTTCGCAGGCGATACCCAGACGCTCTTGCACGGTACCGGATGCTTTACGGAGAAGCGTTTCTCCGGCTTGAGGCTCACGAAATCCTTGGCTTGTGATTGGCTCATCGCTATGTATACATACATGTACTTCCAAAGTTTTGTCTCTGTGCTGGAACGTGAATTACACGTAGCGGACGCGCTCAATGATGTACTTGAATTATTTATATTCAATCAATCTCTCTCTTAAATCCATGCTATACCATCACGTTTTCGAAATTATCTGTCATCTCTCAAATAACCCACAGTTTGTCAAGATGCCATTGTGCAGCCCAGAGGGTGCTACTTATCTCGTGAAAGCAACATTCGTATTATGCAACGTCATACAAACGATGCCGACTATTCAGCTGGATACAATAGGGCACAGAGCCTTCGCAGACTCGTAGTATGCAGCACAAGTCTTTCACATACAGGGATTCTGTGCATATATAGATATATAATCACGACAGTTTGGGGACAATTCACCTTAATATCAGAAACCCGTGTGTCAAGGCTGTAGACAAACGATTGAAGGAGAAAGCATATTGGCCAAGGCCTCAAACACATTCACGAGGAAGAATATTGTGTAATGTGAACCACATGCATTGGAGCAGGAAATTACGCCCCATACTATTCTATAGAGCTGGATCCATCCAACCACGCTTTTTCTTCGATTCCCTCGCCCATGTCATGAGTGATCGCCATGCCATGTAGATGCAAACCAAAGCTTTCCTCCGCGAGCTGGCCTTCGCAGCCATGACAATTACCGATTTTTGGGGTATCTCCTTCGCTAAAAGCCTCATGAAAAGCTCATCAGAAAAGGTTCATCCCTCGTAAACGCCATCTATGTGCGATAACCAGCAAACTTTTTTCGTCGTCCAGAATCTGCACGCTGATTCCCACCGAGGGGAAGAAAGACGACGAACGAAATGCTCGCTGGAGGGGTATGACAAGGGAAAGGAATCGCTTTTGGAAAAGTAAAAGAAAACAGATTGGCACCGAAAGCCCGAAATGTGGAAATCTAACCGGAAACCCCAAGCAGCATCAAGGGCAGAAAAGCGGAGGCATAAAATGTTCGTAATCGCGCCCAATGCGCTTCGGATCTCCGCCGTTCATGGGTCGACCGTGTCGTGAAGGTCGATCAAGCGCCGGATACTGGGTATGCTGAGCTCGAAAAGGACGCATGTTCGCAAAGAAACAGTCGATGTCTATATGCTGATTGGGGAATGATTTTTCGAGCTTCCGTGTCGTGACCGGAAAGAAACGCAGGTAATCATGTAATGAAAAGTCGCAGAACAAGGAAAAAGGAAAGTAGTCGAAGCTCTTCAGGATCGTAAGCAGGCTTAGGACCGAAGACTTTCAGCCGCAGACATAGCGGCACGATAGCCTGGACGATAGAAGATATCGTACCCAGGTATCGTTGAGTGAGTGGAATTTACCACCAGGAGTTTCCGGCAGGGCCAGAGGGGTTGCCGTAGCCTCCTCCTCCGTAGCCACCGCCGCCGCCGCCGTAACCACCGGGAGGAGCTCCATAGCTACCAGATTGACCGCCGCCGAAGCCTCCGCCACCATATCCACCACCAGGAGCGCCACCAAAGCCGCCGCCACCGAAGCCGGAACCACCACCGCCGCCGCCGCCGCCGCCGTAGCGACGAACATCACGGTTGGCACCTCCACCACGGCCGCGACCGCCTCCACGTCCTCGACCGCCACCACCGAAGCCAGAGCCCTCGCGGGCAATGCTCTCCAAGAAAGCGGGAACTTCCTGGTTAGCTTCCTTGAGAAGTTCGAGGAGGTCACGGACAACACCACGGTTGCCACGGTTGAAGAAGGCAGTAGAGATACCGGTGTTTCCGGCACGTCCAGTACGACCGATACGGTGGACGTAGTCATCAATGTCAGTGGGAAGGTCATAATTGACGACGTGCTTGACATTCGGGACATCCAAACCACCTAGATGAAGAGATTAGCACATATTCGGGCGATATGACTTCAAGGGTAAGACTTACGAGCAGCAACAGCAGTTGCGACGAGGATGGGGCAGCGTCCGGTACGGAACATCTCGAGGGCCTTTTCACGTTCACGCTGGGTGCGGTCTCCGTGGATAGAAGTAGCAGGGAAACCCTGGTTGATGAGGAAGTCAGAAAGCGAGTCGGCCAAACGCTTGGTCTCAACGAAAATGAGAGTAAGTCCACTAGTTTGGCCGCCAGTGTGGAGAATGTCAAGCAGCACAGAGCGCTTATCAGCATCCTCTACGTATTCGACCTTCTGGGTAATGTTCTCCGAAGTGGAACCAACACGACCGACAGAAAGGAAGATGTACTCCTTGAGGAAGTCACGAGCGAGCATCTGGATGTCGCGGGGGAACGTGGCTGAAAACATGAGAGTTTGACGCGCAGCAGTGGGCGGCATGTCCTCGCCCTCGACGATACGACGGATCTGAGGTTCGAAACCCATGTCCAACATACGATCAGCCTCATCAAGCACGAGGTACTTGATGTTGTGAAGGGAAATGCGGCCACGCTCGATCAGATCAACGAGACGACCAGGGGTAGCTACGAGCAAGTCGCAGCCACGCTCAATCTGGCGGAGCTGGGAGCCGATATCGGCACCTCCGTAGACGACACAAGGGCGCACCCAAGAGCGGTAAGCAAACTTGCGGGCCTCGTCGTAGATCTGAGAAACAAGCTCACGGGTGGGTGCGAGGATGAGAGAAGTAGGGTAAGCCTTGCGTTGGCGTCCATAACCTCCTTGCTGACCGGCAGGGGGAGCGCTGGGGCCAGTCTGGTAAGCCTGGGAAAGAATGGGGAACAAGAAACCACCAGTCTTTCCGGAACCGGTCTGGGCACAAGCCATCAGATCGCGACCGCCCATGACGATGGGAATGGAGTATTTCTGAACGGGGGTGGGGACCTTGTAGCCCGACAACTCGATGTTGCTGATAAGGTGATCGTCAAGCGGGGGGTTGGTGAAGGTGTTGACAGGCTCAGGCACACCCTGACCAGATGCTTCGACGGGGATGTCGTCGTACTTCTCGAAGTTGATACCGGTGTGTTGCTTGGAGGGATCATTGGGAACGCCGAACAGCTCACGCTCAACGCGGGGGTTGGAAGGGCCGGGAATGTGCTTGCCGTCCCTCCACTGTCCGTCACCAGATCCGCGGGCAGAAGCGCCGCCGCCAGGCTTTCCGTAGGCACCAGAGTCGAACCTGCCGCCGCCGCCACCCTGGTAGCCATTCTGTCCGCCACGGGGTGTGAAGTTGGGGGCGCTCGCCCAGTCGCCGCCGCCGCCGTTGTTCATACGCTGTTGAGGTGGTCCACCGTATCCGCCTCGGCTGCATCTTGTTAGGAACAGTCGTGTCTTCATCGAGGTGAGTTGTCTTACTTGTTGGGTGCCCATGCACTGCCGTTCATACCGTGACCGTTCATTATGGGTGGCTGTCCGTCCATCATTGGAGGGGGACCATCCATCGCTGGAGGACCACCGCCTTGACGGCGCATGTGGGGAGGGATATAGGCAGAGCGCTCGGCCTGGAAGTTGCCGGGAGCGTGCTGGGAGTCGTGCATCGAGAGACGACCCATGTCGAGCTGATCAGCCATGTTGGGTAGATTGAGCTGGTGGAAAGTGTTGTAGAGAGTTGCTTTTGTGGGTTGAAGAGAGAGAGAAGATGCCGTGGAGAACAAAGCTGATGCAAACTGCAGTAAAATCTTCAGGGACTAAGGTGAAGGACAGTTGACAAACTGAAAGCCCAGGTGAAGACGAGTCGTAAAATCACAGGCAGAAACGCGCCTGAAACTGAGAGGAAAAAGGGAGCGCCTTTTTCCAGAAAACGACTGATGAAAGGAGAGCGAAGACCAAAAGAGTGGACTTCACCGAGAGTGTGGTGGGAGAATTTGTAGATGGCACACAAGGAAGGTTGGCTGTGTGGAAAATATTTGAGGGAGGGAAGAAGAAAGTGCAGCAGCTTGTGAGCGAGATTTTAGGTGGCGCGCCACTAGGCTCAATCGACTTAGTCATGCAGTTGATACGCATACGGGCGGTGAGGTCCTCATATGTGACTGGGCCGCCCCAAAACCTCGTGCAGCGCGGCAGTGTGCATACACACAGGTAAGCTCTTACACACCTATTGGTCGTGTTTATCTCACTTTGCTCGCCCCTTTGCAAGACTTTGTCGGCGAAAGAAAAACACAGTTCACTACGGCGCCTGAATGGTGGCGATACTGGCTGATCTACTTTAGCTACTTTAGTCTACCGCTGTAGACAGGGGGCAAAGCATTGATGACCGCACAGGTCGAGGCCCGCAAAACGACAAACGCGCTGACAATAGCTAATATGTACATATGTGTGAGGTATCTCTTTTGCTTGCGATATGTACAGTCTCACGCCATGTTCTTTTCTTTCAACCCCGAACCACCGCCTCCACGAGAACGAATGAAAAGGGCACACACACCGACCACGGCACCGATAAGAAACAACTTCTGACCCATGGAAAGACCGCTGTCGACCTCACTACCTTGAGTGGGGACAGGCACGGATACACTAGTCTTCTTGGGCTCACTGGGCTGCTCCTTGATATTGGCCTGATCGGCCGCAGTTTGCTGAGAGGGAGTAATATCGAGATTGTCGCCAGCTTTGGCAGGCTTCGCTTCACCGTATATATCTTAAAGAAAAGGAAGTATCAGCGCCTCTCCAGCATATCAAGCCACAGCACTGGCTTAGAGTTCCACGTGGATACCTTCTTCGGGCACCTCAAGCTCGCCGCTCTTGGCAATCTTGACCGTCTTGACGGGCTTGTCGCCAGGCGCCTTGTCCACGTTCTCAACCATCTCTACAATTTCGTAGCCCTCGAGAACCTCGCCGAAGACGACGTGGCGTCCATCGAGCCAGGAAGTGATGGCGGTAGTGATGAAGAATTGAGATCCGTTCGTGTCCTAGTTTAGTGTGAGTGGAAGATTTTTAGAGAATCAGATGTGATCATGTCATACCGTGCCCGAGTTGGCCATGCCTAAAAGAACTGGTTAGCCGCACTCAATTGCAAGGTGGAGAGAAGTGATGACGTACTCAGAATACCAACTTTGGAGTGCTTGAGCTTGAAGTTCTCATCGGGGAACTTGGTTCCGTAGATGGACTTGCCGCCAGTTCCATCTCCATTGGTGAAGTCACCACCCTGAATCATGAACTGCTTGATGACACGGTGGAAGGTTGAACCTTCATATCCAAAGCCCTTCTCGCCGGTGGCCAAAGCTCTGAATCATGGTGAGTTCATGTGTGGGAATCAAGATGTAGGAGGATAGAAGTACCGGAAGTTCTCAGCGGTCTGCCAAAGGTGTTAACTGCGGTCCCTATGGCGAACGAGGGGCAAGTGATTCTATGTGCGTACCTTGGGCACGGTCTTGCCGTAGAGACCAATTACAATGCGGCCGAGCTTCTCATCTCCATGCTCAATGTCGAAGTAGACCTGTAAGCAACGATTGGTTAATGTCCGAATCTTCGAGGGTGCACCTATCATAGCTCGATACATACCTTGTGGGTGATCTTTGGGCCTTTGGCAGCTTCAGTGGTCTGCGCAAAGAACATAAAGGTGATCGAAAGGATCAAGAGCGCCGAGATAACGAATCTCTGAAGGGAAAGCATTTTGGCTGATGTCTCCGCTTCAATGGATGAGGGGAGAGGAGTGATTTATGGACAGCTGGAGGCCCTGAGGAAGGTGAGGGGTGGGCCGTTCCTGAAACGTGGATGGTTCGGCGATTCCTTTCTCCGCTTGTCGATGCAATGCACGACCCACCGCCCGACCCATCGCCGACTCGAGCAGCCCAAAGAAGTTTGCCGCAGACATCAACGACGCCATTTACCCGCCATGGTGAGTAGTCAATTGAAGAACACTGGAACCCTTTGCGCTGACGCTTGAAAAGCCTTTCATTTTCGGATTCAACTTTACGGAGGCATCGCTCGTAAAGGTACGCGCTTTTCACCCTCCGCATCACCCCCGAGAACTACTCTGAACAATTCGCAGCGCTCTCTCGAAACCATCTATGGCGTCGGCCCCAAAGTCTCGCAGTCAATCATGGCGCAATTCCACATCCACCCGTGGGCCAAGGTCGGCAGCTTGAAGAACACGACTCTTCTTGGCCTTACTGAAACACTTTCCAACATGAAACTCGAAAACGACCTGCGGCGCGAGGTACAGGACAACATCAGACGTATGAAGGACATGGGATCATATAGGGGAAGGCGACACGCTATGGGTCTTCCTGTGCGAGGTCAAAGAACAAGGACACAGGTGAGTATGCAGGATAAAACTAGAGTGGATGGAATGCTGACATGCGCAGACTTCCACGGCAAGAAAGTTGAACAAGATCGAACGAGGAGGCTCCGGACGTGTACAGATGTGAATGCTATATTTGCGGAGATTTGTAGAATACTGTATACATATGGGACGGGCATATCGTGGCACGCATCAAACCCCATGTACGGATCCGAGTTATGCGCTAGAGGAGTTATCAAATGGAATTGTAAACGTCATTTTCGCGATAGGTGTCGATTTGCCGTCAATGGGTGAGGGCCCGGATGCAATCGACTGGATACATGGAAGAGCGTTTGCTTGCACGACATCAGATCTGATGCCTATGGCTGCGATATAACGCTGGGCCTTCTTTGACGGGAATTCGAATACACAGTATGGATCAAAGGATTATAGAAGTTGGAAGACGGGACAATTTGGGGAACAATTGAGCGTATATACCATCAACAACCTTGCCAAACAAGAGCCATCGTACTTCAAATCTCTTTTTGTAAATGCTTTAAAAACTCCGTGAAGCAAGATCCATAGGCATGCTTGAATAATGAAGTCAGTTTCAATTGGCATAGATGGATTATGCCGCCAGCTCAACAGCATTTCTTATATCTAATTCGAGTGTTTTGATTCCAAGTTTGTCCAGCTCCCTGATCCTTGATGAGACTCTCATTGTTATCAGCCTCAAGTCGATCAGCATACTGTACGTGTGATGTTGATATGTGAATACTGGTGAGTAGATGGCGTGCTGAATCTCGGGTCGATGTTCACGGGTGAGTGTTGCTCAGGTAGGATTTGAAGCGTTTAGATGAATACATAGAGAATGTTGGGGAAGTTGCAGCTCCTAGAGAGTCCTTGTACGCACGAGGTGTAAAAGGGTTTGCGGTCACTATGGACAAACAGAAAGATGAGGAATACACCTCAATCCTCCTACCAGAGCGAGAATTTGGAAAAGATTCAGAAACGAATTCGTCTATCTGCGATTGGAATGACACCGACCTATCTAGGTATATATATCCACACATAATCAGGATGAATCCATAGAACGTACCGATCCCAATCAACCACGTTTCCCCTGAAGAAACGAGTCCAATCCAGCCAGGGAAAAAGAAATCGTGCATGATCTCACATCACGCCATGTTCCTCACCACAAAGAAAGCAACGGAACCAAACGAAACGACGACGCCACCAAGTTGCTCGCTAGCACCTTAATTCTAAACGTGCAAAGTGGAGTTTGTTGGTTTTTTTGCGTTTGCTTTCTGTCATTAGGTGGAGGTGTCGCACGATGACGGATGATGAGACGGAGTAGTATATGTTGGGGATGGATGATGATTTGAGAAACCTCTAAGAGATAGAGAGAGCGCGATGGGGAAATAATGGGTTTTCGATATAGGGGCTGGTTGCTTGGTGTCGAGTATATGGAGTTGTGACTATAGGCCATGCATGTATATCCTGTAGTATTGGATGTTATTGTTGGTGGGGAGATAAGGGTAGCATCTGGGTTAGTGAGATCCATGAGACTGCGGCGTATCCGAGTGCGACATGACCGCGCTTGTATGGATGATGATTAGACAAACCGATTTGGAAAACGAAACAAAAAACGGTGACTGAGAGGTTGAATACCTCCATTTCGCGCGACAGTATTGAACATGAGAACCGTATATATCGTACTGCCAAATCGAGGTTTGCTGACACTGGGCGAAGGTGGCCGGTGCAGTTGTGTGCGCACTGACCAAAGACCCAAGGATGATACGAGAATGCATACATGTACCTTGCACCTGCAGTTGCGGAGAAATAACAGCGAATTGGAGAAAAAAAGAGCAAGAGACGTGGATTACTCTGGGACGGGGTTGCGAAAGCGGAAGGTGGGTTTGCCGAAGTCCCAAGTGTTGCTGGGATCGGCCTTGGAGATTCCTGAGTGTACCTGCATATTCTTATTGGCATGCTATTTTGTTAGGCGTGCACGCAGTCGAGGTTGGAAGCTCAGGGGGAAAGGGAAGTCGTGGAGATGGAGATTTGGATTGGCTTTAGCTTTATACGATTCGGGAAAGTGGTTTGGAGCGAATGCATCTCTGGAGATTTGTTTGTCTCTCTTGTTCTTTTGTTGCTTCTTCTGTGATGGTGGGGAAACTGGGGAGATGATGAGGCTTGGTTTTGTCGCGGTTACACGATCGGATCTGCAAACATGGACGACGTGAGATGTACGACACTGTCATCGAGTGGACATTGACGTATAGCAGATGCCTGCAAAAGGAAAGAGATAGCGGCAAGCAGCAAAGAAAGAAGACTTGGAGCGAGCATTGGCGGATCCGAGGATTTGATTTGATGGAGGAGCAAAGGAAAAAAAAAGGTTTGATTGTCACTGGAGTGTTTGAAGTTGGTGCCAATGTGCTTGAGTCTTGAGGCCCTCTTGGAAGAGGATGGCTTTGGGCCATGTGGTCTGTCCGGGTGGAGAGGGCCGAAAGAAAACCTAGATAAGACGGGCACAGCACAGCAGTGGATGGATGGACGGATGGGAGATATGGTTTGATTGTGACCAAACCAAGAAAGAAGAGCAGGACGGAAGCATGGCGTGGCGGTGGACGGGAGCTGGAGATAGCGTGGCCTCGAGTAAGATGCATCAAGCAGGAGGCTGTTGGATACATAGATAGATACAGGGCGAGTCACAAACAACAGCACATGAAGACGGGCGGCGGCATTCCCACGAGCCAGCCCCTGAAGCGGTGCCTGGCGCTGCAGCCTTTGTACAGCCAGGGCAAAGCGCAGGGAGGCCGGCGGCTAACCCCCCCTGCAGAGGATCTCTGGCTCGTAAGGGGACTGTGGGGGGGTTTCTTTGATTCTCTTTTTCAAATGAAAGATGGTGCTGTTTGGTCGGAGAGCGGGTAGGAAGGATGCGGAGAGAGATATCGTACGATGCTTTCCGGTCTCTTTTGCAGAGGTTTGGGCCATCAATGCCATGAGGGCGTGTAGCAGCAAGCTGGCAAGCCCAAACGCGAGACGTGTGAGGAGCACAGTCCTGTGGTTCTGGAGCTTATTGCGGCCGTGGGCGAATCAGGGCCCCGCGCGAGGGGGGCGGATGATCATCAAAGCGGGGGCATCTCATTTCGGCTGTGCAGAAAGCTTGACTGTTGGCTTCGCTCCAGCGCGAGAACCCCATCCATACATTGATACATCCAAGTACATGTCATCAACAACAGCAATATGGACGGGCACGTGGTACATGCACTTGGAAGGCCAACATTGGATCATAAAGTAATCATCGTCCTCATCCACATCGTCGTCGTCGTCACCACCATCAGCAGCAGCAGCAGCAGCAGCAGCAGTCATATGCACGCCCGCACCCATTACAGATGCGTGTCTAAATGCGGCATCAGAGGCTGTCATGTTGGTGATGGGCCTGCACTGCCCATGCACTGCTCACACCATTAAAGCCTGGGCCGTCGACGCCACAAGCGACCACCACCACCACCACGACAGGTACCGCACTATAGGTAGAGACAGACTGATGGTTGCAAGCGCAGAGGGCCCCCAAAGGTTGAAACACTTGAGACAAAGACGGCGAATGCGTGTACATGTATGTGTGCCGTGTTGCTATCAAAAGAACCGAGCATGAATGGACAAGCCAGCCGCACAGTGGATGGAGTACAGTATACACATGTAATCATCATCATCATCATCATGTGTACATGGAATCGTGCAGCGCAGTGCAGCAGCCCAAGAGTCGGCTCCGCCAATTCTGATATCAGCACCAGCCAGCTTGACCCACGTTATATCCTCTTGTGTACATTAGCTGCCACCTACGCGAAGCAAAGAGACGCTGTGGGTGCCCCAGCACGCCCTCTGTATGGCCCAAACCCAATTCCACCATTACCACCACTACTGGACAGCCCACGGCCTGCTGCTTCCTGTCTTCCATTGTTGCTTGCTTGCTCGCTCGCTCGCTCCTTTCGTCTTGTCTCTGCTGCGTGCTGCTCTCTCTATTTCCTGCCAGCCATGACAAAAAAAGAAGGCTATCCATCTATAGGCTGGTCGCTGTTTCCGTGTAGACAAATCCCTCGTTGCCTGTGCAGCAATCCCCATCAATCAATCCATCCTTGTGTCGAGGGAACAAAAAAAAAACAAAAAACAAAACCACAACCCCTCCCTCGACATAAACTATTCTTCCATCACCCATCGTCGAGTCTTGCTCGTATCGTATCGTGTCGTGTCTGCTCGTACTGCTGCTGCTGCTGCTGCTGCCGTCCTTCCATCCATCGTCCAATCTGCCGCCCGTTGGATTTACCCAGCAAAATTGCGAAACGTCCCCACTGCAACGACGGCCGCCATCAATGACCCTGGCCCGCCCTCGACGTACGTGCTGCTAGGCTGGTTTAAGCCCGCTGGGGGCATTCGTTACATTACTTTCTCGGAAGGTCATGCATCATGAGGAGTCGCCAACCCAAGACTCCACCACAGCATCCTCGCCCGTCTACCACCTCCACCACCACCCACTCTCCTTCACACCTTCACTCTCCCACCCGACCCCTTCTGCACCCTCCTTCGGCGAGGCCATTCGGACGCCCCTCGACGTATCCCGCTCGAGACACGCCCACCTGTCCCTCTCGCCGTCGTATTCACCCCCCATCCCGTCCGAGCTGCTGCCATCCTCCTCCCCGGCCAGCCACACCTGCTCCCCGTGCGCTTCGCTGAATTTGACCCACGACGACACCAGCGCCCGCTCGCCGCGCGAGAGGCTGGATGATTTGCTCCTCGATCTTGCCCATCACCATCCTTCTGCCTCGACTGCCTCGCCCTTTCCCTCGCCCACTAATCCCTTGCAACTGCTAGCCTTGCACCCAAATTCTCCGCTATCCTCCACCACTCTACCTCCACGAGCCACCACCGCTCACTTGCCAGGCACCCCCTCGCATGTCCGAGCACGCAACGCTTCTGCTCCCATCATTTCTACCGCCACCATCCTACCCTCACCAGCGATTGCGGCCACCATGCCTCCTCCATCGCGCCCAAGCCGTCCAGAGACGCGCCCTACCCCTCCGCGCAACCCTTCGATAGATTCTGCCGCATCTTCTCTCTCCTCCAGCACTTCGCAGCCCCTCCGCGCCAATGCCAGCCTTCCCCATCGATCCTTGACGGATCCAAGTGGTGCTCAATCACCGGATATGGCAGCCCTCATAGCAGCTGCCGGAGGCTCGCCTGAAGCAGCCTTCATGAACTTATTCAAGGAGAAGCAGAGCGCGACAAACCACAATACCCAATTATGGCGCCTCGTCGAGAAACAGCGCGCCATGATTATAGGCCTGCAACGGGATCTCGAGCGCGCTCTCAAGGATAAAGACCGCTACCGGAAGAAGCTCAAAGAGTATACCGGCCAAGTACCACCTGTACCTGGTGCACCAAAACGATCTGACACCTTTGATTCTGTCGTGGAACGTGACAACAGCCAGTCACCCGCTCCCAGCGATGTACAGGAAGATTCCACCAAGCCTCTCGCAGTATCGTCTGCGAGATCCGCCGAACATAAAACATCCCCGCTCGCACAAGGCACTTCCGCGGCTCAATTGCTGACAGAAGCTCCTGTGGCACACTCTCCTACCTCCGACACCCATACGCTGTCGAATCCATCCTCGAGCTTGAACTCCCCTGCCGACCTTTCTGTCAAGCCTTTGAACCTTCAGAGCAAAGGAGGGCTTGGCTTGACTGCTGCAGCAAACGATGACCCTTCTTCCACCGATGCCTCCAAGCTTCCCGAATCTCCAAAGGCAGTGGAACCTCGGCCTTCTACGCCCCCCGAAACCTCGCGACCCGCTGCAGAGTTACTCAAAGCCCCAGCCTTGTCACTGACACAAGCGACGCCCGTGCTTGGCGGGGATGGGTTTGAGTCTCCCCCTCAAAAACCCGCGCAACCATCGCGCAAAGCTCCGCCGGCCCCGTTAAATTTGGTTAAACCAGGAAAGCCGAGCGCGCATTTGCACCAGGCAGAGGCTGGCGAGGAAGATGATTCCGACTATGACGATGTTCTAGAAGTGGACGAAATCCCCATCATCGATCGAGGCAGGAGAAAAACACGAGAGGATGACGATCGTGTCCGCGAAGCCATGGCTATGAAAGAAGAGACTGCTCGAAGCAAGTCAAAGAAGAAGAAGAGTGGGAGCAAGCCTACATCTGCAACCACTTCCGAAGCGGACGCGCAGAGTGCCACCCACCTGTCCCCCCAATTAAGCCCCCATCAAACTGGCCTATCACTCTCACCTCGTCACCCACCTGCAAATTCCCTCAATGCTCTTTTGAGCCCAACCAACTCGGACAGCTCTACAATGGCCCAACGAAGTCTAGGGTCTCCCCCACCGTTGATGAGTCCTGGGTTGCCCAACAGCCCTCGACCAGGGGACAGGCCGATTGGATCACCTTTGCCGAGACACCCGAAACAGTCGCTAGCATCACCCCCCATGTCACCAAGATCCGATGTGAACGGTGTCAGCTCCCAAGCATCTCGGCCGCCGCGACAGCCAGTTCCACTTCCACCAAACACGCCTCAGTCGTATACATCACCTCATACCAACCGTCCAGAGGCTCCTTCCCAGCAGAAGCAGCAGCAGCAGCCACAGCCATCGACGTCTGACCTGCTGAAGCCATCCAATGCTCAATTGAACTTGGAGGCGGATAATGCTGCTCTCAATGGTGAGGTGGAGCATGTCTACAGAGGCTTGGTATCGGACCAGTATCCTGGCTTGCTGCTTCCTCCCAACGCCTTACCTTCCATCGAAGCCAAAGTCTCATCCTCTCGACTACGACCTTCACGTCTGAGTTTCCTAGCTCCCAAGCCTCAAGAAGAAGATCCCGTTTTCCATCTCGCTATATATGCACGCTCAGACAGAAAACAACTATGGCGAATGGAGAAGACTATCATGGCGCTGCCTGCTTTGGACCAGCAGCTCAAATCCTTATGCAACTTCCAAGGCAAACTTCCCGACCGCGCTCTGTTCAGTGGGCACGCTCCTGCCAAGATTGATGCTCGGAGGGTTGCTTTGAACAATTATTTTGATACCATTCTTGAAACTCCTATGGACGAGAAGGCCGCCCTGGTGGTGTGTGAATTTTTCTCGACAGATGTCATTGGTGCTCAGAATGGAGACACGTTGGCCCCAGAACCCGCGGCTCCACAGGTTGCCCCAGCACCCAAGAGCAAACAACAAAAGGAGGGCTACTTGACGAAGCGCGGCAAGAACTTTGGCGGCTGGAAAGCACGCTACTTCATACTAGAAGGCTCCGAGTTCAGGTACTACGAAATGGCTGGTGGTGCGCACTTGGGAACAATCAAACTGCAGAACGCTCAAATCGGCAAACAATCCCAGCAACAATCAAATCAGTCCCCGCAGCGTCGTGACGAATCCGAGGACAATCAGTATCGACACGCTTTTCTCATCTTGGAGCCGAAGCGTAAGGACTCTGCGAGCCTTGTTCGGCACGTGCTCTGCGCAGAAAGCGACGAGGAGCGCGATGCGTGGGTCGATGCGCTGCTACAACACGTGGATTATCACGAAGAAACCTCTCCCACAGAAGCTCATTCGTCGGCCGCTGGTCGGCCGGCTGTCCTAACCAAATCCCAAGGCAAAGAACCCGCTCGACCAAGAAAACGGGAGAGTCCCGACACTGAGAAGCAAAGCAGACTGCAAGGCCTTAGCTATGATGATACGGTTGCTGCTGAAGCACCAATCCGAGGGCCAACCCACCGGGAAGCTAAAGAGGCACATCTCCATTCCCCTAAACACAGCTCCATATCCAGTGACAGCTCTCGGCAACATCCTTCGATTTCAGGGCCTAGTAACGGTGCCCCTATACAAGATGCCGGAAGCTGGGGCAACAGGTCACTAGCGGCCCCTCCTACATCGGTCAAGGACAAGAAACGAAGCATTTTTGGTTTCGGATCCCGAGGACGAGCGCCGGAAACTGCACCTGAACAGATATATCTTCAACAGCATCACGGCTCTGAAAGAACGATTCAGCAGAATCGTAACGTCTTTGGCATTCCACTGGCCGAAGCCGTCGAGTATACTCAACCCATTGGCCTCAAGGATCCGTTACCTGCTGTTGTCTTTCGCTGTCTGGAATACTTGAGAGCGAAGAACGCCATCAACGAAGAAGGAATATTCCGACTGAGTGGATCCAATATAGTCATCAGGGCGCTCCGTGAGCGTTTCAACACTGAAGGCGATGTCAAACTGTTGGACGGGCAATACTACGATATACATGCCGTTGCCTCGCTTCTGAAGCTCTATCTCAGAGAACTTCCATCTTCGATCCTGACGAGGGAGCTGCATCTAGATTTTCTCAAGGTTCTCGGTAAGTTGACTGTAAACTCGCGGCCGCGTTGCTTCTCACTGACGTGCTTCCAGACATGGATGAGCGATCGAAGAAAATTCAAACGTTCAGTGTGCTTGTGCACAGGCTTCCCAGGACCAATTTCGAACTTATTCGTCATATGTCCGCCTTTTTGATCGAGATTGTTGAGAACGCGGGCATGAATAAGATGACTGTGAGGAACGTCGGGATCGTTTTTGCTCCGACTTTGAATATCCCAGCACCGTTGATCTCATTCTTCTTGACTGATTTCCCGGACATTTTTGGCACACCTGTAGACGAAGCCACTTCGCCTATCAACGAAATCCGTACAGCAACACCTCAACTCGGCGACGAAGTCAGATCGCCTCGACGCCAAATGTTCTCTGACATTCCTACACCCGCCTACAACGAGACCACCTTTCAGCAACCAGCTCATGCGCAATATGACCGGCCTCCTTCCAGCTTTCCCATGGGCCACCCGCCTCAGCATCCTCCGCCGCCACCTCCTCAGCATCAGCAGCAACAGCCTCAGTATGCTGGCTATGACACCGGCTTCACACCGGTGCGACCCAGCTATGAAGCACCAGCCTACGAACAGCATTATCAGCAAGCAGAAGGCTATGGTAGCTTGAGGAACTCCCAACCGTTGGGAAATGCCAAAGAACAGAGACAGCGACGTCGAGAGAGCGGTATGCTTCTCATGACCATGGGTCAACCGCGCAAGGGCTCAAATGGATCCATCCCACCTCGGCCGCCGCAGGGTGAATACCGCGCGAATCCCTTGTTGATTCGCGAGGAAACGGCATTTGACTAGAGTATCGCCGGAACATCGCTTCTTGAGACTGCGATATAAATGACGAAACAATCCTGCCCTTTGACGACACAATCGACACAGCCATATACCAACAACTAAACATCATCTCTTGGCATAGATGGGAAGCTACACGAAGTATCACTATCCGAATAATTTCTGATGTTAATTACGCCTCACCAACGGGCCGGATCCCTCCGACGCGGCGCCTTTCCTTGTATACAGTAATCTCTCGATACAGCGTTTCATTTCCTGGCGTTTGGGGAACGAACCGAATGGTCGTTCTTTTGCGTTTGCGTTTCCGTTTTCAAGCTTTTTTTTCTTTGCATACCCACACCTGCGTCTTTTTTCGTTCTTACTCAGCCTGTACTTCAATTTGGAAAGCACTGCAGGTTTTTCTATTGTAGCGAAACCGATCTCGGCGCGACTTGGGAGCCTCATCTATCTGAAGGCAAGGATTCCCGATTGTAGCCAGGTTGCATTCTTACTTGCTTACTCAATATTATACGCACTCGTTGAGATTCCCCAACTTGGAGTTCTATTCTGTATGTCTTCGCTTCGTTATGGCGGACTCCCTTGCCCTGCTTCCAATATACATCTCTACTGCTACTCTTGACACCGGTCTTACCGCATCCATCACGATGAAGTTCGGGGGGAGTGTTTGAGCGTGTTGGATATGCTTTGCTGGGTGTCAATGACGACTCTTTTTTTTTCCTTTTGTTATGGTATATCAGTGTCTCGTTCAGCTGGCCAAGGCCTCTTTTTTTTTGGTTCTGTTTCATTGTTTTGCTTTCCTACTTTGCGTCATCGCTGGTGCCCAAAGTCCTTCTCCTATCACGATCTTCTGCTGTTCGTCATCTCTCCTGTCTCATCGTGGATAGCGGAGGAGTCGGACATAATGATCTAGCTGCAACAATGAAACTTATTTTGACCTCAACCATCAAGCTCCGATCGTGCACATTCTTCCTGCGTGAATATTGCTCATCGTGGCACCGTGGTTTGTGTTACCATTTGCTGCTGTGTGTCCAGGGGGCCAACTGAAGAAACCACGAGGTCTGCCAGTCTGATTTGCAGTTGATCAAGAGATGGAATAACTTCCAGGCAAACAACACGGCGGCCGCTGTCTTAAAGATATTCCACAACATTGTGGGCACACGGGCCTGCCATCATTGAGGTTACCAGCAAATTTTGCTCGTATTTGGTCGGGAAATATGCTAGATCCTCCACTGGGCTTTGGGGGGTTCGTATGGAATATCAGTAAACCCTTCGACTTCAAAAATATAGTTAATCCAAGGTGATACTTAGTCATCGGAACTGCTGCCGCTTTCAAATTGATCGAAGCTCATCACTCGTTGAAAGAATGGCGACTCCATGCGAGTGAAAAAAAAAAAAAAAAAAAAAAAACGATAACTTCGGCTACGTATTCTGGCACATCCGTATACCATCAAACAGGAGAATAAATGTAGCATATTTGTCTAGTCCCAAATGACATGTTGCCGGCGATGCATTCTCCTGCTTGTTGCCATCTGGAAAGGCCCAACTAATCTATTGAGTCCTGTCAACTCAGTCCATTTCACGTGCGAGCATGTTCTATAGATGCATTTGTACTCTGCCGATAGCAATGGTTCCTCCACATCCCATCACCCCATCCAGACCACCCATTTCCGTCTTCGGTCTCAGTTTACCACGCGATCGGAAAGGTCGCCGAGATCTACATCCACAAACATTAGAATCTTTACGTCGTAATCACGATACAGTGATAAGGATTATAAGTGGAGGGAGGGGAAGATAAGATATCAGACAAGCATACCTTTCTCAAATACACAACCGCCAGACTCGTCGCAGCAAACTCCATCGTTGCAACTCAACGCCTGCGATGAAGGTACATTTTCCCCCTCCGAGTTCCTGAACTGTGCGGAAGGCGAGCGTCTATTCACCACGCGATCTGCAAAGTCTCCAAGATCTACAAGTCAATGCCAATGTTAGAACGCCAGTCATCACCGGATGAAATAACAATGCGTGTTACGGTTTCAGGTTGGAACTCAAGCATACCATTCTGTAAGATGCAACCCCCAAATTGGTCGCAACAGACCCCGTCGTTGCAGGTGAGTGCCTGCGAAGAAGGCACATTCTTACCCGCCGAGTTTTTGAACTGAGGGGCTGCAACGGCGGATGAAGCCAGGAATGCGGTCGTGAAGAGGAGTTGCTTCCAGAGCATGTTTTGAAAAACTAGAATCACGGGAATGAAATTGATATGGCGGAAACAAAGATGGGGTGAGGACGCGAAATGAAGTGAAGAGAAGAATCCTAAGCCCGAGGATTTGAATTTCATCGTGTAGACAACACTGTCAGTTTATATCTTCCATCTCTCAGACTCTGCCAATACGCCGATGCGCCGTAAGACACAAGTGCTGCCCGGATTGTTTCGCGCTCTTACTTCGGACACATTCGCATATACCATAACTTGGAGCACTTATGTTTCCAAAGGAACGAGTGCATTCCTGTAGTTACGTTAATCGCATTACAATGTAGCAGTCCAGCGCTCTGGAGATTTTCCAGCTATGGAAATAAGGCATGTGCATCGTTTCAATTCCTTGTGTCAAACGTGTCAAAACTCGCGAAATGCAGCGATGAGCCCTGTTCTCACGATACTACCGCATGACCACCTCCGCTGGTAGACATCACCACATAATCCAGATGTCTCGACCGAGGTTCAGCCAAGATGTAAATCATGCGTTGTGTTTACCGTGGCTACTAGTTTCACTCAAAAGCAGTTTCTGCGGTGTATGTCCGGTATGGTCTGGTCAGGTGAATTAGGTTGGCACCCAGCTATCAATCTGCCATAAAAAACGAAAAATCTAGAGTTGGCGAATCTCGGCTCAGAAGGGAGGTATAGATCTTCATCTATTCACCACTGTGAACATGTTGTGGCGCTAATTCAGCTACATTAGAAGACTGTTTCAGAGTCCATTGTACTGAGGCATGGCCATTCACTGCTCAATCGCTTATAGCACATCTTAGCGTCACCATCACTTCAATGTTATCAATAATTCATCTTCGGTGTGTTATTGATGGATTTCAACAAAACCTATCTAGGTCACTCATCAACATTTGTGAACGCCCATATCCCCGGAAGAGAGATATAATTTGTGGGGATAGAAATGCGGCATTTCACAGGTTTGCTTTTGCCTTTACACGACTCAGATTTCCTGATCCTTCTTTCCAATTGCTGGTGAAAGCTTGTCCTTGAGGCGGTTCGTCGGCCACATGGAAGCACAGATTGACCATTCCGTCTGGCAAAGCGGAGGCGAAAACTTGCACTTTGGTGATATACTTGTTGCCAAAGTCAGCCTTGTGCTGGATGAGAAAGTAAGCAAATGCTTGACTGTTTGGAGATCCTGTAAGCACAATGATTGATTAGAATAATTATTCATACTCTTTTCTATCAACAGAAATCTCCAAAGCAGAGAATACAAACGTGAGCGGGGTTAGGATCAATATACGTACCTAAGAGAGCTCTGAACTCAGGTTCGTGCCACTCGAACGTTTCGCCAGGGAACTCTGGAAATTGGTCCCAGTCAACATCGGGGAAGCAACGTTTAATTATGCCCATGGTTTCACGATTGGCGATTCCCAGAGATAGAAAGTATCGGATATTGCGATTATTGAAATCGTCGGCGTGCAGCTTCCAGTAAAGGAAAAGTATGTCGGAGAACTTATTGAAGTCCGGCAGGTCACTTCCTTGGACTGGTGGATGGCGCTCCGCTGCTGCGTGATGAACCGAAAGACGATCCATAGCCATTAGGACTAGAAGATGATAGCCATGTCAGTCCTGAAATGCGTTCGAGAGAAAGAAAGATATATCGGTCGATGTGCCCTCAGACACTCAACAGAGGAGGAAAATGATGACGTTCGAGACATGGGAATGATGGAACATGTTTGTAGGGATTACGTACCGCCATGGAGTGGATTGACAGAGAACAAGAAATTGCCTCCGGTCGCCTACGAGCATCAGCCTTCTGATCTATTGTAGTAGATTGTGAAAGATAATGCATACCCTGATCCTCCTGTTGCCGTGCATTATGCTCTGCTCATCGAATGAAAGCTCATTTCTCGCATGCTTCAACATGTCTCCATGGCAAATCTGGATGACGACGTTCCATCCTCCATTACACAATGCCTTGTCATCAACGTTGAGACCGCGTAGAGCACTGCCGATACCTAATCCAAGAGAATTCAGCCGATGGTCAGCAAGACTCGTGGAAACACTCGATGGAAAAGGAAGAATGGAACACATACCCCAGCCTGAATATCCATAGCTGTCTTTCGCTTCAAACTCGGTTTGTGGGCCAAGATTCTGTCTAATGTCGTAGGTCTGAGTAAAGCCCCACGAAATCATGTCACCCAAGTCCCTCCAAGGACTCGCTATAGTGTTCATTGGAGGTTCGAAAAGCTGCTGTGCGGTTTCCTGGTCGGAGAGACCAAACGCCTGGAAGAAGCTGCAGCCCCGATTGCGCGCTTTTCCCCATATCTCGTCACTGGCAACTGGGTACTCCGACGTCCAGTCACGACCCTGCAGGAAGGAGCGGGATTGTTTGTGTGGGAGGTGGCGCTGTGAGCTCAGTTCTGGGACGCTGGCTCGGAAACCGTGGTCTGCAAATGCAGCGCCTATGAAGGCGAAAAGGCTTGCAACAATAGCCAACTTCATGGTGGCAATCGAAGTACTTGAAGACAGTGCTGTGAGGGCCGGGGGTGAATGTATCGATATGAGCAAGGCGAGACCATACGCTCAAGTGAGGCCAATGCCGAAGGTCTCAAAAGGGCAAGCACTCGTATGGACTGTTGGTATTCACTAGGCATCAATCTTACTTTAAATTTTGGTGTAACGCACTGCTAAAAGTGAAATAACTTCCATGGCCTATCGGATAGATTAGCTCGATAGAAACCATTTCAATTGGTGATTTGGACTACAATCGGACACAGCGCCTATCTTTGACTAGCAGGGAAGAACATTTGAAATTCGTACAAATCTTTTGCCACGGTGTCCTGCTACGATGATACAGTCAAAGACCCTATAATGATTCTCAATTAACTTCCCGTAGTCTGGACTACATACAGACCCACCATTTAATGTGAGCAAAAATGCGTTCCACGCACACTCTTGCGAAGATACCAGTGCAATCTCGTGAAAATTGATGGGATATAGACGTGGGCTGTTCCGCAGCAGTCTCGTGGGGCTGCAATTATCGAGAGCCGGAATTTGTCTCGGTGATTCCAGCATCGTAGTATACGAGGTATATTCAAGGGGAAAGCTCTTCGAGATAGGTATGTGCTGCAGCCATGCTAGAGTCCGGCGGTATTGTCCGGATCGTGAGGTAGTTTTGTACGTTCCTTCGAGAGCACACTATGCGCCGAGAGGCCATTGGTGGCGCACTTGTTCAGACGCGAGGCGTCTTGGGTCTAAACCTGAGGCTGGTTACCGTTGGTATATTGTGCCGACGGGAAGCACTTGGTGGCTGATAGACGATGATGGTGTTCGCAACTCTGGGATGGGTTCGGAACCCGATTTCGTTCCGGAACCTTGTTAGTTAGAGGGCTTGCAACGTGCATGCTTTGGTTTTAGAAAAGGCTCTGGGTTGTTCTATCTAAATGCTGCTCCTTTGCCACGCTTGTTGTGTTACAGGGAACACCTGCTGTGCGGTCTCCTATATCTGTTGGAACGGAGTACCTACGGTGGACGAAAAGTTAGTAGTCTGCTCTCTGTAGACCACAAGATCGAGTCTGAGACTCGTGAGACCGCCCTTCCTGGATTGGATTGTATATATGGGGCAATTTGTGGGAGGACTTTGGAACAAGCTTGACCGAAAATAGAGGAGAGTGGCCGCGTACGCGCATACCACGAGCTTGAGAACATCTTGATAATATGCAGGTTTCAGCTTAATCACGCAAGTCAGGGTAGTTTTACTGGTTGCCTGGCAATACAATGTTGTACGGCCAGACAAAGAACCATTTCCATTTCCATTTCAAAACACCAATTGGCACACTTCAGCTACACAAGATAAGCTCCAGACAACCAATAAAGAACTCCAGTTTTTCTACCCCCTGCCTCGAAGGCCGAAAATTCTACTCCTACAAGTAGCAGATGTTTATGTTTTACTTGGGAGACTGTATAAAGAATAAATGAAACGTGAAATGCATGAGACGTACACAGATGATAAGCTAATTAAGAAGCAAGGAAATAATCGAAGAAAAAAGGAGGAACGCCATGCAGAGGGTATATCGTAACATATTGGAATCCGTCCATGCCAAAATTTCGTTCTTTTTATATATCCAAACCCCCCCTGAATGTTGCAGGGTAATCCGCCAACGGATAACATTTTTTAGATCCGGAACAACATTCGGACTGTGGGGATGAAGTCCTTTGAATCATCGATTTGTTGCTGGGTTGTCTGTTTGAAGGCTGCGAGCCCGCCTAGGATACCGCACACCATGAAGAACAAACTGATCAGCGACCAAATAACGCCCCAGCATTGAGAGGAGCCTCCATAACGTTTCGCAAATACGTAGGCGTCCGATGAGTTTACTTTGCGCAAAATTAAATCATCACAAATATCCCAAACGCTGTAAAGGGATGACATGACGCCGATGAAGAGCTGGGAGAGGCATTGATTAGTATAGTCCCGAAAATTGAAACGGAGAGCACACATACGACGACAAAACGTAGCGGTTCTGCATGCTTGATGAACCAGCAAGCAACCAACAATCCCACGGCGAGCAATATAGTGATGATCGTCAACCAATCCTTCCGCGCCCACCAAAGCGTAAGCAAGAAGCAGACTCCGAGGACGATACTGGCAACTTTGCTCGCCACAATGTTGAAACCACAGAAAGTGAGCAGGGCGCCAATCAGACTCGATCCAAGATAACCAGCCGGAAGCGTAAAGGCCTGTTTGCCGCCTCGCATGTGCGTCACACCTCCCTCGTGCGGATCCAAGGAAATCGACTCTACTTTGCCACCCGTGCAGCACGCAGTGATGGCATGTCCAAATTCATGGAAAGCAATGACTAACATCTGAGTTGGAGGTCGGTCAGCTGATCTATGCCAAGCAATTTCTCTTTTCAGTTCCTCAGACAACGTACCTTGAACGGCCAGAGAACCCATTTAACGTAGGGCAGATTCCATAGTAGAGCGATGATTACTACATAAGCGCCGATGATTCCGAGGGTCACTCCTTGGGTGTGGTTTACAGACAGTCCGCGTTTCTGGAGATGCGGTTGAGCGAGTGCTGGACCCGCTGTTATTAGAGCCCGTCGTGCTAGCTTGGCCAGCTGTTGACGGTCAGTTGGTGGGATAAGGGGAGCCATATGTGTTATTTATGCTGCTGAGTATGAAGAACTGTAAGGAAAGAGATAATATCGAGAGCTTTGTTGTAGGTATGTGGTTGAAGGTTTGTTGAGTTGTTTGAGGTTAAACTTGGTATGCCAATCCGTGGTGACGCGTTTCCTCACATGGCCGCGCCACGTCTCCTATTTTTGGGGTGTGGCTTAGCGGTTAGTCGGCACACTTTTGGTCCTCAAGCCTCACACTGTTTAGTCGGTCCTTCTGATATGTGTCTACCATGTCTTCACTGAGCGTAATATACGTTCACAGATATTATATATAGTGAAGTGTCAACGCGTCCATTTTGCCTACCAAAAGTTGCTGTGGAATGACGTCACGAAAAAGTAGGCGAAGACATTCACATACATGTAATGATGGAACGATTGAACTGAATCAGTACAATATGAACGGCAGAGCGTAATACAAATGTAAGAGGGATATAATGCGAAAGAATTACGTTTGTTAGAAGAAATGAATAATATACAGAAATGTTCAGTGGAAAAACTAATCGACAACTAAAATGATATCGACCTTGACGATAACTCAACAACTAAACTCTCTTCTGCTCATCGACAACTTTCTCGTGTTGCTCAGATTGCCGCACTGGCGTGTCATAGACACCGTCCTTATCGCCCTTGTATTCAGCTGAGGAGTTGTCCAAAGCCGATGACCTTCCTTGGAAGGCCGCGTGATCTCGCGTGTTGCGATCAATGTATCCAGCCGGAACCCACTTCTTACTGGTCAAGGCTTTGACCGAGGGATCGGAGTACATTGCGTCGACATTTTCGAGTGACAGCGACTTGGTTTCGTAGAGGAAGAAGTACACAACGAGACCGGCAGTGAGATTGCAGCCGAAGAACACGAATCCAAATGAATAGCTGATTCCGTCATTGGCAAAAGGCGTAAGGAAACCAATAAGGAAGTTTCCGAGCCAGTTGCCGGCTGTGGCAAGCGAAGCCTGCTTCGCACGCGTTCGGAGAGGGAAAGTTTCGCCGATGACGACCCAGGCGAATGGACCCCAAGTCATGGCGAAGGAGGCGATGAACATGCACGCAGCTACAATCATGACAATACCAGAGCTTGCGTATTCGGTAGGTGGTCTCGCGACTCCGACGGCAGCGAAAATAAGAAGCCATGATGCTTGCCAGAATGCTCCGAAGATCAAAGGGATTCTGCGACCAAGGCGCTCGACAATGTAAAGTCCAGGGAAGGTCATAACCACGTTTACTGCACCAAGAATAAGTTGCACCATGATGGGATCCTTGATACCGGCAGACTCAAAAATGGTTGCGCCATACTGTGGTCAGGTTAGCATATGGGCAAGGTTTTATGGGTGAGGATGAGGGTCTAGACTTACGTAGAAGAAGTAATTGACACCAGTCCACTGCTGGAAAAAGTGGATGAAAATACCGAGGAATGTTCGGTACACCAGCTTGGGAATACCTGATGGTCGTCCAGTAAAGCACTCAGCCCAGCTTCCCTCTCCTGCTGACTTCTGTTCCTCGATAGACTCCTGCATCTCTTTGAAATCTTCCAAGATCAACTGGTTATCCGGATCATGTTTCATGCCACGAAGGCGGGCAAGCGACATGCGTGCATCATCCCATTGTCCTCGTCCGGCTAGCCATCGGGGTGACTCTGGGCTGAACAAGATACCGATTCCCAAAGGCAGAGAGAAAGCGATTCCCAGGCCGATAACGATCCGCCATGAAGCGGAATTTTCATCGAACGATCGAACGCCGAAGTTGATACCGTTAGAGACGAGAATTCCGATAGTGATCATGAGCTGGTAGCTGGCCACGACTGCTCCACGGATTTCACGGGGGCAGCATTCTGATTGAAACATAGGCACGCCGACAGAAAGATTGCCGACACCCAGACCTGCAACGAATCGACCCATCATCATATGTACCCAGGAGTTCATGGCGGTGATTTGGATGATGTTTCCAATGATGAAGATAGCGACACCAAAACTCATACTTCGGCGGCGTCCCCACCAGTCGGCAGTGTAGGCACCAGATAGTGCTCCGATGAGCGTTCCGATGGACATCAACGAGACGACCAAAGAAGAGATGATAGTTTCGAACTTTTTGGTGCCATCTGGTTGTGTTTGACCGAACCGATTGATAAAATCGTCGAACAAGAGCATACCGGAGATTTGTCCCTTGATGGCTGTCAGTGATGATTGATGAGTGGTGGGTTTAGAGGGCGTACAGTATCGTAGCCAAAGAGGAAACCTCCAATGCTGGTCACCACACCGAGCATTATCGCTTCAGCACCGCATTCTGCTCCATTCACCTTGATGTGACTTTTGAACCGTTAGTCATAGGTATCATTGTTGGTTCGTCAGGGGCACTTACAAACTTCCTAAACCCATGATTGCTTCCTCGTCAAAATATGTTTCTGGCTGTCAAAACACTTCTGACCAAAGTCGAGCAGTCTGATCGTGGATTTCCGGAGGCAGCCATTACGGTTTAAATAATCCAATCGAAAAGCCTGCAAGGCCCCAATCGAGAATCCATGGCATCTGTAATGCCCAGCACAACGCCGAGACGTGCATCCGTGCGCTCGGTACGTCATAACAACGGCACTATGCAACCACCAGGCCTACAAAAGTATCACCAAGGGCTTGGCCATACACACGACCCTCACGCAAATCGACATGATCGCAGTACCTTTTTGTGGTCCTAGCGGACTTGTTTCGGTCTCATGATTTCCCTTCCAAGATAGCCGGATTCGTGTAGACGCCGGAAATAACGTCATCCAAAAATCCTTCGACGATTTCGATGGCCATACAAAAGAATTAGCAACAGAGAGCACGCAGCCATCACACTCGGCCATCTGATCATCTTCTCCATGGGAAAGCCTCCGCACTGGCTGCGCTCCATGGGGAAAAGTGGAAAAGTGAGGCTCAGCGGGTATTCGGCACGCCTTATATAAGTGGGGTGGACAGTGGAGATGTCGGATTCAGATGCCAAATCAATGGAACTGGTCGCCAGTTGCGAATGCCTCCGTCGACTCGTTGATTGTGGGAAGGCGGAGTCCAATGGAATTGGGAGGCCTGCTGAGCACTATGAAAAATTCGCGCGAAATCCCCCTTGAATGGCTACCTGTAGGACCTGTGGAGTAATGACGCCTCTGGCATGTTGTCCTTCTCTCTTCTAGGATTCTTGGCCTTCGTACGAATTTTCAGTTCTCCTGACAGGCGGCTGTCTGTCGGCAGTGCACGAGTGGAATTTCTGGCAATTGTCGACACCCGACCATCACTCCCGCGACCTCTAACCGCGCTCTCTCTATCCGACAATTAGTCAACAATCACGAACGACACTGTCATCCGTGCCCCACTCGCGTAGGGAAGTTGGGATTGAGGCTCAAATTTAAGCAACGTCGCTCATGGCCTTGATTCAATGTCACGCACTCACACAGTTTCCCAGTCGATCCTTCTCCGAGATTTGTCTCCACTCTTTGACCCAGAGTGGGCAAGGATACTTTCTGGAGACCCCGACCCCCCGAGGTATTTTTCTCTTCCGCCAAGGCATATCGCTGTTTTGGGGGTGGATTTGTATCCATATATTCACACAGTAGTAAGGCGAGGTCTGGGATCGTGATCGCGTCGTTGCTTCTCAGGTAGTGGAGAGCGGCAATTCGTGGTGGTAGTGTGGCACTACAAGCTACTAGTAGGTCGCCTCTTGCATGCCCTAGTGACTCCGTCATTTATCTGCGAACTGTTCACTTCCAATAAGATTCTGAATATCCTGTGAGGAAACTGTTGACAGTATGTTTCAGGTGGCCCAAGTCGTTACTCCTGAGTTCGAACCAGTAGCTCAAGTTAAAAACGGCTTGCCTAAACGTCGAATAGAATGGCAGTGCAGCGGTGGTACCTGACAATACGGCTTTTAAAAAAAGGTGGAACCAGGATGTTGATGTCCTGCGGTCACAAATCTTTGCGTGTTCTCATTTTGCAGACCCACATGCGGCTCCAAGCTACCCTTGGGCAGCTTGTGAGAAACCCCCTTTTTGAACCTCCACACCCCACGGGTCAGTACCCAAGGGTGTGTCTTGTGGGCTGTTATAATGTTTCCCCTTATTCCATATTTGCGTGCCCCTTTTTTGGATGGACATGTGTCTCAGAGTTCTTCTGCGTTACAGCAACGACCTTACAAGTTGCCGACTCTGCCCAAACACTTGTCGAGTGCAAAAAATACAGTTAGTGAAGTGCAAGATTCTGACTAATGACAGATCAAGTACGATATTCTTTTCCACAATTATCCCCTCTAGGTAGCCTATGATAGGACAACGGTCGGGCTGCGTTCGCGTTCGTGGCCATCAAAGTGAAATCCCCAAGAACAAAATTCGCCTACTAACATCCCTCATACAAATTTCGCCTAACAAATTTTGCCTAACAAGTTTTGCCATACAAATTTTGCATAACAAATTTTGCCACACAAAATCTGCTGTACAAAATGCGCTATTCAAAATCCTTCTTACTACATTCTTCTTGTTAAATTCTTCGTGTTAAATTCTCCTTACTAAATTCTTCTAATAGAATTCTTCGTATAAGATTCTTTGTATAGAATTTTTCGTATAGAATTTTTGGTATAGAATTCTTCGTATAGATTTCTTTGCATAGAATTCTTTGTATAGAATTCTTTGTATAGATTTCTTTGTATAGATTTCTTTGTATAGAATTTTTTGTATAGAATTTTCCGTATATAATTCTTCGTATATAATTCTTCTAAGAAACTACTTCTAGTAAAATTCTTCGAACAGAATTCCTCTAATAAGCAGCATCCAGCTTTTGCTTCTCCACAATTTCTGTTATTTGGAGGTCCACTTCGGCAATGCCCAGAATGCCACATACTCACCGGATGCGAAACAAATGGGTCGCCCCATGGGAGACATAAGGTCCCTAACGTCGAAGGTCCCCGCGGAGTCCTTTCGTGTTCTCTAAACGTGGAGAATTCGGGGTATCTACGTGGAGATGAATGAGGCGGTGTGGCATCGATTCTGCTCGCAATGTTTGGGAGTTTGGGAGAATGGTGACTTTGCCTCACATTATCATCGATATATTGCGAGTGTATTAGAATCTGTCCGCTGCGAAGAACTAAGGCACGCCGTAAGATTATCTACACGGAAGCACTCTCAACTCAGCCCCTTCTTCTTGTGTAACGCCTGATCTCTATCAGCTCCTTTATTCGTTCAGACTTCGCATTCCCGGTAGACTTTTTCTGCCCGCTCGTGCTCCGAACAGCGAATTCCATCAAGCTGGAACAGATTGTCCTAATAATTAGAGTCAGTTCACATCTTTCACATCAGTATTGGCGTAAGCATATGTGTGTGCCAACTTCATAGCGCAGGGCGATAATCTCGTGTCACTATCAAACTTAATTCTCATTCTTGTGAGTGAGGATGACTTGGTTTACGGCTTGGTAACAACATTGAACGTCGATGAGTGATCACAGGATTCTGGCACCGCAACTTCCGTATTTCGAGCCAGAAATAGTGGGTCGAGAAGAGCGGTATCTCAGAGGTCGGGACGTGTGGGCTGGACGCCGAAATCACGGATATCGGTACATTAGCTTCGGGAATTACCTGTATTGTATGCGATCTTAACCGCGATACTCAAACAATTACTGGAAAAGATAGTTTTGGGAAGACTGGAAGTGGGTGGAAGCACATTTGCGGTCCTTTTTGAATGGATTTGTTTAGGTGGCCACACGATGACCGCAATTTAGTGAAAGGCAGAAGAGTCGACCAAAAAATCATAGTGGAGCGTAGTCTATCAAGTCAGTATAAGTGAGCAATTCAGCAATCATACGATTGTTATTGCCTTTGAATTGAAATCAAAGTTTGCAAATGTCGTTGTAGTGTCCCAAGACTATGTTTGGCAGATTTGCAATTGCACAACCACCGACTTTTCCGCTAAAATTCCGCGGGTTGTGCGGTGCCGGGCGCACTTTGCGCCCTTCTGATGCGACGGTGATCAACGGTTGAGCATTCAAGTTGCCTAATTAGGCAATATCCAGTTCAAAGCAGCAGTTAGGCTGGCGTGCTATATTCCAGTGCATTATCAACAATTTGTTTTCTCCCTCAAATTGTGGGTAATGCACGACAGCTCCTCCAACTAGCACAGTAATCAATAGCTCACTCTCTAAATTACTAGATTAGGCAGTTTGATAGGTCAAACATATAAAAATGTAGGATGCTATATCTCAGTGTACTATCAACATTTTGTTGCAACGCCCAAATTTTGCATAATCAACGACAGTGCTTTGAAACAGCACAGAGGTCAACGGCATTTTGCTGAAACTACCTAATTAGGAAGGTTGAAAAGGCAAAATAATAGAAAATGTAGGTTGTCGTACTTCAGTGCACTATCAGCATTTCGTTTCTCCGCCCAAATTCTGGATGATCAACGACAACTACTCCAAGCAACACAGTGATTAATGGATTCCACAAACCTTCCTAAATAGGCAAGTTGGCTCAACATGTAGATTTCAGATGAGACTGTTGGCAACGGTGACTTTGCAGCGTCTAAGTTGGCATTTCATAAAAGTATAAATTCCAGGAGTTTGCTGATCAGCCTACTTTGAGGTCTACCCTTGATTCATAATTATAACAGTGCTCAAACTTGTACTTTGCCTGGATGCAACACGTAGCATAATCGCGGCTCGACCAAGTCAAAGGGAAATTCAGATGCAGCTGTAAACTTTGGCGCCGCTATTACTACAGCAATGGTTCTTCTACTTCAGCTGGATGATGTATTACTTATAGGAACAATCCGCGCGATCAAGTGACTGTCACTTGACGACACATACTTATTTCGGAGAATGCTTGCCTGATTTCTCAAGTTCGATAATACCTATCAGTGATGCATCAAACACTTATACTCTCTTCTAGCAATTCAACAGTGTTTTTTCACACAATGTTGAGGTAGTCTGTAAGGTTTTTCCATGCTGAACGATTTCTACTAAAGAATAGAATTATATGTCATGAATCATGTTTGTACGCAGCGAATTAGCTGTAAAGGGGTATCATTCCATCTACAATCTTTCGTCTACATTACTATCTATTTTTGTCCATGTATTGGACTTATGTACATTGCCAAAAAGAGATATATACAATGACTTCGTGGTATGTATAGACTTGGATTATCCACGCTCGTATCTCGACTATCATCTCCATGATACGTCCTATTCGGGTAAAACCATGCGTGCACTAGAGGAATGCACGCGATGGGTATGAAGCAACCAGATCATCCGACGCACTTGTAAAGACCGCTCGAAGCGAGACTGTACGTACAGTAATCTATAGAGTTCGAACTGAATACCGCTCTGCATTCAAGCGCCTTGCACGAGCCTTTGAACGGCACGCCTGCTGTCCAGGCCAAGGACCCGCCTCCTTGCATGGCCGATTTCTGCTAATGAGCTGTATTACGCTTCGTATACAATGCGCTCGAGGCGTGATGGTGGTGAGCCAGTTCAACAACCGACTCTGAGCCCGATTGAGCCATTACCACCACCACAGTGACCCCTGACAGCGGCGCAGGAGATGAGTTTGAAAAGCTGCCATACGGAATGATAGCTCAACTACAGATCCATCGGCTGCGGGACTGAGCTGGCTGGACATTCAGTCATTGGTGCGCGGATTGCATATCGTAGTGCAGCACAGATTTAGATGCCCAACCTTGTGCTGCGAACGCATAGGATCACCCTTTTGCACTACACAATCATGTACTGACGCGGAAAGCGACTGTGAATTTGAACACAGATCTGAGATCAAGCATTCAGCCAATATTGTGTTTATCCTGAGTTCTATTAGTTCGATAATCGGGTGGACTTGGAAGAAAGAGTGCTCACCATTTCCTCATCAATCCAGCTCTGTCTGGTCTGTCTCCTTTTCCTCTTCTCCCTTTCCTTACCCAGCTGACCATCTTCATCTTCGTCTGTGTTCTCACTGCTCAGGATCGTACTCAACGGGGCATGCGTAACGTCGCCCTGTACAAGACTGGGCTCAACAAAGCTAGGCCATTGATTTGCTGGTCCACTGCTGACACTGGATCGGATATTCGCAGCGCTTCCTGTTCTCACAGTCCCATTCGTGTCCTTCTTATGTAGTTCTAGACCGGTAGAGTTCGCAGCCATGGGGGGAGAGATGTGGCGCTCGAGAGATGAATGGTTAAGACCGCTACTATTGGAGTTCTTTGTGCGGACAATCTGGACAAGTTTGCTTAGGACGGCAAATTCAAGTTTGAGCTTGATGGAATACACAACGCCTTTGAGTGTGGTCTCGATGAGGTAGAGATTGGCGAATTCGACGCTTAGGAGCGCAATATCCATGGCGATTATAATGGCGTTTATGGCCAGAATCTGATACATGGTCTTTCGCATGTTGCCGTGCCGCAGGTCTCCTTCTTCGGGAACACTGGTGATATCATCCTGCACGCTGTCCGAGAGCTTGAGCAGTCGCAAAGTTTCCTTGATGTAAATGACCGACAGTATAGTTTCCTGTATGAAGAATCCAACCATTTGGATCTTTTCCATGATTCCATAGCCATTGACGAAGCGTAAGAGAGTTTTGTGGTCTAGACTGTTCGAATTGGAGGCGAACGTAAGGATGGTAGTGGGAAAATGCAGAAGAGGAATGTTGACGAGGATCATGATCAGCGTGTAGCGAATGACACGACGCGAATTGGTGAGCAAGTGCAGCCGTGACCAGAGAACGACGGACTGGCCTGCATTAAGTTTGTTAGTAACGGTAAGTTGCGCAAGACCAGGCGTGCAAGTAAAAACTAACCGGTAACCATCAAGTACCATCCGATGGTCAATAGGAACACAGCCGCATAGCCCACATCTTCACCGGGATCCAACAGTCGAAAGAACTTGATTACGAAGCCAAGCGCATACGGGATGATGCCGAATCCAGAGAAGAACAAGCTCCAGAAGTAGAGACCGCGGTATTTCTGAAAAGTGACGAAGATCAGAACGATGAGTTCGATGGCATTGTACAAGGAAAGTCCGAGCAGAATGGCGATGATGATTTGCAGACTGAGTGAGTCTCCCGTGTAGCCTCCAGTGATGCCGGCTCCGGCTGAATCAAGGCTCCCCTGGGCTGGAGTGGGAGTGGCCGAGATCGAGGCCGCGCTGCTCGCTGTTGCTGTCCTGCTGAGGGTTGAGGACATGTTCGCACCCAAGCGATAAAACCAGTTTCGATTCCAGGTCTGCTGCGCTTATCTCCGCAAGCACATGGTCGAACCTACGGGACCGCTTGGCGACGATGCAATTGTGAGCTTGTTGCCCTTCTGCGCCCTGGATTGCGCCGCACCGCCACGAAGGCGCGCACGTAGAGAAAGAAGGAGCAGTGGGAGTGGGGGAGGAAGACGATGCTTGGGAGTCGGTGTTTGTGGGTATAAAGGTGGAGAAGTCTCTGAATAAGCACCATGACGGCGTCGCGGTTAGCTATAAGGCAGCATTCTGGCACCGGTCCCTAGGGCCGGTGAGGCGTGGCACGTTCCAAGACATCGATAGTCGATTTTTGAATGGCCCCGAAACCACAGCGTCGGAAGCTTGTCTTCGGACAACATCATCTCGCCAGGTGACTTGTCAACCCCGGAATGACGTGTGAAGTGCCCCTTGGCGACTCGGGTAACCCTGGGTAGCTGCCATGCTAGCCCGCCAGGCACTCCTCTCCTGTTCTGTCCTCCGCCAACGTCAATTTCCATCGTCTATTACCTTAATCTATTCGAATTGCCGACACTGGAATGTCATTAGTGCCTGCATACGCCTCCAGAAGTTCGCCCGTTGAAAAGAATCTGGAGCGGGAAACAATGCTCAAAACGCCAAAGGAACAACACCGGTGATATTCCACCCATCTCCATCAAAGCTCACTTCACGCAAGGCCATGCCTGTTTGGAAGTAACATCGAGCAAGAGAAGCGGTGCGCTGTAGCGGGAATCCTGGAAACGTTACCCCACTCACGCATGAGAGAACCGTGTCGTTGTCTGCGCCTGCAAATGCTGCATGTGTATTCGGGCCTTTCCAAACATTGGTCTCGTCCGAGTAACTCATCTGGATCGTGCCGTTGTTGTCTTGCCAGAGCAGATAAACGCTTAAATCCATATTCTGAGTATCGTCGGGGCGGATCGTGGAAAAGCCAGCGACAGATGCATTGATCGGTATGAGGCCGGAAAACGATGCTGTTGATAATTTGCTCGTCAGCTCACTAACCTTCCTTGATCGATGCCTTCCAGAACTGAACTTACGGTTTTGCAAGACTGTCGTGGCTCCTGTGCTGTCCTCCTGGTATTCCAGAAACCGCCCATCTGGCTCTTGGTAATACACGGCTGTGGATGTAAGATCGCTCTTCCTGGGTAACACTAATAGTTGTGTTCCGTTTCTCGCTTGAGTCGTGCTGAGTGCTCTCTCATAGTAGCATTGGTTTTTTGAACTGCATAAATAGCTCACTTCCCTAATCTCACCAGCCGTCCCCTGATAGATCACACGCGGCCAGTACCCAGCGAGATTCGAGGAAGGATGTGCTAGATACTTTTGTCTGGTAATCGGCCCGGGCTGTCCAACATCAGCGATGCTGTCCGTGAAAATCCACTCATTCAGATAATCTGGTACCGCATTAGAAAAGAGGTGAAATTCAAGTTGAGCGCTGTTTGGAGCTACCTACTCCCGTCATCAAGATAATTGATGCTGGTCCGGTTCTGAAAATTTGAAAAACTGTAGTTCTTGACTGACCCTTAGCACTCATACCCTATCAAAAAGCACCAGGATGACGCACCTCTTGACCCGCATACCACCGTGACTCTAGAAAAGTGGAAGCAAGTGGGGTGTTTTTTCTTGCTTTAACGAAATTGGATACGCCCGTCCAACTGGTAGTCGAGGGATTAAGTACCACTCGAGAAAGGAACTGCTGTGCATCTTGCCAGAACAGCCATGGCTGTCCGCTTTGACCCGTTATGGACAGTGAAGTTGTGCGGCCCATCAATGTAGGGCTTGCTGTGGGACCGCCATTGCCAGTATAGGTCGCTGTAGGTGTAGACGTTGTAGTCGGGGTGGGAAGAACGTTGGTCGCGGAAGACTGGGGGCTCGGTTTCTGGGTTGTGCTGGGCAGTCCGAGAACCAACCCTAATACAATACCTATGGCGGACAGGATCCCAAAAAGGGTCAAGATACACCCTACAATCATACGACGGCGCCGAGATTTCTCTTCTGCTGTTCGGATCATCGAATTACGAGGTTGTTCGCGTTTTCTGGGGATTAATCTCATCGGGTCCGGTACTGGGTCCGGTGCTATTTCTACGATATCTCTTTGGGGTTCCCAAGGTGGGTTATTGTTCCGTATTGAACGGACCGGAGTCGAGACTTCGAAGAAGGGTAGTTGACCACCTTTTAGTCTTTGCGGTATGACGGACAGACGAGGTGTCCGCGTCTGCGGAGGCGCCGACTTTCTTGCACTCGGCCATTTTGGCAACGCAGTCACATGGCTTGAACTGCTATGATTCGAAGTCGATCCTCTGTTTCCACTGGGGCCTGCCTGGTTCTGATCCAAAGAAATATATATCAGTCCACAACCATTCTGATCCAAGGTTCATAGACTCACATTGTCCTCAGATGGTATGCCGGGTCGCACATCGGACTGACCAACGGCGTATAGATTAGATATAAAGAAAGACATTGGTGAGAGCGGTTCTGCGTCTTCGGGTTGTACTTGGTTTCCCGGGTGTCTCTGGGCCATGCCTTTATGTACCAGAGGATTAATGAAAACCGAGAAACCCACAAGTTTCTAGTCGACCGAGTACCACGTACAAACAGTGGGCTTCTACTGTTGCGCGGGGCTGTAGATAAGGTCAGTCTCTGCCTACGCTGAAGGACAGCTCTCACTACGTACGGTGTCATCCTACAACTACACAATTAAAACATTAAGGGCTCGGTAAAAGAAAGCAAGAAGAGAAAGCAAAACCTTCAAGAAAAGTCACTGGCCATACATTCTGTCTAGGATTTTGAGGGTCGAGTCTAGTAGACAGATGCTCAACCGCTGGGATGGGGCAATCCTCCCCATTATCATTCGCACCAGGCCCTCGAATAATCCAATACCTGCAGGGGATATGCAGCCACCATATGCTAAGCCAAACCATCGACTGTTAGAAATAAACCGGCGCTGATGGGATAGACCAAGATCTTCTCGGGACCGTATGCACATGTATGATATCGTCTAGGCTTTTGATCGTCGAATATCTCCCATATTGTCAATCTCCACCAATAGATGCCCCCTCTCGACAGGAGATTGATTCTAAACAGATCGCCGCAGACGCGAAGGACGGATATAACCTCATGCCAGCACACGCGCGTCGTTCTACTTCCTATCGTCTACTTTCACGATTCCACAAAAACATCTCAAATCAATTCTCCGGAGTGAAACGAACTGTAATCCAAAAAGGGACCCGATGTCTCAAAGCGTATTAGTAGTATACGGAGGATATACACGACATCCTCACCCCTTGAAGCCTCAATACCTCCAGTCCCCGTGAGTGGTTCACCAGTACACTACTAGTCGGGACCCATGGTTTAACTAAGATCTCACGTGCAAAGCCTCTGTTCAAAGAAAGTTTGGTTGCTCCCAACGGCGACGATTTCTTATTGGCTCATTCACGCCGGGTAGCGATTCTATCCGACGCAAGTTTTGGTTCACGGATCTTTGGGTTCACCCGTCTCATGATTGAGAGGCATGACCTGCATTCACGCCGTCTCTCGCCTTGATCCGAAAAAAACGGACTGGGGATCCTTTTTTATGGCTCACGACCGTTGAGCGAATGTCACATGCGTCTATAAGTATCATGTGCTGCTGCTGCTCATTGATTCAGTTCCTCTCTGGGGATTGTTTCGGTCCTGACATCAATGTTTGCAAACGTACACGTCAGTCTCGGGCTCCGGGGCATTTGTCAGGTAGATTGTTTGGAATTATGTTTCAACGGCATGCTCTTCGGCCAATTGAATGACTATTGACAATTCTTTTTGTGATACTGGGACACTACTCTTCTGATACCACAGTCCCATGACTTGCACTTGGCCGAATCAACTCCGACATCCCCACCTGTCCATTCATTCATAAAACTCTAAATACTGATTGCCACAATATCTGCTAGACCAAATTGTGGCGTTTGAAAAGGCGGATGTGTTACGACTCAACCTCATCCGTCATGTTGAATGGGTTAAACCGCCATCGTGATCCCTCGGTGGCTTACTCAAATCTCTATTCCCCCTTTCAATCGCAGTGGCGACTACTTACTGTAATTGCCACCATCAGCCGCATGTTCAATTTGACATGCATCACGGATCTTATCTGCAGCAGCATTTCGTCATGCTCTCCAAAAAGAACGCGATGCTAGAAACAGCCATGATATACCACTGACAAGATCACGCAACGAGTTTGAACTAGGATGACTCCACGCAAATTGTGATGTGTTGATCGAGAAGTTTTGCTAGATCAATGAAATTAACTTGCTGTCAAGAACCTGCTCAACGTTACCGGATTTATTCTAGAGCAACCTGCCCACAATACGGACAGTGCAAGCCATCCATGTACATCTTTCTGAATCATTCAAAGAATTCCATGGACTCCCATCGAAGTATCGCGAAAATCCAACAACCATCTTCACTTTCTTACAAATCACCGTCTCTCTACATCCCCGCCGGTTTCTCTCCGACTCCCTCTCCATCGACCCATTCCGCTCCCTCCGGGAAGTCTCTCTTGGATGCGGGGAATACTCCCTTCTCACTCCTCCCCATCCCTCCACCCTTCTTCTCCGTCTCCTCCCACTCCCGTAACAAAAACAAACCTTCCCCATCTTTCCCTTTCCCCTTCTCCTTGCTCTCCTTCATAGCCTCCTCATCCCATTCAAAAACCCTCCAATCCGCATTGAAGAACCGCCGATTACACACCCCCACGCGCAAGAAACCGGAATGCGTGACCACGGCAATGACCTTCTCAGGGCGGGAGTAGAGATTACGGAGGCATGTCTGACCGCGGGCCAGGAGGGCGCGCGGGGTGAATGCGTAGGGATTTGTGGCGAGGTCGGTGGTCTTGTCCGGATAGAGCGGGTCTACGGAGGTGAAGTCGAAGTCTGGGAATTCTTGGGCCATGGTGGAAATTGAAGATCCTGTGTCACAAGGCTTGTCTGCGTTTTCTATTGGAATAGCTGGATTAGTATTCTTTCTTTTATGTACGCTTTCAAGGGCCAAGGAATGAGGGAACGACACCGAGAGATTCAATGTTGTGATGGATGCCCGATCACAAGGGTTGTTATATGGAAACAAAAGCACAATATCGACTCCCACTTTCTACCTATACCACATCTTTCTAAACCATAATAAAACGTCAAAGACAAAACTCACCCTGCCATCCAGCATCCGGCAAAACCTTTATACCCTTCTCCTTGATCAACCATTCTAAGCCCTCACTCGCTGTCTGCAGCGTGCGCCTCATAGCGCTAACAACGATGAGCTCGACCTCATTGCCAATATTACTGTTCTTCAGACTCTCTTCTAGCTCTTTGCATTGCTGGTGACCGAGGTCTGATAGTGGGGGGTCGTGCAGCGACCAGTCGGATGCGACATTATGTAAAGCCTGGGCATGGCGGATGAGGAGTAATGTTGGTGGCATGTTGTTGTCTAGGCTGGGGGAGATGAATTTGGCTAGGTGGTATTTTCTGTTCTATATGTTTTTCATTGGTGTGCGATTCTCGAGGATATGTGAAAGACCTAGGTATGTTTGAACAAATCGATAGATGACGAAGGTGGGGCGAACGATCTGACAAGCATTTCAATCCACTTACTGTCACATACTCACACTACGTCACACTTTATTTTTTGAGATGCAGTGCGCCTGCGTGCGTCCACTCGCTCCATATGCAATGTACGTGAAGGTGTTCATTAAAGGCCGCGAAACCAGTCGTTTATCATGCACGGCTGTCTAAGCTGTATCATTCGCTGGATGCCGCGAGGTTGGACGTATCTATTCCTGCATCTCCTCCTCATCGTCGTCGTCACCCTCCAGAGCCTTCTTCGCCAGCTTCTCAGCCTCTTCTCGCAGCTCCTTGGGCACTTCCTCGTGCTTGCCCTTGGTGGGTCCACTGATAGCGCTGATCCATGTCATTTCCAGCTCAAACTCCTTGTCCTTGTTGTCGTCGTGGGCAATGTAGATGATGCGCGCGGCCTCCTTGACTCCCTGCTCCAGTGACATTTCGCCATCGACAAGATTCAGCTTCTCCAACTCTGACTTGGCGATCTGGCGGCCTTTGCCCGTGGCAGCGCCGTAGTAACCCTGAACACATCTGTTAGCTGCGTAGCCCACACACATGTAGATACTGCACATATCATACCCAGTACAACCCACTGGGCTCGATCATATAGAGAAATGGACCGCCATGTTTTGCACCCTCTTTCTTGCCGCCAGAACCGACTTTAGGTCCAGAGCCAACCTGGCCGTCTACAGGTAGCTCGGCCTCAGCATCCCATCCTCCTATGATCGAGGTTACACCAAAAGGTCGTACACTCGAGTACAGGGTATATGCCTGAACGTAGCTTCCCATGCGGTCGGCGAGCGAAGATGTCGGGATCGGAGCCTTGTACTGTTGCCGCCAAGCAGCTGCCTCGTCGCGTGCTCGTGATACAAAGTGGCGACCATCCGGGAGAAGACCTGATGAGACCTACGAAAATTGTGGCGTGAGCACTCGTGTGGGGTAAGCGTGCACCTAGGCATCGCCGGGTATGAGGTATGGTACGTACTATGCCGACATTTCGGTCCACGGTGGCTATCCGTTTGTTCGCTCCAGATTTTAGCAGCTTGCTCGTCACAAGCTTCTCCAGCGCCAGCACAATGCCGTCCTTGCACCGTATGCCAACGGCTGTACCGCCGTTTTCGACCGCCTTTACTGCATATTCGACCTGGTCATGTTAACCGGTGACCGCGAGAGAGAAGGAAGTGCTGAGCGGGGTGCACACCTGGAAGTTACGGCCATCGGGGGAGAACACGGAATTGGACAGGTCATAGCCTGTACCTATTGACGTCTGTGGACAAGTATGTTAGTGCATGTTGGGTAGTGAGACATACACGGTGGGCGGGGCATACCATGATTGTAAGTAGAAAAGAGTATGCACTCGATTGTCAACTGTAAGAAGTTCGTGATTGAGGAAGTGACTCCAAAGGAAGATTGGAGGAGGGCAAGCTGGGATACTTTTGGTGGTGTTGATGGAGAGAGCTTCCTCAGGTAGGTAGCAGCAACTTGCGCGTCGGAGCTCCCGTAGATCGCTAGCTGCCAGTTTGTCTTGGCGTTCTGTACATCTATGTCTCTACACCCTTGGTTCCTCTACTCGACCACATTCACCTTGATGCAATCTTCATGCGAATTACAGCTCCGCTTCGCGAAACTCGGCATCTCGATCTCGTGAAATTTAATGAGATCATTGCAGTATTTGAAAACCGATGAACGTGTTTCTCAAGAAGATGCATGCCTGTAAAAGTAATACATGAACTATTCATGACGCACAGCAGTAGATGCTCTCACATATTCAAGAAAAGCAAAATAAAATCATAGCAAAGATGTGGAGATTGTCGATCTATAACAAAGTGGCGATTCGCTTCTTATGGGGTATCCGAATGATGGTATGCAAAGGTTCCCCCCTCCTCAACAATTATACACAGAACATGTGCTGCTGCTGCCCCATGCAAGTATACTAGGAGAGCATTATGCTGCACATATATAAATCCAACCCGTTCAATGGCTCCTCAAATCCCCCTCTTCTAAAATGTCCGCCTCCATTACAGATGGTGACTGTTCCTCGCCTTCTCACATCATCATCTCATCGTCGACATAGATAGGCCGGACATCGTGGTCGCGTGCGTGTGCAAACGCGCCATACTGATTTTCCATGTCGTAAAGGCTACCGACGTTCTTTGCCCACATCCCCCCATTGCCGCCCGAGTCGTAGACAGGATCTGTAGCCTGACTGTACGAAGACTTCGCTGACTGGTCGTATTCCTTTGCCGCCAGCATATCATAACCTGATAGGATGTACGGTTCTGCACTTTCAGGTGAAGAAGCAAGTAAATCCCTAGCGGCCTGCACTGCACCGGATCCCGTATCCATATTCTCTTCCATCTGCTGCTGATTTTTCTGGAGTGCTTCTTGTTGTGCTTTCTCTTCCATTAGGCTTTCATACCTGAGCTTCGCCATGGCTTCTTCCTGTGCCAGACTTGTAGGTGGCCAGTCATATAGCTGCCTTGAAGTGTTGTATTCGGCCTCGCTCGGGAAACCTTGTCTACCCTGTGGAGGTGAGATCCGCCATAGCTCAAGCAAGCGAAGGCGCTGGTCGTCGTCTGCGTTCCTGAAAAGATCGACCTGGGAGGGGAAAAGAAGAGTAGGGTCGATACTGTTACGAAGGAACACAGCCTCGAGCTCGGAAGGCTCAACGTTGGAAACGGGTGGCGCGGATGCAGTGTGTCGAACAGGTGCTACATGGTAGCTATGGGTGTAGTGTTGGGATATGTACGTGATAGGCTGGGGCTCGACCTCTCCATATGCTGGAGGCTGTTCTTGTTGTTGTTGGGCATCGAAGACTTGCTGTTGTTGCTGCTGCGGTTGAGATAGGCTCATGTGAGCAGTGAACAGTCTTGAGAGTTCTTCCTGCTGCATATTTGATTCTTCGGCTCCCAGCGTGCTACCCTTCTCAATGTTGATGCCTCTTGATATTGCGCCACACTATGACGTAGCCGGTCAGTACTTTGACTTGAAGCTGATCAAGAAGCTTACGTATGGGCACGAGTTGTTCTGGGAAAACGCAAAAGCGGAATAGGGGACAGTAGTGGAGCAGGAGCAAATAGAGCAGACGTGTACCAAAGCGGATGGCATAAAGTGGATGCCGCGCGGATAGGTATCAAGGAGGTAAGGGTAGGGCTGCTTCCTGGAGTTCCGGAGGCAGAGAAGACGGGATTGGGTGGAACAGAATGGTAGCTATATGTTAGTCAACCTCGTAAGTACGGCTCAGGTGATCGGACAGGCCAACTCGCACAGGACCCTTTGGATCCGTGATTTGAGATTGGAGGGACGTGGCGAGGTGTGTCTTCTGCAAAGCAAGGACTGTGCAGGTACCTAAGTAGGTATCTATAGGGATGGGTGCTCGTGGTAGCCGCCTACGACACAAGTTCTTTGTGCAGGATTAGGCAACAAGGCTGGTCAGGAGGGAAGAATAACTTTGTGAACGACAGCCAACAAAGCCAGCTAGATTGTCGTGATTCAAGACAATGGACGTGGCATGGGGGCTTTCTGGTGTATTTATGTATTGTGTGGTCACCGTGCTGTGTGGACCTGGTCATGGGTTGCTGAGGGGGGTCCGCTTGAGAAAAAGCGGGATGAGATGGCTGCCCAACCAGTCATTTGCACGCCTGAAACATATATTGTCCCCGCTAGAGCTCACAGCACCAATAATCGGAAGCGGGATGCGTCGAGAAGCAGTCGGCGGCGAGCGACAACTCATCACTTATGAATAATATATGTACGTGTGTATGCACAGAGTACCCGTAGCGGCCATTGGCTGACTTGCGGGAAGAGCTGGCCCCTAGTTCCTATGGGGCGGACCGAGTCATTCTACACCCGTCACAACTTTTCTTCTTTTCTTATGCAGACATGTTCGAGACACATGAGAAGACTGCAGAGCAAAAGTGAAATTGCCAAATTTGTACCGGCAAGAGAGCCGATGGTGCTCTTCCAGACAACTCCTATAATATGCTGATAGATATGTCCACATGCTGCAGTACAAGTAGAATACACATGACATCCGGAAACTGAACGCGGATTCAGACCACACCCGAATCTTGCCCTCACAATAATCATACACTTTTTCACAGACACCTGGTTCATCTCTTGGCCTTTCCAGACGGCCATTTTTTCCATCCTCTGCCGTGACCTTTCTACAATGTTTGTCAGTGGCTGTCCCTACTTGATGCAGTAGCGGGAGGGATTGGCATACCTGCTTCCATTCTTGTATCAATGCCGGCATGTCCAGCATAGCCTTCTGCCGCATTGCCAGACGGCTGCTCAATGTCCTCTCCCATAGTTTTCCCTTGACCTTTTGGCCCAGTCCGGTACCCTTCACCTGCAATCCTCGTTCTATCCTCCTCTTTTCCTTCTCGCCAGGCTTCTTGATGGTCCACGGAAGAAGATCGATAACTCCATTGGCAGAGGCAAGCTTGACGAGTTCTGCCTGTTTACGAAGACCGTACACTGGACCGCGCCAGCGACCTGTCAAGTGCGACTTGACAGGAAGGAAGGGATTGTGATAGGGTAGACCGGTGGGATCCGTTTCGGAGGATGATGTAGAAACCTCGGTAGCTCCATCTATTTGCGCGGGCGTCTCAAGGGCCGAAGCATTGGGATCGGACGGAGCAGTTGTGGATACAGACGCGGGTGTGGGAGAAGGGATGGGCGCAGACGTTTGCTGGAGAAGCGCGGGTGGCGGGAATCGTTGGAAAAAGCGCAGTAATCGCGGCGGCAGCGATTTCGCCAATTGTACCTGCTTTTGTGTGCTCATGGTGTGCGAATGATGGGGGTTGGTGGGAAACAGACGGCCTATCCCATGTAGAATTCCACAACAATTGTTTGGAGACGAAAGATGCGAGTCACGTGCATATGATCGACAAGGATGGTCCGTGCCGAGCTCCCTCCAGGCAACTTGACCGCGACGACAGCTCCGTAGCATAGCTCCGCCATCACCCCCGCTACTCTACCTTCTACGCTCTACCCACCTCATCTCTCTCCTCAGCAGTGTCTTGGTCGGAGACATAGATCTTCACTAGTTAGCTTCCTCACATTACAGCCATGGTAAGTTTTCTATATACGTCAATCCTCGTTTCATCGTAGCTAACGGTCCTAGTCGTCACCATTCTCAATAAGTACGACCGAGATTTGGCATCTGTTGTATTCCCGGGTATACTGACAATCTAATAGATGGCGGCGCATGCGTGGCTATGGTCGGAAAGGACTGCGTTGCCATTGCCTGCGATCTCCGTCTCGGCATGCAAGCCCTCACTGTCTCCAACAACTTCCCCAAGATCTTTCAGTACGGCGACGTATTTCTAGGTCTAACCGGACTCGCCACCGACGTTTCCACCGTCTCCGACCTCTTCCGCTACAAAGTCAACATGTACCGACTTCGAGAGGAGCGCAACATCTCCCCCCAGACTATGGCCAACCTTGTTAGTTCGTCGTTATATGAGAAGCGATTTGGGCCATACTTTGTAAGCCCTGTCATTGCAGGCATCAACCAGACAACGGGAAAGCCCTTCATCTGTGGGTTTGACAGCATCGGCTGCATCGATTTCGCAAAGGATTTTATTGTGAGCGGAACAGCGAGCGATCAATTGTTCGGTACTTGTGAGGGGCTGTGGGAGCCGGATCTGGTACGTATAGTATAATGGCTATGGAAAGTACAGTAGTGGGGACTAATGCCGACTCTAGGGCCCAGAAGACCTCTTCGAGACCGTTTCACAAGCGTTGCTTAACGCCGTCGATCGAGATGCCTTATCAGGCTGGGGAGCGCACGTATACATAATCGAGAAGGACAAGGTGACGAAGCGACTATTGAAGGGAAGGCAAGATTGAGTTGGTTTCAGGTTTCAGTGGCACCCGAGCAATTTGAAGGGTCCGGTTTGCGGGAAACACAAAGTTGCCCGCGTCGAGATCTTCGAACCCAAGATACAATCCAGCGATCTTAGGTGCATGTATGAATTAGACCAAAAACATTGGCTTCCTGGCACTTGGGTGGCATTACGGCATCTGGCTCGCTCAGGCCAATCAAAATCATGAACATTATGAACTACACATTCATCAACGTGTCAATCGACTCGTGGAATCATGCAAACCAAATAAACATGTTTAACAAAGTGCAACATTCCATCTATTTGAAATCCACATGATGGTTTGGCGTACCGTGTCTCTTCTCGCATTATATACAAGCACCAATCAGTTCGTATGCTTAGAAACGCAAGTGACATCAACCTGTGTTCAACCATTTGAATGTTGGGATTGATGGAGGCAGCAGCATGGCACGTGATCTGGCGTTTGTCTTGGCAGTTATCATTTTACCTCCAACAGCTTCAACAGCTTCTCACCTCGCGACAACACCACCAACAATCCCAGATAGTTTGCCCAGATACGATTTGGGAAGTCAAGAAGCGGTAAGATCAAACTCACAAAGCCATATCTCTGCCATCCTTCCCTTTTCTTCCCCAGTTCCATTTCGCGCAGCTCCCGACAATGGAGACGGTTCCGCCTCCGCCGCCGCCGCCGCCGCCTCCGCCTATGGAACCTCCACCACCCCCCCCACCGAGTTCGGAATTGGAGCCCCCACCGCCTCCACCACCACCACCTACAAGGGAGAAGAAAGGCTGGGCATCGAAGAGGAGGCAACCGCCGAGTGTCGACGACGTACTCAAGGCCCATCGCGACAAGGAAGCGGCCGCGGCCAAACCAAGGTTTATACCTAGGGCGGAGCGGGAGAGGATAGCGCTGGAGAAGCGACAGAAAGAGGTGGAAGAAGCGCGCAAGAGGAAAGAAGGGGCTTCCCTAAACAATGCGCCCATCCAAAAGTTAGGTAATGCGGTACCCACAGGGCCTCGCGCAATGCGGGGAGAAATCCCCACGGGTCCAGCGTCCATGCGCAAAGGAGACATGGCACCTCCACCTGTTCCTAGCAAGGAGAGCGGAGACAAGCAACGTTCAAACAAGAGGTACGTTCTGGAATGGTATATTCACAAATGGTGGCGCTTCGCGACACTCCCCCCCCCCATTGAAGCACATTTACCCGAACACCACTGACTTTGTACCTCCTAGACCGCCTGACGATACCGAAGCTGCCATGATACGCAATCGATACATGGGTCCCGAGCAAAATCAGTCTACATTCTCGGCCAAGAAGAAACGACGACGAACTACCGAGAAGAAATTCAACTTTGAGTGGGACAATGAAGAAGACACCAGTGTTGACTACGACCCTATTTACGCGCAAAAAGCAGAGGCCACATTTTTCGGCCGTGGTAGGCTTGGTGGCTTCACTGACGACATGAGTGAGAAGAACTCGCAAAAGTACCTCCAGGCTATCATAGAGCGTGACCCGGAAACCGGCCGCGCTCGAGCGGATGCCATTCTACAACTAGAGCAGCGCCGCAAACAGGAGGGTAGTAGGGCTCAGCTGGAGAAGCATTGGAGTGAAAAGAGGCTGGACCAAATGCGGGAAAGAGATTGGCGCATTTTCAAGGAGGACTTCAGTATCAACTCAAAGGGAGGGTACGTACCGTCCCATTTCACCCCCCAGCTAAACCGAACTAACTTTGTGTCTAGAGGAATACCAAATCCCATGCGCTTTTGGCATGAGTCTGGGCTCTCGGAATCTATTCTTCGGATTGTGGACCAAGTCGGTTACACGGAGCCATCACCTATTCAGCGCGCTGCTATCCCTATCGCTTTGCAGTGCCGTGACCTGATAGGTGTCGCCCAAACTGGTTCCGGTAAAACAGCCGCCTTCGTCCTACCGTTACTTAACTACATCATGGATCAACCCAAGCTTGGTGTTGCTAATCGGAATGACGGTCCCTACGCCATCATCCTCGCCCCGACTCGTGAGTTGGCTCAACAGATCGAGGTTGAGACGCGGAAGTTCGCCAGTCGCCTGGGATTCAATACTGCTGTATTGGTTGGTGGTCACTCCATAGAGGAACAATCTTTTCAACTACGGGATGGAGCCGAAATCGTCATAGCCACTCCAGGTCGACTTCTCGATTGTATTGAACGTCGTGTCTTGGTCTTAAGTCAATGCTGTTACGTCATCTTGGATGAAGCCGATAAGATGATTGACATGGGTTTCGAAGAACCTGTGCAGAAGATTCTGGAAGCTCTTCCGGTCAGCAACGAAAAGCCAGACTCTGACGCTGCTGAGGATGCCCAGGCTATGTCTCAACACATGTACAGGCAAACTATGATGTACACGGCTACTATGCAGGGGACTGTAGCGCGTATAGCCCACAGATATCTACGCCGGCCAGCTACAGTCGAGATCGCTCAAGGAGAGGCTGTCGAAACTGTCGAGCAACGTGCGGAGTGTATTCCTGGTGAAGACAAGCGCAAGAGGCGTCTTCGAGAGATCCTCGATTCAGGCGAGTATCCCTCGCCCGTCATGGTCTTTGTCAACATCAGGCGGAATTGCGACGCTATTGCACGCGACATCAAACACTGGGGTTATAGCACCGAAACGCTTCACGGCTCAAAAACACAGGACCAGCGTGAGCAAGCTCTGCAGCGTGTTCGTGATGGGCGTACCGATGTTCTAGTCGCCACCGATCTGGCTGGACGTGGTATCGATGTGCCCGATGTCAGTCTTGTCGTCAACTTCAACATGCCACCCAAGATCGACGCCTACACTCATCGTATCGGTCGTACAGGTCGTGCAGGCAAAAGCGGTACAGCCATCACTTTCTGGGACAATGGCGATGCCGACGTGCTGTATGACCTCAAACAGCTTCTTGCTAAGAGTCAAATTAGCAAAGTTCCGGAGGATCTCAAGAAGCACGAAGCCGCTCAGCAGAAGGGAGGGAGGCAGAAGGGTGAGAAGAATGTGCTTGGCTAGAATCCACACCGTCGACCACGTTTCGTTTCCTCCAGATACAGGTAATTGTATAGTAACAAATTCGATGATGGCGTGTTAGGAATCAACACGAATGACTCCATGTAGTCACTCGACTGACTTAGTTCAAGTCGGTACGGATGAAGAGGTATCTATTATGATAATTCACAATAAACATCAATTCAGTGATTTTCGCTGTTTTGCACTACACACTAAAGATTGATAGCCAAGAAAACGTGACGAGACATTTTGTTTGAAGGCCTTACTAACTTATAAGAGATATGCTGCTCGACTATGTACCCACAACTGACACAATTGATCGTAATTGCCGAACCCTACTGCAACGGTGATGCACAGGAGTGTGGGGCCTTTGCCAGGATTGATATAACCCACTTCAATTCAACCATATAACACTTCAGAAACTTGACAGAACTTTAACATTCAGATTACTATGAGAACCCTGGGCATCTCAAGAAAGGAATAGAGGGTAATCAACACCATTCTTGGCTCTCGCCGGCATCTGATCAATCGCTGGGTCAAGCTCACATTGTTAGATGGGAATACTTCGAGGTCCAATCAATTAGAGGCATGAATACAGCAAGACTTGTCAAGGTATGACACCATTGGCCTCCATTCAGAAGCCTAATACTGCATAAGCTAATGTTCTTCCTCTTCTTAAACTTAACATCTGCACTCCTGCTTCAACTTTCTGGGTGAGATATCGAGACAACGTACAGAATTCACAATTCCCAGACTTAAGGCACTTCATCATGCTTTTTCCGACTAATACCATTCTTGCTTCGGCACTGATGTTCGCCAGTGCAACCTTTGCGCAGACCCCAGAGGGCTTTACGCCTGCCGTGAACAAAACACTAGATGTGTATTACGGCACCACGTACATCACGCCGGGTCTGTTGGTTAAGAAGTCGAGTATGCTACCATCACACTCATAAAATCAAAATAGAAGAATTGCAAGGGACTGATAAATGATTGAAAAGCAACCGCAAAAATCCCCTCCATCGGTCTCACAGGCCAGAATCTGACAGGGAAATATCTCCTCGCCATGATCGGTACGTTAATATCTTCACTAAAACCTACCTTACCATTCAGTCACTAACACTACTATGTCAGATATCGACGCGTATGTTTTATTCTCGTTTGTTCTGCACCCATCCCAGTGAGCATCCCTTCTAACCCTTACGCCATAGTCCCTCCAACAACGGTGGTCCCCGTGGCACAGTCCTCCACGCGCTCCTCACAGACTTCACTGCCAGCGGCTCCACCCAAAACGGCACCGCGCTCCTCACCACCAAAGCCACAGGTCCTGCCTCCTACTTCGGACCCGCTCCGCCGGCCGAAACTCCACAGCACCCTCACAACTATGTGTTTGTGCTCCACGAGCAACCTGCCAATTTTGCGGTCCCGGCTGCGCATAAGCAGGTTGTGCAGTCTCGATTTGGAATTGATTGGAGCAAGTTTGTGAAGGATGCTGGCTTGAAGGAGGCGGTTGGTGGGAACTATTTGAGGGTGCAGAGTGGAGATAACACGAAGAGATGGATCGGGTGAAGAGTGAGGAAAGGCAATAGGAAAAGTTTGCTGCTGGAGAGGAAAGGAAATGGAGATAGGCAAGAGAAGAGGATAGTGTATATATTATGGGTGGAGCTTTTTCCTACTGATCAACGAAAATTTGTAGTCATGCTACATATATCTGAGAGGAATGTGTGAATGATGTGTTTTCTCTACTTTCGGTTGAGAAGGATTGTCTTTTGGCCGTCTTTTCCGTTGTAACACGCGTTCTGTCTCGCTGGCGCTGTTGCATATATACTGCCATTAATCTACAGACATGCACGTATTTAACCTAGTGAGAGTAGCCATGTTTGCCTGCTTTGAAAATACCCGATTGGGTGTACTCGCAGTATTTCGGGGCTAAGAACAGCAAGCACTCAACTAAGCAATAGCAAGAAATAGAGATCGACTGCATTTTTTATATGGTCGGCTCTTTGAGGGAAGTCGTCCATGGTACTCAGAATCAATTGCGTGAAGACTTGGCTTCTTGCTCACGTACATGTGTGTTGTCATCATCTGCTGTGCCGATGGCAACATTGCATGAACGCGCGGCAGTTGCAATCATTTCCATGCTACTGCGACGTAATAGACCCTAGGTAACCCCGTATTTCGATCGATTTCAGCCGACGAACGGTGTACGCACGTGTATGCAGGTACACTACTACCTCGGACATCGAGGTTGATCTATTCTACTTCCCCTCAGGTTACCTTGACGTTGGATACTCTTTACCCCTCAGATCTACAGATTGTTCTCTCTGGATTTAATGTTTCTCAGCGACACTCTATTGACTTAGCTGTGCGGCACTTAATTTGGAAAAGCACGAGTAGATATACCACCAATTGATGTGACATGATGCGATGCCAGCAATAACGGTTCGCATTAGGCAATGAGACCGACTAAATTTGGAATTTCTGCCGTGGGGATAGAACACAACTGATTGAGAAGAAAGGTATAAAAGCCACAATCTAACAGTCATCTTGTATCAATTCAGCCTTTCGGTGAACCGATTCCGATCCCAAGGTCAATACCACAAAGATGAGATTCTCAAACATCGCCACCGCCGCGGCCTTGAGCCTTGTATCAGCTTCTCCAGCACCAGCCGTGGACACATCTCCCATCCGTGCCGAAATCTCCTATGAGCAGCCGCCAGAGCCATGGACAGTGATGGGCCCCCCAGCAGCAGGGACCGAATTCTTCAACTTGAAGGTGAACTCGTATGTTGTGATCGTTTCCTTGGCCAAACTTTCCAAACTAACTTCAGATAACAGATCTGACGCTGCTGTTACGAACCAATGGGTTTCCTTGAAGGGCAAGAACTATGTGCTAGGTGGCACCACCCAAAGTGCGGCTGCGAAATTCTTCGCGATCAAGTACAATGAAACGGGAACATACTCCCTTCTCAACTCCGATGATACTCGCCAGGTCGTGCTTCAAGGGGCCAACACGACTCTGCTTTACTTCACAGACGTCACTAGCCCAACGGGCGGTAGTATCCCAGCGGGTAAGTTAAGCCACAGGGCAGAATATATGAAGGTTCATATCTTTATGAAATCCCACTGACATTTTCTTCCCTGCGACACAGGTCAGGCTTGGGAGTGGTCCATCTTCACCACGGATGCCAACAAGCTCTGGTTGAACGATGGAAGCACTGCTCAACTGCGTACATGGGCTGCGATGAAACAAACCGACAACTCTTACCGAGTTGCACTCTTTGATGGTAAGTGATTCCTTGCGCTCTTCGTAATAAACGGTTGCTAAAGTGGGGACTGTAGGGGTTGGACCTATCGGTGGTACACCAGTACCTATCGGCATCTCAATTGTCAAGACAACTTAAGATAGGGAGAACTTGAAAAGCAGGCTTGAAGGGATGGTCATTCGCGTAGGGTGTGTCCATTTAGCTGAGTAGCGTATGTCGACCAGCCAGTGATCAACGACTGTACATAGAATCAATTCAGGCTGTATCGTCACTCCAGTTGCATTTGAAATAATGGAAGCCAGGCTTGCAGCAGATCGTGGTATATGTTGGATGATATAAATCGTGATTCAGGTGAAAGACTGGAGGTCGAAATCGAGGTCGAGGCCGACTACTTCATATCACGTGATGCGCTTTATCGATAGATGGAATTTTGAGAATCTTGGCATCCCACCAGCGATCGTTGACACTCACAAAGCCCACAATCTCAACCGCTTTGAAGCCCCTCTCCGCCGTCCACAGCCCCCAGGCATATTCCGACACGACAAATTTCAATATGCCCGGCCCCACGACCACGCTTCTGATCGAGGGCAGCTTCGAGGAGCTTGCCGACGAGCTCGCACAATACATCGACAACCTCAAAAAATCCAACGGCGACGAAAGCTCCAATATTCAATCCGAGACTGCGGCGCATTTGAAGGAGAACAAGAAAGATGAAGCCCTCAAAAAGCTCATCATGGGCAGCCAGACGCTCAACCAGGCACCGGAGAAGGGTACGGTTATATTGTTTGGGAGTCGTGATACAGGAATGAAGTAGAGGCTAACAGTGCCCGTGTGCAGAATTCATAGCGGCATACAACCTCCTGATCCACCTCGTACGGCAGTCGCCTAACCTTCCCATGTTCCTCCCCAAGATTTGCGCGCACCTGAGCGCTCCCATAACGTCCTCGCCTCAAAATGGTGGCGGTTTGGCTCTGTCCGTCCTCGGCACTGTCTTCAACACACTTCCCCAGGAACATGTCGAGATGCGCTTCCACATCTTGCTCGCAGTGCTACGCGTGATCCGGGCTACTTCCAACTTCGAGACTCTGCGACCGCAACTCAAGCAGCTGGACAAATGGCTGGAGGATTGGGATATGGACGAGGCCGAGGACCGTAAACTGTACCTGGCTGTGAGCGATGTCGCAGGCGAAGCGGGAGAGGATGAGCAGGCCTACACATATCTTCTTCGCGCTCTTCGCACCTTCCCTTCGGAAGAAGTTTCCTCGACCGAGGCCCGTGAATTGTCTCTCCGTGCTCTCAAGTCCGCCCTCACACACCCCACGCACTTCGACTTCCAGGACCTTACCGACCTCGACTCCATTCAAGCCCTCCGAAATACCGATCCGATATACTTCCAGCTCCTCGAGATCTTCAACTCGGACTTGCTGGACGACTTCAACGACTTCAAGGACGAGCACGACGGTTGGGTGGAGGAGTCTGGGTTGGACGGCAACCTGTTGAACCGCAAGATGCGGTTGCTCACCCTGGCCTCCATATCCGCATCCAGCGGTCAGTCCCGATCGCTGCCATACGCAAGCATCGCCAAGGCACTTCAAATCCCATCCGAGGATGTCGAGATGTGGGTTATCGACGTGATCCGTGCCGGACTTGTAGAAGGCAAGCTCAGCCAGTTGAACCAGACCTTCCTCATCCACCGCTCGACATACCGCGTTTTCGGCGATAACCAATGGAGGGAGGTATCATCGCGATTGGATTTGTGGCGAAACAGCCTGCAAGGCGTGCTTCAGGTGATTCAGCAAGAGAAGCAGCGGTTTGTAGAGGAGAAGGAACACGAGGCGAACAAGGTGGAGCAAAAGTTGGAGCAGGCGCAGCGGGGTGGACGACGTGATAACAAGCCCAAACAGAGGCCCATGATTGACGACGAGATGGATTAGATGAATGAACTGGTGAGAGAGTTTGCTTGTTTTCCTTATACTCTTCGCCGAAACGGATAGGTTTGTGAGCGAATTGCATTCAGAGGCTTTCTGGGTAATGGGGTAGGCAGGCGAACCAGGCAGGTGAAGCTGCCTTCATGCTGCATGCATGCATACGATAGAAAAATGCGAACAAGAGCTTTCTGAACATTTCATGTATTAGTGGTCGGAACTACCAGTAAAGCTATCCGGAACGCGGTGAAAGCACATGGCGCCCAAATGTAATCCAGCCTGTATCTACAAGCATCCACCTGTCCACCCCAGATTCTACTCAAGCATTTCCGTTATCGACTGACCCCAAACAAAATCTAGTCTTTGTAGTTTTCTACGGCCAGGGAAACCTTCGCGTAAAGGCCGAAGATGTTCAGCCTCTTGACGCTCGCAGCTTCAATCGCGGCCTTGCGTGAAGAGAAATCGACCCAGGCAGTCTGGGTGCGCGCAACAGGCTTCCTCTCTCTGAGGAGCGTGATGGTATAAGCACTTCCCGGTGATTAGCATAAACCCTCAAGATCTCGCAACCCTACTACAATAAGACACGGTCTAACGTACCAAGTAGACAAACGCCCTTGAAAAGCCGAGATGACATCGCGGAGGCCGGCGTCTGCAGCGATGCTGGTGACGACGAGACGAGATCCGAGAACCTCGCGCTTTGCCTGCTCTGCGCGCACCTGTAGGTCTTTTGTGGTGCGGTCAACGAACAACCTCAGTGGGGCGTCCTCGAGGACGTGCTTGACCGCGGCGTTCGTGACGTCCCAATCGAGACCGCCATCTTCGAGCAGCAACGCGACGAGGTAGGGCATGACCTCTTTCTCACATTGGACTGTTTTGCTGAACTCCAAGTGGAGAAGCTCCATGTTGGACATCGGGGTGCCGGGCTTTGGAATCCCGTACACCTGCATGGTGTAAGTTGTACCCCGGGGTTGCGGCGGGGATTTGGGGTCTTCAAGCCCGCTGGTCAGTGAAAGTCAAAGAATAGAGGCTGTCTCTTGGTCAAGAACTTACTTATGTCGTTGGAGAAATCGGGCGGCGGTGGTGTTGGCGGTAGGCGCGGCCGTGGAAACTATCAATTGTTAGTTTGTGGTTTCTCACACCGAGAGAAGGAAGGAAGAGATCAGGGCGGGGGGCAGGCAATATTTAAGCAGCTGCGAGATTAGCAGCACGTGACCGTTGCTGGAGAGGGAAGGCACGCTATGGGGCAGGCAAACAATGGATTAGTCATAGCTGCGGTACTCTGGGTGACCGTGGATTTCTTTTCACGTGCAATCCTCACTAAAGACTGGTCTAAAAATGTGTATAATTGGCTTTCTTGTGTCACTGAAGCGTTGACTCGCACGGATAGCAATCTGACTTTCATTCCCAGGACAAGGTAGATATAGTGAGGAACATCGGGCCAAATTTCTCAAGAATACCCACTGGAGGGATCACTTTCTACCTAATTCCAATTCTATGATGATATATCCAGCTATTTTGCTTTCTCCTCTCTATTCTTCAGTTGATAGACTATCAAAGTTACCTATTAATGAAACTTCTACTATGTTGTTTCTATATGTAAGATCTCCAATGTACGAGAGAAATCTCAGAACAGTGTCAAATAAATCAGTAGTGTATACAACTTCAGTCGAATCTTACTGTGATCACATTTCAGTACATCCGTATTCCAAGGATATGCTCGACCGGTTACCCGTTATAAACCTTGATCCTATGAAACATAAGCACAACGGCACTTGATCTTCCTTTGGGCTACTTCAGATTCTATCCGAACTCCAGAAACTATCAGCTTCACATACCTTCTTCAAGCTTCAGGGATCTTCCAGTGACGGTAGAGAGTGCATATACAGTCTCTTACAGGGTGCGTAGGAGCAGTGTAAGTCAACAGAGCTCCAATGGATCTTGTAACTCTAGCTCGCGAACTCTTGCCTTTTAATGAATTCCTGATATCCTACCTTCTACTCGATATATAGGCTCTAATACCCGTTCGCTAGTGTTTCCACGCCTCCTTGTAGATTTCGAATTCACTAATAGTGACACTGCTTTGCAAAGCCCCTAACTGTAAGTGCTCTACAAAGACCCCTAGGATCCAGTTTATAGACAGTCTACAGTAAATCAGGATATATTATTTCACTATTCAAATCCGGCCAACAGGGGTATCGAAACTTCTTTGACATGGTAGATTCTGTGCCTGGTAGCTCATATGGCCTTACGTTTTACACTCTCAAGTGTTCAATTCCGACCGACATTCAACAATTGCATCATACCAAATCACCAGCAATGTAGCTACTCCTGATAGTTTACCTTGATCGAAGATATATCCTTCCCGTCCCTCCTATGGCACTACTCTTGCCAGCAGTGTTCTTCTCGCGTAAGTTGGCCATCTAATATAACAAGATAATATCATGCATTGATGTGATGTACTTACATGGCCGGAAGGAAATACTGTATAAATACTAAATCCCTTCTGTTTAACCTTTTTCTTCTTTGTATGAACAAGGAGAAGGAAGATGTTTTAATGAATACTTGACTATACTTGACATGAGATTTCAATTTTCTTTCCTGCTGGCAGCTGGAGGGCAGGAAGGCGCACATTTGTTCACCCGTTTTTTTTTGTGGGTAGAGGGGGAGGATATATAGGACAAGGCAGAGAATTGGTGGTTCGTGAAGAGAAGCATGAAGAATGACGGGTATGATTTAGATGGCATCCTACTACCCGCTCTTATTTCAGGTCGAATTCCTCGCAATATGGAGGTGCAGAACCACTGTATATAGGTCGGATGAATGCCTACATATGTAAGGATGGAATTGAACAGGCGAAGGTCGTGGGGTTCAATTCGTTAGGCACTGCTGCAACAACGTAACAGCTGCAAATACAAGAGTTGAGGGACGCGATATGAATAAAAGTAGGATAACCGATCACAGACAAACTATGGATTGTTGTCTTTTTGGCATATACAAGCCAAAAAAAGCCTCCCTAACACCCGATTTCTACAGTGAGAAACCAATTATCAAAGATCCCCCCTCCAATAAGCCCAAAGAACCAGCTGCTCCTCAATTGCGCGCATAGATGCGCCAAAAATCCGGTGCCCGTCACAACGGCTGTCGCACTCACTGCTTTTTCTTGCCCTTGTTCTTCTTCTCCTCGTCCTCCTTCTCCATTTGCTTGATCTCCGCCTCCTCCTTGTTCAGCGCATACCACTGCCCCGCCTGCAACACAAGCACCCCCACCAACACGAGCGCCAAAATGGTGTTACTCGCCGCAAATACCCTCAATGTATCCTCCCTATTGATATAATCCCCAGCCTCCACGTCACCGACGGCCTCGACGTTACCGTAGACACCGGCGGTCACAACGCGGAAACCCTTGACGATATTTGTGATGTAGATGGTGATGCCGGCCATGTAGAGCACGAGCGATGCGCCGTCGAAGAGTAAGTTGGATTCGGATGCTTTGTAGAGCTTGGCTAGGAAACCGAGGACGCCGGTGCCTATGACGATGTGCAGAATGCGCGAGATGATTGGGGGCGAGGCGTGCAAGAACTTGATGTGGTCTTCGAGGACCTTGAAGTAGTGCATGGGATCATCGGGTGTGGTCCATAGCACGTTGTAGTCGTAGGGGAAGGAGGAGAAGAGCATGCCCAGAAAGAAACATGTCGCTGTGTTGGACAACTCTTGTTAGCATTTTTTGTGGTATAGTATGTGTTCCAACTCATTGCGTATATTTTTTTTTCTGCTGCTGCTGGAAGCGTACCGCGTCGTGTGCCCCAGGCGAACGTGGGGAGCTACTTACGTCCAATGATAAGAAAGGTTGCAAAGGTGTTTGCTCCCATTTTGGAGGATGCGCAAGGGCTCGTAGTTCTGGAAGACGATGTTAGGGACGGCGAAGGAGCGTATTAGGGTGTGAATGGTAGGTGTGGTGGTTTGCGATGGGCTTGGATGTCGAACTGAGCTTATGGCTGCGGCGGGATGTTGGTTGGGCGTAGTCTACTTGAGGAAGGTGCAGGCTTTTGGCTCGCCTAAGGTATCCATAAACGCTGCGAACCACACCCACAGATGAGGGCAACACTCAGTACCTGGTTGGCGGTACCGGTTTTTCAACTTATTAGGTATCCAAGCGGGGAAGATTCCTTGATTGTGGGATTGATCAATCAGTTGGGAGCAAGCACGTGAAAGCAAGTAGCAAACACAAGGTAAAACCAGCATCTACACTGAGAATGACCCGACCGCAGTCTGGTCGGCATGTTTGTTCATTGAACTACCTAAATTCAAATGTATCCAACGCCTGCGCGCGCCGTGCTCATGAAAACATAATCTCCACCTTCCCGTAATCTTCCCTCCTTTAGAAATCGTTGTCGTCATCCATGTCCTCATCACCGGCCTCAATGAAGACAAGTCTCGTGCCTTCACCGGTCGTTTGCCATACCTGATTAGTGTGGTCAGCGCTGGGCCATGATCGTGTTTATGATTAGAAAAACTTACATCCAATAGAGAGTATTCTTCGATCGCTTGTTCAAACTGGTCTGCGGTGAAACCCTTTGCCAACACTCTCTCGCGAACTCTGCGAAGGTCCAGTTCACCTCGTGTTCCGTCACCAACAGCAGCCGCACCACTTGCCTCCATACCCTTGACGAGGTGATAGATTTTGCTGCTGGGAGTGTGATCGTCCCTACGGTTCTCGTCGGCGTACAAACTGGCCTTGCTGACCTCGACCAGCCTCAATGCCTCGTCAATATCCTCGGTGATGACTTGTTCCGCGAATCGCAAACGCGCAAGAGCCTGCGAGAGACGAAGGACACCCAGCAATGTACGAGGGGAAGTGTGCGTGAATTGCTTCTTGGAGCCTTCATCACGTTTTTGCTGTTGTCGCATGCGGACGTATGCGCCAACCATGTAATCAGAAACTTCCTTGGGAACAGTTGGGCGGAACGAACGTGCGCGAGCAACCCATTGTCGTACTTCGGCCGGACTGAAAACGATTCCTCCAGGAGCTTCAGGGTGGGCGTTGTGCATATGCACATATGTTACGTGACGGGCCAGTTCTTCGTCTGAGTCTCGGGAGGGGGTATCAAGAATAAGGAACAGAACGTCAAAACGGGACAAGAGTGCGGCCGGGAGGTTGATGTTTTCAACAGGGGAAATGCGAGGATTGTATCGCCCATAAAGGGGATTAGCTGCCGCAAGAATCGAGGTACGGGCGTTAAGGGTCGTAGTGATTCCGGCTTTAGAGATGGAAATCGTCTGCTGTTCCATGACTTCGTGGATGGCGGTTCTATCGCTATCGTCCATCTTGTCAAACTCATCAATGCAGCACATGCCATTGTCAGCCAATACGAGCGCGCCGCCCTCGAGAACCATTTCGTCGGTGACTGGATCTCGCATGACGGCTGCAGTGAGACCGACACCGCTGCTACCGCGACCTGTAGTATACACACCACGGGGTGCGACCTTGGTGATATATTTCAACAGTTGCGATTTGGCAACACCAGGATCACCCATCAGGCAAACGTTGATGTCGCCACGGATGCGCATACCATCACCAACCTCCTTAGTCACTCCGCCGATGAGCTGCAAAAGCAGTGCCTTCTTAACGTCGACATGGCCAAAGATTTCAGGGGCAATAGACCTAGAGAGATATTCGTACAGTTGACCAGTACGTTCCAGCTCGTTCATTCTCTTGACAGTGGGCTGAGCGAGCACGATGTCGTCATAGGCTTTCTTGTGTTGGAAGACGTACTGTGCCTCCAGATATGTGTCGGTGAGAAGACCAGCACGAATAGCCTTGAAACCTGTGTAAGGGGTTGGAAGGAAGATTCCAGCGCAGTCAATGACATCTCCAGGGTTTATTTGTCGTACTAGAGAACCGTGGCAGTGGATGGTCAATTGCCTAGGAATGTGGCCAACAGGCACCTGGTCGGCCATCTCTTGAATCTTCACTTCCTGGAACGGAAGAAATTTTGAAGCGCGCGTGGAGAGAAATAGCTGACCCTTGGTGTTGTTTTTTTTGCAGTCGTCGGACGGACATTCGTCCAATGGTGTGAACTGTTTCGTGGTGACAGGCTGGAAGATTTCGCAACCACATCGGTCGCATGAATAAGCGTTGACCTGAACAGCTGGCTTTACATCCGATACCCTGGTCGCGATACCACGGACGGTGATGAGATGACCCAAGTGTTCACCTCGGACGTTGCGTACGGCCAATGCCTTGGAGTTTTGTTGACTGCTGGCGCCGGATGGGATTCTAGGCTTGAAATTGAGGGCGTAGCGCCGGGTCAAGGCAGGCGGGAAAATGATCTCGGGAGGCGCCTGGGCACCATCTTCTCCTCCCTGCATCTCCTGCATTCTCTCGTTTCGCTTCGACCGCTGTGTCATGATGATATCAAGCACATCATCCTTGAAGCTGTTATATGGTTAGAAAAGAGCTTTGATTGCGGTGATGCTTTTCGTACTTGGGATCCCTAGATGGCGCGGGGATGACCTTGTCCACTGCTCGTGAGAAAGTCTCGATATAATGGTGGGCGTTTTTCTCTATGGACTGCACCAGCTTGAAGTCGTGTTCATCGTCCACGTTGGCTCTCTCCCACTAATTTTAATGAGCTGAATATGCTACAATTATCAATTGCCTTGGGCGCACTCACAGCGTCCAAATCGTTCAAGTCTATGACGATGTTTGTCCTCGTTCTGTCGGCAACCTCTTGCAACATGTGCACGTATTTGGCCTTGGAGGGGTTGCGCCTCGACGAACCATCCGGTGCAGGATCGTCCGAGTCGTCGACCATGTCGTACTCTTCATTGTCGCCTCCATTGAGATTGAGGTTCTGCAGCTGGTCGGCAGCTTCTGTGGAAGAGGATTTGAAGTTCTGGAGAAAGTCGACAAATGCAGCTGCGGGTTTGTTTGTTTACGGTTAGTTGGTGGGCAACCAGACAGAGAATGTTGCGCCGGGAAGAAAACACACCTTCTTGTTCCTCGTAATTTACGGGCGCTGCTTGTCCGAGAAGCGCCATTGCTGCTTGAAAATCGGCACTGAAGATGTAGAGGGAGGGGTGGGTTTGTAGAATAATAACCAAGGAGACTGGCTGGCAAGCGCGTTCCTCGCGTTCAGTGTTCTGCGGGCGGGCGCGTCTTTAGTGGCGATGCTGTGGCTAGAGCTGCGGGACAGTGTGTGATTGGCTATGGCTACCTCTACGTATTCTGCCTCCAGGAACCGCTCTCGGACAAGCACAACCTCGGCATCTGATTGACATAGGTCCACTAAGTAGTTCACGTTGAATAATAGCTGTCTGCTTATCATGCTCTTTCCTTGAACCTCCCAACTTCCGAATACCGTCCAAGATGCCTCCCAAGAAACCCACCGGCCAAGTTGTCCAGGCCGAGGTGGCTCTCCAACAGTCGCTCAAGAACTGCCTCGTGAACTTGCCGTCCTCCCTCGTTTCCATTCTGGTCAATGCGAATACAGTAGGCAACAAGATCGCGCAATGATCTTACTGAGACTAATGATTCCGTTTGAAGATTGCCCAAAACGTCATTGTCGAGCTTTCGTACCGACAGCCTCTCCTTTCCGTCTCATCTGATTCCAAGAATGCATCGCCGCAGAAGTCAGTCTTCCTGGGATGGACTGGCATGCAAAGCAAGCGGAGGCCTGCCCCCGTCGTCAGCCGTGAAGGCCTGAGTGGTACCAGGGGCGGTCCAGCTGCCAGAGAACAGGATATACAAGCTGTTGAGATAGACACCACCTTTGCGCGACTCGTCGGGCTCAGCGAGGGGCAGAAGGTGGGAATTATATTGCACCTGGATCCTCCTCAGGCGCACACCATCAATATCGAACCTCTGACCCCTATAGATTGGGAGATGATAGAGCTACATGCTCAATTTCTGGAGCTCAATTTCCTATCACAGATCCGCGCGCTGCCAAACCCGCAAGCACAGGCTTCGCATCCATTAACTCTCCACCTTTCCCCAACCACAACAGCGAACATTATTGTTACCTCGGTCACGCCCGCGCCTTCTGCTGATTCTCATTTCGTCAAGATATCGCCTGATGCAGAAGTTATCGTTGCTCCAAAGACGCGCCAAAAGCCCGAGCGACCGTCGATTCGAGAAAGTCGTAGCGTCGGGGGCGCATCCAGAAAGAGCGGGAAGAGTACGGCTAGTACTGTAAGACGTCGCAGTGGTCGGGAAGAGAATGCTGGCCGTGGAGCCGTCTTTCTGCGTGGTGTCGACCGGGATGTAGCGGGGGAATGGTTTGATGAGGAAAATGATAAGGAAAACACAGGTCTCAAAGTCTGGGTGGACAAAGATATGATGCATAGCAAGGCTCTCCGTGGCGTCACATGGGTTTCAGTAGCCATTGTGAAGGCCGCAGGACTGCAGGAGCCTGTGGACATGTCTAAAGAACAAGACCAGGAGAAACACGCCACACGGGTCGTGGCAAAAATTGGTATATGGGAAGACGCGCCAGATAGCCGTCATGCTGCCTTTTCTGCAGACTTGAGCAAAGTTTTGGGCTATGGAGGATTTGTGGGAGGGCTTGTGAGAATTGAAGCTGCCCCCAACCAAACCGCCAGACCGTCTTCCATCAAATCACAGGGCCCAAAAGACTCCAAGGAGCCAGTGGTGAAAACCCTCAAGATTCTCCCATTCTCTAGAACCTCAGCTCAGACAAATGGTTCACTCAAATTCGGCGGAGAATCGAAGCAAGAACAAGAGGAGGCTCTACAGAAAATCAAAATAGCATATGGCGCCAAAGGCGGTCTTCTGGATGGGCCTGTCACAGACGGCATGGTCTTGCCTCCATTAACAAACGGTTCATTGGAATGGCAAGGAGGTTTGGTGAGATTTGAACCTTCGCAACCAGCATCAAGCACATCATGGGTTTTGGTTCCAGAACGAAAACCAGCTATGGAGTTGGGATCAGATATCGCTGCGCCCTCGAGCTGGACGAAAGGTTGGCAGCTGGGTGATCCTCTACCTCCCAAAGGCCCTCACCTAGTTGGCATTGATCCCCTCGTTGATCAGCTACGGTCGCACCTGACTCACAACTCATCTGTGCTGCTTACAGGAGGCTTGGGCGCTGGCAAGTCGAATTGTGCCCAGCTTCTGGCTCACCAACTTCGTACCGAGTTCTTGTTCCATACCATTTATTTTCCTTGTCGCAAGCTTGTGACGGATGAAACAAGGGTGTCGACTATCAAAGAAACTCTCAATCGATTGTTCGCGTCTGCTGCTTGGGGAGCAAGGGGAGGGGGTAATGCTGTTGTGATTTTGGACGACCTAGACAAACTGTGTCCCGTGGAGACTGAATTGCAAGTCGGCAACGAAAACGGGAGAAGTCGTCACGTTAGTGAAAGCATCATCTCTATCATTCGTCAATACTGTTCCATGGACTCTGGCGTAGTGCTCCTTGCAACTGCGCAGGGTAAAGAGGCCTTGAACAACGTTATCGTCGGTGGTCATATTGTTCGGGAAATCGTCAGCCTCAAGGCTCCAAACAAGGACGGCAGGCGGAAAGTGCTTGAAATGCTTGCATACCAAGACGCAAAGCCGCAATCGCCCGAACCGCAGAAGCCAAATGGGCACGCGTTTCCTGCATCCCCATCTACTAGCCGTCCTAGTACATCTCATCGCAGCCAATCGAGCCATGGAAGTATACATGATGAGAGGCCTGACGAAGAAGACGGGTTTGTCGTTGATTCCACCATTGACTTCCTAGACCTTGCCGGCCAAACAGACGGATATATGCCTGGAGATTTAGTCCTCCTGACATCAAGAGCACGGAATGAAGCTCTCATACGCTCCGTTACAGACGAATCGTCGTCCTCGGCATCAGTTTTGTTGACGAAACAAGACTACAGTTCCGCACTGGCTGGCTTCACTCCAGCGTCTCTGCGCAACGTAACCTTGCAATCGTCCACTACCAAATGGGACTCTATCGGCGGTCTCTTAGAAACCCGACAGATCCTTCTCGAGACACTCCAATACCCCACAACCTACGCACCTATCTTCGCGCAGTGCCCCTTACGCTTACGATCTGGACTGCTACTATACGGCTATCCCGGCTGTGGCAAGACGCTTTTGGCCTCTGCCGTAGCAGGCGAATGCGGTCTTAACTTCATATCTGTCAAAGGCCCAGAAATTCTCAACAAATACATTGGCGCGTCTGAAAAATCCGTCCGCGACCTCTTTGAACGCGCCGAAGCCGCACGACCATGCGTCCTCTTTTTCGACGAATTCGACTCAATAGCGCCAAAGCGCGGTCACGACTCCACGGGCGTCACCGACCGCGTCGTCAATCAGCTCCTTACGCAAATGGATGGTGCAGAGGGTCTAAGCGGTGTCTACGTGTTAGCTGCTACCTCTCGCCCAGACCTTATAGATCCGGCGCTTCTACGACCAGGTCGCTTGGACAAGAGCCTGCTGTGCGACATGCCAGCACTGGAAGAGCGCGTCGACATCCTGCAAGCCGTCACCCGCAAACTCCACGTCGCCCCTTCCGTTCTCGAAACAGACGCCTCGCAATCAGAGAACCTCCACGAAATCGCGCGTCGTACCGAAGGTCTCTCCGGCGCCGACCTGCAAGCGGTTGTGTACAATGCGCAGCTCGAAGCCATCCACGATGCTCTCGGTGATATAGATCTTACACCCAGCAAAGACAACGACAACGACAACTCATCCCCTGCAGCGGCGAAACCCAGCTCTCGCAAACCATCATCCTCTTCTTCCTCTTCAGCAACAGGTCAGAGTAGTACTCCGGACAAAGACTCTGCAGGACGTATCCCGTCCTTCACGCATTTCCGCTTCGGAGACGCTGATGCAGATGCTGACTCCTCTTCCACCCCATCTCCCTCCGCCTCATCAAAGCAAATCACCGAAACAGCACTCATCTCCCAGAAAATTCAAGCCCTGCAAGCGCTGCGCAAGAAGCAAAAACAACTTCATCTTCCTCCTCCTCCGTCCGCTTCCCACTACAATCCTCACTCCAATAACAACAACGATGATGGTGATAATGGGGGAGAGGGAGAAGGAGAGAGGAAGGAACCGCAAATCGAATGGCGGCATATTTCGCGTGCGCTGGAGAGTACGAGGAGTAGTATCAGCGCACAGGAACGACGCAGATTGGAAGTGATTTATAGGGAGTTTGTGGTGGGGAGGAATGGGGAGATGCCTAGTGGACAAGGGGGTACGGAGGTTGGGGGACGGTCGAGTTTGATGTAGAGAGAGAGTTTTTTCCCTTCATTCGTATATGTTCTGTATGTGGGGGGCTTGGATCTGTGGGTGTGGGGGGGGGGGGGGGGGGGGGGGGAAGGCGCGCGTGTGTGTCAAGGGGGTATGTCATGCCATGTTTGATTTTGATGTGATGAAGAGGAAATATGAATACTTTCTTTGTCCATGTAACTCCTTAGTATGTTTTCAGGGTCGGGTATAGTCTCTGTGTCTGTTCGTGGTTGTAGTTGTGGTTGTGGTTCTTGTGCGTTGACTGTCATTGTATATATGCATGTATATTATGTAAAACTGGTATGCACGGTTCACAATTGTCTCTGAATCAATTGGCAAAATCCACCGTGATACTATGTCAAGTGTCTGAATGTTGGAGCGATCATCACCAATAGAGTACTCATAAATCTCACGAATGGTTGCAGGGGAAGAATTCGAAGAGTGGTGCTAAGATTCATGAATTAGACACCTCTCCAGACCGGCACGCGGAACAAGATATCCGCTTTTCAATGAGTATTTATGCTACATTAATCATGCCCGTTCTGACGAACCCGGATTTGTTGGTCTTGAGTGCTATTCCCGCTCAAGGTACATCCACCTTGACGTCATCCTCATAATCGACCTCCCGCACACCATCCTTTGTTATGACCTTGACAATCACACCCTTGAAATCGATAGGGAGACGGCGTTTCAGCTCTTCGGTACACATGCGAAGGATCTTCATACCCTGGTCGTAGTTGATGTCGGGGTGGTGGTGCTTGTCCAACAACGAGAGACAGTAATATCTAGTTTCATTCACCCGTCAGCTCCATACCGTCTCCATCAGAATACAGTGTATAAGACAGTACATACTGTGCGTAGCCGTGTGCGGCATAAGGTACGGGTGCCAAGCTCGCAAGGTAGTCGATCCAGTATAACGTAGGCTTGTCCTGAATCTTGTCGTAACCACCCAACAGCAGATTGACAGTGTATGGCCGTCTCGACCGCAGAGCTTGTGCAAGCTCTCCCCGGACGAAGTTGGCGGTGGCGGAAGGTGAGAGCTCCATGCCATTGCGCATGGAGTAGAGCTGTACGTTTGCTTGGATGTATTCGGCGAATTGCACTTCAAGACACGATTAGTCGATACCCGGAGTGGAAATTGTCCAAGGGATGGTGGGTTCCCATACCCGTGTCACCGGCCTCGCCCGAGAATGCCATCAGCGTATGCGTGTTGAGCGATCTGGTCTTGTCGTCGGAAGCTTTGAGGATGGTGGCGCCCCGCATGGCGGCTTTGGAGGCGGCAATGAGGGTGAAATCCTTCCCCGTGATTCCTAGTAAGACCTCCCTGGGTATTCCATAAGTACATGATCTGTATACAGACGCTTTGACAAATGCACGTACATGATGAGTTATGGGCGGTGGTTCGGCGGAACCTTGAAGAGAGATTGGTGGAGGAGAGTCTATTGTAAAAAGGACGAGTTCAGTCTGGCAAGTCCTCAAGGACCCAAGTGCAGGCAGCGGTGGTTCAACGACGCAAATGGTACACAAGCAGATTGTTGGTCGGACGGCGGGTGGATTGAGGGAACGCGACACCCAGAGCTGCCTTGGCTTGGCGCAGTGCAGTTGCAGTCGACTGGATGGAGCTCGGACCCCCGGCCATCGAGCCAGCCAGCACAGAACGGCAAGAGCTGACCTCACATGCTTACCTAACGCGGTTGAGCTGGGAGGCGTCACGTGATGGAGGGGCTGAACTGGATCCCTGTTGTTGGGAGGCAAGCGGGCCAATCACAGGCAGCTGGCTTGCTTTTTCGACGACATTAGTGGGGGATCATCCAAATGAGAGAGGGTGCTGTTGGGTGCTATGAATACCTTTTGTCGTATAAAACTCTCACGCCCCGCTTTGCTTTGCATTTGGTCAGTCACACCACAAGCTCATCAGTCCAACTCGTAGCTGATCCATCCAAGATCTCAACATGGCCATCACCAAGATTCACGCCCGCTCCGTCTACGACTCCCGTGGTAACCCCACCGTCGAGGTCGACCTCGTCAGCGAGACCGGCCTTCACCGTGCCATTGTCCCCTCGGGCGCCTCCACCGGCTCCCACGAGGCCTGCGAGCTTCGCGATGGTGACAAGTCCAAGTGGGGTGGCAAGGGCGTCACCAAGGCCGTCTCCAACGTCAACGACATCATTGCCCCTGCTTTGATCAAGGAGAACATTGATGTCAAGGACCAGTCCGCCGTCGATGCCTTCTTGAACAAACTCGATGGAACGTAAGTCGACGCCCAATTCCCCCTCCCCAGCATGCAATGGCTGCTCATACTCTCTGGACAGCAAGAACAAGGAGAAGCTCGGTGCCAATGCCATCCTCGGTGTCTCCATGGCCGTCGCAAAGGCTGCCGCCGCCGAGAAGGGTGTCCCACTCTACGCTCACATCTCCGACCTCGCTGGCACCAAGAAGCCCTACGTCCTCCCCGTCCCCTTCCAGAACGGTACGTGACTGAACAATGGCCGCACTCATCTCTGTTAGCTTACACGGTTGCAGTCCTCAACGGCGGATCCCACGCCGGTGGACGCCTCGCCTTCCAGGAGTTCATGATCGTGCCCTCAGAAGCCCCTACCTTCTCCGAGGCCATGCGTCAAGGTGCTGAGGTGTACCAGAAGCTCAAGGGCCTTGCCAAGAAGAAGTACGGCCAGTCTGCTGGCAACGTCGGTGACGAGGGTGGTGTCGCTCCCGATATTCAGACCCCCGAGGAGGCTCTCGACCTCATCATGGCTGCTATTGAGGAGGCCGGATACACTGGCAAGATCAAGATTGCCATGGATGTAGCTTCAAGCGAATTTTACAAGACCGAGGAGAAGAAGTACGACCTGGACTTCAAGAACCCCGACAGCGACAAGAGCAAGTGGCTCTCCTACGAGCAGCTCGCCGACCTCTACAAGTCCCTTGCCGAGAAGTACCCCATTGTCAGCATTGAGGACCCCTTCGCCGAGGATGACTGGGAGGCTTGGAGCTACTTCTTCAAGACCTCCGACTTCCAGATTGTTGGGTAAGTTCCCGAAACAATCTGTCCAACTACTGTTGTACTGACTCTTATTGCAGTGATGACTTGACTGTCACAAACCCCGAGTTCATCAAGAAGGCCATCGAGCTCAAGTCCTGCAACGCCCTCCTCCTCAAGGTTAACCAGATCGGCACCATCTCCGAGGCTATCCAGGCTGCCAAGGATGCTTTCGGTGCTGGCTGGGGCGTGATGGTTTCTCACCGCTCCGGAGAGACTGAAGATGTCACCATTGCCGACATCGTCGTCGGTCTCCGAAGCGGACAGATCAAGACCGGCGCTCCTGCACGATCAGAACGTTTGGCCAAGCTCAACCAGATCCTCCGAATTGAGGAGGAGCTCGGCTCCAACGCCATCTACGCCGGCCAAAACTTCAGGACCGCTGTCAACTTGTAAGAGTGTCATGACGATGTGAAGACCACGCGAATAAACGATGAATCAAAAAATGGCGCCATTAGCGATAGCGTAGAGGAACGAACTCATTTATGAATATAACGCCACGAGATAGATATCCTCAATACTTCCAAATGTCCCACTGTAGACTTCCTAGTATCATTGAGTTCCTTCATGTTTTGAGTGGCCGTGAACTGGTCAAGTTTGCACGTGCCTTACACAGATCCTGCACGGTAGCCAACTTTAGTGTAACATCGATTTCGAACGTGCGGTCCGCATGTAGCCCCTTCCACACGTCACACTACACTATCACCTTCACGATAGCCCTGAATCCTACCGGTGGAGTCATCGCCCTGCTATGCTCCATTCCGCAATGTCCGCCACCCTCACCCATTGTGTAGCCACTCATGGACGTCATTCACAGGCACTCTTTGTTCTTTTACATTGTTTATTGTTATTTTCAGAGCCTTGTTTCTCTTTGTACCATTGTGTGGCCTAATATAGAAATTCCGCAGGAAGAAAGGGTTATGCATCATATAACCCGCGCCTCCTGCTACTCCAAGCATCGCTCAGTCATACACTTCAACAATCTATCACATTAGCATTACACGACAGCATAGCGTTTACTTTTTTCCAGCATTACAGCCGCTTTTACTTGCATATTCTAATATTTTCTCGACACCTGTTCAAAACAGGCATTTGCACTAATACAGGAAGAAGCTCACCATCAAACATATAGAACGAAACACCCGCATCGAGCAGATTTCCACGCTCCGACAATCATTCGACAATGACTACAACTACATTAGAGACATACTCAACTACTATCGATGAGTCAAAATCCCAAGTCTCTCAACACTCAGACCCTTTCCATTATGACCATGACCAACAAATTACTGGAGTGGGGCTGGCCAGGAGTACTTCGCCTTCTAAACGGTTTTCAGTTTGTTCTACTGACGAAGACATCATTTCTCCTACCTCTGAAATTCCCATGAGTCACTACTTGAGTATAGATAACTGGCCCCAGCCCGTCGAATCCGCCCACAATGTTGCTTCGTCTGTCTATACACTTCCGGAGACGGTGAAAGTATCGCCGTTCGTTTTGGGCGCACCCTTCGAGGACACTTCCTCTAATTCTGCTTCAAAGTCATCCCAGAGCGGGAAACCCCAGGACATTGGTTGGGACTTTGTAAAAGACTCGCCAAAAGTAACCAAAATGCCCCCTAGTGAGAACGCGCTCAAGATCCATATCCCTGAATTTGCATATACGCCCGCAAAGAAGGTAGCAAAATCGGGGAAAAACACGGAAACTCGCCCTTCGATGCCGACAGGACCCAAGCAAAGCCCACAAGCTACTTCCACACTTGCAAACATTTACCATGATGCTAAAGAGATCTACTTGGCAGGGCCAAAGGGTGATGGTCATGACCTCTGGCATGGCATACAGCAGCTACGTAAACCGCACAAGGCCGCTCACCCTGGACATGCCCCCGTGACCAAGCCAAAGTCAAATCCTCCCTCTCGTCCATCGGAACCTGAACCTCTGGGTATCATTCGTAGGCCCGTACAAGTCACTCATGAGGCCACAGTAGATACCCAACCGCCATCACTCTCTCCAATTCGCGTCCCGCGCCCGCCCGCGAATAACATCCGACGTTCTAACGACACAGAAGCAGTCGAGACTGGTTCCACTAATTCTTCTCCAGTCTTCACTATCGAAGTAGGAGCTTCCCCTACCGTTCAGCAGGATGCGCAAGAAACAATCATCAACTACACAAAACCGAAGCAAGCTCCACAGCTCCAACCAGCCCCGAAGACGAGGAAGGAGTTCAGGAGGCAGTCCACGACAACCAAATTTGGTCTGCCTCCCCCTCCTGTTCCAAAAAGCCCCAGGTCAGGCAAGGGAAACTATGTTGTGATTGGCGCAGAAGGGACACACTGCAGCAGCAAGGAAGAGAAGCCTAGCTTCTTGTTGCCGCTGCCGCACACAAAGCTCCAGCTAGATTCTTCTTCTGCTGAATCTGTAGGTTCCAAAGTCTCTCTTAAGTCTTCTTCCTATGTTCTCTTCCCCTCCACTTCTGTAGGAGGCAACCGATCTATCACACCCATACCCCAAGGTAAACACCATCGAAATTTCGCCTCTCTCGACGACCGCATCACCGAGCGACCCCGAAGGAACAACACCAAGAAAGGTCTGAAGAAAAAGCAGAGCTGGTTCTCCCGCTTCTTCGGTAAACTTTGCAACCTCGTCGATACTAACCCCTCGGAAAACACTCCCCCGAACCGTCCTATCAAGCAATCCGCTAACAAAGGACCGTTCCGTCCAAAGCAGGGAAACATTTCAAAACTCGACATCTCCTACCCACAAATCGTACACCTCCCCTCCAACACAAACTCCAAAACCAATATCGCTCACTCCCAAACCACTTCCTCAAAAGTCCACCGCCCCGCCAGCAACAACAAAAACCAGAATTTTTCATCCCTTCAAATCCCCACGCACCCATCAAACCCTCATAAGCGCCACCATCAACGCACAGTATCCGCTCCACTACAAAAGTTCACACAAGCAACAAATTCATTGCTCAATAACGATAAGAACACCACCAGCAGGAACTCCAGCGGCACCAAAGATGATGCGAGAAACACTCGCAGAGACAAGACTAACTCCAAGACCAAGGCTCAGATTTTCTGGTCCGATGTCATCACGCCCGCCATGACATCCACAGCGAGTAAGTTGACTGCTTCACGTGCGTCGGGAAACACTACTTCCACCACTACTACCACTACCAGGAAGCGTAAGGATTCAGATACGTCTTTTAGTTGCCAGGGGCTCGTTGATGATAACCATGATGACTTTGTTGGATATGTCCGGAATCATGAGGTTGAAGGGAGAATACCTCCTACCGATGTTATTTCTCGTGGCGGGGAGGAGGTGGGAGAAAGAGGGCAGGAGAGCTCGAGCGGAGCTTCAATCTCCAGTTTGAGACCGAAGCCGCTGTTCTTTGGTATTCCGTGGGTTTAGAGGGGTGAGGAAGGAAGGAAGAGTATGGGATGGCTGTGGGTTTTGTATGGATGATTCTGTCTTGTTTCTTTTGTTCTTCGTTCTGCATTCTGCATTCTTGTCATTTCATATGTGTTTCTTTTGTTTGTTGTTTTTCTTTTTTCAAGACTATAGATGAATGGGAGAGTTTCTGGTTCGTTTTTATCGTGTTGTTTTATTCATAATATTGTCGACGGGATGAGAGAATAGCATACTCTTGGAGCTTCATGAATCTTCCATTTATAAACCTTCTAATCTACTACAGTTCGTGAAACCGAGATCTTGGGTGGAAACCTGTCTAGGGCATCCCGGGTTTATGAGACTAGTCGCTGTCGTACACTCATCATCTCCTGGTACATTCCATTCATGTCGAAGAGTACAAGTCACAGAACCGTCGATGCCAACGCATGGTGGCGCTTTAAAAGGTTCCACGAGCATGCCTTTTTCCCACATTACTCACAATTCGAGAAAGCACGGTAAGACTTCCCTACGCTTACATCTTACACCATTCTCACCCATCGAACACCTTGGTCGTGCTAACATTAATCCTGCTCCACTCCCTCCCCTGCCATAACTTACCCATGAAAACAAGTGGCCAATAAACGTGATACAACACCGCGAACGGAATCGGATCACTCACATCAAATGTGCCATCGCGCCATGCCAAAACATGCTCTCCGAATTCAATCCACCCTTTCAACACATCATCAACCGTCGCAACACCCCACGCAGCATCTAGCACAGGCAAAATAAGCAATGTAACTAGATCATGCCCAATCCAATAAAAATTCTGCGTAGGAACCGCAGGTGTAACAATATCCCGGACGTCAAGAGAAGAAGGCGGCGAGAAAACCGAGAGATAAGCAGACGACAGCGCAGGCGTGTCTGCGAAGAGGGCGATTGCCGTGTGGGCGCGCGGATTGCATTCAATGGGGTAAATGACGAGGTTTCCATCCTCATCTTCTTCGATTTTACTTTTATTCGCTCCGCTGTTACTACCGTTGTTATTGCTTTTTGTGCTGGGGACCAGGAAATCGAATGATAGGTGGCCGGTGAAGTCTTCGCCCCCGTCTTCCGCTACGCGCTGCGTGAATGCTAGCATGGCTTTGCTTAAACGGCTGTTGGACGGTAAGGCGCAGTAGTGCATGAGGAGTTCAGAGGACGGGCATGCTGTGAAGGCGACGACGCGGCCGCGGACTATGAGCGCGTGGGTACAGTACTCGTCGCCTTGGATGAATTGCTGGAGCTGGAAAGGGTTTTGCGGTTCAATGGTGAGGTTGTTGACGTACGACGTCGTCTCTTGGGGAGAGGAGAAAGGGAGAAGTGTCATCATGGCCGCGCGGGCTCGGTCGTCTACGCCGATAGGTTTGAGGATGTATTTAACGCCCCCTTTTTCTTCACCCTCTCTTTGATTTTGGTTGGTTGAAGATTCAGGTTCGGAATCGGGTAGTAGGACTTGAAGAACTTCCTCGCGGCTCGTACACCGATGGCTTTCCGGAACCCTCAATCTTAAGCTCTGGATATATTCAATGAATCGATCCTTTTCATGTAGAGTCTCTACTACATCTTCTCTGAACTGTATCGCGCGGAATCCTGCAGATCCATTCGCTTTGGCACGTTCTTCTGCAAGCCGAACTACGACGCCATCTTCGACAGCTGCCACGACACTCGAGCACGAGATCCATAGATCCACTTTCTCAAGCTGAATTACGTTGAGCAACGAGTCGATGTATGGCTCGGCATCACTACCATCTGGCGGCGTGAGGCGGTAGAACGCAGAAGTAGCACTGGAGAAACGGCCTGGAGAAACTGAAGAAATGTCTGCACAGATGATGCGGTGTGGAGTATGTTGAGATAGAAGGCGGAGGATTATTAGGCCCTTCGTCATAGAAATTCCGGTAACTAGAATGTTTTTTTGTCGAAGTGAGTCTGAGTCCGCGTTTTCCTCACTTTGCTCGTTGACCTCATGGCGGTGAAGGGGTGACGGTAAGGCGATCGGATTTGGAGTTGGGTTAATTCGAGTGTATATCAAACAAAATAATACGAGAGCTATTGATATCGGTGCCGTGATGACGCTCAGGAAGATAAGAAGGAGATTCTTGGGCACGTGACGGTACCATACTGGTGTCGATGACTGGGTTGATGATGTGTGAGTCTGACCCGAAAGGAATTTCTTTGAGAGTGACATGTTTCTCATGAAGTCGTGGAAGATCAAAGAAGAGCAGGAAGGACAAAAATCTGAAAACGTGACGTCGTGTCGTCGTGCTTCTAGCGTGTAAAGCTACAATCAGAGCAAGACGAAGGGATGGGAGATTGTCACAAGCTCCCGAGGCGCTTTCATGCAATGCCGACCAACCTAATTCTTTTCTTCCAGGGTCCCACCTTTTCGATGTGTACGGAACGAAGGCAAATGTCAACGTGTTGTGTCAAAGTACCACGAAAACCGCAACCGGCATCTCTGCATTAGTCTACACGTCATCATTATCACAATTCGAATTGGTGGAGCGGTCGAAGCGTGGAACTCTGGTCCTGTGGGTCTCTCTTTTCTTTTTGGCGCGTCTTGATTTAATTGCGCGTTTGTGTTGTATGCCTAGACTGAGTGGGGTGGTTTATGATCGATTTCGTGCTGGGTAGACGTGTTGTTTACCGTGGAGGGGAATGGGGGGCTCGGTAGTGACAGCATGTTGACAAACAAAAACGACAAAAGGGATTGCCTCAAGATTGAAGATTATGGAGAAGAATGAATGCACCATGATGGAGTGTGAGCTATCCTCTGCCAGATGAGTTGAATAAATTGATTTTTGAGTAGCTGAAGTCTTCCTGCGAGGATTGACTTACTTCTCCTCGCCCACACACCTAGTAATCTCCACGCCGTCCTGTCACAAGGTATTAGCACAGTCTCACCAGTAGATTCTGCTTCTGGAAGATGAGAAAGCATGCAAACTTACCGGCACGCCCGTAGGCTCGTAGCTGTTCACCAGCTTACTCTCATATACCAAGTCTGGGTTTCCGGGGCTTTGGCTAAACTTCTCCTCCGCGTACCTGTTCGCATACTGTTTGGCATTTCTCTCCGCAAACCCTTCTACACTCCCTCCTGTTTTACCCCCCTTGAAATTTGCCCGCTTTTGATCCACTGTACTTCTCACGTACTCAAGATAAGGCGGGTTGCCAGGCTTGATCACATTGTCTGCCGCGAGAACGGAGCCCGGTGTAACGAGTTTGAGCTCTTCGCAAAGCTTGAGATCGGTGGTGTAGGCAGGCTTGTAATGGTCCAAGAACATGAGGTCGATGTGCTTGAGCAATCCAGCGGAATGTAACCGCGCAATGGATTCGTCGCTAGAGCCGACCACGACTTTAACCACATCGGAGAGGCCTGCAAGGTCGACCAAGGACATGATGACAGCTGCGAATTCGGGGTTGCGCTCCAAACTGTAATATCGCTGTCCACCTGCTTTCCGTACTGCGTCGCCGAAAAGAATGCAGGAATACCCTACGTAGCCTCCCAATTCAACCTGTCCATTATGTGTTAGATCCCGTGTGTATGAACCGGGATGCGGGGAGCATACCATAGTCTTCGGCTTCACTTCAGCGATCAGATCTGTGACAATGCGTCCTTTATCCTCGCCAACGTTCATGAGGTACTTCTTCGTCCTCCCAAACTCGTCAATGGCAGCCAGCACATGTTTCGGTGAGCCTCGAATCTTGCTGATATTGGGATGCGAGTAAACAAAGTGAAGAAGCTCGACTTCGCGACCATCGTCGAAAAACGTCTCCCCTTGAGGTGCATATGCCTTGTCCTGATCGAAGTTGTTCATATTGTCGCAAATTGATAATAGAGTGACTGACTGGATCTACAAACAAACCCTTTGCGATGGAGCTACGCGTCGTACGATTTGTCTTGAACGCGTCATTGTTAGCGCCCGCTTGCATGGGACAATGGAAGTTTGGGCCTGGACGGAATCGGTTTACGGCACATTCTGGAGGGACCCCCACTAAATGCAGACGTCACCGTTAAGATGAAGCAATTGTCTCAGCCCACCAAGATTTCCCCTCTCTTGCCATGCAATTGATGCTAGTTCTCAATGGTGTACTTTCTAAAGCGAACGGTGTGAAGCAGGAGAGTAGTGCATATCGCGTGGCGAGATCAAGTAAGCCGGTTTAGAGCAGTAGGGTCACTGCAGGAGCGCTGTAATATCTCCGCTAGGCATCTGCTTGTGGGGTGATCGATTGGATCAAGGGAAGTCTTGACATGAAAGCTGTTGTAAACGAAGTATCGAACCCGGTCCGGGATATCTTCCCCAGCCATTCACACCGACGGAAACCAGCACCGAGATCTGATAACCCGATGTCTAGCCTTGTCAGGTACAACGAACAGCCGCCAGAATCGATCGGTACAACTTTATCTGGAACGAACGGGAACTAGGCACGCTAGGATCGCGACCAGCTCGGTTGCACGTAAGGTGTTTGTAAATTCTGGGTATGACAACGCTAAGAGTCGGCGATTTTGTATCTCAGCAAGTCGAACTAATGACAATTGATCCGAACGTGTAGGAAGGCAGTTCCAGCGTTGTATGGAAAAACTGTATGCACATGAGAGAGGAAGGGGGGACGATGCTGAGACCCGCTCCAATCATTTCCTCGTCCATCTCCCCCGCAAGACCCTTGCCTACATCGACGCCATAGACTTGGTTGCGCTAAGACAGGCATACCTTGTTCCTAACAAAGACCTCTTTTTTAGTCAATCGTCATGCGAATTCGGCGCCTTTTACATGCGCAATTTGCAATTCCCATTGCTGCGGCATCGCTAACATTCCCACTTACGCTTTCAGCCCGACTAGTTTCTCTTTGCTTGCAAAAGTCATTTCATCATGTAGTTCCCATCCGAGTCTAGCCCCTGCATTGCGTTATATTCCACCCGCTTTTCTTGTCACAACGTGGCTCAGGAATGGCTAGATCTGGGGCCATCGAAAGACCCGCTGCGTATGCTTGACGTTACCGGCTAGTCGTTGGCGTTGAAGGATGCGGGATGAGAGAAAGATTATTCAATGAAAGCGGATCCGAGTAGGACGGGCTCCTTGAAAACGGATGCTTTATATGGCCTCCGGAATCCCCCCAATCTTTGGTCCGGTAGAAATTCTCAATAATTCTTCTATACATCCTTCTTTCACTCCATCTCAACTCAATTGTTCATATTCAACATGTCTGATCTCAAGGCTTCCGTTGTGGAGACCAAGAACGGTTTCCACGTCGAGGGTTATGAGAAGATCGAATACGACTTCACATTCCTCGATGGTATCTTCAACACGGAGAATGGCCAGCTTGCGAAGTGCTACGAACGATGGGGTCGTGCCCTCGCCGTCATGGACTTGAACATTTTCAACATGTATGGCGAACAGATGCAGAAGTACTTCGACCACCATGGCTTGGAGTTGAGGATCCACAAGACTATGATTGGCGAGAAGGCCAAGTCCATGGACACGCTTCTGAGCATTGTGGATTCCATGACAGACTTTGGTATCATCCGCAAGGAGCCTGTTCTCGTCGTCGTAAGCATTGTCCCGACAATTGATCATTAGGTCCCCGATACTAACTTGTTTCTAGGGTGGTGGTCTTGTCACAGATGTCGCTGGGTAAAGCACTGCCTCGGTCGGCCTAAGAGAGATCCTAAGGCACTCTGACCTATTACCCACTAAGAATCTCTTGTTAACTTTTTGCCCCAGATTTGCATGCGCAGCTTACCGGAGAAACACCAACTTCATCCGTATCCCCACGACTGTCATTGGCTTGATCGACGCCAGTGTCAGCATCAAGGTTGCTGTCAACTATGGCAACTACAAGAACAGGTTGGGAGCTTACCACGCCCCAATGCACACATTCCTCGACTTCTCGTTCTTGCGGACACTACCAGAGGGTCAAGTGCGAAACGGTTTCGCAGAGCTGATCAAGATCTCAAGCTGCGCTCACTTGCCCACGTTTGATCTACTTGACAAGTACTGCGAGAAGTTGATTCAGACACGCTTTGGTCGTTCCGATGATGCTTCCCAGGAAGTCCGTCAAGCTGCAGATGAGATCAACCGTGCTGGCATCCACGAGATGTTGAAGCTGGAGACTCCTAACCTTCACGAGATTGGTCTGGACCGTGTCATCGCCTATGGTCACACATGGAGCCCTCTCCACGAAGTGAGTTAAACGAACTTTTGCGGACGAACAAAGCTGATATAGTGAACAGCTCTCCCCTTCAGTGCCTCTGCGCCACGGCCATGCCATCTCCATTGATATGGCATACTCAGCCACATTGGCCAACCACCGCGGACTACTGTCTAAGGAAGAGCACCACAGAATTCTCAACCTCTTCTCAAGAGCAGGCCTCTCCATGGACCACGAGCTCTTCGACGAGGAGATGCTCGACAAGGCCACCAAGGCTATCCTCAAGACGCGAGACGGCATGCTGCGAGCCGCGGTGCCCAACCCCATTGGTAGCTGCACCTTCCTGAACGACGTGAAGGCCGAGGAGATGAACGAAGCTCTCCGGAAACACAAGGAGATTATGAAGCAATACCCCCGCAACGGCGAAGGTCTTGATGCCTTCGTCGACGCTAGCGACACTGGTTACACAGTGAACGACAAGCCTGTCGAGGAAGTCACCGCCAATGGCAAGATGGCCAACGGCAAGGCGATTCCCGAGGCATTGCAGCAGGCTCTTAAGAACGGATACTCAAATGGATTGAAGAACTGAGGGAGGCGGACACATGTTTCAAGTTAGCGAAACCAAAAGACGTTAGGAAATTTTCGGTCCCTGTTACTTTAAAAACGTCCTCCTATGATATCTAGATACTTTTCTCTTTTCTTCCAACACAATTCAAACAATTTTAACGGCCGAAACAAAACTTGAACATGATGATAATGTGAACCAACGCCTTCCGCATCTATCTTAGTCTGATCAGGTCGTAGGCAGACTGCTATAGGACGCTTGTATGCGCTAGCAGAATCGAATCCATGAGATTCGAGAGCAACATCGAAAAGCCTCCATCCTGTCTCCATCGTTTGAACACGACACGATAAAGCATAGCAAGTAGAAACCGGATATTCGCCCATCAACGTAGGCAGCAGTTCTTTAGACATTGCCATCACTGCTCGTCACAGAACCAAAACACGCATCATATAATCATTATGTTCTCCATGTATTCGACACCGCCACCCCCTCGCCATCAATTAAGACGACACACGGAGCAGCAGCTTCCTAATGGAGGATTGTTCTCCGGAGCGGACAACACCATAAGGTGTCTGGCATACGATAGCAATTGAAGCGTGCATAAACGTACGTGGCAGCGCCGTGATAAACTTTTTGATGAGGTGCGAAAGAGAGACGCGAGGAAGCGAAAAATTTATACCGCGGATGAGTGCCAAGACGCTATGGCTGGTTGCGGGTAAGAGGCGATGGCGTTGTGCTGATTGGTTGTAAAGGTGGGTCTGAGAACACTGAGAACGACTGGGTGCTTTGCGATGAGCTCGAAAACATCTACATATAGTGTTGATAGATAGTTGGGTGTGTTATAGGGTTTGATTTCCTACAAATACGCATATTATAATATATCACTAGATATTCTGGGCATCCCATAGAATCTGCCATCGCAAATTCACCTTTGTCTCACTTTGATCGACCACTAAGAGTTTGGAGGGATTATGGGACATAGTTGGAATCAACTGATGTGAATACCACAACCATGTCAGTCAGTTATTGTGATCGTGCTTCGAAACTATGTTAAACATAAGGCAGGGGTAACACTTTGAGGTTGTCATCTATTTGCTCTGAAATCGTGGGTTCACGGTTGTTATATACAAGGTAAAATGATCATTTCCAGGTTGATATTGGAGATGATAAGCAGCAGAAGCTCAAGAAACAGAGTGTTTCCGATATGCATCGTCTGATAAATGATGCTTCAAGTAGTACAAAGCATTCCAGAGGAACAACCAAGTCCATAAATGTGTATATTACCAAGGATATCGTAACATGAGAGGCATTCATAGCGACGCCGTAGTTCCCATCCTCCTAATATTGCCAGTATTCCAAAAGTCGCCAACACCCAGTTGTACAGTCCACGTTTGACACAAAATGCAGGCAGCCCGAGCTAGATGCTTATTTTGTCACAGACTTTGCAGTCGCCTCGACCTTGGTGGCCGCGTCGCCAGCTGCCTCCTTGGCCTTCATGGCGAGTTCTCGTCCACCCCAGTTCCAGTAGGTAAGGTATCGGTATCCCTGAACAATTTGAGAAGAGCAGTTGATAGCGTGGCAACCGAAGAGAAGGTAGTTTGCGGGTGTGACGGCCAAAGAGTAGCGCATGAATACGGCGGAGTAGACGGAAAGAGCACCAGTCATAGGACCGGAGATGCTATTCGAATGTTAGTTCTATTGGGAAGAGCCGAAAAAGACGCCAGATGTAGAAGTGGGCCAAATGTATCGATGCCGACAGAATTGGATTGGTAGCACATTCGGAGGTAGGTAAAACGTACATCTCGGGATCTTTGCTCATGTCCGCAATGGCCGCAAGAGGGATACCGAAGTTACTCGCCGGACCCCAGAAGTCTGTTCCACATTAGCTATATCCTCTCCATATCCTCGCCTGCGACCTCCGCGGTTTTCAATAGGCCATAAGCACACCGCACGCCACGTTCAGCTTGAAGGCCGTTCATCGGAGCAGCGTCGCAAAATACCCAGGGAATCGAGAAGGGGTATACGTACGGGTCGAGCAGAAGTAATCGGTATACTTGTTGGAGCGAATCTTCGCATTGAGGGCTTTCAGTGCTGCTGCCATGGTGACTCAATGTGGACTGCAATGATGAGTGTGACGCGGATGAACAAGCGACAACGGAAGTTGCTGAGAATGTCTTGCCAAGAAAAGATAGAGATCAATCGGGGGCCGATCCCGAAATACCGCCGCCGCGTCGCGTGGAATTTGAACTTCCATAACTACCAACACCAACGACAATGGTAAGTAATAAGCACTTCAGCACTTTGAAGTAGAGCTTTGAATGTACTAGGGGTTTATTAATAAAACACTCCAAATACAAATCACATGAGGGTATTCGAATGTAGTAATCAACTTTCTGCATGTTTAATATCCTCCTATCTACACTTCCCTCAACGCCCCGTTCATGAAAGGGAAGACTACCTAGATATTTCATACAATGCCCTTTCTGTTCGGCAGACAAGATTGCACGAATTAGTCACAACCACGGAGAGCTCAGATGCTTCGAGATATACTCAATATGACGTGGAGGTATCATTCAACCGTTCCGTACTCTACTCCCTATGCCGCTTCCGATTTCATTGGCCGAGGTTTCATCCTCGCATTTTCATATCTTTTACCCTGAGGGTGCAGGTCCAGAAACTCTTTAGAAGAGCGTGTCGATTTTCAATAACGCAGCGCGCACTAACAGGCGACCATATCTCTTCTATCTAGAAAACCCTGGAGGTGGCGCGCCTCTGCCGCCAGGGGGACCAAAGCCCGGTGGTCCGCCGAATGGAGGTGGTGGTCCACCGCCAAAACCGGCTGGGGGAGCACCAGGTGGGAAAGGTCCAGCTAAATGCAGGTCAGCAATCTCATTCTCGTTGCGCTCAAGGGGTATACTCACGAGGTCCACCGCGACCCGGGAAAGGTTGGCCTCCGAAACTGGGAGGGAAGCCGCCAGCTAAGAAAAGGTCAGCGATTGCCTTCGACGTTTGCTCAAGTTGATGTGTATAAACTTACGAGGCCCGAATCCACCGACACCACCAACACCGGGGGCAGGGCCGGTCAATCCAACCGGGATGCCTCGACCAGCAGGACGAGCGACTCCAGGGCCGGTTGTGAGAGTCGCTACCGTGGATGGCGCAGTTGAAGCTGTTCCTAGCCTTGCGACAGGGTCTGCGGGAGGCGGTCCATCAACGGAGAGAGAAATGACATGTGCACCACGAATGATGGTCAGGCCGATTGCGCGTCGTTCTTCGGTCTCGGTAATTGTCTGAGCTGCGCCTGGTGCAGCCTTTCCCTTCCGTCGCGTGCGTCTGAATTCCTCGGTGTCGGCAAGAACAAGGTTCATGTGCTGGAATAATATCAGTACCGAATCATGGTGTATCAGGGTAATAGGAAGACCATACCTTGTCAAAAGCAAGCATTTGTCCAACCATTTGCCTACCATCTTGGAGAGTAACCTTCATCCGATAGTTGATCAGATTTTGCTACATGATCAGTTAGTAACATGCGCATATATTATCTGATAATAGAAAAGGCGGCGCAACATACCATCTTCCCCTGGCGATTCGCAGCAACCGACATGCTGAAGGTGGTGCGTCCGAGGACGACTTGTTACCGGTACAGGTAGGTTAAGGCGCAAGAAGTGCGGGAGGACAGCGCTGTTCCTCAACTCAAGGGTGACGGGGTAATCAAATAGAGCTTCGGTTCGGTGGTGTGACGAGCTTTTGTTGCCGACAAAGTGCTGATATTGCGCGATAAATATTGACTTACAACCCCTCAAGTATCGGCGGGGTGTATATGTGGAGCTGTCGATAGGTGATGTTCATCACGAAGCTTTGCAAAAGCTCCCTCTCTCAGGGTGGTCCAAGCGCCTCTAACCGAAGAGCTTGGCGCACTCCCACTACACTCGATTTTCGCGAGCGTCTTTTGAACTTTAGCGACCACCTCGACCTCTCCTTCCACCCCTCCACTAACTCACACAGCACACACAATGGTATGCATAACCCAATCGCGATTTATCATGCTGGAAGTTGTTCTAAAGGATTTTCCAGGCCTCCGACAAGTCCGCCAACCCCATGCGGGAGCTCCGCATCCAGAAGCTCGTCCTCAACATCTCCGTTGGCGAGTCTGGTGATCGTTTGACCCGTGCAGCCAAAGTGCTTGAGCAGCTGAGCGGTCAGACTCCCGTCTACAGCAAGGCCCGATACACCGTCCGAACTTTCGGTATCAGGAGGAACGAAAAGTACGGCACCACCCAGCAATGCAGCAGCGCCGAAGGAACCGCATGGTTAACAGACTCTGTTTAGGATCGCCGTCCACGTCACCATCCGTGGCCCCAAGGCCGAGGAAATTCTCGAGCGTGGCCTCAAGGTCAAGGAGTACGAGCTCCGCAAGCGCAACTTCAGCGAGTCGGGCAACTTCGGTTTCGGTATCAGCGAGCACATCGACTTGGGCATCAAGTACGATCCTAGCATCGGGTACGCCAGAAAACAGTTCCACGGAAAGCAGAGACAAAGGCAGCCCGGCTGACAGATTACAGTATCTACGGTATGGACTTCTACGTCTGCATGACCCGTCCCGGCGAGCGCGTTGCCAAGCGTAGACGGTGCCAGAGCAAGATCGGTGCCCCCCACCGTGTCAACCAGACCGAGACCATCAAGTGGTACAAGAACCGATTCGAGGGCATTGTCCGATAAACGTGCGTGGGGTTTCTGATGACGAGGGAAAATGATGGGTTGGTTTCGGATCAGTACGACATTCTCAACATGCATATTCGGTCTCGGATAGGAGTCCTGGTGTGTGTAATTAACTCAAAAAAGCGAGCTTTTGACTCGCGGCCTATCAATGGAGCTGGCCTTGCGTTGAGCGAGTGTCCCTTCGATCACAATACGATGGAGGCTTCACTAGGGTGATTGCCGATTCAACCATTGGTGATCTTTTCATTCCATGCCTGCAGCGGAGCGACGGTGACCTTTTTTGTTCTGGTGATTGCACGTGTATGTTTTGTTTGATGTTATTTGCTGATCGGATGACGTAGTCCTTCCTCGGTCACTATCAATGTAAAAATAACGTCCACGTCCGTCCACGCCTATTTCCTGGTGTGGTGTAGTGAAGCAGTTCGGGCTGTAGGAACGTAGACGTAGTCTTCTGCGTACTACTTTCATGCTTCTCAGAGCGTGAGCGTCAATGCGTCCAGTACGATTTATCCTCATAGCACTGGTATATCCCAGACTTGTCTTTGCCCGTTCTCGACACTCATGCTGCAGTCTTTGTGGCACGCACTCAGACTACTACGATATCTCAATGGATTACCTTGTATGCATGTAGATCTCGCCATCATCGTCGCTAAGCCATCAGCATGTAGTTCAATTCTTATACAATTAATAACACCAAGTATCGCAAGATTTTTCATTGGAAGTTGAAGTGTTTCCCACAAGCATCGCAAAGTCCATCGACTATGCGAAAATCCTGCAAGCATTCAAATGCTTGAATGTTTGAATGTACAAACTAGTGTCACGTGAGATGCTGATGGATTCAAACATTTGAACATTCAATGTTCAATATTCACCTCCAGGGCTGGGCATTCAAGTGGTCAAATGTTTCAACATCACACTTTTAGAACACAATAGCGCACCATTCAAATCAATTCTTATCTAATATCACGTATACCACGTAATCTTACTTACAGTAATACCTGTGGCACGGTTTTGTACCTGATTAGACCTGCAACGAGACTCTAGATCCAAATTCAATCTCTGGATCCAGATACCAACTTCCCACACTACTCCACTCATTGCCACCATCCTCCCCAAATGTATGCAAGCAGTCCCGCGAAAAGGAAAAAAAGGTCAAGTTAACACAAACAACGTCATTGATTTGATTGATATACAACGTTCGCCATTTTCATTGATTTCAAAATCCCTGGTTCCGATTCCTCATCAGGCTACTTCTTCTTCTTCCGGCAATATTTGCACAGATTATAAAACTTCTCTCGTCCCAGGCTACCCAGCAGCTCCCATCATCATCACTACGCTCTTGGATCCCTCCCCCGAGTAGAGAGCATATCCAAACAGATGGAGCAAGAGAAAGAAAGAAAGAAGAAGACAAAAGCACAAGAGGTATCAGCGATCGACGACAGTAAAAAACAAGACAGTTGGGAAGAAAAAAAGGAAAAGATGGAAAAAACGGGGCCAAAGCCCTCGATCGAACCTCGACAAAAGATTACCCCCCAAAAAAAACGAAAGAAGAATATACATATCCCGTTTTCTTCCCTTTTGATCTTTCGTGGAAAATGAATGAATGAACGGATGGGAAATTCGTGTTTCTCATGACCATTCCATTCCATCTCATCCACGTAAGATAAAGAGAACAAAAAACGTTTTGAAAAAAAGAAGATAAGAAGATAGACGAACTCGCTCAATAGATTTCAGAGCAAGGGGGTGAGGAGAGAGAGAGATATGCGGTTGGAATAAATGCTTTGCGTTTCGCTCCGAATGATAAACACACACGCCTACGCCTACGCCTGCACTAGGAACAAGACTAGAACAACCATGCAAGAAAACGGGACACAAGGAGACATTTACTTCTGTCCGCTGGTGACAGCAGGGCCGAAGTCGAATCCTTGCGGTGCCGAGTTCGTCACAGCGGGAGCAGGCACTGAAGGCGGGCCGGCATACGCACCAGGGATGGGCACTGCGTCGTATGTCTGCTCACCGGGCGCAGCAGCAACGTGCTGGTTTACATTCTGCTGGAAGCCAGGAGATGCAAGGGGAGCGGGAGGTGGCGGGGCAGCGAAGCCCTCTTGCTCGACCTTTGGTGTGGCGCCCTGGATCTTGATGGGTGGTGGCTGCAAGTTGAATGGTTGCGGTTGGTAGAACTCGCGCGCGAATTGCGTGTTGCCTCCCGCTTCGCCGTTCTCGGCGGCGGAGTGAGGGTCGACGTAAGCTGGGTGACCTGGTGGAGGACGCCAGCCACCGGAACGGGGGGAGAGGGGTCCGAAGCCGGGAGTGTTGGGAGCGGATTGTGAGCGCAGTTGTGCGAGGTAGAGATCGGAACGGGCGCGGTCGCGGACGGCCATGGACTTGCGGAGCTTGCGCTTGGACCAGAAGCGGTAGAAGACGATGGCGTAGATGATGATGCAGAGCGTCTCGATGACGACCTCGATGATGCAGCATACAAGGGACCAGTTCTATAGAGATGTTAGTTATGCTTTGTTTCGAGATGGGGGACTTGGGGCATTCGACTTACTTGGAGGCGGCAGACAAGAGCATAAGACACATCATCTTCGAAGAGGTGTCGTCGCTTGTTGTCGACGCAGGACCATCCCCACATATCTTTGTTATTTCCCTGTGCTTTGCTTTGGTTGAAGAGAGCGGCGCCAACGGCCCACATGATGATGCTGAAGATGAAGAAGCCTACGGCGAAGACGGTGTAGTATGCTGCAACTTTTTCTGCTCTCTGGTGTCCTTTGCGTGCATATGTGATCATGACACAGACGGATAGGAAGAGTGAGATGCCGGCGATGGAGAGGAGTAGTACCTGGGGCCAGATCTTCGTGTTTTCGGCCCATGCTGGGAGACCGTTCCTTGGTGCGAGGGTCTTGGTTGCGTTGAAGATGGAGAATGCGGTGGCCAGCATGGAGAGAATGATCAAACTGCAAGCAAAGTTGATACCACGGAGGAAGATTTTGGCTATTCTTACTCTGACCTTGACTTTCTGTTCACTGTTAGCAGTGCACAAGTGGGTTGGGGTTCATGGGCATGAAGGCTTACCAAGTCTTTGGTTTGCTCGTGCTCAGTCATCTCTTCCCTCTTTTCCAGCTCACGCTCCTCTCTGAAGGTTGGACTCAGGATCATGGTTTCGGTGGTCCGTGGTGGTGCTCCAGGTGATTTGAGTGCGCTCTTGAGAGGGGTCTTTGGGGTAGGTGGAGGAAGATACTTCCGGTCGGTTTCCTCCATTTCGATGACGGCGGATGGGACGTAGCCGAAGCCGACGTCTGATACCTGGGGTTGCGGCTTGTAGTGGTTTGTGGGGTAGTTGAAGGGTGACCTGGGTGGGTCGATGGGCGAGTATACTGAAGTGGCTTCGGCGAAGCGAGCTGTTCTTGGAGTCTTTACAGATGGTGCGAGCGAATCTTGCGAGTTGCGTTTCTCAATGGTGACTGTGACTGTCTTCTTGTCATTGGCAGCCATTCTATGACTTGTTCGAGACGAAGGACCGAACGGTAGGATATGAGATGAACATGAACTGGCGGAAGGAGGAAGGAGCAAAAAAGGTGGGCAGTGTGAAGAAGCGACGATGATATAGAAGGCAACTCGTGAAGCAGCACAGCTGTAGGCAAGTCGCGAAGTAGGTATGGTATGATATGGTATGGTATGTCAAGAGGGAAGAAGTAAGAGAAAGACAGTCGAGTATTACAATATGAGACCTGCTGGCAGGAAAGAGGAAGCAGGGACAGAGGGGGGGAAGGGCTGGCCTTTTGTCTCGGGGCGCTTCGAGGGCAGCAGAGGGATGTCGAGGGCAAGTATTGGAAGGACGGGGTGGGGAGCACGGATGACGGTGGAGAGAGGTGGGATTGAGGGCAAGCGGGTACTTACACAGGGTTCTACATGTATGGCGCCAAAGTAAGGTGCGGTCGTACAGGCAAGAGAGGGTGTGATAGGTGCAGTCGGGAGACGAGATGGTCACAATGGAGGCGCCGAGGAGGGTAGAGGAGTGGCGGCCCAGAAATAGACGCCCGGGAGAAGGCGACGAACGATTTGCAAAGCGTGGGCTTCCAGACCGACCGGCTCGCTGCAGGACGATGGCGAAGGTTGGAGCGATCAGGCTGAGGGGTGATGGGCTTAGTCGATCAAGAGGCCATGGGTGTCAGCAGCAGCAGCACAGAAGAAGAATAAAATGGATATACAATATACAAGATGAAGCGTGGATTGCAATGGAGGAAGGGCTTCGCGATGCGACTGAGTGACTGTCGAGGGGATGGAGAGGAGCGAAAGAGAAGGGAGCAAGGACAGGGCATGGTGGTGGTGGTGGATGCATTTTGCGCTGTACTGGACATGCCACTCACAAGCAGCAGGTGCGCCCAGCACAGCTTACAGCGGGCAGGGATGGGATACCAAGGGCCAATGGGGGCTCGTTTGCTGCCGCCAAATAAACAAGCCAAGCAGGCGAGGCATAGAAACAAGCCTCTGGGCGCCTGCTGCCGAACTGGAACCACCAATCGCGCCATCAAAGCGCTTCTCTCTTCATGTCGAGCTACTCGCTCGAGTACAGGCAGTCCGTCCTGGAAGAGATTGAAACCAAGTCTGGTTGTGCGCTCGAGCACCAAGTGACTCGGTGAAGGTGGTATCCTCGAGCACAGTCAACTACAAGGACGCGCAATCATTATCTTTCTCTTCTTCATCAGCACCATCCTGTTTCCAGCCGTCGCTCGTAAGCATTAAGAAAACCCCGTGGCGCTTCCAATGCATAAAATCAACGGCGCCAAACCACCATCTCCCTCGCATCTGCTCGAGTCTCGAGTACAACGGGTACAAACGAGCAAGGACTCGACCCGATGGTCTCACTCTCTGAAGAGCCCGCCCCCCACAACGCATATGCAGATGCAGCAGCAATCACCACCGCTGTGCAGGTATTTCCGCAGCCCCGTCTCCCCAAGTCCACCTTGGCCTCATCCGAGACCGTGCAGGCCGCGCGCGCATTGCCAACTAATGGCGCTTGCGATAGCACCCTTGCAAACCATCCCCCGCCTCCCGAAAAGAAATCGTAGTGTTTCGTTTCCCTTGCGCAATGCCGTGAAATGAAGCCAATGATCCAAAAGCAAGATTGCCGTTTATTTGTCGATTTAGGAGACAGCAGTGCTGCTGCTGGACTGGTAGGCTAACTAACTCCATTTCCTTGGACGGGCCGCGACGGCGCCATCTTACACGTTCATCCAAAAATAGCCCTGCGCGTGCCATTGGGCTCTTTTTTTTCAGTGTTCCCATGTGCCCTTCCTTCTCTTCTCATCACTAGCGACGGCAGCTAGTCATCTAGACAGACGCTACTCTGCTGAACATCCATGTCTATAATACCTCGACAAATATTCACTGCTTCCAAGACTTACTTCTGCTGCTGCTGCTGCTGCATGCAGTCAGCATTCAAATGCGTCTACTGCAGTTGGCCACGTCGTGTTGTCTGTTGTCTGTCTGTCCCCAGAAAAAGGGAAAGCCCATCCACGTTGTTCGCGTGACAGACGTGGCGCCATGCCGACCACGAATCTTGCTCGCTTGCCCGCCTACCTAATTAACCATTGGTATTGAATGAGACTGGCCAACCAACTACACCTCTTGGTTAATGTTATTGCCCGAGACAGATTTTCAAATAGGAAGCAAGCGAAGGAGCGGATCGACCCTTCCTCCCGTTCGTTCGGCGGCAGTTGGCTGGTGGAGCCTCAAGCCATGATCATGCTATGGTAGGTACCCCGACTATGTAACCGCTTTACTGTGCCTCATGGACGAAGCTCCAACACTACAACCTTACCATGCCCATCTTGTTACTTGTTTTACCTCTTGCTTTGACAACGTTCCTGGTGTTTGTCATTGTTCGCATCTCTCAATAAATGTTCCCACACCTCCATTCCTACCATCCGACAAATACGTGTATACCTGGTCATCATACCTATATTCCAACAAAAAAATAATCAAACTATAAATATATACCAATATCTAAATCGCTTATCCTCTTTCCACCCCCTTGCCTCCCTTCTCCCGTTCCTCTCCACATCACCCCCGGTAACCACGCAAACACATTCCCACAAATCTAACCCGAAGAGCCTAGTCAATCTACCCAGCAGATCAAAAAGAACGATAAAAAGAAGAGTGATATATGAAAAGATCACCATCAGCTCTCGTGTATGTACGTCTTATAACATCTATGCATATGCACCATCTTTATTTTTGTTTCGAAACGTTTTAGGCCTATTCCGGAAAGTCTCTTCTTGGCGCACTCGTCTAGGGCTTCGGGGATGGATGGGGGGAATATATTAGTTAGGGCTTACTTGTTTTTTCGCTGCATGAACTGCATGGAAACTTGGTGGGCGGACCGAATCAAACGGTTCGTTTGCCTGTCTTTTTTCGTCTTTTCTAGCCTTGCGTTGATTGCGAGTATTTTTGTTTCGAAACGTTTTAGGCCTATTTTGGACTTTGGGTTGGGATCCTGGGGAAACTGTACGCTTGCTTGCCCTGGCAGTACTTGTTGATACATGCCCGTATACGCGACTCTTTATTTTGGAGATTTTCTGTTTTTGTATACGACTTGCTGTAATCACTTGTTTTGTACGTGCACATATCTGTGACATAGGCATGATCTAATCGATGGGAGGAGTTTATCCTGTTCACGACCACACAAACAGCGACCCGTTTTTACCGTGCTTATGAACTTTGTTAGGCGTACTAAGAAATGACTGAACGCGGTTGATAGCCAATCACTGGAAAGACAAGACAACGCCCAGAGTTGGTACACATATCAATGGCAGATCCTCTTTCGTTTTCTGCTTCCTTTTTACTGCATCGCGCAAAGTGCTTGGCGCAAACATTGGCAGTGTTCCGCTCCTGTGGCCATTCCATGAACTTCATCGAAAGGATGCAAACCAAGCATTATTCGCACATTGGCAATAGACCGGATGGTTATTAAAGACGGCTAACCCGCGCACTCATTCATAGCTAGCATTAGCAGCGATAGATTATTCCATCAAGCCGCCAATATGTTGTCTGCGCTGCCACTCACCATGCTGGCGCTCGCCGCAACCATGTCTGCGCAAATAACCACTTCCATCTGGCTGCCAAATTGGACTTTTGGCACAGACAAAATCGGCTTCGAGGGCTCTGTCATTGACGTGAAAGACGGCCACACCGTAATGGCCTTCACCCCCGACAATGGCACCGACACTGCTATGGTCGACCCCGACTTCCTTCAGACCTGGACTGTTGCGCCGACCTATTTCGAAGCCAGCCAAGTCCGTCAGGGATCTGGAGCAAGCTCTACTACAGGCGACGAAAATATATACAAAGAAATCTGCCAGAAGACAGCGACCGGAAATATCGACGCCATGTGCACACAGTCGTATGGAGCGCGCATTGGAGCGGAGAGACAATGCAGATCCACTGGGGACGTGAGCGAGACTCAGTTGTTGACCCACACACATACACATACCTATCCCGCACGGGGAACTGTTCCCAGTGGCGTTGAGACCGTTATCCAGACCTTCACCTACGGGCCAGTCACTCACACAGCTCCAGCCTGGTGCACGCAATCAGGTGCCAGCACTGTTGACAGAGCGACAAGCACCGCCGTGTCAGCCTCAAAGGAGGAGTTCGGCATGTATCAGGTTATCATTACTGCAGGCGCTGACAAGTTGGACGCTGCACCAACAAGCTCTGCGGGGTCAGCACAAGCAAATAACCCGAACGCTGCTGTACCTACAGAGCATCCGGGCTCCTTGATGGCCGGACTAGCAATTGCTGCGTACTTTTTATAGGAATTAGCTCTAGCTATAGAGCATCTTTCGCTTCTTCACCATATCCAAAAACTGTTGCCATCAGCGCATAGTCAGATCAAGTGCGGGTCAGCCGTCCTCCCTGCAAGTGTCATAATAGTGTTCATCTGCTTCCCCATATCTGTGCTGTGGCTACAAAGTTGTACTATATCAACAATTTTCTATATTATTGAATATAAGAGATTACACCTTATTCTCTACTCTTCTAAATAGTAATTTCCAAGCTCTCAAGTGCTACAATAGTACGGACACCTGCTTTCAATGTTAGATATGTGTACAGCTTTTTAATCTCTAAGAGTCACGTGCCTGTGGCACTAGATCCACATGTTGATTAGTAATTCCAGCTTTACGTTGTCGAGGCTAACACTATCATGCTATCTACGCTTGACTTAAGCAAGATGATTGTGCAGTGATTACATATACAAATACCGGAGCTTTGCTTCGATACTTGACAGGCTGACAGTATCGCTACGCTCATGATATTCGCAGAAGATATGTCTCCACCTAAGAATGGCAGAGGATGTTGGACATGCAAAGAGCGGAAAGTTGCCTGCGATAGGCAATCCCCTCGATGCAGAGCATGTGTCAGCTCAGGCCGAATTTGCAAGGGATATGGCGTACGACTTTCATGGCCACATAAGAACGATAGGAAACGGGCAATGGTCGCTGCGTCACGGACGCGCTCCGACGTGGCTTTATTGTCAAGTTCGGAACTGGTCAATGTCTTTTCTTCGGACATAGAACGGCTGTCAAAGATTTATGGCAGAACAAAATCAAGTAAGCCCTTGTATTTTCAATGCCGTCGACAGCTAATCAATCGTTATAGGAAGATGGGCAGAAGCTACAGCTTTTACAGATCCATTTCTCGCACGAAACCCAAGCTGGACGCCAACCACCCTGGTGGATGTAGAAGCGGACCTCTTTTCCTATTGTACGAATCTTTCGCATATGAATATTCCAGATGCTGAATTTTCTAGATCACAACATCGTTTCAGCGGTGCTCACCTCTATGAATGACCCGCTCATGCGGAATCTGGTTCTCCGCATGTGTTTTAGCGATGGTACATCTGCTGCTACTGCCATCATTTATAGCATCTGCGCATTGGCCAGTATGCATCGCAGAGACTGTCTCAATGCTCAAATCTACAGACACAAGGCTATTAAAGCTGTTAGTATATCGGCATCGCAGTCGATCGTTTCGACAATGGATACGCTTCGACATCTAGTCGCGATGAATCTTATGGTTTTATTCGAAGTGAGCATGCGTCCCGTTCCCCCATCCACGTGTTTTACTAAGAGTTGGAGACGCTAGCGAGTTATGACTCCCGTCGGGAATGGGGCTATAATATCTGCTACGTCAAAAATACTTCCATTGCAAGATACGCTACCGATCAAATGCATACGGGCGACTCTGCTTTGGTACTTCACTGGGTTTACTACTTCGACGTGATATCGAAGTTCAGTGTTAAACACCAAATGCACAGTCCACAGAGCTCGATAGAGTGTGCAAAACAATTCCAGCTCACGGAAGCTGCAATGAACTCTACAGATGACACAAGCGTACGAGCCCTGCAAACTAATTTAACATCTATGCACTGATACCTGTCATCAGATCGTACCTACTCTAGGATGTTCGCTTGAGGTCTGGCACGCAATCTCCACCTTGATGCACATATTGCTCAACAGTATGGACGACGACGAAGGCCCTCCTCCAGAAGCTCTCAGTAAGGTAGAGCGAAGACTCAAATACGCAAAACAAGTTATCAAAGTCGAAGAGTTGGACAAAATCCAACAAACCCTCGACATTGCCGAACTCTGGCGCCTTGCAGGACTCATCTATCTCCACCGCGCCGGCTACAATGCCACCACTGCTAGTGCCTCCTTGCAAGCACTAACGGAGAGCGCTTCTGCGGTTCTTACTAGATTGTACACATGCGAGAGGACCTTCCCGCTATTCATTGTCGCGTGCGAGGCTCGCACAGATGTCCAGCGAGCCACGGTGCTGTCATTGATCGATGTTACGCGCTCCTTTTACACCCCGACGAATATCACGCGTGTTCATCGGTTCATCGAGCGGTTTTGGGCTCTAGATGATCTTGATGTTGGACAGGAAACTACTTATTCAGAGAAACTGACGGCGGTGATGAGTACTGGATATGCACTCCCGGCATTTGTCTGATGTTTGTTTGTATACTTGATGTAACATTATGTTCGAGCTGATGCATTGGTGAACAACTAAGATTGTTTTAGTTTTCCGTTATTTCCATATGCCGTTGCAATATCCGCGGACAGGGAGATGCACTGCAATACTACTGTGCGAAATGATGAAATCATTGTTATACACACAGCGTGTTCTATAACTTTCCCTCCCACAAGGGCGACTCTCACAAATCAAGAATCCCCCTGTTCAAGAGCAAAACTCGAAACCTCTCTTCACAGATACCGTTCGAAAGTGACAAATCATGTATTACTCAACCTCGAAGAACCGCCTAGAAAACCCCTGCCTCACGATTTCCAATTTCAAAGTAGTTCGATTAGCAATTTCGCGATATTCAAAGTGCCCAATGGCAGTATTTTGTAAGTTCGTTCAGAGCGAGCAACTTTTTGCGACGCTAGTAGCGACTAAACGATGTGATTGGCTGCACACCCTATCATTTGTAGTACTAAGCTGCTTACAGCTCTAGCCGACAAAGGTAGCTTCGCAGATAGTTGCTGGTTTGACAAGGCATTTGTTAAGAAACTGTTCCACAGCTTGGAGGAATTTATGGTTCCAGCGGTGGAAGTCGGAGAGTCGAAGAGGGTATATATGAGAAGGCAGAGGTCTGATTTTGAGGAATAAATCAATCAAACCAGCAACTCTTCGACCTTCTATCTATATTGACCTGTCTACGAACCAAACACAAAAAAGCGTACTCCTCAAAGACTTTAATATCCCAACTCTTCCCTAAAACAAATCCCATCAAACAGCCAAAAGAAATGCCTTCCTACGTCATCGTCGGCGCCTCCAGAGGCATTGGTGTACGTCTACTACAATCAATCCCATACCAAACCCACGCATCCATTCCCCTTTTCTTCTCCACTCCCTCAACTAACACACAAACCTCAATTAGCTGGGCTACCTCCAACACCTCGCAGCCGACCCATCCAACACCGTCATAGGCATAGCCCGCACCCCATCTTCGGTCCCGCAAATCCCAAACGCCACCATCCTCCAAGGCGACCTAACCTCTGCTTCCTCCCTCCACGCCGCAGCCGCCAAAGCCGCAACCCTAATCCCCAACGGCGCCGTCGACCACCTCATCGTAAACGGCGTCTACGCCTCCGACAGCACGGCCTTTATCAACCCCAGCGAGTTCGTCGGCGAGCCCAAAGAATCGCTTCTCCTTTCCGAACTGCAAAACTCAATCTCTACGAACGTCGTCGGCGTCGTCTACGCAATCAACGCGTTCCTCCCGCTTGTGCGCAAGTCGCAGATCAAAAAGGTGGTGGCCATTTCCACGGGGCTGGCGGATATCAAGTTGTTGGAGGATGCAGAGTATACGGGCGCGATCCCGTATACGACGAGCAAGTTGGCGTTGAATATGGTGGTTGCGCAGTATGCGATTGAGTTTAAGAAGGAAGGGGTTTTGTTTTTGGCGCTGAGTCCCGGGTTGGTGCAGACGAGGGATGTGGATCCTAGTACACGTGAGTTTCTCCCTTCTTTTTTACCCTCTTGAATTGCATTCTTCTTTGGTTGGGTTTGTAATGGTTGACTGACTGACTTGTTTGGTATAGTCCCGCAAGAGGTGCAGGAGGGTATGGCTAGGATGGGCGCTGGGTTTGCCAAAGTGTATCCGGAATTCAAGGGACCCATCACAGTTGAGGAGAGCGTGCCCATGCAGCTCAAAGTCATCGATGGGTTGACGCAGGAAAAATCAGGGCAGTTCCTATCCCACCTTGGAACCCAGCAGTGGCTCTGAGGAGCGGAGAGCGGAAGTCTGTTTACAACACGGGGATAATATTGCTGAAAGATTATAAAGATTTGAACAGTCGCTGCGTAAATATATATATACATGAGTGAAAATCATGAATGAAGTTGTCCAGACGCCGTTGTATGAGAAAATGAAACACGCACAGCATTTGACTCACTTGTACATCATCCCTGACACAACCTTCTCAAATACATCCACTGAACTGATATCTTCACACTCTCTTCGATTTCCCCTCACCATCCCAACCCAACACTTAGCACAAAAGCGCCCAAACACAACATACCCATCCCGACACCTCCTCGTATCGTCCTCTCCCCATCGCTGCATATCCCACCCTGCGGACACTCTTTCGGCTCCTCATCCGCAGGGACATCTTCCGGTGGCGGTTCATCACCAGCTGGCGGTGCTTCACCCGGTTCGTCGTCGCTATTGACTTGCGGCTGAACGTTTTTCGTGAATTGCGTGAGCACTAAAGTCGTGATTACTGTCAGTCAAGTCTGTTCATCCCCTGACCAAAAATCACAGAAGACAAAGAAAAGACGGAAAATCACACAGAAGGAAAAAGAAAACTCACCATTCCCCCTAGGCCAATACTCACAAACCACAAACCACCCTGGCGCCTTATCCCCCCTCTTCTTCATCTTCTTCTTCCCTTTATCCCCATCACACCTCGCCCTCCCGCATCCCACACTCTCCGTCTCCTTCCAAACCAGCTGCGTAAAATGGCCCGTACTCAAATCAAACTCCCCTTTCTCGAAATCATACGCGTCCCTCTCATCGCCCCACGCAATCACCGCCGCGGAAGCGTTGGCGTAACCCGAAGACAGGTTCTCGCCCGTGTCGCCGCCCGAATGCTCGAAGATGCAGCGTTCGCTCCATTTCGTGGCCGTCGAGGCGAGGGTCGCGTTCCAGGTTAGCGGCGGGGCGGCGTGTTGGTGGCGGTAGGTGTTTGTTGCGTTTAGGATGTCGGTGCGGAAGGTTGTGCCGGAGGTGTAGGATTTTGGTTGGGGTTCTTCGTTGGGGGATGGGGAGGCGAGGGTTGGGGGTGTGAGGAGGAGGAGAAGGAGGGTGGTGGTTGTGGTTGCTGTTGTGAGGTAGGATAGCATTTGGGAGTTGTTTTGCTGCTGCTACTGCTGCTGCTGCTATTTTTTTTCCCTCTGTGTTTGCGTATCCTCTGCCTTTCTTTTCGAACCTGACTTTTGTTGTTCTTTGTCTTGTGGGGTTGGAGATGGATCTGAGGCTGGTGCTGATTGGAATCGTCCAACTCGTGTACGAAGAACAATTCACCCGGATCCTTTTTCTTCCTAAAAACGCCCCTTCTCTTTCTCCAGAATTCACTGAATAGTTCGCTATCTGTTAATGTTTAAAGTGTAAAATAGAAAGACCAGGTGAAGCAGCAATCGATCATCACCACCTCGGGGAGCCAGTGTCCAGAAGCGTTCCACAATAAAACGAACAATAACGATAATGTTAAAAATGAAGGTAGATCTTCATAAAAAATCAACCCTCATCTTCATATATCACACCCCTGAGCCTCTCCACCCGCAGTCCCGTTCCTTGTTTTCTTACCCGCCCGCCCTGAACCCAGGAATCCGGGCAAACAACGACATGTGGTCAGGGCGTCACTGCCCATCACTCGATGACATTTTGACTCCTATCATTACTTTTCCTTGTAATCCGGTACTTACCCTTGTTTCTTCTAGATTGCTTGTTTCGCGAGCCGTTCGCTGGCAAGGAAAAGATGGGAGGGTGGGCAAAAGCACGGGCGCTTACTGTGACGTAGCGTGTCACGTGTGTGTATGCGATGCGAGTTCCAAGGATCAATGGCAGCGAACGAACTCGTTTCCAACACACCACAAGCCATACGCAAGACATGTAGATTTTTAGATTGGAAGGTGGACGGGCAGATGATTAGGATTCCAGAATGTTTTGCATTTGGTATTTGATGAACGACGATGATATATAAAAACCCACACAAGCTATAATGATAGGAAAGAAAATACACTGGCTTGCTCGCTCGCTCACTCAAATGTAATCGAACTGCATCATTACTCGTCAAGAACCCTTTTTCTTCGTTATGCGTGCAGCATATTCCAGTCATTGCATCGAAAGAAGTGGAAAATCCCTGATCTCCACGATTCCTCATAACGTCGTCGAATCCGCTACAACGATCCACCTACCCACCGAAGAAGCATAATTATGAAAAAGAGCGAAACGCGCGCATAGTGAAAAATCAGGAATATGAAAGAAATAACATCAAAAAAGTGCTCCAAAGATAACTCCGACTCCAGATATAGAGCATAGAACGCGCGTAAACACGTATAATAAGGAAAGGAAGTCATGAAATAACGAGGCGCTCAAATGTCAAGTGGTATCTGAACTTTTTCTCCAGGCGGCTTGCCCAAAACACCCACAATCCACCATCCAGCCCCCAGCAAATACGAGGGGAAGCCAAACCGAGCACAAACCGAGCACCTAGTTCCCAGTGGACAGATGTACCGAAAGGAACTCCAAAGCGCCCACGGAGCGAAAGGCAGAGTTTGGCGAGGGATAATGTGGAACTTGAGAAGCAAGAGAAACCAGATGTCATCAAAACGCTCTGAAATATGATTGGAACAAAATTGAGAAAACCGGGGGTAACAAAGAATCAAAAAACGACGAGGGGAAAGCAAGCGACTCGTAAGTTGTAACGCGGGACGTCGGTAGGAATCGCTACCAGTATTCTGATCACATCTTGGTGCACATGGCGCACGCGACCAAGACTGACTCGCTACCAGCGGGGCCTTCGATGCCTCGCCTCAAGCTCTGTGTCTACTTGTCAGCGACCACCACGAACAAAAAAACCACGTCGGTGTTGGCATTTTGAACTTGTGTCACGATCCCTCTAAGAAGCGGCTGGCTTCCGGCGCTTCACCGATTGAGAGCGTCCGGTGTTTCCGGCGACCATCCATCGCATGAAACCAGTTGGGGCTGGTTTCGCTCGTGGTTTAGAAGGTGGCGCATCAGCAGGCACGGCAGTGATACCGGGCGGCATCGGACCTGGTAGCGGCGGTCCTGGCGGAGGCGGTAGAGGTGCACCCGGCTGTATCATCTGGGGAGGAGGGGGAGGGGGAGGGGGTAAGGGAGGAGAGGTGACATGACCAGACATACGCTTTGACTGTTTGTCTTTCCCTTTTCCACCCTTCCCCTTGACCTTGGGCGGCGGCCCCGGATACACCATCTCAACCATAGGCATCGGCTCCGGTGCTTTCGGAGGCGGTGGAGGCTCGGGCATCGGCCACATGTGCATGGTGATGGCCCAGTCCGGCTGAACCATCGTCTCCCAAACCTGAGGGAGAATGATCTCGCCATCGGGACCAACTAGATCGTAGTGACCTTCGTGCACATGCGGACCAATGACATCGACGTGGAGGAAGGCCTGCTTGATCAACTCTTCCATGCCCTGCATCAGAAAATTAGTATATTGTCACACCGAGCTTTGAATCCTTTCTTTTGAACGTACCTTCCACGTTTTGCACAAATGCCAGGGGAAACTAAACTTGCGCCCAACGGCATCCTTGAACTTGATGGGTGGCTTGGGCGCATCGCTTGGCTTCAATTTGGCTGCTTCTTCCTCTGCTTGCTTCTTCGCTTTCTCCAGCTCCTCGGCGGCGGTTTTGGCTTCAGCAAGCGCCTTCTCGTGGGCCGCCTTTGTCTCTTCTGCTTCCTTTGCTGCTTTTGCCTCGGCCTCTTCGCGAGCCTTCTTGGCCGCCTCGAGTAATTGCGCCGCGGCTTCCGCTTGAGCTTTCTTTTCCGCGGCCTCTTTGGCGACCTTGGCATCGTGTTCAGCTTTATCTGCAGCGCGTTGGGCTTCGACCGCCGCCTCGCGCTTCAGCTGCTCGTCTTTCTGGGCCAAGATGAGCGACTCGAGTTTGGCAAGCTTATCCTCGTCTCCCTTTTTCTTCGCTTCAGCCGCCTTGATCTCCGCTTCATCTGCCGCCTTCCTCTTAGCGGCGTCCTTCTCGATGCGGGATTTTTGCTGCTCAACAAGGAGCTGCTCCAATTTAGAGAACCTGGCATCCTCTGCTTTCTTTTCGTCGTCCACCTGTTTGTTGAGCAGTAGCTGCTCGAGCTTGGAGAGCACACCCTCGTCCTTGTCTGGCGGAGGAGGCTGGACCACTGTTGGCGGCATTGTGACGACCTGCGGCGGAGGGGCGGAAGCAGGTGGAAGAGGTGCACCAGGAGGAGGCGGTGGAGGACCCATTCCTATGTCCATACCTGGATCTGGGTGAGGATGCGGCGTTCCACGGTGAGAGTGACCATGTGGTGGCGGTGGAGAGGCATTGTGCCCTTGGTATGGAGAGTACATTCCCGGCGGGGGCATCCCAGGCATACCGTAGGGTGGCATGCCGTAAGGCGGGTAATATCCATTGTTGTTGTTGAATTGGTAGGGCATCATCTCACCATTTGGGGGAGGTGGCTGCGCGGGCATTGAGTTGCGATGAGATCGACTGTTGCGAGGGGCGCGTCTATCGTGCGGAGGAGGAGGCGCGTGAGCATCAAAGTAACCGGCTGGGCCGCCACCGGGGGCTGGCGGCGCATGTGCAAAGGGATTTTGACCTCCGGGAGCGAAAGGATTTTGATTGTAGCCATAGGGGTCCGGGCTGCCGAAAGGGACAAGCTGGTTCGGCGCAGGTGGTGCACCGCCTTGGAACGGATTGTATCGAGGATCCGACATCATGCTCGGTGCATAACCACTAGGTGGAGCTTGGGGAACGTGACCCCACTGAGCGCTGGGATGATGGGGAGGCTGCCCAGGGCGGCCCCCATAGGGGTAGTCGTCGTGACCGTCCAGCTCGTCTGAGTGACTGGACGGAGCCCTTCGGCGCCGCGGCCGATGTTCGCGATCCAGCGTGTGTCTGCTACGAGAGCGCGAGGGAGGGTCGCTCACTGGCGGTGCTACGTGGCGTGTAGGTTTGCGGCGCGAGGTGTGAGAGCGAGGAGCGGAGACAGCGGGAGGGGGGATGGCGTGGTGCTTCGCACGAGGACGTGAGGCCGAGTCGGAGGGGCCAATGTCATCAATGTAGTCCCAGTCTTCCTCTTCGTCTTCGTCGTCGGAGTCAGTGTACTCGTCGTCTTGACTGCCGGATGAGACCTGAACACCCGAGGAGTCCTCTTCCTCGTCGGAGTAGTGGTGGTAGTTTTCGGCCGAGCCTGTTGAAGTGTTGATGTGGATTTGTCTCCTAAAAGAAATGTCGACGTTAGTGTCGCCTCGATCAGACGGGTCAGGAGAAATCGAGATGGTGGGAGAAGGGCGCCGGCGAGAGACGTGGGAAGAGACACTCTGACGGGAGATGCGGGAAGAAGAATTGCTCTGCCGGGTCAGGCGAGAGGAGGAGGAAGAAGAAGCGGTCTGGTGAGAAGTGCGGGAGGAAGAAGCGCTTGGAGGGGGAATGCGGGAGGAAGTTGCGCTTGGAGGGGGGATACGAGAGGAAGAAGAGGAAGCTGTGCGGCTGCGGACAGGACGGTGCGAAAGCGACCGCCGGGACTCAACAGGGCGAGTATGAGGAAGGGCAATGACTAACGGCATGAGGCTGGATGTCTAGTGGTTACCGAACTCGAGCGCGATCTACCGGAGAGCGTGCTGAGTATGGTAACTTTTGGAACAGAAATTGGTAGTGTAGACGGACCTGGTGTCCTGCGAAGAGGGCAGACAGACAGACAGATGGACAGACAGAGACGGGGAGATGACGGTGCACGCTGACGGCGGGGTCGATGGGAGGTTCTTGGCCGGGTGCTGCTGTTGAGGGGTGATGTATGTATCGATGCTCCAACCTTGTTGCAGACAGACAGACACTGCGGGGGTGTGGATGGTTCCAACCAGGTGTTTGTAAACAGAGCAGAGGCAGACAGACGGGCGAGAACTGGGTGGGCTCGGGCAGCTACTGGTTAGCTGCAAAAGCAACAACGTGGGCTGGCTGGCTGGTTGGCCGGTAGCGGGGTCGGTCGGCGCTATTTGAACCTGGGCTGAGCAGCAGCAGCAGCAGCAGCGAAGGAGTGTTTCCAGCAGCGGCGCAAGGCTGGATGGGAAGTGTGATGTGACGGCGAGGATGCGTCGCAAAGAGGCGGGCTGGGGGCGCGGGCTGGTCCTGGCTCCCCGTATGCGGCTCTCCCTACGCTTCAGGAGGAAGGATTTGGGGTGATGAGACAGACGAAACAGCCAGCAATCGATAAGGCCGGGAGGTGTCGTATGGTAGAGAGAATTGGGGAGGGGCAGCGGGCCTCAAATGGTGGTCCGCCTGTCTGCCGATCGAATGGGTGATGGGATGCGTGACAGGGGACGCTGGATCGTCTAGGGCACCAATACAATCGCTGCGTTTCTTGACGCCCAACAGAACAGAGCAGAGCAGAGCAGAGCAGAGTAGAACAGGCGATGGATTGCGGATGGATCCCGGAAAAAGAAACACGCGCACACAGACAAACACGCAAACGCAAAAATATCGAATCGAGCCTGTGTTTCTGGGAGGATTGCAGAGGATGCTTCAAACTTGTTGGCGGCAACTCGGGGATTTTGTGCTTTGGCTGAGCTGGGCCTAGTCGTTGCTGGGGTGCTGTGCGGTATGTATATGTATGTACCTATGTACGAGTGGATGGATGCGTATGCACAGCACTGCAGTGCACTCTGATGATGATGATGATGATGATGAAGACAAAAAGTTGCCGTATCCTCGTGGGGGGGGGGTGAGAGATGAAGGTGCTTATGACGGGTGAGCGGGCGCCCTTCTGCGGCGGCGGCTTCGGATCTGGTAGTGGAGCTTTTCAGTGTTGTTGATGTTGTTGTTGTTGGCTGAATGGGACATATCGGTTCGCTGGGTGACGATGGTGATATGATGAGACGTGGGAGCAGGGTGGGATACACAAGAGCTGGACTGGGTCGAGACTACAAGCAAGAGGGAAGCGGGTTATGCAAGAATGCGTGCTGGGCTTGCCTAATTGCCCCCTCTTGCTCTTATTTATTGCTGCACACCGGAAACAGTCATACTGCCTCGCAGCGAAGAGAAAAAAAAAATCGTCGAGTCTTGATGCTGCCCCCGGCCGCACATACGTGGTCGGCTCCAATTGCTCGACCGTCTCCACATGGTCGCCTTTTACCGCCCGCACCCACCACGCCGCTGCCCAAACCGTTTGCCAGAGCCCCATCATTCTGCCTGCGACAGAGCCTCGAAACCACCCGCATGCAGCCCAACGTGCTGTGATGTGGCCGCTATACGTAGGGCCATCCGCCCGTGGAGCCCCCACAGGACCCTTGGCTCCCAAACAGCTCCACCGCAACCGCAACTCGACTGTGCTGGCCTGCTTCTCTTCACCGGTCTCCACGAGAACACATCATGGTAGAAATAAATTAATAGCAATAGCAAGACGTGTACCCATAACTATCCAGCCCTACCCGCCACAGCTTCCCTTTGCGCCTTCGCCATATGAAACCCAAGCATTCGTCTCAACTGACGTTGCTGCTGTAGCCCAGCACCTCGACCATGACATTCGCCAATGTGCTGGCACTCCAGAGCGCCACCAAACTCCATCCAATCAGCCGGTCCATCTTCCACCGCCGGTAGGGCACTGCCAGCAGCAGCCCGACCAATGTCACGAGCAACGTCGCCCCGGATATCACCAGCGTCGTGCTGACCTGGATGTGGTACGGCTTGAAGTGAATCGGACTATCTGGGTGTTTCTTGTGGTGGTGCTGCCCTTTCTTGATCGTCATGTAGCAACCACTGAGCCCGATCCCAAGGAGAATGTTAAGCATCGGTCCGCCAAAGCACGCCGAGAGCGCCATGACGGGAAACCCGAGTCGCGCCACGGTAATGTCAGCCACGAAATCCCCAAGCGAGTTTCCCACTGCGAAGATGGTGAGCCCCAGAATAGCATCGCTTATGTTTAAAATGACCCCCAGCGTCTTCAGTACCCCTACCACTTCGTTGGCAATCGAGCTGATCCAAGTGATGCTGACGGCGAAGCCCAAAAAACACAGCACTGTCCGCCAGCGTGGTGCTCGATGAGGCGTCGTCGTCGTAAGCAGCATGGCGAGCATGCACATTGAGCAGAGCAGCGAATACAGACTCGGTCTGAGCAATGCACGTGGTCGATCCAGCTCCGTGTTTGCCCACACAATGAGTACCACAAAGAATGGAGCAGTAAACGATTGAATGATGACGAGCCACCGATTCCATGACTTGGGACCTGGCGATAGAGGAGGAGCAGGGAATTGCTCTGGCGATTGCAACAAATGGCTCCCTTCTCCAATCATCAAGCGAGGCGGGTGTCCCGCCGGGTTCGTTCTATGATCGGCGGGCACTGCATGTGCTCCGGCCTGATGATTTGATACAGTAACACGAGGTTTTGATGCGGTGGGGGGATCCAGCAGGTTCTCGGCCTCGGAGATGATCAAGCTAGGTTGGTGCTGGTTTGTATTTACGCTGCCAGGCGTCAAGGCACCAGGTAGTGTAAGATTGGGAGACATGGGACCATCGGCATCGCTCTCCTTACTTGTCGTCTCGACAACAGGTAACGTGATGGTGAGAAAAAACACGCTTGGAGCAGCAACTACACCCAACATCTTCTCCAAAATATTCTTTTCTTTCCAGTTGGCCATGGTTGGAAATAACGTGGACACTAGAACATCCGGCGCCGGCATAACGCTACTTGGCCACCAGCGTGGGACTTTTGTACGTTCTACATCAGGAAAAAAGTGATGTTCACGAAAGTAGGATTCCGGCGAAGCACTAGGGGAAGGGAGTACAAGACTTGGCGCTTGTGAGCTGCGTGCTGATGTCGGGTAATCTGTATAAGCAGGGAAGGGTATCGGAGGTGATGATGGGCCGGGGACAACCAATTTTGGGTAGGGTCGAGCCACAGGGCGAACCTCAGGGCTGAGATCCGGAGATGCACGTGGACTTGGGCTTGACGTGCTCTGGAGTACGGGTACGCCACGATTGTCGAGTCCAGGAGGTGCCAGCATATTAGGCGAGGGTTGCCTTGGAGCTGGCGCTGGACTTGTAGGTCTTGAACTATGCTCGGATGGGGGAGGGGAGAGCGAGATGGTTGGTGATAGCGGCGGTTGCTCGAGGACATGGCCACTCTGCTCAAAGGAAGCAGGTGCAAAGTCGATTGTAGGGATTGGTCCGTGACGCAGCACATCAGGGTCCAATTGCATGTTCTCAATGTCGTTTGTAGATACGGCGCGTGTCCGGTGACCTATTTGTCTCTGCACATCGGTTATTGGTCTGGTAACAATTGGCGAACGTGTACTGGCACCGGCACTTGTGTCGACCTCATAAGGTGGTCGAGGTGCAGGTCCGGAGGCTCCTGAAATAGAGTACTGTTGCTGGGCCGTCGTGTAAGTGGGATCATCGGAATACCTGCGTAAATTCATTGGCATCGCCTGTATGTTTCGAGATTTTTGCAGCGAAGACAGAACGGCCCTGAACTCCAGAGCTCCCACAAGACTAGGCCGGATAGGAGTGTGGGTGTTTCGGCGACTACCGAGTGCTGGCCTACTGAGGGCCCTCAGACGCATGTTGTTGTTCAGCTCTCCGAGCCAACGCTCGCGCATTACTTCATTCTCATCGGCTTCGATTAGGTCATTGGAACCATTATTCTCCAAGGCGGCAATATTGTCTGCAGAAGCGTCGTTTAAAGGAGTGCGGTGACCTTCGCTCACAGGACCGTCATCTTCATCATGATACTCCTGGGGAATTTCCTCCTCTTCTCCACCAGGTACCACGTAGTGACTTCGCATCACCGCAACGCGCTGACGACGAGCCTTCCGCCGACCTAGCCACCAATGCCAGACCATGACGAAGCAGACGTAGAAGATGTAGAAGCCAACCATAGTGGCCGACTCCCACAGAGAAAGCTTCCCGTCCCAGATGAAGCCCATGCTGAAGGTGGCTGCTACTATGAAAAAGCTAACATCTCGCACAAAGCTACGGCGTGCCACCTTGAAAGGTCGCACTAGAGCCATTGAGCCGGCCACCACAGCCGTGATAAAGCCCGCAGCACCAATCAGCTCGCCCAAAGCAAGACTGGCTGAGTTTGTGTTGAAGGCAGCAAATGTTGAGAACACATCGGGGCTCCCATTTCCAAATGCCAGAAAAGTGACACCGGCCATGCTTTCACTCATCCCAAGTAGATTCGATATGGTGCTGAGATTAACGCAGAAGAAGTCGCTTGCTGCGATGCCAATGGTACTGAACAAGAGGGCGAGCCATAGTACCAGAATAACAAAGGCGACGAGTTGTGCATGTGCAAGGTGACAGTAGTATAGCGATAGGTAGGAGAATATGCCGGCTTCTTCGTCGGGGCAGTTGGTTCGGACGAAGGCGCATTTGTCGTGGGCTTGGTGAACCAATCTACACTGTACAGTACTAGTCAGCGATGGGACGGTCTCGAGCGTTGAAGAAGAAGTCATACTTCCAGATCCTGCTGCAAGAAATCTCTTTTGGCAATATTGATCGTTGTAGGCAGTCTGTCGTTATGCCCGTACCCGCGCTTTGCCCAAGCCAACAAGCTTATCAAGGAGATGGCGAGGATGGTGAGCGCAAAGGGTCGCGCCGAATAGCGGGGGCGTCGGCGCATTTCCAACGGTTTCGGAACGGTATTCGAAGACATATTCAACACATTGTTCGAGCAAGAATGGGTAGTGGCGACGTCCGGGGATCCAGGTGGTGAAATGTGTAGGGAGATATCAAGTGAAGTGCAACTGTACCGGGAAGACCGTGATTAGATAAAGTGAAGTAACGTGTAGATGAATGATTAGGTATACAAAAGTTCAAGGCGTATATGACACGCAATCGGCTACGTGCGACAAGGTGACATGATTGACGTAAAGTCCCCAAGCGGTGCTGGAAACGCAGAGCGTCTGATTGAAGAGGTGCAAAGCGGCGTCATCTCCGCCCATCTACCACCACACGACACGCATGACTGCTAAGCCACAGCAGGTGCGCCACATCGCCGCGGGAAAGAGCGGTACACCATCGCACGGACCATCTCTAGCCGCCAGTGTGTTTGGGAGCGCGCATTTGAATAAACAAACCAAGCACCAACATATCGTCGACCCCCACCACACAATGCCACGCACCAGCGCGAAGATCAGTATCGGCGCGGCGCCGCATACGCCTATAAAGTGAGTTTTTGTAGGGAAGAATAAGTCGTTGCTCGGATATTTGGGCTCATAGAACATGCTACAGGGTACCGCTCAACGATGACAAACGAGAGAAAGCAAAGCGTCGACATGCGCTTCAAGAAGCCCAGAGAGATTCTTTGAGAGCTTCTGCGACACCTCGAAAACGGGTTTCACTGGCTGCTCAGAGCAGTCCACACACGCCGCTGAACAACGAAGATGACATGCCCAGTGTTGCCGGGACCGCCGTTACGCCAATGAAGCGGGTCATGCCTCTGCTGGCCAATTTCGAGGAGTGGATGAAAATGGCTACCGACAATAAGATCAATGCCACCAACTCGTGGAACTTTGCCTTGATCGATTACTTCCATGACATGTCGCTGCTCAAAGAGGGCGACGGCGTCAATTTCCAAAAGGCTAGTTGTACCCTGGATGGCTGCGTCAAAATCTATACGAGTCGAGTGGATAGTGTTGCGACCGATACAGGCAAACTCCTTAGTGGACTTGCGGAAAGCGGCAACAAGAAGCGTCGCGGGGAAGCCACCGAAGGCGAGGATGGGGATGACGACGACGACGAAGAAGGTGAGGATGGGCAGAGGAAAAAGAAGAAGAGAGCCGCTCGATCTGCAGAACAAACACTCGCTACTTCCTTCGCACAATTGCAAAACAAGAAGATGGAATTGGAGCTATCGGTAGATCCTTTGTTCAAGAAGGCCTCTGCAGACTTCGACGAGGGCGGGGCAAAAGGACTGCTGCTGAACCACCTGGCCATTGATGCTTTTGGCAGAATTGTATTCGACAGTAGCGATGACGCCAATGATGCCACCCCTGCAGAACCCAGGAAAACTCCTGCTCCGGGGGAAGACGAATCACTGCAGGAGATTGAAGAGGTGGAGATTGTTTCTGATGATGTGGAGGTGGATATCAGTGCACTCGGAGCGAAATACTTCCCCGATCTGACACGACTGGACGAGCAGGATGTTTGCCCGTCGATGAAGACTTTTGATCTTGGCAATGCCGACGGCTCAATGGATCTGCCTTTCCTAAAAGCACCCGAAGACTGGAAAAAAGATGAGGACAAGGATGAGGAGGATGGCGAAGGCAATCGGTCCGGTGTGTTCCTTGACGACGACAACGCTCTAGGTTTTGACGATGACGATGATATCAACATGGGCGGATTTGACTTGCCACCTGAAACAGGGTTTGGCGAAGGTGGTGAGATCTGGGCAAGAGAGGCAGCCAGGGATCCCCAAGCACGAGTACATAATATTGGTATGGGCGAGGGGGATGGAGAAGCCGGTGATGGCGATGAGGTTGCAATCAGCACAGAAGAACGACCATATGGGCTGTCATTAACACAAGGAAAGAGTGAAGAGCAGGAGAATATCCTCAGCTACTTTGACCAAGCTCTCAAGAAGAACTGGGCTGGACCCGAACACTGGCGCATTCGTCGCATCAAAGAAATTGGCAAAGCAACACCTGCTACGAAACGCAAAGAGAAGGAGCCGTTCAAGATCGACTTCGAAGCGCCCATGAGCCAGTCTTTGGCAGACATGCTGTACACACCCGCCTCCTCCAACTCAACCATCACATTGCCCAAAACACAGTGGAAATCGAAAACCCGCAATCTGCTTCCTGACGACAAACACTTCAACTCAAAACAGCTTCTGCGCTTATTCCTGAAGCCCAAGACTCGCATGGGCTCCCGCAGAGATGCAAGAAGAGCCCATCAACAAGAACGCCCGATCGACCCCGTCAATGGTGAAGTCGACGAAGCCTACTGGGCATCACGAGAAGCTGAAGCGAATACACCACCCGAGGACGAAGGCATGCAAGGGAACTACGATGCAGACTTCTTCCAAGACGATGGACTCCCCATGGCTGGCGTAGCCATGGATGACGGCGAGACGTTTGCCGACGCTCGGGATCACTTCTCGCCTGTCGCCGAAGATGGTACGGTGCCTGTAGAGTCGCTAAATGGCGGTATCCCCGGTGTAGGGGAAGGCGCATTCGGAACCCAGCTCGTTACACAAAGCCGCAGATTACGACCCGAGTATGTGCAGTACGCAAGAGTGGCGAAGAAGGTAGATGTCAAGCGACTCAAAGACGAGTTATGGAAGGGCATCGGATTGGAAGAAGTTCGTAACTCCCTTTTCCTACCCATCTACCCCCCTTGAAAATGAACAAAAAAAGCTAGAGAAGAACGCATACTAACTCTCAGCACAGATCACGGTTCCCCCACCCGCCGATACCACCGATCCAGCCGAACTCAAAGCCGTGGACGGCTCCCTCAAATTCACACAAGTCATCAACGGCCTACAAACAGTCTACCCCAAGCAAGCCATGGACGATATCTCGACGTCGTTTTGCTTCATCTGCTTGTTGCATCTAGCAAACGAGAAGGGGCTCGTAATCGACAATGATGAGAAGTTTGAGAACTTGACGATACGCAAGGATTTCTCGGCGGATTTGACAGTGGGACATTAAGTTGATGAAACTCGGCTTGTTTATTATCCTTACCACTTGATTTTGTAGGAGGGTGCCTTTTGGGATTTGCATGCAAAGATCATGACGAGTGCCCGTCCGCTGGAGCACGTACCTTGTCTATACGGTATTTTTCTTCTTGTGTGTTCATGTTTTTTACGACTCACTACTTTTGTACCAGGCATGTTTGAGATATAATGATTATGACTATTCCCTGAACATTTTTTTTCTCTCACTCACTGTGCGTGCAGCTTGTTTGTGGTGAAAATCGACTCTCTCGTTCACTTTTCTTTTTCTTCTTCCTTTGCCAAATCGCAGTATAATAGTTGTACTGCTGATACACTGATTGAACGCACGAGATTGTCTTGAAGATTGATGGAAAGAAGGAGGTATGTGTGTGTGTGTATGTGTGCACATGTATTAACTATAAGAAGAGACGTCATCCACATGGAACGGAATGTAGAAATTGTTTTCAAGTGACGTGTAGTTAAGTTTTGACTTTGATTTGATTTGATATGATTTGATTTAGTTTTGGTTTTTGGGTATCTCTAAAATCTTTCATCTCATCTGTCTTTCTCTTCTCTTCTCTTGAACAACTCTTTCGAAGAATGGGGGAGAAAAGAAAAGAAAATTGCCAATCGATGGATGGAAATGGATGGATGCATCGCAGCTACAGCCTCTTGTCTTCCCCCGCGCGTGTGCGCCTCTTTCTCCCCTGCTCTCTCGTCACAGGAGGAAGAATATACAAAAGGAAAAGAAAAACGAAAAGAAAAACACCGTCTAGGATCTTCCAAGTCGCGTAAAAAAAAAAGAGAAAAGAAGAGAACACAGAAGCCCGTGGATGCTGAATATGTGGTTTTTTTGTGCTGTCAAAGCATCAAGCCGAATAACCAAAGAAGAAAAAGGATGAAAGGAAGGAGACTTCACCACATAATGCCCTTCCAATCGAAATCACCATCGACATTGACCCAATTGTTATTCAGAATCGCACTATCCCAGCCCATCATGACGGCCAGCATCCTACACCCGATGCTGCTGACGGTGCAGACGACGGTATCCGCCTTACTCAGCACCGCGAGATCCATGAGGTACGCGCGGCCGACGAGTTCGCGGAGCTTCATGGCGGCTTCGGGGACGTTGTTGTTGTGGTCGAGTTTGGACATGTCGTTTGCGTTTCCGACGGGCTGGCCGAGGCTGAAGAAGACGTCCTTGTAGAAGCCGCCTTCCCAGCCGGTGATTTCGTCGATCCAGGGGTTGGGTTTGCCGTGCGCGGCTTCGAGGGCTTGCTTGGTGGCGAGCATGATGCGGTCTTGGGCGCGGACCGTGTTGGGGCCCAGTTCGTTGGATTCGTAGACCAAGGGGTCGTCCGAGGCGAGGACGAGCTTGGAGGCCGTGTGCCGCGCGGCTAGGCGCGTGGTTTCGGCAAAGGTTAGGATGCGTTTTTTGTTGTTGGATTTGCTGTTGCCGTTTTCGATGCGGTCGATGTAAATTTCGCGCGCTGTGTCCATGTATTTGCTCAGGGGGATGTAGTCTTTGGAGTATTGGTAGTCGTAAGGGTGTTTGTCGCCTCTGCGAACGTGGATGCCGACGCTGATGCCGTGGTCTTTTACGATGGGGCCATACAGCGAGTGCGCGCGATCCAGCACGTAAGTGGCGTCGTCGTGTGAAAGTTTGAAAAGCGCCTCGTAGCCGGTACGGAGGAGCGCGAAGATTTTGTGCTGTCGGATTGGGTTGACTTTTCTGGCGTCTTCCCACTCCTCAACAAATTGGTGTCCAAAGGTTGAGTGGACTGTTGCGCCAGACACAACGATATGGGCGGCGTTGTGTGGACATGGCACCATGTGAGATTTGGGAGGAGGCAAGCAGTTGGCAGTTGGTGGAGGAGCGAAGTAGTGAGAGTATTTTCCGTAGAGCCTGTTGATGGTTAGCAAACAGACTGACGAGTGTCGAGACAAGTTAACTTACCACCGTGTGTCATCCACGAAAAAGGTCCTGTTCTCGGCCTTTGCCAATCCATAGCTCATCCACAATCTCATCATTGTGTTTCCAAATCCAGCATCATTGGTCTCCATGACATACGTCATACTCCTGTCACAGACTTTCAACCCCAGCGCGTTCTCCTTGTTTACCATAGCCTCATCATCCACGAATCCATTCGGTCTACCTTCGCTCACTGAGTGGGGCAACAGCTTTTGGGTTTCGGCCTCGCCGATGTCAATGTAGTACTGATCTTTCTGGTAATACCCGAGCATCCGCTTAGCAAGAGGATTGCCGTTTTGCGCTTCCTGGCGTATGGCAGCCGACACCTCCATGGACTGATGGCATATGTCGCGGTAATGCTCCGGTTTGAGGGGGAAATCCAGAGCTGACGGTATAGATACTGTCCATTTGGTCTTCCCTTGGACATCCTGCACCACCAGTGCTGAAGGATCTTTGGGCAGGACACTATCGCCCACCATTTCCCATTCCCCATTCTCCCCGCCATCTGCCATCATCATCGAGTCTTGCTGGCCATACACTTGTCTGATGACCAGCCATACCAGAATTGCTACACCGCAGCAACTTATCAACAGGCGTTTTACCAACTGCGTGTGGTTCGATGGTGTCGGCTTTCTTCCATGACGGGGAACCAAAGACGGTAGATTCGGGGAGGGCGGCGGTGAAGGCGAGAGTAGACCCCGCCGTGTCGCTACGGTTGGCGAGAGGAAATTGGACGAGGTTGCGGATCGGATAGAAGGGCTGACTTGGGAGTAGCTGGCGTTGGAACTGACGGTGAGGTTTGGATTTCGACGAGCATGCATCTTGGTGACGTTTTGTGTTGTGTGATTGAACATGTCTCGGGGATTGGGGGTTAATCCTCGTCTTGAACAATATAGGGAAAAAAGGGAAGGCAAGCCAGGCCGGAGAAGAGTAAGTGGAAAAGGAAATTGAACAGACGCAAAAGAGATGGTGTATGATGGTTTAGGGTATGTAGGGACCAAATTAAATGTCGTGAGTGGAGCAATCTCCTTCAAGGAGCGAATGGCAGGGAGAAGAGAAAGAAGGGAAAAGGACAGAAACGACAATCCTTCCGGAGGCGTAATTGAAGGGAGGCCTCAAGAGATGATGCTGGGGTTGTTTGACGGCAGGTCTAGCAGGGCGGCGGCACCATTCATTTTGAGAGGCACGGGCAGGATGGGCCTTGGTGGGAAAGCTGGTCATGGGGATCCACGGCACCCCAACTCCTTGTACGTTTCGGACCGCCGATCTGCCGCGATTCTGTGTGATGTCCCTCGGCACCCACTCAGGTCTCTCCCTCTGACTTGCCAGGTTTGGCTACAATGCAGTAAGGGTCTCTTCCAGGCGCCATCACCTTTCGTTCGTTTGCTGTCAGGTCGGTGTCAACCCGCGGCGTAGGCGTGTCGTGGCCGGCCTACGTAAGAGTCGTACGTACGGCGCACCGCAGCTTGCCTTCACTGCCCCATTCCAATCCGAGAAGTAAGTCGTCGCCATGTCAGGTCATGTGCCATACAAGACACATTAACCTGAGGCAGCTATACCGCACAGCGAGATGATAAGTAACATTGCGCTGCTGGCATGGCCGTGGTCGTGGAGACATGTTGGAACGGATATGAAACCTGGTGCAACGTCTGAGGGGTGATCCGCGTCTATTATGCAAGCAGGGGAGGCCTACCATAAGAGGAATGGAGCGAGTCCGGACTCCAACAAATATACAACTACCTCCGGCTGCGCTTGCTTGCCGGCCTATACGCGTGTCACGCGTGGTAAACTCTGTTTTGTTCTTCATGTTTGACCAGTTGCTCTCGTGCGCTTGGAACCCACCGGCAAATGGACGTTGGTATCTCAGAAGCCTGTTTGAAACCATGGCTTTCTTTTTTTGACGAATAAGAGGGAAAAGAAAGATCGTTTACTCAGTGAACGTGATCATATAAATAGTTTATTGAGCCGCTACGAAATTTCCCTTGCAGACCATTACTCACCCAATGTTGAAACAGAGTGGAAGAAGAAAAGGAACATCAGTAGGCAATTAGACTATTAGGTACTTGCTGGATTGTACCATCTGTGTGTGTGTGTTAAGAAACCACAAATATATATAGCTACATGGCTTATTTGTGGTGGCAGCCCAAAGAGGATAAATACCAGTTGCACATATCAGACCCAAGCTCAAATAAGGAAAAAGCTAGAAACGGGGTATCAAAATCGAAGCCCTCTCCGCACGACACGCTTCAGCAACGCTCGCTCGCTCAAGCATAGAAAGAAAGGCAAGATTAGAAGAGGGCGGAGAAAGAGAGAGAAGGAGAAAAAGAAAAGTGTAAACCCATACGCGCATACACTGGTACGCGCATACAACGCATACGCATACGGTGCATGCATGCGAACCAACCCAACATTCAACCCAGAAAGTCCGGTCAATGGTGTCCCCACCCACGCAAGCATATTTCATGCGACTGTCCCCGTGGCCCCTTCCCCCCCATGACCCAAGGAAAAATCTGTGTGAGGGCTATAGATATAAAGCAGCCCTCTGTCTTCTGGTAATGTGAATAACAAGTGACCCCATCCAATGGAAGAAATATCGAGAGAGTGGAAGAAGGAGATGGGTGTGGGCAACACCCGAACCCCATCCATGAAAACGTAAGGATGCTCCATCCCAGCTAACAACAGCAACAAAAAGGACTTTGTCGTTTACTTTTATACATGGCGTCATGTTTCATCGCCGTTCTCCAAAACAAACCGCACCAATCAATCTTCAGGTCCCCGGTTTCGAAGTTAGATGTCATTGACCGATATCTCGTTCACAGGTCGTGGTCGGAGGCTGCTACTCCGTCGTGGCGCCGGTCCGCTACTCTCTCCTGGTAAACTTCCTCGTCGGGCCTCGTTTCCAGCTTCTCGACGGAACTCTCGGTCCAAGCTGCCCCGTCTCGGCCCATCTCCTTCACCCTTGACTGAATCCACTTGCTTCGAAATGAGTTCGTCAAGCATTCTCGTCATGTCCGCAATGTTTCTCTGCGTCTTTGGAGTGTAGATTGACTTTTGTGGCGAAATCTTCAGGGGGCTGATCGTGGACGTAGGTGAGGCAGTCGTCTTCCCTGTCGCAACAGTGTTGGGAGTGCTGCCCTCGCTATGCTGGCGAGAGGTCCTCCTGCTACCTGGCGATCCTTCGCTGACGATCTCTTGAGCCGCTTCGCCCTTTTTCCGCGCAGAAGTTAGTGCTGAGATCATTCGCTCCTTGTCCTCCAACTGCGCCCGTAGACTGGAGATTTCGGCGTCTTTTTCTGCCATCGCGGCACTGACACCGCCATCTTCACTCTCGACCATCTTCTGCGAAAGAGACATGGACACACGCGAGTGACTCGATCGGCGAGCTTGGAGTAGTCGCTTTTCCAGAGTCGCAATGTACCGATTCTTGTCCGCGAGATCAGACTGAAGTGCGTTGATCTGCGCTCCCTGGCTGGCCGTCCCGTCACCGTTGTCTCCCAGCGAGTCCTCCTCTTCCGAGCCGTCTATGGGTAGGGGTGAGATTGTGGAGTGCGAACCTCGTTTCGGCACCTCCAACGTAGCGTGACTGCCCGATGACCGCACCGAAACTGGACGTATTTCTCCCACATTGCTCATGCTCAGAACTGAGGCCCCTCGTTGGAGACTCATAGACGAAAAGGATCGGCCGTTGTTAACTCCCAATGATTTCGAGCTCAAGATCAGACGGTTGAGATGTTCTATGCGTTCTTTGAGCGCAGTCCTAGCGAGCTGCATCTCGAGCATTTGCTCCTCGTGCCGCTGCCTCTCCTCCACCTCCCTTGCCTTTTCTTCCACCTCATCCTTTTCAAGCTCTTCTCTTGCTATCAGGGCATCTGGCTGTTTTTCCTTGATCTCCTTGGTCTTGTTTTGTCCCTCGAGCTGTTTCCTCAGCTCCTGTATCTCGAGACGATATCTGTCCAGCAATGCCCGACTTCCAGCATCACCACCAGCTCCCATGGATTCGTCCGCCTTCTTAGCATGGCTCACAATGTTGTTCTTCGCACGCGACGCGAATTTGAGCGTGTTCAAGGTCTCGCCCGTGTGCGTGTTGACTGCGGCAGGGCTGCCCGTGGCTCCAATCTGAATTGTGCACAGAATGCTGACCAGCGAGTTACCGGAGAGGGCAGGCTGCAATAGCCTAGTAAGCTTGCTGTCCCGATATGGCAGATGTTTGTCCTTGTTGCCCTTGTCCTTGTCCGATGCGGCTTTCTCCTTGTCACTTGACAAACGTGCAATGACCGTGCCCAAAGTGAGTAAGCTTTTGTTGATATGAGACCCCTCCGTCCGCCTCTCTTTACTCTCCGCAGCCTTTTCCGATCCCGCCAGATCAATCAGGCTCAAAGTGGATACCCGGACACCACCGGGTGTAATTGCTGCGCGTTTCGAATTGGTGTTTCCACCAACACGCTCGCGGCTCTCCACCACGATTTGCACAACGGCGTGACTGCGCGAGCTGCGCGCATTGAATTGGGTTGCGGAAACTCGACGGGCGTTGTCACCACGAGCAATGACTCTAAGCAGCTGTGTTGGGCTCTGCACAATCTCTTCCTTGAGCGGTGTCGCATAAACACCACGTTTGCTGTCTTCTCTGAGCTTGATCTCTTCTTGTGGTACGGCCTGACCATTGGTACCCACAATCGGGCCAGCCAGCAGATCGTGTATCTTTTCGTTATATATTTCCAGATAGCTGACTCGTAAGAGGAATTCACGGTGTGGCGTCTCGCGGATGTAGGAAAAAATATCAGTGATGGCCAACGGAATCACACCAGGATTCGTGGCAGTGCCTTGCATGGAAAAGGTTTTTCCAGTACCAGTCATACCATATGCGAATACGGTTCCGTGGTAACCCTCCATGACCCGACGAACCAGTCGCTTTGCTGCCGCATCATATACACGGCGATTGTTGTCCTGGGGATCGAACACATTATCTACATCATCAAGTCAGCCAGGGGTTCCACGCTGTTTGGCATGCAGTGTAACCTACCATAATAGTAATCGCCGCCTTCCTTGCCTCTGAACGCAATCAAGGACTGTTTGTTGTTCACCACCCAATCCACTTCCGGTTTATTGTCTTTGGCGCCAGAATCTGGTCTCACTCGCACACTGACGAGAACATTGCCCTTGCCGTCCTTTGCCATGGCACCCGCGTCCATGTTTTGATTTTCCGACCGGCCTCGCGCGTCGGCATCTCCAACGTCTTCAAAGGTGGTTACGCTCGTCGCATATGACCCTTGAGCTGAAGAGTTCCTACTTTGCGGCGGTGACGGAAGGCTTAGGTGGCTGGTCTCGACTGCCATGGATTCTCCACTCCCGTTGAGAAAGCTAGGCGGCGACAGGGGGGACTTTCCTAACAGAGCTCTTGATCCTCCTATATTTGACACTCTGGGTGCCACCTTCTTGCCACCACTACTATTCCTCGTTGGTGTCTTAGCTGGGGCTGAGGGCAAACTCTGTCCCGCAGTTTCAGTACTGATGGTGGAGGTGGCGGATAAAGGGCTGGCAGGGTAGCTCGAGTTTCTGCCTACATGCTTGGGTGGTTGGGGAAAAGCGCCAATACTGACTGTTTTCCGCAGTGACTTGCCGGGCGGCAGGGAGGATGCAGGCGACTCGGTGAGGGATGAGGAGGAATTGTGTGGTGAGGAGGTCGGGTTTCCTCTTGTTGCCGGACGTATCGTTGGTAGGGCAGAGGAAGAGACGGCACGACTGGCGGAGGCGGATGCGGGGAGCAGTGAGCCCTGGGTCGCACGAGATGGAGCACCGACATTGGACGCTCGGGATTTCGCGACGGGTAGCGAAGGCAACGGGCCGGTGGGAGGAGCGACCGAAGGGCGCGATGGGCGCGGTAGGGAATGGTTCTTCATGATGGGCGACTGATGTTTGCAAGGCGACGAAAGGGCCAGGAATATTTTTGCCTCGTGTCTGTAGTGGAAGGAGGGGCGACAGTGCTGGACCCGGAGCTCTGGGGGTCTACGGGGAGCGGCTCATATCCTTGAAGGGCGGACAAAAATATCTGAAAGTCGGGGGAAGGTTTGAGCAGTTGACAGGCCGGGATGATGGTTGCAGACAACGTCTGATGTGCTTGGGCGAGTGATGGTGCGAATCGGGCGGGGGAGATCCGACGAGAGACAGTGGAGGTGGGAGGTTGGACGAAGGTTGAGGTGAAGTGGAGGGATTCAGCGAATGCAATGCACTGCAGGGTACCGCTGTATGGAGGTCGAGTCGGGGGCGCAAGCGAGCGAGGGCGGGCGGGTTTGTTGCTGCGTCGTGTCTCGAATGGGAGTGTGCGGACTGGAATGTCGCGTTGTGATTGACGGCCTGGGTGTGAATGGATGAGTGGATGGACTGGATGGATGGATAGATGTATGTGTGGGTGGATGATAAACGGAGTGAGGGTGATGGAAAAGAAGGGAGCAGGGCAGGGCAATAATGAGTGAGAGTGGATCGAGAAGGAGCGAGGGTCATCAACGACAATAACAGCAGAAGCAGAAGCAGCAGCAGCAGCAGCAAGGAAGACAAAAAAGGCAGCCAGACGAGATCAATCAGGAGAGGGAAAGAGAGAGAGACGAGAGACGCGCTTGGTGCTGTTGCTCGGTGCTGCAGGCTGATGGCTTGCTTCCACACACACACACACAAACAGAGAGAGATGGACCGGCGGGACTAGGTTAGCTGCTCGGGCTAGGGCGCAGACAGGGCCGGCTAGCCAAGTAATTATGTCAAGCAACTAATCTAGGTGCAGATGTCTATGGGGAAGGGGGAGAGAAGGGTTCAGGGTCCACTTTGCGAGTGAATGCCTGAGGAGCGAGAAATGAGCTGGTGAGGGTGGAGGGCCTCGACGGCCACTTCTGACTGGCAGCCCTGGTGGGAAAAAACGGGGAGCTCGAGCGCAGAGATGCCGAGCGGGCGAACGAGCGAGCGAGGCCAGGCCGGGATTCGTATACTCATTCGTACTTGTTCACTCGGCCGCGGCACCGTGCGGGCCCTTTGTCCCATGCAGCCACTCGTTGTGATTGCAACTGTCTGATATGGTCGTGGAATTGGCCGTTGAGAGGTTGCCCGGGAGAGGGAGAGGGGAACACGGAGCACGCACCCCAACGTACACACGACGACCGTAACTGCAACCGGCTACCCGACGTGTATCTCGACTACCTGTAGCAGCAGTTGGACCAGCCAGACTACACCGAATTGTATCGTCACCATCAACATGACTGTTATTATTAGCAGCAGCACTCGTGAACGCTTCCTTCAAGGCGAACAAAAAGGGGGAGAGGGGCGCGAGTAGTGCCATGTCCAGGCCGCGAAGGATCTTCACAACCAACATTCCAATCTCCCCTCAATCGGCCGCAGCATAATCATCACCTGGTTAGTGAGTATTGCTTGCTGCTGATCGATTGACCGACTGCCGGACTGACTGGTTGCCCCAGTCCCCCGTTGACAAATCTCTCGACTTGGATGGGGGGGACGTCTGCATCTGCATGGGCAATTGATTGACGATTGATTCCTGTTGTTGTTTTGGTGCAGCATCGCGCCCGCGCTCGCTAGTGGTGGCCCCAATCACCTGGTAGCGGCTATGTGCAGGCTGCAGACTGCAGCGCCGCCCGGCCAACAGGGGGCCACCAAACCAACAACAATCATCGTCAATTTGCCAATGTCTCTCCTGCCACACGCCTTTTGCTGTCATTCCGGGCCAGCCATTCGCTGCTTGTTGCCTGCATACCTGGATTACATACATATATATACATGATATTACATATGCAACTCTCCACCACCACCTACATGCTGCTGCACAGTCGGTCGTCGTCCATGTCCACTCATCATCTTCCATCTTCTCTGCATCGCGTGCATGCATATGTCTGCTTAATCAACATGACTAGCTGGTCCCCCTAGCCTCCCGTTCTTGGGCTCTGCTTCTAACCACAACCTTCTCCCGCTAACCCAGCCTCTAACCACTCTCTATCCAACGGGAACTGTTTAGTCTACCATGCATGAAATCACCTCGTTCCTGCCCTACCGTCACGTCCACGGCGCGTAGCTAGCCTCTCACATCGACATCATCTTGTCCATTCTCTGCCAATATAATTTCCGACGCGTCCAGCAGCTTCCTCCATCAGGAACAATGACGTCCAGGGGCCCAGACCTTGCCCACGCCACCATTGGTTCACATCGCCAAGATGCCCTTCACCCATCCCTCTCCAATGGAGTCCCCACTCCATCCATGTCCTGTTCAATTTGCACCCTCTGCCGTACCATGCGGCTCCTTGTCCGTACAGCCCGCCACCCCCGAGTTCATACCCTGGCTCGTGACCGACTGCGAACCTGTTCGTGCCCAAACTGAAAGCACTCTCTGTCCAGCCTTTGTACCTGCGTAGCACACGTTGACTGCCCACGCTGGTTTTTTGCAACCGGGCTCATCTTGCCAGAGGCGCTGCCCTATGATCAAAGCGTGCCCCAGCCAAAGCTGTTGGTTCCCGTGAACACGATCCAAACATACGAGCAGCCCCAGAGGGTCAGATCGACGGCGAGATCAAGTGATGCACATAGCGCTATACGAGATACCTGCCATCCCATCGATGTCCAGCTCACATCGCTGATGCTCAGCGACGTCACGGGAGGGAGGAAACCGTGGCTATCAATGTGCCCGCCGCCTCCACCCGTGGCAAGGTAATGTGCGACCACAGAGCGACGAGTCAAAGCTGCAAGTGGCAATGTCACCCACGCCACAATCTGCGCCTTACAGATACCCGCCAACATTTGCGATGGCTCCGTCGAGAGTTGGGTGACCCGATGATACATGCACGGTGTCGTCGCACGAGAGGGAATGGGTGAGGCCGCATCCCCACGACCTGGAGTTGACGTTTCCACCTCGACCAATTCCGTACGCTGCGAGACGATTTGCGCTGGCAGGCGAACTTCCATCTCCACGATTCCCTCCCGGGATGTGATTCTTATTCTTGGATCATTGTCCTCTGACTGGCTTGTGTGCGAAGCCGTGGGCGATGGAGGTGTAGGTTGCCCTGGCGTATGTGAAACGTCGCTCTGAGTCGTTGCTGCTACAGCAGATGTACCGACTATTTGCGTACTGGAAGCTGTCATACCGTCTCGGACATCAGAGTCAGTGTCCAAATGGTTAAGGTTGGTCACCACTGTCCCACCCATCTCAATAGCCTGGTTCCCACCAACTTCCTGCTGTTGCACCACGGCATTCTGGTTTTCTCGTAGGGAAACTGGGTGAGCCCATCCGAGCCACCCAATGATTTTCTCAATAACTGTCCTGACGGGACGTGGTGGTGATTTGCGCAAGCCTTGTTGATAGTATAACCGGTCGCGTCTATCTTGATCTGCACTGCGAAGGTCTGGGCAGTCTGGGTGAATTATGGCCGTCTCTAGAAGATGGCTGAGGCTCGTGTTCACCCATCGTTCGCAAGTATGCTTCAGACATATCAATGCAAACGGCGATGTCAATAGCGCCAACAAGAACTTGGGGACCGAAGAAGTCGCTGCGGGATCGATGAAGAACGGATTCAGCGGTGAATACTTGGAGAAAGCAATGAAGGATCTCCACGGAGGGAAGAAAGGCCTGGAGGGCTTCAGACCCACTCGCTGGAGATAAGAGTGGTATATGAACGGATAAAAAATCAGTTCGAGGACTATCCGCACGCTGTGGTAGTCAGTGTCAGAGTTGCGGTGATGTATTCAGCTGAGCGACCTACCAAGGTTTCGTGTACTCTCTCCATCGTCGGTAGAACCGCTTCACTCTTGATCGTGCTCCCAGAGCGATAACAAGACGATCGAGCGGCCTCAAAAGTACGAAAGCATAGGTAAATGACTGTACGCTGATAGTAGATAACAAGAACGACTCAAGACCAGCATGTAATATGCTCTTGCCAGAAGCAGATGATTCGAGGGCGATAATGCGGGAGAAAGGGAGGGTATCATGGTATCGGAACGTCTGGAAGTATTAGTAATTGCCGCAACATACCAATCGGGACAAATTTACAAGAACTCGGGCACGAAGAGAGCCTATCCACCAGGTGCATATACTCTGGGCAGCAGTAGACACGAGGCAGATGGCATTGCCAGCCATGTCTTCATCCTCCAACTCTTGCAAGCGGGCTGCGTTGGAACCCTGCAGGTCATGTGACGGGGAGCGCCGTCTTTCCACGGCGCCGATTGAGGCGAGCACATCGTTCTGAGCTTCCCGCAGCGTCCGGCCATGCTCGTGAGCACGAGGATTAATGGGGTTGCCCCGTTCATCGTAAATTTGAACGTACTTGTTGCGATTCACAACGGTGGCTTCCGGCGGCAGCTCCTGTCGCGCCGAGGTGAGTTGTATGTAATCGGCATTCGGATTGGAGAGTCCAGGCTCGCATGGCTCGAAAGCCGATCGTCCCTACGGATGCATTATCAGAGGGAGGGCTGTTTGCTGCAGTAGTAGTAGAGAAAGGACATACCAGCCCGATCTTATTGAGATATGGTTGACGGCCCATCGAAGCAGCTTGTCCCGTGCAGCCACGAACGGTGCGATCACAACTATCCGGTCAATGAAGCCATCCGTGTGATATAGATGCCCGAGGTAAGAAAGCACATGAAAGCCTAGGATGTTGATTGTTGAATGTTTGTTTGAAGGTGACATGGAGCTAGCTCTCTCTACCTACATATAGTACACTACTTACTAAGGACTCAGATACGTCTGCTCTTATCGATAAAGCGTTCATTCCCATCCTTGCATTGTCGAAAAAAATCCGGGCCGCCAAGATTTCCATTTCTTGCGACCTAATGCGCCGCCAATTCCCATTGCCTCTGCGACAATAATCGACTTTCCAGTACAATGGCCGCCCAACGTGGAGCTGTGAAGACCACATATGCTCTCGAGCGCACTCTGCAGCCCATATATTCAGGGGGCAGTGTGTCATTGAGCGACGACGGCCGCATTCTTGCTGCCTGCCTGGGTGAGGATGTTACCCTCACAGATCTTCAAAATGGCAAAGAATTAGGGAACATAGAAGGGGTATGCATCCATGGCCTCTTTTCAAAGGAGAATTTTCACTAACGCCATCTTTCAAGGACGGGGAGCCCATAACTGCCTTGATTCTAACACCTTCCGCTTCCCATTTGATTGTTTGCTCTCGGTCCATGTCCATGCGCATTTATTCTCTGGATCTCGACGAGACTGACCACGAACTACTCCAACCGCAACTCCTCCGATCGCTCCGTCCACACAGCTCGCCTGTCGTCACCTTGGCTGTCGACGGGACCGGTACCCTACTGGCCACCGGTGGAGCAGATGGGATCGTAAAAGTATGGGACATTCGCGCAGGGTACACTACACACACTTTTCACGGAGCTGGAGGTGTCGTTTCTGCCCTACATTTCTTTCAAGTCGAGGTGGCAGCAAAGGGCGACTCTAGCAAAAAGAGGAAGCGAACAAAATCGCAGCAAGATGAAAATGACGATGCTATACAAAAGGAAGAATCTGGGCTGGAGTTTAGATTAGCTTCGGGAGCCGAAGATGGAAAAATTCGCATTTGGGATCTACACAAACGCAGAAGCGCCGCCATTCTGGATTCACATGTATCAGTGGTGCGATCTATCCAATACTCTCCGGCTCAACATATGCTGGTATCGGGAAGCAGAGACAAGACGCTTATATTATGGGACGCCTCCACGTGGAAGCCGAAACGTACCGTCGCAGCCCTAGAAGCACTCGAAAGCGTAGGATTCATTGTGCAAGATCAAATCATCTTTTCTGGTGGAGAAAATGGACGACTACGCCTATGGTCAACAGCAACTGGTCGCGAAATGACATCCGAGCAAGAGCCGGGGACCGAAACAGACGCGATTGTGGATACTTTATATCACTCTTCACTCCACTTTTTAATATCGGTGCATGCTGACCAGGTACTGGCTTTCCACTCCCTCGAACCAGTTCAGGTCCCGTTTGCGCAAGACACGGTTGAGCCATTACCCATATTTCGAAGAGTTTCCGGTACCCACGACGAAGTTATAGATCTAGCCTACGTAGGCGCCGACAAGTCACTCCTAGCCTTGAATACCAACTCCGAAGATGTTCGAATCGTGACTCTGGAATCTTCGCCCTCAGAAGGAGATAGTGGGTCGGCTGGACGATACTTTGGTGCCGACGTTGCCTTGTTGAAAGGCCACGACGACTTGATTATATCTATGGATGTGGATTGGTCGGGACATTGGCTAGCAACGGCTTCGAAAGACAATACCGCTCGCTTGTGGCGACTTGACCCGGAAGTGGATTCCTACACATGCGCTGCGGTCTTGACAGGACATGCGGAGTCCCTAGGAGCGATTGCATTGCCACATGCAACCCCCCAAGAGACCTCCGCTGCATTCAAGGATCCCCTTTCCCATCCCCCGCCATTCATCATAACAGGATCCCAAGATCGTACTGTGAAAAGATGGGATACAAGCAAAGACATGAAACAGAAACTCCGCGCAAAGTACACGCGCAAGGCTCACGACAAAGACATAAACGCAGTCGACATTGATGCTTCCGGCACCCTTTTCGCCTCAGCATCCCAAGATCGAACAGTGAAGATTCACTCCGTAGAAGAAGGCGAGGCAGTGGGTGTTCTTCGTGGGCACCGAAGAGGTGTATGGACGGTGAAGTTTCAACCAAAGGAGTCCCAGCCCCCAGGATCTAGCAACAAAGGCTTGATAGCTACCGGAAGTGCTGATAAGACAGTCAAAGTCTGGAGCTTAGCGGATTACAGCTGTCTACTCACTCTCGAAGGCCATTCTAACAGTGTGCTCAAACTTGCGTGGCTTCCATATAGACCAGTTGATGCACGCGACAAGCGAGGGCCTCAGCTTTCTTCAGCAGCCGGCGATGGACTCGTCAAGATTTGGGATTCCGTGTCTGGAGAATCCATGTCAACCCTTGACAACCATACCGATCGTGTTTGGGCATTAACATCGCACGCAACAACTGGCGCTCTTATATCTGGAGGTGCTGACAGTGTCATCAGCTTGTGGTCGGATACGACGAGCGCTACACTGGAGGCAGCTACGACTGCCGAAACACAACGTGTGGAGCTAGATCAGAAGCTACAAAATTACGCATACCATGGAAACTATCGCGAAGCCATCACATTGGCATTACAAATGGACCAACCAGGACGCCTTTTCTCCTTGTTCAAATCGGTCGTTGAGAGCGAAGCGCCTGATGAAGGCAGTATGTCGGGCCTCACCGCTGTGGACGATGTTCTGGCCAACCTTGCCGACGAGCAACTATATAAACTTCTCCTCCGATTGCGCGACTGGAATACAAACGTGCGGTCCGCCACGGTTGCGCAGAAGATACTATGGACACTGGTGAAGTCTTACCCTGCATCGCAACTTGCCAATATCAGGCCTGTTGGAAAAGTCGGCGCCAAAGGCAGTCTGAAGGATATTCTAGACGCGATCCGGGCGTATTCAGAGCGTCACTACAAGCGTATTGAGGAATTGGTTGACGAAAGTTACCTCCTCGATTTCACCCTGAACGAGATGGACGAAGTAGGTGATAAACTCGCCTTCACCAATATCACCGGATCAAGTAATGAACTCAATGGCGACGTGATCATGGTGGAGTAGCAAGTTAGCTAGCATACATTTTGTATAAAATTCGCTCAACACACGATTTCAATCATATACCCTCTCCCAAATTCATTCCTATCCCCCTCGCACTACATCTCTCAATCTTACTATTTCGATATCTATTCCCCTCCGTGCAACCATTCCTTCAGCCACCCAACCTGAGCCCTTTTCGATCTCATCATCGCCCTCCTCTCCCCGTCCGCACCCGGATTCCCCCGTGTAGCGAACCCATGCGTCACGCCTGGGAAGTACTGGTAATCATACGCACATCCCCTTGTTGGAATCACTTCGTTTGCGTACTTTTTCATTTCGGGCGTGAACATGGGGTCTTCGTCCGGAGCGCAGATTTGCACCGGTACGCCGATCTTGTCGATGTCGTTTGTGGTCAAGTTGGTCGGGTGAGCGACTGTAATACCTATTCATCTCTCCCTCTCTGGTTAGCAAATCAATGCTTCCCCTTCTTCTGCACAACCAAACCACAAAGCAAACCACAAAAAGCAACCAAACAAATTCAGCCTTTTTGATCTGAACAAGAAAAGAGTAGAAGAGGACACATACAATCCACCAGTCTCGGAGTATACTCGTCGGACCCAAGTTCGAATGCCGCCCATCCGCCAAAACAGAATCCCGCAACGCCCACTTTGCGGTGTTTCGTTTTGAGGGTTGCGGCTGCTTGTTGGATCTGCGGCCATCGCTCTTCCCGCGAATTCCGCGCTATGAAGCCTGGGAAGTCGAATTCATTCCAGCGTTTCGGATCGCGGACAATGTCAGAGGGAATCACTTCGCCGGCGAAGCTAGAAATTTGTTTGTGGTCAACTCAATGAGAAGACGGGCGTACTAGAGAGGTGGAGAGGGAAAGCGACATACAAATCGGGCATATACACAGTCGCTCCAATCTCTTCGGCGTACGAATCGCATAGCAAGCGCTCGTTCACGAACGTCCACCCAAATGCATCGTGGATGAATAATACGGCGACGTCATCTTCACCACTATTTGTGGTCGATGTAGTTGTTGTCGCTTTTGCCATATATGCATTCAGGTCTCCCAGTGTCGTATCATGGCCTGTGGGTGCACCGTCCCATTTGAATCCGGAGATGCAGCATTGGCTTGACATACTTTGGACGTTTGGGAATTGGCGGAGTGGTTCTCGTTTCTTTGTAGCTGGAAGAAGATTTGAAAAGATCGGTAGAGCAGTGATGGATTCTATGGGTGGAAGGGAGGGTTTTTATATAAGAACCAAGATGGAATCGGCGGTCAAAGCAATTAGGCAATTGGTTAGCGGAAATCAAGTAATACCCATCTGCGTATTTATTGCCATTCTTGCAAGTATTAAAGTGGAGGATTCAAGTGTTTGGAAGTTGGGAGTTCTTAGTGATTTCCTACGCTCGTATACATGCGGAGTTTGCTCGGAGCTTAGCATACACACCCAGGAGATTCCATATGTAGAAACTTTTCTCAAAGGATATATCCATTCTCTAGATAAGTCCCAAGGAAAGATGGGCGATTTAACAATCATTCATTCACCGGCAAAGATGAATCTTGACCCAGAGTCGGTTATTCCAACGTCTTACCTGTGACTCTCTTATCGTTTCTCAAACACCAGACTGAACTTCCCAGGCGTAGCAGTAAGATAATCCTTCATGTCTCGCTCCACACTCGCCACATCTACACCAGGCGCGAATGCGAACTTGAATTTATCGATTACGTTTGCTAGGACCAAGCGAATCTGTGCTAGAGCGAGAGGCTTTCCTACACATGCTCTACGACCTACGCAGAGTATTAGTTATATGGGCTGTTTCATAGGATGCAGGACGAGTCAGGGTGGAGGAAATGTGATGTCTTACCAAACCCAAATGGTGCGAACGCGCGAGCATCTTTGATAAGAGCGGGCTGGGTAGACCAGCGCTCTGGAATGAATTCTAGGGGGTTTGCGAATGCAGATTCCACTGAATAGGTACAGACACATCCACGTTAGCCACCTTCCCCGAGAGAGAAAGAAGGTAAAAGGACGATTGAGAAGCTCATAAGACAAATCCATGTACAATTCCAACTTACTTCTCTGAACCGTATACCTTGGAGACCCAATCTTTGTATTAGGAGGGATGAAAGTGTCATCGATATCCAAGCCTTCGGGACCAGTGATACGTGTAATGGCCGTCAAAGCTGCTGGAAGAAGCCGCATCGACTCGTTGATCACGCCGTTGAGATGAGCGATCTTGGAAAGTTGGTGGGTATCGTAGGGATGGGAGAGGTGCCGTAGCTCGTTATAGATTTTGTCCGCGTGGTGGGGATGGAGGGCGAGGAAATAAAATATAGACGTGAGACCGGACCCTGTAGTATCACTGTTCAGAAAGGAGTGTTAGTATGGAGAGCGAACGAGTGGACTTGGCTTGGGAATTGCATTCGAAGATAGGAAACAACGAACCTTCCCCCTACCATCGCAGTAACGGCATTACCGCTAAGAAGGTTCTTCTTTTCTTTGTCGCTCAGGTTCTTAGAGTTTTGTTGCAGGTCTTGGATCAGGTAGCTCAGAATATCAGGCTCTGTCGCTTCGTTCTGCCAACAATTTAGTAAGACAAGACACGGTGCCCTTTGCCGGTACGTGCTAAACGGTAAGAACTCACGATGAGCCTTTTCTCAGCCAGTGTATCACAAAAATCCAACAAATTCTTCCATGCTTCGACTGCAGGTATAAATGGAAAGAAAACTAGGCCAATTCGCACAAGCCATATGGCCGAGTTGAGACGCCCTAGAAGCGACAGTGCAGATCGTTGTTGGGCAACTATCCTGTGCCATGTGGGGGATTCCAGCATTCCGAAGTTTTCGTTGAAGGCGAAGTCACTCGCAGCGTCGTGAGCGAATGAGTAGACAATGTCGTTCAATACGATGGGTGTAGACTTCACATCTGCTATTACGTTGAGTAGACTAGAGACTCGGTTCCTTATGCGTGGAAGATAATCGTTCATTGCTGCTCAGGTTTCAGTGAAGTGACTACATATGTATTTGGGCAGCGAACTCGTGAGAGTAACCGATAATGAGTGTGAACGAACCTTTCCCCGAGAGAGCTAGGTCCCACGAGCGACGTCGGTCTCGGTGCTCCACACCGTTACGCGAAAAGATGGGAGATGTTCTGGGATAAACTATGTCGTACCATTCTGAAGGGACGTTCGTATTTCCACCACCATCCATGACTACCAATGCAGCGGGATGGAACATAGCCAGTCCGTTCGGACCTAACTCTGGTGAATCATAACCGTACACATCTCTCAATCGATGTTTGCGCAAGATAATACGCACCTATTCGCACAAAGTCTCCATACTGTTTGTGTAGAGAGTCGAGCAGAATATGGTTCTGGGAAGTCCAACAATGCCATACATGCCATAGTTTCGACAGAGCTGCGCCTCGTGGGCCGGGGAAGTGGCGCAACGGGTGGAAAAAGAGACGATACACCGCAATACTACTGAATAAGCCAGTGAGGTAAAATGTTCCGAGTATGAATGGCAAAGAAAGGCTCTTTGTGATCGCTATCATAACAAACCATAAGATCAGGTGTGTTGTCGCAACGTATGGCGCGTGTAGATGCCACTCGCCCTTGATGAAGATGGTCCGGTGGGCAAAGACGCCCGTGCCGAGGGCACACAACCACATAGATTCCATGATGTTAGTGGATAGTAAGCTCTTTGAAATTCATGGGAACTGCCTTCTTATTCTATTAGATACTTTTCATCTGAGAATGCTTTTAGCTCTCGGTGATAAGCTTAAAGGTCGCCCCGAGTCTGACTGTCTGAGACATGGCGTGCAGTCTGGCATCACGTCAAAGATGAACAGACCAATCATGGTGATGAAAGCTGCATTGCAAGACAAATATCACAATTCGGTCAGACCCATCGGACGAATCAAGTGAACATACGCATTGAGTAAGCTGTTGATGGTATCTGATGGTGGGAAGATTCCAGTGACATGCGAATTGGTTAGACCTCGTTGTGGACTTTCTTCCACGTTACCCAGCTTTTGTCTTCATCCAGCATTTCTTTAACATCTCTATATCTATCCCCTTATCTCAAGTTGGCAAGCACCACCTCGACGAGTTATGAACAGGAAAGACTTGGACTTGGACATTTTGCAAAGCTTCGAGCCAGAGGTTCTAGATCAGGTGCAAAATCCTTATGCCTCAAGCTCAAAGTGAAGCTGAGCTGGAGGAATGTCATTGCATGAAGGTGCTTAACAATCAATACTCGTCCGCACGTTCCGAAGTTTGTGACGAATGAATTGAGAGATACGAGGCAGAGGAACGTACAGCGGGGCGTATGTTATCTGAAGGCGCTAGCACGACCATCCATTCAAAAGGATTACCGCCCAATCCTTAAATTGATATCTGTGTAACTTTCATTTTACTCTCAGTGAGAGTACCTTGTCATTTCAAGACACATATCGTTTAGGATGTTACGCAATATAGCTTTCCATGGCTACACTTTATGGCTTTTTACGTATAGCGACTTGAAAACCATGGTTTTCCCAAGCACGTTCTTCGCAACTTCAATCTATCTCGCTAAAGAGATCTCTCAACCTGATCACGACATACCCAGGATCACTGGTCGGCTGCTCTCACGCATTCCGCAGACACTGCTATGGACTTGGATCAACTGTCTAGCATTCAACGTCAACAACCAGAGACTCCCGCATGCCATTGAAGAGGATTCTCTGAACAAACTATGGCGTCCTATGCCCTCAAAGCGCCTTACCATCAACCAAGCCAACCTTCTTGCAGCTGTAGTATATCCAATCGCAGTGCTTTCGAGCTTGACTCTTACACGGGGTTTAATCTCGTCAATCTTCTTGGTTTTGTTTGGCTATCTATACAATGATCTTCGGTTCGGCGATCACAGCATCATTTCTCGAAACATCCTGAATGCTTGCGGCTTTACTTCCTTTGCAGCTGGAGCTCTGGATACTATGGCAGGCACTTTCTTTCACTCCAATATGATTGCATGGCTTGCAGTCATTGGACTTGTGATTCTCACGACTGTGCACATCCAAGATATGTACGATCAGATAGGCGATGCCGCAGCTGGCCGACTGACAGTGCCACTCGTGTTTGGAGATATCATTGCTCGCATCACAATAGTCCTCCCTGTGCTTGTATGGAGCTTGGTCTGTCCCAGATATTGGGATGTTAAGTTTATTGGTTACGGTACTGTGGGGGTGTTGGGAGTGGTTGTTGTCATGAGGCTACTGCTTGTGAGAACGGTTAAGGGTGATCGGAATACCTTCATAATTTATAACTTCTGGCTGGCCTCCATTTACAGTCTACCGTTAATCGCATTCATGTAAGATTACCCAGTAAATAGATCCGGTAGATAAACAGTCCAACATGAGCCAATCAGATGACGTTGTTTAATCAAGTCATTCTATGCAGCATGTTCCTTACGATAACTGGGACAGATCGTATGCGAAACAAGAATCCCACGTACATGTTGCCTACATCATGGGATCGCAAAATAATCTCTGCTTCATGATCTTCGCATGTCAACCCTTTGTGTTCATAGCTTTGAACAGTGGCTTGATCATGAATTGACTTGTTTGTCGCACCACACGAGAATAGTGAGCAAGTAAACAGAGCTTAAATTGGCCAAACAGACATTTTCGAAGCGCAATCGTTATTATATTTTAATCCACCTTTCTTCTCCTCGTACTATTCCCTCTATCAGAATTGTCAAGCCCACAATGAACTAGGTGGTGCGGAATGCAGCGCTGCTTAGCATTTCGAACACTTGCAGCGTTCGTGATAACGGATAGGAAGATTAGTAACAAAAAGCACCTAGAATCACCGAAGACCAGTTAGTGTTCACACTTTGGGGGGTTTTGATGTCTACCTAGCGATGGACAGAGCGTGCTTTTGTTTGTAGGTAAGAAGGCCAATCAGAGGGGGAGTTTGTCTCTCCTTGCTTACGTCTTTCTGTTTTTGAATCAAAATTCGTTTCCAAAAACCATACTTCCTCTTTCCAATTGCAACAAAAAAGCAGCTAGTTCCATGATTAGATTTGAATACTTACAGTACAAATAACCAGGGAGACAGGCTTATGGTATTTAATAATCGCGGAGATCATCGCACCTGCCAAACTGGCAACTTCAATTCACTGGATAGCTTTGTTGGAGTCGGCAATCTCTCAAGGTGCAGCCTGGAGTTCGAATTTTCAGCACCATCATGAAACTAAAGATCATGTTATTGTATTCCAATCCATGCCGTTCCGATCGATTGATAGGGTACACAAAAGATAACATAGCCTTGTAGTCGTGAGGTCAGATGTGGTTGACCCTGGCATGCGATTCTACGCAAGGACTTTCTGGTTTGATCTGTTTGAATACGTTCTATGAACTGTACTATGACTATGAAATCTGTCGTCCCGCTCCCGCTCGTTCTTCTCCGTAGTGTCGTGATAATTTCGAAATTTGCTCTTGGCACACTGTAAGAGGAAAGAGGAAACACGGAACGGTGAGAGTACCCGCCTTTTATAAACTTGAATGTGCTGCCTCCGGATACCTCATGAAGTATAAATTCCATCAGAGAGCCACTTCTTAGTTCTAATCTCATCTCATCTCATCGGAATAGCAAGATCAGACTTTTAGTCCGAGACAAGAGAAGCCATTGTTCACTTATTCCCCGCCATAGGACTCTTATCAATATGAGACCCAACTCAATTTTTACCCTTGCGGTCCTTGGACTATCGAAATCTGTGCTCAGCAATCCCGCCAGCTATCCTCGACAAGCAGCAACTGGTCCAGCAGCCCAGACCGACGGATGGAATCCTTGGGAGCGCATCAACAGGAACGACTCTGTGAGCTTTGCTTCCAAGTCTAAGACCAATTCCTCCGGCTGACCCACTTTAAGGCACTCCTGATTGTTGACCATCAAATTGGTGTAAGTACAAACTCACCATGCGCTCAGAATACCACTGACGAACCCGCCAGCTCTTTCAACTATCTCGCGACTGGGATCATGCTTTGTTTAAAAGAAACATGATAGCTTATGCGGAATTGGGACGCCTTTACAATCTTCCCGTGATAATGACTACATCGGCAGAAACGGGACCCAACGGCCCACTTCCAAAGGAGGTTGTGAGCATGTTTCCTGACGCACCGCTGATCAAACGCAACGGAGAGATCAAGTAAGGGATTTCCCATGATGCACTCTACCATGTAGAGCATACATGATTCTTTACTAATCTGTGTGATGTGTAGTGCTTGGGACGACCCCAAATTTCGTGAAGCAGTCCAGAAAACGGGGAAAAAGCAGTTGATCGTCGCCGGCATCGTGACTGATGTCTGTACTGCATTCCTTGCGCTTTCACTACGCTCCGAAGGGTGAGTTCATTGTCTGCTTTATCCCCTTTACCAAACACTAATGACTGAGCAGGTACTCCGTCTTTGCCGACGTGGAAGCCAGTGGTACCATGACGCCTCTCATTCGCGATACTGCCAACCTTCGTATGCAAGCTGCGGGCGTGCATCTTGTGTCCACCTTTGCCATCATGAGTGACTTGCAGCGTGACTGGCGCAATACGAACCCTTCTGCCAGCGACATTGTACCCTACATTGACCAGTACCTTCCTGCTTATGGCATGATGATGAGGTCTCATGCCGCTGCTCTCTTGCAGAATGGTACTGTTTTTCCTGGATCGGAGACCTTGATCTAGATACTTAGGTATCGAGGGACTCAAACTAAAATGGTGGAGAAAATTGAGGGGGTAATGACACTTGGGAATTCCGAAACGCTGGGAAGGACTTTTGGATGGGGTAATGGTCGATAGAATACGCTCGTTTCAACACAGATCAGTAGCATTAAAATGGTAGTAGAACATGCAACTATTTTATATCATATCAAGTCCCACATGCTACATAATTCCATTTTTGTGGTGGTGAAGATTTGATGTATTGATATCGATAGACTACTTGTTTAACTAAAACTCCGATACATATTGGACAGACTCTTCAAGGGGAATTTAAAGCTCCGGCGTATCAGCATAGCAGGTACCCATGATGAAATCGGGATATCTGGGACCTACCACTTCTGCCGCCTCTACCGCCTTCCGGATCTCTTGCTCTTCTTCTTTCGTCAGCTGAACAGTAGCTCCACCAATATTTTCCTCGAGTCTTCCAATCCTCTGGGTACCGGGGATAGGGAAGATGTCATCACCCTGCGCAAGCAACCAAGCCAAGGCCAACTGACTGGGGGTAATGTTCTTTCTCTTCGCCACCTCGTTCATTTGTTTGACAAGCTCCAAGTTCTTTGGGAAGTTTTCCTTGCTGAAGCGAGGCAGCCACTTGCGAATGTCGCTGTCCTCAAAATCATCGGGCGAAGTGTACTGCCCGGAGATCAAACCACGCCCGAGAGGCGAGTAGGCTACAATGGCGACGCCGAGTTCACGGCAGGTGCTTAGGACGTTGATCTGGTCCGACTCAATTTCCAACGAGAAAGGGCTGTATTCCACCTGGACGGCCGTGACAGGGTGAACGGCATGGGCACGTCGGATGGACTTTGCCGAGCACTCTGACATGCCAATATACTTGAACTTGCCCTCGTTTTTCATCTCAACCATAGCTTGCATAGTCTTCTCAATGGGTGTTTTCTGATCCAACCTGTGGATGTAGTACAGATCGATGTTTGGCAGACCCAGCCTCTCCAGACTCTTTGCGCACGCCTGCTTAGCATACTCGGGGCTGGAATCGGTCGTGTACGTCCCGTCAGGGTGCGTTACAGCCGCGAACTTGGTCGCAAGGAAGATGTTTTCGCGTTTTCCGGGATTGGCCTTGAACCATTTGCCGAGCAAGACTTCAGAATCGCCATACAAATCAGATGTGTCCCAGTTTCGTTCGCCTTTCTCGTAAGCAGCGTCGAGAACGGCGAAGCGTTCCTCGTCAGGCTTGGGCGCGCCGTAAAAGGCTGAGAGACCCATGAGACCGAACCCGAGGCGGTTGACTTGCGGGCCGTTCTTGCCCATGGGAGCTGTAGGAAGAGACATTTTGCGTATGTGGATGTGAATGTGGATGTAGTAGTTAATTTATGGTGGCTATGGGCCAAGTTGTGTGGACGTGAAGATTGTGGATAAGAGTGTAATGATTGAGCGTCACTACGGTACCGCGTGAGCCCTTTTATAGTTTATGTCTGGTAACTCAATAGAGGACCAAAGATTCCATAAATCCGTTGAATGGAGTTACTATCCTGTAGATTTGGTCCGGATACTTCTGTAGCCTTGCACTTGCCCCACATTGCCAGATTCAGATTCTGGTAATAGAAGTCGTATCGTCCGAAACGGGGTTAACACTCCGCCCTATATCCGACCCCAGACACCACGCCGCATCATGCCATGCCAGTACTACCCGGGCTTCATCTATGCATATACAAACAGGGTAAGCAAGGAGCTGTTCAAAAACCCCGCTTTCACTACTGATAACAACAATAATTTCGAATGCAAAATACAAAGGGTCTTGTGCGATATGCAAAGGTGCACCGTTATCTCCATGATAACATCTCCTTCATGCCCAGGTGCATCAATCATAGTTCACGCCCACCACCATCCTACATATGTATTCATGGACGGCGTGCGTTGGCATATCCCAAGATTTGACATACTTGGGAATGGATGGCCCACTCGTGATACGAGATAATCGACAGAACAATTATGGTGAGAATTACGAGCAATGGATAGGTATGCAGATGCAGATAAGCTTAGTAATTGCGCCTCTTTTTTGTTATACATCATGTCAGCAAGATATAGCTACATAGGTATATGACGGTACTCCGCTCTGACTTGTCAGCAGCAAGTGCATGTAAGCATGTCCAGGTTGGGAACACAGTCTGGCACGACAACGTCATGCCCAAAAACAGCAACTTTTTCATTGCAGATCGTGGAAGCCATCGAACGGAAGGAGTCCATAAGTGGCAAACAATAGAATTTTCCGCGTATATGCAGAGAAGAGATCTGACTGGAGTTGGACAAGTAGTCAAGGCGAAAAAAGGAGGCAAGGATACAATACTGAGGTAGACCATGAGTGAATGTAGATAATGCGAGCTTGAGGATGTCTATGAGCTAGTTATTGGCATATATGGGTACGGTATCGTGGATGCTGCTATTTAACAACAAGTTTCCCGTCAATTTCCCCAAATGACTCTCAGGGACGCGTTAGCTGGTAGAAAGTCATCGCGGTGTTTTCGCAGTTCGCTCACCACCCTGAAAGTGAAACTGAGGGACCCTAGATTCTCTACTGATTCAATACTATGAAACGAATTCTCATCATCTCACTACATCATTGGTATATAGATGAAATCGGACGTACAAGGACAGCCACGGCAAGCCACATATCTCCAGGCAGGAACGACACACAACAACGTCAATCACCTACAGCCAGATGTTGAAGTTGCTGAATTCGGAAGCCCCAGTCCAGCGGGCAGGTACGAAGGGCAGGCGCTTCCCTACAACAAGCACTTGGGTGCTTCTTTGTTGTCGTCTTGTTCGTCAGGCCCGTCTTCTTACACTCAAATCACCATCCATCATCGTTACGAGTCACATCATCGTTATAACACGGCATAGCTTCCTTATCCTTCACCAGCCTGAATATTCTCCTACTTCTTGTACCCCGAATCAGATAACCTGCCCAAGATGTCGACTGGTCCCTTCAACCACGAAGAGACTGTTGAGTGGATGAACCGCCCGAATCAATTTATCAAAGACAAAGCTTGGAAAAACTCCACGAACGATTCTTCTGCCAATAAATGGAGTCACAGTCTATTGGGATGCTTGACACCGCCGAAGCTATGTGAGTTACAGACTCCTTTGTACATGGTGAACGCATGCTGAGGATGTCGAAATAGGTTGCTTGTCATTGTGCGTTCCATGTGTCCCATTTGGTCGAACGCAACATCGGCTTCGCCACAATGGTGACATGGCAACATACAACGTGTGCAATTCATCTGTAAGCTTTTGCTATTACTTCGGATTTTTTCAATTGCATGTAGCTGATACGAAACCAGTGCTGCCTCTTTTGTATCACAAGATGCTTCGGCGTCGAGTGGATCATGCAAACCATGCAATATCAAGATATCCGCGAAACGCATAACCTGAAGGGCTCTTTTGCCACAGACTGCTTGAAATCTTTCTATTGCCGATGCTGCAGTAGCATGCAGGCCGAGAAAGAAACGAAGGCGAGGAGTGGTGTCAGCAGTGGAGGCGTGGTCAGCCAACAGTATCAAGGAGGCGAGGCTATGGAGATGGGCAATATGTCTTCGGCGAACAAACCACGGGACAATCAAGCACCCGGCAGAGACCGGAGAACCGGGGCTGATCAGATGCCATCCCAGGCACCGGCGGCATGATTTGAAGTCTGAAGAACTTGTGCTCTGGGTTTCTCATAAGTGGGAATTGCAGCGAAAGTCGGGATATGGGAAGACAGACGATGTCAGGAGTCATCGCTGTTGGTATTCATCGTTTGCGTTATGTACAGTATTGCGAACTATTTTTTTTGACTTTGGTTCTTCTACAGCTCTTCCACCTCCTGCGCTTTAGCAGTGTCTCGGACAGCCGCAACGATCAGAGTTCTGTAATCCCGCACTGCTTGCTCTAACTCTTTCTTTTCAAGTGCTTCGTGATCTGAGTGCGCGACAAAGATAGTCCCCGGCCCGTAGAGATATCTTTTATGGTCTCCACTCAGCAAGGGAACATCAGTCCCGTAGTTCACTGTCATACGCTTGAACCCTTCAACGTCACAATCGATGTTGACAGGTGGGTAGCCCTCGCTTTCCCGCTCGATCGTCAGATCACCGCCAGCCTCCTGTGCAGCGGCCTTTACATTAGCCAGGGATTTTACAATGAGATCATAGACCTCCTTTGGGGTACCACCCCCGAGGCGAACAGCAAGCTTAGCAGACGCTGTTTCAGCCACCACGTTCGCCGCCACACCGCCCTCAATCTTCCCAAAATTGACGGTCGTGTTTCCGTAATGCTTGGAAGATGGCAGGCCACCATCCCTCAGTTTCAGCAATTCACTCAAAGCCTCGGAAAGAATATCGTTGGCCGATAGCCCAAGCCACGGATATCCCGAATGCGCCGCCTTGCCCTGAACGTGGATAGTCAAACCAAGTATACCCTTATGCCCACACACCAACTTGCCCTCGGTGGGCTCGCCGAAAACGACGGCTTTGTGAGCTGGCTCTGGTCGCTCATCCCATGACGAGAAAGCGCGCATGCCATCTCCGCCCGTCTCTTCACCCACAACGTACAGAAGCGCAACGTTCTCGCGTATGTTCTGCGGTAAGCTCTGCACGGCTACAATTTGCGCGGCTACACTCCCCTTGGCGTCTACAGACCCTCTTCCCCCTATTACATCTGTAGTTTTGTTGTGGTAGTACGGCCAGAACGGTGGTACGGTGTCGATGTGCGAGGAGACGAGGACTGGGGTTGCGCGCTTCTCCCCGCTGTACGCATAGATATTGTAACGGTCCTTGGATACTTCCTGCAGTTCGACAGAGAAGTCTTGTCTTTCGAGATACGAGGAGAGCCAGTGTTCGACTTTCAATTCGGACCCGGTGATCGATGAGATTTCGACGAGGTGTCGGTGCAGGTAGAGGAGCTCGTTGGAGAGGGAATCGGGGAGGATAGGCGCTGGATTGTGCTTCGCTGTTGCTCCTAGGACGAGCGCGAGAAGGGGGAGGTGATGGAGTCGCATTTTGGGGAGAGGGATGGGCCAATTGGGTTGTGGGGTTGTGAGAGAAGCTTTGGACTTTTGAGCTTGAAGCTCGAGAAGCTCCGCCTCGGGATGATGACGAGGGTTGGAAGTGGGGGCTGGGGACTCCACCCACTTTCGAGCCAACCAGCCGCCTCGGGCACTTGAATGTTCACCCAGAATTGATATACCTAGCACAACCAAGAGTTTGAACAAACATCATCGTTGGATTTACATCTGCAATGCTGCCAATTGGTATAAAAACTGAAACAAAAATGATACTACTTAGGACCTAAATCGAAGTGCTCAACTTCGTGGATAACCCATCTAGCAGCATTCGCATCACGTTTACAAAGCTACATTCAAATGCTCTCTTTCGCCAGAGAAACTCTCAATTAATATAAAAATGTGCCCCTAACTTTAGTCAACCTGGAGATGAGTCTCGCTCAAACAGGCAGTTCTGTGACCAGGTGCATAGCCAGCTTCTACCCAAGCGACCCTTTCGAGAAGCTGGGTTGACTGCCGGCAGATTTGTTCTTGCGCATTTTAACCTCCGAGGAGGTGTTCAGACCATGCATACCATAGAAGTAAAGGCTATTGCACGTCTGCGGATCTGTTCGACTGCGCTGTGGGACGGGTAGGAGTCGAAGATATGCGCATTCACGGGTACGTATGAACGAAGGATCACATGGATACGTCTGAGACAGTAGAAGAGTGGCACTGCTGCCATAAAAGTGAAATGGTCCTGAATTTCGGTACGCCTACCGCTGTTAACGCGCATGTCTGCTGCAAGTGACGTATAGTATACATATATATACAAGTATTGTACATTGAAGTCATATTCCGGGGACTTGAAAAATGATGGGAACTGGAAAGGTTAGTTAATGATAGCAGCAGGCTCGTCAGAAACCTGCTGTGCAATCTGCTCCATGTTCTCTGCCATGTGCAGATCCTGGATTTCCCATCCGTTGGAAGGGGTCGCCCAATCCTTCTTCTCGCCCAGAACTGCAACGCTACTTTCTGAAGCCCGTTGGACAAGGAATTGATCGGCAACGCGTTGAACGTCTTCTGCAGTGACGTCCAACAAACGTTCCCGTCGTGTCTGTAGCATATCATCGGTAATTCCTGAGAGGAAAAGCCGCATGCCTTCTTGGCTCACTGTCTGAGGGGCATCATAGCCTTGGAAGACGCTCAGTTTGGCTTCTTCCAAGTCCTGAGCAGTCCAGGTCCGGTCCCGTGCCCACTGACCCGCTTCAGCCATGATAGACATGGTGTTCTGGGGGTTGGGGTCCCGGTAACTGTACATGCCGAACAATCCCCCTAGGGAGCGAGAGTATGCCCCTCCTCCATAAGCGCCACCTTTCTCCCGGATTTCGTGGTGGAGATGCTTGTGTGTCAATAATTGGGCAAGAATCTCCAAGGGTGCACCAGCAGCGTCGACATAAGGAACAGTGGATACTGCTCGCGCCGAGTAGTAGACTTGGTATGGGAGTGGGAAAAACGACTTCGCGTTCCTTGTGTACTGATTCTGGGCAGGAGCTGGATATTTAGTCTCTTTCGGGAGGCTGTCTAGAAAGCGGCGAAGCGCTTCCTGGTTGGGATTTGAACTCTCACCGCCACAATTTAGGGCGACGCGGAGTTGATTAGTGTTCGCGATAGCAAAGGCTTGGATGGCCTTCAGTTTCTGCATAACATCGCTCAAAGAGTCTGTGGGTGACCGGGATGCCAGTCCTGTCGTGAACTTCACTTGCGTCAATCCTCCTGTCTGTTCATTGAGTCTCCCAACAGGTGTTAAGCTGGCCTCTGCAAATGTCCGAGCAAATGAGTGGCCTGATTCGGCGATTGAGTTGATTGCACCGCTTGCCGAGGATTGGAGCAGCTCCCGTATTTTCTTCTCGGCTTCGGGTCCTTCGAAGTTTGTCTCCATTATCAGTGTCCGAAGAAGTTTGTACATATCAGGTATGTTACGATCTAGAGCGTATCCGGTGAAGGTGAGTCCTTCCAAAAACTGATCAAGAGCGTGAGGTGATGGCGAAGAGTGATACCCCACAGAAATACCACCTGTCTTCAACTTGATTAGCTCTTCTAGCTTCTCCATCGTCTTGTCTTTTGTCCCGAGCCGCATGAGAGCACTGGTGAAAAGTGGAATCATTTGTCTTAGTTCATCTGGAAGGTTCTGGAGCATGTGCACAGCACGGAAATATGTCAGGCCATTAGTCGGTGCTTCACGCCACTGTACCTTAACGTCACCAACGGATGTGTGTCGAAGTGGCTTTCGTTCCTTTTCGCGCGGAATATCTTTGACGTGGACTGTCGGCAGACAGCTGAGATCTTGGTTTCGGGCATTTTCTTGGACCTCCAATAGCTCCATCTCTCTCTGCTCCAGATACTTTTGAGCCTCTTCTTTGCTTGAAAATTGCTTCGTGGTTTCGGCAATCTTCTCCGCAAGTCGAGCCTTCTCCTCCTCCACAAGCTCTTGACTGTATGTCTCGGAAGGTGCCATGGTAAATGTCAACGTTTTATCGTTGAGAAGATACTTGTCAACAAGACTTTCGAGATAATTTCCACCTGCAAGTTTCTTTTGGAAAGCCTCCACTGTCTCTTGCCAAGCAAGAGCGTTCATGGGATCAACGCCGTTGAACCAGCCAGGCTTGAGTCTTTGCATGATGTTCATTCCAAAGTGTGCGGACTTGTGCTTCAAAGAAAGTTCGAGTTGATGAAGAATACCATCAATCTTAATCTTCTCGAACCCATTGTTTCGAGCTTCAATAAAAGTTTTGGCGATCGCTTCTCGAACCTTGGGTACATCTTCTTCTTTCACAGCATTAAGGCCGACAGAAAACACACCCCTCTTTCCCGCGCTGTCGTAGCCTGTGTTTGGGCTGAAATCGGCACCAAGACCAGATTCAATAAGATTGCGATATAACGGCGACCCATATCCATCCATCAACAAACTGCTCAAGAGACCAAGTGAGAAGTTCTCCAGGACGTCTGTGGTGTCGCCCATTAACCAGGTTATTGATGTCTTGAATTGCCTATCGGCAGGGACCAGTGGGTCCAAAGGACCAGGGACAGTGACATGTTTGGGCTCGTGAAGTTCGATAGGCAACTTGATGTCATGATCGACGGCAATTTTACTGAAGCTTTTCAAGCGAGCATCAATTTCCTTCAGATGCTCGGTCAAAGACATGTTTCCGTACGTCAATAACTTGGCGTTGCTGGGATGGTAGTGATCAGCGTGAAATTTCCGCAGCTGTTCCCAGGTAAGGTCCGTGATTTTTTGTGGATCTCCGCCAGAGTTGTTGATGGCCGGGAAGAGGTGATCTTGGAATCTGATGTAGTACAGGTAGCTCGCATCCGACATTTGGCCTTTCATTTCATTGTATACAACGCCTTTGAAAACCAAGCGCTTCGCGTCCTCGGAACCCTCCTCCTGGGCAGCTAATGGGTTCTCGGGACCTATCCGCCAGCCCTCTTGTGTGAAGTCATTTTCCTGTAATAAGGGGTGAAGTGTCGCATCTAGATAAACGGACATGAGATTTTGAAAATCTTTTGCGTTGGTGGTTGCGAACGGATAAGTGGTGTGATCCGACGAAGTGAAGGCATTCATGAAATTCGATAATGACCGAGGCAACATCTTGAAGAATGGGTCGCGTACGGGATATCTGATAGCGTCAGCGAACATTATTGGCATGAAGGGAATCTAGATCGGCCTACTTCTCACTGCCACATAATGTGGTGTGTTCGAGGATATGTGGCACACCGGTGTCGTCCGGGGGATTTGTCTTGAAGCCAATGGAGAAAACATTGTTGGCATCATCGCGAGCAATGTGTAGGTAATCGGCGCCCGTCTTGTCGTGTTGAAGTTGCAGAGCAGTCAGCTCTAACTCAGGGACTTGCTTGACGCGCTTGAGGGTGAAGCCATGAAGCTTCTCGCCGACTTTTGGGAAACTCGAAGGGTCCGTTAGTGCAGCGTAGCTCCGTCGAAAAGCACGCGATGTCGATACATGTCTGTGAGCGATTGGAAGCTGGCCACGAGCGGAGCGCAGCATCGCGAAAAAGGTGGGAGGGAAAGGAAGGGGAGGGGAGAAATGAAAGAGTGGGAGATCAAGGTGGCAAGTAAGAGGTAAAGGACGAAAAGTCGCGAGGCAACATGCGTGCGTATATGGAAAAGGCGATTGCGATGACGCTCTGGCGCCGATTGGTCCGACCCAAAACTGAATGACTAATAAGAAGAAGAATCGTGTAGTTGATATCCACCGATTAACATTTGCACGCGGATGAGGGAATGGATGAAAAATAAATGAATTGCAGCTGTAGCACTTTCGTCTTCTCTTGCTAGTTTTACCGGTGCTACAGGAAGGCAAGGCATACCTTTTGTTGTTGCTCGTGTGCTCGTGTACTGGCTGGCGGTGTCGTGGACTGGTAAGAAAGGGCGCCTCGTCTCAAGTCAAGTACCTCCTAGTGTGAGCTGGGCGGAAGAAACCTTGTACCGCCGCACCCACCAAACCGCCTCTCTTCAACCTCACCACCGTCTCTCACCCGCCCACGCTCTACCTATCAGCGATATCCCACGCCATCCGGTACTCCGCCTTCCTCAACCACCGCGATTTCGACCCGCCTCCCCACCTATCGCGCCCCCGAAGCCTGCACCCAATTTCCAACCGAAGCACCACAACCCGAAGACGTCAGCGACTCGACCCGCGGCCTGCCCGCGATCCGTTGGCTCCTGCTACGCCGTACCTGTTTTCATGCTGCATGTGAACCAATTGCAACATCCTCTGCGCGCAAAACCCAAGACTTTCGCGCTCTCTGGGTGTTGACGTTACGGCGCTTGCATCACCCTCCGTCTATACATCCATGGCCACCGTTGCCCAGCACTATCCGACGTCGACCCCTTCTCGATCAAATACTCGTGGCATGGAAACAAGCCGGGGCGCACCCGTATCTGGATCCGCACCCATGGCTCCCGCACAGCATGCCCCTCCTCCCGCGAAGAAAGGGAAGGCGAAGAAGGCAGCGGACCCTTCGGAGCAGCAGAAGCAGATCCAGGCGAAAATAGCCCAGTTGGAGCAGGATGCTGCTGGAGATAAGGAGCAGGAGCTAGAAATAGGTGCGTGGATCCCTCGCACCCAGCCAAGTTGGGACTGTTGCATGTCCAGACAAGCCTGTGGAGGTAGTTACGGAGAGGCTAGAGCAGGTTGAACTGAAGAGGCGAGAACTTGTGAAAAGACAAAATTTCGGGCTCGGGCTGACAATATGTTTACACAGAGCGCGAAGTGAAGAAGGCCAATCGCGAGCTTTCTTCCCTCTTGAGCAATATGGACGGTCCGCTGACACGACTTGAGGTGGTTCAGAAACGGTACACTGAACTGCTGTCCGACATGAAGCGCACCGAACGTGAACATCAAAAGGCAAAGAAACGGGGCGATCAGCTTCAGAAAGAGAAGGATGCTTCAAGGTCAGAGCTCAATAAAGTCACCACTATGAAAGACAAGCTGGACAAGTTATCTCGAGATTTTGCCAAAGAAAACAAAAAATTGAAGGATGAATTGCACAAGTTGGAGACCAGCGAATCAGCCGCCCGGGAAGACTTGCATGACCGCCTTACAAGAATGGTCTTGGATGTAGAACGATGTATCACTGCACAAAGCCAACCGGAACCCCAAAACCAGGTCGACATGGAGCTGGATGAAGTGTGCGTCGCATATCCTGTTCTTGGTTTACTTGGTGACTGACTCTGTCCAGGTTCCGTCAGAAATTCAAATCTTTCATCGATCAGTATGAGCTCCGCGAGCTACAGTTTCATTCCCTCTTGCGGACCAAAGAGCTCGAAATACAATATCAAATGGCCCGGCTCGAACAGCAGCGAAAGCAACAGGAGGCCGAGTCATCCAAATCCCATCAGCTTACTCGACAAGTATCCACCTTCTCTCAGACGGAGACGGAGCTGAGAACCCAGTTGAACATCTATGTCGAGAAGTTTAAACAGGTATGTCTTTCCAAAATACCCACAAAATATGAAACGTAGCATCTTGGTTAATACTGACTAGATGCAGGTCGAAGAAACACTGAACAACTCCAACGATTTATTCCTTACTTTCCGCAAGGAGATGGAAGAGATGTCGAAGAAAACCAAACGCCTTGAAAAAGAAAATGCTACCCTGCTCAGAAACAAAGATGTTACCAGTCGAAATATTGCTGAGATGGTGGACCATCGGCAACGAATGGAGGGGGAATTGGCGCAGAGAGACAAGGAGATTGAGGATCAACGTAAGAAGATCGCTCGGCTGGAAACACTGTGTCGAGGTATGCAAGCACAGGGTCGCGGGCAAGTCCCAATGAGCGAGCTAGAGGAAGATGAAGAAATTACAGAGAGCGAATACGAGTACGAAGACGAAGAAGATGACGGCAGCGGCGAATATGACGACGATACCGAAGACGACGCATTAGAAACGATCCCCGCACGTCGGCCATTTGGTCCTGTACCGCCGCCTCCTCCGCCGCCACAGACATTACCTAATGCTAGAGTCAATGGACACAAACAGGCCAACGGGCAAGTCAACGGAGTCAAGCGCTAATGATTGTGATAATCGACAGATTGGCAACGCCCAACTCATCTGACCAGCTAATGTTCAACATGATCGACACCACAATGCTTAGCTATGCGACCCTCTTACCGAAATGGCGAAAAGAAACGGCGGTTTCCACGTTGCGATGGCAGCCGTCAGGAACCGTGACGTTGGTTGAAGCATGCCGACCGTGGTACTGGCAATGCTGCGGTCGAAGCTGATGGTTCGTGTTTGATTATTCTGGCTTTGCTGCATGGTTATCTTCGCATCCAAACCAATGGCGTTTAGCTGTTCATCATTGTACCTGTTTACAATCTGTAGAAAGAGGAATGGATTAGTTCACTCATAATACCTCATTACATGCCGATGATACCGATATATATGATCTCGCAATGTACTTGATGGCATATTTCTGCTTAGCGACGGAGTTTTGCCGCACATACAAGCTTGATTGGTGACGTGTTTGTGTTGTGTTGGTGAAAATATCGTTTTACGGAAGAGTTGATCGATCTATCATGTGATGACGTTCTGTGCGGCGCGAGCAACGAGTCGACTGATGCTCGTCCCGAGGTCTCATCCCCGCATGCGCATGGAACATGGACCCTTGCTCGGCCAGCGCCTCTCCTTATTTATGAACAGTCTACCCCAGACAATGATGCGTTTCCCTCAGGTTCAGCTAGCTCGAGCTCCTCGACCAGAAATCTATACCATTGGCAGTTCGCAAATATCGTAGGGGGATTGTCGCATTTCAATTGCGCCGCCAGAATGTCTCCGCCTTCACTTCAAACACCGCTTTCGAAGCTCCTGGGCATCCAGTACCCCATCATTCTAGCTGGCATGGCTAGAACAAGTGGTGGACCTCTCGCGGCTGCAGTGTCCAATGCGGGTGGACTGGGTGTCATTGGAGGGCTGGGATATACACCAGAACAGCTTCAAACCATCATCGACGAGTTGAAGGCGAACCTTGTCGACAAGTCACTGCCTTTTGGAGTCGACCTTGCACTCCCACAAGTCGGCGGTTCAGCACGTAAAACCAACCACGACTACACGCACGGTCATCTGGACGAGTTGATTGAGGTCACGATCAAGAACGGCGCAAAGCTGTTTGTGAGCGCCGTCGGCGTCCCTCCTGCGCACACGATCAAAAGGCTACATGAAGCCGGAATCCTCATCATGAACATGGTTGGCCACCCCAAGCATGCAGTCAAGGCGCTGGAAGCTGGTGTCGACATTGTGTGCGCGCAAGGAGGCGAAGGCGGAGGACACACTGGCGACATTGCCAACTCTATTCTGATCCCCTCGGTGGTAGACGTGGCTCGAAAGTACAAGTCGCCCATCACCGGGCAACCGGCAATGGTGGTGGCTGCTGGAGGTATATACAATGGAAGAAGTCTGGCATCGAGTCTCATGCAAGGGGCGCAAGGGGTGTGGGTCGGAACCCGATTCGTCGCATCTACGGAAGCTGGGTGTTCGCAGATGCATAAAGAGAATGTTGTCACGGCGACGTTCCAGGACACCGACCGCACGCTGGTTGTCAGCGGACGTCCGTTGCGAGTACGATTGAACGATTACATCAAGGAGTGGCATTCGCGGCCCGAGGAGATTAAGAAATTGACGGAGAGTGGAGTGGTGCCGCTGGCCAAGGACATGGACGACGGGAAGGATATAGACATCCCGTTCTTGATGGGGCAGGTTGCTGGCGTGATTGAGGATATCAAGCCAGCGAAGCAGATCATGGACGAGATGGTAGCCGAGGCGGTGGATATGCTAAGGCTGGGGCAGACGTACATTGGCGGGCCTGCTAGCAAACTGTAGTCGAGTACATGTACTATACGTAGAGGCAATACAGGTGTGAAGTGATATCATGGATGAAGAAGGAGGAGTGATGGGAGATGGCTGTACACAGAGAAGAATTTATTGATTGTCGTGGTGTATGTACGTTGCGAAACTGCTGCCATGTTCACATAGATGTGTAGGCTCTCAAGGGGCAAACATTAACACAAAACTATATGCAAAGCATACAAGCACTTGGTAATGCTTCGATGCCATGGTTTTGGGTTCTCATATTTCAAGTTCAGTAGATGCTGGAGTTGTATGTAGAGTTGAAAGCTTCAAAATCAATGAGTCACCAGAAAGGGCTGCGGTACTCGAGTCTACTGCTCTACTGTGAGATACATAGGTACTCAGCGCAGCCTCGGACCCGGCAAGCACGAGTAGCCTGTATTAATAATTGGCCAGGTACGTAGCCGGGCGGCCTAAAATAGCAACACGAGTCGAGCATTGCGTGGTGCGGATTGAGCGAACCACTTGTGCAACCATGGCGAACCGGCCACAAACATTGATATGTATGGGCACAAACACATGTACACGATATCCACACTCGCCCCCATGATGCGCAGTTTCCGCTCGAGCTGAGCAGCGCCGAACCGCGTGCTAGACATAGTCCCTAGTCCTCCTTCTCCCTCTCCTAGTCTTGCGTCCCAAAAGTTTGGTTCTCACCCCAGGCGCCGATCACCTCACAACCACCAACCAAGCTCTCCAGCAGCCCATCTCAGGAGACAAACTGCTCCCGGACCTCTCCCTCCGCGCTCCCTCGCTGCCTATACACCCTCTCGACTCCCCACTTCTATCCTTCGCATTCATAAATTCCTCCATACCGTCATCACCCTCTTCACAATTTCCCTGTGGCCTGTGCGGTCCTCCTCCGATCCCCGTCAACCGCGCCAACGCATACGTCCGCCTCGTTGACCCTCCTCCTTGCAGGTTATAGATGACGCTTCGCCGGTCGCCCTATCTTCCCTCGAGAGTCGTAGTGGCGCATATCCATGCAGTCAAGTATCAGAGCTCAGGCTGAGATCCAGGCCCAGAGGAAGAAGGTGAACACCGTTCCCCGGTTTCCACCATTCGCCTCCGACGCTGTGCTAACCGGATATCCAGCTTGCAAATTCCTATCAGCAGCTCCTCGAGTAAGCACCACCCTCCTCGCCTCGTGCAAACCATCAATTTCCGCCGCTAATACAATCTCCGCAGTGAGTTCTCGGGGAAAGATCTAAAGAACGTCGGCAATTATGCGCTGGGCCGTCTCATCGGCAAGGGGAGCTTCGGAAAAGTGTACCTAGCATCGCACAAACTCACAAACGGCTCCAGAGTACGTGGGCCTTCCTCGATCGCAAAGAACCAGAGTGTTAACCAGGACAACAGGTGGTGCTAAAGTCGGCCAAGAAAGACGACTCGAATCTCGCGCGCGAAATCCATCATCATCGCCAATTCACACATCCACATATTGCTAGGTTATACGAGGTCATTGTCACCGAATCACTGGTTTGGTTGGTGCTCGAGTACTGTCAAGGTATGACACATGCATCCCTCGAGACCCATAGGGCATTGCTAACTGCTACTTCAGGCGACGAGTTATACAACTACCTCCTCGACAAAGGCCCGCTCGATCCCCCCAAGGTTCAAAGAATCTTCACCCAGCTCGTGGGCGCCGTCTCCTACGTTCACAACAAATCGTGCGTTCATCGCGACCTCAAGCTCGAGAACATCCTGCTCGATAATCATGAAAATGTGAAGCTCGTTGATTTTGGATTTACGCGAGAATATGAGGGAAAGTCCAACTATCTACAGACATGGTGCGGCACCGTGTGCTACAGCGCGCCAGAGATGCTGAAGGGCGAGAAATATGCCGGAGAGAAGGTCGACGTCTGGAGTTTAGGTATCATTCTCTATGCGCTTTTGGTGGGCGAACTGCCCTTTGACGATGATGACGAAATGGTTACGAAAATGCGAATCTTGAAAGAGGAACCAAAATACCCAGAAAGCTTTCCACCACAAGCCAAAGAGCTATGTCAGATACTGTTATCAAAACGGCCGTTGTTACGGCCGACACTTGCAGACATCTTACAGAACCCATGGTTGTCGGAGTATGCACCAAGGCAGCAAGAAATTCTGAAGCTGCAACAGCCCGCGCCATTCTCGACCGATTTGGAGAAAGAGGTGTTGCAGCGAATGCGTGGGGCGGGTGTGGACATCGATCAGGTCATTGAAAATGTTCTCGCGCAACGGTGCGATTCTTTGGCTGGCTGGTGGGCACTGTTGCTTGAGAAAGAAGAAAGGAAGGCCAGGAGAAGAGAGCGTAAAAGAAAGGAAAAAGAGGCTGAAGCACGGAGTTTGAAAAGATTGAGTGCCGCCAGCAGTCGCCTGGACAGACTCGCACCGACCATCAAAGAAATGGAGGAAGAAGGACTGCATCCCCCCCTACCAGGAGATGCTTCGGGTAGTCGGGGAAGGGCTCTCAAGCGTTCAAGTATGCAGGGTATGTTCATCTCGAGAAATGTGTTTCACCGCAGAGGCAGTATTGACGATGTACAGGCGCGCCGGAACTTCCAAAATTGCCGGAATCAGCAAACTCTCCCAATCTCGACTCTGATCTACCCCCGCCTCCCATCGAGAAAGACATTGTCCGAAGCTCCAACTCCTCATCACGTCCCCCTCCACCACCCAAGGAAATGAGCAGACGAAAGTCGCAGGCCAGCATGCTCCAAGTTGTATCCACTAATCCCGATCTACTCCATCCCAATGGCTTCATCCCCAAACGTCGACGAAAATATCAAGCTCCTTTCTTGAACCACCTCACGACCCTCCGAAATTGGATTAAAGAGACCTCGAAACGCGCTCGCTCACCGGGAGGCTCCAAAGCTAGCAGTCACAAATCGCCTACGATACCAGAACACACCTCGCCCGATACCCGCCCCCGTCGATCTAGTAATGCTAACCGCAGCTCAACCGTTTATATTCAGCACTCAAATAGCACATCATCAGCACAGGCCAACCACCGAAGAATCTCCACCCACAGTAGTACTGGCAAACGACCCTCCATTTCTCCCTCCCCACTAACCCCGCGCTCCTCCTACCGCCGCTCCTCGGGTGGCCTCCGCGGTCGCAAATCAACCTCCTCATCCGTTTCCTCCATCCGCTCCATGCCACACCACCACCATTCCCACTCCAAAGCCTCGTCGACATCCTCCGCCAGCATCACGTCCCCCGTGGGCAGCGTCTCTGGCCACAAATCAACGCGCTCCCCCCACGCCTCGGTCAAAGTCCTCCCTGCAACCCCAACCAACTCGTCCTTTCCAACCTCGATCCGCGTCGTCCGCGGGCCCTTCAGCGAAGGCGGCGCCGCCTTTGGCGCCATGCCACACTCGCCCGGCCTCATCTTCGCCAAGCGCAAACGAAGCCCCTTCAAAGGCCCCATGCTCAACCTCAACAACGGATCCTCGCCGGCCTCCAACCCCCGCATGCGCGGCACAGATGGCCAGAGCTCACGCAGCACGAGCATTCAGGGTCGTCGCAGCGGCGAGATCATGGGTATCACAGAGGAAGAGGAAGAAGAAGAAGTGGAGGAAGTCGATGATTTCAGCCCGATCAGAGAAAACAGCATGGTGGAGCTTGTCGAGGAGGCCGAGGAACCTTCGTCGCCTTCGCCTGCGCCTGTCGTTGTCACGCCGCCGTCAGTCGCCGGTGGTGCTGAAGAGAAGGCGGGCGAGAAAAGAGCGTCGTCCCTTTTTGGACCAAAGTTGACGGTTCCGGGGGTTGTCGAGGAAGGTGATGAGGACGTGGCGGGATCGTCATCGTTATTGGCTGCTGCTGCTGCTGCTGGTGGTGAGCCGTCGACGTCGGAGGACAAAGGCAAAGATCGAATTGTGCCGATTGTGTTGGATAAGCAGGGCGGGATCAGTCCTGCGGGAACAGAGGCGGGGAAAGAGTGATGTGTTGATTTCTTGTCGTTATATTCTTCTTTTCTCTTGGGTGAAGGAGAGAGAAGCGAATGTTGGGCTGGAGGGGCATCTTTTGATACTCTTTTTTTGGTTTGTTTTGGTTTGTTGTTGTTGATGTCTTGTTGCCGTCGTTGTGATACCGCTTTGCAGATTTGCTGCTGCCGTCCGTTGTTTTCTAGCCTTATTCAACTTTGTCCTTTTTTTTTACTCTCCTTCTTTCCCCCCTTTCCCTCTATCCTTCTTTCTTTCTTTCCTTATTTTATATATATATATTTATCCATCTATATAGAAAGCGCGAACAAGCGAACAGCAGGAGCGGTCATCGTACATATATCTATCTTATTTCTCTCTCTCTCCTCTTGTTGGCTTTCATATCTCGGGGGTTTCTCTCTAGTCATATATATTGAGTCGTAGATGGATGGATGGATGGATGGATGGGTTTGTTCACGAGGTGATTATATATATACCTAGGTACATGTGGGTACATATGCCTTTCTCTTCTATGTCAAACCCATAGCTCGATTATGTGTAGATTGCATGCCATGACCAGGCGTTTCCCTCTCCCTCTCTCTCTCTCTCTGGCAAAACCAGCCAAATGTAGAGAAGAGAACTAGAGACTGGTCATTATGAACTAGCCTTACTGTCAATTTCAAAACACTACCTTTCTTTCCCCTACATTCCAATTTCACTTCACCCCCATGTTTTTCTTTTGTTTTCGGCGAGTTGGCACAGAAGAAGAAAGAGAAAGTTTGATAAAGAGGCAGTTGTCTGAGAACAGAAATAAAGTTTTATTACAAAAAAGCCCATGGTGACAACGTCGGGGCTAGGCTACTGAACGAGGAAATAGGTCCTTGTTTTCTTATTTTTCAATGTCGCTTGAAAGAGATGTCAGATTGTTCAAGGTTGCCAATGCTTGTTGCGGAACTTCTTTTATGCGTGCGAGCGATTGGCATTGGCGTTTCAGGATTCATGATCCATGCATGGCATGCTATGGTTATCATGCCCCCCCCCCATGCCCATTCAGTCACAATAGGGCACTATTGATTTGATTTGACGTTATCCCACGCGTTTCAAACCAGGCAAATACAGCTAAACTTTGTTCAAATTGAGGAGGGAGTTGGAGATAAGGATGCTGTTTTAGACATGGCAGGACGTGACACTGCATTTACTTGCTTGCTTGGCTTGGCTTGCTGAAACGAATGGGCAATGACGAGAGGCTGATGGAATTCCAGAAACTAGAGTAGACAGCGAGCGGTGTAGAGTGGAGTGCGAAACAGAGGCAGAGGCAGTCGAGGAATCTGAATGAGGTAATAGACTCGCGTGGGATCTGGCTTGGTTTGGTTGGTTAATGGGTTGGTTATCGCGTTTGAGAGTGGCTGGCTGTCGGACCGTTGGTTGGAGGGTGAGTTTGGGGTTGCGAAACGCCACTTTCTGACAACAAGGCGGGATAAGAAACAGAGAGCGAAAGAGAAGAAGAGGCTGTTGGGACCAGGGTGGTCGGGTGGAAGTGTTGGTGGGACTGATAGCAAGGCAGTAGCACCACGGAGAAGGAGTCTGTTCACATTAGCAAGGAAAAGTTCAAGTGGAAGATTGAAGCGACAGAGCAAGAAGAGCAGTTCTGTATTCCTATTCTTCTTTCTTCTTTTCTTTTTCTCGTAGGAATTGCTTTTTCGCGGCATGCGAACCCCGCACACGGCACGCAGGCGCGCACACAGACACCAGGACACGCGACCACACCCCGGTAGTGCTTCCAAGGCATGAAGCACGAAGCTGCGAAGCGAGACCCTTTGCTCCGATGCTGCAGCATGTTATCTTGGAGTCTTGTCGCTTTCTCTTTCTTTCGCCGACGTTTTCTGCGCAAGAGGAAGATCCCGATTCCACGATAAGTTTACGCGAGAAGAGTCGTTGGAGGAAATGCATGCAAGGTCGGCGGTTTGCACCCAAAGAGGCAGGCGCAGACGGCCGATGACAGGCGACACGTTGTCTGGCTAGCTCTCGGGACGACGAGCGATGGACGGTTGTGGGACGGGAGAGACGGGAAGGGTTGAATGGACGCATGCCGTCAGAAGATGATTCATTGCGGCGTGCGCATATAGCTACATATAGCTACATATGTGGATGGATAAAGGCGCATGCAGCATGTCCACAGGCAGCGTGGTTGGGGGGAATGCTGGATAAAGGGGCAAAGTGAGTGTGGATCCAGGTTCGCGCTTGAATTTAATCAGAAGAAGGGGATGAAGAAGAAAAGAAGTCTTCTGGATGCCGTGCCTTGCAGATGATTGCAGGTGACTTGCATGTGGCCGTTTCGAGAAGGGGGGAAATAGATGAAGTTGCCAGCCCTAAGGATATGGGAATCAATCTACGGTTGGGCTCAAGCGAAGGCAACACGAAAATTCAATTAGTGTTGAAAAAGGCAGCCGAGTATATTTACAGGCTGGTGCCATGGAACCATGGGTACGTGTCTGTATTACGGCACGGTGAGGAAGATATGACAGGGTGGAGAATTCAAAGAGTTCAAAGTCGACCAAGTCGGTGAATCAAGTGAGCTGACGGCATAGTCGTGGTGGAGGAGCTGAACAGAAAATGGGCCGATTTGATGGACACAGCGGAGCACAACGGTAGATGAATGCGTACAGGCTCGTATTTGTCGAACAAGGTTGTTGGAATGCCAGAAGGGAGTGTAGGCTGAAGACTCGAGAGAGATGTATGGGATGCAGTCAGTAGTGGGGAGCGCGATAAGGAACGGTAGAGACGGCGTCGGCGGGCGGCAGGCCAGGCCGGTTCCAGAAAGGCGCGGCGGGCGCCACCGACCTGGGGGGGGAGAGGGCAAGGGCAAGGCAGAACGGCTGCTGTCCCCACTCCAACACCGATGGACGGCCATGTATGATTACATGAGTTACATGGCAGGAGATTGGAAGTCTTCGCCGGCGTCCGAGGGCTTGCGAATGCGGGAGAGGGGATTCAAGTGTTTGCTGCTGTCTTGCCATGAATCCACGATACTGTACAAGTGGTGGCCATGTACCAAGTACCGAGTAGTTGGCGATGTGTTAGGCAGGGAACATGTACATGTGTATCATATCTACATGTATGTATTTGTGTATACCCAGTCGGTCCGTCCATGTGAAGCTGGAACCCGCCATTCCGGCTGACAGGCCCCGCGTGTCCATGGGAACTGCAATAACAACCACCCCAAGTCTGTAGGTGAAGAGGCTTTGACCAAGAATAACCCAGTCATGGCGTAATCTCGAGTACCAGAAAGGTTTCTCCGGAAAGCCGACGCGGACATGGGCAGCGACATGGGAATGGAACATTTAGCCCCGGCGCCTCTGGTCACATACGAGCGTGAAGCCATTTCGGCTCTAGACCCTCCCTGCTGGCGTTCCTCGTCGTGTGAAGGCGGTCGTGGTGGTGGTAGATAGCGAGATACATGGACGCATGCTGCTTGGTATAAGCAGCAGCCAGCCAGCCAGCCCTGCACCCCGACAACCCAGTCGCCCCCATCAATCTTATCGCTCGACACCGCCCACTACCGAACTACTACCTCCACCTCTACTACCACCACCACTAACCCTCACTTACCACCTCCACCTCGAACACTCTCTAACTCCGCAAACCGTAGGCAATAACATCCCCCCCCTAGCCACTGCGGCCTCTTTCCTCGGACTTGCAGCGCCCGCTGCAGTTCTCTCTCACCTTGATCATCTTGTTGCGCGCGCCCCCGCCGCCGCCTACCTGCCCGCAACATGGCTACTACCGCCGACGATGACTTCTACGGCACCGAGAAGAGCTTCGGCCGCGACTCGCAAGCCTCTGCCCACTATGGCCAATCTTCCATGCACCGCGATGGCATCGGCCGCCGGGTCCTGGATTCTTTCCGCCGCGATCCCAACTTGAACACGGCCCTGACGCAAAAGATGTCGCTGGGTGCTGATGGCAAGACCTTCGATGTCGAGAGCGCCGCTGTCAACACCGCCAATTCACCGCTGGTTAGGCGCCTCAAGGGCAGGCACTTGCAGATGATAGCCATAGGAGGCTCCATCGGTACTGCCTCCAATTCTTTGCAAACTAACTCTCTGCTCTTGTTTTGTTTGCCATGTTTGTCCCTCGCTAACTCGATTCCTCTTGCTTCTAGGTACTGGCCTGTTCGTCGGTTCTGGTCAGGCGTTGGCTCAGAGCGGCCCCGCTTCTCTCGTCATTGCATACTGCCTGGTTGGCATCATGATGTACTGCACCGTCCACGCCCTGGGCGAGATGGCCGTCCTGTTCCCCGTCGCCGGCTCCTTCTCGTCCTACTCGACCCGCTTCTTGGATCCCGCTTGGGGCTTTGCCATGGGTTGGAAGTAAGTTCTGATCCGCGCCCTCGGGTCGCGCTGCATGGCCCGACACGCGACTAACATGCTGTGCAGTTACGCCCTCCAATGGCTCGTTGTCCTACCTCTGGAAATTGTCGCCGCCACCTTCACCATCAACTACTGGAATCATGGAGCCGTCAACAACAATGCTTGGGTCGCCATCTTCTTAACCCTCATCGTGGTTATTAACCTCTTTGGGGTCAAGGGTTACGGCGAAGCAGAGTTCGTTTTTGCCATCATCAAGGTCGCCGCCGTCATTGGCTTCATCATCCTGGGAATCATCATCAACATTGGCGGTGGTCCCAACGGCACTTACATTGGCGGCAAGTTGTGGGTCAATCCCGGCGCCTTCAACAACGGCTTCAAGGGCCTCTGCAGCACTTTTGTGAATGCTGCCTTTGCCTTTTCTGGAACCGAACTCGTCGGCCTCGCAGCTGCCGAAACCGCCAACCCCCGCAAATCGCTCCCTACCGCGGTCAAGCAGGTCTTTTGGCGCATCACTCTCTTCTACATTGTCTCGCTCCTTCTTGTCGGCCTGTTGGTTCCCTTCAACGACCCGCGCCTGCTCCAGAAGGATAACAATGTCGATGCCGTAGCGTCGCCCTTTGTCATCGCCATCACCAATGCCGGTATTGAAGGCCTCCCCTCCGTCTTCAACGCCGTCATCATGATCGCCGTACTTTCAGTCGGCAACTCGTCCATCTACGGCTCGAGTCGCACGCTGGCTGCTTTGGCTGAACAGCATCAGGCTCCCAAGATCCTTGCTTACATCGATCGCCAGGGTCGTCCCCTCGTTTCCATTGGCCTTGCTTCCAGTCTTGGTCTGTTGGCTTTTCTTGCAGGCGTTAGGAAAGATCTGCACGAAGCCGCATTCAACTGGATGCTTGCGCTTTCGGCCCTCTCGGCCGTCTTCACTTGGGGCTCCATCTGCCTCGCCCACATTCGCTTCCGCAAGGGTTGGAAACAGCAAGGCCACAGCCTCGACCAACTCGCCTTCCGATCCCAGCCGGGAATCATCGGATCTTGGGTAGGCTTCATCTTCAATATGCTCGTCCTCGTGGCCCAGTTTTGGGTCGCGATTGCTCCCTTGGACGGAGATGGCATGACGGGTTCGTGGCGCGCACAGAACTTCTTCCAGATCTATCTGGCCCTTCCCGTCACCCTCGCCTTCTATGTGCCGTACAAGCTGTACTTCAATACGCATGTGGTGCGCGCTCACAACATGGACCTGCACACCGGCATCCGCGAGCTCAACCTCGAAGTCCTCATCGCAGAGGAGCGCGAAGAGCGCAAGGCCTGGCCCAAGTGGCGCAAGGTCTACAAGTTCTTCTGCTGAATTCCCTCGACGGCTTCTGGCTTTCCACACCATTCTCTCCTGATGACTTGCTTCCTTTGCTTGTCTTTTTCGGATACGGCTGCTTTTGGCGGGGGGCATATATTTGTGTTTTTTTTGCGTTTCTTTTCCTTGCTCTCTTTCTCCGGCGAAGTCAAGCGGGCATTTTCAATGATATCCCTGGGTCTGTTTTGACTTTTGTTTACACGAAAGCTCTGGCGTTCGTGGTCCGGTCTTCTTCCAATGCTCTCTCTCTCTCTCTCTCTGGTTCTCATACCCCCTCCACCATGCTCTCTATCACAAAATCGGTTCATGCTCTTTGCTTTCTTCTCTTTAATCTTCTTGTCTTAATTCCCTTTCTCCTCTTTCCCTTTGTATGCACACACCCCCATTGTGAGCGTTCCCGCGTATCTCCGTCCCCCGTCCAACCCAGTACTTGAAGAAAAAGAGGAAAAAAGGAACAAGGCCTGGTTCAATCCAGCGAAGTTTAGGTGTTCTTGGAAGGTTCTTCGTCTTCAAGTTCATAACCGGGGTTTGGTCATTTTCTCAAACAAAGATTTGACTTAGCAACTTTGGGTATTGAGTATTGAAATCTCTGATTTGAATTACTCTTTTCAAACCGCCCCCCCCCCCCACCAAGGGTCGAGGAAGGAATTCTTTTCCGATCCTCTCTCTCTCTCTCCATGGAAATACTCTCTCTCTCTTTCTCTATCCAGCGAACAATGGATTGATGAAGCCCAAAAAAAAAATCATAAATTCAATACACTATTCAAAAAATGTCCGTGTCTTCAAGCATGTGTGATACGTTTGAATATTGTGATGTTTTGTTATTATTCTTGTTTCTTCTTGCCCCCCTCTCCGTAACATGCTTTGCATCATGCCTTGTAACTCTCGCTCTCCACCATCATATGCATGTATTGGCAGATTCCAATCCAACAAATACAGAATAAAAAGGATGCTTTCCCTCTTCTGAAGGCCTCTCCCCCCCTATCTCATAATAGACCAAGCATCCCCTGATATCTGAGAAAGGTAGGTACGTCACTCTTCCACTCTCTCACACACACAGAATTGTCCATAAAAGCTATCAAGACGAGGGGAAAACATAAGCAAGAGGGTTGAAGAAAACCAACGAGATAAGCACGAACGAACAAGAATGAAAGAAAGAAGTGGGGTATATATAATCTATGCAGAGAATCTCAAACAACAACAACAATAACAAACATGAAGGAGACCCGGGAGTCAAAAGCGAAAAAGAAAAAAAAAGAACAAGGTGGAATGACATAAGAACTCCAACAAAGCCAATTGTATTCCCCTTTTTGCGCCTGTGCTAGGAGAGGAGAAAAAGTGGTCGTTGAAAGTTGCAAAAAAACAAGGTATAATAAAAAATTGTGGGATGAGGGACGATGCCTGATTATAGATAGAGCAAGGCGCGTTTGCTTGATTTTCGCATTCGTGGCTTGATATGAAGAACGGGATGTTGGAGCAGGAAGGGGGAAGAGGGTATTTGATCAAGAGTCTTGGTGCCGGATTTCCCTCGTGAACTTTGATTCTGGGCGTTTACGTCGTTTCTGGGGATGTCTAGATTTGTGTATGCGCAGTAGTGGTTGGTGAGTTTTTTGTTTTTCGTTTCGGATCAGGGGAGATTATTATTCTTCTGTTCTTCGTGGGAATCGTGTTCGTTGCGTTCGTCGCGTGCGTTCCATTCGTTGCGTTTTCGTCTCGTTTCGTTGCGCCGTAAAATGAAGCAAGTAGAGCAAAATGAGAAGGGAGAAGAGGAAGGGAGAAGAGGAGTGTGGGATGTAGGAGAGAGAGGTCTCGGGTGCAAGTAAGGAGAGGAAATCCACGGTCGCCCTCCACGCAACATAAAGTTTCCTTCACGGGTTTAGGACCAACAAGCGCGCAGCCAGCCGGTCGAAAAAGTACCTCATATCATCCCCCGCCCGTTGGGCACCCGCCTTGCGTACAAGGTAATCGTCTTCAGAAGCTGCTTTGCGGATTGCTTCGCGGACGCTCTCGATGAACTTATCCCCAGGCGTAGCCCCGTGACCAGCGTCCCCCATCGTTCTCCCCGCATCCCACCTCTCGTGCAGTTTGGTATGGCAGCTCGAGAAGCAAACCGCGTAAAAGCCAAGCAAAGATTTGACAGCACCTTCGTCGTCGACGCGGCTTTCGCTTTCCAGTTGCGATCGGGACGTGAGGGAGTCGTAGGAGTAATGGTACGGCAGCTTCGCGGCGTGGTACTGGATAGATTCGACGGTGATGAGGACGACGATGAGAGTGGCGAGGGCGATGGGCCATTCTTTGGGGTCACGGTGGACGAGGAGTTGCTCCAAGGAAAGGAGTACTTCCTTCATGATGCAGAGCGCGAGGGAGGGCATGACGGCGCCGAACTGCGAGCGGATGAAGCAGGGAGTTGTCGTGAGCTGCTCGGAGTTTTGCTGCATGGTTGCGTTCATTAGATCTTGTAAGTCTGGGTGCGTGGATGATGTTGGGAGGGTGACGTCGCCACCTATATGCACAAGAACGAGTAGCTTTAGCGATTGCTCTAGTAGACGAGCGTAAGCTGACATGGTTGGAAGGGTACGGTATAGAATATAGACCTCGCGTAGGATGTTCAAAGGGGAGCAGAACAGCGGGAACTCTCGAAAATGCTGTTTAACCAAGAGAGCGAGATGCTTGTCCAAGTCGTTCTGCAAGCTGAGCTTGGCTTGAGCGGTGATGACGGCAGGAAGAACAGCGTGTGTGTGCTGAATCGGGGCCGTTGTATTCGGTGGCCAAGAGTAGATGAGGTGATTGTGGCGAAGTCGAGGCATGTCTGCAATTTGTACAGGATGGACGGAGAGCATCAGCGCAGGGCCGAAGCCGAAGGTCAGAGGGATACGATATGTCAGATCCGTAGCTTCGTGATAACCATGGGGGCCGACGAAAGAACTGATGGATCTTTCTATAGGATGCCAACCGAGACGTTCAGCGAGGAAATCATTTGACAGATCCGAAATTCGAAAGTCGCGGCAAGGGTGGTTGATGAGATCGCCTTTGTAGTATTCGATACATGAACGGCAGGGTATTCCAGGATCGCATTTCTCCTTTCGCTTGCGACAACTACTGCAAGAAGCCACACGTCTCATCTATCAGCAGGTGGTTAGCATTGTCCTGACAAACAGACTTTGGACCGCTTACGAGGGCAGCATGGCTTCGCTGATCGACCCTCAAAGGACCTACGCGACCTCGATTACGGCGACCCTGGATGCCATTTACTGATGGTACCAGACTGTTCGTTTCAGACTGCGGCTCGTAATTCACCCACGCATACTCATTGCGTGACTGGGAAATTGACGTTCTGGAACGCCGTCTTTCGTGTTTAGATATACTGCTCGAAAGGGATGCACTCCGAGGCAGCGATCGGTGATCAGGAGACACTGGGAGGAGAGGCGGAACCTGTTGCCTTTGGAAACGAGATTGGGAAATGTTAATGGGCTGTGAAGGGGTGGGCAGTTGCTGCTGCTGTTGCTCTTGCGGCTCTGTCGGGGTTGCAGTCCATTGCTGTGATGGGAATGTGGGTGAGCTTTTTTGGGAGAAAGGGATAGATATAGGCATTGTACCTTCGCACACTATCTCCGGAATTTCATTGATTCCTACACGACTGGAAAACTCGCCGTGATTGCTCTGCGGAAGTGGACTCTGTTCTACCCAAGAACCCAGGTTTGACAAGGCCTGAGAAGCGGAAATGTCAAGGTTGTTGAAAGCATTGGGTGAGGTAGCCAAGTAGGGGTTGAAGGGTAGTGGCCTTGCCGTAGTTGGGTAGGAGTTTGGTGATGTAAAACTGTCGGAGCCAAACAGTGGAGATATGGCGGACACGTGCGAAGGTGACAACAAGTCCTCGCAGACGTTGATAGATGACGGGTAGGCCATGGCTCGGTCCATGAATGGGGAAGTCCCGGTAGTAGTACTGGGCCAAGAACTGTCTTGTCCCAAAGGGGATGTGCCTTCTGCTGTGGAGGATGGTGCTGAGACAAATTCATAGTCGGATAATAGACCTTGATTGGCGAGGAGTAAATCATGACGATCAGAGGAGTAGTTTGCCGGGTTCGAATATTGGGATCCGTATTCTTGATGGTGGTGTGTCGATGCATTTGCACCCTCAAAGACGGGATCGTACTCGTCGTTCCAATTGATGTAGTCCGTCCAGGACTCCCGAGCCATCAAACCTTGTGTGAGGGCAGATTTCTTGTTTTCGGAGGTCATCGTGTAGGTAGGCCGCGAGAGTAACTTGGATTGCTTTTGGACAGTGAATCAGGACAACCTATTGACAAGGCTGTCTATGCAGGTTTGCACGTACACACCAGAACAAGCAGCAGGGCACGTGAAGAACAAGGCTTTCAATTGGTTCCAATTCGAATGCTGATGGTATTATTGGATAGCGAGTATGTATAGATGGAAAGCAAAGAAACGCTGGGAGGAAAGCGGCCGGTGACCAAAGGAGAAAGGGGAGTGAATTGGTCAACAGGTAGACGGAGACTGGATGAGGAAATATGACCAAACATATACTTTGCTGGTGTGACGACGGGTAATGACGCGACGGGGGGATGTATGCGGCTGGAAGCCGAGCATGCTGCCTTGCCGCGGGCCTCAGGGCGTACACCAAATGAAGTTGGACGGGCTTATCACGTTGGGTGCGTGTTGACACAAAAGATGCAAGAAAGCACTGTGTTCGATGGACTAGGCTGTGTGCCGGCCATGGAAGTGGTCAGCAGACACTGGCGACGCTTCCCAGGAGGGTTCACCGGCGTCCGGCTCGTCTGCGGAAAGCTCCTAGCGTGGCTGCCGTCGCATCTATGTGCTGTCCAGTCCATGTACGCACTGTCTCGTGTGCAACGTCCTGCCCGCGTCTCTTTGATCTTGCAATAACAAGAATGATAATACCAATGACTACAACCCAATGGTGGCCGCGTCGAACCTTTCCGGTCCAGGAAGGTTTCTGGAAGCATGCTGCGCCCTGTGTCTACCTTGATCTATGCATACGACACATGGCAACTTGATACTTAGCGAGTCGATTCCAACATTGAATGCAGGGCTCCCCAAATGCTTACATTTCCTACACAGCACCCGTCGTTAAATCGCGCACACAGCCAGAAAGCATTCACCCGGACGGCTATGGCCCCAAGATGCAAGGCTACTTCATCCGTAGACACTTATTCATCATCATCAACAAGAAATGAGTATATTCTCCATTGTCCTTGATTCATGTACAGTACAGCGCAGTCCCGCTGATACCCACCATCTACACGTGCAAGTGCGTCGCGGCCAGCACCTCGGTACACCATCTACAGCCCCCACTTCTTGACGTCGACATTGATCTTTGCATGACCGTCCTTGGTCAACGGGGCAAACGTCTGCATAGGGCTGGGAACCATTGATGAACCATCTTGCCTGAACCGGCTACTTGGCCCCGCTTCCTGTGATGAGAAAACAGCCTTGGCTGACTGTTGTTGCGGGCCGCCCTGCAGCCTCATATTTTCAAAGAGCGGGTGCATGCTCTCGTAACCTGCCTTCTGCGAAAATCCCTCATCCAACCCGCGAGGGGTGATGGGCCTATCCCCAGACGGGGGAGGCTCAGTTCCGTCTTCGTTACCACTACCCATGTCGTCGCGGAGTATTTTGACTTGCTCCTTGAACGCGCGCCAAAAGTTGTATTTGTCCAGAGGGTCATCCTCTTCGTCGCCCTCCTCCTCCAAACTTTCGTCGTCATCATCATCGTCGTGATTCCTTGCTAAATCGAGCAAAGTGGCAACAAAGGCCTCCTTCAGGTACGCAAACGAGAAGTCTTCGGTGATTCCCGCAATTGCATCGCACAGTTTGCCTGGAAATTCAATATCCTTCTTGTCCTTGAGCTTGTTCCGCCAGTATTGCGCTGTCGCTAGTTAGCCTCACCTTCAAAGAAGAACAAATGTCTTGGTATCAGGGCTAATTTACCATATTGGGATCGCTCGCTCTTGTCAGGCAGCGGGAACAGGTACTTCCTGTCAAACCTCGAAGGGCGTTTGGACAAGCCCGGGTCCAATTGATCGAGATGGTTGGTGGTAGCGATCATGAGGATGCCATCATTGTTCTCCAGCCCGTCGACCTCGTTGAAGAAGTAGCTTCGGGTTGACTGCGTTACGATTGTATCGACATCTTCCAAAACCAACATGCAAGGAGTCATGGAGCGAGCCATCTGGAATATATTCCGGATATCAAAATTGTACGGAGCCGACTTGACGTATAGAGTGACGACTGGCTGCTTGCGTTCCTGGATTGTATGCATCAATGCTTTCAGGGATATCGTCTTGCCGTTTCCTGTCACCTTTGGTCAGTTCCTGGAGACGGTGAATCTAGTACGAAGACTGTCTACTTACCAACGGGGCCGTGGAAGATCAACCCCCTCTTCCACGGTACTCCATATTCCTTGTAGATGGCCTCGTTATCGAAGAACTTGTTTGCTACTTCAGTCAAAGCCTTCTTCATCTTGGAACTGAGAATAACGTCTTCCCATCTTGCCTTCTTGACCTGGTCCCAAAGCTTGGTGCTGCGTGTCCAATACCGATCGTAGACGTATATGGCAGGCTCCTCCTTGGTCAACCAGGCGCCGATGGTAGATATCAAGCGATCTACGACGGAAGAATGCGATGTGGTGGTTTCAGCACCAACAGGTTCTTTTAGGACATACTGTATGATTCCAGACATGCCCTCGAGAACGGTATACAGGATGAAGCTTTCACCGTTCCATGTATACCGCCAGCGGGCGAAGAAGATACTGTCAGCCAGATGGCCACTGCCGCCGCGATGGCCTGGACCGACAAAGCCGCGCCAGCGCATGACAGGCTCGGCATCCTCGTCCAATTCGGCCTGAGCATAGCCGGCGGCGGCGAACTGGAGGAGATTCACATTGTAAGCTGGCACGGTAGTGACAATCAATTCAGGATGCTTTGTTCGAAGGGCTGTAACGATTTGGAGGTCGAGATCGGCGACCTTGCCGGAGGTGAGATTGCGGAAATCTGGGAAGAGCTGAGGAGGGCCACCGCCTCTGGCATCTTCGTTGTCAATGAAAGTGAAGTCGTCTGGTGAAGACATGTTGGGAAAGACGGCAAGGGAGGTGTGGATCAGCTCAATGGTTGGTTGGTGCCGCAAGTCGAAGTGGTTGCGGGGATATAAACAAATAGATGGCTACGTCCAAGCTTCGCTTGCCCAGGCGACGCGATAGATTGCAATTGGCTCAGGGTATCTAACGAATGGAGGAATCGGTGATGGTGACGTTGTGGTGTTTCAGTCTACTACACTACGAATGAGAGGGCGAGTATACACTGCTGCTGCTGCTGCGGCTGCTGCCTGAAAGATGACAGTGGAGCAAGAGGACACATGTATAGGTTCGGGATGTTTATCTGGGTGTCTGGCAACCATGTACGTACTCTTATAGATGGACGACAGAGGGATGGGATGGGATGCATGCTGGACTGGGTAAAGTGCGGAGAAGCGTGGTGGAGTGACCTTCCTGGAACGGACGCAATGACGTTGCATGGCCGACGCGAAAGAGCAGGCGGTAATAGATGGTTGTATCGAGCCAATGCACGGCTATTGCGAGCTGTGTCGACTGCTTGCTTGCTTGCTTATGTGAGTGAGTGAGCGCCTTGGAATTGGTGACTGACACATGTAACCGGGCGTGTAGGGACACGAGAGCGAAATGCGCACTTGGCCCGTATCAGGCCCGTCCAGCAGCGAAGGTGGTGCGCCCGTCGGAATGTTGTTCAGATGGCAATCATGGCGCGCAGGCCAATCACGGACGGGGCAATTGCGATGCCGACGCCGACTTTCACATGTTCGTCCACCACGGTCCGTCTTGCTTCACGCTTCTCCAGACAAGTCAACAGAAATCGAAATGCATCATAGGCTCCCTGCACGCCATCTATTTTTCTGCTGCTCTGCGTGACCTTCACCACCATTGGAGCGGCACCCCTCCCCCTCATTTCTACCGTTCAATCTTGCAGGCATTCGCTTGTATGAATACGACCTTGAGTCCGCCGTGACCCTTTTTCTATCCATCCATCACACTCCGCCAAGCCCACCTCATACTTTTGTCGCTGAACCTTGTGTCCTGAACCATTCTCTGCCTCTCGCTCCGTCCCTCTGTCTCGCTGGCCTGCCACCAATTGCGACCGCCGTGCTGGCACACATCGTTCCAATCCGCCCGCCCTGTTCCTGTCACATACATATATCCGCTTGCTCTGGCATTCCTCCGCGGCGGTCGCCCGACATTCGCCTTCGACTCTCTACATCGATCCCCCACACAACCCGACGCGAACCACAGGCGCTAGGGAAGCCGGCTAGGAAGCAGCCATGGCAGAGGACCCTTTCGTTACCAGCTCAACACAGCAAGCCCACATTTACCAACCGAAGCCGCGCCGTGCTTTTCCTCCAAACCTCGACACCTCCGATTCACCTACCCACGCCTACAACCCCACCACTCCTCCACACCTCGCCGCTCCCCAGAGTCGCCCATCAGATTTCCTCGCTCAATTGAACGCACGTCTCCTCCGCTCCGCCAACAGTGATCAGGATGATGATAGTCCCACCGACGGCGGAGCTCAAGCTCCCTCGCGCAACAAGAGCTTGTTGAACATGACAAAGGGAACTCTATTTGGCATTTACGACGAGGAGAGCAGTACGGCAGGCGAGCAGAGTGTGGTGGAAACACCGTGGGGGACCGGCGCTGAGACTCCGGGTGGGAGACCTTCGGCGGCCACCAAATGGCAGAATGGTCTGGGTAGTCCTGATGGGGGTCTGGCCATGAAATCGCTAGAAAGACGAAGAACACTGGATCGCCCCAATCCACGGTCGCCAGGAATCAGAGACACCTCGATGAACCGCCGTTCACGACTATGGAATTATTCCATCGTCGCGGGGAAATTGGCTGCTCTTTTCGTATTCGGCATGGTATATGGTATTGTCGTCAGCCATTTGCATGACACGAGGGAGCTCGCTGCAGTGCAAGTCGAAAACATAGACAGGGGGAGTTGGATATACCTTGCTAGTTGGGGATTTGCCGGTCTCGCTCTAGGCAGTTCTTTACCCTACGTCGAGCTGGTATGGGGCGATGCGGATAGACCCAGGGAAACTGCCAAGGCAGAGAAAGAGGCCGAGAGTGAAAACGATACGAGCTTAAGTGAGCAACTGAACGAAATTGTCAGGAGCATAGCGGCTTTTGTGGGTATTGCATTCGCTATTGTAAGTTACCACCTAAAACACAATGGCACTCTGATGCTGACCCTCTCATCAGCGTCGTCTCCCCTGGCAATCTACCCTTCAGCTAACCCTTACCCTCGCTCTCGTTAACCCGGCACTCTGGTATATCCTTGATCGAAGCAAACCAGGCCTCTCTTTCTCCCTCATTGTAACATCAGTCCTCACATCCTTCATTTTTCTTTCCAACCCCGACGTCCTCCCCTCGCCTTCACTCCCGGCCACCATCACAAACGCCACACACGTCTCGTCCCCATTCGCCCCCACCACGAACGACGAACTCTTCGCAGGAGTAGTCAGCTACGAAACATTGGCGGTCGTTACATGGGTGGGGAGTGTGCTGTTCTGCAGCTGCGTTTGCTTCGGCAGCATAGGGCGGCGTCTAGCTGTCTGGGATCGATGATGGATCGACTCCCAAATACTCGTTATATACCCCCCATCATAGCATCGACATCAAATGTCCCAGAGCAAAAAAAGTGAGAATGCAACTTAGAAGGAAGAAGGACGGGATTGAAGGGGGAAAAGGCTATTGACGAACGTTCATCTTCCATCACGACTTTCGTCTTTTTCATGCATCGCAAGGACTTTTTTTTCTTGGTTAACTCTTGATGTTTCAAAAACGATTCATTGGTTTGTACTATTTCATTTCCATCATTATGACGGCAAAGTGGTGTTGCATCGGACGGATAGTATTCCTATACCCTCCTCCCCCGTGCCGGTGAGGAATCAACATACCCATGGCCAAAAAATCACATGTAGAGACAGAAGTCGTTATTTTCCGAACTCGTTGTTTTTTCTCCAATCCTCACGAATGATTATTAGAATTCTGCATTTCTTTCTCTCTCTTTCTATGACAGACAAGGCAGATTGTTGTGACCTTTTTTCTTGTTTTCACCCCGGAGGGGGGTTTGTTTATTCAGAAGAGCTTAACTTCTTCTATTGACATCTCTATCGACACTCCCATCGTCCCTTCCTACTTGTAATTTTTTCTTGTACGTTATGTTACTGATCCAGTTAGGATGAGGAGGATTATTTTTCCTTCTTCTTGTAGTTTCTTATGACAGATAGACAACCTTTGACACTTTGTATCTTTCAACCCTTTTTTGTCTTCTATCTTCCAATTTGCTTTTTATTAAGATTTTGTGACGGTGATTGTTTTTTGGCTTCTTGGGAGGTTTATGGTTTGTTGTTCTTGGGTTGATAGAAAATAGATACTATTTTATCTCTCCCCTTTGAATTTATTGTTACGAAAGGCTCTTCCCCCTGGGGCCTGTTAAGCTTCACGGGTTGGTTGTGGGAGAGAGGTGGGTAGGGCGAACGAACGAATGGTATAGTATGGGGATAACCTTACATCACTGAAAAATTCATACTCAAGGATTGAATTTAGGTTAACAAGGTCATGGATACATGCAAAGATGTTCGTAATATGAATATACCCAGATCAACCACCGCGATGTGGGAGAAAGGGGACTAGCTACCTGAATATATGCAGTTACGTAGAGTTCTCTCCGTACATATCCAAATACTCGGCAGACAGGAGGAGAAGAAGAAGAGATATCATGATACAAGACTCAGAAACGATGTACACGTGGAAAACCAAACCGCCATTGCACGTTAATCATGCCGTTTATTCCTCAATGAACGGCGTTGAATCTTCGTTCACGGTTCCTTCAACGAAAGGAGGAGAGAAAAAAGGACCCCGTGCCTTAAATGCAACATATCCAATATCCTTATATCCACCTCTGTCCGGTTCTCTTACCACGAAACCGCTTATGCAACCGAGCACATAGGTCCCTTCCTCTTGCCATCCGCCTCATCCCCGCTGCTCTCACTCTCACTGCTATCATCATCCGAGCTATCGCTGACACTAAACGTCTTGCCCTGTTTCTTCGCCGCCGCTAGCTTGCCCAGACTCACGGTCCTGGGATCAAAAGCCCTGCTCCGCTGTGCAGGCGGCGCCGACGTTTTGGCAGCATGTAGTTGCTGTTTGAGGGTCGGGAATTTCGCGTACGTGGAGCGACGTGCTGCTGCCATTTGTGAGACCGATTGCGACGAGCCAAAGGCTGAGGGGGTAGGTTGGCTGGCTGGCACAATTGGGGTGTGGTTGGCGGAGGAAGGTGGCGCGGATTGCGAGAGACTTTGGGGTCGAGGGGGTTGGGTTGCGGGAACGAGGATGTTCGGTTGTGAGGGGAGTCGTGGTGATGAGGAAGGTTGGTGATGGTTGGTCGATGGAGGGGGACGTGCGGGCTTGTCGGCGTCTGGCATCTCTGTGTCTTCGTCGGTATCGGGGTCGGTCTCAGTATCGCTATCGCTGTCGGTCGATTCGTTCCCGTCGTTGTCCTTGGTTTCCGTGGCGTCGTTTTCGGCTCCGGAGGATGCAGCTACGGACTCGTTCTCACTTTCTGTCTCCCCTGGAGTTGGGGAGTGGCTTAAGTAGCGTGCTGGTCGGCGGGAGTAATCAGGGGAAGACCTCGCCGATTGCACGGGGCTGCCGTTCTTAGACTCCTCGTTATCTGCGATGCTATTGTCGGTTTCTGTGGTGTCTCCAGATTCCGATTCAACAGGCGATTCGTCTTGCGATTTGGAAGTCATATCCTCATCAGGTTGTTGCACACTGCTTTCCTCGGGTGGGTTCACGCTGTGGTTCAACTCGGCATTGTCCCCATGTTCTGATGCCATGTGAGGTTGCTCGTTAGGTTTGGAAGTGATCTCGTCGTTAGATTGCTCCACATTGTTGTTTGACGAATCTAGTCCAGCAAAACCCCATGATTGGGAAGCATATGCTGCTGCAATCCTAGAGGCTTCTTGCATGATTTGTTCGTTAGCTGCATCGGATGATTGGTTCCGATACTCATTAGTTTCGTGGGTCGTTGGTGATTCCATGACAATATCCTCAGCATCATTATTTCCAGGGAGTGTGCTTGGCAATGCTGGAGAGACGTCCGTCTCTGAATTGGTATCGTCCGCGAAGTCCGATTCAAAGTCTCTCACTGGGTCAGGAGGCCTCTTCCCGAACTCCTGGCGGGTTAAGTCCTGTCTTCGTCTAAGCATCTCTGGACCCCCAGGAAACATCTTTTTCATCACAAGTCTGTGAAGTTCCTTTGTAGGTCGTGTGCCAGGTACCTTCACACCTTCAAGCCGGGTTATCCCGTTTCGCCGCCTCGGTCCAGAATCGGTTGACGAATATTCCTCGCTGGATGAGGCTGCACCATTCTTTGTATTGCTCGCTCCAGTTGATTTAGAAGTCTTGGTAAGTTTTTCCACCTTTGGGAATTCAAGATCCTTATCCGCTTGAGATGGTGGGTCATATACAGCTGTTGAGGCAGGTGTAACGCGCTTGGTTAGAACTGGCGATAAGTATTGGGATGAAGGTGACTCTTCTGTTGGATTTTCATTGTTCTCTGGCGATCTGTTTACGACATGGAGGTGTCTGACATTCATTGGTAGAGGTATAGGCGTCCTTTTTGGCTGACTTTTTGGCTCAGGCGTAGGCAACGACTCATTTTCAGGTGGCGATCCACTGCCCGACACTTCTGATATCGAGTTTGTTAATTCAGGGGGCGATACACCATGAGATCCATTTCCATTAGTTGATGGCACTTGCACTTCATCCACGACTGCCTGGGCTTTCGACTTCTTAGTCCCTGGTAAGGGTTTCGCGGTGATATTGGCCGCTTTCTTAAGCGCCCGAGGTTTCTTAGTTGTAGGCGTTTCGGTGGGTTGAGGCGTTCCGTTCATCGAAAGATGCCGCACGTTTGGGGGGAACGGCACTGGTGTCCTTTTCGAGGTTGTTGACTGCTCTTTGGCACTTGCGATAACTTTGTGTGAGGGAGTTTCTTGAGTAACGAGTTCACGCTCCTGAGGAGTAGATTCCAAATTTCCATGTACTATACTTACATCACCGAGTGCTGTTTCAGTTCGAACTGGGGGGGAACGGACGTTGATGACAACTTTTGGCGAAGAGCGTCTTATCAACGGTGATCCCATCATGTTTGATTTAGCAAATGGAGACGACGTTTGTGTACGATCCCTCGTTGTGTCGGTTGGAATGGGCGATTCTGTTTCATTACGCTGGCCGGTAGACTTCACGCGTTGAATAGCTTCTCGATTCGGGGTCGCACGAGTCCCTTGGAGACGAGTAGACTTTCCCTCCAACGTAGGTGTAGACGTGTCGTCAGATGGCCGCATCATTCTGGTCTTGGCGGTCCCGGTTAGTTTCCGTTGAGGAGTTTGTGTGGTTTTGACGGTCTCCGCGGGGCTATCAGGAGTCTGCGTCTTGCGCCTTGCGGCAGCCAGGGTAGTTGGTTGAGTGCGAGAGCCATTCAGCATCTGAGCGGCCCGTTTTGCAAACGGCGAGATATCCGAGGAGGCTTTCGCACGAGTACCATAAGTTACGCGTGGAGCAGGTTTGGTTTTCTGTTGCAAAAACGGCGCCTCACTCTCCTCTCTAGCGATGTTGCGCTGAGAACCAGACTCTTGAGGTTCGTGAATATCGCTTGAATCAGGAGTGGACTCCGGAGACTCGCGGATTGTCTCTTGGTGGGCGTTAGGCACTGGTGAGAGTGGGGAATCCATGTTCATAGGCGTATCTGCATTCTCCGAGATGGCATCTGCAGAAGTATCCCGAGGAGATGTCCCTGTATTCCTTGGTGGGTGCCCGTCTCCCTCAGTCTCTTTCTCTGGATTCGAACGCGCATTAACGGTTTTGGCAAGCGGCAGTTTTGTTTTGGATGCCGGTAACATGGGTTTTTTGAACCCCCCATTGCTTTCTGGTGGTGGTGGTGCTTGAGGAGGGGCTGGACCAAGTTCAGGCGACTCTTCTTTTACCGTTCGGGCCCCATACTCTTCTTCGCCTGTTTGCGCATTTTGAACAAATATCAATGAGCTCCCGGATCGTGATCTACTCTCCTGCTCGTTGCTTTGCACAAGCCGCGAGTTTGACCTTGCTCGCACGCTACCATTGCGCGTCAACTCAGTAGATATTATAGGTTCGTCGCGAGAGATTTCCTCTTCTAGCAAATCGATATCCCCTTCAAGTCGCCGTCTCTTGCTAGCGGTGGCTACGCTTGCTTCCCTCGCGCGTTTCTGCGTGTGTGCTGGCCGGAGGAAGGAGGTCGGGGGCATAGAAAAGTCGCGATTGACAAAGCTTGGGACGACCTTGATCATGCGCTTTTGAGGGTCGGTCTCGCCTTCAAAGATTTCTCCGACTGTGTCTCTCAGGTCAAGATCACAATCGTACGCATCTTGTAGCTTCTTAATGGTGAAATTACTGCGCAATGTCAGGTTTCCATCGATCCGTCGACATGCTAATTTACTCACGCTGCTTGCAACTGGCTCAGATAATTCTTCTTGTAGCGCTCTTCAATCTCCTTCCAGACTTGCTCGAATGTGTGGTCTATCTGGACTGGCAACGCGAATTTGCGTCCCTTGAAGTCTGCCAACGCGGCAGCGCGGTTGGGGCCGTGGGCATTCTCACTGGCAAGGGCGAGAACTTCGACGGTCAGTCGCATGCGTCCGTTGGGCACCGCCATGGCTATCTCAGGTGGTGGTCGAAGGCCCAAGACGGCGCACAAACACGACGCGGGTCAAGCAGTGTTGTAGCCGAAAGCTCTCAGAAGTCGCGCAGAAAGCTCCCGCGGCGGCGGCGATCTTCGTCTTTCCAATTGATCAAGCGCTTGTCTGAATCGGGTTAGCGCTACATCCGCTCCTTCCCTATGTCTTAAGCAACCACTCATCCGCCGTGTTATTGTTCAAGTTGGTGTTGACAATTTAAAAAAAATTTGAAGGGTAATTGCATTCGGAGAAACTTGCTCCCGATGGATCTGTACATATCTGAAAGTACGTCGTCAACAGCTTCAATCACTTCCTTATTCACCTTCACTACAGTTTCCCTACTGCTGTCTAGCATCAATTGGATTTCTGGTGTAAACCCTTCTTGATCCATACCACCACCCTCTTGTCTTTGACTGAACTTTGTATTGATCTGTTCAGCCGTCCTGCTTGTTGTGTTTGAACATCACTCGTCCACGGAATTTGAGAAGATACTTGGCCACAACTGCGTCTGTCCGAACATTCAAATCGGCTGGCTCATATTACATCATGAGTGAGAAGAGGAAGCGTCGGGTATGTGGTCAATGAAGAGTTTCAGTAAACAGTACTAACACATTCTTCTAGAGCGCGTCATCCCCAAGCCCACTCGGCACCGCACGCAAACGCGCTCGTGATGATTCCTCGACGGGTTCCAACAAACCTGTAGCAAAAGATGGGCTTGCTACATCTAGGGACTGGAAATTTCGTATTAAGGTCTTGTCAACACAGGGTTTTGATGATGACGATGTCGTCGCAGAAGCCGTTCAGGGACTAATCGACTTATGCTTCCCTGAGTCCGTGTTGAATGAACTAGGTGTCGACGTTGTCACCCAGCATATGATGCAACAATCAGCTCCCGCCTCACAAATTGACAAGATGCGATGCACTTTCCAATCGTCAATGGTGGATAAGGTTGCTTGTATGCTCGCAACATATCTAGACGATAATTCGAAGTACGAATCAGCGCTTTCTGTCCTCGTTAATCGAATACAAGAGCTTCATGGGTACTCCCCCCGTCATATGTCAGCTACAGCGGAGCCTGGTGATCTTATGGCACTGTCAGAATCGAACGTTACAACGGTTGCGACCGTGGAACACTCTGGTGATCTGACTAGAAGCAACGAATCCAATGAGCAAAGCTATGAAAGACAGGGAAACTACCCAACTGGTCACTTGAATCCACAAACAGAGTCCGATAGTACCGTTTCCACGCTTACTGTCGAGCGACCCAACTCTTCCATAGCTACTGCACCAGATACAAGCAATGCCCAACCTATCAGGGTTACAAAAGTGTCAAAGTCATGGCGATGGGATGTTGATCCCAACGACATCACGGTTGATACTATACCAGATCATTTCCAGAAGATCGGCGATCTCTTTGCGTATCATGCGTTACCTGTTGTCAATCTCGAACTCGGACAAGAGGCGACGAGAAAGGATAAATTGAAAGCCATGAACTCCCGCTTGGCCGCAATGTCACGTCAAGAGCGCAAAGAATGGGATGAAAGTTTCCAAGAGTTACGCAATGGAGATCTCACTATTCTCCGTCGCTCCTCGGCAACTATCCCCCGTGAGGATCAGAATTACCGTACTACTCCAGCTCCGGCGACTCTTCACAAACGTCGAAAGCGTGATAACTTCGAATCAAAAGTCAGATCAGACAGTAATCAGAACAGCGGCACAAGTGGAGAGGAGGAATCAGTCCTTGTCGCTGGTCAGGAGCACAGGAAAGTAAAAGCTGAGAGTATTCCCGATGATGAGCCATCTCACGCTCGAATGGAGATAATTCGGCATGATCATGGTGAAGCCATTCGAAATAACTCTGATTCTAACTTTCTAACCTCTCACTCGGTACGATATCTATCTCCCCAAATCATGAAAGTGTACTGAATCTTTTAGGCGTCAACACCACATTCTAAAACGCCTCTGGTGGACCTGTTGTGGGGAGATTTGGACCTGAGTCACCGAAAAGCCGCAGATAAAGCAAGTATGATGCTCAAGGAGATCAATAAGCGAATCACCGTCAATGTATGTCTGCCGTGTTTGTTGGGTAATACACCACTAACAATTCTTAGGCCATAGAGTTTCGGGAGTTTAATGGCCACATGCGCTATATCTCAAAGCTTGAGCTTGCGAGTGATCTTTGTGGGGTCTTTTCATCGATATCTGATATGCCTGTGAGGCTACGCATAGAGGAATGTGTGCTCTCCTGGGCTGTGGCTTATCCCCGCTGTTTTCCTGAAATTCGGGACGCCCCGTTTTTATTCATTCATCATATGCCGGTATGATAGAAGAGCAATCTGTCATCTCTTTTCAATGCTAATAATCAATAGAATGTCACTGATGTCATGGATCTTGTATGGCAAGCCCATCGCGACATACTATCGAGACTCACAAGTGACATCTTGCCTGAAGTTTGCGCGAGCTTAGAACGACGCGGAATACCCCAGGTATGCATCTATCCAGGATGAATTCACATATTCTCAATTGACTTGAGCTAGGATATTCTTTGCGGTCGACCGTTGCAATCATTTCAGAGCCGCCTCAAATATGTACTTGCAAATAGTAGCATGTATATTGTTGAGCAGCGCGCCCATATCGAACAGGCCCTACGCGAAATCGCTTTTAAACACAAGGGCAAATTCCCAGAATTATCTTCGACTGTGTTGACCAAGACTTGGGAAAGGAATACTGGCTGCAAGTGGTCGTAGAAGCAGGGGAAAGCAGGTTCGTTTGATTTATGTATCCATGGAGGACATCAGGCATGTGTGTTGTATTCACTCTTCGAAGCTGTAATACTCAAATTAGCCTTGGTCATGGAAGTTGACACAATGTCGGCTTCCAACTTCTCTCCATTTCTTGTCACGGGAGGTAAGACTGCACACACCCGCGTTCCTTAGTGCAGATTCTGTAGTCTACGTGGAAAGGTTGATGTGGAAATATTCGGTTGACGAACATCCGATCGCATCATTGCTTATCTTGACCGCAACTCAAGGTTCGGTATCAAGTACCCAGACTGCATGCTTACACAGATAAGTCTTGCATATAGCTCTTCCCAATAAGAACAAACTACATGGTGAGATCGGCATGAGAGTATCTCATTCCCTGTCATACCGAAGCAATTCTACTGGTCGCTGCATGTGCGTCGTGGAGCCGTGCCGATCTTTCAGTGCGCCCGCATGAAACGTTATATGAGCATGGTTGTCCCCAAACATTTGAAGATAACCACCCATTTCACTCCAATCTGGAATATTTCTTATGTCTAACCTCGACTTCACTACTCTTTCAGCTGATATAAGAAGTATATGAAAGATACAAAAACATGGACACCACCGATACATTCACAGATGCCGATAGCGAGATGCACATACCGGGGACAGTGCATCTAGTCGACCTTCTCGGAACAATGAGCGGTGAAAAGCACGCAGAAGAAGGCGCGAGAGACATCGTACTCGTCCCAGCCCCCTCTTCAGATCCAGACGACCCTTTAAACTGGTCGAGGCGGAGAAAGTCGCTTAGCACCTTGTGCATGTGCGTGTACACGCTGATGGTCGGGATCGCGAGCGCCGCTATCTATTCGGTCCTGGAGCCCATCAGCAAAGAAACTGGACTGACGCTGAATGATTTGAATCAAGGCACAGGGTTCGTGACATTCAACTCCTTACTTCATCTTCTTCGCATGTTTTCAAATGCACTGGAACCGCAAGACTGTTACCCCACTTTCGCACCACAGCACAGTCTGATGATTCGGTTACATATAGATACATGTTTCTCTTTTTCGGATGGGGCTGCTTGATCTGGCAACCCATGGCTCTTCAGTACGGCAAACGACCCATTTACCTCGTCTCGATCCTTGCAACTCTCGCAACACAAGTCTGGGCCCCTCACACGAAAACAAACGGCCAATGGATCGCCAACAAGATTGTCCAAGGGTTCGTGGGTGCGCCTATCGAGAGTCTCTGTGAGATCAGCGTAACTGATATCTACTTCACGCACGAGAGAGGCAGGTATATCGGATTGTATGCGCTGCTGCTTGCGGGGAGTAATTATTTTGCTCCTATTATTGCGGGGTTTATTGCGGATTCTCAGGGGTGGGAGTGGGTTTTGGTAAGTCCGTGTTTCGTTGAATGTATTCTTTTCGAGAAAAGGAAGCAGGCGGGAAACATCTTTTTTATTAACTGAAAACCGGCGTTTTGCAGTACTGGTGCGCCATCTTCAACGGCATCGGCTTCGTGTTCCTCTTCTTCTTCATGGAAGAAACAAACTACACCCGCCATCCCCCTCAACTCTCTCCATCCTCTCCTCTTGAGCCCGCCCCAAAAAACGCCCCAACCGCCTCGGAAACACCAATGAACCAAACATCCGCGCCAGACCCAAGCTCCACACACAAACAACGCAAAACATACCTAGACAAACTCAAACTCTTCCAAACGAGCGATTTTCAAAAACCAAACGAGTTAAAGGGAATGATGACGCGTCCCCTAATCTTCCTAACCTTCCCAGTGATTTTCTACGCCGGATTCTCCTACGGCTCCAACCTCGTCTGGTTCAACGTGCTCAACGCAACCGCGTCTCTGATCCTCGGCGGCACCTATGACTTCGCTGCCAGCATGGTCGGCGTTTGCTACGTGTCGGCCTTGATCGGCGTAGCGGTGGGCGCCGCATACACGGGCTGGCTCGGAGACTGGTTCATCGTGCGCAAGGCACGGAGGAACGGCGGGATCATGGAGTCGGAGCACCGTCTGTGGCTGTTCGTTCCGTCGCTCGTGCTGATTCCGTTTGGCCTGATCTTGTGGGGTGTCGGGGCTGCGCATGGCGTGCATTGGTTTGGGCCGGTTTTCGCAATGGGCGTCATTGCTATGACGAATACTGTTGGCTTGCAGCTTTCGGTGTCGTATTGTATTGACTCGTATCGAGCCTTGTCTGGAGAGGCGATTATCACGGTTATTTTGGTGAGGAATACTATGAGCTTTGCCATTGGGTATGGGATTACGCCGTGGGTGACAGATATGGGACTGCAGAACTGTTTTTTGACGGCTGCTTTTGTGGGGTTGGCGCAGGTTTGTACGGTGTATGTTTTCATCAAGTATGGGAAGCAGCTGAGAGCGACGAGTGTTCCGAGGTATGGGAAATACGTTGAGATCATGGCAAAGACGGGGATGGTGCACTGAGAGGATTGCATGACGATCATGCATGATACAATTTTGTGTTAATTAGCTCTCAAGTTCATAGGCTCTCCGTCATACTATATCTCTGAAGCTAATCTGATGTCGGGAGCCAGAGCTTGACGACGTCCGATCGTTCGTGGTGCCTGATAAGTTCCGTGCATTATTAAACGCGCACAACGCCGTTCCATTTTCATCGCCCCTGACCATACTTCCCCGACTCATCATTTGAGTGTCTTGCTCCAAGGGACAACTTTGCCGACGTACAATATGAACTTCTTTTGGCCTCGCAGCTCCTAAGACCCCCGATTGATAATGGGTCGGCAAAGAAGCAAAGCTTCTGTAGGGCTTGGTTGCCCTCGGTCCAGGTGTTGTGTCGTTTTTAGGTGTCGCGATTGACATTTTCGCCGGCCCAAGACGACCGCCCGCCTTGACCAGATTCACCAGATCATCTAGAACTGGAAACTCCAACTTGAGCTTAATGCTGTATACCGCGGGTTTGTACGCTGTTTCGACCTCGTAGTGCCCTGTGTAGATTGTCGAGAGAAGGGACAGTTCAAGAAGAATGATGATGATGTTCACCATGAGCAGATGTCTGACCATCGATACTGCCGCCGGACCGCGATAGTTGATCTCTCCATTCAGAAGTTTGAACGTCCTGTATACGTAGAGACCCGAGATTATGAGCTCTTGAAGGGTGAAGGTGGTCATCTGAACGATTTCGTATATGTTGAAGTTCACCTACACGGTGAGCGTTTAACTCAGTCATCATTGGAGCTAGTAGGGAAATCTCTCAGCGTAAGCTTGGGATGGGACCGCACATACTGCAAATCTGCTTCCATGGGAGTTATCAGAGCTACCGTAAACAAGTACAATGCCCGGCACGTGGCAAGTGATTGCGTCGAATATGATCATGTAAAGTATCCATCTTACTCGGCGTTTATGGATGGGGAAAAGCAGGTGAACCCGGGTGTAAAGTACTATTGATTGTCCCGTTACCATGCCTAGAACAAGTTATTCATCTCGCATCTTATGGATCTGCAGAGCTCACCTATCCAGCCGACGAGTATGAGAGTGTTGTAAAGCGTGTTCATTTGAGTGAGCCTGTAGAGCTTCAGGGTATGTCCGGCGACATGGAAAGGAATGCTCCATGCAGCCACTAATAGACATTTGAAGTACAACCCCCGCCGTTTCTTGAACGTTGCGAATATCAGGACGGTTATCTCGATAACATTGTAGACTGCAATACTCATGCAACAAGCAAGCAGTATGGCAACGGGATATGACAGCGGATGAACTAAAGGTGCATATACGGAGTTAGCGACGATCAGACAAACATGTTTGTACAAGCACTGAAGCGAGAAAGCGCCACGCCACGTGGAATGTTGAATCGTTGGGTCCCGAGAAGACGTACCAATTCGGTCAACCCGCTTGTCAATCATGTCGATGTATTCAGCGCGAAGGATCTGAGTATTCGACTAACGGTAGCACACTGAATGTCTGGAGGGAGGAATATAGGTGCATCTAAAGTAAGGATATAGATGTTTGGGAGGATTGCTAGTCGAAGAAGAAAACGGAAGACGTGGGAATGCGACCGGCCATGTGGAGTCGTTGATTGACGAAACTGCAAGTGCGACGAAGTCCCAAATCAACCAGGAAGGTAGTATGGGGAAAGAACCCACGTCATTATTTCATGATCGACTTGTTCACTGGTATACACCAAGAAAGGCCCAGAATATATGTGAGTTACCATGAACACTGGCTACTCTGTTCTTCACTTTTGATGTCGCTATTGGTGTGGTCTACAGTCTGATCTGGTCCCGGCTACAATGCTGATTCTGAATTGAATAATTCGGGCAATGTAGTAATATGATCTGTTCCGAACTGGTAATAGTATGATCAAGCTCATAAGGCGGCGAATATAAGGCTATCTGCCAAGGACTTAGCAGTGGGACATCAAGTTCTTGAGCCGACGTAAATAGTACACACAACCTTATGCACTACGCTACGCCCACCCATCAGCGCTAAACTGTCTCTACCAAGTCCAAAACTGTTCGAAAAAATCCATTCACTATTCAACTATCGTCTCCGCCGCATACGGATCAAACCCTTCCTCATACCAACTCCAAATATTCAACCCAACCTTGATCCCCTTGGTAACCGGCAACCCCGCATGCCAACTCTCTTCATAATGCGTTCCATCCTCCCTCAGATTCTCCCAAAACACCGCATTCCCTTTAATCGGCTTGAACGTAATACCCATCCCCTCCTCCGCCTCTTCCCCCTGCTCTTCTTCATCCTTCACTCTCCTCGCTTTCTCTTCGTCCCCACACTCGATAAACCGACACCACCCCTCCCCAATCGGCCTCTCCAGCCGCGGAAATCTCGTGCCTCCTCCCTCGCACTCGTCGCCTAACCACACCATGAAACTGCTGATTCTCCCGGACCCCCGGGTCGCGAGACCCCAATCGTAGTGGTAGGAGTAGTGGCCTCCGGGACCGTACTTTTGCGCCCATAACTTTTCCACGAAGACGAAGGGTCGCCAGCCTTGGAATGTGCGGGCGCGCTCTTCTATGCACTGCACGGTTTGCGAGCGTGGTACGCGTGCTTTTTCAGAGAGGCGGACGGTGGGGTCGAGACGTTCTTGGCCTCTGGTCCAGATGGTCGAGGGTTGGAAGAGGGGGTCGCTTTTTGAGAGATTCGTGTTAGTCGTTTTTCGTCTCTCTCTTTTTCTTTTTTTCGTTTATCGTGGCTTTGGAAGATCACAAGACCACACTCGAGGACAAGAAACTCGCTTCAACGAACAAGAAATCTCCGCAATCATGTTTCCAGGCATGAGAAAGTAAAGAGGGTATAGGAGAAGATGGAGGAAAGAGAGAGAGAGAAATAGAACATACCTAACCCCAACAACATGCCCACACTCTTCCTCACTCATAAACCCCTCAATATAAACCACCAGCGGATCGCGATTCAACACATAAACGCCCTTGAACCCATGCTCTTCCCCGCACGTCAGGTTGCGATCCGGGATGACCAGCCCATCCAACTTCTCCTGCGAGATCTGCACATCCCCGCTGCTACCGCTTCCTTCACGCAGTGCCCGCGCGCGCTCAGCCCTTAGATGCGCTCTCGTAGCCGATAACGATGACGACGAGGAAGACGACGGTGCGTGCGAGAAGAGAATGGTTCGGAGAGGTGCTCCGGCGAGAACGTAGCCGATTATAGCGAAGATTGTGTACTGGAGGATTTTGCTGATTGTCCAGGGGTTGGACTTGGTGGTGGTGGTATTTGAGCTGCTGCTACTGCGATTGCGATTGGCGGCAGTAAACGACGAAGACATGATTGATGGCAATTCGACGACTTGAATTAATCGGCCCTTTTCTTATCTTCGCTTTCCTCCTTTTTTTCTTTCCTTCTTATGTTGGGGTCGAGGATGCCATTTACCAAAGAACACAACAACAACAACAACTTAAGTATATTGACGAGATTTCCCAAGGGTAATTGGAATCAATGAATGGCGAGAGGATAAGGGAAAGGGATAAATCAATACAAAATGGTAAAGAAAAAAAAAAGGTTCAAATCATCGCAGCTTGTTACTTCCCTATCTAACAAACACACAAGAAAACTTAACAGACGAGGAAAAGAGGAGAATAGGGGGAGTCAAGAGCGGAGTGAAGCAGCCTTTAAACCCGCAAGAAAACCAAAGGGAAAAAACGAAATAGGATCATTATGTGGGGCGAAAATAAACGGCGGCGGCGCCGCATAATGCACTCGACGCCGCATCGTTATCAAAGACACGAAGTAAGAATAAAAAATCCGTACGAGAACAAAACGGTTTCGGGTGTTTGAAGAGACAAGAAAGCACGGATGTCGAAAAGCTACCTATCAAAGGAAAGGCTATACGACCAAGGGTACCTACCAGGGGAGTATTGTCGTTTACCGGAACCTCCATAAGCATACTTTGTACAGACTAAGTAAGCAAATCAGCATAAGCAAAATCCTCCCCCCTTAGTTGAGTCTTGATAAGGTTATACTCGTGCTTGGAATCTTATCTCGGCAAAGCGATACACCTACCCGCCCGGCGTGTGTTGCGTCGCATAAAGAAATGAAGCGAAAAAGGATACCCCTGAATTATGGAACTCGATCATCCTTCATCCCTCAACCCACATTTTGTCGATTGAAAGGGCATTGGATGACTCGAATCTTCCAGATCACAGATTGATCTGGGATTGAGGTGCTAGGATCCCTGGCGGGAAGGAATAATTGACAGAGATTCCAGATCCAATGACATAGCCGGGTACTCCCCTCTGGTTCGCACAGGACACTAAGGTAGGGGTGTAGTGTGTGGATCGTCATCGGGCGGTGTTATCAAAGCTTCGGGTCAAGGATAAGGGTGTATTTGTAAGGTTTGAGTGAAAGAAAGTTTTCCCATGGTTCAAAGAAAGGCGGAAAGAGAGAAACGCATGCATTTCAAATCCGAATCAGAAAAAAGTTACTCCATTATTAACACCTCTGTGAACGCCGTGACGGGTGGAAAGCGAAGCAACGCGAGAAAAGCCGACAGACTAAGGACGCAACGAAACTGTGATAGGTATAAAAGAAAACCTTCTCACAGACCAAACAGTGGCAAAGACCAAGAATAGAGGCCCGATTACGGCTGACCCCGCTTCTTCGTGTTCCACCATGTCCTCCAATCTATATCGTATGTGTAGAAACGAAGAAGTAGAAAAGATGTGGCATCACTCACTGGCCGAAAGAGAAAAAAACAAGCACAGCACAAGCAAAACGCACAAAAGAGGCCAACCGTACAGAGGAGGGAAGAAACATGGGACCCAGATACCGATTAGTTCGCATATACCCACAGCCCTGGACGGCAGGCAACCTTTGTCGTCCTTGAGAGGAAGAGTCTAATTTCGCACCAGCAATCAAGCAAGAGGAAGCATCGCCAGGCCAGGAGTGGAAGAAAGGAAAAAGGATCCATATGTGGCATTATGATACTCGCCGTGCGCGCTATCGATATTTCAATGATCAAACGCATCACCGATAATGTCGCCATGTTGGCGATATCTCAGACAGGGTTTCGCTGTCGTAGACCTGGCTCAACCAGTCTTTCATACACATTCGCACCATATACTGCAATCCACTTGGAAGTGGTGAAGTTTTTCCTCATGTCGATTGCACATGTTGTTGCGCAACTTCCCGAGCGTAAAACTCGACCAGCATAGTGCCGTAAGCCTCCATCTCTTCCAGAGGCACCGCAAGGCGGAAGTCATTCAGAAGAAGGAATTGTAGCTCTAGATGATTAAGCTCCACCAATGGGAGACCGCCAACCTACACATGTCAGAGATTGGAGACAGAACTCGGGTTTTTTCGCGACTTACCTTGGCATATCTGGAATTCGTATAGAACACATCCGAGAAGAATTTGCTCGCACAGGTGACACCTGCGATAACAAGGCGGTGTATGTTGAAGCTGTCTACCACGAAAAAATGCGACAGATTGTAGGGATCAGATGCGTCCAGTTCTTGTTGTGGAGGAGAAGGAGGCTGTGACGTTTGGACGGGTGCTTCTGCAGGTTTCCCCAGCGAACCTGATGGTGGAGGGGTGGCAGCTTGCACAGATGGCACCGACGTGGGTGGCTCTGATGTTGGAGCACCGCTTGTGGGTGTTGGGGTGGCAGCCATGCCAGCATTAGCACGATCCAGCGACTGCTGGTTGGCTTGACGCAAGCTGAGCATAGGCCCTGCATTGACTCTTTCGGTCATCCTGTCAAAGTAGACCAATAGACTGAGGAAGACTTCGTATGTAGTTGGGCAGTATTTATGAATGCGGCTCAGATAGCTGAGGATAGATATGCTGGGCACATTTTTTCCGTGAAAGGCGAGTACGCTGGTGGTCTGTTGACTCAAGCCAGAGGTTCCTTCTGGAGGGGGTATCTGGCGGTGTAGATGTTCGTGTTGCCTGTCATTTGTCGTGGTGATCTTGGTCAATAGGCCTGCCACCATTTCTATGATGTCTGACACAGGCATTTCGCTAATCTCATACTGAGGTCCGACATCGCTAGGATCTCGCCGTTGCCGCCGTGACAGAGATCGTGTCTGAGAAAAAGGGCTGGATTCGTCGGTCGCAAAACTCTGGATGTGAGACAGGCTCTTTACTTTTATGCGTCGCGGAGATGCCGAAGCAGAGTCCAAGGGCGACTGTAAAGCGTGCGTCGGGGACTGGTGTGTGGAAGGAGAGGTCGACGATGGGGCAGGTCGTGTATGTTGTGCTGGGTCGGAGGAGGATTGATGTGGAGGGTTGGTGGAATGTGCAGAGGCTGCTGCTGTTGCTGGTGGTGGGGCACCCGAGTCGGCCATTGGCACATCTGCAGGCGGCGGTGCGACTCGCGATGAAGGGTTCGCATTTACTTGGGGTGATGGTCGTACGGGAGTATGGTGGACTGCGGGCGACTCTTGAGTCTGCTGGTGGCCTCCGCCTCCACCTCCACCGAACATGTTACTATGAAAATGGTTTCCACCAAAGTCGTGCGCCACTAGCGATCCCATACCGCGTGGATGGATCAGGCCAGAGGGATGGCAGGGCAAAGAGAGGGTCGGCGAGGCTGGCGTTGGGAGGAGGGTGCAAGACAGGCTACGTCAACTTTCGGTGCTAAGAGAGTAGGGATGGGTGGGTGCAGGGGCACGAGACGCCCCGGCCGAGCGAGCGAGCGAGCGAGTTAAGGCGGGGAGGGTGAAAGGAGTGTGAGGCTGCTTGGGCGCAGCGTGAAGTCGGGGCGGAAAGGGAGGGAGCGGATGGTGATGGTATCAAGTTGCGGGTTGGGGGGTAGTACAGCAGTGTTGCAGGCTGTGGTGGGCGTGTCTCTGCGTCGTCGTAGTCGTCGTCGTTCGCTGGCGGCGGCGATAAGACAGGCAGGGCAAGCTTGCGACGGGATTAGGCTCAACAGCTGCTGGTCAGCAGTGGCATCTGTCGGGGGTCCAGCTTGCTGTGGCCAAAGTGAATTGGACAGCGCAGCGGTGGGGAGAGGTGAAGGAGGAGGGGGGGGGGCAAAGTAAGTTAGTGTTGAGGGGAGAGTTGGTGTCTCTGGGAGTGAGAAGTCAGTCTGGCTGGCGTGGGGCTTGGTTTCCGCCTGGTCGATGTCATGTCATGCAGATCAAATCAGCGCTGATAAGTTGGCTGCTACTGGCTGCCTACAACAACATTCAAGTATCCGACCGTCGGCCTGCCTACCAAGTAAGTACAAATGTATAATGTTTGAATGCACTGTCAATCACTATATTTCAAGTCTGCCCTCCTCCTGGCGACCCATCTCCGTACAAGCACCCATGTACAATCAATGCATGCCCGATGGCCATTTGGTTGCACCCCCGTGTTTTCTCCTGAACGGATCGCATGCGATAAGGCCTGCCGTTAGACTTGCTCCCCATCCTTCGTACCTACCAAACTCCCTTGCTTTCACCGCCTTTCATCCGCTGTTCGCTTGGCCCCGATCGTACCCGAAACACGTGTCTGGAACCCTCTGATCATGGACACATCTGAGGCCGTCGCGTTGGGCATGCCTCCACTCGGCCACCTTATTGGCTGCACCCCATCCCACCCGTTTACGTCTACTGCTGCACATCCACTACCACACTCCTTGGCTGCTCAAGCCTTTGCCGAAGAGCGGCGACCAACGTTAACCAGACCTGCATCGGAACGAGATATATTACTTTGTCATATCCCATCTACAGCCTTGCTCGTTGCTTAGCTACCAGACAATTCCTGGTGCATCCACCCTGCAGTATCCTTGCTTCTTCCACACCACACATGTCTAGTGTACTATGTATATACCGGTGCAGTTTGCTGTTCTTGCCTCCGTGTTCCTGACCCACCCTCTATTGAGTTCCCGGGCCCATGTAACCCTGGTCGGGCAGATACAGATGCCGTTGCGCGCCACGAGCCGTCAGAACCACCATGCGGATCACACCACCTACATGGAGGAAGTCCAAAGTCAGTATAGTTCAACCATGTCAGTTTCAATGCATTGTCAGAGCTGCCAAACGCTCCATGCGATAGCATCTTGGAATGCCAAAACGTGTCGTCACTTGTAGTGTGTGTACTCCGGGAAAACGTACCAGAGCTGCCGTCCCACTTGATAGCCTCCTGCAGAGCTCCCCTGACGAATTTGACGCCCTCCTCCTCGGTCATGTTCTCCTGCCAATTGGCATCACAGTATCCGTAAATGTATGTTGATCCAGAACCGCCGATCGCATACGACTGCTTGTGTAGGGAGCCGCCGAGAGGTATCGAATATACCTGACCTCCGTGCCTGTGATCGTACCCTGCGATGATCATGCCAGCTCTATTGCCCTGTCAGTCGAGCCCACGCCTGACCATCTACAACACTTACGATAACTGGTCCTTGTTGGCGTAGCAGAGTTCTTGGAAGATGGCTGCGGCCGTCTGCGTAGTAGGAGGCTCATCGTTTGTGATTCCGTACATGCCGAGGTGATAGTGCACAATGTCTGCTACGGCTTGCGTGTCCGCCGCGGAGCCCGAGCGACAACACCAGATTGTGTCGTGCACTTGTGTGAGCTTGTCCGTTACTCGGTTCGCAATGTAAGCACCCGTCGTCGTTCGACTATCAGCGCCTAATATCACGCCGTCCTTGAAGTTGATTGCCATGCTGTTGTCTCGTTAGAGGGCTTGAGGTGGCATGGGAAATGGGCGGGACCGAAGGGCGACAAACATTGAGGTTCCGAGACTGCAATGATCTGTTAGTCAAGTTCCAAACATGAAGGGGCACTACAAGGCATACTTGACTTCTCCCTTCTTCAAGTGGTTCATGTCGATATGGATGCCATCTGCGCAGGGTAAGCAGGTGAGCTCTAGCTTCACTCCAAACGTCACTGGATGTACCTTCTCCCAACATGCCGGTGGCCATTTTGACAAGTCTCGTAATTCGCGGGGTAAAGCGCAAAGGAACCAGAGAATTAGCAGAGCGCGAGTGTGTGAGGGATGTCTGTGGGTAGGGTTGATGGGTTGAGAGCTGTGATGAGGTGCGGGTAGGCAGCGTTGGACGCGAGTATGAGCTACCAGCAATCCATGAGCACAGTCCACCAAAGCTTGGCACATGTCACGTGTATGAGGTCGAATGCCACATGCAGCACTCACTCTGTTCACCCAACATCTCGAGTATTTTCCAACATGATGCACGAGTAGAGTTGATCTATCTTGCTAGAGTTGTGATTGAATTACTAGGGCTGTGATTGACCATCACTCGAAAATAGAATAACGAAACGTCACCGAACGAAATCCTCTTCGTGTTGTTCAATGTTGGTACATTTCCGACACACGCACAATCACCTCCGCACAGCCCCGCCGTCGCCGCAACTGCGTGATTGGCTTTAAGGCCCCCCCGCATAGTCTCTAGTTCAGCGTCCAACTAAGCACCTAAACTACACCTCCCTCGTCACAACCGCAACACGTATTCATATCCCTCAGCATAAAATTGTAGCTACAACCTGTGTCGCAAGGACACTGGAAGTCTTCTTTTTCTTAGCCATAGTTAACTACTTGGTCCCTCGCTTGCAGTAATCCTCCAATACGCTTCCCGTCTCCCTTCCGGTACAATACAAAATAACTGCCAGCTGCCGTCGCCATGGGGGCGGGAATGAATTCATTCCTCGACTACTTGCGCGTCCCGCTCATAGCATCATCTGGGGTCGCGGCTCTCCTCAGCGGAGTTTTGTATTTCAAGCAGAAGTATGTTTGTTCGGATAAGAGGTTTCCAGAGCTGGACGCTGACGATAGCTAGTGAGCTTATATATGCGCGAAACTTCCCTCCTGATGCACGTACAAACGTCCCACGCCCCGCAGACTTCGAATTTACCGACTTTGAAGAACTGTTCATACCCACGCCCGACGGAGAATCGCTCAGTGCCTTCTTCCTACGAGCCGACAAGCAGACCGCTCGCAACACCACAATCCTCATGTTCCATGGGAACGCAGGCAACATCGGCTACCGGCTTCCCATTGCCAAAATATTGGTCAATGATCTACGTTGTAACGTTTTGATGCTGCAGTACCGGGGGTATGGACTGTCCTCGGGAAACCCAAGTGAAAAAGGAATCAACATCGATGCGCAAACGGCTCTGGACTACATCCGGGAACGTCGCGAATTACGGGGAACCCGAATAGTTCTATATGGACAGAGCCTAGGAGGTGCAGTGGCCATCAATTTAGCAGCGAAGAACGTGAAGCGAGGCGACATTGCTGGCATTGTACTCGAGAACACATTCACATCGATGCGCAAAATGATACCCTCGTAAGTTGTACTGTTTGGGCCCATTAGCTGGGGAAGGAGGACTGACTTGAATCAAGCGCCCTTCCACCCGCGAAATATCTCGCTCCTCTCTGCCATCAAGTCTGGCCAAGCGAAGATGTGCTTCCTCAAGTCGTTGGTACGCCAATTCTGTTCCTCAGCGGACTGCGAGATGAAATCGTACCGTAAGTGCACCCGGTTGGGCATTTTGCATAGAATGCATTGATGACTGACATGTCGTGTTTCAGCCCAGCACATATGAAGAAGTTGTTCCAAGTGTGCCGCTCAGAACCAAAAGTCTGGCGAGAGCTTCCCAATGGTAGCCACAACGATTCGGTTATGGAAGCTGGCTATTTTGCGTACATTGAGAGATTCCTGTCGGAGCATATTGCAAAGTGAGCCGCCCAGCGATACATGTGTCAGCTTTTGGGGTACACTGGGCACATAGCGGGGTGCTGCCGGGCAGTCTGCATGTCTGAGAAGACAGACAGGACCATGGAGGCGATGTGCGGTCTCTGGAGTGGACGTGCTGGCCCGCCCAACTGCGAAGGTCGCTTGGATGTTTCAATGTATTGATGTGAAAGAAGAGACGATGCGGGATGATTGCATATGACGCAGTAGGGTGGGCTGTGCTCGGGGATCAAAGGGTCCTTGGTCCATGGTAACACGCGCATAAGTGGGAGAGGGTGATGCGGGGGGATTCAAGGATCGCCAGGGGGATCTGAGGCTAGTGTGGTATTGAAAAAAGGTTGGATGGTGGCTGCGCACGTGTCGGTTCGGAAGCGACATCTGGAGAAAGACGTTTGTTTCCAACGACACAAGTGCCGTGTTGCCAATCCAGCAGCTCCGTAAGAAGGTTCCACTAGCTGGCTAGGGGGGATGCAGGATGAACATGTTGGTGTGGCGAATGTTTGATGACGAGTCGGCGGACAGGCGACTTGCATGGCTTCATCCGTGTGTTGGACTAGCTAGCCAGAGCAGAATCTCTCGCTTGGCAGCATCCCTGACGCGCACCAAGGATCCGAGGAATTTTGAGTTGAAATTTTATTTTTGGGGCTTCATGGATGGATCTGAATGTTGCAACGAGCAGATGGGAAGGGCATGACTCGCTGGGGAGATGCAGACATGTCACTCACACGGAAAGTGTTGTCTCCATTGGCCATGCTAAAATCGCACAGTAGCAATCGGCCGGTACAGATAGAGAGCGGCGGTAGTGTCGAAGAAGGCAAAGTGGGAAAAAGAGGGTCAGTGGATGATGATGGTGGAGTCGGGGGCCTTGGTGGTGATGATGGGCGGGAAGGGCAGCAAGCGGGCAGCAAGCGGCAGATGGATGGACGGACGAGTGATGGGAGTTTGCGCCACCCGACTGTGCTCAGTCCTCATGCACCCTTGCTGATCGGGTTTCACAGTCTCCCATGAAGATTGTTAGAAATTGCCCATGGTGGCGCATCGGCAAATTTGATTATCCTGCATGCACTTGGCTCGACTACTTTAGCTGCTTACGTCGGTCGAATTCATCACTGACTGCTGTGTCATGGGCCCGTCTCGCGAACAGCAGGTAGACACGATACACACGCGCACACACACACATGGACAGATGGATGAATGGAGGACTCTCCTGCACAGCTGCAGACTCATGGATGCATGATACGCCAGGTCGTGGTGGTGAATAGCAGATGGTCAATCGAGGACGTGCTCGGGAGGGTCTGACTCGACGACTTCTTTCTTTTGCACTACTAGATGAATGAATGAACGAATGCTGCATGAACATGGAACATGGAACATGCGTATACATGATACATACATACGTATGGATGGATGCATGTAGCTGCTGGGCACATGACCTTGGACGCTTCCCGCAGGTGCTTGTTTGAGCGCGAGGGTCGAGGCGCCAATGGAACGGCCCTGTATAGCGACCATGTAAGAGTCGCCACCGGCCTGCCCGTCGACGACAACAGGAACCACGACGACGTTCCGAGGAGGATATGATCGGCAACAAACCTGCACTGCACAGCCGCAATCTCTCCGTTGCAACTGACGATCTTGCCTGTGGCGGCAGCGTCCGAAATATAGCAAAGCAAAAAAAAAAAAAAAAAAAGACCAACGAAAAAAAACCTCACCCCCCCCCATGCATCGAGCACAAGCAAGATTCCTCTCGGGCCATTGCAATAGACGAGCAAGACCGCGCACGCTCCGTCGTCCCCGCCGGCCTCCTCACATAATGTAATGTATCTCCGTTGCATGGCCGTCTCCTCCACCGAGCACATTACATTACCATGATACATGATAGATAGATGCTGGCCAGTCCATGCCTAACTGCAATCAGTCGGCTAGCTAAGAGCAAACCCCCCCTCCTCCTCGGCCAAAAAATATGCACCATGACCTTACAAATGATGCTTTCGTCCCTGTTTCTAGCCTGTCGTTGAAGCTTCCAGAAATATCCCCCGCTGGCCAACCTTAGCAGGGAACTCGAGTAGACGACGAGCCCCCCCTGCGTCGTTCAGCGGTATACGAATTGCAGATTGCATACATGTAGTCATTCCCACGTTGACTAGCCCCCTCTGTCATGCTGCAGGGCCCTTAAGCTTTGCAGACAAATCATTGCCCAAGGATCAGCGTGTCGGCCGATTCAAGTCTAGAAACTCCTTCACTCGCCACACTTCGACCAACGCTCCGTCCCGAGCGAGAGCAGAGTCAATTGATCTCATCGACCATCCAGCCCCCAATCCCTTCGTCTTCCTATCATTTCAATCAATTCGCCTCCGGACCTTCGGTTCCCTCCCTGCTGCTCCACAGCCATCTTGATCAGCCACAATCCTGCCTTCCCAATCCACTCATTCGTCCCAGGCTCACGCGCGCAAAAGGCAATTGAGGCAAAAATCTCGACACCAACCCACGCGCGGCATTCCCGTAGACACGGTGGGACCCCAGCGCTGCATTCTGGAACTACCTCGCTCTCAGACAACGACCCACAACCACGCTTGTCCCCTCTGGTCGTCGCTACCGTTGCGCTGTCAACTTCATAAGGCATCAAGACGGTACCTTTGTCGCCTGAGTGGTCACTCACTCCTCTCCATCATCTTCCCTCCGCTCGAAGCGAGCTCTTCCGTCCAGGTACCTGTCCTCCGCCTTGGTCAATCTTTCCTTAACCCGTTCCTCTGCTTCGCAATTCTTTTTTTAACCTCTCCTTCTCCTTGACATTGCTCCTCCTCATTGGCTTCTTGCCAATATTCCTCGCTTCCCCAGAGTCGTTTCCCTTCGGTGCTCTGTCCTTCCGATAATCGCCACTTCAGATATCCCCGATTGTGCTATAGGACTAGGTATGTTTCATCATCTTCCCCATGCTATCGTTCCATCTTGAAAATGTCTTTAAAACCATTTTGTTTTTCCCCTCTGGTCTCGACCTGTATCTCGTCTTGATGTCAAACATGGACTGACATGGCATACGTCTGGGTACAACAGTGGGTTGCTCTTCCTCTCATACTCGAAAATCAGATGGGCGACATACCTCAAGGGTCCAGTTCTCAGGCTCTGGATCCCACTACAGCTACCGCTGCGCCTGACACCCACCATGGCTCGTCGACTCCATCTTCATCCAATGCGAAGTCACTTCCGAATAATCCTCCCTTCTACTCTCAGCTGAGTTCCATTCCACAAGCCCAACCGCGCTCCGACATGCGTGCTTCCCCATACCCACCAAGCCAACACTACCCCGACCAAACCCCATCCACCATGATGAACATGGGCGCAATGGCTGGTGCGCTTCCTGATTATGCTACCCACGACTCTGGGGCTCATGCCCTCCCGCCCCAGGGCCAGCGACATCTGTCCGGCGCCTCTACCGCAGCCATGGTCTATCAGCTTCAACAGAACATGCAGCTGCCCGGTCCAGCTTCTGGATCAATCCCCACACAACATCCCTATGGACCGGGCTTTGCTCCAGGTCAATTCCATCCAAACTTTTCTCCTTCGCCCGGTCCCCAGCATGGCAACTACGCTGCTTTCCCCGCTGGCCAACCGCGCATGCAAGCTACGGCATCAATGCCAGGTCCCTACCAGCACTTCCCCCACCAGCCATCGCAATACATGTATTACCCCTCGCCTTATGGACCTCAGATGCAATACGCTCCCGCAATGCCCGGACACAATACACAAGGTCAACCAATGTATGGCAGAAGGCCTAGTGTGCCTGGCGCACATGGTCCTGGACCGGGGTCAATGGATATGCCGCAACAGGATGCTGGCTATGCTGCCAATCGCATGAATAACAATGCCACCATGGGAGACTCTGGCGTCATGGCTAACATGTATGGTGGTCCATTCATCCACCAGCAAGGTGAGTTCACATCGATCTGGTAGCCAACATGTGTGAGACAAGCCACGATGCAACACTTAATACTGACTCAGGAGTCTTGTAGGCATTCCCCGTTCCGGAACTTCTAGCTCAATCCCTCGTGGGCCTCCTCGGAAACCAAAACAGTCGGGCCATGCACTTTGGGTTGGCAATCTCCCTCCAGGCACAACGGTCATTGCGCTCAAGGACCATTTCTCGCGCGATGCAACAAAGGAAATTGAGAGCTTATTCCTCATCTCAAAGAGCAATTGCGCTTTCGTGAATTACCGGACCGAAGCATCCTGTACTGCCGCCATGCACAGATTTCACGACTCCAGATTCAACGGTGTAAGACTTGTATGCAGACTACGGCGCAGTTCTGCAGCAACATCGGGAGTTCCTACAGGTCCTTCGGCAATGGTTGGAGCACGAACATCAAGCGCTTCTGCTCCACACTCTCCACTTGAAGTTGAGGAGCAAGAATCGGCGCAAGTTGAAGCCGAGGCGACACCTCAAGAGAGTCATGAGGAGAGCAAGTCACCCGTCGTCATATCACCCAAAAAGTATTTTATTGTAAAGAGTCTCACGCTACAGGATCTCGAGCTTAGTGTCCGGAATGGTATTTGGGCCACTCAGTCGCACAACGAAGAAACTCTGAACAAAGCTTTCGAGGTAAAGTTTAATGGGTACCGAATTTGACCATCAGCCCCGGACTGACAATCTTACAGAGTGCTGAAAACGTTTACCTTATCTTCTCCGCCAATAAATCGGGTGAGTACTTTGGATATGCTCGGATGGCGTCATCTATCCTTGAGAACGCCGGAGATATTACAGGCTCGGCACCAAAGCCCGAGAACATACTCGAATCACCCGACGTACCCAAGTCGATCCCCACAGCTGCTACCGAATTTGCACCCAAGGGGCGAATTATCGACGATTCGGCCCGTGGGACCATATTTTGGGAGGCGGAATTGACTGACTCGGAAGAAGACGAAGGGGTGGAGAGCGCAGAGAAGGAAAAAGAGGAAGCACAGCCTCAATCCCAGGAAGGAGACGGAGATGCGCCGGCGGTATCCCAGAGCTGGGGAAAACCCTTCAGGATCGAATGGATCTCGACTAACCGACTGCCTTTCTACCGTACCCGTGGACTTCGCAACCCTTGGAACGCTAATCGAGAAGTCAAAATCGCTAGAGACGGCACCGAACTTGAGCCTGCTGTCGGGGAGCGTCTGGTACAGATGTTCCACCGGCTTGGTCCATCCAACGCCCCCGGTGGACCGTTGCCACCGCCGCAGGTCGTGATGCAAGCTCCCGCACTCGGTGGGCCTCACATGCCGCCCTACTGAGAGCATCCCAGTGCGCATACGCAGCCAGCATTTTGAATTGCATATTCCGGCATTTATTAATGGGAATGTTTGTTGTCCTGCTGGACAGGTACTTTCTCGCATTGCGCGTGGTCGAGAAGAGCCGACAAGAAGCAAAAAATCAAAAACAAAACAAAAAAAAAATTCGAGGCAAAGACACCCTCCCTGATCGAAGCAAGAGAGGAACGGACGTGTAATGAATCGGGTACTGCTTTCCTGCCCTTGACGCCAGCCACTACGTTCCCTTGTTCAACATCGTTGTCGACGTTTGAAACGTCCCTGTCACGGCATCGCGCATTGTCTCCTTCTACGCCTTTTATTTCGATTCTTTCCGATGTAATATATTGATGCATGTAGAAGAGGGGATGGCACTCATGGATTGACGATTTGACGGGAGCATGTTGAAATGGAATTGGGTCTTGGGTAGACAGGACCGTTTGAAGGGGGGTGGAGATAGAGACGGATTTGCGTTATAAAGTAATCAATAATCGCACTGTTTCTATACAACTCTTGATTTTTCGAAAGGTTGCGAATGTCGCTACTGAAGATCCAACACCATGACTACTGCTGATTGTTCCCCACAGACAGACTAGCATGCGATTGTATTATAGTTCTCACGATTCCCATATTAAACGTCGCACGAACCACCTCTCCTTCCAACTCACCGAACCGTCTGTATCTGCGTGTCCGTGTCTGTGTGTGACTCGTGTCAAGATATTGATGGTATAGTATAGAAGAGGATTTGCAAGGGTTGGAGGGTTGTGTGATGTCAAGTGTGGCGTTGTTCTTTCTTTTATGTCTTACTTGTCATCATCATCATCAATATTTGTTGTTGTTATTATCTTTTGACGAGGTAAATGCGTGATCCGAATGCGAAAGCGAGATTGCCGTCTTTTTTTTTTTGTTGTTGGGGAGGAGAGGGGGATTTCTGATCCCTCTTCAAAGGGAGTATGAGACAAAACAAGACAGTTCCGTAGAAAATACTCTAGTAACGTACTCCTACAAGCACTAAAAAAAATTCCTTTTTTTGAGAGAGAGAAAACACTATCTACATCCGCCATGTACAATATGTGTGTGTGTGTAAACACATATCTCTTCTAATCTCCCCCCTCCCCTTGCCCCCTCCCCTTGCGTCCTCGTATTATTCCCTCTTCCGAGCCCAGCTAGCCCAGCCATGCATGCATGCATCCTCCGATAGTCCGACCACAAGACCAACAAGACACACCCTCTCATCCTCCGATCCTTTCAAAACTAAAGACCCGCGACCTTCTCTCCTCCTACCCGATTCCAACAAGAAAAAAGAAAATTAGTGACGAAACCAGCAAAACATCGCTAGCCCATCCGATGAATGGTGCGTGCGTGCGTGCACAACGCCGAGGGGGGAGGGGGCGGAAGGGACTAGACCTTTTGAGTCTGTCGAGAGACTTTACACGCCCGCTCGCACATCCTTTCCTCACTGCTTCTCTCAGCGTTGGCGCTTGTCTCCGTCTGTGGATCTTGGCAACTACGCAAGCAAAACGGAGGTCCCTAAGACAATTAGGGGAGACAGACTTATACGGCTATCTGCCGTTTCGTGGAGTAATGTACTGTCAAGAGAGGAGAGCAAGAAACAGCTTGGAGACGCATGTACAAGTACGATTTTTCTTTTTGGTTTTGCGGTCGTACAGCTAAACTGGTCTCTTTTGCTTTGTGTGTGTACATATGCACCAGCTGCACAGACAACATTGACGACTGTAGACCGCCGCAGAGTTAAGGCGTGGGCTACATATGTAACTAACCGGCTAGAGTGAGTGGGCTGGACTAGGTCATGGACGAGGGCGCTTATTTTGTTTCCCCGCGGACTTGGGCGCCCTTCTCCTTTCTTTCTCTCTCTATTTGTCTCCTTCTCTTTCTGTGTTTCTCCGTCTTCTGTGGTGTCGGGGATAAGGAGGGCTTTTGGATCTTGTTGGGACACGTGCTTTGATGCTGTCATCGCCATGTAGGTTTGTATACACATATGCTGTGAACCCTTGGCTTTCATCATAACGTCTGATCCTGGAGGTCCCTTTATTACCTTCTCTGATTTGTCCTTATGCTTTTTTCCCTTCTTTTTTATTTGTTTACTTTGGGGGAAAGAAAGAGAGCAGATAACGAGAATCCCCAATCCAAAGTCCCGTCGATCCAACCATTCATGCATGCATTGGAAAAAAGAAGAAGAAGAAAACCACTCAGAAAGGATCAGCCGTTTGCGCATTGCCAAGCAGCACTCACACACCAGCAAAAAGAAAAGAGGGTCCTGCGGCTATCACCGTCCCCTCGTACTCGTATTCCGTTTCTCGTCGTGGTGGGCACAATGGATCTTGCACCGCCACAACAGTCTTGCTATCAAACAGACAGGCAGTTCGGACGAATGGATATATGGACACAATATGTAAGAAGAGAGAGAGAGAGAGGCAAAAAAAAATCCCAGACCGGACTGAAACCTTGAGCGCACGGTCCCTCATGGGAAAATTCAACAACTGCATCTCAGGCCACAAAGTTGTCCATGGTGGTGATGATGACATTATGAATGGTTTAGTAGAGAAGCTAAACAAGTGTTACTATTAGTCTGGTCCCCTCTTTAACATCACCGCTTGATCCACACTCACAGCGCCGCTTGTTTCTCCTTCCCCCCCTCTTTTCCCCGTTTTTTTTTTCTCTTTTTCTTTCCCGTTACCGTCTCTCCTTCCTTAAGTTAACAAGTTCTTCCCTCTCTCGAGACCGCTTTTTTGGTGTTCGTTGGGTTTGATTTCAAATCAACATTTTTGAAATTCTTCTTTTGGTCCGTAACCTGCGTTTAAGGATGGATGGCGTACACGTATTGAAAGATTCAACTCTCTCCCCCACCTCTCTCTTTTACTCGAGGCTGGCGGCACGTGTCTAGATCGTTTTCTAACTTTTTTTTACCCCATCTGGGTTGAGTCAAGACGCAGACGCCAAAGCCGTCGTTCTTCCAATGCAGCGCTACATATCGTACGCTTAGACGTGACTAACCAAATAGCAGCGTTCGAGAGAGGACTGAACGAATTTCTCTATCGCCGTTAGTTAATGATCGAATCCGCTCTTGGGGTATTCAAACTATACCAGGCGGTCTTGAGAGATTTCGTTCAGCTTGCTCACACACTTATCTCTGGACATCTAGGAGAGCAGCGGTTCTCCTCTACAAGTACCCGTTCGTCTATTCGAGAGGGTCTTTTGTGCAGTGATTACCTCGTGACCACCGCTCGTTTCATCCCCCCCCCCCTCTCCTGCCCCCCAAATCGCCTCTTTATATGTTTTGTATTTTTCTTATTAATCTATCTCTGTCCCTTGTACAGTCTGCAGTAGCAACAGTAGCAGCCGCCGCAGCTAGAGTAGACCGAACGATTCATACTTAAACTGCAACACTGCGCCAGCAAGCCTGCGGAACTGGATCACAGACCCTTCTTAGCCCCTGGAACAGATGACTGGAAGAAGACTGCTGCAGTATCTAGAGCAGTAACGCTTTTGTTCAATTATGCGGAGTAAAGTCTGCTGCTTAGATAGTGCGAAAGCCGCGTGTGGTATAGCTTCTGAGACCGAGACGTCATTTCCATCTGTGTTGGTATGTGAGTGATCGCTGGTATCTGCTCCGTGTAGGGTGAGCAACTAAGCAATGTTTATTAATATGTTCTAGCGTGCGGTGGATCCGCAGCACTATAGTGTAAGAGGGTGATTCCTCAGACGGGGATAGACTTGATATCTCAAGATATATTGTCTCAGATCTACCAACTGTTTTGCCTCGAAGGTTGAACTGTCTAGATGGTTGTTTCCTTTTTCTCCCGTGGAATCCATAAAAGATCAATCAATCTTCCTAGCACGCGACCTCGTAGGCAGGATTCATTTCCCCGATCAACCAAACTCGAATTCTCTCCATTGAATCCAGCTCGTAAAATCTGCATTGCGAGGCTGAAATTCTCGCCGTACAATAAGCCATGGTTATCAAAATCTCGTATTCACAGAGGAGAATCCCCGCAGCGTGACAGCGTCCCAGCCCTCTTGATCCTCTCTGGAACTTGTCAGCTGTCCATACAAAGCTATCCTCGAACAAATCACCAAACAATTGATTGGTTCCTGCTCGGGGCCCTTCGACGCTGAGTTCATACCCACTTTCTACCTGTCCTTTAGCATACACACACACACACACACACACACTCATACATATATATATCAATACAGTACCTACTCACTCTACCCTATAATGACCACTTCTTCTTTCTTCTTCTTCCACAAAAACCCCATTGGGGAGAAGGCAGCAAACAGCACGAAAAACCAAAAAAGAGAAGAAAAGAAAAGGAAAGCAGTCAAGACGATTTTGAATTCAAAGCTCGTTCGTTCTATATCCACTTTTCTATCAGCGCCCCCAAACACGAAGGGGGAAGAGAAATGACAAACCCCCTCCCCGTCCAATTACCCCCCCGCCCCCCTGAAAAACGGCAAGCAGAAAAGGTATAAAAACAGATGATGCGGGGAGGGGGGGGTAGAGGTAGTAATTCTACCATCTGGACACACACACACACATACACACACAAGTACCAGACCAAAAGAAATAAGCGTGCAGAGCGAACATGACATCGGATCGAAAAAGGTAATCTAGTAGGTATCCCGTGGTAATCAGGTATTCCGTCCCACCGCCTCTTTCATTTTTTTAATTGCAATCATCGAAGAAGAGGGAAAATAAAAAGCCCAGGAAGAATCCGGGGTCCGTCGTCCAGTCCGTTTTCCGGTTTTTAGGGAGATAAGACAAAGGTAACGCCACCCATTCACCAACCACAACGAAGAACATGAACCAGGAACGATATGCAAGAAGAAGAAAAATAACCCCCATTCAAGACGCCATACCTACGCAGGTAGTCCCAAAGCATGACGCGATAAAATTTCAAACAGTCGTGGCGGCGTATATCCCAATCCAGGCAGGTACCCTCACTGGGAGTTTATCGCGGTTGTTGGCAACATGGCCACCCACCCATTTCATCCCGCAATCCAGTGGCCTGTTCCATAACGGGGTCCGGACGACCTGCTGGATAGGGGACTATGGCCGCCTGTAGAGGACTCTGTATTTTCTCCCTCACCCCAAGGGGTCACCGCGAATCGTATCACGAAACATGTACCAGCATGGGTATCAGTCGTCGTTGTCGTACTCGGCCTGGTTGCTTAGCTGCTTGGGACCATCTTTCCTGATGGGAATCTTGATGCCTTGGCCGGCAAAAGCTTTGCTAAGTGGGGTACTTTCAATGACGCCCGGAAATTTCTTTGCGGAGTAGACTTGGAAGGGTTCGGAAAAGCAGGTAGCAAGAACAGGTGCACGGCCTTGGTTCAGCGTGTTGTTGTTCTGGCCGCTACCCACGTCGACAAAGTTCATTTTCAAGCTGGGTTCTTGTCAGCCAGTCAACTCGAAAGGCGATGGGGGGGGGGGCAGGACGAGGACAACATACCGGAAAGTACCTTCTGTCCGTACGGACAGATCCTGAAGAACAAACCAAAAGCCAGTGGCGCCTTCGGTATCTTTGAGCTTGAAAGCATTCACGGTGAGACTGCCTATGAGGTTCCTCGTGAACATGCCCGTAGACGAGGTCGACGGGGGCTGTACTGGAATGGGCATTGGGACGGGCTGAGCACCGTAGGGACCGGGTGCAGCGTACGGGTAGGATTGGGGAGCCGGCTGGTTAGGGTAGTAGCCCGGAGGCATGCCTGCAGCGCCGTATTGAGGGGTGGGAGGCATGGGGCGGCCATAGGGATCGTACTGAGGCACGATGGTGCTGGTCATGTAGACGGCTGGACGCTCGATGGGAGGTGGGTATGAAGTAGTAGTGCTACTAGAAATACTGACGGAGGGTGCACCGCTGCTGTGGCGGACCAGGTTGACTTCGCGGGCGCCCTCGCTGTCCCACAGATCGACGGTAAGGACGAAGAAGGTGCTGTCGACATCGGAGGAGTTTATTTCCTTACCCGTGGCAGCATCGCACACGATGAGCCTTATGCAAGGCGGAGGGGTGATGGGGCGGCGGTCCTAAGCATTGGTCACACGTCTCAGCATCTACCAGAGGGTTGGGGCCGTGTTGTGCAGGCAATGGAATTCTTACCTTGTCTCCGAATCCGCACATGCGGGCACGAATTGGCTGCTGCTCGACTCGCAGTCTGGTTGGGGGTAGCAGGTTAGCACAGCAGGCGTGGTTGGGAGGCAGGGCTGGGAATGAGGGGGAGACGAACCGGTATACGCGACCGTTCTTGGTGCCGACGTAGGGCTGGAGATGGTTGGTGGGCGGCGGCGGCGGCCCCGTGGCATAGATGGATTGAGCGGGCTGGGACGGCAGGGGATTCATGGCCGAAGGGTCGTGGGCGGGTGGCAGAGAAGGCAGCGTGTGGGGATGCTCCGACTTGGGCTGTGTGACGATGGAGGGATGAGGCTGGGCGGGCACCGGGTACTGGGAGTTTTGTCGCGAATACATGGCGGCGGCGGCGCGAGAAGCAGGTGGATTGCGGAGGGAGCAACTGTTGGGTGTGCGGGTGTGGGTTGAGGGTTGGAGGGTTGGATGGTTGGAGGATTGGAGCAATTATATAGTGTGGGGGGGAAGAAGAGATGGTATATGGGTCGGTGGTTGAGGAGGTGTTGTCAAATGGGTGGCATTGTCTTATTCAAGCGGGAGGGGATGGTTGGAGCTCAACAGAATGGGAGAGTACCAGAGCACAAAGGTGCGCGAGGGCAAAGCTTAAATGGGAACCGGCGGCGACCCCAGAAAACTGGAGGCGCCCAGTGGTGACGATGCGAAAGGCAGCGGACAGAGGGTCGCGAGAGGTCGGGGCGTGAAAAGATATTAAGGAAATGCTGATTCAATTGCGCAGCTCGCTTGGGCGGGCATGAACCTGGTGTTGATCAAGCAGCGCCAGGAGTGGATACGAGGTGTATGCACATGCACATGCAGACGCAGTCAGGCAGGCCAGCGGGTTTCGCTTCGACGACAGGAAGGATGGGACAGCAGCAAGAGAGAGAGGGAGAGAGGGAGAGGGAGGGCAAATGTGCGGGGAAGACGGGCGCGACCAAAGAAAGGTGGTCCGAGCAGGCGGGAAAGCGACGGGATCCATCGTCTCCCTGCAGCCATTCCATCGACTCTCTATTCTACTACTCTACCGTTTACCATCTACCATCTACTCCCAAGCACCAGGATATCACGGTTAATCTCTGGCTGCTCTCTGATTCCACCATGGCAGAGAAGCTATAATTCCATTCAAACATGTCTGTTCGACACGGCTACACTGCTTACCTTGTCTGTCTGTCTACATTTGTTTTTTGCTATACAGCATATCCAACGGGAATTCCCACAATGCATGACGACGATGGATCAACCGACTCGACTGACTCGACGAGCGGAACCCGCCAGCCCACAAGCTGCATCGTCCCGAGTCGTGGGCATGGGCCATCCCGTGCCATGCCATCCAATCTGTCATCTACCGCCTGCATGCCACCATGCCCCTCCAACCGCTGCATACTTAGACCACACACCACACTCAGTCTTGCTTGACTCCTTGCACCCGGGTTTCTCAACGGCAGACGATGCCATGACTACATATGTATATAGTCAAGTACATTGCACTACACGCACACATGCAGCCATGGTACCGTGATTGGCTGTCGCCTGCACCTCCTCCACCCCCCGACCTCAGCATAGACTTGCCCGAATCCCCAAGCGCTTATTTTGTGCTGTGCCTCGCGACTACTGTCCCATCACCTCTCCACCTAAGCCCTCTTCCTTCAAAAGCACCACAATGCTTGAACAAGACTGCTATCATTTCCATCATTTCTATAAGCTCGAGAGAGTCATGACAAAGTAGACAACGTCTTTGCTGTCATGCAATACAACAACCTTTGTAAGTCTAGGTACCACACATCTCATGTCAATTGGCTCGCCGTTGATTGCTGTCACAGTCTTTGCTTTGTCTAGGCGCTTTTTTTTGTATATACTCTTCTTGAACGCTATCTTGACATGTTTGATCCCATCGCCACGAATCGCCCAAGATGAATATCCAACTTGGACGCCGAGGCGCTCCAGGCTGACCACTGAGAGACTAATTCTATACGTCTGATCTGACATTTTGATCCTCTGTATAGAAAGTCGCAGCCTTTCTCTTTGCACATGATAGTGGCGTAGCGTGTGCATTTTGTATGGGACTCGGATCGTCTGGGGTGTCGGCAGCCGACTCGTCTGATCCATCCGGCTCTTGGGGAGCTTCAGGATTCTCAGGCGGGAGGCGCACGTCTTGCCCGTTAACGCCGCCAATCTTCTCGTCACCTCCCCCCCGTGCCGCTTGCTCGCTGCCTCCAGAACCAAGCCTGCCGCCGTGCCACATCGAGATAAACATGCACCACCTGCTGCTGCTGCTGTGCAAGGTACCGTGCATGCATGCCTACATACTCTCTTTGAATCCCGTACCAAGTCCAATGATTACATGAATCCCGACATCTAGCCTTGCCTGCCCCCCTGCAACATGCACGCCCGTTTCCCGCTTGCATGTCTTGTTTGCTGCCTCTCTCGGCTTGCTGGATCCTTCAGAAACAACACACTTTGATTCTAGGCCCCCACTCCCCCGCCCACCCATACTTGCACGTCATACCCTTAGCCAAAATGGAACAGCGTCTGCTTCTTGTTCTTGTTGCCCTTCCTCTTACCCCCGCCGTTGCCCTCCTCGTCCGCTGTCGTGTTGCCGCCGCCGCCATTCGAAGAAGCAGCCGCCCCTCCGGTCCATGCATTGGCGGCCGTCGTGCGACTGCTGTTATCTCGCCTGATCCCAGACCCGTTGTATCCCGGGCTGAAGATCGTGCTGGTCGGCTTGGGCGCCGTGGGCAGTGCAGGGAACAAGTCGGCATTGTTCGGCCGATTGACTGCCGTCGACGATGCCGTGCGAGACGGCATGGGCGATACCCGCCTGCTCGATGCAGCAGATGCTGATGATGTCGCCCACGGTGTCTGTCCCGGTTTCGCTCCTATGCGGCTCGCGGGTCCCGCTGCCGGCAAAGGAGGGAAAAGGCTGTTGGACGACGTCGAGTTCCAGCTGGCCTGCTTGTTGACCGCAGAGCGAGACGATTGTGCCGTCGAACTTTTGAGTTTGAGCACCCGCGATCCACCGTGAGCCGCCGGTCCGCCCCGCAGCGATTGCTCCATGGCTGCCCCGGGGAGCGACGGGTAGTCTTCATTGATGGCTTTCCAATCACTCCATGCCTTGAGAAGTCCTTCGCGTTTGCTTTGTATCTCAAAAATCTCCGCCAGTTCCTTCACGAGCTTGCCAATCTCGGCCGTGTTCGCATCAAAAACTGCGAAGAAGCCTTCGATCAGTTCGGTTGCTGTCACTCTCGAGTTGCGGTAGGCTGATACTTGAGTTCGGAACTCTTGGAGTTTGGCTTGGTCATTGCGGAGCATATTGGAAGCTCTCTCCGTAACGGCATTGTGGCGTAAGAGTCTCGCTTGATCTTGAGGCGTTTGCGGTGCCGGGTTCGTGTTCAGTGTCATCTGACCAACACTGTTGGCTACATTGTTGACAGTCGTCCCAGCAGGTCGAGGCACTGACACGGTAGGCGGTTCAGCATTAGACGGAGCTCTAGCGGCAAAAGCTTCCCCTGGGGTGGGAGCGGACGTAAGCTGCCCACCGAAAGCTCGTCCGGTGGACCCATTCTGTAGAGCCGCTTGCGTTCGCTGGTATGCCAGTTCAGCTCTAGTCATGGGTTGAGCAGATGATGCAGGTATGGGTTCCGAGTTTGGATCTCTTCCCCTTCCTCTTCCGCGCCCTCTACCTCCGTCCCGTCCACGGCCGTCCCTTCTACCTCCAGTATCTTGCTCCTGTGACCCACGCAAATCAAATCCTGACATGTTGACCCTTCGAGCATCACGCAACGCATCCTTTGTCAATCCGTTCGGGTGGGCTTCGATCTGATGTCCTTGAAGATCCATCTCCGAGTCGAAGACGACGAACTTCTTTTCCAAACACTCCCGATCTGGACACATGAAATGGTCTTTACGGAAGTGTTGCTCCAGAGCGTCATAATTGACAAAATATTGTGGGTTTCTACCCTCGTTTCGGCGATCACAGATGTGACAGCGCTCGTGTTTTTCTCTGCAGTGCTTGAATAGCTCGTCATCGCCGTAGAATCGCTGACGGCAGAAACCGCACTCGGGATGGCCCTTGAATCCACTCTGATCTATAGCTCCCGGGTTGTCGTCGCCGAATTTCTGATGTTGTTTGAGTTCGGCGAAAGTGAAGAGCTCGTGCTCGTGCGTAAAGACCTTCTTGTTCCGTGAACACAGATCACTGCTTCAGTTAGTCTCCGATTCCTCAAAAGTCCGCAAGGAACTGGATCAGGCGAAAACTTACCACAGAACCTTACCGTGCGCAGTTTTAACGTGTCGATGCAGGTCTGGCCATCCAAGACAAGCCACGTCGCATGTACCCTCGGGGCAGTTGTATTGCAGCAGCAAACGCGTGTCGTCAAAAGTCTCTGCGGTTTCGAACCGTATCCCCAGATTATCGTCCGATTTGTAGAAACCTCCAGGCGCAAATTCTTCGTAATTCTTCGTAGGGTTATCGGTGAAGATTACGTGGTCTGATTCGGTTCGGCAATGTGCGCATGTCTTCGTCTTGTATAGAGCTCGTAATCGCAGAGAACAGATATGGCAGGTCCGATGGTTGCACGGTGCGACAGCGAGATGCTGGACCGGTGATGCGCAAATAAAGCAGACTTCTCCCTCCTCAGCGTCGGCATCGCTGGGAGCTGCAGTGAGGTTTGGTTTCGCAAGGGCGGACTGAGGTTGCTCTCCTTCAGGTGCATTGACTGCCGGCGCCTTGCCCTTCTCTTGCGATCGTCCACCTCGACCGCCGCCACCATCTCGATTGCCTCGAGCCTGTCCTCCCCGCCCTTTCCCACGCCCTCTCGAATTCGTGTTCTCGCTACCTGGTTGTGACGATCCAGCTTGCGGGCCTCGCCCTCTTCCTCTTCCTCCGCGCCGTCCTGAGCCGGTGTTTCCAGGCTCGTTGTGCGCACCTTCGCTGGTAGCAGTCGGTCCGGTAATTGAAGCCATGCGGGGTATCTACTGATAGCAATCCACTGAAGTGCGTACACTGGTATAGAAATAGATAGATGGGCGGATAATCTTCTTTATGATATAGTTTGTAGAAGGTATGGGTTGGATTGAGGCCCACGAGGCTTTATAATACGAATGTACAGATTGGCGTTGAGTGAATAGTTGCCATGACGCTCACGAAGAGAAGCGAACAAAAAGTGCCGTTAGGGTCCAGCAACGCACAGCCGCACGCACCAGCCACACCAACTCCTACTCATAATCCGAAATGACTCATGCCAACGACCATTGACTGGATGATGCCAGATGATTCATACTAACTAATGGGTACCTGTGAATCATCTCGTCATGCTTTTGATCGTTCGCTATTCGCGCACATGATTCCCCCCGCTCAAGTATACATGTCATCTATGCACCCCTGACAAATCCTGTGTCCTCTATAGCTCACGTAAACCGCCCACTTCCTCATCGAACTCGTCACCATATAGGGCGGACTTCAGTGCAAGCATTGCCTCTGGATCACCTCCAGAATGCTCCTTGAACCATCCCTCCATGCTCTGGATGTGGTCTGTAAATTTTTCCACGTCCGTTTGGAACTGCTGCATCTCTTTTTTCTTTTTGTCCACCTCCACGGGATCCTGTTCGCTGTATGCAGCCAGCTCTTGCTTGAGCTCCTCGAATTCCTTAAGCAGACCTGCATGTTTGGTAATCAGCGTACCACGGTCCATTCCTGTCAATATTAGTAAAAGTATATAGTCAATACCGCTGACTGCATACCGGAGTCTTTGAGCATGACTTCGTCCTCGTCGCGTGCTGCTCCTGCCTCGTCTATCTTTTGTTGCAGACCTGTAGCGATAGTGTTGGCCTTGTCGTATTCCTGCTGTGCTTTTTCGAGGATCGATTCTTTGGCTTGCTTTTCGTCGCTAGGAAAACTCCAGTACCAGTTGCCACTGCCAATCTTCTCGACACGAATCTTGCTATCATCTGAAAGTGACTGTAGATAGTCTTTGACCTGCATGCCGTTGATGGAGGCAACTTGAGGAAGAGCCTTTTCGAGATCTTTGATGCTGTGGGCGACGGCTGACTTGTGGAACCAGGCAAGTATGGTGGCTTGCTTAGCCGGGTTGGCTACAATTTTAGGTGCCTGCAAAACTTTAGAGGCGTACTATTGACTGATTGGTTTGCACATACCATATTGAAATGGAGGAATAATCGATATAGCCAGGGGAAGCCAGGTGGAAGAAGCTTTTGTGTGGACATTGGAACTTTCCATAGCGAGGTGTGGCCTGTTGCCGGGTCCTTCCTTCTTCACCGCGACTGCCAAGTCAGGTGCTTTCCTAAAACGCTGCCACCGCCCCAAGTGCGTGGACAGAGCCTTTATTTGGTGAACTTGTATGCGTTATGCACTGTCGAATCCAAAGTAAATTAATGATAAGGGTATGCAGTCGAGTTTCCGAACGGTGCGATGATCAGGCAGGTGATGGACCATGTTAAGTCCATCTTCAGCTCGAAGAACTCGAATCACTGTCACTGCTCTCCGTTTCTTCACTACTGCCCTGATGGCTCTCCGGACCTGACACAGCATTTTCTTCGAGATCCTGGTTCGCAAAAGCCCTCTCTTCATCACTCACTGCTGCCTCGACCAAAGCGAGATCACCGGTCTCGCCGAGCGATTCTTTGGCGGTCTCTTCCAACAAGATCCCCAAAGCAATCAACGCAGTCTCATCCATGCATCTCCACGCATAGTTTTGTCCTGGCTCCTGGGTTCTTGAGTATAGCTTTGAGATGTATTCGTGCAGAGCGCTGAGGAAATCACCATCCGGCAACTTTTGGCCTTCAGGCAGATTTCTGTGCGCAAAATAATAATCTGTCTCTTCATATCGAGTGGGCGCCCTCACTTTCTTGAAAAGAACTTCATCGGGGCCTAAAGGCTGATTGGCCCGTCTCTGTTCTGTCGATTTTTGTCCTATGAATCCTGCCTGTGTGATTGCACCTGCGGCCATCAGTATATTGCTGGGACTCCATTATTGAGACTCACCAGCTACAGCATCATATACTGTTGGGACCCTGTTCGCAGAAGACTTATCAAGCTCTGCATCTTCGTCTTCCGAAAGTGAGGCAGAGGGAGGGCGCTTGAAGTGGCTTTTTAATCGAGCCATAGTATCCCTCAGAGTCTGAACAGCTTGCCTTGACTTGATATTTTTCACCTGAATAGAATTGTGTTGAAGAAAACAAAAAGGTAAGATACCATCAAGTGGCTTTGGTCAGGCCGAGCACCTGGTGTGATTATGTAATATCCGATCCACCGGTTCCCTACGTCAACGCCGCCGCATACATCTCGTCTCCAGATGCTGAAGCATGTAGTCGCATATGAACACCCAACTCTCTCTCGATCGCGCTTCTGGTATCATCACCCATCATGCTGTCAAACGCACCACCGCGTCTCGCCTTGTGTATGCGCTCCAACCCTCCAATGTGAACTTCAGTCGCGACCTACCATCGCAAGATGAACCTGGCAAGCGGCCGCCTGCGCATATTTCGGGGGTAAATGCCCTTACCATCGACAGATTCGAAGGCCGGTACTTACTATCCGGCGGTGCGGACTCCTCAGTTGCGATATGGGACCTTGAAAGCCAGACAAGAAATGCGGGCGGGTTCGAGACATACGCGCCACTCACCGCCGTGCAGAAGACGACCGAAGAGCACAAATTAGGCATCACGCAGATATCGTTCTACCCGTTTGACAGTCTGGCGTTTCTCACCTCCTCGTATGATCACACCGTCAAGATATATTCAAGCGAGACTCTCACGCCGTCTGCGTCGTTTGATCTTGACTCTGTCGTCTACAACATCGCTCTCTCGCCCATTGCGTCTCACCTCCTCGTCGCCTGCGCAACACAATCCCCCTCGGTGCGTCTAGTGGACTTGCGATCTGGCGCTAGTACGCACTCACTCGCCGGCCACACAGGCGCGATCTTAAGCACAGCGTGGAGCCCAGTCCGAGAGCACATAGTAGCAAGCGGCGCTACTGATGGGAGCGTGCGGTTCTGGGATATCCGTCGCAGCGTGGGTGAGCTGGGGGTCTTGGACCTGGAGGACTCCACTGGCATCCCCAATATCAACGACAACCGTGCGGCACCGCAATTCTCCCGTAACTCGTCGCAGGCGAAAGCACACAAGGGGCCCGTCAATGGCATAGTATGGACAGAGGATGGCCGACACATGGTAACGTGCGGCCACGATAACCGCATCCGCGTGTGGAACACCGAAACCTGCGCCAACACACTCGCAAACTTCGGCCCCATGGTGCGCAACTCGGGACTGGCGCCCTGCATACCCATTCTCGCCCCCGCGCAGAACCTCGAGATTGAAAAAGACGTGCTCTTTTACCCGAACGAGCACGAGATCTTGGGCTATGAGATGTTTGAAGGCAAGCTCTTCCGTCGCCTCCGTCGCCCCGAGCAGCAGAAACGCTCGTTCGAAATCGCGGCGGAAGCTTCTGCTTCTTCTTCCTCCGCGGCTGCGAGAAGCAAAAAGTTGAATGTGAAGGATAGGATCACGGCGCTGGCTTGGCGTGCGCATGACGTGGAAATGTATTCCGCGCACGCTGATGGGGGAATCACAGCGTGGAAACCGCACACAGAAGAAGACGCTGATCTGGACGAGGAAGATCAGCGTGAGCGGGAGATGAAGGAAGAAGGGAAGAAGAGAAAGAGAGGCGTGCTGGATGAGATCTATGCCGGATTGACCAAGAAACCCATCACATTCGGTGGCCTGTCATAGCACCTCTTCTTCCGTTGGCTGATTTCCTATGAATGTTCTTCACTTTGACGAAGAACAATTTTTTTTCGTTCTTTGGGGGGGTTTTAGGATGAATGTGGTCATAATTATTACTAGCCAGTACGGCTCTACTACACTGTACATGCACACTGGAACCGTAGGGGTGCCATCCTAACCATTGAATCCTTCCAAGAATCCAACTCCGGCTTGCCATTATATCCCATGATCTTACAAATGCATCCCATAAATCCCGATATCGCGAATTCTCCACGACATGCAGCAGCCTGCACATGGTCTCTTCGCCGCTATCATTACACAAAGCATAATCGCTCCGCACCAGTGTTTACCCGCTACCCACTTATTTAAACGCCTGCAAACAAACAAGCAAAAAAACGCGCAACGTTATACAGCCAAATCAAGACCCAAAGTGAGGTAATCTAGCCGGCACAAAATTCGAATCCTCAAGGTCCCTCTGGACCTCACGCGGTTCGTTTCTCAAAGACAGCGGTCTATTCGGAGTTGGTGCTAGACTCGAGTAATCCGAGTCGTCGACGTGGAAGGAGCTGCTATCCGGCATGGTTTGCGCGTCGACTCCTGGGGAGACTGATCGGATCGATGGGGATTTGAGGTCTGAAGCGGCATCCGCGCGTAGAGGAGCAAGGGATGCCGTTGGAGGTTCGGCAGACCTAGGCGACGGACTGCGGGATGAGCGGCTTCGAGGGGATTGTATGGTTGGGGATGGATTGCGACCTGGGATTTGTAGATGGTGTTCTGGCAGTAGACCACGCCTCATCGCGAGTTGCTGCGCTTCGTGCCGCCGGCGCTCGACCTCCGCTTCTTCTTCCAGCTTCAAGCGCTCTTCTTCTCGCTTTAGGTCCGAGAGCGTTGGTATTTCTTCGATGGGTTCGGATTGTGTGCGCTGCATCGTGCTGTGGTCCAGACTCTTTCTGCTCGACTCGTGGGACTTTGTAGACATGCGTGATACTGTAGGTCGTTTGCTGCTTTTGCTGCCCGATCTCTTTTTGCTTTTCCCGCTACTTGTGTCGTCGTGCCATTCTCTGGTTGTTCTGCGCTCGAGAGTGATTGCGAACTCGTCATCCAGTGGCACCGCATCATCCAATTCGTCTTCGCTCGGAAAAATGTCGCCTCTCGAGCTGAGTGAATCTGTCGTGTGTCCCGAAGCGCTGGTCTGGCTGCGCTTTCTCCCGTGAACCTTCCTCTCGCTGCCTTGCTCTTCCCCTTCTTCATCGCTATCCTCGATCAACGGTTGGGACTCTTCTCTGGATTCCTCCGCACTTCGCCGCGATAATCCAGGGTGTTCCGTTAAATCCGCGGCCGAGGGTTTATATCTGAGGACCTTTCCTCCAACCTTAAACGGTAACCGACCCAGGAATCCAAAGTACGAGCTGCTAGGAATGATAGTTGGATCGGGTCCACCGTCGTGTGGTTGCACAGCGCTTTTCCTGCGCGAAGCATTGAACCGGTTGTCGCGGTTTCGATTCCCATAATTCATGGCATTCTGCCGGCCCGGCTGCGACACTGCGCCATAGTTGTTGTGGTGGTTGCTGGCACCACCGGAATTCCCCCAGAGCCTATCCAAATTATCGTTCCCCCAACCTAGGAGACCATCTGTTTCGTCCTCTTCCCAATCGTCGTAGAAGTCGAAACTAAGCTCTGCTCTGCCGCGCGACCGCGCGCGATGCCGCCTGCGATCGTTCTGTGAAGGAAAGCAGGGCGCTGTGCATGTGTTTACGCACTGCGTAAAGGATTGGAAACAGGGATTGACATATGAATGTGTGAATGAATAGAGGCCCTCTTGCGCGGATTCATTGGCGTGCTCGACAGTGTCGGTGATGTTCTGTATGGTGCGGTTCCAGCGTGGATCGCCGCGGCGATACATGGTGACGGTGCGTGATCAATGGGGTGGCTGGGAGTGGATAGCACGGCGGTGGTGGTGGAGGAGGATGTGCCGGCGCATTGAGAGTAAAGAGCGGAGACTCAGACGGAGAGGGAGGTGGGTGCACGGCTGTGGGTCGTGGAGGTAAAAGGCGAAGAATGGGGACGGGAGCGGTTGAGACGCAAGGTGTTGAATGGTTGACGTCGTGCCAGCCGCCATCCACCTTTCCGGGGCCGGCTTTGCACGTGCGGGGTGTAATTCACTTGGGCGCTAGCTAGCTAGCCACCGAAGCCGCTGCCGACGGGTCGCGAGAGGCGAGTGAGCTCTGCAAGCCAGAGCTGTAGCCACTTAGTCATGAAACAGGTCTAGCAAAAGTGAACGTCATCTTCGATTCAGAATAGCCCAAATTCTTATGCTTCGCTATGCGATACATTCGTTTCCTAAAAACTCCCCGCATAGTGCGCCAGAAGGGCTCATCCAAGACCAACATCTCTTGCTTGATCACCATCACATCAGACTTGGGAGACTCCTTCCTTCCCTACGATCTAACACTTGCCGTTGAACTTCTCCATGTTTCTGAGGAAAATGACGAGGAAAACCTTGTCGTGTGGAAGACTACACAATGGTTGGGCGGCATGAGAAGCCTCGCAATCACACTTCCAATTGGCAAATCGCATAGAGCATGGCCATTGCGAATTCGTGTAGGGGCAGACCCCAAGGCTAAATTCGACGAACTCGAGAGTTTACTTCAAAACGATGATTTTCGAGGCGTCGTTTCCGCTTGGAGCGGCTTGGTAGATCCCACAAACGGGATCGACGTTGCTGAGAGGTTTGTGCAACGTCGATTTGAAGCGGGAGCACATCTTCCCCTACACATCAACGAGGAAACGGGTGAAAGCATCGCTCGACACTTGTGGTATGAGATCAGCAATGCCATGATTCTGGTTGTAGTGTTGCTAAATCAAGGCCAGGGATGCTGGCATATTACTTGCATGTCGAATCGGCAAGTTGATTCGTGATTGTCGGCATGATGGATTGGTACCGCTCCAAGACGGACACAAACGCCTGCAAGTTGTAGAACTCGGCACCGGTTGTGGAATAGTTCGACGCCCCAATGATCCTATGTGAGCTGCACAATAGCTGATTGTACTGTTAGGTCGGCCTGACGCTGGCTAAGATCATACCTTCGTCCGATGTCGTATTGACTGATCTTCCAGAAGCAAGTGAAATTGTTCAGCGAAACCTGGAGGGGAGTAGGTCTACTTTACAGGGTACTGCTCAATTCAAGGAGCTGGATTGGGAGTCTGACCTACCAGATCCATTATCAATAAATCCTACAACATGCCAGCATTGTAGACAAATGGACATTGTGGTGGCTGCAGACTGCACCTACAACGCCGATAGCAGGTACGTCTATCTCGATCATCTCCACCCCCTGTTCTAGTTGCTTATAAACCTACACCTACATCGTAGCCCTGTCCTGGTCAGCACTATACAAAAGATAGTGGAAACGTCACCTCGAGCATTAATCATTATTGCAATGAAGAGACGGCATACCAGTGAAGAGATATTCTTCGATTTCATGTCCAAAGCTGGATTCAAGACAGCAGATGTGCAAAAGTTCCCACTCCCAGGAGATGAGAACGCCGGCGAGGAAGAAGTAGAGATATACATGTATCAACACAAGGGCGAGAATCGCAACGAGGTCCCAAGAAGTGCACAATGCGACAGCGAAGCGCGTGAAGAGTTATACAATCTACCCTAGAATTGAAAAAAAAGTGCCAGGATACCAACGCATGCACATGAAATTCCCGGTCCAGGCACGCCCTAACGAAACAGGAAAAAGATTGGGAAGATTTTGCAGATACTCCTGGACCCTCTTTGATACAGCCATACGCAACAACCATCTCCTGATATCAAAGACAATTCTCCTTTTCTCTGCTTCTTTAACACTGTGCCCTAGCTTTCAGCATATTTCGTAGTCCACAAGTCAAAGATATCAGGGAACGAATGCCACCATTCCCCAAGCTCATTCACACTCGTTGCGTAATTCCAACCCGCCAGCTCCTTGGTCTGCTCAGCCGTCCATTCGGTCAACTCTTGCGGTATATTCCCCATCGAGTGGATCATCAACGATAAGGCATCAGTGCTGTAGTTGCTCAAGCGTGGAAAGTCCTTGATGGCGTTGAACCGCGGAGCAGTTATGAAGTTTGCAAAAGTATCCTCGAAAATAACGGTGATGTCGGCGATGTCGAGGTAGTGCCATGTGTAGTCAGGCAGCGTGCCAGGGTTGTGAACTATTGACAAGAAAACCTAATGTTAGCTTCTATTGTTGCAGAGTTCGGGGCTCCATATTGAAATGCCGGGGCTTGAATGGACGCGAAGAAGAGAAACGGGTATTGCGTACCAACAATCTTCTGTCCTAAATTCCGATCTTTTTTGACTTCATCCGCGGCAGCCTTCAGATAGTCGTGCTTTTGCCAGTGATACAACCCGGGCGTCTCATCGAAGAAGATTCCGTCGACGGCGAATTTGCTGCTGTTCATCAGGTTCGGCCAGTCTCCCCATCGATGTATCTCTGCCGTAGTATTCACGAGAGGCTTGTCTGTGTAGTTTGTGGCGACATATCCCAGTGTGCGGATGTTGGGGTATAGTGCTAGCTTGGGTATTTCGTCTATATAAGCCTGCGGAGGGAGAGCATCCATGCAGGGTCCTGAACATGGATTTATGACAACGGTGAAGTTGAGTTCTGGGTTCTTGTTGGCTCTACAGAGAGGTCCGTTAGCACGTTTCGATCCTATGGGCCGTCTAGACACTGATATCGAGTCACGGATCTGGACTGATGGAAATTACGGCTTGGCTTACTCCCAGTACAATGGCTCCCAAACACCAGGCCACGGAAAAGTGTACAGCGGTAGTAACACCGACATTTTTGATCGATTTCACAAGTTCGAACCAGTAATGAGGGAAAGAGAAGACAAGTTCAGGATGGCACAAGTGAGAAATTCAGCATCAAATGTTCTGGAAGTTCTATAGCCTCACGTATATAAGTACCGAAAGAGCGATCCACATGCTACTCTATGGCGTGGCGCTCGTATTCTCAGTACGACCGGGTGAACTTCAGTTGCAGTGCAGATGCTTCGTATGCACAAAATGCGTGGGCCATGGACGAATTGCGCGGCCATGTTCTCTATTTGTATGCGAGCAATATGTGGATATTGTGTTGCAGGGGCCGGGTAAATGTATGGTAAGAAAACGACTGCCCAGAAGCGGACGCTGGCGACGAAAACGACAGAAGCAGAGACTTAGCGATGACGATATGTTATAATACGGTCTTGGTTCTTAAGATTCAGAGGTCGCGTATTTGAAGACCTCGTACTCGGGTACCTTTTTACAGAAAGGCCTGGACATCAGTTCGCCAACCACCCACATATAAGCCCCGCCCAGACGGAGTTGATGTGCTACATCGAAGATTGCGACTCGTATGATGTACACCCACACACTACGGTCTTATGTTTGGTTGAATGCAATGGTAACACCATGGGTAAGCACTCGTCATCGATTGCAAATGAAATTGGTTGATCTCCATGTACTGGTTGCCGGGTCGGGCGGATGAGTCCTATAGGTTCTTTCCCTTCCTTGGCGGCAGTTGTTGCACGCCCAACGACTGCACCTTTTTTTGGAAGTCGTTGTTTTGCGCTCCGGCTAGTTGAGTATCTTCCCTCTCATATCTGGCGCACATTACCTATAATATTTTTTGCACATCAAGTGTACTCGTCGCGTCGTTTGTAAGCGCGACGAAACCTCTGGATTCGATAAGCTTCCTGAACTGATTGGACTCATATCTGGCAGTGATGACAGTCAACCGAAGCTCAGGCTCTTCGCTCGATGGTGTGGTTTGTCCGGAAGCAAGCGGCGTAGTAGATTCTGATGCCACGGGTGTGGACATAGCAGAAGGAGACGGGACTTGGGTAAAAGTCCATCGCCCAAAGGCCCAGTTGAGGATGTATCTTGAACGGCCATTTGGTACATCCAACGTCGAAGCCACTTGGCCATTTGAGGATTTTGGCGGCGTAGTTGTATAGATGATACCTTTTATACGATAAATTGCATCCTTGGTAGGCTCTTCTAGAAGCTTTTGAAGTTTCTCAACGTCGACATCCTTGTCGGCCTGACCGCTGCTCAGCGTAATACTCAACACTTCGACCTCACTTGAATGATCATGGTCATGGCCGTGACTATCTTCAGCGGTGTCCCAAAGACCTTTGACGAGCTTTGCATCCAATCCAAACATTATATCTTTGCTCACCCAGCCCTTGCCACTCTTAGTTCTAGGGATTGGGGGATCGACTTCCAAGGCCAATACGGCGTCTTCGACATCTTCCAGCCTTCTTTCAGACACCAACTCCCACTTATTCAAAACGATGACGTCTGTGTATTTGGCCTGCATTTTGGCCGTGATTGAAGTGTCTTCGTAGCCTTTCCAGTTCTCGACATCGATGACTGAGACGACACCATCTAGGATGTATTTGCCAGTAGTTTCCGCCAGCCTATTCACTTCCATGGCCAACGTAGCAGGGAAGGCAGATCCCGAGGTCTCTATAACGATGCGGTCGGGCCAGATATCTCGGGCTAGGGTTTCGAGGGCATCGGAAAGTTGTCCAACGAGATTGCAGCAGATGCAGCCATTGAGGAGTTCCTGGACACCGGAGATGGCACTCGAGGTGGCCAGTTGCGAGTCGACGGCGACATCGCCAAATTCGTTCTTAAGCAGAGCTAGCTTGTACGTTTTGGGGAGTTGCGGTATCAGGTTCAGAATGAGGGCTGCTCGTTTTAGTGAAGGCTGCAAAATCAGAAGGAGCGAACTGGGGACGTACTGGTTTTTCCTGAACCAAGAAAGCCGGTAATGATGGTTATTGGGATCTTCCTTATCATGTTGACGAGCGTTCCAAAAGGGCAAATGAGTGACAGGGCGGTAATGTTGGAATTCAAGGACGATTCACAGATGGACAGGTTCAGAGGCGGATCTGCTGGTGGGATGTTGAGCGCACGTGTCGGCGCTTGCTTTTTCTGGCCTCGAGTGTCTAGAACGAGCCAGGGTCCCCTCCACTCCGCGTCGCGGGGTCCGAATATATGACATCATCGCTCCTCACACTTGAATATGGTACCTGTCACCGTGCCAGTGAAGTCGCGATGCGCACTTGCACTATGTAAGCGGCGTTGCCAAGAGGCCATCGAAGCCATTCAAGTTTGTAGACGTTTCAAGCGCCGCGGCAGTACATACTTAAATACCTGCTTTTCTTATCTCTCCTCCAACCATCACTCCTACCTTCACATTTGACCTACACACACCTTTTCAAACAGCTACCTATCCACAAACCCTCAATCAGCAACAATGGACTACGTCAACAAGCTTACTGGAAGCGGCGAGCAGCAGACTGGACAGCAGCAAGCTTCCTCGTCGGAGAACAAGCAAGAGGGTGGCTTCTTGAGCGGCATTGGAAACAAGCTCAACAACGCTGCCGGCGGCGGCGCCGAGGGAGAGAAGAACGAGGACATGCTTGACAAGGGTGAGAGCTGCCTCTACATATACCGACGACTGGTAACAAACCGTGTATTGACTGAATCTAGGTGTCGACTTTGTGCAAGAGAAAGTCTTGGGTCAAGGTCCTCAGGACAACGAGTCCGCTCTTGAGCAGGCCAAGGACGAGCAGGTCAGGCACTCCCCTTAGACATTTCCTGTACAAAACCCAAGCTAACAGCCCAGTAGATCAGCGACTACATCCGCTCGAGCTACAAGTCCGCCACTGGAAGCGATGTCCCCATCAAGGACAAGCCCACCACCTTCGACAAGAACTAAACTACACGACTCACGCAGTTGAGGCGTTGGAACATGCCACACATGAGTTTATGAACAGTCAGCGAACGGCGTTTCTCGGAGTGATTGGTAGCAAATAGCCCTGGGTCAACGAGCAAATGAGCTTAGGGTATCAATAATGAATTAATACTTTCACGCAAAACCTTCTCCCTCTAATGTATGGACACAATTGCGTAACAGCTTCATGAGTTGTGTTTGTATCATGCCTCCGGCCGGAGTAGCTACATGTTTGCCAGCGCCCCAGCCAAATGGAAGCACCAACCTCCGTCGTGCCTGTGAATCAATGACAACGATTGCATCCAATGGATGTTCTCCTCCACCCAACGGGTGCAACAGACCCAGACGTACGAAATGGTTATAACTGGGGCCGACTGCTTGGACTAGAGGGAGCGAGAAAGGGGCAGATGAGGAGGGTGTGTGTATTGCGGGGTCGCGGCAGAGCACAAGAGCTTGTAGAGAGGGTGACATAGCATACAATTCAGGTAGCACGGCACTGCAGGTATGGTATTAGCGTCGTACATCCATCCCAGCGGGCACGAAGATGGGTAGCTTGCCAGAGTAAGTCATAATGGAGCTGGATTGATCCTTGCACACAAAGCACAATGATTGAGTTGCTCTTTTGGTACTTGTCCACGTTGCAGTGCGCCTTAAGGGAGCTTCCTGGCGGTGTTGCAAGCGTGGGAGATGCCAGAATACTTTCTACATCGATATGCCACGCTTCTCCGGGCTTGATGGTATCCAGCTCGTCCAGCTCGCCCTGTGTCCTCGATCGCTTGAGGGAATCGCTGCATGTGGATAGCGTGGGTGAAAGTAAAGGCGGGTTGAGCCTCCGCTCGTCGTCACCATGATCGTCGTCGTCATCGTCGTCTAATGTGAGCCGCGATCGTTTGCGATTAAGTGCCACGTCCATGGTCCATAGCGGAGTGGCGAGAGTGACCATGACCCCGACCAACTTCTGCCGTTTTGTCGAGACGGGAGGATAACCTGCCTCACCACCCAGCAGCTTTCACCGCAGCCGAGGCAACTAGGGTCCAAGCGTTTTAGGTGCCTCTGTTCCTGACCTTTAACCACCTCTGGCGCTAAACCCTATTCACCACCCCGCAACCCATTTCAACCGTCCGCCGTCTAGAATCAATGGCCTCCCACGACAGCATCACCAGTCGGGTGCGCCAGCAAACCTGGAAGGGCAGTATTCCACTCGAGATACGCCTGCACAAATCCGACTGTAGAACCTACGATGATTCAGATCCGTATCTGGTGAGTCAACATGATTGGAGCCTTGCGCTCTTCGTAAATACACATCTGCGCACGGTGAACTGATAATCAACATAGATACAATTCCCTAGGCTCTCATATTTAGGCTTGCTCTTACACAAATTACATGCCTTCTTTTCAGATAGACTGATATATCCCGACGTCTCTCCAGCAGACGCATGGCTTGAGTATGAGGATGTGCCTTTGAAATGGCACTATCCACTTGGGCTGCTTTACGATTTATATTCGGGGGCAGAACCAGCTCAACCTTCAGATCCACTGGACGGACCACCTCCAGAAATAGAGGGAAACGATACCTTACCATGGAAACTGACACTTCATTTCTCCGAGTACCCGGTGGATCAGCTTGTCAAGCTCGACACCGAAAACAAACACCTCCATGATATATTCATGAACAACGTCAAAGAGGTTGGCCGCTCCCGACTTTAGTTGTATCGCTATTAGACGCATACTCATCAAGATATAGGCTGATTACCTTCGCAATGGCACCGGCAAAACCGTCATGTTCCTCAGCAAGGAAGACTCGACTCAGTTATGGAACTCGGTCGAACAACACGACTTTGCCCTCTTCAACCCCATCAATCAGAAACTTCTCAATCCTCAAGGTGTGAATCTCAGGCATATGCCTGTGAAGCTCTACCTCCCCCATGCTGCCACTTCAGGTCTGGACACGGTCAATGAAACCGTCAAGGAAGGCAAACAGAGTGCTCCGGGCTCATTGCGAGTCGTGCAATCACTCATCACCCCTTCACTATCATCACGTAAGTAAATCAGAGCTCCATTCACAGAGCTTTTGTATGGCTAACCAACCCAACCGATGCAGGCCAACCTCAAACCATCGGAACTGCCCTGAACCAGATCATACCCACCCTGTTTCCGAGTAGACGGAGCTCACTCCTGGCACATGCTGTTCTTCATGGGGCTGTTCTCCCTCTGGGTGCTAGTGTAGAGGAGTTGATACGTGCAACGTCGTATTTAGATGGCTGGTTGCACATAGCGATTATCATGATGTGATGAGCCGCCACTTGTGACCACCATCATCGAGACGGTCATAGACGGGCCATAAGATGATCTACATGCCACAAGTAGAGATATCCATCGAAACCAGTTTTCTTTTTTCGCCAATCGCGGTGTTATACTCGACAACATGCCAGCGCTACACAGCTTGGTGAATCACGATCTAGATAGCTGTGTAGCTTCAGGAATAAAGACGATTGCAACACTGGGAATTTGAACACTTTGCAAGGTCAATATATATATGCAAACGCTGTCTATGAGCTAGGTTCTTTTCGCCTTGGAATTCAAGAAAATTGGCGCTTTCCCATCCCGTCCAACCAACCACGTATCAATACCCGGAAACAGACAATGCGCTCCCGCCTCCCCTCCCCCACCCCTACATTCAAGTTTATCTAGAAATCCCGAAATCCTAATCGTTGCCTCACATAAAAATTAAGATATGACTTTCAGCTCTCCACAGACCATAACACACACACCAAAACGCGCCATCCATCGCAAAAGAAGCCAATGCCAAGCCCCCAAGCAAGGCTTCCATATAGGCAAAGATGCGATGGCAAAGCAAGAAAAAAAAGAAGAGGAATAGAGGAAAACAATGTGGCTGGCTGGCTGGCTGCCATAGATTCGAGTCTGACGTTACGCCCCGCATAAGGAGTAACGCCCTACATGCTTGCGAGGAAACCAGGGTGTGAGATTGGATGGTTAATGCGAGTGGCTGGAGCTGTGAGATGATTTCTCGATTTACGTAGACAATAGCTTTGGCTTGTCCATTGGATAGAAAGAGATGGGAGGTTTTCTTTTGGATAGGCGAGCACCTGGGTATGTACCTAGGTATGCATTATATGAGAAAATGTTATGCGTCAGTTGAGATACCTACTCTAATATGCCACACCACATCCCACTCTATGGGGAATAAAAAGAAGGAAAACAAGAGAGATGATGCCACCACGCGCGCAGACCAAAAAAAAAAAAAAAACGACGAGAGACGTGCCAAGAGCAGTGAATGGCAAGCATCAACCGCCCCAAAATCCATCCATCACGGGGGCGGAGTTAGTAGAGAAGCCGATATCGTGCGTTTCCTCGTGTCTATCCAATAGCGCAATCGACAAGATGTCGAAATGCTGACGGGATAATCGATGACCGCAAATCCCTCGGCAAGCAATTCTTAAATTAGCACAACAAGTTTGCTACTTATATAGTGTAGGTAGTAGGTCATCCAAACGGGGCGCTCTAATTAATTGATGACGGATCACTAGTTGACCAGGCGAGAAGAATAGGCAGGTCATTCGTTTCCTATCCGACGTGGGCGGGGCGAGGCGGGGGCGGGCGGTTGCTGACGGCGAATGATGATGATGATAGTGAGGATGATGATGAGGTGAGATTGGGAAGGGAAAGAGTAGTCAGGGTCATGTAGGAAGTTTACTGGATTAGGAAGTCGAGTCCAAAACGGTGGGATGGAAGGAATTAGGTGGGGGTATTTGGAAGGGTGGGGTGGATACTGGGTTGAGGTTTTGTGTGGTTTTGGGGATGGGGATGGATAAAGTATTCAGATGTTGGGGATGGAAGGTCGCGATGGCTGACTTTTTAGATCGAGGCAAGGTTTAGTGTGGAGTTGTATGAATTATAATGCTGATGATATTTTCTGCTGTAATAAAAATGAAAATAAATGGCCTATAAATAACATAACATAAGGTATCTACGAAGGCGACCGCAGTAGTTGAAAACGTATACAGGTTATACATAACTGATGGCGTGTGTCGCTAGCAGACGCAGACAGGGGAGGAACAGACACAACAACTACATGTCTTTTTGTCCTGACCCACTTCCAAGACGCCGTGCCATGACTTCCGAAAAGCAAGATGAAAGTCTTGCCAGAAGCTTGCGGTGTCGTAGTCTTAAGAATCCGAGAATTTTGGTTGTCAGGAAAAAAAAATAGAGAACAAAAGGACTCCTGGAAAGGGGTTGGCTAAACCCATGCTATACAAAGGGAAAAAAGTCACATCAACGACGCTGACGATGCAAGCTGTGTACTCGTAGGAGAGAGACGATAGCACAAAGGAAAGAGAAATAAAACGAAACGTTTGCGAACGAGATACTCATGCTGGCGGACCGTTCTGGTGCGCATGGGATGGCTGCACTTGCAGCATGGGAGCCACAGGTAAATACCCGTTAGATTGCTTCGCGTTGTCAAGCTTGACCCATTCGACCAGTTTGTTTGCGAGTCTTTCGCAGCGGGGATCGACGTGCGAGGTCCAGAGGTACGCTACGCCGTACAACATGGGCCACCAGACAATGCTCCACATCAACAGAGTGGCGTGGCCAGGGTATTCCAATCGTGTGATTTCTGGCTCGTTCTTGTCGTTCATGTGCGCAGGCTTCGTGTGAATGCCGTAAAGCATCCATGCCAGCACTGTCTTCATCATGCTGTGGTGGAGGAGGTACACTGCGAAACTCATACGGCCGAAGAAAAGGAGGTATTTGGTGCTCAGAGCCCTCTGCAAGAACGGACTAAGAGCAATGCCTAAGCTCATGAAGATGAGACCGATGCTGCTGCTGAAATGGCCGTAATCGGGATCTTTCGGTAGGATGGCTGTGAAAAAACTGTGTAGGTTGCGAGACCAAGACATGGCTTCGATGTTGGCTTCGGGGTACGAGGCAATATACATGCCAAAGACAATGTTGATGGTCGAGACGATGGGGGCAATAATAGGTTGGGTAGAGAGGAAGGCGTTGGTCCAATCGTCCATCTGGAACTCAGCAAGGAAGATGCCAAAAAAGCCCAACAGTCCAAAGAGTGCTGATCAAACAGTTAGCATTACTTTCTGACGCAGCAATCCATCTCTACCATAGAAGCAAACTTACAGTCACTGGACAACCAGTAGAAAGCAACCATTCCCAATGCACACAGCATGCGAGCACGATTCTTGATGTATGCGGTCGCAACGAGGAAAACGTAGATGGCTGTACTTTCTTGCAAAAGCGGTAGCATAGTCCATTGAGCGGAGTCGTAGTCATTCTTCCTTCTAGTCCACGTTGCCGTAATCTCCTGGATTAACTTGTTCAAAGCAGGGAACAGGCTTCCGATTCTCGGTTGGCTCATGACATCGAGGTAGAAACTGTCGGTGTGTTTTGCGATGGTGTACAGTCCCGTCTCGACAAGTAGCCAGACTACAACTGTCGCAAAGGCTGCAGGGAAAAATAGACGCGGAAAGCGGCGTAAAGCGGATTTCGAAATAGCAATGAAGGCGGATTCTGGATTGTCCTGGCGGTACAGCTTGATGGGCTTAAGGGCACAAACATAGCCGGTTACGAGAGCGAAGATGGAAACACCAAGGCGACCTTGGAACAGTAAACGGACAAAAGGTAGTTGGTACCATGCTGGGGATAGAAATTCTCCTTCGGTTTCTGCGTTGCTGGCAGCGGCGAAAACCTCTCCAACGAAAGCGCGAGAAAGATGGGAAAACACGACGGTTACGGAGGCGAGACCTCGCAAGCCCTTTATCGAGTTAGCCGTTGGTTCCCATGGACATTCTTGCTAGGGTGTTGAATCGAGTAGGCGCAATGGTGGAAGAAAGCTCTTAATCGTATGAGAGATGAAACGACCAATTTTCAGAATGTTAAGGGAGGTATTGGTGTTGGTGTTGTAGTCTGACGTTGGGATGAGGATATTGTGACGGGTGCTATAGATTGCGACGCGCTACGAGAATGAGACGGTTTCGAACTTACATCCACCCACTTGACATTGCCTTCCTGGCCGATACCCATGACGAGGACTTTTTTTTAATAATCAAAAAGATATGTTTGATGTTGAAGATGATATACACGAGGTGAAAAGGTATTGAACCATGCCTAGTTCCGCATTAGCCTTACATCAGGTTACTTGTCTTCCGCAAGGTTTGAGATGAAATCACAGGCCGCGGCACTCTGGAAAGCCAGTGGCAGCAGGGCATTCCATGGTGACATGCAAAAAGATGCGAGAGGACGTAAGGGATGGAAGACGTACGAACAAAAGACGATGGTGGCTGAACAATGGAGGGGAGATGGGATTATGGCGATGGAAGGTGGCCTTGTTGGGGGTGTGGCGCGGATTTTAAGGTAACGGAGGCCGGGTAACAGGCAAAGCGGTCCAGAATGCAAGCAGATTTTGATGCAGTCGTTCAAGGAAAGGACGCTGCGGATTCGAGTCCTCAGCAGAGTCGCAAAAGGGGGATGAAGGTTCGTGGAGAGAGAGAGGGGACGAAGGTTGTGGAAGTGGAAGGTCGGACGACGAAGAGGCGTCGAGGATCACAGTAGCATCCCCAGAAAGCGTATGCGCCGGCGGAGCATGGTATTTGAGAGGTGGATAGGCGCCAGATTATGGCTGGTGCTACAGGGGGCTGTTGGCTTGGGCCGCGTCAAGAAGTGCATGAAAGAGCACAGGTCCCTCACAAGTCGACGATCCACAAGCCGGAGCCTGTGCCGGAAGGCCTGTTGCTGGCTTGCAAGGTGTGCCGGCTACCCGTCGATCACGTGCCGTCTGGAAGATGAAAATACTTGAGGCTTGAGTGCTACATGGACTATTACATGTATTCATATGACATGTCAGGCATGGAGCCGCAGCGCCACAGCACGTCTCCACCGCGGTCGTCAGCATCACTATCAGGCACTGGCCAAAATAGAACAATGCCGATGTATCCCATGCCCGTCAGCTCGTTGCTTGGTGGTTTTTCTTCCGTATGCTACCAGATCCAGCCAAGCTACAGCACCAATACCGACAACACTGGCTGGCTGAATGCATGTACTATCCATCCTTCCCCAGCCCTTCTGGTGGTCTGCATCGTATACGTGCTTAAGCATTTATATGCGTACATCAATACCAAGACCGCAGCAACACCCTCACGTAGTATATAGATGACTGATGGACATGTGCCCGCCATCAACCGCGTCCAAACACCAACCCCCTATCTTGCTTCATGTGCATATGTGTGTACATGACACACGCTGTATTCTCCCACATACCAGATACCTGCCCGTCGGGCGAAATGCCTAGACCGCACGGCAACGTATGGCCTTCAATACGTGTACCTCTCCCCCAATCATCACCATGTCCCCTCGTCGGGTCTATCTACCCCCCTGCCCACCGCCCATTGCCCACACGCGATGCGAACACCATTCGCGCAAACGCACAAGCATCCACACGTTCAGTGCACCCGCCCCACGCTCTCTATTCCATCGTTGCGCTTAATTAAAACAACCTGACTGGTTCGCCTCTCAACTTTCGCCTCTCTCCCTTGAAAGAACAATATTTCGTCCAGCCGAAAAGCGACCAGAAAGAGAAAATCAAAGGGACGCGCAAGCCAGCCATCATCTCCCCAACGTTTTATTATCCTATCGCATTTACACGGCGTGTCGTGTGCTGCTCTCGCCCTGTTTCGCTGCATGTGAGGTCACGATTCAATAGCCTTGGGACAATAATATAAACGATCTAACGCGAAATAAACCCCCTTGACCACGGTCCCCTTGGTATGGCCTTCTTCTATCCCTCCAACTTCCCTCTCAAGCATTGATGCATAGGCAGCCAAGCAGGGGAAAAGAAAGGGAAACAACGGATACGTTCTCATAGCTAAAACTCGAGAAAGATATCCGCATAATTGACCAACTCCAGACCCGTGGTTCGCCAAACCGTTGCCTTTTCCCCACATAGATGAAGCAACTCGGGGCTATTTCATCATGGCGTTATTTATATATCTGACACAAACACCTCTGTTTGACACACAACCCGCGGGCATGACACCGGCGAGACAAATACACAAGACTGTCGCGAAGACAATTTGCAACACGAAGGGGAAAAACCGGGAAACGGCCAGCAGAGCCTCTTCGAAATCATTCGACTCTTTTTTTAATTTGCATCCCCCCCATCTCGCACTTCCCTGTTTTTCTCTCTTCCCGCACAATAAACTTGATTACTGGGAAATCGACCATCAAACGTTGTGAGCAAGTAACTTTTCCTCCTGTTCTTCTTTCCCCCTTTTCTATCTCCATTCTCGTTTTGCCCCTTTGCATACACATCCAATACACACATAGATGCATACCTGGCAGACCCGCGTCCTACACCTCCCAAGCAGGAAGGATACGTGTGATCACACCCTTCAAGCAAAACAAGCTCTGCCGAACCGCCTTGGCGACAAAGGAAAAGGAAAAAAGATGTGGCACCTCGAGCCTAACGATTGCCAATCAACAATCTAACGCGCCTCGCTCGGCCGGCCGTTCGCCCCCTGACCGTACATAACGTAGCATCGACAAACCAATCCCCATGTGACGCCAACAAGCCCAAAAACCAATACTACGAGCAAGCCTCGTTTCCCCCCTTCGTAGGATCGAAACGAACACAACAACGAACGGTAGGATTCTCAACCTTGATACCCATCTTTATTCTTTTTGCGCCACACCGTCTTATCATTCGTTTCGCTCGTTCCGCTTTATCCATTCCGTAAATGCCTTGGTCTGTCGAGCAGCCCACTATCCGAAATAACATTTTCTTTCAATTCCCCCTTAAATATACCCCACTAATAACCCCACAACCAAGAGTAAAGCGTACGTATACATACACGTACACGTATAGCGTTGTAGAGATTATCACGCGGCGCGGCTTGCTAGACTATACGCGCAGTACAAAGTATAAAAAATAAGATAAATGATTATAGATAGCAGTGACATGCTCAAAGCCAAAGAATTAACAGCAAATGAACTGTGTTCACACGCGGTCCAGCCATGCGCGAAAGAGACGGTGCGGGAAAGTATAGGAGAGATATCTTAGGGGGGAGAGGCAGCCTTGCTTTTCTCTCTCCAAGGAACCTTATCCCCGAGCTCATGCCTTGCCTTGCCTTGCCGACCCGCCCGCTCGCCCCCATCCGCCCCAAAACCGCCAACAACTCGCCAAATACGACAAAATAAAAAGCCATGTATGCACGCATGCAGGTTGGCATGGCCTGGCATACGACATGCACAAAAAAATCGAGCTTTTTGCTTGTTTACTTGTATTGAAGATGGATTTGCATTTGCTACCTAAGGGATCGAGAGACGGAATGTGGGGGCGATCTTAGCGCAGTGAGGGCACTTACGTATGTACGTGAAAGGCTAACAATGATGGAATAGGGGAGGTTTTAGCTGCATAGCGTAGCGTACGCGGACTGCTATGTATATACTCACTGAACGTAGGTAACCCGACTGCTTGTCCTACCATTATATGTGCGCGTAGGGAGTGGTTAGATGTGTAAACAACACCAATGGATGAGGTATAAGTAAGATACAGGACGATATTCATATATAGGTAGGTCAAGAATCACTTCAAGGGCACACAGAATTGCTTTCGTCTGGATACGACTTTTTGATTTCTTGGAAATGCTTTTGGGAAAAGGGAATCTATGGATTACAGTGGATTTTGAGTGGTAGTGGACATGCCAGGTAGATCTACTTTGTACCGACACATGGTTTTCGTATCAGATTCAAGCTCCATCAAGTCTTGTTGGAATTGCTTGTTGGCGTGCTGTTACTTCATAGTCTTGAATCAGTAACTCACGATCGAGGCGAATGCTGCAACGATGCTTCAGCAGCTCTCCAACCGTCTAGTAGGGCACCGTGAACCATAGCAAAATGATCCTGAGAGCAATGTTCGCCGGCAAATCGAAGTACGCCGCCGAATTCGTTGATTATAGGCTCCTGCAAGACCTTTCTGTGTTTGGCTTCGGACAAACCGGTGATGTAATGGCTGTAAGAGCCTCTTGAATAAGGGTCTTGTGACCACCGTGTGACATGTATGGCGTTTGGCGCTGGCGGCTCAATGCCGAACCACTCGGTAAGAGTACGATGGAATAGTGCACCGATGTCTTCATCGGCCATTGCTTCAACTTCGGTGGCGGTCTTGCAGGAGACAAAGGTGCAAAGCACGGGTTGACCGGTCAAACTGTGCAGATTCATAACCGGCGTTCTATATACACCGGGGGAGACAGAGCCATTGCGGTCGATGAAGATGCCGCCCAGCCCGGAAGCAAAACCTAGAAATGAATCGGGCAATTCTGTCTCATCCTGTCCCTCCGTTTGGATAAGAATAGAGCGGTAAGGCTCGTCATTCCACCAGGGCGTAGAGTAGATCGCAAACACCTTATCCAGTGTCCCAAATCCAAGATTGTTGATGGCTTCTTGCTTGTCCTCTGGTAGATTCGGCACAAACAGTGCATCTGCATTGCTGTCTTTGAGTACGCCTAGGGGAAATGTGCACACCACTTCCCTCGCGGTGAAATCTCCACGATTTGTTTCGATGACAATGGGATTCCTGGCCCAAAAGACTCGAGTTATGACGGTTTCCAAAGTGATGGCGTCAGCATTCGCGAGTGGTTTAGCGAATTCGTCAACGACTGCTGTATATCCATCCTGAAGAAAAGCTTGTTCGCCATTGAAATAATCTACTGCGTATTCCAGTATGCCCACTCCAGGCTTGCTCTCAGGGCGTCTGGGCTCGGTGGATTGCGCAACAAGTGGAGCAGCTTCGATTCCTTCTATGCCCTGGAACAAAGCGCCTAGCGTGCGGTGGTATTCTTTTGGCACCAGTTCAAATGCACTCTGGAAAGCTTTTGTGCTTACCAAGAACTGCAAAACAGAAATGTTCTTTGCGAATTCTGCCGGAATGGAAGCAGAATCTTGCACAGCTTCCATTGCGCTTTGAGCGCATACAACTATCAACCCAGCCACACGGGTAGGAACCAACAAGCTGCCGCCAGTATGTGTATCATCCTCTTCACCTGGTGCTCTGAATAAAACAGATCCTTCCATCGGTCTATATCGCTTGTTTGGAAGGATGTCCATGAGCGGATTCGGTCTCTCTGCGTCTCCGGTTCCGTGGATCCAGTTCGCGCCAGTGTCCAAGCGACAATCCTCAACATGAACAGAAGCTATGCGGCCACCAATGCGGTCACGGGCCTCAAGTACTTGCAGTTGGTTGGCCTCACTGATATTGCCCTGTTCTTGGAGTAGTCTGGATGCGAATGCGAGTCCCGAGATTCCTGCACCGAGAACGATCGTGTCATAATGCACTGGGTTTCTAACTTCGGTTCCACGTCTATTGGCATCCATGGTTGAGTCGCGTTTTCTGAGTGAGTATAGATGTCCAGGATAACTTGCTGAGCTATGTTGATTTTATAATGTTTATGTAGTGGTGATTCTCCAACACATTCACCCCCGCTACCGACATAGCGGGGCAGCGGGAGGCCGTTGTTGACGCTTTTCATGCATGGAACTTTGCTAGCGCAGTGTAATCGGTGCTACATTCGTTTCACACACGGGCGGTGTATAGCAGAGACGCAGTGCCTAATTACGTATTTACAGCACTCGAGGCACATCGACTAGTCAGAATATAACTGCAGAGATAGGTCAGCTCGTGCCGCGCGAGGGAATCCAAGTTACGCCAACACCCAAAAGGGTCGGACTGTCGAACGATATCTCATTTAAGGTGATACCCTTCTCACTTTCTAATTCCACCGGTGTTATCAGTTTACTAATTAAGACTTCGTCAGACCTGAAAGTTCCTTGAGACTACTGGTACGAATCAAAGATCCTTCGTCAGACCTGAAAGATCCTCGAGACTACTGATACGAATCAAAGATCCTTCGAAAGTTCTATCAAACTTCGCCACAGTCGTGTCACTGTGTGCCAAAGTCCCTCACATCATTCTTGAGCCCGTTATCTCTGTGCAACCTTTCTGGATATTGCCCAAGCCGATATCAGTAATCTCTCCATTGAGCCTCTTGATATCTCGATCTCTTCTGACATTCATACCAGATCATCCTACAAAAAAAGCTTTCAAAATTTGCATCATCTGCACCATGACTTCCATGCAGCAAGATCATGTCGTCCTTCTTGTGGATACATCTTTCTTTGAGAACCTCCCAGCCTGGGTGACTGACAACTTTACAGTCACCCCTGGCGGCTACCACGACGGCCAGGTATCTCGCAACAAACTCGTCATCTTTGCCGACGGCAGCTACTTGGAGTTTTTCAACTGGTACGACACACCACCATCTCTCGACAACGAGAAGCTATCCATGAGATTCTGGGGACCCAAGAAACCAGGCCTGATCGACTTTGCCATCACTTCCACACGCCAAACTGCCGAGCAATCGGTCGAAGCCGTCAACCAGCACTTACGCGATGTCCCCGGACGCGATGCAGATCTCGGCGTCAAGTTCGGCACGCCCATCCCCGGCTCACGCAAGAAAGCGGACGGCGTGGAAATCAAGTGGAAAGTGACACGCCCGGACTTTTCCACGGGCGCGAAGACGCCTGGTCCAGAGCTGTTCGCCGACGGCAGGATCGATGTCCCGTTCTTCTGCCACGATGTCACCCCGCGAACAGACAGAGTCCCGAGTCACGACCAGAACAAGACAACACATCCCTGTGGAGCCACCGGCATTGCTGCCTGCGAGATCCTGGTCCCCAAGCATCTACTGGCCGAATATACTCTGGTGTATTCCAAGATTCTGGGCTTGCAGCCGGAAACTGCCGCTGGGCTGAGCTCGCACTCCCTCGATATTGGTGTGCCCCAGGGCTCTTCTCGCTCCGTCGTGGTGGTGCGCGCTGCTGAGACTGAGCAGGACGTTAGGCGTATGCAGGAGCGGGGAATCGGGTTCTCCGATTTGGTAATAGCTGTTAAGCCTGATGGCTCTGGTCGCGAGACGAGGCGCTCGCTGGGCTCCGCTGGTATCGAGTCCACCATCTGGCTGGAGGGTTCAGGCGGAGCTTGATTTGCATGCCAGCAGAGAGACATGTATGCGGTGAGGGATTATCATAGGGCACATCATGTCAATGTAGAAACCCTGCGTACATGAATACTAATCTAATCATTCTTTCGATACAATATTCACTTTGCAAATCCTAACCCCGAAACCTGTCATCTATGCAGAACTGATCCATCCACCTACCTCCCCAATTAGACCTCGACATGTTTCAATGTTGGCAGATCTGAATCGAATTTTGTTTGTTTTTGATTGGAGAGGGAGTTAATGCGGGATTGGATTTCCATTTTCGACAGAGAAAAAAAGATAGAAAATATTTTTCAAAAGGATTATACACGGATTCTATTCCCCTCACACTGTTGGATCAGCCCCTCTCATCCGCTTACTTGCTCTACATATGGTAATGAAGGTATCACAACACCTCGTTTGCCTCGCCATCCCGCCGGAACCAACCGACAGCAGGGCTTAGTACGGGATGCCGTTAGTAATAAGCTGGAACCTATCATACTCCCTGGTACTATAACTACTGGCGCTCTTCCTGACCAGCTCCCTCATATAATCCGCAGCCTCGCGCTCGGTGCGCTCGAGCACGAAGCGATCGCGGAAGTTCTGAATCGTCTCGGGTTTGAAGCACGGCAGGCCGCTGTCGAGCATGACCTGGACAACGTGACAGAGGTGGTTGCAGTGCTGACGGGACGCGAGGAAGGCTTTTACGGTGAGTTCCTCGAACCAGCGGAAAGGCTGCGAGGTTTGCGAGCCGCCCATGACGGCGATCATTTCGCGGGTGAGCTTGAACGGAGCGCGCTCGAATTTGACGCCGCCGGGGGCAATGTCGAAGCAGAAGCCGAAATCAATATGGATGAGATGGCCGGCGTCGTCGATCATGATGTTGCCGTTGTGGCGGTCTTTGAATTGCAGCAGGAACGAGATTACGCTGTAGGCGGCCATGCTTTTGACAAAGTTGCTGCGCGCTTCTTGGTACCGGATCGAATCTTCGTTGCCGTATTTGGAAATGAAGTAGTCGTCGAGGCGGTTGACGGCCTCGCGGCCGAGCATATCGCGGGAGATGGAGTTGGGTAGCACGTCGATGACGCCGCAGCCCGGGGCTGTGGCGGTGACACGGTAGGGGAATACCCACACATCTAGGCCGACGTTGTTGAAGATTCCACGGAATGCTGCTATCATCTGGAGCGCGAGCACGTCCTGCCTGCAGTCATCGCCCACCTTGAAAATGGCGGACTGCCACACTTCGTACGTGTTGGGTTTCGCCGAAACAACACTGCTATTGGAAGCCACCGCAGCACCAACTTCATCTTCTTGTTCCGAGTCGAACTTGGATTTCCGGATACGGAATGTGGCCATGAAAGGTGTCTTGGCGTGAGATTGCAGCGGTTTGCCGGACTTCCGGTCAATTCCAATCACAACGCCGTCTGGGTTACTCGGGAGGTACACGCCCACGTCAACGTTGATTTTCCGCAGCTCCTCTTCAATCATCTGCTTCTTCGCTTCTTTTGGTTCATGCAAGATTGACCGAAGTGTACCAGATATGCCAGTGACTTCATTGAAGAATGCGAATTCCCGTTCGTAGAACTCTTTGTCATACTGGCTGAAGCTGGCAATCAGACTATCTGAGACTTTATCGAGGGTAGGCTTGACAGAGTCAGGCTGGAACATGTTAGTACTGTACATGAGTTTTGAACCAAGAGGGGATGCTTACCATCTCGAAAGTGTCCCCCTCGGCCTTGTAGGCGTTCGCTTTCATATTCCATATGATCTGATGGGCGAACAGCTGAGAAAATCTTGCCGTCTCAATAATGTACCTCTCGACATAACCCAGAACATCATATCTTAGCGCCTGTACAATCTGCGAGACGTAAAAAAACGTCACATCCACAGAGTGACTTTCCAGTGCTCTCATGGCGTACTGGATGATGAACGGGTGGTTGCCATAAGATGGCAGGAAATATGTCACGGTGGTGATGGGATTCAAGGGAGCCCAATACATCAAATACTAGGTCACGTTAGCTACGAGTCACTCACCACATATTTTGGTATCGTACCTTAAGCTGGAAAGTAACATCGTTGGGAAGCCCGTTTCCAAGCAGAATTTCGAGAGCATCAGGTTCATCCAGAACCTTATGAGGGAAGTTGAGCACTTGCCACCGAACCTCGGTATTCAAGCGTTGAGACTGGAACCGCTGAGCGAGATGTACAGCAATAGCAGGGTTCTCGTCCCACGCGGTTTTTAAATGCGCCGTTACGGTGGCCTTCGACACAAAGTTAGCCTCATTCACGTTGCCGTATCAATGAGCAACTCACCTCAGCCATCGTCTTATTATGCTGTCCAGAAGTGAAGTGATGCTTCTTGCCATAATCAAGAGGGAACAGCCAAACCATTAGGCGTGTTTGCTCATTGGATATAAGCAAGGAAAGAAGATCGTGTTTCGGTTTTAGAGATTTCAAGGAGCCTTCTGACTTGGAGGCCATGTTCCCAACCAGTTCAAGGTGAGTTTGAACGTCGGCCAACACATGGGTCTCAGCCTTGATCTGTAGACGATTCCCACCAAAAGACCACCTACATGATTTTAGTAAACGTTTTTGTAAAACAAAAGGGATTGGTCATACTCTGGAGCTTTGGCAAACCACGCCAGTCCGGCTGTAAGAATGCGGTCTGTTAGGCGCCATATAATCGCTTTTGGCAAAGTCGTGCAATGACGGACTACACGCAAACCTAAGAGAATGATATGGAAGTAAGCTTCCCGGGCGAGCGGTTGTTTGCAGCCCGTTTTGAGAGCATCGAGGGTAACATGCATCATGCGGCTGTACACGAGCTCTATATCGGGATTTCCAAGCCTAGATGCACTAAAATGGCTGGATAGAAATTGTAGGAGCCGGTAATGCGGTGCGATAAGGTTGTAGATATGCTGCTGGTGTTTCGAAAGAGTCGGCTTATCTGTCGGGGCAAATTCCTGCCTTCCATAGAATGGATCGGGATGTCTATTCACATGTCAGTAGTGAGCCATGTCTACCCGATTCATATAGACATACTGTAGGGCAGGGCTGAAGATACCCCGGCGCTTGTGCACAGCGCTCTCCCAATTCTCAGCAATCGCCACTAGAATACGGGACTCCATCCTAGGGTTCTCCTTGATAACGCTCATCCACAGCGAAATACCCAATTTGATGGATTGTTTGGAGAACACAGCGAAGGGGATGCCAACTAGATGACGGACCAAGGAAGATTGATCCGTCTTCACTCGACACAGAAGAGCGGATGCTCGACGAAGAATATCACGCAGCTCGGCAATGGTAACACTGCCGTGACTCAGCGTGCGACTTTCCAAATCAACAAGTAGTCTGGTAGCATCGTTGATACTGCGACTGAAGGCCGAAGGCTTAGACTCCACGCCATCATCCTGTCTAAGCCATTCTTCTTCTTGATCATTCTGGCCATCCACGAAACGATACTCTTGGCGCGTGGTGTACTGTGCAACAAAGTCTGACGCTATGTTGATGTTGATGCCTTGACGCTCAATAGCACCCAGCCTCTGATCAGTAGAGGGTATGACTGAGCCCATCTCTAAAGCAAAAGAGCGGCCAAGAGAGATGTGACCATATGCACCCTCGTCATCGTATTCCGAGAGGTACGTCTGGAGCAGACCTTTGACATCGAGAGGTGCGACCTCGATAATACCCGTAACCCATGCCACAGCTCGCTTGTGAAAGCTGTTCAGTGTGGCTCTCCGGAAGCTGTGGTTGTCTGAGAGTTCAACAACGATGTTTGACTTCTTGGATGAGAAGGTTGAGTTCCATGAGTACTCATCTGTTTCCGCTTCCAAGCAGCCAGACCACATGATGGAAAGCAATTCCAACAAAGCAAAGAGAGCACTCTTTTGGCACAAGGTGGAAGGTACATCACGAATGATGATGTCAGCACACGCAGTGGCTGCTTCTTGGACACGCGCAATGCGATGGCAGCAACCAGCAAAGATCGTTGCAAGTTGTTCTGCGAGATACGGCGTAGAGAAGGAATGCATTCGCCCAGATAGGGTCTTTCCCACATACGCCTTCGTGATAGTTGTAGCGATAGCGGACATGCAATTCCCTACTGGGCCACTGCGTAACTTGGGATCCATGAAGTAGGCTAGAGCTTTGGTACAATCGCCAGAACCAGCCCTGAGATTTTCGACAAGATACGCGGTATTCAAAAACACAGCCTCAGGGTAGCTGAGTGCCCGAACATCGGCTTCATTTGAAGGGAAAAGCTTCCCAAGACGTTTCTTCTGCTCAACTACATGCTCGGGGGTTTTCCCACGTCGTAGAACAGTGTTGAGCTCGATATCGCTCTCTACAAGTGAGGCTCGTTCTTCAGTTATCAGAGGTTGACTGAACTGTGCAAGAGTCATGAGTTCCTCCATGTGCTTTTTAGTAAGGGTGGAGTCGAGCTCAAAGCCGTGCACCACGATGTTAAACCAAGCATCCCGCTGCAAGCTAAGAACAGAATCGTCCAGTTGTGAAGGGTCTGTTTGCGCAGCATTGCGGGAGAGAAGCAGCGCTAAAGGTGAGAAGAGCTGAGCAATCTCTTGAGCAGCCAGTTCAGTGTCACGAACTTGTCGGCTATGTGTTTCTGGTGCATCTCCTTTGCTTACAATCGTGTCGAGCATCTGCATGAGAAACACTTCGAAAAGAGATGAATCTGAATTGATCTCCCTCGAAAGATGTAGCCGAGCTCTCATGACCTAGCTGGATGTTAGAAAAAATTGCGTCAAGAGGATCTGTCGTAATTACTTACAGCCTCCAATGTGATATGATCGTCCTTCGACAGAGCATCATGGCAGAGCTTGTTGTAAAGTTTAAGCAAGGCCCGGAACTCTGCGAGTCCACTATGAATTCCAAGCAGAGCAGAGTCTGTGATTATCTTAGCATCGACAGCCCTACTAACTTTGCCGATTTTTTGGATAAGCATGGACAAAGCTAGAGCTGTGATCTTCTCGTCCTTGCAGTTTCTGGCCACCGAGACAACAGTCTCAACAACGGTGGTATGCACATGATGCGGCTCTTCGATGTCGCTGGGTGTGAGCGATATCGTGCTGCCCAGCTGTTGCTGACTGTATATGGCACTTGCCCTTGGAGGTTTCCCATTGACATTTAACGCAGGTGAGCCTGCTAAGTTTCGATCGCCAACGGGAGTAGTACTGATGACATTCCCCAAGCTATATAACGTAGTAATAACTGCGTCTTGTGGCAAAAGGCTCAATACCTCAGCCAGGCAATCAGCAGCTACGGATGCTGTCCTGTTGTCGAAACCACCCTGTACAATGATTCGAGGGAGCGATCGTCCCAGATTAGAAGCCATAGTGGGTGAGGCTTTAGCCAGAACAACCATAGCTTTCAAGACGGTAGAGGCCAAAGTGAGATCTGCTGATTGTGCTGGATCATTGAGCGCTCCGTCTAACCAAGGCATTAAAGCTTCAGCATCCGCAATATCTTCATCGTAGATGGTGCAGCACAGATATGTCGTGATAACTTTTGCTTTGACTGAAGAAGCCAGACGCTGCTGCCATGCCGATCCTACTCGCTGAAGATAGTCTAAATCATCATCTAGTCGATCCATCTCTTCGACCGCAATTACAGCTAAGCCCTCGGCGAGCTTATCTTCCGATGCGTCTGCAATCGCCTTGACACTATTTGTCTTGGAACGAAGAGAATCAAGAATATTGTCCTTGGAATCGTGCTCGGGGATTCCAGCAAGTAGCGAAGCACAGGAGACCACAACTTTGAGGAACGAATCATGAAGAATCATTGCCCCGAGGGGTCGTCCGATAGCCGCATAACGCTTCGCATAGCGTTTCCATTCCTTCAACCCATATTGATGAGGTCGGGCATTGCGAACGATTGATAGCGCTGTCTCGAAGGCAATGGAGAACTTCTCGGTCAATGCTGCGCGGACCTTTTCAATGAGAGTGAGGCGATCATGAGGGCTCCAGAAACTGGCAAATTCAGCGCACGCGTCCAAGAATCCCAAAAGCGACATGCTCTGGGTCATGACATGCGCAAGCTCGCCATCGGTTTCAAAATCCACCTGATCCTCCTGGTCGAACTGCTCCTCCGCAAGGTCGACCGCCGATTGTGCCCAGCCCTTTACATATTGGACAATAACCCCTTGAGCTTGTGGCCGTAATTCTTCGTGCTGGATACCGAGTGAAAGGATCGCGTGGGTGAGGGCTTTGGTAAGGACCTCATACGGCGAGGGATCGATTTCGCGAAAGCCCAGCGAGGGGGAAAGTACCTGGGAGTACGACTCAGGCAGATATGGCGCAAGACGTTCGAGAAGCTGACCGGCAATTTCGGGGGATCGGATGAAAGGTGCTGCTTTACAAAGAGCCAGAACGCCCTCCAGCTCGGGGAGTTTCTATTGTCGTGTCAACAATCCACACGATATACGCACTATATATCACCAAGGTCCGGGAAACCCACCATCAAGGCATTGGGAGACGATGAGCCATTCTGTCGCCTCTTGATGCCATTGCGACACCTACGGTAAATGCTTTGCAGCTCCGAGGTCGTAGATTCAGTAGAAGACGGCTGTGTGGAAAGTTTCGCGAGTTTCTCGAGAGCATTTCGACGGATAGTGCGCCTGCATCTTGTGGTCAATTCTCGCATCGCAAAGGTCGAAGCCCATCTAATACATACGTCATGTTTTCGAAGTAGAGCAAAACCGAAGAACCCCTTACGTGCGGCTCTACGGTCCTGGTGTGGGGTTAGCTGTTAACGTTCGGAGACGGGTGACGAAAGACGTGTTCCCGGTCAACTCGTGCTAACGTGGCGCATAACTAGTGGCGGTGCATTCTGTGGGGGGGGTGTGAGCATGAGTGCAAGGTAACGAAATTGTATTCACAACTCAGGATAGCTCATTAAATATTATGATAGAAGACAAATCCATGAATTTAGGCTATTCTATGCCGCACGCTGATGCTCCATGCTGCCCAGTGTATCCAAAGTTTTAATGCAACAACAAAAAACGCCATGCTATGCTCAAATGCAACAGTTCTTCAAAGTCCATCCGTGCCTTCCATGATATCCTTGAGGATGTTACTACCAGGGCCGTTGAGTGAAGCGGCCAATTCCTTAGCATCTACTGAGCTTGCAACACGGCGGTCTTCAATAGCAACACCGCCAAAACCCCCGCCTCCCCTCCCTTTCCTGCTTGGAGTTCCGGTAGCAGCACCAAGGGAGCCGGCCTTCCCCTCGATGGCTGAGATGAGTGATAATGTTTCGAGACTTCCGACAATATCCCGAAATTCAGTGCTCGTCAGCGCATGTAAGATATTCTCTCGTTTACACAAGTTGGTGTATGCTTCAAACAGTTCCTTGATAGTCGGAGCGGTGCCTTGATTCTTAGACGGTGTACCGAAAATCTTGTCTGCTCCCGATGAGCGCCGCTTTTTTTCAATAGCAGAAAGCGAACAGAGCACTGCCTTCTGCTGGAGGTTAAGGTTTTGTAGGCGTTGCGTGGTTCCGTTGCTGAAAACAGCAGCAGTAATGCGTGCCATGTGAGCAATGGTGGCTCGGGGAGCATTCTCTGCAGTCAAACTGGACAATGAGGATGTGAGTGCTTGTTGAAGCTTTCCTTTTGAGGGTGATCGGATAGCCGGCGAGGAAAGATTGGTGTTTTCAATCAACGCTGTCTTTGATGGCGATGGTGTTGGGGATGGTGTAATTTCCATGGCTTTTTTAGCATGCTGGTCGCGGGTATCGGCTTCAACAAGATCAACTGCTCGTCGGCAAATGTCCAGTGCTTTGCGAAGATCTCCTGACTGGGCGGCCACTTTCTTCGATAGGAACATAACGGCCGTTGGGTGGATGAATGGAACATAATCTGTGCTGACCGCATTTAGGGACTTGAGCTTGGAGGTTATGACGGACGAAATCTGCGCGGCAGTGTACGGGAGAAAGGGGAGGAGATGTGGTTTGAGGCCGCGAGATTTGAGTCGAGGAAGGAAGCGATCGGTAAAGTCCAGTGCGTTCGCAATGCCGACCAAAACAAGACCGGTTGACTTCTGGAGAGACCACTCGAAAATGTTGTAGAGCAGGTCGATATCCAGTTCCAAGAGATGATCAACTTCATCGAGCGTGACCACGTATGACGTGTTTCGCTGTGAAAAGAGTTTCTTCAGCGTATCCATCTCCTCGCCTTCCACAACATCCGTAATATCAACAAACTCTTCCAACAATGTTCGGTACAAATCAGTCGCATTTTTTACACTCATACAGTTGATGTAACCGGTTCGAACGTGGGCATTGGATTCAAAATCGCGACACACTTCGCTCACAAAAGCGCTTTTGCCGGTACCAGGGGGGCCGGAGACATAAATGCAGCCAGACTTCTTCGATTTGACACGCGTTGAGACGAAACTATCGAGTTCCTTGCGTTCTTGCTCGCGGCCGAAAAGCACAGTAGGGGCAGAACCCCGGACGAAGAGCTGGCGGGCGTCATTGTAGACTGTGGGGGCGGCGTGACGGGGTGTGGTGGGAGTATGTGGTGTTCGAGGCGTCAGGGGTCGACCAGCGACTATCAGGCGATGTCTCGGTGTGACAGCGACTTTGTTGGCAAGTGCGTCTCTATGCCGTGGGGTAGAGGGAGTCACCGCCGGAGTTTGCTTCTTTGATGACACGGCAGGAGCTTTGACAGGAGAGTTGGTTTTGGCAGGAGATAGTGGAATACGGGATTCGAAGGCTCCATGCTTCGTGGGTGCCGTTCTGGGTTTTCGACCGCGCTTTCCAGAAGGCGTCTGCTCCTCCCCTGGGGAATCCACGTCCATCGCATCGCCATTGCAAGCAGGAGTTTTTTTGTTTGGAGTCACAAACGGGTTTGTGATCTCGCCCTCATCGTGAATTACGAATTGCGCCCGTCTTTTGTTGGCGGAAACAGTCTCGGGAGATTGTGCATCTGTACGCGTCAGTTGCGCGAACAGGAGGAACGGAGAGAATTGTGCTTACCGGATAGATTTGCAGCAGCAGCAGTAGAGCTGCGAGTTCTCTTTCCAAGAACTGTGGGAGGCATGGTAGACGAGGAAGGTCGGAGTAGCACTGCGGGAAGGGAGGTGTGAGGAAGGTGTGGTGCGGTAGACGGCGGTGGAGAAGGTGTGCTCGGTTGAAAGTAATTAAGAAGGAGGCGCGACGCGCCTCGACGCGCGACCGCGTTAAGTGGCACTAGCCCCTTAAGGCATCCCGTCTCCACTAACTATCCTCACTCATTTTCGCCGAACAGCCAAACCTATTGAAACACATGAAACATCAAACGCATCCTGGAATTAATCATCTTCCACTGGCAAGGTGCAATTGGTAGGTTAGAGCGACATGAGTTGATTGTACACTTAAAGTGAGCCCATCCCTGTGAACACCGTTCAACACAATCTGGAGCGTTTTACGATGCCAGGCACTCATGCAAACGGACAAAGCTTTACCATATACTGAGATTGTATTATACGACGTGACTGTAGTGTACACAAACTTGGATATACACGAAAAATGCATGCGTTGGTGGTGTGATGTCGTTTCCCAGCGTCTACTAGAGTAGACACAGCTCGCTCAATAGTGCTTCAGAGCTGCCCAATTCCTTCCACAAGCCTGTCCAAATCCACCTCCGCACCATCAGCCCACAGGCTCTTCGCAATGCGTGATCTAAATCAAGTTAGTTCTCGACGTTCAAAACGCAAAGCCAGATAGCGATGATACTCACATATTGCCCATCTTGCACGCTGCCATTGTCTCCTCCAGCTCCCTGCTTTTCCCTTCTGCAACATCCAGAACCTTTTCGGGTATCCGTGCCAGCCTCGCTACGTTCAATCCATAGCTGCGATGGCTCATGCCTTCGGTAGCCTCGTACAAGAATACAACCTCTTTCCGTCCGCCTCTTTCTTCAAATCGCATGTGTATGTTCTTCAACTCTTCGTTTGAGAATCGGTCTTGTAGTTTCGCCATGTGTTGATAATGTGTTATGAAGAGAGTCAAGGATTTGATGTCGCGAATCACGTAGTCTAGTACTGCTTCTGCGATGGCCACTCCGTCGAATGTGGATGTTCCGCGACCAAGTTCGTCGAGGATGACCAGGGAACGGGGTGTTGCCGACTTGAGAATGTCGGATGTCTCGTTGAGCTCTACCATGAAAGTGCTTTCACCCTTGAGCATATTGTCAAAAGCCCCCATGCGTGTGAATACTGCATCAAGCATACCGAGGCGAGCTTCAGCGGCAGGGACGTAAGAGCCGATTTGTCCCATGATGGCTATGAGGGCGGCGGACCGGACAAAAGAGGATTTGCCGCCCATATTCGGACCAGTGATGAGCAAAGCGCGGGTGGCATCGTGCGAAAGCATGACATCATTAGGTACATAGCTGTCAAGGAGGAGTTGTTCAACCATGGGATGCCGACCGCCTGTGATAGATAACTCGATATTGTCGGTAAAAGTAGGCTTCACATAGCCTGGCTGCGATGCTAGAATGGACAAAGAGGAAAGAGCATCGAGAGTAGCAAGCGACTGTACGCAGTCGCGTAGGTCTTGATACTTTGCGGATATCTCATCCAAGAAGTTCTTGAAGGCCGTGTCGCATGCAGCCGCGAGAGATTCTTTGTAGCGATCGCGCTCTTGCAACATACGTTTAACTTCTGGCGTGTGGAAACGAGCAACGGCTTTGGTAGCCGAGATCTGTTGCCACGAAGCTGGCACCTTCCTCTCCTGAGGCGATCCCTTCTTGACCTCGATAAGATATTCAATACCGGCTACTGTGACGTAGTTGACCTTGCCCGTACCAATCTTTGCAGCAGCGTCTTTCCGATGTGTGTCTAGATCGTGCTCTACGGCTGCAATGTTGAGTTTGTTGTCGTTGATATCTTCTGCCTCATGTTCTTCCCGAAAGAAGCCGTATTTGTCGTCTTCTTGTGCAGCTTGGGCATTGATCTTGTCCAAAAATTCGTTGATTGCCTCATTTATCTTCGGTACGGTTGCTATAGCTTCTCGTAGCAATTCTGACTTGAAACCACAATCGTCCTTGCCTACGACTGCAACGTATTCGCTGGATATACCTTGCAAAGTCTGGAGGGCGGATAGGAGCTCCTTTCGTGAGCACTTCTTGTAGTATATCCTGAGAAGAACTTTCTCAAGATCAGTCCTTATTCTCCCCAACACATGTTTCAGCTTTTCGACTGGCCTGGTGTTCTCGCCATCTCTGAGTTCTTCAACCGCTGCAATGCGTTCTTCCAAAACCGACTTGTTTATCAAGGGCCGACCAACCCATTTTCTGAGCAGTCGTTGGCCAAAACGTGTCTTGGTACGGTCCATGGTCCAGAACAGGCTGCCTCTACTCGTAAAATCTGTAGAATTTTGATATATCTCCAGACTCGAGAGCGTGTTGCCGTTTAACAGCATATAGGAGCGAGCACTAAACGGCTGGAAGTACTTTGTCAAGTCAAATACATGCTCCAGACCGTACTCTGTAAGATGAGTGATCATAGCCGAGAGACATATCGTGACGTGCTCCGACAGCTGATGAACCTTGTCTAGAACAGCGCCTTGGTTATCTGATGTGGCTTCTGCGCCCGTTTCCATCTTATCCGCATAAAAGTTCGAAACATGGCTGTACGCCTCAGCGGCCATGGTTTTCGGCTTCGCCACGCGTTCGACTCGCGCTCTATCCCCAAAGACATTTGTCTTACTCGCTGAGAGATGCTGAATAAGCTTCTCCGTTGCCTTGGATACGTCGCCAACGATTAGGAATTCTGCTGGAGCAAGATGCAACAATCGGGTCTCGATTTCGCTCCGCATAAAGCCGTCTTCAAAGTCGTCGTAAATGATATCCCCGGTCGCTGGCTGCACAGCAACAAAGCCAACTTGGACCTTTTCATCTGTACCCCATCCTTTAGCGTTTGTCTCTGTCAGACATAGTAGATATCCCGTTGATTGAGGTCCCGAGCCTGCTCCAGTATCGCCAGCACCCAATCCTTCGACGTCGTCCACATATGTACCTTTGGTGTATAGATTTGTCAACTTCCGTACGAAGGGGGTGTTTTTGTTGTCTCCTGCAGCTTTCAAAGCAGCAGTTTCAACTTGTCTGACCACACCAACTTTATGATTCGCTTGTACCAGGCGCTTCACGTGGACCTGAAGACGATGAACCGGAAAGCTCGACGCGGCGAACCGTGTCAGGTGTGCTTCGGAAGGGTCTATGGCAATTAATATATATAGATCTGATACGGGAGAGTGACTTACGCTCATCATACCGATATTTGCCAGGTATGCAAAAAATACCAAGATCTTTCGAAGCAATCCTGGCGTCCTCACCATAGATCTGGAATTTATAACCCACCTCAACCAGCAATATTGTATCTAAATGTTTCCGCTTGATATCAAGATACTGCTTTTCACCAGGTGTGAGCTTTCCAGCTGCTCGTTTTGATGTGCTTTTCTTTCCCTTTGCTGGTTTCGCAGCTTCTTCCTCCTCCGCATCAGGATCCTCGCTTGCTTCGCCCTCGTCCGTTTTATTTCTTCTCCTAAGCTCTGCTAAGCTATCCGGCTTTCCAAGTTTTTTGACAAACTTTTTGTGCAGCTCTTCCTTGAGCTTCTGTGACGCTGCGTCGTCCTCGCCATCCTCTTCTATAGGAGGGGAGGACGAAAAGATGTACCTTGATGTCTTATCACCTTTGGATCCTTTCGTAGTGTTTGATTCGGCGACGAGCGTTTGCGGGAGAGCGGGGGCGGCAGTCTCATCGTTTCCGTGCTTTGCTCGCTTGGGGGACGATTGTTGGTCTACAGCATCTTCTTCCTCTTCAGCTTCTTCTATGACGCGTTTCCGCTGAGAGAGGCCCTTCCTCTTGACAGGCAAATCATTGTCCTCGTCGTCTGAAACAGATCCAGGCGGTTGTTGGTTCTTGGTATTGTTCGAAGTCGCGGATAGTGCTGGCTTCGTTTGTGCAGGGTTGGCGGATGGCTTGACGGTCGACGAAGGTTTCGGGGTGAAGAAACTGGAGATTGACTGTTGTTTTGTTTTCTGAGAGGAGCTCGATGGGAATGGGCTGCTTTTTGGCGCCATTGAGTCGAGTAGTTGGAAATGGAAATGTTGGACGGGTAACTAGGTAGCGGAAGCGGAACGCGCGTGGAGCGAACGCGAATGAGCCCTGACCTCATCGCGCTTTCACGTTTCTCGGCCATTTGTCACTTCCGCATGCCGCACGCCGCACGACCTCACAAAAACCAAAGATCACTTGAGGAGCTGAGATTCAACACATGATAGTTTTTGGTATGTGAAACATGAAATGCTATTCAAGATTTCATACAGATCGTTTCTTCTAGGGATTCGGAATTTGTGGCATTACATAGTAGAGCTGTCGGGGCGGGCCAATGTCCAACTCCAACTCCATATCACGAAGCTGCTCGGAGATTTTCCCGTACTCGCTGAACGCAAACTGGTCGACAATGTAGCAGTTCCATAACTCGCGTGATAATATGTCAATATCATCAGAAACTGCATGGTTGTTCATCATGCCCACCTCGTTACGCTTATAATAATTGTGGATCTTGTGGAACAAGACCGTTATGATGAATGTAGCGCCTCCCATCATGATAGTGTTAAGCTAGAGAAGAATAAGCTAAAGTCGACGTTGTGTTAAGAAGGAGGCTGGACTACCAAGTTTGGTGCATGCTGCTCGAAGGCTTCGCACCATTCGCAGCATGGAGTAATGTTGTGCACCCAGCGCGCTGTTTGTTGGGGACTGACCAGTGCAAGAAGATTCAAATCGATCCCCGATGTCGGTATGTGATTTGGATTCCGGCATTGTAGATAACCACAAATTTGATTCATACTATTTCCTCGGTATAGACTAGTTCCCTATCCATGTTTAGGTATGCAAAGGAGATGACGGCTTTCATATAAAATGGAAGGGGAGATTGAAGAGTGAGCTGTAAGTTTGCCTGAGCAACAGCCATCTGGCTCTGCAGGTACACAAACTCAAACACGTTTCCACAGTACAATCGTCTTGACGATACACAATCACAATTAGCCTGTCCTAGCAAACAATGTACAACACTTGTATGATGAATTCTGGCTGGCCAAGAAGTGGCAGGCTACGTTATAAGCGATATCCTAGCTGAAGAGTCATATGCAGATTCAGACAAAGCACCAAAGCCTGTTCGTTGGGAGGTCTAGGAGCTTTCCTTTTGGCGCAAACGTGAAATGCTTGGAGGAAGGGCTGAACGTACGACAAAAACTAGATTATCCATTTCAATTGCATTGCAGGAAGTGGACTTCAGGTCCGCGGCGGCTAAAACACAATCGAGGACAATATCGTCTTGAGAAATTGTGATTGTGATACAGGGACAGATTGCTTACCGCCTGTAAGACATTGGATACGGCTTGTCACATGCAGAGCTATGGGTGAGTATGGGGTAAATAGTATAATGTCGTGGAGTATTGACATGATAGTTGTGGGATCTAGGCTGGCCGGAGAGGTGCTCTAGATACGGCAGAGGCAGTCGCGATTGAAATAGGTCAGTTGTGGCTTGTTACAAGGCACTCGCAGGATCGGTGTCAAGTTGATGACTTGAGGGTCTAGCGGTCTAGACCAACATCATGTGGTTTTTTGGGGCCGAACGTTTCATATGGACAGGTGTAGAGGAAAGAATATCAAGCGCTCCATGCGGGTGAGGCGGTTGCGTCGAAGGTGAGAACGAACGGTTGCCTGTATGTAGCGTGTATGAATTCGGTGCCTAGATGATTGATTGTACTGACGGAACCTGCACGAATAGATTGATTAGTAACGTTGCAGCGCCCTGCCTTTGTCTCACGAGCCCTCAAGAGGCTCAATTCGTTTACAGAACGCTCGATGACGGTGCTGTGCATGCCGTGGTAATATAATGTCGGATCACGGCTGGAATATAGTGGTGTTCTCCGATGGAAGCTCTGTATACCACACCATGCATGCCAGCTTGCAAGCCCCACCTCGACGCATGCAAAGCATTGGACGGCTGTATATGTACTCGTTGTGTGACTGGCGAGTAAATGCATCTAGGTATTGTTCTACGATGAATCGTAGATGCGTAATTGTGATGATGATGATAATGATGATGCTGCTGTCAGCTCTGGGCCCCAAAAGCTGCTAGGGGTAGAGTGGCCTGGACTCGCGAGATGCGTTAAAAAGATGTGTCTGGCGCGTTATGGGCCGTAAGCATTTATCCGTGTCATGCTGGTTGAAGTGGGAAAATGGGCGCAAATCCAGACCGTTGCCAAGCCTAGAATTCTGATGGTACGGGCGCCTGCAGCCGGAGCTAAGGTTGGTTCAAGTTGGCTGTCATGGGATTGCGCAAGGGCCGATGGTTGGGATATGTCACCAACGAGGAAAAGAACGTTCCACGCCGAGCACCATTGGTAGTGAAGTGAGAGTAGTGGAAGGTTGCAGACGACACGAGCCGGAGTGCTGGAGGTGTCCACTGTGAAGAGGAATTTGTGGCATTGGGTTGGTGCGGGGATCCAGCAATCCGATGCTTGGGGTTGACATATCCAAGCTGGTGGAAACGAGAATTGACGTAAAGCAATGTACTGTGATAGAGAAGCAAATCGAGCTCGGCAGATTGACCCGCGCCCACTCAGAGACGCGTTGCATGGTGTGCCCTCGGAGGTGCTGTGGCAGGCAGGCAGGCAGCAGAGTGAGGTAGACGGTTGCGCTAAAAAGGAGTCATGACTTTTGTGCAGCTTGATCGCAGGATGACTGATTATCTAGTCAGTTCGCGAGGCGCTCGTATGGAGATGGATGGCCAATGAATAAGGTTACGCAGGCAGTGTGTGAGCATCATGAGTAGGTGGTGGTGTTCGGAATCACGAGAGGCCGAAACAAAGGCGCGAGCTGATTGGCCCGGGGAGTTATGTAAGCATCAAGCTGGCATGCCAATATGGACTAGTCAGGCCTGGGTCTATCGCGATCAATAGCCAAGATGCCGGGAATAAGTAACGATAGCAATACATCCATATGACATTGGTACTTGTATGATTGCAGTCTGGTGGAGGCGATTGAGGTGCAAGCAGGAACGAACAAGCAAAACAGACAAAAAGAAGAAGACAACAGCCGGTGTGTCTCAAGCAGAGACGGGAGGGAGAGCATTGTCGCGCCATGTAACGTCGTGTGGAATCCAACGTCTGCGTGGAAAGAATGGAAAAGCTAAGGTAGGTACTTTGCATTAGATGGATCATGAGAGCGAAGTCGGGGAGGGAGATGGGGATTGATTGGCCAGAGGGAAACATGTAATGGAAAAAAACCGATGACTTGTCTCCGAAGAGCGAGCGAGCGAGCGGGGGCGGACACAGATTGGAATACGAGACATGTACGGGAATATGCAAGGCAACTTCAGCTACAAACGCCATGGAATACACCTCAGCAGCACACTGACGTGGGCCAAGGGCTGCGATAGTTTTGGGTCTTATCGTCGTCGTCGTCGCACGTTTTCTTCTTCCAGAGTGGATGATGGCTTCCATGGTTCGCGATAGGAAGACGCAGTTGTGCTGCTACACGAAATGCATGGTTGCAGTAGCAGCTCGCATGAGTACTCGAGTGACTACCCGAGTAAAGATGGGTAAGCAAGCAAGCCAGAAAGAAGCGATCGGCGCAGGACAGGCCAGCAGACGAGTACTTGAAACACAGTTCGCATGGGAGACAAGTGAAGAGAGAGAGAGACTCACGGGTGAGGTTGTAAGGGGCGGCGTCGGCATGGCCAGCTAGCGGCTCGCTTTGGCTGGTTCTAGATTGCCTGAGTTCCGTAGTGGAAGCCTGGTGGGCAGGGGTCTGCCGCACAATCAGACATGCTGCCCGCCCTGATCGGCGCCCGCAACCACTCCGCCTACGCGTCCAGCCCTCTCTCCCTCCCTCTAGCCCCTAGCCTCTACCACGCCTCTAGCAGCAACCAGCAGCAACCAGCAGCAGCAGTAGTTCGCCAGGTACTGGCCATCATCGCAGGTACGCGCGCGCACACAGCGATCGAGTGAAGCAGACAAAAAGCATCGCAATTGAAACATAACATACTCGAGCTCAAGGCATACAACATACATATACATCATGCTTGGTCGCCGACGGACGTCCAGGTAGCGGGCAGGTGTGGGTGGGCGCAAGCGTGGCCAGAACGTTCTCTTATGTGCGACTGCACTAAGTCAGCTCCAGACTGCGCTTTGGAGAAGACACACACGCGCAGAGAGACACACACACAGAGACCTCCCCAACTTTAATCCCGCCCGCCGCGACGCCTCTTTCTTCCCGTCCTCTCCCTCTTAGTCACCCGCTTTGCTTGATTGCTGGCTTGTTTGCTTGCTGCTTCACCCATCTCCACTCCATACATACCACTTACTCTGCTCAACCACCCCTGCACCCCTCCTCCCGCCTCAGTCCCGCCTTTTCCTCGCTGCTCTCCTCTCTTCCGCTCTACAACTACCTCTACTCTTCCACCTACCACCGCCATCTCTCTCCATGTTGCCGTGATGGGGGGTGAAAGTACTGTCGTGCCCCCCGACATAGTCCCCCGCCAGTCCGTCTGCTTCTCTGGTCCTTTGCCCGGCATGGTTCTTCAAAGCGACAAGCCTGGCTTCACCACCGAGCTTCTTCGACACTACAGCCCTGCCCAAAACAACGCAATCGAAAAGCTCATCTCCCTCAAAGACTCTCTTCGCAAAGCCGACTCGGATACTTTCTGGCACCTGCTGACCGAGGGTCTCGCCAATATTGCCGACGCCCAGTATGCCTTTGTCTCCAAGCGAATCCTCAAGGACGATAGAGATGTTGCCGTCGAACTGCCGCCCATCGGAGAACCCGGAGCCTGCTTAATGGGCGCTGCTTTTTATATCAACGATGGTCACCGCATCAAAACTCACCTCACCAACTTCAAATACCATGCCTACTCGTGCCCCTGCGCCTACATGAAACATGACAAGATCTTCATCATTCCCGAAAAGCTCAACGACTTCATTGTCAATAACCCAAACGAGTTGCTGATTCCCGGAGAGGCCTACCTTGGAATTCCCCTCTTTGCCGATGGAAAATGTTTTGCCCATTTCGGTGTCATGTGGGGCCCCGAAGGAGCTGCCCGCCGTCAGTTGAGTTGGGGTTATCTTGAACTCTTGTTCCACAGCCTTGAAGACCTGATTCTCGAACGTGTCCTCCAGGGAGAAAGTTTTGCACCATCCGCCAAGGAAGTCAAGATACCCGGCGGAGTCTCCGTCATTCCCCACGAGGCTGTTTCCATGGCTCAGTCGCTCAAACCGTATGCCAGAAGTCTTTCGCACGAACTGCGCACTCCCATGCAAGGGGTTGTGGGCATGCTGGATGTCATGATGGCAGACGTCAAGGAGGCCGCCGAGGATCCCCACCATTCACCCAGAATACGTCAACTGCTCGAGTCATTGCGAGCCAATATCGAGACTGTTCAAGGTTAGTCGCTCCTTGAATCCCTACTTTCAGATGCACTCGACTTCTTTCCCAAGACTTCTCTAAAAGTTTCGCCGCAATGCACACTCACTATTCTCGGTTCTGCATCGTGCAAGTAACGACTAACGTTATTCTACAGATAGCTCAAGGCGTGCCGTTGAAGCAGCCGACAATGTGGTGCATGCTTATGACATGAATATGGGCGTGCCGGAGACGCCCATTTCGCCCCTCGATACAGTTGCCCCCTACTACAACGATCTTTTGAGCTCGATACGACCTCAACCCGAAATCCCAGTTTCCGGTAACACATTACCCCTTGACCAGCTCCGTGGAACAAAAAGAAAAGCAGAAGAAATTGCGACGTGGTCTAGGCAAGTCAGAGTAGCTCGGACCGCTCGTCAGCGCATTAGGAACGCATTGTCGGAGGACATATCCTCCAGCACATCGAAATCTACTTTTGTTAGCCCCAGCAATCCCAAAATCGACACCATGGAAATGACTTGCTCCCATGGATCATCCGCAGCACTTTGTGACCACGACACGACCACTTCCCCTGTTTTTGCTTCCGAACATTCCGTTGTTCCAGGCCTTCGACATACTAATCTACGCGACGTGCTGCAGTATGTAATCAACGATGCGTTGAAGGTTGGAGGACGTCCGGAATCGGCCATTGCACAGGAGATACCGTTAGGGGAGAAGATTGAGGTCCTCACACGAAGCCCCAGCGATCAGGCAACGACCAAGTCGATTGAATGGACAGTCACCGAAGATGTTCCCGAGACCATCTTGATTGACGAGAAAGACTTGGCCAAGATGATCTCCTGTGTTACGTTGAACGCGATCAAATTCACGGAAAACGGCACGATAGCACTCACGGCCACGCTCAGCCCAAAGGGCCGTTATATTGTTATCAACATCAAAGATTCTGGATCTGGAATTCCGGCTGCTTTTCTTCCTAACCTATTCAAACCTTTTGCTAGGGAAGACGTCTCTACTACTCGCCAAAGCGAGGGTCTGGGTCTAGGGCTGATGGTCGCCAAAGGGCTAGCCCGCAAACTCGGCGGAGATCTATTCTGCCTCCGATCCTATGTTTCGGGCCCAGAAAAGGGAACAGAGTTTGAAATGCGTGTTCCGCTTAAACCTGGCGAAGTATGCAGTCGTCCATCCTCTCGATACGGATCGCCCACACCATCGGTGAAATCTCGTCCGTCACAGGATCCAGTGCCTCTGGTAAATGTTACGCCAAACCCAGTGACACCTCCTCTATCTACCGAGAATAAGGACATGGACAGTCCCCCTGCATCTAAACTGGCTCCCGCGCTACATCAGCTTGGACTTCCATCCCCCCGGTCTGCTTCACCAGCCCAGGGTCGTGCTGCGTCCAAGGCCAGGTTGATCAACAATGACAAGTACAACAAGAAACTTGCCAGCAGTCACCCAGCCAATATTCTAGTGGTGGATGACAACCGCATCAATCGCCAAGTTTTGCGGGCTATGCTCAAGAATTTGGGATACACGAATATTTTTGAAGCGTATGATGGCAACGACGCCGTTCAGCAAATGGCCAAGAACTCTGTGGCAGCGGCCCACGAGGCGATCAACGTGGTTCTCATGGATCTGTGGATGCCACTCCTTGACGGGTTTCAGGCGACGCAACAGATTTTGAAGATGGAGAGGGGTGGGCGTCCGACCCCCACCATTCTTGCCGTGAGTGCCGACGTGACGGATGCGGCCATTGAACGGGCGGGCAAAGTCGGGATGAAGGGATTCGTCGCCAAACCCTTCATCATCAAGGATGTTGAAAAGCTGATTGTGGAACACTGTGCAGCAGTTGATGTCATGCACGGAGTTGTAGTATGATGCGCCGATGCTGCTCTTTTTTTACGTCTTCGCTCTTCACCATCATTTATTATACCCACGCCAGGTTCGGGTTCTCTTCGGCGATTTACACCCGGTAGGGTTAGCATGCATACTTTCGGAGCATATTTTTTTTGGGAAATCCTGCTGGGTCTCACAGCATTGGATAATGGGTCATGACAGCATAGCATTCAGGCGTTTACATGATGATGATTGTTGTTGGATTTTTCATGTTTTTGGAGCACGAGTATCAATGATACCCTGGAAGGGAAGGAATGATTTTAATTTATAGTACATGGAGAAACGCAAGAGAAGAGCATGGGAAGGAGAAGAAGAAGAAGAAGAAGAAGAAGAAGAAGCAAGATGACATGTACGAATATGTAATCTCCAGTTACGTATTTACCAATCTATACAAATCATAAGCAGATGATGACAGCAAAGTATATCCATGGGTTACCATGTCTTGCCTCGGTGTAGAGAGGGAGAGGAGGGGGGAGTAAGATGGCAGTGGCGAAGGTGGCGAAGGTGGCTGGAAAGAAAAAATCATGCTACTGACTAGCATCGTCTGCGACTAGAGTCGAGATGGAGCCGATCTGAGTGGGTTGGAAGGGCAGCATGCGGCGAATGAAACAAAGGCGAAGTGGAACTTGTAGCGTGGGGGAAAGCCGTGTTCCGAAAACGGTGCACGGGTTCGGAATGGTTTCCCTTGGAGAAAGGTTGTGTTTGTGTGAAGATTTATGTGTGAGTAGAAGTATATGCACGTAAGTTGTGTCCATATGCTTTGGGTAGGCGTGGGGATAAAGCGTCATTCAGGGCCCGATTGGGGGCTGGTTCGAGCAGGGCTTTGGCATGGGATAGATGGGGGAGCATCGTCCAGCCGTGGCCGTTGACAGGTAACTAGGTAGGTATGAAGATTCGAATGCCGTCAAGGAACTGAAGCGCTCGCTGCGAGTCGAACAGACATGCCGCGTGTCTGCAACTATCGGCTGGTCCATTTCCAGCTTCAAGAGTCTTTAGCGTCATAATTCCGGCGTGTCCGTGCACAGGACACATCTCGACGAGCTGTGCTTCCTCCACGCCCTCTGCAGCGTACAAGCCGAGAATCTGCCTCCTGAGCCGCCTTGACTTTCCCAGCAGGTAATATAATCCTTTGATTCACCCTGCCCTCCCAGTCTTCGCTTCTCCATCAAGCACACTCCTTGTTCTTGGCCGCCAAACCTCACCACCCTCATTCCTTAATCGCAATCAATCAATCAATCCCACCTCAGCCGTACACCCCTCTCCCGCTTCAGTTTTCCCCGCCACACCGAGGGCAACGGCGAACGGCGAAAGGCGCATACACGCCGAAAAAGCATGGAGAATGCCTATAACAAGACACCCTCGGAGGTGTTGAACGAGTTTGGTGTCACAGAGGCAAAAGGCTTGTCGCAACAGCAGGTCGAAAGCTCGCGGAAAAAGCATGGCTCAAATGGTATGTCCATCCATTCTGCTTATGCAACTCCCGTCTCCCCTCACGGCTAACACAATCGAACAGCACTTGCTGAAGAGCCACCCACACCCATCTGGCAGCTGATTCTCGAGCAATTCAAGGACCAGCTCGTCATCATCCTGCTGGCAAGCGCCGCCGTCAGCTTCGTCCTCGCCCTGTTTGAAGGCGGCGACGATTGGACCGCCTTCGTCGATCCGGCCGTTGTAAGTTGGCACCTTTTTTATTCTCTCTCTCCAGCATCCCGGCCAATATACATATTTATATATACTAACCTGTCGGGCCTCAGATCCTCACCATCCTGATCCTCAACGCCGTCGTCGGTGTATCCCAAGAAACTAGCGCCGAAAAGGCTATTGCCGCCCTCCAAGAATACTCCGCAAACGAGGCAAAGGTCATTCGTGATGGCACTGTCAAGCGCATCAAGGCCGAACAGTTGGTGCCTGGCGACATCGTCTCCGTCGCCATTGGTGATAGAATCCCCGCCGATTGCAGGATTTTGACCATTCAGAGCAACAGCTTCAACATCGATCAATCCATCCTCACGGGAGAAAGTGAAAGTGTCTCCAAAGATACAAAACCTGTCAAGGATGCAAATGCTGTCAAGCAGGATCAGATCAACATGTTGTTTTCGGGAACCACCGTCGTTACCGGTCACGCAACAGCCGTCGTGGCCTTGACTGGCGCCAACACCGCCATTGGAGACATTCACGATAGCATCACGTCCCAGATCTCGCAACCCACGCCTTTGAAACAGAAGCTGGACGACTTTGGTGACAGTTTGGCAAAGGTCATCACCGTCATCTGTGTCTTGGTCTGGCTTATCAACATTCGCAATTTCAACGATCCCTCCCACGGCAGTTTCGCAAAGGGTGCCATTTACTATCTCAAGATCGCTGTCTCGCTGGGTGTTGCTGCTATTCCTGAAGGTCTCGCCGTAGTTATTACTACGTGCCTGGCTCTGGGAACTAGGAAGATGGCTGCAAGGAACGCCGTTGTCCGAAGCTTGCCCTCCGTAGAGACCCTTGGAAGCTGCAGCGTGATTTGCTCGGACAAGACTGGCACTCTGACCACCAACCAAATGAGTGTAAACAAGATTGTTTTCGTCGCCGAGGATGGCAAGTCGCTTGATGAGTTCGACGTGGAGGGAACCAGCTTCGCCCCCGAGGGTCAGGTTTCTTTCAACGGTCAGGCCAGGGAAAATCTGGCAGCCTCTTCCGCTACGATCAAACAAATCTGTGAGGTAACGGCGCTCTGCAACGATTCGTACCTGAGCATTGACCCCAAGTCTGGAGCCCACGCTTTGATTGGTGAACCCACCGAAGGTGCCCTGCGCGTTCTGGTCGAGAAAGTCGGCACTCCTGATCAAAGCTACAATGCGAAGCGAAGTGCCCTTGCTCCCGCCGACTCTCTCCACTACTCCAGCAAGTACTACGAAAACCAGTATCAACGCCAAGCCACTTACGAGTTTTCTCGCGACCGCAAGAGCATGTCTGTTTTGGTAAAGAGCGGAAACTCGCAAAGGCTGCTTGTCAAGGGTGCTCCCGAATCTGTTTTGGATCGCTGCACTTCCGTGGTTGTCGGTCAGAATGGCAAAAAGGTTCAGCTCACCAAGCACATGCAACAGATCCTCAACCAGGAAATCGTCGATTACGCTAAAGCCGGACTTCGTATCCTTGCCTTGGCTACAGTGGACGACATTGGTTCAAACCCGCACTTGAAATCGGCCAAAACCAGCAAAGACTACATCGGCCTTGAGCAGAATATGACTTTGGTTGGTCTTGTTGGTATGCTGGATCCTCCCCGCCCTGAGGTGCAGGCTTCCATTGCCAAGTGCCGTTCCGCTGGTATCAGAGTCATTGTCATCACTGGAGATAACCAGAACACCGCTGAAACCATCTGTCGCCAAATCGGCGTTTTCGGTCAGGACGAAGACGTCACTGGAAAGAGCTTCACTGGTCGCCAATTCGACGATCTCAGCGAAGCCGAGAAGATGAAGGCCGCCAAATCTGCTTCCCTCTTTTCCCGCGTTGAACCTAGCCACAAGCAGAAGCTTGTCGATCTTCTCCAACAGGCCGGTGAAGTCGTTGCCATGACTGGTGATGGCGTCAACGATGCTCCTGCCCTCAAGAAAGCTGACATTGGTGTTGCCATGGGTTCTGGAACTGACGTTGCCAAACTCGCCGCTGACATGGTCTTGGTGGACGACAACTTTGCAACCATCGAGGGTGCTGTCGAAGAGGGTCGTTCCATCTACAACAACACCCAACAGTTCATCCGCTACCTCATCTCATCCAACATCGGCGAAGTCGTTTCCATCTTCCTGACAGCTGCCGCGGGGATGCCCGAAGCACTTATTCCTGTTCAACTGCTCTGGGTCAATCTCGTTACTGATGGCCTTCCTGCTACTGCTCTGTCCTTCAACCCTGCCGACAACGACATCATGAAGCGACAGCCTCGTAAGCGTGATGAAGCTCTCGTCGACGGTTGGCTGTTCTTCCGCTATATGGTCATCGGCACCTATGTTGGCGCCGCCACCGTTGCTGGGTACGCCTGGTGGTTCATGTTCTACTCGGAGGGCCCTCAAATCAGCTTCTACCAGCTACGACACTTCCACCGCTGCTCTACCCAGTTCCCTGAAATTGGCTGCCAAATGTTCTCCAATGACTCCGCCAAAGCCGCCTCTACGGTCTCGTTATCCATCTTGGTCGTCATTGAGATGCTCAACGCCATGAACGCTCTCTCATCGTCGGAAAGCTTGCTCACCCTGCCCCTTTGGAAGAACATGATGCTTGTATACGCCATTTGCCTGTCCATGGCTCTCCACTTTGTGCTTCTCTACGTTCCTTTCCTCCAGGGTCTCTTCAGTGTAGTACCTTTGAACTGGGACGAGTGGCAGGCGGTCTTGGTCATCAGCGCGCCTATCATGTAAGTTCCTTCCGGTTTTCCTTCTCTCTTCAATGCATTGAATGCTGACGTTCCCCAGTTTTGTCGACGAGGCTCTCAAATCAGCCGAACGCAAGTACTTCATGAAGAAGACATTCAACAGACAGCCCGTGGGTGAATCAAACGGCAAATCGGTCAGGCCGAAGAAGGAGTAGGCGTTGTACATCATTTCTCCCGCTCCGGAGTTTTGAGGTTTGCATTGTGCGAACAAAAATCTGTTTTTATATAGATATAGACCAATGAGGGTCGTAGCATACTCAAAGGCGTTGCATACAAGGTAAAGGAGTCTGCCGTTTGCGAGTCTGTTATATTCCTGGCGAGGTTCGGCTTCTGTGAGGGTTTACAGGTTTACATGTAATAACCTGAGGGAGGGCTGTATATCTTTGACCAAGGAGGAGGGAGGTCGGCGTGATGGAGAAAGTAGGGAAGGTTTCTATCCCCTTCCTTGCTCTAGAAGAAGAAGAAGAGTGTGTCTGAGCATCTGTGTGACGTCTATTTTAGAATTGTACATCAAAACCACCGTATAAAAATTTGGAAATACTTTTGACAATTTTTTGTTACTTGTGTAGTGTTGGTAGACTTCCTTTTGTATTGCAGGACTAAACTTAGGAGCAAAGACAAGTACAGCTTACCCAATCAGAAAAACCGATATCAACCCGAGATGCGCAAGGTGCAGACCTACATACGTTTCCATCTAGTCCCATCGTTCCTTTGATATATCTACAATCGCTTTCCATATGGCCCAGTCGCAGCCTGTAGAGAAGGATCAACTTCCTTCTTCGTTACATTGTTCGACCTTGACGGACACGGATATTATTACTTACTGCTCTAACCCACCTTCGGCAGCTCTAGATGCAATCCCTCTAGGCAGCTACAGCAACTCCGTCATCCCGCTCTCCGACCTCGAAGTTGTCAAATTCGGGCCTGGAGTTTATATCGAAGAATACATGAACCTGCAACGCGCGTATAAGCTACTTGATCCATCTATAGTGCGTGTACCGCAGCCATACCGCTTTATTCGAAACGGAGAGGTCGGATACATAGTCATGGAATACATGAGAGGCACAGTCCTAGGAAATCTTACAGATCCTTGTCGCATCGAAAAAGTCGGCAAAGCCCTCGAACATTTCTCTAGCTTCCAGAGTCCTGATCCTGGTCCCCTCGGTGGTGGTATTTCACGTGACCTATTATGGAGCGAGGGCACCACGACCGAGTATTCGCTGTGTGCATCTACGAAACGGCTCGAGCATTGGTTCAACCGACGGATCAAACACGAAAACCTCACCATATCGTTTCAAGAATGCGAATTCGTTTTGTGCCATTTAGACATTGCACCTCGGAACATTGTCTGGCTGCATAATGATGATTCATTGTGTATTGTAGATTGGGCCTCTGCGGGGTATTACCCTCGGATATTCGAGTGGTGTCTGTTAGACATCTTTCTTGGTAGAGATGGCGGGTTTCAGGGTATGGTTAAGAAAACGATGGAGCCGTTGAGTGTGTGGGAGAATGAGAATTGGGGGTTGGTTGAGAAGGCTTGGGGGAATAGTGTGGGATACCATTTGTATGTTGTTTTTCCTATTGATCTGGTCGTATTGTTGGTTTCTAATATTCAAGTAGTCCGCCTACACCCTAAAACGATGGATGACGATTCGCTTGTGTGGGAAAATATTCGACGAAGAGTTTCATGGCAGTATGTAAGCCCGCAACTTGATATCAGATTCTGTCGTTGACTTATGGCAGGCTGGCGTCCACTTGTTGTGGCAACGTGAAAGACGATCAAGCAAACTTTTGAATATCGAAAAAAAACAAAGAAAAGAATAAATACGTCGCTTCACCCTACATTTTGGATTCTGATACGTTCAGAAGGGTTGTTGAGCAACTTCGAGCTCGACTTTCTCGACCAAGTTTGGGATGGCGTTGACATTGCTACGACTGTATAGTTAGATGCTAAGGTGGGGATGTGTTTTTCAACGTTTGCTATTCTAGTCTAGCAGAAGACCAGAATAAAGTGATCTGATAGCAACTATATCATAATTGGGTGGTGGTTCAGTTGCAATGACGGTATCAAAACGTCAGTGTAATGACCCAACCATCAATCTGCCTTAGCATGTTCAGTTGGAGTTGGAACAACTCATAGAACTCGAGAATGATCTGCGCAGTGGAAAAACCTGTTGATGAATTACCAGCATACTAATATAAACTCAACAATTCAAGTTTCATAGTACTATTATCAGAGCTATGCGTATATGCCTTTTTCACATTGTTGATCGATCGGATGTCAGCCTTGAATGACTGACTTGACCCCATAGGTCGTCGTAACGTTTGGTTGCCCCTCCTTGTTGATTAAAACAAGCGCTTACGAACGCTTACATGTCCAGGACCTCAAGCCACTTGGCAATGTCCAGCATGCGCGACATGTAAGAGCCAGAAAAAATATAGCAAATTGATTGGTCGATGCTTATTAGAGCCACGGGTAAACTGCTGCAGTCGACCGATATCTGCGTATAAGATGGTGTAAGTGTGTAACTACAACAAGGCAATAAGATAAGAGAACTGATCGATGTAGTCAATGGGAGGCACGAGGCTGCATCTGAGCATACCTTGGCTTCTGTCGAGGGAAGACTATAAGACGAATGCGGAGGCACTGCGGACTGAGATTTTTCGGTATATAACAGGGTAGGCGCCGTTGAACCACCAAACCAATAAAAAAAGGTCGCGAGATTGCAGAAATATGTTCGCAGCAGCATCTCCGACGCTTATTCTGTCTTTCGTTGTATTCATCGTCGTTGTTGTCCTCGTCCGTAGCTACCGCGTCAACGCAGCCCAAGATTTCCCTCCAGGTCCCCCAACCCTGCCACTCGTTGGAAACCTCCACCAAATCCCAGTACAGCGAGCCTATCTCCAATTCACAAAATGGTCGCGACAGTACGGGCCAGTTTTCGGCCTGCAGCTGGGAACGCAAAAGGTCGTTATCCTCAACTCGTGGCGCGCCGTCAAAGACCTCTTTGACCAACGAGGCGCGATATATTCCTCCAGACCGGATATACCCATAGCAGACTACGTGATACCCGAGAGCGCACACGTCGCGTTCATGAAGTACGGCCAGCAATGGCGACGCGGCAGGACGATGATGACCAATTTCCTCAAGGACGAAGAGCTGGCAAAGTTGCTGCCGATCCAGGATGCAGAGTCGACGCAGATGGTGTGGGAAGTGCTCCAAGAACCGGACTTGTACCACAGCCATGTGATGAGGCAGTTTTGCGCTGTCATTCTGGCCTCGGTGTACGGACAGCGTGGTCAGAGGAAAGAAACTGAAGAGTTCTTCCGTATTCAAGGTGAATGGGCTAGGATGCTGGATCCCGGTGCTTTCCCTCCGCTCAATGTGTTCCCTTGGCTGAAGTATGTTCCGAGTTTTCTGACGCCGTGGTCGGGGTGGAGAGCGCACGCTGCGGAGCTCAAGAGGAAGCAAAATGGGTTCTATGCGGAGATGTTTAAGCGAGCGAAGAAAAGAGTCGAGTCGGGCGAGAAAAAGGAGATATTCGCGTGGAAAATGTTGGAGAAGCAGGAGAAGGAAGGGTTCAGTGATACTGAACTAGCTTACTTTGCGGGTTTCTTGCTTGAAGCTGGGGCTGATACTACCGCGAACTCTCTCCTAGTCTTTGTACTGGCCATGGCCGCTTACCCGGACATTCAGAAGAAAGCGCAGGCGGAAGTTGACCGCATATTCACTTCCGAAAGGATGCCTAACGGTGCTGATATCGAGAAAACCAGCATGCCATATCTGCAAGCTCTCTTCTGGGAGGTGAGTTCGACATATCATCTCTAGATGTGGCCGGGTCACTGACAATAATCTAGATCTTACGATGGGTTCCCGTTCTTCCGGTAAGCCTCCCTCACGCTACAACCCAAGACGACACGTACGGACGATACTTCATTCCAGCTGGAACGACCGTCATCATGAACGTATGGGCTATCCATCACGACCCGGACGAATATCCCAACCCCGACGTCTTCGACCCGTCTCGCTTTTTGAACAACGACTTCGGCGCTTCCGATGCTAGTCAAGACAACGCGTCGCGGAGGAAAACATACGCGTTTGGAGCAGCCAGGCGTGTTTGTGCAGGGCAAAGCATGGCTGAAAAGAGCTTATTACTGTCCATGGTTAAGATTCTTTGGGCATTTGATATACGCCCCACCGAGGAAGGGAAATTGGACACCAATGTTGAGACTGCCTTCACTAGTGCAATTCTCATAGGACTAAAAGACGTGGGCATGGACTTTGCTATAAGAGAGGAATCCAAAAGAGAAGTGGTCAAAGCGGAATGGGAAAAAGCGGATGCTTTTTTGCGGACTTTTGAGTGAATGGACTGACGGGTTGATCGATTGGTATATATGGTCGTTTCATTTGGATGATGTCTTTGCGATGTGTGATGATTTCTGGGTTTAGGAGCAACATCGTATGGTAAGTGGACTGTCAGGTGTTTGATTAGATTCCATGAACTATCATAAGCCAATCTCGATCCTTCGTTGAGAGTGTTAACAAGTCTTTGGAAGTTTATCTTGACCTATCAGTATATACGCTGGTCTCTACATATGTATGCTTACGCGAGGTCGCGTTGCCGTCGTTAACCCCGCCATCTCCAGTATCCAATCACCGTTCCTCTCATCGTCCATCATAGCAGCCCACACTTCATAAAACAATCACAAAATACCCCTTCAAACAAAGTCAAACGTATTCTTGGAGCCTGAAATTTCGACTGCCGCTCTTTCTACAATGACAACCTTACAACACATCAGTCCTTCGAAAATGGAATCGCGACCCTCCCCGCACTTGTTCGACTTACCCCACGACATCTTCGTACAGATACAGCAGGTCATACTCAGCACATGTACATTCTCAGAATGGGTGCAACTCGGGCTCGTCTCAAAAGCGTGGCGGCAATGGACAAACGAAGCGTTCGGTGACTGGCTGGAGGGCAGAGGATCATGTAACGGGGTAAACGCCATATTTCCCGGGACGCGCGAGGAATTGCAGTTCGTGAAGGACCATGTAAAAGGTAGGTATTAGACTTTCGCGAACGTCTCTTGAAACAAGCAAAGATATCACTATCATCTATTTATTGACCCTGGCATATCCCAACAGATCTCACGCAGCGTTCCGTGTCAGTGCGCTACTCGATCAATTCTTCAGAGAAGAAGTGGTGGTTCTCCTCTCAAAAAGTGCACCTCCCCGCCGCCGGGGTGAAATACGAAAGCTTGGAATATGTGCCGGGAACCGGTCTTCAGCTGCAGTGGAGACCCTCGTACAAGGACTCGGCCAGCGAGATCGTCGTGGGCACTCATCTAGACCCAGAGCATTTCAAGGTCATTGTGCAGCGCATGCTCCCGGAGTTCAGATCCCCTACCAAGGAAACTTGCTCCGGCAGGATTTGGAAGAACTCAAAGGACGCCAGTGACGCGCTGTGTAGAGGCGCGTTTAGAAATGTCCCCGGTTGCGCTTGTTTTGTGGGGCCTGAGATTCCTTGCTCGCGCTGCGCTGTTGAGAGTAGGCAGGATTGGTATGTGAAGAGTTGGGGTTGGGGGTTTGTGATGCAACGGTGGGAGTTGGAGCAATACGAGCTTTGGGTCTAGTTCCAGAGGTATATACGTGATGTAACCGCTCATCATAGAATGATAGGGCAGGAGCGAGAAGCAAGGGTGTCATCTTGTTATATAGTAATACACGTCAGCTATTGATCTTACAAGAAACATCCCATAGTACAATGGATCCTTTCTTAGGTCTCGATATAAGCCGTATATGATTTTTAAGACATCACTCGGCACAAAACCAAGACCACGACTTCCAACCCGGTTATAAATAAAAAGTATAGTTAGCTGTGAGTATTCAGGCAATCAAGAGGTGACACCAGTAGACTATCCGTATTTACAATTTTGTCTTATCCCAAACAAGCCATCATTTTGTACATCGAGTGTTGAAACCGTATATCCAAATATTCCTCCATTCCCTCATTTTTTTTGACATCCCCCTTGGTCTCCAACACACTCCTTTCCAAAAACAAGAAAATAAAGAAAGAACGAGGACAGCATTAACCACCGCCCAACCTTCCAATCCTCATCTCAAACAAGACCCACCATTCACCTCCAACAAGAGAACTACTGCCCCACAACCCCATCCTCCTTCTTCTCCTTCCTCAACCCAGTAACAGTCTCAACATGCTCAGTCCCCAAATGGCTCTTCTCCACAAACACAGCAGCGACAACCCCCAACGCAGCCACACTCGCATACAGGATCCACATATTCCGAATCGCGCTCGCAAACGCGACTTTCGCCGCACGCTCCCAGACCTCGTTTTCCAGGGTCGCAGGCAGCATCACATTCGCCATAGCCTTCTCGCCCCTCAACAGCTCGCGCAGATGTTGCGGAAGCCCTGCATCACGCAACGCAGGGGCCTGTTGATCCATTGAGTTCTGGAAGATGGCGCCGCCGACCACGACGGAGATGGTCAAGGCCATGTTGCGGATGAACGAGAGCGTGGAGGTGGCCGTGGCGACGTCTTCCTGTTCGACCTGGGACTGCAGCGCGATGAGCGGGGGTTCGAAGAGGAGGCCGGAGCCGACGCCGCCGATGACGAGGAACCCGATGGTGCGCGCGAGCGATGTGTCCGCGTCCCAGGAGATGAAGAGGCCGAAGCCAATCGCCATGAGTACGGTGCCGAGCCACATGACTGGTCGGAAGCGGCCGGTGCGGTGGATGACGATGCCGCAGATGACGCCGCTGATGGCGCCGGGCACGATGAATGGGAGGAGGATGAGCCCGGAGGTTAGTGGGTTGAGTTCGAGGACGGATTGCAAGTACAGCGGGAGATAGTATTCTGCGGCGATGAAGACGAACCCGTGGAACGTCACGACTGCTAGTGCGGCGATGTTTGTGCGTTTTTTGAAAAGCGGGAGCGGGATTAGGGGGTATTTTGCGATTTTGGCTTCGCTGTAGATGAAGGCGAAGATCATGAGGGTACCGACGACGAGAAGGGAGATTACTTTTGCTGAGGACCAGGGGAAGAGGGCGCCGCCAAAGTTGAGGCCTAGCAGGACAAGGAGAGTGAAGGCGAGGAAGGTGATGATGCCTGTCCAGTCGATGGCGTAGATGCCGGCTTTGAAGGAGGTGTGTTCGTGGCGGATGTCCAGGAACAGGACGATGATTAAGGCAGCTAAGCCGCTGATGGGAAGGTTGATGTAAACTGTTGATTTTTGTTAGTGAATAGATAGTTACATCGCTATTGTTTCAAGTGCGAAGTGTTCTTGGAAGAAGCGATGGGATGGAAAACAAGAAGACTCACAACACCAACGCCACGTTACCAATTCCGCGAAGAGACCGCCGAGAACAGGTCCTACACCGCCAGCCAGAGCCCAAATTCCTTCCGTCAGTCCCATCAAAAGACTTCGTTGCCTATTAATTTAGTCAGCATCATTCATCTTAAATTTGTTCTCTTCATCAGTGCATTGACAAAGACACAACTCGTGGAAAGGAACTCACCTCAAACTAAATAAATCACTGATGCAAACATGCACCAGTAAAATCAATCCCCCACTAGCCGCTCCCTGTAGACTCCTCCCCACAATCAACACCGTCATACTCTTCGCAGTCGCGCAGACGGCCGAGCTGATGAAGAACAACGCCAGCGCAGCTAGCAAGATAGGCTTCCTTCCCCAGATATCCGAGAGCTTCGCCCAGATAGGACCTCCAGCGGCGTTGGCAAGCAGAAATGCGGCGCCAATCCACGTGTAGCCCGCCGCGGAGTTGAGGGAAGTAGAGATGGTAGGGGCAGCAGTTGCAATGATCGTTGCGTCGAGGGCGGCTACAAAGAGGGAGAGCTGTTGATAGGTCGTTAGTACCTACTTCAGTGTTGTCGTAGGAGGATTGGAGTACAAAAGCTGAGATAAAGAAAGGAGGATCTGATTTCGATTAAGAATAGATGGATAGATACGTACGAACAGTGCAGTTAGAATCGCTGCCATTCTCCATGTACTTCTCTTCTTGACTTCGTTGCCGGTCTCTTCTAGGATATTCCCTGCCTCACTTCCTCTGGCGTCGTTACCTCCCTCTCCACGACCCATAACAGTTGCGATTTCATTGTCGTTTTTACTATCAACATCCGACCGCGACTCCCCTTGTTGTACCGGGGTTGTTGTGACGGACTGTACAACGTCGAGATCATTCATCTTCGTCGTTGCAGGACTGCGCGTGTCCTCCAGCGGGATACTTTCGACGTTCATTGCCATTGCTCTTGCTCTTAATCTTACTATATTTCCCAGCTTTCTTGAGTGCAGTGATCGTTTTTTCCTTTTGCCTTTTTCTTCACGATGTGCGTAGGTAGGGTATGGTCTCCAGATAGACTGACGTGGAGCAGACGGATGTCCTTCTCTTTCGCACAATTCTCTCAATCCGTTCGTTCCCAACCCTTATCTTCCCTTACTCTTCGTTGTTTGTCGAACACTTCGAATTTCCCTAGAAATATTTTTTGTTCCTTGCGATCATATATCCTACTCGCTTGCTGTGTAGCAAACTCTTGTCTTTAATACACCTACCACAAGCAAAAAAGTAAGCAAAACAAGAGATAGATATACACAGCAAGTGCAATTCAATGCACCCTCAAAGTATAGTCTAAGAAAGAATTGGGACGAGAGAGAGAGTAAGAAAAAGAGAGGTGAGGTCGGCATATAAGTCGGTCAAATAGAAAGAGTCACGAATGAAAGTCCAAGGCACGGGATGGGAGTGGAGAAATGGCGGGTTTGGGTCTAGTCATCGGGAAAAAGCGCGCTAGCGATCCAAAAACGCGGGGGGTTCCGATAAACGATGAACGATGGGCGGTGACCGCCCTTTTTTCTTGTGTTGCTTGGCTGCTTTTCCCTTTACGATACGCACGAGAACATTGGCATGCATGATGTATAGCTGTATACTACTGACGACTTTGACCGTTGAAACTAGCAGTGGAAATTGAATAATCTTCTGATTGGAAATCGGTCATGTACATAGGGAATTGCCCCGGCCGTGTCTGTGCCTAATGATACAACAATGTCTAAGAGAACCGCCAAGCCCTAACCAGGTCGTTGCCTTGAAAACCAAGAGGAAAAGAAACACACATAGGAAAGGTAAGAAGTGAAGACCTTGGCCTTTTCCCGACGAACCCAAAACTGAGCCCAGCCAGTGGGTAACTGCAAGCCATTTGAATTGACTTTACTCGATGATGTCCAGATCCTCGGTCCTGCGTGGAGCAAATTCGTCCTTGTGCTCGTTCCATAGACGCAACAGCTCGTCAATGTACTGTTTGTGCACGCTGTCGACGTATTGCTTGTCGGGGTTTTTAGCTTGCTCGACCCTGATCGGTCGTCCCACGACGATATTCATGGGTCTTCGATAAGGCATCATGCCAACATCGTAGTTGAAGATGCCTCGAGCGTGGAAGATTGGGACGGTCCAGCCCATGATCTTCTTGACAAGCATTTGAAACTTGTATATCCAGGGATGATGGTGGGGATCTAGCTGCTCGTATAGCTCATTCTCGCCGAAACCCACCACAGGTACAAGATCAGCTCCGTTGCGGATAGCCAATTTCACGAAACCCTGGCGGCGATTGAGAACCAGATGCATGGTACCGGGCCTTGACTCCAACGACTCGCGAGCGCCACCGACCACAATGGTAATAGCCCTACCCATGCCCTCCCCGTTCCTACCGCCTTTGGAGAGAATCTTCTCGCAAGACTCACGCGATACCGAGGCCATTCCCATGCGCAACGCATACTCCCGATAGAGAGGCATCTTGAAATTGCCCTCGAGCGTGAGCAGGGTATTCGTGATGCCGGGGAACAGCTGGGAGAAGCCCAATGCTTCGGTAGCGAAGGCAGCAAAAGCACCGTGAGATATGATTCCGTGAGGATGGTAACCAAAGATGTACTTGCGGGTAGGCTCCAGTTCCTGAGAACGGTGCAGACGGGCGGGAAAGTAGGAAGCAAAGAGCGACCAGACTTTGGCGTTGCGCCATCTCTTGCTGCGGTACGAGAGTTCGCCTGAGCTGCCAGCGTTGGAGAAAAGCACAAACAGGGTGTAAGGGAGGAGGATGGGCCACAGAAGAGGAATGGCGCAGAGAAGGAAGAAGATGCCCATGAGACCGACGATGGAGAGAGTGTGCATCAGGACAGCAAGCGTCTGCAGGCGACGTTGGAGTGGGACGTTGAGGGGAGCAAATCGTATTCTAATCACGAAATATTAGTAACTCGTGGTGCAAGTTGGAGAGAAAGACAAAGCCTACTTGCTCGTATGCCAGCCCGCACCAGCTTCGCGACCTGACTTGAGTTCAGAGTTTCTGCGCTTGGAAGGCTTCTTCTTCACGTCGGTGCGGGTGTCCTTCTCGTAGGGATCCTGGACCCTCACACTGGTCAGGGTGTTGCCGTTGCGCCCTTCATGTTTCTGATATACTTCGATATCGTCGCTCTGGTCCTGGAAGATGACCTCGCCATGCTTGCGGCCAATGGAGCCATTGGACTTGAGCGACGTCTTCCTACGATGGCCACGTTCGGGGCTCCGAGGGCCATCTTCCAGACCGGTGCCTTCATACTGTTCCGTGTTATCGCGATGCGTCGTCTGTACAAGGCCGTCGCCTTTGGTCGTGATTTTCAACGTCGCCGGTGGTGGTGGGGTGGAATGGTGGCCATCGGCCTGGTCGATGGCGGGCTCGTCAGCAGCTTCGGCGTAAGACTTTGGGGGGAGGTGGTGAGAAGCGCGCTCGCCGGGCTGCGATGGTTCGGGGTTGAGCTGGGCAGCATCTCCATTGGTTTGATGAGACTGTGGCGGTTGCAGAGCCTCTTCGGCAGCGTCGGCGTACGACTTGGGCGCGAGATGGTGCTCAGCGCGCTCATCCGGCTGCGAGGGCTCGGGATTGAGCGACATGACGGCACTATTAGGGGGTGGGGAGGTAATCAAGCAGGAAGAAAGACAAATGAATTCAATGAAAGGGAGAAGGAGGGGAGAGAAGGATGGAAATAGAGGAAGAAGACAGTCAGGAGATATTTGCCATTCGTCATGGGAAGTCGTTGCACTTGTGCTTTCCCGCTAGATAAACTACACCACACCACACTGCCTACGTGAGCGCGATGACGTCTTATCGAGTGCCGTTTTCATCGTGCTCTGCATCCTGTTGAGCTTACCTACATGCGCCACAGAACTGCTGCGTCTGTACTCTCAGCCCTAGTTTGCAACACCCGTACAATTTGTTTTTGGTTCGGTTCGACGAGCCTCAACAGTTCTTCCTTCTCGCACAAGTCTGCCAATGAGCGAATATGCCATGTACTTTTTACTTTGGTTTGGCACATGTCAATGCCAATTGCCTTCAGATCCGGTTAGCGCCTCCCGGGTGGCCAGTTTTGCCGAGGCCCGCAGAGCCTCATCTCATCCATCCATCCATCGCATCATCCCCACCCCCATGTGCATGTGCAGTGCATGCAACTGACACCCATTCGTCTGATCCTTGCCTGACGACCATTCGTCACTTCTAAAGCATGCTCTGCAATGACTGAACTTCAATCCCACATTCTTTCACCTTGTATATTCTACATATCTCCAGGCTGATGTCATGCTGCTGCTGCCTGAATAATTCCTCCATCAGAACTGGTAGATTCACATCACTTTTGCCACTGTCAACTATCACCACTGAACACGGTCGGAATGTCGTTTCAGATCACACCAGCGCGTTCCTCGCGCGTAACAAAGCCAAAGAGAACAAGTGCAGCTGCAGCAATGGGTCTGAGGCGATCCGTCTCGTCCCCTTCATCAACAGCCACTCTGCGGAGAAAGTCCTCCCAGTCAAGTAATTCCACAATGACCAGCTCTTCGACTTGGGAAGACGACGATGAAAAACTCGATGACATGGGTCTCGTAGCTTCTATAGCCGCAGACCTCAATCTCCGAGATGTACCTCAGTATATAGAATACATCCAGAACAACATGTTTGACCAACTTCCTACAACCGGCGCTGGTATGTCGTCTACTCGGATCCCTGAGGTTCTCAATTTTCGCAGAGTACTACCGCCAATTGTCACCGTGGCTCACATAGATGCCTTGGCCTCGTCCGCCACAGCCACAGAACGTGAAATCGCAGAGTTGTCACGGGCAGGTATTCTACGTAGAGTCATAATTCCTCGCCGAGGACTGGGTGCCGCCGCGATAGGGGATGGCATTGTTTCGGTTCGAGAATGGCAGAAACGAGTCGAAGCACATCCAGACATCTCATCTGATCTGAAAGGTAAGCCGCAAGGAAGCGTGAAAACCTCCACACTATATACATACATAAATTTCCCTTCTCCACACCAGCATTTCACTCTCCGTTCCACACCAAAACAAACTAACTCTCAGATTCAGAACAATATATATCGACTCTCCTCACAAATCCTACAAAACAATCGATTCCAAACACGGCATTCTCTCCTTCGTCTCTGAAAATTCTCACAAGCACTGGCTTCCTCACCACGGCAACCTCCCCATCTCATCTCGACACCCGCACAACTTCCTTTGCAACAACTCAAAGTTCCAACCCCCTCTCCTCCCTCTCAACATCCGCTTCCCGACACGCTGCAGGTTCTCTAGGCGCAGTAGGAGGTCGCGCTGCTTCGACGCACATTCCCGGTGGGGTCGTCGTTTCACCCTCACCCTCCTCCCACCACGGCAACATGCCCGTGACCTCATACTACAACTTCTCTCTCCCCAACACCGGTGCACACGTCAAACTCGTCACAGAAGCACGTGCGCATTTTCTCTCGCTTCTCGCAAAACGCAAGTTCAAGGAAGCCCCTTTGCATGTGCTCAAGGAGCTGTGGGATGGTGGTGTACCCGCGAGTAAAGCTCAACTGGAGATTGCGGAGAAAAAGAGGGCTAGGAAGGAGTTCAAGGGCGTTCTTGCGGGCAGGACGAAGAAGTGGAAGGTGTTCTTCGGATTGAGGTTCGAGTGGGTGTTGGCCGAGTGCGTGGGGGCTGGTCTCGTCGAGGTCTTTGAAACTGGTGTTGGGAAAGGGGTTAGGGTTGCTGGGTAAGTTTGACTGCGTGGAAATCTCATCCTCCAACAGTATGATTGGCTTAGCGATGGCATGTTTTGTTCATGTGTTATATATAGTGTGTAGTAAAGTATTTAGCGGGCGAAATCAACGCAAGTGATGATGAAGAAGTAGACTGGTAGAGGATAACAGACAATCAAACCGCCGGAATACATGGTTGTCATGAACGTTGAGAAAGAGTAAGGGAAACAGAAGAAACAAGATCAAGAAGTAGACAAACGCTTCAGATTAGCATATGTAAGAGGAAAAGAGAAGGGAAAAAAAGATAAAAAAAAACAGAGAACATCAGTCTCGAAGCTGGGGAAAAAGGGGGCGAATATCCACAAACCTCTTACACAATATGCCCCCCGCTATACCCCAAACGAGACCCCCAAAGAAGAGGAGAGAAAAAGTAAAAAAATGATGAAATAAAATAAGAACAATTCAGAACGATAGAACAAGTATTTTTTTTCTTCTTTCCCCACATCGCGAAAATCCATCCATCCACCATTCAATAACCAACCCCGACAAAAAAGGTAAAGCAATTTCGATATGTCGAGCAATCTCAATACCCCAAAGCAGCACTCTTACTCTTCTCCCTGATATCCCTCGTCTCCAGCCTGCCAATCTCGCGGTACATGTCATGCCGATCAACCGCACTCTTGACAGTTTCCACAGTCGTTAGATTCTCCCCATCATCAACCTCGTCTTCCCCTTCCCTCTCTTCTCCTGCTATCTCGTTCTTCGACGCTGCCGACACCGGAACAACCCCGTTCCCAGTAGCAGTAGCAGCAGTAGTCGTAGTGTTACTGTGCTCCCCGGTCGTTTTACCGTTCGTATCCAACAGGACGCCATCGATATTGCGTCGCCGAGGCGATGCAACGGCCGAAAGCGATTTCGACCGCACAGGCGCGAGGTCTTCTTGGAACTCGAAGGTTGGTTTTTCGACGTCTTCGGAGAAGGAGCGAGGGGGGTCTTGGTTTTGGTCCTGGCTGCCTGGGACGGTGAGGTTTGAGGAGGGGTTTTTTTTCCGTTTCGACGACGATGGAGAAGAAGAAGAAGAAGATTGCTTGGGGCGGCCCCAGGATTTGAGACCGAGTTTTGACATGAAGGATTGTTTCTTGTCTTTTTGGGTGGGTGTTGGGGAGGGGGATGTAGGGGTTGATTTTGGGAGGGGGGTTGGAGGCGTGCTGCCGTTGGAGTGGGGGTGGTGCTGCTGTTGTTGGGATGATGATGATGTGGAGGAAGTTTGAGGGGAGAGGGCTGGGGAGGTAGCGGATTCGACGTTGATGAGTGGTTGTTTCTTCGTGGTTGCGGGATCTGTGGCGTTTGTGGAGCTTTTGCGCCGAGGAGGGCGGGGAGGGGTGTATGTGAGTTTTACGCCGGCGACCTGGTGCTCGCGCAGCTCGTCGCTGATGTATTTCAGCGCCCGGTCGGCGGTTTCTTCGTACTCTGGGTAATCCCCCGCGACGGCTTCGCGGATGAGCTTGAGCTTGTCCCAGTCGGCGCGGACGACGGGGACGGAGAGGTCGGGATGCCACGCCATGGATTTGATGTCGGTTTTCATGCCGCGGTCGACTTGCTCTTTGACGCCCATCATGGCGATGAGGCCGTCGACCTCCTGGCGGACGAGGGCGACAAAGTCGTCGAAGCGGTCGCTGTTTCGGACGGTCCATTTCTGTAGCGTCATGCTGCCTGCTCTTTGCCATTTGCCTTGCACGCCGACCTGGCGGACGAGATCCTTGAGGAGTGCGAATTTCTCGCGGAACGCTTCGAGGCGGTTGGTATCCAGTGCAGCATGGGTGGTGGCGGAGAAGTTTTTGGGGGATTTGAGGCCGTATTTGAGCATGAGGGTTTCTCTGCTCATGTTGCTTGGACGGCCGGCGATCTCGTTCAAGGCGGATCGAACACGGCCATTGTAGTCGGGCTCGTCCAGTCTTGGATCGCGGACTCCAAAGTTGATGGGGACAGTGGGATCTGGGTTTGTGACGCCTGGATGGGACGGGATCATGTGCCTTGCGATGGTTGGGGGTGGGGAGGATATGCCCAGCACATCTCCCCAGATCAAGAGACGGCCCTGCTGGATGCCCAGCTTCGCCAGGGCGACTTTTTGGTGGTGATCGGAACGATCATGCGGGTGGATCAGATTGAAGGCCTCGACACACGTGGAAAAGGCCATGGCCATGGTCATGACATTGGCTAGGACCTCACTCCTGGTCGGCGGCGGTGGTCCGCCAGCCGCGGTCTGATTGGTCAAGGCCATTGCGGGGCAGCAAAGGAGTGAAGGGCCAGACTGAACAGCAACACCATCCAACCCGTGCCGTGACGACTACCAATTGCGCGAACTAGCTCTGCTTCTGTTCGTCCTCTCTGGAGATGGACGGGATGGAAAACGCAGAGGTTGATGGGAGTGGGAGTGGTGTTGCAGAGAGACACGCCACAAAGAAATATGGTTCGGTCTACAGTGGTGATCTACGCTCAACCTGGGAACGACATCTGTACGGAATGTTCATGTGCTGATGACGTACGAGGTGATTTTCTGTGCCCATTTCTCTCTGAGGCTGAGCAGTCATCAATCCATATCACCCGCCTTGCAGATTCCTGCTTGATTCGCTCTTCACGCCCAGTTCCCCTCTCTACAGCTCCTTGGCACTCCCCGCTACTGCACTGGTCTCGGCTGTGGCCGTGTCCATCACAGCTGTACCCTATCCTATCCACTCTCGACAAGCCCATCTACCTAGACGACGAGAACAAATCTCTCACATCTCTTCCTCGGTCATGGACTATCTCTTGACTAGCTTCAAGGGCGTGGGCGTCACTTTCGGCATCCTTGCTGTTCAAACAGGTGTACACGCACTCTGGCGCCCTCTCTCCTTCGCGGAAAATTTCGGTCTACCCTTGAACCCCAAACTTTCTGCTCAAAATCGACCCCGCGGTGAAAAGGACCATGCGGCAAAAAGCGTCGACTTTGGCCCGGCCTATACGACCATGATGGGCGCACGACAAGCCGGTACTGGAGTCATCATCCTTATTTTTGCTTCATGCGGTAAATGGATGGAAATCGCTACCGTACTGTCTGTTGTGGGTCTGCTCTGCGCTACCACCGATGCCTACAACCTTTGGAAAGGCGGCAAGAATGGTCACGCAAGATTCCATGCTCTCCCTGGTCTTGCCATTGCAGCTCATGCTCTCGCTGTGCTATATAGAAATGGAGGGCTGTAGTCGAGCGAGCTTGAACACGGAGAAGAGCTTACAAACCTAGGTAGATATCTGTGTACATTCATGTAGCTAAGTTTCTCTCTGCTGCTCAGTCTCAGCACACATGAGCACTGACCAACAGTACCAGACCTAGATTTTTCATACGTAGACTAAATTTATCATGGCTGTATACGCACCCAGATGCGTCTTTGTCATCGGAGATATCCGATCCGCTCAAAAGACCCATGCAAATGGCGCAAGTGGGCCATTCTCCAGCTCACGTGGCTTTGATCTCGCCTCGGGCACTGGAGTCTGCCCACACCGAGACATGTTCACGTGTGTTCAAAGGCAAGTGTCTTGGATGCGCGAATATATTTCGATGTTTGACTATCCTGAGGGATTTTTCTTAGTTCAGGTGTGATCAATGTGGCGCCATCGGTACAACATTGCAAACGGCAAGCTCGAAAAGCTAATTCACCCAATATTCTCCGTTTGAAAATGAGCTTTTGATTCTAAATTACCAAGGGAAATGCGTTCATTGAAGTTAGTAAGATTATGACTTGCATACCTAGTGAGTGACAAGGTGGGCCGTGACTACGTTACTAAATGCGCCTTCTAATTCAGTGAGTGACGGGACGACACACGACTAAACGATTGCAGATCTCTTTACATAGAAGTATCCGGTGTAAGAGTAAACGTATCGAAGATGCAGTGGGGATATCATGAAGCGTATGGAAATCTCATTAGCGCGAGAAGTTACAGGATACGAGCGCCTGCCCTGTGCTGAACCAAGAAGTCTTTGCGTTGTGAGTCGAAAATCACTGAAAAATTGCTATTATTGCAGGAAAGAAAAGTACTCTTCATACTTATCGTCACGACCGAATCGATGTAGTCTTCTGCCGCCATCTGCGACACGATCTGGACAGGGCTACTTATCAAACGATTTTTAAACGACAAAGAAAATCGGAAAAGGAAGCAATGTTCCCCCACACAAGGCAAAAAATCCACTACATATACGAAATAAAATATTTCCGACGCTTACTTGAAAGAAATCTTCCGCCTTTGATCATCGCAACTTTCTGGGATACGCAAACGGCTTCAACACCATCCTTCGTTATCTCGAAGATCTTCAAACGTCAGAGCGGCCACCAAGCACAAAGAAAATTTATCTGTCTATTCCAAATGACCGCATATTTTTACCAGATACCATTATCCAGGATCACCAAATTGCCTACCTACCTTTGTCCAGCGATAATCAATGGGTCCAATCATCCGCGTAAAACCCTAGCAGACATCCCCATTTCCCATGCCTCTCTACCCAAAAACGGCACCAACATTCCTTTATTATCACTTCCTACCACACTCAAAGTCTATGGCATCCCTCTCTCATCTATTCCTCACACTAAACTCCAAAGCCCTCCACTACTCTCCACCAAAACCCTACCCATAGCAAAACACTACACCCACCATGGAGAAATGCCTCGCCCCGAACCTAGACATCAACGCCTGTCCCGGATTGATGCCTCCACCAGGCGTTGTCCCCTTTTCACCAAACGCACCTTCTCGCTCCAACGAAATCGTCGTCACAGTCGCTGTTTGCTTCGCGCTGGCAGTCCCCGCGGTCGCGATTCGCATCTTCACAAAGGCGTATATCTTGAAGCAGATGCACTCTGAAGACTGTGAGTTCCTTTCTCGTCTTAATTCCCCTCCACAAAACTCTGGGTTTTCAGGGATTCTTTTGCTGACAATAGGGGCTAGATGCGTTGATTTTGTCTCTGGTATGTATGCTTTGATCTGGCCGGAGTGCTGGGGGAAGAGGATAACGGAAAGGAAGTCTTTTGCTGACTCGTGGTTCGACGTTATGGGGGGATTGTAGGTCGGATACACTGCACTCACTGGTCTGGCACTTAAATGCTACGATTACTTTGAAGGTAAAGCTGCTATTATAAAAAAGTTGGAGCGCCTGTTCGTAGCGTTTTTGAGGCTAATTCAAATCCAAGGAAAACATCAATGGGACGTCACTGTTGCGAACGTGATGCATACTTTTCAGGTAATCTCTCCCTCCCCTCTCTAACCAATCTTTCCAACCCCCTCAATTAACGCACCAACAGATCATAAACTGGGCCCAACTAATCTACGTGTTCCCCGTCTTCCTCGCCAAATACGCGCTCCTCCGCCAAATCGGACGCATCTTCCCTTCAACATCTACCTCGCCTTCCTACATCAACATGGCAGCGTGGTTCTTAATCTTCGCCAACCTCGTTCTCTACATTGTAGTCTTCTTCGTGTTTCTGCTGGGTTGCATCCCGCGCGAGAAGATCTGGAAACCTTACATCAAGGGGCGATGCGTGGACACGGGGTCGGCGCTGCTAGCGACATCCGTCATCAACATTGCGAGCGACGTCGCGATCCTCGTGTTACCGCTGTTCGGGGTCGCGAGGTTGAAGATGCCTTGGAGGATGAAGCTCGGCGTTGTAGGGATTTTCGCTACTGGGGGGTTGTATGTTGATTTCCCACCTCCCTCCCCCCACACATTCCTCTGATTCCATGCGTGTATCTATTCCTTCAGAGGAATAAGGAAAGTGAAGCTGATTCTCGGGGAACAGAGCGATTGTAGTCTGCGTCCTCCGCGTTTATTATACGGTTCTGTTCAATCGCGATCCTGACAAGACGTGGGCTCTGATCCCGCTAAGTCTCTTCGGCATCGCGGAAGTGGCGACGATGATTCTCTGCTGCTGCTTCGTTACTTTTCCGCGCTTCTTCACGTGGCTGCGTAGCGGGGGAAGGGATCGCAGTGTCTGGACTTCGACGGGTGCGAGGAGCGGCGGCGGCGGCGGTGCTGGTGCTAGTGAGAAGAGTAAGAGTAAGAGTTGGTTTAGAAGACGGAGGAGTAGGAATGGTGGGGAGAGTGGGGTCGAGAATAGGAATCTGAATGGGGATGAGAGGTCAGGTGGTGGAGGTGGGAGTGCGGATGGTGAAGGGTCCGAGGGGAGTGGTAATGGGGTCGCGAAGTTAGGGAAGTTGCCGGAGGCGGAGGAGGGGTGGCGGCACGGTGGTGGTGCGGAGACGGGTGGAATCGAGAGGACCACGCAGATTGAGACAGTCGAGAGGTCTGTTGTTTGATTGTCTTGCGAATCTCTCTTTTTACCCAACAATTGAGGTGTTCTGGTACTGGGACTATACTCCGCTTGTGCTATTTAAATAACTATCTTGTCTTTGTTTAACCGTGTCTTAGTGTTAACAGCTCAGATAGAGTGCATAAATGCAAAATAATGTTTAATATTAGTGTCAACCTCAAGTATAGTCGTGGGATCCTTCATTGTGAGGCGGAATTAAATTCAAAGTCACTCAATCGCACACGCAAATAGCGTAGATATATACGGACTGATGGATCACTGTCAAAACTACGGTCTCATCAAAACATGAAAACAGAAAATCGAGGTTTAAAAGCCTCAAATCAATGAACAGCCCGCGGAGTCTTCGAGTAGACCAGGCTGAAATAGAGAAAGCAATACCATGCGGCATGCCTTAGCCCCCACACCTCCGCCTCCACATTGCTTTTTCCATCGTATATCGAAACAAGGCTAACTATTAACGCGATCTTTGATTGGGTGCATGCGTATAATTAGGTTCTTCCCCTTTCTATATGCGAATACGAGGTGACTTTGTGGTACTTCGGCATTTGAACTCCGGATTGGGTATGTCTACATAACCCAGTCATCGCCTAATGGCAAGGTGAATTGGCTCCCGACCCCAAGGCTTGTTCTTTCCACTCCTTCCAATATGCGTGCGAGTATTCCAACATTCATTTTTCTATCGTTTTTGCCAGTGGCCTATGCGGCCGATTGTGCTCAGGATCAGCCAAGAAAGGAAGGCGACCCATCTGGAGCACAAATTGCAACGGCAATAGGGTCTCTTGATGATGTGTGCGCTGGAAAGTGGCGGGTGGGCGACAATGCGAAGCTGGAGAACTCTTTTAATCACTGGAGTAAGTTCAGTTTCTCGCGTGGTGATGAAGATTCTGATTGCGTCCAGGTGTGATTTACACTATCCAGCGGCAAGACAACACAAAGGACCTCCGATATTGCAAGGATGCATACAAGAACATCATAGATCAATGTATTGAAAATGGTAATTTCTGGGGTGGATCTTGGAGTCTCGATGGAGAGACTTATACGATATCAAACCGCGCATTCCCAAACAACCCTCTAGCCCCAACCGACAATGGTGGCCCCCCCGAACAATCCACAACCACGACTCCAAATCCCACTTCCACCACGTCGTCTGATACTGGACCAATCACTTCTGCGCCGCAGACTTCGATCCAGCCTGGCAAATTTTCTACAACTACTCAGTCCATTGCTGGATTGACTGCAAACTCTGTGACTACGACCACAGAAGATGGACACGCTACAGTTCTTCCAATATGGTATGTTGGTCCTGGAGTAGGCATTATCGTCGTGCCAGCTGTAGGATTCGTACCTGGCGGGATCGTGCCACCTCCACCTGGATTCCCGACATTGACCATTGGAGAAGACGGCAATCCTTCGACCGCTAAAGATGATAACCCTTCTTCTTCTTCTTCTTCTTCTTCTTCTTCTTCTTCTTCTTCTTCTTCTTCTTCTTCTTCTTCATCGTCGTCGTCGTCGTCGTCATCGTCATCGACAACTGCAAGCAGCTCCAGTAGTTGTACCCAATGCTCAAATTGCGACATGGGAACTGCGACCATCTCCGTAAACGAAGACGATCTCGGTGTTTTCGGGCCCGAAGTCCCCGCAACTACAACTTCAGCCCTTGCTACTTCCACCTCTAACCCTCCCGTGCAATCCACAGCGCCGATTGAATCTCCAGCATGCGCACCGGGCGGTATTGACTCCAAAGACTATATACCCGAGACTTTGGGCGAAACCAATGCAGATCTTCGGGATCTTCTATACAGATTGAGACAGGAGGTTTGTGCTGGGACATGCAGTACTGCCGGGCATGGTATTCCTGGAAAAACCGTCAGTGTTTTCAACGAGAACAATCAGTGTGAAATTCGCGTTGGTATCACATCGAAGATTGAAGCGTACATGTATCGAGGCACAGCTGCGAGCGGAGATGAACAACAGCAATGCTGGGATAGCTTAGCTGCTATCATCGATAAATGTGTCGACAACAAACCGAATAAAGGGTGGTGGTAAGTCATTGTTGTGTGCTCACGCTCGTGGAAAGACTATGCTGACGAAGCTAAGGAACGGGAACCATCAGTACCAATTCTACGAGGCGGGAGTTCGTCCCCTTAATGATGGGTCGGCGAAGCACAACTTTCAGATTGCGAATTGGCTCGGGGCGTCGTCTGTCGGGTTGACTTGTGAGAAAGACTGTGTCAGCTTTGTCCCGAATCCTGACTGGTGTGCGGCCAACTGCCAACGGCGGAAGCGGGATACGCAAAGTTCTTTTGGCGGCTCCAGGGTTCGCAGAGCAGCGCGTGATGTCAAGAAGACAAGCTGTGGTCTTGAGCTCGTTTTCCCGGATTATCCAAGTACGTCGAGAGAAGCAAGCACTGGGAATAGTCGCTCTGCCGAAGATTACGATGAAATCGTCGCCAACGGCTGGTGGGACTGGGAAGATCAGAATCCACTCGGGAGCTGCTTCCGAAGGATCCGCAAAACAACCACCAGGCAGCCAGGAAAAGAATATGCAACGGAACATATCTACGAAAAAGCCATTGTCAAGATGTTTCTGAACTGGCTCGTGTTCAATGCAGCAGAAGGCAATGGCGGCTTCAACACAGGCAAAGTGACCGATTGCGGCACCATGAAGAAACTATTCGGAACAACGAGCGGCGTCGAGACTTCTAAATTCCATTCTGTAACCCCCGCGCAGCAACTCGCAAATGCAGTGACGTGCGAGGGTGCTGGATGTCCCACCGCGGATCGAGCCGGCGAGTTCTACATCCTCGAATCCTCGACCAACCTCCTAAAAGCCAACGTGCTGGGTGAAATGCGTAAAGACCACGACTTCAAAACCCTCACGTGCGATAAAGACTGGCGGGAAAACTTGCGCAAGATGGCGACTCTATCTGCGGTCTTCCAGTACATCCAGGACGGCGGCGTAGCCGACGTGTTCATCAAGGTCAATGGACGGATGCGGGCCGTTCTGGCCAAGCTCGACGCGGATAGTTCGTACAGCCAGTACAAACCCAACACTCTGAAGACTCCTGGTGCTGATGGCTCTACCGACGACCTCGAGCTTGATGGGTGGTTGGGCGCGTACGACTATTTCATGCGCATGTTTCTAGATGTATCGCAAGAGAAGTCGAGGCAGTTTGCGCACCAGTGCGCGGATAAGATTCTTGGAGGGGTTCGTTCCGATAATAGTCTGGATGATCAGGAGAAGGCGAGGTACGTGGCTTTGATCCAGGCGAATCGGCAGAACAATAACGGCATGTGGTCGGATTCGACGCTGTCTTTTGGGTCTGGGTACAATGGGTTATTGACCCTAGCGTAATTTGCATTGAGCAGTCGCAGCTCTTCATCATATTAGACATTGCGTAAACACTTGGAGTACTCGGATTTCAGTATTGATCTTTTACTTTATTGTGGCTACATGAAACGGAGTTGTCTATTTACATGCGTATGTACTGTTTTATATTTCTTTCGACTCGTGAAGAAGTTTCGGGTAAAAAGGGTCATGTGTAACCCCCCTTTCGCTAAGATCTCCATGGATTCTAACCAGATCATTGAGAGAATTCTATGGCACCTTCTCAGAAGATGGAACGGGATTGTGGAAAAAAGGAAAAAAAAAACGCCGATAGTCTAATGTGGTTGTTAATCCAGTAGAGAAACCATTCCCTTTGCCCCGAAAACGCCTAATCCCATATATCCCAATGGACAAGGGCGATAAAAATAAACATCCTAAAAAACCATCAATATAGATCGAGGGAGAACGGAAAAAAAATAAAGAAAAGAAGAGGGGAGGGTGAAAAGTAAGAGAAAAAAAAAAACCGGTCTAAAACGACACACTCCCACCATCAATCTTCAAAAAGCTGCCGGTAATAAACTTTGAATCCTCGCTGGCCAAAAACGCCACGACGCTGCCGATATCGTCGACCTGGGTGAAACGGCCCAAGGGGATCTTGGCCTGCAGCTCGTCGAGCTTATCTTGCTCCCAGGTGTTGCGCAGCTGCGGGGTGTCGACGTCGGAGGGGTGGATGGTGTTGACGCGGATGCCATGGGGGCCGAGCTCGCTGGCGGCGGTGAGGGCGAGGCCGCGCAGGGCGAACTTGGAGGCTGAGTAGAGGCCTTGGTCGGGGGTTGCGCGGAGGCCCGCGGTGGAAGATGTCAGGACTATGGAGCCGCCGCGCTTGCCTTCGCGCATGGCGAGGCCGACGTGTTTGATGCCGAGGAATGCTACAACCGTACATGTTAGATATGGATGAAGAAGAGGATAGTTTTATGGATTGGATGGATGGATAGATGGAGTGTTCTGTGGCGGAGGTCAAAGAGATAGGATATCCGACGTACCAGATTTCACGTTAACCCGCATGAGCTCCTCGTACTCCTCCTCGTCCGTCTCGGTGATGCGCGAGGCTTTTGGCAGGATGCCGGCGTTGAGAAACGCAATGTCGATGCGGTGCCAGATGCGCAGCGTCGAAGCGATGAACTGCTTCACGCCGTCCTCGGTCGCTGCATCGGTGACGACGCAGTAGATGCGCGACGAGGCGCTTTCGCCGGTGACGAGGGCGCCCTTGAGAACCTCGACGGCCATGTCCAGGGCCATGGGGCTGATGTCGACGAGCACAACGTTGGCGCCCTCTCTCAGGAATCGCCCGGCCGTCTCGATGCCGATGTTACCGCCCGCGCCTGTGATGATGGCTACTTTGCCATGGAGGCGGTGGGTTGCTAGAGGCGTGGAGAGGAGCCCTAGCGTAGAGCCCGGGGTTTCGATTGCTGGAGTGCTCATTTTTGGGGATGGATAGATGGATGGATGGAAGGATGGTGTGGTTGTGTTGTGTCTATGTGTGGTGAATCAGTCGTGTATTTGTTTGGTCCCGGGTTGTTGATAAGGGCGTGTGGGGGGTTTGGATGGAGGTTGTTTGATGTAGCCATAGGGGGAAGGTAGCGCTGTTATGTATGCATAGGCTGACTGCCATGTCGATGCATTACACGGTCGAAAATTTCACCACTGCAACGGCGGTGGAGCGATGATCCACCATGACGCCGATTCCCCACTCGTGTACATGGCGTGAAAGTAAGTTGTATTTCTACCATCACGCGTTTGTGGGGTTTTGTGGACGAATTGCGTGTTTCAAGCAGCATTGAAAAGCAGGGCAGTTTGGCCTTGAACGCTGGAATATACGTTCCGTGTGGAGGTGGTGTGAAGGTGTGAGGTCAAGTGTTGAAGGACGGGAAATGTTCCGTGACAATTGCTTCACAAGGCTGTGATTGGTCCGTAGACGAATGAGGTAATCGGGACGTAGATCCCGTTCGGGAGTGGCCGCCCGCATACACGTGTACTCGCACATGGTCCTAATTATGTACTTACAGATGTACATCAAATGTATCAATCGACTCCTTCGGATGCGTGTAGTTAAATATGTATATCGAGATCACTCCGTAAACTCTAGCGTGGCTCTACAACTATCAGGTGGTGAAGATCTCGCTCCACATCTAACAGCCCCTCAGTCATCTTCAAGTCCACCTTACGTACTCGAGTACTCACCGGAACAGAAAGCTCGTAGCTTCCCCGCAACCAAAACTCCACTCATTCCGATACCCCTTTTCCCTCTCCCCCATTCAACTGCCGGCGATCCTAGGCGGCCAATCCAGGAAGTAATCCAATCCATCCGCCATCGCCGCTCCGCCAACAGCCGCATGATCACTGAAAGGATACTCGTGAAGTTCCACGTCCCTCACAGCATCACTCCCCTTCAAAACCTCATACAATCTCTGGCAATAATCCGCCATCTTGAACGGCTCAATCAGGTCTAACCTTCGCTGCCAATCTTCATCCGACTCCAGACGCCGTCTCACCGGAAACTGTTCAAGCTTCCCATAGCTTATCTGAAAAGCAGGCCTAACCGTAGCGTTCCCCCTCATAACTACCGTATCCACATCCAAGTCCCTCTCCCCTGAACTAACCAACCCCTCCAGTAGCCTAAAAATATACCCATCTTCCCACCACAGCGCCGGACTCGCACTCATAAACGTATCAAACATCCCAGGCCTGGTAAGCAGCACGTACAGCACAAACAAACCAGCAAACGAGTGTCCGTACAACGCATCCCGCGAGAACGTCGTTGCTGGGAACACAGTCTCCCTGATCCACGGCCGCAGTACACTATCTACAAACATGATGAAGTTCTCCGCGTTCGATGGCACGTTTGGGAACGCAGGGGCCGTGCAGTTGCCGCACACGGGGATCTGGAGGTCGTGCGAGCGGCTGTCGCTGTAGGGCGAGTCGGGGAGTAAGGTCGGGTACCCGATGCTCACGACAATCGTGTCTGGCTGGGCGGACTCGACGGCGCGGCGGCGACGGGCGGCTTCCGTAGCTGTGAGCGCGAGCGCGTTGCCGTCGAGGACATAACTATATTCCTCCTCCGTCAGCTACACGTCGTAGTGTTGTTATGTACACCTCACCATCCTAAACCCCGCTCCCTTCCATACCCTCCTGCGACGCCGACGAAGCAGAGGTGAGATCACTCACAGCGTCTCCACAACCCCTTCTACATCCTGCGTCGTCCTCGCCGTCGTCGTCCAGTTCAGCGGCCACGCTACCTGGATCTGATACTCCCAGGTCCCATTCGACGCATTCCACACACCCAGATTCGGCAGCGCCGTCGTCCCCGGAATCCCCGTCCCAAGCGCCGAAAACGTCCAGTTCCCAATAGAACTCATTACCTTTTTTTCCCTTCTCTTCTTCTCTCCTCTTTTTTTTTCTCCCTGGTCAGGCCAACAAATCGCTTACGCTTCTCGCAATCTATATCGCGCGGACGCGCGCGCACCGCAGATGGAGAGTGTTACGCGTGTATCAGCGTTGGGCTGAAATGTTAATATATGCAAGATAGATAGATAGATAGATATATATGTGTGTGAGTGAGATGAGATGGCTGGTGCGTTCTGTTGGGCGGCGGAGAGGTGGTCAGTGTGCACATGTGTGCATGCTCGTGTTATTAATCTCGCGTGCGCCGTGCAGCAGCTGCGTGATGCGATACATGAGCTCGTATTCCCTTTCCCCCCGCCTTTTCTTACCCCGTGTTGTTAATCAAGTGATGTTGCGCAGGGATATAGATACCCTTGGATATATGCCCAGCGTGCTATTGTGGGGACTTCGGACTGCGTCATATTACTTGCCTTTCCGTTTTTTTACTTCGCTTGTTGAGGGTGAGATCGGGATCGGATGGAGAGAGTTGCGATGGGTATGCGTTATACGAGGACGAACTGGAGCCGAAGATGCCATAGAGGTCTGGTCATCTGATTGTTGGGCGGAGCAGCATGCGGCGACGTTCCAGGTGTTTGATGGGAGTGTGCAGGGGAGAGACCCGAGAGCTGCAGGAGCCTAATGCGATATCGATCGTTCGATTCAACAGTTGTGTTCACTTGTAAAGACATGGCAGTGTTTTTGACGTGACGGACGAAGCATTAATTTAAGACCCCTAAGGAGTGGCGATGCGGTAGGTATAGCTAAGACGATCAAAACAAGGGGTAATAATAAGGTCAAGAAGAAAGACAAGGAAATTTTTCTGCGTCGGCAGACACGGCTCCAACGGACGAGCGCACCCGTATACCAAAACCCGGGTATAAACAAAAGAGAAAGACTGGAAAATAGCAGAGAGAGAGAGAGAGAGAGCGCAGCTGTCCAAGAAAATAAGGAAAGGAAATGAGAAGGAGGGGAAGGAAGGAGGGAGGGAGGGAGACCATGTCTACGAGTCAAAGATAGCCCCGTATGCAGGAATCCCCCGCGTCTCCATGGCATACACAACCTGCTGCGTGAACCTCTTATTGCTGATAACGCACACGGCCTCTGCGCCAGACTCCTTCCACAGCTTATACGCCATGAGCGGCATATCCGGTTTCCCCTGAGTGCGGGTATTGTGAATGACAGCCTTAGGATCGGTATTCAACACGCTATCCACGAGCTCTTTGCCAAAAGTCTGCTCAGGGTTAGGTGCCGTCCATAGAATACGACAGGGAGTCTTCTTCGCGAGGATGACGGCGAGACAGGGTCCGATACCCGAGCCCGTTGCGACGAGGACGACGGACTTGAAGAGGGTCGCGATGCGGAGCACGCCGCAGGCGGGGATGCCGCGGACGTAGATGTGCGAGGGGGCGCGGTTGATCTGGCGTTTGGTGAAGTCTCCGGCGTTGCTGACCACCAGGGAAAAGCCTTTGCCGTCTGGGTTCGTGATGGTGGCGAAGCCGTGCCAGTCGCGGAGGGGGCGCTCCGCAAGTCGCACTGAAGTGCCTACGACGGGGGTGGTGTAATCGAACCAGAGACGCACGGCGTGGGATGAGAGGACTTCGGAACGGACGGGGACCTTGCGGAGGTGCAGCCATGGGAAGATGATGGCGGCCGTTGCGGCGCTTAGGAGCCAGATGGGTGGGGATTGGAGCCATGCTTTTGTTACGGGGGTGTCGAATGCGAGGTCCCTGCCCACAATGAAGGCCTGTGCCCAGAGAAGGATGAGAGCTGTCCAGCCGCCGAAGCGGTGGGTCATTTCCCATAGGTCGTGGTGTTTGAGGCGGATGGTTGGGTGTGAGAGACCGGCGATGGAAACGAGGATGGGCCAGATGAGGTAGGTTAGTATGGCTCCTGTGAGTGACACGCATCGGGCTTCTGGGGGCTTGATCATTTCGAGACTTGCGGCCACTGTGAAGACGGTGAACCACATGACTGACGCAATTGCGCATCCGCTGTGGATTCCACCTATATGGAACACTCTCGCGCAGTGCCGTCTGATTGCTAAAGGCCATGATGTTGGTAGCGAACAGCATACAGTGAAAAGGACGTTGACGACTGGTTCAGAACGCACGAGTACTGCGACGCAGAGGTTGGCAGCTGTGGCGGTGGCGATGTCGGCGACGATGTAACGGTTCTTTTCGTATCGTCGCCAGAGAATGTAGCAAGCGACGGCCACATTGACAAGAAGGATGACGGAGAAAAATTTCCGGTACAAGATGAAGGCCTTGTGTCGAAGCCACCTCCCAGGGCGCGATCCGTTCTTGCCTGGCAACGTATCTGGTAGTGCAGTCTCGCCGATATCCGAGGAAGACACATTGAAATTTGACAGGTTGCTGGAGACGACCGTTTCGGAGGAGGTAATGCATTTCTCCAAATCTTTGTCTCCCTTCTCGCTGGCCACCAGTGTGCTGGCGATGGTGGCTGGGCGGTAAAGTTCCTTGGAGCTGAAGGAAGAAGTAGGCCTTCTTGGCGATGGGGGCGGCGAGGTCGCTTTCGATGCACGGAGAGCAAGTCTTTTCAGTTCGGCCTTGTCTGTTTTGCCGTTAGGCGTGAGGGGTATAGCTGAAACGTAAACCCAAACTTCGGGAACAGAGTAGTAAGGCAAGTGCTTCTTGACAAACGAATCCAGGTCGATTTGGTCAATGAAGATCTCGGAGATGTAGAAACCGTGGAGTTTGTTGTCGATGAGAGTTGCGCACCCTCTGCTGATACCCGGGAATTTCTCAATGATGGCCGAAATTCCGTCAAGTTCGACTCGGAAACCCTTGATCTTGACCTGATCATCTTGTCGTCCAAGGGTATCAAGCGAGCCGCCCTCTTGCCATCGAACAATGTCGCCGGTGTTGAACATCAACGAACTGATGTAGTGTTAGCTTTCTGTTGAGCAATGGCATTATCGGAATCACTGACCCATCATTTGCGAACTTATCAAGTTTATACCGCTTCGCCGTAAGTTCTGGCAGATTGATATAACCCCGCGTAACCCCAGATCCGCCGACCCACATGGAACCTTGCTCGCCCATGGGCACAGGGTTCTCGTTTTCATCCAAGATGTAAACGGTTGTGTTGGGAAGAGGCTTTCCTATTGACAGAGTCTGTCCTGGGACATGCTGGTGTGCCGAGTTGAGAATCGTAATTTCTGTGGGACCGCAAATATTATAGTAGAGGGTATTGTTTGCCCACTCGTCGGCGAGACTGCGGCGATTGGTGAGCATTTGCGCACCAAATGAGCATGTTTGAATCACTAAACATACCTTTGAGGGCAAGGTTCTCCGCCAGTGACGACGGTCTTGATGTTGGGAAAGTCATTGCGACGGAATTTGGCAAGAATTGAAGGAGTGGCAATGAAGACGTCGACCTGGAAATAACATTAGGTTGAGTTGCAGTGAGTCCTTGAGCGGTGAATACATACTTTCGCCAATGTTTCGGTCCAATCTGAGCCTCGGATGCAAAGCGTGCCTCCGTTCATGAGACAAGCGAGTATCTCCCATGCGCCTGGAGAAGAGATTCCAAATTAGATATAGTTGCCTTGGCGAGATCCGAAGATCGAAAGTTCAAACTTACCCATGTCGAAAGCCACGTTCAAGAATTGACCAACTTTGGTGCCGAAGTAAATACCGAGATTGGCGGGTCGGAGGAGCAACGCGTTGGTGACATTGCCGTGTGAAACATCAACCCCTTTTGGTTTTCCTGTGCTGCCTGGAGGAGATGTTAGAAAATGATAAATGGGGAGATCGTGAGCGGCACTGGAACTTACCTGAAGTGTAGATGGCGTATATGCCATCTGCCGCCGTGACACTGACTTGCGGCCTGGACTTTGATGCAAGAACATCAACATTGGTTCCTAGCGGTACAACCACTACCTCAGAAACGGCCAGCCGCTTAACCTTCTCTTCAAACTTTGGCAAGCACAAGACAAATTGACATCCAGTGTCTGTCATGATGTGACGAATTGCCTCGTCCGAGGCAACACCGCCGTCCACGGGGACGTACTGGCATCCCGCCTTCAGAACGGCGAAGATACCCACCAGCATCTCGATTGATCTTTGCACGACGACACAGACCCGCTGTCTCGGCTGCAATCCTGAGTCAATCAGGTGATTTGAGAGTCGATTTGCGGCAGTATCAAGCTCGCCATAGGTAATTGACTTTGCCCCAAAAGTGGCAGCAATTGCTGAAGGTTCAGTATCTACAGCGCTTTCGAACGCTTGGTGTACTGTAGAGTGTGGAACCAGCACCCTCGGCCCCCGACCAAATCGAGAGAGGATACGCTGTTGGTCGATGGGCAAGGCATCCAGGCCTTGGAAAAGTTTTGAAGAGTCCATGGTCAATCAAGAGATGGAGAACAAGTACAACGACGACTCGATCCAGGAGAGGAGTTGAAGTGCTGAGTTGCAAAAACTCTGGATCCCATTTAGTTTATGTACTCGCGAAGGTTGTGCAAGTTTGTCAGGTAGTGAAGGGCAACTTGTCCGTGCGCAATGCTCTTTTTGTGAAGGACAGGGGCATGAGTACATCGGACGCCGTGCAACCTCCAAAACATCCCTGGGCCCGCATAAGTCCACAGTGTTGACGCTGGCTGGAGCGCCTTCGAAGCGTGGGTTGACCATCACAAGCAGGAGGAGACGGGGGTGGACAAAGCCAGCCCGGCTTTGGTGCTACACAAGCCCGCACTGTTAATCTGTTCCCCATTTTGTGGAGTCGGATTATATTAAAGGGCCACGATGTGAGGTATAGGCTCCGGGCGCACGTGAAGCAGGTAGTGCAAAAGAGGAACTGTGGAGTAGGAAAAACAAAGACAAGCAGGACCGGCGATTGGACGGATGATCTTGTAACACCCCGTAGCCATGCACGCGCCAGATGGCAAATGTGTACATAAGCCAAGGGATGGATGTATAAATGAACTGGGGTCATGCGTCAGAGCCGTCAACCGAACGCAATAACGGTTAGAGACCGCTTTCGGCAGGCGGCCGAACCGTCTGAGTACCAAATCGATGGGCGTTGGCGTGCAGCATCATGGATCCCTAGCCACCCCTCCAACTAAACATTCTGGCCTTTGTGGTATTGACTCGCTTAGGTCGAGCTGTCCCCGGTCATACTCATCACCCTTGGCTTAACTCAGAAGCTCAACCTCGCCCTATCAAAGCAATCCAAACCTCGCTTCTTGGAGTTGCTGCATGCCAGCGACAGGTGGAAACGCGTAATACATCCCCAGAACAACGACACCTTACAAATAGAGAAAGTTGGTGGTGAGCGACATAAAGAGACTTGATGTCGAGAACAAGATAACAGACTGTGCCTTCTACTGAGCTTCCGCGTTGAGCTGTCGAGTCGACGATCAGATGGCCCCTTTCGGATCAAGTACCTAGGTCGGACCATGCGTGCATGAACCCTACATGCCAGTTGTCAACGTAAACACCCCACGATGTCAAGGAACAATGGCGTCAAACCTGGGCAACTACTCGTACATGGAAGCACGAGATCGCGTCGACTCTTCAAACTTTGCTGTCCGCGGTAGCCCGTGGGCGAGGGGCCTGAATCATGTTACACCAAATCCCGTGCTCAGTCCGTACCAAGCTGTTACAAACGCCTCCGAGGCGCAATCATATAAGAATCAGACGACCCACGGACGTGTTGGTTACTTTTTTCTATTCAAACCCGTTACTTATCCTTTACGTTGAGCCACCATTGTCAGCACCCCTTCGTCCGTCTTCATCATGAGTTTCGAGCGAACCATTGCGAAATCCGCGACCGTGCAGCTGACGATCAGACAACAAGCGGGTGTGGCTGTCCTCGAATTGGCCCGTCCGCTCAAACGAAACGCCTTATCGCAGGATTTGATAGACGAGCTGACAGGGGTCCTGCGTCAACTGGATCGCGATGGCTCTGTGAGGGCTGTTGTTCTTACCAGTGTCGAAGGTTCTCCGTTCTGCGGTATGCGCTGCGCCTACATCCAAACCCTGAAGACAAAGAACACGCAACATGTAAACAATATTGCGCTGACAGCCACTAACATGTGAAATGACAGCTGGCGCGGACCTGAACGAACTAGCAAAAATATCTACCGCCGAGGCATATCGCATCGGCTGGCTCAAGGATCTTGAGGAAGGATTATCGTCCTTTCGGAAGCCGATCATTGCAGCTGTGAGGGGGTTTGCTGTAAGTCATCTGTGTAGCGTTCTATACAGTCTGAGACACCAGCGACGTGCTAGACTGCTACACCGAGAGGACTTTTTTTTTTCACCTCCGAAACTGACCAAACGCTTTGACAGTTTGGCGGTGGTTTCGAGGTTGCGCTCATGGTACGTCCGACGCTGAAACTTGAAGCTCTCGCACGATCTTGCGCGACCCACGCACCCAAGCTAAACATGAAGCTGTACTGTATAGTGCGACATGATCTTTGCATCCGAAGATGCACGTTTTGGCTTCCCCGAGATCAAGCTTGGAACCCTTCCCGGAGCCGGTGGCACCCAACGGCTAACTAGGGCCGTCGGAAAGCAGAAGGTGTGTACTGCATCAAAATCCGAATTCAATATTGCAAATTTTTCGCGATCCTCGCGCTACCACAGGGTATAACGAGAGTGGTGGTGGTGACAACCGGGTCATCTGAAAACGCTGACTGGTTGCAAAGGCTATGGAGATGATATTGACTGGGGTACCTCAATCAGCCAGCGAGATGGAAAGGTACGGAATCGTGAACAGGGTCATTCCACTCGACCAGAGCGTCTTGGAGGAGGCGATCAAAGTAGCAGAAGTGACTGCTGCGTTCTCTGCTCCTGCAGCACAGCTGGCTAAGCAGGCCATCAAAGCTGGTATGTTAAGAGAATGCCTATCCATAACGCCATTCTCGCCTATCCAGGGGCTACCCGAAATGCATACTCAGTACCTAATGCGGGACAAACAGCAGAGGCAACCACGTTGAACGCGGGGTTAGAGATTGAACGTGCGTTGTATTACAGCAGCTTTTCGCTTGCCGACTGCGAGGAAGGGATTGGAGCCTTCTTGCAGAAGCGAGCACCAAATTTTCAACATCGATGATGTCGCTCGCATGGTGGTGTACTGAAAGGTACGTGGGAGCTCGATTTCTCCGTCGCATTTCCGGGCAACATTGTGCTGATCTTTTCACCTTGTTGGTTGGAATGTAGTCGCCGTCTGTTGCACGCCAGGAACGTCGAACGAGTGGGCCGGAAAACTTGGAAAAAACAAGGCACGATGCTTCTGAGGACTACTCCAAGATAACATAGCATGCTTCTTTTGGTAAGAGCGAGTACATAAGCGGTAATCACGCCCGTCTTGGTACGGTAAATAGCGAGGATAAAATTCAAGCTATAGCAATCATTTTAATTAGTGGATTCGAGAGAAGAATAAAAGGCCCGATATCTCTTGAGCGGCGGTTTCGGATGATACCGAGCTGCACCTGGCCCGCCTCCCGTGTCGTTTTCCTTGTAACTTCTCGAAGGAGAAATACATTTTGATTAAGTGTCACACCTCCCCCTCCCTAAACACGGCTGATTTTGGTAGTTGGGAGGCGCTCGCGCATTCGTAACCTAACTTCCGAAGCATGCTTTGTATTTCTCCACCCGATATATTGCTTTGCCCTGGATCTTCACATGTGTTGACTCGCGACCGGTTATGCAGCACGTGGAGGAAAGGGCCACGCGTGAAATAAGCTTCCGACACCTGATTACCAGGCTTACAAAACTGCACTCCACGTAACTTCGCCGTGCCACGTACGTCACCTCGTGTTCCTGCCGCCGCATTCTCTCTTTTATCCTTCCCAGGGTTATACCAAGTTCTTTGACATGTTATTGCCACAAGAACGCCTTGCGAACAAGAGTACTACTACCCGTAGGTAACGGATCAAGTGTCTTGATCGGGACATCATCTCCCCTTGTTGTATCACGAACAGCGATCCTCGTCAGTTCTCCTTTCCGTTAAGACCCATCCAACCTCCAGCCTGGTATCCGGTGGGTCCTTAGCACGTTTGCTCCCGCGGTTCGAACTTCCCAGAGGGGTCTTCCGGCGGGTCAAACAACCCACTTCCCGTTGTTGTTGCTACGTAGCTTCAAACCAAAGTGTTTCCAGGAAACTACCGAAACTATCGATCCGCGTTTCGGTATATGAAACAAAGGCATCGGTCGAATTTCGTTTTGTTTCTTTTCTTTCCTACCAGTGCAAGTTTCTAGAAGCTCAGCTCATGGGCTGCGACCTTTGTTCGAATCAACTGGGCAGGTCATTCCGCTCCATTAGTCTGCAGCTCTGCTCTTTGAGTCCACTGATATTTCCTATCCACAACGCTTCCACGTCTTCGAATTGATGCTAGGAAATCAACAAGCAATAGCAATATAGAGAAGCGAGATGTGCCTGCCATGGGATTGGGATTGCTGACATATTGCGCAATCTCGACGAGACTGTCTTCTGGGACAATTCTTTCTTGTTCGGTACCACAGCAGTACCTCGATTGTAATTCGTGGAACTTGTTGCAGAACATATAATCTGCACTATTGTGAATTGAATGAGCGATGGTCAAGTTAAGTAACATGAGTCGCCGCGAAATTGCGAAAGCTGATTCTAGCTAGTGATGCCAGACGAATGCAAACTCACATTCCAACGTCACAAAACCCGTATAGCTCTTGAGTCGCAAGCGCATGAAAGTATACACGATACAAAACTGCGCTCCATCGCAATTATATGTACTGCTAGCAGCTAACACCAGTCCACGAGCTGGTTGTGGTGGTGATCCGAGTTTACCGAACAAGATACGAAGACACGCTAGATAGAATTGCTCGCTTCTTGAACAAATAACAATGAGCTCTCAGTCGTAAAATGCTATTTTTAGGTATTATGTCGTCGATACCAACACCCGAACAGTTATCCCATCCAGTCACGCTTCATCACAGCCTCGTATGTTAGATTAACAAGATCGGCCCCCAAATTGGCCCCCCGCGGAGCGAGGTCAGAATAGCAGGACCGGCGTTCGCCCCTTAGAAGTCGAGCGCGTAATGTTGGCAATCACTTTCAACGATGGAATCCATCATCTTCTCTTCTACGATTCAGTTCCAACGAGAGTCTCGGACGGAGGACTCGAATGGCGCAACTAGTTCACCAACCCACTGATCTGAACGGCCCAGCATACTTCCCGCCGGCAGGAGTGGAGCCAAGACTTGACGGACGCTCCGATGGGAGCATCTACAGTTACACATTACTCCCGGTCCTCGGGATCCTCGCGACCACGTTCATGGGCCTGAGAATCTACACCAAAGCACGGATAGCGCGAAGTTTCAACGTGCCCGATTGTACGACCTTACTCCGTCTGTAGCCAGCCTTTCAATACGCATCCGTTAATTGCTCACAGGTCTGCTCCTTCTCAATTACCCACTGTTCATCACGACGTTGGTTGTCGGTGGCCTGGTCATCAAGTATGGCGCTGGGACGCATCAGTGGAATGTGCTACTCCGTGATTATATCACCATGTACTACGTACGTTGACTCCCCTCGACTCGGACTTCTCCACGCTTATGCGACAACAGTGGGTCAACACCGCCGAGGCGCTGTGGAATGTATCCACATGTTTGGTCAAAGTCTCGATTGTGCTCCAGTACCTGGAAATGCTTGCGCCTAATCGGACAGTCAACCCTGGCATGTGGTGGAGTAGTTGGATCCTGATCTTCGTCCTGGTCGGATTCTATACTGGGGGGCTCTTTTCGGTTCTTTTTATATGCACTCCGAGGTCCAGCATTTGGAATGTGTTGGAGAAGGGCAAATGCAATAACGAAGCACGTCTTGTGCTCATCACTGCGCTTTTCAACATTGTCACTGATGCTGTCATTCTGCTGCTCCCAGTGAGGAGTGTATGGAGAATGCGCATTGAGCGGAAAAAGAAGAGCGCCATTGTTTTTCTATTTTGTACCGGTCTCTCGTAAGTAACACCCGCATTCTTCCTCCAAGTCTGCCCCCTACGTTCTTGACATTGACACAACCAATTCTAGTGCTTGCGCAGCGGCCTTTGTACGCATCTACTACATGGCGATCCTCTCCAGCGAAGGCGATGACCCAGATTTAACTTACTACGTCATTTGGGTTGGCATGTGGTCCTGTATCGAAATCCTGCTGGGTATCATGATCGCATGCAGTCTGACCTTACCCAAGTTTTTCCGCCACCACAACATCCACATTACCTCGTTTCTTGCCAAGTTCTCGCGCCCCTCGGCGTCCTTCAAGTTCTCGTTCATTAAAAGCCATAGCAGCGCGGACACGGCGGAACCCGAGCCCGAACCGAAACAGAAGGAGAGGAAGAAGTTCAACCTCACGTTTAACCAGGGAAGGGATTTGGGTTCGGATTTTCGCGCAAGCAAGATTGTACCGGGAGATGGGGATGTGGAAATGGGCAATGTGGGGTCTGGCCGGGGAGTCGTAGATTCTACCTCGCTATCGGAATCTTTTCCCCCACGGCATAGAACAGCGCGAGAGCCGGCTGCCATGTCCGAAGGGAACGACCCAGATGCCATCACGCGGTCTGATGACTGGATGGACGCGCAATTTGAGACTGGGGGCCATTTTCTCGAAGCTAGTTCGACAAAAACGTCAGCAGCAACTTCAACGACAAGGTTAGCTGGATGAAGTTATCTGTTTGTAGAAAACAACAATCAAATCCATTCAAGCTGTTACAATAAGGAAGTCTAGGTGAGACTTCGCAACGTGACCTGGATATTCACACCTATTGCTGAGAGCCAACAAACAAACAGTCATCTCATTCCAGCTCCTTGTAAAACTCCCACGTACTCTCTCTATCTTCCGAGAGATCCTCATTCTTGACCAAAGCCCGGAAAAGCTCCACAGGCATCTGATTAGCCCTCAAAAACTTGTCATGGAACTGCTTCTCTGTCCATTTTCCTTTTCCCTCCCCAACAACCTCCTTCCTCAACGCCCACAGCTGTAAACCACCCAACATATAGCCTGCTTGGTACAAAGGTCCATAATCTCCCATAACACTCCTACGCACTTCCCCTTCCGCGGTAGCCCGCTCATGCCCGACCCAATCCACAAGCAGCTCCACACATTCCTGGGCGCTCATCTCACCGAGATGGTACTTGAGCGAAAAAACGATGCGCGCACAGCGATGCATGCGCCAGAACAACATCCCGATACGGTTCTCTGGTGTCTTCTTCCAAGAATCAGCTGCGTAAAGCAGCATCTCCCAGTAAAAAGCCCAACCTTCAATGCAGAAGGGAGTTTGAAACATTTGACGGTACGGCTTGTGCCGCGACATGTAGTGCATGTGTAGATGGTGGCCCGGAATCATCTCGTGGAACACGGTGGCGCGCGAAAAGTGGATATTGTTGCCGCGCATGCTCATCAGTTTCTGCTCGTGGCTCATGGAAGAAGTCGGGTACGACACTATAATCTCGTCGCCGCCCAAGAAGAACGGGTTCATTTTCTGGGCTTCGGGGGACATCATGAAGGTCTGGATCGTCTCCTCGCAGATCGGCGGCACCGTCGCGAGATTGTGGGTTTTGACATATGTGGATGCTTCTTTGATCAGGTCTCGTACTAGCTGCGGTTGCTTTCCCGGTTCGACATATTGGGTTTTCACGTGCTCGAGAGCGTCACGCCAGTTTTGGAAACCGAGTTCCGATGCGGCTTTTTTCATTTCTTGCTCGCACCAATCGTATTCTTTGCGTCCTATCTCAATGAGCTTCTCCGGTGTGTAGGGGATCATCTCGGTTTGGAGAGATTCGAGGATTCTGGACCGCCCGACTGGCTCGCCGATGATGGTATCGGTGTCATCTGGCTTGATTCCAATAACAACTTCTTTGATCACGTTTATCAGATCTTGAAGGGCTTTATCGATCTCGGTGTAGGGATCTCTGGGAATTTCAATCGAAAGTTAGCAGATTGTAAACACAACAGCCTCCTACGGTCGATTTAAAATTTGAAACCATCAATCGAAGGGCAGGTAAGCTTGAGATATCAATACAGAAGATACGTACGACACCCAGTAAGTGAACAGCGGATCATAATCTTTGTAGAATGAATACCATTCGGCAAGTTGTTCTTTCAATCCAAGCAGTGTTTGTGTTGCCTATGTAAGATCGCGCCCACGAAGTCAGTACACTGCACGTCGGGTATGAAAAGTGTCTCTATCGCACCAAGGCGCTGTTCGAATCCACACGATTTTGGGGGATATCGATCTATTACAGGGCATACTGACTCTTAGCGCAGTCACTGGATCAGCTTTCTCCTTTCCTTGGATAATTTCCTTTTGGACAGCGGCTACATGGTTCATAGATTCTGATAAAAAAGCAGCGGATTGTTGACCATTGGTATCATTTACGGTTTGCCGTGCTTGTATGATGCGTGTCAAACGCATAGTGAAATAGCCTTCTAAAAATGCTATAGCTTTGCCTTCCTGCTCGGCGTCGTGGACCAGCGCACTCAGTTGGTCACGAAGGTAGTTTCTTATCAGTATGTAATCCACTTTCTCTTCTTGGTCCAGATTCTTGAATGTGATCTTCTCCAACGAAGCTATCTCATTTTCAAAGAACGCTTGTAGTCGTTGGTAGCGTGTAGGCGAGCAGCGAACTTTGTAAAAAGATTCGAGATTCCGTACGTCTTCACGAATCCTCACGATTCGGTCTGCGACAGTCTCTGAAGGTGATGATTCTTCGTTTGATGCATAATCGAGATGCGCATTGTCTTGTTGGGAACATTGTGTTCTCGGGCGGTGGCCGTGGTGCACAGAAGGGTCCCGCATCCTGTCTGTCCACTCAATGAGAAGATGATTCCAGGCTCCAGATCGGGGCTCTTTTCAGTTCTTGAAAAGCTCGATCGTATGATTTATAGAGACACTCAGTTCGATGTTAGTTGATGAGATAAGGCATGCCAGTACCACCTTCCTCTTGCATCTGATCTAACTAAAACTAGACTAGTACGGAGGCGGGGAACATCAGTGATCACCTCCACTCATCAATCTTTACACTTGGGATGTCAATCGGAGACCATCGAATGCATCACATTTCGCATCAGAGGAGCTCTGTTGAGTCAGGAGAAAAGAGGAACACGCAATACTGATCAAGGTATACAAGAAAAATGTTGACAATTCATGTCCTGTGTACGTATGTTGACCTTCCAAACCATTGATATCCTGCAGCTCGTCCCCTCATGTTACTTGCTCTATTTCGATCAGTTCTCCTCTTAACTTGGATACGCAGGCCATTCAATCAATCTCCCAAGAATATGTACAAATAAAGAGCATAAAAATGCGTAGAAAATTAGCATCGGGGGAACGATGAGGAAAAGTTCAGTCTGGAAGACTGAAAGACATTAACGCAACACCAATTCCACTAGACCTGGAAGCGGCGATAGCGTGGGACTGGGCCACCCTTCTGGCACTCTTCAACACTTCGTTTTGTGGGAGTTCCGTTAGCCCAAGCTTGCTCGAGTGCCTGTTCGACCTGATCCAACTCGCTGTAAGGCTGTTCACGGGCAAGCTGCTGGACGCGATCGTTGATCGTCTGAGCTGTGAATGGACCCGATCTGCTAGTAAAGTCGGATTGTGTGAATGGCCGGGCAGCCCAGCGAGGATCCACAGGATCGGCAAAATCGGTCGTTTCGTTATAACCGAGAGTCGTCAGCTGGGTAACGTTGAAAGCCGCCATCATATCGTGATCTTCGTGAATGAGATTATGACAATGGAACATGCTGTGAAAGATGGTAAGCCTGAGGGATCTACTTGGATCAATAATCCGGTATCAAACTTACTAAAGTCCATTCCAGGGACCGTAGTGAGCTTCCACCTTGACGACTTCGTTCTTGCCGAGCCAGACAACGTCCTTGAGACCAATGGACTCGTATGGCTCGACACCACGGCCGTTTCGCTCAATTACCTTGAAATCAACGAGATGCACCTAGAGTTTTGATACGATGTTAGCTAGGTTCTCACGAAACACTGCAGTAGATCGCCAGACTGATGAATCGATACGTCGCGCGACATCAAAGTGTTGAACGACTTTCGACCATTACTGGTGCAATACTTACATGGATGGGGTGTGTCTAATTGAGGAAAAGTTAGCACATTCCAAGATCATCGACGGTCGAGAGTTTTTCACATACCCATCCACCAGACGAGTTCTCAAGCTCCCAAATCTCCACTTTGCCGCGGGGGACCTTAGCAAGCACTCGGTTAGCGACGTCTTCGAAGCCAACGCCGTTGATTTGCCATTCTCCGTTGGATCTGTGGAATCGGAACTGGTGGTCCACTCCGGTCGAGGGAGGAGGGTAAGGGACTGTTCGTAAAGCCGCTGGTACTTTCGACGTATCGGTGACCGCTGTACCCGACACAACGAACTTCATGACCTTGTCTGTGTTATCATAATCGTCGTCGGTCATGATGTCAAGGTCATGATCATTGCGCAGTTCGATACTTTGTCCAGCAAACTTGGAGAAATCGAATACAATCTCGTAACGCTCAGCAACAGCGTTTTTGAGATCAGTGACTTGCACAGGACGCTCCAACAAGCCTGCGTCTGATGCAATGACCTGGAACGGAAGCCTTGTGCTGGTGGCGGACGACCGGACGAAGAAAAGATCGAAGTTGCGGGAGAGAGAGGCATCCAAGATTCGGAACCTGTATTTGCGGGGCTCCACATTGAAAAAAGGCCATGGTTGACCATTTACGTGAATTACATCACCCCAGAGACTCTGGTCTTCGCCTTTGCTGGATCTCAAAGTACCATCCGAGTTATAGTACTTGGAGGTCAATACAAGAGGAATATCATACTTTCCATATCCAGTTGGGAGGCCAAGGGCATCTTCGGCAGCGTCAGCAACGACATATGCACCCGCTTGTCCAAAATGCGCGTTTTCGGCAGTCTTCGAATGGTTAGTAATCTGTTTTGCACGGGGTTGAACCACACTCACAATGCCAAGGGCGTGATCATGATACCAGAGCATCCGTCCTGACTGGTAGTTTGGATAGTAGTAATCTTTGTACTGGCCCGGGAACATCTCATCCTCGGCCCAACCATCAAAAGGTGCACGCGACGGCGACCCATGAAGATGAACGGAACTCTCTCGGTCTCCGTTGTTGATGAAACGGACAACACTCTCTTGACCCTTGGGCACGATGATGGTAGGCCCTGGACTCGTGCCATCTACACGTCTTCAGTAAGATGATGGTCGGCAGGGGAGTTGCGATTCGCTTACTGTATCCCACCAAGCGCGCGGCTTTCAGATTCGGGTATATCTGTTGCGTGAAGGGCTTGATCTCTAGCTCATAATACCAGATCTCTTTGCCAGTCACCGGATTGGTGATCTTACTAAGACAGGGTTAATGCTTGCGGCAACTAATACTTGACTTTCAAGAACATACTACTTGACCTGCGCTTGGGGTGGGATAGGTAGAGCCTTCTGATAGAGTGTCAACTTGGGACTCTCATCTCCTTTCCTCAAAGCCACCATGTCGGGCTCATCTTCGACTACCGAAGATAAAGCAGCGGCTTCCTCGGCGGGGATTCCTGGTGAGACATTCTGACCCAGACACTGCGTAGCAAAGGCCAAAACCAAACCAACACGAGCAATCTTGGAAAGCATCGTGGAAAGAGCAGGAAGTGATGGTAGTATGATGGGTAAAGAAGGACGATTTTCAGAAGCTATCAAGAGCCTGCTGTCTTTTCATCGTGTCCCGGGCTCTATTTATATGTGGATTGGCAAGACTTGGAGAGCACGCTAACAATCATTTTCAGGCCCCAGGAATGATCAAAATGGTCTTTACACCTCCCTGGTATCCGGTCCATACCCAAAAAGCTTCACACAGCAGCGTACTATCGATTTTGTCTTCATGGTGTAATAGTGGAAGTATCTGTGCTTCCGCTCTTGCAGCTGGACTAGCTCGACTAGTTCCAGGCAACCAAATTGATCTATACGCATTTCAACCCGGGGATTAGCTTCTAGAGTTTGATTGGATCCCTAGTAGAACATGTAAAGCTCCAGGGCATGCCACGCAGTGGCTTCGAAGACACACCCCTCGTACTCTGATGCACGAGCGGAACCAGGAACCAGAGCTCCAACAAGCCACCACACACTGAGTCAAGCCATACTCGAGTCTAAATCGGGATTGTTCGTACGGATAGTTCGGAAATGGCAGTGCCAGAATCGCATTGCCGAAAGCTGAGATGGGATTCACTCACCGGTATCTCATGAAATCTGGATTGCCCATGTTTTCCAGTGGAATACGATACTTGACAACAACCTATACTGATCTGTTGCTATGTTTCTGGTGTTTCTGCGACATTATCTGTGCGCACAGAAGTTGCCTGAAGTTATTGCCATGGCGGCCTCGTATGAGCTTAACCAAGCTTCACGGACTACAAAGGTCAGCCGCGCTTGCTTGTTTGTCTTGGCTCGCATCGAGACTGGTCATTCTGCCCATGGCCAAGAATTTGGGGGTACATCTTGCCAATATTCCTGCCCAGAAGCCGTAGGCCACTACGCAGAAAACGTAAACGAGATTGTTATTCTTTTCGTCGGCAACATTGAGTAGTCCCCGGAGGAACATCACTCCGCAGAATGGTGTGAAAACACGGGCTTGGTAAGTTGGAGGCGTACAAGATGTGAAGGTGTGCTTGAGAGTGGATCATCAAGGCCCAAATTTGCGATTGACAAGGTCAATTTACGTTGTAAAGCATGCAGTAGACTGCGTGTGCAGTGTATCAATACTTTGAGTCTCTGTCTAACAAGATTGACGAACAAGGCGTTTCTCTACTGCCTTTGCTTAGCTAAGATAAGCAATAGGCGGACTCCAGAACACATCACCCAACTTGGGGATCGCATTGCACTTACCGACGCGTGTCGTTGACCGAAGACCCATTCGCCTTCTTTGCCTTCTTACTGCATACGAAATTTCACATTGAGCGCACTAACCCTCCAACTGCACATGGTGTTGGGGGTTGACTTAGACAATCTGCCAAGTAACAAAGGCCAAACAATAAGAGAGGTCTGGAACAATCCTCAAAGCTTTCCAGCATCGCCTGACCCATTAAATCTAGACCATACCCTGAATTTTCGATCTAGTGTTCGGGGAACTCTGGAAATAGGAACGGCCCGCCCTCAGTGGTAGCTAGCGTGGTTGGGCACGAGTCAGACAATGGTTATGCTCGTTGCTGCAATTGTTCACCCTAGACCCGAGGAATTATAAGTGTTGAGAAGTCATTGTATACTGCTATACATAAACCAGATTCAGTCCGCTGAGAAGGTCCACTAGGTGTCGTGTGAATCTGCACCACTATGCGAATGATTTGTACCGTATTGCACCATCAGTGCCGCAAAATTCGCCTCAATCTGCACGATGATGCATGCTGTCCGGAACTTCATAGCGGCATCTAACCCGGGAGTGAACTAAGCGTATGTCAGGGCGCTGATTCCTAGGTTGCTCATAGGGCCTATTTCGCCGCGTGGCTACTGCACGGCAGTGCATGTACGCGCACCTCGTATTCTGAACATCATTCTGACATTTACGAGGAATGCGCAATTTCCAGCATCCATATTCCCATACTGCTAACAAGACTTGCAGGATATAAAAGATCTGAAGTCAACAACACCAGAAAAACCAACTGATGAGCAACACTCTGAACCATCCCCTCTCTCCCAGCCAATATTTTACGTATTCCCCACCCGACAACAACGCTCAGTCATGACGATCCATCCTCACTCCGTGGGATCCATTCGTCTCCCAAAACATACCGAATAAGACAGCGGACGCCACATCCTCGTATACAATCCTAACCTTACCCTAATACGACCGAGCCAACCCCTGTCAGGCTCCCACCAACACAACTTCCTCAACCACGAGCTGGCAATTCCTTGGCAAAATACCCGTAACTGAGCTCCGCGCGTGCATAATCGAAGCACTCTTTGCCGAATAGAGAACGAGGGTGTGCTGGATCTCGCACGTGCGACCTATTTTAGGGGGTAGAAAGAGGCGAACCATCGTGATGACGATACGGGAAAAGATATCATTTTTTTTCTATGGTCCGATGGAAGGCTATGAGCACGTTCAGCAGTGTTAGCAACGATGTGGCTCTATTAATAGTAATTTCTTGTCTTTGTATGTACTGACTAGAGCATTCAGATTTATCAATGCCATCACCAGGGAGTAAAAACTCGACATGAAATCTACCGACCTTAATTTCTTTTTCTTTCTTCGTTGATCTCTGAGTTTTGGACCGACTGGCAAGATCTAGTTAAACTTTTCGACGGCTTCTCTAGGATACCATCTCCTTCAACATCAATCAAATTGCTTTCTACCCAGCTTGCGATATTTTGGAAATTGACGCAATGGTGAGGATCAGGGTATTCGGTCTCCGCACTACTCTTCGTAACTCCGTTCCTCTGAAATATACTCAGCACAACATCGCCTCGGCAGGTCGCAGCTACCTGTAATCACACAATACTATGATCTATGTGCGATGGTTCCCCCTGTCATCGGCTTGAGCAGTCAGGTTGGGCAAGTAGTATTGCGAGTAGATCCAGTGTCTGATCTACTCATGTAGATTTTGATCACTTTCGCCCTTTGCATGTACGACGAGATTTTTACTAGGTAATGTAGTTTATGGTAGACTCCTAGCTGGCCTGCATATCCTGCACCATCCTGGAGCTTGATCGCGTTGAATTTGTATGACTCGGTATACTCTGACCCTCATGCGGCGGTGCTAATCTTGAGACAGGGCTTTGCACGGATCAGACTACCTGATCGATCAACACAGAACCGATGCGACCAGAAAGAGCTGCCTTACTTCAAAACTCCGTTTCTTCTAGCTAGATTAGTCACATGTACTATACCCTTTTCTTTAGCCCTGTCCTCCCTCCAACAGTTATTTCTTTTTTGTCGTCATATTGGATGAGACACGTTGACTCGGCAATCAAGCTATCTGCGCTACACAATCGCACGCAAGATATCTGTGGAGATAAAAGCGTATAACAACTCTAATATCGACCGAGCGCAATTAATTGGGTTACTTTGTTCATGATTACCAACAGCGCGACTCTCCTTGATTATTCATATATTGAATCCAAACTCTGAGGGCTGCTTTGGTAGCTGTTTGCGAAGAGCAGATGCTCGGTTCATGTTTAGAGGGGTATCGGCGCTCAAGGGAGGAGCACTTTTATTGATCGAGATTGATTGGCAGTGAGGGTCGCGGGAGGTGTTGACGGGGAGGGTCGTTGGGTTTGTGCGGAGACGTTTCTCCAAACACCTTTGATATCAAATATCATGGTGGAGGAAGAAGATTTATCTGTGAGTTTGGGAAACTTGTATGATACCGGATATCATGGTGGTGATTTGGCCTAGCTAAATAAACGATTCAATCATGTCCCGCTATTCCCATTACCAAAACGCATGCCATATAGACGCACATAAGTTAACCAAAAACACCAAAAACAGTGTCGTATAATCGACATAGACTTGAAGCTACCGACACTTGACCTCTCAAAAGCCCACCACCGATTTAAAGCTTACTCAACAGAGGCCGTTCCTTCCACAGCCCGCACATGCCCTCTTGACTCAACCCCAGCACCGGATCTCTTTTCGGTTTCGGTACATTCCAAACCAACCTCTCTCTCCCCCGATGCTCCCCACCGACTCTAAAATCCCAATCATTCTCCCTCGGATAACTCCCCATCATCTGAAACCAATCGCCCATCTCGATCTCCTCGAAAAACCTCCTCGCCCTCTCGGGATCCCGCACAACCACGCCATTCTCATCTTTGCACTGATGGAACACAAAGTCGTGATTCTCGGGTCGCGGGGCGTACGTCTTATGCGCGATGCCCGCGGGGAGGATAAACACGTCGCCTATGGACGCTTCGACCCAGACGCCGCCGTCTTCGTGGGCAGCGCCGTGAGTCGCTTCCTCGGGGTCTGGCGAGGTATCAGCGACGCCGAAGCGGATGGTTGCGCCTTGGCCTGAGACTACCGTCATGCATTCGTGCGCGGCGGAGTGGTAGTGCGAGTCCTGCGTTGGTCCGTACCGGGCTACCCATTGCGATTCCCAGCCATTGCTTGCGTAGAGGTCGTAGAGGTCTGCGAGGGTGAAGGATGGGGACGAGAGTTGGGTGCGGAAGAGGCCTGGGTAGTGGATCACGACGTGGGGGGAGTTTGGCATCAGAGGGGTCGGGTCAATCTTGTAGGTGCGTACTTCCACCATGGCGAGATGTGGGATTGTGCGAGGTGGGTTGAGGTGAGGGCATTTTGTTTGAGATGGAGCGCGGTGTTTGGGGTTTTAATTAATGGGTTGGTTTCGTGGAAGATGACGCTGGTGAAATGGTCTTTGTTGCATCATCTGGCTGTGGATTGGGGAAGCTACCCCGCTCGCCCACTTGTTTGGAGAAAGTCGGAGCGAATGCCGCAAAGTAGAATAGTTTTGAGACGCGACGCTAGTTGGGGGCAGTATAAAAAAAAGTAAACGTCGCGTTCTGCTTTGCGTTATAATAGAGTCTAGTAGTTCAAGATGTGAATACGGTGATCACGGAATCGATTAATATCTTGAGTTTGTGTACATACCTAGGGAACGTCTAACCCTTTCTCTTCTCATCACTTCCAGGTACCGCGTGTAAAATCTCATATTCGCCGTGGAAGATTAAATTGTATGATGTCTCGAGTAAGCATCGCCTAATCGTGGAAATACTTGCCAATATCAAGGACGCCAACGCAGCCTGTCTCAAGAAGATGCCTGTTTGCTTTATGACAATATGGTTATGAGCGGACCCTACGCTACGGACAGCGTATCTGCCGAGCAGAAACCGAGAGTATTGAAACTGTCGACGCTCGACGTGACATCAAACTCATGCTTTGAGGGCTTCTTCCAGTTATAGTAGCTCGGCTTAAGCAAATCCGCCATAGAATCAAGCCCGACTTCGACGGCGAGATTTCGTATCTTCAACCGAGCCTCCACGCTGATTGAACCTAATTCGAGGAAAAATTCAACCATGGCGGTATGCTCTATGCGAACAGCTCTCTCCAGAACGCCTTCGTCGACCACGCCACCGAATTCAAGAAGTTTGCGGACGATCCTCATGTCCCCACCGATTGCTGCAGCTCCCATTGCGGAGGATCGGTACATTGGAATTATGATGTTGGGCTGCGCATCATGATCAAGCAACAGATCTACGAGATCACTGTGGCAGTGGCGGGCTGCTAAATAAAGCGCTCTGTCTAGATCAGGTCTGTGCTTGCAATCTGAGCCGCAGTTTCCATATCCCGACTCCAGAATATATCGCGCGATGTCCAAGTTTCCGCAAGACGCGTGGATTCTTAGCCTACGCACGATGAACTCGTGAGGCTTTTCTTTGAAACTTATCATGTACTTGAACATATCAAGTGAGTCGCAAGCGTTATCGACCGGAAAGAGATATGTAGCGCCGGGTTTATCGGGAGTGAAGTCTTCCACTGCAGATGTAGCAGCTTCAGGCTTGCAGGAAACGAGGTATGCGGCAAATTGCAGACCATTCATTTCTGAATTGCAGGAGGCTTGCGTTACGAAGCTGAATGTTGCATTGTAGTGTGTATGCCTGAATGGTATACCAGCACTTGAATTCTCGTGGAGTTGAAGATTTGTCAGTGTTTGGACATATAGTAACTGCATGATGTTTCTCTGATCTTTCCACGCGGCAGCTTGACATGCTGAATAGAGAATTTGGTCGGTGTCGGTCGAACTAACGCCCTCGGAAAGCAATTGTTTGACCAAGGGAGCATTGCCAAAACAAGCTGCTACAGCCAAGAGTCGGCGCTTGTTGCCTGGATCCTCGATCTCCGGGCGAATGACTTTACCTCTGACAGTGTATGGCTGAGACGGAACCCAAGAACTTCTCCAGGAACCCAGAGCCATTTGACACACTGTCTCTAGTGTCTCCTGGAAGTCTATTCCAGCTTGACGACTATACTCCTCAGCTACCTGGCGGATCTCAACAAAGCCGTTGTGTATCGAGTCCGGACCTCTACGCGATGCTGCTTTCCGAACTCGATACAATAGATATTCGTACCAGAATTTGGAAGCACCATTGTCTCTCTCGTAGTTACTGAACTGTATCCTCGAGCCATACCTGCAGGGAATGACGAAGTCATCGAGAAGTAGCGACTCAAAAAGGGCGCGCGGCAGGTGATCATAGAATATTTCTGTCAGGTGTTAGTATGTATCTATTCGAGATAGCAGCACCGGAGCCTTACTACAGACGAGCTTAAGTCGAAGGGCCCTTTTGACACCTCGGGAGTACACAGCGCAGAGCAAAACCTCGTGGAGAAGCTCTGCTGGAAGATCAAGCAACTGCATCGTGTGGAGCGAATAACAATGGCAAAGCGCTCCCAATATATTACTGTGCGAAGATTACGCTAACGAACTGTAAAACACGGCTGGGTAGGTGGAATGTACTTCAAACGAAGATAACATTCATTTTATATGTACCTAGGTACCTACGCAGGCAGCAGTCTGCGGGGAAGGATCCGCTAACCAGATGCGCTTAGCGTGGTTTATCGACGTGGCATTCCACGATGGCGGTTTTATGAGAATGAGTAAATAGCGAAAACTTGATAAATTGAAAGAATCAAGATTGAATTCATGAATTCATGAGTTCTGAGATGGGGTTTGGGTAATGCTACACACAGCAATAGATATATAACAATAAGGATACTAATAAGAAATATGAATAGAAACTTTCAATCCGCCAAGTCCACAGGAAGAAATATAATAACAATTATAACAATATGCTTACAAGATCGAACTACAAATGCATAACCTACACACATATCATCATATATCTGTCCTCAAAATACCTACACTGCAATTCTATGCAGTAACGATAAACGCTGCAAAGCACAGCATTGTAAGGAGAAAGAAAGAAAAACCTCCTCTAGGAAACAGTGAAAGTGTACATATTTGATTTGATTAAGAAGATAAGAGTCTACAACCTTAAACCAAGACCTCCCTCCCTCTCTCTTATCACCTCCATTAGCAAGAATGAAACGCAAAAGGAGAGAGGAGGGAAAAAAAAGGGAGAGAGGAGGGAGAAGCGATGGTACGTTCCCCCTTTTCCTACCTAATCCCTACATTCCTATTCCATCCGACATGTATATTCAAAGGGGAAAAGGAAGAAAGAAAAGAAAAAAAGAAAGAAATTCGTTCCATCCTAAGAAAACAAGGGGGGGGGGGGGCAATCCTCAGAAGTCCCATGTCTTCCTAGCAACGGTCCAAGGAACTACATAGCCCTTGCTACCCAGCAACGACTTAGGGGTCTTGGGAGCGGTAGTAGTAGCGCCCCGCGATGCGCCTCGAGGCGAAGCTCCGCTCGCTTTGCCCTTCAACATTGGTTTAGGGATACCGGTGGGCTTGACTGGATCTGCAGGAGGGGTGACAGGTTTCACATGCGGGTTCGCAATGATGGGCCGATCGAGATGGTGAGCGTAGTTATTCCGATCATTGCTGTCGATTTTCGTGGGGATTTTGACGGTGGGGCGGAGATGAGGGGTAGTGGGTGGTGGGGGGATGTTCTTCACATGGCGTTTGCTGTTGGTGATGGTGGGTTTGGGTGCGGCGATCTTGGCAGGAGTGGAGATGTGGTGGTGGGTGAGTTTTGCGTATAGGGATTTTGTGGATTGCTGTGTTGAGTTTTTCTCGGTTTGCGATTGGTCTTCGATTATCTTGTTTGATGGAGGCTGCTCGATTACTTTCACATCAGATTGGGCAGAGGCTTTAATTGGTGAGGATTGTGAAAGTGGAATTCCTGTAGATGTGCCTTTGGGGGGAACTGACGTGTCGTCTTTGAAAATTTCAAGTTTGGCAGCCAGTGGGACGCGTTTGGATGTGTTGCGGGGCGGGAGCGATGGCGGCGAGGAAGCAGGGCGGCGCAGCTGCAAATGGGAAGATTTGTCTGACGTGGACGCCGAAGCTGAGGTCTTTCCAGAGGGACTAGATGGTGTGGTAGATGAAAGAGGTCGGGAGGACTGGTCACGCTGCACGTTGATTGAGGTGTGTTTAGACTTTTGCGTCACGGTGGCGTTCTCGTCGTGAAACGTGGGTGATGACTTGCAGTCGAGTGAGGTAAGAAGGGACTGCTCCTGCTGAGAAAGATGATCTAGGCGGCGTAGAAGCTTATTCCGTTCCAGGGCGATGGCTTGAAGCTGTGCAACGCACTGCTGGACTGAGGCTTCCGTATCGTTCTCGGCCCCGTTTGCAGTGGGACCGATGTGCTTGTTTGCTTCGACGCCATGTTTATTCGGAACCACCGGATCTGATGCTGATCGAGAGTGCGCCTTTGTATCACGAGACGTCACTCGCGATTTCTTCTTCTGGCGACCGTCTTTTGCTTTGTTGCATCCGTGGGATGAGCTGGAAGCAGGGAGTCCACCTCGTTCATCCCGGAAGACGAAAAATGCCTCGCTCTGAACATCAGGCTCCGTCGCCGGATGGGTAGGCGTGCGGCGACCACCCACAGACCGATTCGACGACACCGATGATGGTTTGGATCCCAGTCGTTCAGCCCTATCATTCCCAACCGTCAGCACCTTGCACAAAGCCACAACCATACACCATAGGCCGTTAACTGCTTACCGGACATCGCAAATGTTTCCCTCATCCGCCCGATTCTCGGGACGATCAGCAAACATGGATTGCTTCTTTGATTCCGCCTCGGCTACGGCTAAAGATGATGGTGCGCCCATTGGGCTCTCATAGGCCTACTCCGGTGTCAGCTCGACCCATGCGGCGGCCTGATTGTATGCATATATGACCATGCGTACCTTTTCATAGACCGTCATCTCCTTCATCTCGCTCAATGTCTCAGCATAGTCAAAATCCAGGATTGAATCCGAGGAGCGCATTGCGCTCGTGCAGATTAAATTCGCGATATGGAACTGAGATTAAACAATGTTCGTGGTAAATATGTAGGGCCACAGAGGTTGAGGCTGAAGCCGAGTTGTATGTAGTATATCTTTGCAACAAAGGGGGTTGGTTGAGTGCCAGAAGAGAAGGGGCCAAGGTATATCGCATAGCAACAGTAGAGTGAACGTGGTATGCAAGGATCTGGGTCAGTGAGACAAACGTAAGCATAGGTGAGTGTTTGATCGAGGCGAGTGAATGATGAGTATGCGATTGTCTCTGTAATGTGCTGAAGGTCAATGAATTTGTTGACTTGTATTTGAGATGATTCTAATCTGCGGCCATATTCTGTGGTCTGCGTCCAGTCTTCCTCCTCTTCCTCTTCCTCCTCCTCCTCCTCCTCCTCTTCTTCTTTCGTAGCAATTGAGTCTGATGGTTCATCCTGTCCTAGTACAACGGCCTTTCTGGTTCCTCGTTGGATCTGTCTGCACGTCAAACCTCATGATTAGCATTGTCAATCACCACGACCAATTCAAGCGAGCGCTCCTAGATCAGGTGTAGTGCATACACGTAGTCCAGGGCGTTGACCTTGGTTGGCTGTTGCACACACTGGGCCATGCTGACGACCCGTGCTCCCCCTCGTTTCGGCATCCCACGTCGTCGAACCAAGGAAGGCCGAGGATCGAGGGGGAAAGCGGGGCCACGGAGTCGAGGCAGGGCAACGGCGGCTTCAGCTTCAAAGGCCGTGTCAGCATGGCCAGGCAGGCTGGGGAACGATGATGATGACGATTGATGTGGTCGAGGCGTTGTGGTCAGCCAGACGGTCAGCGTTGCACCAAGGGAAGGGATCGTGAGGTCAGGCGACGCGATAAGCGGGGACTTGTTATCTGATGAGTGTGGGAGCGGGGAGGAGAATGGGTTGGATTGAGGGTTTATCAGGGCAAGGCGAGGGGAGGTGAGAGACTGGGTGAGAGATGACATGAGATGGAGGTCGCAGGGCTGTATATAGGTCAAGTGCCGGTCGGTAATTCGAGGTGGATTGGTGCGAGAATGCGGCGCAGGTATGCAGGTGTCTGGATAGACAGACGTGGTGGGCAGGGCGGAGCTGAGATGCGGACAGGTGAATGGTGTGCAGTCTGGTGTGTGAGTGGTAGGCTGGAAGACAGGTACAGTCAGCAAAACGCTGACCGGGGTGTGGGAAAGGCTCGGCAGTTCGGCAAGCCGTGAATGGAGGAGAAGGCCGGGCCGAGTCCAAGCTCAGACAGCCAAAACGGCATGGAGGGGGGGTAGAGACCCGGGGGAGTGGTTCACCCTTGTCTTGGCTGTGATTGGTTGGCTGCTCCGTCATGGATATGTACTGTACCTTTAGCATGCATCCTACATGTATGCATCCTGTACGTAGACAGTCGTCGAGTGTAACCATCCGACGTCTTTTCTGTGAGCTTCAGGGGCTTGCATGCCACTGGTGAGCGGTCGGGATGATGGACCAGACGGATCGGGTTGGTGGACGGAGAGGGGGGAGGATAGCAGCGGGACAGGAATAGAAGAGACGGATAGAGGTGGAGGGGGAGCAGGGGTGGTCTGTGAGGGCCTGTTCAGATCATTTCATCATGAATCATTCCCATGGAGAGCGGTGAAGTGGCTGGAACTCTGAACCAAGAAGAAGAAAAAAAAATACAGGGAAAAAGGAATTAGAAAGAAGGAAGGAAGGAAAAGAACAACGGGAGATGGTACTATCCAGGATGGTGGCTCCAGACTCGACGACGATTGAGTTGCATGTGCCCATCCAACAGGCACGCACGGTGGAAGGAAGAAAGGGGCATGATGCGGTGTAATGTGTGCTTGTCTTGCCTAACAGCCTCGAGCCCTTCAGTCGGGAAAACGGGGGTGGTGGACATGTCGCCACGGGGGGGATAGCGGGTACATGAAGGTACATCAGAGGTATATAACGTAATGGGAACACGTCTTATCTGATGCTTCACTTTTGCGCGTACCGGGTTCAACGTGAATTCGGGCGGGGACACTGACAAATCCAGGGCGATGAAATGGAGAAAGCCGTTGCAGAGTAGAGAAGCCAGGCAGGATTCAGGATGAGAGAGATAGAGAGCATGAAGCAAAAGGAAGAGGGAGGGGTAATTACTGTGGGTAGCTGTCTCGTCTGGCATGGGTGGGATGAAGAAAATGGGTCCTCGGCAAAACCTGGCGGGAAAGTAGTGTAGCCAAGGACCTTCCCTTATTGGCCGGGGCTGGCAGGCGACACTCCGATACGCGATAGGTGCGTTGCCTCTGCACCCATGCTCGCTTTTCAATGTCTCTCTCTCTCTCTCTGTGTCTGTGTGTGTCTGTGTGTCTGTGTGTGCATGCATGCACGTCTGCTGCATGCATGTGTGCGTGCTTTTTCTCCATCTCTCCCTACTCTTGGATGTCGATGCTGTTGTTGTTGTTGTTGCTGCTGTTACTGCTGTCTGTTTGCGCCTTTTCACTCACTCCTCACTCCGCTGGACCTGGAGCTAGCCCCGACTGATTTGCTCCCATCGACCTTTCCACCCGGCACCGGCTCCTTCTTAGACCGAGCTACCACCTCCCCTACCCTGCCCTACCACTCACCACTGCTACCACCATCCCGTCCCTTCTTTCCTTTTCCCATCTTCACTCCCCACAACACATACTCTCTCCCTCTCTCCTCTCTTTTACCCCCCACCTCCAATCCAATCCCCCCTCTTCTTCTCTCCATGTAGCACCGTCCCCCACGCCCATTCTCCTCCCCTCTGTTGCTCAACCTGCTTCCATTGATCGTTGCTGCTGCTGCTGCCGCCGCCGACCTCGACCTTCCTCCTCTCCCCACCCACCCCCCGTTGGGCCCCGCTCTGCACCCTTCGTCTCGTCTCGTCCCGCATCTCGTGCCCTGTCTCCAACTGCTTGCTTGCTTGCCTGCTTGCCTGCCTGCTGCCATCGACTACGCCGTAACGTTACAACACCACCCCGGCCGCGCCCAATGGTGGCCCTCAAGATCGATTCCAACCGCCGCAGTGTCCGAGAGGACCACGCCAACGGGTCCACCCTGGCTCGCATGGTGCGCGAGTTTGAGGACTTGGTAACGGGATTTGAGGCCACTCTGCTGCGTAACGCCCAGGACGACGCCAAGCCGAGCCCCAGGGAACACGTTCGTCACGAAGCCTGCCGTCTGGCCATTGCCGAGTTGAGCAACATTTACACACGCAAGCAGATCCGTCGCTCCCTGAGCGCCGTCGAACTGCAGGGCAGGCACGAGGAGGAGCAGCTGCATGCTGCTCCCGACCAAACCGACCCCGCCATCGCCAATGACCAAGATGCCGACGACTTGGACCACCAGGACAACCTCCGCACCATACACAATGGCTATTTCCGCCTCTACTCCACAGAGCTCTTCGATATGCTGGACCAGCCCACCGATTTGCGCTTTGGCACCCTCCGCTTCCATCACCACGACTTCCACCACCCCAACCCGGGCGGCGTATCCGTCGAGCTGGCCCTCGGTTCCTCCTTCTTTGTCGCAGATTCCCTCGAAACCTTGCCTTTCCACTCCTTCAAGATGCCGCTTTCCCCCTCATTACAGAACCGCGGCATACTGAGCCGGAAACCCGAAGACAATGGCGCTTTCCCTCCATACGACTCGTGGCTTCTGTTCACATTCCTCGGCAACGGCTGTCTGAAATTAGAAGTCCCCATTGAAATGTGCGCCGATGTCTATGGCGGCCCCCTGCAAGGTCGCGAAAACGAAGAAGTCCATTTCTGGGGCATGTTCATCGAGGACGACGCTTCATAACATTTGCTTTGCCTTGCCTTGCATCACTGTGTAGACGCAATTGCTTCTGAAGTCGGGCGCACGGCTTGCGCAGGCTACATGAAATATAGGAGCCTGCCTGATTACCGGTCATCACCGGGACGCATTTATGATATAACGAATTTCTTTCGCCATTTTCATTGATTCATCTTTATCGACCTTCACATCCACAGTCTCGAACATTGCCACATGCATATTTGAGTTTTATCTCTCTCTGTCGTTCCTTTCCATCTTTTTGCTCTCCCCGCGCACATGGATGGAATGGAACCTCTCCTTCCTCTTTACGTTTAACGGCCGCTCCTTTCATTCAACTATACCTATTATCCCCCTCTTTGTTGGTCAATCTATACTTTTCTTGTCTTGTATTTGGCAGCATGATACGTTGCAGTTTCTTCAGTATTGCCAGTTTTTCGGAGTTTCCGTGTCCGCCAGTTTGACATTTACAAAAAAAGGTGGAATTAAGAAGAGATGGCATCATCACCATCCCTAGATGAGAAGAAAAGGTGCGAGACAGATGGTCCGGGCCTACAAACCTGCTCCCCATATATTAGATTTCGGTTCGACCATTGTTACTCGAATAGTTCTCTTACGCACTCAACGCAGGCCAAATCATGGCCGGCAGTCAGTCCGTCAATGCATAGGATCAACAATCAGAATCATGTTCCTCGCCATTCTTCGCCTTCCGTTTTTTTTTGTCCCTCAGTCGTGGTGAGTTGGTGCTGAAAGTGGTTTGGTTGGTAAAGCTAACGAATAGCCATGTGCTTGGATATCAGAGACGCCATGCACCATTGCAAATCACCCTCACTGATGTGACTGATACTGTACACCCACAAACCTCTCGTTTCTCGATTGTCCTTTTGTTGGGTATCCTAGAGACCCGTGCGCAGTTGCCTGCTAAATCTTAGTCTGTATGGCTGTGCGACCGTATGCTTGTGAATGCCAAGACCGCGGTTTGTATGTGACTGTTTGTCTTGCATTCACTCCTCGATATTTAAACACCTGATACTTCCCCTACTTCTACCCCACCAACTTGCTCTCAACAGCTGCAGTAACCACCTCTCGAGTGGCGCCTTCGACCTCTGCAACCAACACCAGCAATGGACATGGACTCGACCAACTCTTCCCCCGGCTCCGTACCCCACGACGCACTGGATACGGAAGACAGTCCTTCGAATACAGATCATCCGAGCTCGTCTTTGCCTGCGGTGAATTTTGTTCTTCATCCACTAGCAACCATGCCCCGTGCCAGTTCGGTCGGCGCCATTGGCGGCGGTAGCCAACTCTCCTCTGCCGCCGGCTCTGCGCCTGGATTCCATGATAGTGGCCCACCAGTTGCAGCTGCTCATCTTCAAGACTACCCTGGCGGCCCATATGACGGCTTCCCCACGTTGGCAGCATGGAAAGCGAGCTTGCCCCAAAGCGAGCCGACTGAGCCGCAGCCTGTCCAGAATCCGCCGTCCATCCAAGAGGCTACGGGCAATACTGGACACCGTGCTACTACTGAAAACCTGCAGCGGCTGCAAGACCGGCGAAATCGTAAACCAGCTCGAGGAAAAGCGTGGCTGGCAGAAAGGAAAAAGATGGGATCGTTGCTTGCTGACATGCGCGGCCTCGACCTGGACTCGCAAAAGGCCGAGAAGCGTCATGCTTCACAACTTAAACAGATGGATCGCGCCGCGGACAGTCTTGCCTCTTCTCTGGACACTCTCGGGCTGAATGAACAAAGTATGTTTTCCATATTTTACCTCGTTGTCTTGCCGGCTTCACTTATCACTTTACTAACTTGTCAATTTAGAGCAGCGTGAAATCAGCAAAGCCCAACAGAAAGAACGTACACACATCAAGCACGTGACAGGGATACTTGAAGATCAGATGCGAGCTGCGAAAAGGCGCAACATGACGCTTGAAGAGTACCTTGCGAAGGTATCAAACAGGAAAGCTTTTCGCGCGGTGCAACGCGCGCTGAGGAAAGAGAAGCAGGAGAGGGAGAAGAAGGAGCTGCAGTTAGAAGCGGACGAGCTTGTGCAGTCGTCACGAATGGGCACGGCAGATGGGCAGCAGCGGCCGCCGCAGCAACGGTCGAAACCTGCTGATGATACGAAGGCGCGGAGATGGATGTGCCGCCGGCTTGAGCTTATGGCCAAGCAAGAGGCTGCGAGAGCAGCAAGGCTAAGGCGTGACAACGATCGAAACAAGCTTGAAGACATGGTGGAGTCGCAGGCCCAGCTTGAGGATGTTCCCCCCAAGCAACCGTTCGACCTGGAGACTGAGTTGAAGTCTGCATTGCAAGCTTGGCCCGCCTACCACCAACCCAAGTAATCCGTCAATGAGTACAAAGGGAGTGAAGTTTCCATTCATTCTATTCTCGACCACTGCTACATCTCCTTGTTGTTTTTGCGAGACTGTTGGATGAGGCGAGGCGAGCGATTAGACATGTTTTGTGTCTCTTGTCTCTTGTCTTTTTCTGTACTAATCTTTTCTTTGCTGTCTAGTTTCCCTTTTGGGGATCTGCTATTGAGGGAGAGGGGGGTTTTGGGGACATGATGACCTGTCACTTCTTTGATTGCTTCCAAGGTACGATAAAGCGTACTCCCCTTTGCGAATTCTTGTACCATATTCACGATTCCTGTTTTTCTGTCCGAGGACTTTTTGTCAGATGTAATCAATGACTATGGCACTCTTTTGCTCTTTGATCCATTTCTTGATGCTTGCTAGTGTGAGGAATTGTCGAGCGATCGTGATGATGATTGTACATGCGATTGATTGTACGTCTTTTCCTTTTCTTTCCTTTCTGACTTTAAGACTGGGTTAAGCTGGTAGATTGCGTTTCCACTTATTCAGCACGAGTAGTACTTTATTTGACGTGACTTTACTTTACTTTACCTAACTCGACAAGAAGGACAAGAACAAGAAGAGATTACGATATCTAAAGATCTAGATATCCAAGAGTTTTGCATGGCGAAGAAAAGCACCTCCTAATACCGCAAAGAGGGTTCTGAATCTCAGAAAACATAACCAAGCAAATCGCTGCAAGACAAGAGACGCGTGTCTACAAGCAAGATGTACAATAGTCTACAAATACCAGTGTAAGCGCTATTGTTACGAACCGGCATCTCTCGTTTCTTGGTAAAGCAGAAGAATACATAGACAAACATTAGGAAAGTGGTCGTCCAGGTCTCCATGTATGTTTCCCCAAATTTCCGTCTCTACTGAGAATCCAGAGGTTGCACGATTTGAGTACGATGATACAATCTTTTCTTAGTGTACGTGTTCGTTTCCTTTTGAAGGATCGTGTTGATTATCTTCCTACCCCAGACCTTTTCGCTATACATGAAAAAAACAGGGAGAGGTTTATTCATGGTTTTTATCAAACGAGGAAAAGACGTATCGCAATGATAGACGACGGTAAATGCGATATCAGATGGTTAAGTGATTGGTAGCCGTCGTGAAGACGGGGAACTAGATCTCTGCATTGCGGCCGAATCTAAGCAGCTGTTACGTTTTCTAAATCGAGACGTTTATTGATTTGAGATGAATGATGGGGTTTTTTTTGAGCATATTACGAAGGTAGGCAGCTCTGAGAGGAATGGTAAAGAAGTTGGTAAAATTGTATATAGAAATTTTCCGGGGGAGTCGTGAGTTGATCGATTTGGGTTTTTACGATTGTGGATGCATCTCGCATTCGTTATTTAAGGACCACTGAGCAAAAAAAAAGAAAGGAAATTGCTATCGGATAATGAAATGTCTGAGATTTGGAGGAACCAGAGCAGAGCATTCAGTAGTGGTGGAGGCGCAGTTCGAGTCTCTAGCTAAGTATCCGTGGAATGGTCGACAGATCAAGAGCGCTTTGAAGAAAGCGCATCTGTATGCGCGGAGCAGGGCCGAGAGTATACGGTATGAGCACATTGTTGCGGTTTTGCAGCCTACTCAGCATCATGCCGTCGGTGGGTCTTGGTGGCGGCTTAAGCTTCCTCGTGGGGTTTGAGAACCGTATAGAAGAAGTTTTGATCTGGTAAGGTTGGAGGTGAAAGGGATCGTTCGTGCGTGAGCTAAGTATTCGCAATGACGACACGAGTTCTGGCAATGGGATCTTCTCAAACATGGAAAACGCTATGCTAAAATTAAACAGAGGGATATAAAGCTGTACTAACAAGAACGATTAAACCCCTTCCCTCGGTTTCCTTTCTCTCCTCGACTCTGCATAAGTAGTCGTGCTTGCTGTTAGATTCGAATGCCCGCCGCTGCCCTGCATCTCCACATCCCTGCCGTTATCACTTTCCTGTTTCTTCTCCTTGACTCTGTCTCGTTTCCTAGTCTCGACCTTTTTCCAAACAACCGGCGGCGGTCCGACAACCTCGTCCTCATCCCCTCTTGAAACCATTGTACTATTGCCGGACCTCCGTCCCCAATTTCTCCAACTCCTCGTCCCCACACTCCTCCCGCCGTTCACACCGTTCCCACTACCACTTCCAACCCCTTCATTCGAACCCTCACTCCCGCGAAACTTACTCAACCTAGGTGAATCCTCGTCATCGAAAAACGGAATGCACCGGCCTAGCATCCACTTCACAGTCCCACCGCACGCTCCAATCGCCGCAATGCTGACCTCGACATTCGACAACCCTTGCCGCATGGCATACGTATTATCCGGATTCATAGCTTTCGCAGTGTAAAGTTGGATAAAGACATACAGCCTAAACGCGCCAATACCGGTAAACGCGATCCCAAAGCTCATAAATGAAATATACAGCATCTTGCGTATACGGGGCATCTGAATGTTATATAGAATCCAGGTCGGCATGATGAGGACCGCAACGTCGGTGGCGAGGACCACGCTGATGGTGCCGTAGGTGTATGCTTGCGCGTCGAGGCATCTCCCCGGCATGCTGCGGTTCCAGAATTTGCGGACCGGTGTACATTGGAAGGCGCAGGTCAATGGAGCGGCAATGGTGAAGCAGGCGTTTATTACGAAGAGCGTGCGCAGGGCGAGCGTTATGCGTTTGTTTGGGGAGCGGAGCTTGAGGAGGGTGATGAGGAAGGAGGCTTTGATCAATCCGAGGATTGGGTTGTATACGACAGCGTTGGCGAAACCCCATTTCTGATAGAGGCTGATATTGATTGCGCCGGGGGGGATGTCGTAGTAATGATATCCGTACCAAGAGAGTTTGAAGGCTGTGGTAGAAAGTCAGTGGTGGTTGAGGTTATGCATCTGTGTATATGCGTAGCCAATAACAGCATAAAAAAATTATCGCTGTTCCAAAATACAGCCCAAACCCAAGAAATTCAGGCCTCTCAAGTGCCATCAAGATCGGGTGGAAAATAGACCAAATTGAGTGTCATGGTGCTGGATAGCCACTGAAGTGCTATTAAAAAAAAAAAAAAAAACGGGGACAACGTACAAACCCAGGTAGTGACCATCAACACAATGATCAGCAATTGCGCAATAATAAGCAGCACATCTTCGATCCCGAATTTTCGTGTTACAATTCGCCGCCAGATGCGCATCGCGACTATGAGCGTCGAGACAACAGTCGGAACCATGGCCAGCGCCAGCGCTTGGGGTTGGAGGGTTCGTGGAGCCATATTATCGCACTAGATCCTCCTTTTCTTTGTGTTCGCGCGTCTTCCTGATCCAAGTGTCTTTTTTCGAAGAAAAGAAGATCGTGAAGGGAAATGGGAGGTGATAATTAATCGCGAGCGGGAGCTAACGTCCCCGCATCAATGATCTCAAAAGCTCGACGCCGTTCTGTTCGGTCCAGCTAAGGGGAACAGAAAGCAAGACGTCTACTGACGAACGAAACCGCGGAAAAATGCAACGCTGAACAGAGAATAGCAGGAAGGAAGAAGCGCGAGTAAGCAGAAGCGGTGTGAGGTCTAGTTCTCCGCCATTCGATCGCACGAAAAACAAGACGCAAGAGACAGAGATCTTAGTGCGAAGTCAAAACTTAGTTCGAAGACAGAGGGAAAGCAAAAAGTAAACTAAAAAAAAAAGGTCGGGGAAGCGCGTTGGTTTCCACTTTCCCCGCGCAAGCTAATATGGCTTTTCGGAATAGGATCAGCCGCTGGGAGGGAAGGTGCGTAGGGGTTGGTTAGGAAATAAGCGGACGGGGGCGGGAAAGTGAGGCCGCTGCGGCGTTGCTGCGAATGTTGCTGACTGGCACGTGCCTTTATTGTTCAGAATCCTTCGTGAGCTCGGTAGGTTGGGAGGTCGAACAGGTTCTTAATTGGAATAAAATGAGCAGAGGTTGTCACGATCTGTTATTATCCGGAGCAGGCAAGACCTTGCAAAACAGGAAGACTGTTTCTTTGGCACTTTGCATCAGGACGTTGCAAATGTAACAATGGGTTCATCCTCTTCTTGTCGCGAAGGGAGGAGCGCGAATTCTGCTACGCTACACGGGACGTGAGTAGTCTCTTGTCGTTTTCGGCCTGGTCCGAATTTGTAATGGCTGGTTGGTTGGCTGGCTGGATGGACTTGCGTGGATTTGAAATTTGCTATGCAATGCAGGAAGGAAAGCTATGGCTTTCGCGCAGGCCTGCTGCAGGCGGGCGGGTGGGATTTCAATTCTGGCGAGGGACTGTTTATTATCTGCACTTGGCGCAAAAAGAGGGGTTAATCCGTGATTGGTTCTTGGAGGCGTCTGGGGTGGTGATCCTTCTCGTCTTCGTCTCCTTTTCGTGTTTGCTAGAATCCGTTCGCCCCCTGACGTAGACGGAACAATTGTCTTTGTAGTAGGACATTCGAACCATACGTATCTTGATGATTGAAGAGGACATTTCTAGATTCTCGTAGTTGCTTGAATGCGACGTTGTGACTAGAAGAAGGGTTCGGCTGCTTGAGATTGTAGCGGTGGAGAAGCGTGGGGATCAACCGCTGATCCTTTCTCCAATTCGGTCGAAGTCTGGCTTAGCTGCTTTCATATCTGACCGAGTATACTGTGTACGCCCAAGGATCCCGCATGTGAATTACTCTCGTTTCATGCTTTGGTGTTTGATTAGAAAGGAATGTTCAAATGAAACTTTACTTGTCGAACGGGCCAAGTATTTGAGAAACCCATTCTATCTGTCACGATACATTCGTCGTCCCTCTTAGCGCGGAAGATATCGTGAAGTTTGGTAATGAGGACTAGATCCCACTAAAGCTATAGTCTACAATGCAAGTAAGCAGAAGGTCAGTATCCTTGTATAATTGAGATGGCGAGCATTCCGAACCGTGCCTGAACGGTTGATGAAGCGGCACCTGTCAGCCGCCCAGTCGGGATTTACCACATGTCGCCACCAAACCCTCTTCCTATCATACTGCCACATGCAGTGCTAGACTTGACGTGGGCAAGTGTCCACGAAGGTCTCGCCGACATGTAGCAATCATGCTATTTTCTGGCCCAAAAAGCGCGTCTGCATTGTAGCGATGGAGCGCGCTTGCGCGGATGTGCATGTGGGGCCACCGCAATCTTCCCCTATTCCCGACACTGTGTAAAGTTTGGAGGCGAAATAAAGAGCGACGGGCATCCATGAATGCATTGAGGGAGGTCAGCACCGTTGTCCCGACAGTATGGGTCTCACTCAGATTTTGCATCGTCGCGGCGCGCCCGCCCTTCTCTTTTTGTTCACGAGGTCCTTCGCCCTGGCTGATCTGACCGTTTCGGCGCCGCCACTATTCAGTTATGAAACCAAACAGTTGACCGATGATACTGTTGCGAGCTTGACTGCGGCCGATCAGAAGCTGTTCGGCTTTGACGATACCGCGGTTCAATCCGGTCTCTCGCGTCGCAGCGGAGAATGCAAAGTCTTCCCAGGCGATGAAGACTGGCCCTCAGACGAGACTTGGGATAGATTTGATGAGCTTGTGAACGGCGCACTTATCCCAACTGTTCCACTCGCTGCACCATGTTACAATTCATGGAATCTATACAATGCTGCCAAATGCGCAGAAATCTCAAAGAGTTCCACGGATCCTTATGCACAGTATGTTACCACATTAAGTTTATCGCCTCAGTACTCTTGCTGATCCTGGCCTGTAGTATCGCGGACCCAACATCCAACATGTGGCCTATATTCCAAGGTAAGACGTGCCTGGCGTTCGATAGACCCAATGGGACCTGCACATTGGGCTCCTTTCCGAGCTATGCCGTCAATGTTTCCTCGGTTTCCGACGTACAGCTCGCACTGAACTTTGCGCGCAACGCAAACTTGCGACTCGTCATCAAGAACACCGGGCACGACTACCTCGGAAAATCTCTAGGTGCTGGTGCCCTTAGCATTTGGACCCATAACTTGAAAGACATCGACTTCATCGAGAACTACCAGAGTGATTCGGGCTATGAAGGGCCTGCTTTCAAGGTCGCTGCTGGAGTGACCGTGCGAGAAGTGTATGAAGCTGCGGAAAAACATGGCGTTACAATGGCTGGTGGCATATGCGAGAGCGTTGGATTTGCTGGCGGTTATGTTGCTGGAGGTACGTTAATATCACCTATTCGAGATGAATTCTGGCCCCATCGTATTGCGTAAAAGCATGGGTGACATTCCCGTTGGCAAATAAACTTCGTGGATCACTAACCCCTGCTCAGGCGGCCATACCCCAATGAGCGGTCTCTATGGGATGGCAGCAGATAGTGTAGAAGCGCTCGAGGTCGTCACCGCTGATGGCCGCTTCATCACCGCATCCAACAGTTCGAACCCAGATCTGTATTGGGCGCTCAGAGGCGGAGGAGGCGGCACGTACGGAGTGGTTACATCGGTGATTGCACGCGCGCATCCCAAGATGCCCTTTGTGACGTCGACTTTCACCTTCAAATCTGGAGGCAACATCTCCACAGAGGTGTTCATGGAAGGCGTCCGCAAATACTATGAGATGCTGATTCCCTTTACCGATGCACACACGTACTCGTACTTTTGGATTTGGCACACGAGCGGCACGTTTGAGTTCCAAATGATGCCTTTCTTCGCGCCGAACCACACCGTCGAGAGCTTCAATCAATTGGTCAAGCCCTGGTTTGATCACTTGACTAAGCTTGGCATTCCAGTCACGCCCACAACAGAGCTCCACGATTCCTTCTACCCAGCTTACAATGTCGCGTGGGGTAACGATGGGGTTGGTGGCCTCAACGCTATCCCGGGTAATCGGCTTTTCCCACGGGGACGTTGGGAAGACCCGGAAAAGTTTGAAGAAACATGGGGTGCCATCAGAGCTCACATGATGCGCGGCAAGTCCCTTGGAGGTTATCACCAAGCGCCGCAAAACCGCCTCAACGTTGACAACGCAGTATCTTCTGCCTTCCGACACGTTATCAACTTCTTGATCGGTGCCGCTGTCGTCGAAGGTGCCGAGAATGCGACGCCCACACAAATGAAGAAAGCAGTTGATGTGCTGACCAATGATGTGTTGGGGCCCTGGCGCGACGTTTCGCCGGAGAGCGAGTTCGGAGGCAGTTATCTGAATGAGGCAAACGTCATGGAGCCGAACTGGCAGGAAAGTTTCTACGGCACTCAGTATTCAAGGCTGCTGAGTCTGAAGAAGAAGTGGGATCCCAAGGGCGTCTTCTACGGCCCGACTGCTGTAGGGAGCGAAGAGTGGGAGGTGCAGGATGGTGACCAGGGAACGCAGACGCAGAATGGGAGGCTATGTAAGGTGTAGTCTTCGGTTCGTAGTCGTCGTCCAACTCATGAATGAAGATAATGCATGAACGGTCTCTCAACTCTTTCCCGTCCTCCATCCCCACGTTCTTGGCCAGAGTGAGGCACTCTCTTGCTCCATCTTGAATGCGCCGCTACGCCTCAGCTGTGCCTTTTTTCTGTTTCCAGCTTTGTTCATTGTCGCACAGCATAACGCCCCCATCTCTTCTACGCGCCCACATGCTCGTCCGGCCCCTTGTCAATACAACCATTCCCTTTTTTACATAGCCGCTGACAACATCTCTTGCCTGCTTCTGAAACCTGGGGCCTTATCCACTCCAGCGGATACCATTAGTACACTCAGAACTTGTAGGATTAGGAAGTGTGGAATACTGCACTAGAGATGACTAGCCCAACGAGGTGAAGCGTCGCGCGATCCAAAACGCTTGTGTGGGTGTCGGATTAGAAGATGACCGTTGCGGTGGTCCTAGCTGCTTAGAGTTAGATGGCGAGCTGCCCGGTTGTTTCGTTTTAATTGCTGGACTGGTGTGTAGTGGTAGTGGGTGGGATGGGAGACGGTCGCTAAAGAATGTCTGCGTTGAACGGTGTGAGTGGGATGAGATGTACGCGTGTGATGTGTTATTCGCCGAGAATGACAGCCCCAGGGAATTGTATAGATATGACTCCAAGGAACATTGCATAGATGGAAATATCATCGACTCAATTCATTGTCTTATTGCTTGCTATCTTAGGAGTGACATACTGTTCATGCCTCCAATGGCAGTATTTGTCCAAATCGTCCAGCTAACAGTGATGACCAAGAAGCTGGAATGCAATCGTTCCCGGGAAAACCTGTTTATTCACGGGCGAAAGACATCGATTTCAGAAGAGTTTGGTAGCTACTCTGACCCGGGTGCTGAGCCTCATAACTCATACAAGACGCAAAGTCCTGTGAAGTGTCGAAACCTGCCATGAACTCGGCCATGGCCTTGTTCGTGGCTTCAATGAGCTGACCACGCTTCTCCTCGAACTTGTCCTCCGGTAGCTTCAAGATCTCGTACATCTTCCCTTCGTGTTTCTCCCAATTCTTGACTTCCTCACAGAAGGCGGCCGCTACCTTGAGTCCAACACCGTGGGTCATAGTCGGAAATCCTTGTATTGTCGACAGGCATTTGGCTATTTCTTCATTTTTGCCGAACTTGAGCGTCTGGAGAACCTGGGCATCATACTGCAATTTGTAGGTGGTCCACTTCCAAACGGCTTGGGACACCCCGAATTGATCACCTGACAGATCGACGACCCACTTTTGACCTGAGGTCAGGGAAGTGATCAACAGTAGAGAATGATTGTACATCTTGTTGGACATGGACTCGCCCTTGGGACCGTTCACGAGTATGGTGAAAGATGGTGAGTCCAAGTGGACCTCGAGCTCGTTCATCTTGACTTGGATACCTGAACTGTACCTTAGTGACTGATTCCATCAAAAGTTGGTGAATGCGGGCATAATACGCTCAACATACCTCTGAACATCTGCGCGATAATCGGCTTCATGAATGCCAACGGATCGTTACAGATCCACGCCGTGAGCACGCTGTTTTTGGTGCTGGAATCTACGAGGTCATTCGGAAAAGGGACGAACCAAGCGGTCTTGTCCTCGGTTGCAGTGCCGTGAATGATAATATCCCCGCGGTCGTTGCGCTTCACTTGCTTGATCTCGTTGTCGAACGTGAGCTCTCGGAAGGTTAGAAATAAATCCTTGAGCAAGACGCCGCCTCGCTCGACAACCTCTTCGATCTGCAAATCCTTGCAGGTATCGCGATGAGCAGACCAGTTCTTTTTTTGACACGCTTTTCCGCAATAGACGTGAATCTTGCAGCCGGTACACTTTCTGGAAGCGGGCTTGCCGCACGTTGAGCACTCGGTGTGCACCAACATCATGCCGGCCTGGAGGTGTTGAACGGGTGGTGTAGACTCTGTAGAGGGACTCTGAGGGAGAGGTGGACGTGATCTGAGGAAGAGGGCCCTGCGCTGTTGTTTGTGTTTGACTGGTATGTGTAACTGCCAAGAAACTAAGACTAGCAAGCTAGCTATAGAATCGAGGTGAAGTCCATAGAAGTGAGGAGGCAGAAGGCAAGAGCGCTTTCTCTCACTTTATGTCTGAACCATTTGAAACTTGTCTGTTTGGCGGGTCTGTGGGGACATTGTTTGACTGTTTAAACTCAACTTCTTTTTGTGCGGGGATTTTTGCCAACCGTGTTATTATGGAAATGTAGCAATTATCTTGAAGGTTGTTACAATCTGAAATGCATGGATGAGCTCTGTGTAATGCAGCTGACTCTTTATGGGGGCGCAATTGGGCAGCAATCAAAATCCAGATGCTCTATGATTCTATAATAATAAATAGAGTATCCTGAGTCCGTTGACAGTGTAGGTGACGTCAATCACAGACCGATGTCAGGTCGGCTCACATGTCACGTGATCAATGAGGCGCACTTAAGTGGACATCTGAGTATAAGGGCTTGGCGAACACTGCCAACGCTCTATCAATGTTTAATTTTGTATTGACTGTGATCTAATATCATAGTCGGTGGCGTAGACTGAAACCCTAGTACGACACGGGAATGGGTCCTTGGACCACTATTCACTAAGAAGAATAAGGAGTATGGAACAGCTATGCATAGGTGTGTGAAATTTCGGCGCAATATACCACGACAAAATTGACGGCAGTAGTGAAGTCAAAGAATTTGATTTTCTTGACGGGGAAACTTGCCTGCACGCGAGATATGGAGAAGGAAATGGTACAGTTGCGGCCTTTTTTATAAGATCATTAAGTAAATCATTTTCAACAGCAAAAACAGGGTATTCTGTTTTGATAAGCATTTTTCCTTCAACTGAAAACTGGCACCTCTAGGTATTCAACCTAATGAAGATTTGAACTTGTCTAAAAGGGGTGCCCCCCGATCCCTGCTTATTAAGCTTGTGTGAAGGCATTTCGCTTTGATTTCGCTTTAATCGCCTGTTTCGTCCATTTATATCGTCAAAATCCATCGTCGTGTGTGAGAACACCTAAACTCTTACTTAAAATAAAAAGAACTTGTCTAGCTATTCAAACCTCAATTTGATGTCCTTGGATAACGCGCCACCAGCAACGATTACGTTCAGCCCACGACAATTGTAGACTTGGCTATATTGATGATCGTTGTGAGGATACCAGTGTTGGTACCAACGTCGATTCCACTGCGAATGTCTCCCTTCACAATGAACACCGGCGTCTGGACCTGCACCTTCCACCGACACTTTGGTTAGACGATCCCCGCGCCATCCTGCGACTGTGATGCTGGCAAGCGGGTTATTGTCGTTGTACGTCCCTTCAGTCGAGATAGACAGATTGAGATCGGCGAATTTGAACTAGACTTCTGATCAGCTAAGTGATTACTGAGTTAGTCTGTTTGTTTAGGATACTCACACTAACGACGTTGGTCTCCTCAGGCTCCAAACTGACACCATCGTCCAAGTAGATATCCCCGGTTGCCTCTAGTTTATCATCCAGTGCAATAGTGATGGACCAAGGGTTCATTCTAGTTTGTTTTGTGGTGTTCCCAGGCGTCTGCGAAGCAATTATAGCCCCACCCCGAAGATGCACAGGAATCACCTCTAATGGCGCTGATAAACTAACATTTTGGCCTGGAGCGGCGCTCACTTCCTCTAGCGAGTACCAATCGTACCATCGCGTGCCCTCGCCTATCCCTGGGAAAACGCCATGTGCCTCCCTGAGCAACGGCGCTAGAACGGGCGTAACGAGAATACTGGGGCCGATCATGAATTGGTTATCAACCGACTTCAGCTGCTCCTGAGAAGGAAAGTTCCACGAGAGGGCGCGCATGACTGTTTCTCCGTATTGATTGGCTTTCCAGAACAAAGTATATGTATATCTGGCTGTCATCAGTTCATGCGCAATTGGAAAGTAGACTGTTAAAGGTGTTCGGGGGCTCACGGTAGCAGCTCAAACCTGACTTTCATAACCCTCCGCGTTGCCTCCGCTGTTGTCGCCCACCGAAAGGCTTCCTGCGCAATTGTATTCCGCGAGTTGTGGTTTCGATACAACGGAAAGAATGCACTAAGCTGCATCCATCTGGTACACAGCTCCATGTCTGCATTCCCATTAAATCCGCATGTCTCGGTTCCAAAGAATGGAATACCAGCGACTGAGAAGGTCAGGGCTTCTGGGATTGTCATATACATGTTACCCCATCGACTGTTGGTGTCGCCACCCCAGTGCCCTACAATACTGCCACTTCCGGGCGATGTAGAGCGCGAGAGAAGGAAAGGTCGGAGTCCTGGCTTAGCTCGGAGGAGACCGGCATATGTTGCGCGGGAGGAGATGATCCCGTAGAGGTTATGGAGATCGTAGGACGTGGAGTTATAGGGATCATTGTGTTTTGCGTATGGCGCGATCGATTGACGAAGGAGAGAGTGGCCTTCGAGTGTAAGGTTCAGCGCGTATGGAGGAAAGGTGAGGTTTCGCACCCCGGGAGTAGGACTGGTGAAGCCAACGGTTGGAGTACCGATTGTGGTCGTAGGAGTCGGATAAGCTGCTGCTTGTGAGATAGATGCAGCGATTGCCGATGCGGCTTCTGTTGCGTTTGTGACTTCGAAGGCCTCAGGATAGTCGTAGTTAATCTGACCAGGCTCGCCAGGGAGCTTGAAAGGAACGTGAATGGGGTTGTCCTGCGTTCTGCCGGAGCCACAGCTTCCAGTGCACCAAGAAGCAAGATTATTAATGTCCAGCCACCACCCATCGAACTCAAGGTCCTGATAGTATCGCTCGATCTCGTCTGCCCAGAAGTCTTGCGCTGATTCCAATAAGAAGTCCGGCCAAACACTAAATCCAGGCCATTGATCGCCAATGTAGTATTCTTCATTGCCTTGCCCTCTTCTCATATAAAGCTCTAGCTCATTACCTCGGTCATACGTAGGGAAAGAGTCGGTGCCATTGGTCGGATCAGGAACGTATACGTTTGGGTCCAAGATGGGCATCCAATATTGCCCATCGGCATGCAACTTCGCCAGAAACTCTCTGCCCTCAGGAACGGGATACTGTATTGCCATCAGTCTTTCCTTTTAAAGTATGATTGTCAGTGGAGCTCACCGTGTTATTATCATGCGAGAAAATTCGATACTGAAACAGATAATCAAGATCGTTCCAGATTCCCTCTAGAGGAATATCTGCGTTTTTATATCCATCAAGGATTTCCCTAAGAACCGTCCAGTTTTGATACCTAGGAGGATTAGTATTTGCCGTGAAGCTGATGGTGATAGAAGTCTTGGAGTTCCGCGGCACTATCTAATTTCTGGGCAACTTACCCCCATCGCACTTGGTGAAAGCCGTGCGCCCAATACGGCATCATCGCGGGAGTCTTGATGACACCGAGCTGCTGTTGCGCTAGAGCCTCCGTGGGTGTCGGTCCGCTGAAAAAATAGAAGTCGATGCTTCCACCGATTGCGCGATAAATAAGCTTCTCCGGTTTCAGTACCCACTCCTGTCCATGTAGATTCCGCCCATAGACCACACTGCAAGGTCAATACGTCAGCGCATATCATTGATGTCCCTGCGATAGTCAAAAAACATACTGAGAATTGGAGGATAGAGTTGACGAGTCGTAACGAGTCTCAAGATACACGGGATGTACGCTGTGCATGTTCGCATCAACTGGCTGATCGTTCATCTCGTTATACTGATTCCAGAACGTCTGAGTATAATCGTTCGGCAGTTTAAAGCTACCACGGATGGCTTCCGGTAAGCCGTAAACGTTGTAGTCAGGCACCATTGCTGTGACCACTGTTTCAAAGAAGTCAACCCATCAAGATATTTCTGCGTGCTTGAATAACCTTACATTCAAGAAATTGATCTTCGAATACCAATTTGGTTCCATAAGTGTCAAACAAGATTTCATTGGAGCTGGCGCGCCTCACGCGGAACTGGAAGGAGGGATCGTTGCTCCATTCGAAGAGTAGATCGCTAGTGTCGATTGTGCTTTTCTCTTCAATCTTCCCACTCGGACTCAGGGATGCATCCAGAATGTACTGCGAGTAGTTTGCTGCAGCGATGTATTTTGGGTAGATCTTCACATTAAGTCGCGTGGCGTTTTGATACTGCACGTTTAATATCAGATCTTGAATATCGTTGCCGTATGCATTGCAAGCATCCCCAGCGAGGGCGAGATCGGCGATAATGCTAGAGTTGTCGGTACGAATGTTGCTTGCAATGTAGCCTGGACATTTTTCCTGTGCATTCGGAGTGGTTGGATTTATAACATTTGGCGTTACACTTGGAGCGAGATTCGCCGTAGACTCGAGGGTGAGTGTGGGGGTAAAAGTGTTTGGTCCTGGGGGTTGGTCAAGTGTGGTTTGACCTATCTCATATCGTTAGCTAAGAATAGATACGGGGACTCCAATACACACAGTTTACGAGGCTGATAAACCCCACAACACTCAAGTAGTTTCTCATGCTGCTGATTGCGGGAATATGTACAGGCGACAACGTGTGCGGCACTGATGTCTTTCTTCTACATCTTTATATACGTAGTCTTCTCCTGATGATTACAATGCCATGTCATGATTTTTCCCCGCATTCAAATCGTCTAGGACAAAACGCCAGTATCTTGTTGACAAGAATAGCGTTTGTGGGGATTCACGATGCCGGACACATGACATCGAGCACGCGAGACGATACGGAGCCAGGGTCCGAACAACTCCGACTGGGCGATCCGTACCCACAACCCGAGATTTCTTGGTTATGGATACGTCATCTACTGTAGAAGCCGAGAACATGTTTTCTATGTTCAATTCATGCAGGACCAAGATGTGCGCCATTGCAGCCCTCCTGCAGCTTCTCATTGCTCCAGGTACATTGGACAGTAGACACAGGTTCATTTCCCTGACTTCATAGCCGTCTCTACCAGTTGTTACAGTGAATTTCTATCAATTCATCCATGAATTTGAGCAGCGTCTCATGCATCTCAGCATACCTATTAGCCTGCAATGCCTTTGGATTCTGCATAAACTTTCAGCTCTCGAGCATTGGCTGCACACTGAAGATCATTGCGCATCACGGATTGACATCTATACTAAACAATAATAACATACTGTCCAAAATGGCCGAACTTTTTACATTTTGGCAGCTTCTTTCAATTCACTCCTCTCCTTCACCATCGCCCCCACCATACGCGCCGCATCTGTGTCCAGCCTCTCCAAACCTTTCACCACCCCCTCTCGATCCCCTTTCCGCATCTCTTGACTCATTTTGAACTTTCCCTCCAGCCTGTGAATCACAATCTCAATCCCAACGATATTTTTCCTCGGAAGCTCAATGTAGCGTTCGGGTGCATCCGATACCTTCCATGGCTCCGGCCGGTCGCCCTGTCCAGTATAATCCATTATAGATCGCTTAGCGTGCTCTGAAAGATCGTGCAGCTGATGGGCTAGGAACTTCCCTGTCTCTTCTAAATGCGAATCGTAAAAGATGGTGGCGGTGCCGTATGCCTTTACGGCCGCATAGTTCCACGTTGGCGCGACTTTTCCCGTTTTTGGCTTCGTTTCGGTGTAGAAATTCGGTGTGATATAGTGGTCGTGGGAGGCGGTGAAAAGGACGAGGACCTCCTGCTCCAGTACGTTGGAGGTGTTCCCCGCGGCTTGTGGCGCGGAGATCATGGTCTGGGTTTGCGGATTTTGACGAGCAATGTGTGCTCGTAGACTACCAAGCTCTGTTTCACTCTGCTCATCATCAACGTCAAGGATCCAAGGAAGATGACTGGAGAGAATCAATGGGTGAGTCGGGGAGGGGATGGCGGTTGTTATAACCCCGAGGGTTGTGGAGCGAATTAGCTTGCGCAAAATCGTAAATACGCGATTCTGTGTGAGAAGGAGGGAAACATGCTGAATAGATGATACCGCAGAAAGAGTTGGCTTGATCGGATGAGATTTTGTCAGTCTGAATGTATTGGGGGTTGTCGTGCGTTTTTTGAAGCAGATAGATTCAGCAATTAGTCAATTATTGACTAGAACGACTTTTTGTTCGCCCAGTAGGAGCACTGACGCGGGCAACGTTTCTTTTCTCAGTACGCACGTAAGTCTCGACGCATGGCATCCCTTGATACCAGATTCGCAATGAATAACAAGCGATCGAGCGAACCGCAAGTTCTAGGTCAGGTACACATCAGATTCTTAGCAATCAGCTGCCCGAGAAAGCCAGCAAACCTATCACACCTTTTGCTTCGCTATATAAGCATTTTTCATCACTGCTACAGTGGGGATCGGATGAGCTTCCGATTCGACAGGAGGTTGGCGAAGCCGAGATGTCAAATCAATACTCTGAGAACACCACTCCTTTCGTTTGTAGTCTGCCTTCAGGAGTGGGGTGCAATTGTTCCTATGCAAATAGTGCCATGCCCTGCCATTCCCAGCCCCTCATTAGGTATTTTACGACGACACGAGCGGACGAGTAAACATAAATTGATACGTAAAAGCCGCCCAAGCTTTTGTAAGTGGGTCCTGTAAGCAAATAGTCGTTTCAAGTATGCATGCGCAGCTCAAGGTAGCAACAAGGATAGAGTCCCTACTGGTGAGATGACGTTTATCGAGAAAGCAAAATTCATGATGTTTTTCTCAGACTGTATTTATCGTGTGTTCATTAAGCTCGGTACTAAGCTAGTGACCAAGAGTTCGAAACGAAGTGTTTCGTGAAAGAAATTATCAATTGGTGCGCAAGCCGAAAGGCAATCAGGCCCGTATCGAAGCTTTTGCCCAATATCTCAATAGCTTGACCGAACACCATGACCCATATAAACGCTCACTTGCAGCGCAATTCGCAGCCCCCAAACCCATCTTCAATTACCTGCGAGAAACGAACGACCTTAGTGCAGTCGCGCAATTAGACGCGTACTCAAGCGACGTCAAAAAGTCCACACCAAAATTACCATGTCCGGCACATGCATCATTAGCATGCGCTGGGCACAATCTCTCAAGCTCCTTCGCTGACCCTCTTAGAAACCTTGTCCTCCGTATCCTTGTCATTCCACCAGTTCACAGCATTCTCGTGAACGCCAATGAACTCCATGTACGACTGCTTCCCGTCGACCTTCTCCTTCGGCCTTCCCTGCAATAACTCCATCAAGTCAACCCTCAAAGTCAAATATCCATTTCCAAGGAATATAACCTCCATATTGTATCCTTCAGAGCTTGTCTGGATCACGGTCGCGCGGAAAGACGCATGTGGAGGTGTCTGGAACCCCAGGACCGAGTACAGCATAGTACGAGGGGGAACCTTGAGACGCGCCGTATACGAGTGTCGGTGATTGAAGCCGGCAATGCGCGATATGATGAGAGTACGCTGACCGTATCCATAACGGTCGAAGTGCGATTCGGCATACTTGGGGCAGTAAAGTGTCCATGTTCCCTCAAGGCTGCCGATAGGTACTGGGACCGAAGCGCGGATAGAGAGCATCAAGAGCTCTTCTGCGTTGCGAGCGCCCGCACCGGCCTTGTGTAGAACGTCGGGATTGATGCCTTCCATTCCTACGGCACCGTCCATGTGGCTTAGTAGATCGAGGTTCTCCTCCCGGCTCAGGCGCAAGATCTCTTCTTTCTTGGAGGTACAGCCGGTTGCTTTTCCCAGGCAAGGCAACGCGTTGTCTGCATTAGCGTGGTCCCAGTTGAGATATTCTTCCAGATAGTTTTGTTCATTGATGAAGTCGATCGACGACTGAAGTTCAGTGAATTGGGTGTTGAATTTGTTCATCGAGAGCTCCTTCTGCTTCTCTTTCGGTGCTTTGGAGGGCAATTGATCGACGATGGGGTCGTCCTCTGCCATGTCACCCTTTGATTGCCGCTTACTAGCGCGAGCAAACATATCTTTGATGCTCAAAGAAGATCCTGTAGATTCGGCCGCTGAAGAAGCTCCTTTAGCACGAGGCCTCGGCTTGGGGTCATCGTTCAAAGGCTCGGTGCCAGTGTGCTTAGTGAGATTGGCGTTCGTAAGAGCATTGGGAACGCTAGGCACTGGGACAGGCATCTTCCCCTTTGTGATCGCAGCCGGGGCAGACATTGGCGTTGCGCCACTGCTCTGGAAAGATGGTGTGGAAAACAGAGGACGGCCAACCGAAGCAGACCCGTCCTGTTGATATAGCTTGAAAGGCACAGGGGTCAGGTTGAAGGCCTTGTTTGACTTGCGAGACCTTTGGGAGGGTGGAGTCTCTGGTACAAGAATATTTTCGTTCTTCTGAAGCTGGACGGGCTGCGAACTGGAGAGAAGAGCACTGTTCTTAGGTGGAGGGATGGGAGTCTTTTCTGAAAATTTTGGCTGCTTTGTCGGACTAGGTGCGGTGGCGATAGATGAAGTCGCAGCAACAGATGGCGCGCTATGCATCGCCGTGCTTTGAGCACCCGGGTCTTCTTTCGTGTTGAGACTCTCATTGACAGCGCTCTTTAGTTTCTTCACCTTTGGCGATTTCGAGGGCGTCTGTGTTGCGTTGGCGCTAATGCCGTCACGTTCAGCTTCGGACTGGATCTTCTGCTTTTTGGCGCTCGACTTCCTCTTCTTCTTCTCGGGGACTTCTGGCTTCTCAGGAGATAGCGTTTTGACTGCATTGTCACCCGCGAACAGGTCCGCAATTTGCTGGACAAACTCGTCGTCAGGGAACAGTCCGTTATCACCGGCTGTATCATTGCGTACGGCAAGCTCGGTCAATGCGTCGGCTTCGCTATCCCTCTTCCTCTTCCTCTTCCTCTTCTTCTTCGGCTCGGAATTCACAGTCTCCGTCACCTGAGCCTGATTCTCTTGCTTCTCTGGTTCCTTCTTTTTCTCCTTCTTCGAGGAGTAAGGCTTCTTGCCAGACTCGTCAAGCTTCTTGCCCGCCTTCGTCTGCTTCTTCTGCTTCTTCTCAGATTTGGCTTTGTCAGGTGTTGTGAAGTTCATGTCGTCACTCTGCACTATCTCAGTGGCATCGATGTCACCAGAGACAATACTCTTCTTCTTGCGTTTCTTGTCCTTTTTGTCCTTCTTGGGCGTTTCGTACTCTGCTTTGCCTAGGCTCTCCTGCTTGTGGTTATCGGGGCGTGACTCAACTGGTTTGGGCATATCCTTTGTCTTGAAGTCGTTGACGAAGTCATCACTGAAGTGATTGGAGTTGAGCGAGACAACTCTCGGCTTTCCACCATATTGGTGATGCCGTGGCAGCGGATAGAGACCTTTGGGCATCTTTGCTCGCGCGTCGGCACTATCTGGGAGGACGTTAGAGACTAAAGAATTTGCGCATCTGACGAAGCTGTCTGCGATGTTTACCTACCTCAGAGGTTTGCGCAGGCTGTTTTGAAGCAGTGAGAGAGAGTAGAGTGCGTCTCGAGCGAGTAAAGCGGCTTGTCAAAGATGGGGGTAAACGGCAGTTTCCTGCACCAAACACGCAATTGGAGATCAAACCGGAGGTCAGGGTGAGAGCTCGAGCAATTCATCTTCACCTCCAGAGTTTGATTGTCTCGCGTTACACAAACGTCACGTGGCTTGGTCACGTGATATTGGAGGCTCTGTCCAATCAGGCAAGTTTACCACAATGTATACCTACCTAGGTAGGTAGATGCATTCAGATATCATCATACACTTTTCAGTAGGCAATAACTTTCGAAATGGCATCTACTGTATCCAAGTGTCCTGAAGTGTGTCGAGAAAGGTTCTCAGCTGGGAAGTTGACAGACGATGTACGCTGACTGGAGTCATGAATCACTAGGCCTCCAGCATACGCTATGCGAGGGACATTTCGACTGTAAATCACCATCCCTCTTTGAGACTTTGCATACTCTCGCAGCAAACCAAAATATCATATATGCTCAAGTGATCCCTCTCGAGAGTTCAAATGTTGGTAACATTTGAAAGTACATGTACATATTACAACACTTGCACAATGTTCATCAGTATAGCTATCCGCACCCTCCGATATTCATACCATGACTTTCTTGAAATGCATATTTTTCATTTTCTAGACAGTCTATGAACACATGACACCCCTCAATCTCCTATCTTACCCCACACGTTCGCACCGCGAGGCCAACCTACCGAATACGGAAATTAACCGTGTCATCATCGATTACTGGAACCGCTGCGAACAAACGTATCTGCAGGGGTACCACATCGGTGTTTCGTCACGTGAGACAATTTGCGCACTTGTGATTGGATCGTGTGTGTCTCAGCGTTATGTAAGTACATATACATGGGCGATAGATTGGGAAGGTGGTTTGTGGAAATAGGAGACGATGAGAGGGACGTGCGTGGTGGACTCCATTCGTTCCAGAACACGAGCTATGATCAAAAGATGTAGCCAATTATGTCAGTTGCGTAAAATTGTGTTGAGCTAAGTCTATGGGAATCCGAGAAGAACCTTGAAGGTACCTGTGTTTTGAACACTGCGTATGACAAAATAAGTATGACGTGAATGAGTGACATGAGTGCGTGTGGCATGAATGAGCAGCAGTAGTCTTCCAGACTATCTCTTCTGTGCACACTTTTGCCTGATTATATAGCAAGAGTGGATCACGTCGCTGTATACTCGAGGCAGACACCCAACTGCGATTTACATTCAGTTCTATTTTAACCGCAAAGATGTGACTTGAAGGCGCAGTATAACGACTCGTTCTGACCCAATGTTACCCGCTAGACTTCTTGGGGTGCGAAGATTGCGACACAGTGTGATCGCATGCAGTAATTGTTCACTGCCTTGATCAGAGCTCGCTCTAGGCTTGTTGCTCGAGTGGGGCTTGTGGGGTGTTGATTGCTGGAATTCCCGGGAACCACAATCAAGAGTGATCACAATCAGCTTGCTTGTCATCTCTGACCCTTAATATAAGTACCGGTTAAGACGCCCTTGGCCGCTGATCTCCTAAATTTGTTTCTGTATTATCAATTCCTTGTTCTACAAATAAATGCAGTCGTGGGTCATTACACGAAGTCAGTACAGTAATATTATATGCACACAAAATTCCACAAAAACATATTCAAAACTATATAGACCTCCAATTGCGTTCTCACTCCGCGTTGTTACATGTGAGTCATAGCTTGATTACCCTCAATCGACATTGACAGAGGAATATTCTCTGTCCTTTACTCCATCTTTCTATATGCTAAGATTGTCCGTGGATAGATACTGTCCGAATGACAAAAACTATTCGATATAACCAGAATGGTTTCGCAACTTCACTTCTGTCCTCTCAATAAGCAAGACGAAACAACCCCCCCATCACAGTTGTTCCTCCTCCTCATACTGCTCCTCATGCTCCTCCTCCCACTCCTCCTCTTCCTCATCCCCGTCCTCACTCTCCCCACTCTCATCATCATCATCATCATCATCCTCCTCAAGCACACTCCGGAACCTCCATCTCGCCTCAAAAACCCTCTCCCCTTCCTCCTCCCTTTCTTCAACACCAACCTCATCCTCCAGCGCCTCCAACAAACCCCTCCCCGCATCCTCTAGCGCCTCAACTCTCTCCTTTAGCATCTCAACCTCGATTTCTCTCTCGAATCTCTCCTTCTTTAGTTGGTCGATAATCGCTTTACTGCGACGATCAGGATTCGATAGCAGAATCGAGTGTTTTTTAATCAGGGACTTATACATCCCTTTGAGCTGGCGGAATCTCGATTCCGACACCGACATCATGCGATTTTCTCTTTTGAGGAGGCGGTTTCGGATGGAGGATGCTTCGAGTTGGGATGTGAGGGTCTCCACTGTTTCCGTTGAAGTTGTGGTGGTGGAGACTGAGGTTGTAGAGATTGCGCGTCGCAGCGGGACTATGTCTTAGGAGTCCAGAGTGGCGGCATGGTTTCCTCGGTCTGGAGAGGGGATGCTGGGTCGAGGGGTAGGAGGGGATTCCCTCGGTGTGGGGTTGGCTTGTTCGGGGGATTTGAAAGCCGGGAAGGAGAAGAGTTTGGGTTCTTCTGTCGATGGTGATGGAGGCTGAGGGGGAGGTTGGTCCCCCGAAAACAGGGAAAAACTTGTGAGTGGTGTTCCAGGAGGTTTGACTTGATTGTCCTTTAGAATCTCAATTAATTGTCTCAGCGGCTCTTCAGGATCCGCATCTGGCATCGATAGTGCATACACGGTTGACGGAAGTGTTGTCCTTGATCCTTGGGTGTGGATCGGTATGGGAACGAATGCCGGCTGGGAGATCTCGAAAGGTTCCACGTTGTTGACAGAGCTCATTTTGGAAGATATTATGTGGTTGGTTGTGTGAAAGTTTGAGCTCTTTGTGTATTTGAGTTGTGAAGGGATGGATTGAAGTATAAAGCAACAATTGGGATATCTTTTGTAGCAATGTTTACAAACAATGAATGGTGTTAGATTTCCAAAGCTGAAGTGGTTGTGAAGTGGTTGAGTTGCAATTCAGTGAAAGGCAGTACCAAATCCAAAAAATCTCAGAAGCCTTTCTATCAAGCAAGGCCAGCAAACACACAACTACGCTAAGACCCACAAGGTTAGACTTTCATTGAGTGTAGTTGCGTTGTGCCGTGAGTGAAAGGATATCACACCAACGCAGTGATCCGTCCGGAGTCGCGAATGTAACATGGACAAAAAGACGTTTCGAGGTACAAGCAGAAGCAGTAAAAACACCACAAAAGTATGAATTAAGTTCCAGCAAACCGCGTGAATCAGCTTGGAGAAACCCCATTCCGTGGTATCCAGATATCGATTCAGTGAAGATATAGACCACATATCCAGTCAACAGAAAATGCCTATGGTCAGGTGCCACCAGTTTCACATACGCATGTATGCAATAAAAATCAAGTGAAAGTTTTATATCACAGATATACAAAACCAGAATCATGACCTCGAGACTCGAGATACGTTCACTGTAAGTTAGCCAACACAGCTATAACGGCTAAAGGACAACACAAATCGTCGCTTCCACATAGCATCATAGCTCATCGAATGAACGAGCCACACGTTCAAAATTAAATTTTGAATAGATCTTGGCTGGGAGGGAATAGAGAAATAGTATCACATACAACATTCTGTTCAACAAGTACGGAAACAAGTATATTTTTCTCAAGAATTATAAACCAAATAATATGAACATAATGCGTGTGCACAACCATATATAGTTTGCCGAGAAAAAATTATAATACAGACTATTTCTGATGTCGTCGTTATCGCTATCTAGATATCTGCTCTCTGTGGTTTTTGTATTGCATTAAGACTGTTTCTCTAAATGTAAACTCGCTCTAAATGTAAACTCGCGTTTCGTCAACAACTACTATAGATCTATCAGACAATGTCGTTGCTTTAAGCTCGCAAGGAATCTAGTCGTGCCTCATATTGCGGGTGACTGTGCCGCCTGATCATAGACATAACTATCCCATGCTGATGCGGCGGCGCAACCACTCTCGCCGCATCTCGTGCACGGAACACGTCGAGTGCCGCATCCACGATCATGCACAGCCGCGGCGTGCCCTGTCCGAAGGTTATCACAACCTCACATAGCCGAGCGCACGAGAAGGATCAACCTTTGAATGAACAGATCAACATCACGTGAATAAAGAATAGTTTAAATGAACATTTTTCTCATTCCCATATAGAAATAATCCTCTTGTTGGGGGGGAATAAAGTGTTTGGATTATATGCTAACGCCAAACCCAAGAAGTGTGTGTATGTGTGTGGTGTACAAAAAACAACAAGAACAATGCAACCCATGAGTAGATCGAAGATCCGCCTTTCATTTGTCTAAAACTCAAATACAAGAAACCCAATGTACCACACATGGCAGTGCAAGAAACTTAAATCCAAACCATCACGCTAACGAAGCCAGATTGGACACCGCTTACAAAGCGAGAACGGCACCAACGAGACCAGCAGCAGCACCGAAGTAAACGGCGGCACCGGTAGGGAGGGGACCAGCAGCGGCGGGGTTGGAGTTGGCAGGGGCACCGGATGGGTTAGCACCGTTGGAGCCGGAGGGGGCCGGGGCAGAGGAGGAGGCGGAGACGACGGCAACGGTGGCAGGGGAGGTGAACCAGGACGAAGAAGGGGCAGTGGTGGCGGTGCTCACGTCGAGCATCGAGATGCCGGTGATGAAAACCGTGCCGGCTGGGGTGGCAGAAGCCAAGTCACCCTTCCAGGTGGCGTTGAACTCAGCGTAGAAGCTGAAGGCGTCCTGGGTGACCTGGGCCTTGACAGCGTAGGTCTCGGAGCCCTGGATGACGGTGTAGGGCATGCAGGCGATGTTGAGGTCGGGGAGTTCGGTGTCCTGGCGGCGAACCACGGGAGTGGGGTGGGGGATGGGCATCAAGCGGACGTTGTCGCGGCGGGCGTTGGTGGGCCGAGCGATGGGGGTCATCTCGATGTTGGAGGCGGCTGCAGAGGCCAAGGAGCTCGCACCAGAGATTCCGGCAGAGGCGAGTGAAGAGGCAATGGATCCAGCAGCACCACCAGCAGATGAAGCGGCAGATTCAATGGCAGAGCCAATGGAAGAGGCACCCGACTTGAGGGATGATGCGACAGCCGAGCCAGTGACGGCTATTTGCGAGTTAGCATTTTCTGAAGCACTGAAAAGGGGAGAAGACTTCGTACCAGGGCAGCCGAAAGAGTAGGTGGTGGCAGCGGGACCAGAGCCTACGATGGTCGCGGTCTTCTGGTCGGGGTCAAGAGGGAGGAGGGTGAATTGGTTGAGGGTAGCCTTTGCCTCCTGGGCGCTGACCGAGGCGACGGCACCGGCGACGAGGAGAAGGAGCTGGGAAGAATGCATCTTGATAGAAATTGTGGGAGTTTGGTTGTTTGTTGTAAAACGAGTGTGTCGGTTGAGAGTGGAAAGGAAATAGAGAAGAAGAAGTAAGGAAGAAAGATGGGAAGTGGAAGAGACAAAGAGTGGTTTCCAAGTACGGGAGGCCTTAGTAAAGTGGATAGAGCGGCAGGGAGGACTTATAAAAAGGTGAGCAGCGCAGTCTCCTGTTAGCGGCTCATTGGGGCCTAGCAGCATTCACATATAGACCCCTGACGATTGCCAAGACACGTCACGATTGGCTGCCGTAGGCGAATAAAGTATGGCACTACGTGAATTGTAGAGGCCGGCGGTAAGGGGCTCGTGCCGCTAGCCGTTTTGGGCAACGAGCTTGCTTTGTTGCATTCCCGAACCCCTGCAGCACGCTCAGCCCATTCACACTGCGACCCGGCTCCAGTTATTTCATTGCTTGACGAGCAAACTTGCCCAAGAGGCTGTGCCGCGCTTCTCTCTGCCAACGGTCACAAGACTTCGTCATGCGTTGCCTCCAAATGTCCTCCATTCAATCGAACCCAATCCACAGTCAGTCGTGCGAGTGAACGAATACTGCTGTGTTATTCCATCGTTTTTCTCCGAAACAAAGCCTAGTCGTAGCGAGAGGGAATATGCATGACGAGCAAGGCTCGGCTGCTTACTCTTATTACCGGCCTACTAATTATGTGCAATATAATCATCACAATTCAAAGCATGTACATGTACATCATTGTGCGGGACACCAGACTCTGACATCGGCATTGTACTTTCGGACGTAGAAATAAGAATAGTCCTTGAGACATAGGCTATCACAATTAACCTCCACTCCTGTCAGAGGCGTCTGTCAGCTCTCATAAGCAGCAATCGCCTGTGGTTCGGGTTTGCACAGAATATCACCTCTGTACATGGCGCAATTACGTAGTGCCAACTGGCAACGTGAGTTGGATGACTGGCCGGAGAGGCACGGCCCAACAGTGGGCACCATACGGACAGCGGATGTTGTCCAACGATTTTCAGGTGGTGCAGGGATAGTCTTACTACAGCACCCACCTCTACCATCCGGTGGCGAAACCGCCATTCTGCAACTATTCTACATAGTTAGTATTCGTAAAAGTGAACTGCAGCAAGAATTCAATGACGAAATGGAATGGTTGTTTCATGTTCAACTGCAGCGCCGCACTAATCGGGCAATAACGTACGAAGTTTCCGGGCTCGCGAGGAAGCCCTGATGCGCCCGCGATACGACAAAGGTCTAGCTGAAAGCCGCATGGACGCTGCTTGACAGCGTTGACTACTTCAACACATAGTATACTGCTCGCAGTAGAAGTCCGAGTGAGACTTTAGTCGGTCGGGGAGCACAGAGCATGGATCGCTAGAGTTTGATCGTGTCGCACCCAGGCTTCAGCCTTGTACGTGCGCCGTTACTACCGCCATGGTGTGCACCATGTTTGACAGCTTCCACACATGGAAGCAATTTGACGCCGCAACTCTCGCTCGGTTTTGTGAAACTTTTGCCGCCGTGATCCTGCTGCCAGCTGCTGCATTGGGGATCTGGCATACGGACGTAATAAATGAAGATATTCGCCTGGCAGGGAACCGCTCGTGTTCTCCTACGCGCCTCGCATTCATCTCGCACGAAAGGTAGCAGCCACAAAAATCAATATCGCGTCAAATGACGGGCACGGGGCACTGCTAAGCTTTTGTTGCCTGCCTCAGGTGAAGCCCTACGGGCCTATTGTGGATTAAGTTAACGCTAGCACAGCCATGATTGGCTTTTGTTGCTACCAAGCCGTTGTCCCTTGCAATGCCAATTTTCGTTCAACAACCGCTACGACCCGAGGCGCTACTGCACTCCAAGACTTTGCAATCTCCGTAGTGTTGCCTTTTGAATGGGGCTGCTTCTGCTATAGCACCCTCTAACACCATCCCCATCCGGCCGCTGTACCTGCATTCTTGGAATCCCCATTCTGCATCGGACTTCACTTTCTCTACGGAACATTTTGATGGTCGATCTACGGCGTAGTCGTTTTCAGCTGTTGTGCTGATCTCGTGTGTAATCCGACTCGGGCATCTCGGCGAGAGGTATACTCCATTCAGTAGCCCTCTCCAATTTCCATTTTGGAAGGACGGTTGATACGTCAAAGACTGAGATGTCTGTAGCCCTATACTGGTCAAGTGCTATGGGCAATCACCAGCATTCATTGCGATGTCCTAGTAAACAAGTCGCGGCACACTGCCATGGTTCGGTTGGACCTAACTTGTCATGATTCAGTGCTCTGTTTTCACTATACTTAGCCACTAGCGTCGTCTCCTACTCGGTGCGCTCATTGCCGACGCACAGATCGCTGCCCCCAATGCAATGACCCTGTCGTGATAGCTCGTTATGCGCTGTGGAGAATTGGGGTCCATTTCCACATGGGTGAGATTTACGGGCTGCAGCTTCGGCTCACCAGCTTACTCACACCTCAGGTATCTGTGCAATCTCCCCATTCTTACTGAACACCCTCTTGGCACCGGATTCACAGCCGAACCATGCTGATCTACTTTGGTTCTCTTGCAGGGAACTGCAGGAACATGGTCGAGCTATTAAAGAGTCGCCGTTGCGCCGTCTTCAGGCCGAGTACTCACTATCACCACCATCAAGCATCTTCTTGCATCTCTTCTCACGCAGCTTTGCGTAGTCATTCTTTTTTGTTCGATACACACTCGTTACTGGCCTTGACTGGCTGTTCACATTCGTTCCGGAGCCATACACTCCCTCTATACACCACCCAATTAGCTTAACTTTGCTGTTTTATACCCACCTTCATCATGTTCTTCAACCCCAAGGCGCTCTTCACGAGCGGTCTTGTCTCCCTCCTTTCCGTTCAGGATGTTCTCGCTGCTCCTCATCTGGCTCTCCGCCAGGAAAACCCCTCCCAGATCCTCAAACACAGGTCTTTCGACGACCGTGACAAATCCATGGATGTCAGACTCACAGCCATCCAGGATTTGGGCCAATTGACTGGAAGGTTCAGCAAGCGAGCTCTCTCTCCTGCTGAGGCTTTCGATCCCACCACCCGCGGCGAGTTGTTCTGGGGAGCTTACGTCGATGACCACATTGTCACTGCCAACATGACCATTGGTGCTGACCAAGACGAGATGTTCTTGCTCATTGAGAACTTCGCTCAGCGTCTCAAGTCTATCAAGTGCGGTCCTGATGTCAAGGGTGCCACTCTGACCTTCAACGACAAGGCCGACTTTGACCTCATCCAGAAGAAGTGGAAGTGGATCGATGAGAAGGACCCTAACAGGTTCATTCTCGTCACTGAGATGGACCAATGCTACAAGGGCGATGACCGTTCCCCTTACGATGTCAAGGGCATGACCTTCGATGCCGAAACCTTGACTGTCAACATCGACGGTGCTGAGGTGCCATGGGACACCATCAAGAACGGTGTTCTCCACGTTACCAACGAATACGTCGACCCCAAGACTGTCTCTCAGACCCACCCTCAACTCATCCGCCGTGAATCTAAGTCTATTGACCTCAAGATGGACAAGAGCATCACCCTTTTCGAGTGGAGCAAGGACTCCAAGGAGAGTGCCGGTCTCGGCATCAAGGCCAACGTTCACATGCAGACTGCCGGTGCCATTCTTGCTGATATCGGCATCGCCTGGGGAGGTTTCCTCGACAAGATCCCCCAAGGTTTCACTGCCGACTTCAAGCCCAAGGCTCTCGAGGGCACTCTTACCCTCGACCTCGAGCTTGATGGTAAACTCGGAAAGGAGATCAACTGGGATGCCGCTTCCGTTGACATTCCCGTTGGTGGTTTCACCGTTGCCAAGGTCTTCGAAGTCGGTCCCATCGCTGGTATTGGTGTTCACTTCGGCTCTACTGCTATCGAAGGCAAGGCCCATCTCACTGTCGGCGCCAAGGCCAAGATCCCCGACAACGCTGTTGCTCACTTCGAGAGCAAGGACACTGGCAAGAACAAGGTCGAGGGCTGGAAGCCCGAGTTCTCCAAGGTCGACCCCCGCATCTCTGCCGAAGTCAAGGCCAGCCTCAAGGCCTGGGCCGATCTTTCCTTCAAGGTCAAGGCTTCCGCTCTCTCTTTCGGTTTCGAGGCTGGTGTCGTCGCTGAGCTTCCTTACTTCGAGGCCTCTGCTGCCGTCAAGGTTGATACCTCCAAGGGCGTCTGCGACTCTCCGAAAGCCATGGGTATTGAGCTCAACACTGAAGTCGGTATCAACGTCGACTTGGAATTGGATGTTGGCAAGCTCGACAACGACCCAACCTGGGGCAAGAACCTCTTCCACACCCAGTGGGACCTGTACAAGACCTGCATCGGTGTTGGAAAGGACATCCAGACCACCTCCGTTGCCGACATTCCCGATGGCCCTGGAAAGACCAAGACCTCCTCTGGCGACAAGCCTAGCAGCACTTCTGCTAAGACTACTGGCTCTGACAAGCCTAGCGACAAGCCCAGCAGCTCTTCCGCCACTGTGACCAAGTCTTCCTCCAAGGAGTCTGACAAGTCTAGCTCTGGTTCCTCCAAGCCTACTTCCTCTGCTACCATCACTGGTGCTTCTTCCTCCAAGTCTGACTCTGCTTCCGCATCCAAGAGCAGCTCCAAGGCTAGCGGATCCTCTGCTGCTTCCGAGTCCAAGTCCAGCGCTTCATCCGCTGCCCCTGGCTCCTCCTCCAAGGCCCCCTCCTCCTCCGCCACCAAGACCAGCAGCGGCTCTGTCTCTGAGAGCACCAAGGCCAGCTCTTCCGGCGCTGCCTCTTCCTCTGGTGCCGCTTCCTCAAGCAAGGCCAGCTCCTCTGGCGCTGCCTCCTCCACCAAGGTGAGCTCCTCCGCTGCCGCTTCTTCCAGCAAGGCCGCCTCCTCCAGCAAGGTCGCTTCCTCCGGAGCTGCCTCCTCCTCCGCCGCTGCGTCCGCCACTTCCTCCGGCGCCGCCGAGCCCTCCGGCGCCCCCTCCGGCAACCCAACCTACAGCACCTCCCCCTCTTCCCCCAAGTTCGATGGTGCCTCCCCCTCCTGCACGAAGTGGTACTCTGTCAAGGCTGGCGATGACTGCTCTTCCTCTGGTCTCTCTACCCCTGACCTCTGCAAGCTCAACACGGGTCTCGACGCCAACTGCGAGAACCTCATGTCTGGCATCGCTTACTGCGTCGCGGCTTAATTTCTGAGCCCTTAATACTCGCGGGTGGTTGGTTTTCTTTTCAAATGCATATATTGTTATATATATTGTGTGGTTCAGGTTGGGGATCCAGTGTGAATTGGGTCATGAATATCATGGGATTGGAATGGATTGGATTGGATTAGCGGACGTTTTTGCTTTGCTTGCTTCTTTGGGATCTATTTGGAAATATTCATTATATCCTGGGGAAATCATCGTTTATGGGTGTGTATGTGTTTGTCGCGACATTTTTTTTTGGATTTACTCAAGACTTTTCTTCGATATCATGGCATGATTAGCTTTTTGTTATTTTTCTCTTTCTAGATACTGTAAAGTATAAAACATCAGCGCTCTTCGCTTCGGCCATTCGAGCGTGAAGAATAATCAAGATATTCAAGATCGAATACTTTCTACGCTTGTGCTGACGCCCCCCTCGCCCGGAACTATTAATCTACAATCACCCTCTGCGACCTTCCCCCTCCCCTATCCCACCAACAGCACCAACAACAACAACAACAACAAAAAAAGTCAAGACAGAAATTACCTCCCCCTTACGCTCGAAACATCTCACGATTCTCACTACCCAACAACCGGTCAGCACTGTCAGACCACCCGCCATCGCCCACAACACACAGGGCTGAGCACGCCCCTCCCCCCTTAAGACAAATAAAAAGCTTTTCCATCCTCCCAAATCAGGCCCCCAGCAGCTCGTCCCTCCTCGCGTGTTACTAACCATGACAATTAACCCAACCGTGCCAGCCTAGTTAAGCCTCAGGGCGCTTAAGCCCCCATCTCACAAACGCTAAATACGACCACCAACTCGCCAAAGGGTAAAAAGTAAGCACGCCACGAGCGCGCACAGAGGTGGTGGTTCCGGCCCCCAACGATGGTGCTTGAGAGGTGGAGAGGGTAATAGTTAGCGATGAGGCTTTTGAAGGTGAGACGGAGTTTGTTTCGGGTTTGGGCGGTTGCGTTGGGTGGCGAGTGAGTGGGAGATTTGTGTCTGTGTTTATGTGCGTTTATTCAATAACAATTTTCTGTGTGTGTATAATTATAGCGCGTGCCTTGCATGATGCGATGCGATGCAATGCGAGGTACGACCAACGTGGATACGCATGTGTTGTTGCTGTTGTCGTTCTTATTGTCATCGTAGACAAAGTGCTTACAAGGCGTATAGCGTACTCTAAGTCTAAAAAGTATCTTCTTTCTCTACAATCCGTCATACATCGCCCGACTTCGAATATGTGGGGTTGGAGGACATCGGCATTGTGAAGTTGTGATGGTGGGGAGACTACACAGTAGAGTCCGATCGCTAGATTGGTTAAGGAAAGTGGACTCGGGATATCGTAAATCTGACACAAAATGAGAGCGGAATGCGAACTGCAGTGTGGGTTGAGAACATAGTTTGAAAGGATAGAAGGACTCGAGGATTGGGGATGGATGAATAGAGGGATGACGAAGGATCGCTAGAGAGGTGCGCTGAGAGCCGTATTATCCGATGGGCGATGCGGCGTATGAGAATCTTTGTTTCGACTTCTGGCTTTTTGCACAAAACAATAACTTGCGCATGTGATTAGAGTATCATGATTGATATCATAAGTACTTAACGAAATGTTGACCGAGTATAGTAGTTGTGCTGGTGAAGGAACGTTCTTGTTTGTATCCTTCACCGATATACTCAGGGCGCGCTAACACCAATCGGGACATTAGCACGTGACTCATACCTGGAGCCGTTCATCCACATGTTGATTCAACGTGGGAATGCTCGTTGCACAATGAGGATAATAATCAAAGATATCCTAGATCAAGCTTTTCGTGTCATCGGTCTGCCGTTTTCATCCGATCTTTACAGAGTCCAGACCATGGAGACAATCCGACTGTACAATCAAGCCCAAACATTTGATCCACTGAATGACGGCATGTCCCCATCTATCACATCGATAAAAGACCTTTGCGATCGTGGCAATCATTCTCGCTTGATCTGAATCTTGCGCTGTAGCACTTCATACCACCTACAGAGACATATATTGCCTCTCAACAAGTGTTTACGTTCTTGCATCAATTCCAAGGTCCACCCCTCAGCGACCCCAAAAGACATAACTGTGACGTCTAGGAATCCCACCCACGCCATCCCGATCCTACACACCACGCCTCGATCGGGAAACAACCCTACCCATAAAAACCTCCATGGATGAACCCTCAAACGGAACAGACATCAATACTTTGTCTCTTTTCCTACTCCATTAGGCTAATCTGCACCACGTGAAGCCCGGGAATGCATGTCAAAGTATTGACGCGACCGTATCTGGCAGGCGGGCTCGCTTCGAGCTATGGATGCGGAAGGCGATTTGCCCTGTTTGCATTGGTATATAATGTCTTTGCGATTGATATGGACAGTTCAGATTGCGCGCGGCATGACCGCGCGGGTGTTTGCGCCCCGCTTTCTGTTTGTTGATGCCGCTCAGATTGCCGGCTGTGTACATGTATGCACCTTGCTTTTGTTAATCATGCATCGCGGCCACGTTCGATAGGGCCGATATCTAAATATTACGCTTCCTGGTGAATGATACCGTTACGCTGGTGCCAAGTGATATGTGATAATTGATCGTTGTTACTTCGGCGGCTCCCTTTTCTTCCTTATGTCGTCGTGGAGATCCAAGATAACGACAAAGGAGACTTCAATTTTCCAAGACGGATGAACACGTGCCGGTACCGCTTGGCTCTTATTTCTTCGTCTCGTCGTTGTGACTATTGGAATTCTTGCATGAGGTTCAATGGATAAAACGGTTTAGGTGGGTTCAAGTAGGACCGAATAGTCGTCGATGTGATGTGACCACTCACGAGTAAGTCACAGGGTGGGGACTATAACGCAGCATTCATGATTTTTATCTATTGAAGGATAGTCATGTGAAGCTTGCAATGCGTTGTGATATCGTGAGTCGAAGATGAGATGAACCTTGCAGTTATAGGGCATTTCTTCGAGTCATTGATGGAAAAGTTGATATCAACCTTGCTGTAAGGATGCTGATATTACATGAGTCACTGAAGCTCAAATGCTATTGAGGTGATTTAATAACTCAAAGCTTGTCAGCATATGAGGGATAGAGAGTATGCACGTGTAGTATGATATACCAAGCCAACAACAGCAGTGGAACTCATGGTACATGTCAAACTACTCATTGAGATATAGATTGATATATGAGCTTCAAGCTTATCGCTAAGAGATCTCGGGATATTATTGGGTTGATAGCAGTAACTATGTTTTGGCGAGTGATTGTTTTTGAGCAGTCAATCTTCATCGTATATTAGGTGCGGCACGATTGAGAGGACATTCGAGGAACAAGGAATCCATCCAGATTCTCAATTGCGTAGTTCTCATAAGCCGCTATGTCACCACAGTGTGAACTTAAAAAGTAAATATCTATCAATTAAATGCACAAACCTGGATCTGATCCATTTCCATTTGCTAGGTGCTCATTCGATGGAGAGAACATCACTTGGTATGCATCCCCGTCACTGGACATTTGGTAAGTCAACTTGGTTCGTATCACAAATCTCAATGATTTTCTAACTTCATCATGGATATACGCAATCGTTCTAGTCAATGGAAATTCCTTTCAGGTTAACACTGCCTCAAAAAAAGAGACCTATTGCGAGAGTAGATCTTCCTCATCTTCCAACTTGCCAATAAATGATGCGGTTAAGACATGACATACAGTCATCAATCAAAAGAACCAATCTAATTAAATACATTCTCTTGAAAAGGGATTTTCGGGCAGACAATAGAGAGTGTGACAGTAGGACTAGAAACCCGCGCACGTCACAGCTCTTTTGAGTGGTCAGACAGGTCTCTGTAGCCATGTACCGCAATTTGTTTTTGACACAAAGGAAACTCTGAATTGGAAAAAGAAAGAGTGAGAAGTGAAGCTACCGACCCAAGGACAATGGCAGTCACTGAGGCTCAGGCTGAACCCGGGGGTTGCTAGAATCGCAGTTACATTAGTAGAAAATTCTAACAAACGGTGGCACAATGGGAACTTTATTAAGTGTAATTCACTCGAAACAAGATTCAAAAACATCGCAGAAGCGTCCGTTTTCAAGATCAACATAGTAAACTTATGCCCACCGTCGAGCAGTCATAAGAGTAGTATGGGCCTTGGGACGTACGCGATAGGGGTATTCTGTAGACCCTTCTAGGAATCCGGATTTTATGACAAGAAACTGGAAAACCGTGACACCACAAGACGACTTGTAGCCAGAACACAAGTAGATGCTCGTTTGACTTTGGGCAAGGGCGTTGGAGTAGTCGGGAGTTCTGATTGGCTAAAGAGAGGTGCGCAGAATTCAGCATAGGTGCGCACAGTTCAGTATAGCAACTTCAACAAGTCCGTCGCCTCGGTGAGCATCCATTTGGGTGAAACGAGGTGGGAAACAGATACGCTGGCAGTATAAAACGTCAATTAGCTATTGGCCTTCGTTGAATATAGCCAGGTGCGGAGTCTATGGCGCGGGAGCGCTGATGCGGCCCCCGCATTCCTCTTAATATGGATTAATTGCATACGTTCATATGCCTCCTACAAAAGCCTGCTCCTTTGTGAACACATTAACTGCCGAAGCAGTGCAGATAGAGATAGATATCATCACTCGGTAGTTGTTAGGCAGCTCTCCACATGTTTTCCATAGCATAAACTCAGTGGAGATTGAATGAATCTGAATCCATGACTGCATACGTGATTCCGGATTTGCCACGAGGAAGTGGATTCGTATATAAAGCAATTACTGAACTATCTGTACATTTCACACAAGAGGAAAGAAACAATATTTCTTGAATAGCAATGGGAAACTTCATCATCGCAGTCATCTCGGCGTTCGCAGCCAGCGCCTCAGCTGCTTGCGACCGCTCCCTATTGACTGCTGCCACAACAGACCTCTATACCTCTCAAACCAACGGCAAGCTCACTGGAACCTCCTTCGCAAACAACACAAGCATCAAGTACACCGAAAATCGGAAAGCGGCCAGCATCGCGCAGGGTATTCTGTCCCACTCTCTGACGATTAATCATAATCGCAGTCAACACGATGTGGCGCAATGCGCCGCTTTCAGTGAATATATCGTCACGGGCTCCAAGCCATATGTGATTGCGACTCAGCTTCGTCTGGACAACTCGACGAACAAGGTGGCGCAGATTGATAGCATTGTGACGACAACGGGAGATTGGCTGTTCAACGTGGTAAGCTCGAGCTACAGAGCACAACCTGTTCATTCTTCATCAGAGGTTTACTGATTTAATATAGACGGGGACTGCGTATTGGGCTGCCCAAGAAAAATGGGATATGATTCCAGAGGGCAAGCGCGATAGTCGTGCAGTCATCAAGGCAGCTGCCGATGCTTATTGCGATCTGTTCAACGACAAAACGGTGAAGGTGTGTTAACATGTCCTATCTAATACTGATTTCGCCATGGCCAAGACCTCATCCCTTCTCTCACTTCTTCCTGTCTATCACTTCGGCCTGGGAACCATTCAGTGAGATGAAGTAGGAGACTAATTGCTTCTTAGGTCCCCTGGGGTTCGCCTTGTGCCCGACTTGAGGGAGGCATGTACACTGGAAAGGGTCAAGCCAGTGATCGCTGTGATGTCGGTGTCCCCAATGGAGTCAAACTTGTCAACCGACAATATGTCATTGACGAGGAGTATGGGACGGTCGACATTCAGATGGACTTTGCCGGCACGGCAGGTGTCGGAGGTGGTTTACCTGATAGCCATGAATTCCGGTGAGGAGATCATATGTCCCATCAGATTACTTCAATCGAGCTAACTTCGACAGAATCGAGGGAGGAAAGCTAAGATATGTCCATACCCTTTCGAGCTGCGGGGGTAAAGCATGCATGTAGTCTACCAAAGATCGCTTTGGGAACTTGGTGGTTTTATCCTCAAGTTCGTCAACAGAAGGTTGACTACGGAAGTATTGTCCATTGAATTAACACGAAAGATGCCACAACGCAGTCCCATGTGATGCCAACAGAGACCCATGCAGATGTGAAGAAAACAAGCATAGCGGACCTTGAATATTTAAATGGTCACATGAAGAGTCTTAAGACTTCATGTCAAACAGCAATGATCATTCATGATAGTTAGATATCAATGTAAAATGTCTTTCAACATCGCATCTTCTTATCGGATCAAGGTGTACCCTCTTCCCCTGCCCGATGCTGGAAGAACCATTACGTCATGGTTCGCTTAGTGAACGCCCAAAATCGCTGACAGTTTTGTTGATCCACTGCTGCAACATTTTCCACGACCTTCGCAATGAGCTCCTCAACGCCCTCGCAGCCCCCGTTAGTTCACGTGATACGCCATGGCGAAGCGCTACATAACGTGGACAAGCGAAATCGTGACCGAGATCCACCGCTGACCGAGGCTGGAAACAGAGCAACGAAAGGCATAAAAGTCTCGACCCCGGATCTCGTCTTGATATCTCCGATGACACGAACAATTCAAACGGCAATGAACTTGTTCCCAGATCTAGCGGACCAGAGTTCCTCTTCGATCGCCGTACAGATCTGGCCTGATCTCCGCGAAGCTCATGATGCTATTTGCAACAAAGGAGTAGCACGTAAAGACCTTGAGACCAGGTTCCCGCAATTCGATTTTTCAGAATGCCATGAAACATGGGATTACCCGGAAAATACGGCGGAAAACGCGACTGCACGAGCTCAAAGGGTCAGGCTCAGGCTACAGGAGCTGTCGAAGACGTACGCTAATATCGCGGTAATCACGCACAGAGGTTTCATCGCGTATCTTGTGAAAGGACGACGTTTTGACGTTTGCGAGAGACGCTCGTATCGTTTTGCGACTGAAAAGGAGGAGAATGATGATGATATCAGGAAAGGAAAACATTGTGAGACACTGATGGAGCAGAATTTCGGACCTAATGTTCTTATCTTGCACAAAAGAAAAGCAGACTGGGAAATTGCGCGCGACAATTTCTGATGCATTCTTGATCGTAAAAATCTAAAAACGAGCTACCCATGACCTCTAAAGAACTCCGAGATGAAAGAAATAAAAGATTACCATAAGACAAGCACAATTTCCCGCAATTCCAAAGTAACTAGGTCCATTGCATCAACAATCTACACGACCCTTCATTCAAATGCCACGCCGTACAATCTCTTTTCCCCTTCGCAATTGAAATGTGACTAGTAGCCCCGCGGTGTCTCGTCTGGTTTCGTGCGAGGTGTTTTTTCGTTCCACTAGAATACGCGATTAGTACAAATTTTGACATTTTTTGGTGGCAGAACGTACATTGTTTTCACAACATAGATCCTTCTCATGGCCACATTGGCAGGTACGCTGGATGCTACGTGTGTCACATCTGCAGCAACAAAGTCCACCATAATTTGAGACCCTGCGACCGTAAGCGTGTAGGTTTTCGTGGTCAAAAGCTGCATAGTTGTCGAGTCCATCCGAATATCCGAAACCACGAGAAGATGAGCGAAAGTCTTGGTGGTTTAGTAACCAGAGAGGAGATTCAGAGATACCGGATGCGCATAGGCCCCCCTCCATGCGAAGGTCTGCCAAATCGTCTGTGGAGATAATTGGCGTGCTTGAGACATGTTCATGGCCATCGTTCCCGTCGATGTTGGCGCCCGTTGTCTGTGATGAGGCCGCGTGTGTTATTATGATCGATGGCAAAGTATCTGAGTTGAGGGATTGACGAATGAGCTGATACTTGGTGAACACTTTGGATAGATAACAACCCATTGTGAAGAGATGAAACGACAACCGGCAGAAAGCTGTGCAGCGAGATATCCAATGGATTGGGGTGCTGCATTTAGCGTGATGATATTATCCAAGTTTCTGGCAACTGACAGGCACCTTATATAGACAGCTGTGGAGGTTTGATGTCGTATTTGAGACATCCCGGTTGCAACCGATTTGTGATCTATAGATGTAGTTGCTACTTGTTTCTCAAAGTTTGTTTCAATTAACTTGTATTGTTGACTCGTGAACTCATATCGTATGTTCCCGAAATATCACTGCATTAAGATTTGTTTTCATGGTCTTTCATGTAGCAAACACCCAAAGTCTGGGTTCTTGAACTGCTCCTTGATAAAACCTGAAAGTACCACATTTCGCCAAGTGATTGTCTGTTTCTTGAATGATTCTTATGAGCGCATTGCGCAAAGCTTGCTACGCATTTTGGACTAAGAGGGCAAACTGAGAGCACCTTTTGTGTGCGATGGATAGTTAGTACTCTTTCGCGCCTCATAGATGTGAAATCCACAGTTATTATTTCACTTCTTGGAGGTTATTGAACTTGAAATCATAACATGATATCATCCTTTTGGCGTAGAAGTTAATAATCGCAACATCGCCCTCCGACTCAAATCGCGACGAAACGTTTAAGTTTTGTTCATTCCTCTTCACGCCAACACACCATAGCCCCCCACAACAAGAAAAATGAGATTTTACTACTAGGAACAAGTTTCAGTACCATTCTCTAAGCTCTCCGTAAACGGATAGTCCGAATTCACCCCTTCCAGTTGGTCTCAGTCGCTCTTTCTTAAGATTCACCCGAAGTTCTCATCAACCACTCGAAACCTATCGTCACGTCCAATGTAACTACAGGAAAATGGTTCTTTCACGTTACGCCTGAATGACACAAACAATTGGGAACTTTCACAATCTACGACAGGTCCCTTTAGCGTACCCGCAAGCAGATGGTCTGGCTGTAGAGTGCGACATATTTGCATTGATAAGTTTATAAGCAGCATGTGGCATCTGAGGCCTGCGACGTATATCACGTGACGTTCCGCATGACGTACATATGTTTTGACCCAAAGCTTCCAGGTTATTCATCGTAATCAGTCATTCCCACATTCATCTTTTGCGAAATTTTAGAGAGTCGTCCACAGCTTAGTACACGTTCTTGCGGGTCATCCGAATGGAGACATGTGTCGAAGATACACTTGAATTGTGATCTATGGCAGTTCATCGTTCCTACTAGAGATACATACTTCTAGCTCAGTAGTTCTCGAGATTGTTCCCATTCTTGCAAGACCTTCTACAGATCCATCCATCCTCCGATTGTAGGGTTCTCTTTTAAGCGACTTTGCACTCTCCCCATCAGCCCTAGCATCATGACTCATATCTACTAATTGTATCTGGCCATTTCGTCCTCGAAGCGTTGACTGTGCAGTTCCAGACCCATAAGAAGTATTGCCCTCTTTACGCCAAAGGAAGCGGATGGCTCGGGTCGCGGGCATGGATGAGACAAGCAGACCGACAGCAGGTTCTAATCACGCGTTAACACCAACAGCGCTACCAGCCCCACTAATTGCCTCTATGAGCACCCCTCGAAGGAATAATACGGACCTGCTACAGACCACGACATGGGAATCGACATTGCCATCGTGAGGTCGGGATCTTTGAGGAGGGCGGGTATGAAACCGAGACGCACCGCCGACGTTACTACAGCACTGAACAAGTAGTTAGCAATCGAGAACGTATGCGATAATGAAGTCGATACTCACAAGGCTCCAATTAGCAGAATTACTAACAGTTGCAATTTGGTTTTCGCGTCCATCTGCAGAGGTTTGACAATCGGGATGCAGAGCAGATAGACGAGCGCATCCGTGATGACCCCCGTGATCGCATTTCCGAGATAGAACGAATTTATATTGACACATACAACTTTGTTGGCTTTGTGCGTATCCGCGAGAGGCTTCCATGCAGCCTCTATTGGACGGCATTGAAAAATGCAGACGAGAACGTTAGCAGTAGTGTTTGCAGCGACTAGAGCGAACATGGCCCACACGGTGGTGCGAAGGGCAGGAGAGGAAACACCCCTCAAGATTCGGTGATAAAGTGAGAGAACGCTCAATTTGATCATTCCCAACGTCGAATTGTATAAGATTGAGCAAACGAAAATTGCCTGTCATGGTCGTCAACCCTAACTAATTTGCGACGTGGTTGATTTGCATGGTCGATGCATTGCGTCGGCCAAAGATAAGCCGGTCTTACCTGGAGGTAATCGGTCAAACCATCCCACTGACGATTGTATAAAACTGTCGTCAAATGCGTACCCATGCCACGGTGGATTGCGATGAAAGTTGCGATGATCAAGCCATAGAACAGGATCACGGCTAGCACATTGAATACTGAGATTTGTTAGCGTACTGCGGAATGGAAAGAAGGATTATACTAGCCATCGTCCATGCCATACACAGGATGCCCGCTTCGCATTTTATTTGCCTCCACTCGTCTTCTCAAGGCCCAGCGCCCCAGATATCGGAGGAATACCGAAATCGTCACCACGACAGTGGCGGATGTTGTTACTGCAATCTCAGACACAACTTCAGTATCGCCAGCATCTGGCGGACGTTCGGTGGGTATCTCCATGTTGGAAGAGAGACCCTACAAATTGAACACACGTGCTGCGAGATTCTATGAAGACGGTAGACATTCGGATAGCTCTCGTGCTTTAAACGATAAGAAAAAGTGTCACTGATCGGCGAATAGGCTGGGCGAACACACTCAACATAATGCTGTGTCAACTATGACACCAATTAATGATCGCAGTATCCACAGTTGTTTGAGCTATAAGTGCTTTGTGTGCCATACGCTGCACTAGTATCAAGCTGTGCAGTAAGGGTGTATTCCGAAAACAATATTCGTGGTGCAGGTGAGAAGTCGAGTTACCGCCTTCGTGGTTGCCATGTCAAGGGGGATACGAATATTCCCCAACCCGTTGTACAAGGTCTCACAAGAAGCGCCACGCGAGCTCAACATCACACCAACATGAATTTCGATGTACCCAGTGATTCACGAGTGTGGAACACTTGTGTCTCTTCGGAATGAGTTTCTGTGAAAGCTTCGCGTGACTCCACTCACTCGATAATTCTAGTGTGGGATAATTTGCTGATGGATACTGGCTACTCCTGATTAGCTGACAAAATACCGAATGTTAGAGTTTACAATCATACTTAGAAGCATTATGCTGGAAATTCGCATTGTAAAATTCAGTTGAAAGGCGTGACATAGCTACGTAGGTGCATATTTAAGTAACTGTATCGGCTGCAAAGCAGCGTGCGTTACTTTTCAAATGTTTTGACAACTTCATCACCTCACATAAGAAGACTACGCTCTACCGAGCACTTCTAAGATTCAATGAGCCTGAAATGTTAGCTTACATTTATCTGCTATCTTGGACGAAACGTGTGTGCAGATGTAAGCTGACGAACCGCGTTCATGTTCCCGTGTGCGCACCAGGATGAACGAACACGGTTCGTTAGCACTGCTACACAAAGTATGAGTCCTGTACAACCTGTACACCATATACTAATCCTGTCTTAGTGTGACAAAACTTAAAGAACAGAGAGCCGAAAAGATCCCTTGCTATCTTCCCAGAACAGAAGTTCATTGACGAGTGTAATTTAAAGTTATGTGACATGTGGACAATGTCGCCCTGCGAGCGGGGTCATAGATATTGGCCCGGCTCGATATCCACATGCGAGTCATATAGCTTTGGGCGACGCCAGTCACACTCTTCATCTTACACGCTGCCCTTTGCACAAAGAATCAGGTCACCATGGGTATTGTAGCAGCTATCACAGACTTTCCAACCGTGGATCGAATTTTCTGGACAGCGTTCGCAATCTGCGCCGCCCCAGTGCTTTACCGAATCATCTATAATCAATATTTTCACCCGCTGTCCCGATTTCCTGGCCCATGGTATGCGAAATCTTTCTCAGTATACGGCGCTTTGGTGTCTGTGTATGAAAGAGAGCAAGAGTTTCTCAGTTCTGTCGTCAAGAAGTATGGCAGTATGTTTGAACCTGTAGAATAACTTCCCCACGAGGGTTATGCCGTCCTATACTGATACGCGCCCATCAGCTGATCTTCCAATTCGAATCTCACCTACTAGCCTCTTCTTTCCGGGTCCTTCGGCCCTCAAAGATATTTATTGGAATCCGTCTCTCAACCACAAAACGAAACTATACGGCACTGGCGCCCTGGGTCCGCCCCATCTCTTTTCTACAATTGATGGTGAAGCACACAAACAGCTCCGCCGAGCCCTCTCGAACGCGCCATGGACGATTGGACAGCTGAAGAATAGATGGGAATCGCGCTTCGATACACTCATAACGCTGTTCATCGACAAGATGAACGAGCACGCATCGGCGAACCGCACCATTTGCATCAGCGATAAAGTTGCACACTTCGCGGCCGATGTCATGAGCATGATCTCATTTGGTGAACCATTTGGCTGTGTGGCAAACCAACGGGATGAAAAGCAGATTCTGGAGAACTGGAGGAAAGGCCTTCCATTCTTCGGGTTTGTCGCTAGATGTCGTTTCTTTCGGGACGAAGTGATGAGAATCGGCTTTTTGGCAAGCTGGTTTCTGCCTACATTCGATTCAAAACAGGGGATGGGATGGCTGATGGCAGAAGCCGATCGGCAAGTAACGCAGCGAGAGAAAAGAAATGCCGAGGAAAAGTTCAAAGGAATGCCTGATTTCATGCAACAGTGAGTAGGACGCATGTTTCTCTTTGGCTGAGCGCTTGCTCCATTCTGTATATTTGTGGGTAGACTCCGCTGACAATCTGTGGTTGAAAGCTGCGTGGAAGCACGATATCAGGACAACACTCCCTTGAACCCCGTGCAAAAGCGCGCACACGTCACTCTTCTCATTCAAGCCGGTGCAGACACAACTGCAACAGCGCTTGGCTCTATCCTGCGCTTCCTCGTTGCCACCCCTTCCTCTCTTGCGCGCTTGTCAGACGATATTGCCCAAGCAGATAAAGCCGGGCTTCTCTCCACACCCATCAAGTATGAAGAGACGCGCCAACACTTACCTTACATGGTCGCCGTAATCAAAGAAGGCTTGCGACTAAACCCACCGGCCCCAAATCTCTTCGGACGTGTGGTACCCGCGGGCGGGAAAGTGATCGATGGAATCTTTATACCTGGAGGTACCGAGGTCACGACCCATGCCTACACCATGCAACGCGATACAGGGCTGTATGGAGAAGATGCTGAAGTTTTCAAGCCAGAACGCTGGCTCGTGAATGATGAGACAACGCTGGAGTATGAGGCGAGTCAATTCACGTTCGGAATGGGTCCACGGGTATGTTTGGGCAAGGATATTGCTATCATGGAAATGTATAAGCTGTTGCCGGAGGTAAGACTGCGCCTTTTCTCTGTGGCGATACGCTGTGGCTGCATAAGGAAGGAATTTAACATTGCGACAGATTGTACGCAGATTCGATATCCAGCTCGAGGCAAAGGGTACTTTTGTGGTTTCTGGTGGAGTCGCCTACAATAAGGGGTTCTTGGGCAAGTTCATTGCAAGAAAATCGGAGACTTAAAACACGCTCTCGAGAGGCTTTGTTTTGCTAACAGATGAGCGCTATGCTGCTAAGATCTTGCTATCGGTAGTACAAACGAGGTAGGCTCTATCTTGTTGCAAACCATCGTCGAGCCTGAATTGCTTGAAGCATGCGGACTCTATCCAGAATCACCTCAACCAATCGTTATGACTAGACAATGGGACTTAATTGGCCATACCAAAGACCCAAGATACTTTGTTGTCTTCCAGCTAGTCCCTAATACCGTCTTCCTTCTCGCTTACAGTATACCCCAGCCGGCGCCAGCGCACCCCACCCAGCACAGTGCGCGCCAGCTTGACATGAGCTTCGCGCTGTACCAAACATGCGATAACTACGCCGAGCAATTACTCGCCCGTGAGCAAATTATGAACCAACTAATAAGTCAGCCCACTAAATACGGGAAATGCAGCCTTATTGGAATCTCACCAGCGCGCCCTACTACATGACGCATACCGCACAACTTGCAGGCCACCGGTGCCCACGTGTGGCTTACTCTGGTGCCAACGCAGCTCCTCTTCTCGAGGTTTAGAACTCACCGCATGCTGATTACATGATTTTTCTATAGATACGCTCAGTGCATCTATAGATATACGCAGTCCACCGTAGTTGACGAACCGTCCCACCGACTGTCCAGGCTGACCGACTTATCCCCACCCAAAGTGCAAGTCTCGAACCCAAAGGCTGACAAACAAACAGGCATCCCTTGTTTGGGGTGTCTTACCTTTCGCTTCATCCCTTTCCGCTTCCGCAGCCAATGCGGCCTTGCAGAATTCCAGACAAGAAATAAACCCCGCTGCTGCATTGCTGCTGCCTCGCAATATCTCAACTGAACAGTGAATATATGACGCATGAATATACTTGGACGTGAACATATATAGCCAAGCGCGCATCAGATAGATCAAGGCATCGGTGACCGAGAGACTGACCGATTCCCATCACGGATGTACAAGGGAGGGACAGTCGGCAAACAAACCATATCCGCAGCGTTTCGGACGATAATTGTGGGCGCGCTGCTACATATCCGTGTTTTTGACCGTTCGATGCGGCCGGATGGACAGGCGAGACGGGCACCTTTTGGTTTCTTGTTAGTCCCCGGAAGTGTACGGGGGTGCGGAAAGGGTCCCAGCGTCTTCCTTGGCTCTTGACCTTTTTCCCTTTGCGAAGGATGTAGATAATCGTTCGAGGATCTTCCCCTGAAGGATTGGTCGCTGCCCACTACTAGGGTGCAGCGGCTCCACTTGGTTGGTGAAGTTTGGGACTTCGATACGATTCGGGGTAGGATGTAGGTTATACGACCCGTGTTTCTCATGTTCATACTGCATACATAGATCTCTTCAATGCCATTACGTGCCGACACAAAGCTACTATAGACTTGATCAAGGCAGTCAGAACGTACAGCAGACAGAGATTCGGTTCCTATCTTACTAGAGCCTGGCTTATAGCTAGTACCTAATGTTTCACGTACATACGACATACTGTTAGTGCAACATGGCGAACGTACCGAGAAATTGCTCGTGCACGTGGTTTGAGAAACCCTGTACATTCACGCATCGCCGTTGCTGCGGTAAGAATGAGGGGGCGGGAACAGGGGACACGGAGAAATCCCGGCCGTTGGATGATGGCTATCTTGTAGAAAGTGCTAACGAGCAAGTGACGATTGCCTGATAGGCAAGCAATAGAGGCAACCAGGGGATACTCGCTAACGGCATGGGATTCTAGTGCTGACAGCCGGGGAGTATCAAGAACGTTGTAGGCAGTTTAAGATTTGGGTCTCACCAGGCAAGGCTTTGCGAATATACACGGCCGCTTATATCATCTACTGAATTTCCGGTTCTATTTAGATACTAAGATCTGTTTTGGATATCTTAAGCTCAACTTAGTTTGGTGTACGCTCATATACTGGAGGACGCTCGTCTGAGTCGGATGTCAGCCTCCTCTTTGACATCCCTTCTAGGGTTTTCCGCGGGTAGCGGGCGGTAGGCGGTTGCGATGCTGATCTCTCTCGTGCGTGATTGTGGGGCACTTGCAGAGAGCCCAATGGCCTGGGCCAACTACTCGGAGGTGTAAGCTGAGCACCCAGCTGCATTTGTGCATGGCTCTCCTCTGCAGAAAATGCGCGAACGTGTGACTGAGACCCAGGGCTCCAATGCGAAGGTGGAACTGCTGCGTCTACATAGGGGGCCTTGCATGAGGGAACAAGCTCAGAGACATTAAATGTCGACGGCAATGGAAGTTGTTGAGCTAGGCCGTACTGGGTCGGGACGTTCGATCGAAGAGGTATAGATGGCGGTGGGTACGTTGCACCTTGCTTAGATGGGCGAGACTGAAGTCTGGAAGGATTGTGGGGGATAGCGGTTGAGGCGGACGTTGCCTGGCTGGGCTGACTACAGTTAACTTAGGGACGGTTCCACAATTTATACGCACTGATCATGGCCCAAATGAGACTTCGAATGTAAGAAGACGTATGGAAAAAGGAATAGATGTCTAGTAACAACGCTAGGCTGCAGTTGTTTGCCTGTCACTTTTGCCATAGTAATCCGATTATGAAATGCAACGCCCATGAATGCAGATGCATGGGAACAAAAAAGATACGAAATATATGTAGGAAAGAATTGAAGTGAAGAGACAGCCGCAAGACAGGCGAAATATATGACCCAATGAGAAAGAAAAACGCTAAAACCAGGGTCGCAAGGAAATAGATGTTAATGGAAGTGTCATACCCAATAATTCTGGTCGTTTGTAGAGACTCCGCCAGACCATACAGGTTCCTGCATGAGTGTGTCCCAATCTTCGTAGATGTTGGTCGGTGTTTGGAAAGTATTTTGTGGGAATTGTGCCATGTTCATCGGATATCCTGTACCCCCAACGTTGATAGCGTGTTCTCGATATTGCTGTGGAATAGAAGGCTGCTCATGCATCACTCTTTTGGCTCTAGCTTTGGCCAAAACTTTCCCAAGAACGCCAGATTGTATCTCAGAATCGTCGGTTTCGGAAGGGAACAGTTGATCAAGGACTGTCCATGCAGCGTGCGAAGCTTCGTGACTGATCGGTAGCTCGGAAGCTAATACCAGTGCTAGAAACGAGCAAGAGCTAGCGTCCCTGATTCGTCGGACATACCAATAATATGGAGAATTGAGATATTGTTGAGACAAATTGGCGCATCGGGCAGCTAGAAGATGTGCGTCGTGAAAGATGCTGGGAAAATGATCAGCTTACAAAATCGCATTAAGATAGATTAATTGCAGAACAGAGAAAATACGAAAATATACTAGACATACCTAAGCGCTTCGGAATGCCCACTGGGTGTGGATGTCGGCCCGGAAGTTTCTTTGCGCTGTGCCAAGCGATTGATGAATGTTGCTTTCATTACATTGATCTGACACGTCTCGGAAATGAGGTAATGGATAGGGTCGGAACTGTTGAGATGCTCCCATTGGTACCTTGAGTGGTATCGCTCCTTCAAAACATCTGCCCACGATGTCCTACCTGGTCGTCCAGAAAAAGGGGTAGCTCTCCTCAAGAGCTGGGGCGAACTGGAAACGGCGGATACAGGGCGATCCCGAGGCTGATAACGAAAAACAAGTGCTTGTTGCTGCTGACGTGCCATCTCAGATTCGATCAGCATCAATGAAGATGTAGAAATTGGTGAGATGTCCTGTTGCTCTCCTTCTATGATATCAAGGCCCCGCACGTTGCCCATCTGTCCTGGCTCCATAGCGCTCATTTGTCTTTCGATTTCAGTGAGTTCCTGATCGCAAATACTTAGAGGAAGAATTGTGTCATATGAGTCCGGTGCTATCGTTGGCTCTCGACAGAGTTGGTCTGCAAGTCGAGTGTCAATGATACAGATTTGTGCCCACAGCCTTCGACGAGATTCCATCTCTATTGGCCCAAAGCCAAATCCGGATGGATCACGGTGGAGTCCTGCTGATTGGGCCATGCGGACTGCTGTTCCGAGCTGTAACCATTGCAATTGAGGGTCGCTAGTACCTAGCTCAACTGACTGTATAACTGGTTAGTGTGAGTGATAGCTAGTCGCGCAAATACTGACAATATAGAGAATCATGGCCTGTAGCATGCCAATAGAATCTGACCGGGAAATCTGGTTCTCCAATCTGCTCATTCTCGTGGAAATCTCGCGTTTGATAGCCGTGAATAATGCGATAGGGCTGTTATTTTGGTCGAGATTGGGTGGGTTTGGGCTATGTACTATCGATACCAGAGAAGCATAGTAGACTGAGTAAAGAAGCGTGAGAAAAGTGTCGTCAGAGGGCGAAATTGGTCGAGTGGATTGTAAAGACGTAGTGCTTGAAGGTATAGTTGCGGGATTAGCAAACTGTATAGCCGCAGGTGAGTTGTAGGAAGCACCGGGGGGGTAGGCGCTCGGGTAGTTGGGCACAGTTGTAGCCGCTGGGGAGGTGCGAGCAGATGAGCGCTGGCGGTATTCATGACATCTTTCCAGGAAAGACGGCCAGTGTAAGACATGTACCAGCGGGTCCACTCGCTGGCTGAATACGCTGAGAAGCAGGTCATGTAATCGGTCATCGATTAGGGATATCGCTTCATCAGGGGCGCCAAATCGTTGCGCTTCCTCGCTAGCTCCTCCTCCAATGATTGAATCAATGTCGATGACCTGGAGACCGTTAGTGGGAGTATAGGTGACATCAAGGTATAACGCACCTCTTCTGCAGCGGCCGCCCATGAATATGGACTGATGTAGGCTGAGGCTCGACCACCTTTTACAATTTTGCCTTGGACAAGATATGGGTGGTCCTCGGCGTATTGCGGTGGCGGCGGCGAGAGCGATGGCTCACGAGAGGGGGAACGACTATCGACTTCGCGCGATAATCGAGCGACTTGTTCTTCGAGCTTAGAAAGTCGATTTTGCTCCACCGGTTCTCGGCTACCGACTCGAGATTGCTCTGATGAATTTGATCGGCCGCTGTTTTGAGTAGGCTGGCATAGGGCGCCGACCTTGACGCAGTTGGAACATGCGGGTTGGGCCCGATCGCATTTCACGCGCCTGGCTCGACATCTTTGACAAGCCATGATCGCTCTCCTTCGCGTAATGACGGGAGTATCACTCCGTCCATCGAGTCTTGAAGCCATCGGCGAATCTTTCTTCTTTTGCGTCTGGTAATAGGGAACAAGTAACGGGCGTACAAAGTGTGGAGTGAAGTGTCCAGGCAGGTCGCATATGGAGTGAACGAAAGTCGTTGGTTGTGTAACTCGTGCGATATATGAATCTTTCCCTGGGTTCTTGTAGATGAACGTCTGCACCTTGGCGAGAGGATCGACTACATGGCTTCAGCTTTTCTTTACCGTCTCTCGCACGAAATAAGCGGCAGGGGCAAAATTTCACGTGACCCATGAAGCGCCAGCCCTAACGGCAACTATGTACTACGCCCCCGCAGGCCCTACTATTTCGGGTCAGCTAAATAAGTCAAGCATACCATCTAGTGGCTTGTAACTTTAGTCAGTGATGTGCTTCGCGCATTATTACGCACATACCGGCTCGTGTAAGACAGGAGCTTTAGCCTGTGCTCACGGTTTGTACGGTCGGTCGGAACTCGAACAAGTAGAAGTCCGCCCCGAGAGAATCTGCGAGAAAGATGGCATCACAGTGTACAATAATCCCATGATGCTGCGGTTGTTCATTGCTACGTCCGTAGAGACATTGTACGCACGCTAGAGAGGACACAAAAATAAATACGGATATACCTTTGTAATTTCGAGTCGGACTCTCACCAAGTTCGGCTAGAAAGCTTGGGGTCCATTCGAATTTGTCAATGCATGCGAAGCAAGAGCCAACAACACTGTCCCTCTAACCCCGTTGCGCTAGCTTTGAGAGGATTCCTGCCGCTAGCGGCAGCTCCGACCGCACGCACGGTTTGTGCGAGCCCGTGTAGTAAGGTGGTTAGCCTACGCCGAGAACATTCTTAGCGACTGAGTGGAGAAGTAGTCTTTTCACCATCAGCGTGCGACTAATCACGAAACTCAGGAGCAGGCAGGAACATGAAATTGTTTCTGAAGTTTTGGGTATAGCTTGCGGTTGTTGTGGTCGTGGCTCTTGTTACTGCTGCTCCTGGAGCGCTGCATGATTGTCCTTCCTTCATGGCAAGCGAAGATTCATTATCTCCGAAACGGTGAAGGGGACCCTTGCCTGGGAGACACAGTGTACATGGGTGATGATGAGATGCGATTGGAGAACATGGCCTTGGCTCTTTAGGGCTGAAGGGTGCTTAGTTTGGCAGCTTCAAGAATTCACATCCACATCTGAAAGGCCATCATATGGCCTGAATTGCGCATCATGAGTTTGCACTAGTATGTTGTTAAGCCAAAACCATGCCAAAGCGGTGGTTGGGTGGGGAAATGGAGCAAGGCCAGCCGACTTTCGCTTTGCACTTACGTCAGGCCGCTCAAAGATCAAGCAAGGCTGGGTACGTATCCTAGACATCGTCCGTATGCCTATAACGATGACGACGATAGTCATTATGACGATGAGTAGAAGGATGAATAGAGGTGTGAATAAGGTTGATTTAGGGTTGAATGTCAATGGGTGGAACGGATATCTGGATACGCCCCCAAAGCGGCTTAGTAGGAGCCTTGCGACATGCTCCCTCGAGCTGTCCTCCTATAATTTCCTTTGTCTGATCTATTCTTAACTACACAAATACCCTATCGCGCACACGATTGACAGCTAATTTCCACTGTTCAGTCGAAACCATCTTGGCTTCAAGCGTGCGTACCCGTCAATGCCTTCTAGCATGTTAATTAGGTGTATATTTTTATGGCATCAAATTATTCTGTAGTTTCATCGTCACAACTGTGGCTCGGCTCGGCTCAGGATTGATCCCTCGAGGTGGAAGCTCCTCCAGTCACAGGGTCTCGCAAAATTTTACAGAAACGGTTATAGGATGGGTGCGTATTCGCCCAAAAGATGCGATTGGGTCTTAACGACTGACGCGTCAATGTCGTTCGATTGCAGTGCAACCTGGCCGCAATGCCAAGCAACTGTCTCGATGGATTACTCACGCTGTCATTGAAAACCTTCGTTATCAAGCAATCGATGATGAATGAGGCTGTCGATGTGCAATCAACATCTGATTACTATGGAGACCAGGGTGCGAGGCTTTGACACCGCCACTCTCCGCCCCAGCGTGACGAATAATGTGCGTACTCATACGCAAGTGATTCGGTCTGATTGTGGTACAATGATGGGTATGTGCGATCCCCAGTCGCACATCGCGGTCGGGACTACCGCATGTCCGCATTATACCGTTAGAGCCAGAATCATCGGTACGGAAGAACCGTACACCCTAAGAGAGACAGCGTCTTATCGGGACAATGGTGCGGCTAGGCTCTAGTAGCGTGGTAAGCCACTCTAAGTTGCTTCTAGCCCCCACGCATCTCACCCTCTCACGCCCGAATTCCAAATACCGCTGCGGCATCTTTGCTTTACACAATGACCATATTGTTTCGAGGCCTCCCCGCTCCACTGCGTGATCTCTGAGTCTACACAATTTCCTTACATCTTCTCTCTCCGGCGGCGTTGCGTTGGCAGGTGCTTGTGCGGAGTCCCGGCAGAGCTAGAGGGAATTCTAAATTTGGGGTTAATTCTCCAGCTATGACCATGTAGCAGAGTCTCCTAGCGAGAGCGCGAAAACCCAAACAGGTTCGTTGTGCGATTCTCGACTCAACATTCTAACCCACCAAAGCTTGAGTCCACACGGTCCTCCTATCCAACCGCACTGTCCGGCTTGGATACCGTGGGGTTCGTCTCGAAAGGGTGACGCGCCGGATCGGGAGTTTGGGGTATTTTTGCACGTTGTAGCATTGACAATTGTAGGTAAGACCGTCTTACCATCATGCCACTCTCGTTTACTGATCTTCAATCGTTCACGTCATGTCGTTTATACGTGCCTAGTCTCCACCCTTGGCAAAAGTAGCGGGCCGTCCGATCGGTGATAGCGATGGTTACCTGATGAAGTAGGTATTGCTATATGATTTTTACCACGTCTTTCCTAATCCACCGTGGAAGCTGGCCCCCAAGCGGGACTTCCACTGACCTTCCCATCTTGAACTCATCGTTAAAATCCCCACTCAAAATGTATGAGGGACAAGCTTGCAATGTACTCCACATCGGCTTTAAGCGCGATATCCCTTCGACAAGAGCTCGTCTTTTATCATTTTAGCCCTGAATCGTGGTTACCGGTGTTTTACTGGCCTTGTTTTGCATACCAACAACACTAAGACAATTTCTGCAGGCAAAAAAGCAACTCAAGACACTACTGTTCCCGAAAGCGAGCAGCGTAACCATCACATACCACTGACTGTTGCATGCTTTAACCGCCCTGTTCGTCAAAACTCATTAGATGAACGCGCAGTATCTGAAACCGCATCGTGCATCGGGAAAAAAACCCGCCATTTACCATCGCAGTGTCATAACGAATACGATCAGCGGATAAACACGATGCCTTCCACCTACTATCTACGTGCTGAGCATCTGCTATAGGGAAGGAGAGTCTTAGCGCTGTGTAAGCGCCTGCTCGCTATGCGGCTCGAATCCTTAGGTTTCTAACCCCGTTGGAGTTAAGGTTCTCGCTTGCATATCAATCCTACGCATAACGCTACCGTAGTTGGGTCCATTCGGCTAGGGATTGCAGATTGTGTACTCCCCCGCAGATGTTCTGGTTTTGTCGTACGTATGATGTACGATCCCGTTGTTTTAATGCCCAGGGTGGCTATGATTGAGTGAGACATGGTGTTGGATATGGATGTCTGAAACAAGAAGCTGGGTGGGAAGTTCCGTTATTTGCGCAAGGGGTAAGGGATGGAAGTTCGAGAGGGACATTGAAAGATTTTTGTCATTGGTTGACATTGCTGGCAGGGGTGAGTTTCTGGGGTCGGCGAGGTCAGTAGAACTGTAGAAGGATTGTGTGAACCCGAGAACCCGATACACTTCGCCGAGAGTTTGAGACATAGAAGAGAAACAGATGATGTAAGCCTACGGAATTTTCCCGCTGGCCACTACGCTTCCACCGCTGTCCAGAACGACTTCCCTTCTTTTCCTTGCACAACCTTTGAGACTGCCAAATCGACTGCGTCAGCGTGATTAGCAATGTACCTCTGCAGTACCTTCAACCACATCTTTTTCTCCTTCCTGGAAGCACCTTGTCCCTCCCAGACGAATATTTGACTGCCAGCGTCAAGAATGAACACATCATTCGAGTCCAAGTCGCCTCTTTCAACAGCATTTCCCTCCTTCACCAGATCGAAAGACAAATCGCCGCCTTCTGCATCGCTGAGGCGGAAGAGTTTCTTCACCTCACGTTCGGTGTGAGCAGACATAGGCCGCGGCGCTTTCAGCTGGGTACTCAAGAGGTCGACGTCGCTCCCTCCGAGATTGTCCACAAAGATCTTAGAACGAGAGTCATTACTACTGAGCACTTCCACCTCTTTGTGCTTAGCCAAGGTCATGTCGTTAACAACTGTAGCAGCTTTCATCTATGAACACGTCAACAATAGCATCTTAAGTGGAGTTGGTTCGTGATATCATCTCTTACCTTCTCAATTGGTGAACAGTCTTTTCCTTGCCAAACCCAAATCTTCGATGACGTTTCGAGAACAAATACGTCGTCTTCGTCTAGGCTTTGCCAAGTTGGCTCCACCTCGTGAATGAGAATGCCGTCTCGTCCAGCAGCCGCGCGAGGGTGCTTGAAGATCCGGAGCAAGGTATCGACGTGCTCGGGTTCCTCGTTGGTCTCGACATGTGTGAAACCCGAAGCGACGCCTCCGCGCAAGATCTTGATCCTGGGGAACAGCGCGGCGAAGGCGTCCGAAGGCGAGTTTTGCAGTTCGCGATGCTGAGTAGCGGCTCCGTGTAAGAACTCATCCAACTCGACTAAATCTCGTCAATAACTTCAGATGATTCTGAGAGAAATTTACCAACCAGTCTTGTACGCAGCAGTCCCCGCTTCGTCCTGTGTGGTGTGCGCTCCTAGCCAAAAGTAGATATCATGGACCAATTTGTCTTTCTCTGTTTCATCTGCTCCATCACCACCTTCTGTGTCCCGCTTGACCGCCTCGCTTTGAAGGATGATGTATGAATCGCCTTCATAAAACGAGCCATATTTTTCTTTTGGCCACTGCTTCACCTCGAAGTCCTCTATTCTCCAGATAAAGAGACCTGGAGCCATTCCAATGACACCATTATTCCAAGCTGGCTCATGCTGAGCCGATTGATGCTTTATCTTGTGGTCCAGGTCGCTATTGATCAACTCAACATTCGAATCTCTCCAGTCATACTCTTTTGGGTGTACGAGGCCTTCGTGGGGTGGCATAATGTCTTTCTTCTTGATGTTATGGTAACAGGTAGATTCGAGTAGGGTGGTATTATTTCCACCAAAGTTGATAAATAATACAAGCACAGCCTAGGATATTTATTGCGCGAGATAATGAGGCTTCGTTCAAGCAAAGTGAAGCTGTTCATGAAATTCAGGGTTCGCTGGATCGGCTGAAACGTGGGAAGTGGGTCTCATGATGTCATTGCCAAAACCACGTGCACTAGCGTGTCTCTAGCTACCTCTGACGGTGACACAAAGATAAACTCTAAACCGAGGGCATCATGTCCAGGTCGCTGCGAAAGGGTTTCATCTTTACTATGCCACGATGATTTGATCAACTCAAGAAAAAGGGGATCCTTGGCTCAACTTCCCTATGGTAAACATTCATGAGTTCAATGCCTCATCTGGAGAGCATTAACTGGAGCTATTGTTACTTTTTCATTCTAGTTCGTTCCGTTCAATATTTGAACACAAAGTCAATTTAATGGTATAGAGTACTCTCTGAAAAACGACGATAATCTTTCATTATTGTGTTGATGGGGTCATTCTTTGATTGACCGCTAATGAAGGCGATGCGCTGCATGTAGAGAACTGCCCACCGTTCGTCCTGCACTTGGAGGCAATGCTAGCTAGACCATCTCTGAGACATTGTAGCCTCCTGTGTCACGCAGTGCAGACTTTGTGCGATAGAGCCGATCCATTTTCATTGCTTTTATCCCGAAATCGAGGTTTCTCAGACGACGCTCATGAGCGAGTTTGGTAATCATCTCTGGGAAAGTTCAGAGCCCACGCACACGACAGCTTTCTTGAGAGTTGAACGGCTCGCCAGGTAGCTGAAAGAAACTCTCTGGTAGACAATAAATCGGCTGTAATCACATGAGATCCTCGGCAGAGAGTGGAGAAGAAAAATTCGTGTTCATTCATAATAGCGTAACCATCATCGAGCTCAGTAATACTGATTCATAACTTTTATGCCCATGCCTGGCGATATCGCGCGAAACCCCAGGCTTCCAGCTATACACTATAGTGACAAACAATATCTCCAGAGCATATGTTCATCATAGCCAAAATCCTGTTTCTCTTCGATACATGTTTTTAGTACACATAGAAGACCGAGGTCTCCGGCTCGGACTCTCTCATCTTCTTGTTCTTGCGCATCAAGATGATCTTAGCAACCCACGCAAGTAGTGCAGTTGCCATGGAGAAAGCAGCGGAGGAAGCGAGAGCAATGGTGTATCGTGGTCCATCGCTCTTGGGCCAAAGGTAGGGTGTCCTGAAAATTGGTGTTAGCACGTGGAAATGTGAAGAAAGTGGCGAAGGTGAATGTACCAGATGAAGGAAGCGTTCATTACTGTCGTTACTATGCCAATAGCTACGGCTTTCTTCTCTTTGGTTTGCCCACAGGTTGAGCCCTGAATGTAAGTTAGTGTGATGTTCAAGAAAGCTTCGTCCACGGATTGCTTCAAGGTACGTACTGTCCATGCGAGGATGAGTGAGTTCACTGCGTAAGTTCCGATCGTGAAGATGACCATCGAGGCGTAGCGACCGCCCGTGTTGGTAGGATTGATGGCGCAAGCGGCTACGAAACCAATTGTGGCGACCGACTTACTGGCTGTGATATGCCTGGAAGTGGGTTAGTACAATGAAGACTAAAACATTTCAATCGGCCATCATGGTATCGAACTGAAACACCGATGCGATGCCTCGGTCTGGAAATATCGCGTCTAGGATTCACGTACCATGTCTTTTCATTGAGTTTACCAGAAAGCCAAGAAACACCAATGGTAGAAGCACCTGCAATGAGGTATGGGGGGCTAGTACCAGGTTAGAAAATAGTCGGATATGTCTGCTTGTATGTCTGGTGTAACTTACCATGTCAACACCAGCGTGATAGTCTCACTGAATCCGAGAGTTTGCACAACAGTGGGGAAGAAGTTCTTGAATCCATTCGCAGCCAAATGCATGTGAGCCATTCCAGCGAAGATCCAAACCATAGGGTCAGAAGAAGCTTGTTTGAAGCCCTTCCATGTGCTTGTCTCGCCCTCGTTTCCAACAGTGTCGAGCTCCATTCGCTGGGTAGCCAATAATCTCTCATCCGGAGTCAACCAGACCGTGTTGTGGGGGTAATCGGGAAGTACGAAGAAGCCTACGACGGCAATGACGAATGTGACAGCACCCTGGAGGATGAAAAGCCAGCGCCACCCGGAAAGACCGCCGGCATCATCCATTCCGTGGAAGATTCCTGCCGCGATGAGACCACTGAATTCGGTGTTAGACAGGATGAACTTAGGTTACGTTGGTGTGGAGCGCAAAAACTTACGCAAAAGCCGTTGCCAAGACGTTTCCAGTGTAAAGAATAGCAATCTAGGCTCGCCGTTAGCGCTGTTTGATCCATTGCATCGTAATGAGAAGCTGCACAAGTACTTGGAGTACCCAAAATCTACAAGAAATCCAGAAGCGAGAGAACTAGGACTGGACTTACTCTCGTGGCTACCTCCTTTCTTGTGTAGAAGATGCTAAGAAGGTACACCGCACCAGGGTAGTAAGGGGCCTCGGTCAACCCAAGAAAGAATCTTGTGAGAAGAAGCCCAGTGAAGTCTTTCGAAACTGCAGTCAGAGCGGAAACCACAGCCCAGAGCATCATAGCCACTCCCATGTATCTGGAAGGCCTCGTTCGGGTTAGGATGATGTTGCTAGGAATTTGGCCCAGTAAATAGCCCACAAACAGGATCGAAACGCAGGTCTGGTCTTCAAGTTGTCAGTCGAGGGAAAGCGTAGATAGCGCAAATTCTACGTACATCTGACAAGAAACACGAGTTAGCGAAGCACAATAATGCTAAGATCATTTTCAGGTATGACATACTGTGTGCTTGTGAGGTTCAAATCTTCCTCGAGATCATTGATGCGAGCCAGTGCGATGGCATTACGGTCCAAGTAGTTGAGCCAGTACATGCTCCATAACATGGGCATAATCCACTGCGAGTCAAAGAGGTAAGCGGCTGATGAGTGGGGCGAGTAGAAGAGAAGCATACTCTATCTAGCTTTTTTACCTAGAAGCGGAATCAGTAAATCGTATTTTGAAAACTCATGTGGATCGGCATACCAATGCAATCTCCTTGGGGTCAGTCTTCTCGTGGGCGCCTGAGTAGTCTTCTTTGCCAGTATGAAGGGTGGGTTTCATGAGTTCGGAATCATGGGTGCGTTGCGCCTCGAGCATGAGGACTTCAGGTTTGTCGTCTGTTTTTGTCGCCATGATGGGTAGGCAAGTGTACAAAGTACGAGATGAAAAGAATTGGCAAAGATCTCTGGATTTACAACCTCTCAAGCCAGAGTGGTCTGCAGAAATTCAGGTTCAAGAGCAGATCATAGACGGGGTCTTTATATGTATTCTACCCCAACCCGACCTCACAGTGGGTTCATGCAGCACCATACCCCAGGTCTATGGGCCGTACGGTAGACCTACTCGAACACCCCAAGCCGTTATACTCAACCCAGTAAGTCGGAGGTTCCAAGACCACCCTATGCGTTGAAGATAGTCGCGGATACGCCCCCAAGACTGTACCTAAGAACGCACGAGCCCCAACGCCCACGCATATTCCAAGACTTTCCATATCAAATAGGTGATTGAGGCTCATAGAGCTGGTTTATGACCCGCTAATTCCCGATTCCAGATGCACTACCCGTCCGAGAAGCATCACGCGCGGGGGAGTGTGGAGTGGCGTGTGTTGGGGTATGGGGTTGGCGCAGTGCAGTGAAAGGGCGAAACCGGAACTGAGACTAGAATCTGGAGTGAAGTTTATCGGAACGGACTAGACGTTGATCTAGCGGGGTTTTAGCATTGATTTGTTAGTGTTGCGACTCAGGAGGCCCTTTGTCATCGCATGATTGGAGTGGACCAGCGCAAGTCTTGGATAGTCTAGCCATCATCGTTATGAGCACACTGCAGTCACTTCCGAAGAGAAACATTGGACTTTGGAACGAATCCCCAGAAAAGCCACAAAACTCTAGGCAGTGAAACCGACATCAGATCTGCAATCTCATTACCATGACATTACCATGAGCGCAAACCGATCACTGCATTGTTGACGCTGAACTTCTCTAGCTGTAGATGATAGAGCAAATGGCGTCACAAGTATCTCTCTCTCAAGTCAAGCTGTCAAGCATCACCACGCCTTCATCTGCCATATTTGTTAAAACAAGACTCCACACCCAAGCCGGCCCAAGAGACACATAAATCATTTTGACCCTCGATGCGAAACACCCCCTCACTGACCGCCAGCTCTTGTCAGTCGGGGCTCCCGAGCCCAAGCTTCTCCACCATTCCTACACGACGAGAGAGAAAAAAGACTACGGCTTTTGCCAATTCCTCTTCGCGCCGCGGCGCCAATGTCTTATGTAGTGCGCGCGGTTGATTCGATCGGCACTGCGCGTAGTGTCTTGCCCACAGGGACGGTTTGACAAGGGCGCGGGGTAATTTCTTGGGCTCTTGGAATGGCTTGATGGGGGCCTTGGTTGGGGGCTTGGGGCCAAGTCGGCGCGCTGGCCTAACGTCGGTATCGACCGGGGAAGAACCGCGAAGTGTTCTGGGCGCGTCGGATGTTGCATAGATAATAGCTTGGATATTATTCTTCATCGTTTCGTTCTGTTTTGTTATGTGTTTGGCTCCGCGGATCTTGTTGGTTCCGTGCTGGGTTTCTGAGATAATGAATCATTCACCGGGCGAGGGGATGGTGAAGAGCTGACTATCCCTTGACCGCATCTTGAGTATTTGTGGTTCTAGCGCATGTTATCAGACGACCTTTGCAGAAGATTTTAGATGTCGGGGTTTGCCTGAGTAGATAGTTGTCTTGTGATAGGTTCGATTTCCCATAGATGTTGTCACACATGCAGCTGTTGTCTATTCGGATGCAGGTCCGTCTCCATCAGTCCACAGAATCGAAGGAAATGGATCTTACCCTGATCCAACCCTTTCGCTCACTTACCATACCTCATTCAACCTGTATATTCATATCCCCGACTGAAATTCGTGAAATGGAATGTGTAGATCTGCTCGAAGCACAATCAATCCTGATGATTTCTCCAACTTACATGTGTAGAACTCCGCTAACCTTATCGTGTGGCAGTTCACTCAAATTACCACTGCGATAATTAAATGATAGTCTTACATATGTAGCGGGTCTCACAAAGTTCGAAACCCGGGGCTGTTTGCGCAAGCTACTCTAGCCTCAACACTTGCTCTAGAAGCTCTACGACACGCGAGCATTCTGTGGAAATAGCTGCGCTCCCACCTTATTTGTTCACTATTCTCATGATGACGCACCACACATAGTCTGTAATCCAAATGCACCACGAAGGCTATACACACCTATACTCCGTAGTTAGTTCTAGGCGAGGAAGAAGAGAGAACAAACCGGAAGGCCAAGGCAGACAGTGCCAAACACAAACGGATGTTTCCATAGCTGCATTCCATTGAGCTAGCGTCCACGCACAGGGTGCATTGACCAAGCTTATTGGAGCTCACAAATAAGCATTGCGAACGGCAAGTTTTTGCGAAGCCTGCATGCATTGCAGCCAATCATAGCATCCTAGAAGTAATTGAGCATATTCGTCAAATTAAGTACCAGCTCCGGAGAAATTTCCTTTAGACATCACAGGCGAGGAACACTGCATATGCGCGGGTGGAAGAACTGAAAGCAACAAGCTCTGAGCAAGCTCTAAGCAAGCGAAATCTTCGAATGACCTAGAATTCTGTATTGTTATTATGACGTGCCTGCTATAATTACTCAAGTACAACAGCCAGAGCCAACGTCAACCTTCGACCCCATAGAACTGACACCATTTTCCCTTGCGCGTTTCTCCATTCTCGCCATCTTCGCCCCCGCAAGCGGATCTTCCCATCCCTCCGCATAGGGCCCCATGCCAGTCTTCTTCTGTATCTTAGCTACAATAGGGCTCCAGCAGCAATACGTATTCATAGCCTTCACCAACCCTTCATCATCGAAAGTCACAACCTGAGTTTCATGGAAAGGCTCAATGATATCACCCATGACGTTCAAGCGTTGCACTGTTTGACAAAAGGCGGTATGACCGTCAGGAGCGAGTGAGAAGTGTACGACCTGGCGGTCTTCGATGTGGTAGTTTAGTAACACGTCTTTGATGTCTTCGATTGTTTCTTCGCGGTTGACGCTTGGTAAGGAGTGGAGGTTCATGCTTTTTAGATTGATGTTGCAGGTGGCTGCGAAACAGGATGCGAATTCTTCCAAGTCGGCGTCAGGGGAAGACGGATTGAGGCGCTGGATGATGGCGTAGAGCTCATCGAGTTTGGCTTGGTAGAAGTCGGCTTTGCTGTTTGCCATTGTGATTCTTGAATAGTTGCGTACCGGGTATGAAATGATTTAGCGACGCTTTCCAGAGCGAAAAAGAGCTAGATATAGATTGTTCAAATGCTAAGATATATGTTACTTGCCTCTTCGTGAGTTTGTTTGTCAATTTCTCGTAAGAATTTGTCATTTCTGGCATTTGTCACCCCCCTCGGAGAGGAAGGTTCTCTCGGATAGAGGGAAGAGTCTCTTCCGCTATCTGTCAGCGTTGGGCTGCCTGCATTGCTCATTGAAAAAGTATACGACGAAACAGTATGAGCGGAAGATAGTCTTCACATTATTTCACCTTTTAATGGCGAGAAAGAGACAGGTTTTGCCTCAACGTATGCTTCCTGACCCTCACGTTAACATCAATAGAACGGTACCCGAAGATTTTTCCATACGAAACCGAGACTCTTTAATCCAAGCCTACTACTCATAGATGACTTTATGTTGTCCTTGTACGTGAGGTCCTATATGAAGTGTCACAGCTTGTAACCTACCTTCTAGAACAATCATACACAACAAATATAATCCCCTTCACCTTTTCTGCAATCAAAGAGCCGTATAAACAAGATAATTCCTACACGAACATCTGGCTGTTCAATTGACGAGCCTGCGGAACTACGGGGGCCCTTTTTCCAGAACCCTACGAATGAACGAATAACGAGGCAAAACTCAAGATACTTGTTTCGATATTAATTGTGAAATTTCATCGCAAAGCATATTCAAGTATTTTTTTCGGTAAAAGAGAGTTCCGTGATCATTGAAACCGTCCTTGCTTACCCGACATCGTTGGTGTACGTGCGGAAGGTTTCCGCTAAAATAAGCCCGCGGATGCCCATAGTCTATGGATTACTTTATTCTATCTAGTCGTGAATTGAGATCCTGGTAGAGACTGGGTTCCTCCAAATGGTCTTTCCCGATTATACGATGCAGTCTCTTCCGTTCAGATACGGGGTATTGTACACGCCGTGTTTTCCCCACTTCACACCATACCATATATACTGTAATTACCGATGTTCCTTCTATATTGCAGTCTATCAGTAACGACTTCTTCCAACGAGAACAACCAGTCCAGAACCTTCGCCATTGAAATCAGAGACATTCCATCTATAGCATCATAAATTACGTAATACATCCATGCAAAAGGGTATATAACTGAACAAAAAAAAGACGCCGCACAAAGTCCCATTCATCCACCAACATCATCGGAAACATAGGCTCAAACCTGCGCAACACAACATCATCACCGTCTTCCACCCGCCGAATAGACACTCAGCGGTCTCACAATCCCCCCCGAACTAACCTCCACTTTCCGCGCCGTAACGGGCCGCGCATCCTCCATCTCGCTATCTCTCCGCGCACCCAAATCCCCCATCTCCACATCGTCGCTCGAAACTTGTATGCGTCCATGCAGCATCCTCTCCACGCTATCCCCACTCGTATTACTATCGCTCCGCCTCGACCGGGAGATCCACGGATGTTTATGCGCACGCGCGTTCGCAACGGCCGCTGCGTCGTCGGGGGAAAGATGTTGTTGAGCGATATGATGGACGGGGATTTTCGGGGTCGGTGTCTGCGTTGTGGAGGAGATGGAGGAGTGGGGGAGTTTGGGGTTGGAAGCTGTGTTTGAGGTTGCGTGGCGCGAGCCGGATGAGAAGTAGGATGTTACGCCGCGACTTAGGAATTTGAATAGGGGGCGCCAGGTCGGCATGCATGCTGCTAGAATTCCTTTTGGGATGTTAGATCTTGCGTGGGTGGTATAGAGAGGGGATTTACCGATTGCGCCCTCGACTGTGGAGATTGCTTGGATGGGGGTGTAGTTCCATGTTGGGTCACTGGGAATGTTAGGATGTCTGCTTTTTTCCTTGTCTGTCGCTGGGCAAATAATGCTTGACTCACACTAGATCGAGAGAATGAGCCTGTTGGAGTCGGATGATCGAAATAATGCAAGTCGCGCCGCCGACGGCGAAAAGCGAGCAGATACTCGCTTTAGCGCGATTGTTCAAATGGAGACCCATGACGACTGGAATCGGTAGAAAGAGAAGCAGCCAGTCGGTAATGATATGTAGCACGCCCAATGCGATGATGGCGGTTCCGAAATCAATGCATTTCATGTCGGGAGGTGGATGTTCCGCCCAGACCCTAGGGACACGCATAAGACGTCAGTCAAAGCTGTTGCAAAATCTGTTATACCGGGATACGGCTTACGCTGTGATGGGAATACATTGGAATATGTATACCAGCGGTTGTACGATACCCAGTGCCAATATAAAAGCGCCGATACCCCAGAGAGTTGGGATCCAACCTTTCGCAAGACTGAAGATGCGGTGATATAGAGCTAGGATTGAGAGCTTCGTGAACAGAAGCGTACAACTGTATGCTGTCGATCCGACATGGTTGGTCTATCAAAAGCAACAGGATCAGCGACTTTTGCTTCGAAGCGCTTTCAAGTGGACGTGAGAATGTGTGAACGAGTGCAGACAACTCACCTTTGCAATACCCATTCGATTGGATATCAACGGCATATGTCTCCCTATCCCAAATCTATATCAGAGTCAGCGAGGCAATCCTAGCTTATGGTCTTAGAAGTAGAATACACATACTGAGTGACGACAATACAGCATATCGCATGGCCGGCGAGTGAAACCTACAAACGACAAATAGATTAGCCCCAAGAATCGACACCGAGGGAACAAGCTCGAACGCAGAAAAATCAATATAATCAGCAACGTTGACCTCATGGAGATTGAAGTGAGGTCCTTTCATCAACGGAGTTCCCACAAGATCCCCGCTTACGTCGTCCTGCAAAAGCAAGGCCAGGCAAGACAAGCATGCACAAGACGTAAACTAAACCCCTTTGAGGCGTGCATGGAGAATTGTCCGAAGCGTTGCAACCCCAGCTCTCCGCACACGCCCAGAAATTACAAGGAAAACTGATAGTAGAAAACTTGAAGATGGGGGAAAATAGAGAAGGTGTATTGGAAGAAGGGGAAAGCAAACATACCAGCGCAACCAATATCAACCAATCGTCTGCCCCCAACTTCGCACCAATCTTCATGCGCGACATAAACCTTAGCCAAACAGACACGATGCCCAGGAGCAGAAATCCGCAATGCATGCCGATGGCGTAGGGTCTGCGGTCTTCATCGAGGTGCGCGTACATGTATGCTTCTTGTTCGGGGGTGATGCGAGACATGGTTCGAGTGAGGCGGCGTTTGTCTCTCTCCCAAACCGTGAGAGGAAGAACAGCGTGGCTGGATGGGCGAGCGTGGATGAATCTCTTTCTTGATATAGGAAAAGATCTGGTTTATCCTTCAAGGATAAAACGTTGTTGTTGGTATTAAGGATTGAATGTCCAAAAAGGAGGACTAAAAAGTGGCTTCGTCCGTCCGAGCGACGGCGTGAGGTTTAAGGAGTCCGTCGGTGGCTTCGTCTTGAGCAGCCAGATTCGTGGCGTTTCGCGTCGAATCCTCCCTGTATCTCCTCCCCCTTAGTCCTTCTTTTTCTTCCTGTCCTCAAACTCGTGGCTAGACCAGCTTCTAGGCCCGAGGAAGATCCAAACACCAAGCTTTCCCAAATCTCGCTCAACCGTCGAAAGATCCGCGCTAACGCGGGCTGGCGAATACGAAGGGAGGCCTTAAGGCATATAAGTACATCCGGTCAATGACATTCAGTGATAATGTGGAGGACGGCCTGACTGGAACAACAGACCAAAGAAAAGAAGCCAGAAAATTTGCGGTGACGGGGCAAGGAGAAGGAAGGACTTTATTACAGATAAGATAGACGGAGTGGGAAATAGACGGAGGCAGGTAATGTCTAATCCTTCCGGGGTTCAAAACCGCTTAGATACAACGAGATAGATCGAACAAGGTAAGTGGATCCCAAACAGGACGAGCAGGGAGAATGAAGGAATGCAGGCTCGCATATCCCGAATCACCAGAATCCAGAAACGGGATCAATGTTACTTACCAACAGCGGTCGGTCGGCCTTCTTTTTGCGCACGTTGCCGGAACGAGAGCACAGTGCTGACCGACTGGGATGTTCAATTGTCTGACTACTTCAAGTGAGATACTGCATATTTGCAATTGCCTCTCTTTCCCGACGATGGGCAGTGTCGCGCGTGAAGAGATGTCGCAATCGTGCAGATCAGAACGTGCATTATTCGTAATCTAACAACGTTCAAGTGACACTTGCGAGGTTAGAGCGACTAGATAGCAAGTCCGTAGGATTTGAGATAGATAGAGAAAAGAGGCGAGGAGGATCCGATCCTAGCGACAACCAACCGTTGAACCTTTGCAGCAATCTGATCTAGAAAGAAAGAAAGAAAAAAACCATTGTAGGTTGTTGCCGGAGGAAGCGAAACCCAAGCACCACGTTCCCTACAATCACGCAAAAGTAAAAGGCTTAGCATTGCCCGTCAAGAAACCGGACATTAAGAAAAATCGACATGCGCAGGCTAGAGAAAAATTCCCCAAAGCGCAACACTCTCCCGACGTTGAAATCAACCTTCTTTTTTCATCCGTGCGGATTCGCGAGTAAACCCCGCTCGCTCGCTCGCCACCGTTCTTGATCCATCACTACTGATCTCACTCCATCCATCACCGACAGAACACACGCGCACGAGAAAAAGGCCACCCACCCACTTACGCAATCCCTTCCTCCACAGGATCCCCAAACCGTCCAAACATGTCATTGAAAACAACACGAAAAAAAAGCCCTTGTTACGCAGGGCCAATCAAAAGCAGATTAGCGCAAATAGAAAAGTAGGTATACAGAAACCCCGAACTCCGGGTGTCTCAACGCGCGAAGGTGATTTGCTGTTGCCCTCTCCCGCGAAGCGCAGTTCGGCACCTTGAGGGAACAAAAGGGCTGACATGCGGGCGTTTGCGTACATACATATCTACACGTGGTGCGGAGCTATTGATGCGCGAGCGTGTTTTGGTGTGGTTGCACAGGTTATGCAGGAGGGTTTGGAAAGGGAATGGCGTGGTGTTTTTGTCGTGTTGAGGTGTTGTCAAGCGGACGGACCGCGGGTAGGTGATGCGAGTAGGCGTGCGCTCCCTTCCCCCCTTGACTCTTCTTCTTGTATACTGTTTGGTGTTTGCGAGATCTTTGTTGGTCAATGTATGAATTTGTGTGTGTATGCGTGCTTCGCCATTTTCTAATTTTCTTTCGTGATCGCCTGGTTTTAGTACTTTTGTTGTTTCAAGATCGCGGTGTGTAGGTTCACTTCAACGCCAACTTAACTTCTTATAAAGTAACTGTATACAGCACATCCACTGCTCCTACTCCCTACTACTATTCCTATAATGCACAAACATCTAAGCGAACTACAATGTGCTGAAAACTGTACGTAACTCAATAACAAATACAAGAGCTATCTAGTCTATTTGCGCTGTATACAGGTCCCTACAATTGATACACGACTTTACTATACCATCCCTAACAACCAACTAACATCATCTATAAACCCGCACCTTAGAATTCTTATATAGCATCTAACTCTTCTCCTCTTCCCCTCACTTATCCCCTCCACCTAAGCATATGTAAGAACGAAAAAAACTTCTAGTTTAGTAAAGCAAGATAAGCTCTAGGGAAGTCCTTAACACAGCAGAAAAAAAAGGAACTATAGCTCTACATCTTATTTATCTTCTTCTCTTTCTTCTTTTCCCTCACTCACCCTCCCCTTTTACTTATTCGTAGTTGTTATGTTACACACTAGATCTATGTACTATATTTCCTACCTCCTTGTCCTTTAAAATCCCCCCTCCCCCCCCCCTACTAGAAGAAACTAGACAAAGAAAGGAACAAACAGAGACAGAGACAGAAACAGCACAAAAAAGAAAATCAAGATTAGAGATAAATATATCTATTATACGTTAAGCATATCTGCAGCATAATATACAACAGAATAGAATTAATGTATTAGTTAATTCACTCGCTTAAGGCTTTGCTGTTTGTTTGCTTAAAATACAACGACTATGTGGCAGTACAAGTAGAATGAAGAGGATTTAATTAAAGGTCAACAATCTAAAAAAAAAAGTAGATTTGTGTAGAGTGAAAGATGAAGGGGGACTGAATAGTACTAAGGGAGAAAAGATGTAGATGGAACCGTGTGTAGCAATGATGATTTGCGCAGCAGTTTCAGGGCGATTCAAGGTTATCTTAGTCGTCACATCCCCATCTATCATGAATAAGAAGAAAACAGAATGAATGAATGAATGAATGAATGGCTTTGGTTTTCGTGATCCGCGGTAAGCGATGCGATGTGAAAGCGACAGTCATCTCGATATACGTATGTGTGTGTGCAAGTAGATCAGGGTAAATACGTGACAAGCCACGAGCTAAAGCTGTAGTGTATGCAGTAGTTGAGTCGACTTGACCGCTAGTCCAATTTACTCAACCTGACTAGCAGAACGACTAGTATGACTGCGCCCGGAACTATGGAGATTGAATGGGACGAGCAGCGAGGTGGGTGTGGAGAATGATTGCATGTGGGAGTGACATGTTGCGATTGGCTTTGCCACTTTGGCGCGATCCAGGGTCGTAGGCAGGCGGTCTTGGGGAAGAGTAGCCGAGGTTGTTCATGTGTGGCTTCGAAGGAGAGATGGCTTGAGATGGCTGGTGATTTAGTAGAGAGTGGAGATTGGGATTTCGGAGGTTGAAGGGGTTGGAGGGAAGGAAGGGTGGGGTGCATGCATAGAGTAGTGGGGAACAAAAAGAAAAGAAGACGGGGGAGGAAGGGAAGTGGATATAAAGGATGGTTTTGTTGAATTGTAGTTCCGGATAGGTTTTCGTTCTAGGATTTGCGGCTTAAATGATGAGCTATATGAGATTTTGGCTTTCTTCCCAAGTTTGACAACAGCGATAGCGCATGTGGTATAAATGGGGTTGCGGAACGTGCAACGATGGGTTTGCTTCGGTGAAGTAGCTCACAATTGACGTCCAACCCCCGCTCGATGCCCAAGGCAACTTGTCGTGGTCGAGTGGAGATTCGCAACAGGTGCCATCCTTGTAACGATGCTGCGTGACTGCTGAGGGATCATCCCTCTCACTAGAGATTGCCGCCAAATGAACATGATCGCGACCAGGACATGGGAGATATGCGATCGAGTAGAGTTTCGAACGCGATAATCGAACCACTCCACCTTTTTCTCCCGCTAGCTCTTGCCACACAATCCCCGTCGTTGTCGCTGTCACGAAACGACGGAGTAAAGCGCAACCGGGTCCACGAAAAGTTTGCTTTTTTTGCTTTTTTGCTATTTGTATCGTTCCTTTTGCCGTGGTGACACTTTACCTGACAGCGTAAGTACTATAGTATGTACATACCCGGGACATGCTGCGCGATCTCAATTGACGAGACACAATGGATTATCCGGGATATTCTTAGTATACTGAGGTGGGTACAGAACTTGAAACAGCGGGATTGATTCAAGCGTAGCACAAAGAAGGAGCAATTGCCTGGTCGGCTCCTGTCCTCTTGTTACAGTCGATTGTCTAGCTCGAGGGTCACGGAACAATGTGGTGTTGGTGAGGTCGTGGAAGTCATGGATTGGCCAAGTCCCCCGCGGGACAGTTAAGCGCTGCGCAACAAGAACGCATCCCCGCGTTCTCCAGGTGCATATGCAGTGTGATTCGAAAAAGAACAAGGTGCAGCATGTGGCAATACAGCACGGGACGTATGGGGAGAAAATGGCCGCTAGTGACGTCCATCGAGCCCGGAAAGACGGGCAAGTTTTACTGGCGTACGATGCAAAAGGACGGCCTGGCAGCGTCCCTACGTACTATGCCTACCCGAGAGCTCGGTGTAGAGATGGGTTCGGTCACAGACGGGTGGACTTGGCCGGGTCGCGCGGCTTCAGCGTTCGGTATCTTCTCTCGGCGATGGAAGTCGCCGCAGAAATTCATTTCAAATAATTTTCAGATGAAGATGAATAGTCGTACGAACAACGAGTGGCATTGTTACACTATGCTGTGCAGCGGTGCGGAATAGCGTTGGGTACATGTGTAGAGAACCGAGACGGCATTTGAGGAGTCAGATGAGTAAGCATCACTAGCACCCTCAATGCGGTTAGAGCTCACGTGATGAGAACTCTGGAACGCATGTGGACCCCTTTGATCTGAACTCTCTTCTCCCTCTCGACTGTCGCGTCCAAAGCACGCACGTTGCACGCCAGCGAGAACAGTCATCACGGCGCAGCAAGCACATCATGAAGTAGGTGGCGTTTGAATGTCGCTCATGCAGGCAGTTTCGGGCGACGATGAGTGACTAGCATGGAAGCGAGAGTGAAACGAGTGGAACGGCGTCGGTCGGTGAGGTTGGAAGGGGAGTGCGGTGAACGGTATAGGACGAACGGTGTGAAGCGCACACAAAGGCTGTGTTCCTGCTGACTGTTTCACTCTTTTACTGTGTCGACTAGTCACCGTTCGCTCCATGTTGACTCTCCATCATCTCATCATCAAATCGCCCGCCCCTTTCCCATCCATCCATTACACACATGGTCCTCCTGAAGACTGCGGTGAACGGTCAAGCGGCGAACGGTGAAGATGGGATTCGCTTCCCCTGCGGCATAAAAGGGCACCAACCAGCGACGGCCCCTATGGAGGCGAAGCAGAAATCAGGCACTTTATGAGGAGCTGAAGCTCGTGGATGGACGGACGGTCAAGTGTCGATGTGGCTCGATTTGGATGAGCATATATAAATATACGGCGTGGTGAGAATGGGGGGGAGGCCCTTGGGCGTGCCCTTGCGCATGGCGGACATGATGCCGTCGCCTCGCTGGACCACGCCCCCCTTGCCATGCATGCAATCCCTCTGCAAGTAGATGTGCAATGCAGGCTGATTTTACGTGGACAGCGAGCATGCACCGGCCCTTGGATTTGTACAAAGCGGTTGCAAAGGCGCAGTGGGTCACAGGTAGTGGGCCAAAAGGGGGAGCAGGCTCTGACGGAAAGAACCCATGGCCACAGCGATGGATCCCTTCCAGGGCATGTCGACGGGATGGCAAGCCCGATTCGGAATCGAGGGTTTGAGGCAGAATTTAGCCATGGATGAGAGTGGAGAGGGCAGGGGCTGGGGGACGGTGGGTAGGATCACGACTGAGGCGGGCACGGCCAGAAGCATCGGACGGCAGACAGGTCCAAGCTCGCTCCGCTCCCGTCACTTGCGTCGCCGCAGGATCATGGGGCGCAAATGGGCGAGGCCTGAGAGATGAGTGGCTGGATTGCGGGAGTAAACGGTCAAATACGAAGGCAATGATGGAGTCGATGTGAGCAAGACACAGAAGAACGAACGGGTGGTTTGTTGGTGACGGTTGAAGCGGGCGAGCGAGCTAGCGCAGGCAGGGTGGAGAGCAGCAGGAGGATTGTGCAGGACAGGGTGGTTCAACGGCAGGGTGTTCGCACAAGAGGGCAAACATGTTAGTCTGGCTGCCTAGGAGTTGACGGTGCGTAGAGTCGTCAGAGATGGCTAGTTGTGTGAGGGCATTGTTCACAGCACTGTACATTAGATAGCCAAAGATTCGATGGAGGGAATGATGGGGATGGGGTCAGGGGTTGGCTGGCGGGTGTCAGCTTCCGAACATCCGCGCATCATGTAGGTAATGTAATACACATGGAAAAGGAGATGCAGAGGCAAAATGCAGGAGTGCAACGAATCATGGGCGGGAAACGAAGCCACCGGCAGCCGGGGGGTGGAATCGAGGGTGTTTGATGTTTGGCGGCTGTGATGGTCGAGAGACGGAGGGGCAGGAAGCAGACGGGAGGTGAGTGAGGCAAGCCGAGTCGGAGCAGCAACGAGGGAAATGAAGATGAGGAGAAAAGAAAAGAAGGGAAGACGGCGGGCCGAAGTGGTGACGGGTGGGTGAAGCGGTTTGGCGATGGCTGCAGTGAATGAATGAATGATGTCTGCGGATGATGGACAGGAATGATGATGAACACGAATGCGAGAGGAGGGAGGGGGGAAGAGGGAACGGAGCAAGGGTGCCAGATCGCCAGTCCCGAGGCGGCTAGACGGCTGAGTCCCTGCGATGGCTTCCCGCCTCTCCCCGAAGGCGCGCGCGCCCAATGGCGGCCATGTCCCCCCCCCCCCCAAGGGCCCCCCCGGCCATGCCGCCCATGTCCCTGCTGCTGCAACTACTCACTGGGCCGGCCGGGCAGCCAGCCAGTCAGGCAGAACCGCTGCGAGGACTGCGCTGTGTGTGTACATACTGCGAGTACAGTACGTACTGTACAGTACAGCCAGCGAGCGCTATGCAGTCCAGACAGACAGGGTGCGGTGCAGTGCGGAGTCGATAGACGGACGGTGCATGTCTGTTGCAGCTTCGTTCGTGCTTGCTTGGAATCGCCATTTCTTCCCCTTCTCTCCCTTCTCTCCCCTCTCTCCTCTTGCTTTGGTTTTGCTTGTGCTACCATCGCCGTCCGAACCACGCACTTCGGAACAAACCACCTCCACTCCTTTCTGCTTCTGCCCACCCATCCTGCCATCCTGCCATCCTGCCATCCTGCCATCCTGCCATCCTGCTATCCCTCTGCAGTCGTCTACCCGCTCCGGCAAACCACGTCGTCTACATATATATACATATCGGTACTTGCGCCCTGTACTTTGCGGAACGTCGACCGGTGGGCATGATCACGAACCATCACCAACCCGTTTGCCACCCCCGCCAGCGCAGCGACCGCCTCGACATCCATTCATATACACAAACCACCGTAGAGACTTGATATCGATCCATCCCTCCCCAGAGAAACACCACCATGAGCGACAACAGCGTCCGCCTGCCTGGCCTCGCGGAGCTGCTTTCGTCGGCGCCCTCCCCAGCCCTCACTACCGCTACCACCACCACCACCTCGCCTCACCATCAGTACCGCCCCTACGACCCTTGGGCACCCTTCTCCGCGATGCCAGCCAGGACCGGTACCGAAGAGACATGCACGCCGTCGACTGCTTCGTGGAAAGCTGCTGATTCCAGGTGAGTAATGTACCATGTCGTTGTTGTCGTCGTCATAACGTGCCACGGCTGCTCGAACCCTTTTCCCTGACCACCAATCAGTCCCCGCTTAGCGCCCTCGCCGCCACAGAGCAGCACCCGTCCGTCATTCTCGCACCAGCCTCAACCTCTTCTTCCACCTCATCAGCATCACCAAGTCTCTTCTCCCGCTCAACACCAGATTGCGACATCCCCGGCCCACCACCCCTTCGCTGCGCAGCCGCCGCTCGAATCTCCGCGGCACCTCAACCTGCTGCCGTCCCCTGCGCCGCCGCAATCGCAGGCGCAATCACGCACTAGCGGCCACTCGTACGCGGATCCGAAGGCCCCCACCCACGCACCAATCACCGCCCGCCAAGACTCGGCAGTTCCCGAGCCTCAGGTTTCGACATCTCAACCTCCTCAACAATCTAAACCGTTGCAAGCCTTTGCCTATCCCGCTGCGACACCTCGCTTCCTCCATGATGCCCGCCCTTACGATGCAGCAGCCCACCTGTCCAGGCTACCATCGCCCGCCCCTTCCCCGGAAAATGTCGTCTCGCCCCTCTCTACTTACACATATCAACGTCGTAAAACGACGCCCCCGCCCACCATAAAGGATCCTGTCCCCCACCGAAGACGCTCCTCCTCTGTCCCCAAGCCCGGCTTCTCTCTCCTCAACAAACTGCCCGCCAACCATCCTGTTGTGACATCCAGTAGCTTGCTGCAACACGCCAACATGCCTCCTCCTGACCAAGTACAGCAGCACCTACGGGCCAACCATTTGGCTTCTGCCCTGCAACCCTCGGCAGAGATTAAAAATTCTTCCGACGAGTTCAGCCAGCACAAATGCTCATATTGCGGCGATGTCTGGGATGTCGACATTTCCATTTCCAGTGCCCTCAACTTGGAGCATACAAAGCCCTATACCTCATCTCACGACATGCATAATTTCACAGACTCCACTCTGAATCAACTGCACGAAACCGTCATTGCCCTAAATGAGAAGCACCGCCGATGGAGAAGCCAGCACGTCTTCAGGTCCATTGACAGCGATGGATCCCTGCCCTGTCTTGCAGCTCGAGCAGCCGCAGTGGCAAAGAGCAACAAGCGCAAGGCAGAAGCTCCATCTGACGATGGCATTTTTCACTCTAAGCTGAGGCGGCTCTCTGTGGATTCGCCAAAAGCATCACAGCTTACACCGCCCCCTGAGCCAGGCTCGAGTTCCCACCAGCCTAGAGCATCGCACAGATACGTATCAGAGCCGTAAGTTTTTGACATCGAACCTTGTTGACTCTGATCCCATTCGCTAATCTGCTCCGTGATAGGGAGTCCATCACCATAGCAGACATCTTGAGCCATCCATCTATGCGGCCGTACTATGAACCTCCACCGCATGATGCTCGCCGTAGCCCCCACCTTGCAAAACAGGATGAAACCGGGTCGCCAGCGCCCAAGACGCCAGAACGATGAGTTGCAATCGGTGCTGAACTCTGCCACGAACCAAAAAGCCTTTTCTTCTCCATCCATGCATTTTAGCCACGACCTTCGCCATTGAGGATCAAGAAGCGGAATCTATTACACGTCGTCTGTTCCGTCAGGCCCCTCTCTCACATTGTTTCTACCTTCTTGTGTGTTATTTTGCCCTGTCTACATGTATCGCAACGTCTGTATGTATCGAGCGTTCCCGATCTGGCCGGGCCAATTGGGCACTGCAACCTCCCATCTCCGTCTCATGCTGTTTGCGGGACATGACTGTGGTCTCCGCCTCATCTCCCTTGCATATCTCTCTTTCCCCTCTTCCTGTACAATTTTTGTTTCATAGCGGCGGCACATATACCCTCAGTTTATTTCTCATACACTCTTCCATGTTGCACCTTGCCCTTTTTTGTATTGCCCCCTGTCTATCAGCATGTCAATAGCATCACCATATCACGCACAATAGATACAAGTGACTCTGGGCCCTGACCTGCCCTGCCTGCCTATCGGTTCGCTACCTGTCCCTTTCTCGATCCCGACACCCAAGAAATATATTGAAGCTAACATCGTTTTCGCATGTGCCCCACCGTTGCCCGCCCCGCCACCCGCTTATCGATCAAGGGAAAAGCACTTGGGTAGTGGGGTTTGAACTAACTTTGCAGCTAGACCGCGCTCAGAGCGTGCGCCGAATCCGAGCCTCGCATCAACTGCTACCCCGGTCAAGCACTCGCCTACCCTGCTATCGTGTTGTGAAAAGAGCCTCCTGTCACCATCCGTCATCACAATCCTCAATCCTGAGTTCGATACGCGCGCGCGTCATCGCTTGAAACAGGCCCCCCTCCCATCCCGGCCTTTTTCTTCGTTATCCTCCTCCCCCCTTCCCTCGTCTTCTTTCAATTCACATGTGATGGGGTCCGGGGGTTTCCATCTTTTGGAGTGCGTGCGGAGATCACGGTCTTGGTGTAAGGCGTCCCCCCCCCCTCTTCCTTCCCCCCGGTACGGCTTTCCATGATGATCACTTACTTAGATGCGAGGCTTTGGCTTCGCTTGATGTTGCTGTTCGTGGGTTAGGGGGCTGGGGAGGGAGAGGAGTTCGGTTGTTCAATTTGTGGATCGATTCATGGATGGATGGATGAGTCTCGCTAGTTTAGTTTGCTAGAGGGATGGATGGGTTGGAACGAACGGACGGACGGACGGGGTAGATGAGAACGGGACTCGGTGACGCGCAGTCGTCGTCGTCGTCGTCGTCGTCGTCGTCGTGGCCTGGCTCTTGGGTCGCGCTAAATTGTGTTTTTCAATGTCCTCTTGTGGGAGTTGTTTTGATGGGTTTACGGTTTTTTCTTTTTGATTTTGGGTGGACATGAAAAAGGTAGTTGGATAGGGTGAGAGAGAGAGAGAGAGAGAGAGAGAGAGGTGGAGCTTTAAGACTGTTAAGGGAGAAAAAAGCATAAGATTGCTAATGTAATTGTAATTGCTATATTTAATTTCTCTATTGACTTTCTCCTTCTCTATCTGTCCCTTTACATTTTGTTTACCTTTTTTATTTTATTTTTTTCTCCTTCTCCTTCCCCTCTTTCTCTCCCTCTCTTTACACAAACCCCCCTTTGCGTGTGTGCATGCGCTACGTAAACACTTATACATACACACACACACACACATATATATATATATATATATATATATATATAGATTTTCACCGCTGCAACACAGCAACGGCATTACGCCAGCCCCAACACTCTATTCAACCCGCCAAACCACCATATCCACAACACTCTTCAGCACCGCTCTCAGCCATGCGTCAGGTCAGCCTAACTATCTATCCCCCGAGTATATATCTATGCGGTCTAAATTGCTGTTAGCGCTGTTGCTGTAGCAAGAAGTGCATTTATTGTCTAAAGTAGCAAGTAAAGATTGTATAGTATAGTAAAAATACAGATGTGTAAGGCAGTACTTTATATTGCTACTGTACTACTTCTAAGAAGGATCGTTGATTTGCACTAGGCCTGACTTTGGCCTAGGGGGGAGAGGGGCGATACTTTGTTGTGAAGGAAGGTTTTTTTGGGAGCGGGTGTTGTGTAGGGCGGCGAGCGGCGAGGGTTATCTTGAGGATTATGGTTTAGCTGTGTTAGAAGGTTATTAGCGGATCCGCTCAGGGTTTTATGATATATTATTATCTCCTGGAATTTTCAGGATCCTGATTCTTTTCTAGATGCTAACAAGGGCGTATAGATATGTAAAGACTCTCTAATATGCGGCTTCACTCCCTTAACTATACTTCAATTCCCTTTTACCTTTATTAAAAGCTTCTTAGTGTAATCTTTTTTAATGCAAGTTCTAAGAGCAGATTAAAAGCCGATGAGTAGGAAGTGGGATAGTTCGTATAAGTATAGTGATATCTGAGTGGGTTCCCTAATTAAATACTTTCTTATTTGAACGTAATAGGTGCAAAGTTAGTCAGAATACTAGAATGCCTACAGACATACCTAGCTAAGCCACTTATGAGCCTTTAATGATGAGCTCTTGTTATTTTGGACTCAGCGACCTTGCCTACATCTAGCGCTACTCTAATTTTGCAAACTGTAACTGCTTATAGGTGCCCCTAATCTCTGCTTTCGTCTTAAGAGGTTGTGTAAAGGCAAAAATTGTTTATTTATTTTTAGTTGTCGCATGTTTTCTTTTGTCTTTTTATTGTTGTAACCTATTGCTGTGTGTAGGGTCACCTAAACACTAACTCAAAATAAAGTAACTGCTTAGATTCTTGTGTTGCGCGTCCATGGATGCCTGAGAAAATCTAGTGATTGTAGAACTCCTGGAAGGCTGGTAGCGGCGATCCCAATGTCCAATGACTGTCATATGCCGCTCGACAGCCTATAGTGAGTAAAATTCTCTCGTGCAAGTGTCGCATTTAAAACTCCAATAGTTTGTGTGATCTATATGCTGGCTGCAAGACTGGTGTGTATGAAAGGTACGTGTGCAGCTATTACATTCGTGCATTTTGTCCTAGTATATACTATATAAGATCCTATTACGTTTAATCTAATTGAATGTCCTTTGGGGTATTGTTTAGTTCAGGTAGCTTGGTGATTGTGCGTGGGTTAGCTGGACTTCGGGGGGATAGTTTGTGTTGGTCGGGGTTGACTCAGCCGCCAAATCTGCTACCGTAATTGTGCAACACTAAAGCTATCGCTGTCCTACAACTTTTTCTGATCCCTACGAGCCGCTTTAAACAGTAAATCAACTTGAATCTACTGGTACCGACCTACGGGGGGATCGTATATTAGGACGTCGCATTTCAGGAGGTGAGTGTGTGCAAAGAGATGTTACTAAGGAGAGAAGTTGCACATGTTATAAGTTTAAGAACCAAGTCTATCATTTGATCATCGCATATTCCATGCGGCACAAACACTTGATATTGGAAACTCACACGATAATAAGTTCAAAAACAGAGTTTAGTCACACCTCTCGAAACGTGACATCCCAATATATTCCAGCGTAAAAGGCAAGGTCCTTCGCGAAGCTTCGCAATTTGGCCCCCAGTACTGGCAAGACAGCTTGGGGATGTTCTCCTCAACAGCAGGACGAACGATGGTGTGAGACCCCTCTATACTTACTTCATATATGCCTCTAATGCTAACCCTACTGAAATCGTACTACCAACCAGCTTAGTCCCTGATACAAACCACCACATACAGTCTGCTGGGCTTTGCAGGTCAACACTGTACACATTCCAAAAAAGTAGAGCTGCGGTTCCAGCACAGGTAGTACAGTGGTACCAAGCTCCCCATCCTTGAAGCCAACCCACCGTTCCTAGAAGGAATATCTGAATGCCGGCGATAAAAGTCAAAAACGAACGCAATCGGCTCTGAAATCTCACTGCCATGCTTCGAACCCCGGCATTCGCATCATCCTTCACATCTTGTTGCGCATAAACAGTGTCGTAGAGGATTGTCCAACAAATCTGGGCGGAGTAGAATAACCCCAGCGAGATCCAAGTGATTCTGTTGGCGGAACGGAAATCGTACCCCACCGCTGCCGCCCCGACAAAAACACCGGTGGACATCTCAAACCCTAGAACGAGCTGTGGAAAGTCTGTGAAACGCTTTGCAAAGGGATAAAGTGCTAAGAGAAGCATCTTTGGGACCGCAAGTATCCAGCAGTCTTGAGGTAGCAGGTAGAGAAACCCCAGTGCCACGAGTGCAAGAAACGAAGTGAAAAGGTATCCTTGGGTTACGCTCAAGGCCCCTCGAGCAACTGGTCTGAGTCTACACCGCAGCACCTACACGGATCAATTTCCCCTCATTCTGTGGCGGTCAAGAATTATAACCTACCTGTCGATCATATTCACAATCCAGCGTGTCGTTCCATGCGCAAGCTGATCCTCGCATGAATATAGTCCCCATTAGGAGAATAGTGTTGATTCGCAACATGTTTTGGAGCGTTGGCGGGGTACTTAATAAAACACTTGCGTACAAAGTACCAAAAAGATGGTGGAAATAGAACAGATGAATACCTGCAGGTTTGTCGATACGCATCAGCTCTCCGTAAGGTACCCAAGATGCCGGCACATAGGACAAGACACCGGATTGAGGAAGTGAGTACTCGGGAAGAGCTTTGCCGTCCAGAGTATTTCTAGGAGCTCCAGATCGCGAAGGCATTGTGAATGAACAGATGGGAAATGACTCTTGGAAAGAAGAAAATACCAACGCAGGCAAGACTCAGTCGTGTGCAAAGATACCAAAGTGATTTACCAAGATATTTATAAACCAGACAAACCAGGCTCACCAAGTCGGCCTTCATAAATAACGAGATAATCCATGGAATTCTTGGCGTCGCCTTCTACTCGTTCTCCTACGTATTCATACATGCTTTTGATTCCCGAGACAAGTCCATAGTGCGTGTTCCGAGATCGTAAGGCAATTGGTCTGCAAAGAGCGGAAGAAATTCGAATGCATACTCCTAGCTCCGTAATGAATCATCCATAAGCGCATAGCCTCGCATCATTACTGATGTCCAGAGCGGTATCAGAAAGAGGCCAAGACGTGATCAATAAGTGAAGTGCATAGATGCAAGCGGCGCTAATGTCACCCTGCCATTGCCTATCGAAAAAGACTGAGCAGAGCGATCTCCCTCCTGAACGTTACAGCAAGAGAATGAATACGAAAAAGAGAATACGAAATCAGGAATGTACGTAAGTAACGGCTAAATATGCTACCTCGCGTGAAGACGAGATGGGTGTGGGGCCGAAATTGAGTTACAAGCACGAAGCACCGGTAGGTAGTCGCTCAACGATCAATCCGCCCGTGATTTGAAACCTGCATAGTTGTGCACTCTCGATTAGGAACTTGAATGAGACTCCTAATCAAGAAACTTCAACGAGATTCCTAATCAAGGAACATGAATGAGATTTCATATCATCTGGATCCTTTTGTACGAGTGGACCTATCCGAGTATACAGCTAACGATACATATCTGCATGTATACTGTAGCGGGAGGCATACATAAAGAGCTTTTTACGCCTGTGCATGCGCGGATAAGACATCTTTCAAAGCATATGAATAACGTCTAGAATACTTATCTCGACCCAGTGTTCGGCATTTATTAATATTACTATACTGATTACTATAGTAATACTAGTATTACGACTTCACGTGGTTGTAATACTAATAATATTACTATTTATATAAGTAAAAAAATAGTAACACTAATAACTAACCGTGCCAAGCACTACTCTGATCTTATCATCCTTGAGAGAGTAATTGATTATGTATTTTGTATCATAAAACGTCATGCTCTTACTAATTACACATAATTACGCAAGCGCATGAAAAGCTCATTGTACATGCCGGGTACCACAGTAGATGGCAGCATCTAGGCATGGATGAGGTGAGACCCGCAGTTGGGGTAATATGTAAAGCTAAGTAAGCCAAGGGGCGGGAACGTGACGGACCTGGCTATCTCGTCAGGTTTTTGCTTCATTTGGTAAAGCATACCCGCCTAGACATGAGTGCATGGGATACGATCGGCGCTCAGCGACTGCATCCTTGCCCCTGGTGAGTTCCCTCGGTTTTTTACTTCATCTGGTAAAGCGTATTCGCCAAGACATGGATTGACTGCGCATTAAATGCCGACGAACCAGTGGAGATGTACTGTGTACGAAAGTGAAATATGTGTGGTGTTGAGCCAAGACATGGATGGATGGGATACGATCAGCGCTCGACGATTGGACCCTCCTCCTCTGGGAGTTTTGTGGGGTGGCACAGGTCACCAACTGCCCCTGCGGGAGGAGCATCTAACAGCCCTGAATCTACCATCTGCTCACATTCTTATGAATTTCCTGACCGGGAATATTTATGGGTATCAAAGTCGAAATCTACCGTGTCACTCGTTTCAATGAGCGCCTCGGGGCATACTCTGTCGCTGTTCCTTTGCTGGCGCTACCATATGTTGCTCATCCCGAGAAACCTGCCCCCTATCCAAGACGACTACGAGAAAATCTCAGTGCATGTTTCCTATTCTCAGCGCCAGTGATTGTTGTTGCCTTTGCAATTCTGAGTAAAGTATTCCATGTAAAAATAACGACATGGCTACAACTAGACACTCTAGCTTGACTTAAGAAGCAGCTCCACCTGATTTTGATCCATCCCCACTCTGTGTAGAGCCCATTTTCCAGTAAGGCGCAGCAAGTGGTATCCCATCGGAATGCGTAGAACCCAGCTCGTACTCAGAATTATCGACCGCTTGTGTGGTGCCCGACCTAGGAATACTGAACTTAGAAGTCCCATAAGTATCAACAACCTGGCTACGCATTTTTTTGATGCCTCTGGTAAAGGAATTGAGTATTGATCCATAGGTAGGCAAGCAGCAACAGATAACGCATATACCAGACTGGATACTAGCCCAAAAAATGCCTTCATCGGGAGCGACTAATCGAGATTGTTACTACGATACTCTCTGGGGTACGTGTTTAGAGACCGTTCGGCACAGAGGGATAGCTTACAGTTGCCTCCAACGTTGAGTCTATATGTAAGACTGATTCGAATCGCGCCAATGATGGCTACACTGTAACAGGTGTCAGTGGGTGATTGTTCACGGAAACAGCGGCCCCGATAAGAAAAAACATACAGAGTTGTTAGCAAGAACAACACTAGAAGACCCGCCTTCTGTGCCCAGTTCATCTGTACATGACGAAGCACACCTATCGCGATACCGGCAACCGCGAAGTCAAGTACGCCGCTGACAACTTCAGTGCTCAAAGCCCACTTTTGGAAGTCAAAACATTTGGTGCTAGGTAGCACCATGAGCGACGGCTCCCACCCCGCTCTCACAGGGGAACACTTGAAAATTGCGGGAAACGCTGTAGCGAAAAACCATACTGTACACAAACCACCGACCACCCAAATTTGAATTTGGAAGGATCTTATTGGAGTGAATACACGTTGATATAAGAAAAGCACGCTGAGTTTTGCAAGTGTTATTATGCAGGTGATTACAATTGGGGCGGCGTAAGTTAACTGCTCAAAGTTAGAAATGAGCAATGACATGTTCGAAGACTAAGAAATACCATCGCGACCTGCCTGCCGTTCTTTTTGGGTAGAGTGCCCCGAGCATGTCCAACCGCACCGTTCTTAAAGCCTACATTTATCAGCAACTCAACGTTGATATGTTGATGATCAGGGGAACGTTACCGTGTATCAAAAACCCGTATAATCCTATGGTAAAGGCCCAGGTTAATATGGCAAAAGTATCGTCCAAAGCGAGGCGAGCGCCTTTATGTCTTCTCGTGTAGATGCGCAGGATAATAGCAAATGTCGTTAATGGAATCAGTGTATACACCGCTGCATAATGTTTTCGGGCGAAGATGTCGAGTCTGGGGTCGTCGACGATCAAAGGGGGCGAAACGGTTGGCATCGTGAACAGTAGACTCGATCAAAGATTAATCGCATACATAGATGAGGGTAGTGGAAAGGATATATCTGATTTTGAAAGGCAAGACAGCTGTCCAACTCCTGTGTGACATTTAATATGGTAGAACATTTAATGGGTGGCAGATAAGGTCAACCCAATAAGCATTGGGGAACATGCAAAGCTTTCGACTGTCAATTAACCGCCATTGGGGGAATCACTCGTATAGCCATCTGCAGCTTACATGTGACATTTCATGCCCGTTCAATAAGTTCGGACCCCGAAACGTGCTTTGTACGCCATATGTGGCAGCTGGGAAGCTTTACGAAAGTGCAATCCCGGACTACGCGTAGTAAGGGTAGTGCTACGTTTAGGTGTATAATGGGCAGGTGACTGGTCGATCATCATGAAGTTAAGAAGAACGAAAGTGTTTGCCTCTTCGGGCCAAATTCACTCGGGGCGAGTCTTTAAATCCAACCAAGATACTTTCTCTAATGTTTGTAACACAATAAGCATCTATCTGGTGAATTTTAGCTTTTGGTGTTGTTGTTGATACCTGACGTGGGCATCCTAGGGCGATTTCTTGGTGTTGAGAAAGGATGTCTAGGTAAGCAATTACTGAGTGGGGCCCTGCGGGGAAGGCGTTACACCGTAGATTTTGGACGCCCCAACACTAAATAATTAACGACACTATTAATCAACATAAAAATCAAACGTGTCATAATAAATACCTTGAAAAGCAACCTCGGATCATGAGATTTGGAATCTACAGTGTGGTTGTGAAGTTGTTGATCAGTGACGACGATTTAGAGATGTCTGACTTTCAAAAACGCTCCCTACGCTAAGAGCGTTCGCGCGTCCGGGGAACAGCTGATTTCTACAGTATTGATACGAGTAGGTGTTCGAGCGACGCACGGGCTTACACACAATCATACTAGTGGACCGGATTCCATCGTACCGCAAGGACACCAACACCACCACTTAAAATTGGTGTACTGATTGGATGATTGCGTCTTCAGCTTATCCAATCAGACGGCCGGATTCAGGGACGCAATTGATGCATGTCATTCGGATTTTTGGCGGTATTTGGTATTTGCAAAGGCCAAGCTTCTGTGACCGACGAATACTTAAGCAGAGGTACCGGCGACAGCCGTGACGTGGTGTTATTCGCGCTTCGTACTGCGCTTGATTCGACATGTTTCTCGCTCATTCCTTGATCTCGTTTCTGTTTCTGTGCCTCGGCACCATTGCCAGCTGCGGCGAGTATTCGATGCCAACTTCGAGCTCCGGTCTGAAATATGGCGCGAATTCGACCAGCAAACCGAATTTTGTTTTCATTATGACAGATGATCAAGATCAACTTCTAGACTCCACAGACTACATGCCGTTTGTTCAGAAGCACTTGGGAGAACAGGGCACGTTTTATCAAAGACACTACTGCACTATTGCTGTGTGTTGTCCATCCCGTGTTAGTTTATTAACCGGGAAGGCGGCACATAATACCAATGTCACTGATGTTGCCCCACCCTATGGTACGTTGAGCAGACGCGAAAATGCACAAACGAGGATCATGAATTTACAATGTGTACAGGTGGATACCCCAAGTTCATCTCTCAGGGCCTGAACGATAATTATCTGCCAGTATGGCTGCAAGAAGCTGGATATAACACCTATTATACGGGAAAACTGATGAACGCACACTCTACTGCGAACTGGAATAACCCTTTTCCTAAGGGCTGGAACGGGACTGATTGTAAAGCATCATACCAAACCTGTGTATACTAGCTAACCTTTTGCAGTTCTCATTGACCCGGGAACATATTTGTATTGGAATGCGACCTTCCAACGCAATACCTCGCCTCCATCCAGCTTCCCTAACGACTACAACACTGATCTTATTAACGATAAGGCTCTTGCATTCTTAGAAGATGCGGTAACGGCTGCAGATTCAAAGCCTTTTTTCGTTGGGATTGCACCTATTGCACCGCATTCTGTAACACGAGGGGATTTAGCCTTCACACCACCAGAGCCGGCACCTAGACACATGGATCTTTTCCCTGGACTCAAAACTCCGAGAACTGCAAACTTCAATCCAGAAGAGGTATGCTGCATATGCAAGCTTGCGAGATTCTTTTGCTGACCAATGGCCATCTAGCCGAGCGGAGCTGGTTGGATCTATAATCTTGAAAGGCTGAACGACACTGTAGTTGAACACGGCGACCTATGGTACCGTACTCGTATCCAGTCCCTGCAATCTGTGGACGAACTAGTTGATAACGTTGTCAACTATTTGTCTGAAAAGGGCCTTCTTGATAATACATACATTATCTATACGTCAGACAACGGGTTTCATATTAATCAACATCGGCTCCAGCCAGGCAAACTTTGTGCATTCGAGGAAGACATCAACGTTCCATTCTATATCCGTGGCCCTGGGGTGGAGGCAGGGAAGGTTGTAGACCTTGTTACCACGCATACGGATATTGCGCCAACGCTTTTTGACCTAGCAGGCATTGAGTTGAGAGACGATTTTGATGGAAAGCCAATGCCTATTACCAAAAGTCAGATTAATCAAGCTGAGGAGATTCATAAGAGCCGAAGTGAGCACGTCAACGTTGAGTTTTGGGGTATTGGTCTTGGAGAGGGAAAATATCCTGGTCAGTCAATTTCATTCTTCCATCAACAGCTATCCTCAGTAGGATCATCATTGACTTCAAAATCTAGGAACCGTTAGCAACAATACATACAAGGCTTTGCGTATCATTGGCGAAGGATACAACATCATGTACTCGGTCTGGTGTAACAATGAGCATGAACTCTACGACATGATTGTGAGTTCCAACCCCGTTTTTCAATCCGTCACTGATCTCAGCCATTAACAAACGTCCTCCAGACTGACCCAGGACAATTGAAAAACCTCGCCCGGTCTTCTGAAACCGAAACTCAAATATTCGGACGTTCAATTCCTGAGGTTCAATCTCGCCTTGACGCTCTTCTCCTTGTGCTGAAGACCTGTAAAGCGTCAACCTGCACAGACCCCTGGTCTGTGCTTCATCCCCAGCGTGATATAACGAACCTTGAACAGGCGTTAGATCAGACCTATGATGCGTTCTATGAAGCGCAGCCAAAGGTATCGTTTTCAAAGTGTGAATTGGGGCAGATTCTCAGCAGCGAGGGGCCGCTGGTTGGGAACATGTATGAAGGGGGTTCAATGTGGCCGAATTGGGTTTGAAAAAATCGCTGTTGTCTACAGTATATTCGTCAATAATACCGGGTAGAATAGAAGCGTTCTTTTACAAAACGTACTGTTGTCCTAAACTTATCACCTCCCCTGCGCGTCTTATTCTGGAAGTAATAAGTAGAGGGACCTTCCAATTCGGAATGCTAAGAAAGTCTGAGCTGAGAGGCTGAGCGCACATTCACGAAAGTTCTAGATCGCGAGGACATTGTCGATGACTGCATAGGATAATTTGGCGCGTTCCACCAATGAATTTGCAGAAATGCCGCTCTCCTACGTATCCACCCATGCTTTAGAATCCCGAGACAAATAGAGGTCTGTCTATAAAGCCTTGAGATAATGAGGCCGTTGGTCTACCAAAATGCAGAAACGTTACATCCATACTACCAGCCTTCCTATTTAATTTCTTACGATGAATGATCAATCCCAACTGCGATTTCTCGTTGTAGGTGGCGGTCTAGCCGGCCTAGCTGCAGCGATTGCCTTGTGCAAGGCTGGACATGTGGTTACACTACTTGAGGCGAGAGCAGAGTTTACTGAGGTAAGTTCAAGTATCACCTAGATTGGTTTTTTTTTCAGATCCGTAGCCGTGTGGTTGCGTAGCTCCCTAATACTCCTATTCGTATCTGCATGAACCTTGCTTATGTTTCTTACTCCAACCGAAGCTTGGGGCTGGCATACAGATGCCACCAAACTGCACCAGAATTCTGCGTCGTTGGAACCTTCTCGACGAAATAATCCAATTTGCCACTAAACCACAAGCTATTCAGCTACTTTCTGATAGCGGGAATGTTTTATCTACAACAAGTCTCATCCCTGACATGGAGAACAAGTTCAATGCTCCCCATCTCCTTATTCACCGTGCTGATCTCTTACGCATCTTGTACGAAGGAGCAGAAGCATCAGGGGCGGAGCTTATCACGAATGCTCAAGTCCAGCATGTCGACTTCGCTAAAAACTGCGTTTACACGACAGATGGGCGGGAGTTTGTGGGCGATGTGATTATAGGTGCTGATGGCGAACACAGCACATGTCAGCAATACCTTTTAGGTAACAACACCACATCCAGGGTGCCATCGGGCAAAGTCGCATGCCGCTTCACCGTTTCATCCACCGATATTCTTTCTACGCCCAGCCTCGCTAGTATTGCAGCGCCATCCAAAGTCGCGGCCTGGCTTGGTTCCGGAGCCCATGTGGTAGCATATAATCTCGACGCGAGAAATATATGCAACTTCGTAGCAATTTTACCTGAGGATGCCATATCGGAGTTCCGATCCCAGTCATTGTCTGCTGGGCCTACTGTTATTTCTTCGGCGCCGTTGAAGAAATTTTTCGAGACCTGGGATCCCGTGCTGACCACAGCCTTGGGGTATGCGGACGGCTGCCTCGGTTGGCGACTAACGAATTCTCCTAGAATGGAGAAAACAGTGCATGCGGCGGGGAAATTCGTATTAATTGGCGACGCAGCTCATTCCATGCACCCGCATTTGTAGGTTAAATCTCAACTTTTGTCTTCTATCCAATCATGCATGACGCTGAGAAGGAAACCCGGAATTCTTCTCTTGAAACCAGATTCGGACTTGGAGCTGCATGTTGTTCAGTGCAGAAAACCGGTTTTGCTTAATGCACCGATACATTGTTCCAAGAAATCAGTCAGCTGACATGCGCAGAGCTCAGGGTGCTGCACAAGGAATCGAAGATGCCGCATTACTTGGACACTTATTTGGTAGAGCTTCGAAATGCGAAAATATAGCCTTAGTGCTGGATGTTTTTGAAGAGATAAGGAAAGAGCGGGTTCAAGCTATACAGAGGCGGTCGGCCGAAGTCGGTCGAGTTTGGACACTCGGTCATGGTTCCGAACGGAAGATGAGGGATCAAGCTTTTGCACTCAACGATACCAATAACTGCCCTTTCCCTAATCCTTTTTCTGACGCGAAACTCACAGCATGGCTGTATAGCGACGATTCATTCGAGAATGCAGACAAGGCGTTGAACAGTCACAAATTATCTGGGTAATGAAAATCGATTTTTGAGTTGAGGGATTTTATTTTGCGGAGAGTTCTTGCAGAGCGATATGCACGACTAAACGAAGATGTTTTCAACTATTCAGCGTTGCATGTTGCGGTGATTTGAAGCAAAGGTTTCTCATAATCTCATATATTTATGAACTTCCTCTCTCTACATCTGGACTACATACACTCTATCACGTCTTATGTACTACAACAACATAAATAAAGCAAAAACTAAGAAGTTTCTCCTTTTCTCCATTCGACCTGCTACCTTTCATATTTTGCTCATAGCCAAACTTCGTAATTGCCTATTGTGAGGGTATTAGCCATGGTCACTTAGGATTAATTGCTAGGGAGCTACCTACGTACGAGGGCGAGATAAGGAAGATGGTCCGTGTACATATACACTAATTCTACGCGTGCGTGTCTTCCAGCTAACTTAAAATATTGACTTTTCCGTTCTCTAATTGTGTAGGTGTGTTCAACATACATACATCCCCCGCTTCATTATTTTTTTATGATTGTAGATTCGGTGATCAAGCACAGGTACGTAAAGGGGATACCTAGAAGGATTCGCGATGCGCGGTTATGATCCTTCCTCAGCACCTTTCTTTTCTTTGTAATTAGTGCGAAAGATGATCAGATACAAGTTCCTAGACGCTATGACTGAGTTACCCATTCATCTATCCATGTATCAATCACAGATCCTTCCCGTATATCTGTCTTTCCTTGTCTTTCGGTTCAATAAAGAGGATATTCATTTATTTTTTTGGTTGCGTTGCCGAGATTCGGTCCGTTAGGTTAGCGAGATTAGGGGTTTATTCAGCGGGATGATGATGCGGCACGATTCCCACAAGGGACGATGCGGGATCTGCAAAGTGAGGCTGCTCGGGAAGGAGGGAAGGAGAGCAGAGAGGAGGAATGGGATGCATGTAAGTATGCTGGTTGGTTGGTTGGTTGATTATTGGGATGGTCACTCGCGTGGGGTTAGATGGAAGGGAGGTTGCGGATCACGTCCGCTTTCTTCTCTCCCCTTTTCCTTCTTCTGGGAGGAGGGCAAGGCAAAAGGGAGTTGAGTTTACTTGCGTGACGCGATGCGAAGCTGTTGTGTTCTGCATAGATAGAGCACAAGTAATCGTCCCCCGCATTCTAGATCCAAGGAACACGCGCAATATACGGTCAGACCTCGACACCAGCACGCCAAACTACTGCTGTCACTCCCCACAAGCGTACATGCTCAGTCCAACATCGCATCCCCCATCACGCTCCCTCACCCCTACTAAGATCTCTTCTTGAAAAAACGACACGTCCAAACAGGACATGGGATAAGGTGCGCGGAGACCAGACCAGCCAGCCACGCATTCGCTTACTCGGACCACCCCTCAAAAGCACTGACTAGTCAGCCTTCGAACCCAAAAGGCTAAAAATCGAACCCAAACGTTAGCGCGAGATCTGTCGGCTATGCACTGGGAAGGGAATGCAACGCAGTGCTTGACTCGTCATCGCAGGTCAATCGGCAATTGGTTGTGCCAGCCGTTGAGAGGGACGGGGTGGAGATGATATGCAGGTCCGCGTGCACTGCATGATCTCTCGAAGCTTGATTAGATCAGATATGGAAAGGGAGCTTGACAGGGACGGCTGTGGACTGGGCTGGAATGAGTGCGGTTGCCGAACCCGAGATCGAGGCCTTGATGGTTGATTGATAGGGAGATGGATGGGTGGAGGAGACGGGGTGATAGGGTGGATCACGCTGGACCCACATTGTGAATATCTATGCTGGAAATAGCAAAGGAGCCGCGGTGATGGATGGGGTGGGTGGTGGACATGGGCGTTTGCATCGCTGGAAATCGGTGTGGTTGGCATGGATGGTCGGTGAATAGTAGTTTGAGCTTGTTGTGATGGATTATGTAGGGTTATGTTGTTCGTAGTCCGGGATTCTGAATCATCTGCAGAATCGAGGTCCCATCATCGAGTTGTTTTGTTGTGATATTGCGAGAGAAACTATATCTATTATGTGATCATCGCATATTCTTGAGAGAAACATTGTATCTCGAGATCTAGGATATGCACGTACGGGTAGATGCGATTGCGCAATCTTTTTGATGGATGAGAGTGGTCTGACAGCGGGGTAGTCCGACTGCCCATGTGTGTGTACCTTAACCTCTGACATCTGTCAACCATGGCACATAATCAACATACCGCCACACCTGAGAAAAATTGAACCCTTGGAATCAAAACTCACAGCATATTCTATGGCGCACATCCACCCACCTCAAAACATCCTCTTCAGCCTTCCCAGAACAGCTTCGCACCTCCTAACCCGCATCATCAACCTGCCTGCCCAACCGTCCCTCGCCCGCCCACAGAACGGTGAAGACGGCTACTTGTTCCTCCCAGTCTGCATCCAAAGATTCAAGAACAGTTTCTTCGGGAGAGACCCAAGCACCTGGACAGAAGAAGAACACCACCTCTTCAAACACGCCCTTCAAGAAAGCTTCAACGAATGGACATCCCTCCTCCAGCAAGCCCGTGCGACCGCAAAACTAACATATATCAAAGAACACATCAATTTCCTCGTGGACCCAGTCTCCGAGGCAAGGTTCTTCGGGTACACCGCATCAGACCGTGATCGAAGATTCTTCGAAGTCGAGGATAGCAATGCGCCGTCGCGAATAGGAAAAAGCGAGGACAATATAACGTGTTTACCTGATCACTTCCTCATTCATAGTGTCAAACCTACATTCTTGATCCGCCACCCGTGTCTGACGTTTCCGAGTAATTTCCGCATGGCGTTGCGGAATCAGTCGCGGGAGGATGTGTTGAGGGAAGGGGGTGCGCATAGATGGGAGTGCACGTATTATTGGTCGCTTTCGTTATACCGTTTCTACATACGGAGTGAAGAGTTCGATAGGGGTAGTTGTGTGGAGGATGTGAAGTTTCCTATCGTTCTTGATGCTGCGGATTTAGCGGATGAGACGTTGGTGAGGAAGTATGCTAGAGCGGTTGGTTTGGACGAGGGGGAAATTGTGTTTGAGTGGGCAAGGCAAGATGTGGAGGGTGCTGCGACAGCGAGTATTCTGGGGAGTACTGGTGTGGAGAAGGGGAAGTTGGGAGTGGAGGTGGACTTCGATTTGCTGGAGGAACGGGCGAAGTGGGAGGTTGAGTTTGGAGATGTGCTTGCGGACAGGTTGTTTGAGTTGGTAAGTTTGAGTATGGGGGACTATGAGGAATTGAGGGCGTTTAGGTTACGTTAATACTGCTTGTATACAATATCGTAACAGACTTGGGATGAAAACGACTGTGTGATGCCATTAGATAGACCAATGCGCTTTGGATTCAAGATTGCAACAACTCTGTCAATACAGCGATCGCACAATTACCGACAGGCTGATCAGATATTATCTATACCTTCAACTCTAGACATCATCACCAAGTCCCGATCCTTCCATCCGAGTGCACACACTTCCCACTGTGCTTCTCCCTTGAAGTCTCCTGGATAATCTTGAACATGCCATCGCAGCTACTATCAACCGTCTCCAAAATTTCATGAAACCCAAACTTATCCGCAGCAGCAGTCCCCATATCCGTCGCCACCAAACCCGGAAGCAAAACAAACACGTTCAACCAGGGCTCTTCAGCAGCAGCGCGCACAGCCAGCCAATGCAGCGCAGCCTTAGTAGTACCGTAATAGCTGTTCGGAATAGGCGGTTGATCGCTGTGGTAGATATTAGTTGTTGCGCAAAAGCAGATCAATGTGAAAGAAAAAAAAACAGGGGAACGAGTATCTAGGAGAAAAGGAACTTACTTCAGGAACCCAGCGGTGGATCCGATAGGAGCCAACATAGGCGCTTTCGTAGACTTCCTCAACAACTCCCTAGTAGCCTGGAAAAGCAGCAGAAACCCATACACGTTCGTCGTCATATGCTGTTTCAGCCCTTCAAGATCCACCTCTGCGACGGTAGGCGAACCATTGACGATCGCTGCGTTGGGAATCACAATATCCAAGGACTTAATGCCGTGCTTTTCTTGCAGTTCTTTGACTGCTGATAGCGCGTCGGTTTCGGAGGTCGCGTCGACTTTGACGACGATGAGGCGGCTTCCTTCTCCTTTCGGGAGGTCGTTGAGGGCTTGGGAGGTTGGATTTGCGGGATCCCGGTTTGCGGCGATAACGGTGTGATTTGGGAGGAGAAGGAATCGTTTGAGGAGGCCTAGTCCTAGACCACGGTTGGCTCCTGAGATTAGAACGGTTGTTGTTTGGGACATAATGACTTTTGTTTGCTTGGGGAAGATAAAGATAGATCTGAACGTGAAGGACTTTTTGAACGGTGATGATGGGTTGAGGTTGAAGTCGGTACTTTTTGAAGCATCGCTACTTTATATGTTTTCCAAGCTGCGCCGACTTATGAATACATCGCGGCGTTTCTTTGGGATCTAGAAACAACATCCTAGTTCGGACAAAATATGTCTCTCCATTACGATAACAAGCTGGCCACTCCAACGTCCTCTACCATCGGCCGATCGGGCGGGCCAATCAGCGACTCGAGGTGTGCTTACACGGTCTAATTTTGTTCCCGTTGCACCTGTCAGAATTGCACCCCCGAGGTCAGAAATGCATCTGCATAGTCAGAGATGGAGAGATACAGCAAGCTGTCGTTTTTCAATGATAGAGAGCGGCAATATCGTACCAGGAAAGGTATGCAGAGCGTTTCGGACGAATGTTTATAATGTTGCTCCGACGGCGCAATTTATCCTCACGATGTTCGGTAAGTTCAGTAAAAGTCTCAAAAGCTAAACATAAAGACTCAAGAAAGACGTAGATATCTTAAATAGTGCATATTATGGCAAGAGTGCTGATCCCAATGCTATTGGCTACACCAATCACGTGTTGGCAGTCGGTTAGACCTCATTGTCTCCGGTCAATGCAAAGCACGGAGCCTATGGCCAACAAACAAACTATTAACCCGATTGTATCGGCGATTGTATCGGAGATATTTCTCCTGTCAAAACTATTTTTGTCTTCAAGAAATCATATCCTGGGAGGAAATTGTTAGTAAAGTTGCTGCGTATATGCAAGAAGAGTTTTTATTTTATGATCGTAATGACAGGATTATGATTTCTCAAGCAGTTCTAGGTATAATTCGCAAAAGCACAAAAAATTTCCAAGTATTCAACAATGTTCTCAGGCCTCCGCGCGGCGGAATACATACAAACTCCCCTCTTTTTCGTTACCATTATGTCGTAGCCAAGATGCTACCCAAATACATCCCATCATTATCCACCACCACTACCAACCGCTCATGTTACTAGAGACATCTAGTACATGGAGCGTCTGGCGCGCCTGGCCTGGAGAGCCTGCAGGGCATCATCGTTTGCCTGCGCATCTCCAAAACCACAGCCGCCGTCTCGTTCCTGCGCAACAGCTGGACCAGCACATTTTCCAGAGTTGAATCCACAGCACGCAGAAGCACAGTCGGCATCAGAAGTGCATGCGCCAGTGATGAACTGCGTTCCAGCAGCCTGCACGGCGTTTCCGCCCGCATTTCCACCAGCAGCGGCATTTCCGCCAGCAGCAGCATTACCCGTTCCATTTGCCTCGGCAGCATTGGCAGCGGCATTTCCATTTCCGTTGTTCTGATTCTGATTTCCCTGGGCCTGTTGGGCCTGGTTGCCGGCACCTCCAGTCAAAGCAACGGCTGCTGCGTTGTTGGCTTGAGCGTCACCGAACCCGCAACCTCCGTCACGTTCTTGAGCGACGACAGGGCCGGCACATTTTCCGGAGTTGAAGCCGCAGCATGCGGATGCGCAATCGGCATCCGAAGTGCAAGCACCGGTGATAAATTGAGTGCCTTGAGCGGCAACGTGGAGAGAAACTTGGAAGTGTTAGGCCTATGTGTATGACTAAGATGTATCTCTATGTACTTACGGGTGAGAAGAGCAGCGATCTTGAAGATGGGAGCCATTTTTGATGATTTGAAAGGTAAAAGATTGGTGATTGTTGATAAAATAAGGTTGTAGATTAATGTGTAAGGACCGGCCGACTTCTCCTGGAAGATATGCGAATGAAAGAAGAGATGGTAGTGAAAAGAGCTGATTGATGCCTGAGATTGAAGGTTGTTGATACTGATAATAGTTGAGATTCATTAGTGCTTTTATATGAATTGCTTGCTCATGTACTCGGTGGATCACACTAGGGTCCAGTAAACTGATACTCCGGACTCAGCCCAAAACCAAACGCCCTGTGTCAACGGGTCGATCACGGTAGTGGTCCTTGAACTACGTAAACGTGGAGTAGTATGTTTTTTTAGACCACTGGGCGGCTGAGCGAGGAGTACGTACGAGAGCAAGTTCTCGCCACAACCAACTCTCCAATCAGGCAGCGAGGATACTCATCAGCTTTCCTCATGCATACATATTCTCGTCTGGTGTGGATTCATCTTTGAACATTATGCGTTTGAGGACCCACCGGAGTACACGAACACGTCGTGGCGTAGCTAGGTAGGAGGAGTGAAGGTTCTCGATGGGGGCAATGGATATGCCTGTGGGGTACATGGTCCGCGGCGCGGATGTTTAACCGAAATGCGGCGCTATGCTCGATTCAGCCCGTGCGCCACATTCACCCCTTATCAGCCACACGCCTCGCGCCATTACTGAGCATACCCCGTCCTTCCCAAGGTTTCTTATTTGTGTGAGGAGTTCTCACAGGTCCGAATTTTACGCAAGTCTTACCTCAAAGGCGACGGCCCAGCCTGGGGCGCCAAGGCAAGCTGCTACTATACCGGTTTCAGCCCCTAGTTTGGTTGCTCACCGTGTCAGAGCGTTGTATCAACCTTACACAAGTACCCTACTTCCTCATGCATACTACTGTCTCTTCATGCCTCAGTCCGTGTCTGACCTCATCTCGTAATGTTCTATGTTCTCAATTTCTCCTTTTGTTTACTCCTCACGATGTTTGGACTGCACGGTGAGCGGATTGGAGTCCGATGCGCTCGGCAGTCATTCATTCCGCCCTAGCCGCCCTTTTCTCATGGAGCCTGCAGTTGATCAGCCAATAGACATACAATTTGTTCGATGCGCTTGTTGACCAAACTCATGCTGCGCATCAATTGATACATCTAGATGCACTATCGATGGCCAGGCTGGCTCAGGAGATGATGGACACCAGAGAGCAGGCAATGGCCTGGTCAGACAAGCGCCGTTCCCTGATCGTATTCGAGTAGCACATGAGGTTAGCCGGAATCGATTATCAGTCAACGGTCTTGAATATATGCGGAAAGAGGATTGGTATAGCCAAAGACATCACCCAATAATGTAACCTGCGTACACAAGGCCTCTTCAAGTTAGCGCAGTCATCCACTTGTCTTCAGTGGGTATAGCTTTCACGTAGTGTACAGTCGCCCTTATTCTACGGAGAATACGAGGAAATGACTCACGGGGATAGATGTGTGACTGGACGATAGCTACAACTACAGTACTTAAGAGATTTTGCTACCTGTCTCAAACTCTGTAGATCTTTAGCTACAAGGCGAAAAAGCCAGTCAGAAACGTGATTAGAGGTGTTGTCATCGAACGTTTGGTGGCACCATTCGGTCACGTGGACAGCACCTAATTGATTTACTACCTTGCGCATCCGACTCACGACACTACATTTCTCGCCAATAAAATTGTTACTCTTTAACGTTGGAGAGCTTTAGCTCCATAACCTTGCGAAAATGGAGAAAGTTGGAAAAACCTACTTCGACCCGTTAGCGAGGTCCAAATCTCAGATCGTAGCACTATTGGAAACGCTACCCGTTGGTTCTGCACATCCCTTCAGTCCCGAGAATATCCTTCTTTGTAGAACCAAAAATGGGATTGAGGAGATCGATATCTCTTCGTATGAGGAAGACAACTTCCTCAATCAAGTCGACCTCGGTGAGATGGCTCAGGTTCTCTTGCAGAGAATGTCTGGCTTCAAGTACGAATTGGGTATGGTATTCCTCTACCAATGTCCAGATAAAAGTCATTTTAACTGTATATCAGGCGTTTTTGATGAATTTAGGGTCGCCCAAGTCCCAAATCCTACATTCAGAGTCCCGATAGTTTCTGACCAGATTGCGATACTCGCTGTGTCATTACGTAAACCGACTTATTACGATCTGTGCTTCGCCGACTCATCATATAATGCAAGCTGCTGGAATTCGATGTCCACGCTGCGAGGAATTCGCCACAGCGGTGATCATACGCACGGCGAGGACTTCCTCGCCTATATAACTCTCGACAAGACCAAACTCACGAACAAGGAGATATGCGTCTTCATCTCGGGCTATCGAAACACCCAAATCACAGAGTTCAATGGGACACATCCAGCAGTTCTGGTTGCTGATCATGTAGACAAGGTGAGTATCCACAAGCATCAACCAAGCAATGTGAGCTGCGCAAACTGACGGCGATGTCACAGGTCCTCTACACAATTCCAGTTCCTCTTGACAGGGCCACAGTAAATGATTCCACTATTTGCTGCCCAATGGTTTTCAAAAGGGATGAAGATTCGCTAATCTGTTCCATGTTACCAACCGCCACGACGGACCGGAACAAGATGTGCAATGGCAGCACTTTCGAGTCAGAGGCTATTACCCAAGCAATCAACCGGGCCGACTTCGACATCCCTGCTCCTTCTCAAGATACGGATGCGGGAGTGACTACGGATGGTTCTTCAACCTCGAAAGATGTTCAGGACTCAAAGCAAGTCGATCTATTTAGCGCAGGCGAGAACGCAGTCCTGATCTCCAGTACCGGCGAACTGCCGTCATTCGTCGATGTTGAGGCACACATGACCAACCTCATACATTTCGACACTGGAATAGAGTTCGATTCCACCACTACCACGAAGACCCCGAAGACAGAATCTACCAAGACGGTTCTACCGTGTATCTTCGGGTCGCGAATGGAGGGACCGCTCCTCCTAGCACTAGGACGAATGCCAGCTAATGTGCCCTTTGCCACGGAGCAAGAATTCTTGAACTACTACCAGAACCTCAAGAATGTTGTTGTGGTTGTTGATGAGCGAATGACTGATAACGCCCGCAATCTGGCCTCGCGCTACAGAATCAACGCGCTGTTCATTGTACAACTTCTGGAAAGCCAAGAAGAGAGCACAGACGAAATCTTACAAAGACTCAATACAGCAAATATCAATGCTGTTACTGCTCTTGCTGGACCGCAGTCACTCGTACTTGTCCAGATCCGTGACAAGTTCTACTTTTACAGAGGCATTGCGAATCGAGAACACCTAAACACTTCTAAGCTCGCGTTTGGTTCAGACGTAACATCTGCGATCAACTCTGCAGGCATGTCATCAATTATCGACCCAAGAGCGCAGCGGATAGTGAACCTGGATAACGAAATCCCTATCATCATCCCAAGCTCCGGAAAATTGATCCAGCAAGGTGATATCAAGCAGCTGTTCGAAGACCTCTCGTTGGAACAGATCAGGGCTTTGGAAGAAGACGTTTGCGCTATTGTTCCACAACTTCAAAGTTCGCTCGGAGAAAAGGAGCTAATCAAACTTAGCGAGTCTTTAGTCTCTATTCTGTCATCTAAGCTAAGCAACGCAGTGGCGCCTTTGAGGAACGCATACGTTAAGCTTATAACAGAAGAAGGTTTCGGTGGATCGGCAGGCGCCAAATTGCAAAGTCAAAAGGGGAGAATGCTTGGTGAACTGCGGAAATCTACCAAAGAACTCCAAAAAGCTCTCAAGCCTGTCATCTCAAGTTTTGAGAACATGATATCTGCTCAGACAAGCTCGAAGAGAACGCATGACCTTCAAAGACTTGCTAGAAAAGCGGCCATCAACAGCAATGTTGAAGCTACCAAGTCTATGACTTTCGATACAGTGGCAGGGTTTCTTGAAGATTATGCCGGTGACATGGGGGTTTTGTTGCTCAATATCGAAGAGAGTGCATATCTGAAGGTGCTCCGTGACTTGAATAACATTGCAACTATTGATGCACGGTATGTATCACCTTCCCTTCGTTCTTCGACTAAAAACTTCATGTACCGATAAACGAACCAGCTGCTGACGGTCATTCTCCAGAGATTCTTGTAACCTTGACCGACGTTTGATACACCTGGAGGGATTGGACGCCGGCATCGTCCTTCCACAGTCACAGAATCACCATCACGGGCCGCTGTCTAGCCAAAAAGGGTCGGATCAACCAATACTAGCAATGCCGAATCTCAACCAACACTCCGTGTCAATGCTGGCTTTGGTTTGCTGGGATGAATTTGTGAATCTTGAGAGTCCTTACACCGTGCGCTGGGTCGAAAAATGTAACGAGAAACATATAGCTGCACTGAGAATCTTGATGCGAGACACACTCAGTAGCGCGACAGCGTGTAGGGAGTACAACTTCTCGCCTGGTATGCCCGAGATCGGCAACTTGCTGAGCCGATTACTGATGGCAGCCATGTTCAAACTGGCGGGGCTGAGAACATCCGCACCTACTTTGGTTGAAAAGGCTGAGGATACAGTCACGCGATTAATGCGAGGGCTCTTTGGGAATCTTCTGACAACTGCGGGGTCTGGAGTAAAACCGATGAGTATGGTCTGGCAGCTGTTTGGGTTATATCCTCAAATCGATCTCCCGGATGATGCTGCAGAATGGGTCTGGTACGAGACCGTCGTTTCCTTATACCCTTACACTGGGTGGCCGCTCCAGCAATTCAACAAGAATCTGGAAAAGCTCCTCGACAAAGCGATACTTCGCGTGATCACCAAGAACGAGAGGAAGGATAAGATCAAGGACGACCGTATGTCCAAGATGATCGAATGTTGCCGGCTTCGAAACATACAGCTTGATAGATCACGCTCAATCATCACTGTCATCAAGCGCATGCTGACAGACGGCTATGGCCACGCGGATGCAGCATCGATCGCATCACGACTACTTGCTGAAATTCCACACCAATTGGAGAGACAGTCCCAAAGCTACACACGTATGATCAAGTATCTCAAGCACCTAGCAGCACTTGGATCGCGCATAGGCACTGAGGACCTCATTTTCGCAAGCGTGTACAACAAGCGCTCAGCCGCCTACAGCGAGCTCAAAACCAAAATCTCGGAAGCAGCCGCCAGCGAAAACTGGCCAGAAATGAAACAAGCCTGCCAACAACTCATGAAACAGCACGACAGCGTGGCTTCTCTCTGGAAAGTCAATCCCAGGTCGCTAAGATTCCAGAACATCGAGGTTATCAGAACGTACTCCGAAACCGAGATGATCGAAGATAATCTCAAGAACACCAAAGCATTCCAAAAGGTCATTCACGACGCTGAGAAGACCCGAGTTCCATGGCAAGTCGGCAAAAAAGGACAATTCGGCAATGAAATCGAACCACTCGATGAAGCTTTCGTGCAAGAGATGTTGACGGGTGAGAGGCCAGCGACACCTCCCGGGTCCAAATCCGCCGCTACCCAGGAATTATGGGAATCAAAGGAAGTAGTGAATCGCACGCTCAGCGAGCAGTTCTCAGACTTTGATTCTACGATACAAAAGTCCTTCATCACCCAGATGCAGAAGAAAAATATGTCGGCTGAGGACGTGTGCAACATCATCAAGATCCCCGTTTCGACGATGCGCGCGTTTGTGAAGTCGCTGAATGCGGACTTTGTGTGGGGTGAGTTGGCGGGGAACTTCAAGGCGGTGGTGCTGGCGCTGTTGAAGAATCGCTCGAATCGGGAGTCAGGCGGTGCGACGAGAATACTGCTGGGGATAACGAACAAGAAGAATGAGAAGAAGGCGATAAAAGGATAGGAAGACGAGATGGGCCAATCAATTCTAAATATTGAGATGCATTCACATGCTCAGTAGATGAACATCCAGTACATGTTAAAGTATTTCTTTATCTTGAATTATTCAAAGAGGTTTCTAACAGCGTTAATCCATTGAATACTATCAGAGAGGAGACTGTAGATACCTTAATTTCAGCCGAATACACCGGCTATGAAGAAAGTAACAGCAATCGCTTTCCAAAACATCATAGATGTAAACATCGCAGAAGGCCCCGTAAGGGCTGGTACTGGAAGTATGGAATCTATAAATACGATATCGAAAAAAGATAGCTCCGACCATTAATTTTAGATCTTGAAGAAGTACCACTACAAGAAAGCCGTCATCGCTCACATTTACGATGATGCATCCACAAGTCAAACAAGTGGTCATATGGAAGATGCTGATTGCGTCAATCAGGACGCGCCTATATCACCACCCAAGAAGAAACACCGCACTTTCTTGGCCTGACTAATCTGAAATCTCATCGACCAAATGATCAAACCGCAATGAACGCTATCAATCCTATATATAGTTCTACTCAGGACCTAAGAAAAGTAAAAAGTACGTTGTTACTGAGGTAGTCAAGTTACTTGCAGTATCAACACAGGTAAAAGTACACAGCAAGATGTGCACACAATGATGCTAACGTAAGAGGGTTAGTCACAATCTCATATTGGAATTTGCTAACATCTTTCGGAAATAGGCTATGTGGCACGGCCCTTACGGGCATGGCTTGAATGCGTGTTAGTCCCACTTAGGATCTACGCTTCGCTCAGATTATATTCGGACATCTACGTGACTCCGTCAGAACTAAAGTCTAATTCTGGCTGTTTATAACGTGTAGATAGTAGAAATCTAACATAAATGCGTCTTTCTTCCGCCCATTACACTGTTCATCATTATCATCTTCAACTTACTGTCTCTACAGCTTCATCAGCATTTACATCTTTAAAAGCTTCTACGACTTCTACAATATGCAGTTCTCTTATATCTCTATCTCGGCACTTGTTGCAACAGCCCTGTCGATGCCTACGGAGATGCCCCTTGAGCGCCGCGGTGGTAGTATGACCCATAGATTCTGTGGTAGAACCGGTACGTACAGAGAAACAAAGTTCCCATTCTATTGAGAATTTTGTCCAGTAATATACTAAGACCTATTTATTCAGATTGCAGAACCCAAGTGGGGCCTACCAGGACTTTAGGTGCAGACAAGTGCATCAAGTTATCAGATTCCGATCACGGCATCCAGGTGAAGACTATGAGCAAGGGGTGTGAACGTAAGAGGATATCTGCTTTTTCTTTCCCACCCTTGCCTATCCAGGCACTATTCTAAGATTATCTGCTAATACATATAATAGTATCGCTATATACGAATAGGGACCATTGCGATGAAAAGCCCCTCAAATCCTTAACCACGAGCCCCGGAAATGTGTCGCTTCAGGGCGTCTACCGCATCAGGCTCGAATGTTAAAGATAAGGCCTCGGCAAAATGTCAGTAGATAGGTAGTGGAGGCGGATGTACCTGACCCTAGTCACTCATTACCCGAACTCTAGGAGCGCTTAGCAGTTCTTTTTGCTTCTTTTTGCACGCATACGCAGGCAAGACAACGTGCCCTTGTACTTTTACTTAGACATCGTTGAATTTATACACTATTTCCTCTAGGCACTTTTTTCCTTGTGGATGATGGCACCTAGCTAGCACTCTATGCTATCAATACATACTTTTATTTATCGTTTTAAACCCATCACTGTGTGTGGGATCACCCAAACCCTGACTTTGACTGCGCATTTGACGTAGTGACGTATACGACGTCCCAATGATCCAATGAAGAAAACCCTGACTTACAGTCTACTGGCTTTGAGAATCGTATCGGATACTTTGTTACGAATAGTGTGGACGATGATGACGCATGTCTTAAGATTTGTGTCGCATACTATGGACTTCGTCACCCCATGTGCGCTCTTCGGCACCGATGCCGACGCCTTTGAGGAAGAATGCCAAGCCAACAAGGAGGTCAAGATAAGATGAGACTCTGAAGGTCGAAAGGTCTAATTGGCAAGCTGCACAATGTTGTGCCCGTACATATCCGATGGATCGTTGGGACGTCGTGTACGTCACTACGTCATATGCGCAGTCACTGTTGTGCGCTGCGTGCCAAGGTCTGGCCAAGGTATTCCCAAGTCTCACTAGCTCCAAATCTCTGAATATAAAGATGAAATGCAAAGGGGTGGACTTGCCGAGGACAGAAGAGAACTGGGGGATGCCGGGTCACACTGTTGTGCGATTTGCAACACAAAGCTTCTACGGCGAGGGGCAAGGCGGAGTGCATGCGCATAAGCGTCGGGTTTCTGTGCTTTAGCTTTGGACCCCGCATACGAACCAGGGCAAAACGAAGGTGGCGATGTAAGAAAAGGCAACCAATATTTGCCTGCGCGATGAGGCTGAATCAGTACGTCGGCTTTAAAGCCGTGGCAAATTCATACCATTGAATTATTAGATGCATCCGATCTGCCTGCTTCTCGACTCAACATATCTTTCCCCACCATGCTGACCTGGGATCGAGTACGACCACCACAGGAATACCTCCACGGATGGAGATTTGGTGCTATCAATTGTGCTATTACAGCCACCGTTATCTTTCTTGTTAACTTAATTATTACTATTGTATGCACTACATATCAGAAAAAAGGGGTGCTTTATTGGGGAGACTGCAACAAAGTTGAGAAAATCAACAGTATATTGCATTGGATTATTAATCTTCTTAGTACTGCATTACTTAGTTCAAGTAACTACAGCATGCAGTGTCTTTCAGCGCCGACAAGAAAAGACGTAGATATTGCACATGGCCGCGGAAAGTGGCTTGACATCGGTATTTTAAGCGTTCGTAACTTACGTTGCATTAACACAACACGAGGTATACTCTGGATTGTTTTGATGCTCTCCTCACTTCCCCTTCATTTACTGTAAGTTAATTCATACAGATTCAATAGATATATCTAATGTACCTACGCAGTTATAACTCGGTTGTATACATGTCACTCACCTCATCTTCTTATCGCGTGCACGGATTTGTCGAATCGGCTACAGTCCATGGCCTTCCTGCTTTACAAAACCTGACTACCTCCAATGGCTTTGAGCGACTTTCTGTTCTCGATTGTTTCAATGCCTACGCTACGGAAATGCAAACAAGTTGGGGAGAGCTTTATCTGATAGCTCGGGATGAGGATGCCTTTCTACCGTCCAATGTAAAACCTATATGGGCGGGCATTTACATTCTAGGTAACGGTGGTGGCATCATCTCCTCTCCGAACTATTTGTCCAGCCATTTTTCATGGATGTGTGAAAATTCACAAGGATCCCGCTGCATTCCAGATACTCAAAAGCTCCGTGAAAACGCCACGAAAGGGTATATTGCAGGATATCAGGTTCAATACTGCATAAGCAAGAAGGTGCAGCGTAGTTGCAACGTTTATTGGAACACGCAAATTGCAATTATAGTCACAGTTCTTAACTTTCTAAAGGCTGTCTTGATCTATTATACCGCATTTTGGACTCGAGATAAGCCTTTAATGAGTATTGGAGACGCAGTGATCTCGTTTCTACAAACTCCGGATCCTACAACAATCAACATGTGTCTCGTCTCGAAACACAACTTTGCAAAAGCAAAGTATAACTTTGATGCTGGGCAAAGGCGCTGGCAAAGTAAAAAGTACCTTTGGAAAGATGCACCGAGTAAAACACGCTGGATCCTCTTCTTGTTATTGTCAGTATATCATCCTCATTGCCTCATTGCATACTAATAGACAACTACAAGGCTTATCCTCGCGATTGCGTTTGCTTCGTACCTACTTTGTCTTGGTATCCAAGACTTAGGTTTAAGTAGAGAAGAAAGTCTCAAAATCTTCAAAACTCTAGGCTTTGCCGCTTTGGACCCTCGAGCGGTGAAGCGATACCCTAACATTCGCGGAGTTTATAGCTACACCTTTCTCGCCAACATTCCGCAGGTCATAGTATCTCTTATCTATTTCTCCTATAATAGCTTGTTTACGAGCATGCTTCTAGCTTATGAGTAAGTTTTACCTAGAAATTGATAGTATTGAAACGCCATGTCACCAAAGTTCAATTTCACTATCCTTCATGTACATCACTAACTCTCGGAACCGGTTCTAGGTGGTCAACATATTCGTATAAGAAAAAGGGAATCAGAGTATCTGTCAAAGCGGAGGGTGCCCAGCGGTCATCATACTTCCTTTCCTTGCCATATCGATTCGCGCTACCCCTCATGGCGATTAGTAGCATCTCGCACTGGCTGGTATCACAAAGCGTTTTTTTTGTTGCATTCTTCGTAAGTGGACAAAATATGCTCAATCCGGTCATCTACTAAATAATACCCCAACAAGAATCCAGACAATCTTGGCGTAGTGGACCCTTTTGTTTACAGCTTTGGATACTCTCCTATTGCAATCATAATTACCATTTCGGTCGGAGTGACGATTCTGATCACAACAATTGGATTCGGATTTATCCCGTACAAACCAGGAACCAACTTAGTCGGAAGCTGTAGCGCCGCCATAAGCGCAGCATGCCACACCTTACCCACTCAAAAATGTCAAGGGAACCAACTCATCTACAAAAAGATCCAATGGGGTGTTGTGGGAAAACGTTCAGACGGCGTAGGACATTGCTCTTTCTCAGACGAAGCGGTGGAGTTGCCTCAAAAAGGCGAAGTCTACGCTGGTTCACGCGTACCTGGTTTGCTTTCGGACAATCGGCCTATCGGATCGTCGCCACACATCTCCGCCAACCTTGTGAGCAAAAAGGAGATTTAATCTGAAAAGTAGTCATGGGCTTAGTGGTACTGTTCACTGAATTCTCGCTTAATTTTTAAGAGATCTTCATAGGGTTGATTGTGTTACTGGTGAGTGGTGACCAGTTGGTTGCTGGGGACAATGAACATAGAGAATAAGAGGATGACAGAATGCTGGTTGTTTTTTATTTTTATTTTTTATTTTCATTTTCATTTTTTATTTTTTGAGTGGGAGTTTAGGTGATCCTACACACAGCAATAGGTTACAACGATAAAAAGACTAAAATAACGATGCTGATTGTATGTGTGTATTGAAATTTGTCTAGATCACGGAAAAATAATCAGGTTGGGTGAAAATTCAATTATTACTTTGCTTGTCAGTCTTCGGCGGCAATCCCCTAAGCTATGCGCTAAAAATTTCGTTCCAGTACATTCAGAGGCTAGAATCTCTTAGCTAGTTGAAGATTCCTTTATTCGTCCAGGCCCTTGCTCAATGCTTCCCTACGCGATGTGCTCTGCGGGTCGAAGTAAGGTTTCTCGCCTAAACTGACAGCGCGCTGTCCGGTCCTTGAACCCAATCCCTCGTAGTCAAACGTCGCGGCGTGATAAACGGATCTGTTATCCCAAATGGCCTACAGTTGCGAGGATCATGTCAGCGACACCAAATGATGATAGTGCGAACCGAACCCTAGGATCTCACGATATACACGTACCAAATCGTTAACGTTCTGCCAGCGATGGCGGACCTGCAGGTCATGGTTTTCGACTATCAGTTGAACGAACCAGTCAAGACTTCTTTTAGACTCTTCTTCCGTGAGTTCGTTGATTTTCGCAACATGCTAGGAAGAGTCAACGTGTGTTGAGGATATCTAAAGAGCGGGAGAGCACCAACATGTCCGACGCCAAACACTGATTTCCAGCCGGTGACAGGGTTGGTTCGGATGACGGGATGAATTGCAGTCAAATCCTCGCCAACATTCTCGGGGGCACCTTTAAGACGCGAGTCAGTAAGAGATAAGAACTGGTGAGATTCCACACTTCGTGTATCTGCTTGATTGTAGACATACCACGTTCCTTGGTATACATCTCAAAATTGTTATCTTTCGCCGTTGCGTTGAAGCCAGGTTGAGCATAAGTCGCTGTCAACTTATCAAAGAACTCCTGATACGGTTTGGAGAGTCGGTCATAGAGCTCATACCCAGAAGCCCAAAGTGTGTCGCCACCAACCTCCGGAAGCTGGGTCAATCGCAAGAGTGCGTAATCACTCGGAATCTTCTCAAAAGTGATGTCTGAGTGCCAACCGCCCTTTGAGCTTTGCTTCTTATTGAAGTTCAGAAAACGGTTCTTGTACAGTTTCTTTGCTTGTTCGGAGCTGATGACACTGATTTCGTTATCGCCACCTCCGAGGGTGCGTCCGGAGTTGATGACAGGATGGATGTGTAGCTTCGAAGTCTTTGGTTTTCCGGAGAGCTCTCCTAATCTTTGCGCAAGCTGTTTTTGAAGATCGTTGTCCAGATCATCTTGCTTGCGGAAGAAAACAACGCCCCGTTGTGAAACTGCGTTTGGTTAGGAACGGTTATCTACAATGTTGGCGATTTATCGACTCACTTGTGATTGCAAGATCGCGGATCAATTCGTCCGAGTTCGGGGCGTTAAGCCAGTCTTTGAGATTGACTTCGGGAAACTCGCGGCCAATGACGGGTGTCAGATCAAATGACTTGTACTGGTTGAGAACTCCTGTGAGCTGCAAAGGTTCGCGACGAGCAGGAGCCTGCTGCTCTTCTGTCTGAGTAATCGTTTGTGTGGTGGTAGCCATAATGAGGAGGTATAAGTAGTGTCCAGATAGAGCTGAATTATGCTGTATGAGAAAGAGATTCTATGTTCGGAAACTCGAAATTCGCAGTCCGTCTTTATCAGTCCTCAAACGTGTATCACGAGATCGAGGCAGCGAAGTCGCACGCGTGCTAACCATTGCATCATTGCCAGGATAACGCTCGCGACAGTCGTCTAGCCCCCGCCACTGAAGCTCCAGTGGCAATCGTTGGCTGGATATATATTGTTATCACTTTGAAGTTAGAACTAGACTGGAAATGTTGCATGTTGTTGAGGGGTTATGTTGCGAAACGTGGGGTTCGGATGACGTGCTGACGGCAGCCCTAATTGCGATGTTACTGTTTTGTATACATCTTCTACATGCAGTGTTCGCTGTTATGCGTGTATTCTAATTCAAAATACAACATTGGATCTGAATTAGCAACTATTGCTCCTATACGTTTGGCCACGGGACTGGTAATTGCAACTAGCGCTCAATCCGTTAGGCGTTGAATACTTCTGCTACCACTCTGCGCTTCCGATTAATACATCTTGATACCATCAGTTTAGCTTGGACATTTACTCCCCAGCTTATCTTCCAAAGAATAAGCCTCGGCGACAAGCATATGAGCGCACAACCGCCGATAGCTTAGTTTTTTTTCTTGTCAGTTATTATGAGGGAACCTGCAAGCATGATGAGGATACCTAAATTATCCAAACTAACAGGAAGATAGCTATACTTCATACCGACCTAAATACCGTACTCAATATTAGCAACAGTTTGTCGCCTCTTCTTCTGCATGAGAGGTGCCCATGAATGCAATTTTCCCTATCTCAACAAGCATACAGCATCCGTCACCGCGGGCCTAGGTTGATGGTTTATGCAGCAGATATGTCGCCATATTCCAACGCAGATCAAAAACACCTCCCACCCCTCCTACAGCTCCAAAGTTCTGGCTCTCGGCACAAGGTCGTACGATTCTGATCCTGGGCGGTGGATATGCCATTCTACACGTGAATTGCGTTTGCATCCAAGAGTTTGCATGGCGTCGACAGATCTCTTGGAACCATGGAACTTGTATCAGTATATTTAGGTAGATTCTCGGTACATTCTACATGACCTCAAAGAGCAGCTTCGAACAGCCATGTCGACCGTTCTCGAACAGTCATCATCATCGTCATCCTCCTCCGTTCCAAGCCATGGGGTTGTACACAAAGGAGTGTTTGAGAAAGACCAGAGCATTGTAGAAACTGTGGAAGCCCCGCCTCCTCTCGGTGCTCCACTCGAAGAAAAGCGGTTTTGGTTCCAGAGGACCAAAGGTTACGACCCTGGAGCTATCGCGACTTTGGTTAGTATCAAACTCATATCTCACGGTCTTCCGTCAGTACCTAACCATTTGGGAACAGCCCAGTGTCTACGATGATCCTGAAACTGCCAAACAGTATCAGCCTCGTGCCGATTGGTGTGTATCTCAATAGCAAAAGGCTGTTGGACTTTCGCTGACATTTTGTCTAGGGAGAACGTCCATCGTTTCAACCCCCTCGCAAGATGGAATTGGGGCGAGGAAAACAAATTGATCCGCAAAATCGACCTGCGCATTCTGATATTCGTATGCATCTGCTTTATGGCGCTGGAGATTGACCGCGCAAACATCCAGCAAGCCAATACCGATAATTTCCTTCGAGATCTGCACCTCACGACCAACGGTGAGTAGTGCAACCACTCCGCTCTCAGCAGAGAAACATACTCATCGTGCGCAGACTATAATCTGGGAAACACTGTGTTCAGAGCGTCTTTTCTGTGTGCTGAGCTCCCCTCTCAACTCGTAAGCAAATGGATGGGTCCGGATCGATGGATTCCTATGCAGATGATGCTGTGGAGTGTCGTTGCAGCGTAGGTTTCCTCCCACCGCCCATCATCGGTGCACTGCGCTGACTTCGCGGTGCCAATTTAGTGCACAATATTGGCTCAGCGGTCGGAGTAGTTTTCTCGCGTGTCGGGCCTTGCTCGGGATTCTACAAGGGGGTTTCATCCCGGACGTTATTCTTTACCTCTCCTATTTCTACAAACACCACGAGCTGTCTATTCGACTCGGATTCTTTTGGACTGCAATGAGCGTGGCAGATATAGTCGCGGGGTTTTTGGCATACGGGTATGTTCTGCACTTGTATGCTGTTCTTCGGACTTTGATATGCTACCGAAAAATGCTTGCTTGACGTTGACTAATATTCACTCTTCCCTCAGTATCCTTCACATGCGCGGTGAACTAGGACAATCAGGATGGCGATGGTTATTCCTAATTGAGGTGAGCTAGTCCAAACGACCTGACGACAAGCGATGATACAGGGGCTAAAATGCAACAGGGCTTACTCACATTCGCCATCGGGTTCCTCGCCGTATTCCTCATGCCGCCTGGACCCTGCCAAACGGCCAGCCCTCTGCGAAGCAAGAAAGGATGGTTTACAGCTCGAGAAGAAGAAATCATGGTGAACCGAATTATCCGGGATGATCCTTCCAAAGGCACCATGCATAACCGGCAACCAGTAACCCCGAAACTGCTGTGGAAGAGCTTAAGAGACTTCGATCTTTGGCCGTTGTACATCCTGGGGCTGACTTTCCAGATCCCGATGAACCCTCCGAATCAGTATCTGACTCTCTCGCTTCGAGGGCTTGGGTTCGATACTTTTCAGGCGAATTTGCTGGCGATTCCGTGGACTGTGTTGCATAGTGAATGACCCTATTCGATTGAATAAGATACTGGACTTTACTGATCCACTTGTAGTCATCTTTTTGCTCGCTCTTACTTACTCTGCTGAGATCTTCGGGGAGCTCACGTTTCACGCGATGCTTGGCCAGATCTGGGTCATTCCATTCCTGATCTGGTTGACGGTAGCCGAGGTGGCTGGTGCAAATAAATGGGTGCGTAGCACAGCAAGGACATATGGGGTATCCGCAATTCCAGCTGACTCATTCCATCTGCATGATTAGGTTGTCTGGGCTGTTATCACATTGCTTCTGAGTTATCCGAGCGGTAAGCTCATCTACTCCAAAGTGTAGGCTGTCGCCCGAAGTGTAACCTGACATAGCACGCAGCGCATCCCATCCAAGTGGGATGGAACTCCCGAAACTCGAACACGGTTCGCTCTCGGACGGTCAGCGCGGCAACATACAACATGTTCGTGCAGGCTTCGTCTGTGATATCGGCAAATATATACCGCAAAGACGATGCGCCCAATTACCCGAGAGGTAACAAAGCTCTCTTGGGCATAGCGGTTGGCAACGTTGGATTGTACCTGTTGACAAAAGCATACTATGTGTGGCGAAACAAGAGCAGGAGCGCCAGATGGGATGCGATGACGAAGGAACAGAAGATGGAGTACCTGGAGACCACGACAGACGAAGGAAATCGTCGTCTGGATTTCCGCTTTGTGCATTAACGAGGTTTCGATGGTGCTTGAGACACGTGGAGCCCTGGGTGGATTTGCTAAGTGGCTGTAGCTGAGCTCGCTGGGTGGGGTTCCGAGACGAGAGTAGACATGGGTGGGCATTTGTCCACGAAGCGTGAAAGTATAGACACGTGACTTGGGAGCCTTTCTTACATACCTAGGTAGGTACTTGAATTTTTTCCGTACGCTGTCAGTGAATGGACCCATCTGCTCATAGAAACGCAAGTCACCGGCTGAATGGCTTTTTTCTCGCGTGGCTAAAGTACTACCCTGGCAGCCAATGTGCCAATTTACCCTCTATGCCTCTTTACCCCTGTGCTGCCCACATGTACAGGTGGGTGTTCAAGGAACAGGATACCATGACTCGTATTCCGTAATATGTAAGATGCTGTGGTAACTGCAGTTGATTCTAAATCATATGAACCAGGCGTTTCGAGGATTGACGAGCGACGTTATAAGATGCCACCATGCAAGACCAGGTCCCGTCTGATACAGGACACAACAACATTTGAATGCTACCTCCACTTTCGATAGCGTCACATCGGACTCGAGTGGATGCAGGCAAAGGTGGGGGGTGGGTCGGAGCGAGGCCGACCCGCCGTCGCGTCGCAACATCATGACGTGAAGGCAATATATCCCACAGCTTTGGAGGGGCTGCGCTGTCCACTCTTCCAACAGTTGTATCCAACCCTTCTCTCACCACAGACTACCCATCTTTCGAGTACCTTTCCAACCATCAACATGGCTTCACCAAAAACCATCCGCTGGGGTATCTTGGCCACTGGCGGCATCGCTCAGACTTTGTAGGTTGATACCCCGCTGCCCCGCGCTGCATGGCGGCCGCCCTAACACCAAGCAGCACAAAAGATCTTCTGGTAGACCCGACGACGCGCGGAGTCAAGCACATCAAGCACACCGTGGTCGCTGCTTCTTCCTCGTCGTCACAAGAGCGCGCCCAGGCTTTCCTCAAGGATGTAGGAGCTCCTTCGGACGCGAAAGCGTACGGATCTTACGAAGACTTGGTCAAAAACCCAGACATCGACATCGTTTACATTGCGACACCGCACTCGCATCATTACCAGAATGCCATGCTCTGCTTGGAAGCAGGCAAGAACGTACTGTGCGAGAAGGCCTTCACGGTGAACGCGGCTCAAACACGTGCTCTCGCTGAGAAGGCAAAGGAGAAGAACCTTTTCTTGATGGAGGCTGTGTGGACTCGATACTTCCCGCTGTCCGTCTACGTACGCGAGCAGATCGAATCGGGTCGCATTGGCCCAATTGCACGTGTGTTTGCCGACAACAGCATGGCGACCAACCCCGAGGAGACTTGGAGCGACGGCAAGCACCGCATGGTGAACCCTGAGTTGGCCGGAGGAGCCCTTCTCGATCTCGGCATCTACAGTCTGACTTGGGTCTTCCAGACTTTGTACCACACACAGCCTGAGAATGCTAGACAACCACCCAAAGTACTAGCTGCGCTCAAGAACTACGAGCCTACAGGAGCTGCGGATGAATCATCGACAATAGTGCTGAGCTTCCCTCGCTCCAAGGAGGCAGGAGGGGAAGCGCACGCTATTGCGACGACTTCGCTGCGTGTAGCTACCACTCCCGGTGGCAAGGATGATGTCCCTGGAATCCGCATCCAAGGACCTGGCGGTGAAATCCAAGTCTTCCCACCAGCCTACCGTCCTACTCGCACTAGGATAGTTCTCAAGGATGGCACTGTTGAAGACAAGGACTGGCCTCAACCTGGACCCGGAAAAGGCAGCGGCTGGCGCAACGGCTTCGGAGGGGGCTCCAACGCCGAAGGCGAAGGCCACGGCATGTTCTGGGAAGCAGACGAAGCCGCGTCTGCGCTGGTAGATGGTAGAAAGGAAGGCAAGTACGAGAGTCTCGCCGAAAGTATCCTGATCATGGAGGTCATGGACGAAGTGAGGAAGCAGGGTAACCTCACATACCCAGACAAGATCGAGACCACAAAGTACCCCACACCGCTATGAATAGCTCCCCCGACGGATCCCGGATCCCGGTATGATAGCGATCTCAGTAGTATAGCATCGTGATTTATTCCCATACTTTCTCTCGAGACCTTCCGTTTACGGTATCCCTCGATCCTTTCTGTGCTGTTCATTTGCGCGCCAACCAATGATACCTCGACTTCTTTTCGAAATATACACTCCGTCCCAAATCAATGATCCAACTCTATCGCATGCATTCCCCCCTCGAGACTGCTTTGCAGACTCCAGCCACGTTCTCTGCTCGTCGTACGTCATATTCTGACAATTCGCTGGTCGCATGGTCCGGGCTGCCACGCCAAAAACGTTGAATACGCTCCTCAATACGGGATAGTAGCCACACACTCATCTATCCGCCATCTATATAAATTGTAGTTAATTTACAAGCCATCATCCACCAGCCGAGCTACCTCACGTTTTTTGTTCGAGACCCGGTTGAGAGCGGCAATGTCACCGCACGGGCCTTGATGCATGCTGCAGCTCAGCTTAGGCGAGAATTTTTCTTTTGAACAGCCAGAACAGTTCCACCACTCACCTACCCCTTTGGTCACCACTTCCTTTTTTTTTACAGATGGTGAACCCCAAAATAATGCGGGGTGATTTTGGCGCCCGGACTTGAAATGGACATGATTCTTTGGTTGCGGTTTACTCTCATGAAGAATAGCCTATTGGACTCACACAGAGATGCAGCACCAAAGTCCACCGACCACAATCTGCTCTCAGCACTTGAGCTATCCACATTCTCAAAGAAATCGTACGATACCAAAAGATGCCTAGGCATAAACACACATTGAGACGTGCGAACTGGCTTGTGAAGTCACAAGTCCCGCTAGTATACCGTTAACCGCACGGGATCTGGTGTTTTCCATCCCGGCAGTCACACGGCATAATCTATTTACCCCGGGTTGCATGGGGCATTTATGGGGTATAACCCCTGTCTATCTTCAAAAATAAGCTTCAACCTCATCTATCCATGGCCTACACGAACAAGAACCTGGGGTTCTAGTCTTCCGTTTTTGGACTCGGGATGCCTAGTCTGGCTGAACTTGATCAGGTGAACTTGCAGGTTGGGCGTACTTTTCAGGAGCCAGGTTGGATATAAAATGCGGAGGTTTGGTATGCTATCATCAACGAAAGGATTACAGCGAGATTCATTCCAGTTCTCTACTGCAAATAAGACGCTTGTGTCGTGCCCAGAGTCGAATTTTCCAATACGCTTAGGGTTTTGTCAGTCGATCAGCATGAAGACTTTCACTGCTCTTGCAGGCATAACAGCCTTGGCCTCGACTGTGTCGGCACACGCTACATGGCAACAGATCTGGGTCAACGGCAAGGACCAGATAAGTTTCATACCTCCATTCGCCTCACAAACCATACTAACTAGACCTACGGCTCTGTCTGTGTTCGCGCTCCCCCTTCCAACAACCCAATCCAGAACGTCGCATCCAACGACATCCGATGTCAGTCCAACCACCCCCCCTCACAAAACCTTCTCCCACTCACCTAACAACATCCTCCAGGCAACGCAAACCCCGCAAAAGCCCAAGGGAAATGCACAATCGCAGCAGGCGACACAGTAACCATCGAAATGCACCAACACGCGAGTCGCGGGTGCACCGAGGACGCCATCGGCGGCGACCACCACGGCCCCGTGCTCGCCTATCTCAGCAAAGTGTCCGACTCTGCCACCGCAGACGCATCGACGCCGTTCTTCAAGATCTTCCAGAACACGTGGGCGAAGAAGTCCGGCGGCGCCGATGGCAAAGAGGATTTCTGGGGCACCAAGGATCTCAACACCAGATGCGGGCTCATGGATTTCAAGATCCCTGCGGATCTCGCCGCGGGCGATTATTTGCTCAGGACGGAGGCTATTGCGCTGCATGCTGCGGGGAGCGCCGGTGGGGTACGTACCTATATATATATCCATCTCTCTTCACTCGCTATCGCTTTCTCGCGATATCACTCCCGGCGTATCGTCCCTGCTATTTATTCACCATAGCAGCGCGCGCACGGGGAGGTCCAATATCCGTCGAAGACACACACGCCTTTTCCACGTTCGCTAATCGTACATATCGTACTGTTAGGCCCAATTCTACATGAGCTGCTACCAGCTCAGCATCACGGGCAGCGGCTCCTCAACCCCATCAGGCGTAACCTTCCCCGGCGCATACAAAGCCTCGGACCCAGGAATCCAAATCAACATCTACCAGAACCTCAACAGCTACACCGCTCCGGGCCCAGCTGTACGTCTTTATTTCCCTCCTTCCCTTTCCTCTTCCTCTTTTCCAACCCCCCGCTTCACACGCTATCTCGCTAACACAACCCCAAAAAAAGGTCATCCCCGGCGGCACCGAAGCCGTCGCCGGAAACCCAGGCGCCCTCGTCCCCACAGGTAGCACCGTGGCCCCCACCGCAGCGCCCTCGACCACGCTCCGCACGTCGACGTCCGCTCCCGCGCCCACTACGACGTCTGGGTCTGGAAACGGCGGGTGCACGGCTGTGAAGTTTGCGCAGTGTGGCGGGAGCGGGTTCGCTGGGTGCAGTGTGTGCGCGAGCGGGTCGAGCTGCGTCAAGCAGAGTGATTGGTACTCGCAGTGCTTGTAGCGCTTTAGTTTTTCTAGTTTTTTTTGTAGCCAGGGGGGGAGGGGGGTTTTGTAGCGGGTATTTTATTCGATCGTATATGCTTTATATGTTGATGCTGATGTAGTGTGTGCGTGTGTGTGTGCATTCATCTGTATAGGAGGGAAGTGTGAGTATGTGAGGGAGAGTAGGTTAGTTTAGTGTTTAGCAAAGGACCTTTCAAAGCAGTACTTATCTAATCATCACCACTTTTGATAGAGTCCCATAGCACCACCACCGCCACCACCTCCTCCTCCTCCTCTAAAAAAATAATAACAACTCTTAAATATACTCTACTTATTCTACAGATCCTCTAGTTTCCCCTGCTACATCCTAAAACTCTTATATCTCTCCTCTTTTATATAAAAGACTACTCTAGTCTAACTTACCTCTGCATAAACCCCCCTTTCTATCCTATCTTCTAGACAAATAAATAAATAAAATTATAAAATATGGAACTAGTAACTCTTTACTACTATATTTATTAAGTTTAATAAAGAAAAACAAAGTGCTAGTTTTAAAAAGAAGAAAAAAAGTTAATAAGTAAATTTTAAAGAAGAGATAGAGTATAAGTATAAGTAAAATATAAGAGTATACTTAGGAGTCTAAGAGACAGAAGGAGATAAAAGCATAACAGGTTAGCATAGAATATTCTAGACGTGTTAATATAGTAGGCGAGAAGTCCATGTTCAAGATAAGAAGCCTAGAAGGTAGATAGAAAGAAAAGGGTGACATGATTAAGTGTCAAAACTTCTTTCGTATTCATCTTCACAAAGCTACCCTAAAACAGGAAATCTAAGTGTTTCAACCCAATCGCGCTCTCTCAAACCATGAAACGCAAGCAAATCGGCTTAGAAAGAAGTCAAGAAGAGAAAGCGGAGGGGGATATCATCAACGTCGTTGGCTTCGTCATCGTCAACAACTCCTGTCCCGTTTGTGAGGGTGTGTGAGGGTGCCCGGTACCTACAAAACTAGCAAAAGACCGCGGAAAACAAGGAAAGGGAAACCCTGCCCTACCTTACCCCACCCCCCCATCCATTCCCAAGTATGCCCGATGTTCCTCCTTTTGGCCCACCCGACGTGGGATTTGTGTTGGTGTAGACAAGAGAAAAAAGGAAAAAGAGGTGGTAATAATGAAGATACTACAATTAGGTACCGCGACGCTGAAATGTGTGTAGAGATTCCACCAAAGAGCCGAGCTGACGCTGGAGAAGACGGAGAATAGAGCTTCAAAAGGAAATGATTACACAATCAAGAAAGAGATGTAGGATAAAGATGTGTTCTGTCTGTGTATAGATCGTATGATTGCGGACTCGTTGACAAGGGGCCTCGAGAGACGCCCTTTCAGCACCGGAGGCTATCCAGCCATCGTGGTTGTAGAGCAATCCAACGCTCCTCGGGCGTTGATTGTATGACGAAGACGACGATCTTGTAACGGGCTTGGGAGAAGCGTGGGTATGTGAGGAGGCAATGGGTATCGGGGAACGGGTTGAAGCGCTCAACTGATATGGTCTCGAACTACCGCGCGGTGGTGTATCCGCGACTATGGTAAAGATTGGTTGGCGCCGTGACAGGGAGGCCGTTGAGTGTTTTCCAGGCGATTTCGGCGGCTTCTTCACGCGATTGTTCGAGGAAACGATAGTCTCTCCAGAGCTCAGCTCTGAATTCGCGTCCCTGAACTATGACGCCGCTAGACCACGCTGTCCGGATGCCTGAGAGCCTCAGCGATTAGACTGCATTCCCAAATTTGGTTTGAATGAACGGAGTAGATATTTGGACGTACCTCGCGGGTCGGAATAGTCTAGGAACTGTGGCTGTGCAATCTGGTTGGAAGCGCAATAGTCTGACGAAGAGCACAGGTCAGTCAAGAGCACGCGGGGAGAAGATGTAGCCACAGAAGCGCACTCTGAAGTTTCTGGACATAAGTCCCTTCTCTACTAGAAGCCATGACTCTTTTGATGACGACTCGACAAGAGCGTGAATCTGGTAAGTATGCTCAGAGGAGAGGGATATGTTTGCTGGGAAACCCTGGCGGCGGCAGGCTGAAAACAAAGTTTTTTCTTCTCTTTTTTTATCCGCGGCGGGGAAGATGGACAGCATGCGAGTCAAAGCCCCAGGACTCTAAGTATATATTTGGTCTAGGGACCGCAATAGCGACCTGCATGGGTGCCATCCTCGAAAAAATTGCCGTGCATCTTTTGACAGACCCGGCACGCTGGGAACGAAATGAGGGGTCGTTCTTGCTATTCGTGTACAGGCTGATTAATTTGTTGTTGGGGAGAGAGACACACACTTTCGCGAATAATACGGTTTTTGATTGGATTGTATGCATGACGGGCGAAGAGCTTGCAAGGGGGAGGTGGCCAGCATGGCGAAGGACAGCCTACAGCGCCGAGCGAAAGGGATATATGACATGCTGCTGAGAGCCGAGCGCTCGTAGCAGTGGGTCTGAGCATCCAATTGACCCTCATGACTGAGGGGCGGAGAAGTATTCCTCGACCAGATTGGGATTGGACTCATGTGCTGGCACTAAGCCCGTGGAAAGGTTTGTAGGGCTAATGGATGCCGACACATCCATGTGCCTATTCTGGTGTATTCAGTGTGTTTTGCGTTCATTTGTCCGGGGCTCCTGTAGGCTGGACACACCCGCTCTCTTTCGCGCCGTCCCGCCGTCGAACCAGTATCTGGGCCCAAAAATGGACGGCCGGGTGCGTCATCCACCGCTCCCAGAGCATGACTTTGGCTGCAAGGATGCCTGAATCATGCAGCCACTGGAGCAGCACAGCATTAGGTGCATGGTCGTGCCCAATGGGACTCCTGACGCTCTGTCGGAAGGGCTGCAAGCGTGCAATGCACATGGTCAAATCACTGAGTTGCGAGAGCGGATCTGCCCGTTCCCAGAACCCGATTTTGCGTGCGTTACATGGTAAGCTCCCGTCTGACAGACATTTGTAAATCCTCAGGCAGCGCGTGCTTTGGCCATGGGTTCATGGATCCTTGTATGAAAAGCCCAAGTAGTTGGCTTTTAGAGGCGTGGGACCCGTCCTACAACGGTTAAGCGGCGTTTCGGCAGGTCTCGGTCAAAAAGACTTTTTTCGACAATGACATGATGGCGATTCTGGAACATCAGGAGCGGGGTGGAGGGTGCTCTAACACACTTCGATGTGTTGTCAATGTAGCATGTGTTGTTAAGAGTTCGCATATATCGCCGGCCCGGGTGTGGCTCGTGGTATGGTGTGTGTGACGTGTAAACGCTGGTGCGCTAGCCTCGATTCGGTTACATAACGAGGCGGGAAAGGTAGGGAGGTCCACCTCGGAAGACTGGAATGAATGGCGCTGAAGACGGAAATGTGGGGATGGCAGTCAAAATTCGAGTCCCCATGGTTCAAACTCCTTGCAGCAGGTCCCTGTTGTCCCTGGCATCAATTCGCTCTGATTCCCGACTTGACCAACCCAGACACGGCACGCCATCGTTGCATGCAAACTCGTATAGGTGACTGCTCGCCAATGGGGAATCCTTGAATTTGCAAATTGTGCATTGATAAAACGACCTGGCTCCTAAACTCATCCCTTTCGGACTGCGGTATGAGTGCTCGTTGCTGTTCATAGCTGTATAATCTATATCCGAATTCAGCATCGGTTTGACATTGGTGCTTGCATATGCACTTCATATATTGAAAAAAAGTAAGAATGAGGCTGACTAGAGCAACAGTGAATACAGGCATACTTCTGAAAGTCAATGATCATCATACATGGGGGTAGGCTTGCACCCATACAACGCGAAACATATCTTGGCTCGTAACAAACAGGCCTGTTCCCTGACCGAACCAGCATTAACGGAAATCATTATACCTCCGAATACGCTAATGCGCTCAGCATATCAACTAGAACAGTATACGTTACTCTGACGCACTAGTTCTTGTCAGAGTCGTTGCTCGTTACACCTTTCCAATCACAAGAACAGCACTTGGTTCGGGATCGCAGTAGGAAGCTGATGTTTGACACGAACAAGAGGAGAAAACCTATAATGTTACACGATACCGCTGTAGAGACTCTTGATAAGAGTGTATGGAGAAACCATGCAGATAACCCTCCATATAGTTTTCTTGTCCAGTCCCTACTCATTCTCCCGATATCATGCACAATATGTCATACAACTTGAAATGAACCTGCTATTTTACTGGAATATCGTCTGACTCGCGTGTCCATGTTCCGCGGTGGTATCCTCATGACCTCAGGGTTGCCTTTTTACGACATTAGCAATTTGCACGAGACGCAGAGCCGGGGGAGCCATACCACCCGATCTTGCAAGGCTCGAAAACCTATCAGCAGGTTGAGCATCCTCCATGTGCCCCCAGAGACAGCAGACACCACTTAGCCATCTTGGCTTCGATCTGCTCGAACCTGTCGTCATCTCGCGGGATGATTCCTTCCTTCTGAAGCTCTGCGGTGGCCTGCTCATCAATTGTCCGCATCGCCTCGTAGACTTTGACATTCTCCTTCAAGAAACGCTCCTCGAACAATCGCATGTGACCAGTGACATGAGTCTCAAGCCCCTTGGCAGACCACTGCTTCTGCAATCCTTTGGTAAACTTCCAGAACTCACACTGCAGCCAGTGCGTGTTGGCATGGTTGACATAGCCGGCCAATGCGCAGCTTTCAATCCCTCTCTCCAAGGCACGCTGGAGAGATCGGTTGGGGATCACATCGCCAAACTCGTAAGTTCCGATGCTCACAGTGAAAGAGCAGAAGGCCTCGAATCGCATAATCGTAGCGTGAGCCCGCTTATACATCTCGACGGTGTCTGCGACGGCCTTCATGGCGCTCAAAGCGTCGTCGTCGTAGACGAAACCGGGCGAGGCGTCAGTGGCGGATGATGTTGCGGGCATGATGTTGTGCGTCATCAGTTTTGCAAGGATGGCGGTGTTCACCACGTACGATTCGGGGTCGAGGTTGGGCATGGTTCCTGATGAGGGATGAACGAATCCGCGTCGAATTGGAGATGGAGTTGACTGCAAAAAAGTGCCGGATTCTGAAGTTTTGGGGTTCTTGGAAAAAGGTGGAGATTCTAATGAGACGCTGAAGCTGTTTACTCTTCTGCCTGGAGCGCTTCGGTGCCCAGATATGCTATTGGAAAGAGCGCGTACCTACCTACATAGGTGGTAAGTGAGGAAAGAGCCGCAGCGCAGAGCACGTGACCAACTACGTCGACATCTGGATGACCTCAACCGCTGGCCTTCAGCTCAACTTCGAGCCGTCGCAATACTCCTACCAGCCTCCTCAATCTATCCTCATACCCCTTGATGAGCTTTTTGACTTCCGCCAGCGATTCCTCGTTCTGCACTTCGACAGCCTCCGTCGTATCTTCATCCACACAGTCCCTCAGCGCGTGCTCCATAGTAAAAAGCTCCATCCAATGCTCAGTGCAGACCGATACGGCCTCCTCTAATGCTCCCAATTTCTCTTTTGTCATCTGCACCACTAGCTTGGACTCGCTTGCTCCCAAGGAAGACGACGTTGCACGAGCGTGCCGAAGCTTACTCGTGAATCCGTCAATGTGAGCCTGCACTCGCTCACCACGAGTGCGCAGGAAAAGAAGCAGGGAATTTGCCGTTCGGATGTGCGATGGCGCGCTTGGCGAAGCAATCGCTTCAAGCGGCGGGCTCGGTCGTCGCATGACTTGTATTGTGAGGTTTACCGCAGGTTGCGCGGGTGAAGATGGTGGAGTAGAGGCTGAGCTTTTCCGTACTGCAGTGGGCGTGTTGGGGGATGGGAAGATCTCTTTCTTGTGGGTGGCGCATTTTTCCTCGAGGGAAGCAAACGTCGTGGCTGATTCTGTCTGCTTTTTGGTTTGTATTGCAAACGCTAAAGATGACTCTCACATCGCTCTTCACTCACCACTTGTATCCGGTTACGCTCTCGCTCTCTTTTCCTTTTCCTGTCTCGCCGCGCCCTTCGATTCGGATCTTTCATCTCGAGGTTCTCTTCAATTCGCCTCTGCAAATGCTTTACGAGTCGTGTCCGGTCTTTGGTGCAAGGTGGTCGTTGATGTGACAGTCGAAAGGCGACTATCCAAACACTTAACTACGCATCTATGCTAACTGATTGACAGTGAGGGTGAAAGTGAGTTGAACTCACTCTGAGACCAATCGTGTTTTGGACGCGAACAAGCTCATTTGCAAGTCATTCTATACAAACTTACCCACAAACTTCCATTGTACTACCCACCCTTAAACAGCAAATTCGCCATCGTCCCATCCCCACACATGTTTTCGCGGCTTAAAGTAGTCCTCACATTACTCACCCTGGGTCTACTACTCGGCGATCTCAAACACTCAGCTATCAACCGATTCAGCTTACTCGAATACCTACCTCCCAACACCGTCGCCCCCGTTGTCGCTTTCAACGGCTCCCTTGTCAATCTACACAAAGACACCACAATTAGTGCAACCTGAAACATATCCGCCCTTCTGTTCCACGTCGGATCCGGCACACCAAAGAACCGCTGCTGCGCCGCATCCCTCCCAACAGGCGGCTCCTCCCGCCACGACCCAAACTGCCGCGACGAGCCGAAATCCGCAAGTACAACGTCCGCTTGTTCATCATCTTCACTGTTTGTCCTCAAAAAGATATTACCCGGATGGATATCCCCATGCAACATCCACCCATTCCGCCGATCTATCTTCTCCACCTCAACATCGCCATTCTGCATCCACGACAAAGCTTCTACAAGCGACCATAATACATGCAGCACAAAAGACTCGGAGAAGCGCTGCGCGTGCTTCATATGTCGTTCCAGCAGACTAGCAAGATTACCTAAATCGCAAAACTCAAACAGAATCCACGTCTCGGACGACCTGCCCCCTCCCCCGTCTTTATTCGCAATCATGGTGATGGTGTGTGGGCATTTACTCAGCTTCGTCAACGAAGAGACTTCGCGCGCGTACACGTGCGGGAGGTCGCGCCGTTGGAACAGTTTCTGAATCAGTTTGCGGTTGGTGGACACTTCTTCGCAAAGCACGATGCCCGCGTTGAACGCGCCCACGGCGTCGTTCAGCTTTTTGAGCTTCTTGACTTGGATCGTTTGGTTCTGGACCAGGTCCAGACATTCGAATTGATCCGTGTTGCCGAACCCGCCGCCGTGCTGCCCGTGACGTCCACCGTGTCCGCGGCGTCCATGGTGACCTTGATTCCCATGCTGATGCCGCTTATGCGGCTGTAAAGCTGCCAGCGCTTGCATCGCGTTTGCTATGTTGGGAGCATGCGGGTTAGGTTGCGGTTGCGGTTGCGGAGCTGCAAGCGCGAGGAGCTGGTTCTGTAGTCTGTGCTGTTGAGCAACCGCCAGATTCGCTGCTGGCTTCTTCACTATCATGACTCCCAAAGGCGCAGTACAAAACGGGCATTGGAAGAGTGGGGGGCCTGGCGGGCGGTGCGGTTGCGGTGCTCCGAACGTCATACCGCATTGCTGGCACTCGAAAATGTATAACCCACCACGCGGCATAACTCTCTCTCTCAGTTAAAAAAACACTCGTTGCTATGGGTGGAACTGTGCTGCGGGATGTTGCTTCTCTGCATTAGCGGTGCGTTAGAAGGATAAGAGGGAGATTTTCCATCGACAAATGGGGGGTTGGTGGGAGTGGGCTTTGGTTTCCCAGTCACCACGGTTTCGTATGGAAATGAGCTTTGCCGGGGAATGGAATGGACGGTATAGGATGTAGACGTGGTGGATGTCGCGGACTGCTTCTGTGGTGGACACATGGTCTCGGCAGACGGCTCGACAGCCACACCTACTCTTCACAGCGGAAAGTGTGCAATTATCCTCTCTGACCCAAGCTTCTTCCCCACATCACCGAGGATGTATAGGCGAGCTCTTCCATGGTTACAGAATCGTGACCAATTCGCTGCAGCCGTGATCCGTAGAACTTGTGGGGATTAATGTGTACATGCCATACCACCAGACTTTAGAGAATGTTCCAATTCTTCCCGCTGCTATTATGTTCTATATTGTCTGCGCCCATAAACCGAGGAAACCGCGCTCAACACCTTACCTTTAAACTCCAACCATGCTTCCACACTCTCGCCGAAAGGCTGAGACATAGCGACACCACACAGCATGCTCCAGCCCAGCAAATCACCGCAGTGTACCCACCACTCGCCTTCAAAATCGCTCCACTCAACGGCCCACCGCTCAATGAGCTAAGCCCGACCGCTGTAAATGCCATCCCCAATCGTGTTCCCGTCTTGGAGATGTCAGAACTATACGCAGCGATAGTCGCCGCGAAAATTCCCGTAAATGCCGCGGAGAAGATGCCGAACAACGTCGCGAATGCGTACCAGGATGGGATAGAGCCAATAGCAAGCCAAGACCAGAGCACGATGGTGGTAAGGAGGAGGAAGGCGTTGTAGGTGTTGAGGATGCCGATGTAGGTGTCGCCGACGTAGGCGGGGATCGTGCGGGCGGGGATACCGACGCCGTTGAGGAGAATGACGAGGTTGAGCGATTCCGTGTACGACATGCCGAGTTCGTCGCGCGCGAAAGATGCTACCTGTATGGATGGTCAGTGTCCACGGTACTTGTCTAAAGCAAAGAATCGTTCGTGGGGATAGAAAGAAGTTGCAGGGACTTACGTAGTAGAATACGCAGTAAACAGGAGGCATGATGAAACACATGCCGAGCACGTGGAGCAAGTAGGGAATGTCACGGAAAGCTGCCATGTCCCATAATGGACCAGTCTTCCGCGGCGGGAGTCTTGGTTTCATGAAGGCAATCACAACTGCGAGGGCAGCGACGTTGATGAATCCTAGGACCCGGACCGTCCAGCCAAATCCCACTTTTCCGAGCAGCTGGCGAACGACCGTGGGATAGATGATGCCGCCAACGGAGTTACCTGTGGTGACTAGACCGATTGCAAATCCGCGACGTTTGGCAAAATAAGTTGACACCAAACCCAGAATGGGCACGAAAAAGATGCCACCCCCGATTCCCGTACATATACCTTGCGTCAGGAGGAAGTGCCAATACTTGGTCGCGAAACTCATTGCGAAAATGCCCAGCAGATGGAGTAGGATCCCAACGATGATAGTAGGTCGGAAATACCCGGCGTCTAAAGCACGGCCGGAAAAGCCCCCCAGAAAGAACATGAGACAAGCTTGTGTCGACCCGATCCAGGATATCGTAGAGTTTGTTTGAGGGAGGATCTCGGAGTAGTAGGTTTGGAAGGCGCCAAAGGAGTTGACAAAGCCCCACGTGTTCATGATGGCTAGCCAGGCACAGAAGACTTGTATCCATGCTTGCGTGCCGCCGTCGGGCGGCGGGCCAGGGTCTCGAATGGACCGGGTTGTGAGGCGAGATGCTACTCTTTCCAATGCGCCCGGAGTTCTTGATCTTGTCCTGAATAACGAAATACTTCGCGTCGATGAGTGGTTCGTTCTTGACGGCACAGCATTCGATGCTTCTGTTCTGGGATTCTCTTTCTCCATTTTCTCTCTTTCTTTCAATTGACAGGAAGACCGGTTACTAGTGATAACTTCTCAGTCTGATCGGGGGGTATGATAAGGCAAGTTGGATCAGACAACACAGGACTGACTTATATACGAACAAAAAAATTTGCAACTTCGAGCCTGGTTGAGTCATATAGGATGGTGCTAGCAGTTAACAGTCATGTTTCGCTGCAGATCCTCAAAGCCTTTGCCGACAAACCGGGCCGTGAGGGGAAGTCGCACTAGTATGGGTATCTTGACAGATAACCGAAAGAGCTTGTCCCCTACATGGGTTTCTGGGCATGGAGAAAGAGAACTTTGGTAGCTATATATACAGCAACAGAATGTAGGACGATGACCAATAGTCTGATCGGCATCCTGCATCGATAGGATAATGTATCCGAGGATGGGAGCGTTGGAGAGGGAGGTAAGCTCATCTTGGCCGGAGCTGACCATGACGGAAGAGGCAATCCAGAGCGGACTTAAGCGCTAAGATGGAGTTTAGCATGTGGCAAGTTATCTTGGTCTGCATACATTATCGTGTAGCATTGCGCATGACATGTTCGAGGTCTTGTTCGTGTTTACCGGCTATCGTGTAGATCCATCGATTATGTCCCGAATTTCTAGTCCACCACCTATTTGGCAGATACGCCTCACTAAGGTATGTTAGTGAATAGCTGAATGACAGGATGGGATTGCACATACAGCATATCGTAATCATCTCGAGTGTAGGGAAACTCGAGACTCAAGGGTCCGGGTTTCGCCAGGAAAACGTCAGTGCCCGATCCGGCTTCCTCGTCGGTCATTTCAACATGTTTGCGTTGGTTGCCTTTATTCTCCGCGTGACGTCTGATAGCTCGTATCGTGCTGTCCAGATGCAGTTCAAGTATACGCGCATGCCACAAGGAGTTGTAGAGGGCTTTGCGCACGATCCTAACGTAGCTCTGAACAAGCTTCTCGTTCCACTCCGGCGACTGTCCCCGTGGAATGATGGGAAGAGGCTTCCCTAAGTCCAAGTTGTCCTGCCAATGCGCAAAATCAAGGGCTAGACACAGATTATTCCATAGCATAAAGCAAGTGATGCAGCTACACACCACGGTGGGGTCTAGCGGTCGCACATGCCGATATGGTTTGTGGTGTATAGCTAGCATCTGTTGCCTTTGTGGATTGACCAGAGCATCCCGTGCAGTCGGATCGATTTGAGTAAGTAGCTTTGGCAAAGGAAAGCACTGCGACAAGATAGCATAACGCTCTCTAATGATAGCATCACCGATGACCTTGAAGTTCCTGCTAACCAGTGAACGAAAGCGGCGATTCACAGCTCCAAATATGAGTACGTCTCCGGGGGTGAGAAGCTTCAAACATTCGAGAATAAGCTCAGTAGGAAGTTTGGTTAGATTGACGATGGCTTCACGTTTCCGATCACGTTTAGTCTGCTTCTTCTGTTGGCGTTCGGTACGTTTTGAATGGAGCGAAAGAGCTCCTGTCTTGTCCTCGAGAGGCTCCTCGTCATCAGACAAGTAGGTGGTCGTGTGGCGTGGCATCGCAAAGGTTTTCGCATGAGAGGAGTAGGTGATGCAACTGCACTGGGGACTTTTAAGTAGAGATGATGCCAAGAGCTCTATCGATAACCAAACAGCCAATCAGTGCTAGGCCAATCAGTTATCCGCGCCCTTACGCCCTTTCAACACAATCATCATCATCATCATCAGGAAGCTCCGTCATCCCAGAGTATGCTAATGGCAATAAGTGACCCGTCGTACTCTGCTGAATTCATGATCTTCATTCTTTTTGCATTCTACTAGAGCTACATGTGAGCCCTGATATTGGTCGCCATGAAATACCTGTCACCGAATGGTTTCGTCTTTGACATGCTCGTCCGGAGGCCGTATGACGGGTCCACCCTCAGGTTTCGGTACTTTATGTACTCGGAGTGACTTGATCGAACTTTCCTCGTCAGCTAAACCACGAAAAACTCGGCCTCTCCTATTCCCTGGAGCCGAAAGCGCTGAGATCCTCGAAAGAACGCCTCGCAAAGATGCTATTCCGCTTTTGAACAGATGAATCCATAACACAGGCAATGTGGGAAGACATGCAGTGATGATAGCAACAAGAGCTTGCAAGTCTCTGAGTTGTGTTAGCGCAATCACTGGTAGACGTTCCAAGTGGGAGTACATACGCCAAAGTGAGTGGTATAACCACTTCACGAGCAACATCCTTTCCCCCAATGTGCATACTAAGCATCACTAGGTAGACGATGCTAATCACGCAGGCACTTCAAGTTTTTGTCAATGGAAAAGAATCATGGGAATGTGTACGAAAGCGCTGACTTACACGAGCCCTACCGCCAAAACCCCCATCACACTGATCTTTCTTTTAAGCGGCATTCGAAGAATCCACAGCGACGGAATCGAGATTGCAAGGATATAGATATCCGTGATCACGTTGATGAAACCGCCTGCAGCACCCGTACGAAAATGGAATTTCTCCTCATAACATGTCGATGGGAGTTGGCCTCCACTTCCAACACGTGGTATGCACCCTACGCTTAGGACAACAACAATCACAGCGTATGCGATTGAAGTGGAGATTATTCCGAATTGAATCAGATACCATGCCACTGGTGTCGCAAGACGGGGAAAGATGCGATTGATGAATAGCAGGATGGACATCTTAGCGAAGTAGTTGGCTAGATGGCCAATGATCTCGCTGCTCACCAACATCTAAACTCAATTACTCTCATTGCGTATTGGGAGAAGTGGGGGAATATTGATCACTTGTACGTACTATGCGAACATCACTCCGTGTGGCGACTACTAAGCGCACATCCCATGAATGTGGACCGATCGCTCTTATGCTACACACTGCCCAGTGATCAGTACTGATTGACGCCGCTCAGGCCATCTAGATGACACTCATGCACTCACCATATGCAAACAGCCCAAAGAAAGCCGCGGCGCAAAGCAGAGAAATTATAGCGCAGATGTCATCCAGGCCAAGTGCTCCCTGGAACTTGAGCCGCGACCATAGTCGCATGAGTACCAAGATCGTTGCGATAGCGATGAAGATCGAAAGGACACGAATCGAGTGCGGGGCAATATTGTCGGTGCTCTCAAAAGCCATTTGGATTGGGCAACATGGGAGCATTCTCCAACTGCTCGGGCGCCATGGGCGCAGTGTCAACAGAGTGGCCGCGTTGAAGGGTCAATAAAGCCTAGAAACATTCCCAAAGAACCGCCGAAGGCTGAGCAGAGAAGAGGTTATAATGAAATATGGTCGCGATTGCTGCGCGATAACTGCAGAGTCACGGTGAGTTGAAATGTGGATCTCACGTTAGGGAGACAAAAATCATGCGGCCGCCCCCAAACTTCTCGAAAAGCCCCTGTGTTCGTATTCATGACTGTGCTTGCGGTATCAGCAAGATCTCCGTTTATCAAGTCCAATGACGAGCTTACTGCTCGAGCCGAAATACTAAATGCAGAATAGGCTGCAACCACAATGCGACAATTGAAATACGATGATTGGGCAAGTCGAGGTCTATGCTTATGCTGATCTCCTTCTTTGTTGTCGGACCTATAAGCAGCATCGTCCGCAATCAACTTGACGGCGGTCCGCGCCCAATCAAATACCTCATCAACATGCTGGATTCCAACCGCAATCTTTGCCTAGGATTTCCGGCTACCAATCAGCACGAAGTGTAATATGCGCAAAGGGTACTAGATAGCAGACTTCACTAAATCATAGATCTCAACAGTCACTGACTCTTTACAATACAAGGCTTAAAAACAAGCTTTTTAGCCCGCCGATCCAGGAGTTCTATACTCCTCATAATATGACGCCTAATAACAAGCCTCGACTAGTCTATCCAACCTGCGCTGAGACGCATTGGCCGAGCAGCCACATCAGTTTCGGTATTGAGCTTGAGTAGAACCTGGAAGTAGGCGATCATCGTAGGCGGTTGCGTTGACACCGAGTTCGCTTGATATCGCCCCAAACCAGATTCGAATTTCACGCGGCAAGAAAGGATACAAATGCTAAAAGATCGACTTTGATATAGTTTTGACGAATGTTCATCACCTTTGGAAACACACAATCTTCATCGCTTCTACAACATCTTGAATCGCCCTCTCGCTCTACGACCATCTTTCCTTTTCTTTTGACAACAATGGAGGATTCATCGGAGCTTTGAGAACTACACTTACAAGACCGTCATATGGACTTGAGCCTGGATGCTTTCACATTCACAAACCAAGGATAATTCAGAGGAGCATCTGTCAACATGGTGTGTAACCATGATTCTTAGTGAGTACTGAACCTAATTCACCCTCTCCATTTCACCCAGATGACTATGACCAAAATTTTCATGTGTACATTTGATGCCCACCCTGTTCGCAGAATTGTTTGAATAAATACACCAATTCTGTCTCAACACGGATACATACTGTCCACCGTAACGACGTGTCCACAGAAGCGCAAAGGCGGAAAGGTTACTCGTTGGGGACAAGCTTACCTTTGCTAGTTGCTGCTAACTGCTTGCTAGTCGGATAAAATATTTTGAGCCTGCGTGACCTGGAATGTACACATGTCAAACAGATAAGGGTTACCAACGGTTGGCTGGTTTGTTAGATGCGCCGAGATCCGGGGACGGGCGTCTTTAACAAATCATTTCTAGTATAAGGGGAATGGGCTTCCGGCTCTCATCCCAAGCACCACCCAGTCTCCCCAGTCCATTGACTTTTGTTCCCTTTCCTATTCTTTTTGGTACTTTTTGTTTTTCCGAAGCACAATATTTGACTCATTCTCATAGTTTCTCTCGATCACGAGCCGTGTAGCAGCGACAATGACTGTAGTCGGGCCGTCAAACCCCCGAACTTCAACGCGTCAAGAAGGGATGAACGCTACAGCGGCGGAAAAGTGTGGAGTAAGAGTTCAGGTTCATTTCCGCTTCTAGCTCAGCGGCCGAAGGGGCTTCAGGGATCCCCGCCGCATCAACTTTATCCCGAGGTACTATCGTGGGTTATAGCTTCTTGTGCTCTGGGCGACGAGTAACCTGCCCCACGTCAGACGAGTAGCAATGCCATACCTTGACACAAGCGGTGCGCAAACGGACGGGCTACCTAAAGCAATCGATTCATTCGTCGAATGAAACAGTAACTAGAGACGGGTCATAAACAGCCAACAATCCGGCCAAATCGTTTTGTACCTGTACCTCCTCCCCCTCGTTTTACACCCCTCAAAAACTCCAATACTCACACCATCATGTCTGCAACCAAATCACTTCACCCGTCCGAGACCCCGGACTGGAACAATCTCAGCGTTTTACACAAGAACACGTTGCCACCCCGCGCTTACTTTCACAATTACCCCACCGAGAATGACGCTTTCAGCTACGACATCACCAAGTCCAAAACCCACAGCCTTTCGGGGACGTGGAAATTCCAACTCGCGAAAAATGCATTCGAAGCGCCCGATGGGTTTGCAGCTCCGTCTTTTGACACATCCTCGTGGAACGATATCGCGGTCCCGGGCATGTGGCAGCTGCAGGGGTTTGGAAAAGGCCCCCAATACACTAATGTCGTGTACCCGTTTCCTGTAGACCCTCCAAACGTACCCTTCGAGGACAACGAAACTGGTTCCTATGTCCGCAAATTCACAGTACCGGAAAATATTCGGGAAGAGCAGATCAGACTGCGTTTCGAGGGTGTTGACGCAGCGTACCATGTTTGGGTCAATGGGAAAGAAGTTGGATACTCCCAAGGAAGCCGCAACCCCGATGAGTTCGACATCACCGACTTTGTGGAAAAAGACGGCGAGAACACATTGGCTGTAAGAGTGTATCAATGGTGCGACGGATCTTACATTGAGGATCAGGACCAGTGGTGGCTAAGTGGCATGTAAGTATACCTGGATCCCGAGCAAACGAGCATGGGTTGACTCGAGAACAGTTTCCGCGATGTCTACCTAGTAGGATTCCCCAAGGAATTCCGTATCGAAAACGTCTATGTTGAAACGAAGCTCGACGAGTCCTACACCAACGCAAAAGTGGTGGTGCGAGTCCAGTCCAACGGCGGATCCGAGAGAATCAACCTCAAGCTGATGGATCCCAGCGGGAAAACCGTCATCGCAATGCCTTCGAATACCGGAGACGATGGACGCGGCACATTCCTACTTCCGGTCAACAATCCACTCAAGTGGACGGCTGAGACTCCACACCTCTACACATTGCATGTTTCCGTCAACCGTTCGCAGTACATTCCCACGCGTGTTGGATTCAGGCAAGTCGAGATGAAAGACGGTCTGATTAAGGTCAACGGCAAGCGGATTGTTCTCCGTGGAGCAAACCGTCATGAGCACCACCCACAATTCGGCCGAACTGTTCCCTTGGAATTCTTGAAGCGGGATCTTTTACTCATGAAGCAGCACAACATCAACGCGATCCGCACATCGCACCAGCCCAATGATCCGCGTTTGCTAGATCTTACCGACGAAATGGGCTTCTGGGTGGTCGATGAAGCCGACCTCGAGTGCCACGGCTTTGAAACTATTGAGAGAGCGAAATTTACTCCCGAACAACAGAAGCTGACGTACGACGAGAAGAAGATCCTTGCAGAGGACGAGGCTGCGAAATGGACCACTGATAATCCCGACTGGAAGCAAGCTTACGTCGACCGCGCCGAACATCTCATCAAGCGAGACCAGCTTCACCCTTCGGTTATCATCTGGAGTCTGGGTAACGAAGGCTTCTATGGACAGAACTTCAAGGCCATGTACGATCACATCAAGCAATACGACGATCGTCCTGTGCACTATGAAGCAGATAGAGAAGCAGCTAGTGCAGACATGTACTCCGTCATGTACCCTACATTGGAGCGCATCATCGAGTTCGGTCAGGACGAAACAAAGACGAAGCCATTGGTGCTTTGCGAATACGTATGTTTTCCCGTTTTCTTGATGGAAGCTCTGTTACTTACAAAATCTGCAGGTTCACGCCATGGGTAATGGACCCGGCAACATCAAGGAATACATTGACGCATTCTACAAATACCCCAAGCTTCAGGGCGGCTTTGTTTGGGAATGGGCTAACCACGGGCTGCTGACCAAGGATAAAACTACCGGTGATGAGTACTACGGGTACGGTGGTGACTTTGGAGAAGCGGTTCACGATGCCACTTTCGTCATGGACGGTGTGGTGAACTCAGACCACAAGCCCAACTCGGGATTGATCGAGTACAAGAAGGCCATTGAGCCGGTCCAGCTCCTTGAGATCAATGGCAAGAAAGCCAAATTCATCAACAGATACGACATCGTGGACCTGGATCACCTTGTGTGCCGTTACGCCACAATCTCCGAGTCTGGTGATCTGGACATGACCGGCACTTTTGAGATTCCCGCTGGTGTCGGCCCCGGAGAGACTTTCGAGATCGACGTACCCTCTGCACCAGACAGCAAGGGAGAGATCATCATGAACGTGTCCTTCCAGCTCAAGCAACCAACCCCCTTCCTCGAAGACGACTTCGAAGTCGCCACGGCACAAATCCCCCTCAACGACTTCTCCTCCATCGAACAGCCCTCATCCTCCCAAGACTCGCTTCAAGTCGACACCTCGACCAAAAACAAAATCACAATCACCAGTACCACAACAACCTGGACCTTCGACACCGTCCGAGGCCAACTAACCTCGCTCGTCAAAAACCAAACCTCGCTCCTCACCACGCCCCCAACCCTCAACATCTTCCGCGCGCAAACCGACAACGACGAGCCCTCCGACGGCGAAGACTGGACCGCGGCCAAACTCGACCTCGCCCTCCTCTCCACCCGCAGCGCAACCTGGTCCCACCCAACCCCCTCCACCTTCGCAATCACAGTCCACCAACGCCTCGCGCCCCCGGTGCTCTCCTGGTCCATCGAAGCCCAGCTAACATACACCTTCACATCCCACGGGACCCTCAGCATCCGCGTCAAAGGCACCCCACACGGCGCGAACCTCCCCCGCACCATCCCCCGTTTCGGCCTCGTCCTCGAGCTCCCGCACCACATGCAGAAAATCTCGTGGTTCGGCCGCGGCTTCAACGAGTCGTACCGCGACAGCAAGCTCTCGCAGCCCGTAGGCCTCTACACCTCCGACGCAATCGACCCTCTCTGGGTCGACTACGAGGTCCCGCAGGAAAGCTCCAACCGCACCGACACGCGCTGGCTGAAACTCTCGTCGAGCGACGATGCCGCGGCGGAGCTGCTAGTGCAGTTTTCGGATCAACAGGGCAAGAGGGCGACGTTTGATTTCCAGGCCAGTCATTATCGCATGGTGGATGTGGCTGCTGCTAGGCATCCGTATGAGCTTCATAAATTGAAGAGGGAGGAGGTGGTGTTGAGGTTGGATGCTGTGCATCATGGGTTGGGGACTGGAAGCTGTGGGCCTAGGACTTTGGATGAGTATGCGTTGTTTACTGAGGAGATTGAGTTTGAGACTTTGTTGGTTTAGATAGAGATGGGTTGGGAGCTGCGGAATGAGATCTTGTCGCAGAGCTAGCTATACTACTACTACTGCTACTGCTACACCCTCTAATCATACAGTCACTCCTCCCCTTGTTAATCCTCTCACACATATCAAACTCCATCGCCTTCCCACGCGCTCCTCCATATCTCTAAACCTCAATTCCTCCCCCCTCCAAAAGCTCTCTCCCACGCACCGTTCCTACACAAACTACACTCCATCACATCACAGCCCAAGCATTACCCCCACCAAGTGCATTCAAGTAATCCCATGCATCCGGGGCTCGCGAAGCGGGGTAAGTCCCTGTTACTAATTTAATCCATCTCCCGATCCACGCAACAAACCAACAAATGCGCAGCAAGACTTTCTCATGTCGATTAGGAAAAACTTCATCAAGATTTAGGGAGATATGTAGGGTTAAGGCATTAAGTCTATGATTTCTAGGTTATGATGCTGTGAATGAGTGATGAGATTTGTCGAGATATAAGAGAGGGAAAAGGCGCTGCGCGCTCGCTCAGAACGAATATACATGTATATGTGTATATATATGTATATAAGCACGCATACGTTGAGGAGGGGGAGGGAGGGGTGAAACCCTAGACGAAAAAAAAAAGGCAAACGGCGATATAATATCCCGTCCATACAAGTGAGTGCGTGTTGGAACCCAGCAACGGCCAGAATCTGCCTATTCCAGCGAACGCCGATGGTTGCCTTTTTTCCCCTTCTTCTTGGCCCAATTAGCAATTTATAATACCGTTTTCGCCACGGCTAGAAACGGTGAATCGTTCACATTTTGTCGAATGGTAATCATGTGGTTGTGGTATTCTGTTCGATAGGCTGGCGTGCGAACCATCCCCACGCAGTGAATACCATCCATTCATCACATCCACTAAACGCTTACGTCTTCTTCTTCAGCGTTTCTGCGAGCGAGACGTCGCTAGGGAGAGGGCGGGGGGACAAGGTGGGTATTCCTTGGTGGACAGCCTTGCTGACACGGGTTCTATAACTCTAGAACGCAGGAGCAAACGGAAAATCTAGGGGGATTGCAGCTATAAATGTAAGTCGTGAATCTCATACTATATTATACGATCTGGTGGTGAGAATTGCGAGTGAGATGCCAACACTGCACTTCCTGCCAACCAATGTCAGATCCCAAGTCTTCAGTGATCGGACGTATATATGCTTGTTCTTTTCGATGCATTATGTTTTTTATAAAGAAAGAAAGGAAGGAAGGAAGGAAAGGAAGGGTATGACTGGGTTGGACTGGACTGGACTGACTGACGACTAGCATCGTGAATATGGTATCTGATATAATGATTCCAGCGCTGCCGCAAGGCGTAATTAGTAGGTTGAGTATGGTAAGCAGAGAGGATATGTCGTTGTCCGTGGTATCTGCGGTTGCAATGTTGTAGTCCCTCCCGTCCTGTGCCACATTGTTACGGTCGTGTCATGTGGTGCGGTACAAAGGGGATTCCGCTGACGTGTTGGGATGACAGTGCATGCGTATCCGCAGCCCTCCGCCTAGATGGGCTCACGCGCATCTTCTCCAGCAAAGACTTTGTTCACAACTACTCGACTTGCTCGATCGCAGTCGATTCCGTGATTGTGTGGGATCTGGAAGCTCGGCTTGCTGTCTGCAACGCTCAACCTCCCTCAACTGGAAGTGCTGGCAGAGAGGAAAAATCGAACATTCGCCGTTCCTGTCGTTTGATCCTCTTCCTCGCACAATAATTCCCGGTCGCTTTCAAATGATGCCGTGGCTCAAGCATGAAACAGAGGAACAATGAACTGGCCAGGCGCAACCAGCCACAACGTCACCCGAAGTAGCAAAAATTCGCCACGTATAGAAAAAAAAAGTCGTGGACAGCAGCATGGGAGTTGCAAAGTACCTTTGTCCCACAACATGGGTAGGCTGGCTCTCAGCACAAGGTCAAGATAGGCCGACGCGTATTACCATGTGGCACCACGTGCGGGCTCACGCGGCGCTAGCCCCAAATAGGAGGTGCGCGATCCCCAGGTTCGATGTTACGTACAGACAGTGTACCACCCCCGCAAGATGGAGCAACTGTTAGTTTTCTCCACGATCTCGCACAGGCAGATCAGGTGGTGCCAAAATGGCGCGCGCGCGTGCGAATGCGCGGGGTTTCTGTTGCGGAGAGAAAAGGGGGGCGAAAGCGTGCTTTTTCGGTTTTCTTTACGTAAATAGGGTAATGTTTTCTGTGGGTTTGGTTCCCGGAGTAGTGCTTGGCGAGAAGACGGGGTGACGAGTTTGTGGGGAAATAGCGAGCGAGTATTTATTCTGCTGGTTCTCGACCATTAATTTTTTTTTTTCATGGTCGACTGCCATTAGGCTGCGGTTGGACTGGTTGTTAGTTTGTGTTGATGGTTGTAGAAAGATCAAGGAAGCCTGGGAAACTAGGTTCTTAGCAGCGTATAAGCGGGGTTCTTCTGGGCAGCGACTCAGCAGGACCAGGAGGCGGGAAACAAAGTCTCGGTAAATGCTGCCACACCGGAACGACCGTATCTTTGTACGAGAAGACAAAAGTCAATGCATGTACAGGGCCGCCCGCGACTCTCGCATACGCGGCAGCACGGCACACCAACAATCGTATCGACCGTGCCCTCGTTTTGCGTGCTGGATTGCGTTATTCGAGCAGCGGCCTAGAACGCAGCAACAAGAGAGGCGGAAAGGACCTGTGGTCGGTTCGGGTGGTGAGATCTCGAAAAGGAAGATGTGATGCTCTGCTGAGTAGTTGCGCCAAGCGAAATATCGGAAGCGTCAATGTTGGAACGGTCTAGGTGGCCCGAATTTGACGCGCTGCTGCGACTACTAGATATTGGCATGCATTGCTGATGGTGAAGCAGAAACAATGGTTCCAAGAGAGAGCAAAGCAGTTCCAGGCCCGAAATGCTGGGAGCCTCGGCTGAGCATGGTGCGTGAAGCAAGCATAGGCTTAGCATAGTGGATGAGGAATGCGAGAGGCGTGATTGGCGATGGGCGAGGGCGCAGAGGGTGGTGGTGAGACGGGATGCAAAGGCAAAGTGGACGTGGTGGTGGTGGTGCATGCATGCGGGGGTGGAGGGACAGGTCGCGTGCAGGGGTGGCCCCTGCGCGATGGAGCGGCTTGGCACGGAGCTGGTCGTTTTGAGCCTTCTGCTCCGCGATTCCATATCTCAACACGCTCGGGGCACGCTCCTACGATCCAACGCGCGAGAGCCAGAGTCGACGACGGCGACGACGACAACGACGACGACGACACCTGTCCTGTCTGCCCATGCACATGTGTGTGTGTGTATGCATAGCTTGGGTACACGCGTGCATGCAGGCACGCTCCCAAGTACCGCGTACGTACACATACTGTGCGTGTTTGTGCCGCTGCGTTTGCTGCGTCGTGTCGCGTTGTTCAGGGTCTGCTAACCATGTGCTTATCACTCATTGGCATCGGCTGGGCGGCAGAAAACAGAGGGACGGTGTTGCAAAAATTGATTGATGTGAGTATCATCCAGCAAGTCAATTTTCCCATAGTGGGCGAGCGGGCGCAGGCACATCGATCGAGAAGCACAGCGCGAGCGACGGCGGTAGATATAGCTATCACGGCGATGATGCGATTCCATTAGCATCGCATCACTCGGTCGGTCATGGACAGATGGGCGCAGAGTCAGTGGCAATCAATCTATCAGCGCATCAAACAGACAAATCCACTCCAGCCAAGGCGTCTCAGGGGCGGCTGGCACGCGACTCTTGTGCTGTTTTCGGGCATCAACACCTCTTCCAGCAACTCCAGTCCGCGTTGCGCAAAAGTCCAGTGCAGTGGTAATATCCGGACCCTCCATCCATTCACTGCAGCTGGCGCGAACCAACAGCTGCGATGCCATCCTCGACAGTTCAGTGGTCGCCGCCTTGGACCAGATAGGCAGCTGGCAAGAAGACCTTGGAATCCGCCAAGTCGTTCCGCGGCGTGCCCTTCGTATTCTAGAATGGCGAAGAGGCTGACTCCCTTATCAGCGCCTGTCCGGCCAAGCTCATTTCACCCCGTCGTGTTATCTACAGCGATCCACTTCGCAAGGCAGGCCAAGCACCCCGCCGTTAACCTCAACGGGCCGATGGTGTATCATTCACCCATGACGGGGAGGTGGTAAGAGGCGCCGCGCCCGCTAGCACGTCCCTATTCTCTTGGGTCTTTTGATTGTCGCCCGCCACCACCACCCCCGTCAGCCAACCACCGCCTCCGTCCACATTCAGAACAACCACAATCTTTGTCACCTCCCAATCGCTGTCCCTGACCCGCCCGCCAAGATGTTGTTCATGTACTCACGCGGCGAGAGCCCTGCTGTCTGGTTGCCCTACCGGGTTTGCCGAGATCCCCAGTCGGTCGTGATAGCAATTACCAGCTAATCATTCTTGCCCCCCCCTCCCCTCTGCTGATCCACGAGACGCGCCTTTAAAGACGAGCTCCTCTCCCGGGTTTTTGGGTTTTCCTTCTCCTCTCGTTCTCTGTCCCTCCCACAGACAGACCCTGCCAGTCGCTCTCTAATAATCCCCCCCCTCGACTGAGTTCATCCTCCACTATGACTAGTCACGAGAAGACCTTCGTTGACCCGGAGGAGAAGAATGTCTCCCAGGTCACTCCTACCGGAAGCTCCCACGAGGAGCCAGAGGGCGAATGGCGTGATCAGGAAGACTTCTTGACCCGCAATGGTTTGAACCTCAAGTCCTTCCAGCGACGTACCGGCAAAGTCGAGCTCGACAAGTCCATGAAGCCTCGCCATCTTCACATGATCGCCATCGGTGGTTCCATTGGAGCTGGTTTCTTCGTCGGTTCTGGTAAATCCTTCTCCGAGGGTGTAAGTATATCCAGTCATCCCGCGAATCCATCTCAAGATCTACACTAACATGGATTCTAGGGCCCTGGTGCTGTCCTGGTCGATTTCTCTCTTATGGGTATCATGATCTTCAACGTCGTCTACGCCCTTGGTGAACTTGCCTGCTTGTACCCTGTCTCCGGTGGTTTCTATACCTACTCGACTCGCTTCATCGATCCTTCCTGGGGTTTCGCCATGGGATGGAACTACGTCTTCCAATGGGCCATTGTCTTGCCGCTTGAAATCACGGTTGCCGGTCTCACAGTCGCATATTGGCCGGTAGATGTTTCACAAGCCGTTTGGATCACCATTTTCTGGGTCATTCTCATCGTTGCCAACATCTGGGGTACTTTGGGTTACGCCGAGGAAGAGTTCTGGGCGTCTTGTCTCAAGCTTATCGCTACCATTATCTTCATGATCGTCGCCCTCGTGTGCGTTCTCGGTGGTGGTCCCAGCAACGGTAAATACAACGAGTACTGGGGAGCCCGCAACTGGTACGACCCAGGTGCTTTCAAGAACGGTCTCAAGGGTTTCTGTGGTGTCTTCATCAACGCTGCTTTCGCCTACTCTGGAACTGAGCTTGTCGGTCTTGCTGCCGCCGAGACCAAGAACCCCGTCAAGAGTCTTCCCTCTGCCGTCCGTCAAGTCTTCTGGCGTATCACCCTTTTCTACGTTCTCGGTCTCACCTTTGTCGGTCTTTTGGTCCGCCACGACGATACCCGTCTGCTCGGCTCCGGTTACATTGATGTCAAGGCTTCTCCTTTCGTCATTGTCGGCAAGGACGCTGGCCTCATCGGTTTCGACAGCTTCATGAACTTCATCATCTTGGTCTCCGTCATCTCCATTGGTATGTCTGGTGTGTACGGAGGTTCGCGTACCCTCACTGCCCTCGCCGAGCAGGGTTACGCTCCCAAGATCTTCACCTACATTGACCGTTCTGGACGTCCTTTGTTCTCCGTCGGCATCATCCTGCTTATGGGTGCTCTTGCCTACATGAACTTGGCTGCCGACGGTGAGCTCGTCTTTGGTTGGTTCATCGCTCTTTCCGGTCTCGCTGCCCTCTTCACCTGGGGATCCATCTGCTTGTCCCACATTCGTTTCCGCAAGGCTTGGGCTTACCACGGCCACACCCTCGACGAGATCCCCTTCCGTGCCGCCGGTGGTGTCTACGGTTCCTGGTGCGGTCTCATCATCATCATCATTGTCCTCATCGCCCAGGTAAGTTTCCTCGCTCGTTGCCACCTTTTGTCTAAACACAAACTAATTTGCTTCTACAGTTCTACACTGCCATCTCTCCCCGTGGCTCCAAGGTTGGCACCGCCGAGGAGTTCTTCTCCGCCTACCTCGCTTTCTTCGTCGTCATCTTCTTCTGGCTCATCGGCTACTTCTGGAAGCGCCAGGGATGGCTCCGCACCGCCCAAATCGACGTCGACACTGGCCGTCGCGAGCTTGACTGGGACTACATCAACGCCGAGCGCGCCCGCATGGCCGCTCTCCCCACCTGGAAACGCACTCTCGCGAGGATCTTCTAAAGCAACTCCTTATACAATTCATAATACCCTTAGAACATTCTCCCTGCAGAGGTGGGAAGCGCGCTGTTGTTTAGCTCTCGGTCGGTCGTGTTTCTTTGCCTCTCGGTCTTTCTAGGCTGAGAAGTAAAGCAGCATCCCCGTGCCTTCTCTTATGTATATTAATACAAATCTTTGTACACAACTCTACAACTTTCTCCATCATCATCATCATCTCATAAAACGTGTGACACTTGATACTGTGTTTAGGGGTGTAGTTGAATTAACCTCTCCTCCATACACGCCTCGTCAGATTACACAGCCTATTCGGCCCCCCCTCTTCTTCGTTATCCCTCCCACGTGTTTGCGCATGTCTCGCCACCGTTGTGGTGGTCACACCGATCGTGTATATTCAACTAGGTATGCACTAGTCACCTAGAACTCGTAGATTCCACGTGCTGTATGGCGGCGCAGATATGTACATCATCACCACCATGCCAACTGTGGCGAAAAACACGAAACGAGGCAAAGGCTTTGCTGTATGGCTGGCGTAAACGAAGTCACGTGCTCTTATGGAGAGCCATGTGTGCAGGCCGCTACAAATTCGACCGCGAGGCTGGCTGGCTGGCTGGCTGGCTGGCTACTTCGCTGCGCACGCGACACAACCTTCCTTTCCCCCAATTCCATCCATCCTTCTACACAACCCCCCCTTTTTTTATTCCTCTTTCCCTCTCTTCTTTGATCAGGGATACATGTCCACCAACACAACAGTGCACAACATCCATTCCCGCAAACAACGCCGCTCCGGATCCTTCTTCTAGAAACTCACCCCCCTTCCTTCCATCCTTCCATCCTTGCATCCTTCCTTCTCCCCTGCAGCACAACTACCAACAAGAAAAAAGCTTATTTCAAAGGATTTCCAAAGGACATCATCCGTGCACTCTTCTTCTCTTTCGCGAAGTCCGTAGAATTATACTTTTTGTTTTGGCTAGCGCGGGTTTTCCTTTCTCTTATCTCTGGGCAACCAACTTTTTTTAGGGAAGGGGGTACGTGCGTAGTAGGGGCGCGAGAAAGGGAGGCCTTAATCAGCGCTATTTATTGTACCGAAGAATGAATTTGGATTTTTTGTTTGAAATGAGGATGGCGATTAATTGATTGATTGATTGATGATATTTTTTGATTCTATTTAGTTGATTCAGATACCTTTGACGTTGAGTAAGGTAGGATAAGATAAAGTAAGAAGTAGCTGGCGCTGATTCGAATAGATTGAAAGGGAGGATCGATAGTTTAGATAGATGGTGTGAGAGAGGGAGGCTCGTCCGTCCTATCCGAGCCAAACAAGCGCGAGAGAGAGTTTCGCCACTCTCTTCACTTCGGACATTTGTGTCTTTGGACAAGATACATAGATAGGCGGAGATTCTGAAATTGTGGGTTCTTCTGTATTAGAAGACTAGAGATTGGCATTAGGATTGAGTTTATTCCTGCTTATCTCCCGCTTGTTGGTAAACAGCGGGGGGGCGCGCGAGAGATAAGAATCTTTTAGTCTTTCTTTCAATCTGTTGCGTTGTTACGTCGGTGTGGGCGAGGCTATGTGGCGAAGTTCCAAGTGTCTGTTGTCGTGTGGGTGTTGGGTGTTGGTTCCGCGGTCAAATGCGGGATAGACCTTTTGCTTGCGCGCCTGCGCGCGCGCGTGCGCGTGTGTGTCCATGTAGGTGTGTGGGTTTTTAATGCGCGCCTTTTTGCTGTTGTCTATTTTTGGGAGACAAGGGAGGGAGGAGGGGGGAGCGGAGTTTAATATCGACGGGGCTGATAGATAGAGTTTGGTGGAAGATAGAGAGGGTGTTTGGGTTTGGTTTTGATGCATGCACGGTGGGTAGGTAGTTGGATAGGGTTCTATATTGCGATTACCTACAATACGAGAGGACGTTTTTTGGAATAGAATGAGTAAGCTTGGTTAAAGAGGTGTGCTTGGAGGAGAGGTGATGGTTGGTTTTTTGCGCTGGGAAGAGGATGTAAGTGGTGGGTGAGAAGAACGATTGTGGTTTCAATTAAAAAAGACGCGGACTGCTACAGAGTGTTTATGTTTGTACATTATCCGGGAACGCTCGCAGACGATGCACGATCGCATCGTGATATGAGCTATGAAACAGAAAGAAAGAGAGAGATAGAGAGACCAGTCTACCAAAGACGCCGTTACCAACCCCCCATTGATCAAATCAGAACAAAAGAAACAGCTTGCAAAGAACGTCCACTCTCCACATCTCTCTCCCATACGCCCATTCTTCCCTCACGAGCAGCGGGCAAACTCCCTGGTCGTCAATCCTCAATGCTCAATCCACTCCTCCAGTCCTGTCCCCATCCCCTTCGTGTTCCCCCGCCACCCCGTTGACGCCCTCGGCAGTCCAGATCCACCATTCCCTTCAGCGCAACTAGCCCCTCATAAACAGACCTACCCCTCAAGCGACCCAGATCAACAAGAACATGTTCCTCGACAAACGATCGCTTGTCCTCCGCTCCACGCTTCCCACCCTGCGTCTCGCACGCCGACGAGCCCTTCAAGATCCGTGTAGTAGCTCCTGACCTTCCACCCACCGCAGACCTAACAGACGTATCCAAAGACCCCAACGACCCACCATTTGCAGAAAACGATGGGAATCTCCTCTCCCTCATCCGCCACATCCTCGTCCTACGCCAGCGTTTCCCTCCTCTCGAAGAGATGGACCTGGATGAGCGAGACTCGGTAGACGAAGACGAAGGCACACACGGTGCTTTCCTAGGGAACAAAAACCGCGGACTCAGAATAGTTGCACTGCCTTCTGTCTGTGGGAAGTAGTACACCGACGCCACGGGAGTCGCCGCGCCGTTGCAGTCCCATGCCATGCTGACTGCGGAAAGCGGGGAGGAAGGGGAGGGAAGAGGGAGAAGCGGCGATGCGATTGTTTTCTTGTGTTGTGATGTCTTAGGGGCTTGATCGGCGATAGCTGTAGCAGTGGTAATGTCGTTTGCGGTGTTGAAGGGACGTGGTTTCGAGATGGAAAGAGGCGCTTGTTTCGTGGTTGGAGGTGGTGAAGGAGGGGAGGGACATGGCGTCCTCAGTATCTGCGCGAGTACGTTCGGGATACCGTAGCCCGGTGAGAACGGCGAGAATGGGGAAGTGCGGGGTGAGCGTTTCGACGAGGAGAGAGATTGTGGTGGTGTGGAGGGGGATGGCGTGTCTGGGTCCCAGTAGGACAGTGGTGGTATGGGTGGGATTGGAGAGGTAATAGTAATCTGGAGGCTGGTGGAGTGGCTGGTGCGCTTCCGGGAGATGGACGGATATGGAGGGTAGGTTGAGCGTCGGGGTGTTGGGGGACGAGCAGCGCGCCAGCTGTGGTGTGGGCTTTTTGGTTGCTGAGGAATGGGGAGGGATGGAGAGTAGGGGATTGTGACGGTGCTTGGGATCTGGATAGTGGTGGCGCGGGAGCGGGTTGTTCGCATTTTTTTGTCTCTTGCTGTTCTCGATTGAAGGTAGCTCAGGTTAAAAGTTGATGTTGTACTGCTGTGTGTTGATTTAATGGATGAGCGGATAACTAGACTGATAGATGGCTGCGGTGGAGGTCAGTAATGCGTAGCAATATGGACAAGTATCACTGACTGAAAATGATGACGAATAGTAGAGAAAGGCAAGAGATCGCGAGAAAGAATGATTGAATCCCCACTTGCTTGTCGCCGGATTTTGTAGGTCACGTTCGATGATATATATTGTTTTTGTGAGCCAACATTCGTATATAGGGTTGCCTACTTCAAAAAGCCATCAGCCCCTTTATTTGTCCTTCCCAGTACAAGGTCACATACTCGCCAAAACACTTCAAAGACACCGACCCAATCGAGCCTATCAAATGCACTGTGCTGATTCGCGACCCCGAAACCATATCCGATGTTATTTCAGCCCATTTGAAGAACAATATGAACGACTCCTCGGATATCCAATCAAGGATGTTTGCTCGTGGAATCGTAAAAGGGAAGAAAAGGAGACTAGTGGCATGGCCGCTCGTGTCAAAGACAATGATTAGATCACGATGCAATCTATGCTATGATCGTGAGTAGCAAAAATTTCAGTTCTGGTGTTTGAGCACGAGACAGGGGCTTATAAGCACCTGGATGGCTTTTCCAATCTGCACTGAAACCCCACACAGGTGGCTTTCTAGATCTGCACATGCAAGATTGGATAGAAGTGAGAAAACGACGTGCTCATCGTCAATCTGACTAGGTATCTATGATATTCTGCCAGTTTGGGCGAGCAAGAGGTGAGAAGTAGCTGTCATAAATTTAGAGGGGTAAGTATATAAACCCTGTTATCCCTCCTTTGTCTTACCTTTCTCTGTAGTATTTCGTGGATCGTGAAGATAATAGTGACTACAGGACTTATGCAGCTTCATATCTTCCGACGTGATATGTGTTAATTACATCAATGCTCTGAATGAACGTTATTTTAGTGAGGGAAATTATTGATGGTCATCATTATTACTATGTTCTACTGCTTACGGGCAGAGGGGAGGCGAGAGAACGGACTGTGTACTGCGAACATATGATTGTATTGCTCGAGGTGATAATAGCAAGCACATTTTCATGATAGACAGTCAATTTCGTACTGAATGTTATATGCTATCGATTTATGACTACAGTAATGCTGACTATTTGAGATTAAGGCTCTGGATCGTAATTCGCTAGAATAATTATGTGGAAGGGTAAAACAGAAGGGATTTTCATCATTCGTTCCATCGACCATGATTTCTTTTTCAATGTCTCATCCCCTAATCTTACTCGTAGAACACCAAGCACCTGACTTCAATGCTCTGCCTTCCCGGTGCGTCCGCTGGTGTCTGAGGATCCACGAACGCCGTGTGCGGTGTCCTCACTGCAATTCCACTTTGACCCAAAGGCTCGCCCTCTCCTCTTGAATCATAGCACTTGAGCAGCATGGTTTCCTCTGGAGTCATGTCTTTCATGTAGTAGAACTTGTGGTTCTCGTTGGGCGCTACGCCGAGGGTCTCGCCCTTGACCGAGTAGCCGACCGTAGAATCATAGGAGTTGGGATCGGGATTCTGCTCCTTGCCGCGATCATCATCATCCTCTGTATCGCGAGTCGGGTACATAAGATCCACGGGGATGAAGTCGGACGGCGTAGTAGACCTCCAGTCGATGACGGCAAGTGGCATGTCTGAGGCAGGATTTTCGATTGGTCGCCATACGTTGATGATCTGATACCTTCCTTTCAGAAGATCCTCTGCCTCATCTTCGGGGAGGTGGCGGCGCACACGCACTTCAGCGGCCCCGGGCGTTTGGTCCACATGAACTTGCTGCACGGGCTGGCGAGGCGCGTCTTTGTTCCTGCGGCGGATGGTATGGTCGAATATGACGACTTTTTTGATTCCAGGAATCTTAGACTTGAGCATGCTTTCTACTTCGGCATAGTACCCATTTCGCACTGCGGCATCGTCTGTGAATAGCTTCTCTTGCGCGGGATGCTTATAAACGGCAAACCCGGAATTGTCGGTTGTAAACTCGGATTCGCGTCCGCGGATGTTGTGAAGGGTCCTCTGGTGATCTTTGAGCTGGAAAGAAGTGCCTGGCCCATCAACTTTACCCCAGGGCTTGCCCGTGTAGGAGGATTGGTCAATGTGACGGAAAGTTGCGGTGGTCATGTTTCGGGAGTGGCGAGAGATGTGCGCAATTGGTTGTATCGTTCGGCGAGAAAGCTGTGTGATTGGCTGTGTTCTGGCAATAGAAGAGTGCGAGATTAAATGCTGAATGCTGCGTGACATGCGAGTGAAGACTTTGAGGTTGTTTTTGGAGATGCGATTCAGTTGTCGGGGGGTTCAGATGGGTTTATATGCATCCAAAAGAAGTGACAATGGCAGTAGGAGGTTTTCCGTGCTTAGAAATTCGGGCTCAATGACGCCATTCGGGGTTTGCTCGGGAATTGACCAATCATCGTCAGGCTCGCCTCACTGACAAACCACTAGATTTGAAATAATCATGTCTACCTCATATGAGTGTCAACACTGACCGTTCCGCTTATATTATTCAGACGTTAGTTGTTCTTCATCTATTTCCTAGATATGATTACTCAACTAATATCCGCAGGCATCAACGGATAGTAAGCCGGAGATATCTTGGAGTATCGGGAATTTCTCACGAATACTGCAAGAGTTGTTAGTTTCTGTAAGCTACCACAACATAGCTGTCACGATAGGTACAGAGATGCTTGCGATCGAATAGTTCGACATAGAATGAACATGGTTCCGATTGGGCTTATGATCAGCTCCTTTATGTCCGTTATACTACGATTGGAAGTAGTGATGGAACGTTGTAGTTCCAGTCGTCATATCTACCAGCTATGACATATGTCAAACCACTTAGCATATCCGAATCTGGTCGTTCTATGAGTTAATATTCACTCAGCTTGGTGGGAAACTACAGATGCCGGGTAGAATGGAGAAAGACCGTGGATCTATTCAGCTGACTGCAGGCTCGCTCACTGGCATGCAGTGCGCTAAGCAACTACGGGAATGCTGCTAAACTTGTCAGCTTCATATGGAGTGTAATGGTGAGAATGTTTATGAATATTGCGAAGATCTATGAGAATGTTGGAAGCTGGCCGGGGTTTGGATGGTCGTATGAATTCATCATTACCTACCCCGCTGAATAATATCCATATGCATGCAAGCCATCACGCGAATCTGCGATTTGCCACCACATTAGACTGAATGATCTTGTGCCTCAAATTGGGCTATGAACACTGATTTGACCCCGTGGATCCTGGCAGCGTCGAAATGCATGCTTACTAAACGAGTATTTCGCGGAATATTCTTATAAGGTGTCAGTACTTGTCCCTACCTTTCTACTGCCTCTAGAGTCCAAAGATCATGCGTGGTATATGGAATGCAGTCTTCCAGGCACCGGGTACACGTCACTCCCAACCTTCACCATGTACGAATTCCAAAAAGTGTTATTCTGCGCTTGCAGTCAAACACCCGCATTCGCGTTGCAAGCGCTTGAGTCGTGTTCGCGATCCTGTGGGGGGGGGGGGGGGGGGGGAGGGACGAAACACTGTGCACATCCCGTCCCTCCCGTGCATTAGCGCAAACACCGAGATGTTTCGAAGTTTGCGATTCCGCGAACCGAATATGCGAACTATGCGATAGAAGTCAAGGTAAGTACACGACTACAAGTGTTGAGAGAAATTCTGGAGACTTGGAGACTTGAATATACTGTGGTCAACGTCCCTATCTTGTTTTTTTATCGTTGTTTCTCTGTAGCGGTAGCGAGATGCTTGTGGGGGAGGCGGAGGGTTGATCTCTTTACTTCCTAATCAGCATTCGATTCGATAGATGGAAGGAGAGTGGCGTGAGCTAACATGCTGTGAAGCACACACATGTGCAGGGTAAAACAGATTTAAATATAAACAAGCAGAAATAGTATACGTACCGCCCAAGCTAAGAGGTCCGTAGTAACCATCCCCGATTCCGAGTCGAATTGAGAATACTGAAAACAAATCCAGTTATCATAGCGTATTGACATTCGTCAAAAAACACAAGTGGTATGAGTATGCGTAGGGTACGAAACGGTAATCCCTACACAAAGTAAGTATGCATTAGCGTAGTCCTGGAGCGTACACTCGAGGTTTCAACCCCACACCTTCTCATTAGATATGATTGGAGGGTGCGGGCGGAGGGTCTTGGATCCGAGAAATTGCGGTCTTGGATGGTGGTGGTTCTTGGGATAGCGTGTGTGTGAGGGCGGATGTTGATCAATGGAACGAGTTTGGAAAGCAGCGGCTTTTGGAAGAAGATGATGTCCGAACGGTCTACGCATTTTGTTGCGAGAGATCTGATGGGCAAAAATCAATTTGCACAAGTGTGAGGTCGAAAAGTACTGCAAGGGTTGGCGGTGGATGGTGAATCCACATACTTTTGGATTCGCGGTTGGTTAGGGTGTGCCTAGCCACGACGATCTGGATTGCGCATCCTAGTTTCAAGTCCCGTAGAACGAGTTGATTAAACAGTTCTGAATCGCTCAAGGTAGGCACCAAACACCAGATAATGGTAAACTATCGGTTCGAGATCTACATCGCGCATGAGAAGTACAGGATTCTTAGGCAAGGAATCCACAGATTAAACAATCATGAATCACACAAAAGACACGGGGCAACGATTAACATCTCCGAAGCGCATACTCGACGTTTCAACTGCCAACCCACCTACTTCGCCGCACAGTACTGCCAAGCGATATCCTGACAAATTTTCATTGTTCTTGCTTTTTTGTTTGAGGGGTTTTCGTGTAGATGAACGGTTGCGTGGCGCCCACACCAGTACCCAGCCCCAGTTAAATGGTGCAGCGCAATCAGCATCAGCCAAAACACTGTTTCTGTTTTGCAATCCGAGTTAACGTTCAACACCCTCACCTACCCCTTTTCTTCTCTCTACAATCTCTGTCCAGGACGTAAGCTTCAGTTTTCATTTCGTGTTAAAAGGCGGTCTCGACCTTTGTTGACTGGTTTTCAACCTCATTTTTCCATAACGCTTGGGATCAGGAATCGTGAGAGTCGTGTTCGGCCTGAGGCTGCTACCCTCCTTTCTTCTTTTTCTTCTCGTCTGCTCCAAGGGATTTACTTCTCTTTCTCCTTCACGCTTATTGTTTTATACTTCTCTCACTCCGATTTTCTTCCATTCAACCATCGAACGTCACCGAGCCTCCTGGGCTACGACTTTCAAACGATCAAGTATGGCCGCCGGCGGTCCTTCATAGCTAATCAGTTCTTTGTTCAAAAGCATCACTCTTACATACAACATCATACCCGTACATACAGCATTTTTAATTTCATTTGCAATTGTTCTCACATTCAACGACGAAACGAATCATGGCTATTAAACGATACCGAAGTACTGGGCGCTCATTATCGACACGACGAGTTCCAGGATATAAGAGGAGGTCTCGCGTGGGCGCGAGACAAGAGGGTGGCCTGCCAGGGAAAGGGAAAGGAACTGGCGACGAAGGTCCTGCGCTACCTGAAGCGAAGGGGAAAGGGAAGGGGACAGGTGATGCTTCTCCACCGGGTCAGGATCCGGGGTTAGGTGCAGATGCTCCTCCACAGGCACAGCCTGGAGCGGATGGGAATGCTTCTCCCGCACCTGATGGAAATGGTCCCCCTCAAGGCGTGGGCAAAGGCAAAGGACAGGGGAAGAGTGGCGCTTCACCGCCGGGCCAAGGTCCTCCAGATGCGAATGCTCCTCCGCCAGGCCAAGGACCTCCAGATTCGAATACTCCTCCACCAAATCAAGGTTCCCCAGATCCAAATAGTCCTCAACTACCTCAGCCCGCCCAACAACCTGGGAATCCCCCCGAGGTCGCGGCCAAAGGGAAGGGAGGAAAAGGGCAAGGAAAGAATGACAGTCCACCATCGCCACCAACACAAGATCAAGCTCCAGCTCCAGCAGCCCCGTCTGATGCTCCTCCCCAGCAACAACAACAACCTGATCCCGCACAGAGCGGTGCTCCTGATGCAAAAGGAAAGGGGAAAGGGAAAGGGAAGAACGACGCTCCTTCACCACCACCACAACAACAGGACCCCGCTCCCCCTGCCAATACGAATACACCACCGCAGCAACAGCCAAGTGGTGCTCCAGATCCCATAGGGAAAGGAAAGGGGAAGGGAAAGGGAGGCGCTCCTCCGCTAGATCCAGCTCAATCCAGTGCTCCTCCGCCACCGCCTGGACCCCCTCAGCCTTCTCAAGGTCCCCCGCAGCCGCCGCCGCCGCCACCTCCATCTGCTGGTATCCCTCCCCCTCCGGCTGCTGATACACAGTCACCGCCGCCACCGCCACCTGCTCCCTCCACTAGCTCATCTACAAGTAGTACATCTACAACGAGTTCATCCACAACTACCTCAGCGTCGTCTTCAACTGAGTTCTCCGTATTTTCATCAACTCCCGAATCAACACAGACTGCGTTCATTACAGTCACATCTCTGAGAGGAAAAGGCGAAGGGCCAACTTTCACGACGACACGCGCTATTGGCTCAATCACTATTCAAGATGACCCAATCACTGTCACTATGGGCTCTACAGCAACAGAGTACTCATTCACACCCGGCGTCAACCCAGCAAATCCTACCAACACAGCAGGGGGAGTGATAGGTGTCAAAGCGACTGAACGCGGGTTTTCAAACACCGCTAAGATTTTACTCATCACACTTGGAACCGTCGGTAAGTTCCATCATATGATTTTATATTCCGTGGAAGATGTCGCTAACGTACTAAAGGTATCATATCTCTCTTGATTTCACTTGGCATCATCTTCATGCGAAGAATGAAAAGAAGGGGCACCGAAAGCTTACTCAGAACGGTTGTCACTGCCCCACCTGACAGATTTGTCCCACTGAGAGAAGATGAGAAACCGCAGACAATGACTCTCATATCAAGCCTACCACCGCAGACCCCCTTCCGTGTGTTCCAAGGAAAATATCAACCTGCCCAGAAACAACACGAACAGCACGACGTTGGTGGAGAGCCACCAGAGAAAGATCCGAGTTTCGGTGTGCAAGGCCAAACTGAGGATGCACGACCAAGAGGAGAGCGGTCATTTAGTGCTGGGATGGAGTCATTCTTTGCCAAAGCGAGGAGATCTTCCTACAACTACAAAGTCAGCCCTTAGGCTGCGCACATCACACTGCCACTGTATCAATTGTAATTCTTATTGCACTGTATATTTTAATAGGGTCTGACAAATAATTTTTTTCCATTTGAAGCAATGCTTCCGGTTCGGATTTTTGTTTTGCCGGGAAATTCCAAATGCTGCTACACTTGCCTGACATGTTCCCAAACCTCACGCGTTTCATGTGTTGTGATGAGGTTCCCGCCCCACACACCCAACAAAACCACACAAGCACCACCGGCCTTGCGAATCTAGAGCTGCAACATGACATAGCTCGCCTTCCTGTCACTTTCAACACTTCGTAAGCTTCGAGATTACTGGTCAAACTTGGCATGTTGTCCTACAACGAAGAGTATTTCCATTCACCTTCGCTGGCGAGCTTTTCTCGTCACCCATCATCGATCTCGTGACGATGGGATCCCTATACGAACCTTCGGTGCGGAGTAGTACATGGTATGTGATAGACAAGCGTTTATCGCAACGCTTCACAACACTCGAAGGATGGCGCGAAATCGGTCTTGGGATCTATACCATGGGGAGTTCCAACATTCGCATGTTCTCGCCCCGCAATCAATTCGACCCAGAGAGCTTTCGCGATGAGACCGACGACATTATTTATACGACTTCCCCGGATGCGCCGCCTGTACCCAGCAAGAAGACCCTTTCTCTAATCGAGTACAAGACAACGGCCGCATCCTCGGTGTATCCTACAGACGAAAAGTCGACCCCGAGTCCGGATCAACGCCTCTCGACAGTGAGCTTTTATGAGGTGGTAATACCGAAGCCAGAGAAGCCACGTCTCGTGGAACCGTACCATGTCTTCACCGACAAGGAGAAATGTATCGTTGTTGCGATTGTGTCTGCGACTGGAATGCTGCCCGTCTTGACGTTCTACACCTACCTCCCGGGGATCATGTCGATTGCCACGGTATGTTTGTTCATCGACAACACTGATCGATACATACTGATCCAGAACTAGGATCTTCGAGTGAGCGTTCAAGCAATCAACTTCTCTATTACTTTCTTTCTTCTCGTCCAGGCGATCGCACCGATCTTCTGGCTTCCTCTCATAGACACTCTAGGCAGACGGTCGGTGTACATGTATTCACTTCTAGTCTACATTATCACAACCATCAACCTTAGTCTGTCGACCAACTATGTCATGCTGCTAGTCAGCCGTGGTTTCCAAGCCGCAGGCGTAGCTTCCATCGTTTCCATCGGCTGCGCCGTGATTCAAGACATTGTCCCCGCCGCCTCACGACCTGCGTACTACTGTATCTACCAACACGTCCGCAACGCCACTCTCCTTATCTCTCCCATCATCGGCGGCGCCATGACCTCCTCCCTCGACTTTCGCTGCGTCTTTATTCTCCTTTTCGCCCTAGCCCTAACCTACTTCGCTTTAATCCTCATCTTCCTCCCCGAAACCCTCCGTCCCATTGCTGGTAACGGTACCGTGCCCCTCCGCGGCATGAATCTCCCTCTCCTCTATCGCCTCAAGCTCTTCGGCTCTCCCCCTCACGAATCCCCCCTTCAATCCGCACGCCACCATCCCCCAATCTCCCCGCAAGCCATTCTCCGCCCCCTCCATCTTTTCCGCGAAAAAGATATCCTTCCAAACCTTCTCTTCCCAGCCATCGTCCACGCTATATGGATCATGGTGACAGTATCCACAACGCAACTATTCCGCTCCGCATTCCCAACAACCTTCCACACAAGCACAACAGGCCTCCTCTTCATCCCCAACATCCTCGGCTGCATCGCCGGAACCTCTCTAATAGGAAACCTCCTCGCCTCCGACTTCTCCGCCTCAACGTCCGCCTACAAAGCTGAAAACAACCTCCCCGCAACAATCACAATCTCGAAACTCTCGCTGCCGTCTGACTTCCCGCTCGAACGAACACGGTTGTCAAGGTTGCCGGTGTTGATAGTGTTGTTTGTACTCGCGACTAGCTTTTATGGGTTTTCGTTGATGTATCACGCTGTTACTACGCTCTCTGCTTGGCCAATGGTGCCGCTGCTTCTCCAATTCGTCATCGCGACCTCCGCGCATGCAATTTGTGGGATCCACCAAACGCTCGTTTCGGATCTCTGGCCTCTCGATGCCCCTGGGGCAGCCGTCGCCGCGAATCTCGTCAAGGGGGTGTTTGCGGGTGCAGGCGTCGCGGGTGTGCAGTGGATGGTTCGTGCTGTTGAAGTCGGACCTGCGTTTTTGGGGCTGGGCATGTTCGTCTGCGTTGGAGTGCCGCTAGTTGTTGCTGAGTGGGGGTGGGGAGCTGCCTGGAGGAGAGAGAGGGAGGAGAGGCTTGTTAGAGGGGGGGTTGTCGATAGGGGGGTCGCGTAGGTTCTTTGTAGAGATACTTACTTTTCTTACTTTCCTTTACTCTTTTTTTTTCATTTGATTGGTGGCATCCTTTTTCTCGTTCTTCTCTGGTTAAGAAGTGAGGTTTGCCCCCATCTTTTTATGGCTTACAGCAGGCTCTGGGATATTTCCTTTGTAGTAGCGGTGGTTGGACGGTACGGATATGTACGATGATGCATGCATGCGCTGGACGTAATTATAGTATTCATTTATATAGTAAAGTAATGTCACCCCCCTATAAATCTCAAGAAGGCCGTTGCAGTTGCCCGTCGATAGTTGATCCATGTAATCTTTTTTGGAAAATGCTCGCCATTCCCAGAATGCTTCTAATTTCTAGTCTATGAATCGTACGCACGAATTACTATATATCCAGCTTCCTTGGGGACGGATAGTTGGCCACGGGCTGAATGGAAACGATATTAGGGTCAAATCCAGTGGCCCCGCAACACTCATTCACACCCTAAGATACGTCCTCTTCGCAATCGCCTCCTGCGACAACTGCGTCCCATCAATCTCATGTTTCGGAACCGGCAACTGTCTCCCCCCAATCTCATACTCAGGCCACACTCCATCCATCTCATGCAACTTCGACGGATCATGAAGAGGGTAAATCTTATCCCCAAAAGAACTTCCACGTAAAGTCGAAGACGAAGACTGCGGTTTCGCGCGCTCCATCCGCTTCTTCCGCCGCGAAACAAGCAACCCAATCATCCCAGCCAAGCATGCGACAGCAGCTGCAGCACCTAGACCGATCCCCACCCCAGCGGCTCCAGAAAGTCCCGAAGAAGGCGCAGCCGTTGGGGATCCAGCGGGAGATGTAGAAGGTGCTGGAGCGGACGCATTGGGCGCACCAGAAGATTCGGAAGAGCTGGTCGCGCTGCTGGGAGTCACCGGTGGCGTGATTTCTGGTGGTGTGGACGATGTTGAATTCGCTGCGGGTGTAGGTGTTGGAGTCGGCGACAACATCGCTGAACTGTCCACCTCCCACCACTCTGGTACATCTTCTTTAAGATTCTCCTGCACATCCGTCGCATTCGCCACTGCACCGGTGAGTGGGTCGATATGGAATACTTGATCTTTATCGCAATTGCAGTCTTCGCTGCAGCAGTAGCGGTTCATGCCGCATTTGCGCATTCCGTAGCCAGCATTGAACCTATCATAGGAAAAATTCCATTAGTCTAAACTGAAAATTTTTTTGGGGGGGGGGGGGGAATGGATGTTATGTACCCTTTGGGACATAAAGGCGAGCAACCTTTCCAATCACGATCTGCGCAGTACTCCCGACTGACTTTGCCATTTCCAAGGCAGAGCAGGTTTGAACCGCATTGTTGACCGCGCATACAGCAATTGTTTGTTCCTCTGCCACACGATACGAGTTCAGGCCCATTGTACGCTGGTGCACTCAGGGCGGTAATACCTAGTTTGTAGTGAGTACAAGTAAACTAGGAGAAGGTGCAGGGGTAACTAGTAACATACCTGAGAGTGCATAGCAATCCCCGCGTACGCCCGTTACGAGCATGAGAATCTGAGCAATAGCTAGAAGCGTGGCCGTTTTACGATGACCATTCATTTTGAAATGATTAATATTTTCTATTCTTTGTGCATCTCAAGAAGGGCGAAGATCCTAGTTATTGTTCTATAGACAGACAGACATATATCTAAGACGTAAAGCAAAATAGGTATAGAGCGGGGCGTACCCGGGCTCTTGGCTGTCATCATCCTACGGAAAGTTAAAGTACTTCACGGACTGTAACCGAGCGTACAAGTTAATCGAAAATTAACGGTGTTTGTGGGAAATGGACCCAACAGGAAGTGGCTGTGTGCGAGAAACATAAGCAATTCGTGCTTTGGCAAGTCCTTTAATTTCATTCCTTGCTATTCTGGGTCTGGAGTATATGACGTTGACCAAATTCATAGATTGAGATGCGAGACTTCGAATGTTAAGACCAGAGGGAAAGGAAGTAAAATGGGGCGGAAATTCAACAGTATCGAGTATGTCGGGAATGCGCAACTTCATCTTGGTCCTACATACATCTCAGAGTACGGTAAGGCTTTACGACACGTGCCAATTCATACAGTTCAGCAATCGCGCGAGTTAACGCAAACGTCACTTTAGGGCTATCACAGCATAGCTGAACACCAGGGCTATGACACTAACTAGCACAAATGGCGATGACTATCCTCTATCTATAGAAAGCGCACTGTACCCATATCGCCCACGGCCTTTTAATCACCCCAAATCGATGCCCCACTTTCTAAGCATACATTGCACTCATTCGCATTGGTGCATCACTTGCACTGCATTCTTCACGGGATTCTCATTTCCCCATCCACCAACCTAGAAACCACTCAAAAGACATGAGACAAGTGACCAATTACAGGCAGTCACGGCTGGCCAACGATGTACAACTGCTATAGGGCTGAAATAAGCTCGAACACCTGGTAAGGCGAACTGCACGAACGGGAATTGCCCATCTCACCAGTAAAAGCGCGTACAGGAATAAAACAAAACTCATCTCGAGGAGATTCGAGCTTTGCAGTTTATCGGCTATGATATCCGGCTTGGAATAGTAATCTGCAATCTGGTTATATACATCAAGATGCGATAACCACGACTAATAACCAGTTTCTCGTAGCATGACATAAGTTAACCATATATGAATTATCACCGAGTTGTCACTACGTCGCAACTTCCCCTTCCGAAACCCTTCCATCCTCACTCGACCAACAAATTTCCACTCCGCCGAATTTCCCATGAGTAAGCTGCATGCAACATTGGTAATAGTCGATGACTTCGCCCCCGTCCAATCAGACTCTGTCGGACGATTTGTGCGGCTGAAGCTGGGGGCCATTTTGATCGTAGGGTGGTGAACACGGAGCAAGAAAAAAAAAATAGTTTGTCATTGGCCCATTCCCTCTACACTTCCACGAAACACTAGCCCTGAAAAATTTCCCGGTGATCTATGGGGATGAGTTTGGGCGAGGGGGGGAGGGAGTTGGTGTCAAGATGTGCAGCTTCACAGCACGCTGTAGAGTAAGTCAAATCGTCTTGCACAGCCGCGCACGCACCATTTAAAATCTATATCCATACAAGCGCAGGAGGAAGAATTGGTATAAATCTTGATATTTGCGTTCTCCTACACAGCAACTTAGTCTCTACATAAAAAATAAACAAATATAAATATATCTATAGTTCTGTTCTCCGCCACTATTCTTAGCAATGCAGACCTCATCTCCCTATTGTTTAAACTCTATTACATCCTCCCCCCAGCTGTGAGCCTATCGTGCCCCTCTTAACTGTCCTCTTCTCCTCTCCTCTTCCTAATTACTAGTCACAAAAGTAAACCTTGAACGACTTAATTGAAACATCCATTCTCTTCATTTCCTTGGGCTTCTGCTCTTGGGGGATTAAGACTTATAACCTACTAGAATAAAATTTATATGATAGGGAGCAACAATCACGGTAGCAAAGTTCTTCTTGTATCTATACTTTGATTTAAACATCTCTGCTACATCTTCTATATCTAGTATTCTATCTTCCGTCGCAAGCATGTGTGTGATGAAGGTGTATGTTATGCCAGATGTAGTTTGTATTCTTTAAGTATACTTGATTGGTGATTGTGTTGCAAGGGAAAGGAGTAGGAAGTAAGTAGATTATAGTAAATTTAACTTGTTAGGGACCGAGCAAAGGGGGTAAAAAGAATAATAGTATAAGAAAAATACAGTAGGGATGTAAAGAAAACGCAAACCTGAATTCCTAAAAAAAGATGATAAGAAAGAAGAAGAGGAAAGGAGGGAAAGCAAAAGAGATATGAGAGGATTGGAATGAGCCATAATCAAAGTTTCGCAGACAGCGCAAAAATCTCGTGCGCACCGCTCTCGTCCTCCCCCCACCTCTTCTTCCTCTCCTGCTCTTTCCTATCATCGCCGCCAACAACAACAACAGCAACACTCTCGTCCTCCTTCTCCTCACTCCCATCACCCCTCCACCGCCCGTCCTCGAGGAACCCATACTCCCTCCTCCACCCAGCAAGCATATCAACCGTGACATTGCTCCCCCCACAAAGCACGACGACGACCTTCTCGTCTGCGCGCATCTTCCTGCCCAAGACCCGCTCAAGCCGCCCATCGTAGCACAGCGCGACGTTGACGCCGCACGCGAGCTCGACCATCATGCCCTCGTCGTCGGCGAGGCGCCAACAACCCATGGCGGCTTCGGCGTCCGGGAGGACGGCGGAGACGACGTTGGGACGGCGCGCGTAGGCGAGGGTTTGCGGGGTGACGCGGGCGCAGCCTAGGGAGGTTGCTAGGGATGTGATGCGCGGGAGGGTGAGGAGGGTGTTTGCTTTTAGGGAAGCGTTGAGGGAGTCTGCGCCGAGGGTTTCTAGGCCGATGATTGTGGGGTGTTTGGGTTCTTTCTTGTTTGAGGGAGAAGAGGGGGGAGATGGAAGGGAGTCGAGCGATTGCATGATGCCGTTTAGGAGCCCGCCTCCCCCGACCGAACAGATGATGACGTCTGGTAACTCGCCGTCTGGCATCTGTCGGGCAATCTCGTGCATCACGCTCGCGTTGCCCTCCCAGATATCGGGGTGGTCAAAGGGTGGGGTGTATATGGCTCCCGGGCCGGCGTGCGGCATGACTTCCTCGCGCATGTAGCGATCTGCGTCTGCCCAGGCGTTGCCGTGTTGCAGGACAGCGTGGGCCCCGGCGGCTTTGATGCGGTGAACCATAAGAGGTTTGATGGTTGTGGGGAGGACGACGGTGCAGGGGAGGTTGAGGGTGCGTGAGGCGTGAACAGCGGCTAGGCCGGCGTTGCCGCCTGAGGAGCAGAAGATGTGCGGCGTTGTGGTGAGGGTTGGAGGGAGCTCGGAGAGGCGGGCGAGGATGTAGTTTCCGATTCCTCTGTAGGGGTGTTAGTTTGCTGGGTAGAATGAAGGGATGGGAAAGGGGGGAACGAACCTTGATTTGAAAGAGCCGGATGGTTGGAGGTTTTCGAGTTTGAGGAAGATTCTGCTTCTACGATTTAGAACTCTCTAATCATGTGGTGGAAGGATGTAATTGATTCATGTTGTGTAGTGGGAATGACGAAGAGGAGATACGGTAGAGAACGATTTGGTGGCAGTATGATCAAGTCACAAGCAAGGCATGGAGACGGATAGGAAGTAGAAAAGCAGAAGAAGTGTGACCGTACCATCCTGCAGCCTGAGATAACGCGTAGGATTCCCTCAAAGGCGTCTCGACCCATGGCCTCGCCTGCTCCTGCGATGACTGAAGTGAGTCCTGCAAAGCCATCTTGATGTGACGTTATGAGCCGTATAGGGGAGCTCGACGTAGGTCAGTGTTCGATGGCGAGAGTGACAGAACAAGAGCAACTACAAAAGAAGATCAAAACAATACTGGAGTATTCAGAGTGAAGTACCGCACGTAAATCCAAGTTGGACGGAATGGTGATGAATAGAAGGCCCTTGAGAGGACTGACGACCGTTTTATACTTCAGATTGTTTATCTTTTCAACTGCACGGTCGGCGGTTCGTCTCCACACCGCACCTCAAACCAAGCTTGCATGCAGTCATGCAACAATCACCGACCCAGGGGTAAGTATCTCTTACCCTATAACCCACCGCGATTACCCTATAGCTACCTCGATAAGGCAAACTGTTACCCCATCGCATGCAGCCGAATCGGGAACAACAGAGCGCTAGCAAGACATCACCATGCGCTTGGGCTAGCGCTGGGATGGGTCTGCAATCCAAGAACGGATGGGCGGTCCATGCGGTTATCAGCGGCAGACAGTTCCTGGGGTTCTGCCATGTAGCTCCGCCTTGATTATCAGCTGCTTGGCGCTTGCTAGTGAGGATACACAGGTCTGCAAACAAGCCGAGAGAAAGATTGTGAGAGATTGTGATTGTTGTGGCTGCAGATCCAATTGGCGGTGATCAAACTTCGTGCGCAATTCTAGAATTTGATAGCTGGCTTGTGACTTGGGTTATCGGCGCGCGATAAAAGCAAAAGCCTTGGTGGTTACTGAAGTACCAGGGACCCTCGGAGCGGATGCGGGGAGACGATAGGGCATCCGTCGGGAAAGCCCACTCGTGCACGGAAAACCGTACTGGCCGTACGCAAAGTGGTCCTCCTGCCATGTCAGACTGTAATGATAGCGTTAGACTTGCACAAGAGTGGATAGTAGAGTAGAGAGATAAAACGTCAGGTATCATGGTCATGATGCGAGACGAAAAACTTGTTGAATTGGACCTCCCATAACGCCATCCTGGTATCAATGCACTTGGTGTGTCTCACACCCATTCTTCTCTTTTGCGCCCAATATTTTTCCACGTCATGTGTGAAGTTTAAGCTACCGCCTCAGTCTGCTCGAGCAAGCCTTTTCTATAGTTCCAGTAATGGGCCCTAATGGGGTCATACTTGGTCGCCAGCAGATCCAATGCCTTCTTAGCGTCCTGTTCGCTGCCTTTCTCTTCTGCATAGATGTCAGCAAGTAGATCGAGGGCATGGCTAGAGTAGATGTCATCCGGGCGGCGCATGTCTGCAAACTCGAGCGCGAAATCTTTGAGGGTCGAGGTTGGCAGCTTCTGATGGCGGACAACGCCCTTTAGGTAATTCCATGGGCACTGGTTTTGCGGCGCTTTCCGGACCTCGCGTTTGGCAAAGTCCAGCTCCCGCTTCACCGTTTCTTCCGACAAAGGCTTTCCGTCAAGGCCTGCGACGACTAAGAACCAGCGGTGGTTCCAGGCCGAGTTGTTCCTGACGTCAGTATCGATCATGCCCTCGGTCCACCTCAATTCCTCGTCGTCCTTGAAGAGATTGAAACGCTTCACCAGCCATTGCCTATAGCTCCACACGTGGTAGTTTTTCGAATCCTGCTCAAGCATGGTAGATATGAACTCGGGCTCACCGGCGGGAGAGCCGATGCCGTTGATCATGGTTTGACGGTGGTGCCAGATTTGGTAGTTCTTGAGGTGCTTGAGGGCGGTGGGGTTCAGCCATGCGATTTCGTCTTGGAGGGAGGCTTCGAGCTCGGAGAGGGTTTTGGCGCGGTAGAGCCTAGTGGTTGTTGTTAGTTGGGTCAGGTTGATCATGCCTGGGAATCAACACACCAGACAGTGTAATGCGCCGGGTTCATGGATATGATGTGTTCGGTGAGAGCCAGCACTCTCTGGCTGAATTCGTTCTTGGCCATGACAGCGCGCAGATAGCCCATGGCTTCACTGTACTCCTCCGTGTATGCGATGGCGGCGAGCGGGTGCAGCCCGCCGTCATCCTGTGCTATGGGTTCGATGTCAGCCCAGGCCGGGTCTTCGCGGTAGGTTGTTGCCATGGTGAGGCGGGGGGTTGACGGGAGGCTGGAGAGAAGAGGAAGATGTACAGACGGGCAGAGAAGTAAGGTGACTGGGTATAAGCGATCAATGGTTGCGGCTCGCGGTGGGGTAACAAGTAAGCGCGCGGCAGCTTTGCTTCTTAAAGCAATCGCGCGCTTGGCATCCTTCTCTCATCATCTCGAATGTTTCTTTGAAGAGTCATCACCACTCTATACTTGCACGCAACAATACTAAGCACCACAAAGGAATACATTGGACATGTCATGAATACCGTTTCCGGCTTCAAGGCGACAATCCAAACTAAACAACCATTCTGACCAACAGCTTATCCCCGTCGACAATCTCCTCCTTCATGCTCTCCAGCTTCTCCACATCCCACGGAGCAGCAACATATCTTCCAGACAGCCACTCTCGATTCTCGGCCGTCAGCCACACAGTGAACCCTGCCGCCAACTCGGGCGTATCATTTAGATAACCCTCGAGTTGCGTCTTCCCCTCCGCAATCTGCGTCTGCACACCACCGGGATGCATGCCTACGCAAATGATCCCCTTATCCCCATACTCCACCTTCACGAACTCTGAGAGACGGAGCGACGCAAGCTTGCACGTATGGTAAGCCGACGCACCGGGGATGAAGGCGTGTGCTCCGACGCTGGTCATGTTGATGATGTCTGTGTCGTAATAAGTATACCCTCGTCCATCCCAAACAAAACCTTCCAAAGAAGAAGGATTGTATGAGGGGATTTGTATAACAGGGAAGAAAAACATACCGGCTTTGCCACCGTGTTTCTCCGCAGTCTTCACCATCAACGGCAAAAGCGCATGCATGAACAGATAAGGCGCTTTCACGCTGACTTCGTAATCCCACCACCAGTCCTCTGGCTTCGACTCTGCCAAGGGGACCCAAGCTCCTGCCGCTCCAGCATTCTAGCATCCGTCAGCAACCCGCATTCTCACATGCACATCTCCACCTCTCTCTTCCTCCCAAGGGGAAAAAAAAACACCCCCCATCAAGCGAGAATTCTCAAAGACAAAGGGTTGGTGTTTGACCAAGGAACTCACATTAACAAGTACATCCAACCTCCCCACTTCCCCCTCAACCTCCTTCCCCAACGCCTGGACGCTCTCAACACTAGTGACATCCACCGCTTTCACAAGCACTTTGACCTCGCCGTTCACCCCTTCAATCTCCTTCTTCACTTCCTCGAGTTTATCCGCGGATCTCGCCGCGAGGATGATTGTCGCTACGTTTGCGTGCGCATACTGTATCGCGATGGCTCGACCGATTCCGCGGGATGCGCCGGTCACGAGGACGGCTTTGCCGGGCTGTTTGAGGGACGGGGTTTGAGCGGCGGAGATGGCGGGGTAGATGTCTGCGTGGAGGGAGTCCAGGCCCGTGAAGGCATAGCCCGTGTAAGGAGGGAATGCCATTGTCGCAATATAACAATGTTGTTGTTGCTGCTTGCTGTTGTGTGTAGCTATGTAGGTATGTAGGCAGGTAGGTAACCGTATATATAAGAACGTTAAACAAAAATCAACCCACACGCAACAAAAAAAAGTCGAATCAAAATTCAACAAGCAGTGTGTGAACAAGGCTACAATCTTTCTTTGTAAATCGCTGCAACTTCTGTATCCCCACAAACAACCACCTCCCTTCCCCCCATACTTATACATCTCTCTCTCTCTATCCGCCCCCATCCGGCGCTCATACACGCCTACCCAGGTCCGTCTACATACATATCTTAGCGCATTCTTATCCCCACTATTCCCATCCCCCCCCAAATTTCCTTGGATCCATCAGTTCCTTATGTAACCATCATACATATTACATGATATCCTTACATATCCTCACACAACACACTTATACCATTTATGGCTTTAAATGTTACGCCCCGTCGGTGCCTAGCAAGGTCTCTCTCGCATTTCTTTCTATAATGCGTATCATAAAGGTTCTAGCCCCATCCACAGACAGACAATACATGCAAGGAATTCAGCTAGAGAAAGAAAAAGAGGAGGAGGAGGAGGAGGAGAGGTGTTCATATAAGGCATCCAACCAACCAAGCCCTAGCTAAGTACCCAAGTACCCAACTTTCTCTTCCAAGCTACAATTAGAAAATAAAGAGGTTGAAAAAACGCGTCTACTGACGTCATGACCGCAACAATCAGTCCTAGTTTTAATAAATCCCCCTACCCCCCACACTTACTTGACTTTCAGTTCAAAAAAAAACGCTGTAGCACGCACCCAACTTATTTGAACTTACTTCCAAGTACACTCGTAAACAAGAAACAGTAGCAGCAGGAGTAGCACGTGAACAAAAAAACCCCCCCTTCTAATTTTTCCTATTATTAACACGCAGAAAGTCCAGTGACATGAAGTAAGTAAGATATATAACGTTTTTGTAAAACACACCTAAGACCTAGGTTATGCTTATAGCCGCATTGTCTATATCGAGGAAATGGCCTGATCAACCGTATATACACATACATAGCATGCAACTAAGCCCCCCCTCTTAAGCGTTGCTATCTGCATTTTCCATATCGAGTAAATGCTACAATCCAACCCAATCCAAATCCCAATCCCAATCCTAGTAAATACATACATACATACATACATACATATTTAATCTATACAAAGCAGATATTATTCTCTATCTTTTTCCTTCTAAACACCGTAAGAGTTAACATTACATAGAACTACAAGTAATTCCGCGTTTCTTATCTCCGCTCCTGCCCCCACTCCCGCCTTCTACTCTCTCTCTTTCTTTTTCTTTTTATATATTTTTTTTCTTCTAAGCAGCAGGAGCAGCAGCAGCAGCAAAAGAAAAAGCCCATAACATGTGTAGCCCTTTAATTCTACACTTGAAACTGGTAAAGACGAAAAAAAATCACGGGAAATTAAAGCAACAATGATGGACTGCGAACCATCACAGGGGGAGAGAGACAGGATTCCATAATAGACACACAGCACAGAGATTCCATCAAGGCGCGAATACACGGACATCAAGGGCGGGAAAATTAAAGTCATGACCCGATTAAAAAATCTATGTACACATTGTGACATTGCATGAAGAGGAAGAATTGGAGAGAAGGGGAAACAATCAAGTCCCCTTCTCCCTTCCACACCACCACCATCCATGATGAACAAGGAATGGGGAGACCTTGACCGACAACGACAAATATGTCGGCTGGCGGTGGGTGGCACTAACCAGCCATCTTTCCCATGGTCTGTATTTCTCTTTTTAGTCCTTTTTGCGCCTTTCCCTTTCCCATCCCTACCCCTCGTATTAATTAACAAAAATCATTCAAGTCCGATTGTTCTGCGCCGGCTGCATGCTGGGGCTTTGCTGGACACCAGGGCTCTGCTGCTGCATGTTTGGATTCTGCGGGGTGGCGCTTCGACTGGGCTGTGCTGCGCTCATACCCGGACTGCCTGCCATCCGCTGCATTTGCTGCTGCTGCTGAACAAGATGTGCCCTATAGTCTTGCACGGAAGAGGGTGAGGGACTATTAGCATTCATGTTGCCGTTTTGCACATTTTGCAGGTACATGTTGTTCCCCATCTGTGGTGATAGAGAACTGCTTGAAGGGCCAGAAGCCGCCTTCAGAGCCTGCATTCGTTGCGAGTTCATAAATCGACCTAGGTTATCGGATGCAACTTTCTGGATCTGATCTGCGCTCCACTCGGGATGCTGCTGCTTGATGGCATGTTGGAATTGGTAAATTGTTGGCACGTGGCCGCTGGACAGGGGTCGCGCTTGGGATTGCATGGCAGGGTTGGCCTGGTTCAAGCGAGGAGATTGGCCATTGTTGGACATGCCGCTCATATTACCATTCGTGTTGCCGTTCATGCCGCCGTTCATGGAATTCTTCATGCCGCCGTTCATGCTACCGTTCATGTTACTATTCATATTTCCGTTGTGGTTCTGTCCGTTCATGGCAGCTACCATGTTTGCATTAGGCATCCCATTCATACCCATATTCTGCGTCATATTGCTCGCAGCATTGATCTGCTGCTGTTGCAGCTGGAATTGATGTTGCTGATTAGTATTGTATTGCCCTCTCTGCATCGCCAGCCGAACCTGTTCGGGAGGCGCCATTCGTTGGTTGTTTGGCATATTGGCCTGCATCTGCGCCTGAGGAACACCAGAGGAGCCCATAGACATGCCGTTCATGTTGGCATTTGGAAAGTTGCTGCCTTGCATAGCATGTTGGTTTTGCTGGGCTCGAGCAGCCATGGCAGCAGCATTAGCACCCATCCCTTGCTGGGTAGGGTTTCCCATCATGGCGGCATTCGGATTGTTGGGATGCATCGCATTGCGCTGGTTTACACCATTGTGCATGCCGTTTTGGGCGGCTTGCTGCATCTGCTGTTGTTGACGTGCTGCCATTTCCCGCTATTGTATGTCAGCCAATCGTGGTTCCTGAAAAGAAAGTGTGCGACTCCATTTACCTTCTGATGCATCTCAAGCTGGATTTGCAGGGTTCGTTGCTTCTGTTTTTCCTCACGCTCCCACTTAAGACGGCTGACTTCCTGGGGTGTCTGGAGGTTGTTCTTGGGGGTTGCAGTATCGTGCTGCTTCCGCATCTGAGCAGCCTTCGCCGATTCGGCTTGCTTATGAGCCAAAGACTCTCGCTTCCTGGCCAACTTCCGCATACCATCAATGATAGCAAGATGCCTGTTCTCCCTGCGCCGTTCGACGCGGATCGGTTGAGTTGTCCGCCTTCGCGGCTGCCCGGTAGATACGTTCTGTCCATTTGCTTGTTGCTGCTGCTGGAGCTGCTGCTGAGCTTGGAGCTGCGCGAGGACAGTCTTTTGGGCTTGCTCGAGACGGCTTTGATATGTGCGGAAATACTGAGTCTTTGACATTTCGGCTGGCAGACCCTCCAGCTGTACCCAGCGTTCAAAACACTCCCAGGGTGTTCGTCGGCCAGAGCCTGAAGTAAACAGTGATGGCAGGTCAAGTTGCTGGGCAACCAGTGACCAGTTGAACGTGTACTCCTTGACAAGAGCGCGCAGTTTTTGATCTTCGTCCCATAGCCACTGCGAAGAGTTTCGGTTCTCGAAGAACGACACAGATGGCATAGGAAACTCGGTAGGTGGCCGGAATTGATGTGCTGCCTGAAGGCGGTCGCGAATGTGTCTATTTTCGGGGTTGAAGAGAGCAACGTCGCTCATCTCAGGTGGTAGATCGTTGCGATGGAAAAGTCTCCTCCCGGGCGTAGATGGCATTGAGTGCTCCGCCGAAGTGCCCGAGCGACTCGGAGGAGAAGACGATTCATCTTCGGAATCGTATTCGTATCGACTACGCTTCCTAGGAGGCCCTCTGACCTGAGATACTAGTTTGCCGGTGACGAATTTGGAAACGGGCAGTATGGGTGGGTCGACGAAGGAAAGCGGTGTGACATCGTTCGCGCCTTCGAGCATGGGCTCGTACCACGGCAATTCCTGGAACAACGAATCGCTGGCTGGTGTTCGATCTATCTTTATCACGACTTCATCAAATCCGAGCGAAAACAGTCCAGCGGGAATGCTCGACATCAACGGGCTACGAACTTCCTCTTCGTCTTGGAAGGACTCGTTCTCGGTTTCGTTTGCGCCAGAATGAATGAGATCGGGAGTCGGCGCGTCATTCATATCCTCATCGACTGAATGTTGTTTGGGAATGCGAGCCTTTACCCGTAACGACACCCGCTCTTCAGCTGAGCTGTTGACGTACTCGGCACACCACCCCGCAAAAGTCGCAGCCAAGGACTTTTTCCATTTTCTCTCCTCTCGAAAATCCGTTTGCATCCATTTCATCTCAGCAAGCAAATGATCTTGGTGAGTGATGGGACGTTCTGGTTCGGCCGATTTTTGCAACTGTCGTAGTGACCATCGATTGGCGTTTTGCAGTTGATAGACCCTTTTCAGAATCTTGTAGTCTTGCTGCTCCCTGATCATAGCCAACGTACCAGCGGTGGACAGTGTCTTTTGCGCCGAGCTAACGAGATCTTGTAGTGGTTTTGAGCGAGGAGGATGATGTGCTTGATACTGGAATAGTCCCTGAAGATAATCCCTACTTGAATCTTCAGAAGCGCCGTGCAGAGAGGCATAGTCCTCGCTAAAGAGTTGCAATGCCTTTGCCGCCTTGTTGAGGTCTGGCTTTGCGAAAACAACAGTCGATACCGCTTTGCGTTTCGGTTCTCGAACTGGCTGTCTGGGACTAGCAGACGTGGAAAGGCTACTAGATTGTGGGGTGAGAACCGACTTTGGTCCCGACTGCTCATTTCTGCCAGCAATGATCTCACTGACAGACTTTTGTCGGAGGGCACCAGATGAGACACGGGTCGTCATGCGATCTTGGTGCGACGGGGACGAACGGGCCTGCTTTTCTTCGGCGGCGGGTGCGGGCGGGACTTCATTCATCACAATGTCCTCATCGATTTCGGCAGGTGGAGTGGGATGCTCAGCAGCAGTAGTCGGTTCGTGAGGTTTCATTGTATTGGCTTTTGATGTATCGGAGGCTTCGTTTTCGACGGTAGATGGCTCGGGTGCCGTAGTGGTGGGCGTAGGAAGAGAATCAGCCGCAGGCTCCCCGTTTATTTTAGGGACACCTGCCTCCGATATCTCAACCTCTGTTTCCCGTACAACATCCGCAGCATGATTCGTCAATGCTTCTGGGCCTGGAGCTGGAGCAGATTCTGGTTCGCTTAACCGCCCTTTTCCGTCTCTTGCTCGACGAACAGCCTGCTCGTCTTCGATTTGCTTATCGACATCGTCCGCGCCAGGGCTCTCTGCGCGTGCCTTTTCCCTTGCCTCTCGCATTTGTTGTTGCAATGCACGTTCGTGGTCATCCTTGGCTTTCTGTGTTGCTGGGTCAAGTATGCTGCGAACTTCAGACTGGGTCTGCACGCGATCATGGAAAGATTCTGTCTCCGGGCTTGTGTCAGGCGAGTGGTGAGGAGCATGGGGTGTTGCTTGTGAGTAAGGACCCACAGTCGAAGATGGAGATGAAGCTTGGTCGGTGTGGCCGTTCGCGGTTGGTAACGCCAGTTTTTCCTCTTCTCTTGTTTCTTTCTCAGCCGCCTTGTCCAGCTTCTGTTCCGTCTCTTGCAGCCTTGCCTCCTGGACTTCCTCCGGGGGTAGGTGAACTACTTGCGGTGCTTTGGGCGTATCTTCCTTCTCTTGCTGGTTCAACACGGCTTCCGGTAGGGCAGCAACGTCTTCAGACGAGGGCGGTATGGCGACTTTGGGATCGACTGATGGTCCATCTGGCACGGGGATTGCTTGAACGGGGTTTTCCACAAGTAGGGGTTGGTCAGGTTGCGTGGAGGTGGATACGGAGTTGGGAGGTGAATCTTGGTTTGCTGCCTGGGGTTCGACCAAAGGAACTGGAGCCGGGGATGGCTGATCGTTGGGCGGGAGTGAAGGCGATGGGGGTTTCGAAGAGACATTTGAATCGACCTTGGCGGGCTGCTCTACAGGTGGATTGGGCTGGATGGCGCCAGACGGCGAGGCAGAGGCGGCGCGCAGCTGTTCCTCCAGGCTGGGGACGGCGATTGGCGACGGCAGCGATTTCGCGGGTGGTGTAGGAGAGGCGGGCTTTGCAGGTTGGTGGAAAGGCAATGTAGCCGGGAGAGAGGGAGGGGCAGTAAAGGTTGGATGTGGTAGAGATGCATCGTTGAAGCGACGGTGTCTACGGGCGCAAGTAGTGGTGTGAGTGGATTGGAATGTATGTCATGACGACGAAGACGCCGACAACAATGGCGAAATGGGACGGGATCAGAGGAGGCAGAAAGCCCAGCATGAAGCAGAACGAGGCGAGGGAATGGCTTGAACGAGAAAAAGAAGAATGGGCAGTAGGAAAGGCTTACTTTGCAATGTCATTTTGGTCGAGAAAGCGGGCCTCGTCTGGCTGGGGATCGTCTGGCAAGGCCCAGTCGCGGGGGGTGAGCGGGCGGCGGGCGCTCAGCAGCGTCGTGTAGCTGTAGAGTTCGCGCAGTTTCCGCTTGCGCGATTGCTCGCATTTGCTATGCACGGGGATATCAGCACCACCACGACGTGAAAATTCAAAAGGAGCGATTTTCCCGTGTCGCATCGAGGCATCGAGGGTGAAACTGGGCAGTGCAGCGATAAAAAGGGCGGGGACTCACGCGACTTCCGTCTGTTTCTCTCGTGTGTACGCATCACGAAGGCCGTCGAGGGACATATGAGGAGCGACAATCCGAGGCCGACATCCGTTTTCCACGAGTGCCGCCAACGTGATGGATTTCCGTGAGGGGGGAGGTGTGGTGGTGGTTGATGATGAGGTTGTCGGCGTCGAAGATTGGGGGAGGACGATGGATAGAGGCAACAGGCGGCGGCTGGCGTTGCAGTTGCAGTCGCTCCTCACGCCCGCCTGCTTTGCTTTGGTCTGCACCGCAAGGGAACCGCGACCGCACCAGCGACGCTGACCGCCTTGGCCCGATAAGCTTTGCCGCCTTGCCGCCTCGGGCCTAGCGCCGGCAGAATTCCTGCCAAAATTTACCTACCACCGCTGCACTTTTCCTGGGTCCCGTCCCATGTTTGGCAGCAATCGATTCATCAATCAACAACAGACACAAGCAAAGGGGAAAGAAAAGAAAGCGAAGAAAGAGCTATCATGGCGAAACGAAAGAACGAAGCCGTCCACACCATCCAAAAGGCAAAAGCCCTCAAGAGTCGCAAAGAAGACGATGCCCCGTCCAGCCCCAAACCACCAACGCCCACTGCAGTGCCAACCAAACAACTCCAAAACATCAACATATCCAATCCACCCGCAGTCGCAGCCTCCTCTCCTCCAGCAGACTCAATCACCTTCCAAATCATCACCGGCTCCTACGAAAGAGTCCTCCACGGCTTCACCGCTACCATCCCATCCACCCTCGTCACGGGACACGACCACACCTCCCTCTCCATCTCCGACCTGAAAGACCAACCCAAAGTCGACTTCACCGACACCTTCCTCTTCAATGCCCACGCCTCAGCAATCCGCTGTCTAGCCCTCTCCCCGCCATCTACCGAGGCCTCCAAGGTCCTCCTAGCCACCGGCAGCACCGACGAGCGCATCAACATCTACTCGCTCTCCAAAACCCCGCCCTCCAAACGCAGCAGATCCCAGCCAAAACTCCCCTCCCTCCACGGAACCTCCATCTCTGAGAATGCCAAAAACAAGGAAATGGGCTCCCTCCTTCACCACTCTTCCACCGTGACGTCCCTCTACTTCCCAACCCGCAGCAAGCTCCTCAGCGCCTCCGAAGACTCCACCATCGCAATCACCCGCACCCGCGACTGGGAACCCCTATCTACGATCAAAGCACCCATCCCTAAAGCCCAGGGCCGGCCAAGCGGTGACACCGCGCCACCAGGCGAAGTCCCAGCGGGCATCAATGCTTTCGCCGTCCATCCTAGCATGAAACTCATGCTCAGTGTTTCCCGCGGAGAGAAATGCATGCGTCTTTGGAACTTGGTCACGGGTAAAAAAGCAGGCGTCCTCACCTTCAGCAAAGACCTCCTCATCGCAGTAGGTGAGACGCGGTTTTCGTCCGGCGAGGCGAAATCCGTAGTCTGGGATCCCGCAGGCGAAGAGTTCGCGGTCGCGTTTGATCGGGGCGTGGTGGTATTTGGTATCGACTGCGTGCCCAAGTGCAGGATCTTACCGGAACCGAGGACAAAGGTGCACAAGTTGCAATACCTCCCCCTTCCCACCGCCTCACCTTCCTCCACAGATGATGAGCCTGCAACTACGACGCCACCTCTCCTCATCTCAACAGAAGACGGGAGAATCCTCATCTACAACACCACCCCATCCTCCTCGGAACAACCCTCCGAACCAACAAAACCCCAAAAGGACAACGCACCCCCGCCCCCAGCACCCCTCTTAGCCCACCTAGGCGGCCCCGCCGCAGGCATCAAATCCCGCGTCAAAGACTTCGATATCCTGCCCCTTCCCCACTCCTCTTCGTTCCTGATCATCACAGGGAGCAGCGACGGTGCGGTCCGTCTATGGACTCTTGACCCCGGGGACATTACCCGCTCCGCCCGTGACGAAGGAACGAATGCTAGCAGCGCTGGCAAGGGAGCGAGCAGTACCAAGGTCGCAAAAGCGAACACCAAAGAAAAAGAAACAGACGAGCAGGAGCAGCAACAAGAGCAAGAAGAAGAAAACGCTTCAACAAACTTCACCACCTCGCATCAGACGGGCCGCTTGATCGGCGTCTACGCGACCGACACGCGCATCACGTGCCTCAAATCATTCGAAATGACGGGCGTGGATTTCGACGACGACGACGACGACGATGAGGGACTCGACACTCGCGACCATCGCGATAACAACGCAAGTGGGACCGATAGCGATAGCAGTAGTGCCAGTGACGCCGAATAGTCTGGCGAGATTAGATTGAGAAGGAGGCTGGAGTGCAGCTTTCAAAAGACGATAAAATTAGATAGATGAATTGATAGAGATTAGTAAATAAAGAAAAAAATAGTTTAAAAAACTTTATTATGCATTACACTAACAACTTTTTAATCCTTTTTTTTTCTTTTTTCTGTTTATGCCCCTGTAGGTAAAGAAGAAAAAACATTTTAATAACAATAATAGTATAACAAAACTACTAAAAAAAAAAGAGAAGACATATAAACCAAAGTAGAAGCTACGTAAAGCTAGAGCTAAGATGTGATGTAAGTAGAGGATATATACTTACATACCTATGTAGGGTAACTATAGTAACCCTTTCTCACATAACATAAATACTTTAAACCCCCCCCCCCCCCCCAAAAAACATCCTCCCTCTCTCTCTTTATTTAGGTGAAAAAACCAAAGAAGAATAGATAAACAAAGATAAAAATAAACAACAAGATAGAATAAGCCACAATATTCTTATACTAAATTTAATAAAAATTTGCAAATCTAATTTATCTGCACTGCCTCGTTCCTTTCCTCTTGTTCTACTTATCATGTATAAACAGATTAGATGCTCTACACCTTTATACACGGATGTGAAGAATATGCCTGGCTTCGCCCATGTGAATGTGTCTGGCTTCGCCGTATCCTGCCCATATCCAACAGTCTGCCCATCCCTCACGCATACATACATACATATACATCCCTTGTTGCCAATTCCTGGACTCATATCTACAACAAACATGCCTTGATCCCTCCGCCTACCCTCACAAGTGTCCGACTCCTTTCTCGCGTTCGAATCCTATATATAATATAGACCAATCGATTCAAGCGCGAAGCGTTCACGCAAAAAGCGAAGGATTCTTCCTGTTCAGCGGTCGGATTCTCAATCTATCTGTCGCAGTACCCCGGGGATTTCGGCGTGCTCCCTTTAATCCAGCTGTTAATAGTGAGTGTGGTGGTGTACACCATACCGACGAGACCGAGGATGCCGACGCAAATGTCAATGGCGCGGGCGGTGGATGTGCGTGCGACAGCGCGGTAGTGCAGCATGGGCTGAGCGATAGGTCAGCTGGTATTCTTTGCAAGTACGAGGAAAGAGTGGACAACTCACGGGATAAATGTAGACGAGGGGGATGCAAGCGAAGCTGCCGACCAGAGAAACAAACTTGTCGAGGTCGTTTGCGCCAAGCCACGCAAGCATGGCACATATACCGACCATGAGGAAGCGGAAGAAGTTCTTCTTCCACTTGATGTAAGGGTTGTACTTGCCCGTTTTACTGAAAAGCTGCTGGGACGTGATTTCGATGGCTGGGTAGATCTGCAGGGGCGTCGAAAGGAGGATAGCGAGAGAGTAGATGAACTGGACACCGTTGACGAATTTGTCGTCCTGGGGCATGTTGAGAATGATGACTGTCTTGGTCTTGGAGCCGAAGGCTGCGTAGGAGAGGGCACCCATGGAGATGAAGATGACGGTGATGATGACCATGACGCCGCCGAGCACGTTGGGAAACTTCTTAGGGTCCTTCATGCCGGTTTGAATGGGGATGATCAACCCGATACCCTCGAAGGTGAAGATGGCGGTGCCGATGAAGAGCGTCCAGTCGTTCTTGTTGAAGTTTGCAATGTCTGATATGCCGCCTTGGTTGACAATGGTCAAGATATCAAAGTAGTAGAGATAGACGAGGCCAGCGAGAATAAAAACATCAGCGGCGAGTGCGAGCTTTTGGATATGGTTAATGTTACGGTAAAGCGATAACGGCAGAAAGATGACCATCTGGATCAGGATCATGAGGCCGATACTGATGTGGGTTTTACAGTCCGTGACGGCCAACACAAAGGCTTGAAGATTTTCCGATACGAACACAATGTATGCTGACGAGAAGCCAATTTGCGAGACGACGAGGGAGAAGTTGATCATGGTGCGCAGCCAGTTCCCCCAGATGTGGTAGCCCATGTCACCAAACGAGTGTTCAACGGCCAATCGAGTGGAGACCAGCAGGACGAAGCAGAAATACGAGAGGGCAGCCACGCCGAAGAGGACGACATTTGAAAATAGCATGCCGCCATTTAAAAAGGCCCTGGGCAGGAACAGCACGCCTGTGCCCACAAACGACTTGAGGAGAAGTAACGCAGCGCCTGTAGGGCTTCCTTGTCCGGTCGCCTTGGCCTTTCTCTTCTTCCGCCTCCCTGGGGTCAGCAAAGCGCTCGATTCGCCAAATTCGCGGTCTTCATCCCCGCTATGATCTCCCGAGTCCAGGGCGTCTGAAGAAAAGTACTCGTCGGGCTCCAAATCCTCGTCGTCTTCTTCGAGAGACTCTCCAGCGAAGTGGCCGTACAGAGTAAGGAATTCGAGGAAGTTGTTGGTGAAGACGGCCGGCTGGGGCCGCTGGTTCACAGTTCCGTAGCCTGATGGGCCAGGCGCGGGCGAGGGGCTGGCTGCCGAGCGGCGCAGGTAGTTGCGTCTGAAACCACCAGGCTGTCGTATCTTGTCGATGTCTGAAGTTGGGCTTCTTGACCTAACGGCAGGCTCTTCAGCAAAACTTTGACTTCTTTTCATCTTCTGACGCTCCAAAGCCTCCTGCTGCTCAGTCCATCGGTAGATCTGGCGGGTAATGTCCCCTCCCTGCAGTTGCAGACTGTTGAATTCCTCGTCCTCACCCGAGACGGACTCTGCGTTCCCCCCAAACCCGCGATGTGAGGCGCTGGGCGAGCCATACTGTCCGCTGAGGTTGGAGAAGGAGGACTTGTGAGGAGGGCCAACGAGATGGCGGCGCACAATCTCTGGGTCTTCAGCAGGCGCGGGCGAGCGGCTGCGGGCATCGAAGGAACCGAAATTACTCGGAGGCCCTCGACCTGAAGCAGCTTCAGCAGCAGGAGACAGCGGACGTATAGGCGGGGTGCCAAATCGTGGGGGGCTTCTGCCAAAGGACTCCTTCAAAGCTGAAGAGAGGGCAGATTCACCAGCGACCGCTTGCGGGAGGGAGGCTCTCGACTCGTCGCGACCGGGCAGCGGAGATTGAGCGGAGGAAACGTCTTCGGAGGCGAGTTGAGCGGGGACGGGGATCTGGCGCACGGCAGGAGAGCCCACAGGCATCGATGGCGCTGGAGAGCCATGCCGGGCGAGAGACGAGGCGGTGGGAGAGCCGCGATCCGAATGACTGGCGGCCGAGGGCACGGGTCTGGGGTTGGATGGCTGTTGAGCCATCTGGGGTGGTGGTGATTTAGGAGAAAAGTCCCGTCGGATCTATCATGTGAGATGGTGCGAGGGCTGAGACACAGCGGTGCGTTTGGTAGGTAGTGGCCGCTGATGGCAAGTGGTGGTTGGTGGTGCTGTTGGGAGTGGTGGTGGTGGTAAAGGGCCGGATGGCTGGTTGACTGAAATTTCGTGGGGGGACTCAGACACCACACATCAACGAGCGACAGGTGGATAGAGAAGATGGAAAAGCAGGCGAGAAGAGAGAGAAGAAGGTTAAGGACAAAAAAGAGAAAGGGGTTGTTGTCCGGTGTTGTTCAGATGTTGTCGACAGCTGACTTGGGCTGAGGCACGCACAGCAAGAAACAGAAGATCTCTGGATGAATGAAGGAAGGGTCCGAGCCGCGCTTGTGTGAGGTCATTCGCTGCCGGTTCGGGAGAGCTCCCCTGTCTGTATCAGTCTATCAGATGTACCCACGGTTACCTGTCCCCGTATAATGAGATGCAAGTCTTGATGTATGCGTGCAGGTGTGTATGTTGGCAAGTACCAAACAACAAGTACTCGGAACGATTGTGTTCACAGACGGGAAGACTGGGAGAGGCAGGTAGTGGTGAAGCAAGACTGGAGAGGGTGCGGGTGAAGGCCTCCAGGTCACATGGCCTCGGGCATCCCGCGCTAAACCCCGTGGCCGCTAACGTGCGTGGATGCACCACCAAGACTTCATACCCATCTGCGGTGCCTGGCTTCCCACTCCCTCTCGTCCCCGCGTCATTTCCTTGGATTGTTCTTCTCCTTCACGCCTTGGCTGGTCGATTGATTCATGGCTTCTTTATCGTCTTCCCACTCTGCCATGACCACCCCTCTCCAACAGCCTCTCCTCCAGCTCATCAATTGATGCATGGATCGATGTATTGATCTATCTATCTATCCACCCTCCAACTGTGCCACACCCGGACCAGCCACCCTTCCTGCGCGTGCGCTTATCTCACCAATCTCACTCAAGCATCCCGTGACTGCATATCCATTTATTCGTCACCCGAGCTCTGTCCGCCTGCGAAGAAAGCATGACCGGTCGAGAAAATGCATCACGAGTCCCACCACCCACGCGCATGCCGCCGAGGACCCGGTCGACCTTCGCTACCAAAACTGCCTCAGACGTTGCTGAGCAGTTGAGCCGAAGAGGTTCCATTGTTCACCATCCAACCGACTCCCCAAACGAAGCTACTCCCCTTTTGGCTGCCTCGTCGGAACCTGCCGTTGATCCTGGTCAAGCAGCTACTACCACTTCGCAGAATCGCCCCAGAGAACTGTCGCAAGAAACCGATCATGGCCTCAATAGCATGCGACACTGGTTCTATAGCACGCTGGACGTTTTGCCTTCTAGATCATCCAAGAATGTCTCTGCTACACCAGAGCTCAAATCTAATCACCCATCTGATGCAACCACCACCTTGACAAAACCACGCCCTGGCGCCTTTCCTAGACCTGTGGGTGGGACGTCGAAACTGGGTACCTTTGCCGGTGTCTTTGTGCCTACAACGCTCAATGTTCTCAGTATCTTGATGTTCTTGAGGTTCGGTTTCATACTTGGCCAAACCGGTTTGCTTGGTATGATGGGTGAGTAACATTGCTCTCCCTGTCATGCTCGTACAAGTGATTGATATCTAGGTAGGAATGCTGATTGCTTGTTATTGCATTAATCTTTTGACTACCATGTCCATTTCTGCCATTGCCGTATGTACCTTGTATCCATCCATGTCAAAGTTACATACCACCGACTGACATGTTCAGACGAATGGCACCGTTCGTGGTGGAGGCGCGTATTACTTGATATCTCGAAGCTTGGGGCCCGAGTTCGGTGGCTCCGTCGGGCTTGTCTTCTATTTCGGCCTCGTCTTCAATACTAGTATGAACGCCGTTGGCCTGATCGACTGCTTCATTGAGAATTTCGGTGCCGACACAGGAAGCTGGTCCCAATGGATGTTCCAAGGCTTTTGGTGGCAGTTTCTGTGGGCTACTGCAGTCCTTGTCATCTGCACTATCGTCTGCTTAGCAGGAAGCGGCATTTTTGCTCGGTGCAGTAATGGACTTCTCGTCCTATTGCTCGTGGCCACCCTTAGTATTCCAGTCTCCACCCTCATCGTCGGTCCCTTCTCCAATCCGAAAGAAGGCATCGTATACACCGGTCTAAGCCTGCAGACGCTTCGTGAGAATCTGGTGCCGCACTTCACCAAGAAGGCTGCCGGTGCCCAGTACAAACACACCGGAACGTTCCAGGACATGTTCGGTATCCTGTTTCCTGCTACGGGGGGCATATTTGCGTAAGCACTCCTTAACCGATCGGCCGGCTGTGAAATCACAATGTAGCTAACTGAGAATACTAGCGGAGCTTCAATGTCCGGTGATCTGAAGCATCCGTCCAAAGCAATCCCAAAAGGTGAGAATTTACCGACCGTCATCTTCGATATCTCGTACTGATTGTATCAAAGGGACACTCTACGGACTAGGATTGACTTTCTTCCTGTATACAATCGTCATTTTCGCCATGGCAGCTACCATTACTCGGGAATCCTTGTATAACAATACAAACGTCATCCAACTAGTAAGTCCAAGGCCCCTCATCAATGAAGACAATAGATGCATATGGGCGGCTGACTGATGCCAGACCAATATATCTGGTGTCATCATTCTCCTCGGCGAATTTGCAACAGCAGCCTTCTCTGTTCTGATGGGCGTTACCGGATCAGCAAAACTCCTCCAAGCTCTTGCGCGAGACAACCTGTTGCCGGGCCTATCGATCTTCGGTCAGGGCACACAGAAGTCAGACGATCCAGTCTACGCAATCTTCATCACGTACATACTGGCTCAGTTAACTATGCTTTCCGACATCAATCAGATTGCATCGTTTGTCACCATGACTTACTTGATGACATTTTTGGTCACGAATCTGGCATGCTTTCTCTTGAAGATTGGATCAGCCCCCAATTTCCGACCGTCCTTCCACTTCTTCAACTGGCAGACAGCTGCCGTTGGGGCTGTGCTCTCTGGTGCAACCATGTACTTTGTGGATGGTGTATACGCATCAGCCTGTGTAGCGCTCTTGATCATGATCTTCCTTATAATTCATTACACCACACCGCCAAAGCCATGGGGAGATGTTAGCCAGAGTCTGATTGTCGGTGCCCCTAGACCCGCCTTGACAGCTGAAAATGCAAGCTAACAAGTCAACAGTATCATCAAGTCCGAAAGTACCTGCTGCGACTGCGTCAGGAGCATGTCAAATTCTGGCGACCGCAGATCCTGCTTCTAGTAAACGATCCTCGACGTCAATACAAGCTGATCCAATTCTGCAACTCACTCAAGAAAGGAGCTTTGTTTGTTCTCGGGCATGTTATCGTATCTGACGACTTCGGTGGGGCGGTCCCAGAAGCTCGTCGTCAGCAGCAATCCTGGACCAAGTACATTGATTTCTCGAAGATCAAGGCATTCGTAAACATATCTATTGCTCCCACAGTGGAATGGGGCGCCAGGAATATCTTGCTTGGCGCTGGACTTGGAGGAATGAGGCCGAACATCGTGGTCATGGGTTTTTACAATCTAGGAGAATTGAGACAAAAAAAGCCGGACATCGAGATCCCGTCCCCACAACCATCGCGTCCAGCCAGTAAAGCAGCGAATTATCCTATATCGCGACAAGCCATCCAAGCAATTGCCACAAAACGGAAGTTGACTGGTAAACTTCCGGGGATGCTACCTACAGACGCCATGAAGCCGGAAAATGCAGTTGGGATCCAAAACTACGTCACCATAGTTGAGGACCTTGTTCTTCGCCTGCAAATCAACGTTGCACTAGCGAAGGGCTTCAACGATCTTGAAGTACCTGCCCCAAAGCCGTCAGCAAAGCAGAGGTTTTTAGGGGCATTCGGATTAAGTACGTATATCCTGGGTACTAAGTCGTAGCATGCTCGGATGCATTGTGTTGTTCCGATTCCACACGCTGATAGCCCACTGAATCATTCTCTCGCGAATTATACTGACTTCATATCCTCAATATTCAGGTGACATGGACGATGAGGAACCGTCCAAAAAGTATATCGATATGTGGCCCATCCAAATGTCCGCCGAAATTGCGACGGCCGGAGACGACCCCACCAAGAAGAACATGCTGACGACAAACTTCGACACATACACACTCATTTTGCAGCTTGGATGTATTCTCCATACAGTACCTTCGTGGAGGCGGACATACCAACTCCGGGTCATGGTATTTGTAGAATACGAGTCCGACGTGGAAGAAGAGCGCGCACGCGTGACTACCCTTTTACGTAATCTTCGCATTGAGGCAGAGGTGTTTGTCTTTTGGCTGGCCAGTGGCGACAACAGAATGTACGAGGTTATTGTCAATGGGCGGGACGATAGCGACTGTGCGCAGGCTGCATCAGATGCCAACGATGCGCTGGAGGACGAAGAGTGGTGGTCGGATATCCAGAGACTGCGGCGCCCTCAGGACCTGACCGCCAGTCAGGATTTAGCTCAGACCAAGGATCTTTTACAGGCCGTGAACAACTGGCCGACAGCATCGTTTCAACATGGTACGTCTATTATGTGTGCAGAGTTGTCGCACAACTACAAAGTTATCGTACACCAAGACACCGTTTGGTGCGGCGTTTTGACACATTGACAACCCACCGAAAGATGGCTGCATGGACTATACTGACTTTTCATCTGCGAATTAGGCAAGAAGGAACTGCGACCCAAGCGCTTCCGACAACTACGTAAGATGCTGAGACGTAGTAAGAAGGCATCCATCAATGATCTTCACCAGGCTGGTGCCACAATAGGCATGCGTACGCAGCGCCTATCGAGGGATCTTTACAATGATAGCGGGTCTTCATCTTCAGACGAATCGGAATCGGAATACCCAAATTCTGCGCCTTCAGACGTGCAATCTAACCACGACGAAGCCATCACATCCTCCAGCGACTCGGCAGCTGACGCAGGCGATGATGAATTAAGTTCTTATGATCTCGATGCATCCTCATCAGAGGATGAAGATGACAATATCGTACGTCGTGGAAGTACGAGCGCAACTTCTACCGGCCGCGGCAACTTTCCTTTCCTCTCTTCGGGTCTCAATCTTCGAAAGGCTTTGTTCCATCGTTCTTCCTCACCTGGATCCCAATCTCAGAGTACAACTGTTGATGCAGTCACACCTCTCTTGCCACATGCTGGAGCCGCGACGTCAGACAGTGTAGTGACTACTGCCCACCAGACTTCCCTACCGGTACCTTCACCATCATCTCCTAGAAACGTGCCATCCCCAACTTCACATGCAGGCACGTCAACTGGCAGCGTTCGATCTATCGCCCAGCAGTCGATTCCTAAATTCGTATCGAACCCTACTCCTCGCACCGCCATTGTGGATGAAGACACGGGCGGGCCATCCATCATGTTCGTCGACACGCCATCGCCCGATGCATCACGGAAACCAGATCCGCTCCTTCTATCTCCCACCAAGCAAAGCACCAACAAGAACAGACCAGCCGAAATCCAACACGCACCCAGCTACCCGTTGAAGACACCATCGCCTGCAGTTGCATCTGAGTCGTCACCAGTCCTTTCGAAATCAAAAACAAAGGCAAAGGCAGACTCCCCCGCTCGCCCTCCCGCGACCGGCTTCCCACAATCGCGCTCGGTACCTTTCTCATTCAACGACCTCCCCTGCCGCGCACAGCACCTCATTCTCAACGAACTTATGCGCAGCGCGTCAGACCCTGACGACACTGCTGTGGTCTTTACCACCCTGCCATCTCCACTAGAAGGCACCAGCAAGAGCGAGCGCGAATCTGTCAAATATGTAAGCGATTTGGAGGTTCTATGTCAGGGACTGCCTGCGGTGTTGTTGGTGCACAGTAATAGTATGACGGTGACGATGAACTTGTAGTGAGATAGCCAAAAATGCACACGCAGTTGTCTTTGCAGTAGTTTGCAATTGGATATTGCATCGTAAGCGGGCTTGATATAATACTGTCAAGTCCCGCTGTGCTCACCGTATCTCTCTGATCACGATTCGTGTGACCAAAGCGTGTTTGTTTTGAGGTTGATACTAATTCGCATCCAACCATCGTTGCGGACTAGCGACAGTCTCTCGAAAAACTACAGCCGTGGAGAGTTTGCTTTGTTTTTCTCTCTCTTTCTCCTCTTTTTTATTACTTAAATTCTTGTTTTCTCTCATGTCGGTACAGAGTGCCGCTTGCGGCGCTTACTATGCAGTAGTGGTAGTACTTGTCCCAGGTACCGTTAAGGCAGCCAAGGCTTAGGCCTAGTGTCCCGATACGTCACAACAACATGATCCATCGTACGATCATACCATGCCTAGCAAACACTCAGCTTCAGCCTTTCCCCCACCCCTCTCTCTCCACACGATACATACACCCCAGTTCTCATTAACCTCACCCCTGCCCATCTGCCTGGACAATCCACCATTTGTCCGTTCACAAATCTAAACAAATCAGAAAGAAACAAAATGTCCAACGCGCCCCCACCCCACCGCCTCAAAACCACAATCGCCATCATCGGCGCGGGAGACGTCGGATCGACAATAGCATACACACTGATCCTCTCGAGCGTCTGCAGCGAAGTCATCATGGTGGATCCCAAGACAGAGGTGTTGGAGGGCCAGGTTCGGGATCTGGGCGATGCGACGTATGGGGGTAGATCGGGGACGAAGGTTCGGGTGGGGACGAGCAAGGAGGCCGGGCAGGCGGATGTTGTTGTTGTTACTGCTGGGGCTAAGCAGAGGGATGGTGAGTTTCCTTGGAGATTTTTCTATCGGCTTTGTATTGTCTTTTTGGAGGGGATGAAGGAAGGGTGAGGGGATGAGGGCACGTGATATTCCGACATCTCTCCACCACCAATCCCCAAACCTTCCTCCAAACCCCTCGCAAAAACAATCAAGACAAATCAACATGTAACTGAAAACTCTCGACAGGCGAATCCCGCATCGACCTCCTCGGCCGCAATCTCAAGATCCTGAAGTCAATCTTCGAGCCCATGCAGCCCATTGCCCGGACCACCGTCGTTCTCATGGTCGCAAACCCCGTCGACATACTGTCCTACTTCGCCCGCAAACTCTCCGGCTTGCCGGAGAACCAGGTCCTTGGTACGGGAACGAGTTTGGATTCCGCTAGGTTGAGGGGAGAGTTGGCGAGACGAGCCGAGGTTGCGGCGAGTAGTATCGATGCGTATGTGTTGGGAGAGCATGGGGAGGGTCAGTTTGTAAGTTGTGTCCTTTTCGCTTTTTCGCTTTTTCAGTTTTCCGGTTGTCCGGGTTTCCGTCTTTTGTTTTATGGTTCATGGGTGGTGGAGAGGAGGGAAGGGTTTGAGCTCTGCTTAGACAGGTCGACATCTGCTGCTGTCCAAACTCTAGCATTCGGCTGCAGATTAGATGCAATTAGAGAAAGGGGGGCGATGGCATCTACCAAACCTCTCTTTGCTGACTGACCCATTACAGATCGCCTGGTCCAGCGCCTCCATCGGCACCGCACCTCTCCACCACGCCCTCCCAAAGGACTCTCTAACCGACTCCTCAAAACGCGAAATAGCCTCTCATACGCGCGGCGCCGCCGGCGCGATCATCAAAGCCAAAGGCTGCACCAACTACGGAATCGGCAGCGTCGCAGCCTCCCTCTGCAAATACATCCTCTTTGACTCGCACACCGTCCGCCCACTCTCCTTCTACCAGCCCGATCTGGACTGCTGTCTGTCTATGCCTGCGGTCATTGGACGGAAGGGGATTGTGCGGCCGATTCATGTGGAGCTTGATGAAGGGGAAAAGGAGGCGTTGGAGAGCTGTGCGAAGGATCTTAGGGGCATTATCGAGAAGGCTGAGAAGGAGCTTTGAGGAGTTTTTCCTTCTTCTCTATTTCTGTATCAAAGCTTCGATACGAAGTAGTACTCGTCACTACCCGTACCTATTATGCATAATACCTAAATATATTCGGAACTTGAAAACTTCGTCAAAGTAATATTACATCCAAGTGCACGATCACAGCTGCTGCCGTCCAGTCTCGGAGCCAGTTTGATCCCGACCCATTGACATGCTGGACAAGCGATATTCCCACCGGACTCTAGCACCAGAATTGCCATAATAATCAATCCTCTTCGTCCTGTTAACTGCCCTTTACCCTCGTACTGCCATCTACGCCTATCCGTGCCGGATTATACATCCCCTCCTCGATTTTCTATGACGACGCCAAGGCTGGACCCCTAACAACCATCCCTTCGAAATATCTCACCGTTGAACTATTCTGTATAAGGGGAGTGTGGAGGCCTTGACGGAACGGAATACTTCTGACCCCGAGGCCCCGGGACCCCGGAGAAAGTTATAGCAAAGCCAAAGGATTGCCAAATCTGCTATAAACCAAACAATTTCTTCTAGTCGTGCGTGTGGGAAGATGTAGATAGACTTTGCTCTTTCTATTTAGAGAAGAATTCTAACTCCCCTCTAAGAAGAAATACTCCTGCGGAATGGCGCCAAGCGAGACATCAGAGAAGGATGAGAATCCTCCTATCCACATCAACGACGATGATGATGAAGAGAGAAATGGAGTGGAAAGCGATGAGGCGGAATCAAAGCAGACTTCACGAGGAAGTTACTTGGTAAGAAACCTTCCCCTATACCATCCCTCCCCCCAAAAAAGATCAGTCACACTCAATTTATATATATCTTTTTGGCTACAGCGCATCTTCACATACACGACCCCCCTCGACGCCACACTCTACACGCTCGGTCTGCTCGCCGCCGTCGTCGTCGGCGCCGCTCTCCCGCTCATGACGCTCGTCTTCGGCGCGTCGACGGCGGAGCTGAACCGCCAGGCTAGCGGGCAAGCTGCACCGCGCTTCACGCAGAACATCAATCGCCTTGTGCTGTATTTTGTCTATCTTTTCGTCGCGCGGTTTGTGGTTGGGTATGTGGGCACGCTGCTGGTGTGCGTCGCGGCGGCGAATACGTGCGCGAGGTTGAGACGCGAGTTTTTGGAGAGGCTGGTGAGGCAGGATGTTGGGTTTTTTGATGGGGAGGGGAGGGGGTCGGTTGCTACGCAGGTTACTACGAGTGAGTTTCTTCCTTTTTTTTTTCTTTCTTCTGCTAGCCCTGGGGGTTTTGAGAATGTGGTGGGTCAGTTGCTAATAGTTGTTGTTTGTGAAAGATGGGAATCGCATCAACCAGGGCGTAGCCGAAAAATTGTATACCTGCGTGCAGGGCATCTCGCTGTTCTTTTCTGGGTTTATTGTTGCGTTGGCCGTGCAGTGGAAGCTTGCGTTGATCGTTATGAGTATTATACCGGCGATTTTTGTGATTACCGGGGGGTGTATCGCGCTGGATGCTCCTATCGAGGCTAGAGTTGTAAGTCCATATTCAGAATACTCTTTTTGGCTTTTGGTTCGGGTGGATGTTGACAGTGAACTGTGTTTAGACGAGGTTGTATTCGGATGCTGGGGCGCTTGCTCAGGATGCGTTCAGTTCCATACGAACGATCCATGCGTTTTCCGCCCAGAAGAAGATTGTCGATAAATACGACGGCTATCTTTCAAAGGCGCATGTTGAGGGGAACAAGAAGTCTGTCATCTACGGTGTCTTGTTCTCGGGTCAGACTTTTCTGGTCATGGCAGGCACCTCACTTGCTTTCTGGCAAGGCTTTCGCATGTTCCAGAGCGGGGAGATTGCGGATGTTGGCACCGTCTTCACAGTAGTACTGAGTGTGACGCTTGGGGCTACGGGGACTCTACTCATCTTCCCGCAAATCCAGTCTTTTACTAATGCGTCTTCGGCCGCTGGTGAACTCTTTACAGTCATCGATCGCGCGTCATCGCTGGACCCCCTTGCTGAAGAAGGCTTGCAGCCCACCCACTTCAAAGGGGACATCGTCATCCAGGATCTACGCTTTGCGTACCCTGCCCGACCATCCGCCCAAATCCTGCATGGCCTGAACCTGTCGATACCCGCCGGTAAGACAACCGCCTTGGTTGGCCCTAGCGGGTGCGGGAAATCGACTCTCGTCGGACTCCTGGAGCGCTGGTACCAGCCTGGCTCAGGAAAGATCCTGATCGATGGCCACGACATCTCAGAGTACAACACAAAGTGGCTGCGAAGCAACATCCGGCTCATCCAGCAGGAGCCCACGCTCTTCCAAGGCACCATCTTCGAGAACATCGCAAAAGGGTTGGTGGGCGAGCAGCTCGACTTGCCGTTTGAGAAGCAGATGGTGCTGATACAAGAGGCATGCAAATCTAGCCACGCGCACGAGTTTATCAAGAGATTGCCAAATGGGTATCATACGCAAGTCGGTGAACGGGCTAGTATGTTGAGCGGGGGACAGCGCCAGCGTATCGCCATCGCTAGGAGTATTGTTTCGAACCCGGCGGTTCTGCTGTTCGATGAAGCTACTAGCGCGTTGGATCCTCGGTCGGAGAAGATTGTGCAAAGTGCTCTTGATCGTATTTCTGTGGATAGAACTACGCTGATTATTGCTCACAAACTGTTAGTAACGACTCCTACTTCAGCAAGGAATATACTGATGTGTTCTTCAGGGCTACTGTCATGGCTGCGGACAATATTGTCGTCATGACGAATGGACAGATCCACGAGCAAGGAACTCATCGAGAGCTTCTCGACCGCAAGGGCCTTTATGCGGCTATGGTTAGCGCACAAGACCTTGGTACAACGACTGGAAATGAAGACTACCACGAAGAGAATGCCGAACACGATGACAGAGATTTAGGTCTCCACCGGAAAATGTCCGAGAAGGTTCCCGAAGATGTGGAAAAGGAACTCGATCATCTTGCTGCTGGCACACTGGGCTATTCTTTGATCAAGTGCATCTGGATCATGTTGACAGAGAACAATGATCTCTATTTCTGGTACATTGTGACCATTCTCGGTGGAATCATTGGCGGCGGCACCTATCCAGCACAAGCCATCATCTTCTCCCGTCTCGTCCAAGTTTTCACACTTCAAGGTGCTGAAGCGAAAGAGCAGGCCGAATTTTGGGCATTGATGTTTTTTGTGCTCGCTCTCGCGAATCTCTTCGCGTACTTTGGCATTGGGCTGGCCTGCAACAATATTGGACAGACATTGACCCATCGCTACAGAAAAGAGATGTTGCAATGCGTTGTAAATTTTAACCAGGACTTCTTTGATCGACCGGAGAACTCCTCAGGGGCGTTAGCCTCGAAACTCTCGTCTGCGCCGACATCACTGCAAGAATTGATTGGCGCGAATTTGGGTATTCTGCTTAATATCATGGTCAACATCATTGCCAGCAGCGCCTTGGGTATAGCGTTTGGATGGAAACTCGGTCTCACGTTGGTTTTTGGTGGACTGACTGTTCTAGTCGCCGCTGGATTCTTCCGCATTCGTCTCGATCAGAAGATCGAGGCCACAACAGACAAGCAATATGCAAGTAGCGCCGGACTCGTCACTGAAGCCGTGACTTCTATTCGGACGATCAGCATGCTAACACTCGAACCATCTATCTTGCGCGAGTACAGCAACATCATACAGACAATACGCTCAAAAGTTATTCGGAATCTCTGCATCACTCTCATCGCCTACGCATTCTCGCAATCCGTCGACTTCCTCGTCATGGCACTCGGCTTCTGGTACGGCTCCCGCTTGATCGCGAGCGGAGAATACACCGTAACCCAATTCTTCGTCATCTTCATCACCGTAGTTTTCGGCGGGCAGGGCGTAGCGCAGTTCTTCATGTACTCGACGTCCATCAGCAAAGCCGGAAGCAGCGCAAACTACATCCTCTGGCTCCGCACAATCACCCCCTCGATCCGCGAAACCCCGTCAAACCACGAAAAAGGCCCTCCCAAAGAAAGCAGCGCCATCGCCCTCGACGACATCCACTTCACCTACAAGCAACGCACCGCGTCCCGCGTCCTCCGCGGTATCTCCATCACAATCCCACCCGGCACCTTCGCCGCCGTCGTCGGCCCATCAGGCTGCGGCAAAAGCACAATCGTCTCCCTCCTCCTCCGCTTCTACGACCCCACATCCGGATCAATCATCCTATCCAACACAAACATCTCCCTCCTCTCCCCGCATCTCTACCGCAACTACGCATCCCTCGTCCAGCAAGAACCCCCTCTCTATCTCGGCTCCGTCCGCGAAAACATAACCCTCGGCCTCGATCACGACCCTACCGAGCAACAACTGACAACCGCGTGCCGCCAAGCTAATGTGCTGGAATTCGTGGCTTCATTACCAGAAGGCCTGGATACACCGTGCGGGTCTAAAGGGCTGCAGTTCTCCGGTGGGCAGAGACAGCGAATCGCGATTGCGAGGGCGTTGATCCGGAGCCCCAAGTTGCTGGTGCTGGATGAGGCGACGTCGGCGTTGGATACGCGGAGCGAGCGCGTGGTGCAGGAGGCGCTGGATCAGGCGGCGAAGGAAGGGTGCAGGACTACTATTGCTGTTGCGCACCGCTTGTACGTTCCTCTTCTTTCTCCCCTCTTTTTACCTCAGTTAATATAATATTTGCGTGATATACAGCCATCACTAATAGCTTAAATCCAGAAGTACTATCCAGCACGCCGACATCATCTTCGTCATCGAGGACGGTAAGATTGTTGAGATGGGCTCGCATGCCGAGTTGCAGCGGTTGAAGAGGAAGTATTATGCCATGTGTTTGACGCAGGCGTTGGATTAGTCGTATATGCTTCTTTCTTGTTTTTTTAGGGGGCAGGAGAGGGCGAGGGTAACGGATAGATGCTATGGGCTGAGCGATTTTCAATTGTTTATTTGGTGGATTTGAATGGTGTAATGGAGTTGATGGATTGATTATGATGTGTTATTGGCGTTGGGTTGGAGGTAGGAACAACCTTTTCGTGAACTGTTTATGTCATGTGCAATACTTTCTTCTTGTTATGATATATTTGGCTAGGATCACCTAAACTGCAGCTTAAGATCAATAAAATCAATTTAATGTATTTGGCTAATGTAGCAGAGCTGATGTATTGATTAACATATGTTCTGCATTGTTTTGCGTAGGGGTATAAGTAGGGCGTGGCCTGATGTAAGAAGTTTTAGTCTATGAATCTAATAAAACCAATGAGTTAATTCTAAATAATAGCAGGAACTGCAAAATAAAGAGGTCTAAATTGACGTTCAAAATGATAGAAAAACGCATACACAGCCTATTCGTACACTTCATACTTCTACCCCATGTCTCACCACGCCCATCCTACCCCCTACTCGACTGGCTCATAACCATATCGTGCTCAGCGCCTTCCCCTTTCCTAAGCTTCGACATGCTCCACCCGCCCCAGCACACAATAGCAAACACCCATATCTCAGCGTACGGCCCAAAGATGATGAGCAAAAACGCAATGGCTTCTTGCGTGGTGTAGCTCCAGTTCGGATATGTGTTGGAAACCCACAGCAGCGCAATGTCGAGAACGATGAAGATACTGCGGAGTATGAGCACCGGCACGGCGAGGAGCGCGAGGCGCGTGAGGATGGGTCGTTCAGAAGCCTAGAAAGCGCGTCAGTCAAAGTCAAACCCTTATATCAACGCACCTCTCATCCACACAACAAAACAAGAAAAATCGAGAGAAACAAGTATAGTGCCGGTGAATGTTTCCAAAGTCAAAGGATATGAAGAAAAAAAACATACCTGTCTCGAACTATGCGCTTTAACCTGCGCGAACCGTCTCCACGCTTCCCCGGCCACACTCGCCGTCGCAACAACCACACAAGCCCTAAACACAGTATACACGACGCGACTGGGGACATGATCCTGCAGCACGCTCCCATACCTCTCGCTCGGCGTGTCCGCTGACATGCCGAGCCCCCACGACGCGAACCCCGTCCCAGCCATCACCACCAACAGCAACGAATTCCCAATCACCGACACGCGCGAGGGTTGCCCGACCGCAAGCCCGTTGGCAGTCGCGTGCGAAGAATGCAACCACACGGCGCCATTCAAACACACCGTCTCAACGATGAACGCGAACGCGTTCAGGAAACTGAGAGAGACGGAAGTGGTGCTGCTCTGGGCTGGTGCGGTGTTGAAGCTTCCGCGGTAGTGGAGGGAGAAGGCGTGGGTGATTGTTGCCGGGGTGGAAGAGTCGGTTTGCAGGGCCACACTGGCGGATGTAGATGCTTGTGCGATGGCGAGGCAGAGGATGCCTGCGCTGAGGAAGAGGAGGGTGCCTTTTGGTGAGGTTTTGTTGGATTTGTGGCGCGCGCTTCGGTGGAGGAGGAGGAGGGTTGCTAGGGTGGTTGTTGTTAGGAAGATTAGGAGGGAGAGGATTGCTGCGATGATTTGGAGGGCGAAGATTGCGCGGATCGTGGGTGGGGCGGATGTTATCGACATTTGGAGAGTTGTGGTGTTTGGGATGGGGTTGGGGAGAGTTGAGGTGGATAGATGGATGATAGATGGGTAAAGTGGTGTTTTTGGGGATGTGTTTACTTGATGCTTCACTGACCAAGATGTATTATCCAACTGAGCTCATCGCTCGTCATCGCTAGCAGCCAAGCATGCTAGGAACTGGATGAAATCGACCCTTCTCCGTGTTATAAACTATTGGCAAGAATATCGATCCTGTCAGGGGTTCGATATGCGACATGTTCATTGTCAAATCCATCCAGTCATAGACACAAAAAAGCCATGAAAACGCGAAACGAGATAGATTTGAGGAAGTTTGGTACATTCGACTAGCAGCAATGGGAAACCAACATGTGGAAAATCTCTTTGAACGCCACCTCACGCAGCAACATCGAACGTTGGAACATCCCTGTGAAGATCATGACGTTGGACTGTGGCGCCTATTCTTAGCGTAGATGCTATGGTGATTTGCTGGAGAAGCCATCCGAGTTCCGAGAGTTGTGGGGAAAACTGTAAAATCATCTTGCTTGGACAGAGGTGGAGCAGGTGACTCTACCAAGAACGAAGTAAGATAGCTGTTACATTCTAGGTTTAGAAATAATAAATATATTTTTATTTTATTCACTTTAATGTTATAGCTAGTAATTATTATCTCTTTATCTTATACTTTCTAAAGAGTATTATTTTTGAATAAGTAATATACTTTTTTTTTTGGTTTTTTTTCTCTTTTTAAAGTAACTATTAATTTTTTTAAAGCTTTTTTAAAGTACATTAGAGTTGCGTGTTATGTTTAGCTTGCTTCTTTAACAACTAGTTAGACAATTGTTGTTATGGCATGGCATAGCGTGTTGGAAGAGAGGGTCTCTTTTTTTCCTTTCTTTTCGGGTTCTCGAATCGGGGCGGATCGGCTTGTAGTCATCTGATCTGAGAATCAGACTTGAGTAAGCAAGCGAATAAGTAGTGGAAAAAAAAAATAGAACAAGGTCCGAATCTATATTACTATGTAGCTCTAGGTTTTAGTTTTATCTGTTAGAAGTCAAACAGGCGCACCGTGTAGAGTTAGGTGCGAGGTGCGAGATGCGAGGTAAAATGCGAGTTCACTATCCCCATTTACCAGCCGACTCGTCGCAAAGAGGAGGAATGAAAGTGTATAAATACAAACATAAAGTCTACCCAAAGAAAAAAAATCTACTATACAAATATAACTTTTCAAGCGCTCCCTCAATCCTCCTTCATATCATTTACTTTCAAATATGTACGCCATCAGCCTCTCCGCTGTCGCTCTGCTTGCGTCTACTTGCACGTCTACTCTAGCTACGCCTTTTGTAGCCACACCGCTTATGGCCTCAGGTGCCACGGCCAACTCTACTGCCAACTCTACTTTAGATACGTCGATCAAGGCCCCCAAAGCAAATTACGTCGAGGTCTATTTGTTTGAAAAGGAGGTGTGCAACGTAGATTCATACCTGCAATACACAATTGGCCCCGGGTCACCAGTTTGCATTCCAGTACCCCTTCCTAGACGTGGAATTATTACATTTCGGTTCTACCCACCGTACGTATGATGATCTGAAAGGCGCTCTAGTCTAGGGTTTGTTTCAACGGCTAACAAATTACGGCAGTGACCGAGATAATGATTGCAAGGTTCTCACTTGGAGCGGTACCGACTGCCGTGGAAGTAATACATATGTTCCGTTAGACACCTGCGTCCCTGGACCCTACGGCTCTGTCCAGATCATATGTCCTCAATAGAATTTACTATTAACCCTGTTATTTTTTCTTTTTTCTCTTTCTTTTTTTTTTACCTATTCTCTAGCTCACTCTTACTCTCTGACTCTCTTATTCTCTTGTTCCCTGATTCAAAATCGCTTGATTTGGATAGAGGTGAATAGCCGAGCAGCTGGACTCGATTCTCCTTCACGGCTGCCGAAGAGGGCAGATCGTGTTGCATCGTCGTCGCCTCCGACATCTTTTCTCTTCGAGAACATGCCTATAATAGCAATCTAAAGGTACAGGTTATCAAGCTGGAGCTAAGTGGCTGAGCTGATGAAACAGAGGTTTGCCTGTGAGGTGGTGTGCGGTATTGAAATGGAGTGAAGAAAGGCCGTCACTGGCACAAAGTACCAGAAGTGATATGTGACAGGAAAAGGAGCAAATGTTTAGGAAAAGCGAGTTGACTCAATCAACATTTCAACAGAGGAGACGGAACCCAAAGCCGTTAATAGCAACGCGCGTCCATATTCCCATGTTCGCTGGTGGAGGGAGGGGTTACTCAGCCCCTCAGCCACACCATCCCGTTCGCCCTCCAAGACTCGACTTCACCTTCCGTACGCTCACATGCATGGATTCGGACATTCATGAAATGTAACGTAACACAGCAATGGAAGGCTTCATGGGCAGCTACCTATTTAGATACTTCTGCTGGCCGACGACTTTGAGGAAGTCAGAAAAGCCCATCTGGCAGCAAAGTGGGTTGAACTGGTGGTAAAATTCGCAATGATTACCTTGTTCGGGCAATACAAGGCTGCTTGTCACAAGTTGATGAGAATTTACGGATTAAAGAGTTTCTTGGGGGTCTGTGCAACGTCCTAGCACTGATTTCGTATCATCGAGGTCTCAGATGTAGATATGGTTGCATGTAATATCGTCCGGCAGGGATGTACGAGGGTTGCCACAAAAGATAATCGAGAATGGGGCGCTAGAACAACTTCTTATGGGCGCACTACTGAAACAGCCGTTGCCTCTCGGAAGCTTGCTATAACCTCTGTGGACTGTGCTTTGGCTCCCACAGTGGTTCTGACAATGAGTCTTACCTGGGAATGGATCGGCGTGTTCTTATCTCTTAGCTATAATCTCCCCAGTCACGCATTCTACACCACCACTATCTGCTGTTAGATAAAATCGTTTCTCTAATCTACTATGCCACCACAAGACTGAAAATGAGTACATACCGTTTCGTCAGTGGAATCTGCTCATCTTGTTGTACTGCAGATCACGGCCACTTCTGAACCGTCCAAGCAACCAGAATAATCCAAGTTCGTTTGCGTGCAGCTCCACTAACACATACGAGACTGAGTTGATTCTATAGTCTCACGTCAGATCTTCCTAGTTTCGTCAACACACCAGATCTATTGCTGCTATGGCATAGTGGAAAGGCGCATGGATAGACCCTATATAGACTGTTAGGACAGCCCGAGACTATACAATACATGAATGTATCCTCTCATTCATTCTTTTTAACAATATAGCTTTCATCTCTTTCCTTCTCCTCTTTTTCTTACAAATCTATATCAGACTCCAATTAGCCTCTCGGTGTGTAAACATATTTAGCAACCATGCTTCTGCAAACACTATGCACAATGGTCTTAGCAGCCCTGCCATTCGCTCAAGGTGAGTAACCAGGCTATACTCCCAGAAGATTTCAAGTATACCAACACTGTATTCTACAGCCCAAACGGGAAGTTCCCCGAACAACACCACCCCGATGAACGAAACAGCCATTGAAGCGACTCTTACCGGCATAGCCGACTCCTACAGACACTGGGTTGAGGCACCGCTCTTCCACTGGCCCGAAGAAGTCGGCCTCGAGTACGAAAATGTCACTTTCCCCTCAGAAGACGGCGTGCCACTTGAAGCCTGGTTCTTCCCTTGCAAGGGCTCCAGCAAAGTGCTAATTGCAAATCACCCAAGACTCTTCAACCGAGCAGGCCTTCCCTCGCACATGGAGCCTCTTGCCTCCATGCTCCACTCAGTAGGCAACGACCTCGACGTCAACTTCGTCCCGGACTACAAAATCCTTCACGATGCCGGGTACAACGTCTTGGCCTATGATTTCCGCAACTATGGCCAGAGCGGCCGCGCAAACGGCATCATCTACACAGCCGGTCGTTTCGAGTCCCGAGACGTCATCGGCTCCCTTCAGTACATCCGCAGCCGCCCGGACACACGCAATATGACCCTCGGTCTCTTCCCACGCTGCATGGGCGCCAACGCCGCCTTCTTCGCCATCTCGCGTGCGCCCAAGCTGTTCGAAGACGTCCGCGTGATCATGGCGCCGCAGCCTATTTCGGAGAGCATGCCAAACCGAGTGCAACTCGCGGCCTTCGGGCTGACAGACCCGCAATACTACGACCGCTTGAACGACATGATCTTTTGGCGCACAAATCACCGTATGGAGCAGCTCACGCCGATTCCGTGGGTCAGGAGTGTCCAGATCCCCACGCTGATTTACCAGGTTCGCAACGACATCACTACGAGGCCTGAGGATGTGCAGGCGATTTTTGATTCGTTGGCGGCTCCGGACAAGCAGTTGATTTGGATTGAAAACTCGACCAGGCGTTGGGATGGGTACCTTGAGTTCCAGCGCAGGCCCCAGGTGTACTTGGATTGGCTCAACACTTATATGAACTAGTGAGATGTGCGATGAATGAATAATGATCCTGAAGGGTCATTTTTCAAGATCTGACGGGGCTTTGAGCGTTCCATGGTCTTTACCATTCTTGTTACACGTTACAATAATACTCTCCCTTGATGGACTTGCTTTGGCGTTAGAGATGGCGCCGTAATTTGATACTTTTTAATCACATCGCTTGATCTACTAAAGCAGCGGATATGATGATTGCCACTACGGAGATGTGGCCGACTCGCACTTGCCTTGACCCTGCACTGAAGATGTCGGCATTGTCTATTTGTCATCACTGCTATCAGCCGCAGTGTCTAAACTCATCCTGTGCGGCTTGACTGTCACGTGATATGCCGACGGAAGTCTCGGATTGAAACCCTCCACATATGGCAACATCTGAATTTGGACTAGCAATACAAGGCGAGAGTAAATTTTAGCTCCTTCTGTCGCACTAGGTATGACTGAGGTCAGCTGTTTGTGTTCTTATAGCATTAAACGGCGTTGACATATAACTATGTGGAAATCGTTCACTGCAACCAAGTGTTTCCAAAGAGTTCTTAGTGTGAAACGCATGGAAGCTTGTGGCGGAGACTTCTTGAAACTCTGGACTTTCTTCTCTGATTGCCTAGACATAGATGAGCCAAAAGGATTGTTCGTTATTATTGACAACATGGACATACTCCTGAACAAAGCCACTTCCAAGCAGCTTGGCGACATCATCGAATTACTGGATGGATTGGCGAAAGCTGAAGGTCTCATGTGCAAAGTGTTAACCACTACACGAATCAACAACCTGGATCTCAAGCAAATTGTGTCTCTTGCCGATATCCGCAGTCGTTTTATAAAGCAGATCTATCGCATCTTCATGTTCCACGCTCACGCCAATGTGGTCTTGATGGAAGGAAGCAGCGGCGCAAATATCGGTTATCCGTAGTTCGGGACATGACTGATGAGATCGATGATCCCGTCGTCAAAGAAATCATGGCCGAAGAAGCAAGCGAGGCAACGCGCTCCGAATCTGGCTCCGAGTCAGACACAGACATTGAAGCTATTATCAACGGGAATAAATCTACGAACACTCTTATCGGGGAGGATACTGGTACAAAGGCTAATGCAGACAACAACGAATCCAGCTCGATTGACATAGATTTCTCCGACTATGACTCGGACGATGATGTCTTAGTCCCCAGATCTCCAAAGCTTGACTCGAAAAAAGATTATGCTGACGATGAGGATGACATCCTTCGGGAATTGATGGAAGACAGTGAAAGTGACATTGATTTGGATGACCTAGACACTCAGCGTCATCTAGGGAGTGAAAAGTCTTCATCAAAAGACAAGTATTCGGCAGGCAGTGAAGATAGCGACTCTGGAGATGATATAGATCTTGAAAACTTGTAAACGTAGTTATCACACGCTCGCTGATCACTACAGATGGCTCCTTCATGTGGTGTTAGTTTCTCTAATGATGTCAGACATCAATGATACTTTAGGTTTCATGCTGAGGTTACAAGGTGCTACCAGTCCAGGTGTTGTACTTTAAGGTCGTGGTAATCGATGAGACATGAATTAAGCCAAAACATTTCTGTATTTTGCGTCTCCGTTTCGCGCGAGAGCCTTGGTGGAGGAAGCATTCGCAAGCTTATATCAGCATGATTAGTCATAGCTTACGATTGAAGGCAACACGAAGCTCAGGGCAGAGACCATCCTCCCGCTCTCAACATCCCATCAAATCCATCACCCCTGCGAATATCAACTTCTGCAGCAGCGAATAATTCTCACTGAATGACGCAGGTCTCTCCAAAACGCTTTGTTCTTAAATGTCCCGAGCGACATGGAAAGATTTAGAATCAGATGCTCACAGCCTTCTTCGATTCACAAGGTCTCGAACTTGACCTTCTAGAAAAGGATCTCTACATACATATATTATTTGAGCCATCTTCGCCTTCCTATCTATTCTTTGTTCTCGATCTTCACTGCAAAACAATCCCGGAAATCAATCTCAACCAGCTGGAACTTCAAATTTTCCAAGTTTCCAAAAGCGAGCCACTATACGCTCGGTTTGTCTCGACTTTAAACATTAAGTCAGCTAATTGAACATTTATTTAGAACATTCAGGGATCTTGGAGATGTAGGACGTAAACAGGCCCAACCGCGATCTCTACATACACGGTGGGGGACAGACGAACGTACCAGTATCAGTCAGACGAATTAGCTGGTGTGGCCCCTTCGCAAACAGAACAATCCCCAGATATATTCGTATCCTGATTGTCGCGGGTAAGTGGTAAATCCCTCTGATGTCCACTTGCCGGGATGCAGGTCGTGTTGCTTCGAGTCGCATTTTGACAACGATTAATATGGTCGCGGATTTCGTGGTTGGGATTACGTTGACAACTCATATAGGTTTTACAAGCCCTTATTCTACCCTTGTGTTTCGGAGTTGAAGTTGAGATCCATCCGTAGATTTTGGAGTCGCGGTTGTGTTTGCCGGGTTCTGGGGTATGGCAGCAGATACGTACGTTTTTAGAAGCTTCTTGCTAAGAAATTACATAGCTTATTGGCTCGCCCACCGTCAGCCAACGCTGGGTAATGAAAAGAGTGCGGCATTGCATTTGCCTTACCGAAGTACCAGCCCTAGTGAGCCAGGCACGTGCGCATTGTTGTCTTCGGGTATAATAATCGCAATACGTCTTTAGAAAATCTTTCTCTATTCCAAAGCCTTCAATTTCACATAGTGATTTACTCAAATTCCTTTCCAATGGCATCTCTCACTCGTATCCAGCAGCTGTCGGTGCGTATCGCCAAGAATACAGAGGCGGTAGAGCGCTATCTTCAATCCAACAATTTGCCAACTCCATCCCTGGACGCAGACGCACTCTGGGAGATACCTATCGCCGGAATTGCTCCAGAAATCCTAGAAGCACGACGTGTTACTATTGAGGATTGTCAGGAGCTTGGCGCTTTGATGGCTGGTCCGAAAGAACTGGTGCATTACTCTGTACGTCATCCCTCTGTGTTGACATGGAAATTATGCTAAGAGTAAAAAACCTCAGTACACCTCGTATGTCAGCGTGAAAGCAATTCTGCGTTTTAAACTCGACAAATCGTTCCCAGTTGGAGAAACTTCGACCTTTGAGTCCATGTCAGACTATTCCGGGCTGAGTGTTATGAATATCAAGCGCATAGTGCGACATGCGATCATGAATCACCGATTTTTTGAAGAGAAAACGCCTGGCATTATAAGCCACTCTGCGCTTACTGCGATCTTAGCAGGAGACAAGTTGGCTCGGAATTGCCTCGTCGTCGAGTTGGATGAATTTTGGCCTGCAGGTGTGAAGGTATGTCAGTGCGTGCTTATTCTCGGTATCTATTAGTATTGATCCAAAATCGGCCGTCGATGCCCTAGAGAAGTGGCCAAATTCTGAGGAAGCTAATCAAACGGCAAGTTTTGACTCAACTTATGCCTGTTTGCGCAGATCGTCTAATTTGTGCAGGGGTTCTCGTTGGCGAATAACAGCGATAAGGGCATGTATGATATCCTCGCCGAGCACCCCGAGCGTGCAGAGAGGTTTGGCATGTATTTTTCTCAAGCGGATGAACCTAGTAGCATACTACTGGAAAGTTACCCTTAGGCGGATAAGAAGACAATTATCAACGTTGGCGGTTCCCATGGCAGCATTGCCATTAGTATCGCTAAGAGATTTCCTGAGCTGTCATGCATTGTTCAAGATTTGCCTAATACTGTTGCAGAAGGCTCTTCTCGTTTGCCTGAGCAACTCCGAGACAGAGTCAAATTCATGGCCTAGTAAGTGACACAAACTCGGTGTTGCCCAGACGTTCAGCTAATCTTGGCTACTCAGCGACTTTTTTACTGAACAGCCAGTCACGGCAGATGTCTACTACTTTCGCTCAATTTTCCATAATTAGGCAGACAAATACTGCATCAAGATTCTACAGAACTTAGCACCCGCCCTTAAGGCTAGGGCCAAGATCGTTATCCACAAACGCATACTACCCAGCCTTAAGACTTTGTCAACCGCAGACGCACAAAGAGCCATGTAAGTCTGCATGCGATTAATATATTACTACACTAATCACACTCAGTAACATGGATATTGGGGTGCTGCAGCTGCTTAACGCCCAGCAACGGGAGATGCAAGATTGGCCAGAGTTGTTTCGTCGTGCAGACTCCAGATATCATTATCTAGGGGCAAAGAAACCCGAAGGGGCAATTCGTTGGATCATTGAAGCTGAGTGGCGAGGCTGAGTGCCGTCAGGGCAAATCTGTTGTCTGTGTGTTAGATTGCCTCCATATGTAGACATGTCGCACTATGGCGTAGCTCCCGCAAATCTACTTACTTCTGCCGATCACTCTTCTTACCTCGTATTGGGGCCCGTAAGCAATTATGGAGGCAACAAGCAGTCTTGGATGCGACAAGCAATCTTTATTGATTTACCAGGCGTTCGGGATCACCGCCTAGGCATCGTGCACACCATGCATACACTGCAGAAGAGGCGGCCTCCCGGCCACTCTGGCGGCGTTTTAAGGCGAGGCAACTGCATATGGTGATCGTATCCAGGTTTGGCTTACATCACAATCAATTCTCGGGTTACACAACCTTGATGTTCGGACTTCACGTTTTGGAAACTGGCGTACGTGACATGACTTGACGACAACAATCGGACCTCTGTTACCTCTTCTTTGTCTTTTTTTTTGATATCCGTATAGCACTTTCAGAAATCAGGAACTATCACAGACATGTCTCCCAACGCTGAATACACCCCCGTGGTGCTGAAGGACGAGATCAGTACCAGTGACCCTAATGACAATCGTCTCATCTTCGAAGAACTCCATCATCGCCCTCCTATCTCTCCAAATCGTATCAATCTACAAATCCTGATCGCTGTAATTGTTGGTGTAGCAATTGCGATATCGTTTGTTGCAGGTTCAGTATTGCACCCACTGTCATCGCCTACCTCACCAGTTTTCCATGGCGAGAAGTACTTTGAAAGTAATGATCTCTTTTCTCATATTCCTGAATGTGAGTAAAAGAAAAACTTCTTATGCGACGCGAATTTAAAGAACGCGTTGCTAACAAGTAGTAGGGGTTCTAGCTAAAAGCAGAACTGCACTAGCACCCTTGTTAATTTTATTTTGTAGCTAATTTAATTTAATTATAGGTCTTAGCTCCTTGCAGTAAAAATGCGCACATTCTTATAGCGTTAGATCCAGTCCCTTCAACTTCAACCGTAGCAAAGACAGGGATGCTAAAGTCGAGAATGGACTTTTACTCTAACACCCTTCGTATCCAATTTCGGATGCGCCACGTGATAATCATACTGGAACTTGACATCATCTTCATCCGTCTCAAAGAGCTCCATCTCGTAGCAAGCAATAGCTGCGATAGCCATGCACATCTCAGCATTGGCGAGATTGATCCCAATGCACTTGTACGTGCCTCGTCCCATCGACATCATGTACTTGCGTCTGGCCAAACCGTCTCGTCCAAGAAATCGATCTGGATTGAACTTCCATGGATCGGGGAAGATGTCTTTGTTTGTGTGTACGCATAGCGTTGTCATGCTGATGGCTGTCCCCGGCGGCAGGACGTGCTGCTTATACCGTAGGATCTCGGGCTCGGGTGCAACTCTTGTGTTGCGGCCCGTCAAGCCGAAGGACAGGCGATTGGCTTCGAGGATCACGGCGGAGAGATAGGGAAGTTGTTCTAGGTCCTTCAGTGCGGTTGGGTTGCCAGCTTTGCTGAGCTCATCGCGAAGTTTACGCATGACGGGCGGGTGAGCAAGGAGGTAGAAGTGTGCGATTTGCATGGATTTCGCCGTCGACTCGGTACCTGAGATGCGATATTCAGTGCCGGAACGGGATGAGACAGGATGGCATGCCAACTTACCGGCCATAATCAAAAGCGATCCTTCGTCTTCTAGCCTGTCAATCCCTCTCTCATCACTGGAAAGATCGGGGTTATCTTTCAAGTCATAGAAGACCGAATCGACCTCTCCCCTCCTTTTGTTCTCTTCATCTGCGAAGACTGCTTCGAGGTTTTGACGGATGTTCTACACAGATGACTCGTCACCAATTGTTGACCAGAAGAGAAGTACAACGTGGCTCACCTTACGGAAATTGATAAGATCCATGACTCCAGGGGGAATCAATGATGCACTCATACTTTTCGGAAGCAGGCCCAGAACTCCTAGCAGCCAACCGAAATACAAATTGAATTTTGTGCCGCGAAGTAGGCTGCTGAGATTGTTCCGCAACCGATTGGCTTCTTCCAGATCCCCTATCACGTCTTGGTCCTGGCCAAAACTATACTTTTGAACAATACTAGCGAAGATAGGTTACTCCATGCATGCATCCAGGATCGCGTGATAAGTGACGACTTACTCGAGCGCTAACGCAAAGTATAAGTCCGAAAGATTGAGAACCACATCCGACCCTACAAAGCCTTCGATCGCGCGACAGAAATCTTGCATCTTAGCGCGCAACGATGCCTCCGTGTTCAAAACTCTTGCATGGCCGAAGAAAGGATTCACAGCCTCCCGTCGCGAGCGGTGGATCTCCCAATTCTTCGCGGCGCCCATCGATGCGTCCAACGGCAATCCTTTGAGATTGGGTAGATATTTATTACGTCTCCTCGAGGGCGGGTTATAGATTTGATCCAAAAACTCGACATCGTTGACATGGACCTCGTGCGGTGAGACGCGAATAATTGGACCTGTGCAGTGTCTAGGGCATCAGTGATAGATCTGGACATTATCCATAGAGGGGAGTGTACCGTATATTTTGTGCAAGCTTTTTATCTTAAAGACGTATTGAGCTGGGTAGAAAATATCGTAGAAAGCCGCGTAGAAAGTGGTGACCGCCGCGAGTTTTGGGCCTGGCACGCCTGCGAGCGGATGAAGAGCAAGCCGGTAAAAGGATCGAGACAGTAACCACATAATGACACTGAACAGCGAAGCTCCGAGCATACTTTTCAAATCTAGATGCTGCATTTTTTGGTATAGCACAACGCGACGCCCTACTTTAGGTTGGCAGATGCGGCTGGAAGGTCGAGATGAACGACTATGGCAGATGTGAAGCGTGATGAGAGAGGTCGTGCCAGCACAAGCTTAGATTTGGACATGTGGCAAAAGCTTATTCTGCTTCGCTTCGAATTTTGACAGGAAAAGTGAGTCTTTGAGACTACAAAGGAAAAGCCAGCAGCTGATATTCAATCGATCTAGGGGCCAGCTGAAGAGAAGGCGCGGCAAGAGGCAAAGAAGGCAGAGAAGGCAAAATAATCAATACTATGCCGCATATCATAAAGCATGCAGCATTTGAACCTTAATTAACGCTATCGGACTGGATGAAGGTGCGGGGGCCATTTACAATGCTGAGTTGCGATACTTTCGTATCTGCGGCACAGCGCTTCCAAACCTGCGCCTCGGGGAGTACGGGAAACAATTGATTGGGGACATGATTTCGCCCTTATCCCCGGCCCGTACAGGGGTCTGCACAGCCCTAAAGGTGCAATATATGCAGTTCGGGGAGTACAAGACATGTTGACGTTAGTTATTCACACTGAATTTATGAGCCATTGGAGGCTGCAAGCTGCAGAAAACCTAGACTAAGTTTAGATGCCTAGTGGTCAATACAGAGCAAGGTAAAATGATATTAGAGTAGGCACTAGCAACATCTGGACTTGCTCAGTGGTTAGCCGTCAGGCAATCTGTGAGTGACTTGAACGTCTTATAATTCTCTAATAGCACCAGAAGTCATCGTGTATGCACAGGCTTAGTTCGTATCCTACTGTGAGAGCTTGACAAGGGTACGTCATTGAATCCCACACTAGCCGCCCGGCCGCATACATGTTTGCATCAGGATCCGAAAGAGTCCACTCATCGCGTAGGATCTTGCAGAGATTCGCAGTGTTAAGTGTGAAGATCTGGGGCGGAGCTCATGGCCAGGCCCAGTCCTAAGTGACAGGTGCTGCGCTGTAAATGTACATACATGTGCATGTGTGTTGTAGATCATTACTATACTTGTCATCGCAATTACTGCATGTCTTTAGCCTGTTATCGCGATAATTATGGCTTGTTGTCTGGATCATTGCCTGGCAAATCGCGATCGTTACGATGGCTCTCTGCATTGATTTCGTCGCGCATTTTGGAATGAAATCTGGGCGGAATCATGACATTACAAGCGAACTATTATGGTTTTGTTACCTAGAAAACGAGCTACTAAACACCATCCCCATCGGAGTACCCTGGGCACCTGCTATCTGGAAGACCATGAAAAAAAAACGTTGTTTTTGCTTTGTCCTGACGAGCATAGCTTAAAAACATGTTTTCTCGAACCTCCTAATCTCCATAAATCCATCAGAGACCATCATTACCGTTATCGCAATATCCGAAATGGTCTTCTAGCGGTATAGACTTTTCGCTGTCCCGATAGCAGGCCGTATGTGAAGTGGCCCAGTCCCGGAGCTTCGCCCAGTCTTTGCATTGACGAAATTGTCCATCGCCTGTTGTGTTGCGACCTCTGGTATAGAGTAAGGTGTCACCTCCAGTACACATGATATACTGGCGCAATGCATCGAAACAATGTATCGTATGTCCGGCAGGCCATGTTACTGGTTCCTTTCTCTCTAATTGGCGTAGCGTCTTGCGGATTATGGTCTTTCTGCCGATTAGTCTAGAAACTACAGCAACTGAAGATTTCACCTACCAAACAGTGTATCTGATGATATGCGTCTATGATATACACTCCTTTTGAGTGATCGTTAGGAAGGCTCATGCTCCGCGGAAGGCCTAGATCACCCGCCCGTTGGTGATCGATTGCAACAGTACCATGACCTGGAGCAATATCATCCCAAGCTTGGTCGACCTCCTTTACCGCTGTGATATTGTGGTTGTCATTGGTGCTGTATTTGGACCACCATCCGTATCTCAGCCAGACATTCTGCGAGGAGTTTCCTGTTCCCAAGTGAGTATCGATCCTTCGAAGACATGGACAAAAGCTCCCACCTCCATCAGTGACATCGGTTTCATTGTAATTGATTTTGATGAGACTTGTCATGGTCCATAATAGGACGATCACAATGGCAAGAATAAAACCTGGGTACTGACGCAGCCATCGTGTGCGAGACGACTCTTCGTTCTGTCTAGTAGTCTTTTCGCTATTCTCACTGTCATTGATGCGGGCATAGTGGTAATTTGGAAGTGCCATGTTGTGATTTGCGAATGATGTGGTTGTAACTATAGGACGACCTCAAAATGGAAGTGGGAAAGATAGAATCAAGACCCATAAAGCATGCAAGAGGTCTCTCACCCACTCGCATATGATCTCATCAGCCTTCAATGTCAACAGAGGGTGACGGGTGCTGTAAGTCAGGCCGGCGAGTGACACATCCCGATATTACGTGGTCCCAGATGAGCGGATCATCTATTTTTCACCCCAGCAACTTAGCAAGACCCTGACCAGTCTCTCGGTGTCCGAGGGACAATGCAGCGCTGCTCTTGCATGGTTTCTCTCGTCCGTGCGCCCTAAGAGGCGAAAGCTGCCTGAGGTTACGAAGATAGCAAACTCGAGCCTCGCTCGTGTCAACAACATTGAAGCCTCTCAACTTCCCACACCTACAGTCCGCTTCTCTTGAGGCTTCATTGCAAACACTGAGCGAGCCTTTTCATTTGATACAGCCTCTCTTTCCGAAATGGGATACTACATAACTCCCACCTCGGTGCTCTCTGTTAGCGCTGTCCTTTCTGCGCTCGCAGCCATTGCTGTTGCCTCACGGGTTATTGTGCGAAGTCGTCAAGCAGCAAAGTATGGTGTTGATGATTGGCTCATTTTGGTCTCCCTGGTTCGTGGAAATCCATAAACTCATCTGCCACCACTAGCTGACCGAACATCGAAGGTTTTTACCGAGGCTTGCGGAATCAGTTTGATCGTTGGTAAATTAAAGATCTCAATGTTTCTGGGAACATACGTCGAACTGAGTCTATAATATTAGGTTCTGCCTTGAAAGGTCTTGCTCAGCCAACACCCACGGGAGATGGTCCCATGGGGTTTCTCACCGTTAAGAACGATGCTCTCATCATCACAGAGAAGGTACTGTAATCAGAGCAGCTGTTGTGAGATCATGCATTGACTTTGCAGGTCAACTGGATTGACATGCTACTTCAATGTCTTTCTTTCGGGTTGATAAAGATGTCGGTCGTTTTCTTCTACAGAAGAATCTTCTGTAACCCAAGCAACAAAGGAGGAGCATTCGACATCATCTCAAAGATAACCATCGGTTTTCTATTCATATGGATGATGGTATTCTTTTTTGTCGTCTTATTTGAATGCAAAGGACACTTCTGGGCGCAGTGGGACAACTTGATGGCACTCCTTACCTACTGTTTGGACGATTCCAAAATTCAGTTGGCCTTCTCCTGGATCGATGTCATAACGGACGTTTGGATCCTGTCCTTGCCACTATATCCCGTAAGTATCTTTGCTAAGCAGTAGTGTGAATTGGGCTAACATGAATTTTACAAGGTGTGGAAGCTACGACTACCGTCTCGACAAAAGCTGGCACTGTGCGCTGTTTTCCTCATGGGGACTCTGTAAGCAGAAATTTTTGTCCCGAGTTTCAAGTTGTCTAACAATCATTCAGTGCAATTGCAGCAGGTGTACTTCGTCTAGTCATCTACATACAACAATTGACAAACTCTTTCAAGGATCCAGACGGCATAAGTAATACACCTCAGGTTCATTAGATAACAATTGCTGACTTACGGCTCAAGAGGTCATTACTACACAGCTATACTGGAGTATGATCGAGATGTGTTTATGCACCGTTGCAGCTTGCCTCCCAACATTGAAACCGCTATTCAATTATATTCCGATTGACTCCCTTTTCAGCAGTCTCCGTACGTTATTTTCCACAAACTCCGTCGATCTTTCGCACATCGAAATGGACACTTATGCTTCCACGAGACGGCCTCACGATGGACCGTCTGAGGGCTCTGAGAAGTCTCTGGTGTGATCAAAAGCTGGTGGCCGGTGGCAACTGCGGAAGGAATCAGGATATAGCTTTACAAAGTTTTGCGTTCACAGTAACGGGCTCAATTTTTTCGGTCGATAGGGATTGGACAGATAAGACTTTTGAGATTAAAGTGAAGTTCATTAGTTTAGTTTCGCTTACGCAATCTTGTTGTGCCAAATAGGGCTCGTGATTACTTGAATATGGCTCTCAGACCTCAAATGTGTGTGTTTTTTTTTAAAACAAATGCGCAACGAATAATACGCAGCGATAAGAAACAACGTTTGAAGTGATTAGGCGAGGCTTTGCGAAGAATCGGAAACAACTCTTTGCCTCTCATTGATCAGAAAAGATCTACTGGTGGCGTAACCGCGTAACCGCGTTACGGTAACGTGGGTTAACGTGAAGGGGAGCAAGAGGCCCGAGTCTGCCCTCCTACAAACCTGCTTCTGCAAGGGATCATAGGCAGCGCATCGGACCCCGAAATTTAATGAAGCATCTGACGCCAGCACTGCTTTTCAGTGCCATGGAACCAGCGAATCTTGAATGACGGAACTCCATCATGAAATGACCATTGGACAGATCGGTAAACGGCAATGCCGGAGTCATACCCGGCTCGGCCATTCAATGTGACGTACTTTCAGTTGCCTGACTCCGTATATCGCGCACAAAACTCTCCGGGAATGACGTTATCCAAGTTGGGTACCGAGTATCGTGTAGAATATTGGCCCCTTCAATGCATTCCCAGCTGCACAAATTAGGCAAATCATTCTCAGCCAACGACCGTGCTTTCCTTTCATCCCGGACGCGTGTGACGTACGTGAAAAGATACCGGGCCGAATCTGCAAGCCTACTCAACATCTTCCTAAAAGAGGATATATCTTCTGGTCGAACTTGCAGTATTTCCACTCCCTTCCAAGATGATAGATCACCAAGCTCAGACTTTTATCGAGAATTAGGAGATGGAAATGACTATTTGAAGGATACCTAACGAAAGGCACGAAAGGGCAGCATTATAGCATGCTCATGTATTTATGTAACGAAGGAGCCGAGACTTTCCTCTGAGCTGTGCAGAAGGCAGCAGTTCCCGCTGCGGAGCCCTGTCTCGGACTTTCTCGAGTTATCCAAGGTTCGCCAAGGACCTGTACCTAGATGTGCAAGATTGCGGCGTACAGGAACTGTTCATTGATTTTGATATAAATCATAAAAATCACCGGTCACCGAAGGAAGCATGCATCGGACTGACAGGGATGCAGACACTACTCGTTCACACGAGACGTAATGACATTGAGCGCATTTGACGTAGTGACGTATACGACGTAATGACATCTCAAGAGGGAGACTGTCGGACGGACATTCAGACGAGGAAATTCAGGCAAACGCTTTTCTGTCACAACATAAAAGGGGCCGGTTGCTGATGAATTTCAGTATCGACTCTGCATCTCTCTACCTCAAGCTACAAATCAGAATTGTGTAGAGCATTCGCCCATCCAATCTCAGTCTTCCACCACCAAATCTCTCAAGTTCCACGCCAAATCTTCGAAAACATGAAAGCATCCGTTTCTATCATCGCTATGCTTGGGCTCGTAGCTCACATCATCGCAGCTCCAACTCTAGGTACGTAGTTGTAACCAAGAGCATGACATAGTTCAACCGAGTACTTATATAATTCTAGGATACGGCACTGGAAACCTGCTCAAAAGGGGAGATTGTGTACAGTACATGATGGAAACGAGCCGAGCTGCAAATGAACAGGCTGCTCAAGATCTCTGCAAGTCTGCTCTTGGGCCAGATGGAGAAGAAGCCCCAGGTATGTCTGCCGACACATGGTAGCAAGCTTTAAGTCTGTTCAGGTAAGAAAAGCGTCAAACCCATGGTGGATACTGTATCAGTTTTTGACAAAGCCTATACGTAGACACTGTCCGTTTAGTGGTATTGACACGGAGATGCTGCTTTTCGCTTTCGTGAAATGAAGTGACAAGTGTAATACATTGATCTCCGTAGCTCTCTTTGATCTATTTGAATACATTCATTAACATAAATCACCACCGATTACAGATTACAGAAGAATTTGAATGATGTGATATGCACGTGACCATTCATTTCACTGACTCCGAGCGCAATTCCTGCAACCGACATAGCTCTCCAAGTAAGAGAGCAACAGGAGTACAATGACCAAATATCTTAGCTAACGTGTATGTGCACCCAATGCACCGATTCATCCAATGCACGCGAAACAACATAACTATGTCATCCCCTGTGGTCAGTGTCAGAGCGCTCGGCCAGGCTTAATTTTGGCGCTAGGATCGGGCCGGGCCCGAAGGTGGTCAGTAAGGACGCTCCCAGATCTCTCACACTGTCACCCTAACCTGATTAGGGCTAGTGATCAATACCGAATCTATATCCTGCGAGAGGCCGACAGGCATCGGAACATGCATATAAGAATACTTATCTTAGAGAAACATTTATCTACTGTGTTAGGATCCAGTTCAAGTGCATTCACCCTTGTAGCTTACCCTTTAGAATAATCATGTCTCTATCCCTCAACACCTACAAAATGCCCTGCTGTTGCGCATATTGGCTACCATCTTACTGTTATTGATTATAGCGTCGTAGAGCTGTTACAGCGTCCATGCAGTTTTCACCCTTGTATATGGTTGCTACCCCCGTGAATTTACTGTTGTTCTGGCTTTTAGCCCATGTTCAAAATGAACTCAAGTGCCCTGCATTTTAATCTTATGCCTGGGCATCAATCTCAGGAGAGCATGGCTTATGTCCGGCCCCTATAACTTAAGTGCTGTATGGCAAACTTGTACCATCACGTCTTTTATGGTCCTCGTCAACCCGATGGAAAGATGATTTCATGATAACAATAACAGATACGCGTGTTTAGCTACGTGCAACAGCTGTGTCGTTTACTGGGTTTCTTTCGCGTCCATATCTCGCATCACGTTCAGCGCAGACTGCGCGACTTTCCGATTCTCTTCAGACAGGTTATCTTCATGAGTCAATGCGGTCCATCTTTCCAACCAAAAGCGCCATCGTACCAAGGAAAACCCTTTCCCGCCGTTCCAGAGTTCACCCTTGCCTTCCAGCATGCCTTCGGTCTCGCCCTCTGCACAGCGACGATACAACTCCTGTCCTGCATGTATGAACAAAACGGCAGCAGCTTCCAAATTCTCTTTCCATTGATCACCTGTATCGCTCTCCAAGGCTGTGGAGATGGCATGTGTGGCTCTTTCGAGATCCGCACCGTAGGACGAAAGAGCTCGATCATTTGTCGCAGTCAGTCGCGCGGTATATTCGCATGCATTTACCCAGCGTTGACGTCTCTTCTTCCGTTCTTCGCCGGTAGACTTCTCGATGAGAAACCGCGCCCCCCATGAGTTGGAATTGTCTGCCCAGTTGTTCGCCCAACCCGTCAGTTCTTTCCAGTAGAAGCCTTCGTCAAAGTCCATGTACTCCTCGCCTTCACCGCGTGGAACGTCTACCCTTGGCAGCTGCTTGATCTCGAATAATATGGAGATGATGCACCCTTGAGCCGACGGAAGCAATACCGCGGTATCGTTGAGCAGTGTCCAAAGTGCACCCATTCGTTGTAACAGTTCAACAGGCGTACTTGACTTGTCTGGATATGTTGTGAGCGTTTTGGCGGCTTCTTGGCTCGTCACTTTTTTGGCAACAGCGTCTTTGAGGCATTCGATTTGCTCCTCTACAATATCGTAGCCTTTGAACAATGACGTAGCGTTATCGAAATAGACATCAGCCATGGCTGCGCGCCTGGAGATTTTGGATTGGTGTGATTTTGGATTGTAGAGTATGTAGCAGAGCGGCTGCGCGTGCAATTCCAAGAGATCTGACAAAGGTGTTGGACTTTAAACAAGCCACAGAGAGTTACTGCCTGGCAAAGTCCTCGTAATATTCCTGATATAGAGTTGGACGCGTTCGTCTGAGGCGCAGCTAATTACAGAAGTCTTAACATGACGTTACAGTGTCTATTTTTAGTAATTAAACGTGTAGAGCTAATAAGGCTAACAGATACACCTTCCACTAGGGCCAATTCTCCTAAGCTCTTGGGGTGATTGAAATCGTGAAGCAATTTTTGTCCTGGCTGCATCGAAAGTTGCATTACCATGAAGTTCAAACACATTTATATCCCTCCAAATGTCTCCATTGCTCAATTCATGATACTTAGTGGCTTCATCTAATCAATGGCGAATCAGCCTAGTTGGCACTCTTTATTCTACCCTTGTATTTCGGAGTTGGAGTTGAGGTCCTTCCGTAGATTTTGAAGTCGCGGGGTCCGTTGTCTCTTTCCTCAGTACTCCTCGCCAGGGGGGGAAGTCTGAGTCCCTCCAACAGCCTGACATTATTTATCATACCATCAGAGCACTGTATCTGTGCCAATCTGTTCGAATATGAGTCTTTTGTGTGCTTTTGTGACAGGGATTCATGTGAAGATTGGGAGGGTCAGTTAACAATACGCTAATGACACCTTGAGGACTTACACGAAGCATATTCGATGTATAGAACGACGTTTAGTCGCCTCTTGTAGAAACCAATTCCATAGTGGCAGGATAGCAGGTCTCACAAGCCTGTGGAATTCGTCGTTGTCTGCTTTAGCTTCTAGAGCCTCCTGCCGTTGCCTGGCACCTAGAATCCAAATCAAGCTCATCCTTTCTGCGTTACTGAAATACGATTGTTCGAGTATGATGTTGGCATTCTGGACATCGCCCGCGAAATTCTAGGGAATTTTTAGCTGCAGTCACTTAGGTATGACGAAAGAACAAGCAAGTAGGCGAACACGGTGGTGCGACCTAATCAGAACAACTTACGTGTAATATTGTAAGAGAGACCATCATTATAGCGATGCAATTTGGGACCTCGTGAGGTCTAACATTTTGGTACGGATTCTGCAAAGAGAATTTTGGCATGCCTTCATCAGTATCCATCATGCGATGTATGAGGCACACCGTGACGCGCATTACATCTGTCAGTGGAATGCTTCTGATTAGCAATCAAATCGTTTATAAATGATAGCAAATCAGTTTCTCAAAGACGCAATTTTTGCTTTTTGAGACTGCTTATAGGCCATCGTACCTGATATCGGCAAAACACTTGGTTTCAGGCCTGAGATAATTTCATCCAGGTGTGAGCTAGCAGAGACCCTGCCCATGCCAATACTCATCAGTGCATTCCTCACAGCGAGAGGATAATGTTGTTCCGTGTGTTGAAGAAATTTGAACAAGAGGTCTGTTCCAGCTATCATGAACTGTGGCTCGACCTGCAAGACATCCACCTCTCGCAAATACGTAACTAAGCCAAGTCAGTAAGACAGTTACCGCGTTTTGTTGATAGAGAGATACTCTTACCGAGCTGGTCTCGGTGTTCCCATTTCTTTGTCGTCCTACGCATAAAAGCTTCGTGGAATTGTTCCAATAATAATTCCCCAGACCGCACAAACCCGTTAAGAGCATCGAGAATTCGGTTTTCCTCAAGGCTCGGCTCGCCGTAAGCATGTGTCTTATACAGCACATCGCTGAAGTTGAAAAGCGCAAAGTTAGCGAGAAGCATAATGAGGTTGAGTGTGGATCGAGTGCGAATGAGAAACGCAGCGGCAGGAGGCGTCCCAATCCACTTTGTGCGGCGATGGTACGTACTGGCCAGCTTCAGCCCAAGCATTTCCCAGTGCTGACACGACCTGCACTTCGACCCTATCTCCTTCTTTGTATCTGTATCCATTCTTTCCTTGCTCTTTTTTCATAAAGGGTCTATAGTGTACAGCTTCTTGTTCTTAGTACCTGCTTCAATAGATCGCTCCTCGCCTAACGGTGACATACCTTCGTACCCAATGTGTTTCGCTTGGTATCTGGTGTTTTGCGCAGACCCTCGATGACGCTTTTCAAAAATTTCTTCTCCCCATATAGAGCGAATGATTGCTTTTACCTTGTCACGCTGCTCTGGAGTAGATACTATGAGGATGATGCGGACTCCAGCAAGGTCATACAGATCATTCCGGATGTCCGCTGTAGCGAGCCGTAGTGTTAGACAGACATTTGGGATACTTCACAAGGCAAGCCTACCAATAGTTTCATACTTCTTGCTTTCGTATCGCAACTTGAGCTTCTTTCTTAAGCTGTCTTCCTGCTTGGCCCTGCATGTCACTATAGCCTGCAGCTACTTAATCGTCAGTTATCGCGCATTTGGCTCCACTCTCTTGATTCTGCGTAAGAGATCTGCCTCCTACTTACTCCACATCGTCGGACTTCATCCTGCACTAGATCCTTTGCGCATTCCGCGATGGACTCCCAGTGCGTCGCATACCAGTTTTCCGCAAGAAATTTCTCTGTGCTTGATGAGTAACCGCAAAAGACTATTTGTGACGATATAAATCCGATTTATAGGAACACACCTATAATGGGGGGTGTTGGCGCTTCATCCAACCAGGTATACTCGCGCTGGGGGAATGCGGGGTCTGTAAGCGCCTTGTCACCATCATCAGACTTGTCTATTGCGGAATCCTGAGGGCTTGCGGGTCGACTTTCGGTCATACTGGATTGGGATAGTCAATATTCTTTGGAGAAGAGTACAGATCAGGCTGAACAACTGAGCAATATGATCGAGGGTTAAGATGATTATTATAATAGCCTTGTCTGTACACTCTGTCAGCTTAGGTAAGCGATATACCTGGTCCTGATGCATTAGTATGCGAGATCAAAGCCTCATTTTAGCGCTCAGTTGCCCAATCATCTGTCCTGAATCCTAAAACTCAGGCAGAAAATCCAGTGGTAGGTCTTGATTCTTAACTACGGTGGGGATTATGAAACGTCAACCATGGCCCGTGGGTTTACAACAGTGAACATGTTATTAGACTATAACTCTGCCTGGCTTCCGAATAAATCTCTAAGGCTTGAAGCAAGCAGTTTCTCCACAGTAATCTAGTACATACTTCTAGGGAAAGGACGCTTTGAGCACCTCTAGTCATGTGATCTCACACTCTACCCGGCTTCCGATGCGTGCGCCCTTAATTTTGGATGATTTCCACTCGTTGCATGTTAGCAGTAGTACGAAACACAGTAGTAAAAGATACCGAGAGTAGAAAAGACACATTAAGTTGACCAAGAGCCATAGGTAGGTGCAATTTATAATGTCTATTAGATGAAACCCAGTCTACGTGCTCGGTGTAATACCGAAAAATATAGTTAAACAACCCATCTTTGTGACCAAGTAATGCAAGAAATACACAGCAGGAGCACTACATGGCATTTGATTCATTGGATAACTTCGAATACGAGATCTACACACTGTTAAAGAACGCCCAAACCTCCGGTCCAACCCACGATGCCTCGCCATTCTCCTCAGGCGCAGGAGCATCAGCCGCAGCCTGAATATGCCCACCATCATGCGCCGCCCATCTGACCGGAAATCCCTGCCTGCAACCCGTCGCATCAGTCGAGATATGCGTGCGACTTCCTTGCGCAGGCTCCCTGGCCCCCTCCAACCCAGCACAACCATTATTTCTAATAAACCGATCCCGCAGCTGGCGTCCAGCATCGATATTCAACACGGGATCGCGAATCCCATGGATACCAAAATACGGCACCCCTTCACCCCCTCCATCACATCCAGACAACTCCCCACCAGCAATCACCGCCACAGCGCGGAAGTCCTTCGGACGCGCACACGCAAGCGAGTAAGTCATCGCCCCACCGTACGAAAAGCCAATCGAGAAACGCTCAGTCTCCTCCACACACAGCCCGTCCCCGATATACGCGTTCATGGCGTCGATGAATTTGAGATCGCGACCCCCGCTGTTCGCCCACCCGCCGTCGAGGCCCTGGGGCGCGACGAAGATTGCTGTTTCGTCCGCTTCGTCCTGCAGGCCGTAGTATTTCCAGTTTCTGGATCCGCCGTCGCCGCCGTCGGCGACTTGGGACATGCGGCCGCCGTTCCAGTGGAGCCCGTAGATGAGCTTGTATCCGGTGGATTGCTGGTAGTTTGAGGGCACGCGGATTGTGAATTCGCGTCGGACGTTGTCGATTGTGAGGGTTTTGACGCCCGAGGTTATGGTTGGGGATTTGTTGCAGCCGGTGCTTAGGGCGCTGTCTGCGAGATTTGGGAGCGCTGAGAGTGTGAGGAGGAGGGGGTTGGAGAGATGCATGGTTGGGAAGGTTGAAGATGGGTTAGGTGTTGTATAGTCTGATATGTCTGTGGTGACGAGAAGATGTTTATCAGCGAGCAGTCATGCATGTTTATATAGGTAATTTCTGGGTTCGATGCTCGCATAACGTCTGCCATCGAATTAGTCAAGAATATAGCTATAGTCGCTTCTTCATGGATATATTTCTGGGGATCGTATATGTGAAGTAGTGGAGATAGGGGATATAGATGAATAGTAAGGAAGATATATATCCACTAGCCGGGGTTGCACGCGAGATTTTGCGGGGCATCCTAGACAGCAGACTCGGTTGAAACAAACAACGGCTATGCCGGGAAGTTTTCGAAGTCGATCATCGGCTGATTGTAACGAGATCAATATCACGTCTCAAAACCAAGCATTTCGAGCACGCAGCTCTGCATCTATTCACACATATCAGACTAATGTTATTCCCCCAATTGGGGATTTCCTCCGAAGAAGGAATGCTACCCCTCGTGTTGAGTGGTATATTTTGATGTCATCAGACGAAGTTGAGGAATGTGCTCGGAAGACTTGATAGTGAAAATGGGATTGAGCAGATTTCATTTAACCGTGGACAGAGTAACTACACCGTAGAGCCGGCGACAATTAGTCCGCTTGGTGGAGAGTTTTCTCAGTCTGCACCAGAGAGTATTGGCAGCAGTGAATTTATAGAGCTCATTCATGCTTTTGATATGACGTTGACCTGGTCCAATAAACTGAGCTGTATCCTTGGCACTAAGAGGTTATCAACTTCAATGCCTGAGTAAGCTAAGTTTGATGTCCCCATAGTAGAAGTATACCAATGTTTTACTCATGCAGTAACCTCTGTTGGTCTTACTACTTGAGCCAGATATTGTTGACGTGAATCACCAGACGATTGACGGCGCGAGATGCTGCGAGCACAGAGCACAAGCACAAAGTACAAGGTGTCTACTTAGGTAGGTGACATGAACAGTTTGAGGTAGGACGCGCATCACGTGACAAAGCTGACTCTTCAATTCGCATGTGCATCCCCACGGTTGAACACTTGCAAGGCTTCCCCGTTTTGCCGTATATATACACGAATCAAACATCGGGTGTGTCTTCTTGTTCATCTTTCTAAGAGCTCTGATCGAGATGAAGCAAGAAGGAGTAGAGAGGGTACATATGATGAAAGATTGCGATATAACCCGCTTCAAGAGACGTTCCGTGCCATACCCACTCCAACCACAAGCAATTCAAGTCCTCAGTCACCCAAACTCATGTTCCGTAATAAATATAGCGTAAAACCACACTGACAGCCGACCAACCCATCCCCTTCTAATATCTGCTTCATCTTTCACTTCTGATAATTGTCGTCTATATTATCCCCCAAGGATTACTAATGACATCCTCCAACGGCAAAACCCCTTCCCTTCCCAACCTCTCCTTGACCGCATCTACCTCCTTCCAAACCCTCAACAAATTCCCACCTACAACCTTGATGACATCTGCCTCGCTAACCCCCTGCCGTAACAGCTCCGCGACCAAGTCCGGGAACTTACTCACGTCCTCCAGCCCTACAGGCGTTTCCTCAATACCGTCGTAGTCAGTTCCGATACCTACGTAGTCGTACCCGATGAGCTCACCCACATACATGATGTGCCGCACGACTTGCGCGAGCGTGGCATTCTCGTGTACCGTGGTGGGAAGGTCGGTGGCTGGGTCAGCAGTAGGTGGGTACTCGCACGCGATGAAGGAGCCGGAGAAGTTGATCATGACGAGGGAGTTACGAGCGCGGACGAGATGCAAAATCTCATCGGGAACGTTGCGGGGATGGGGGCATATCGCGTGGATGGAGGAATGGGAGAAGATTGGAGGCGCGATACTGCCTTCCCAATGCCCCTCGACTTCTTTTTCTCCTTTCGACGCTGGACGGGGGGTTTTGGAGGAGCCGATTAGGACGTCCCGCATCGTGTCGACGCTGACGTGTGCGAGGTCGACGATCATGCCGAGACGGTTCATTTCGAGGACCAGGGCGCGGCCGTCTTTGCTTAGGCCGTGCCAGTGCGGGGTTGCGATGCGGGCGTTGAAGTGTTCGTCTGATTCGAGGGCTGCATCGGCGTATTTGTTGTGGCAGTTCCATGTCAGTGTTGCGTAGCGTACGCCCAGGCGGTGGAAGAGTCGGAGGTTCGCGATGGAGTTTCCGATTTGATGGAGGCCCTCGCTGTTGTTTTGGAAAGTCGGATAAGCTTGGTTCTTCGAGGCCGTTGAGGGGTTGAGGAATCTTACATGATGACTGGAGATATGAGTCGACCCGCTGAGAAAGCTTCAAGCGCCTCATTGTGGGTTGACGATGGGGTAAAGTATTTTGGGTATCGCTCGCCCAGGCGATGAAATAGATCCAGAGCGTCAAGAGTGGCGTGAACGACTAAATTCTCAGCATTTCCCAGTAACAAAATGATAGGGGAGAGTGCAGCAGAAGGATTATTATCATACTGGGTTCGTACTGAGCATCAGAAAAATCGGTTCCGTTACTGGTTATCGGGCACGGCATAAAGGCGCTCCAGAATGCTCCCCCTTGGAGTCCTTGATCGAGACGTGGGAGATCCACGTGACTCATGAAGCCGCCATTTTCGAATTTTTGAGTGAAGTCGTCGCCATATATGCGATTCTTGTAGAATTGACGAATACCAATCAAAAGATCATTATGACCATCTAGAAGGCAGATGGTCAGCAGGCGGAGCTTGAATTGTTTATCAGACGGATAGATGGGGAGAACAACCAATGAGGGGATTGTCTTCTAGGATCTTTCGTGCCTGCTGCTCGACCGATAATTTGGTTCCCGAGCATGACCTATAAGGGGAGTATATGAGGAACTCAGATAGACTGTACGTCCTAGCAGCTAAGAAGCTGAGCAGGGAAAAGAAGATGGTAGACAAGAAGAACTTGTTCCAGAAGCTCAGGCGCCGTCTTGGTGCTTCAACCGAAATGATCGAGGTCTTCTCACTCCCTTTCATTGTCTCCTTCATCGTAGCTGTCTGATCTGATGGATGTGACAAGAGGTTGGTGTTTCGATGTCCCCGCCTGCGATTGCTAAGCACTCAAGCTTCGAGCGATGACGCCGGACCCCTGTCTGTTCGCTTGGCTGCGGCGGCCTGAACTTCTCCTCCGAACCCGCACACAACTTGTTCCTCATCATCTACTTACATACATTCATTCATTCAATTCTTAGGGGGTTTCATTTCTGCAGTTTTGCATCATGGGCATCGTATCTGCCTATACGATGATTCGCGTCCTGGCGCTGACTCACCTGGGCGCTGCGGTGCTGTTCTTGCAGAATCCTAAGAGCATCGCAGGACACAACATTGTCTCTCTAATGGAAGAAGCCATGCAACTTGTACGATATACTTCTTGCTGGATCGTGCATCTGAACAATTGACCTGACAAAAATCGTAGCCTACCCCGCGCGGATTTCTCAAGCCGAGCCCAGTCACAGCCTTCATTGCCGTTCTTTTGGCTTTCCATGCCATCAGCGACCTCGCCGTTTTCTACCTTTCCGAAGACCTCCTCGAACTATACTGGGGAACGCAAGCGCCTGTTCGATTGGCATTCCTCTTCCTGCTCACGGGCTACAGCTACGCGTTCAAACCGGATAGCATGCTGACGAACGACGGACGCAAATCATCAGGAAACACGGGGAATCTGCTAAACAACAGCGTTGTGTTCACGTGGGGATTCATGGAGCTTTCTACCTGGTTCTGGGTGAGTCTACTGCATGGCCTGGACCTGCACAATCATCTATTGGATGGAGGGGTGCTGATGAATTTTAGATTTTCCTCGCGTTGAGAGACGAACGTAACGAACGTCGCGGTCGAATCCTTAAGAAACGTCATGACGAGATGAACCAGATGTAATGGAATTCAGATAACGACAAAGCAGTTCATTCCGGGGGGTATAGATGGCTACAAAAGTTTCCCGCAAAATAATCACAAAATCCATGCTTCAAGAACAGACCATATGCCACTAGTGACCCCGAGTAGAATGGCACTACCTACCATGTCTTCTTCTTCGCCAGCATTAATCCTGACGTATCTTCACAACATTCGGTTTCCCTATCATGATCCCATGGGATTATACATTCCGTCATCGGAGGCGTGCGCGCAAATCCATCTCAAGTCTCCCATCGAGCAGCCCAGTGACGATTTGAATGCCTCTTTTGGATTCGGCAGATAACTACTGATCGCTTTCATCGGAAGACACTTCACGCCGAGTGATGCTTAGCAACGGCTTGTGTTCGCAGATGCAAGCTGTACCCTTTGGACACTCAACGCTAGTCTGAACGGATAAGCATGTCGGACCTTTGTCGTGGTTGCGATTCCTCATAGCGGTGAGCTGGCATAGCTCTCTAGCCGCCGCGCAGTTCACTTTTAGAGTCGTCAGACTCCGCCCTTGCCGCGCCCGAAGTATATGAGACAGGTGGTGTGACACTCCTACTCACACATGTGCATTGAGGAATCCCGGGGTACTGAACAGCGTGGACCCCTACCCACTTGGATAGACACGCTTGCGATCCTTCTGTCGGGTCCACGGCGTTCAAGGGTCGAAGCACAACATTAGTAGCAGTCAGTCTGTCGGAAACTTGAAGCAATCGAGTATAGTGCCCCTAGTAGCTCCTGATTAGGGAACTTTGCGCAAGATTAAGCTATACTCCTCTACAAGGAGATTTGCAGGGGCGCAGCTTACTGGCTACAGTACGAGTAACCGTTTAGCTTATACGGCTCGCTTCACGAGCTGTAGTCGACGTTGCCGCATCAGGATTAGTGTACGACCGCACGACAACGCCTTCGGATCCCCAGTATGGACCGATGGAAATCTTGCAACTACACCAAGACTGAGCTGCGGGCCACGGACAGCTTGATCTTTTGTTGGGACTATAAGTACAGGCGTGGGCGAAGCGGTCCCCATTCCGGGTTTCCCTCAATTGCTACCATCGCTACAAAAAACATCTCGATATAGTAGGGCCTGAACACCCTATAGTATTCTACGATATTCTCCGAACCAATCGATCTCCCGAATAGCTCGCCGACTCTCTCATCTTACGTCCTGCATAGAGAACCAACAATCCGGGTAGGGCTGTCAAAACGCTCGTCTTACGCGGCGTAGACTCTTCACCATGGGGCGCTCATTGGCTGTTGCGCACCAATCTTCATCTCCTCCATCACCACCACCACTTAATATTATAATACTGGGCGGTGGAATAGCAGGATTGACCACAGCGCTATCTCTCACCAAATTCGCACCAACTGGAGATACACCACCTCGCATTACCATCTATGAAGTACGACCAGAACCAGCCACCATTGGTGGCGCCGTAAACCTCACACCAAACGCACTTCGTCTCCTCTCGCATCTCGGCGCTCTTGATGAGATACGCAGCAGAAATTACGGCAAAGAATGTGACGCCGTCGAAGTCTTCGATATACATTCAAACACCAAGCTCGCAGAAAGCAGTTTCCGTGGCCCAGATGGCAAAGGTCTCGGAACCCCACCCTTCAAAGCCATCCGCATAACACGCGGCGAAAGCCTCAAAGGCGTTCTCGCCGTCATCGAAAAACATCCCAACATCCAACTCATCTGCGGCAAGAAAACAACCTCGATCCACGAAGACGCAAACAGCGTAACCCTCACCTTCGAATCCGGCGACACCGCCACCGCAGATATCCTCATCGGCTGCGACGGCATCCACTCCGTTACCCGCCTCAAACATGTCGAGCCCTCCCGCAAAGGCACATACTCTGGAATCTGCAACGCCTTCGGCTTCGCGCCACGACGTAAAGACGCCACAACCGCCGACGGCTTCGAGCCGGTGCACTTCGAAACCAGCGCCATGAACTTCAGCCGCCGCGGGATGCTGCTCACCTCCTTCCACGACACAGCCAAAGAATCCATCTACGTAGGCGGGCTCATGCAAGTCCCAGAAATCGCGTCGCGCGACGGCTGGAAAGCCGCGGGCGCCGACGCCGAAAAGACCCGCAAAGACATGCTCGACCGCTTCGCCGACGGCGCCTCGAACCCGCTCATCAAACACCTCATCGAAGACGCGCAGGACCTCTACCTCTGGCCCGTCTTCACGCTCAGCAACGGCGGCAAATGGGCCACCGACCGCGTCATGCTCATCGGCGACTCGGCGCACGCCATGCCCCCGCAGGGCGAGGCCACCGGCATCGTCTTCGAAGACGGCGTCCTCTTCTCCCGCTGTCTCGCGCGCTGGATGCTCAAACGCAGCGAGCTCCTCCAATCTGGCGGTGCCGTCCCGCCCGTCAAAGAAGCCTTCGACGCGTACGAGAAGCTGCGCCGTGGACGCATCGAAGTCGCGTTCGGAGAGAGCCAGAGCGTTGTTAAAACCGTCAACGAAACTGGCTGGCTTGGCCATTGGATCAAGACTTGCGTGGTTCCTTGGTATCTGTGGTGGAGTCGCGGGTACAGAGAAAAGCATTTCGTCGAGGATGTCACGAGCTGCGAGATTAATTGTTAACTCTTTTCTTCCTTCCTCTTTTCATATCTGGAGGGGTGTTCTCATCTCGCTGGTGGTGGAATCTTTGTTGTTTTAGATGGAGTCTACGCGTCGTTTTCTTGAGCTGGATGCTTGCTTATCTTATTGCTGTCCCCCCTACCTTTTTTTTCTTCTTCTTCTGTACATACCCTATCCTCCCTATCATAAAAGAAGTAGTACAATTTCAAAAACATTATCCTTCTCCCTCCCTTCTTGTCAGGTGTTAAAACAATTTCGTTTACCTCATCTAATCTTAAAAATATAGAACGTATCTCAAGTAGACAGCTATTAGAAACATAATAGTCTAATATTATAAATAATTATATTTCTCTTCTAGTTTTTTCTTCTATATTTCTCTCTCTCTTTGTATTTTTTTCTCTTTTGCTTTTTACCGTTAACTTTAACGTAAAAGTTAAAAGGAAAGTAGAACTGTTATTTTTATACTTTTCTCTTCCTCTATCTATCTTCTTTCCTTTCTCCCCTTCTAGCAGCGTTATCTTAGAACTCTCTAAAACAACATCAACAACCGCACCTGCTACAGAACCGGTCCGTCAACTGATTAGTTAATTAATTGATTATGACAAGCACGACACCCCCGTCTTCACTCCGCGACCAACACAAGAGAAGAATATGTCGTGCAGTTCGACAAAGAAAAACTATTGCTAAGAACTGACTTAGTTGGATTGCGCTGATGAACGATTTTCTTAGTTAAAGTGGTAACTAGATATATTTATTTCTATACTAGTCTTCCGCCATGAACTATGAAGAGAAAAAAAAAAGGAGGGGTTAGAAAGATGGTGATAAACATGCATGATCCCAAAGTGAAGCTGCCGGCCGGTACAGCCAGCCAGGATAAAAGTGATCGATCAGTCATCCTCCAATCTCTCGCTCCAAGGCAGCGACGCCTCTTCCTTGTTGAAAGCCCGCAGTATTTCATCGCTCGCCTCGTCTTCGGCTTTGCGAGGAGCAGAAGCAGCAGCAGCAGCAGAAGTGCCGCTAGCTTCGCCAGCACCAGCACCACCCTCAGCATCGCTATTGACACCGCTAACGCGCTCCTTCTCCCGCTCTTCTTCCTTCTCCTCCTCCGCCTCCCAATCATCAACCACCTCCTGCACAGGCACTTTCTTCTTCTTGGCTTTACTGCTCAGACTCAACACCGCGAAGCCGCCTTTGCCACCAATCGGCGCGCTGCCCAACGAAGATGCGTGCCTGGCAGACGCACCGCCTTTGGCGGCGACTTGGCTCCAACCGGCGCCGACGCCATCGGATTCGGTGCGCAGGATGTTGAGTGAAGCATCTAGACGCGCGAGCTGGAGCGTGCCGATTTTCTGCGCCGCGAGTTCCTGCGCGAGCGGCGTTTTGAGGGTTTCCAGCATCGTTTGGACGTCTCGATCGGGGAGGTTGATGCGGGCTGCGATGGGTGGTTTGAGAGCTACTTCCTCTGTGGGGAGGAAGCTGATGTCGAGTTCCAAGGCGAACGAGGTCTTGGGTAAGACGGTTTTGAGCGCTGAGCGCACTTCTTCGATGGTGAGGGCGAAGCGGGGGTTGTTGATTAGGAAGGCGTTGTACGGGTCTGCGGTGGTTATGCTGGCTTTGGGCCGTGAGGATATTGCGGGTGCGGGTGCGGGCGTTGCGGCGGGGGCGATAGTTCGTTGCACTTGTCGGATTCTGACACATTCGGCCAGTGATTTCATGGGAGCTACGACAAAGCGTGGTGTTTTGAATATGGCGACGTGTCGGTGTGGTTCGGGATCCATGCTCTCCGAGTCGAAGCCGAAGTCTTCGGCCAGAGAATGTAGAAATGCACGTTGCTTTCGCTGCATCGGCTTGAATCGCAATCGTTTCTGGTCAGGCTCGGCAGCAAACAGACGCAGTTCTTTTTCCTGAACACTGGCCCATGCCGAGTTCTGCTGGTACATGTTGAGCGTGTCCGCCGAATACGGGACATGATCAGTCTGTTGAGCAGGGTCTACGTTCAGTGCTACAGCCAGTTTCCGATTCCGTTCGAGACGAGCACACTCTTCGTCGCACTTGAGTTGCTTATTGTGATTACCCTCTGTGTTCTTTGATGCACCGCACTTGGCCTCTTGTTTGATGCGCTGGCATTCGCAGGTAATGAAAATCTTGTGCTGGCATGGCTTCTGTTCCTTACACGGACTGGGAGAGTGACACGGTGCCATACAGGGGTGACCACATACGGTCAATTCTTTCCCACATGACTGTCGGCATGGTTCTTCGCACTCTCCGGGGCGATGACACTGTTTAAGACATCGATGAGCACCGCATTTGAGTTTTGCACCACATATATCACCGCATCGCACTTCTGTCAGCCAACAAGGCTGGTTTTTCAACGTGTTCTTCCCACAAAGGCATGCTTTTGTGGTCAGGAATGGACATTTCGGGCAGGATTCTTCATCTTCATGACAATTGTGCGTGACTTGGGGGTGACCGCAAGCTTTTGGTCTTTCGCATGGAAAACGGCATGGCGGAGGTTTCGTACCACAGGGTAGTGGAGGCTGGAGTACAGTCCGTCCGCAATTACAGCTGATCTCATCGAAAATGGCCTCTCGGCAGGTGCCACAGGGCCCTTTGTGGCACAGTTCCTGACACCGATGGTCTGGATTTCCGCACCGCAACTGACGACCACAGCTTCTAGTGTCAATATGCTCCGCCTCGAAACCATCATCATGTCGATGCTGACGAGCCGAATCCAACGGTCGTGGCTTCCTTCGCTGCGCTTGACGTTCGGCGGCTTTTCGCTCACCAGGACAACATCGTTCTCCGCACTCGTGGCGACCACAATTGAGCGATACCCGACAAACTCGCATGCACTGCGGAGGCTCCTCCACACCCTGGTGGCAAATAGTCGAGGACGTTGTGCGCCCGCAACGGCAGAGAATGGACATGGTACGTAAGCACGGGGGGCATGCCCCTTGATGGCAGAATCGCTCGCATCGATGGCCGCAAGCGAGTTCGTTCGCACAAGGCTTTGAGCAATTGGGGATTGCATCCTCACAGCTCGTGCGAACGGCCCCAGATATCTCGCTCAAGGGTGTTTTGCCGCAGGGGCAATGTGAGACGGCGTCTGGTGAACGTGGACAGTGAGGGGGCGCGGAGTCTTGTTGATGGCAAGGCTTTTCACAGGTGTGCTTCCCGCAATCAAAGTCGCGCCCGCATGTATTAGGACAATTGAAAACACCGGTCCATTCTTCAAAGGCGTGGGAGCCGTCCTCGGCAGTCAATGTCCGACTACTGTGACGCTCAATATTTTTATCGCAGCAGAGGATAGCTTTCTCGATCTGTCCACAGTAGCATCGGGCTGGCACCCGCACCTCGCAAACCCCACAAGAACCCTCGTGGCACGGTTGAGGGCAGAAATGTTCTCCGCAAGGCATCAGCTGACCGCAGACATCACCACAGCTCCAGCCATTCTCATAGTCAGTATCCACACAACGTCGAGTCATGGACTTCTTGCTACAAAAACAGTGCTGCGTAGGTCCTATCTGCGTGCATGGTGGACAAGGTCCGGCGTGGCATGTGGTTGGGCAAGGATGGGGGCACTTCTTTGGTAAGATTCGTGAACGTGAACTGTATGAGTTAGCCACGAATAATGTTAGGAATGTTAACAAGGTGTTGAACTCACCAAGTTTGACCACATGAGAACGGCGGAATCCCAGCTAGTGGTTTGGGGTCTGATTCTTTCTCACACCAGCAGGAAAAACTACGAGGCAGTTCATCCTTGGGAAGATTGCATCCAGGGCAGCGCCATTGACGAGGCGGTGGCAGTTCACCATCGGGAGCCTGTTGACGTGCCGCAGCCGAGCCTTCGTTGGTAGACCATTTTTTTATGCAGCCCAAATGGAAAACAGTCCAACAGGTTCTACACGACCATACACCTTTTGCTGTTCTCTTGATTGTTTCCACGCAAATGGCACATTCGTAGTGCCCATTATCTATATCCTCGTGAGTTCGTGTAGTGATATCGGGGGCGTTTGACTTTGGGGCTTGGGGCTTGCGGGGGCGTGGAGGTCGAGCAACCAGCGGGCGTCCAGGTTCGAAAGCTGGGGCATCGGGCTGGAGACCTGCGGAAGATGAGGGATCTGTCGTGGTAGTAGAGGCTGAACCCTCGTCGTTGGCTGCAACCGTCAATTGGCCGCCAAACTGCCTTCCGCCAGCAGCGCGTCCGGGGAATCTGGGGTTTCTCTGCTGTCCGCCTCGCCCTCTTTGGTGGTTCGTGGGAGGTGCTGAAGAAGCATCCGCTGAAGGAACTTGGGAAGCATGAGGGGCCTGGCCGCGCCCTCTCGGGTTGTTGGTGTGAGATCCTCGTCCCCTTCCTCGCCCACTCCTACCGCCTCGCTGTGCTGGTACGGGCGGGGGGGCGTCAGGTCCATCCTGTTGAGCGGGCTGCTGAACAGGCCCTGTGTTGTTTCGGTTCCTGTTTCGAGGTCTTCGGCGCCTCTGGCCCTCTGTCTGCGCTGTGGCGGGCGCTGTGCTGACCTCCATGGAGTATATTTTTTGAGAAGATGGAGGGGGCGAAACGGGATGTACGGAAGGAAGAGTGAAAAAGGTGTCCGGGTATCAAGCGAGAACAGAATCGCTGTGGCGAGCTAAATTAAGTAGACATCAAACGAGAACCGCAAATTGCACGGCAGAGCAAGGACTCGAGAAAAGATTTAAGTAGGTGGAAGAAGAAATCATGGAGGATGAGTCGAAATGAATGTCGACTGCCTTGCGCCTGCGCCACCGCTTTCGCCGGCTCTATGACTCTGCCTCCCTCGTGTTTAGAGCTCCCTCGCGTCCGGCATTCCAAAATGCTATGGCTCCATAGATGATATGATCAGCAGATAGAGCGTGCAATCCATCCGTGGGCGTGGTGAGTTCCCATTCATTATTATTTCTTTCCTGGTGGTTCGCCAACCCAGCAACCAAAATTCGACTGCGCGTCATCGCTGTTCCGGCTGAACTCCGGCAGACGGCGCACCGACCAATCCCGAGCTACGAGCGTTCCAGGTCACCACCACCCACCCTCGATAGCATCCACCTCCGCCGTCGCCGCAACCAAACCCCCCATCCCACCGCATCGCATCACGCCGTGGCCCATCGCGACACATCTTCACCATGGTCAACTCATTCGTCAGCGCCGTCGCCCTGGCTGCTCTTCCCTCTGCGCTCGCTTTCAGCAACGCCTCGCCCTACTTCTTCTTCTCCACTGCCGAGTACGTACATTAACAGATAACGGAGCTTCCCCTAGGCTTCACACTTCAAGCTTCATGCAGCAGCGGCGCTAACTCCAACCTCAGAGTTCTCATTCCAGGCGCCGAGACCGAAGTGGCCACGGCCCTCGATGCCACCGACCGATTAATAGAATCCCTCAAAAGCTGCCCTACCAAGTCCTACATTGTTGTCGAGCAACATGGCGTGTCGGCCGCCGACTACATCGATGAACATGCCGCACCTCGCCTAAGATCCTACGTCGCGAACCCCGGAGGAAACGACAATAAGATCAGGAGCACCATGATTATTCCGGAGGTCATCTCAAGCGCTTCGAGGTTCTCCAAGATGGCCACCCCGGCACAACAGATTGCCGACTACATCAGGCAAAACTGTGGCGCCGTTGATGTTGAGGATACAACGACATCCGTTTCCAAAGATGCGAAGAAGATCACCACATTCGCCGTCGACGCCCCGCGGACGGAGCAGGATCTCGGCAAAACTGGTCAGTACCGTCATTGCCACTGTCTGCATGTGACACGCTCAACTAACGTAAACTGTCAGACGCAAGAATCGAGGATCTTATCGTCGAGCTTTCTGGTTCCGAAGACTACGATTTCACCGTCATCTACACTACCACACCCAGAGAAGAGCCTATAACTCATGAAGGTTCGGGCAAGAAGGCCACCTACGAGATGGAGAGTCCCTTCGATGATGCAGTGCAGATGGAGCTGAAGCGCGATCTTTCCTCCCACAGACGCGCCTCGTCCTCCAAGGAGGGTGCGTTGTTCGAACGATACCAATACTTCACTCCTGGCATTTTCATGGCATTCATCGCCATCATCCCCATGTTCAGCATCATCATCGTCGGACTTCGTGCTTTGACCAGCTTGGAAGTATCTTATTTCGCATTCAGCAAAGAGATGGGCCCAGCAGCCAGCCGCAAGTAAGGAAGTCATGGAGTTTAGGGATGCACAGCTTTGATGTGTATGTGTAGATGGGCAGGCGTGTACGAGCATAGGAAACTGGCGTTCAATTCGGGTTGTTTTTGTAGCCTCTATTATCGATCATGTACAATCAGTCATGTTGGCGAAGTGTTTACATCAATATACCAATCGTCTATGTGTTCATACTGATCTGTTTGTGCAGTGTTAATGTCGGGATCGCGCAGTTGGACAAAACTTCAACAAGTCTTTGAGGTTCGAGGTAATACACATCCTACAGTAATCCAGTACGCAGAAACAACGCTTCTTGGTGAAGGTCGGAAAGACATTCTGGAAGTATGCCGCCTCCTCCACCCGTAGTCCGCCCAATCTGACTCGAGCCGAAAGCACCGGAATCGGCCTGCCTCCAAAACACTTACACCACGTCCTTCCCAAGACCTAATCTGTACGTTTAAGTGGAGCAAAAATCAATCATTACTTAGTCTATACCTAAAATAAGCCATATCAACCGGCTGTCCACGGCCCAAGTTCATCTGAATGACGGAGACGCTTTAGCGTCCATGGAACACTTTTCTCAAACGGGAAATCAGCTCCCCGCATAAGGCACGCCCTACCACTTACAACACTATGAATCCATCTCCACATTGCCTATCTCCAGCATCCCATTCTTCGACATATCATGAGAGACCCCGCAGCTCGTACTCGTTAATCAGTCCACATGTAGCAAAAGTATCGTATCAGCCGACGGGAACCGCGTATATATGAAAAGCATACATGTCTAGATAACCCAATACAAAGCCCCCTCCCCCATCAAGGACCTCACCCCTCCCAAGAAACCAATAGAATATAAAAAAGGAAGAAGAGCGTGGACAAAAGAAATGACACAACAACCATCCTATCTGATCCTTGGCGCCGGCGTCTTCGGCGTCTCAACAGCATACACCCTCATCCAACAATACCCGTCCGCGAAAATAACCCTCGTCGACCGCGACGCATTCAATGCCCCTTCACGCGTTGCCGCATCGTGGGACTGGAACAAAGTCGTGCGCGCAGACTACTCTGACATCGTCTATTGCAAACTCGCACTGGAAGCCCAGGACGTCTTCAGATCAGACCCCCTCTACAAACCCTATTTCCACGAATCCGGCATCTTCTGGGTCTGCAGAGATGACTACGCAAAAGAAGTCTTGGAGAACTACAAGAAACTGGGGCGGAAAGCGGATTTGAAAGCCGTGAGCGTGGAAGAGGCTAAGAAGCTATATGGCGGCTTGTTCGAAGACGCCGATTACTCGGGCGGCGTGCAAAACGTGCTCATCAACCTTACCTCGGGCTGGGCAAATGCTGGAGACGCACTCATTGCCGTTACCAAGAAGTGCGTCGAGCTGGGCGTCGAGTATATCGTTGGTGATGTGGAAACATTGACCTTCGATTCCAGTGGCGCGGTATGCACTGGTGTTAAGACGGCAAAGGGCGATGTGTATATCGCCGATAAAATCATCCTCTCGACCGGCGCGTATACGGCGAGACTGTTGGAGCAATCTGCCAGGTCGAGCGGGAAGAAGGATATCAGCGCCGGAGGGAGGATTGTCGCGGGGGGGATCACAACGGGCATGGCAACGCTGGACGAAGAATCACATAAAAGGTTCAAAGATATGCCGGTTGGTGTTCAGGGATACACCGCTTCTACAGGTAAACCCTCTTCTCCACTATCCCCAACCCCCCCCCTACCACCCACCCAATCGCCCTATAACCCCCTCTCTCTAACAACCGTTCCAAACAGGTCCCTTCATAGGCTCCCTCCCTCCAACCCGCGACCGCGAATTAAAATGGTGGGGGCAAAAAATCTTCAAAAACACCCAAAACGTCCTCGGCACGCCCCTCTCGGCGCCCCCCAACACCCCAGACTACAACCAATGGAACGTCTCCCCAAAACTCAAACAAGACATCGACTACGCAAACAAAGTCTTCTACGGTAAAAAAGGCGCGACCTGGAAAATGGAAAAACACAGAATCTGCTGGTACGCACCCTCCTTCCTTCCCTTTCCCCCCCCTTTTTCCCTCCATTTCCAGAAAGAGTATCATAAACTAAATCTGGGGGGATAACAGGGACGCATTCACAACATCCTCAGACTTCATCATCTCCCCGCATCCCTCCTGCCCTTCTTCTCTTTATGTTGCTACGTGCGGCTCCTTCCACGGATACAAGTTCTTCCCCGTGCTAGGGAAATATATAGTGCAGATGATGCAAGGGGTGCTGGAGCACGAGTTGAAGGACAAGTGGGCGTGGGATCGCGAACGGCCTGATGAGAAGCTGAATCCGGATTGGCCGCGGTGGGAGATGAAGGAGCTTGAGGGGGAGAGGGCGAGGCTTTAATGAAGCGGAAGTGAAGTAAAGTAAAGCGTTAAACCAGAGTAATAAGGGAAATGGGAATCGTGTTTTTTTTTGTTAATGTATGGCTTTGCGTATCGGCTTCCACCCCCTTTGTTTCGGTGCTGGCATAACTTTTCACTCCAATTCGGGCATATACACTGATTTTCTTCTTTCCAACTAGATGAAAAAATTCAAGAGACTTAATTGATACTGACTACAAGGGTTTCCACGTGCGGTAGCTACCCGCGCCCCTTATCATCGCTATTTCACCTTCACGTACATTATACATACATACATATTCCGTTGTATCCCGTGCGTACCCAACACAGCACACTCCTACTTCAACGCTCATCTACTCACGTCATGCTGTTGACGGAATCTAACTGGTATCTAGCAAACAGCGTCATCATCTCAGTTCAATTGATCATGTCTTCCAACATGCCTGCCTGTGACATTTCTGATCCCGCACGAACACGTAGTGCGTAGCTACGGAACAAACCTGTTTTCTTGGACTATTGAGTAGTGTATCGTGTCGTGAATGGGAATAATGTGATTTATTGTTGTTGCTGAGTTTTCTGATTACAGGGTAGTGATTTATATGTTGTGTGCTTGCGCGTAAGTTGTTTTCTTCTTCGAACAATAGATTGAATGAGTTGGTGTGCGTTTGTTAGAAGGAGATGGTGGGAATTGAGCTGTGTATCTTAATGGTTGCATTTCAGCCTAGCCTGACCTTGTAGAAGCTGATGTTTTCTGTAGTCGGCTTGTCTTTTTGTGTATTTGTGTTGATGGGTACTGTGTGTTTTTGTTTGTGTTTCTTGGCAGATCGCGCTATCGACGTACTTTGCTTGTGATGTGCCAGTGTGCTGTTGTTTACTATCAAAGTCATGATTTCCATTCAGAGCAAAACAATGTTGATTCATATGTACTTGGCGATTCTCACGGAGTACTTCCTGCGATTGGGTGGCTTGCATATCCAGGGTTTGTGAGTTTACGGGGTTGGAATGGAAACTTGTGGTACAAATGCTTGATTCAGTGGTTGTAATGCTTAAATGTTATTGAATGGACTGTATATACACTAGGATCATTGATTTAGTGGGGAATCGGCGCTTGGAGTTCGAGATTATTTATGACGCTGTGAGTTGCGTAACACTAATGATGGTTCCTTGGTAGTGTGATAACATACAACTGGATTGTAGGGCTACCACTGATCTCCTCTGTTTACATCTGCTTCCTATGCCAAGTTAAGTTTTTTAACTTTACCTGGCAACATTTGGACGTACGTTCATTACATCAGTGTACACGCTATTAACTAAGAGCATTCGGTCGATGTGATCAACAAAAGTCACTTGAAATCCTACATTGGACTTTTGTAAGTTTTGCGTTGCTTATGTGTCGAGTCGTGATTCAATGGACCGGCATACTCCATAGACTTGATTAAAGTACCTAAGACTGGTCTGCGTCCCGCCGATCAAAGCTAGAGCGTGACGACATGCCTGCGACATTCCGTATCAGATTTATCCCGTTCTTTTGTGCAAAAGAATTGCACTTTTCTTTAAAACTAATTTCTTTATAATTCCTCTGTCAGCACAAGGCGTGTGGAATCATTCCGCGAGACAAATCTCAAGTGGATACTCCTCTGGGTACAGGTGGAGTCGGACAACTCGTGTGAACTAGACATTCTTGTACTGACACGAAACATATGTACATGTATTCACAATAAATGGTACGTGCAATCCCTGCTTATGCCATCTCATTGGCTGTAGATTCATCTTGGCTAGAGACTTACGTCACGTGCCCACAGATACCCCCACGAGGCATGGGCCATGACCAAGGGTGGGGGTCTATATTTCAGGGAATCTAGAGCTGCAATTTCTGTTTTGAACTGACAATATGGACCCATACTCTGCCCGAATTTTTGGTCCAGTTTCAGCGAAGCGTAGGAATGGAACTGTTCCGCGGTGTGTAGAGTGGGGATTCAATGGGTACGTACTAGGGAAGATCATTGATTTGCAAGGATGGCGAGGTATGTTTTTTTCTTCGGGGTTTATCGACTCTTTGGGCGTGACTGCAGAGTGATATTCCTCTTATCAATAGATTTATTGCTTCTTTCTTGCAATGATACAGAAAGGGTTTATGTGTTGAATTTCAATGATCAAGAGAGTCGGTCTTGTAAGGCCTTCTTTTGTGCGACTAATATATTTTCCTTTCTAGAGCCAATTGTCTAGGAAGCTGTCCCGCGGGACTGATTGAATGCTTACTTGCGGCAACGAGTGAAGAGATAGATATAAATGGGGCGAAGTGACGGACCGTTACGTCTGTTGCGATAACGTGAAACACTGACGATGGGTTTTTTCTGGGAGTGATTTTCCGCGCGTTCAAGACACTACTTCAACCACCGTGTTTTTTTCTTTTGCTATTCAAAGAGAGGTTGAGTCAGAAGAGAGCAGTCGAGTCAGTGGACTATGACAGAGATACACCATGTGGAGGACGCTATGAAGCAAGAATTCACCGAATATCACCCTCGGGGCCAGACCCGAGTCGAGACGAGGACAAGGCAACAAGACCAGCGAACTTCGGTAGTTTTCCGATTGGCCGACTTTTCCTTCCAGCTGTGGCTTGGCTCCGGCGCTTCTGGCTGGTGGAATAACGCCGACGAAGGAATGGTAGTAAAGGGGAAAAGTTCTTAGCCGGTCATCACGATACTCGTTTCACCTCCTTGATTGGATTTCTCACCATAACCGAAGCGTCATCCCCATCAATCCATCGAGGGGAAGTGGAAAGAAATCAAAAGGTCCATTCAAGCTTTCTATCTACTCATTCTCCACATAGAACTAGTTCCGCTGTGTCGGTCGGAGGATAACTTGGGTCCCTAGCGAACTATTGCTGTACCTAAGGCGAAAAACGGTCCTCGACCCTTCAAAAAGAGGCAGGCACAAAAATGAAGAGATCTCGCCAATCTGAGGACCGGCGGTCGGATGACGGCTAGGACGCAAAACAGGTGTGAATGTGATACACTTGGCAGCCAAACCGGATCCCCCCCGCGACCAGAGAGATCGATCGATCCCAGGCTCTGGCAGAGATAGACGGCCTGGTTTTAAAGCCTGTCTGCGAACCCATCTAGGGCCCCGGACTACGTCCTGGTGTACACTAAGTCGCACCCAGTAAGCGGGTAATTGGCGTGAAGGGTGGGCGGTTTCCCCATGGCATGGCATAGGGCACACTACGACTCTGCACTACTTTGAATACATACACTACACTTACCCGACCACGACGCGTTCCAAGCTCATCATGTCTCGTTGTCCCCCATCCCTCGTGTCACTCAAATCTTGTCATTACGTACCGCAGCGGCAGCGGCAGCGGCAGCAACAAAGGGATGCCCAGCGCCTCCAGCTGCTGCTCGTAACCGCCTCTTTTGCCGAGATTCGCCGGCCTCTCCAAGCTCCATCTACTTAGGCATCTCGAGACGGCTCCAACTCTCACCATGTCCACGCCCACGGTCAAGAATCTGTCAACCGTCTTGTCATCAGCCCCGAAATCCGCCCTGATCTCTGCTTCCTCCAGCATCCCTCCACCTTCTTCATCTTCTTCCACTACTACTGCTGCCACTGTTGCTTCACGGCGCGTGCCTCTAGACAAGCGGAAGCGCACCGAAACCAGCTGCGACAAGTGCAAGTCGAGAAAGCAAAAATGCAGAAAGGAGCCCGGCCAGGATGCCTGTCGCTATTGCATACTGCACAACATCGAGTGCTTGACCACCCAACCGCGCAAGAAGAGGCTCTACGGCAGTGTCGAGGGCTTGAGCAACCGCCTGGCCCTGCTTGAGTCGCTGGTCAAAGGCCTGCTCCCAGAAGCTGATGTCTCCAATTTGGAAGAGATGCGCCAGCTTGGCCTTTCTCTGGGCATTTCTCTCCCAGATCCGGCGAACGGCGCCCCCAACGACAGCGATCCGGAAAACAGCACTGGCACTGCCTCTGCCATACAACCTGGCACTGACACAGCGGGCCCTGAGAGAGACGAACCGCTCTCTTTCAAGCTGTTACCAGACCAGCAAGGCCAGGTGCAATACATTGGCCCATCGAGCTCTTTCTCCTTCCATCTCAAGCTGCGCTCCCTGTGCGGTCAGGGCACGCGTCGAGAGTTTGTGCTTTTTGGCAGAAATCCGGCCGAAGCGAACGTAACACCGGGGGATGATGACAACGACCCAAACGCCTTCTCCTCTCCCAGGAGCGCTGCAGTAACTACAACCAACAACTCGCCGTGCCAGACCGGCTCGGGTGCCGCCACCGAGACAGAGGCCCCCGCCTTCGATTCACTGATAACCGCCTACTTTGCCCACATCAACCCAGACTTCCCCGTGCTTCACGAAGTTTCGTTCCGCGTGGCATATGGAGAGTGGCTCGAAGACAATTCCAGCGCCGATCCGGCTTGGCTCTGTAGTTTCCTCTGCATGCTGCTGCTCGCTCGTCGCGTGGCGCGCGTGCCCATACCTGAAGAAGAAGAGAAGAGGTGGTGGCGTCGTATTCAAACTTTGCTCCCCGTCGTCATCTTCACGTCTAGCGTTGTGGCCGTGCAGGCGCTTCTTCTAGCTGCAATCCATCTGCACAACACAAATCATCGGGACGCGTGCTGGAACCTTACTGGCACGGCCGTGCGCATCGCTTTCGCCATTGGTCTCCACCAGGACAACGTCAACGGGGCGCAGAAACCACTGGCTCGAGAGCTTAGGAAATGTCTGTGGTGGACCCTGTACGCCTTTGAGCAGATGCAAGTTTCATCATATGATCGTCCGAGTGCTGTCGACCAGTTCGGTTTCAAAGTTAGCTGTCCTAACGCGCAGATTCTCGATTCGACACAACTATACCCGCCCGAATACTGCAAGTGGTTCAACCGCATGGTTGTACATTTGAGCTCTACTTGCAGAGCTCCGAAAAACACAAAGTCGAGTGCTACCGAGGAGCTCTATGCTGGCCCACTTTCGCCCGCCTTTGGAGTAAAGCGAGATCTGGAGCGATGGCAAGTCAGCCTGCCTCAACACTTGCGCATGGAGGCTCTCGAGAGCTCGCGACCGACTTTCCAGCGCCCCATTCTGCTTCTGCACGCCCTATACCATTATACCGTGATTGTTTTATGCAGAGCTGCTTTGCTGGAGCGCACAACTCTACTCGCGCGCGAAGGCGCCGACTCCCCAAACACCGCCCTCATTGAACTGGCAGACTTCTGCGCAGAATCTGGAAAAGCACTGGCACGGATACTTCTGAGGCTTCAAGGTAGGGGTAAACTCGATGTTATAGTCTGGTGGGACGGCTTCTACGCTTTGTCTTCAGCTTCGGTGCTTTTACTGGACATTGTGTGCACGCATTGCCTGGGAACTTTATCAGGAGGAGTCAACAGTAATGTGCATAATGAAGTCCCTGAATCGCGAATCCTACTCTCCCAGCTCACAGACCTGGCACAGCAACACAATCGGAATGAGCACATCCCAGGAACGATCGAGAAGTTCATCTCTATAATCCCGGAACTACACGCCATGGCGGACTCGGCAATCAACAAAATGCTCATTGCCGCCGCAACAACAGTAGCAACAAGCTCAGACTCCATTGCTTCCCCTACGACTATCTCTGCGACCACCATGCTCGAGCCCCTTCTTCAAGACCACCCGCCATCACAACCACGCCCACACCTCCCGTCACAACCACAACAGCAACAACCACAAGAAGCGCTTCCAATGCCTCACCCTATGGCACACCAGAATCCGCACAATCATCACCAACCACCTCCCCTTTCGATATCACCCTTCATGTTCAGCCAATCCACAACCAACAACGGCGCCTTAGTCTTCGCAGACACAAGCGCTTCCTCGCCGCACCACCCTCATCATCACCATCCATACAACATCCCCGTATCCGCCGGTCCAACCCAACGCTTCTTCCCCACCGACTTCCAACAGCAACAGCAGCAGCAGCAACAACAAAATCCACACCCGCATCCACACTCCCACAACCTCCCACATACACACGCTGTCAACCGCCCTGCGAATCCGCTTCCCCACCAACATCAACACCAACACCCGCATCAGTACCCCCACGCCCAGCATCCTCCACCCCAACAACAGCAACCTCAGAATCCGAACCACATTCCGTCATCTTCCTCTCCACGCTTCGACCGGAACCTCCAGATGAGTTTTATGGATTTCACGGTAAATCAGATACAAGAGTGGAATTGGGCGGATCTGGGATCTTTACTCGGTGGCAACGGAAACGGGAACAACCCTGGGACCACGAATAACGGCGGTGCTGGGACTGTGAACAACGGAACTCTCACAGGTGACATACAGGGTGTGGACGGGAGTGCGGGGCTGGGCGGTTCGCGAGGGGGTCCTGGAGGAGGCGGTGGAGTGGATAGAGGACGATGACGACGACAATCAAGACTATCTATGAGAGGAACTCTCAAAGGCGTTGGGGAATTAATGAGTCTGTGACGAAGATTTAATGAAAATGAGAGAGGGACAGAGAGGGAGAATGGAGTTTTGACGAACCGACAAAAAAAAGTTTGGAAAGATGATATCTTTTTGCTTTAAGCAGTCCTTACGAAACATAACCTAATGATGAAAATGGAATAACTATGATTACGCTTTTTTTTTCACTTGCGAGTGCGTTGCTCGCATTTCAATCATGGCATGGCTAAACAAATCACAGACGTCGCACTAGTTACTCGTATCACTACAACAACTTCTTCGTTCCAGTTTGAATTGGGGTTGAATTCTCATTATACAGACCTGCTGTTCGATTGTCCATTGAACTCCCTTATACATCACTTTACATTGTTTAGCAAGCTTGGACGTTGTCTGTATATTGATGGTACATGATTTGAAAGCCAAAGGACAATACTTTCGTCAAAGCTCAGACTTGCCCCGTGGATACAGCTTCGAGCGCCACTTACACCCAGGGGCTGACGGGGCATTCAGATAGAAATCGACCCCATTTGTTATGACATACGCAAGCCTTGCCGTGTTTGCTGGACCGTCGAAAACAGAGCTGGACACGTTGGCATCACGGAGCAGATCGCGGGCGTGTGGCGTCATGGTTTCCCCATCGCGCATGACTTCGGTGAGGATGTCCCGAAGTACGGGGTTGTATACGTCGTCGCCATATAAGATCAAGTGGCGGAGTTGCCGTGGGAGCTCCATCCCAATGGGGGGATGATCAAACAGATGCCGCAATGCGTCTCTCAGGGCGCCTGGCTGGTCTTCTTCGTCTATCCTCGGACTGCTCACATCGAATCCTTCCACGGAGCTCACAATGCCCATCTCACCAATAGTGTACAGCCCGATGTTGAACCAGTGTGCGCTGTAGTCGACTGCGAGAACGGGCCAGGGTTCTTCCTCGAATGCCGGCTGCGTCTTGGGGCTGTAGGCCACGACGAACTGCTTCGAAGTGGATACAATGCGAGAGGCTTGATAAAGGCCAAGCGCACCAAGAGCTTGCTGCGCTACATGTGCCTTGTGCGTGGAAGGGTCGTCTAGGCTGAGGATAGCGTAGCAGATGTTGGTCCCGAGGTAGGATTCCGTTGCCGCTTTCAGACTTGCCAGTAAAGCTTTGGTGTGTATGACGTCCGCATTGGTACACATATCGATAGTTGAATTGAGTGGATACGTTAAATGATTGAGTGCTGGAAGTAGTCGACACAATGCACTGACTTCACCAGATGACTGTGTATCGGGCGTCCTTGCCATGAAGGCCTGGTAATCTGGAGAACCATGGATTCTGGCCACTGGAATTGATGTCTTGTTTTCAAAGTGAATTACAGCAATGCTAGGTGGTGAATGTTAAAGATGAATATGCACAGAGAGATATATATATATAATGGAGCAGACAACTAACCCATAGTACGGTGTGAGCCTGAATGCAATGCCAGGAGGATCAGAGCTATAGGTATTCTGAGCAATAGCGCCAATGATGAGGGCAAAGAAAGTCGACGCAAGTGACCGCATCATTTCGCCCGCTGAGGAGAGGTGAATGGAGTGTATTGACTTCCCTCTTCTGCGTTGCTGGCTCCGTTTTATGTCGAGTAGTATCTAGGCGTATGGCAGAATTGATGACCAACTTGTCCTCGTTCCAGCAGTCGCGGCGATAATCTATTTTCGAACCTCGAAGAGTGGGAAGAGTGCAGACACTGTGGCACCGTGTGAGCGGCGGTTTGCACGTCAGACAACCGCGCCATACCTAAAATGCGCTAGCCCCTACGGCACAGTGCATTGTAACTATCGACATATATTATACATAGAAACATCAGGGTGAACTAAGCCGGCTGTACCAGAAGGCTGTATCTATAAGCCTGACTGTATAGTCCTGCGTATCTGCTTCGCTTGCCTTATCGAGGGACTAACTACGCAGCCCATAGCGCCTACAGTCATCTCTTTTCTATCCACCAACGAATATGATGACCTGATCTTACGTTTCGCAGGATAACGTTCTCCATGATATGAGGCTGTACGGATGCACTGCACATATCACACTGTTAGCTGGGGGGCATCAATCCCCAGGATGAATATCTATATAAGACCCAGGTAAAGCCTAACATTCGTTTTGAACATCATACGAACTCAAACTTTCTCTGTCAAATCCCCACGTTAAGATGCAACTTTATCACTACTTTATTTATCTGCTGCCCTCAGTCCTCGTTGTCTCGGGCTCAGTTATCACTCGCGACACGTTTGACCCGGAAGACCCTTCGGCATCCGACCCAAAAACACCACCGAAGACCCTCAGAAAACCGTCTTACGAATCTAACCCGTTCAAAGACGGATTCGATACCGCTCCCTCTTCTTGCACTGACTTCTTGAAGCCCTCTGACCAATGTCTTAAAGATCTACAGAGCCAGCCTGCAAAGAACATCGGCGCCTTCTCAGGCGGCGAATTCAAATGGGATAGTAATAATAAATGCAATCCTGAGCAAAAGGGAAGAATTGAAGTGGCCGCAAATGATGCTATTACGTTATCCTTATTTGCAGACAAGGAGCCGGATCAACACGATGCCAAAGCAATTGCTCTTTGGAAAACCTGGATCGGGCCTGACTACTCCACTTATCAAAAGCGAATTGCCGGTACGTTGATTTCTTGCTTGATTGACTTTACCACAGCATTCTCATGCAATGTAGAAAATATAGGTCGAGCGAGCAGATTTACTAAAGACCGAAAATTCGACATTATACTCACTTGCAGCGACCCTCACAACAAATGCTCCAAGAAGGCAGAACAAGGAAGCGTTGGTGGCTATGCGTGGACCTATAGCGGATGGTTTGGATATTACTACTATATCAATATGTGTCAGCCCTTCTTCGACATCCCCAGCTTCCTTCATCAAATTGAGGAGACCGAAAGGAGGCTAGCGGATGGCGATAAAGAATGGGCCGTGGTTGCTTCACAACAATTGAACCAGGGACAAATCTTTTTGCATGAGATGATGCATCTTGACTCTATCGGTCAGCCTCATAGTGAGTTTCTTTCTCCTTTCCTGGTATTCTCGCTGGTACGGGTTTCCAGCAAGCCAAGTTTCCGGCAAACTACCTTTGTAACATCTGCAAGGAATCGCGACGTTAATGTCGTATTCTCTCTCACAATGTTTGAATTTTGGTCAGACCACTTCTAACTTTCTCTAGTTAATGACGAACTAGTGAGCTTGGACGCTACTCCCGACGGAAAAAAAATTTGGGCATACGGAGCCAAAAATGTACACAAACTTGCGCGATTCTCTCGGAGTCAAGGGGGAGGTGCCGAACGAGCCAGCACCAATGCGGACAGCTATGCTTGGCTCGTCAACAGCAAATACTGGTGGGAGCTCACGGGCTATTTTCCGATCCCGCCAGGCTATCGATCGCCCGACACCAAAGTCGATGCTGAAGGAATGGACAGCTTTTTTGTTCATCTCGGCAATGTTACCGGCATTCAACGAACAGATACCGAATCTCGCTTTGAAACGGCTTTGTCTGGCTATACGAGTGGACCGCCTGGTAAACTGGCCTTATCCATTGCCATGGTCTCCAATGTCGCATCCCAAGGCCAAAGCGCAGAGATTACGGGAGCCTGGAACTTCTATACCACCAACAAGGGTGGCATACCCGTAGGAAGCTGTGGAGAGACTGAAGGCGAAAAGCTTACCCCGAAGCCCGGTTCGTCTGATACGAAACTGTCCCGCAATGTGGCCGAAAATTTCGAGAATCCGCCATGGCCCGGGGGCGAGTTTAAGTTTGATATTAACGGAGAAGAGTGCGTTTACAAAAACAGTGGCGATAGTCCTGGTCGCCTCTATTGCCCTCGCAAACAGTATTCCTGCCAGGAGGACAGCGCGAAGAGCAACAACAAGGGGTATAAGAAGTGCGGCACGAGTCAGTACTTCCACGCTGTAGTTTTCTGTGACTTCTAGGGAAGTTATACAGCGATAAATTGTCTACGGAAACAAAGGGCAAGTAAGAAACAACCACCACCAAACAACTGCAACTAGACAACGACAGCCAAATATCAGCAACCAGGGAGCGATACAGCTATCAGAAACAACCAGAAAACTATCGATTTAGACATATCAAGACCTGGCGATACCCTTCTTACTGCTCACGAATCAAATCTTCAACTCTCCCTTTGAGATACCCACTTTCACTCCTTTACTACAGCACATTCTTTCATCTTTCTTTACTTAATAGATTCTCTTATCTCTCATCAGCTATAGATCTTGTTATTAAATTAGTTTTTTTTATTTTTATTTTTTAGCTACCTACCAGTTTAGATACTGAGACTATAATAGGAAGTTCATTTCCGAATGTTTTATCCAGTGATTTTCGAGGTTTAATAAAGCGATTATTTTCATTCTTGTTGGAATGCTGTCGTAGCATGAGAATATCATACATACATGTACCTAGGTATGTATGTTCAATCTTACATTTTTTGTAGGTATAGTCACGCTAGGCCGCTAAGACTATAAACCACGGTCTTCCCTCTCTTCTGCTTCTTCAGCCTCCATTCCAGACTCCAACCTTCAGCTCAGCATTTCTGAATTTACAAACCCTATTTTTTCCCCTAGATTTCCAAGATGCCCAAGCCCCGCGTTCTTCTAGTAACACTGGAACGAAACCAGCTCGATCACATCCTACAATTCTACCTACGAAAGCTCCCTAGCCTCAGCGAGCTAGACGTTGCCTCAAACGAATCAGAAGTTGTTCAGAAGCTATCTTCTCCGCCTCCCCGTGCAGTCATCGTTGCCGATGGCATCATCGCACAGCTTCCCGACACCCTCGGAAAACTCCTAGAATACGCACACGCAGGAGGTACGCTCATTTTCGCAGCAAACTTCCCCCTCATGGTCGAAGAAGAAGAAATGGACTACTTCTGGGAATCGTGCGGTCTGCCGTGGAAATACTCAACCTACTATCGCGCCGTTATTCATCTCAATCCTTCTGGAGAGGGCGCCCGCCACGGTTTATCGCCTACATATCAAGGAAAGTTTTTTTGTATCAAGGGTGTCCAGGAGAAGGATGTCTGGTACTGTGGGGGTAGGGATCACGACGAGACAGAGCCAAAGTCTGGGGGACGGTTGGATCGGGCTGTTATTGCGCTCACAAAGGTTGGGGAGGGGAAGATCGGTTATGTGGGTGGGACACCGATGGAAGATGTTTCGGAGGATGCGCTGTATGCGATGTGTGGCTTGCGCGAACCGGCATCTTGAGTACTGTCGTGGAATGTTAGTAGATGAATCGGAATCAGTCGCGCGATGTTAGATGATCGGTGGGACATTTTTTCATCTGCAATGCTTCTTTGATGTGTTTTCGTTTGGGACAACACCGGATGACGTCATATTAGATGAAGATGTCTGAACGAGAGCTGTAACGGACACGAGTGAATCGGACGATTCGATCAATTGATCAATTGAGTGACAGGGCAGCGTTGTGGAGAGGCGCTGAAATGCACACCTGTGCGGGCGCAGTAAGGATGTGATAGATCATGTGACCTTACCCTTCAACAACCACCAGGACACACCGTTGAACAGCAGAGGACTTACTGGTCTGCAAAGATTTCGTTTTCAATACAAAAATTTGGTTTATAAGAAAAGACATCAACCTTGGAGCCACTGACAAACATCTACAAATGTGAGATGATGGAATGTAAAGGTCCGTCTTTCGTCGATTTCTATTAGAAGCTGAAGTCGCGATCCGAGATCCATAGTGCAGAAATCAGGGAAGGACGATGTAATTTCCCCTGCAGTGTATATAATACATTTAATGCCATTCCTGCAAAGCTTTGAATAATGTCCGAATTTGCGTGGCGGCTGCGGTCATGGCCAAGGGTCGATCGGAAATTTCCGGCAGGGTCGGTGGATGACTATATTTCTACCTCCGACCTCTTGGCCATCTTCATGTCTACAAAGAGGCAAGCTTCCGTGTCGTAGTTGCTTGGTGAACACACCGGACTCATATCCACGGGTGTAGATTCGTCGAGAGAGACAAACGTTTGGAAATGATCGGTGATGGACTTCTAGTGCTCAAATGCCGCGTAAGCTTTGCCATGTTCTTTTAGAGGTATTGATATACTAAATATCAGAGACCAGCCCTCGTATTATTTATCTACCTAAGAACAATCTCTCTTCTTCTATCTACGCGTAGATTCAGATCATAGCCACTATCCAGGATTGGAATTGCAACGCCGAATAAAATGACTCCTCCATCTGCGGCCCAGTGTATCAGGACCACAGCAAAGCGCGTTCGAGCCTCACAACTGATCACAACTAAGTGCATCCCCGGTATCATCCATACAAGATACTTCTCCCGTCTACCTTGCTCAACCCCAGCCCCAGAACTCAACACACACCTCAAGAACGACGGCTGCATAGTCCTCACCCAAATGTTCCCACCCTCCCAAATCTCCCTTCTAAACACCGACTTCCACCAAGCCCTCGCCACAACCACCCCAGGAAGACCCGCAAACCCCAATAAAGCACCCCTCCCAAATTCCCTCGACGCTCAAACATTCGGTAAAAACACAAAACGTATAGGGAACCTCATCAATCTGAGCCCCGCCTTCCGAGATCACGTCATTACAAATCCCACTCTGCACGACCTCTGCAGCGAGATCTTCAAGGAAACAGGGGATTACTGGCTCAGCACCGCTCAGATGATTGAACTCGGACCGGGGAGTAAAGCACAGCCACTTCACGCTGATGGCGCGGGGTGGTGGCCGTTTTGGACAATGGCGGATACAGAAAAAGAAGGAGTGTTGTGGCGTCCAGAATACGCGGTCAATTTTCTGATTGCGATGACGGATACTACGGTTGATAACGGCGCTACTGGTGTTGTTCGAGGAAGTCATAAGATCAGATATACTCCGGATGTACTTAATAACCCTGACTTCGATGCTTGGAAGTTTCCAGACGACCGGGTAGAACAAGTAGAGTTGGCAGCTGGGGATTGTTTGTTATTGGGCAGCAGGATTGTGCATAGGGGGGAAGAAAATAAGACGGTGGGGGAGAAGAGGGGGTTGTTGAGTTGTACGGTTGTTAGTGCGAGTCTTACGCCTGATGAGGCGTTTCCATTGGTTATGGAGGCTGAGGCGAGGGAGGCAGTGAAAGGGTTGGATGAGAGGGCGAAGAAGTTTGTGGGATTGAGGGATATGAACATGGCAATTGGAGAGGGGGTTTGGCAGGATTTCCGGATTGGCGGGTTGAAGACATGCTTGGTAATATGAGGGATTATAGCCATGGATTTCTGTGGTGTATAGGAGGCACCGGTGCTTTGTGTTGATACTTATGTATAGTGCCGTATAGGTTTTAAATCTGAGCTTATCTGGCTTTGTGGAACTTACTCTGAAAGGTGAGGATTTCAGTAGTTCAGATGTGTGAGATGGAAAATCGTTCCAAACCTTCGCGAAGAATGCACACTCTAATTGATTACATGATCAGAACCTCAATCTCCGAAATGTTTCTCGGATAGTTGAGTCATAACCAGTCATGATTCATCGGAATTTCAAAGTGAGTAAGCCCATTTGACGACAGTAGAGAAGATATTGTTTGGTGCTTAGCAATGGGTAAAACCACGTACAACTCTCCAGACGTAATCAGCCTTAGGGGTGGTCCCTGTGTGCCAAACGTAAATAGACAAAACGCAATGAAACCAAAATCCATTAGTTCATAAAATCTATGCTACAGCTGTGTTACCCAAAGCGCACAGCAAGAAGAGAATAGTAGCTATGTACGCATAAGACAAAGTATTTTACCAGACAGTCCCACACGCCACCCGTACAACCCCGATCCCCTACAAGATCCCAGTCCATCACAGACGTAAATCTTTTGATCAGAGCACCCAAACACGAAAAGAAATCAGCAGAAATCCTCCATCCTCTTCTGCCCGCGTCCGAAGTTGCCCTCCGTCGCTATGTTATCAATCCATCCACCCTTGGCAACACCACACTTATGATCAATATCAGTCATCCACTGGTTGATCTTCGCTCTCGTAAGGTCCAGCTCCAGCTGCTGGTAGTTGCAGATGTAAACTTGGGCGTCCTCCTCGTCCTCCTACAAACAACAGTTAGCTCCAGGCCCATGAATCTGAACGTGTCTCTATGTATGACGCTGTTGGAGGTATGACTTACCCCGTAAGCAAAGAAAGGCATGTATTGCTTCCACTCGCCTGTATCGGCCGAGTGTGCGAACTTCTCTCTCGCTGCTTCAAGATGGCGGTTGTCGAGTGCGGGTTTGTTGTCGCATTTGATTACGACGTCTGATTTAGTGGCGACGGAGTTGTCTTGAAGGGCGTTGGGTACTGCCGCTGCGGAAGCTAGGAGAGGAGCGAGAAAGGCGATGATTGAAGTCTTCATAGTGAGGTTGGTAGAAAAGGAGAGATCGTGACTTCAACTGTCTATGACAAGTGATGAGAAGGATAGGATGAATGTTTGAAAATTGCGATGAACGAGTGTTTAGAAATTGAGGTTTTTTTGAGGTCAAGGATATGGTCAACTCCCCAATCTTATATATATGGCGGTGCACAATAGGAGGACCTTTTAAGGCGTTCTCTTTTTGGAAGGCAGGTGCGGAGATTAATTTTAGAGGATGTAAAAGAACTGTGCCGTACACTCAAGCGATAGAAGGACTCCGCAGCACGTTGGCTACCAGTAGTCCGGACGTGATCCATCAACTGCGATCGGAGGCTGCGATAGAGTATCTGAATTCACAAAGCAGTATTGTCATTGTATTTGAGTATATGGCATCAGTCTAATCCACGGAAATTATATCGCGGGGGCATGATGTTCTCGGTGAAGCTTATTGTGAACAACACAAGTCCGCACCTATGTTGTGGCTTATGGTAGCCAAGCCGTACGCCGCAATCCTAATAGCTGGCCCTATTGCATCCGTAACAGAACTACTGATGCTATGTGTGAGGGGATCATGGTCCCCTATTATTCCTTCCAATCGAAGTGGCTTGGAATCTAGAGATGGAAGCCCCAGTCAGCCTGGCGCGAGGCTGAGGAGGTACGGATGCGGCTGTTCGCGTGGCAGATATGTGTATTTACTGGTCTGCTGCGAGCCTGTTCAGCAACTCAGGTTGTTTGATTCTTTCCTTTCGTTCAATTTTCTTTTTTTCTTTTCTTTTCTTTGCTTTGACTCAAGTTAGTTTCTAGGTTTTAGGGGAGGAGAAAAGGCGACTTGCCGCTCAGGAAAGGCACATGATTATCACAGCCCGAAGAATTTTTCGAATCAAACACTCCGGAGCTTTACTAATAGTATGTACGAAAATCTGCGCGCGAATGGCGACTCGAAGCCGGGATGCCACAGAACGCGGCAGTCAAGCAGCGTGAGTACGCTGCAATCAAGTGCGGTCTTAGTCAACAGGCATTCACGTTCTCCAGAAGACATCCAATTAGGTTTGAGAATCATTCATATTAACTATTAAGATGTGTGTGCAAAAGTCTCTCCATACCGTCTCCCAAAGGTCCGATGACAAACAGTTCCATCATAGCATGACAAGCTGGAGGACTCGTGTCGCCAAGACGCACGCAAGGAGATATGGGGGCTTCGCCCACCTCCGACCAATACAATATCAAATCTGCACAGTCATTGCTTCTGAATGCTTTCCTGTACCCCACCCCCTGTTATCAAACTCAACGTTTGCTCATCATTACTACCAGCCCCGCGCGGTGTCTATGCATTTGCACAGATACATTTGCAATCCGCACAAGTAGCAAAACTGAAAACCACATCGGCACGACATGTGAGAGCAGCCAACTGAACGTTCGACGAGATTACCGCAACGAGAGCAGCGCTGCCACTTGTGTTTACCTGCCAGGGCCAATAGCTGTTGTTTTTCCATATCCTCGGGGCACTTTTCGCCCTTGTGACTAAGGGTCTTGCAGAGCGCGCAGGTTTTTGCGTCGCATTCTGGACATGTCCCGATGTCGTCGATGATGAGACTCGATTTGATGTAAGTAGAACAAGTTGGGACAGCGCAGTAAAGGGCATGGGCATTGTGTAACTCCTGAGAAACTTGTTCGTATTTCAAGCGTACCTCATATTCTAGAAAATGTGCGCAGTCCGCAAGAGGAATGACGACACAGCAGCGGGGAGGAAACAGCCTAGTATCTGCGAGAGCAACCTTGAATAACTCGTTGAGGCATGGGCGGCAGTAGCAGTGAGGCTGCGCAATTGGGCAGTCCAGTTCGACCAAAGCCATATATGGGAGTTCCTCCGTGCAGGCGTCGCATGGGCGATTGCGGCGGTAGCCAGGAGCGCGGGCCCCGGACAACTGAGTTTGGCGGTATCTCGCAAGGGAATCTTCTCGTAGTAGGGACATTCTCGTCATTGGCCCATAATCAAATAGGTCATTTGTAAGTGGAGCTCCATCCGCTTCAAGGTTGGGAGCACGAATTCTATGTCCGGTGAGAAATTCGGATGGGCTGAGCGGCCTGTCCCTCCCATTATGTCCTCCAAGTGAAGCAGTATCTGATTCAGTGGTAGAACCAACGCTTCCAAACCCCGGAAACCGAGGAGAACGAGGAAATTCAAATAGTGATGGAGGTGGATCGGCATTTGATTCAGCCGTAAAAGAACTTGAAGCTTCATTGCGCGACCCAATTGGATTTGGTGTAAACCTACGAGAAGTAGGTCTCCCGCGCTCGTCGAACAACCGGTATGCACTCATTCGTCTATGACGTCCTCTAGGTGGATTAACATCCGATGCTGCAGCAATATTGCCCTCTGCACGCCTGATAAACTCATCAAGCCAGGCAGGGGTATTTTGGGATGCCTGTGGAGCAGCGTTTGGTTCAGTCGTAGGTTCTTTATTTACACGAGAATTTCTGAGCCACTCATCCCATTGGGCAGCCATGTCTATTGATGTACGTGCAGCAGACCTTGAATCGGATGGAGATTCCAGTTCTTCACGTGTGAGACTCTGAGACGAGGCGAGTCCCTCAATGTGCGATTCGCCTGAGGCGGCATTCAATCCAGAGCCGGATATATCTGATCTCAGCGGATAATCCTGGAGGCTGAAGAATCCCCTTTCGCGCTCTTCGGTGAAAGATTCATTCATTCCACTGATGGAAGTAGCAGTGGGCTCAGGGCGAGATAGGTCATAAGAAGGATGCATCTGCATGCGCGTGCGATATCCTAGACGGAGTCCTCCCAATGAAGCTGTATTAGTTCCGGCAGCCGATTTGCCAGTCGATTCGGCGGGTGTTGAAGCATCGGAAGGAGCGGGCATAATTATGCGCGGAGGTAATTGGGATGGATCAAGGCGCGTGGCATTCGCGTCTCTATGACCGAAATCCGTGTGAAGAGATGAAGTACCGCGTAAGTTATTCAGACGCGGTATATGAGAGAAATCCACATGGCGCCCGCGGATGGGCACTCTGTGCCTTGACTCGAACCCGTCTTCCCGCTGTGAAGCTTCATTTGATGCTGAAGTAGCAGCGACACGCGCTTGAGCGAATAACGGGGCGGGACGAGTGCGGTCATTGTGGTTATAGGCGGAATTGGGACGATCGCGGCCGGCGACAGCAGTCCATCGTGGGTCCAATCGAGATGGGTCTAACCGCCCATCAAGTGCTCCAGAAGGTGCATTATTCGGTTCAGAGGTAGAGGGACTGGGGAATCTAGGGCGGGGGGGTAGGATCTGATCAATGGCCCTTCGTTCAAGAATTCGCGAGGAATCAGATTGCTCGTCGCTTTCTTTTATGTCTGAACTCTCGATACTCGCTCCGAGTTCGTCGATGACGTCCTTGTCCATGACGGGGTTAAGTGGTGCAGTTGGGACAGTGTTGGGCTGGGGATGACAGCCACGGGTTTAAATCACAGCTAGGCTGTCGAGTTTTGTTTGGTTGAGCGCACACGCTGAATGTGTGGTAGGGTGACGTGTGTGAATGATTTGCTGGCTGCAGACTGGGTGGGATTTTATAGGCCTTTGCCGGTGCGACAGTGCCAAGACTGCAATCAATTGTCCACTAACACCTTTTTGTTTGTCATGATAAATCTTATAAGAGATGAGATGGAAAGCTATTCTGTTGGAATATGTATTTCACTTGACTGGTCACTGTATGCTCTATCTAAAAGCGCAACTCCTCCGGTGCTTCCCACTGTTCTTGATTGCAAACCTATCATTCAATCCATATCTCCACCGCAGCTAGCATTTGTAGTAAGCCGTGCTCCAACAAAGCATCCAAAACGTATTCACCCCTGTCTAGTCACCAAGAAGATGGGCGGGGGAATGCATTCCCCCAAAGGAAGTATGACGACAGCTAGCCAGACCTTTTGATAACGTGGTCCTGTATCAGATTTTCCAAGATAAGCATAAACATGAAAGCGTATTTGTTTCGCCAGATCAAACGAGAAATCCCAGTTCATTGAAAAGGAGAAAGTGATCAGAATCTTCAAATATGGAACACCTTGGTACATATTGCTAGATCTAAGACACAATAGCTGTAGATTCGCAACAAAGAGACGGAAACATAGACTCATATTGGCCAAGGTGGTTTTTAAATGAGTTTCCCTAAAAGTATAGCAGTTAGTCAAAAAGCTGTGGGAGGAATATATGCATAGGGGATCTTGAACTTACACAGCCGAAACCTTTCCCCATGAGATGGTTATCTTTGTGTCCTCCTGCAATGCCGTAGCTGACAAAAAGGTCGTATGCGATGTATTTCAGATAAACTTCCCCACGCCACCACAAAGGAATAGGGAAAATGCAAGGTTGATCTGTATATATGGTGAAATTCGATGTTCTGCTGCCCTTGCGAGCCAGTTCATGAAGGAGGAGCACCAGACTTGACCACATTGCCATGGACGTGGTCAATGACGGACTCTGGGCTTGCAAACGCGAAGGCTTGGAACCTCAATATATCTATATAGATTGAGCGCATTTGACGTAGTGACGTATACGACGTCCCAACGATCCAGTGGAGATGTACGGATTTGTAGTGTTGAAGTTGAGGTTGAAGTTGAGGTTGAAGTTGAGGTTGAAGTTGAGGTTGAAGTTGAGGTTGAAGTTGAATCTATATAGATATAAAACACAAAACTTGTAATGATATTTCGCATTCCCAGAGGTGATAAGTATCATACATATACGTGTGAATATGAATATGTAGAATTGCGCCGCAAGGAATATGCTTTGATCAAATAATACACTTAGTATATAGTGAGATCGTCTTTTAAACCGTCGTCTGTAGCGGCGATGAATATGGTCCCATGACCCCTATACATAACCCTAACCTGAACCCAGGGCGAAATCAAGGCGACGGCGGCGATTGCCGTTCGTGCGGAGGGTCGCATAGTGGCGAAGCATGAAGGTTCAGGTAGGGCAGTTTCGCCGCGGGGAAACATCGAGTGATAGGCCTGGCACGTAATGCAGAGGTCCAGCTTCGCCTTCTATGTAGCGAATATACCATTTGGTAGACTCGCTACATGCGATATTTCGCTCACTCGTATATAAATAGCAACCGTTCCTTTTTTTCCCTAGAAGAATGGAATGGTCGTTATTTTGTGGATCTGAATTATATATATCTTTCATATTCTTGATATATATCGGAGAAGGGGTGTTTTACGGCCCCGTCTAATGGGTTTAAAAGGCTAATAGGTGGCGTTACTCCACATAGCGAATAACTCTCGCAGTCAGAGAAGTTGGCGTGCTTCGCAGAACGTTTTGACGCGCTTTGCAGGACGTTTTGGCGAGAAGAAATCCTCTTTCTTGTATATATATATATATAAATTGTGATATAAGGAACGAGATAAAACACAGCACTAGCGCGTGCGCTCCATATATTTCAAAAGAGTAAATTCATATATGAATTTGAGTCTGAAGATTGCAGGAAGAGAGCCAGGACGACGTGCGTCTATCTGACTCTCCCTGCCTGCCTCTCTCTAGCTGGCTGGCTGGAAGAAAGGAAAGGAAAGAATCTGCCTGTCTCTGGATATTCACCCAGGAGTGGGGGAGGGAACATATACGTAGCACCTCACCAGAAAAGTAGATTGGAATCAATAGCCACGGGAATGGAATCAGGAAGATCCGCAAATGTTTGTATATGCGCTTATCCGCACGTTTGCTTGTGAGTGGAGGCGGATATGGCATTTGCCTCCTCCTGCGTGCTGCAGCGTGGCATCTGGTACCTGAGTGTAGAAGCACCATTGACCCGCTATCTCGCTGAACTTGTCCTCTAGCGGTGTGGAATGGTGCGCCGTTGAAAGTTTGCTGGCATATGAGCGGTGAGGTGGTCCGCTGTACTGCATGTGTCGCTGGTATCCGCGGTGGAGTGGAGAAATCGCACACGCTCAATGCACCTCATGCAATTGACGGAAGCGTGCGGGAACAATTGCTTTTGGCGTTGGTTGGGGGTGGGGTTTGTGGTTTATTGACATCTGCCACTTCATGCAACTAGCCTCACGCCTGGGATTCACTGGCGCAGTTGACGGAAACGTGCACTGGAGTCATCATTCTCGATGAAAACATGACAGGTGGGGGACATACAGATTTATACCCAGACACACGTACTGACTCTTTGCATGTTGGTCGATACCAGAGTTGTCATCACACAGCTTGCATCCTCTCTGTATAAAGGGTGTATGAACTAGATTATTTTACATTTTTGAATTATTGAGGATAGGTACAAGTACATAATACAGGCCTGGTGAGGGATGCTAGGGAGACTGCCATCCAATGTAGATGCAATAAACGCCGGTCGGAATCTTGTTTGTACACCTGCGGGAACGTGATGCCCAGCTGTATTGTTACACGCCGTCGTTCTTTGTTTCGGGTGATGGTGATGCAGGAGTTGTACGGTTGTGGATCGGCGTTGTCCGGAAAATGTACAGAAATCATGTGAAAAGGCGATAGCGACGAGATTGGGATTTTGTTGAGTTTCGGGATTGGACTTCCTCGCGGATTCGTGCATCTATTTGCCCTTGGGGTTGCCTAGTTGTTGCTCATTGAACTTGCCAGGCCAAACAGGCTACACGTTTCTCAATATCAGCAAATGAACCCCGCATCACCGTCACTCATCGGCCCTCCACAATGGGGATGAACATACCTCGCTCTGCTGATCACTGATGTTATTCTTGTGGAAATCCGACTGAGGACCCTTTTCACCGCTAATTTGTCTCGACTCTGTGCTCTGCGAGTCTCCGCGGCGGGTGCCAGCGCCCGGGGTATGGTGGGTGGATGCTCCTCCGGCGGTGAAGCGGTCCTCAATGTTTGCGACCTCGCGGGTCTTGTAGGGGTTGGGGAACCAGTACTGGCGCATGACCATGTAGTAGGTGAAGCCGACGGCGCCGCCGGCCATGAAGATCTTGGGGATGGTGAGGGGAGCCATTGTTGATTGCGGTTGCACGAGAAGTGGTGTGATGGAAGCGTGGAGGTACTACAGCTCGGATTGGTGGTGACGGCGAGAGGTAGGTAGAATCGGAACAGAGTATGTTATTCTGGATTGATGACGAGGAGATCAATTGCGACGGGGGACTGAGGGAGTCAATCGTCAGAGTGGGTAACTTATGGATTGACTGAAAATGGTCGCGTCATGGTGATATTGTTTGGGCAAAGCTTCAAATGGGGGCTTGGCAGGGCTGAAAGACAAAAATGTCCGCAACCATCTCCGCGCTCCCCTGTCACCTTAGTCATCCAGCACGCTTGACTATCCCCGATTAGAAATGCGGCTGAAGTGTGGCTGCTCTGTGGCGTTGATTTTACGCACCTCCCATCCTCTCATCTCGTCTCGTCTCATGAGCGATGTGGACACGCTTGAGATTACACTTTTCTTACCCCCAGACAATTGCGCACTCTGCATCCTCCGGAATCCCTCGGGATCACGCCCATGAAGCTCTACACATAATCGCGGGCCCAAAGAAGAGGAGGAAACATCTCTGAGCTTGTCCCTGGAAACTCGACGGCCATACACCTACCACGATTCATGATACAAGAGGAGGAACCAAGGGGCGCGCAAATCAACAGGAGACTCTGGACGCGATTAAAACACCATGGAAGGTGACGATCCCATAGAGCCGCAGCTAGACGGCTTCAGTCGCATCCTGCCCCTCCCCTACCGCGTCGCCCTCATCATAGTAATGGGTACGCCATCCCCAATTCCCCCTCAATCTCAACCTTCAAACTAATCCCTTACTCCAGGAATATGGGCATGGGGCCTTAATCTCCAATACCTCTCTCTGATCCGCATCGACGTCCCCAGCCTGATCCGCTATCCCGCCCGCAACTCCCCTCATCACCCCCCACACTACCTCTCTTGCTATCGCGTCGCGACCGCCCTCTCCATCCCCCTCGCCGCCTCCCTCCTCCTCTTCTGGACCGTGACAGCCGGTTCCCCCACCGCCATAATATCCTGGTCTATTTTACCAAACCTCTACCTCCTCGTCCTCGTCGTTGGCTTCATCGTGCCCCTCCCCTCCGTATCCCGCGCAGGTCGTCACCGCACGCTCGCAACCCTCAAACGCATCAGCATCGGCGGCATCGCCGAAGCCGCGGATGGCAAATTCGGCGATATCCTCCTCGCAGACGCACTCACCAGCTATGCCAAAGTCCTCGGCGATCTCTTCGTGGTGCTCTGCATGGCCTTCTCCTCGTCCGCCCCATCCACCACCGCGCTGCCGAACCGCAACTGCGGAGGCCCCTTCCTAATCCCCTTCATCATCAGCATCCCCTCGCTGATCCGGCTCCGACAATGTCTGACGGAGTACTCGCGCGTGCAAGCCGCGAACCGCAAGGCTGGACACTCTTTGAATGGGTGGGGAGGCGTGCACCTAGCCAACGCCGCGAAATACAGCACCGCGTTCCCCGTCATCCTCCTCTCGGCCCTCCTGCGCTCCCACGACCCAGAGCAATCCCGCATTTCGGAAACCGCCCTCTTCCGCCTCTGGCTCACTGCCGTCTTCGTAAACTCGGCCTACTCGTTCTACTGGGACGTCACCCGCGATTGGGACCTCACGCTCTTCAAACCGCGCCAGCGCTCCTCCGCGGAATACCCCTGGGGACTCCGGCGCCACCGCTGGTTTCACGCCAAGGAATTCTACTATGCGGCTGTGTGCTTGGATGCGCTGCTGAGGTGTACGTGGAGTGTCAAGCTCAGCCCGCATCTGGACCACTTCAACGATCTCGAGGGCGGCATCTTCGTCATGGAGGCGCTCGAAGTGGTGAGGAGATGGGTGTGGATTTTCTTCAGGGTCGAGTGCGAGTGGGGTGAGTAGTCTTTTTCCTTTTCCTTTCCTATCCCCCCTTCTCCTTCCTTTTCCCTCTTTTTTCGTATCTGCAACGGAGAATCCAGAAATCATCAATCAAGAAAGCAAACGCGAAAAAAGAAAAAATGGCTACCGTCTAAATCAACCCACTAATCACAATGCTATATATAGTCCGTACACACCGCAACAGCCCATCCTCTTCCTCTTCCGCCTCGCTCTTAGCTGCCATCGAAAACGCCGCCGACGACGATGATTCCCTCAATGGCAACATTCTACTCGCCGATATGGCTTCTTCATCATCATCAGTAGGGGGCTCGGGAACCTCTCCTCATCATGGGTACGGCGATTCAGACTGACCCCATTTAACAACATAATCCAAGAAAGATAAAAATATAAACGTTTTCTTTCTTTCTCCCTTTTTCTTCTTCTCACTTGTTTAGATGGATATTTTGGGGGATAAAAAAGAGAGAAGGAGAGAGGGGAAGGGAGTTCCTATATATACCTACATAGATGCCATAGAAATCAAACTTTTGTTTTATGCTTAATTACTCCTTATGTCAACATTCCAACTAAGATGGAGCAAACACAAGTAAAATTTTACATACTAAAAAAAAAAAAAAGAACCCAAAAATTTTTTTTGGTAGTATTCTTTAATCTTAGCTGCTAAAATTTTTTTGTACATGTTAAGAGGAAGGGACAAGAAGGAATTTGTTAAACAATCCCAAAAAGGTCAAAAGAGGAACCAGAATAAATTGGAAAATAAGGTAGTAGTTGAAGCCCCTCTTCTCTCTTTCTCCTTTCTCTGTCTTAACGCTATCTCTTAAATTCCCCTACAAATAAATAAATAGATATGATAATGAATAATGTATAATAATGTATCAAAAAAAAAGGGAAAGAAAAAAGAAGCAAGAACAAAACACGACGCCACCCCTTTTTTTTATCAAGGGCTCTCTAATGCCAAAGTGATGATGCCATATGCCACCTCCCCTCCCCATCCCCCATCTTCATCCCCAAAGGAGGAAGGGTGCCACACGAAACGGCGGGACAACACGTACTCGGTACTCGTAGGAAGACGACACACATAGATAGATACAATGCACACGAAGCCACCCCCCTTGCCCATGAAGAACGCCAAACAAACGGGTCCCAGAAAAAATGAAGATGCTTCTCTCCGTCTTCTTCCTTTTTTAGAAAAATGTTAATTGAGGAACCCTTTACACCCAACCGACCCGCAGAGACAAGGAATCCGATCCGTAGCGTCCATTTCGCGCTCAAACTTGTAATCGTACGTGAGTTCTTCGTCTGTGGGTGACAATATTAGCATGTGGCTCTTGGTCGTGATGATGGTAATGAATGAATGACATACCTTGCCCGATATCCCGCAACGCGTAAATGACGATGCGCTTTGTGCCCTCGACGCGGATGATCTTGGCGGTGCAGTTTGGCGTGCAGCTGTGATTGATGAACCGTGCAATACCGCCCATCTTGGTCGCGTCGATGACCGTGTCCTCGTCGATGCGGAAAAGGTAGCTGGACCCCACGCCCTGCATGTCGTACTTGACCTCGCGTAAGTCGGCGACGCGCTGTCGGACCTTCTCGCCCACGTATTCGATAATCATGTCGTTTGCGGTGATGGGTTCCTGCGCGTAGAGACCCCAGTTGTGAATGGCGGAACGGTCGAACTTGACGAGCTTCTTCCGCTTCTTCAGCTGATTGAATCGCAGAGCATCGCCCTCGGCACCCGTCATGTTCTTGGATATGCTGATGTCGTTGACCAAGCGACGGTTGTTGGCGCGATTGGCACGCGAGTTTGCAGTGGTGCTTTGTTTCGCCGCCGATGTCTGGAACTTGAAGCCTTCAACCACCGTGGTACCAGGGCCATCCTGCTTGGCTTGACGCTGTCGTTCTTCTCGTTCCTTCTGAACACGAATACGATGAGGCAAGTATTTCGACTTCTCAGACTCGCGTATCTTCTTGACCCCTTCGGTCCTGGCGCTGCCGGAAGAATTTGGCACGTAGTAGCCCTCAATCTTCGTTTCTGAGCGGGATACTCCCTCTTCTCCCGGCCGGTTAAGATGCTTGATAGACTTCTGCTTCCAGGCCCAGAGATTGGCGTCTCCAATGTCTGCAGGCGCAACAGGCTGAAGTGCAGTCCTGAGAAATCTGAGATCTTCGTCGTCCTTGACAAGATGCTGCCAGCCATCAATATCCATGACTACGCTGAAATCATCTTGAACAGTCGCGCGAGGTTCGTAAGGAGAGACCCCCCAGTACACGCCCGAAGGTGGCTGTTCTCCTTCGGGAGTCTCTTCCACGGCGGGCGTCTCCGATACGGCAGGCTTGGGTTCGTCAGGATCCAAAGTCTCCTCTGCAGTAGGTGAAATTTCGGCAACGGAAACTGCGGCGGCTTTGGCCTCCTCTTCCATCTGCTTCTTGGTCTTCTTCTTCGTTTTGGTCGTCCGCTTCTTGGCCGGTTCTTTGACTGGTTCAGGCAGCTCGGTCGTTTCGATAGGCTTAGCCATTTCGTCAGCGTCCTGTGTGATGATGATTTCAGGATCCAGTTTGGTGTTTGCAATTGTTTCCTGCGGCCCAAAGATTGCGTCTGCTTCCTGTTCAATCTTCCGCAGGCGTCTGAAGCCTTTGAGCGCCTTCTCTGCTTTCTTCCAAATAGGCGAGGAGCGCGGAAGGATTGCCAGCACTTGTTCCAGCTCCTTCTCGGCCATGGTATCGGGGTCTTTGTGGATGCAATGAGCAAGCAAACTTCGAGCATGCGAATCGTCCATGACCTCGTCATCACTATCCTCACCCCATCCGGCCTCCAGACGCCGTCGTTTGGCTCTCTGGGCTCGCGACGTTTCTTCATCATCGTCGTCTTCATCGCTGCTTTGTGCGCGACTGAGCGGACGGCTCTCTTGCTCCTCGGTAGCCCGGGTATGAGCGCTCCGTTTCTCATCGTCGGAATCTTCATCTTCCATGGCATCCATGAGTTTCCGGTAAAGTCCGTGAGGAGCGCGAGGTTTCTGATGCACTTTCCGGCGACGAGGATCTGCAAACGGATCCAATTCCCGTTGGGGCCTCTTTCCGCGTCCGCGATTGTGATCAGCAACACCGAACGGTCGCCGGCCATGACGGCCCGCACCGCGTCCCTTTGGCGGCACATGGTGTGCAGAGTCCATTCCTGGGAGAAGCATGGGTAGAGGACGTGTCTCTTCCATTGTCTTTGGTGGATCCGCAATGTTGAGTTTCCGCCTCTTCTCGACGTGGCGATCTGGGTTCAGCAGATCAATCAGGATCGGCCCAGCTTTGCCTTGAACGTCGCCGACAAGTTTTTCCAGCAGTTCTTGTTTGACGATTTCCAGCGCAGCGGCCACGGGGTCCAGTTGCTCCGCTCTCCGCTTCTTCTCCCATTCGAAATCCTCTGCTTCTTCTCGCGCGATTCGCTCTTGTTCGGCTTTGCGCTTGTTGTCTTCCAGAACTCGTTCGGGACTGGGACTGCGCTCGTAGTTTGGGTCGCCATATTGGCAGCATTCCATGTTCATGACGTAGGTGAAGAGAGCGGCCATGTTGCACTCTTTGTAACACCGCACCGTCTCATCTTCTCCTCGCTTCGACTCTTCGAAGACCACGTAGTATCCGGTTGGATCGCATCGTACCGCCTTCCAGTAAAACGTTCGCAGTCGCTTCTTTAAGTGATCCACAGTGGTGCTGAGCACGGGAACATATTGATGCGCGATGAACAGATACGGCTGTCTCTTCAATCCAGGTTTTATAGGTTCCTTTTCAATAAGATACGACAGCTGCTGCTTGCGGGTTTCCCGAATCGGAGGGGGTCGCGCGCCCCTCCCCGAGGGTCCTTTGGGAACATTAGCAGGCAAATCAAATGCCGTGGGGGTCGTCGGCGTGGCTGTTTTAGCCGCCAACGCCGCACGAAGCTTTTCGGCCTCCTTGCGACTCTGTTCTACTATAGCATTGACCAAACGTGTGCATCTTCGGCCTTCGCGATCGGAGTGCACCTTGATTGTTTGCATGCCAAGACGCTGGCCAGTGCCTTCTCGTTCGGCTCGTTTAGCTGAAGTGGAGGCCTTGACACCTGGAGCGGTGCGCGTAGGCGCGGTATCACGGAATTTGACGAGGCAAATACCCAAAAAACTGCCATTGTCCGGATGGACTTGGTTTCTGACGAATTCGATATGCCCGTAGGAGGTGAAAAAAGCGCGGAGTTGGGTATCAGATGTCAATGGGTCGAATCCCGTGACCACAACCTGCGTGGCAGGCCCAGGGCCACATGAAATGCGCGAATCGAATGAATAGGGTTTGGCGATGTAAGGAGCTAACCGTAGCTTTGATTTGGGCGCAGCTGTACCAACAGTCTTAATAGGATAGTTCCCAGAGGTGTAGCCAGCAATGGCCAGACGGGGGTCGGGAGGGGGAGATGGATCGCCCTGCAGCACAAGTCACGTTAGCCTTGACATCGCAGGACGATCCATCTCCGGAGAGATATGCATTCATGTACATGTATATTATATGTGTGGCCATCACGTACCTTATCCAATATCGGCTTATATACCGGGTTCCGCCCGTGCTTGGCCTTCTTGTCGAGTTTAGTGTCCAACACGGGGTCGTAGGTGAGGCGCAGGCCTAGTTTTCCATCGGCAGGCCATATCGATATCCTCAGATCTGGCGGCGTGTGCACGGGTGTGATGGTATCGGGGGCAATTTTGGCGGAGGCGCTGGAGGGCGCAGAATATGGGGTCGCGCTCATCGTGTCATGAGGATGCGCGGGGTGCCGAGGGCTAGGCAGCTTGCCTGGCGGCGACGAATCTGTGCTGGTCAAAGGAGTCAGGGTATGCAGGGAGGGATGGCGTCCGGCGTGCGACATGGCGCTGGGCGAGAGGACGACGGATGAGGCCGAACTGGGGACAGAGCTGTTCAGCAGGCCACGTGCTCGAAGGCCATTGTTATCTGGTGAATGTGTCAAAACGTTGCCATCCGTATCAATCGCGTTACCATCAATCGCAAGGAGGCCCGGACGCAGATGAGCCAGGGGGGCTGAGGGCGGTTGCTGCGTCTGACGCGAACGTCCGTCTGCTGCCACCTATTGTGAGCGGTCAATGACGGTGTTGGTGTTGCTGTTCGTGTCGTTGGTGATGATGATGATGTCGGAGAAATTATCGACGGGCCATGGGGTTGCAGATGTCCACAATACCGCGCAAGTACCGGCGGAGAGGCGAGGGAGGAGACGCGGTCTCTGTTACAGTGGAAAGCGGACTCGACCCAGGTGCAGCAAGTGTCGCCGTATGTGATTGCCGGGTGTGTATATGGAGACGCGCGCTGTGCACGCGAGATTGGCGACGTGGGAAACAAAAGCCGCCTCACGCAGCGCGAAAGAAGAGAGGATGAGAAGGGAGAAAGGGATTGATTGATTGTGTGAGTTGCAAGGATGAATGACACACGGCTTGTCAGCGGCAGAAGAGAGGCGCGCTGTGGAGTGAAGGGAGGTGGCAGGTAGCCGGATAATCGAGACGGCGAGGTAGACAGGTGGAGGGAATGGTGGTGGTGGGAGGGAGATGTGAGCAATGCACGAGTGGAATGCAAGGCCAGCGCTTCCGCAGCAGTGGTGGATGGAGGTTCAGAGGAGCGACTGAGGTTGTCGCGTTGCCAAGGTTTTTCGCTGGCAGGGGTGAGAGGGGAAAGGAGAGCCAGTGCCGCCGCCCTGTTTCTGCCTTCTCTCACTCCCAGCCAGTCCCAACCACCACCAGCCAGCCAACAGCGCAGCAGTCAATCGTCACCATTCTTCACTCATGACCAACCAATGCCACCAAACACTTTCTCGTATCATGTAGCTTTCTCTTTTTTTATTTTTTATTTTCCCTGTCCCCTTCACTGATTATGCGGATTTTGGCTGCCTGTAGATTGGGGAGAGAAAAAAAGAATGCAATTCATGCCCACCACTCCAACCGTAAACCCAATCCACAGCTTACTCTATAATCTTGCCCTCCACCCATCCCTTGCGCTTGACACCCAGCTCTACCGCCGCGCTTCCCCAGTCCTCTCCGTGGTTGTGTCCCTCATTGCCCCCGCTACCTGCAATGCCCGCCCTGTACAGACCCTGCTCCTCCGACAGCAGAGTGAGCAGTCCAAACACAATCGGCACGTTGCCGTCGAGCTGCAGGCGCATCAAGCCGTGGCTGACAGCATCCGAAATGTATTCAAAGTGCATGGTCTCGCCCTTGATGAGCACGCCGATGGCGATGACGGCGTCGAAGGGCTGCGTTGACGTTGCGGCCGGTGCCGTTCCAGCGAGCGAGGTGAGGTCGGATGCCGAGCCTAGAAGGTCGGCGGCTGCCCCGACGATGCCTGTCGATGATGACTGCACTTGCGATGCCGAGTACAATCTGCCCGATGTGAATTGATTAGCTCACCCATTTCCCTCGTATCTGGTCATGTCCAAGACGTCAAGGTCCCACTCACTGCTTGACTGCGTAAGGAAGCTCGTAGCTGCCGGGCACGCTCTGCACCACAATGTTCTCGTCTTTGACGCCTGACGCCTTCAGCGCCTTGCGTGTGCCAGATAGCAGCGCATCGATGAGCTTCGCGTTCCAGCGGGCGTGGACGATTCCAATGCGAAGACCGGAGCCGTCGTATGTCCTCGCCTCGCCAGGTCCCTTGATAGGCGCCATGTTTCCCTGCGAGGTCTCTCTACTTCAGTCTTTATGAAATATCCCTTGTATAACTCTCCGTCCCTTCAAGAACCACAGCAGTTCCCGTTGGAGTAGCTCGTTCTTGCAACGTGTAGTGGGGGTGGGCGGGGTACGTGTTGGAAGACGATCTGTCGATGCCTTGGCCAATCGTGATATGAATGACGATTCGCGAGTTCGGGGAACCAGATCAGAGTTGATGGTTTGTTCGTGGCGTTGACGTGAGGAGTGTCGTCAGCTGGAACGGAATTGGAGGTGGGAAGGGAGGGTGAGCTGAGCTGAGCCAATGAGTAAGGCAGGTCAAGTGAGGGGGAGCGGAGGGGAGGGAAGATGCAGGAACAGAAGCCCCACGCAACCACACCTGCAACTTAGCGAGCAAGCAAGGCAGGGGTGCCCTTTGCATCTTCAATCTTCAAGTGTTGGTAGAGGTTTTGAACTCCAAACAAACAATCGTGACCTCATCCTCTTCAACAACCTGTAATTAGACTCCGACGATACAGATACGGCACACGACCCGCGAAAATCAATCTCATACATCACGACTCTCGCCAAAAGGAACAGACGAATTAATGGAATGCTCTTTTTTTTTTTATTCAAATCTGTGCTGGTACACACATCCTGTCTCAGCACGTCCGTGTGCCTCAAGGTCAAAAGAGATGTTTTCTTTCTCCAGAACCCAAAAAATAACAATTATTCGTTTTCGAAATCATTCCGATCCAACCAGATCAGCCAATCATTCGTTCAATCAATCAATCAATCAATCCCATATATAGCCGGCCCAAGATTGGGCAACCTTCTAAGACGCCATTGCCAAGTGTGCCAGCACGACTATTCATCGTCTCCTTGATCCTCGCCGCCATCGTCTACTCCACGGTAACCGACTTGGCAAGGTTACGGGGCATGTCAACGTTGACACCCTCGGCAACCGCCATCCAGTAGGACATGAGCTGCAGAGGAATGACATTGATGAGACCCTGCAAGCAGTCGACCTGCTGGGGCACCTCAATCTTGTCCGTCTTGTCGGTAGGGAACTCAGGGTCGTCCTGGTTGCAGATGATGATGGGACGGCCGGAGCGGGCAATAACCTGCTGGTAGGCGTTGAGCGACTTGGCGAAGATGTCATCACGGGTGAGGATCATGACGATGGGGAGGTTCTCGTCGACAAGGGCGAGCACACCGTGCTTCAATTCACCGGACATGACGGCTTCGCAGTGGAGGTACGAGATTTCCTTGATCTTCAAGGCACCCTCGAGAGCAGTGGCGTGCTGGGAACCACGGCCGAGAAGGAGGAGAGACTTCTGGTCCTTGAAGCGCTTGCAGAGCTCCTTGATGGGCTGGTCGAGCTTGAGCACCTCCTTGAACTGGTCAGAGATCTTCGTAAGACCCTCAATGATCTGTTCACGCCTGTGTTGCTTGGAAGCACGGTCCTCGGAAAGAGACAGAGCGAACATGACCATGCACACAAACTGGGAGGTGTAGGCCTTGGTGGAGGCGACACCGATCTCGGGACCGGCGTTGATGTGGACACCGCAGTGGGTGAGGAGAGAGATGGAGGAACCGACGGAGTTGACGATACCGACGGTGAGGGCGCCGCGCTCCAAGCAGTATCGGAGAGCCATCAAGGAATCGGCGGTCTCGCCAGACTGGGAGACGAACACGCAGGTGTCGTCACGGAAGACGGGGGCCTGACGATCCAAGAAATCGGAGGCAAGCTCGACAGCGATGGGGATCTCGGTAAGCTCCTCAAAGATACCACGGACAGCCATGCAGGAGTGGAACGAAGTACCGCAAGCAATGAAGATGATTCGTCGGCACCTCCTGATGGTGGTGATGTACTGGCGGAGACCACCCAGGGTGACGGTCTTGTTGACGGGGTCGAGACGACCACGCATGGCGTTGACGACGGACTCGGGCTGCTCGAAGATTTCCTTTTGCATGAAGTGGTCGAAACGGCCCTTCATGATCTCCTGGAGCTCAATCTCGAGCGTCTGGATAGCACGGACGTTGGACGCGCCGTCCTCCTTGGTCAAGCGGTGGATGTTGAGGGAGCCCTCGTGGATGTGGGCAATGTCGTCATCCTCCAAGTACAAGACCTTCTTGGTGTGCTCGACAATGGACGAGGGGTCGGAGGAAAGGAAGAACTCGGTGGGCATGGGGACGCCGTCGTCGGAGAGGAAAGCACGCGATTGCGAGCGGTGGAGAAGGGACTTGTCTGGGGGGGCGAGGAGGTTGTTGGACTTCTTGAGGGCGACGTTCTGGGAGGCACGCTCGGCGGGGAGGGCCTGGTCGTCCTGGTACTCGACATCGACAAAGTCGACCTTCATCTTCTTCTCGGTGCGGACACCGACAACAAGGGGGGAACCCTTGCGGGCAGCGACCACCTCGTGGGGGTAGTGGACCGACTTCATGAGCAGACCAAAGGCACCCTCGAGCTCCTTGATGACCGTCTTGGCGAGCTGGACGAAGCTGAGATCCGGGTGCTCATCGTGGACGTATTTGGCGAGCTTAGCAATGGCCTCGGTATCGGTCTCCGTCTCGAACCTGAAGCCCTTGCCCTCGAGGAGCACCTTCAATTCCTTGTAGTTTGTGATGATGCCGTTGTGGACGATGGAGAATTCCCAGTTGGGGTCGGACCTAGTGGGGGAGATTGCGGGTTAGCCATTGCCACTGAGAATGCATGGATGTATGATTGTTTGATTGTTTGATTGATCGATTGGGGGATCGGAGAATGGGATGGGCAGTCGGGCTGAAGGGCTGACGCGGCTGCGTTTCAGAGTAGATGGAGGGAGAGAGCGAAGGTCGGGATCATCCGTCGGCTTACCTGTGGGGGTGGCAGTTTGTGCGGGAAGGGGGACCGTGGGTGGCCCATCGAGTGTGGGCAATGCCGGCGTGTGAGTCGAAGACCTTGGTCTCGTCCATTTGCTGCTCCTCGACGAGCTTCTTCAAGGCGGCGACCTTGCCGACCTCCTTGACGGCGAAGACCTCATTCTTCTTGTCGCCATCGATGGCGAGACCGGCCGAGTCGTAGCCGCGGTATTCTAGACGTTGGAGGCCTGGACACTCGCACGGGATTGTGGTCAGAAAATAGAGCGAGGAGGCGGTGCAACGCGGAGAGAGCGACGCAAGAGCGGTGTGACTGGGAAAGAGAAGGAATGGAGGATGGGGGGGAATGCGGGGCGGCTCTACTCACCATTGATGAGGGTGTTGAGAATGTACTTGCGGTCCTTCTCCACCAGGTAGTTGATGTAGCCAAAAATTCCGCTGGAAGAGGTCAATTAGTCTCTGGAGAATCCACCGACGCTGTTCCCCTGCCTCCCGGTGCTGTTGCTGGTGCTGCTGGACGGTGGTTGCGGGGAGAGTGTGAGGGGGAACCGCAAACTCAGCCAGCAGCGGTGCGGGGAGGGGGAGAGGCAGCACAAGGGGAGGGGAAACGGATAGAGGGGACGGGCAGCACTCACCACATGGCTAATTGCTAGAAGAGAAGATAGAAGAAAAAAAGAGAGAGGTATAGAGTTGAGGGTGGAAAGTATGGGGGTGGTTTTGGGGAGAGCGAAGAGGGGAGAGGAGCAAAAGAGCGGTGTTTGTTTGGGGTACTTATAGTTGTACACAGTCGGAGGGGACGCAGCCAAGCAAACACGCATGCATGGATGGATGGATGGACCAGCAGGGACAGACAAGCTATCGAGATTTACGTGTTGAGTGAGCACTCGAGTAAAAAAAAAATAGGTGTTTCAAAAAGGCCAGCTAACCTGATTGCTAACTAAAAGGACACGGGTAGCTGTGTGCAGTACAGCTTTGGACAGCCATGTCCACCATCTCAACAACCATGCTTGCTCGAAAAAGTTACATCTAGCGGCAGTCAATGCATCCGTCTTTCAGCTGCTAAACCGCCTAGCAGGTGGCTACTTGGCTAGTACGCCCCCCCGTCCTCTCCCCCCTGCCTGGCTTTGCCCGAGCGGTGGCGCCTGTCCATGGTGGTGAGGATTGCATGTGTCTGTGTGTCTGTGTCTGTGTCTGCTTGTTCGCCTGTGCGTGAATGGTGTGAATGGTTGGATTGGAGACATGTACGATGGATAGGTGAGTGAATGAAGAGAGAGCCAGTCTTCGCCTTTGCTTTGTGCATTCCACTGCATGCAAGTCATGGAGACCAGACTACCACGCCGCCTTTTGCTGACTGACTGACTGCCTGACTGACAGACTGACTGATAGATGGGTGAATCGATAGACGACTACGCCGCCGCCGCCAGTGTCGCTTTGCCTGGTGGGATTCCATCAATTCACTGCAGTACAATAAGATGCTGAGGTGCATGCATCCCCCTATTCCGTCATATGGGGTGGAGGTGGTGGTGGTGATCGGCCACTATTGATGTCAGGGCAAAGACAACCATGGAGGGGCGCAGCCAGCCGGTTCCAAACATAGCAACACTGCCAACGCTAGACAGCCTCTTTTCGTCCATCCACCTGGAATAGAAGGGAGAAAAAAAATATATTGATAATAATTCTCCTGGACTAGCGACCATGGTATGGGCTCCGCTGCTGGGCGGAAGTTGATCTATTCGCAGGGTCCATTTGCGGTGCAATGCGAACTTGGAGAGATTCAATGCGTGAATGAATGAGTGAACGAATGATTGCATAAGCATATGACCAACTAACCACCAGCAACCCTTCATTCATTCATTCATTCATTCATTCATCCAACCCTTGATCGCTGCCACATTGTTCTTCCTTTTCGTCTTGTCCAACACGCAGCATAGCACATGTCAAACCTGTCAATACCCGCCATCAGACGCAAAAAACGTCAGCACGGCCTTGCCAACCTGCCAACCTGCCAATCCAATCAATAACTTGTCAATCCCCCCCGTTTGGGCTTCGAGCATTACCGCTTCCGGCCTTGCCTGCGAGAATCTTGAAACCATAAAAGGATACTATTCTATTGATTATAGCTTGTTCTCTTCGCCCACGTTGCCCGTGTACTGTGTAGGGCGCACACCATGACATGCACTAGCAAACACCCTTCTGCGCTTTTGCTGCAGGCTAGTCGAAACAGAACAATACGGAGAGGAATAGGAATTGAATGGGCAAAAAGGTCTCGGTTGGTTATCAGACGGTGAGTTATACATGACATGCGGATCAGGGGTGGGGGAAATAAAATGTAGAGAGTAGATAGCCTATGGCGCCCACCAACGGCCAAACGTGAAAGCAAAGCAAAAAAAAAATTATGTACATGTGCACGTCCCCCAGACGTTTCACCTTTTCTTTCTTTTGTTCTTTTCAGCTCAGGCCAGCCCAGCCTCAACACTCCATCCATCCATCCATCCATCCATCCACCACCTGTCTCTTATCGCGGGGTCAGCAAGTTACGCCCCCCAGCCACATCATCCAGGAAAACTAACCTCCAAAATCCTTCCGTCCATCAGCTTCAACTGATCCACCTTCCTTTCTTTCTTTCTCTCTTTACTCTTTTTGAATCCTTGCGCTCCAGCCTTCACTCACCCGGCATCTAACAACAACCTCCGTCAGCCTAAGGCCCCTCCTAGTTTGATCCCTTATCCTTATCCTTAACCACCCTAGAATTCCTCCAACGCTAAATCGATCCCGTCTTTACACTTCTTCTTTTTTTTTTTTTTGCTGGGGAGTCGCTCTTTTTTTTTTCTTTCTTCTTCTTTTTTTTTGTCCTGACGAGGACGCTTGTGTACTTGGGCCTGGATGACTCTCGCTACTACACTGCATCTGTGACATATTATTAATAGGTGGGCTATTTGCTGCTGTGGGCGGGTGCTAATTGTTTAGGGTACCGATTCTTCTTCCTTTTTTTGAGGGAGGGGGGGATTTTTACTTGATAAATCGTTGATTTCCTCTCCGTCTTTGTCCCGCGGTCCCGAGGCACATGGGACTTTCTGATTTACTAGTAGAACGGACTAAGCACCGGCACCACGGCTGCTGTACGCTACGATTATGTATGCAGAAGAGATGCTGTTTCTTAGTATCTTGCGGGATTGCGTGGTACCCTTTATCAATCAAACATTCTGCGCTCATCACCTTCTCATCTTCACTGTTCAAGGGCGCTGCCATCGCAGTATCCCCTGATGCCACGCAAGCTCTCTGCCATAGGTTTCAGGAAATATCATATCCGCCCGGTCTCTCCAGTCGCGGTGTTTGCAAGGCCGATCGAAGAACTTGATGTAATCCCAGTGCTCCGGATACCACCCAGCGTATTCCCAATCTATCAAGCCCGTGACCTTCCCGTTTTCGACCAGGATATTATGCTGTACGATGTCGCCATGGGAAAAGACTATACGGTGGTCGTCGCGAAGCTGCTGCAACAGCGCAGACCGAACTAACCGTGGTGTCCCCTTGAGTAGATCCAAATAAAACGACTCATTGAACGCTGCTTCGTCGTTATAAGGCCCGTCGGTGTAGTCGGTGTATGTCCGCAGATCCCGCGCTGCTCCACCGGAACACGATCCTATCACACCTGTTTCCCAGGGCGCTGCGCGCATTGCTGTGAGCATGTTGCGGAGTTGCACGCATATGCTGTCTTTCTCCTCAGTAGTCACGGTAGGCCAGATCTCGTCCAGAGGAGACCCCGGGATGAAATCCATTCTGATTAGATGTTCGCCGGGTGAGGCTTCCACTTGCGTTTCGTGGACACGGGGGACGGGGAGGTTGAGCTGTGCTGCGAGTTCTAGCGCTGGTCGCTCGTGGGGAGTAACTCGTCTGCCTTTCTTGATGACTGTCGAGTCTGGATAGCGTGTTACAGTGCAGCCGGGCATCTCATGAATAATGGTAATGGTATCTAGGTGCATAAGACTGGGCTGTTTGCTGTTTTCGTCACATCCCGAGGTTGGTGGGAAGCATACCATGATCTCCTGCTGAGGATTCGAGATGTCCATGGTGTTAGTGAACGTAGTCAGTCGCGTCTGTGGAGCTTTTGTTTCTCTTGCTAGTTTTGATTATAAAGAAGGTGTGTTTGGGTGAAGCAGCGTCAGTGGTGACGATGGTGGGGGATATACTGGGTGTACGGTGCCGAGTATGCATTCACTCGTAGAGGGGAGCAAGGGTGAGGTTGAATATCACTGTATGTCTGTGAAAACTTGACGCAATGAGATTGAGATTGTTCCCATGATTTAATTCATTGCATCAACTAATACATAGGATATCTGCTAATCAAGTTTATGAGCGAAGATTGATAGTCAACACGCTTCGGCATCAGAGTAGATGGTTGGCCCAAGCTCGGAATCACGAGCCGAGGTCCAGCCCAAACCTCCGGAATTCAACATAACACAACACCACCGTCATTCATCACGACACTGCATACTTTCCTTTCCCAGTGTCTTGACGACTACACACAATGTCCTCTTCGCCAACCTACACGTACCCGTTTGCAACGTCCCCCGATATCATCCGCTCCCACCAAAAAGACGCCTACTTCAGCGGCGTGCTCCTCGAACAGCTCTCCACCATCCTCCGCAAAGTCAAGGGCGCACGATACGCGCACACCTACACCTCCGAGACCCGCATCGCCAGCGAACTTCTTTACCTCGGACTCACCACTCTGATAGGCAATCGGACACTAGGGGAAGAGTACTGTGACATTGTCCAGGTAGAAGGCGAACATGGCCGCTTGCCCGCCCTCGGGAGAAGAGCAGGATACATCCTAAGCTGCGTACTGGGTCCCTACGGCCTTGCCAAAATCCTACCCACATTCCGCAAACGCATACGAGCCAAACTCGAAGCCAAACTCCGCCGCTACTCACGACAGCACGCGAGAGCCCAACAGCAAGCCAAAGAAAGCGGCACCACGAAACCAATCTCAACCCCCCTCAGCGCCCGCCTCCACGCATACCTCCTCCGCAACCTCGACACCATCACCTCCCCAGCACCCCTCTACGCCCTCTCCCTCGCCACATTCTACTTTTCCGGCAGCTACTACCACCTCTCCAAGCGCCTCTGGAACCTGCGCTACATCTTCACCCGCCGCGTCGCTGACTCGGACAACCGCGCCGGCTACGAAGTCCTCGGCGTGCTCCTCGTCCTCCAAATGGCCGTCCAAGCCTACCTCCACCTCCAATCCACACTGTCCCCCTCCGTCCCCAACACCGGCGCCCTACCCACCCCAGCATCATCGACAACACCAACAACAACCTCAGCCCTCGTCGGCGGCGGCGTAGAAGTCTCCCTCGACCCAAACGCGTACACGGCGAACAACGCCCTCCTGTTCGACGCCCCTACCCTTCCTCCCTCCTCCACCTCCGCGCCCCACGATCTCCACCGCTGGACACACACCCCTGCCACCACGACCCCAGCCTACGACCTCGCCGACGGCAACGACTCCACCATGGCCTGGATCGAAGGCGGGAACCGCAAGTGCACGCTTTGTCTCGACGGCTTGAAGGATCCGAGCGTGACTACGTGCGGCCATGTGTTTTGCTGGTCGTGTATCTCGGATTGGGCTAGAGAGAAACCGGAGTGTCCGCTTTGTAGGCAGGCGTGTGGGGTTGCGCATATTTTGCCGTTGAGGGGGTGAGACTCGGTACTGCTTTTATGTTGCGGAGTGGTGGTGGTGGTGGGCTTTTTTTGGAGGATTGTGGATTAGATAGGATAGGATAGCATAGCATAGGATTGATTAATTGTAATGATACCCCCCCATTCTTCCTTCCTTTATTTTATGTACCTTTTTTTCCCTAATTTTCCTGTCCCTATTATGCTCAAGTTTCTAACCTTTATTAATATTTTTTAATTCATCTATCTATATATCCTGTTCACGTAGACTATGCAGTTTACATTATCAGCTTTTATTTTAAAGTAAACTACTAACTCTTTCCCTCATCTTTCTAAACCCTCTGTCCCTCTTTTTTTTTTCTCTCTCTCTCTCTCTCTTAAGCTTTCTATCTTTAACTAACTGCACATCCTCTCTTTCTCTTTATCTTTATACACTTTACTTTTCCCCTGCTTTCCCTGCTTTCTAACAAACTCTCTAAGCTATAAACCTATTGTTGTGTGTAGTATCACCCAAACGTCCAAAATCGGAATCTATTCACGAAACAGGGTAGGGGAGATTCTTTGGAGGGGGCGATGCTTGTCGATGGGTTGATTAACTAGAGTTTGGGAATTCAAAGGGTAAGGGGAAGGGGAAGGAGGGTGATATCTTTTTTCTTGGTTTTTTTGATGGGGGTTGTTGCGTATGTGGGTATGCGTGGTATATGCATAGACGCAGTTATATATACAGGGGGGTATGCGTGGTATACGGTGGTATACGGTAGTGTAAGGTAGTGTGAGGTAGTATATATTCATACAATCCACTTTTTTTCGTGGCGATGGTTCGTCTCGTCTAACCCTCTTTCTAGTCTATGAGGAGGAAGAGTATACGGCAAATATCCTTTACACTCTTTGATATTGAGATAATAATGAACATTGGAGGGGAGATTTTTGGATGATGGAGAAAGGGGAAGGAAAGAGGAAGGGGGGCGATGCAGATGGGTATGCGTGCTATCCCGGTCGATAATATGTGTTTTTGTGTGATGGCTCATCGTTCCAAATTCGTTGGAATCGCTCGTTTTTTTCTATCTCAATCGTTATATCGCTGTGTGTAGGAACACCTAAACTCCAACTCAAAATCAATGCAGATGGAGAATTCTCATGGGCGTGCGTCTTATCCTTGTCGATAATTCGTGTCTTGTGTAATGGCTCATCGTTCTAAATTCGTTGTGCTCGCTCGTTTCTTCTGTCTCCATCGTCATAAACCATCGTTGTGTGTAAGAACAAGTAAACTCCAACTCAAAAATCAATGCGGATGGAAAAATCGCATGGGCCTGCGTCTTATCCTTGTCGATAGTTCGTGTCTTGTGTGATGGCTCTGTACTCGTTGCAAGACGCGAGCGATATTGCGTGTACGACTCGTTGTTGCTGCGCGAGTATCCGGATTAGTATGGGCAAGGCGATACAAGAGACATATGATACAATTTATAATCTCGTCATTGCCCGTGATTAATCTCTAGACTCATCGCCGCATTCCGGAAATCAACAAATTCTCCTCTCTCTATCTTTTGCTGCTAGGATCTCGTGAGTGAGCAAAGCGAAAAAATGAGGAGTTCGGCGAGTTACTACTCGCACGAGTCTGTGCCATTGGAAGATATTACTACAGAGTTAGTTGTTCATGGGAAAGTTTTTTTTTTTCGGTTTGTTATTTGGGCTTTTGCTGATGCTGTGGTTAGTTACTCTTCGGAACGGTTTATTGTCGATCATGGCGGCGGACACGCGCATGCTCGATATCGGAATCACTTTGCGTCTTGGATTTTTCCTGGGAGAAATACGGAGAGGTCGAAAGTGGCCTTCCGTAGAGGCTGGACTGAGGCGCGACCAGTCTTGCAATTTCATGTAGTTCCCGTTGGTCTAGTCGGATTTTTGGTTTATTTGCACTGTGCTCGAGTATTCATAGGAAAAGGTGAATCCCGTTAGACAGTCTTGCTCGAATCCAGAGAGAACCGCTAACGAAATCCCAGAGAAGTGGTTCATGGAGCTCATTCCATCGCTCAGCAAGCTGGCGGAACTCTTTGTTCAAACATCTATCGTCATGATGGTTGTTGACGCCGTCAACTGTCAGGCACGAAAGACTGACATCGCATTTACCAGCTTATTCTTCCCACACGATATGTCTTACCGGTATATGTGGACGAGGTTGAAGCTGATATGGAACTATAAACACATCAGGACTTCCAGATTTGGCCGCTATACTATCGCGGTGTTGGGATGTATCTTGTTCTATAACAACATAGGACCGATGATTCTGATCGCTATGCAGCCCCAGAACGTCCAGCAGAAGATCGCAAACTCGCTCTCCTTCTCCCTTCCGGAGACACCTTGGGTCTTGTTTCCCTCGGAGATTGATCATACGTACGTATCCCTGCGCTATGTGTGTTATATCAAGTTCCGCAATATTGTGTGCAGCAAAGTCAGAAGAGTTCGAAGAGCTAGCATCGTGGAATCATACTGACTGTCACTTTCGTTTTTAGATATAAGCCCAGCGTGTAGGTCCGCTTCCTCACAACATTAGTAGATCAGAGCTGACAATTAGATTGGTAGGCGGGGTGAATACATCCAAACTCTAGCGCATCTGAATATACAGATAAATTCGAGTTCCGACAATGTCTATAGTCGGGAGTTCAGCGTCTTCGATACCAAGAGCTCGAGATCACTTCATTTGGCACTTAATTATGGGAACAGAATCCCAATTGCCGAGGCATCTATGCCCAGACTTTCATTTTCTCACCTCCGGGACTTCACTTACTTGGGCTCTTTGTTGGACTATCAAAGCCGCATGAATACATTGCTGGATCTCGAGAGAATCAAGGACAGAAAAAAACTAGAAGCTCAAGTTATCTTGAAGCAGCCTTCGACTCGGGTTCTATGCTTTCAACAGCAATTACCAGCAACCGACGCTCTGAGAACAGATGTACAAGTGCCAAACATCAATGGCACTGAACTTATCCGACTCAGTTCATTTGAGGATGTTTACAAGTTGATGCAAACTAGAACCAATGGTAAATCAGAAAAGGCATTCGATATCTGGATGCCGCCCCCGTCTGGCTCTGGTTATTCCATCGTTCAGGTCACATTATCCAGGACAGACGCTGCCAACGATACTTTGATCAAGGAAATCACTCCCAACTCAAATCCCGACACATGGTCGAACACAACATTAACTGCTTGTGGAGTTCGAGCCACATGGGTTGCCGCCAGATACATCGTTTCCCCGCCGACAGTAGTTCCGCAGATGCAAAGCCAGCCCCTCAACACCGAATCAGAGGTACAAGCAGAACCAATTAGGATACATCCTTCATTTGCCGAGGAGATGTGGAAGATTGTGACCCGTAACGACAGCAAAGATGACATATTCAAAACTCCACCTATGCCTTGGAACTCCTCGGCCATCGATACTATCTCCCCGACGGAGCGACCAGCCTCACAAGAGATGGTCTTAGCCGCGTTCTTCGCAAACGCTCTTGCCAATGCAGAGCCCGAACGCCACTCCCCGCGAAATCAGAATCACACTTGCAACGAATATGAGGTTGATACCATGTCGGACTCTCCAACGCCTACTAACTGTTCCATACCCACTTCTCTACCTCCTGCACCATGCCCCTCATCATTCGATCAATCCTTCGACAACTGCTCCACCATTCCCTTAACTCTCCTCGAGAATGGCTGGGGCTATACCAGAGAATTCCCGAACACACGCATCGCGCTCGCCATGCTGTGTGCATATCTTCTAGGCGTTCTGTCATACATCTTCAGCCTTTTCATGCGGAGCACGTGCACTGCGTGGCAGTCGCCCGTTGACTTGGTCGCCCTCGCGCTGCAATCACGACCACCTGATCCAAAGTACTTGGGACATGTATCGGTGAGAATCAACGAGGATGAGACGTTGGTGGAGCCGGATGAGCTTCGTGAGAATGAGGAAGGGAAGTTGGAGTTGGTTTTTAAGAATGATCCACAGCATGAAGGGAGGAGGCTTCGGAAGATCGAGGTCAATAAGAGATATTGAAGTCTTCCGTTACCAAGTTATAATAGCGAAGAGTATTATGATGTAAGCTTGTCACCGAAAGGCTCGTTGAAGACATGCGAGGTGGCGCACCCCAGCACTGACGCGACAACGACAGTTCGTGCAGATCATATTTCAATGGATTATCAGCTTATTAGGACGTTGAATTAGCAGAACCATGCAAGCGCTACAGTACTGTGGCTATGAAGACCATATCAACTTCTTTTTGCGAGTTTCTATGAACAATCTTATGTTGACCCTTTGTTTTTATTTTGTTCGTGCAACAAAGTGATATAGGCACATAAAAAACTCACCACTCTCATTAGTAGTAAAGTTGATCAATTGATTCCATGGCAATAAAGTGATTTAATATCAGACTCTCTATTATGACGCGAGGTGCGGTCATTTCTTGTCCTGCTGTGTCACCACGCCGTCCCAATGCGCGTAACGCGTCCAGTCGAATAAACTAAACGAAACCCGGCGAGAGATGCCTCTTCGTCAATTGATAGATAGTGATTGTATCACACCCCTACAGAAAGTTAGGAATAGATAAAAAAAGAAGATCAAAGCAGTAATCTGTAATTGAATTAGTATACAAGAAAAGGGTAAGCTACTTTATATAATTAAATAAATTTTTACTTTTTGCTATCTGCAGTAAGCTATGGTAAAAAGATAAATTGTTAATAATATAAGTCAAAAGGTAAACATCTAACTGCTGCCTAGCTATAAGTAAGATAAGAAAGAAGTAAGTAATTGCCCTTGCTAGACTCTACTTATAACACTCTTTCCTCCATCGTTTATGACCTACACAATCACCGACCGTCGAGATGGATGGAATTGATACAGCCACGGCTAAATTGGCTGCAGAGATGCAGTTGGCAGACGTCAATGCCATTCTGGAGGGAATGGAGCAAGAAGATACCGACGAGCATGTGGCGTTCAAAGCCATGCAATTATCATTCCAAGACGTCATTCAAGTGTACGAAAGCCGTTTGGCAGTAATGAACGTTCTTGGGTTGGAGCATGCCCCCCGGGTGCAGTTCCAGAGACTGGTAGAACAGGAGAGACAGGCGCGCGACGATCATGACCTCGCTCGTCGACTCAGTGGGCTGCCTTCTCAGCAACATCATTCTACTTCTCCCGAGATCATCGATTTGACGAAAGACGGCATAGACAGCGACGAAGAAAAGAATGCTCCCGACTCTACGTTAGGCTCTGCGGAGCCCTCATCCTTTCCTTATGATGACCTCCCACGTCCCCCAAGAGGCGGTATCGTCATCCGTACACCTAGAGCTCGGAGTCCTGTACCCTGCGTGGCAAGCTCGTCGAAAGGAAAAGGCAAACGAAAGGCAGATAGCATTGATCTGGAAGACAGAAACAATGATCGACCTACCCACGGCCCTTGTTCCGCATGCATGGAACGCTTCCCGCGTTTCGATCTGCTTGAGCTCACTTGCAAGCGCGAGGGCGACTTGGCTCACCACGCCTACTGCCGCGACTGCTTGCTTGATCTATTCAAGTCCAGTCTCACAGACACGACTTTATTCCCACCTCGTTGTTGTGGTATGACGATTTCCATCTCTGATACTGCGCGTTTCTTCCCACCGGAACTTATTAGCCAGTATGAAGAGAAAGAGGTGGAATTGCGCACACCTAATGCAACATACTGCAGTAAGCGTGCTTGTGTAATATTCATCAAGCCGCAATACGTGGAGGCAGATGTTGCAACTTGCCCCGTATGTAGCACACAGACTTGTGCCACTTGCAAAAACCCGAGTCATAAAGGCCTATGTCCGGAGGATCCAACTGTTCAACAACTCATGCAGGTTGCCAAGGAGAAGAAGTGGCAACGGTGCTACAACTGCAGAACTCTCGTCGAGCTTGTACATGGATGTTACCATATGAGGTAAAACTCTTGAAAAATCGTGAACTTCTGGATACTGATCCATTTGCAGATGTCGATGCGGTGCGGAATTTTGCTACATATGTGCAGCAAAGTGGAAAATTTGTAAATGCCGCAAATGGAGTGAGCATCGTCTTTTTGATGGTGGCCGGAATGAAGACGAGGGTTAGCACCACATCGCTCGACCCGAAGAGGAAGAAGTGGCAGAAACCAATCCGGGTAACGACATTCTCAACGAGATAAACCTAAGAATAGCCGCTCTGGCTCAAGGGTATGCTATTGACGAAAATGAGCAGATGCTGTTGCTGACCATGGCAGTAACGTTGCTGTAGTTGGATGTAATCATCACTGGACGAGGACTTATGGAGGTCAGAGAGAAATGAGGATGTGCGAGATTTGCAATGACCACCTTCGGTTCCTGAACCATTGCGGGATTTGTGCAACCAGTGTCTGCAACCGCTGCTTGAACAACAGACTCTAGGAGAGAAGTGCGTCCGAGGTCACATTTTCGGGAAAGGAGACGTCTATCAGTGGCTAAAAATGGTTACAAAATTGGAAAAACGATTGGAAACAATGAGAGATTTCGGCATCGCACGTTGATCTAGCTGGGAAGACTTAGTGATGTTTACCATTTCGTGGACCAACTTGGCGTTCGGTCTACAAAAGTAGGGCCAAGTCCCATTCATAGAAAAACAAGATTCGCTAAGCAGTATTCTAGCAACACATAAGCCGGTAGCAAGAACTTGCATGGTATAACAAGCACCTGATATTCAACGGCTCGATAGCCTCGGCACATATGCTTAATTTAAGCGCTTCCCCACCAATAGTCCACCTGCAGGTACTATAACACCCCGCAAACAATACTGATCTTCTATTCGTGCAGTAACTATCTTGGACATGGTGTCCACACTGCCCCATGGGGTGTGGCGGGAAAACGGGACGTATACAGGTTTCCGCTGTGATTCTGTGAAGCTTGTACCTTGCGTTGTCGCTATACTGCAGTCTAGAGCGCAAGGGAGAACATCACGAGAGCTTCTCAAGCTTCCATTTTGAGCTCCGATTAGTGGGAAAAAGGAACTTCCATCCGTTGTAGACAGAGCTCTAAGCATGGCCTCGGACCTGTTCCTGTTAGCAGTCTTGCCTTTGTGCGCAGCTGGAAAGGGAATTTCTCAGTGATCGGAGCCTTCATCTATCCACACCATGTCGGCATAATTTATCCAGTAGCGTAGAGCGTTGATTTAGGAAGGTCAATCTAATTGATAAACATGATAAATGTGGGTGTGCCCTGCCGTGGACGACCACCGGCAAGTAGCAACTTCACAATATGCAGTTCTCAAGATCATCGAAGTTGTCTGCCTTTGGCATCATTGCCACTGGCTCGCTTGCTGCCGCCGGTCCCTGCGATCGTAAGTGATCTCCCAATGCCAGAATAGACGTGAGAAGGGAGATAGGTGAAACTAACTTACCTTGCTTCAGTCTACGCCACGGGAGGCACACCCTGTATCGCAGCGCATAGTACCACCCGCGCGCTGTACAACTCCTTCAGTGGCGCTTTGTACCAAGTCAAGCGCGGATCTGATGGCGCCACGACCAACATCTCGCCCTTGACCGCTGGTGGTGTTGCCAATGCCGGTGCTCAAGATACCTTCTGCGCCAGAACCACTTGCTTGATCACCGTGATCTACGACCAGTCTGGCCGTGGCAATCATCTGACTCAAGCTCCTCCAGGAGGTTTCCAAGGCCCAGAAGCCAACGGATATGACAATCTCGCCAGTGCAATTGGAGCGCCAGTGACTCTGAATGGACAAAAGGCTTACGGGGTCTTCATCTCACCCGGAACTGGATATCGCAACAATGCTGTTAGTGGTTCAGCCAAAGGCGATCAAGCAGAGGGTATGTACGCTATCCTGGATGGAACCCACTTCAATGGGGGCTGCTGCTTCGACTACGGCAACGCCGAAACCAACAACCTCGACACCGGGAACGGACACATGGAAGCCATCTACTATGGCGACAGCACCTACTGGGGAAGTGGCACAGGCAACGGTCCCTGGCTCATGGCGGACCTCGAAAACGGTCTCTTCACTGGCAGAAACCCAAAGAACAACCCCGCTCCATCCATCACAAACAGGTTCTTCACAGCTATTGTCAAGGGCGGTCCCAATCAATGGGCACTACGGGGTGGAAATGCTGTTTCGGGATCACTCTCAACATACTTCAGTGGAGCGCGCCCTACACCCTCGGGCTACAACCCCATGAGCAAAGAAGGCGCCATCATCCTCGGTATCGGCGGAGACAACAGTGTAAGCGGCCAGGGTACTTTCTACGAAGGCGTCATGACGACCGGATATCCCTCCGACGCCACCGAAAACGCAGTTCAAGCGAACATCGTCGCCGCCGGGTATGCCACCACGTCTTTGACCAGCGGCTCCGGGTTCAACGTAGGATCTTCAGTGTCATTGCGCGCCACCACTTCCGGTTACACAGACCGCTACCTCGCACATACCGGCGCCACAGTGAACTCGCAAGTCGTCACTTCTTCATCCGCTTCTTCGCTCAAGCAGCAAGCTACTTGGACTGTTCGCGCGGGCTTGGGAAACTCCGCCTGTTTCTCTTTCGAGTCGAGAGATCAACCGGGAAGCTTCATCCGCCATTATGACTTCATCCTCAAAGTCAATGCAAATGACGGGTCCAAGGCGTTTAAAGAGGACGCGACGTTCTGCCCGCAATCGGGATTGAATGGCCAGGGAAGCTCGATCCGCGCGTGGGGATATCCTACGAGGTGGATCCGGCATTACGATAATGTTGGATATGTGGGTAGTAACGGGGGTGTGAAGACTTTTGATGCTGCTAAGTCTTTCAACGATGATGTTAGTTGGGTCGTTGGCGCTGGGCTTGCGTAAAGAGGAAGAGTATAGTGCAGCTTGTATATATGGCCTTCTGAGATTTTACCTCAAATAAAACCGTCAATTTATACTCTGCATGCGTTTCAAGATGATGGTTAGCCACACTTTGCTTCCGAGACGGGGTAAATCCGGCACGTGTTCACCTTCCACGATGCAGAGTAACCAACACACATTATCCATGAGAGGTATACGCGAGAAGCCAATAGACTGAGTGATCGATAGATGATCGAAATTTCATATTGAAGTAGGCTCATTCTCATCTCTAGTGCACACTAAGAGTGGTGGCTATCATAAATTTAGAAGCAAGCGCTGTCTTACATCCGCACGTGTGTACAAAATGAGGGACCATACTCGCGATGCAGATAGTTAAAGCCAGGGGGTCCCATATACCAGACGTGACAGGCAAATTCGCCAGACTTTGCTATTCTGGTCACCGCATCACACTGGCTTATGGAGCGGAAGCTTATAGTATTAGACTTACATGACGCTCCGAGGCCGATACAAGCAATGGCAAGCAATGGGCAAGCAATTTGATCGAGATGCCACTTGCTGGGTTTGGGATGACGGAACTGCGATGGCGCGCACCACATCGGTGTAATTCGATATAAGTTATTCCAATGGAGGCAAAGCCGCCGCAGCTCCGAATGCAGGGCCTAATCTGACACTGATGGGTAAGACAAAGCTTGATGTGACGTTGGATTATAAGCGCAAAGTACGGTCTCGTTCCTCGCTCTACTTCATTTCCGCAATATTCTAGTTTTTTCTGCTTATGGATGCTTCTCGCCTTGTTTTTTGACTTGTGAATGCTTGCCTGAACCCGGGCTTATGGTGGTCGGCCTGATTGCTTGTTCTGATGTCCGATACGAAACAATGATATGATTCAGTATGATCAGATAGTACTGCGCACATTCGTGCGTGTTACTCACATATTTTGGTAGCAATATTCTTGCTTTTTCGCCCCAGGAAGACTGGAAAGTGGGCGCATCCTCCATTCATCATATTACGCCCGGCGCGGGGCACGCCTCGGGGCAAAGTAACGCCCCGGACTGACGGATGAAAGAAGACGTGAGCGCTTCATGGAATAATGCCAATTATAGGACATTATGAGAGTTTGTATAATCCCAATTCTGGCGTGTAATGCTACGAGGGAAACTCAGCCATAAAGCTTACTTCTGACAAATTGGTATACAGAATAAGGCCCAAGAAAATGATTAGGGGATTACATTTCCGACGAGCCTCACCCGTAAGCATGAGAAATGCATATATAACACAACAAGAATTCCAGAATTGAGCAAGAATACTCGTCACTATCCACTCATTTGGTCCAATATTCGCTCGTTTGTTCCATTTACATAACGTTCGTTCCATTCATTCTTTTGTCTTCCCCCCCTCAACTTATCTACATTCGACACGAACCAAAATGAAGTTCTTTGAAAGTAAAGTATCTTTAGCCGCTATGGCGCTTTCGTTATCCTACCTTTCAAACGGTCTTTCCATACCTTCTATGGCGGGCTCAAGCGATTCCTTGTCCCTACGCGATACCAAGCAACAGCAATGCCTCCGCATCATGCCACTAGGGGCCTCGATCACATACGGAAAGCATTCCACGCCCCCAAATGGATACCGCAAGGCTCTACGAGATCATCTCACGTCTCTCAACTACAATGTTGACATGGTCGGAAGCCAGTGCGTGTGCATCTCTCCCTACCATCCCTCACGCCTACTAACGACCTCCGAAACTAGACACAGCGGCGATTTCGAGGATAACCAGCACGAAGGATATCCCGGGCTTCGCATTGACCAGATCGCTGATAAGTTCAATGCCTCTTCGGAGCGCGACTCAAAGCCGAATTTGTTCCTGGTCAACGCCGGGACGAACGATTGCCAGCAGAACTATCGTGACATGGTCGGTACTTCGGAGCGCTTGGGTGATATGACCGAGTTGATCTGGAAGCATTCCGAGAAAGCGACTATTGTTCTTTCCACTGTGCTCGCCTCGTACAATGAGAAAAAAGCGCCGGGAGCTAATGCGCGTGTCACTGCTTTGAACGTGAAGATTAGAGATCGTAAGTTGTCTGAGCAACGCACGGCTAATCTTAGAGCCATTTTGTTGCAAATCATGCTAATTAGACTGAATGTACAGTTGCCAAGTCGCTGAAGAGCAAAGGCCGCAAGATAGTGCTTGCCGAAATGAATGATGGTATGTCGTGACCCTTGTCAACCATATTTTGTCATGGCACGTACTCATAAATCTCTCTTAGGTGTCCTCCAAAAGTCCGACATTAGTGAAGATGGCATTCATCCAACAAATGAAGGTTACAAGAAGATGGCGGACGTGTGGGCTAAAGCAATCGCCTCAGCACGTGAACAGAACTTTCTAGAGGAACCAGAAACCACCACGATGAATTAGGTACTCAATCTCTCTCCCTTACCTTTTCCGGTTTTTATGATACCTAAACGGATTTTCATGGTAGCATATAGATTGAACAGCATAGAATAGATCATAGAGCTTGGTGTATTTAAAATGGCCAGTGAGCCGCTGCCATTGCGTATCATCGGATTCACATGTAGGGTAGCAGACCTCTATTTCTGCTGCCCTAGACACAATTCCTCTATTTAAGAATCCATCTAAAGAACTCTGTTTTTGCTATAAATCCAACCCAACCACTCTTCCGCGATAGACTTTCCGAACTTTCAAGGACTGTGCGTCCGCAACAAAGTGGACTTTTCTCGAGCTCGCGAGAGCCCTTTGGAAATATCAGGTTATAATTGACTTGATGCGTTCACTATTACTCTGTAGCAAGTGTCATCAGGTCTCCTATCATACAATTTTGTTACGTTTCGACATTGCAGCTTACGGCGCAACCGATCTGTACCTCCAGAGAACCAGACTGACGACTCCAACACCAATAGCGCAAGTCACAGCGTTCACCGCGAATCTCTTTGCAACGTGTTTAAAGAACATGTTTTGCTTCCGTCTCACTCTATCCACGTGTTCTTCTCTTTTGTTCTTCACGGGAAATGGCAAACCTGGCACCTCTTTACCCAAAAACTCACATAGCGGCGCCCACCCATCCTCCAAGCGAAAATTGAGCAACCGCTCCTCGGGTACCGCAGCACGAATCTCAGCGTAGTGCTGCCTGTATCGATCCCGGGCGACACGGCGCATTTCGTCTACATTCTTCACACCGTAGAATCCCAGCATGATCTTGCGAATCGTTTTGCCGCCGTTGAGCCCGTACAGCGGCCCAAGCAAATTGATCACCACATCTGCGCGCAGTCCCCACGTCGTGCTGAAAATGGCCGCCACCATGCTCTGGTACCAGTCTTCAATGTCGCGCTCCACAAGTATGACTTTCGCCTCAGGGTAGGCCTCGATGAGTTGCTTGGCAAAAAAGGTGCCCATGTCGGTGACACCCTCGTACGGACCAAAGCAGACCTCCCAGTCCTCACGCGTAAAAGAAGCGCCCGTATAGGTCGGTAGCGTCGGGTAGAAAGCATCGCAGGCTTTGTTAAAGACCTGCCACTCGAGCGGCGAGCTGATGCCTTGGATTCCGTGATGCACACCTTTGTAACCCAAAATTCCGAGTGCTTGAGTTCCTGATGCTGAGCCTATTTTGATGCGATCGATTTGATCAGCATCGTGTAGCAGCAGATCATGAACTTTTTAGAATTGGGTGCTAATATTTCTGGCAACCTACCTGTGCGTGTCATCCCTAATGAAAGTACCTTCAACTCCCTCTTGGGACGGTCTTGGATAGAAACCAGTGTCGCCATGGCCTGGGAACACGTGCAATAGTTCGACAAGTAAACTGTTGGCAAAGAAATGATGTAGATGACAGCAAGCAAGCACCAAAGTTGATCTCAATTACAAGCGAATTAGAGCACAGAAACACTGCTTTTCTACTATCTGCTATTGTGCATCAGGATAGATGTCTTACTTTTCTCATGCTCATTGCATGTCGAGCACGTGGTCAGACGAGTGGTAGAGCACTCATCATTATTATGACACGAGATAAGGGCTCAGGAGTGCAATCTAGGACCCAGGCCCCACTGATAGATTCGTGTCCCTCTTCTCACTCTGGCCATGTAAAACAGTTAATATATTTGCGATTTCGGTCCGAAAAGAGCGCCTGTACCCTCAGAAAAATGGACAGCAAGATCCCGCAATAATAGTGGAGATACCCCACATAGCCACCCCGGTAACGAATAACTCCAAAAACCCTAGCGCTGGAAATCTCACTTGTGATCGCAAAAACGTTACAGACTAAAAGTGCTTCCTCCCCTTCGGCGGAGAAAGAAGTCCCACATGTCTCCAACCAGCTAGTAGGGCCGACAAGGTCCGAGCAATGCCACCTGGGTTTCCCATGTTGCATAATCTGGCCAGTTGTGTAGTCGTAAACGTAGCAAGCAAGGCTTCAGGCTAATTTACCAGTGTTAATCATTTTGCTGGCGAATGATTTTCTACATTCTGGGATTTGCTATCCAAGTTGCGATTGAGAGGTGCTAACTGGTTAGGGTGAGGGACAAATGTGTCGATGAGCAGAAAGTTGTTTGTCTCAGTCAAACTTGAAGGAAAGTCGCACCTGTAATTATCTTCAAATCATTCATAGATAAATAATATTCCAAAACAATTATATAAAAAAGGGAAAAGTAGTTGAAACAATGGCATTCCCTTCAACGCACCATCAGTTCTACCCAATATTCATCAGCAATATCTATTCAGTGGCTACCCTGAATAGACACATGACGGCGGCGCCTCTCGACACAGGACCTTCCGGGCTACAAACTGTAGTATAATTATGTCAATCGCGTTCCGGATCAACATCTAAGCCTTGAATGACATCGTATCTTTGGATCATTCGCACCAGCACATAACCAGCCTCTGTGAGCGTAAACTGCTGTCCGATACAGATACGTGGGCCGCCATTGAAAGGCACATAATGCCATGTTGTTCCGGGTCTCTTCTTCTCCTATCGCTCAGGTACAAACTCATCTGTGTCCTCGCCCCAAAGGTCCTTCCGTTGGTGAAGCACATGCGTACTAAAGTTGACCTCCATCCCCTTGGGCACGAATACGGGCATCGATCCATCAGAGCCACCACCCGTGGGAAGTGTGGTATCCCGTACTGCACAGCGGGAATTGAAGGGGACGACTGAGTGCAATCGCAGAGTCTCGCTCATCACGTGCTGCAGGTATGCGCAGCTCTTCAGCTTGGCGAAAGTAATCGTATCCTCGGGACTCTTTGAATAGGGACCAAATGTCTCCACAACAATTTGGCGTAGCTTGTTGTATACCTGTGGATTCCGTACCAGACAATAGAAAACCCAGGCTATGAAGGAAGCGGTAGTATCTCTACCTGCGGCCAGAAGACCTAGAACCTGCTCGCGTACCTCGGCGCGGTCGGGGTGATGAGGCTGATGATGATTGGATTCGCTTTAATGATTACGGCGTAGTGTTGCTGCCTGGGGACGAACCATGGGACGCACAGGAGAGATCTGGCATAAGATCTTCAAATGCTCTTACTAGTGGCGTCCATAATTCATCACGCGAATTGCCTTCCACTCAACAACTCAATACCATCATTTTGATTGATCCCATTTCCATTTCCACGCTAACTAATTACAAAATGGGACCCAAGAATACCCCATTTCAACCCACGCAGCATCACAGTCTCATCAACTGATTATCAATCCAAAACAAACCAAAGCGCCACAACAGCATTTTCACTGTTTTCCTCGTTGTGTACGCATCAGCGACGGTATCGGTTGGTTCTTGGCTAACGAATGGAGGAAGAAAAAGGTACAAATCGAGTCTGGAATGACGCACATCCGGAAAGAAGACAGTCTGGCCGGTGGGTGCGGACCATGGGTGGATGAGAATGAAGGATGATTTCGATGGATAGAGCAACCGTGATTGGTGGGAGAAAAAAAAACCTGATCCCATTCCTTTGGGTCAGCCTGCGCGAATTTCATACTTGACTGAGCGGGTGGGGACAGGAAGTGCTGTGCAATACAAAAACCCCGGCCCTCCTCTCTCCCGGCGACCCCCTAAGCTGTAGTATCTGTTAGCATCAACGGGTGGGAGGGGTTACATACCGGAGTTATGCTCTTCTCCTCCATTCCCTCAGACATTTGATCTTTATCGGCATCGGGGGTCTGGGGTCCTTGAGGGGCCATCCTTACCTGTTCAAGTACCCTCATTGTATCCTTCTCAGAACCCAATTATCCCTGTATCCACATGAGATTTTTGCGGCGCTGGACGGAAACGACGACGGGTGCATGAAGGGTGGCGCGGAGGCGTCTTGGTTCCTATTCTCTTCATTGATGCAATTAGACCGGTGATGAAGTGGCGCTTCGCTGTCGTGGGAATAGCTCACCTTGTCTTGAGGCTCGAATCCTCGACGAGGGGGGCTGCGTTCGCCAACGGCTGAAAGTAGTTCTGAGGTCTGGGTGCGAGGACGAGTGCATCAGAGCAGCTGTGACTGTGGGGGGGAGCACAAATCAAGAGTTAGCAAAGCCATTGAAATTGGTGAAGAAAGATGGAGATACCGAGCAAATACCGAAAGATTGGATCGGAGTATTGCATGGTAGAGATCCACGCACCGTGTGGTGGCGTGTATATGTCACAAGGAGAAGAAGCTGCATCCGGTCGGTGACAGCCTGTCTGGTATAGACGAGGAAGAGCACGGGAGATTTGATGAGTGGAGATTAAGCATCGAGAAAAACCGGTCATAGCGAGGAGGAAGAATGAAGACGACGAGAGAAGTGGAAGAGGATTGGCAGAACGAAAGAGAACAGAGGGCAGATGGGATTGTTATCTGCGCTGCTCCTCCCTTCGCACTTACCCTGGACTGTTTCTATCGTGCGAAGTCATCTCTTACATGTTCCGGCAGGTGCGATTCGGATAAAATTATCAGTCGATAAGTTCAACAAAGAGAGGGCACTATCTTGCGTTACGATTGCAGGCTTCAAGCATCAGGCGAGAGGTGAGAGGTAAGATAGTGCCTTGGGACCTGTAAATTTGCAAAATTTCCATTCAATCTCGAAATACATTTGTATTACTACCTGTTGATGTGGGAGCCCAGCACACGGCAGTGTCTGCATTCTTGCAATTCTGTCCACAGAAAACAGACACAAAATGATTGAAAACCGAGCAGATTTTCCTTAGCAGTAGTCCTCGAGCAGCGCATTCCACTAACTTCTTGCCCAGGATCAATCCAGCACAGCCAATGACGACACATTGGAGGACTACATGCATGAGTGAATGTGCTACGATGACTTTACATAACCGACCAGGCCGCATCACGTGTGGAAATGGGGTATGTGGCGTTGCTGGTAAACTTGATGTTTGAGACTTCACTTGAATCAAGATAGCGATAATATTATAAAACCTGCATCGATAGTTTTGTCACAGTACTCGTGTTGCGTACAATTCATCGCAATCTCATCAGGTGCGTTCAGCTATTTGAACAATGCCTCACCAGTATCATGAAAATCACGGAACCTGTCTTCTGTCCAGGGCTTGTAGTCTCTATCATGTATTTGTACCCTCAGTGTCTGTGTCGCATAAGATCCAGATAAATTGCATGCAATACAAGTCTTATTGAAAACCTCGTAGCTGATGCCATATTGTTTCCGTCCTGAGCTACAGCGCTATTTCCTAATCATCGTCATCTGGCTCAAGAAGCACAGCGAGAAATTTGATAAACTCTTATGCGCATGTATTAGTGAAAAGTGTTATGTATGATCTTCCGAAGGGGGCTAGTTTATACCTCGATATGTAAGCTTTCCATCATTGTCTCCATCAAACTCCTTGAGCAACTTCGTTGCTTCAGATTCACTGAAATCTTTCACGATTTTATTGATAGACTTGTACAGCTCGTCCGCCGAGACAACTCCTGTGATCAGTGAGTATCGTTGCGGAAGTCAACGAATCGAGGTTGGAATCTCTGCATGAGCGCAGCGGTGTTACAGCTTACCGCTGTTGTCGGTGTCCTATACATCTGGTCAAAAAGGCGGAGAGAAAGAGGAAGCAGAATACATACCACGTCATCAAACACTTCATCCACGCTCTGGAGTGTGTTCCATGTGAAGGGCACAAAGAACTTTGGTCTCGTCATTGGGTCTTTGGATGTTCAAGTGGAGCTTGTGATGGTTGTGTATGCCGACTGCGAGCGTTCTATATTCGATATTGTATGTCTTCTCCTTGACTGTATGCTGGTTGAGGGAGGGGGTAATCGGCCTTTTATCCATGTTTTCACCGCCTTTTCTATTCTCTCGTGTGGTTGAGGACCGGTGGGATGGAATCATACTTCCCGATGCTGGTTATTCCGTGTATCGCCGCACTGGAGAGGGGCCGCCCAAAGATTAGGTTCGGCCTAAGCGATGTGTCCAATTGACACAACTGTAGCCATCACCATACAAAGTTTCGTCGTTGACATGTTTTCGTTGGTTACGTATGGCCTTTGTCGCGCACCTCGTTATTAGCGACTGAAACTGTGAGCCTGGAGTATGATTGGTTTGAGATTTTCTTTTTTACGGAAGAACCACGACTTGGCGCATACCGCATGAGTGACGTGTTGAATAGCAGAATGAATATTGGTGATAAGATGCTATAGTATTTGTCATTTCAAAATTTGCTAGGTATGTCGGTTATCGGTGTAGCTAGTTTGATGCCAGAATCTTGAGCGTATCAATGGAACAAGGGCGAGCACTGCCAAGCAGCAAGAAGAGTGATTGTAATACGTGGCAGAAGCTGGTCTTCTAGCTGCTGAAGTTGATGAATCTGTTGGTCCCGCAAAGAACTCTACCGTTGCTGGTACGTGGACTTTGAATCGGAATGGAAAAGAGGGAAGGGGAGGGCAAGTTCATTCACTCGTCTCTTGCCACGAGTGTTTGTCGGCATGATTGATCCGCACTAGCTTTGATCTTGGTCAGCAGATAACTTTCTCCTATCACAGAGGAAGAGAGTGATGGAATGCAAATCTCTAACAACCCGGTGCGATATTCATGAGCTCAGCTGATGATGGCGCAGAAGCCTAATGAGGCTAGATATCCTGTGTCAGATCAGGGTTTACTGCGGAAAGCAGATTGAGCTTCCCAGTTAGTCATCGTGGAAACACTCTAGAACATTTTGTCCCAGGGGCATCGATGTAGACATTGCGTACTTCAAGACTCGTGTGCTGGTAGAGTGAGGTAGAGTGTATCAACATGAGGTAAATCACGGACAGTTTTTGATGTCTTCTCTAAAGTCTTCATCATTGAACCATCACCTATGCAGTTTATCTTATGGTAGACTTGGCTGGTTTATTTTTGGGCGCAAACTGTGAATGACTCGGTAGTCGCAGTGTGGCGATGATTGAATCTGACGCGATTGGTGTTGAAACGCAAAAATGAGTTCCGAATTGATGTACGAAGCAACCGAGCAATGACATAAATCGTATATTACAATCGTACAATAGATATGCAAAATCTTAGCGCCGGTGGAAAATGGATTTGAAGTTGGTGAGAGCGGCGTAGTTAGCAGCATAGTCTAATGATTGGCCGTGATGGGTACTTGACAGGCTAGCGTGGGCCGCAGCTATAAGACCATCAGCTGAAAACAAACATCGAGGTATAGGGTACATAGAGAACTTAACTCCGGCTTACCCAATATCTTGGTTGCTGCGGATCAAGGGTTTTGAAAGCACAGATTACGCCCCCACTGGATCAGACCCATGCGAATCTGCATTGACATTACTGGCTCTGTCCGAGCAAAACCGTCTAATCTTTACTCCGGATCCCGCCGCTGCAGCCGTGCCACCAACAAATTATGCGCACCAAATCGAGTCATGGAGGCTCTTACTGCCCTATCACACCCCTGGTAAGATTCGAAAGATGCACTTGGAGGAGTCTTAAGCTAATGGCGCTGAGGCTGCGCGCGAACGTAGGCAAATGGTACTCGGTTTTTTACGTAGCCAACAATTTGGGAGCGCCAGGGATACAGATGTTCGAATGGACGCAACTTTGGAAAGCGACCGAATAATCCGGCTCATTGTTCTGCCATCTATTACTTCTTGTCGATCTACGAATGCGCGGCATAGTTCGTCCTTCGATTCCACTTTAGGACGTACGGCGTAGTGATTCTCACCATCTTCCAGATTCTCAGCCCTGTGTCTCACAAATAGACTCTTGAGCATGCGGCGTAGGAGTCCCTCTGAATGTCCCAAAGAAGCTCAGCATGATATATTCAAGCATATGAGTGTCGCGCCAAGGGCCTCAACACAACATGCTCAAGTATATAAATGCCAGGAAAACCCGTCCAATTCAAAATCAAACACTCACATCAACACAACATTCACCAATCTTTACTTCTTATTCTTCAAATCATCCACCGACTCTCCCCAGTCTTTACATCCGATAGTCTATATATCTACCATTTCTCTATCAACAAGATGCAGCCTTCCACCCTCCTTTTGCTCGCTCCTGCCCTCGTCTCGGCCGCAGTCTATCCTCGTGTTCCTGGACAATGGACCGTCACCTGCGCCAGTCCAGTTCGCACGCTGAACGCCGATTACATTGGTGAAGCGCGTAACGCCTTCATCAGCGCCTTCACCACCGACGAGGAACACAAGATGAAAGATAAATCAGTAGAGGTAATCAACCCAAGTACCACCTTCGGGGCTTTTTCTTGCATCTTTGCATCAAAGATACATACATGCATAATGAGCTAACACGATTGTTTAACGCATAGAAAATCGTTGGCAATGTCAAGTTGTACCTCTGCAACTACCAGGGCAACGAACCCGCGACTGGTCAGAAGGCTGGTGTTGTCATCAACCAACAAAAGGTCGATGCTTGGATGGATGAGATCGACAAGAAGTGCGGAAAATACAACATCGGACATGTCAATGCCGATGTCGCTCAGGGCAACTTTGGACGTACTTGGGATCTTGCTAAGATTTGCTAAAGTGGTCTTCGGGAGTTATCAGGTAGCGGGTGCTTGAGAGGGAGAGCGGACGCGCTTTTGTCCTCTGTTGTGGGTGGATAGTCGTTTTTTCTTGGATTCTTTGTCTCTCATCCATTTTGTTACTCCATTGATCTTGATTTTATAGAATTTTGTCGCTTCTTTTGATACAGACTGAATGACCCAGCGCTATTCAATCTGTACGAAATACCATACAATTTGCATTCACAATTCCGATTATGGCGTGCACGAAGCTTTCGCAATAGCAATATTTCCCTGCCCTCTGCGTTCCATTAGGCACTCTTTTCGTGTTTGCGCGAAGCGGTAGGTCGGACTGTGCGACAGATGGCGAGACGTATACTACGTAGTCGCCGACATCGAGTAATGTAGAGTAAATCGAGAGACCGGAGCGGAAGTATTGAAGAAAGTACAGGTGGTGCCTGTGTCGGCGAACTGCCTTTTTTTATTAAGTTATTGTGATATCTATCTGTGAAGTTCAACGGTACTGTTGGATAGAGCTTCACCACTGTCAAGCGTGGGAGGATTGTACGAACAAGCTGCAATGTAATGTACAAAAGAGAAAATCTCGAAGGTATGAAAAAGATGGGTTGCTTATCGGCCTTCCTGTTCTAGAGCGGGGTCTTACTCGGCAATTAGTCTCTACATAAGGCGCAGCAAATACGTACCTATTCATCTTTCCTCATGAAACCACTCTTTGCATGAATACTACGATTTTTTCAGCATACAAAGGATGGCTTCGAATGTAAGACGTATCCATGATGGGTAACAATGACGTGAATTGACTCCAGGCAGAACGAACCGTATCCGATCTCCCCACTACAAACCCCTGCAAGGCCAAAAGCCTACAACATCCTTGTATTTCACAACCGTGATCCTGAAAATGCTGCTATCTCATTCTTGAACCAGGTGAGTTAGAGGTAGATGGCATAATATTTTGAGTCTGACGCTTCAATCTAGCTTGATGGGACACCCTCTATGTTCCTAGATCCGACCTTCGACGGATTACACCGTATGCAATACATTCTCGATAATCAAACGACATTGCTAGACTTTATGGATGTTCAGAATGATCAGTCATATCCGGGTCTCACAGAGCAACTCATCAGAGATAGGCATGGCTTCATATTTTTTTATAGTGTGGCTTCGAGATCGGACTTTGACCACATCAAAGTACTCCACGAGCAGATTTTGGCGGTGAAAAGCATCGCTTCAGTTCCAGCTATTATTATTGGTTATGGCGGACCTAGGGTTTCAGAGCGCAGGGTCACTACTGAAGAAGGCAAGACTCTTGCGGAAGAACTTCAATGTCCGTTTGTGGAGATGGGTAGGCTGCAGAAAAACGAGGATGTGTTTCATAAGTTGATACATGAGCTCTGGAAGCTAGAGGAAAAGCCATCGCCAAATATCGAGAAGTCGGCGGAGCCCCGTGAGAAACCAAAAAGGTCATTCCGACAGCGAATTGGACAGATATGGAGATGACAAGAATACGCTTAGACATAGCCAGCTTGCAGGGAGAGACATTTCATTGGAAGCTTCATATTGATCAGGCTTCCCTTTATTTCTGTCACTGTATCTCCACGCTTACCAACGGAAATGTATTGAGCCATTCCATCGCCGCAGGATCATCAATGTGTCTGATATTCCACCGAAACATACCGTGTCTTTCATACCGACGAACCGGATATCCTTCCTGATCAGGCAGTTCAACAATAACAAGACCAAACATCCTATGCCTATACGAGTCATGGATCTTGAACGCTGGTAAGATATGCACGGGCATATCCAGCAGTGCCCGACTGAATCCTTGGCTCGAATGGCTGCAATCCATGTAAAGTTCGAACCCGGAAAGCCATGACGGAGGGGCAGAAGCTGTCCATTTGAGCGCGTATGAAATTGACCCTTTTTTTCCGAGAATTTGAACCTCAATTCGAGGGATCAAGCCGGTTATATCAAGGACAGCTGCGTATACCGCTCCAAAGGGCGCTGTCTCTTCGACTAGAAGCTTGTCTGTGGATTTGACTTTCCAGAAACATGTAGTGTTTTCGAGATTGATGCTAGAGGACTTCAAGTACGGACGCGCGCCGCGTGGAACGCTAGTCCACGCCCATGTAGGCGCGAACCTGTGATCGGATTTAGTGATGAGGATGTGTATTCGCGATGAAAGTGATAGCACATACCAGTCTGGGTCTCCGTAGGCTTGATTATACTCTCTGTAAAAACCCAGGTTGGTGCTCAAAGCATGATCGTTCACATACCAAATTAAGTCCAGCGATCGACTGTCTAACCAATGACCTGCGATGAGATGAGATCAGCAAAGTCAGACAGCATATGATTATCAGCATTCAAGGATTGTATGGAATGTTCCAATTCTCGATGCATGGAACGCCACATACCAGCAACATATTGCTTGCCTACAATGAACGGCGCCAACCTCGAAGCAACTCCGGAGATAGCGGGAACCTTGTCTGAATTCTCCGTAATGTCGCGCAATGAATAATTGTCTCTGATCAACTCCCAGAGTTTTTCGCATTCCTCAGCGCTCTCGAAGTGAGATGGGAATAGTGGGACTGGTAATTTATCACCTAGCTCTCTGGACGATTGGGCGTTATCCCATCCATCTGTTTGACCGGGGTATGTGGAGGCTCTGCTTGATGTCGAGCGACAGAGAAATTGTAATTGGCCATAGCGGTATTGAAGAACACGCGTCGATAGAACGTGTTCTTGCAAAGCCCTGCAAGCATTCCCGCCTTGTCAGTTGTGATTCAATGGGCATGGCGGCGATCATGGGTATTGAACATACCAGGCGCGACTATCCAAGGGATTGATATCAGTCTCCTTGGTACCGCTAGAGCTCAGTAGCCCTACTTCCCGGCTTGTGTTATCGGGATACTGCAATGACAAACCCGTGATGGCTTCGGACTCCTCAAAACGGCTGTGCAGAAATCCTTGTTTTGCGGTTTGAGCGCTTGTTCTGATAATGGATATTTGGTAGTCAGCGTTTCGAGTACATCCGCCAGGCTCGGTAATGAAATAGGCCATTACTTACGCTGCGATCGTTGCGACTGCACCACTATAGATATCTGGCATCTTTGCAATTTCCTTGTGGAATTCTGTCTCGTCATCCTGCACGATACATAGAGAGTCTATCCAGAGATATGTATATCCCAATCTCGCAGTGACATGTATCGCGTCTTGGATTGTGCGCGGCATCAGATCGTACTGCAGATCACTGACACCTCCATGCGCAAGCTGGGACTTGGTCAGCTTGTGCTCCTGCACGCCACCCCAGCAATAACTTAGGGTGAGGTAAGCTGGGTCGCGTTCTTCTTTGAAGCTTTCTGTTCTCACGAGAATGATTCGATAGGTTTCTGCTTTTGTTATGTGCAGAAGGCGAAGCGGTAATATAGCTTTGCGCTGACTACGGTCTATATCGTGTTCATGTGTTTCAGTGCATTCTCTTATCCATTTTTTAGCAAGTTGATATGTATCGAGAGAGTCAGGATCAAGATTCATTGCTCGTCTGCCCGGGAAATGATAGCGCTCGTCGTTTAAATGTCGATCTGTCGAATTTAGCGGTTTTCTAGAAACTACACAACAATAGAGTTTACATTGAGCCCATGTTCCGTCCCCATGCATGTCGTATAAGACGCGTTGGATGTTTGCATCTTTCCAGGGGAATACCCGCGAGCTTGGTGCTCCTTGAGGCTGTAACCATAATTTCAAGCTCCAGGATCTTGTTGACCAGTGAAATCTCCAAGCTTGATGTAAGACGATCGCGCGTGAAGAGTTGAAGCCGATTGCAGGTGCGACGTACCACCTCACTATGGATTGGAGCGATGTAGCGCGTGAGGTGGATACAAATCCGAGGAAGAGCTCACAGCGATCGCTGATGCCTTGTCTGACATCCTTGACAGACAGGTCGGTCGCTGTTGAATAAACTTCCTTCACTTCTTCGTAATCCCTATGGAAGTCCGGGGCTTTTAGCAAGATTTTTCGACAGTGTTTGCATGAATGCGTCTTCATAACAAATAGCAGTGGATGAATGAGGTGTGATGGTTTTTACGAGCGAACATGGATCTGCTGCTTGGCGTGAGTGCAGCCTGACAAGCGCATTGGCCCCTTGCTCGTAGGTGACAGTAAGCCGCAGGGTTCGTATACATTTCTGAGGGAGCCGCGCTTGCAGCTAGAAGTATGATTAACGAAACCGTTGCTTGTCGCAAACCGTCAGATGCGCTGTACGGGATGCTTAATCGCTGGTCGCGTTGCTCAACCATCATATGAGTTGCAGGTTAGAAATCTCACCATCATCCAATCGCAAGAAATTGTAGTCTCGCAGAAGCGCGGTATGCGCACAATTCGTCGTAGAACAAGTGGGTATCCGAAGACCGCCCCAAGACCCTTTGCATGACACCGTTCGTCGATCCCTACTTCGAAATTGTGTTTTGGACGTGTGATGTTCCGCAGACTAGAAAGAATGCAAGATTTTTTCTACCTAGGTGAAAATGATAGTTCTCGACAAAAACAATAGTGGATGGGGAGTACACGAAGATATGAGTTTGGGGATTTTTGCCCTGCGATCATTCAAACCCTATCGAAGAACCCATTTCCTATCAGTCAGACACCGCTCAAATCAGGTAAGAAATCCTATCCTGCACCGGAGTCGAACCAAGTGATCATTTCCTTGCTTTCGCTGTTTGAGTCCGTATCACCATTCCTCTGCATCGCTGCAGCCCTTCCTCCAGCTTCGCAATGTCATCGTCATATAGACTCACGACCTTTCCCCAGAAACTTGTTGCTTCCTCAGTCATCGCCTTAGAAAGGTTATACCGGACGTAGTAGATTGGGTGATGATAGATCGCTTGCGCTTTCAATCGAGGATCTGCTCCATTTTCCAGCAGTAGTTCGATGACAGGCAAATAACTTGCACTTTGACACCGTGAGTCATGTGAACATTGTTGAAACAAGCACCCAATGGTCGCTCATTTTTATAAACCAAGATTGGCTCGTCGTCGAGCGCGTTGACGTCAGCGCCTTTGGCGATTGCAGTGCGCATCGTGGCTAGCTTATCTGCGATTGGGTGCGCACTAAGAGGTTTGCGGAACAGGGGAGGGTTTTGGTGATGTATTTTCCAACCCAACGATGCGCTTTTGATTGATTTGGAAATCACCTTTTGCGTATTCTTATTGATAGTGCTACATGGTTTGTATCAGCCCAGTCCCTTGACATTAGGAATCCGCGCGCTAGCGTAGGTTTCTTGACGAAGTCCGTACTCACCTACACACGCAAGATTAGTCCACCACGTGCGACCCCTGCCGTCAAATTACAATAAAATACCCGTGAATCCATTGCACTAGACTCTACGGGAAAATATTCCCCAATTGGGAACAAAGAGTACGTTGGGGGGCTGGTAGTCTGAGATACGAATCTGCTATACGAATCAACGCAATTTTGGGGGCCGCTTCGCGACAAGCCAATGGTGTGCATCATCAACGGGTCGCCCAGCCGGTCTTGTGCCGCTATCTAGATATTCAGGTTGTCTAGTCAAGATTGCAATCACGATTGGGTTAAGTGCAACCGTTGCGATTAGCTGTGAATACAGACTGAACCCGCAATCCAGATGTCATCGACTAGCAGCAAGGTGCCAGAGTCTAAAGAGGCAAGTAACATAGATACATATGTACATATGTATACATACTCGAAAAGGCACATAGTACTTTGTATGCTGATCCTTGGTGGTCATGAACGCTTGGTTTGCGGATTTCAATCTTGCTTCAGAGATGTTGCAGTGATCATTGAATCCATAACGCTCGTGAACATGCTTTTCTACATGCTCAAAGCATATTACCAACTCAGGTGAAAGGCGTTGCTTACTATCATAATCGGGTTAAGTCATTGCGGAAAGTTGCATATTGCGGTCTCCGAATAAACAGCCCCATGATAGCAAATCGCGCGAAAATCAGCGGGGGCTGAATCATGTAATTGGAAACATGGCACATGATCTTGTGGCCATCTCGAAAGTAGATGAAGTCACACAAATAAATCGTGTTCTGAAACGGATCTACTGCCCATAGTTTAGTGACATGAATATGTCACTGTAGGATCTGGCCGAAATGCAAGGACTGGTATGTCACCGTACGTCGTCGGTTTGTCTTTTGAATACGGGCTACGCGATCTACACCAGAATCTGCAGACTGGAAAATCTGATCCTCGGTATGGAAATGAAAGTATGACTATATCAGTTCTCATTTACTATTTCTAGCAAGGTGGCAGTTGATATAGCCTCAGCCGGGCCGTTTCATAATGTAAGATTTAGACTGTATCATATTATCACTAGAATTGAAACGTAGTATCACTTGTGCACGTGAATTTACATGTGTTCAAGGCATGTAGGGAGTTCATTGTGCCCTCATACTCGAGGCGTTGGTGCACTATGGAGCGGCGATGGATAATGTCAATTCTAGAGTGAACTAAAGTAGGACAATGCTATTCTAGCTGGGGTCAAATGACTACGGTTAGTATCTTGAGTACTTGGCGAATAGGATATGGTATATGCATAGTTTTCAGCTGCGCTGGAAATGTCGTTCCTCAAGGATTCCGGACTTCGATGTAGGCACGTCTCGTTTTTGGTCACTTTGGCGTATGGGGCCTACATAACTTTGAACTTATATCTATGCGGCGCAATTTCTTCCAGTCTACTTCGCTCTTCCCATCTCCTTCATCCACTCATTTATTCTCGAACAAGCTCCATACTTTCGTTCCGGAAATCATTTTACAATTTATTTCATCCTGTTGAAGAGTTTTCTTTCCCGGGTCGTGTTCAATTCTATTCCTCAATACGGTATTAGACGCCTCTAATATGATATTTGGCTACAATATCGGCCTCACGGCCCTAAGCTCTTTGCTTTATCTAGCCAAACCTGCGGCTGCCGAAGACTGCCTCGATGCTCCAGGAGTACCTGGTACTGTTATCGGCATTCCTTTCACCGAAGACAGAAAGCAGATGTACGCTTGTGATACAAAATGGAAGGTATGAGCTTACCACTATTCACAACCATCATGAACGTGGCTAATACTATTGCAGGATGGTTTAGTGGTATCCGGATTGGAAGTATGGTCCTCTGCGTTTGAAGTCAAAGGCATTCGCGTAATCTACTCTGATGGCTCTCGATCTCCAATCCGTGGCCAAACTGATCGTCTGAACACATGGGGCTCCAAGATCAGCGGCAAGCCTGGCCCGCCCCCCGAAAAAGGCTATGGATGGGACAAGATTGAGTGGGGTACCTCGAAGATTGAGAAAATCAGGTTCTGGGGTGACTACAACTGGGGAAAGGGTCCAAAAGCTGTTGGCAGAATCCAGGTTTGGCCTCAGGGCGCTGAGACGGATAAGAACAAGATTCTCGACGTTGGCAGCGATGTCGGCGACGATTCAGGGGGTTTCCGCCTTGACAATCTCGGCAGTGGTGTACTCATTGGTATTCGGTCAATATCTGGTGGGCATTTGGAATCCTTGGAGTTCATCTTCATGGACGGTCAGGTAAGGAGCGCAAAGATCGTGAAGATCGACTGGCCTGAAAGTATTGAAGAGTTGAACAAAAAGCAAGAGTAAGTACTTCAGGCCAAAAACACTGACGATATAAAGGCTGATAGCACCGAAGCAATATTGACAAAATCGTCGTCGAAGATTCTTGGATCAAGAACTCCAATCCCATCAACGGATCTGATCAGAACTGGTCATTCGGCAGCGGGAAAACTTTGACGCAAACACGGACCGTGACCGAACAGAAAACGGAGATTGTTGGTGGCGATGTTTCCGTTTCAGTTTCAGCTGAAGTAGAGTTCCCGATGATTGTGAAGGTCTCAACTTCTGTCTCTACAGGAGCCCATTGGGAGACACAGTCCATGCAGTCAACAACCAATTCGGACTCTGCAGCATACCCAATGACCATTACACAGAGTAGTACTTTGAACGGTCCGCTTAAACCACAAACTGCCATTCATTGCACAGTACACACTTACAACAGTAATTATAAGACGGATTTCGTGTCCACTGTTCAGTACGTACATCCCAAGGACCAAGCCACCTTCCACGATATCATTTTGTATTGGGACATGTTGTTCCGAGCTGTACTGACATGCGTTTCGCGACTCTAGACTCACGATGTCTACCGGAAAGACATACGAAATTCAACAACCCGGCCAGCTCGCCTCTGTGCTATACACCAGCTCCGTCCAAGACTGTAAAACTGTGCCACTCAAGGATGTCCCTAATATCGGCGCTGTCCCCGAGGGCACCGATGTTTCGAAGACAGATTCCGACGCCCCTAATCCATCTGCCAAAACCACGAAACGTTCCGTGACCTTCAATGGATAGGCATTTTCAAGATTTGAGACAACATCCGTGCACGACAATTCGTCGATTCCTACGACGCGTTCCTGACAATCCCAATTTATCACGGCCCGAGCCTTTTTGTATAATTATCACTTGATCGGTACCAACATCAGACCTAGAAGTGCTCGTATCATAACAGGGGTTGGATGAGGAACAGAGCCCAAGAAACTTTATGGCCGCTTTGCCTCACTATTGGTCTATTTTGTCAATCAACTATTGAATATTTGAGATTATCTCAGCTTCAGTCAAACCTGGTAGACATACACCACTTACTAATAGACACTCGCTTACAAAACTCACGTGATTTTATTGTGAACTCCGCGTCCCATTACACGCTTGCTTTGCGCTTTCTGTTCTGTCCCACGCCTAATCTATTCACGCCACATCATGCATTGAGTGTTTATATTGTTAGCGAGCTTGTACACACAGAGTGAAGATCAATAAGTGGCTAAATAACGCAAAATGCAGTTATATTGGTCTTTACTGGTAAAAGCAAAGGCCCCGAAAGATGCAAAAATATTGCAATCATAAACTAGCTGCGACTGGTTTCGATCCAGTGTCCTCCGGGTTATGAGCCCGGCGCGCTTCCGCTGCGCCACGCAGCTTTTTCTTACTAAGCAATTGTTGCAGGTTTTCTAATTCACATGCTCATATAGGGCACTTGTGTTTAGAGGTAAATTGTTCGACCACGAGACGTCTGAAGCCTATGTGTGGATACACTCCCTGTGTGGGCCTATTCGCGACCCGAAAAAAACTTTTTTACGTGGCACCGTGGTAGTACAACTACCTAGCGCGCCGGTTGCTTCAGCCACTACACCTATCGATTTGAAATTTCGCCCTTCACGCGATTTCTGAAGGAAATTAAAAAAAAAGAATAGAAAATGTGCACCTTAATTCAATAATAGCGAGAAGCAGGAGATTACGCTGGACGCGTAATCCCTATCGAGACAAATCAGGACAATATCGCGTCCCACACTCTCCTGTGACTTCAAAATTTCCTCGTTCTCTCTTGAATAGCCATATATTTTGTGCGCAGTCAACGTTTCTCCCCCACCTTTATTTCACATGAAGATGAAAGTGTCACTTGATTAATTATGAGATAGTTGAGCTGGTGCTGCATCTCAGTGCGACGAATCACGACTCCAGAAGAAACCTGCGCAGGTTTGAGGTCTGTGTACCAGAATTCCAAGGCATGGTTGTGAGAAATAGACCAATGTGGCACTTATCAGATCTTGTAGTCAAAACTGATTTGTTACCAATTGGAGTGATGCTTGAAAGTTCGTGTATGACACCGTGCGCATAAACCGCAGATCTCCGCGTCTTAGTAGGAACGTCCCACCAAAAACGATATCTGATCATCGCACAGTGTTCCACCGAAAACATTGCAATCAAACTCATTGGGTGGTATTCCTGGGTTTTGGAACCATCTAATCTCATCGCATGCTATTCAAGAGCTCTAAGGCTGATATTCTACCCCCGCATGCGACCTGCCTTCACTTTCACTTTAGTGACCACGCCGTCCTGATCTTGATATATAGCGTTCACATCTCAATTCTCCTTTGAAAAGAGTTTCATGCCATATATGCCGTACCAGTATCGATGGAGAATTACCTTTGTGGGCGTTGCAAGCTACTCAGCTTCGACGATCGCGCTCTTGGGGGAAAAGAGATAGTAGACGAGGAAGGCAATGCGCGTCTGTCTTTCCCGAACCATGTCATCGAACTGCGCCCGCTTGATCTGAATGATCAAACCACAATCGAAATGGACGACTACATTGATTATCGGCTGGTACGTCTCGATTGGCACGTGGATGACGTCTTGCCTGGTTTGCCACTTCTGGTACAGTCTGCACAGCATGGCTGCGAATTCTGCAACGCTCTACATTTTACATTGGAAACAAGTCTGGCGCGAGAAGCGAAAACTCTCATTGTATACGATGGGCCTTTGACCCTCACAGGATATCTCTCAGTCATGGAGAAAGGGATTGGGATTGAAGGAATTGTGATAGAGGCTACATTCAATCAGAATGAAGGTATACTCGGAGTCATTCCCATGTTTTTTCCCGTCGAAGCCAGTGCCAGTAAGTTAACAATTCATCTCTATTCACGTGTACTGACGATAAAAACAGAGTGTGTAAAGTGGTTTGGGGCTGAGCCTGCGCGTGAAGTCCCTTACTTGAGCCCGGGCAACGTCCAGGAAATGCGTCGGATACTCTCAGAATGCACTAAATCATGCCATCCATGGACCTCATCACCAACCCTTCCAACAAGACTGATTGATGTGGGAAGAGATTCCTGCACAGTTCCTCGTCTGATCTTGTCCTCTGATTTATTTGACCCCAAAGACACGAAATATGCGGCTCTGAGCTACTGTTGGGGAAGCGCGGAAGATGCTGAAACGCAGCTGACGACCATGAAAGCTACCCTTCAAGACAGATGCAGAAGCATTCCATACGAGTTGATGACGCCTGCTATCAGAGACGTAATTGAAATCACAAGAGCAATTGGTCTTCGTTACGTCTGGGTAGATGCTGTGTGCATTGTGCAAGACGACAAAAACGACTGGTTCGTGTAGTCTCATCGTTGAAACTTTCCCTTGGCGGGGCAACACTTGAGAGCTTTTATTCAAGGTCTAATGTCCTTTAAATCCAATACACTAACAATCAATGGCTCTAGGTCCCACGAGTCAAGTCGAATGAACCAAGTTTATCGTCACGCATTTGTCACCTTCTGTAGTCTCAATTCACAGTCCTGCCACGAATCGCTGCTACAAAGGATTGCTGCATTGAGAATACCATTCACATCTAGCTTGAAACTGGGCGTGAATGACTACTACCTAATACGACTCCAAGCAGTGAGCAGTGAAATGGTAGACCGTCGCCGGTACACATTGGAACGAATGTGGTCTAGATGGACGAAACGAGCCTGGACATACCAAGAAGAAGCGCTTTCCACCCGACTGCTTGTCTTTGGATGTTTGAAATTGCGCTATAGATGCGGAAGCCACGAATGGACAGAGGGCGACGCTAGTTTGACGCAAATTTCCGAATCCAACGTCAAGTTGCTTGAAAAAATTTCCCAAGCCAAGCAAGGGGATCTTCCAACGAGTGAACTTTATGATCGGTGGCTCATCACAGTTCATCAATACACCAATCGCAAAGTAACTCTAGGGAAGGATCGTTTGCCGGCTATATCGGGATTGGCGCGCATCATGAGCGATTCATTGAACGATGTTTATCTTGCTGGAGTCTGGCAAAGTGATATACACCGCGGTTTGTGTTGGACCGGTGTTAACGAGTCGGCCTCGCGCAGCCTCCAAAGCCACTTGGAATATATAAGACGCAGAGATTATGTTGCGCCCTCTTGGTCATGGGCGTCGGGGGCTCGTTCCTTAATGTGCACCCGTCAGCAAGCTACGCCCGAGTCCACGATCTTGGACGTCAGTGTTGATGTTGACTCACATAACCCGTTCGGCCAGGTGTCAGGAGGCTATCTTCGTGTCCGCGGCAATCTCGCTCCCATACCAGAAATCCTACTTCCGCGAAAGCTCGGAGAGACATGGGGTGAAGTATGGTCACACGATTCTGACGAAAGTAGTACAAGCAGTATCAATGTCGGACTCGATTGGGTTAGCGGGGGGAGTGAAGAAGGGTTGGGAAGGCTGTTAATGTTTCGTCTTCTACAAGCTCCTGATAATGAAGATCGAACCTGTCCACAGCTATTTGCTCTACTGCTTCATCCTACAGGAAATTCAGAACAGTTTTACAAAGTAGGATTGGTTTCCTCAAGTGGGCACACTGGGTACGAAATGATGAAAAGCTGGTTCACCAATGCCGCCATTGAAACGATATGTATAGTTTGATAATGAGTTAGAGTTGCAGGACACATATGAACTCGAAAGAATATTTTGTGATTTTGATTGTCTTGAGAGGACGCAGGTATCGGTAGGGGGAATGATGAGGCATTTCTTTAGCCGTTTAGGGACCACACCACTGCAGCACTTGACCTCATAGCAATCAGACAATGGAGCAAAATATTGGTGGAATCTCGTGTTTTTTTTTTTTTTTTTTTTTTTTTTTTTTTTTTTTCGAAAATCACTCTTTGAAACTTAAATTATACTGAGATTGCGCTAACTTTCACATCTGATTTCGTTCATTATTTTACGCAGTGAAGTTTTTCATTAGACTGATCAGTCGTTGTACTGATGAACCACTCTGAAAATTGAATGTCTGTTCAAGCTACCCAGAGGTTCTGGGATCGTGCAGTGCAGCGAGCCTTCGATAGAGGAGCAGTACGTCATACCCTTTCCTCCTAAAGAGGTCACCCATGCGATTCTCAGAACCGTCAAAGCGCGGTGACACGACGTGCGCATGGTTCGAAGCAATATTACTGTAATCATAGAGGATAGATGTACCTAATCATGGGGGGTTACACGAACGTCTGCAATGTAACCTGCATAAAGACATCCTAAACTTTCATAGACCAAAATCTTATCCAGTCGGCATCATCCGTGCTGTGGAGTCTTGCAGAGCGCGAAAGACGTTTTGATTGCAAAGCCCTCACACTCTCAAGTCATGTTATCACGTCATTTTTAGGTTGATCCAAGATTGGAAACAGATGTATTCATGTGCGTAAGGAAATGACATAATCCAAAAAGCCCTTATGTTGAATAAGGTGGAGGTTGAGTCAAACTCATGAGTAAGGAAACTAATGAAACTAACAAAATACCACCCCTGTATCGAATACAAAATGTTCTGGAGAATACCGTAACCCTCAAAAGTGTTGTAGAAACTGATCGGACTGGCAGAGGCTGTTGAAGCTCTGGCTTGCGATAGATATGGTGAGACGTGGAAGATCATTCGCTACAATGACTTGTAGCGTTTGGCGTCTTCTTTTTCCAACATTAATGACTACACAGAAAATCCTTCGCTCGAGCCACGACGCTTCACGTCGTCCCAGACGGGGTGATTTATGAATTCCGGCCAAAGACGCAAAATAGTCCGGCGATGTTGACGAACTCCGGTGGGAGCTTGAAGCTGTCCTGCGAAGAGTTCATGTGCCGATGCATTGGTTCGGTGGTCAGAATTCCCATAAAGTTTTTGGATAAAATAATGACCTGAAAAGCGTGATCCATCGAAATGTTCGTCAATGAAATGATGGTAGAATCCAAAGGGGTGTATAAAATGCTGTCCCGGACAAATTGGGCACAGGACATCTAACGTCTCATGGTGGTAGCCGTGATCTGCAATAACTTTTGCGTGCGTGGTTCGACTTTGGAGAGTGTGTTCGCTCTGGATGTGGGACTTGAGCCCGAAACTTCCGTCCATCCGGGAAATCGGTATGAAATCATACCTTTCATGCTGGTGACCGAATACATCAAAGCGCTTAGAGCACCGTGGAAAGGGGCAGTACCTATATCGCCGAAGTAGACGGAATGAAGAGCTCTTTTCCGACGCCTGACTATGATGTACAACCATCTCATCTCTAGTAAGTAGTCTCCCACAGTAGCAGTCGGATGATTTGCATTCAAAGAGTTCATCCTCATCGTGACCCTGAGAGAGATGATCTCTCAACTTATCCTCACGAAGAAATGTCTTCGAGCACCCTAGACCTGGACAGAAAGTACGTTGTTGGTTGCGGTCATGAATTCGCTCATGGCGTGTCAGATCGACTCGACGTTTGAAGGGCCTGGTCGTACAGCCTTCATATTGGCATTTGAATTTTCTGTCAGAGTCGAAATCATTCGACTCTTGTGTGTTTGAATGACCCAGAGTTTCTTTACTCGAGGCTTGTTGTAACTCGATTTGCTGATTGCAAGCGTTCATGGGCTCCTTTGGGGGGGCCCGCTCCGTTAAATATCTAACGGAAACGCCCTTTCGTTAGCGTGTTTCTTTTTTTTAAACTCACCTGCCCTCAGGCAGCAGCCCCTCTGCGCCTTGATCAAAGCGCCCCCCTTGATCTGTCGCATCCCAATCAACCCAGTCCATCCAGGGTTCTTGCATGATCTCCTCTTTCAAAGCAGTCCAATCAATGTCTTCGACGCCCTCCAGACCAGGGAGCGGCGAAAGGTGATTGACGTAGTCAGACATGATTGGCGAGTGACAGCTTGGCGAAAAGGGCGTAAATGACCAGGCTGAAGAAGTCGAGATAAGATTGGCTGTAGACGAGGCAGAAGGCGAACGAGCTGAAACAATCGGTCAGACAAAAGCGGTGCGAGTAAGCGAGAATCGAGTGTTTGCGGTGCAAAAAGAGCTTTTGAAGTGCGAAGATTGGGGTGTGGAAGGGGGTGGGGGATGTGCTTGCTTTATGCTTTGGCGCTGGCGGTGGGTCTTTGAGGCTAATGGGAGGGCACCGAGACCCTTGATCACGACTGTGTCACGAATGTTGTTTTGTTGTGCGTAAGGCATGATGGCTTTTCAGTGTAAAGCAATATCTGCAACAAGCGCGAACCCCGGTATATCGTCGCCACTGCCCAAAGGATCCACGACGCCCTCCACTAACTTCAAGCTGTCAGAATTCAACGCTTTCCTAGCTCTCTTTCTTATCGCGGCCTCTTTCAAAGTGAAAGATGTAGAAATCAATGTCAGAATCTCATCCTGAAGTATCTGATCAGCCCCGAATTCTGTCCAATTGACCTCGCTATCGGAAAGCTAACAGGATATGGATAATAACTTACATATACAATATCTGGAGGCAGCATCCAGAATCCCGAAGGTAAAAGCTTATGCTCAACTCCCATGGCCTGGAGCGCATCTTCTGCAATCCACTCCGACCCCACGAGGCAGTAGAGTTGCTGGGGAGGCTCCGTGACATGTGGTAGCACGGGTACATACTTTGTATCTAAGAAGCGTGCGTGGATTGGAACAGGGCCGTGGAACCACGTCTGTCCCGTCTCTACAAATAATATCAGTATGAAAATCTCGGGCACATACTCGCAGTATGACTTCTTCGGGTTGAACTGCCTTCACACCAGCCCGATCTGTGCACAAAATAATCGAGATTGATGGGCAAAATAACTTACCAGAGCCCCTCACATAAACCGGCATCCACCCCACCTCACAAAGACTCTCAAACAACTCGCTCCGCCCATGCGCCAACGAAGGCGCCCACATGAGCGACCCAGACATGACCTGATCGTTCAACCCACTCAATTTCTCTGGTTCATCGCCCGAATTCACCACCTCTGCTGACAAAAAACCCCTCGTCGTGACTTTTTTCTCGAAGAATGATTCAATGTTGTTTTTATGCAGAGACTCGCTCACCATGCGAAGCCTTTGTTTGTCGGTAGTGTTATATGTGTTGAACATGATGTTGTAGTTGATACCCAGAGAATCGTCGTCATCGCTAGGAATGTAGTAGTCTATTAGAGCAGGTGGGGGTGGTGGGGGAGCGGGAGGAAAGAATGGAGGCGGAGGTGGCGGTGGGATTTGGTTGAACGGGTCGCTCGGGCTGTGGGGGGTCGGAGAGGTGAAGCTCAGGTACTCCTCTTGATTACCCAAATTGTTAATTCGATGGCGACAATTTAGTATAGCTGACTGAAGCTTTTCTCTTTCCTCCTCGTTTTCTGGGGCGTCGGATAGCTGGTCGAGTTTGATTTGGAGGGTTTCGAGCTGTCGACGACACCGGCGGATCGAGCGACGGATTCCGGCCTTTTCTTCCTCTTTACTGTTTGCGGGTTTCGAAGACGCTGTAGATGTTGCATCGTGTGCGAGAAATCGATATCGTTCTTCGAGAAGTTCCAGCTCCTGCGAGGGTGAATGTGCTTCACCCACGGTAATCGAGCTTTTACCATCCAGGGTCAAAAAGGTCCTTTTACGTGACTGGATCTTATATCGGTTGAGTTTTCCGATGAGCAAAACAGAGATATCCCGCAGACGCTCCTCATTCATCTTTCCAATCGTGACTTTCTTTTTCGATATTCGGTCTTCCTCAAGTAATCTCGTCTCGTACTTGTCTTCCAGCTCCTCACGCAGCTCCTTCTCTTCTTTCAACTGATTCTCATACATATGTCTTGAACTCTCAAGTTCCTCCGCAGATCTCGCTTCAGTTTCTTCACGAGCCCTTTTTGCCGCTTCGAGCAACTTCGCGGCCGCTTCTGCTGAACCCTTCATGTCAGCTGCTTGCTTTTGTAATTTAGCGTCATAATCTGCTCTCTCTGCTTTCAGGGCCGCTTCAAACATGGCCTCTCGTTTTAGTTGCTCATCCTTCTGTCCCAGTATCAGCTTCTCCAACTCATCTAGCTTCATCTCATCACCATTCTTTTTGGCCATCGCAGCAGCGTTCGCGGCTTCTTCAGCAGCTTTACGCTTTGCTACATCTTTTTCGACACGAGCCCTCTCCTGTTGGATCAAAAGCTCTTCTAAACGCGAAAACTTCGCATTCTCTGCTGATTTGCGGTCCTGCTCCTCTTTGGAACGCAGGAGCTCTTCCAACTTCTCCAATATACTATTGTCAGCGGGGTGTGGAGGAGGGGGAGGCGGAGAATTCCACTGGGGAGGAGGGGCAGGCGGAACTTCTGGTTTTGAAGTAGCCGGCTGCGGTGGAACAGCCGTTGGGGACGGGCTTGGTGGACCTGAAGAGTGGGATCACAGTGTCAGTAATTTTCGAGTTGAAATGCGCCAGTCGGTCATGCTGGTTCCCAAGTACCACGCAACTCGGCATCGCGGTTTTTCAATGGCTCGTAGAACCTACCACTCATGATTGGAGGCGGATATCCCACCGGAGGTGGGATATACCCTGGGTACGCACCATACGGCGGGTACGGTGCATATCCCATTGTATTCGGCTCACTGTTGGAGGATTTCAACATCGGCCTTCGCATCGCCGGATGCGCCTGTTGCAAGAATGACTCCGTGTCAGAATACTCTGTTTCATCTGTGAAATCACTCTCATTGCCCCCCTTCTCAGTTTCATTGTCAGCGAACAGATCGTCGTCGGGGTGCGAGATATATTCTGAAGCAATAGACTCAATCTCATCTGAGTCGAGAACTGTCCAAGCCCCTAGGATACCCTGAATAGCGGATGGAATGGTAATTTTTTGTAGTTTCTGCGTCGCAGGTATCAATGACATCTCGTCCGTAACATTTCCGTCATCTTTCTCTCCGGGTGGGGGTGGTCCGAGAAGGCGTGGCTTCTTGGGGTCCATTTCCGGCTTGAAAGATAACTGATATAGCCATGCAGCAGTTTCGGTTTTCTTTGCCGTGGTTTTGGAGTCTGAGGCTGCGTGCATCAGCTGATGGGACTGGGACGCAAGCGAATTACTCATCCCCGGGGCAAATGGATTTTCATAGGGGTATGCTCCAGCGTATGGCTGCATGCCTTGAGCAAAAGGGTTCACTGCCGGTTCGCCATTCGGGAGGTTTGGTAGCATTCTTCCGTTGTTCATGTGCGGAGGCGCAGGCAGCGGCGGCGGCGGTTGCTGCTTGAGGCTGATGATGGCCTGGCGGTTCTGCTTCATGACGGCTTCGACCAGATTTCTCAATCTCACTCCCCTAAAAGTACCGTCAACCTTAAACATCTGAATAAGTAGGAATGCAGAAGAATATGCCTACTTTTTCTCCTCCTTCTTAGGATCTCTCTTCCACATAGCCAACTGCACTGTTGAAAGCACCAACCCCAACGCACTCTTCAACGCCTCAATCCTGGCCCCCAACTCCCCAACTTTCTTATAGCTCAACACCCATTTTACCCTCGCTCGAACACCTTTCTGCCTCTTTAACATCTTCCCCACATCTTTTTGCACCTCTTTCATGCGCTCCAGAATACTTTCCGCTTCTAGCAGTAAGTGCTCTTTATAAACATCCTTACCTTCCTCGAGCACCTGCGCAAGGTTTTCCAGAATGCTGGAAAGTAGTAACATGTTGGAAGCAATATTCCGGATCTCGAGAGGTGCGTGCATGATTTTATCGCTGAGAGTGTAGACTGCATTTGAGAGCTGCGCTGTTGCGGCTGCTATGCCCACTATGCCTGCGATGAGGGAGATTGGGTCTGCCATTTTCGCATCGCATTGCCAGATAGTCAGATCACGATAATATGAGAATCAAATACAGTTCGATTATTGAAGGGGAAACAAAAACAGCGCTGCTGCTGTTGATTTTATTATCGCGTTAGGAAAAGGACATGGAAGAACTGCAGACGGAGAAAACGTGTCTGCGTGTGGGGTGCGTCTATATAAAGATCCGGACGGTATTGCTGAGCTGAGAACAACCACCTCGTATACCGGTGAGCTACTTCCCGCCGAGGCTGAACAGCCGAGAACCAGGCTTGCGAGATAGACTTATCCTCATTCTGATTAATAATTGGCATATCTCGTACACATTGAGGAAATGAAAAAGTGAACCGTCGAACTGCGTATTGTTTCATGATACAACTTCGCTCAATCAACTCAACGGCACCAACTTTGGACATTGTATTCGCCATAAACGACTGCTGCAAGTAAGGCAAAATATACAATACGCTGTCCAATAGTCAGCCTATCAACCAGAAAGAAGAATCGATAGATCGCCGATTTCACATAACACATTCCATAGTAGCACACTTCGCTCCATAGGACACGCTAGGAATGCACAATCGCTATACATGTATTTGGTTGATTTACTCTAACAGCCTCAACCGACAAACACATCCCGCATCATGGCAGGCGAAAGACGAGAGAATAATAAGAAAAGAAGGGAACCAAGACGACTCAGAAAGTATGTCTAGACTTCTCTCCCTTCCACAATCCCAACACCTCGCCCGTCTCACCAACCCACTCCCGAACGCGATTCACACTTGCTTTAGCCAGCCCCGCGTTCGTCCCGCTCCGTCCCCTCCTCTTCGTCGGCCCTGTACTCGCACCCGCGTCTACTGCACCTCCAACGCCACTTCCGCCTACATCTCCACCAAATCCGGGCGCCTTCCCTGCACTGATAAAACTGCTACCCTCGCCAGTCGCATACTCGGAGCCCATGGATGGAAGCACGTTCTCGCCGGCAGAAAGCGACACAAAGAGCGCGAAGGGGACTAGCCAGACGCAGAGCCCGAAGTAGGATGCGATTTCCGTGAAGGAGGGGATGGAGGGGTCAGGGCCGTATGTTGTATAGGAGGAGGGGTAGCGCGGGGCAGGGAGGGGCGCGGAGAAGTGGCGGAACCATGCGTAGTGGTTTATTATCACCAGAGCTGTGGAGATTCTCCGTCAGTGATCGCGGACTTTTCAGGGTATATGCAACGTGGTAGGGGTTTGGATAGAGTGGGAGGAGAGGAATCGTACCACAGGAGAGCAAAAAGAGCGGATCGGTGAGCTTCACGATTGGAAATTTGCGAAGGTTCTGCGCGTATATGAGATGCGACGCGATGCTCAGCGCGCTCAAGGTCATTGGAAAGCCATCGAAGACGAGGAGTAGGACTTGGACGGCGATGACAGCATAGATGAGTCTGGTGAGGAGCTTCTTGGCAAGCACGGTGTGTTCTTCGACAAGTTCGGATAGATAGTAGAGACCCGAGGCTGTGCGAGAGAGATAGTCGTTAGCATTTTAGGGAGTATTTGAGCTCTAGTTCGAGCAGTTTTGTGAGAGATGGGTAGGAGGCGGCGGAACTGTACTATGTCATATAAGAAGACATACCGATTGCCAGAGTCAGAAATGAAAATCCCAGTATTACACCCACATAACCGATGAGGGGTAATATCCACATGACGACTATCTCTTCTTTACAGAACAAACAATTGAATTTGTTGATTTCTTACAAACTTACGAAAAAGAAGAAGTCGAAAGCTGAAAAGTAGCTGGGAAGGGCCACGACACGCCTAAGCTCCCACGGGCGCTAAACCTAAAAGAAGATGATGAGGTCAGGGCGGAAGAGGGGTTTCCCCGAGCGCCGAGCGGGGAAAAAAGTGCTGAGGCGCCGGGGGTGGTGTCTCGAGAGATAACACCAAAAAAATCAATATCGCGAACTTTTGACGGTGGGATTCTTGGCGGGCACAATCTTTTCGAGCGCTCGCATACTACAGTCTCTACTCTTCTCATCGATAATATTCCAACTGATCAAGACTCTACCTACTATCCCCCCAACCAACCCCAATTTCCTCCCAGTCGCAAGCCCAATCCCACCAAAACCGCAATCATGTCGCGCCCCGAAGACATACTGTACGCCCGACCGACCTCTCCCAAAACACCTCCCCCAGAAACATATCCAAGCTGACCTTCCCAAAACAAAAAAGACCCCCAGACCTCTTCTACAACGACCTCGAATCCCGCAAATACACAACCTCGTCACGGATCCAAAAAATCCAATCCTCAATGACGCACCGCGCCCTCTCGCTCCTCTCGCTGACCTCCCCCTCGCTCATCCTCGACATCGGCTGCGGCTCCGGCCTCAGCGGCGAAATCCTCTCACAGACCCCGGACCAAGGCACGCCAGGCGGTCCGCATATATGGATGGGCTTCGACATCAGCAGCTCGATGCTCGGCGTGGCGCTGGAAAAGGAAGTCGAAGGGGATCTGTTCCTCGCGGACGCGGGACAGGGGGTTCCGTTCCGCGCGGGGACGTTCGACGCCGCCATCAGCATCTCGGCGATCCAGTGGCTGTGTAATGCCGAGACGTCTGAGGAATCGCCCGTGGGCAGGCTTTCGCGGTTCTTCGGCGGGCTGTATGCTAGTTTGCGGCGTGGCGGGCGGGCTGTGTGTCAGTTTTACCCCAAGAACGATGAGCAGAAGAAGATGGTTTCGCAGGCTGCTGTTAAGGCTGGGTTCGGCGCCGGCTTGTTGGAAGATGATCCTGGGACGAAGAACGCAAAGACTTATTTGGTGTTGACGGTTGGTGGAGGGGAGGTGGATGGGGATATTACGGGGGTTGTGAGGGGCATGGATGGGGTGGATGTTATGGATGGGAGGAGGAAGGGCCAGCAGAGGAAGAGGGGGGAAGAGGTGAAGGGGAGTCGGGGGTGGATTTTGAAGAAAAAGGAGCAGATGGAGAAGAAGGGGAGGGTGGTCAAAGCTACGTCAAAATATACGGGCAGGAAGAGAAGGATTCAGTTCTGATATCGTTCCTGTTCCCCCTGTTTTTTTGTTCTTGTGTAGGGTTTCCACTTGCTTTATTTTCGACATTGCCCAGGACTTTCTCCGGTCAATTCTTTACGATATCATGGCGTTACGAGACACAAAGTCCAAAAGCATAGCGCGGGGCGTTGGTGGACAACCGATGCAAAGGGTATAGAATGGATTCATGCACGCAAGCTATATACCACTAAAAATACAGCTCTATTCACACCATGCGCGGGGAGGTCTGCCTATGTACTGGTACAGATGGGGCCATAAGTTCGAGTCGTAAAAATATCACAAATGATGATGAGTGTGCAGTTCTATCCAAGTTCGCCGCCTTGCCCGCTGTCATCTGTGCTTGATTCGGCGAGAGAAAAGGTGATGGGGGGGGAGTAGCTCAAAAGGGGGGGTTGGCGGAGGGGAAACAAAAAGAAAAGATATCAATTCGCTCATGCCTTCTCCATCTCGCTCAAGATGGCGCGGGTGAATTCGTTGGTGGTGGAGTTGCCGCCCATGTCACGTGTTCGTACTTGTCTGCGAAAAAAAGTGTTAGCGCGTGCGAAAAAGTATGACAGAGCAAGTTAGGGATTCCAGATACGTACCCGTTCTCAATGACCTTGTAGACAGACTGGGAGATGCGGTTAGCATGCTCGTCAAGGCCGAGGTGACGGAGGAGCATGGCAGCAGAGAGGATCAAGGCACTGGGGTTAGCCTGGTCCTTGCCCTGGATGTCGAGACCGACGTGACGGCAGCCGGGCTCGAAGACAGCGACCTCGCGGCCCATGTTGCAGCCGGGGACGATACCGGGGCCGCCGACGAGGCCAGCGCCAATGTTGGAGAGAATACCTCCATACAAGTTGGGCATAACCATGACGTCGAACTGCTGTGGCCTAGACACGCACTGCATGGAGGCGTTGTCGACAATCATGTCGTTGTACTCGACCGAGGGGTAGTCCTCGGAGACCTTCTTGCAGGTGTTGCGGAAGAGACCGTCGGCGAGCTTCATGATGTTGGCCTTGTGGATGCAGGTGACCTTCTTGCGGTTGTTGGCGAGGGCGAAAGCGAAAGCGAACTTGGCAATGCGCTCCGACTTTGCGCGGGTAATGATCTTGAGCGACTCGACGACGCCGCTAACAGACTGGTGCTCGAGGCCCGAGTACTCGCCCTCGGTGTTCTCACGAATGATGCAGAGGTCGACGTTCTTGTGGCGGGTGTCGTAGCCGGGGATGTTCTTGATGAGGATGATGGAGGCGTAGATGTCGAGCTCCTGGCGCAGAGCGACGTTGAAGGACTGGTGACCGGAGCGCTCGACGGGGGTGTGGAGGATACCCTTGAGGCCGAGTTTGTTGCGCTTGAGCGAAGCCATGGCCTCGCGGAAGAGCGTCTCGGCGTTTTTGTCGCCCGTCTCGACACCCGACACGTTGACCTGCTCCCACTCAATGGGCACGTTGTCGGCCTTGAAGATCTCCTTGACCGACTCGGAGACCTCGGCGCCGATGCCGTCGCCGGGGATGAGGGTGACGGTGTATTTGCCGCCAAACTTGGTGGGCTTGAAGATGTCCTGGGTGACGGTGGCCAGCGATCGCGAGGCGACGGACGGGCCAGCAGCCCATCGTCGCGATGCGCCCCGCAGCAGGGTCTGGGCGGTGTGGGAGGACCTGGACAGCATCGTGGAGGGCGGTAGCAATTGAGGTGGAGGGGAGTGTGGTGGGGGGAGGAGTGGTGCGGGTGAGGAAGCTGGGGGACTCGGAGACTTGGGGATTGAAGGGCTGGTGGTGGTGGTGGTGGAGGTTGCGCGGGAAAAGCGCTGTTGCTTGCAGGCTTGGCGGGACGGGCGGGTGAAAAAGGCGCTACTAGGGATGTACCTTTGAGCCTCTTGCCCGACCAGCTACACTGCCTGCGCCAACGAACGGGGTTTCTGCATCTACGACAATACAATTCCCGTCTTCTCTATCTGGCCATCATACCAAGGGACTGCTCTACCCGTTGTCTCGCTGGAATTGATTGTGAAACACGAGTGCATTCCCGCGGGTGCGCCCAACAACATCCGTGTTTCCTCACACAATTGCCGCGGCCCAGCCAGCCAGCTCTTCCTAGTTACTCTATTCTGTGTGATACAGGTTTGGGGCTCAAATTTTTTCTCCTTCTCTCGGCAGAACCCGCGTGCCAACAGGCTCCTCTTCTGAAGCTCGGGAACCCAGTTTTGTCAGTTTGCACCCAATTGAAGATTTGTTTGATCAGATATGCCATGGTGCGCTTGCCCATACATACATAACACGAGCGACCTGCACCTTCCTCCCTGGCAGGTTACGTAAGCACACACACACGAATTCCGGCATGTGAAAGTCTTGTGTGCTTGGCAACATCCTCCTCTTGCGCCATCCATCCCTCCAAACCTTCCATCACCATAAACTCTCCTCTACCCCATCATCATCATCACCATCACCATCTCCTGCTGTGATGTGACGAGATAAACTCTCCATCCATCTTCCACCATGCCCCTCCCCACAATTACGTCTTGTGAACCACTCCCCGTCCCCTTGCGTCATTGCGATGATCCTTTTTTTTTTCTTTCATTCTGTTCACTGATCGTCCCATCAGCTGAATGCTGACCTCCATTATTCCCCACTAATCTATTCTCTGCATGTTCTCTATTCTCCAATATCAACCTATTCTCTCCATCTTCATCTTTGATTGTTCGACTGCTTGATCGTGATTGGTCTTTGTTCACGCCTCAATCGTGCAAACTGTGGCGCACGCGGAAACACCTCCGTAGGAATAGCAGACAACCACGACAATCTGCCAACCCTACTCATCTCCACCACCAGGCAGGACTGCAGTCAACCATCATCTCCGTACCAAAATGGAAGAACCGCACATCGGATTCATAGGTCTTGGGAGCGCCGGTTTCCCTCTGGCTGCCTGTCTTGCGAGAAAGGGCCGCCGTCTGTTAGTGCGCGATGCAGATCCCACCAGAGGCATCCAGTTTGTCGAACAACACCCCAGATGTAGAGTCGCTACTGCGAGCGCCGAATCCTTCTCCGAATGCGAAGTCGTCATCACAATGTTACCAAGCGATAGCGTGGTCAAACATGTGCTGTTGGGTGAACAAGGCATCGCTCCCCATTTAAGGCCAGGCACGATCCCCTGCTCACCGCTGCCATCTCGAAGCGTATCTTACCGTCAGCAGGTTCCACAATCATCGACACCAGCTCCTGTCCGCCTCTCGAAACTCGTGCGTTGGGACTGGAGCTCAGTAGGTTGAATGTAGAGCTGGTCGACTCTCCTGTCACGCAAGAGCACTTGCATGCCATCGACAGTGGGCATGCAACACTCATGGTTGGCTGCGACAATCCAGAAACTCTGGAAAAAGTCACGCCCATTCTCAACGACATGAGTGCTCATTTGTTCCCCATGGGCGGTCTGGGTACCGGCCACACGATGCAAGCCTTGAACAATTATGTCGGCGTTGGAAGTATGATCGCTCTCTGTGATGCTTTGGTCGGTCAAAATGCCCTTTTCCCACCCTGCTCATTGCTGACCCCTGCAGGTAACCGGTCGTAGGTTGGGGCTAGATCCTCACACCATGATCGAGGCCATGAATGTCGGTACGGGTGCCAACTTCCTCACAAAGTACTCCCTGAAGAACCTCGAGTCAAAAGATAGCGGATTTCAGCTCGAGCTACTAGTCAAGGACGTTAAGATTGCCAAAGACTTGATCGAGAAGTCTGGATTTCAGACCGATCTTCCCTCTCTCGCCCTGACGTATTTAGAAGAAGCGAGCCAGAGCGCTCCGAACGGGGCAGATTACACCGCCTGTCTGGAAAGCTGGGAACACAGAGCAACACTAAACATTAACAAATCCGAGCGAAGTGAAGGAAAAGAAAATTTGCATCCCGTATCTCAAGATGAACCGGTTCTTCGCATTCTGTAACATCTATTACCAAGCTCAAATCGAATTCATTTCTCACAATTCGAATAACTTGACGCTTTCGTCTCTTACCATTAAAGATACAAACACTGTTTTTTGAACTTTTTGAGGTCCATACTACCATTTTCTACTCTCGATATTATGCCATCGGATCCGAGCAACGATGGAACTCTCTCACCTTCTCGCGTCTATATAAACCGCACCGGGCTCGTCATATTGATCTCCCCTCCACCTCTCTCCATTGACGTTCGAATTACCCTGTCACACTGGCTTGTCCCAGCCAACGTCAAGCCGGGTCCGTACTTCCATCACACTGCATCATCTTCTACGGCAATCCGACGACCCAGCGTAAACCAGTTTTCCTCCCAGTTGGCACTCAGGTCGATTGAATTCTCCTTCCCCTCTTGCATCAATCAATCTTACCAAGGTTCACCTCATCCTAGTCTAATTCTCTCGACCTATCGCCTTCCATCCAGCTTACATCCGTCATCCCACCTCCAAACGCTATTCCTCACGCCCTATCTTCAATCCACCATGAAAGCCCGCGAAGTCGATTCAGACCGGATTGCTGAAGTTAACCTCCATCGAAATGGTCGAGTATCCGAGCTTGATGAGTTCGGTGAATACTGTGACCCGAATGATGGCGCCATTTGCAGCTACGTGCCCGTGAGCGATGGCGACGTCATCAAAATCGGGGGGAAATGCGCCGGGACGGTGAGTAACCTCTTCAAATATCCTTGCTATGTGGTACTGACATATTAGACTGTCGCCATTAGCTATGACGTAGCCATTGACGGCATTCTGAGGAAGGCAAAGCATTTCGAGCCAAAGCATGTAGGGCGGACCAACATGAAAGTTGACTGCGACAAGTTTTGGTACAAGAAGGATAAAGCCATCATCGAGACAGATGCGGTTGTAGAAGTAGAACCGGATCTGAACGTAACCCAGAAAGACCAGCCGGAGACAATTGGAACGATCGATATTCGCCTCTTCATGGGCCGCAAATTAGGTGACACGTGCTCTGTCGGAAACAACCGCACTTACTACAACGACGGCATGGATATCGACTTGGAGGATCCAAATACCGATGGCAATGAAACGCCTCTATCCCCAATCACATATAGAAACATTGCACAGGACGTCAAAATTCTCTTTAACCGAGATTGCGCTGCGCTGGATTCTAGGGCAGTCACGCGCAATAGAACCAACACAGACAAGAAACGCCCAGGCAAGGTGCCATGGGCTGTCTTCCGATTCCATCTTCGCTCTCTTGGTATGTCGTCGTGTTTCATGTTACATTGAAGTGGGCGTTAACTATGACATGTAGATGCAATTGAGCTTGCCAAGATGAAGCAAACGTTTGACCCCAATGACAAGAAAGCAAGTGTACCCCACGCTCTCAAGCTTGAAAAAGTACCACCATTGGAAGCAAGCCCCAAAAAGGCTGCGAGCGGCGTTGCCAGCAACGCCTCTACCCCGGTCCCGGTATCTACAGACGCGACGACGCCAAATGTAATTAGTCTTTAACCACATTGATAGCACGTCAAGCTCTAACCATGCCTCAGGCTTCCGATAATGAGCGACCGAATCAATTAGAGGATAACGAGACGGGGAAGGCTTTGACTACGGATGTGCCGCTTGAACAAGCCCCCAACAGCGCATCAGGGCATCTCACACGAGCCCAGCCGCCACTCACGACAGCTCCGAATGCTTCCAAAGAAACGGCACCACTAAAAATCACTGCCACCACTACAGCTGCAGCTCCACCTTCTTCAACTGTCTCTGCTGCGACGGTAACCGACCCCGCGAGCGTTCATCCTCTACCATCACCTCACAAGTCAGCCTCTACGGGACAGAAACTGAAACGTCGCTCGCAACCTATGTTTCCCCTCCCACCCCCGAAGAAGTCTCTCGAAGCGCTCCAGCAAGCAGCGAGTCTTGGCCGTTCTACAGCACCACCTACTCCTACATCTCCACCAAAACCACCAACCCCAACGACCCCTGGCGTTCCAATCCGGCCTAATGAGTCTATACTACCTGCCGCGGATCTCAAAGTTCACTCCATTCAATCTCCCACTGCATCCTCTCAAATAGCACCACCCGCTCCGGCTCTCAAACGCAGCGTAACCGACATTCGACAAGAGCTCGCAGCAACCAAAAGCAAACGCCAGTGCATCCAGGACGCCCGAGCGCAGTATGCAGAGGATCTCGCTCTGGCAAAGCAGTGGGAGGACGAGCTTGTGGAAGAGCGGATGGGGTTGGTGGCTGATGTGGCTGGGTTGAAAGGTGATGAGAACATGCATCGAATGTTCTTCCCCGAGAAGTATGCTTGAGCATATGTGCGAGATATGTAAAATCGACTGATTGTCAGGCCGAGTAGTACTTGAACTTCAACTATCAGTCAGCGACTGAGTAGGAAGCTTGCTGTCAATTACTCAGCGAGTGTGCTCGTGCAAGCGGTGTGGACTGCAATGCATCGACGAGGATTAGATCGGTTGCTGTGAATGGGGCATTGGCTTGCTTTGGCCGGGTACTGGTATTCTGATACATTATACGGATCTGCTGTCTGTTGGACATAGGTCTCTCGTGTATCATCAAATCTCTTCTTTCTCATCTTTCTCCAAATCGGGTGATACCAGGACAATGGCCAGTACGCGGATGCGGTAGGCATGAATGGGCGGATCAGTCGAGGACTCTGAAGGCTTCAACCTTTGCGAACAGGGTCAATTTCTGTGGGAATTGGCTTGGATATTCTGGCTTCTTACTTACCTTGACTGATTTTGCCTTTCTGGGGCGGATGAATGGTCGTAATTCGAGTACTGGGTTTTATGTATGCTGGACTGCGTCTTGATGGATAACCCACCCATCATCAAGCGTGATCTTTGAATAATCAGTGTAAATATAAATATCGGGGAATCAAAATATTATTCCATGGCTGAATGGAGTATGATGTTCACATATCCATACAATTGCCATCGTACAATCATAAAATATGCATTTCAGCATGCTATATTTGATTTTTGTGGCGTTTCAAGAGTTGAGGATCTAAAAGTATGAGCAAAAGTGTACACTAGTAAATAGAGATGCGATTGATTGGTGGAACAAAGAACTGCAGTGACTGGATAAAAGTTGAAGCTATCACATCAAACTTGAACAGCTTCGATTCCCACGCACATATACACATATAACAGTGAAGAAGAAAAAAACACTAGGAATAAAGAGAAAACATACCATTCAATGCCAAAGCACGAAACAAATCACAAACCCACTCGCTCACTCAACAAAGAACTTGGAATCTCTTAAAATCCTAGACAACAAACTTAACACACCCTCTCACCCTCTCACCCTCTCCACCACAGAACCCCACCTCTTCCCCCTCATACCTATTGCGCACCCCCACTCCCGCGATTCCTTAAATTATCTTTGACCCTCTCCACCAAGACTTCTCGTGTAGCTAGAGCCGAAGGGTGGAGATTCCGCTATATTTTTTCCGAATTTTGGATATTAACAATTACATCTCTTCTTTTTGCTCTTTTTTTATATGCTGTGACAAGATAGAAGGGGAGAGAAAGAAACAAGTATACTCACGTTATTCAACCACGTCATGCACTGTGCGTGTGTCCACGATTCTGGGTCTATATTATTCTGATATTAGTAAAGGGAGGGGTTTTTTTTGGGGGGGGGGTTGTTTGTTGGTGCTATTCTACTTGTTTCGTTTTACAGTCTTGGATTTTGGGCAAGTGGGATGCGTATGTAGGTATGGGAGAAAAGGAAAGAGGGTGAAAAAACATACCACCGGTTGGATCTGCACTTGGGAGGATGTCGTTGCCCCAGATACTCCATGCGGCTACGCCGGTGACGATTGCGGCGAATGCGAAGAACGGGGCCTGTTTTGAGGGAGGCGAAGAAGATGGTGAGTTAGGTTTTCCGGGAGGGGGGTGAGGAGTTGGGTTTGAGGTAGATGGTTTGGATAGATTTGTAGGTAGGTGGTGGCTTACACGTGCGCTTGTTGCGCGGTCGAGTGGTGTTGGCATGGTGGTGTGTGAAGCTTGATGGTGGTGGCGAGGTGTTTGGAGTGAGATTTATAGGTTTGGTGGGACGGCAGGGAGTGTGAGAGTGATGGGAGAAGGTGATATCTGGCAAGTCGACAAGGCAGCAGGATTAATGAGAACAAGATATGTATCCAAAGGCTGGTTGGTTGTCGCACGAGATGGAATTCACAGACATGCATCTGGAGGTATACGTTTGCGCCACACACGTCGTCACCTACGCTAGTCCCCAACAAGCAGCACCGCCCCATGGTGGTCTGTGCACGTGCAAGCGAATTTCCACCTCCACCCACAAGCGATTTGGGCCATTTGTGTCTTGCTTGCTTTGCTCGAATTCTACGAAACGACAATTCCAACGCCCTTTCGACACAAACCCCCCCTCGACCCGACCGCCCACCATGCCTTCCGAAGTCTCAGACATCAAGCAGTTCATCGAGATCTGCAGGCGAAAGGACGCCAAGTGTACGTTGCTGTTTTTTTTTCTCGCTCTCTGAATTTCACAGGGTTCGCCCGCAACTGGATGGGTGGATGGATGGACGGACAGATTGAAAGATGGCCTCTGTGCGCCCACACGCTCCCGCCCCGCGCCCATTTTCGCAGTACAAAAGCGCGCAAACGTTTATGTGTGCGATTGAGAGAAATGGGGCTGGGTGCGTGGGATTGGGTGCGATGGCCAGAGATCTGTGGGAAATGGGATGTTTCAAGGATACTACGATAGGGAATTGCAAGTTTGCTGACTTTCTCTCGTGTGTGTTGAACAGCTGCCGGTATCAAGAAGAACCAGAAGACCAATAACATCAAGTTCAAGGTCCGATGCAGCCGTAACATCTACACCCTCGTCCTCAAGGACACCGACAAGGCTGAGAAGCTCAAGCAGTCGCTTCCCCCAGGTACGACTTCTCCACCTTCCCGCTTCCTTATAGCGTCGATTGGGACTACAACACATGGACTGTTTGCGGGAGCTGAGTTAACTTGGACATGTAGGGCTTACCATCACCGACATCGGCAAGAAGAACCCCAAGGGCAAGCGCGATTAAATGGTTAGCGAATCGAGGGTGATCAAGGGACGCAGATGATGGAATAAGATGGAGGAGGGAAGAGAGAGATTGGAGCTGGGGAAGATGGATAAACGGACTGCATGATGCATGATGATGGGAAGGTCTGGAGGTCGGCGTCTCATCGGATACCTTTCACTGGCATAACCGGATCCCTGTGATGTGATAAACTACGGGATACCATCAGGAATGAACAAAAACTTTCAACTTTCAACCCGAGAACCTGCATTGAGGGTGCCGGACGTGCTTTTCCTAGAGTGCTCGTACGAGAATCCTTCGTGAAGCCAACATTTCGAGTATGTACCTAACTACGTAGATTTGGTAGCAGAGCCACCATCTTCACTGCACCTTCCCCGCCGCCTCAATCCCCTGCCTCACCTCAAACCTATACTCATCGCTCCTCTCCAAATACACAACCCTATCCCCCAACCCCGCTTCCTCAACCGCCTTCTTGAAATCTTCCAACGGCGACAGAAAAACATCATAATCATCAAAATGCACGGGGATAGTCACATCAGGATCCACCAACCTCATCAGCTCAACCCCCTGCTCCGCATCCATCGTGACCATCAACAACGGCATGCTCTTCCCTGGAATCGTAGTCCCGCCTAGATGCACCAACATCAAATCCACTTTCCCGCCTTCCTCCCTTACATACCGCTGCGGGATCTCCTTTAGTTCATCGACCATCAGCGTATCGCCCGAGATGTAGATCCGATACCCGTTTTCAAAGTCCCGAGGATTCGAGGCAGATCCGTACCCGAGTTCCACCATCCACCCGTTTGTCGGGGGCACGGCGCCCAGGAGGTCATTGGCGAGGGCCAGGGGGCCCGGCGGGACGTGTTTCCCAGGCATACCAGTGACCTTGACACAGGCCGTGTTCCCCGCCCCGCCCATCTCGCTGCCTTTGACATCCACCATCATACTCTCGAAATGGTCTAGCGAATGCACGGCGGTAAACGCTTCGCCCTCGGCTTTCTTGCTCGTGGCCGTCAGACATTGCTTCGCGTGCGGCGTCGTGATGATGGGGATGTGTTTCGAGAGCTTGCTTTCGACTTCTCGGTCGAAGTGGTCTTCGTGGTAGTGGCTTAGCAGCACTATGTCGATCCTCGGGAGCGCGGCGAGGTCGATGGACGGGTTCGTTTGCCGCGTTGCGGTTACGCCGGGACCCAGGTGCACGTGGTCGCCTGCGTGGAGGAAGTTTGGGTCTGTGAGGATGCGGAGGTTGTTCCATTCTAGGATTGTGGTTGCGGTGCCGATGAAGGTTAGGGTTGCGTTTGTGTCTTTGGGGGAAGATGGGGGGTTTGTGGGGTGGAGTTTTGTTTGGGATGCTGGGGGGAGGGAAGAGGGGGGTGTGGTTTGAAGGGTTGTTGGGGGGCCCGAGGTTGAGGGGTCGATTGTGAGACGCTTCATTGTCTTTCCTTTTATCTATTATTCTGTGGAAGTAGACGCGGTTGAGATGAACGGATTTGGTTTTGGTCTGGATTGTAAAATACAGTGGGCTTGTTGGTTATTGATTGAGAGTTTGAATCTCAGAAGCTAAGATCGGGTTATTCAATATATATTTCTATCTATACATGTATGTGAGAGGGTGAGCGGTCAAGAGGGTAACTTCGCTCCCATTTTCATGACGTCCTTCGTGGTCATCAACATTGATTGTATGAGGGGGTGGATTGGAGAGCTGATCTTTACTGTAACTGAACTGGGTTATCGTTCAGTTCTCGTCTTCTAGATTTTTACTGGTTATGTTGGAAGAAAATCACACGAGCCCATCGGTTCAGAGATGTTTCGTGGTTCCTGTCAGGACTACTAGACATGTCGAGTACGGAAGTTCTATGTACAGTTAGAAAGTGTGGCTAGTGCTGTGGCTGCTAGTGTGGCTGACGCATCCATACAGCTCATCCCTGTCTGTCCTTCTGTTATGCCGAGCGAAAGCTGTCTCTCTCCGATGAACACCTGTCAACCTGCAATTCAACAGCGGCAATTTCTTCGCAGGGCAGACACTCAAATGCGTCGCTATCTCATTCCCTAGTAGCCATTCTAATTAACTGTAGACAATCCCTAGGTCATCGCATTACAAAAATCCAAACACCCGCCGCGCATCCTCCTACATAAACGCCGACTTGGATAAACACGATCGCTCCGAACACCAACAAAGTTGCATTACATGACCACACGCGACCCCTTCAACACGCGCAAGAAATTTCCTCCACCGCGATCGCCGCTCTCTCTTCTCCAGCAATCTTCCCCCGCCGCAGCAACCTCGCACGTTTCAAGCGATACCGCCGCGGCGGCCCTACCTCACTCCCGCAACGATACCCCGGACATGTCCTTCCAACTCCCCAAGAACGTGCCCAACTTTGACAACGCGCAGCGCCGCTTCGAAGATAATGTCTGGTCCAAGTTCTCGGGCAGCGAAAAGGGACTTCCAATGTACAAGGACAAGCCCGCGGGTTACGGGGCACGGCGCGAGGCTGGGAGGTGGTGTGGTGGGAAGAGGAGAGTTGCGCTGGGCGCTGTGTTCGTGATTGGGATTTTATATCTGTTTGGCGTTTTTGGAGGCTCCGCGGGTTCTGTGTCGGATACTGGGGACCACACATGGACGATCATACAAGGGAAAGGATCATTGGGGTCGATGGTTGGAGGGAAAGGAAAGCCCGTGGATTGGGAGAAGCGGAGGGAAGCTGTCAAAGATGCTTTTTTGCTCAGCTGGAAGGGGTACGAAGAGCATGGATGGGGTAAGTGAAATTCATTATACCGGGGAAGATACGTTTTTGCTGACTGAAATTTGTGGACAGGTTATGACGAGTACCACCCGGTCGCGCGGACCGGTCGCTACATGGCCGAGCCTAATGGTATGGGTTGGATCATTGTGGATGCTTTGGATACTCTCATGATTATGAACCTCACCAAAGAGCTGAAGCATGCGCGGGAATGGGTCTCGACTTCGCTCAACTACGACAAGGATCAGGATGTCAATACCTTTGAAACTACGATTCGTATGCTCGGCGGATTGTTGTCGGCACACTACCTGCAGGAAACGCTACCCGGGCTGAAGCCCGACAATCCAAACGAAGAGGACTTGTTCCTCGAGAAGGCCACTGACTTGGCAGACAGGCTGTCAGGCGCTTACGAAAGCCCCAGCGGCGTTCCATGGGCAAGTGTCATTCTAAAAACTGGCGAAGGCAAAAGTTCGCACGCAGATGGCGGCGCTTCCTCGACCGCCGAAGCCACCTCTCTACAGCTAGAGATGAAGTACCTTGCTTTCTTGACTGGCGAAGCCGCCTATTGGGAAAAGGCTGAGAAAGTCATGCAAGTTGTCGACGACAATGGCGCCAAAGATGGTCTTGTCCCCATCTTCATCTACGCTGACAAGGGCACCTTCCGTGGTAACGAAATCCGCCTGGGTAGTCGCGGCGACTCTTACTACGAATACCTCATCAAACAATACCTCCAAACCTCCAAACAAGAACCCATTTATCTCACCCTTTGGGACGAAGCCCTTGCAGGCGTCAAGAAGCACCTTCTTACTTATTCCCGCGACCAACAATTCACTGTTCTCGCCGAGCGTCCCAATGGCATTGATGGTCACTTGCACCCCAAGATGGATCACCTCGTCTGCTTCATGCCCGGCACCATCGCCCTTGCCGTGACCGAAGGCCTGCCCCTCTCCCAAGCCCGCAAACTTCCCTCTTGGTCCAAACAAAAAGAGGAAGATCTTCTCCTTGCCCGCGAACTCACAAAAACCTGCATAGGCATGTATCGCAGCACCGCGACCCGTCTCGCGCCCGAAATCGCACACTTTGAACTCAACGATCCCCCCAAAATGTACCGTCAGCAAGTCCTGCACTCAAAATCTGACATGCCGCTCTCAGCGGACGAAAACGAGCCAGAAGAATGGACAAAAGACTTCATCGTCAAACCCGCAGACTCGCATAACCTGCAACGCCCCGAAACCGTCGAATCCCTATTCTACCTCTACCGCATCACCGGCGACGACATCTACCGCGAATGGGGCTGGGACATGTTTTCCTCCTTCGTCACACACACGCTCGTCGAAAACGGCGGAGGCTTCACTTCCGTCAGTGATGTCACTCGTGTTCCTCCCCCCTCTCGCGATAACATGGAAAGTTTCTGGCTCGCCGAGACGTTGAAGTATTTTTACCTGCTGTTCAGCGAAAGGGATTTTCTGCCGCTGGAGGACGTTGTGTATAATACTGAGGCGCATCCTTTCCCGAGGTTTGATGCTAAGAAGAAACGGTTCAGCACGGGGTGGGAGAGGTTGCCTAGGGATGAGAAGGGGGATATTGTGAGGGGTGGGAAGGAGACGAAGAAGGATGAGGGTGAGGGTGAAGGGAAGAGTAGTGCTGAGGCTCAAACGAGCGGATAGATTGCAAGTTCTGTGTAGGAAATCTTTTGGGTGTTTGGATAGATGATGGTGATTTCTGTGTAAAGTTTCTTTTTTTCTGCTTGATGTAACGTGCACTTCTTTTGATGTCGCGTTGGGTGATATAGTTCTACGCTGTATGTGAGAAATACGATTAGATGCAGACTATGATGCCTAGTTTTTGATCCTTATCCTGGACATCCTTTACGTGTGTCAGAAAGCCTTTGTCGAGGAGACTGACTACACATTTCCCTTGAGGATGGAAACATATGCGGATGTGCTAACCTGCATCGAGTCTAGTCTCCGAACGTAGCCTCTGTGCCCCCTCACGTCTTGAACTCAACTTTAACGTCACCATCTGCTGGAGCAAGGACGCCGTATATTATCATATCCAATACAAGCTTTGGGCTCGCGTTTTCATATCACCATCATTCGTAGGAGGAGTTACCTCGCCAGAAGTCCAGCTTCAGTATCGTAACCTTGTCATCGTCGTACAGATGGAGGCCTCAAAACAATTACCCTCGGAGCTGCTCATCGAGATCTTTTCATACCTGGTCTCCTCCGAAGGCAAGGCATTCTCCCATCTTCTCACATTATCGAATGCGTGTCTTGCATCACGGAAGCTATGCGAGGTAGCCCGACCTTTCCTATACACCGTGATCACGCTGGACATTTGCAGCCAACGCCAACTCCATAGCTTCATCAGAACACTTCGAGATCATCCTCATCTTGCTCACCATGCGAGAAGTCTTACCATGATACAAAGCGACGACAAATACTACGGGATGCACCTTCGCGAATTCTACGTAGATATCTTGCCGTCCATGACGGGCTTACTCAGCTTCCGCACCATAAGCTGCCCTTGTTCACGCCAGCTCATTACGGCGTTGCTCTTCAAGCCCGGTTGTGGATATCAAGGAAACGCACCAACTGACTTCGGCTGTTTGAAGTCGCTGGAACTTCATGCAGGGGATAATATCCTCGAATACCATGGCATTCTCCGGCTTCCACGGCTTGAAACTGTGACCTTGAATTGCATGGGCATCACAAGTAACCACGTGGAAGACAGATTCCTGTCAGATGACTGGGAATGGGTATCCGACTCCATCACCAAGCTAGTGATGCGTCTCGAGCCTGCAAAAGGACATGTTCAGGGACATTTACGCGACTTGAAAGAAAAAACGTTGCAAGCTCTCTCTCGCAGTATGCCTAATCTGCAAGATCTCACAATTCATCAAACAGGAAATAACCCCAACATTGGCCGGGTCCGTCGTCTCCTATCTTTCTTTCAGCCGCAACTCCGTGGGTCGCTACGTCGCCTCGAGATCAGAGACAACCTGAACCATTCCTCAATACAAAGCCATGCGCTCTCGAGCCAAGTTTACGATGACTTTGACGATTATGGTGGAGACGGAGACGATCTCGATGTCTTGGAGAGCCTCAATGCCGCGAATTTGGATGAATTGATCATAGACACCCGTTTCTGGATGCAACTCATTCCCTTTGCGCGACTAATCGATGATCGACTGCTTCCTACATGTCCGCGGCATCTCACAGTCCGTCACACCGATACTGGACATTCTCATCGCGCCATGCACCTGTGGACTCTTCCCGTCTCGAACATCCTAGAGGTCGTTGGAAAAGTGAGAGCTGCGTTTGAACGGCTGGAGACCTTGCGGTTGGAGTTTAATGTGAACGAGAGAATCGACCGCGCTGACCTGGAGATTTATGAGAAGGCGTACCGTGATGTCGGCATCGAGTTTGTGTTTGTGCAGGATGTTTTTTCGGAGAGGAGCGAGGAACGTGCGTCTGGACGGATCATCTGCTCGTCGCCGGTCCTATCTCGCACAGAAGTTTAAAGAGAGCAGAGAAGAAGAAAGGTTTAGGATTTTATCTTCAACCGTTTGAAAGCTTCCGGCGAGGCTTGATCCACTATAAATGTTTGATGTTCCAGATTAGACACCAGGGATATTGCGCTCTCCACCATTGCCGAGCATTTGATCCTTGACTAGCACTAGCAAGATAGGAGTAGCGCTAAGCCAAAAACAACGACCGTGCCACAGCCGTGAACCGTCCCAAACATCAAACCTAGAACTTGTTGTGCACAATACAAGACAAAGGGGTTCAACCGAGAGTTTCGCATGTATTTCGCGATGCGGGCAATCCGAATATCCTCATGTACGCGTGTTCGGCCACCACTCCAGGCGACAAAGAACCCTCGGCCCCCACATGTAGGCCTTCCACACCGGAACAGACTTGCGGCCTTTTCAACATCACCGATCAACTGCAATGAGTCGCGATCGTCCACTCATAAGCCCCACATTCCTGCTCCGAAGATGAATGCGGATGAATTAAAGTTGGCCTTCGGCGAGTTTATGCCTGACCCGAACGCCTGGAGTCGCGAACAATTAGAACAACATGAAACCGGTATATTTCGCTGCATGGAGGGCTATGCCGCAGGAGACTGACAAACTTTACAGTCAACTCTGTCATCCCGTCTGAAATGATGCTTCGTTTTCTATCTACATGCTTACCAACTGGAGAATTACCCGGTGGGATGCAGAGCCGCTTTCCTCAATTGCGAGATGAGGATATCTTGCTTCTAATGCAACCATACAGTACCTGGGCACCAGCTCCTCATGCCCAACACGAGTACTCTCTGTGGATCAGAAGTAATGAATTTTTCTCCAAGGGACATTTCATGGAAGGAGACGAACATCCACGAGGGTCCACAATGTTCCCGGCACGACTTACACCTCTCAAGGCAAGGATCTTGAGCGGTATGGAGCCGATGTGCGAACATCGCCGCAAGGAGATGAAGCTTGATGAATTGACGAACATCAATCAATTTCTTCGGTTTTTGGATGAGATCGACTCTGTGTTTGCGTATTGGAATCTTCCAGAAGTTCAAGAGCATCTGCGTATATCATTTAAGGTCTTAAGCGCGAATTTCAGACAGTTCGACGAAGCCTTGAATGCAAAACATAGTGGAAGTTGGTTTCGGAAGCCGACCAATACTGCTGAGAAATGGCATGAGTTTGTGCATGCTAATTTCACTGCTATATCGGCAAGGACATATCAGTGGGTCAGACGCAGCGTCCATGAGCTATATGCTCAGTGCGATGCCGAATACGAGGCCGCCATCGCTGCTGCAAAAGATGACTTGGCCGCCAAGGTCGCGGCTGGCAAAAAGCTCCACGCTCGCTACGGTCTTCTCTCGCCGAGTCTGCTCAAGGCCTGTGTGATGCTCAACATAAAAATGCCAGACTTTGGACCGGAATTCCCGCCCTTCATACCGCCGACTACCAGCGATCCCAATGCATTGAAAATCCAACTGCAGAAAATGACTAGTTCAATGTCTTTTTCAGTGAAGCGTGCCCTGAAGGAACACAAAGAGCCAGACAAACTTCTCGCCGACCCTGAATTCATGAAACGCTGGACCGAAGAGGATAGAAACAATCTTACTCTCTCATTGAAGCAAACTCGGCCGGAGCCGAACCAGAATCTAGGCGAAGAGTTCTGGATCACATGTCTGAAATCTACATCTCGCTGGAACTTTGCGTACAACCTCCCTCACAATCATCCCGCAAGATGGGGCTTCGTATGTTATCGCCTGACCTATAAACAAACCGACGCCGAATGGTCGCAATTCATGCATAAACTCAACCAGCAGCTAGGGAAACGAGGGCCATATGGAATAGACAGCAGCAAAGAACTGGACAACCACCCCCGTTTACTCATGATAGATGGGAGAGATGAGGGTATCGCAGAAGGCGACACGGCTGCTGCCCGCGAGCATTTCCAAAAAATCATGGCTGAATACGTCGATATAGGCCTTCGTCGTGTCCCCGATGACGCTTTCCTCGCCATTGATTTCCAAACAGTCAAGTCGCATGGCGCCGAATCGAAACAGACGACCGATTCTGCCGACAACGCGCCGCATATGCGTCTCGTTACTACCCTTAGCCCCGACGACATATTCGCGTCCAGTGTCGACAAAGCGTCTGCCTTGAAACAACTAGCGGGTTTTAAGGGCGAGCTGAAAGTTCTTACTAGCCTTGTTTTCGGCGAGGTCTATCCGTTGTTAATCGACAAGGTGGTTCCTGTGCATGACTTGTGGCCGATTTCTAGACTGCACCCGCTGGGAGTGTATGTCGGGCATGTCACTACCGCGCAGGAAATGGAGTGGGAAGAGCAGAGGAGCATAATGGGTGCGATGATGCCGGCCTTTTGGGCGACGTTGAAGATGAAACAAGATGCGGAGAGAAAAGGGGAGGTTTGGGATATGAAGAACTTGGGAAAGCTGTTGTAATAAGCCTGATCTTGGTGTTTGGTTTTCCTATCTGTCTTTGTTTTTCCCAGAGGCTTTAGCGACGTTTTGTAACATAACATGCTTGATGTCGACTTGTTCAGGGGTGGGCATACAATCTTCTTACCATTATACCCTGTTTCTGTTGGAATTGAGTATCTGGCAAGTCTACTGCAATCTGGGTCTTTTTACTTCAAATAGAGCATACCAGGGGTCGTATGTCAATACTGAAACGTTGGACCTTTTTATCTACTGGGTATCACTTCTCAGATCTTTTGGTCCTCTGCTCCTGAATGTCACTGGTAATCAGATCGAATCTGAATGAGCTTGAAGCGGACGAATATGGCTCGCAGGAAACCAAAACAGATTGAACAACTGAATCGAGGCAATGACTCACTAAGATGAGCAAAACTGAGGATATGACAGAAAGAATATTATATGGTGGTCGTATCAAGCAATTCATCTAGCACAAGCGATCGTGTGGGGCACCACGTTGCCGTGCGGGAAGACTATCCCCGAACCAGCACTAGCGCCATCTATGCTGTCATTGTGGAACATGCATCGGGAACTCATTTTTCTGGCGGCGAAGTCACTCATCGCTCCAATTCGAATCCTCAAAAGTACAAGCTCCACTCGTTAATCCTCAGAATCTGCTCCTGGATCTCTATCTTTCGCTCATTATCGCCCCAAAAGGATCTCAAGTATGCGCAACAATCCCACAATCTTCCAATCCTTCGAATGGAACATCGCAGCCGATAACAATCACTACACACGTCTCCACCACATGCTCCCTGAACTCCACAAACTAGGCATAACAGCACTCTGGCTTCCTCCCGCTTGCAAAGCCGGGAACTCGTCTGGAAACGGCTACGACGTCTACGATCTCTACGACCTCGGCGAGTTCGAGCAACGAGGCTCCCGCTCCACAAAATGGGGCCCAAAAGAATCCCTCCTCCTCCTCGCCGACCAAGCGAAAAACTTGACCGTGGATTTGTATTTCGACGCCGTGCTGAACCACCGCTGCGGCGGCGACGCGAAAGAAGTCATCACCGCCGTCGAAGTCGACACCGATAACCGCCTCAAAACCATCTGCGCACCAAAGCAAGTGGAAGCGTGGCTGAAATTCGAGTTTCCTGGCCGCCAAGGCAAGTACAGTTCCTTACGCTATGATTGGCGCATGTTCAATGCGAGTGACTGGGATGATCGTGGTCAAAAACACGGCATTTACAAACTCGTCGATGACGGGAAATCGTGGGCGCAGGATGTTTCCGCGGAATGGGGGAATGGCGATTATCTCATGTTCAACAATCTAGACTACGCCCAGAATGCGGAATTGAGGGAGGATGTGAAGGAGTGGGGAGTCTGGGTGACGAGGGAGTTGCGTCTCGCGGGGTTTAGGTTGGACGCTGTGCAGCACGTTTCGCAGCGGTATATCACAGAGTGGATTCAGCATGTGCGGAGACGAGTTGGCGATGCGGTGTTTGTGGTTGGGGAGTATTGGAGTGGGGAGGTGGATAATCTGGTTCGTTTCCTCGAGGGCTCGCCGGAAGATTTGTATTTGTACGACGCGCCATTGCTCTATAATTTCGGGAGGTTGTCGTATGAACGATTTCCAGATCTCCGCACAGTCTTCAATCAAACATTGGTAGATTGCAGACCAAACAACGCGGTGACGCTAGTCATGAACCACGACACGCAGTAAGTCCGCCTCGATCCCCACCACAGCACAACTAATTGGAAGCCACTAGGAAAGGACAGGTCATGGACACACCCATCCACCCAAGCTTCACATCTCTAGCATACGCACTAATACTTCTCCGTGAAGCCGGCTACCCATGCGTCTTCTACGGCGACATGTACGGTACCTCTGAGCCCTTCATCTCACATCCAACGTGCAACGGCAAGCTCGCTGATCTGATCCTCGCACGGAAACTCTACGCCTACGGAGAGCAGCACGACTACTTCGACGACGCGGATTGTGTAGGTTGGGTTCGTCGCGGTGCATCTGGCTCACACACAGACGAGCACGCTTCAGCTGGTATGGCGGTGGTCATGAACTGGGTGGGAGACCAGAAGAAGACAGATCCCGCCGGACCCGAATTCTCGTCGCAGAAGCCTCGCTGGATGAGAAGATTGTCTGGCTTCACTGGAAAGTTGGGGATTGCGACTAAACACTCGCCATCCCGTCCAGCCGTGAGGCCTGTCACGTGCCAGAGGAAGATGAATGTTGGAGTGCAACATGCGGGAGAGACATGGACGGATGTATTGGATGCATGTCACCATGAAGTCGTGATTGAGAATGATGGCAGTGCTGTCTTTCCTTGTGAGGTGAATAGTGTAGCAGTATATGTTTCTGCGAATGCTGCCGGGAGGGAGAGATTCCCTGTAGGTTTTGATGCGAGTTTATGTTGATGAGCTCGGGTATCGGGGACAAGGTGTTTGAGAGAGATATAGCGATTGTTTCTCTGGTACTAATTTACAGACACTCACCCATAATAGTTTTATGGGAAAGGGATGGAAGAGCAGATCACAGGCATATGTATATATAGAATGCGAATTGGCAACCGTGAAATATGAATAGGAATAACTCATGCGACTCGGTCAACCTACATTCGGCTGCGAACCATCAATTGACGTAGGGAAGTTTTAAGGTATGGAGACAGTCTGAAATTCGCATGCATTTGGCAGGTCCCATTATGACATTCAATCAACCGTCGACGAATGGGATCGCTATGTCACGATGGAATGAAAGCCAAAATTATGAAATGGCGGACACATTAGTAAGAACATGGATTGCTAATCAACAACACACTCGCATCTCGCATACTTGAATGCCTCCCATATGTCCCCACAACTATAAGTAGCAAACAACCCTGAATCAAGCCCATATTAATAACAATAACTGTTCCAACAACTCGAGCACAGAAAAAAACCCCCCGCAAGCCAAAAACCGTCATCCCAAACACCATCACGTGACCCACCCCCCCCAACAATGCCCATCAAAGCAATCCTCTTCGACTTCATGGGCACATGTCTAGACTGGCACACCAGCGTCCTTTCCTCCCTCCCCCCTTCCCTCCCACCCTCCTCCGCATCCTCCCTAGCCCTCCACTGGCGCCACCAATACTTCTCCCTGAACCGCGCGCGCCTCTCACAAAACCTCACCATCGCCCCCTTTGACACCGTCCTCGCCTCCGCCCTAACCAACACACTCGCCTCCCCAGCCTTCGCGCATCTCTCCACTCACTTCGACGAGACTGCAAAAAAGAACGCCATCCGCGCTTTCCATGTGCAAAAGGCGTGGGACGACGTCGCGCCCGCTTTATCAGCGTTGAAGAGCGAAGGATACGAGATTTTTGTGCACGCCAACGGATCCACGCGCCTCCAGCTCAATCTCGTTGCATCGTCTGATTTGTCTTTTTTTGACATGCTGTTTTCTTCCGAGATGCTGGGGGAGATGATTCCGGCGCCGGCGTCGTATTGGAAGGTGTTGGGGTTGATTGGGAGGGACGCGGGCGAGGTTGTCAAGGTTGCGGCGCATGTGGAGGATTTGAGGGGCGCGAGGGAGTGTGGGGTGAGGACTGTGTATGTGAAGAGGTGGAGTGATGATGTTGGGGTTGAGGTTGGGGATGTGAGGGGGGAGTTTGATGCGGTTTTGGAGGGCATGGAGGGGTTGGTTGGGGTTGTTGGGGAGTTGGATAAGGAGGGGTGAGATGAGGGGGATGCGTAGTCATTTATTGGGCTCTGATCAGTACAATGACTTTCATCTTTTTTTTTGTTATCTTTTTTTTGAGGCAAATACATTTCGAAAGGCATTATGGCTCGTCGGAAATGTTTACAGCTATCTTACTCCAGACCGAGTTCCTTGTAGAAAGCCTCGCTGTTCGGCGGACGGCCAAGGAACTCCTCCAAAGTCTGGAACTCGTCTTGCGACCCACCCTTCTCCAGCACCATATGGCGGTATTTATTTCCAGTAGCAGGGTTCATGGGATCGGTCTTGAAGGCTGTGTAGAACATGTCGGTGGAGTAAACCTGCGACCACAAGTAGCCGTAATATCCTGCGTCGTAGCCGCCCATCAAGTGTCCGAAGGTAGCTTCGCCGCTGCTCCAGTTTCTATTCATACGTTAGTCTTGGACCTTTCTTTTGGGCTTGCGCGGAAATAATAGTGCCTGTTGTGTAGAGGAAAGTACTTACTCGGGCTCGCCTTGGTCTTCAGGACCCTTGAGACCGGTGGTGTTGCGCATAGATCGGCTGTACTCCAGGCTCATATCGAGCGCTTCGGCTTCCTCGTGCGAGGCAGGAGTGTGGATCTTCATGTCGAAGAGACCGAAAGCAATTTGGCGGAGAGTTAGGAGACCTTCCATGACATGCTTGGTTGAGATGAGAGCATCCATAAGCTCGGTGGGCATGGATTCGTTGGTTTTGTAGTGCGACGAGAGTTGGCTGAGTGTCAGGTTCGTCCACATCCACTTAAAAGTATGGTCAGTAAGTTTATGAGATCTGCATGGGATTTCAGACTTACGTTCTCCAACATCTGGCTGGGAGCTTCCACAAAATCACGCGCAGTGGAAGTGCCAGATAGACGCGCCCACTTGGTACGACCAGAGAGCTCGTGAATACCGTGGCCCAGCTCATGGAAGAAAGTAACAACGTCGTCGTGTGTCATCAAAGCGGGGTTGCTTCCTTGAGGCTTGGGGAAATTGCAGACAAGAGCTGCCACGGGATAATGGCGAGATTTGCCGTCGGATTTCTGGAATCCAGGCTGGAGTGTAAATTCGGCAAAGTGCGAGTATTTGCCATCGCGAGGGTACAAATCCATGTAAAGATATCCCACAAAGCCCGAGTTGTCACCTTCCCAGACCGCGAAAGCAATGACATCTTCGTGCCAGGTCATCTCTTCGGCATTACCGGATGGTGAAAGCGCGGCGAGATCAGCGGTGCTGAGTTGAACAAAGTGCATGCTGAAGAGGGATTCGAAGATCTGAAGCATTGCAGTGATTGTGCGGTCGAGGGGGAAGTACTCTGAAACCTTGACCTGGTCAACAGCGTATTCCGTCTCGACAATGATGTTGTTGTAGTAGTCGCGGTCCCAGTAGTAGAAGTTCCCGTCGTAAGTGAGGTTACGCGCTTCGTGATCCTTCTTCTTCAACTCATTCATGCCGGCGATCTCTTCTTGGCCGCGATCGTAGAGGCGGTCGCGGAGACCCTCGAGAAATGGTTGCACCGTCGCAACATCGTGCGCCATCTTGTTTTCGAGATTGAGAGCAGCATGATGTTCGTAACCCAGCATACGAGCAGCTTCGTCTCGCTTCACGATAGCCTCCTTCATCAAAGGTACGTTCTGCAATACGCGGGTATCTCTTGCAATGTAGATGCGACGGCGTACATCAGGGTTCTTGACAAGAGCCAAGGCGGGGGTAACATCCGGGGCCTTGAAGGTCAAAGCCACCTTGCCTTCATTCTCCCCGGTTCCCTTTGCGAGCGAGTTGATGTGATCTTCAGGAAGACCTTCGAGCTCCGCGGGGCTCAACCAGATGACTGAAGTGTCGCCAGAGTAGTTCTGGTCGAACTGAAGTTGCAAAGTAGTGATCCTCGACCTTGCAGCCTTGAACTGCTCACGCTGGGATCCTTCCAGAGCGAGACCGTTGCGCAGATATCCCTTGTAGTCCTTGTCGACCAAGTATCTGTCTTGAGCATCGATGGTGCCGTTGATTCCTTGAGTCGTGTTCAGGCTGTTATAGACGCTCTCCACCAGCTTGAAGATATCGTCCCGGGTTCCACTTTCGAGTGCACAGTTACTCTGGATAGAGGCCGCTTCACTACTAGCATCGCGCAAAGCGGAATCGGCGGAGACTGATGCATAGAATTGCTGGATGTACATCTTGGTCAAGACATCGTGCTCATCCTCCAGAATCGGTCCATAAGTGTTAGCGAATGTGGCATTCAACGGAGACACGGAGGCGGCCAATTTGTCCAGCACAGCTTTGGTCTGGTTGCAGAGACCTGGTGCATCCATCTTGAGGGAGTCCACCGTATCATTGAAGACGGGTGGCGATTGAGGCGGCCGGGTAAGGTCAGCTGTCGCTTGACGCTTCGACTTGTAGACAAATCGAGGAGCATAGTCTTGTCCAGCCGGCGTAGGCGGCTTAGCGACAGCAGCGAAAGCTGTCGGGGTGAAAAGCAACAGTGCCAAAGAGAGTTGTCCAAGAGATGCCATGGTCAATGAATGAGCTCCCCAGAGCGGCCGTAACGACTGTCAGCTGGTAGGCATTGGACTTATATATCCTACATTGATGATTATCAGAGTAGATTGCGGCCGTGCCGAGATCCTTTGAGTAGGTGCTTGAGTGAGCAGGGGTTTTCTTACTGGCCTTCCTTATCGAGGGTGTCCCCCATGATCTTGGCATTGGACCCTGCACAGCTTTCCATCTATCGAGGTTGGTGTTACTTGGCAAAACGCCTTTGATTTGCTGCGGCCTGCCGTTTTGCTTGAATGTCATCAAATCATGGTGTCAGCTTCCAGATAGAAGACTTGTAAACGGCTCCGCTTGAGGCTTAAGGGGAAGTAAGCTATCTGGGAAGTATCTCGGTACGTACCATCGGCGCGCTAACCCTTCCCGGACTAGTCTAACCACCCCTATCCTCATTCCTATACACACTGTGCCCTCACCGACTGATGATTATGACACTGACGACCTAGCGACTGTAAGAACTCGCCTACAGTCCTCATTCTTGGTAGAGCTTTTCCAGCTGATCTTGGGGGCCGCCATCCGAACGAGTGGCTTGGAAGGGGACTTGCGATTTCGACTTATGAACCGTGGGTACTCAGTCTGGTACAATAATCGCGACCGGCCAATCTGTTTGTAGATGATTTGGACAAATCTATTCGTGATGCTTGATGACGTTTATGTTCGTGTGAATCAAATCAGACTAAGTCCTTACATGTACTTTCGTACATATATGACACGAAGCACTCAGCCATTCCGCAAGTCTCGGAAAGTCACTCTTAATCCATGAATTGAACCAATCCACCGTGCACTGATTCTTTCGACTGTTATCTCCTTTGCCAGGTAGTCGGTTTTGGCTATGTAGCGCGTCGTTTCATCTTCGCCCCCAACACGATCTTCGCGCAGTGGAGGCCAATCCCTTACTATTGCCTGGTTCAGGCACACTCTATGAGTAGGGCTGACCTGCAATGTTTGCATCCTGTGACCTATATAGAGAGCGTTGGCGTTGCGATTTTTGAAAGATGATTGGCGAATGAGAGACTTGTCCACTATGGGAAATATACGAATAGCGAGGTGATCATCCCACCAACAAGGTAAATCTCCCCTTGGCATATGCAGTGCTCTAATACATACTAATTCTCATACAAAATGCCACAACTCTATGTAACTCAACAGTAGAAGCTTTTTTGTAACTCTTATAATTTTGGCGAAAGCTGCCAGGGCGAAAATGAGTTATCCCAAGGACGATGACTATGCGATTTGGCTCTCCCTTGTAGGGGAACGCTGCACGGCCGCGAGATGCTACATGGAGAGACAAGAGTAATGATGCAGCGCGCAATGTTAACCCGCCGTCACGCATATTTCCGGCCTTACGCGCAAAAGGGCACAACGTATGACCTAAATTGCAACAATGATACCTTCAAGGAGCAATCATTTACAATTGTTCACTCTCAAAAAAAGGTCAGCAATGCCAAGCACTCCTCTTCAACCGGCTAGCATAATCGCCTCTTATGTGCTCACCCAATGCTTGGTCGCGGCATACCAAGAAATCTAGCCTAAGAGTAGCAATATATATGTTTTTGACAATGTGCCTACAAAATCCATACTCCGCGCCACAGAGTTACACACGGTTTGGTTTCAACCACTCTTTCCGCTACCAAGATGAAATCAATCTGGCTATCGCAACTCGTACCAGTCATCACCTTGTTTCACACAGTGTGTGTTCGAGGTGATGGCAAGGGTATGATCGGGTTTGGCATCACTATGTATGATCCACCCTGCGCTCACGCTTGTCGCAATGTCATCAAGTCATGTCGATTGAGTTGTACGCCAGAAGACACTACAGCAAATCACGGAACAAGCCACCAGCCGATTGCAACCCCAGCGAAATGCTTTACCACGGACCCGACATTTTTGAGAACTATGGCACTATGCATTGACACTTACTGCCCAATCAGCGACGACCCATCCCTCGATGTTATCCACGATTTTTGGGCGTCGCATCTTGGTCCGGGTACCGTTGGCGATTATTCCAACGTACCAACTGCGTCGTATGAAGATGCACTGCAAGCTGCGCGAGGAGACGAAACTCGTTTGAAAAACAATGGGAGCATGCAACACCGCGAGGGCCACCACCGCCGCCTCAAAGTTCGCCATGGTGGTCACGGCGAAGAAGAGGAAGATTCTACTGGTGATATAGGGATTCTTGATGTATCCAGTTCCCTTCCAATTATTGAAGGTGGTGATCCTTTGAATGTCACTAGTTTCATCGACCCCGAGGAATGGCGAGTCTGGTACAATGGGCTGGTTAATTTTGAAGAAAACGAGATAGGACACGTTCAATATAGGTAAGGACAAAAACTCGACGGCTCATTTCGGCCCAAAATCGCTCACCATGATCAGTCTCATCATTACCCTTGTAGCGATACTTCTTCCGATATTGATTGCCGCATTCACATGGATTCCCGGTCTCACCAGGAGTCGCCCATGGCTCTACGTCCAGACACGCCTCGTATATCCTGCCATATTCAAAGGCTACCATCGCGTTCCTGTCGCCGGGGAAATACAACCGAATCGCGGCCAAGCCCTCTTCATCATACTTCTCAGTATCTTGAACATAATCTTCCTCGTCGCGCCGTACATCATTCGCCAACCACAACACAACTTTCCCTCAAGGGACGAACAGGAACTGAGCATCATCGGTAACCGCTCCGGTGTTCTAGCCATGGGCAATGCAGTGGCACTATTTCTTTTCGCAACAAGAAATAATCCCCTTCTATACCTTACAGGCTGGAGTCACGGGACATACCTTCTACTACACCGCTGGCTTGGCTACTGGACTTTATTCCACACGGTTCTTCACTCAGTCATGCTTCTAGCGTACTACAAGACCTATGGCACGTATTCGAAGGAGATCGTCCGTGAGTATTGGATCTGGGGTATTGTTGCGACCGTCGCAGCTGTGGCTATCTTGCCCACTTCTCTTTTGGCTGTGCGACAAAGATTCTACGAGATATTTCTTGCGTCCCATGTGGTTCTGTCTTTGATCTTTCTGATTGGGTACTATTACCACATTTGGTTCTGCTATCAACACCGATGGGGTTACGAGATCTGGGCGTATATTGTGAGTATACCCCTGACGCAACGTTGCGCAATGAGCTACCCCGTGAAGTCAAGTTTTGAAACATGAGAGCCCAACACAACATTTCGCTTACAAGCTTTCTAACTTCCTGATCGTAGGCTGGGGGAGTATGGGGAACAGATCGCGTCATCCGACTATGCATGGTAGCGATCCGTAGAAAACGAACCGCAGTGATCTCTTTCGTTCCAGACACCGACAATGAATATCTCCGCATCGATGTCGAAGGGGTCTCCGTCGCCGATGGTACAGTATACCTCTACTTCCCATCACTTGGATGGAGGTTCTGGGAAAACCATCCTTTTACCACTGCGCTTGCCGCCCAGAGTGATGACGAAGCTCCGGCTACAGTAGATGAGAAGACTGGAACAGCTACTGCGACAGCATCAAGCACCTCAACCTCGTCATCTTCGTCTCCGATGCGACACACTACGACGTTCTTCGCCCGCACTCGCACTGGTATGACGTCGAGTCTTTCAGCACGTGTGTTGAAGAGTGAGTCAGCTCGTCTCAGTATACTAATGGAGGGCCCTTACAAACACTCCGGAGCTGCATCGAAGCTATCCCATTGCAGCAGTATCCTTTGTATCGCCGGTGGTATCGGTATAACAGCTCAGCTGCCCTATCTACGTCACGTCCCGTCTGACGTGCCCACAAAACTCTACTGGTCGACTCGAAAAGCTGGCCTCGTCAACGCTATAGCTCCAGCTCTCCAAAAGCTCCCGTCAAATGTTGAAGTCGAGACTCTGGTTTCTGCACGCGTAGATATAGACGCGATACTAGAAAAAGAACTAAGTATTGGAGTGGATGCCTACAGCGGTACCTTGGGAATTGTTGTTTGCGGGCCTCCGGAGATGGCGGATAGGGTGCGACAGAAGTCGGTGCAAATTGCGCAGGATATTGCGAATAAGCGCGATTTCGTACTCGTCGACGAGGTCTTTTCTTGGTAGAAATCTCATTGCGCGACCGTGGAACGCGGCAAATCTGATCGCATACTTCTCGGCTAAATAAAATTCCTATATGATCCAAGGTCGAGCATGACAGTGTTACAGACCGCTACAACATCAGGATCATAGGAGTAATCTCTTGCCTAAGCTTGTCAGGGTCAAGAGGTTGCTAATTGCCGTGAAGTATAATGGCTCCTAGCGCGAAGCTGTCTCTGCATATCAGTCTGACCGCATCGAGATCTGAACATGCAGACCATCCGATGCCGTTGCATGCTTTGTAAGAAGGGACGATCTGTATCGTTGTCGTTCTGATTGGACCATGATCTTAGCGCGAAACGACGTTGATGTCTGACGCAGACTAGACAGCATTTCGCTCATCCGCGTGAATGCAATCACCAGGCTCGGAAGACTCTCCGAAGTCATCGTTTAGTTTTTTTGTTTCTTTAGTGTAACCCCACGATCTTCTTGTTTCGTCTCAGTATCAAGTTCGCACTGCTGTTCAGTCTCGCTGTTTCGCCACTTCTATGATGGCAAAAGCGTATCAACGATGGATTTCCTAGATTCACGCATCGCAAATCAATTATTCTTTCTCCAGAATGTATCCAGACACTATCTTCCGGTGTTTAATATGTCTCGTATTCGTTCTTACTACGCAGGCACGCAATGTCCATATGGAAGAACGAGCGTTAACCCTCGCTGATGCTCCTGCATGTGGTGTATGTGTAGATGAAATCACACCAACTCGTCCCATCCACTGACTTCCTCAGCTTTCCTGTCTAATTTCCGTGATACCCGAGAGCGGATGTGCTCTCGGTGATCTTGACTGTCAGTGTCATAATGAGAAACTGGCCCAAGCAAGTGCAGCTTGTATACTGGCAAATTGCACGATGGCAGAGACACTCAGTGGGTAGCCTTCTCGAGATGGTGCTGCTCGATAAGACTGACCACCACCTCTTTAGACACTGCCAAAGTTCAAGCCTCTCTTTGTAATCTTCCACACGAGTCCAAGTCCGGTCGGGTGCTGAAGGCAACTATCATCGTGTACGAGACTGCGTTCGTCTTCGTATGTTTAAGAGTATATCGTAAATACATCGAGAAACGTCTAGCTGTAGACGATTGGGTTCTAGTGGCAGCAATGCTGCTGACTGCCCTTCCCTGTGGGCTTGTTCTCGCCAGTATGTCCCGTGACTATTAAACACACACGAGAATTGACCAGCTAATAAAGAGCCAATGACTCAAATCGGATTTGGCAAACATCTTTGGGATCTTCAACACGGCCAGCTCAAAGAAAATCTACGGCTCTTCTATATCGCGTCTACCACATACGTAATCGTTCTTGGAATGATCAAGGTCTCCATCGTCATGTTCTACCTCCAAATCTTCCCATATCGGTCATTTAGGATCCTTTCGTACTCCCTCATGGCATATATCGTGTCTTCAAACTTGGGAATATTCCTTGCAACAGTATTTTCGTGTTGGCCTGTGCCTCGTTTCTGGAACCGCGACGTCCCTGGTACATGCCTTGACGTCAACGCCTTAGCCTTCGCCAACAGCGGGAACGCAATTGTTCAGGACTTTCTCCTCCTCATTTTTCCAATGCTCTACATCGGAAGACTAAATATTCCAAATCGACGTAAAGTGGTAGTCGGCATCATGTTTGCCGTGGGTACCTTGTAAGTCGCTTCTTCCCTTGCATATACGCGCGAGTTGACACGCCCGAAGAGGTTTCATTGCAACCATTGTCCGACTGAAGTTCCTGCTGGACTTCAAGATCTCGATTGACCCTACTTGGGATTATGTGGAGGTTACGATATGGACAACGATTGAGCTTGCCAGTGGCTTTGCTTCTGTGTGCTTGCCGTCGATCCGGCAACTTGTTGTCATGTTCCTCCCAGAAGATTGGTTCACACGTTTCAATGTAGGTAGTTATCGGATCTCACGAGAAGAAGACACGAGGGAGAGTGCGAGTAAGGCCTGAATCGTATCTCGAAATTTGGGATTGATCAGGGCAAGTTATATTTTACATGCGGGCTATAGAATCTCCCAAATCTGATGTCAAAACCTACCGAGATCACCATAGAATATACTGCGGAGTGATCTCCTCACTTTCAATGGCTTCTGGTGCCTATTTTCTGTATGACTTGTTGATTCAGCAGGGTATGGTAAGCTATATTCATTCGATTTTCTAGTCGAGAGTATCTAATCAATACACTATCTATATCAAAGTTTTAGTTTCTAACACAGGTTCTGTCATGCCTAAGGTCGAGTGGACTCGAGAGCCGGAGCACACCGACTGTATCCATATTCAATATGCACCTGCGGCAATGCGACATCTATCCACCCTTCGCATTTTCATTAATGGTACTTCTTAGAAGCATCGGCAAGCTATATTTGATGTCACCATCAATATACGTTGCCAAACCTTGCTGCTCCAGGTCCCACGGCACACTAGCATGTGATCCCAGTCCCAGACGTATCAGCCTAACATTACCTCCCCCATATCTCACCAGATCTTCATCGGGTCTTCTAATCACACCCGGCGTATTCATTCCTACTCCGATCTCCAGAATCACTGTTTTTCCTACGCCGTTTAAAGCCTTTTGACGGAATCGCCGCCACGTTGCTTCGCCACTGCGATAAGGGTTCTTGTTGAACCAATTGGCCGCGCGAACACAGATGAACATGTCACCACCGCAATTTTTACATGCGGGTATGGCCGAGCTGTCGGTCAAGCGTTGAGTCTCGAGATCCATGCTTTCCCGTGCTTTAGCCAAGTACGAACAAGTCGGCCAGTAAGAATCTGGTGTACAGTTTTCTGCGCATTGGAGGACAGCGTATTGACCTTGCGGTGTAGAGATATCTTGTTGATTCCATCCGTTTGCTACAAACAAACCGTCTGCATTTGAGGTGCGCACATGTGTTTGGCCCTTGAAATGTCGCAGCCACTCGGTGAGTTCAGCGTATAGTTCTGATTTTGGCCAATTTCGTATCATTTCCAGATGTGTGAAGAAATAGCTCCAGCGGACGTCTTCGGAAGGCCAGTCTGTGAAACCGAAAACGCTGTATAGACAATCGAATCCGTATTGAAGGAACGTTGGAAAGCGCTCTTGGAAAAGTTTCTCTGACGTATAGTCAAGGCCTATGGCGGCTGACAGACCTGCTCCAGCGGTGACTATGACGGTATCCGCTCCAAGAATATGATCGCGCGCTTGTTGGAGCGACCCACATGAGACGGCGAGGGTAGGCGAGATGGCAGCATCCCTTTCGATAAACCATCCTGGTCGAGGCTTCAAGAGACGATCTGTGTAGATCTCATGATCCTTCTCGGTGAAAGCAACGAATATAATGTCTGTAAGTGTCGTATCCGGGTGCATGTTGATCCATGACGCTACTGCTTGGATCGCGAGTTCTGCTGCTATACTTGGAGGGAATGCGAAAAGACCAGTTGAGATGCCACATAATGCTATTGACTTTGCAACCCCATCTTCTGGTTCGGTAAGGTGATTGATCTGGTCGAGAACAGAGTTGTAGCACTGCTGCAATTTTTCGCATTCCACATATGTAGGTTCAGCGCCTCGTTCGAGCTGAGGGCCTACTGTGTGTATCACATATTTGCTAGGCAAACAATAGGCTTTGGTCGTTACTGCATGACCCACTGGGAGATCGCGGCCCCTAGCATCCATAATATCCTTGCATTCTTGTCGTAGTTGTGGTCCAGCTCGCGTATGTATAACATTATCGATGCATTGGTGGGTTGGCTGAAAACATCCTAACATTCGTGAGTTTGCAGCATTTGTGATAGCTGTGACGTTCCTCAAGCATGTTATGTCTCCTTTCCAAAGTTTGATCTTGACTGGCGGATTTTGTGATGGCGGTGCTCTTACGGTTGCAAACGTGGGAATAGAATCAGCAGACACGAGAGTTCGATGATCACTCTCGTAAGCTAATATCTGGTTGATGTCCCGGCAGATATCCTGTGGTAGAGGATAGTCCGGGGATCGTATGCAAAGTAGGTTTCGAAGAAGTTTCAATCGTTCGTCGGTATCCATATGCTCAACGTGTTGTATCATATTGCGCAACCTGTAAGATTCTCCAAGCAGAAACAGAACTGTGCGCTCGAGAGTGAAGTCCATTTGTGCTGGCAGAAAATAGATTTGAAGTAGTGAATTGCGGGTACGTGACAACTACGTCTTGAACTTCACCCATATATACCACGAATGCAGTCTTATTTCAAATGCATACACACGTTTACTCATGAACATCTACTAATCACGGAATTACATCTGAAGGATTGCAGACATGGTTACGTAAGAAGCACAACGGAATCGTTCCGCGGTCCAGATCAGGGGCAACATCTGACAGCCAGCATAGCCGAAAGGGATCACTGCGAATCTAATTCGTAATACTACCAGAGGCGCCACACAAAACATCGGATTCTTTGCTTCTACAACTACATACATATGTCTGTATTAAGGCCCGTGACTGCATAGGCAGAGAGGTTGACTGTTCAGATGTGCTGGGATAAGAATTAGCTAGGTCTGCAAGCCGGCTGATTTAGGGTATAAGTCTAGGTGAAATCAATGTTTCCACGTGGACGAATATAGTGGAAGAAGTGGCTGAGATCTAGAGTTTAGATACTAATGTAGTTCGTTAATCCTAGCATAGTCTCATAAAGTAATAATTGATGTTTGGTTACATACCCAGGTACGTATCCCCGCAATTTTCCAAGCCTCTGATCACGTTACTGTGGTGGAGTTACCCCGGCGCACACTAGGACAAAGTCAAGTCCGCCCCACAGATCCCCACAGGCGTCATAAGCAACTGTTGAACGCGCAACGGGGGTTAGCACTCAGCTATCGGATTTTGTGAGGACGAACGATCCCTATACATAAGTCCGGGCAGAAGGTCACGTGCGCCAGTATGCAAACAGTCAGTACACGCTTCTGATGGGGGTGGTCGTCGCTCTGTCATTGCTAACCCAGCGAGTGCCTTAGGAACAAGGCGTCGAACTTCACCCCATCGCGTGCGAAAATTGCCGGAATAAGAAGTCAAAGGTATGCTGTGTTTCCTCCATGTGTTTCAATACAAGAATTGATGGGTGGAATGAATCATAGTGTAGCCGGACAATCCCAACATGTGCCCAGTGCACTTCCAGCGGTGCTTCTTGTCGATACCCAAGCAGCAATAAGCGAGGCATTCCAACTGGCTATATTTCAGTCCTAGAAAGGCGGCTTCTAGAGACGGAGTTGGCCTTGTTCGAAGCACTCTGCTCCTTATATAAGTCTCCTATACCGATTGATCCGTACATATCGTCTCAAGGCCAGCGAGAAGCCATTGCGAATTACAGCTACAAACAATCCAAGGGTGAAAAGGTGGAGGAGTGGAGTAGTTGCTCTTTGGGAACAGAGTATGACAGGATGTCATGGTGGCAGAGTCGATGTACGATAGCAGATGCTGACGCGGATCGCACGCCTGCTGGAGTAGAGCTCGATTATCGGCAGCCTGGGCTGGAGAGATTGGAGTCGGAAGATGTTTCCACTCCGGATAATGCTCACGTGTCAATACCGGACACCAGTGCGGTGAGTCCGGTGGTGGTTTTGCCTCCCCAAGTCACAGATAGCGCTCCCCTCGAGGATGCATCCGTAGTAGATTGGCGAAGATATTTTTGAACTTTATTATGCTATGCTTCTCTCGGTCTAGCCTTAGTCGGGTGTGGGGGTTTGCGTGCGAAAATGCACTACCACAGCTACCACAGCTTCCATCCCCACCACCACCAGAGACATCGGATCACCGTCCTGCATCTAGTTTCTATCATCTCGGATCTATATTTCTATGTGGCTAGTTGGGTAGAGATGGAATGAGATGTCGGAAATTGCAACGAACCCCAATAAGCGGCGGTCGAGGCACGATGAAACAGATCAAGTCGACACTGCCGATGATGGCCCGGCGGCGCGGAAGAGGAGGACTTTCCTACAGACAATGGGCCAGCAATTGAGGGAATACGGACCGCAAGCTTCTAGTCCGAGAGATCAGCATCGTGGTTCATTCGGCACAAGTCCTCGAAATCAAGGAGGCCCGCCTACAGCCGGCTCGTCTCATGTTTCCGACGCCAGAAACCTCATCGATACGCCGGAAAGCGATGCCGCACCAGGAGAAACCGACGCAAGAACAGGAAACGCCCAAAATGCCTCTAAATGGCTTTGGCGGCCGCACGAAGTTCTTCCGATCGGGAACTCAGCTAGTACAGTACACTGCACCTTCCAAGACTTACTAGAATGGTCGCAGAATTATTTTGACCACTGGCACCCTGCATTTCCTTTCATCCACGCCCCTTCCATCCTTGAATTCTTCCGACAGGTTGTGCAGAGTGATCTTAGCACCCAGTATCCTGCTTTCGATCTGCAGTTGACCATGTTACGGGCCATCGTATCCATTTCCCTCATGGATGCACGGCAAATGTCTACTAGACCCAAGCCAGTTCCCCAAACCCTTGTTTTTCCTTCTTACAAAGACGCCATTGACAGTGTTCGACAAATTCTCATCGAGGAGACTTCCATTCTTTCGCTCCAAACTCTTGTTAGCGTACAAGTTTTCCTAATTTCAATGCTTCGATATAACGCAGCTTCTCGACTGGAAGGACTTGCCGTTCGCATGGCCTTTCAACTTCATCTCCACCACTGTCCCGTACGGATGGGAGGCGACGCGGCGGCTGAGGCCGAGCTTCGGAAGCGACTTTTCTGGTCCATCTTTTGTATAGACCGTTATATCTGCATTCGATTAGGAATTCCACTAGGTATACGCTCCGCAGACGTCGATGTGTGCTACCCACATTCGGAAAAACACGGCGCAAAATCGCCCACCGAAGAGCGAGATCATCGGTTGGATCTATTAGACTTTCTCGCCCGTCATGCCGTAAGTGGAGTCTCATCCGTGTCTTGATTTTCACGTCACTCTATGTTCTTTCAACACATGAAAAGTGCTATGGCCTTATCTCTTTACCAAGAATATGTCGCTGACAGTTGTCTTTACACTGAAGGAGATTCGAGGGTCAATTATGGAGCTTCGCAATCGGGCTGCACTCGATAGTACCGCCACTGAATCTGATACCATCATGCGAATCGAGGCTGAGCACACCAAATGGTGGAACTATATTGATGAGTACTTATCTGACAGCGATCCCGCGTCATCCATTTCACAACCTCACCAGATTACACTAGTAGTCCTGAGGTTTGAGCTAGTCATAGCTCTCCATCGCTCAGTCCTCGCTACCTCCAACAAAAATGCTGCGTATAGTGTTGCGCTCCAGAGGTGCATTTCAGCCTCGAGATCAATTATAAACAGACTGTATAAAGCGCTTCAAGACTTCGGTGACAGTAGCAGCGCGTTGAATTCTGCCGGGAAACCAAGTGGTCCGTTGATGTGGCCATCTTTTACCTGGGCCCTGTGGATGAGCGCTTTCATAGTGATATTCTCTGCGACGGAAGATCAGCTTCCACGGGAAGTTGCCATGAGACTCTCGGGACGAAGTATCGAGATCTTGAAGCACATTGCATTGAGGGGGACAAATTGGCCTGAAGCTTGTATTGTGGCTATTCAGAACTTGATGTCAAGACTGGAAAATCCTTCCAATTTCTCCTCTAGGAATTCGATTGCTGGAACGTCGCAAAATCAACAAGCGTCAAGCGGAACCGCTGAACAAAATGCTAGAAACCGATTTCCCACGCCGAATGGGCGATTGCCCAATACATCTTCCCCAATGCCACCTATCCCCCCGCAGGTATCAGCAGGAGCTGTTCCAGCCTTCGTTCCACCGGGTCACGCAAACGACTTTGGTGCACTTCCTTACACCAATGCCGCTTACGGAACATCTCTACATCCTTCAATCAACTTCGCGAACTCACATCTTGGAAGTTCAGGAAACTTTCTTGGTATCGCACAACAACTGTCAGACAACCCGATTCCCAATCAAGATATAATGACTTTGTTTAACGGTGAAGATATGGGATTTTTCATGGGGGATGATATGAACTTTGCGGAAGGTATGTAATAACGGAGGGCATGTGATGAAGTAAGTCATGAATTCGATTGGTATAAAAAATCTAAAGCTAAATGGCGTAAAGGAAAAAACATCCATCTATTTGGCGGACGGAACGACAGCCTGAGGCAAAGCTGCCTTCTTGAACGCAGCATGAATCTCTTGGTCAGCACCTTCTTGCAATGGCAACAACCCACTTCGTACAGTGGCGTGCTCCAAGATTCCTCGAGCGACCAGGCCATGCTTCAGTGCAACTGTTCCCTCCATGTGTGAGCCGCGGTGGTAGACGTTCTTGGTCACTGGCAGCAAGCGGTCGTGGACAGCCCTCGCCTTCTTGTAGTCGCGTGCCTTTCCAGCCTCAATCATCTCCAGGAGAGGCTCGGGAGCAATGCATCCATATCCGACCAAGAAGCCGTCTACATCGAAGCAAGTGTGGAGCAAGTGCTCATCGTGACAGGTGAGGATCGTGAGATCTGGGTTGGCCGCCTTGATGACAGGGATCTCCGTGTCCCATCGAGTCATGTTGCGTACGCCATTCTTCATGGCGATAACACCTGGCTGTGCAGCAATCTCGAGCAGGGTTTGGAGGTTGTATGTCGCCTTCGTGGCATCGGGATATTGGAAGAGAATGAGGGGTAGACCGGACTTTTCGTAAACGACCTTGTAGCGATCTTGTGGGGCTCCAGGTTGGTATCCGAACCTTAGCCAACCATGGCAAGGGTACAAGAGACCGGCTTTGGCACCAGCAGCCTTGGCCCGTTGAGCCTCAAGTGCCGCTACTTCGGTTCCCTCGGTGGTGATGCCGGCAATGATAGGGATGCGGTCGTCGACAGACTTGACGAATGCTTTGATGACTTCGACTTGCTCTTCTTGGGTGAGGAAAGTGCCCTCGCCAGCGTGGCCAAGGACAACGAGGCCCTTCACACCATCAATGCTACCAAGCCATGAGCCGATACGTTGAATGGCGGCGTAGTCAACGGATCCGTCTTTGTTGAAGGGGGTGACTGGTGCGGGAACAAGTCCAGCAAGATCGATTTTAGGAGCCTGTGCCATGGAACCCATTGTGGTATGATGTTTGAATATCAAAGTTCTGGAATTTTGAACAAGTGAAGGGAGTAGGAGAAGAGTTGGAAATGTTGATGATGAAGTAGAGAGATGTGATTGTGATGGTTTGAAATTAATTGGACATTGCTTCGCATTATATGCTCTAGAGAAACCATCGTGAGCGGTGCATGACTGCCACTGAGCCCACTGGTATCGGCTCTTCTCTCTTGCCGAAACGGTTACTGTCGTCGATCGCATCCCCAGATTCTGCCCCCGCACCTAGGACTTTCTCTAGTCCGGAAGCTAGATCAGGCTAGTGCGCTCGCGGTGGAGTCACGGAGGAGTCTTTGTCCTAGTCGAAGGCAACTCACAGCAGCCGGACCCAACAAGTATGGCCCAATGATCATGCGTTTACTAAAGAAAATAATGCCCCCGAAACTAATGGTAGCGACGAGGCGTCTTTCCCCGCCTGGAGTAAGTCTTGGTTAGCAAAGATCTGGGGAAACTCCGGGGGATAGTGAATTTCTGGGGAAAAGTCCGGGGCAACAACAAAATCTAGGACGAACTTGTTCCGAACTGCATATAAGAGATCGAGCGTGGGCATAACTGGCGTAGCTCACAGCTGGAACGATTGTCGCCGTGACCTCTGCAAAGCACTAAATTCTTCTTTATCGCACTTTGTTCGACATCCGCAATGACCAAACGACTTTCCGCCGAGCTGGAGAAGAAAGACAGTTCTCTTCACATCGATGACGTTGAATCTGGGGAACATGACCTCAAATCATCTCCCGTTGCCGAAGGGGATTATTCGGGCGCGGTGGCTAAGTCTGATCCCAAAGAAATCAAGCTGGTTCGCAAATTGGATCGTCGGATCATGCCCGCGCTCTTTTGCATGTACTTTTTGTAAGTTTAGCACTTTAACACGCAAGAAGTAATATGACCAACAAAATGAAGAAATAAGCTCGATCAAAATGCCATCGCAAACGCGCGTCTCAACGGTCTAGAAAAGGACCTTAACCTGGTTGGATCGCAATACAACACCTGCATCTCCATCCTCTATGTCGGATACCTGTTTGCCCAAATCCCTTCCAACATGATCATGTCGAGCCAGAAAGTGCGTCCGTCTCTATACATGTCAGTGTGTATGATGGCATGGGCAACCGTTGCCTCCCTCACAGCCCTCGTCAAGGGCTACGCTGGTCTCGTCGTCGTTCGATTCTTTCTTGGTGTTGTCGAGGCGCCTTTCTATCCCGGCGCGCTATACATCTTGTCCATGTTCTACACCCGCAAAGAGATCGCGACACGCGTTTCCATCCTATACGCTGGCAACATCTTCGCTACCAGCTTCTCCGGCTTGATTGCGGCTGCGACCTTCAAAACTTTGGATGACAAGCACGGGATGCACGGCTGGCAATGGTTATTTATAATAGAGGGTGTTGTCACTTTCGGTGTTGCCATAGCGGCGATTTGGATGCTTCCCGATTACCCGCTTACGACTAGATGGCTTACTGAGGAAGAACGACAAATGGCTCACGACAGGATGCAAAGAGATACTGTTGGTCTACAAGAGAGCAAGGGTGCCTCAGCTGGCTTCATGCAGGCTCTGAGAGATCCTCGCATATACGTCTTTATCCTTATGCAGAACATGCATCTAAGTGCAACAAGTTTCAATCAGGTACGTCGCCATCGAGCCCGGATCTCATTCCGAAAGGACACAATGCTGATGAAAAAATAGTTCTTCCCGACTGTGGTGGGCGCCCTCGGCTTCAACACTACTATTACTCTGGTACTTACCTGCCCCCCTTCTCTCGTCGCTGGGATAGTCGGTGTCGGCATCGGCATTTCATCAGGTAAATTCAACGAACGTACCTGGCACATCACAATCATGATGGGATTGGCGCTTGCTGGTTTTGTGATCTCTGCGGTCACCCTCAACATGCCTGCTCGATATGTCTCATGCTTCATGTTCGCTTCTGGTAAGAATCTAGAACCACTCACTTCAGTACGTTCATCTTCTAACCAATATCAGGTGTGTATGCGGTCAACTCGGTGATTCTGGGATGGGTCTCCGCTACGCTCGGTCAAACACCAGAGAAGAAGGCAGTGTCTCTTTCGATCATCAACATGCTGTCCATGGCTTCATTCATCTACACCCCGTATCTATATCAGAAGAGCGATGGACCGCAATATAGGATTGCAATGAGCAGTAACGCCGCTTTCGCGTTCATGACCATTGCTTCAGCTTGGGCGTTGAAGCTGTGGTTGATGTGGACCAACAAGAAGATGAAACAGAATGGAGGACCAGGCAATGTCTTCTACGCATACTGAGACCAAGGAGGATTATCTAATATTGCAACTATGTATTAATAACTCATGAAGGCTCAAGCGAATGGAAATCAAGTGCTATATCGTGTCTTAAGCCAAACAATGATAACTGCCATGCCACAATCTCACGGAGCTCAAAATCGGGTCTAGAAACAAGCAAAATCAAGGCAGGAACAAATCGGCGAAGCGCCACTCGGCATCGTGCAGAACGTAGATCTTCGGCACAAGAAAGCCACCCCAAGTCTTGCCAAACCGGATACCGAATGATTTTGCGAGGACATGGGGAATGAACAAAACAAAGGAAATGGCCCGCTGTGCATAATATGTCCACCATGACCAGAAAACTAATAGCACAAATCCTCGCGTGATTTTTGTGTCCTTCCAGATGTTATTGCGCTGCAGGATCTCACTCACCAACTTCGGATTGGCACCGGGTCCCCGCTGTCGGTACCAAATCGGCCAGTGCGGGTAGAACCACCATTTGATCATGAGACCATCCTCCCACATGAAGAAAGACAGAAATGTGCTGATCCAGAGGAGAGCAGCGGACCGCAGACTGAGAGGACTCAAAGTGGGAGCAAAAGCAAGAAGAGAGAGTGCTGCGACCGCGAGAAGATGTAGATTGAAAGCGACGACGCACAGGGTAGGTAATTGTGCTTCGCACCCTACACGTCTGGCAACACTCTCAAGAAAAGCATTCCAGTCTACAAGACTGTCGAGATCTGGACTGATGGAATAGTACTCTCGCTCGGTAAGATGGTCTCGCTTAGCCCGCGCCGCATAATCCAAAGGAAGCTTTCGGTCACCGCTGAGTATCATGCTGATGTAACGCGATTGCATTTCCGCCATTGGTGGTATGCCGCCTTGATGGGGGCGCGCATACCCCGAGAAGGACAAACTATCACCGAGACCCTCTGGGAAACAGTGGAGGTACCACGATCGAGGGTTTGCATCGAAGTTGTCTACCTTCAACCACGGAAATTCGGTCGTGTAACCAGTGCAGAGAACGACTACATCGAATTCGCGTTTGTTTATGTGACCGTCAGGCATCGCGAATGCAACAGATGAACCGTCGACGGAGACATCCGGGGTAATGATAACCTCGATCTTGCCATCGCCCCATGCTTCACACATGCGCTGATTTTTCGTGACATATGTTGCTTGGTCGTTCATCAACCATGCGGAAGCCGTGCTGTCAAGACAGGCTGTCGAAAGTGTTCTGTTCAAGATCGGCAACTTCCAAAGCAATCTCCGCCAGAATCCGTAGAAGAACACATTCTGTGCCGCACTCATCCGATTGGTCGTCGCCGATTCGAGAAAGCCATTGACTGGATATCGTCGAACCTTGCTTTCTTTGACTTGAGGCATCTCGGGATGAGCAACAAGATAGCGTGGGCCGAAGCAGTTTGGACGGCGAAGCCAGACTGTAGTCTTCTCGGTAAGATCGCCTAGATCTGCAGAAATGTCGGCGCCGCTTTCACCACCCCCAACCAGCAAGACGCGCAATTGCTTCTCCTCCACTTCTTTTCGAAACTCTTGGCTGTAGTTCGAGGAGTGGACTACTCGGCCGGTGTAGCCAGCGAGCGGGTCTGGCAGCCCTTTTGGTACTTGGTGTGCACCAGTGGCTACAACGAGAGCGTCTGCAATCTCGACACGTCTCTCGGAGCCCTCCTGCACCTCAACTCTCCACTTCTTTTCCTCATTCAGGGATGCACTGAGCACCTCGGTGTTGTACTTGATATGCTGATCTAGGCCGAAATGGGAAGTGTAGTCTTTGAGATATTGTAGATACTCTTGTCCATTGGGATAACATTGGAGATCCTTGTTGGGAAAATCGGAGAAGGCCATAGCCCAATTCGATAGAGTCAGGTGGAGATCGTGGTACATTGCCGAGCTCGAAAATATGCCACCGAGAGAAGGCGCTCGCTCGAAAGTCGTGGCATCATGACCCCCAGCCAGCATCTCTTTGAGAGCCGGTAGCCCACATGGACCAGCGCCTATGACGATCACACGCTTTTTGTTCGAATTAAGCTTCTGATTCATTTTCATGATGATTTAGTAATTTCAAATGTGTTTTACTGATGAGGTGGAGGATCTGGAGACTAGCCCATATATTTATGTTGCGTACGAACACCCTTAGATGGTTGTAGCTTTCACGAATCATCGCAGCGAGCGTCAGCAACATACCGGCTATACTGCATTGACTGCGCACCCCGCACCTGAACACAGAAACGTTATCTTTATACGAACTATTTTTTCAGCTGAATCCTATTGTATACAATGTTGATGCTTTATAATCTTTAGCCAAGAGAACTGCAGTCCCGGATACGACTATGGTCTGGTCTCATAGGTGGATGATAACTGAACGGGCTGACGATCTTGACGACTCAGCACACCTTACGTCCTAATTTGTCAATATCTTCCATCCCTTGGGTGCAGGCACTATCACATCATATCCTTGGACGAGTTATCACTATGTATTTGTGTAAGCAAATTCTCGGATTTCGCACACATTCTCGGATCCCGCACTCTAAAGTTCACATAGAGTCATAGACCCAGGTTAGCCGTATACCCCCGATAAATATCGGTTCAAAGACCTCGAAGCAACAGAACATAGGCCCCACAAAATCTTCAAGGCTTTTTGGAGAGATTAATAACGGCATCTTTTATTGTGAATAAACGTGTTCAAAAGTATAAATGCCATTCGACGTCTACTTCCTGCGCGACGACTACTCCTCCATCATGACAGCGAAGCGGCAAGACCTTCTGAGACTTCTGGCAGCTGCACAAGCCACTGCATCCGAGCTCCAAGACGATCTCGCACAAGATCCATTATTCCGACTAGCAGCTACCGAGGCGTCATCCCACCTCACACGTACGCTACAAACCACCATCGACCGTGCATGGGAACTCTTTTTGAGGCCAGCACACCCCACAACATTGCTAGTTACTCTCGATGCCGGTTGGATTCAATATATCAATGCCAACTACGAGGATGGTACCAAATCGGGTATCATGGCTGACCAGCTTGCGCAACACACGTCGTCAGATCCCGAGCTTGTGAAGCGGCTCATGAGAGTATTGACCGCTAACGGAACAATCCGCGAAGTTGGAATCAACGAGTACGCGCCCACGCCGTTCAGCAAGCTCTTCGATAATCAGTCATGGGCTGATGGATTGCGCCATGCGGTGCGCGATTATTCCATTACCATGTCGGGAATGCCGGATTACTTCGCAAAGAGTCAATACCAACTTGAGAACACTGGAAAGAAGATCTACCAGCACGTCCATGGGACTACATTCTTTGATCGAGTTCACGCAGGCGGTGAAGTAGGGTCTCAGTTCAACAGCTTCATGCGCGTTGTACGAGACGGTAAAAAGTCTTGGTTCGATGTTTATCCAATCGGAGAGCGATTGCAACCCATTTCTAAAAAGGAGGTTCTGCTAGTGGATGTGGGAGGTGGGAGAGGGCACGATCTTTACCAGTTTTCACGGTGGCAGAAGGACCAACAGTTTAAAGGTCGACTAGTCCTACAGGATGCGCCAACGGTCATCGCACAAGTACGTCCAGAACAATCTGTTGACATGGAGGTTCAGGAATACGACTTCTTCACCCCGCAAAAAATGCTGGGTGCCCGCGCATACTTTCTCAAGAACGTCTTGCATGACTGGCCAAACGATAAGTGTATCGACATCCTCATCCAGGTCCGCGATGCTATGAAACCTGGGTATTCGCGATTGCTCATCAACGAGATTGTTCTGCCCGATGAGAAATGCGATTCTTGGACTGCGGCCTATGACATCGCAATGATGGCTGTAGTCGATGGTAAGGAGAGGTCAAGGGAACAGTGGGGAGATTTGATCGATGCCGCTGGGGGCTTGAAGATTGAGAAAATCTGGCGCCTGGGACTGAACAATGAAAGCATCATTGAAGTCGCCAGGGCGTAAGATCTTGATGAGTGTTTCCGTTGGGTACATAGGTATATCCTCGAGTACGTAGCGTCTAAAGATAGTAACAACAGAAGATCTTTACTCGATTGGATCGCCGGGGTTCACAACGTGCTAAGCGAGCGATCCAAGGTGGGGCAGACCCCGTATCCCCCACCAATTGCCCGCACCACTCTCTGCATCTTCATTGTCCAGGACGTATTTGTATGTGTCGATTGTACACGCCATCAGCCACATTATGCCTAGCGGTCCGACAAGTCGTGGCTGCAACGCTTGTCGCGCACAGAAGAAGTAAGCCTGGGTTCATACGCTAGTGTGAGATCAAGCGCTGACAATTAGATAGAGGTTGCGACAGGCAGAAGCCAGTATGCTCGCGCTGCAAACGCTTGAACCTTGTATGCGTAGGGGCGGGCGAGCAAAGGTTCAAGTTTGTAGGAACAGACTCCAAGCCATCCAACTCAACGAAGCTTGTTCCCGTAGCCCGTACGTCAATTTCGCCAGGCCTGGACAGCGAAACCACAAGCATTAGCAGTGCTTTCATCCGAACGCTTGGAATTGGTGATCCATCCAGTCAACTCGATACCATAACTATGGTCAATGGATTGTTTGCGCAGATTCCGCGTCGTCTCGGCTCTAACAAAGCCCTCGATACTGCTTCCGAAGCATTGATGAGTAGCTATAAGTTCGTCTATGACCGAGGCCAGATTCGGAAAGCTAGAATGCACTACGGCCGTGCATTGAAAGAGTTGTCAATCACTTTACAAGACCCAGCGGCGACCCGTTCGTCAAATACACTTTGTGCGATCTACTTGCTACTAATTTGTCAGGTAGGTTAGAACTCCATGACGGAAACTATGATGACGTCCTGACTTCTCTATAGAACTGGATATCTAAAGGTGAGATGCAATATGGAAATCACATGGAGGGGGTTTGCTACGTGTTGAACGCCTTTGCCGAGACATTCGACTGGACTCGACCCCGGCATACTTACGACAATTCCAACAACTTGGAGCTAGTATTGATATCTATATTGACCTTCCCTCTGGTAGGCTAGTCCCCCAGTCCCCAGAAAGACTAGTTTTGGTAATAGTGAGCTTCAGATGGTGGAAAAGATCTACAACCCCCGGTTAAACTTTGGCCCGTGGCTGCAAAAGGCACTGGCGTGGCAAGGTCCAAGAGGAAAAGACATCAAATACCCATACAGCCTGGGAATGAGAAACGTGTATCAGATCACAGAATTAGTGCAAGACCCTGCGCCACACCAAACTGCTTTTGAGATTGCATATGATATCCTTTGCGAGGATATATCCATAATGGGACAACGACTTGCGGATCTCTCAATTAGTTCTGATGGAAAGAGTGGAAATGAAGTTCCTCAGCAGATAAGAGCTTTACAATTTGTTTATGGCATGCACTACGGCATGATGCTGCCTTTTGCTTGCATCCTGAACTCCCTCCTCCGCGCATTCCCCTCAAACCAGTTCCAACCGAAAGCACTAGAAGAAGATGCCGAGAGATTTGTTAAAGCATCAATCAAATTGGCCAGAGAATCGAATCCATTACGACCATTGGGCACCGAAGGGATTCCTTGGGTGTTATGCTTCACGTGGGCCCTCTCATCTGATGCAGCCACACAAACTGAAATAGAAGACTTGATCAGAATGTACGACTCGGATTTTATGGGCGCGAATAATTTCCCGGTCGCCATATGGACAAGGAGATGGCTTGAGAAACAAACGAACAAGATCCGCGGGATCGAAGAGGAATTGCACGGTATAGGCGAAAGTGACGCGGATTTGGAAGCCGTGATAGGACCTGGAAGATCTTGCTGTGTCATGTAGAGCAATGGCAGATACTCAGATGATATTGGCCCTTGTTGCGTGGAAGGTCGTGCCATAAAGGCACGGGCCTACCTAGGTTGGTATTAATTGTATATATGTGCATTCACATCCGGTCACGTGATTTATGATCCGGTCCCCGTAATTGCCCAGATAGGGGAACATAGGTACTGCCAAGGCCTTGAATCTCGATAAACAGCCATTTCTCCTTCTAAAATTTGTAATAAGACCTAGACTGTAACATCGCCGCATAAGAGTTAGTGTTAAAGGGGATTGATATTGCCAAGGCGCTACTAGTTAGCGTAGGCAGCTTAGCGAGAGCGCACAAAAGGCGCACCTAGGGCACTAAATAGGGACAAGTGTTATTCTAAATTATTAGAAGGGGATACCTTCTAAGAAGAGCTATCTTTTACTATTACTAGTAGTGTAAAGCAAGTACTATTGCCTATAACTACGCCTTACATAATAACACTTCTTGGCAAATAGCTAGAGATGGCTCCTTCGACCCGATCCCAGCAGCAGGCTTCTGACTGCAGGAGCCTAGAGCCCAAAAGAGGGGACTCTATAACAGTTACTACCGCTACAGATGCTCCTAACCCTGCGGGCGCACCTACTACAATAGAGCAGCGCATTTGGGCTGCTAAAGAAAAAAGAAATGCTCTCTTAGCAGCCCGTCGCCTCTAAGAGCTAGAAAACAAGATCGCCCTTTTAGAGAGTGCCACGCCAGCCCTGTCTACAATAGACTCTACTGCGAGAGAGACACCTAAAGTAGAAGCAACAGGTTAGCGCAAGCAAAACGCAGGCAGCCTGTTACGCTACGCGCCAGCGAAGCAAAGTCTAAGAATAAAAGACCCTGCAGACTACAAGAGAAAGAATTACAAGGAATATTAGAAGTTCTTTCGCTCTTGTAAACTAGCATTTAGACTTGCCCTCTACAAATTTGTGCAAGAAGGCAATTAGATTGCTTAGGCTATGCAGTACCTACAAGGAGACCTAAGGGAGCTTTAGTACGCACATTATAAGCGTATGTTAGAAGAGAACAAGGCAGCGTTAACCTAGGAGTACTTTTAGACGTTTATGCTAAACATGCTCTTAGACCCTGTTAACTAGAGCCTAAAAGCATCTATAGCGCACGCGCAGGCTATGCAACGCAAGGACTAAAGCGTTCGCTCTTTTGCAACCTACCTTAGCATCCTAGAGGATTAACTTACTTCCTATACAGAAGCTTAAAGGGTGCAATATCTGTTTGCAAAACTAAAACTAGAGTTGCAGCGCTCTATTACTAACTATTACTAAATTCCTCTAACACGAGAAGGCCTTATCTTATTAGGTTTAACGCTAGAACAGAATAACTAGCGCGCAAGCAACGCGCACTTGCAAAACAACTGCAACAAAGAAAAGGGAATTGTACAAAAAGAAATAGAGGGAAAGAAGCCCTATCGCCCAACATTAGCTTTAAAAGACAAGTCCTAGATTACCTGCTATAAGTGCAAGAAGCAAGGTTATTACGCTAATAAGTGTTAGAATAGTAACCTAAACCGCGAGCCTGTAGGAATTAATTAGACAGGAAAAGAGCATGCTTTGCTAAAACCCTAGCTACAGTAAAGCGTGTGCTACTAGACATCTTACTAGGCATAAAGCGCAGGTGTGTTGAGATCTTGGAGAACTCTGGTTGGGTTTCGCGGATGACTAGCGGGTAACACTGAAGTAACAAAGGTAGAAGTATAAAGTAACAACTAGATTGTATTTCCAAGAAGTGGGTTGTAACTTAGAGTGAATACAAGAACCATAAGGTCTTCTTGTCTACTGACTATATACATATTTTGTCCCATAGTTCCCATATGTCCCATAGGGTTTCATAGATGGGATATCGTGGGATCTCGTAGGACCCTGTGGGACACACGTGACTTGTCCCACAGCAACTTTCCGCCAAGACTCGTGGGACCACGTGACGTGCGGGGTGGCGAAGTCTATTGGTTCATACGTAGTGTCCTGTTTGCTGACCGTGAGTGTTCTTGTAATTACCTTCCTTCATAACCTGTGCATCCCCATTCTTAGGTTCGTAACACTACCCCCTTCTTCCAAGTTCTTGTCCTCATGAACTGACCTCATGGTTTCCAAAAGCACCGCTCATCGTCACGCCACTGGGGATCGGATAAACGCTGTTGGACAAATCGCCATGGTATCTTGTCAATATTGTTCGAAAAAGGGTTTGGAGTGTCGCATGTCTTCTTTGAAGAAGGAGTGTGGGAATTGCTATCGCAATGGCGTAACGTCGTGTGTTCCTGTAGTCAGAAGCGGACGCAGCCGAGGCAGCAGCGTTGGAGGCCCTGGTTGCGGCGCGAGCGAAGAAGGACCGTCTTCGTAAACAGAAGAAAAGACTTAAGCGTCGTGAGCAGCAACTGATGGATGACTCAGGAAAATTCGTTGAAGAAATTGAAGCTCTTGAGGCGTTGGAAGGACTCAACAAGGATGTGGGCAACCTTGAGGATGGGTTGATGCCTGGTACCCTGGCTCTGGACTGGAGTTCGTACATGCCCTCTGTTTTGGAGGGTGATCCGTTATTTGACGAGGCCGTACTGGCTTCTTGAGGTTAGTTGTTCTGGATCAGCGGCGGTCTCCTTTTCCTGTTGTATTGTTTGATTTTTTGCTGACAGTTCGCCAGGTGTGCCTCTGGTTCCCAACTGTTGTCCTCGTGTGGGTATCCCTTCCATTTTACCAAATATTCTTTCCTTCCGCGGTCTAACTTGCATTGTAGTATTCTTTCGACTTCGAATTCGTTTTCTTCTTCTGTTTCGTAGTGGAATGTATTTTGTAGTGGCGTTCCGGGGTTCGCAGGTTCCAGCAGCGCTATGTGGAACACTGGGTGTATTTTTGCATCTTCTGGGAGTTGGAGTCGGTAGTTAACTGGGCTGACAACAGCATCAATTAAAAATGGTCCGACTTTGACGTGGTCCAACTTTTTGCTTGGTCGTTTTGTCCGAAGATTTTTTGTTCGCAAATATACTCTATCCCCCCTTTTTAGCTGAGGTGCCATTTTTCTTTTCTTGTTAACATATGAGATTGATTGTTGTTGTGCTTTTCGCATGTTTTCTTCCAGTTTTTTGTATGTCTCCTTGTATTGTTCTGCGTTTTCTAACGCTTTCTGTGTTTTTATTGTTGGAAATGTTTTTTCAAAGAGATTTGGATGTCTTCCGTGGTTTGCGAAGTATGGTGTTTCGCCTGTTGTTTCTGATAACTTGTTGTTGTATACCAACTGTGCCATAGGCAATAAGGAAATCCAGTTGTCCTGGTTCTGGTTGCTGTATAGCCGTAGGTACGTAATCATGGTTTGATTCGTACGTTCTGTTTGTCCGTCTGTTTCCGGATGGTAAGCTGTTGATAGCTTTCGTTTCGTTCCGATTGTTGCCATCAGTGTCGTCCAGTAATTGGAGGTAAAGAGCTTGTCTCTGTCGCTGATGATTGTCTTTGGTATCCCGTAGTTTCGTACTAACTTATCTAGGATAATATGTCCTAACTGCTCGGCTGAGTAGTTCTTATGGAATGGAATCATAAGTGCGTACTTAGTGAATCTATCCACGATCACAAGTATCGAATTGTACCACACTCTTGTGACAGGGTCCTGTGATGCAGGGAATCCTGTTACGAAGTCCATAGCAATATCTTCCCATGGTGTCGTAGGCACCGGAATTGGTTGCATTTTTCCGTACTTTGCGTGTGTATCATGTTTATTCTTCTTACATTCGTTGCAAGCCTGAATGTACTGTGTGACTTTCTCTTTCATGTTCGTGAAGTCGTAGTTTCTTCGTATATGTTCCATGGTTCGTTTAATTCCTGGATGTCCGTATAGTGGGTCGTCGTGATGTTGGCGTATGATGCGTTCTTGCCATTCTTCTGGTACATCGTTGGTAATTTGCATGGTAACATTGACTTCCTGGAAATGACTTGGTCCTATGGTTCCGTCCTGGTTTGTCTTAAGTATCGCTTGTCGTACTTCCGTTTTCTCGCCTGCGATGTCCGTTCGTCGGCTGAGAGCGTCAGCTCTTCCGTTATCTTTTCCTGGAGTGTGTATGATCTTGAACTGGTATTGTCCTAATTTCTCGGCCCATCGGACTTGTCGTCGATTAAGGTCCTTTGTGGTCGTGAAGGTGACAAGGTTCTTGTGGTCCGTGAAAATTGATAGTTCAGAACAACTTTCGCAGTAAATTCTCCAATGCTGAATTGAATCGACAATAGCCATTAATTCTTTATCATAGACATCGTAGCGTTCTTCCGTTGACGTGAACTTTCTTGAGTAGTAAGCAATAGGGTGCCATTTTCCATCTTTTTCTTGTGTGATGCATGCTCCTAATGCGAGATCCGAAGCGTCGGTCTCCATTCTCATTGGTTTTCCTGATTGGAACATGATTAGTACTGGAGCAGAAGCGCATGCTTCCCGAAGTTTCCGGAATGCGTCGTCTTCTTCTTCGTTCCAGCGGAAGGTTTCCTCCTTCCTCGTAAGTCGTGTGAGTGGAATCGAGATCCTAGAGAAGTCCTGGATAAATCTTCTGTTGAAGTTGCAGAATCCCATGAACGATTGTACTTCTTTGATGTTCTTTGGTGTGGGCCATTCTTTGACAACTTTGACTTTCTCTGGGTCTTGCTCGATTTCTCCTTCCCGGATAACAAATCCTAGGAACTTGACTTGTTTCGCGTGAAACTCGCATTTCTCTGGTCGTACTCGTAGGTTTGCTTCTTGTAACTTTTGGAGCACCCAATGCACATGTTTCTGGTGTTCGTGTTCGTTCTCTGAGAACACTAGAATGTCATCTAGGTACGCTATGACGGTAATGTCTAGTTGATCTCTAAGGACGTTGTTCACAAGTGCCTGAAACGTTGCTGGTGCATTGGTGAGTCCAAAAGGCATAACCGTATATTCGTAATGTCCATAACGAGTGCGGAATGCGGTTTTCCATTCTTCGCCTTTCTTCATTCGTACCAGATGGTACCCGTCTCTAAGGTCC